CTCTAATACTAAAAAAAAAAAAAAAAAAAAAAAAAAAAAAAAAAAATTTCGTTCTCAAGTGTTGCCCTTGTTTCTACCAGTGATTGTACAAGATTTGTGAAGAACTAATATAACCTTATAAAAATAATCTTTGGAACAGAAAAAGAAAAGAAATCGAGGATTCAAATATTGATATATCTATTTTGTTTTGTTTTATCATTATTTATTTTTGATCATAATCTCTTTTTTTTATTTGTTTATTATTTTTCATTAAAGAAAAAAAAGAAAAAAGATATTAAGAAAATAATTTTTTAAAACTAGTTACAATTTTTTTTTTTGTAACTTTGCAACCTTGCAACCTTGCAAGTTTTTTATTTGATTGTAAATCAATTAATTAATAATATTTTATTTATTTTGTAAAGATTGCATTTGATTTTTTTTTTATCAACAAAATTATTAATCAGATTGTAAATCTCATCGGTGATCACCAAATTTTTTTTTGGAAAAGTAAATGATCAAAAAATTGCAAATATGCGATTTTTTTTGGGAGACACAAGATAATTGAATTGGTCAGGTCTTTTAGACCACCGCAAGTGCCTCATTCATTTTAGATTATCAACAATAGATTTTTAAAATTCGAATTCATTTTCTTTTTTCTCTAAATAAACAAATAATTTCACATTACACTTTATTTATTTGTGTAGTAATTATTTATATAAATTTGTATTATATTATTTTGTAAAAGTACATTTTTTTTTTATATCTCTGTAATACTACAAAAAGATCAAACGATGGGATCATCTGTATCAAAACCAACTATTTCATTCGATGGTGGAAGATTATTGACAATTATAAGTAAGTTTTCAAGAAAAACTTAATTATTCAATTTTTCAAGTTATTCATAAATATTTTTTTTATTTTAGTTATTGATTGTGATAATTCTTCTTATTACGAGGGAAGTGAAATCACTAAAGGAACAGGTCATCATCTGCATGTCAGCATTTCATATGGCCCAGATAATAAAAGTATTGAAGCACCATTCGTAAAGAGAGCTGTCTTTAGAAAAGGTGTATTACAATTCCCACTTTCAGATGCTACCAATACATTCACACTCTCATTGGATTCCAATAATCTTAATTTCGGATCCACTTCGGTTGCCATGAATAATCCAGATCAACTCGTTGATATCGATGTACAAGGAGTATCAGAATCACTAGTAGGAATCACCACCAAAGTTAGATTGATGTATTCGACCACATTGAATAATTTACCAATTCAACAAGTATGTTTGTTTAACAACAAATAGTTAGATTATAAAAGTTAAAATTTAATGATTTACTTATTAATTATTTATTTTCCAGGTAAAAGATAAACATAAAACATTGCTATTTGAAGAGACATTGAATCAATTGGATAGCGGAGATGTTATACTTTACGATGGATACACCAAGATGTCGCAGTTGATCAAAATGAAAACATATGCACCCTATTCACATTGTGGAGTTGTCATAAAGACACTGCCACCGAGAAAGAAAGGCGAACCACTGCCAACACAACAGGAGTTGTATGTGATGGAATCTGTTGGTCCTGGCGAGGGCAAAGATCCATTCCGTAACAAACAAACTCTGAGCGGTGTCAACCTGTTCCCTCTCAAGAAGCGAGTTCTCAACTACGATGGTGGCGTGTGGTGTCTGAAACAACAGCAACCACTCAACCCGATTCAACTCGAGTGTTTCACACGTGGCATCTGGGAGTTCCACGGAAGAAGATCGCCATTCGACATCATCCAGGGTGGTGTTCTCCTTATTGAGAAAATGAATCTCTGGAATATCGAATCGAATCGTGCCGTCTTTTGTTCAGAGTTGGTAACGTATGCACTCTCGTACGCAGCGCTACTCACCGAAAAAGAAGATCATCCAGCAAACACAACACCTGGTGAAGTCAGTGATTTCGAATGTTTAGGAAGAAAACATCCAAGTATTTTGAAATACGATTTAAATTAACATTAATAACATTAATTTTTCTCTATTTTGTAAATAAACAAATATATATACAATTATATTTTATTAGTTCGTTAATAATATGAAAAATCTAAAAAATCAAGAAAGACATTAAGTTTTTTTTTCGTTATTATTTTGAAAATAAAGTCAGTTTTTTTGTATTATCCTAATAATAGATATTATTGAACAATATAGAATAATAAAAGTTCGAAAAAAGAAATGTTAATCACATAAGCAGTTCCCATTTTTGATAAATTTTTTGATAAATCAATCAAAATAATCCAAAAAAGGAAATGAATTCGGTGATTTATGATTAAGGTTTTGGTTTTTATAAAAACAGAGTGTTTTCATTTGTTTAACCACGACAACAACCACACAAAACTTAATTAAAATTCTTTTTTAATTAATAATAATATTATTTTTAATTATTGGATAATGAATGATTCATTGAACGAACAACAACAATATTAAATATAAAAAAAAAACAATATTAAAAATAAAAGTAAAAGAAAGATAGATAATTAATTAATCATCATTATTTATTTTAATCTTATTATAAGATTCTTATTATTTATTTATATATATATATAATTATATTTTATAATGATATTTGATTTCGATTCAAAAGGTAGATTATTTCTAAATCTATGGATTGTTAAACCGTTTCATTTACAACCATGGATGGCAATGACTATCGGTGTGTTTGCAATATTGGGTGCATTCAGATTGTATGTCTATATTTCGACACGCTCCATCAAGAAGCGTTATGCACCGGCTCATCGAAGAAAAGATAGTATAGCAGAGCCACTCCTACTTCTCAAGCAGATGATCAATACCAAGCCAAAGAAATTCGGTGATATATTCCCAGAGGAGTTGAGAGAGCTGGCGAAACGACGTGTTGCCGTACTGAAAGAAGCCAACCCATTTGGAATGCAGACAATATATAATAACAACTATCAAGGTGCAGGAACAGGAGCAGGTGGTGGAAGTCCAGGAAGTGGTCATGGAAGAAGTAATATGAAGAGATCCAGTTCTTTGAACTTTAGACAAAGTCCAACACTCGGAAGATTCTCACCGAAAACAGCATTCAATCCAATGCAGTTCAGAACACCACAGAGCTTAAAGTCGGGTTCGACCATATTCGAGAAGGAACCATCGCCTTTGGCATTGTCACCTACACCAACATTCAATGATAACAGCGTCAACATCAACAACACAAACATTAACAACACAAGTAGCAGTATTGGATCCTCGTTACTGACATCACCAACTACAACAATGGATAGCAGTGGAAAGTCATTTGTCAACAGTCCTGCTGCTGCCGGTTTTAATAGCAATACAACAGCTAGTTATCTCAAGAGAAGCAATAATAGCATCCAAAAGGATGAGATTAACTTTATTAATGAACAAGAGAAGTTGATTGGTGGTTCTCCAAAGATTGGAACGGTTCTACAACAACAACAACAACAGGCTGATCAACCAACTATTGAAGAGGAAGAAGAAGATAGACAATCGGATTCATCTAATACTAGTTCCAGTTCAAATAATTTCCAAGATACTCCACCAATGTTCAGAATGGGATCGTCAAGTGGCAAGAGAATCGTTCCATCGACAAACTATGGACTGGTGGGTCTGGCGCTTTCCGGTGGTGGAATTCGTTCGGCAACTTTCAATCTCGGTCTGCTCCAAGCGCTTTCAAAGCATCGATTGTTTCGCAAGGTAGACTATCTGTCTACTGTCAGTGGTGGTGGATTCATTGGTAGTTGTTTGATATCGTTGCTCTCCGAGGGTACACACACCTCCGATTGGAATAACTTCCCGTTTCACTACAGTCGTGGTATGAAAGAGGGAATACCACTCAAGCATCTGCGTAACAGTGCCAACTACTTGGCCAATGGATTGTTTGAATTCCTTCTCTTCCCGGTGTTGATTCTCCGTGGAATCGTCTTGAATCTCATTTCCATATTCCCATTCGTTTGGGGACTTCTGCTGTTCGAGCGTTACGTACCAATCAAGTTTGGAGTGAACTACTATCTCACTCTGAGAATCGCGTGGAATCTACTGATACACATTCTCATATTCCCATTGATCTCCCGACCGAAAGTGACCATTCCTGCAATCATACTGTTCCTCTCGATCTACAGTACCGATCTCTCTGCATTCTTCTCAAAGGCGAACAACTTTGAGATTGCTGCATCGTTGTGTCTTCATCTCTACTTGAATCATCCGTGGCTACTCAGAAAGGAAGATAGTAAAGTATGGTACGATCGTTCATTCGGCTGGTTGTTCATCGTTTTGATATCGCTTGGATTCGTCGAATCACTTCCACTCATCGAGAATGTTTACATCCAATACTTTGGCGGTGAAACATCGTTCCGTGTCTATCCACTCTTTTGTCTGTTTGCTTTGATTCTTGCCGACTCGTTGGCATTCACTCTCCTCACCAACCCAAAGCTGTCGCCAGTGAAACGATTGACATTCCATATCTTTGTATCGATTGTCGGTCCACTTCTCTTGATACTCACCTATCTTGAACTGAGTGTCTGGTTGGATTCGTCGTCGTCGCTCTTTGGTATTGGCAATGGAATTTGTTTCTTTGTTTCACTGCTCTCTTTCTTCACGATGGATATCAATGAAACATCGATGCACAAATACTATCGTGATAGACTGTCCAAGGCGTATATGTTCTCCATCAAGAATGGAAGATTCCGTCCGTACGGTGGTGAAAAGATTAGTCGACTCAATCGCCGTTCCGTCGCACCCTATCTTCTCATCAACACAACACTCAACTACACAACCAACAACGATCCAAACGGAATTCCTGACTCTAGAGGTTCCGATTTCTTCATGTTCAGTCAGCACTTTGTTGGGTCAGAGACTTGTGGTTATCGTTCGACCGAGCAGATGGAGAAGTTGGATCGCCGACTTGACCTTGCAACTGCCGTTTCCATCTCTGGTGCCGCCGTAGGTACAAAGATGGGAACTGCTACCATACCAACACTGGTTCTCTCACTCGGTATTCTTAATATTCGTCTTGGCTATTGGCTACCGAATCCTCTTGGTATCTTCCTCAGTCATCCTTACCTCGGTCGTCTATTCTATGGTGGTTTCGCATGTTATCATCTTGTCAAAGAGTTTGGATGGACTGCAATGACCTCGAAGGACTGGTGTATCAATCTCAGTGATGGTGGACACATCGAAAATCTCGGTGCCTACGAACTCATCAAGAGAAGATGTAAATACGTTATCATCTCTGATGCTGAAGCTGACCCCGATATGACATTCCCAAGGTAAACAACTCAATATCATATAACAACAATTTTCAAATTCCATCTTTAACTAACATTTTTTCATTTATTTATAAAAACAATCTATAGTTTAGCACAACTTATGAGATTAGTTAGAATTGACTTTGGAATCAATATTCAAATCAATTTAGATGATATTCGTAGAGGTGGAAATGGATACAGTCAAAAGCATTGGACAGTTGGTAAAATCATCTATCAAAAGAAAAAGAGGTAAGAGTTGAATTTGATTAATTATCATGTCTAAATGGCAACTAATAATAATAATAATAATTTTAATCCATCATAACTATAGTTATTCTAATCCACAAGATAGTGATACTGAGAATCCACCAAGTGGAGAAGTTGGTTATCTGCTCTATATAAAGTCATCGTTGACAGGTGATGAAGATGAGGTTATCAAAGAGTATCAATCTCAACATCCTTCGTTCCCTCATGAATCGACCACCGACCAGTTCTTTACCGAGTCACAGTTTGAAGCCTATCGTAGTCTTGGATATCACATCGGTGGTAGTTCATTGTTTGGTCCAAAGCACAACCGATTGTTTGATGGCGAGGATGTAGATTCATTCTTTGAGCGTATCTACCAGTCGTGCACAGGTGAACTTCCTAAAGGTTGGCAAGAGAAGCGTGACGATAGCGGTAGTCAATACTTTGTTCAACAGGACATGAAGAAGAAGACATGGTTCGATCCTCGTCTCAGAAAGACATCTGCATCCGGTACTCAAGTTCCACCAGGTGTATCGCAATCTGCCAGTGCTATACCAATTACAACAACCGTAATTCCAACAACAACTTCAATTTCCATTTCTAAAAATCATAATAATAATAACAACAACAATAATATGAATAATATTAATAATGTGAATCTCGATTCAGTTAGTGGTTTTCGTGTTGCCAACAATAATATCAACAATAACAACAATATAATTCATAATAATAATAATAATAATAATATAAATAATGTTAGTCGTACACCAACAACTACAACGATAACAACCACTATCACCAACAACAATGATCATTTGATACCTGCACCCACAACTCTAACTTCAACACTACCACCAACACACTCGAATGGTAATGAAAACGACGATGACAGTGATACTGATGGTAATACCAATGAAGGAGTTATAAGTGGTGGTAAAAATGGTGATATACTCGGAGGTGTATCATTACCACCACAATAACAAAACAAAATGGAAAATAAAAAAGATATATTATCGAATCTACTAAAACAACTAACAAATTTTAATTTAAACCATTATTATCATTATTGATTTTTAAAAAAAAAATTAAATAAAAATGTAAATCTGAAACCAAAGAAGAAAAAAGGTGTTTTTTTCAAGAAAATAAAAATGAAATTAAATAAATCTGTTTGTGTTACAGGGTGTGTTTGTTTTTAATGAATTATTATTGTAATATAATTGTTAAAGTTTTAAACTAAAAAAAAACAAAAATCTTGGGTGTTTTGAAAAAACAAAAAAACAAATTAAAAATTTAATAAAGGATTATGGAATTTCTACCAGGTATTTTGAGAAAAAAGGGGGAGATCGACAATTGACAAAAACAAACCACCTTACACCACACAATTACAAACAATTTAAAATAAAAATGGTGTGTGTTTTAATTGAGGTGGATTTTTATTGAAAAATTAACACATTTGAGAATTGGAATTATCTGTCAACAACTATCAAAATCCTCTATTTAAACAGGCAATTGCCAGATTCCAAAAACATCATTCATTTTAGATTCATTTCATTCACCAAACATTAATTTCTGTTTATTATCTCTATATATAAATAATAACAACTTCACATATATTTTCAAAAACACATATATAACAACTGACACTGAAAACATATTAACACCAGTTCAGTTCACAACAACAACAACATCATTAATCAATTGTTCTTTTACTATTGTATATAAATTAAATTTCATATTCCTTTGTATATATAAAACAATCTATAACTTCAGTAATACTAAATTATTATAACAAATTCTTTTAAATCTTTAACTTATAAACACATAATATATATAATAAATAAAACAAAATGGTTTTAAGTGAGAAAGTAGATAAAAACGCAAGATTAGATCGTCACTCTGGAACTGGTTTGAGAGGATTGCCAAAGAAAGGTATGTTTGTTTATGTTTAACATTTAATTTCTTATTTTTGAATAAATATTAATAAATATCTTTTTTTTTTCTTTTTTCTTCATTTTCTTTTTTTATCATTTTCTTTTTCTATTTTTACAGAGGGATATGGTAAATATGGTTGGGGAAAGGAAGGAGAGATCTACGACGAAGACTTTAAGGATGAAGAAGAACTCAACCGTGAAGCTCAACCAAAGGTTGTTGTAGAGAAGGCCAATAGTCCTAAATAAATAATGTATATAATTGTCAACTCAACCAAAACAAACTATAAATTTCAATAAATTTTGAAACTTTACGTTATATAATAACTATGATTATTAAAAAAAAAAAACAAGAATTGATATTAAATTAGTCACACTCTATTATTATTTTTAATTTATTTAAAAATTTTTTTTTTTTTTTTTTTTCGTCTTTCGTTTTTTAAATTATCCATACCACTCAAAGCTGAGTAATCATAGTTGTTATAAATCATTATTTAATATTTAATATTTTTATAGTAGATTAGTTTAGTTTAGAATAAAGATGAGTAATTCAGATGACTATGAGGATTTCGATGAGTTGGAGTCAGAGAATGAAGATAACTCTACTTTGATGGCTGTCGATAAGTCGGGTGCTGACGTTACCACTACGAAAACTTCCAATGCTGCCAGCGCTGGAGATTCAGAGGTCACCGAAGACACTTGGGAGAGTTATGACGAGGATGATGGACTTCGTGATGAATACGATGCTGATAGCGACAACGAAGATATTATCTCAATCGAAATGAAAGACTACACCGATGAGATGAATGAATTCCAAGAGGAATACATCAAGTTAATGGCTGAAGAGAAGTCATCTGGTAACAAAAACAAAAACATTCAACAACAAGAAGAAGAGGAAGAAGAAGAAAAAGAAGTTGAAAAGAAGACTGTTGAAGTAAAGTCCGCAACAAAGAAAGTAGCACCAAAAACAACAAAAACAACACCAGCAACTCAAACCAAAGTAAATAATAATAATAAAGAAAAGAAGAATAATAATAGTGATAAGAAAAACAATGAAAAGAAGAAGGAATCAACTACCACCACTACTACTACTAAAGCCACCACCACTAAGCAACAACCAAAGAAACAAACAAAGGTTGAAAGTAACAGTGATGACAAAGTTGAGGAAGAAAGTGCAAAGTCAGAGAGTTTCTTTATTGAATCTAAAGGACAAAAGAGAAAGGTAGAGGAAGAGGTTGAGGAAGAGCAATCAGATTCAGAATCAGAACCAGAAGAAGTAACTGAAAAGAAACAAAAGAATAATAATAATAAGAATAAGAATGATAATAAGAAGAATAATAGTAATAATAAAAAGAATAACAATAATAAGAATGATAAGAAAAAGAATGAAAAGATTAAAAGTTTACAAGATGAAAGAAAAGCAAAGAAACACAAAAAGAATGAAGAGAGAAAACAGTTGGCTGAGGATGACAAGAAGCAAGTGATGAACAAGATCATTCATGCCTCTAGAAAGAAGTTGGTCAGAGAGGACACCGAAGATCAGATCAACCAAAAGAAACAAAAGATGGAATCTCTCTTTATTGGTTCATTGAGTGGTGGTAGTGGTAGCGGCTCCGATGACAAATCATCTGCACCACAAAAGAAATTTGTTAAAGGAAATCGTATGGGTAGTAGAGCAAGAAAATTGTTTGTATCAATACTGTTTATTAATTTAATCAAAAACAACCTATTAATTAATTAATTCATTCACTTTATATATATATACATACACATACAGACTTGCACAAAAGATATTTGGAGAACAAGCAAATACAAATTCAAATACACAACAAGAAAAGCCAAGTTCAAATAAACAACAACAACAACAACAACCAAAACCAAAACAACAGCCACAACAATCACCAGTTAAAATCGATAAGAATCTTCATCCATCATGGAAAGCAAAGCTTCAACAGAAAGCACAAACAAATGTATCAATTAATCATTCAACTAAATCAGATGATATAGTATCTTTTGATGATTAAATAATTATTAGAACAACAACAATAAAATCTTAGAAAGATTTTGGTCACAAATAAAACATTAATGACAACCATAAATTTTAAAACAATTAATTTTTTGAACAAAATTTTTTTATTTTTTTTTTTAATTATTTAAATTTAATGATCTTGTATACTTTATAATTATAGATATATATTAATATTGATCTAAGAATTTGAACAAACAGATTTAGATATTGATTGTTTTTTTGTTACTTTTTATATATTTATTTAACAACAACAACAAGATCTAGTAATTCATTTAGTTTACAAATCAATGATTAGTTATCATCATTTATAAATGAAATGAATCAACAACAACCACCACAACAACAACAACAACAACAACCTTTACCTACACAACAACAACAACAACAACAACCACAACAACCTCAGCAACAACCACCTCCACAACAACAGAATATAAAAAGATTATGTATAAAGAAAGAAATAGATGAAGTTGATTCTTTAGAAAATGTAGGTTGACCTTTGGAAAAATGATAATCTAATCATTAAAATGTATTGTAAAAGGTATGAGTATTAACTAGTTGTTATGATAATTTAAATAGAGTTGGAGAGAACAATATGAAAAGATAGAACAATTGATGAGTAATGCCTCAGATAATGATATTTTGTTGGCATTGGTGGAGCGTGTTGGCGAGGGTCCAGAGAGACATGCAGATGTAACTGTTGCACTTCTCTATGGAATATTGGTGCACGCACACAATCATTACTTTAAACAGCTGACACTCATCACCAAAGACGGTCTCATATTTTTTTGTACACAACTGAAAAAGCTGATCAACGACAGGTTCCAAAAACTGGCTGACTTGCCTCGTCAACAAACCCTATGGTTACTATCGGAGCTGATAGCTGCCAATCATCACGACAGTGAACCGATCGCTGCACTCCTGATGCGTCATATCTATGGTGGAAACATCACTCCCAAGAACATCACACTAGCACAATCATTACTAACAACTATCTCTGCCAATAAGTATGTAGTAGTAAAACATAACATAACAAAGCAAAACAATCATACTTATTTACTTACTTTTTTTTTTGTTTAGAAATTGGTTATATAGTAAACCAATGTTTATTCCTACTGCTTTATATACATATTTGAGATTGTTACAGGATCATCTGAAACCGCAGTTCAAGGAGTTGAGAGATCAGGAGGTTTCATTCTGTTTGGATTTGGTGAAGAATAAATTTGCAGAGTCGATTACGATTGGACGTGATTTTGTTAGGATGCTCATGTATTTGGCACCAAAGATTCCAGAGTTTGATCAGTTGTGGCGCGATCTCAATACTAAGCCTGGTCCGTACCACTCGGCAACCTTCAACGACATTTCCAGTATCATGAGGATACCGTCGCCAAAGCATCATCTACAGTTCCGGCTGTCGCCAGAGATGGAAACACAGGTGTTGTTCATCCTGAAGGAAGTCAAGTTTGGCAACCAGAAGCGATATCAACAGTGGTTCGTAACGCGACACCTCCCCAATATAGAGAGCGAATCGTTGATACCCGACTTGATTAGATACATCTGCTGTTGCTACCATCCTCCCAACCATGTGCTGTGCAGTGACATCGTGCCGCGATGGGCTATCATCGGTTGGCTACTCAAGCACTGCAAGGAGCAGTGGCGATCGCAAGCGAAACTAGCGTTGTTCTACGACTGGCTCTACTACGATCCCAAGCACGACTCGATCATGAACATCGAGCCTGCAATGCTCCTGATGGCTTGTTCCATAAAGAAATACTCTGACATGACAGTCGATCTCGTCGAATACATCATACACTATCTACTGGAATCGCACGACCTCCAACGAAAAGATCAAATTAGAAATGGTATAAACACTGCATTCACACAGACCTTGGAGAAAGGTGTTGTTCCGTATGTATTAAATAACGTTTTCAATATCAATATCATTACTTCACTAGTTAGCTAACTGTATTATGTATATATATATAGTTCACTTGCACCTATGTTCTCACTAGATTGTTTAGGTCCACAGTTGTTTGAGAAAGTAAAGGTTTATTATATGCATTTCATATCGAATTCACCTTTGCAACAGTCACAGAGTAATATACCAATACAACAACCGATTCATAAGTTATCGCATTCACAACAGGGTAATATTCAAATGAAGAATGCTGCAGGTCCACAATCTCCACAGTTCTTATCTCAACAACAACAACAACAACAGCCACCACAACCTCATAAATCACCTCTGACAACTTCATCATCAAACTTACCGCATCAACAACAACAGCAACAGCAAGTACCACAGCCACAACCAACTTCAGTTGTACAGCAACCACAACAGCAGTCACAGCCTTCAACACCATGGTCACAACAGCAACAACAAGTAACACCTCCACCACCACAGCAACCACAACAAACAGTTACATCTCCACCTCCACCACCACCTCCACAGCAACCACAACCACAACCAAAGGAGGATCCAATGAAAATAGATACACCTGAGAAAGAAAAGGATATTAAAGAGAGGGAGAAAGATAAGATGGTAGAAGATCAACCACCACCACCATCAAAGGAAGTGGCAACCACTCCATCCACTAGTAAAATGGCAACACCAGTTTTAAAATCAAGCTCTTCTGCTACTACACCGATGGAGAGTAATACACCTGTTCTCTCATCACAACAGCAACCAGCAGCAGCACCACAATCAACAACCGAAACAACAACAACAACACCACCCAACAACAGTCTAAAACGAGATAGAGATCAAAGAGAAAGAGATGAAGCAGAGTCTGCACAACAACAACAACAACAACAGCAACAACAATCAACTCCACAGTTACAAGCTGTAAAAGAAGAAACACAACCACAATCGAATCCAACGACGACGACGACAACAACGACAGCAACAGCTACAACTACAGCAACACCAGCACCAACTCAACAACATACCCCACAGTTACAAGCTCAACAACAATCAACAGTACAATCACTTCCACAACAACAGTCACCGCCACAGCAACAGCCACAGCCTACTTCAACACCGACACCATCCTCTCAAACACCTACATTAGCAGCAGCAGCAGCAACATCAACACCAACACCAAGCACACCGACTGTTCAACCTCAAAATCAAGTAATTCCACCAGTTTCACAACAACAACAACCAACGATAAAGAAAGAAAGTAGTGCACCACAGTTACAACAAGCTTCACCACATCTAGCTGCACCAACTCATTCACCACATCTCTCCAATACACCGAAATCATTGACAAATTCGCAAACACAATTGCCATCTCCTCCACCTGTATTCCACTTGCAACCAGAACCAATAACAAGCAATAACAATGATATTAATAATAACAATAATGCTAAACAAGAGACAACACCTTCAACAACAAATAACAATGAAGATCATGTAATGACTGATGTAAATACAAACAATTCAAATAATAACCATACGAATAATAATAATATAAATAATAATCATCATCAAGAGAATAATGAACATATTATAATAGAGTAAGTATATTTTAAAAAACAATAGTTATTTAATATTAACTTTTTTGTTTTTTAATATTTTTTTTTTTTAGTGAGGAATGTAAAGTAGAAGTACCAGATATATTATTGACATTTGGTAATAGTAAAGCAGATTTCCAACCATTCAATATTCAATCAACTTTAAAGTCAATTCTTGTCAACTATCAAACACATATATCGAAATCAAAAGACAATAAGGAAGCGAATGACGATCTAACAGCTACACTTGCAAGCTATCTACAGAGTACATTGAAACCACAGTTTGAAATAGTATCGCCACTCTCTCTTTTCACATCGTTCCAAATCATTCATATCCTATTCAAAGCTGCATTCCCATCGCCTACCACCTCCAACGATGTCATCTTGAATCTGCTAAAGGAACTCTACAAGTTGGAGCAATCGATTAGTTTGCAACTGGTGATCTGGTCGATTATATTGGCGCCGGGTGGTCTTACCAATAGCACCAACAGCAGTAGCTACTATGTATATCCCGACATCGATAGCACTCTCAACAACATCATCGCTGGCGGTCCAAACACCAGCACCAGCAATTTGGCCGATCACCTCAAAGAAAAAGATAAAGACAAGGACAAAGAAAAAGAGAATACACCCGACAGCAACAGTAACAGTAACAGCAACAACATCGGTAGTAGTATTAACCAACAAGGTAGCAACAGCAACAATAGTATTGCATTCGAAGATGAAGAACGACTAAAGATTGATAAACTCTTGGAATCGATATCCGATACCAATGCACCAAACAAACCGATACTTACACCCTACCAAAAGTTTATCAGTTGTGTTAACAATATTAGCTATGCCAATTTCAATAATCTCAGTAGCGGCAATCTATCGGCGTCGACCTCGACCTCCTCCAATAATCTTGCGAATCTCAGTGTGAACAACGTTGTAGTTCACGAGCATATCATAGCGGATTGCAAGCGTATGCAATATGTAAATATATTCTTTTATATTGTACCGATGTTCTATCGATATCTCTCGAGTTTTACCACTGGGAGCACAGACCTCCTCATGCTCATCATCGAGAACTTGGATCCGAAGCAACAGTACCGTCTGTGTAACAAATTGTCGATGGGTGAATTCCGAATGTTTGGCAACTCACCGATGTCGCTCGTCAGCCATGCCTTCCAGTTGGAGTCGTTCGAGCAGTCGTACGTGTGGCAGCTGTTGGTCGCCGAAGACAACTACCACCACAATCTGATCGTGAAGATCTTCCCGTCGATTCTCGCCAAGATCGATCCGTTCGTGCACAGCGAAGCGCTGCTCTACCTCACCAGCGGTCTCAAGGACACCGAGGTCAACAACAAGACACTCTCTGACCTGTTGACGATGTCGCAATCGTTCCACCCGTTCGCTCTCACCGTCTTTGCCTACTGGCAGCAGAAACAAACGAAACTATTCACATCGACTATCTACGACTTGATAGTGGCAAACATCAACGACCGTCGTTACATTGAGCGAATTCTCTACTTTTACAATCTCTACTTTAAGAAGTTCTTCAGTGCGACCTCAGTGGTTGCGTCGTCGTCTTCGTCATCGTCGTCGTCGTCCGACGATGTCCCGACAAACAAGAGCAGCAACAGCATCAGCAACAAGGAGATTCAACTGGATGCATTACACAACAACGATTTAAATGATCGTATTGTCAGAATATTCAAAACCAACAACAGCTACCAACATAAATTCACCAACCTCTATCAATATTTATTCGCCAATAATCCCCAGTCACTGTCTTCCTCCACCGCTTCAACACCAACCATATCACCTCAATCCTCTTCCAACAATTTAAATTCTCTGAAAAGAATTAAAAAAATAATAAAAATAAACAAAATACTATATATAATAAAAAAAACAATGAATAAACTATCAAATAATTATATTTATTACAAATATGATTAACCTTTAAATTCTCAACAACAAAATATTATTATATTTTGTTAATAATTAATTATCTTTATAGTTTGTAGAGAATATACTTTTATATTTATGAATATTAATTGTTATATATATATAGTTGAATTAATATATTTTATCAATTGAATATAATGTATTAATAAGTATTGTTATTTGTTTGCCCGAAAAAGTAATAAGGAAAATGAAATTAATTTAAAATCTAAAAATCTAAAAAAAAAAAAATTGTTGTTTGATTAACAATGTATAGATATAAATATAGTTAATAGATAGATAATAATAGAATGAATAATAATATAGTTTATAATAATAGTAGTAGTAATAATAATAATAATAGTAAAAAGTATAGTTTTCAATTTAATTTATATATTTTAATTTTAATATGTTGTTTTTTATCAAACTGTGTGGTTGTTGATAGTAGACATTGGAAGAGAGAAGTTACTCTAAGTGAATTCGATGTACAGCCTTTTACTGTAGGTTAGAATATTTGTATATTCTATAACATATATATAAATATATTAATAATGAATGATATTGATATGATGTTTAGCATTTTCTATTCTTGGAGGGTGGAACCCTATCTGTAGCAATAAGATCATTACCACAAGATAGAGTACTTTATTTTACTGTTTGTACAGAGCATGAATGGGCAAATGTAAGTGTTTGTTAATAACAATTAATATTAATAATATTACTAGTTGTATAATATATTATAGTTAATTAATTAAACAACTTATTTTTATTACTACTCATAAACTTAGTTATTTGGATATAAAATGAAGAAACCACCTTGTATGGTTTTTAAAAATGAAACGTATGAAGAGGGTGAAGAAGACGATGGTGATATTTATAGTAGATGTATGGTGGTTTCTAATTTCACTGATGAACTGTCGGTGTTTAGAACGATCGATAGATACGGACGATACTACTTTAACTTGGCAAACTGTCAGGACAACATGCCACCCGTCAATGTGACGTACACAGTGAGCCTGCTGAATCCAAACAACAACCAATTGAGTGCAGAGATGATACCTGCACCTCTTATGTATAATATAATGGCGGTGGTGTGGCTGACCGTTGGCTTTGGATGGCTGGGCGTATGCTACCGCTTCCGACACCACTTTGGAAGGATACACGTGTTACTCACGCTGTTTGTGCTCTTGAAATTCCTGATGTGTCTGTACGATTCCTATATATTCGAGCAGGCAGCATTCAGCAAGCTCGGTGTCATGCCAGAGTTCTTCTATCATCTCTTCAAGATTGTGTTCAACATCTACTTCCAGCTGATACTACTGCTGCTGGCGACTGGCTGGGGTATCACTCAGACTCACTTGAAAGGTGACAAATACAACATATTCGCATTACTCTCTGGACTTGGCGTAACACTTGTACTCTATGAACTATATACCGATGATAGTATATCATTTGTATGTCATCCTTTGTTTTCAATTGAATGATTATCAAAGTAGTTTATTTACTTACTTACATACTTACTAAATTATCCTATCTTTATGTTAATAACAGTTATTTATAGAAATATTTGTATTGTCATTCAAAGTGTTCTTGTTATTCTATGTTTTTGTTGCGATCAATATTAATTCCAAACAATTGGAATATAGAATTCTAAGATATAATCCATCTGAAGAATCGCAGACAACTCTCTCACAAGCAGAGGTTATCATAATGATAAAGAAATATAAAATATTTGTGTATGTATAGATTGATAGATCATAGATAGTTTTAATTAAACTTTTTTGTGGATAAGAAACTAATATTATAATAATATAGGATGTTAAAGTTAATATTATTGTTCTGGGTTGGATTGATAACATTGAAGTTCTTTACTTCACTGTTGTTTTATAGTGGTGTACTGAATACATGGGTGGAGTTGATCAGCTCCGAATTCTTGGATTCAACTTTATTCATTTGTATATCATATAACTATAGACCTAGATTAGAAGATGTCTTTAAAATGATACCTGAAAGACCATGGAATAGTGGTAGTGGAACAGGTTCAAATGCTCAAGCAAATACCAACAACAACAATAATAATAATAATGACAATCAAGATGAACAATCACAACAACAACAACAACAACAAGAGGAAGAGGAAGAAGAAGATCTAGATAATATAGATGAAAGATCAAGTCTAAACAATAGAAGGAATAATAATGATGAATACGGTATCGAAATGCAAACTTTAAATTATTAAAATTAACTTGTTAATAAAAAGATAAAACAAACTTTATTTACAACTGTTTTGATACTCTTCTATTTAATCAAAAAAGGATTGTTCATTTATCTAATCTGATCAGTTAAAATATGATTTATTAAAGTCAGATCATTCATTAATCTCGCAATTGCTGATCATTATTGGCTGGGAAAAACAAACCAATTGGTGTGATTTGACAAAAAAAAACAACAAAAAACAAAATTTCACATTTTTAATAATTTTTTTTTTAAAATAGAAGTGTTTATTTTAATTAAATATAATTCTTTATATTTGACAAAACAAACAATATTCATTATTTTTGAATAATAATTAATAATAGAAATAGAATAGAGAGAAATGAAAAGATTTAAAACAAACTTTAATGGGTATTCAGTAGAGTTTAGTCCTTTTGAAGAACAGAGGTTAGCATGTGCAACATCACAGCATTTCGGTATCATAGGTAATGGTAGACAGTATGTGTTGGATGTGCTGGAGCGTGATATCGTTCCCTATCGTGTATATGATACCAGAGATGGTCTGTACGACTGTACGTGGTCCGAGGAGAACGAGAATCACTTGGCCAGTGCAAGTGGCGACGGTTCTATCAAAATCTGGGATACGATGGCACCCTCTGGTGAACGTCCACTACGGTCGTTCCAGGAGCACACCAAAGAGGTGTACAGCATCGATTGGAACTTGGTCTCAAAGGAGATGTTTGTCAGCGGTAGTTGGGACTTGTCGATCAAGACTTGGTCGCCGCGCGCCGACATGTCGATACGTACATTCAAAGAGCATCGCTACTGTATCTATAGCACCGTGTGGTCACCTAGAAACCCGTATCACTTTGCATCGGTCAGTGGTGATACCTCACTAAAGATCTGGGATCATCGTGACAACCGATCACTCAACACAATCAAAGCACACGACAACGAAGTATTGACTTGCGATTGGAATAAATATAATGAAAAGGAAATCATAACTGGTTCTGTAGATAAAACTATACGTATTTGGGTAAATTTAAAATCATCGATTTGTTGTGGAATCATCATCGTCATCATGATTGTTGAATCACACTACTAACACACTCAAACACTCCTTATAAAAAAAACACAGGATATAAGATTACCAGATAGACCAACAAGTATATTAAGAGGACATAGTTATGCAGTTAGAAGATTAAAGTGTTCACCACATTCAGATGCAATGTTAGCATCTTCATCATAGTATGTAAAAACAAATTGATTGATTGATTGATTGATAGAATGAATAATTAATTATTTATTCTTTCTTTAAAAAACTTTTAGTGATATGTCAGTTATTATTTGGGATAGATCAAGAGAAGATCCAATGTTATTAAAGATGGATCATCATACAGAGTTTGTCGTTGGTTTAGATTGGAATATGTTTATCGATGGTCAAATGGCATCATGTTCATGGGACGAACAGATTTGTGTTTGGAATCTTGGTAGAGTACCACCACAACAACAACAACAATTCCATCACCCATTACCACCACATCATCAAATGCCACCAAGACCATAAAAAATATAAATTTATCAATATATAATAATGGATAATAATCAAATAATAATAAGGATTATTATTTATTATCCTTTTTTTCAAACTAAAAAAAAAACAAAAAACAATTTAAATTAGATTTTGACGAACTAATAATAATAATAATAATAATAATAATAATAATAATAATAATAATAATAATAATTGTATGAACAAAACAAACAAACAATATCATTGTAAAATTAAAAATACATAATACTTTTTTAATTTATTATATATAGGTTTGGAATCGAATGAATGATTGACTAGTAGATTGTTTGATTTCATACAAATAGTTAGTTGTACTATTTTTTTTTGTATGATTAAATTAAATTATTGATTCACCAGTGTTAATACTCTCTTTGATATTAATATAACTGTTTATAGTATTATGATTGCCACTTGTTTCACTTATGTTGATACAAAATGATTTACTGAAACTATGGTCGTTCTTGTTGGTCAATGAGTAACAAGTCTGACAATAGCAACAATCTTTGATTATTTTGATTTGATACCATTGCTTTTGAAATTTCACTGAAATAAAGCTTTCACCCTGTGGAACTGTCGAGCTAATATCGATTGGCTTCATTATTGGATTCTCTTTATTCTTTTCATCGTATGGATAGATTCTAATATCATAGACAGAACCAATATGAATAAAATAATACTTTGCAATGTTTGAATGAATATCTTTATAAGTACAAGCCGAACCCAAAACATTAACACAATGTGATACAACTTGTCCTAATCCATTATATATAATTATAGTATAAACCATAATTTCTAAAAGTGATAATTAATTATCTATATTAACTATTAAAAGTAAAAAAAAATATTTATTTATTATTTTAATAATTTAAAGAAAAGAATATTTATTTATAACCCTTTCATTCATACTCAATTTATTAATAATAATTTTATTATAAATCTACCAATCATATTTTTCAATCTAAAATAATCATTGATTGAATACTGCTCACTATTAATAGCTGTGAGTGTGATCATGATAGATTTATATTTATTTAATTACTAAAGTATACAATTAAACACATATCATAACATAAAAAAACATTACACTTGAAAAATCCACAACTTTATTTGGTATTGCTTTTACACATAATAATACCACATTTGGTAATAATTTTTGAATCATTTTTAAAAACATTAATATGATTAATTTTTTCTTGGTGTTATGAAGTGGTGTCTTTTAAAAAAAAAACAATAAAAAAAAAAAACTAATATTTACATAAAAATTAATCTACTCTATGAGATCAGAGACCGTTTCATTTGCTATTATAAACATTTTATCCTTCTTTACAATAGAGCGCAATGTCGATAATCCAACAATGTCTACCAAATATTGAACAATGTGAACTTTGTTGTTGCTGGAACATAATGCACCTGATAACACATTTAATGGATCCTTTTTACATATATCATTGAAGAATAGGTATAATATGGTAGTGTGGCCACAAGCACCGAGATTCGTAGAGACAATTCGCTGATAGGGACCAGGAATCATCGACTGTCGATCTCTCATGAGATATTTAAACATCTTACAGTTACCATTCTTTGCAATCTCATGCATCACTGCATATTTTATATTTTCGTTGTTACATTCTTCCAAGTCTTCCAGTATACCAAAGTTACCAGACTCTATTGCACCGACTGTCATCATATAGACTCTCAGATCTTTGGTTACAATGGTTTGCAACTCTGGTATCAAATTGTACATCTCGATATCGCCATGCGAAGTGATCCGTTTCAACATTGATATACAAAGATCTTTGATTGCATTGCCATCCTTGAGATTATATCCTCTTCCATGAGTCGTTAGAAACTCCAATAGTTTTCGGTCACCTTTCTCCACTGCCTTCATGTAGGCTTGGTAGCGCGCAAAAGTAAGATCCTCCGCTGGATAATGACTCTCCAGGAATTTGATAATCGAGAGATTTCCAGAGACACAAGCAAGGTTGTAGGTTGCATTGGTTATCGCTATAGGCTGATTATACTCATGTAGTAAAGTCACAATTGAATAGAAACCTTTGTGTACTGCCAACTCCAATGCAATGGGTAGTGACGGTTCCACTATTTCACGGTGTTTGTCCATTAGATATTTGACCATATCAAATGATCCACCACCAGCAGCAAATACCAATTGTTTTGAATTTATTGAACAATGATGATCATGTACTAGGTAATCGAACACTGCTATCTGACCGTTTGAAGCTGCTTCATCGACCGCTCTGCTTGTTAAATACTCTTGAATATTCGTGATATTTCTTTCTTTCATCAATCCATCAATATACTTTAGAATATCGAGATGACCGTTTCTAGCAACCATCTCAATGACAGATCCATTGACAATTTCATTGAAATTGGTTTGTGGTAGAGTCAACAAATGCTTAAAAATATCGATATGTCCATGATAGGCCGCATTTATCATACTCTGATTGCAATAAGGATATCCTTTTGAGAGAAGTAGCAAAACCAACTCCAATTTACCATTTATACAAGCATTGTCGATATAAGAAGTGTTTTGACTGATCAATTTCTGTAGATTATCGACCATATATCTTACAATTTCCAAATTACCGTTCCAACATGCAATCTCAAGTACACCACTCAAATTCGTTTTATTCATATCGTATTGTTCCACCAACAGTTTGAATATCTCCAGATTACCTTTGGTCGCCGCTGTATCCAACAGATTCGACTGACAAGCATCCATTATCTTTGTTTCTTTTTCAAGGTAGCGAAGAAACTCTAATTGTTCGGCTGAGATTGCATTGCTAATGATCAACCAATGGAAATAATCAAATCTCCATTTTTTAATTCTTAGATAGGATTTGTACTTCTTCATAATACCTTTCTTTCTTCCGTAGAGTGTTTTAAACCATTGGATGCTACCACTGGTTGCAAGAAAAGCCAATGCATCCATTGAGAATCCTTCTGTGCGATTCTCCAAGAGGTATTCGACCACTTGCATGTGGTTACCTTTACAGGCATTATCTATCGCATTGACCGAACAACCATATCCAGCATCACTGAGGAATTTCACAACCTCCAAATGCCCATTCTCCGCTGCCAGATCTAACGCACAGTTGTATCTACACGCCCTTAAAGGCTGGTCAGCTTCATGCAATAGCTTAACAACATCAATGAATCCACCGGATGCTGACTTCTCCAGTGCACGATTAGTGAACGGCATCGATCTCCTCAGTAGCCATTGTACGAGCTCTAAACGACCTGATTCAGCTGCCGAATCAACAGCCCAATATTCATCGCTCCATATCGTTAGGTATCGTTGATAACAGTGATCTATCAGCGATAGTTCAACATTGGTATCGGAACACATTAGTTTTATAGCCTGAAGAGTCGGCTTTGAAAGTGTATCCATTCCGAAATTAAATTTATCTCTTAGCAAACCATAATATTTATTCTTTACAATCCAATCGACTCTATCGATTTCCGAGTAACCATAGACTCTACAGTCAACTACTAGTGAATCTATATATTTTATAGAGTCAACAACTTTATTCCATATAAATTTATTTTTTAATATTTGATACATAATTAAGTTCAAGAAAATGAATCATGAATTAATAAGTGATCATATCAACCTATTGAAAATTTGAACTGATTAAATTAAAAAAAATCAGAAATAAATTAAAAGATATTAAAAATCGGTGAACAAATTTTTTTGAATAAGATTTGGCTCAAAACTATTCAAAGAATTATGTAAATCTATGAATTATGTATTAAAACTTTTTATCAATAAAAGACGTCGTATATTTTAGATCTAGATAAAAATTCATTTCTTTTATGATACAGACACAGCTTTTACTAAGAAAATCAGATTTTACTAAAGTAGAACAGCGTTGCTTTAATCAAAAAACTAAAACCTAGCGGATTTGACTGAACATGAAAGATATTTGTAAAGTAGTTCAATCCATTGATGAAACCAAACATTTAGATTCTTATCTGTTCGTGCAAATATAATATGACTTAAAAAGAAAATATCAATTTTAAAAAGTCTAAACCTATTCTTATATAAAAAGTCTAAAAATGAATTAAAAACAATATATTTAGCTGGTAAAAGGTTGTTGTTTTCTTTTAATTTGAGGAATGACTTGGTTACATGAATAAATTAAAAAATTAATAAAAAAAAATGAAATGAAATGACACAAAAAAGATATTTAATTTAATTTATTTTTTAACCCTAACTTTATATTATAAACAAAAACAGTATTTATCTAAGTCATTGGATAATTTTATTATTTATTATTTATTAATTATTGGTTAAATAAATTTTATATTATTATTTTATAAAAAGCATTAGTGGTACCAACGAAACCATGTCTATGCCAATTGAATCACCTTTAAAATTGTATATGACAAGATTCGACTTGCCACAGTCAAAGAGAATACAATTTGAAACTACCATTAGAACTCAAACAGTACAATCCAATCAACTACTAGCAGAAGCATCACTAAAGCGAAATGAACTGATCATTGTCATCGAGAAGAGTCCTGCTGCCTCTGTTATCAAAGCAATCGAGAAGTATCTACCCGATTTATATTCATTCATATTAAGTATGCTTTTAAACTAATAATCAAATATTAAATAATAATAATTATAATAATAATTATAATAATAATATAACTAATCTATTTATATATATTTAATGATAGCAATTGAAAACAATCCAAATATTAGATTAAATGAACATATGTGTTTTGATTGGACAAGCTTTGCATGCACTAAAACATTCTACGCTGCCTATTCACTTAGAAATGAATTGGTCATGGTATTGATGCTCTATGGAATGGCTCACTTTAATAGAGTAGCAGAGATCAACGATACACTAAACGAAGAAAACTTTGATGAGAATATAAAACTGATGGCTAATCACCTAAAGATTGCTGCTGGGATCTTTGAATTTGTTAATCGTGTTGAACTACCAAGGTAAGCTATCTATCTAACCAACTATTCTAATCCAATCGATTAGAAGAAAAAAACAAAAAGTAAAAAGCAATATTTAACTTTAACTTATTAATTTTTACTTTAATAAATATTAACAATCGATATGTAGATGGGCGAAATCAGCAGATGAATTACATTTGGAATGTTCGTCAAATGTTTCGTTGGGAATGTCGTTGCTGTGTGTATCACTAGGCAATTCACTGACGGTTAGAAAGGCATTGCGATCGAATACCAGTCATTCTCTGGTTGCCAAGATCTCCTGTGAGGCGTGGCACAAAGCAGAGATGGCCAAGAACACACTGAAGGATCTATCACACAACTTCAAGAGACTACCCAAACCATTTAGAAACTATCTATCGTCCTACACTTCACTACAACACTCTGTAACCATGATGGAAATGGCAAGAGCTGCCATCGATACCAAACAAATCAGTATGGCACTTACCTACTTTCAAGAATCTATAAATATCATTTCAAAGCTGAAGAAACCCGTAAGTAAACTATTATCTATATATATAGTTGTAATGAAAAACTCCACTAACTCTATATAAATGGATATTTAGAGCGATACAAAACAATTGGAGATACTGAATAGTTTAACAAATGAAATCAACCATGAGAATCAATCATTGGTTAAACAGAATGAGGTTATCTATTTCGAGAAAAAGGTTGATCCTAAAACACTTGTAAGTGATTTTTATATTACTATCTTTGACTATTCGAATTTCTAACAATCTATATACACAATATTCAACAGGTACAACCAGAACCAAAAGAATTTATTCAACCAATTCATTTCCAACCACCAAAACCAACATTCACATCTATTAACTAAGCTATTTAACTAAGAATTATTCTTCATTATTAAAATATTATTTATAAATATTTATATTAAAAATAAACAAAATTATTTAATCGATTATTTAACATTGATAAGGGTTGCTTTCGATTTGTCGATTGATAATGAAAAAACGAAAAACGAATGAACAATTTAAATTGTTTTTTCAACAACAAAAAATGAATAATGCTATTACATTATATAAAAGAGCATTTAAACCTATTTATTTTAATTCAAACAAACAAGATTCACTATGTAATATAATATATAATCATTTTAATCAAAAGATATCGGTAGACTATATACGATCGGTTATTGATCTCGGTGCTGTTTATCATCGTGGTCCACTCAATAGCTTTCCATCGTTAAAGAATGTACCGCTACCTCGACGTGTTTTCAACTACGAAGAGACAATAGAAGCTGACTCCCTCGTAAAGATATTCTTTTATCCAAGACACTATAGTACCGATCATATAGATCTTCAACGATTGGTTGTCTATGAAAACGATCAGTTTATGGTCATCGATAAACCACATGGTGTATCGATTGGACCGGTCATCGATAACTATCATAACAACATCAATCATCTCATAAAGACGTCGAGACCTTCCGAATTGACAACCATCTACAACCCACATCGACTTGATTTTCAAACACGTGGATTATGTGTTTTAGTTAAAGATAGTGATTATATAAGTCAATTTAATCTACTACTTAGAAATAGAGATAATATATCGAAAAAATATAGAGTTTGTATAGATAATAATCCTAAGTAAACGATGTTTGTATACTAACTTTTTAGAAACGTCATTAATTTTTTAGGCATTTTATAAACAAGTTGATAATTTACAAGAAGATAAAGATGATATTATTGAACCTGGATTGTATACACACTATATGAGACCAACAAAATCAACATTTAAGGAGATGTCACATTCAAAGATTGACAGTTGGCATGAATGTATATTACGTGTATTGAATGGTGGAAAGTGTAATGTCGATCTACCTATATCAGATGATGAACATTCTTATTTAAATATAGATCTAATCAACTCTGATAATAATACCAATAATAATAATAGTTATATAGACACAATTGGAAAAGGAAATAGTAGAAAGAGAATGAATAATGTAAATTTAAATTATGTAGATATCGAATTGATCACTGGTAGAACTCATCAGATCAGAGCACAACTCACAGCAATTGGGAAACCATTGATTGGTGATAAAATGTATGGTGGTATTCCAATTCAACAACTTGCAAACCCTTTATTCTCATCAAGTGATCAACCATATCCATACCGGTCATCCAAACATTCTTCAATCATTGGATTAGTATCTTATGAACTTTCATTTAAATGTCCGAAAACTGGAAAAGATTATTTCTTTTCATTAGATAAAAATAATAATAATAATAAATATAATTTGTAAATAAATAAATAATTTAATTTAAAGGAAAAATAACTTTAAATTTATTTGAACACGATATGTATTTCTTAATAACTTTTGGAGAAAATATTTTAATATAATAGGATAACTAACTATTTAATTATCAAATTGAACAGAAAGAATATCTAATAAACTAAGAAAAGTAAATTAGAAACATTTCCTTTAAAATAACTAAATATTTGGTTATTTTATTACTAATGCTTACATCAGATATTTTTATCATAATTTTGTTTATCTTAATAAACAACCAGACTCTTGACGTATAGAGACTCCAATGGATGAGGTAGATAAAATTGAATTCATACTCTTTGAATTGATGGGAGGAGTGTACAACAATGGATCATATTGTTTCTTGTATGGTTTTTTACCAAAGAACAAAGCATCGTTCTTTGAATCTTTTAAAAGGTTACTAAACACCAAGAATTCCATTTTTAAATATAATAATAATATATAAATAAAAAGATGGATTGAATATAAAATTTAAAATGATAAATATATAAACAATTTAAAAAGTAGTATTTGTTTTATTAAATTTAAATAAAAGTTATTTATTATTTGTAGATACATAAGTTTTTACAGTGATTAGATTAATTAAAATGATAGCTCTCGAGAAAACATATTTATAGTAGACAAAAAGTATAAAAGTCTTCAACAAGATCATCCAAAAGAAGAAAGATCAAGTCCCACCAGGATCAATCATCATAAAAGATGAAACAAAGAAGGGCGCATCCAACATCCATCTTCGGAAAACTCAGCGAATTCGATGTGATTTCGAAGTAATTAATAGCATGAGAGAATAAAATGAAAGTGTGAAAACTTTCACGTTTTCCCAACACTTTTTACATATTGACCAACATAAATCACTATTTTTGGATGAATTCAATACCAAAATTTTTTGATCAAATCTTGTCATTTTTGTTTAAAACGATCAAATAAAATAAACAAATAAAAGAGATTAATTAAACAAATAAACATATCATTTTCAAGCCCACAAATGATAATAGATATTAAGATAAACTATCTAACTATTTGAATGTTTTTCATTGATTCCTTCACATTTTTTAAATATATATAAACAAAAATATTATTATTTTTTTAAAAAAAATTTTGTTTATCTTTAAATTAAATTAAAATAATGTCTAAAATATTTAAAATAATGAGAAATAAACAATAATTAATATCTATAAATTTTATTAGTTGTTCTCTATTCTTTCTGACAAAAAAATTTGATAACGTTTAAAAAATAATAAAAATTAAAAAAAATGAAAATTTTCACAATTAAAATTGAGAAAAAATGGAGAGTCGTGGTAAGAGCGTGTGTGCATGTCTTATACAAATCAGCTCTCAATCAAGTTCTTTCCTTTTTTTCCTATCTATCAAATAAGATCACATAGAGACCTAAAATGAACTCATCAATCCAAATTTCAAAGAAGAGAAAGGTAGATATCTAGAATAAAGGATAGTAGTAATAGTGGATAATAGTTGTTAATTGATCTCTTTTTCTATTTTAGTTTGTCGCCGATGGTGTTTTCCACGCTGAATTGAACGAATTGTTCACTCGTGAGTTCAACAAAGACGAGGGTTACTCCGGAGTTGAATTGAAGACTGGTCCAGCCTCCACTGAGATCATCATCCGTGCCTCCAAGACCCAAGCTATCGTCGGTCAAAACGCCCGTCGTATCCACGAGCTCTGCTCCTTGGTCCAAAAGCGTTTCGGTTTCGCCGAAGGTACTGTTACCTTGTACGCCGAGAAGGTCCAAAACCGTGGTCTCTGTGCTATTGCTCAAGCTGACTCATTGAAGGGTAAATTGTTGCTCGGTTTGCCAGTCCGTCGTGCTTGTTACGCCATCGTCCACCAAATCATGACCAAGGGTGCCAAGGGTTGTGAAGTCATCGTCTCTGGTAAATTGAGAGCTCAACGTGCTAAGGCCATGAAGTTCACCGACGGTTACATGATCAAGTCTGGTCAACCATCCCAAAACATGGTCGATTTCGCCTGTTGCCACGTTCTCTTGCGTCAAGGTACCCTTGGTGTCAAGGTTGCCATCATGTTGCCATACGACCCAACCGGAAAGAACGGTGTCCAAACTCCACAACCAGATATCGTTGTCATCAAGGATCCAGTTGCTTAAATAAATTGTTATTGATCAACTATAAATCTTTTTTTTTTTTTTTTCCTAAACAAAAACAATCAAATTTGTATCTTTTATTTCTCTAAAAACACATCACCTGCGAATATCAAAAAGAGTATGAATATACATAATCTCAAATCAGAAAAATAGATTTATAAATACAATAGCAGTGTTAAAATAAATACAAAGTTAAATACAAGTAAAATCAAAAAAGTTATACATTAATATAATATTAATTTATAAGGGTGATGGAGCAGTGTTCAAAATAGTGTAAATAGTATGAAACAAATGTGACCATCTATCATTACATCTTTATAAATAGCATCTATGCACCAATAAATGACCAGACTAATAAATAGATGTCTAATAGAACTTTGCATTTAGATGATATCATAATTGAGGTTGGTGACAAACTGCATTGAATAATAATAATCTTAAAATTCTTGAAAACACAAAAAATAAAATAAAATTAAAATTAAAAATTAATTGTTTTAATATCTTTAATTTTCGTCTCATAATTACACTGAAATTTTTGTTGTAAAACGATGGGGGATAACCATTTTTAAAAGATTTTTTCAGTAACTAAATATCATGATGTGTTTTTTGCACAAATTTTATCCAAGTTTATGGTGTGGGGGTTTGTTTTTTTCATGCTAATCTGAAAAACTCTTTATCACCAATTTGTTTATCAACAACTTTTCCTTTAATTTTGCAAAGTTGATATTTAAAAAAAAATTTTTTTTAAAAACAAAAACAAACAAACTTTCAATTAAAAAAAAAAGAAAAAGTAGTAATAACTTTTTATTCATTGTAATATTATAAATAAATAATAAAGAATAGATATATATAATGCCAGCAACACATTCATTTCCACCATATACCTATGAGATTAGTGTAGAGGAATACATTGAAGTATACTATCGTAGATTCCCTCAACACAAGTTGTTCCCCTACATTCTAGATTCAGAGGTAATCGAGCACCGTCACAACGAAGATGGAACAGAGACTATTATTAGAAAAACTAAATTAGATATTGATGCTCCTGGTTGGTTTAAAACTGTAATGTATTAACTAGTTCTAAAAGAAGTTAGTTTTTTTTTTTTAATCCTATTTACTTACATACTTTTTAAATGACTATATAGTTGTTTGGTATTCATCATTCTATATTCATTGAAGAGGCAACCATCGATAAAGTAAATAGAACCGTTACAATCAAGACAATCAACGAAACACTTTCTTCCAAGGCCAATCTATTAGATACCACCATATACAGTGTACATCCAGAGAATCCAAATTGGTGTACTTTTACCCAGACCGGTAGTGTCACTCTCTTGGTTTCAGTGTTGGGTTTCCAAAAGAAGATTGAAAAGTATTGTTTGAATTTATATACATCTAGATATAATGAGGTAAGTAACAACATTAGCAATTATTTCAATTAATTGATAAAACAATGTTTATTTATTAATGAATATTATTATTAAAACAATAACAATTATAGTCAAGAGAATTGGATAAGAAAATGATTGAAGAATACAGACAGGAGAAATTAAACAATCAAAATCCAGAGTAAGTTATCGATATCAACGTGTATTGTTTTTAAAACATTAGTAGTTGTATTAACTTGATTGTTGTTTTAGTAGAGTGGTTGTTGACTCTAATGCAACACAGACAGCAACAACAGCCAACTCATCAAGTGGTGAACAATTGATGATGGCACAATAAACCAGATTAGTAATTGTAAACATTTAATCGTTTCATTCATTCATTCATTCATTTATTACAACATTATCAAATAGCTTTGACAGATCACTATTCTTATCAATAGATGTTTTAAAATGTATAGGTTGTAAAATCTAAATAGTAGATTTAAGAGTTATATTAGTCTATTGACATTAGCTAGCGAGTAAGTGATAGTTGTTTTACATACACTAGATTTAGATTGTATTGATTTAGAGCTGGCAAGTATAATGAGTCTTTTAAGGATGGTCTCAATTACACCCGCCAGATATCTTGATATATCTCTTGAGATTGTCTTGCCAAGTTGGCCTGATGCTTCGAGCTGGTGTCTGATGAAACAGTGTCTGACTATCAATGTTGTTCTGTCTGCCGTTAGATTGTATTCTCCTTTTTCGAAAGCGTCACTCGACAGTTTTTTACCAATGATCACCTTCTTTAGTACTGATTTCAATTCCACCAATTTCAGAGTTTTAGCGTTCAGTTCAAGCATTCTTGATTGACACAATCCAATTACCTTGTTGATGAGATCTCTAATAAGGGTTGTCAGCAACTCTTTTGAGCTCATAGAGATGCGAATCACTTTTTTATTGTCATCACCACCATCCTCTTCACTTTCTGACTCTGAAACCGATCTTGCAAGATTCCTGATAAAATCTTGAAGTCGTCGGTATGTTCTCTTCTTTGGTTGTCTCGAGTTGTTGCTTGGTTTAATTACAATAGGTGATCGTGCCATGATGAAAGGATCTAATGAATACATTATTTGACTGCAATCAAAATAAAAAAATAAAAATTTAAAAACAATTTTTTTCAATTTTAAAATTCCAAGAAAATAATAAAATCCATAGCAAATGTTTAAATCAAAAAAGAAACTATTTTAAGAGTTCACCAAACATTTTACTGATACCATTTACTAATAAATTTAAATATGAACATATAAATAGCAGTTTGCAATAGAATAGTTGTTACTTATAATATATTCAACAAAACTAGGACAACACACACTTCTCACTGTAGAGCAGAACATTTGTTAAAGGTGGAGAAATTGGAAAAGAATCCAAAAGCTTCCAATCTCCCGATATAATCAAAATAAAATAGTTTGGAGAGGATAGTTAATGTTACAAATTACCTGCTGAGTAAAAGGAGATATCTTGATTTCTATTATTTTATTGTAACAGTTAATGGGAGATTCCTATCGATTTGGTTAATAATGTGCCAGAATTAGAATGATTTGTTTAGGATAAAAAGAAATTTGAGATAACGAATCGGAACAAAATATTTAAGAAATTTCATCAACACAAGCGCATGTGGTCTAGTGGTAGAATTGAACGTTGCCATCGTTTAGGCCCGAGTTCGATTCTCGGCATGCGCACATTTTAAATATCAATTCCCCGGAAGCGGGGATAAAACAAAAAAAAAAAAATTAAATAATAAAATTAAATTAAGAAGGTGTTTATATTTTCCGACTTGAAAAGAGCTAAATTAATCGATGCCAATTACAAAGCTTAACTTCACGATCGCTTATTCTATCTCCCAAGGAGTCACTGTCGATTGCTTTGCAATAACGCGTAAATTTAAATCTGATTGGAATCAATCCTTCCAACTACGTGCCACCACTTTATACTGTTGTTCATCAACACGCAACTACTGTTAGATCTATTCTATCCTAATACACTCAACTTATTAATTAATAATAACTATAACAATAATAATAATAATAACATTTTATTGGCTATATTTCTCACGGCCTGTGTGAGAATGTAAATATAACATAAAACACGAACTAGCAGGTTAATATCAATACCTGCAATTTGTTGACTGATCATGAGTCAACAAATTTTTTTTTGCAAAAAAAAAAATAAAAATAACTAATTCTATCTCCTAAGGAATCACTGTCGATTGCTCTTTTGAATCGAGCTAGGTACCTTCAAGATCTTGGACCCCATGAAGTTGACACCGACAGTAACTAGCAGTCTTATCATAGGTGAACACCGAGTGGTTTACACACGTACCCGCTTAGAACTCTAAGTGGCTTAATTACTCCGTCTGCCAAACCATATCAAAGGGAACATCATCCCTTACTCAAAAATGATGGCCACCTCAGCCGGCCTGTGGGCCCTGCTCCAACAATAAATAAACACGAACTGTAGGGTAATATCAAGCTTGATATTAACACCTTGACTATCAGAAATGGTAGTACAAGGATAATTAAAAAAAAACAGTGTAATAGTTAGCAATTACTTCACTAAATTTATTTAGCATTAGATTAGTTATAAAACATATTTTTTGTTTGTATTTTTCTATATCTTAGTCAACACCATACAATACAGATACTCTTTGATTTTTTTGTAAAGTAGTAAAACCCGAGGTATTATACCTCTTAGGATAGTACTCTTTATCAAAAGGTTGATTGAGAGATATGTAGAAAAGGTCTAGATTAGATATTAATAAATCAGATATAACTTTATTTATTATCTTTCTCAACTCTTCCCATTGACGTCTCAGTGCAGCATGATCACTTTCATTAAAGTTACCACTATCTTCCTCTTTGTTGATGAAAAACATGCGGATAGATTCAATTAGTTGATATGTTAGATCTTTTGTTAATTTTATTACTTCACCAGGATGGTGTTTCCATTGGTCAATTGAATCGTATTGGATTAGCTAATCCACCTATATGTCGATTGTTCAACAAATGAGATGGTGTCCCTGTTGGTGGATTAGACTGTAATTGGTGTAGTGGATTTTGGAAAAAATTGGTTGGTGTAAATTGCATAATATTAGCAAACAACCTATTAATAACTATTGGTTTTGTTCTACTATTTCTCATCTCATTATTGTTATTTGAGATCAGATCATCAGCAGCCAACATTGTGTCTGCTAGAGATATTAAGTTATTCATTGTGTAATTTAGACTTTTGAATATTTTATCTATTTTTAAAAAACATATCATTAACGATTTCAATTAAATAAAATTTTAATTTAAATTAAAATTTTTAACCAAAAATGTCTAGTTTAATAAAATGAGTGTCATTCTTAAAGGATAGCATTGTTTGAATTTTTTTTAATCTTTCAGCTCGCTCGGTAACAAGTAGAACTGTACGATGATACTAAGCGTGCTTTCATTCAACTGCCACAAACTACACACAACCGTCTTCATTAATCGCAAAAACTATCCAGATCCACAAGCAACCATTGCTTAAGCTGTTAACTAGTTTTAACCAATCCAGAATCTTCTTTCACGGTTTCTCGCTCCTTATTTTTAAAGATTGATTATCTTTCTGAAAATAGTTTTTAATCATTTTATTAAATATTTGCTTTAATATTTAAAATAGTTTTTTTTTTTACCTAATTGTTTTTGCACAAAAACTTGGGTCACATTATTTTTATTTATTCATTCATACATAACCTAATTTAATAGTTAGATTTTAACATTTTTTTGTTTTTTAGATAATAGTTAGTTGTTGTTTATTTGTTAAAACTATGTCTAATTTAGAAGAACGTATTAAATTATTGATAATAGGAAGAAGTCATAGTGGAAAAAGATCGATTGCTATGAGATTCTATAATGATTATTGGACTGACGATCCAGGTTGGAATGGAAAATCATCATTTTACAGTAAGAAGATTAAACTATTAAATTATGATTTGGAAGATGAAGATGAAGATCAGAAACAACAACAGCAACTACAACAAGAGTTTGAAGTATTGATGTATATGTTTATACGTCTATCACCTTACTATGGATTTAGCTTTTTTGAACTATCGAATTTGGATGGTGTAATGATGATGTATAATCCCACACAACCCGATACCATAGATATGATGATCGATTTATATGAGAGACTAATTAGAGATTTAGAATATCATAGAAGTAATAATAGTAACAACGATAATAATAATAATAGTAGCAATGATAGTAATAATAAATTAAAAAGAGTAATTCCAAATAATGATTTGATCATTTTTTTTGTTGTTGCAACATTTTCAGATCTTATCAATAAAAATAATCATCAAAGTGTAGTAGAGAACTATAACAGAGTTGAACAATGGAGATTGAAAACCGGTATTAAACAACATATTATAACATCGGCAAAGGAAAACTTAAATGCTAAAACACTATTCTACAATATGGCATTAGAAGTGATCAACATTAAATCAAACAAAAAACTACTTATCAACAAAACAAAACCACCTACAAATCAAATATTAATTACAAATGAAAAGGTTTCAACTTCCTATTGCAATATTATTTAAATAAAATATCAATTGTAAAAAACAACTTTAATGATCATTTTTCAAGGATGTATCGATAGTGTTTATAATTTGAAAGATAAAGATTGCGAACAACACAGAAATAAATAATAATAAGATATTATGAGCTTAGTACCAGATGGTGTCGATTCGCAACAACTTCATGTTTGAAGGTCTTCAAATACTGAAGGTATGTAATGTTTGCGAATCTTATAAATTTAGATATTGTTATTTTATGGATGAAAAAGTTGATGAGAATTCGAATGATAGTGTTTTTTAAAAAGAAAAAATGAAGAAGAGGAAATATTGGTTTGTTGACTTATGTTTGATAACTAGTTATTAAGTTTGGACTTTATGTTAGTGATACTGTTATTAATTATTAATTTCATAACTGATAGGGGTTGTATAAATTCATTCTAGATTGATTCTTTGATAGTAGGTTGTTTCTTAGAGGAGAAATGCCAAATATGATTTAAAATAGAATATCCATATTTGATGAAATACTATAAAGTAGAGAAGCAAAGATTGCTAATTGTGTTTCACATACACTTATTGTCAGACAGTATCAATTTAAGTATGTATATTATTACTGGGTTATTACATTAATATAGTTTATTAAGTAGAATAGTATCTGAATACAAGGTATTTGGATAGAATAGATCTAGCAGTAGATGAGTGTTGGTGAACGACAGTGTAAAGTGGTGGCAATTTGATTCTAATCAGTTTTAAATTTAAGCTTCTTGGTATAGTGTTATAAAAAAATTTACATAATTCATCTATTCCCAAAATACTAATCTTTACAGTTTTGGGAATTTGAAAAAAAAGAAATCGCAGCCATGTGTCTAGACTTCAGTGTTACCAGATACCTTTGGATTTCAGTTACTTGAATGAGATTAAGAACAGTTATAAGTCAAGTAAGGATGAGCTTTTGGTAGATGAAAAGAATTTTAAAGAAGTAATAACGGAAGCTCATGGAAGTACTTACTGTGGTCATGGAGATACTTTAAGAACGTGGGTTAGGTTGAAGTCGAATTACTATACTCGAAATCTATATGACAAGGTGAAGGATTACTGTGAGCATTGCGTGGAATGTCAACAGAATCGAGTGGAATTGAAGAGGAAGGTTAACATACAACCGTTGGAGATAGCAGAAGGAGTTGCTGTGGATATTTCGATGGATTTCATGGAGTTACCAAAGAGCGTTAATGGTTATGATTATGTTTTGGTAGTGGTGGATCCATTTTCGAAATATACAACTATCATTCCAACTACAAAGGAAATCACAGCATTGGGTACAGCAAAGTTAATTCATCAACATGTTTGGATTGCCGCTATCAATTGTAAGCGATCGTATTATTTAATTCACGATCAATTCTACTTATATTTCAACAATCAAACTATCACCTTTCGAAGTAGGATGGGATTCATTCCTGTATCGCCAATTAAAATGTTTAGAAACAATAATTTATCGAATAGAGAATTGATCAGAGAGATGGTCAAAGACAGTTTGTTGTAAAAACAATTAGATATGTTGGAAGCAGATGGAATCATCAAGAATAAACCAACTTGTCAGATTGGAGATTGGATGTTTGTTAAAGATGAGTTTATCAATTTGGAAGTTGGTTGGAACACAAACACAGGATCAATTAATAATAAGAATCATGGACCATTCAAGATTTTAAAGATTTTTAAAAATGATATCCACGTAGAACTAGAATTGGATTTCACCACAAATCGACACAAATTTTCAATATTAATCAATGGGGTACAGTTCAAGTTAAACAAAGATAACGAATTATTAGTTAAAGGTGTAGAACCAGATATCATTGACAATGAAGAAGAGTTTGAAATAGAACAAATCATAGGAGATCGAATGTACAGAAGGAAGAAGCAGTATCTTGGTTATCCTTTAGACAAAGCTACATGGCAATACTCAAAGAACATGGATCATGCTAAAGATCTTATTAAAGAATATGAAACAACAAGAAACAACAAATCCAATCAAAGAAGAAGAAGAAGTAAATCCTTAAGTAGAGCAGAGTGTTAAATAGAACACTTTAATATATAAAATAATCAAATTAAATATATATTTATCAAAACCAAATAAACATCATTGTTATATTTTATCATTTAGCATTACTTATAGTATTAAATTAATTATTCTTTAGTTATTATATTATAGAACATTTTTTATTGTTAATCACCCCTTTTCATATAGAGCAATCGACGTTGACTCCTTAGGAAATAGAGTTATGAAGACGTATATATTTATGTGTGCTTAGAGAGCGTGTAACTTTGGACTTTTACTGCTGAATAAAAAGTCCGCATGCGGACTTCACAAATTTAAGATTATTCGACCAATGAGGGGCTCGAACCCGCGACCTACAGCTTAGAAGGCTGTCGCTCTTCCAACTGAGCTAATCGGCCTTGATGAAGATGAAATATTTTAATTAATTTTATGACAATACAACACCAACCACAACAATACCTCGGTATGCGCGAACACCAAACAACTACTCAAAAACATTCTTGACAAATTCTACCTCTTCCAAAATAAACCAAACCAAATGTATCCATCTTAATTGGTAAAGTCCAAAACAAACCTCATTCCATACCCAATCTCCTCAGAACCAGAAAGATACCTTGGCATCCACTTCAGCGACAACGGCCTAGTGTCTAAAACAGATCAGCTCAATTCCATCAGATTCCTTTTGTTCACATAGAAAAACAAAATCAGCACGCTAAGAAGCAAGGTCACCGTCCTCAAATCCTACATCTTATCGAAACTAAACTTCCACCTTTATATAGACAACTTCACGCCACAAAACAACACCACGCTCCAATCACTCACAAACTGGTTCATCTTCTCCACAAACAACAATCTAGATAAAGATACAAATTACAAAAACCGGATGCGAATCGAAAGAGCTTCTCAGCAAGGAAGAAGGAGGCATTGGCCTTTGGAACATGTCGGTACGAGAACTCGGCCAAAAAGCATGGGTTTATAACCACTTCCTCTCAATCAAAGACAACTCCAACCACGACATGCTCAACTTCTGGCGAAACTACCTCACTGGGCACATGACACCATCCCCCTTGTTCACCAAATGCCAAAACGCTTGGAAAAAGCTAGCTAGCGAGAATGGACACAACCCCCACCTCAACCAACCAATCACAGAATCACCCAACACAATAATCCCACTCAAAACTATATATAGAACATTCATACGAATGAACTCTAACAAAAAACCAACCCCAACCACAAAACGACAGGAAATCCTCATAAGCAAAGGATTCTCCCTTCCGGACACCTTCACCACCATAGCCAAGATCAAAGACCAAAAAGGGCGAGACACTCTCTTCAAACTCTTAGCTAGATGTCTACCGCTCTCAAAGATCGACCTCACCTTCTGCATGCACTGCTTACCATACATATTCTCGGTCCTTCCACCGATCGCCGAGCACCACCACTTCAAGTGCATAATACTCAACACCTACAAGCCTACCATAAAAAGGATCATATACAAATTCATAGGGGAAACTCTCGACTGGGAGCTGGACATCCTCAAGATGACAAGCAAAAACGAGCTACACCGAAACGTAATAGCCATCTTACTGCACCAGGTCTGGATTCTCCACTGCAAACTCGCACAAAACTCCCCAATCACACCCACCACCTTCTATCACGCAACAACCAACAACATTAACAGACTAGCTAAACTAGAATACCACAAACTAATCAGGAAATCAAAACAAGACTTCGGTCGAAACAACTCAAACATTCAAACATATCAATCCAAATGGCTAAAGAAGCTAGATGACTTCAAGCTCATCAGGAACCACCAAACATGGAACTTCCCAACGCCATCCCAAGTAAACAAATAAAAATAAAATCCATTTGAGTATTCTTCAAGATATGAGAATATTTTAAAAAAAAAAAAAAAATTTTTATGACATTTTCCAATATGTTATTCTTACTGGTGGTGAGACCAAGTGCTGCATGTAGCTAAACAGAATCACAAAACTCATCTTCGAATCAAACTCTGGCCACATGTTATGTACGCAGCCTATGCTATAGACATCACTGTGAGTTCCTGATCATACACCCATCTCAAACATCCACAAGATAAAAATGGCTACCTTCTGGTACAACATACTCATCAACACAAACAATTCAGAGTTTGAACTCAAATACCAACAGAATATCAAACAAACATTAATTATTAGTTGCAATAAAACCCCCTGTACAAGTGATGTGTTGTTGAATATCTCAACTTCCACCTTATTTTGTCACTTAAAAAAAAAAGATATGTTGTACTCAGGTTCGAAGAAACCACTCAAGTATGCCGAGAGCTATTAAACAAGAGATTCCCGTCTTAGAAGCTGGTATAACGAATACTTATATTTAATTATTTTAGATAAAGTTTACTCTTTTTTTTAAAAGAAGGATTTATGAGCTAATCAGCCTTGATGAGGATGGAATTTCATAATTAATTTTATCAGGTTTTCCAATCATCAGTCCGATAATAGGTACAACATCAAACATATTATTCTAAATTAGCCAAGAGCCATTCATTACATCTTAAATCACAACTCATTACTATTTTTATAATTAATATCATAATCTTATTATTTAATATACGAACAAGATTCTGGGATCGATCTTAAATGGACAACCAAACAGATTGATTCTTATGAATGATGTTGACTTTGCTCATCTTAATATCGCCAAATCTAAATGATTTTAGAGTTGGAGGGAGGTATTTGAGATTGAATATTGTGGTATCCATCCTCAAAGATAATCTTAAGTTATTGAAGATTGGGAAGTATTCAATTCTAACTAAGGGAACTTTGAATGTTGAACTAATAAATTAATATAAATGAACAATTAATTTGATTCTCATTTCATTTGTAAGAAAATAGTTTTAAGTTTTAATTAAAAATTATTTTAAAAAGATAAAATAAATCATTTATACATAATAGATATTCTTCATTGAAAATCAGAAATTTTTTTTTTTTTTTACAAGGTTTTGTGTTTGTTTGTTATTCCTTGAAATAATAACCTTCCAAAATCAAAATGAATTTTGTTTCGTTCAAGGAAACGGTGAACCTCACGATCTACACGATTTTTTTACATTCGACAAAAAAAAAAATGAGATCAACAAAAAAATCGAAATGGCTTGACAAAGTTTTCAAAATAAAAAAAAATCTATATTTTTTTTTTTCAACCTTCTTTCATCATAAACAGATAATAAAGAATGCCATCAGTGATAGATAAATTTTTAAGTGATGATGGTATGTGATAATAATAGCATCAGTGCCAACGACAACAAACTAATGTCCACTTTAAATATAAATAGCTCAAAATTTGTTGCTCAATGATTTTTCCCTCTTTATTGGATTGAGTGCTGCCGATCAGACAGAGTTGGCCACAAACTTTTTCAACAAGTCTGAGATCTCAAGTCAACAATTGCCTTTTGTATTGTCGAATCTTATCTCGCTAGCACTAACATCACTTCGAACTTATCAATCATCGTTGTCTGCTGTGATTTCGCTCATTTACAAAGTAGTAATTGCCAACCCCGATCTTTTTCAACAACAAAAGAAAGTGATTTCCGATCTGACTGGTCAAACAACCGATACCATGGATGATGCTATAGAAATCTTTAAATCGTTGCAAGACCTTCTTCAACAAAAAACAGATATCGAGGCTGCCATTTTGAAAACAACTACCCCCGATATTGCTAAACTAATAACGTTAAAAATGCGAATCGAGAATGTACATGCTCATACAATTGGTCTCCAATCACAATTCCTCAAAGCAAACTACGAATGTGTTAACCTCCCAATCTATACAGTATTTGCTTCTCTTCATTTATTGTACATGTATGACATTATCAATAGAAGTACTTTCTACGGATTGGATAATCCCATGAAAGCTCACTACCTCAACTTCTACAAGAGATTCAAAAAGGATTACTTTTCGAATATCTTCAAAGTCTACAGCAATGGTCAAAACAAAGTGTTGGCCAAATTCCCAGAGAAACAATTGGAGAAGTGCAATTACCATTTGACATTCAACAAGTATCAAGAATATAGAAACAACACAATGCTCAATGTTTACCAATATGTCCATATCTTTGCAAACCTAAGGGCCGATTATACTGAATTGGTTGACCGTGGTTTCAACTATGTCAATCCAAGACCATTGTTTTCCAGGATGGTTGCCAAGACCGTTGCTCCTCTAATCACCAAAAAACAAGGAACTGCCAACGTTATCAACCCAGAAGCAATGGGATCATTCAGAATGGAGTTACCGTTCATCCTAAAGAAGATGGAAGATGGATTGGCAAATTTCTATTTCCAAGATGTTTGGCGTATTTGGATGACCGTTGACGATGAGAGAATCAACAGCATTCAAAGTCAATACCTTCAAATGCCATTGTCTACCGCTCGGCTATCGGCAGTGACTGGAACCGAAAAAGGTACCAAAGTTAACCTTGTAGGACCACTCAAGAATCAATTGATTTTCAATGATAGAGATGAAGATGATGATGATAGAATCAAGTTCATTGGATTGGGTGCCGACAACAGAGTTGGTCCAACCAAATACTTGCCAAAGAGCATTCCTTCTGAAAAGATCATCTTTGAAAATCACAAGATCTCACAAGTGGTTGGAATTAACAGAACACCATTCAGAACCGTTGCAAAAGAACTAGATCCAGGTGTCTATGGTCTCGTTCTGGCATTCGTTCCAGATACACTTGAACCAAACTATATGGATGTCACCAAGACCAATATCATTTCGGCAATGTGTTTGGATGCTCCACCAAGTAAGTAAAGTTAATGAAACTTATAATTGTTAAATGACTGATTTACTAACTCTAATACTTTTTTTTAACAAATCAAAAAAAAAACAAAATAGCCAACTATGTACTTCAACAGAATCACAATAATATTCTTGGAATGGATGCAATTCTTTTGAAAGTAGGTGGAACTGCTCTTTTTAGCTTCAAATCAAAGATCCCATATGAATTCACACTTTATACAGAGTGTTATGCAGACGCTGATGCACAGTTCACCTTTTATAAAGAAGGAGACAAAGCACAAGTCTTCTCAATACCCGCTGGACATAGAGTCACCAAATGTTCAACACAAATTATCCAAGCCGATACTAAACGATTCCAATTTAGAGTAAATAAGGGTCCAATTATATTAAAATCAATCTATCTTATTCCAAAATACTTTAATTAATAAATATTCATTTAAATTGATAACGGTTACTTAATATCACTATTTGTTAATTGATAACACTATGTCCAAAAAACAGCTAAAAATTGTCCAATAAAGTTTTTATTTCTTTAGTTTGGAACGGTTACCAGCGTCCGCATATAAGGACAATAAAGATTAAATAATTAAAATATTTAAATTCTAATCTGAGGTTTCTAAATAAGTTAATATTCATCTTTTAGAATTAGGATTTTAATTAAGTCTATATAAAAGAAATAAGATCGCAATTAAGTTATCAAGATTAAAAATATATTTAAAATATAAAAGAAATATATATTTTCTATTTGTATTAATAATCAATAAACCACCTTCTATATAGACTACCATCTTCTTCCGATCAGAGTCTGCTCAGAGTAAACTATCGATTCACTCCTGCCATCAGCGACGCGACTATAATTCGTCAACACTATGGCAGACGATTGAGAATACAAAGTGTAATATGTTTATTTTTGTGATCAATAAATGTCAGTTTGGTAAGGTATATCGTTTTTGTAGACTAAGTATTGATCATAGTCAGCGAGCACCGCATGAGTAATTTCGGTTCCTGGTTTCAATGAATATCTAAGTTGTTTTTGTAAATAATTTAGTACTTCTTATCAATATGAAAGAAAGATATTCCTAACCACCACTTACATTTGTACACTCATAAACTCTGGATTGTCACCTCCAGTTATTACGAGGCAACATTCAGCTTCGGGATCAGATACATAATTTAAAATTGGTTCACCATCGAGCAGTAATTTATAATCATCGTCAACAATATTATGTACTATGTTTCCTAGAGTGAATTTCATTGTTTTTCCTGTGGCCTTGAGTGGTACTTTCATACCAACTAAATTATATTACGATAATAAGTATTTTGCTCTCTGTCTCTCTTTCTTTTCTCTACAAGTTTAAGCAAAGTCAATACTTACCACTACCACCAACACCACTATAAACTATGGGTTCAGTAGTACCTTTTGCACCCATTGTGATCTTTCCCTTCGTCTCCTCATTGAGTAGTTCTATTGTTAACTTTGAATAGTTAATAAATAATCTAAAGACGAAAACCATTGTTCTTTCTGTAGTAATTTTGTAGTTTGTTAGATTTAAAAAAAAAAGAAAAAAGTAAAGTGCAATCCAACTAATGTATAAACAAAGTTTTCGATTAATTGATTATGTTCATTAATCGAAAAAATCAGCCGATCAATAAAAATCTGTCACAGAGAATGAAAATAATTCATCGAAGTGATGATATTATACACAAAAAAAAATCGAAACCAACAATTTCGTGATGTTGAATAGCAATGTTAATTTGATTTGACAACTTGTGGCATGATGGTGTGTTGTTGGGTTCGTGTATTATTCAAACAATAATAAAAAACTTTGTAAGCTGGGTACTCATAAAGTATTAACTAATTATAATTATAATTTGTTATAAATAGTATTTGTATTGGTGATTGATGTTAAGTTTGTTCTAACTTTTTTTTAAAAAAAAAAGAAAAATGTATTATTCTTAGTAAAAAATTAAAAAAAAATTCATATGAATTATTTTTCCCTCCAATTCCAATTATTCTTTTTTTAATTAATACTAAGCCGAATAAAACAAACATTTTTTAATTATTATTCTATAGATCTAATGCCAACATGAAACAAGCTGGTATTTTTCAATTTTTAAATAATAATAATAAAAACAATGGAGTACAGAATAAACCAACAACTTCAAATATAGGGTCTGCTACCAACGATGATTTCGTCTATCATCAACCGAAACATGCATCAACAGTCAATGTTTGTATAGAATCAATCAACAGTTGACCATCACTGAAACAACTTGAACTAACATAAAATCTTACAATGAACTTTAATACTATTGATCAATAATATTATTGCATATATGAAGAATGTTAAAGATGATATAGATGATTTTGAAATGGATTTAGACATTGATTTAGACATTGATACACCTTCGAATAATAATAATAATAATAGTAATAGTAGTAGTAGTAATAGTAGTAGTAGTAATAGTAGTAGTAACAATGGTAATTCAGCAACAGCAAAAACAATGGCACCACAATCAAATAAGAGTGTTATCAAACCTATGATTCCAGCGGTCAAGCAAAGCCCTTCAAAGTTAAATCTAAAGAACATGACAGCTATGACAAACAACAACAACAACAGTAGTAGCAGTGGCAATGGAAATCTTTTATCTTCATTCCAAAAGGTTGGATCTACTGTTCAGACGACTACATTGAATTCGTTCATCAAAAAAGTAGATTCATCCGAAGCTAAAGTAAACTTGTTATTCGAGAAGGATGCAAAGGAGAACGCCAACAAAATTGAGCCCGCTCCAATGACATTGAAACCGAAATCACCATCACTAAAGAATACACCGACAAAGGCACCGGCACCAGCAGCTGTCAGCAAACCAACAACACCAAAGAAACCAACAACACCAAAGAAGCCAACTTCCACTTTGAAAAAGAGAAAGATCGATGAAGATGACGAGGAAGAAGAACAAGATGACGACGACGATTTTGATTTCGATTTGGATGATAATGATCAAGCAGAAGACGATGACGAAGACTACGACGATGACAGCCAATCGAAACCAAAGAAAACAACAACAAAAGGAAAAGGAAAAGCTGCAACAGCAACAGCAGTGAGAACACCAAGCAAAGCGAAATCAAGCAAGAAAGATGATGAACGTTATCAATTCCTTGTGGATATAGCCGACGCCAATCAAATCAAAAAGGGCGAACCAAACTATGACCCAAGCACACTCTACATTCCAAGCACGTTTTTGGTAAATTTCACTCCTTTCGAACGTCAGTATTGGGATATCAAATCGAAAAACTACGACAAGATTGTATTCTTTAAGAAGGGTAAATTCTATGAGCTCTACGAAGACGATGCGGATCTCGGCCATCAGCTGTTCGATTTGAAGATGACCGATCGTGTAAATATGCGTATGGTCGGTGTGCCAGAGAAGAGCTTCCAGCAATGGGCAAAGAAGTTCTTGGAAGCCGGCTACAGGATCACCAAGGTCGACCAGGTCGAATCTCGACTCGCTATGGACAAGCGTCAGAATCAAAAAGGTGCTTCAACCAGCAAAGAGACAATCATTCAACGTGAAGTTACATCGATCCTTACGATTGGAACACTCGTAGACGATAGTTTGTTGCTCGATTCCACTTCAAACTATTTGATGTCCATCAAGGAAGATGATTACAAACAGGAGCTTGGTATCTGCTTTTTGGATAGCTCTGTTGGTTTGTTCTATTTGACCGAGTTTAAGGATGATGAGAATCGATCACACTTGGAGACACTGCTACTACAAACCATGCCAAAGGAGATATTGTATGATAAGAGCTCGATTTCTCAGACAACTCTCAATGTTATCAAGCGGGTGTTGTCCAGAGAAAAATATATCTTGACAACGAGACAACCAACTGAATTCTGGTCGACTGATTTTACACTTGGCAAGCTGGAGGAGATGCAAAAGGCAGACGATCTGAAAAAAGTGTTGGGTGATAATATCGAGGTGGAACATTCACTGCTGGGATATGCGCTGGGTGGATGTTGTTGTTATCTTGAAGATATAAAGATGGCGGATCAAGTTACCAAGCAGGCCAGATTCGAAATGTACAACACACTCGACGGCACCAGTTCTTTGGTTCTCGACGGCCAGAGTCTCGTAAACTTGGAGATTTTCGCAAACACCACCGATGGATCGACCAATGGATCGCTGTTCAAGGTGTTGGATCGTTGCTCCACTCCGTTTGGAAAGCGTCTACTAAAGCAATGGGTTTGTCGTCCACTTTCATCGCGAGAGAAGATCAATGAGCGTTTGGATGCGGTTCAATATCTCGGTGAGAACCAAGAGTTGATGAGCAAACTGTCGACCATGCTCACTCGTGTACCGGATCTCGAGAGAATGCTGTCGAGAATCAAGGCTTGCTCATCAAAGATTGGTGATTTGGTGACTGTGTTGAATGTTTTGGAACGTTGCCAACAGTGTTTGGAAGAGTTGGATTGTGTAGATGAGATCAATTCACCGACACTACAATACCATGTCACAGTTGGAAAGGGATTCCCCAATCTAAAGACTCTTATCTCATCGATGAGATCGAGTTTCGAGATCAATGTAGTACAGTTGATTCCCTCCAAAGGTCTATTTACAGAGTACGATGAATGTCAAGAGAGAATCAAAGCTATCGAGCAAGAGTTGGAGCAACATCTAAAGGATCAAAAGAAACTATTCTCAAGCAATTCAATCGCCTACAAGAGTATCGGAAAGGAGATTTATCAACTTGAAATTCCTATCGATGTATACAACAAACACAAAGCAAAGATGGGTGACTACATCTACAAATCAGAGTTAAAGTCGAAATCAAAGAGATATTGGACGCCGTTTATCGAGAAAAAGGTAAAACAACTTGCCGAGGAAAACGATTCTTTTTCAGCGCTTCAAAAGGTGGTGGAGGTCAGAATACAGGAGCAATTTAACGTAAATGCATCGGCATGGTGTCAAGCAACTGCAAGTTTAGCTCAGATCGATTGTATTCTCTCGCTTGCCAAAGTCAGTCATCTGGCTGGAATCACAACTTGTCGTCCAGAGATTGTTATTTCCGATCATGCACTGCTCGATGCAAAAGAGATGCGTCATCCAGCGATCACACTGAAGGGTGGTGACGATTTCATTCCGAATGACATTACTCTGGGTATCGATCAACAGCCAGGTGTCATGGTACTGACCGGACCAAACATGGGTGGAAAATCAACACTCCTCAGACAATGTTGTATTCTGGTGATCATGGCGCAGCTCGGTTGCTATGTGCCCGCTGCAAGTTGTCGTCTATCGATTGTCGATCGTATCTTTACACGTTTGGGTGCCAACGATAATATTATGGCTGGTCAATCGACATTTATGTTGGAACTACAAGAGACATCGAATGTGTTGAAATACGCCACCAAACGATCGCTTGTCATCATGGATGAACTCGGACGTGGAACCAGTACATTCGATGGTTACTCCATTGCATTCTCAGTGCTAGACTACATATCCAACAAAATCAATTGTATGTGTATTTTCGCAACTCACTACCAATCACTGGCACACGAACCAAAGGTAGCCAAAGCCATCCAGAAATCTCACATGTCTTGCTATGTCGATGATGTCGAGAAGAAGGTTATCTTCCTTTACAAACTGACAGAAGGTGTTTGTCCTGCATCGTATGGTATGCTGGTGGGTGGTATGGCAGGAATACCATCGGAAGTTATCGCCAAGGCCGAAGAGAAAGCCGAACAATTCGAAAAAGAATCGACTGTTTCCACCTATGTACATGGTACCACTAGCACAAAAGAAATAGTAAAGAAAATCACTCAATCCGTAGGTTCAAAAGATTATAAGAAACTTTTGGAACTATGGAAAACCTTGGATATCAATAAATAAATAAAATAAAACTTAATAATAAAGATTGTTTTTGTTTTAATATAATGAACATCATGATTATTATTTATTTATTTGTTTGTTTCACTAACTAATGCATCTAATCTTAAAAGTAAAGAATACTTTTTATATTCTTCTGCCAGTGGTTTAATTTGTTTTCGTATTATATTGTTAACCTCTGTACCTGTACCACCAATCAGTTGAATACTCTTTATGATTTGATCGATATTGTTTTTGGTTGGTCTTCGTATTTCTTTTTTGATACTCATGATTATCTTTTCATTGTTGACACTTGATAAAACTGTTGTTGGTTTGTTATTGTTGGACTGTTCAGATGATGTGATTGGTGTTGGTGAAGGTATTAGATTGTTGGTCGGTATAGATTGTGGAACTGATACTGATCTCGATGGTTGTGGTGGTGAAAGTTTGGTTTGAATGGGAGATGTCGGTAGTTGTGGTGGTGAAATGTTTGATAGTAAAACGGGTGATACTGTAATGTTACTGGCTGTCGGTGTTGGTGGTGATGGTATAGATGGTGATGTTGGAACTGGTGACGCTACCACTGTGTTTGTAGCAGCTGCTGATGATGTTGCAACCGCTGCTGGCATAGATGGTACAAAACTTGATTGTACTGGAGATGTAGCTACATTTGCTGTAGGTATTGTTGATGTCTGTTGAAGTATGTTTGGCAGTGCCACAGAGGTAGGTTGTTGTGGTGGTGATAAAGGTGTTTGCGGCAAAGGAGTTGTAGATACCGGAGGAGGAGGAGGTGATGTTGGTGTTGTGGGTAGCGTTGGTTTCGGTGCAATCTTGATCGGTGGTGGTAGCTTTGAGAGTCTTCTCCTCTTGGGTGGTCCTTTCTTGAGTGAAGCACCCTCCATATCACTGTCCTCTGCTTCATCGATGGAGACATCGAGTCGTTGTCCTTTGTCCTTACGATAGGGATTACCAAACAAAGGATGATTCGGTTTCTTATCCTCATCGATATCACGCAGAGTCTCACGTTTGTTTAGTGTTTCATGATAGTTACCCATTTGACTGATTGGCACATGATATTTCAGCTCTTCGTCGTCCTGTCGCTTCTTGAAGAGATGATGTTTCATTCGATCGAGTTGCGCCAGCAATCCATTCTTTGGAATGTCGAAAACATTACGATGAAGATAAACACTCTGTGGATTCGATGTCGATGCATTCTGTTGAATATCTTCGAATGACTCTGCCACCTCGTCTTCGGCGTCGGGCACCGCAGCAAAAGAGTCGAATCCACTCTCCAGAATCTTATGTACACTCCTATTGCTAAACAAAGATTTGCTATAGGGCGAACTGTTTCCTATGTCCTTATTTACATTGATGTTGGTGATAGAGGGTGATTTCTGTTTCGATGATTCCTGTTTGTTTGATTGTGATTGTTGTTGCTGCTGCTGTTGTTGTTGTTGCTGTGCTGCCGATTGTGTCTTTAACTTTTTTACAAAATTATTCATATGATTTGTGAATTGTATATCTATATTATCGGGTATTAAATTTATAGTACAAAATCTCTTTAATGCTAAAAAAAGTAAACAATATATAAAGTAAATATGATGATGATAATGATAATAATATAAATTTGATTTGTTATTGCTTTTACCATTTCTCATTGGTGTTATATAATAAGGCGGTATAGATAATAAATAACTTTCAAATTCTTGTTTCCACTTTGGTGATGGTGCCAACTTTAAATGATTGACCAACTCATCGAGTAGTACCCACAGTCTTGGATAGTTATAAGGAAATACAAAGAGATTAACGGTTTGACCATTCGAACTTGGTCTTAGATATCCAAATGGATCACCTTGTCCAGGTATAGATTGACTATTAAATACAAATGTCTATAACAATAACAATTGTATTAATAAAATATTAGTTTTTTAAATTTAAATGATTAACAATTAATAATTATTAATAGTTTTACATACTTGTACACAATTGATTTTATTTGCTAAAAGATATTGAGTGGCAGAGCATGGTTCTACTTCATACTTATCGAATGGGAAATTCTCTGGTATATTTGAATCACATTCAAATAATGAATATCTAATTAATGGATGTGTTGATCTTGATGGCTAGAAAAGTAAAGTAAATAGTTAGATCAGATTAGATTAGATTATATGATGTAGATTTTGTTTATATATTTACAAAAGTATTTGAATTGATATCTGGATAATATGATTCTGGTATAGGCCAAAAACCTTGTGTACCTCTGACATATAACATTTTATGTAGAGATGGTGTCGGTTGCATCGGAACGGATTGAGATGGTAGTGGATCGAATGTTACCAATACTCCACTCGTTAGTTTCGTTATGAGTGACTCTATTTGTGCGATCATCTGTTTCATGTTGGTCGCAATCTGTAGTTTACCACCGGTGGCGTCACACACCGCTGAGATCGACTCATTGCTGACAAGCGACGACGTTGAGTTGATAGTGGGTGGCAACGTGCTTGCAATACCAGAGAATTTCATCAAGATCGAAAACAGTCGTTGATCCCAACGATATGCCTCGCTCGTTAGCTCTGCAAACGGGATGGTCGAGCGAGGCACTTGGAATTGATCGACCAGCCCGTTGGCAGTGGTCATTGCACCGCCATCGCTGAGCAACACCACCACCGCCGGCTCGAGAAACCAAGGGTTGCGACCCATGCCGTAGTTATCGATCAGCGTGTGTATTCGGAATTGGTTGAGCAAGTCGAATGCACGACAAATCGAACCGGGCACAACAGAGAGATCGTTGCAATGCAAGTTCTTCAGCTCATTGAGAAACGAGTTGAAGTGGTCACGCCAGCCACTCTTGATTGCATGCGAACTCTCCTCCGTCGTGATCAAAAAGAATCTGTCGTTTCTAATTGAACTATCTTTTGATCTGATCTTTATAAAGTGTTCGATTGCAGCTTTAGCACAATCCAGTAGTGACATTCCATTTGCTGTCTTTTGGTTCATAGAACCACTTGTATCAACAACAAATGTAATCAACATTTCTTGATTGCAATATTAAACAAAAACCACCACTGCTACTAACTACTGCAAACAACAAACTTCTAGAATCTTTTTATATTTTTTTTTTAAAAAATAATAATATATTTGGAAATAAAGTGTAAATATTAATCTAATTAATATTTATTGGAATTCTTTGTTCAACCAAACAACACAACTTTCACTACTTTTTAAAAAAAAAAAAGTTCATTTTTATTTTTAATTTTGATTTATTTGTTTGTTTTTTCAAATAGCACACGATGAATAATGATAACTTAAAGAACAAAAGAAGTAATAATAATAATAATAATAGTAAAAATGCTGATATTATCAATAACAACAATAGTATAATAAATAATCTAAGTAAAGATGATGATTTATTTGTTGATAATTTCAATAGACTAGTTGATCTAAAGTATAGAATCTTAATGGGTTATAAACCGTTGATAAATCTTAGTGATACAACTTGTAAATCATTGACCGATGTCGAATCGATAACAAATGGCAAGAATCATAAAAAGAGAAATAGATCAAATAGTAATGATTTAGATGTAAACGATAATAATAATAATAATGATAATAATGGTACAAGCAGAAAATTAATAAAATCACCAAATGAAAAACAACAACAACAACAACAGCAACAAGTACAACCAATATATTCATTGATAAAAAGAAATAATAATCATAATTATAAAAAGAATCTTTCTATATTGGATTTATACGATGAGACATTCAGTTTGTTGGTGGAGAACGATCTGATGGCATACAATTCAATGGTGATACCCGATATCGATAGGAGCAGCAACAGCAGGAATCAATCTTTTATCAGCAACTACAACATGGAGAAGAGCAAACGCAACTTACAATCGATATCAACAGCCTGGCAAAACATAGATCAGATCCTATCGAGTGACTACCTAAATAGAAACCTTACAACATCCACAACAACAAAGCCATTTACATTAGAACAACGATGTCCATCCATTTTAGAATATCAACTCAACTCACTGGAGTGAATGTAAATTCAATTGTCTGGGTATGCAATATTGGAGATTCGATTCACAACTTTAAAAATAAAATAAAAATAAAAACAAAACACACACCTACTAACCATCGAAGAATAAAGTGTGAGTGTGTGAGCGGAATGTGTGACTTCACTTTAGCAAAAGTCGGATTGTTGTTGCAGTGCAAAATAATATCAATGTTTGGTTTGATGTTTGCTCTTTGCTGGGCCAACATGATCGAAAATGCACCGAAAAACAAAAATAAATGGTGGTTTTTATTCATTGCACCTCCAATAACAATAAAAAAAATAAAAATATAATCAAAAAAAAATTTGACAGTAAATCAAACCACCCCTCTGATATTCTTTTTTCTTTATCAAACATCAAAAAGTCAAGTTGAAAAATGTGTGCAAAAAAAAAAAAAAAAATATCTGGTGGAGGACCTTATTAAATTATTTTCCCTCACATTAAATTTAAGATTATTCGTAAAGTTTTGATTTTATTTTATTTTTTTGCTTCGACCACACAACAAACAAATAAATATATTTAGAAATAGAAAAGATAAAAAGAGAATCTTTTTAAAAAACTAGTTTTCAGTGAACAAAAATTACACATCTTTTGAAATTGTTATCAGTAACTTTTAAAATAGTATGTAACTAAGAATAAAACAAAAAACACTATTATCACAACATATCACAATAATAAGCTATAAACAATAATAATAATAATAAGTTTTAATAATCTTTTAAAGAAAAATTATATTTTCTATTCTTTATTGTGCATTGAAAAATAATTAAAACTTTTTCACTTTGCTTCCACTCCACCCCCTTCTTCACATTGAGCAAATATAATCAATAATTGTTCCAAAATACAAACGATTATCTTTGCGAAATATACTACATACAAATTAAGCCAAAAATACATACACATTATTTGGATCTATTCAAAGAAGCAATGCTCAAAATTTGTAGAGTGACCAAACCTTTTTTATCTTACTTCTTACTTAATTTAAGTAGTTGGTTAACTTTGTAAAGTGAATGATCGACTAAAAATAATAGTAATAATGATAGTTGTGCCATTTCCAAAAGCATTAGCTACAACGACGACAACTTTAAAGCTTAAAGGTTACATTTTTTTTTACATTCTATTGTTACTGTATTTAACTCTTAAATCTCCCACCTTATTTTACAGTATTGAAAGTAAAGTGTTGTAAATTAGATTATCCATCATTCTTCTGCATTCTTCATATTTCTTTATCCCTAAATTCAATCAAATCAAATATCAATTGGTGAATGTGTTTTGTTGTTGTTGTTGTTTATATAACAAATACTTAAATAACAAATAACAACACAAAGACACACTCTCACACTATTTCAAATATCCATTCTATAAACACACACACAATAACAACTTATAACAAACACCACTAGTTAGTTAACTTTATATAATATTGGTGCAAAAGAATGTGAGACATCGAATGTTTAAATTGGTTTTATTTTTTAGTTGGGTGTTGGGGTGATACTGCCTGGTATCGAAAAGTTTGTGGGATCCTATGCTGCATGTGTGTGTGGTTAACAAAATCATTTGAATAATAACAAAAAAAGGAGGAGTTAGAGTGAGAGGTATGATATTTATCAACAATGATGTTGATTCATTCATTATCACATTTAAATTGTAATTGTGATTGTTATAAAAACAACAACATAGTGTAGAAGTGTACATTTATATATATGCTTTTTTAAAAAATAAATACATTTTTAAAGTAATTGAAAGATATTGTAAAACAGGTTATCCTAACAACATCATATTATAATAACAACAATAATTAACAACAATAAGAACAAAGAACAAAGAACAAACAGATTTTAAATTTCAATAATTATAATCATTTATTCCTAAAAATATTAGACAATTATAATTTCCTATTTATATTTTTTTAAACAAATAAACTATTTATTATTTAATAATAATAATTATGTTAAATTAGCAACAACAACAACAACAACAATTTATTAAAGAATTCAAGTTTGTAAGAAATCATAATTCATTCAACAGTAAAAGAAAAAAAGTGTAAATGAGAACACGCTTCAAAGATTATTATTGATAAAATGTGTTTTTGTTTTACACATTTTGTTCATACATTTTTATCATATTATAGATTAACAGTTAGATTCTTGCTTGTTTATTTTCATTATTGTTTTGTTTGCAGCATGCTTACTTACTTACTCCCTCCCCACTAAAATTTGTAAAAATTAATCAAAGAAAATCATGATTCACTACTTTTCCTACACTATACTATCTATCTCTGCACTACATCGATGTCTTTTACATAATTCAAATCAACACATTATCAATAACAACAATAAATAAAACATTACACACAACACACACACAAATAACACAAACAAAATAAATAAATTAAAAAAAATCAAACCACTCCACTCTACCCTTTTTTTCAATTCAATTTCAATCTATATAATTTACTATATAGTGTTGTCTTGTCTTGAATCAAATAAATATAATCAAGACAAGAAAGACAACATAACGACCAACAGACAATCAGACATACATACTGCATATATTGAACGGGTACTGAAACGGATGTATATTAAATTTAACAAAATATTTATTTCAAATCTTTGCTTTTGCTTTTCTTAATTTGTGTTGTGTTGTTGTGTGACTGGCTCTTCTTTTTTTTTTTTTTTTTTAATATGAGTGTGTTGTGGTGCATGGTTTGCCATCATTATCATTATCATAAGCAATTTTTATTTGCTTGTACGGGAATTGATTGTTTATTTCTTTTTTTCTTATTAATAAATTTTTATTTTCATTTTATATTAATTTGTTGTTATATTACATTGTCAAACAAACAATCAATCGACTTTCACAGTCTGTGATGATTGATAAACCACCACCACATCATTCATTTGTAATACATTACATTGTTATTACCAATTATATATATAAAAATAATAAAATAATAAACAAAACTAAAAAACTAATTTATCTAACATATTAATTTATTTATCATTACCATTTCACAAAAAAAAAAAAAAAAGAATATCTTTTTTTTTTACTTTGTACTTTTAGGTTATTATTTAATTTCTCTCTAAATCGACAAAAGAAAGAAATATCATTAGTCTAGTCTATACTATTTATAAATATCAAGCAAATCAGATCAATAGTCATCGAATTAGAATCAATAATCATATTCAAAGAGACAGTAGAATTAGAAACACATAAAAATAGACAACAACAAAAAAAAATGACTGTATTAGTAGAGAATAAACAACAAAATGGTGCATCGGCATCAACTACAGAGTTGGAACTCAAAGTATTCAAGGTTTTAGCTGCATTTTCACAGAGCATAGAGAAATCACTGATTACAAGTCAAACCAATATCAATGATATGTATAAAACATTAAATTGTCCGTTGCCTCAATCACCGGAATTGAAGCAACTCAATCAGATTACAGACACTGGTAACATTGGTCTCCTAACAATACAGATGGTCAGAACTGTCATTCAAAGATCAGAAGCACTATCTAAACAAATTTCAACTTTAAATACAACAGTTAAAAATAATAATATAAATTTAAATAACAATAATAGTAATAATAATAATAGTAGCAGTAGCAGTAGTAATGCCGAAATTAAAGCTTATAAAATGGAGATTGAATCATTAAAAAAGAAAATAACAAGATTACAACAAACTACACCTTCATCATCCTCTTCTTCTACAACTACAACAACAACTACTTCAACTTCAACAGCCAACAACACTATCACAAAATCAACATCAAACAATCATTTAAACGAAGAATCAACAACATCCAATAGCAATAGATCGTCAAAGGATCACAGCAGCGAATCGTTGTCATCGCTCAGAGTGAGAACAGACGATATGCGAGACAGCTCCGACTGGGACACCAAGTACCAGACGGAACTACAACTCAATTCACTGCTGTCAGAGTTCTTTAAGAATGAAGTCGAGATTTCACATGACCCGATGATGGACGATGAATTGATAGAGACACCGCGCGAAGACTCGATACTGTCGTCGACAAGCTCGTCATCGGCGGCACACGCCTCGACTGAGATGCACATCACCAACGGACACGCATCGATATCGTCGGGATCGTCGCCCATCGTAACACCGCCAACGATCAGCGCCAACGACAAGACACTCAGCTCAAGCGGATCATTCACTTCACAGGCACACTCACCACTGACACACTCAGCATCGTCCACCTCCATCCTCGGAAACTCCTCACCATCTTCATCGTCGACCAACCTCGCCTATGGCGACTCGCCATCGAGACAGTCATCGGCTAACCTCGGCAACTCTACCAACGCAGCACCCAAGAAGGCATATCTCACCGATCTACTCGATCAAATCGATCTTGAAAACAACACACCATCAAAAGATAAAAAGAAAGGAAAATTCAAATTCTTTTAAAAGAATAGAGTTTTAAATACTTTTAATAATAATAGATAGTCAGTTATATAATTGTAATTTCGATCAAATAAATAATATTATGCCACAATATTAATAATAATAAATAAAAAACAATCTTTTTATTTTTTTTTTTTAAACAAAGATATTATGAATTGTCAAATTCTTTTGAAGAACAGAAAAAAATTAGTAAAGTGTGATCAGCCATCGGAGAAAGAACAACAGAGATATTATGAGTTAATGAGTTAACAATCATCTTTTTTAAAAAATAATAATTTATTTATCAGATTAAAAAGTTATAAAACAACTTTCAGAAATTTATTTTCAATAAACTTTGAAATACAAAGATGACCCGAAAGAGCGTCAATGGACCTTTATTTTTTGGTGATTGTTCGAAGATTGCCCATTGTTCCGAATTTTTGGATTTTTTTTGTGACAAAAAAAAAATACTAAAAAATTAAAATAAAAATATTTAAATTTTTTTTTGTTTTTTACAACCAATTAAATGTGTGGTTTTATATAATTTTGATTCTTATTCAATAATATTATTTCAATAGTGTAAAGAGAAATAATAAAAATTATAACTGGCAATAGTTTTTATATCATTCGTTTGTTTAAGCTTTTAGTAGTAGATTAGATTAACAAGTTTACTAGATAGATAGATAGATAGATTATAGATAAATAGATAAGAGATATATAGATAGATAGTAGTTTGGAGATTCAAAAGTAGCAAAAAAAAAAACAATTACAGCACTATGGGTCATAAACATTTAGATAAATTAACAGGCTTGTTTGGCTTGTTGTTTGCCGGTGCCATTGCAGGTTTGAATGCCTACTCATTCGAAAACAATACAGTATGGTATGAAATTGGTATTACTACTGCCCTCGATGTCATTTTCTCTTTCACAAGAGGAGGATTGACCAATGCCATGTCCGACTCTCATTGGGACAACTCTAAAACCAAACAAACTCTTTATATTTCATTTGGTTTTGTAATTGTATCTTTTGTATTTGTAAGTAAACAAAATAAATATATAAATAATACACAAGATAATACACAAAATAATACACAGAATAATAAACAAAATAATTCACAAAATAGTACACAAAATAATAAACAAAATAATACACAGAATAATACACAGAACAATACACATAATAATACACAAAATACCCAAAGTAAACCATTGTTTGATATCGAATCGATTGATTTTGGTGACGATGATCATGATATCGGATCGAGCTTGATTTATAGTGGTAAAATATATCATTAACTAATTTGTACAAATATCTTCTTCTTCTTCTTCTTCTTATTCTTGTGCTTAAATAGGCTGTTTTGGTATTTTTAATTTGTATTATTGGATTCATTAGAAAAGTTAGCAGAGCTGCCAAGAAGTTTGTTCTTGCTTCATGTATTCTAGTCTTTGTATCGAATGTCTTTGCTTTATTGTTATTCTTGATGTATGTATATCGTAGCATATTAATTAATAGTTTAAACTATGAATTTGTATACTAAATTAAATTCTACTACTAAATCTCTTTAGGATTAATCGTGCATTCTGTGATGATTTAACCGATGGTATCATTTCAAGTAACTTTGCCAATGAGATTCAAAAGACAAAGATTTGCTCCGACTTTAGAGGTCACTACAGTGGATTCGGTTACAACATCTATTGGAAACCAGAAGCCGGTTGGATCTGCGAGTTGGTTGCCACCATCCTCAGTATCTTCCTCATCATCGTTGGATCAAGAATCTTACATGCCAAGAAGCATGGATATCAAGTCATTAGATAAAAATATAATAATATATCACAACAACAACAACAACAACAACAACAAATATATTATTTATAACATATAAAAAACAAAAAACAAAAAAAAACAAACAAATCTTGTAACCATAGAAAATAATAATAATCATAGTTTATGTGGTAATAATAATAGTATTATATATTTATAAATATAAAATTAATTATCCACACTCCCTTCCACCAATTCTTAAAACACTCCACAACTACAACTCTTACCAATTGGCAAAATATATTTTTAGATTTAAATTAAATAGTCAACACATATTTTTAGATTTAAATTAAATTAATGGAAAACTTTTTCCTTAAATTAGTTTCAATTAATAATAAACTTAAAATTTTAAATATCCAAAAAGTTTGTTGTTTAAGCACAATTTACCACTCTTTTTTTAGTTCCTCATCCCCTCAAAAATCAAGAAATTATTTTGCAAAAAAACTAGAAGTTCATTTTGAAAAAAATAAAATAAAAAAACAAAACAAAAAAATAAAAAAACAATAAAAAATATGGTGGGTTTTTGATTTTTTTTTTTTTCCATTTTATTTAATTTTATATTATTTATATATATATTTTTTTTATAGTTTTGAATGAACAATTGTTTGATTGTGAGATAAATAGTATGCAAAAAAATAAGAAATTATAAAACAACAACAATAATATAATAAAAAAATAATAAGAAAAGAAACAAACATAAAGAAACACAAAACCAAACTTAATTTATTAATTACATACTACCAACAACAACAACAAACACCACATCTATACCTCTCTGTAGTATATTGTTATTTTTTTTTTTTTGACCAAGTATTGCAAACTTTTTTATAATCCACTATTTCTATTCTTTTTTATTTATTTTTTATAACAACATTATTAAACAGACTGTACTTGTTATAATTCTAGCATTTCATAAAAACTAAACAACAACAACACCACGCAACCACAAAACAATATACCAAAACAAAAACAAAAACACCTTTCAATACGATCATCATTTCAATTCATAATATATATCATAATAAATAAATCATAAAACAAAAAATAACAACAATTTTTATTATACTTTAAAAATTAATACAACAACAAAAAAAATTAAAAAAAAAATATAAATCATATCAAAAATTGTTAACTAAAAAAAAATCATACAAATATCTAATTAATTTAACCAAATTCATTCACAATATATCAAACTACTACTCAATTAATATACTGTCTTTTTATTGTTGTTTGTTTCATTCTTTTTTTAATAATAATTCACTTTTAATAATTGTATTAACCTTTACTATTTTTATCGAGTTTAGATTATAACGTTCGATTTAGTTTTATCATCAATACCTTTTTTATATATTAATATTCATATAGTCAGTTTTATAAAATACAATACAATAGTTTTAAAGATAATGTATGTATTAATAAACTACTTATACAACAATATATCTTGTTTGTTTTTTTTACTAATGATATCTTAATACTATCAAACAGTACTAGTTTAGTTTTAGAAGAAAATTTTTTAGTTTTAGCAATTATAAATAATCATAAATACAGATATGAACAATAACAACAAAATATTTCAGTTTAAGCTTGTATTGTTAGGTGAGGCAGCAGTAGGAAAGTCATCCCTGGTACTCAGATTTGTTCGTGGACACTTCTTGGATTATCAAGAAAGTACTATTGGTGGTAAGTTATCGATAATAATGTTAATCGTTTTGAGTCGGTGGTTAGTTAGTTTAGAGTTGTCAATTGATACAAAACAACAGTATTTGCAAAAGGACAACTCTTTATTACGATGGATCATCGGAATCAATACACAACCGTCATATCACCAAAAACAAAAGTTATTAATCAATAACAACAAATAATATATTATAGCTGCATTCTTGGCACAAACAGTTTGTTTAAATGATACTACAGTTAAATTTGAGATTTGGGATACTGCTGGACAGGAGAGATATCACACTCTTGCACCAATGTACTATCGTGGTGCTCAAGCTGCTATTGTAGTTTATGATATTAGAAGTCAAGATTCATTCGAAAGAGCAATTAAATGGGTAAAGGAGCTACAAAGACAAGGAAGTCCAAACATTGTTATCGCTTTGGCCGGTAATAAGCTGGATTTGGCAGCCAAGCGTAAAGTAGAAACTTCAGTATGTATCAAATCAATCAATCAATCAATCAATCAATCAATCCACAACACAGTCAAATACAACAACAATCATAGCAAACAATCACACATAAACAAATGGTTTTAGCCACAGGTATCATTAGAGTGAGGCTTGACACTAAATTCCGTTAGGATTGTGTTCATCGGATAGGATTGGTGCCTAACGGAATCACACACACCACAAAAATCATCACTTGCCTCAGTTCCCTCCCTCACTACAATTCAACCACATCGGCGATATTTTTATTTTGTGTGAACCAAAATAATTTTGTTTTTTTTTTTAATAGCAACAATTTTCACATTTAATTTCCATTTTTGATTTATTTTTTTGATTTTTATTTTTTTTTGATTTTTTTGTCTAACACTCTTAATCTCTCACTATTTCAGGAAGCACAAACTTATGCAGAAGAAAATGGACTGTTATTTATGGAAACATCAGCCAAGACTGCTCAAAATGTGAATGAACTTTTTGTAGAAATAGCCAAGAAACTTCCAAAGACACCAAATCCCAGACCTGGCTCGGGAAGATTACCAATTTCTCCGATCGACAACAATCCCCAAAAGAAGAAACCATGCTGCAGCAGTTAATATAATAACTAGTTCTCATGTATCTTATTACCAAATATAAATAAAATATTGATTTTTTGACCTATTATCTTATTGATTATCAACTCAAAACAAAAAAAAAAAAGATTGATAGAATATTATATAGAATGAATGTGTATTATTTTATTTTTTAGAAAACTAAAGACAAATAAATGATTGGAAAGAGAAATGAAAAGAAAATTAGTATCATTTGTGAAACTGTATAAATATATAATAAGGATTCTTGATACTTACTTGACTCTGGGGTACAAAAGCTGATTTAATACCTCTGACGCCAGTTGTTCCTTTAGTTTTCTTTGTGTTTGTTTGAGTCTGGAAATCGATATTGAAAAAGTTTGGTTGTGGAACAACATTTTGTGGTTGTTGTGGTTGTTGATTCTGATGTTGGCTATAATCGAATGGAACAAATTGTTGTTGTTGTCCTTGTTGCTGTTGTTGCTGTTGTTGTGGTAATTGATGATGTTGATGTTGTTTGTTTTTCTTGTTCAACTTTGGTTGAGTTGATTGATGCGATGCCATATTTCTATTTGGTTGATGCATTGGGGGTTGTTGCTCGATCTGAGAGCTAATCGGTTGAATCGGCTGTTGGTGAGTGGGTGTAGTTCCACCGTCTGGAATCCAACCAATACCTTTCATAAAGGTAACTGGATCGGCATCTAAAAGATCACCTTTCCTTGGTTTGCTTTGTTCATTCAATTGTGTGTTTGCGTTGGTTGCGGCGGGGACTGTCTCTTTCAACTTTTTCTTTTCTTTATTTCTTCTTCTATTTAAATTAGACAATTGATAGATTTCTTCCATACTCTTTGGAACTATTTTTAAAAAGTAGTAAAATGTTAATAAACTTATTGATATCAGTTAAAGAGAGTTATTAAAATACATACTATCTTCTTCACCGGAATCAGAGAGATGAGAATCAATTAATTCATTTTCATCCATTTCGTTTGATTTGGTAGATTTGTCATCATCGTCATCGTCGTCATCATCGCCAAGTGCATCTACGTCTAGCATGGTTTGGCTTTGATTTGGTTGATTTCTAAGTTCGGCGACTGGCTTGAAGACTGGAGTGGTTCCAGATGATGGATCAAATGAAGACTTAACCATTGATGCAATCTTTTTATGTCTCTTGGAATCGGCGTCATCCATATCTTCAGAGTCAAACACTAGACTTTGTGGTAAACTAATATTGGATTGTAGGTTTTGGTTGGAAGAAGAGACACTGGCGGTTCTTCTTGGAGTTGGTGATAGAAGTGATTGAAGTGGAATTGGTTCTTGATTAGAAATATCGAGCCAGCCAGCAGTTTTATACAACTCATGAGTTGATAACACTGGACTTTGTGAATGTGAACTTGGATAAACTGTATTGGCAGAGACAGATGTGAATTGTTCGATTTGTTGATGATGATGTTGGTGATGATGGTGATGTTGATGTTGTTGTTGTTGATGATGGTGATGTTGTTGCTGTTGTTGTTGTTGTTGTTGCTGCTGCTGCTGTTGTTGTTGTTGATGAATTGCTTGCATTTGTAACTGTTGTTGTTGAATCTGTTGTTGTTGTTGTTGTTGTTGTTGAATCATATGATTCGATTGTGGAAGGAATCTATTGATTCCCATTGGGAATTGTTTCGATTCATCGTTTGAAATTCTTGATCTAAGAATATCTTGTAGTAGCTCGTGACCGTATTGCTTGATATATGGTGGAATGGGTGTGCAACAAGCCAGCAGGTCGGTGATGGTAGTTGGCTGTTTCTCAACGATCAGTTGCATCATAGAGTTGGGCAGAATGTATCTAACACTCTCGTCATCGTCACGTGCAACCTTTTCTCGCCAATTGTAGAGCAATCTGAAAATCTTGAGTTGCGCAGGGTTGTAGGTGATTCCATTCTTTTTCAGGTACTCGGCGTGCGAATTCTCGTCGAGAATATCCTTTTCGTACTTGATCAGACAGATCTCTTTGCTTCGACGGAGTACCTCCATCAGGTAGTTGTTGGTCGACTTGCCCTTGAGTACGAGCTCGTTTCTCAATCGATCGTAGATATAGAGCAGATAGTGAGTGTCCTCTCTTGCGTATTTAATCATCTCCTCGGGAACTGGACGGATTCGCCAGTCGGCAAGCTGGAACTTCTTGTTGGCATCGACACCACAGTAGAAGCGAAGCAAAAAGGCGAGGGACGCCGAAGGATACTCGAGAATTCTCGATGCCTGACCGGTGTCAAACATGTTTACTATGTAGATTCCAAAGTCACGCTGTAGCCATTTCACGTCGCTCTCACTACCATGCAGCACCTTTACGATCTTGGGGTTGGTGAACGGCACGTTGAGCATCTTCATGTGCGAGCGGAGTACGAGTGTATCGACGATGAAATCCTCGGTTCTAGTGGAGACTTGCATCAGACAAACGAAACCCTGGAAGGAACGATAGTTGTGTGCTTCGAGATCGACAGCAAACTCCTCGACCTGATTCAACTTTTCGGTGAGCGCGGCCAGTTGGTCGACGCGATCCACCCAGGTGTAGGCGGTCTCGTCGAGTCCCTTATAGAGATTCTCGCGGCACGACTGAATTTGCTTTGCCAAGAATTGCAAGTGGTTCAGTTCGTACTCGTAGGGATGTGGGAACACGATCTTCTCTTGCTCCTTGGTTCTAATCACCTTGCCATGCACAATCTCAACCCTCGACTTTTCAAACAAAGCATCGAGTGGTACCATTGAATTGGGTTTCTCCTGAATCTTTGGAAGGAATGGGAAATTGGAATTATCGATTGGATCTTCAAATTTCAATTGTGGTCTCTGAATATTAACACCATAAAACATATTGAATTCATTGGATTTACCAGACTATGTTATTAGATGGATAAAAAGGTGAATAGTAATTAGTACAAAATTATGTAGATTTTGCTTATCTAGATAAACGTATCACTTACTTTTGAAACGGTTGTTGTCGATGCCAGATATACATTTGGTTGAATTGCAGATCCCTGTTGTTGATTCTGTGGCTTATCTAGTCTATCGGTAAAGTTATCCTTGAGAGAGAGTAATAGATAAAGTAAATAAAACAATCATTGATTCGATTTGATTTTGATTCGATTTCGATTTCGATTTGATTGGCGAATCAGTGTTTAGTTTTTGTTTGATCTACATACTACTTTATCAATAATACCATCGACTACATCAACGATCGATGGGAAACGTTCAGAGATTTCATCGACATCGTCGACATCGATGTTTGAGAAGAGATTGTCTTGATTCTTGGGATCCTCTGCGTTCACAAAGTTTTGAGTGAGATTCAATAGACGTTTGCCAAAGTCATTCATTTTATTCTTAAATGCAGGATAAGTGGAGTAGTAGGAATGATCCTCCTCCACTGGAAGTTGATTCGATATCTTTATCGCAGAGATCAAATTGCCATAGAGATTCTTTTGAAACGATTCCAATGTATCCGATGTAATCAATGTGCCACCACCAACAATATTACTATTACTATTGCTGCTACTACTACTAGATAGTGATGATGACGAAGCTCTATTATTATTATTTAACATGCTAAATATTCTATTTCTATTCTTTTTTTTTTTTTTTGTTTTTTCAAATTCTTTTTTCTTCTTTACAAAATCAAAAAAAAAAAAAAAAGGAAAAATACTTAAAAAAATAGATATAAACTTAAAAATAAATAGATTATTTACAATATATAAATATATAAATAAATAATATAAAAAGATAAATATGAATTATAAATTATCTATCTTTTGTAATTTTTTAAAAAAATATGAATATAAAAAAAAAAAAAAATGTTGCATAAAATTTTTTTGTCGAAAATTTTCAAATTTTTGATAACCGTTAATTTTGTTATTGTGTTGTTTGGCAAATTAAAGGAAGTTCGTTAAAGATTGATTAAACAATATGAAGTTTGTTATATATGTTATGTTTGTTGAATAATAAAATAAATGATATAATTTCTTAGTTTAAATTATTTTTATTTTTATTTTATTATTATTTGTTGTTTATCTACCAACTTTAACGAGTTCAACGTCGAAAATAAGAGTTGCATTGGGTGGGATACCTGGGACACCTTGTGAACCGTAACCCATTGAAGCTGGGATGGTAAGACGACGCTTACCTCCGACCTTCATACCTTCGACACCGACATCCCATCCCTTGATGACTTCACCGACACCGAGTTTGAAGGTGAATGGCTTGACGAGCGACGAATCGAATTTCTTTCCGTTTGTCAACTTACCGAGGTACTTGACAGATACCTTTTGACCTCTGGTCGCTTGGAATCCAGATCCAACAACTACATCCTCCATGATCAAACCACTTGGTAATTTCTTAATAGCTGGTTCAGCCTTCTTTGCTGGTTGTTCGACTTTCTTTTGTTCTACTGGTTTTTGTTGTTCGACTTTCTTCTCTGGTGACTTGGCAGCAGCTGGCTTGGCTGGTGGAGCGGCTTCGACAGCCTTCTTTGCCTTCTTCTTGGCGGCCTGGGCGGCAGCTTCCTCCTCTTGCTTTCTCTTCAATTGTCTCTTGATTTCCTCTTCGTCGATCTCCTCCTCTTCGTCGTCGTCTTCCATTTCGAGCTCTTCGTCTTCCTCTTCGTCTTCACCGTCCTCACCGAATTCGTCGTCTTGACCACCGTCCATCGAGGAAATGAAGAAACCAGTCAAGTGGATGGTTTGACCAGCACCCTTGACTTGGAGAGTGATCTCCTTGCCCTCTTCGAACACCAAATCCAAGCTGGTCGACTCCAAGCCACCGAGCTTCAAGGAGCACAACGAATACTCCTTACCATCATATTTAACAACTAAAACGTTACGATCAGTACCGGTAGCATCGACAGACAAACATGCAGATGTCAAATGTGCATCGTATGGTGGTGCGAAACTGATTGCTTTATTTGAAACTTCAATACCTATATTATAATTACCAATTAAATTTAAATAGTAATTAATATTAAGTTATTGACTACTAATTGAAATAAAAACAAAAACACACTTACCCCAAAACATTTTTATTATCTATATAATTGTATAGCTCTTGAGCAAAAGGACCTGTAAAAAAAAAAAAAAAAAAAAGAGAATAATTAAATTTGGATTGAAAAATGGATGAGAGAATTAACGACAAAAAAAAGCGCAAAAACCAAAATTTATTTAAATCGACAAAAAAAAAACGAGAAACTAAAGATAGTTATTTTATTTGTAAATATATGTTATTTTTAACATCACTTATCATAATATCGATATTTCCAAGATGAATAGAAAACAAAAAAAAAGGAAATAATAATGATTATTTGGAGTTATTTTTAGGAGTTTCAATATTCCATCCAAAACAAATGAACACATTTAACTGTTTTTACAATTTAATTAATTTAATCATCAAAAAAAGAAAATAAATAAGAAAAAGATATTTGTTTTTTTTTTTTTTCTAAAAAATAATATTATTTTTTTAATTTTATTAAAATTTAAATTTAACCAACTAAAGATTCATTGAATTGTGATGAAATTTGATTGAGTTCAGTAATTAAATATTGGAATCTGTCCAAGTTGGTCTCTCTGAAAGCGGTCTTTGAAAGATGCTTTGGATAGTGTTGTTTTGATTTCTTGTGGACTAAGACGTGCTTTGGAAGATGGTTGGATGAGGAGTGCTCCATGATGTTGTCGGCCTTGAGGAGGGTGATATTCTTGTTGTGCTTGAAACTCTTGATGATTGGACGAGCTGCCTTCTTGTGGAGGTTTGAAATGGAGAGAGTACGGACTGCTGTGTTGCTCTGGATGTACTCACAGATTGTTGGAAGCAAGTCTTCGTGGTAGTTGAGTGAGAGACGTTGGACGTTGCTGCATGACTCCAATTGAGTGATTAGTGGAACCATTTCGGCTGGGTTGACGTCTTCGAGTGTCAATCTTCTGAGACTGGTCATTGATTTCAAGACTGGTGAGAGTTGCTCGAATTTCAATGGGAAGTTCTTGAGTTTGAGAGTTTGGAGTGATCCGGCCAACAATTGGAGATCGCTGTAGAAAGCAGACTCTGCAGAGATGGAAATGGTGGTTTGGTTGTTGTGGATACGGGCGCAACCGTCGATCGACAATCTTGTCAAGTTGGAGAGATTGGTAAAGAATGGCTCGGACTTTTGTTGCATTGGGTAGAGATTGACAAGGGTGAGATCGGTCAAACTTGGAAGCTCTGAGAGACATGGTTTCAAATCGAAATTGCTCTTGAAGAGTACGTCGTCAAACAAATAGAGCTTGGTGAGATTTGGTGCTTGACTGGCGAGACTCATTGGCTTTTTAATGGAATTGATAATTGGATTCGATTTGGACGAGGTGGTGAGTTGGTTGTCAGCAGTCTTCTCTTGGTTTTCGGCTTGATTTGGTTTGTTCAATAGATATGGCTCAAAGTAGGTGAGATTGGCAGCGATCGACAAGGAAAGAACGTTTGGTGGGATTGGTTGTGGATTCTTCAAGTAGATATTATCACTGAGTGCTTTGAATGAGAAGTGAGTGATTGTGGTGTTACGTGCCAACAAACTACCGATCTTGAGAACCAATACTTTCTTTGGATTGTAGGAGGAGTAGATACGGAATTTGTTGATCTTGATTGGGACCAATGGTTTGAGACTGCAATCGAGTGGCAAATTTACAAGGGTGAGTGAAACCATTGGCATGAATTCACTTTGGAGCATCAATTTATTGTCTTCAACCCATTGGTGGTGACTGAATTTGGCCTTGGCGTCGGCCTTGGAGAGACTTCCATCTTTGGAATCCATAGAGTCGATCGAGGTGTTGGAAGAGGATTTTTTCAATTTTCCATTTGACTTGGTTGGGAAGATGACAGTGATTTTCTGTAGAGACAAATACTTGAGGAAAGCATAGGAGTTTGGATCGTAGTGAACGTCCTCAGCCAAAAAACGTCTGAGGGTGACATTGTAGAAGCTGAGTGAGTTGGAAGTGGACAAAAATGTCAATTGGGTGAGTGAACGATAAACAATAAATTTCAACCAATAGGAGCAAACCAAAGAGAGTGACAATGGATTCCATTTGGATTGATGGAGTTTCATTGTGAAGGAGAGGTAACTGACAACCTCCCTCAAAACAACGTCTGGAACACCACATTGATTATTATTAATTCTACCAATATGATTGAAAGTAGTGATACTATCTTTACTGTTATTTAATGATGAATGTTTGGATCCCATTTTTTTATTATTATTATTAGATTTTTTTAAAGTGTTAAAAGTGTGTTTTTAGATTTGGAAATTTGAAAAAAAGGTTTTAAATTAAACGGATGATAAAAATAAAAAATAAATATTTATAGATATTGTGGAGATAAATAATTTAATTTCGAAAAATAGAGATAAGAAAAAAAAAGATATTTTATTTATAAAAAGAAAAATTAATTAACAAAAAGTATTTAAAAAATAGATAGATAAACTAATTGAAAAAAAAAAAAAAAGATAAGAATCTTGAAAATTGTAAATAAATATTCGATTGGGTAGTTCTGGAATATATATATATATAAATATAAAATAATTAATATATTTTATATTATGGGGGAAAAACAAATAATTTGAAAATTATTATTTGTAAGTAGAGGCTATAAATTATTATTTATATATGTTTGAAATGAAAGCTTTGAGTATTTATAAGTGAATGGTTTCTGCTGTTGTGTCCATGGTAGAACTGGTTGACAACTTTTGAAAATCAATATTTGCAACCAAACTTGGCTGGCGTGTGTGGGGATTTGTAAAGTTATTTTAAAATCAATGAGAGCTCTATGTTAAATTGCGAAGCCTAAAGACTTAAGCATTATTATTTCGAAATACTAGTAGCAAAAACTCTATAATGTTTTGACTTTAGAGTCACGTGTTCCTTTTTTTTTAATGCTGAATTTTAGATCGTTGCTCAAAAATAGGTGATTCATTTTTATCACCAAAATCTCACACTAAAATTAGTGAAATTCAGTCAAAATTTTTAAAAATCTTGAATTGATTGGATTGGGTATTTTGATTTTTTACAAAATTTAAGCAAAATTCAATCAACTTGAATCATATTGTTTTTCATCACCCCTGATTCTGATCATGTAAATCATGCCCTCGTTAAAACCAAAAATCAAATGGGGGAGTTTGAGAGTACCCAAAACTATTTGTCAGAATTGACTATTTAGATAAAAACATCCTCAATTTGTTAATAATCGAATTTCACTCTAACAATTTAAATCATCCTAACCAAATTGCTAAAAAACAAAAAAATATCAATTGATTTTAATTACTATGATGATTAGTATTCGAATCAAATAATTAAAATCGTACAATACAAAAAAATATTAACCGACAACTAAATCAAATCTTTTTTTTTTTTTTTTACTTTTTTTCTTTTTGTATTTTTTTGCTAGATGATCAGATCTCAATAAACGAGATTAAGTAAGTCTTTAATTTTATTGTTACAAAACACTGAAGTACGACGACTGTTGTTCATTGTTGGGTTAGTGGTTGTAGCACCGATGTCGTGTGCATAATATATATGGTCAATCAAAACCATATGTTTATATTAAAGACGATTTGATTTTGATTGCCCATTTTCTTGATCATCAAACACCACCAACCATAAAATTAAACTAAAGCCACCCCACTTTTCTATAAAAGTACATAACCGAATATTTACAATCACACAAACAAACAAACACACACAACTATTTAATTAAATAATCATTTTGATTGTTCCTATCAATTTGATAATAAAAGTTCTCGTTCATTCGTTCGTTTACAACTTATCATCATATAATAAGTTTAAAGCAAATATTTTTTTGATCGTCGTTTGTTTATTTTATAGATTTATAAAGTGTGTTAGAATGAGTGTGTGTGGTGTTCGTGGGTATCTATCAAATAAAAAGAATGAAATGATCATCCTTCAATCAGGATATTATTATTTCGGTTTTATTCTTTCGTTTGTGTACTTTTATGGAAGTGCTTGCTGGACAACAATGACCACATTGCAACATGTTTACTTGTTAAGTTATTTTATCTCTAAAATGAATCTATATTACGAATCTGCAATTCGGTCAGTCGGTTTTTCATACTCATTTTAATAGCTATCTATTTGAAATTGATTGATTTCTAATTTATTGATTGAATCTAAATAAAAAGATGCATACGTAGATACTTTTAAACTAAAGATATAAATAGATAATAAAGTCTTTTTAAATTTAAGAAATTTCTTTAAATAAATCTAAATTGTCCAATGGGATTCAATCAAACAAAAAGCATCAAATCAAATCCCAATATTTTAATTAAAAAGATATAATAAGATCCTATTTATAACATTAATAAATCGTTATATTAAATAAATATTCATATTTCCCCAATGAAAAGATAAATGATATTTCTAAACAAAATTCTATTTTTAGTTGTTTTTATTAAAATTTATTATTATTATTATATTTTTATTTATTTTTGGTGATAGTTTGTATTTCTCTCTTTTTTAAAACAATAATAAAAATCATTTGAACAAATAAATAAAATAGAATGTGATTTGAATATGATAAACAAATTAAATAAATTAAAATGTGTTATTTTGTCGTTCGTTTTGTTAAAAATTTCAATTTTTTTAAGAACTTTTTTTATTTTTATTTATTTTTATTTTTTAATAAAATTTGTAGATAGTTAAGTTATAAGTTATAGATATATATATATATTTAGAATATAGAATGGTATGTTCTTATCTAATGAATATTTAGTTTGTTTATAAATAAACAACTTTTAGAAGAGCTTTGTTTTCTAATAAAAATAAAATGTTGTGTTGTGTTGTTTTCTTATAAATATATATAGAAAATTAAAGTTATCTCTAGATCAGAGGAAGATCATACAAAAGAAGTCAGTACAGATGCAAGAAAACTACAGAGAAATTTAGATCCATTGATGCATCCTTTCGAGAGACCACGTGAATACGTTAGAGCATTGAATGCCGTAAAGTTAGATAAAGTATTTGCAAAGCCATTCATTACATCGTTGCACGGTCACACCGACGGTATCTTTACAATGATAAGACATCCAACCCAAGTAAATTGTTTCGCATCCGGTTCATGTGATGGTGTTATAAAATTATGGAATCTATCAACAATGTAATTATTATCATCTATAAATACAAACAAACAAACAAACAACACAACATTTATCTAAATACTGATAAATATTATCTGAATATATATATAGGAATGAAAGAACAACTATTCAATCACATGATGGTTTTGTAAGAGGAATTTGTTTTACTAATAATGGAAGAAGTATAATATCGTGTGGTGAAGATCAGACTATAAAGATGTGGAATCTTACACTGCCAGAGTACGAGTCGGAGCAAGACGTTGCTTCGATCTTCAAGGGAAAGAGTTCGTTCACTTCGATCGACCATCAACTGAATTCGACGACTTTTGCAACTTCGAGTGTCAACGTCGAGGTCTGGGATCACAATAGATCGACGCCACTACAGAGCTTGTCATGGGGACACGCCTCTGTCACAAAAGTACGATTCAACCCGATCGAGTACCACTTGTTGTCGGCGTGTACAAGCGATCGTGAGATCATTCTCTACGACATTCGTGAGAGTACCCCAGCGCAAAAGTTGATTACCAAGATGCGTACGAACGCGACCGCTTGGAATCCGCGTGAAGCCTACATGATTGCACTGGCCAACGAAGATGAGAATTGCTATCAATACGATATTCGTAATCTCAAGAAGGCGGTATGTGTCTATCGTGATCACGTCGGTTCGGTGTTGGACATTGACTTCTCGCCGACCGGTACAGAGTTTGTCACTGGCTCATACGATAAGACCATTCGTATCTTCCCAGTGGAATCATACTCATCGCGTGAAGTCTACTTTACCAATCGTATGCAACGTATCTTCTCAGTACTCTACACAGCCGACAGTAAATTCATCATGTCTGGTAGTGACGATATGAATATTCGTGTTTGGAAGTCAAAGGCATCGGGTGCTCTCGGTATAAAGTCGGCCAGAGAGAAAGAGAAACTCGAATATCAAGATAAATTGAAAGAGAAGTTTAAAGAAATTCCACAGATTAAAACTATTGCACAGTAAGTTGAGTTGTTAATAGATAGGATTGATTTAGAGTGTGTTTCACTAACATTTTTTTCAATTGTGTTATCATAAATATAGACATAGAAGAGTACCAAAAGCAATTTATAAGAAGAGATATCTAAAGAATGTCATGCACAACTCACAACAAAGAAAGATAAAGAACGAAGGAAAGACACCATCAAAGAAAAAGAGTGTTGCAGAGAAGAAGAAATTGTTACAGGAAGCAAATGTTGTTGTAGAGAAATAATAGCATCATTTTATTTATTAATATTTTCGAAATAAATTAATCATTTCACAATCATGAGTTTCCACCATCATTTTAAACTTTAATATTTATTTATTCGAATAAGTTTTTTCAAAATTTTTTTTTTTTTTTTTTTTATGATCAATTTTTTTTATTATTGATTTGATTCACTCAGCAATAATTCTTTAGTTCATCATTACAAATGGATAAAAGTTATGATGATTTTAAATTCAATTTCGACCATGTTCTCGTTAATAATCAACAATATGAATTAGTGTCAAGATTTCCAAACAGTAACGCTATCAATGATGTATATTTAGTGATAGGTCCTGACCAAAGATTAGTAGGTTATTTAATTCTTAATTAAAAAAATATAATGTAAAACTTACAAAAAATACAAAGTATGTTTATAAAAAGATAAACTATAAAAATATAGAGTTCAAAGACTATCCAAAAACTTATAAAAGAGCGTTGAATGAGATCAAAGCATTGAAACTATTCAAAGGTAATCGAAAATTTGTTCAACTTGTTGATTATCATGATGATAAATACAATCAAATCTTTCATGTTATCACTGAATACTGTAAAGGTGGTGATCTTTCTCAAAATTATAAGAATTTGACTGACTCTAACCTGTATGTAAATAGAAAAAGCCCATATAAAATTATTTACTCAATTGGAAGATTCTGTAATAGAATACAACTAATTAATTTATTAATAGAATCTTTAAGGAAACAGAAATTAGGGATTTTATTTTACAACTTTTCAATATTCTTGTGGACCTTGAAGAACATAGAATTGTTCATTGTGATATAAAGCCATCAAACATTTTTATAGTGGAACATAGACTAGTACTTGGTGATTTTGGAAGTTGTACATTTCTAAATGAATCACCAATTATTGAATATCATGTCACAAGTGAACTGCGCAGTCTTGAAACAATTGATTTGATTTTGAATGAATTATCAGAGCCAACCAAGATTGGATCCGGAATACTTGCCAGTCGTGGAACTATCGGTTATATTGCACCAGTAAGTAAAATTTATTTAATTAAATATTGCTACATTTATTAACAAAAAATATCATGATATCTTTGACAAACAGGAAGCAATGTATAAACAATATTCTCAATCTTGTGATATCTATTCAATTGGATCAACAATTCTCAAATTATTATCTTGGTAATTATTTTAAAAATATTATTATATTTTAATATATTAACTCAATATTGTTGTTTATCAGTCATGAAGATGATAGAAATAACCATCGAATATTTCAAATGAAAAGTGAAATTAAGATTTCAAAAGAAAGATATTCAAAACTATTATTTGACTTTGTTCATCGCTTGTTGGATCAGAATCAGAAGAATAGAGAATCATTGCATCATTTAGATAATTATATTGAAAATATCGACAACAAAAATTCATTTACAATCAATTATAATATTCCATTAGAAAGTTCTCTAATGAATCAAGCAGAAATAGTTTTTGGAGAGAGAGATAATAATCAGCCAGTGCAATCAAATACATTCCGACCTAATCTTAGAGCTTTGACGTTCGGAGATTCATTCAATCAACAAATACCAATATGTACACTACCTAAAACACTTGAATATCTATCATTTGGTCGATATTTCAATCAACAGTTGAAATTAGGAGCGTTACCAGATTCTCTTTTATCATTGGACTTTGGGTATGGATTCAATCAAATTTTTACAAAAGGGGTGTTACCTTCATCATTAAAGTTACTGACAATGGTGGGCTACAACCATAAAATTGAAATAGATTGTCTACCACAACAACTTGAATATCTAGAACTAAGTTTGTATAATCAAGACATTGAGACATATGTCTTACCAAACACACTCAAATCATTAACTCTTGGCACGTTCGAGACTTTTCCAAATGGTTTCAATCAACAATTGGCTGTTGGAGTACTTCCAAAATCTCTTCAGGTTTTACGTTTAGGTTCTTTTACACATAAATTAGAAATTGGTGTTTTACCGACTTCATTGACTTCACTTACACTCTCCAGAAATTATGACCATATCTTTCAACAAGGAGTATTTCCAAATTCACTTAGATCATTAACTATTGATGACTACTCACAACCTATTTGCATTGGTGTTCTTCCATCATCACTACGAGATATATGGTTTGTGGGTGAATTTGATCAAGATTTTTTTGTTCATCAAAAGTCAAGTAAACCAAAAGATGTTTCGGACAATGACATTAAAAACAAAACAATAGAATTACCACAATCGCTTGAATCACTCATTATTGGTGTTTATGACAGGGAGAGAAAAATGCCTTCGAATCTAAAGACACTCCTCATATTTGGTGCAAAGATGGTAGTTGAAGTTTTTAAATTAACAGATTCTCTTGAGTCGCTCCAATATATTCGAGAATATCATCCAGAATATGCAATGCCAAACATTGATTCTCCAATCAATCAAATTTCAGGAGAAAACATAACTGCACTACTTCTATCGGGATATCGTAGTTAGAATAAAAGACATTAAAAAAAACTAATAAAAGAATCTTTAGATTCATTCTAATTCATCTGTATAATATCACTCGGTCAAGATTGAATGATTTATTTATATCTATGATTTTAACTTTGATTAATTCAATATGATATATTATTTTTAAAGACGTTCTCATAGTTCTAGTCTTGGAGTTGAACCGTCAACTCCAATATCAAGCACATACAGTGAATGTTCGCAGAATTGGAACACACTTCTTATCTTTGTGATTCTAGAATCATGCTCTTTATTAATAAGAATCATAATAATAATAAACTTAAAGAGTTAAAGGTCTAATATAATATAATAAACATTCAATATATTTACATTTGAGTTTGTCTATCTTCTAATTCATCTCTTATTATATATACCATCCCAAGTCTTGGAAAAAAAAAAAGAACTTCAGAAAAAAAAAAAGTACTGATTTGTAAAAAAAGGTTTTTGATTTTGGATTCCTCCCCATGATTTGCTATGCACTGCATTTTGGTCTACATGCAGAAACCCCGCCTTCTTTTCTTCCACAATAACTATTCTTTATTAAAATGACGCGCTTTGCAACTCCAACATTAAAAGCAGGAAACTATGTTTGAGAAACTTCGAGAGGCAATCGAGGCCAACTCTAATATGAGCAAGCCAACAACCTTTTCTTCTATACCATGGCAAGGAAAGCTATGATTTGTTTATGAAACAATTAAAACCATTAGTTGATGTAATAAATAAATGGGTAAAAGAAAAGAAGATTGCTGTGGGTGGACATACTACAAAGTTGGCATAGTCTTTGTCAATGATTACAAGTGTTTCACTGAGTTGCAAGGTCTAGAAGAAGTGTTCATCCAAAGCTGTTTTTTAAATGCATGTGGTGTAATTTGGACGACATCGAATTGTTTGTGACAAATGAACAAGGGGCAATCGACATTTGGAGTCTCTTAAGAGACTACAGTTCAAATGTAGAGGTTGACGATGTCAAGTTCAAACTTGAACCTCCAGGTAGTAAGATAGTTGGTCACGATGAACATATGATGCCAGTCTTTTCACCGAAAGCATTGAAGGATCTTGGTGGAGAAGTCAATGGTAAGCTATATGGCCAAGTGCAACCTCCTGTTTTCGAATGTTATTCAAAGATACAGTATCCTTGCATTCTGCATGTTCATTGCCCTGTTCAAACAGATGTTTAAGAATACGGTGTTGTATTCAACCACAGACAGTAAACTTCGGTATGACCAAGCCAACGCTACTATAAAAGAAACAAACTTGCCAAATGTTACTTACAATGATGATTGTACTGATACTATACCACATGAAAATCAATGCTCATCTGACCAAGTTTTAGAAATTTATACATCTGATAGTAATAATTTAACAAGTTCATTTTCAAAAAATTCTACCAATAAACGTAAACGATAATTAACTTTTAATACAATCTATCTTTTGTTCTTGGGGAGTAGAAAAAAATTGAACTTTTTTTTTTTTTTTTTTCTCGCACTAATTTTTTGAAGGTGGAGGTTTTCTCCATGAAAACCAAAAATGCTGTGTGAATACTATCTACTTATTTAATTCTGTTAAAAAAATGGATAAGAGTGTAGAGATAATAGATTGTAATACATTAATAAATGGAAGAAATATCTTTAAATTTATAAGTGATTATAATTGTGGTGCAACAATTCTAATACAAAATCATTTGAGGGATATAGGTAGAGAAATACACAATAACACGAAAATAATTGGGAATTTTGCTTTTGGAGTTAAAGACTTTATTATACCTGATATAGTCGACATTCAATATCGCTTAATAATAATAAGACCAAATAAATCGATCTTCACAAAGTTATGCAGCAAATCACATTCATATACAATCAATATTAACGGAATTGATGGTGATATAAATAATGTATCAAATACACACAACGATTCACAGCAAAATCATATCATCAATATAGATGGTGAGATGAACAGCGTATCAAAACCATATAACAATTCACAACAAATTCATATCATTAATAATAAAAGTTATCGTACATTATCACAATTTCCCAGTAACAATGATGTTTATTTAGTTGAAAGTAAAGATACAGAAAACAAACAGCTTTTGGTATGTCTTTTTTTAATTATGATATTTTCACTGGTTACTAATTCAACTTTATGAAAATATAAGTATGTATACAAAAGAATTAGTTATAAAAATAGTCAAGTAATATATAATAGAACATCTGAGGAAATCAGAGCAATGAAACTACTCAAAGGTAATCGAAGATTTGTTCAACTTGTTGATTATTATCATGATCAAAACAATCAAATCTTTCATATTATCACTGAATACTGTAAAGGTGGTGATCTTTATCAAAAACATAAGCATTTGACTGACTCTAACCTGTACGTAACTGGTATTTTGATCTATTTCACCCACAACTAACCTATTTATAACAGAATATTTGAAGAACCAGAGATTTGGGATTTTTTAGTACAACTTTTCAATATTCTTTTGGATCTTGAAAAGCATAGGATAGTTCACAACGACATTAAACCATTAAACATATTCATTGAAGGAGATCTTCGAAATTGGTCATTGATACTTGGTGATTTTGGAGGTTGTCTATTTCCTCCAAAAGGGCAAACCATTGCGAATGAAATTGCTCAAATCATTGAAGATAACTGTGTGATTCCGAAACAGCAAGATAATGATTTATTAAGTGTCTTTACTCCTAATTCAACATTGAAATCAGTTATTTATGGAACTCCTGGATTTTTAGCACCAGTAAGTAAAATTTATTCAACTGAATTCGTTAGATATCTAACAAAGTAAATACAAAAAGGAAACAACAATGAAACAATATAATCAGGGATCTGACCTCTATTCAATTGGTGCGACAATTCTTAAATTATTAACAAGGTATTTATTCATTAACTAGCTTTTTTTTTTTCCCTAACTCAATATTTATATATATTGTTGATCAGTCATCCAGATGAGAACAAGAATCATAGGGTTACTGAGTATTATACTCAAATCCTGGAATCAAAAGTTCCCTCCATTTCAAAACGTATAGTTTTCATTTCAAAAGAGAGATATTCAGAAGATTTGGCCAATTTTATTAGTCTACTATTAGATCCGAATCCAAAGAATCGAGAATCTCTAAAAGGTTTGCTAAGCCAATATATTAAAAGTATCACCTTCAATAATATAATTAAATTTGATTTAAATATTAAATTCGATTATAATTCCATTTTAATGAATACTCAAAATATTACAACAATCATATTTGGTGACCAATTTAATCAGCAATTACATGGAAATTCACTCCCACCCAACCTTATATCATTAACATTCGGATGTTCATACAATCGACCAATACCTATCGGTGTACTTCCCAAGTCTCTTGTATCTCTATCATTCGGCGAAGATTTCAATCAAAAATTGGAGCCTGGAGCGTTACCAGATTCTATTGTAACATTGAGGTTTGGGTATGGATTCAATCAAGTTTTTACAAAAGGAGTGTTGCCTTCATCACTAAAATCATTGACAATGGGTGGCTACAACCATGAACTTGAGGGTAATGAACTACCACAGCATCTTGAAGAGCTGGAGTTAAGTTTTTATACTCAAAGCATTCAAGCCGAGGTATTTCCAAGCACAATCAAATCATTAACTCTGGGTACCTTCTCAAATGGTTTCGATCAACAATTGGCTGTTGGTGTGCTACCACAATCTCTTGAACGTTTAAGATTTGGTTCTTTTAATCAAAAGATTGGTACAGACGTTTTACCAAACACACTTAAAACATTATCTTTCGATAGGAACTTTAATCAGCCATTTAATATTGGAGTTTTACCGCCTTCATTAGAGTCACTTTCCCTGCCTCCAAATTATAACCATGTTTTTAAACAAGATGTACTGCCACATTTAATTAAGTCATTAAATTTAGATGACTATTCACAACCGATTGGCATTGGCGTGCTTCCATCATCCCTTTTACAAATAACGATATTACAGTATTCTCGGTCAACTAATCAGAATTTTGACTCTGGTAAACGGCAAATAGTTTTGCAAAATAATAGAATACCATTACCAGAATCACTTGAATCAATCATAATTGGCGTGTATAAAGATTTTAAGAAACAAGGAATATTACCAAAACTAGAAGGTCTCTTAATTAATGGAGATGGACAGTTTTTGGAAGCTTTGAAATTAACAGATTCTCTGGAGGAGCTTCAATTTATTCAAGACTATTATCCAGAATATGCAACAAATATTATCAATTATTTATCAAAATCTCCAAACTATCAACTTCAAGGAAAAAATATTATTGCTTTACTTGTTTTCAAATACGAAATAAATAAAGATTAAATAATGTTCTATTAATGATTAGACTATTTATATTTAAATCTTTATATCATCGCTTAATTTTCACCAGATTTATCCGAATTAATAAAAAATTAAATATTTCAATAAAAGACAGGTAATTGTTTAAGAATTTGAAGGGGGTATTAAATAATACAGGTATTTATTAGGTTTAAGTTTTAATTTTTAATGAGGCGCGATTTAGGGCCTTCGAGTGAAGAGTTTTTTGGTTTGAATATTATTATTGTAAAAAAAAAAATTATATTATATATATATTGATTAAATAAATAAAACACTTAAGCATAGTGTGGTGCATTGAGGAAAAGTGAAGTGAGGATGGCAGCGATGGCACCGGCAATTGGGATGGTAAAGATCCAAGCCAAGAGCAAGAGACCAACACGTTGGAAGTTGACAGCCTTGAATGTACCGTTACAAAGACCGACTCCAACTGTGGCACCAGTAATGGCCATAGAAGTAGAGACTGGAAGAGCGAATTGAGAGAAGATGAGAATTGTGATAGCAGCACCCATTTCCATGGAGCAACCCCTGGATGGCGAGTGATAGGTGAGTTTGTTACCCATGACCTTCATAATGTTGTAACCGTAAGTGATGAGACCAATTGAGATACATCCTGCGAGAACAGCCAATTGCCAGATTGGAACTTGCGAGCTGGATCCAGCAACCTTTCCAGTTGACCAACAGTAGTATATGACAGCCCATGGACCGACAGAGTTTCCGATATCGTTGGCACCGTGAGCAAAAGAAGCGGTACAGGCAGTGATAATTTGAACGAATGAGTAGGTGTGTTCGACTTCATTTGGATACTTGGTGGCGGCGTCGTATACACGTTTCATACGTTCACCCTCTGGAGTACCGGCGATTGAAGTTTGGGCGGCATGGATATCGTAGTGGAGACCGTAGAGAGCACCACAGACAATCATGGCTGGGACACGCTTGCAGATGGCCTTCAAGTTGTGCTTCTCGTAGATTTGACCTTCACCCATTGGATTTTCGTGGAGAGTACGCATGGCCCAACCGAGTGGTCCTTTTTGTCCACGGAGCTTAGTGTGCAATCTGTCCTTTCCTTCTTGGATGAGTTCTTTAGTGGTCTTGGTGATTGGAGCGTTGCTCTTGTCAATCTTGACTTCGTTGCTGCTCTCGGCCAACTCAAGATCCTTTGAATCGACACCATCATCCTCAGCCTCTTCATCTTCTTGAACGACAGCATAGTTTGGAACTTTGACGGCACCAGTGATGGCTGGGGTTGGACGTTGGAGGAGGAATGGACCCAAGAATACGTGATACCATCTGATGGTGTGATCTCTCTTGATCATCTTGCAGTGGAGGTATGGGACAAAGAACAAAGCAGAGAGTACGAAAAGACCAGCTCCACAACCGAGAGTGACCGCAGTGATGTAAGCGGGTGGCTTCTTGTTGAGACCGAGTGCTGGTGAACCCTTGTAGACGATCGAGAGTGAACAAATGGTACCGGTGATGAGGAAGAAGAATGGTGAGGTGTAGACAGCCCATGGAAGTGGATCCTTACGAATCAAAACGACACACTTGATCAACATAAAGATGATGGCGGCGAAACCAGCCGAAGCAAGTGGAGCCATACCGAGACCGGCAAAGATAGCACCAAGACCCTTTCCTTTATTCCATCCCCATTGTACCTTTTTCCAACCGACGGTGGCAATACCGACACCAGCAATCGAAGAGATGAGTGAGTAGGTGGAGGAGACGTGAGCAGAGTGACGAGTACACCAGAGAACCCAAGCAGAGGTGGCAGCAAGAGCACAAGTGAAAGCAAGCATTTGAACACCAGCATTACCTTGGAAGGCTTCTCCTGGAATGATACCACTCTTGATTGTTTCAGCAGTACGAGCACCTACAAGAATAGCTCCCAACATTTCGAAAATGGTACCCAAAACCATTGCTTGACGATAGGAAATTGAACGTGAAGAAACACTAGTTGCCCAAGCGTTGGCAACATCATCTATTATTATTAATTAAATAATAATTTTTATTTGTTAATAAAATGTTTTTAGATGGTATTAATTATTTTAAATAACATTCTACTTACTAGAACCGTTGTTGAAAGCATCAAGCATAGCCAGGATTGTACCAATGGCAAAGACATAAGTAAAGTCATGTACCATCTTTTTGAGAGTATATTATATTAATGTAGATTTAAATGGAAAAAAAGAGAAAAGATATAAAGATATATATAAAAGAAAAAATAAATATTTAAAAGTTATAAAAAGTTGATCGTTGTTTAGTTTGATGATTTGAAATGAGAGAACTGACTGCCATTTTATATCTCTACAACTTGGGTGGTGGTGACAGAGAAACTCAAGAGCGGAACTACACACGATAATTAAAAATAAATATTTGGGTTATTGATGTGTGTGTGTGTAGGTGGGTGCAGAAGTAGCCTTAACAAAACATCTTAGTCAAATTTAGTTGTGTTTAGAGGGGTAGACTCATCTTTGCTCTGTTGATTCTCTGAGTTACTTTGAACAAAATGAGTTATTGGGTTACTATTGAGTGATCAATCAATCGATTGATTATTAATATCTTTTAGAGTCAGTCACCGACAAAAGGTAGTGGGCAGGTGTTAAAGTTTCAGTCCGATGACGCGCCTCAATATAATAATTGGGTGAGGTCTATTTTTTTAAAAGCATACAAACATTGACATTATGTGGTTTGGCTTGTGATTCAATGTTATCTAACGCAGTGGGGGTACCAATATTTTTATTTGCACGGCTCCATTTTCGTTGTAAAGTTTCGTGGTGTTTCAGTGGCAGTCGATGAAAAAAAGAAAAAAAAAGAATATTATTTATAAAATTGTTTTGACTTGTTGTTATTGTTTTTTGGGAACCATTGGAATGATTTTTTTTTTTGATTTTACAAAATAAATGGGCAACCACATCAACAAACATCCACTTTTTGTTTTTTTTAACATAAAAATCTTTTTGCGGCATAAGAGAGACATAATAAAAAAAAACACAATTGCAATAAAGGGCTTTGGAATGAAAAGATTCAATCACCAATAATATGTTTTGTTTTTTTTCCGAAGAGGGGGAGAATTTTCTCAATAACTATTATAAAAACCAAAAAATATTTTAAATTTAATAGGTACCAAGTGTGTTGGATACAATCAATTCAATTGAGATCAAAGATGTAGTTATTTTAGAACATGTTTTTTTTGTTTCTTAATTATTAATATTTTTGTTATGTTTTTGGGTGGGAAGTTAGCACTTTAAAATGGGTATTGTGGGTTGAGATTTGGAGTGTTCCATTATATAGTAAGGTAATGCAAGTTAAAGATTAAACTTTGTCTTGCAACTTTTCATTTGCACGATAGGTTAGTTCGGAGATTTTCAGGTCACATCGGAACATGTGACTATCGTTCGGTGTAAACCAACAAGATATTATTTATTTTAGTTATGAATTTTCAGACGATAAACCCGAATTCAGTTGAGGTGTGTGGTTTGAACCTTAACACGATTCAATTGGATATTCTGGGATTTTGATTTATCCAAATACTATTATATTCCAAATCAAATTTTAATTTAATTTATTTTTATTCTTAATATTTTAACAAATTTTCACAATTTTATTTTTATTCGATTATTTACTTTGCAAATGATTGTGGAATGTTTTTATTTATTTCCATTGTTATTATGATCAAATTTTGTATACAAACAATTTTATTTTTTCATTCTCTTGTTTGATAGTAGTTTAAAAAAAAAATTAGCCACGAAGCGTGAAATAATAATTAAATTTCTAATAGTCTAATCAGATCTATCACTTAAAGGTGTTTTAAATATGATTTAGAGATATAACATAGAATAACCAAACTTAAATGATTCAACGTTCGCTTAGTTCTAGATTCACCACATTCATCAAACATCCTGAATTAGTAATAGAGCTGATTCTCCGGGATTCAAATTCTTCAAATATTACTGTTTAGTTTAATAATTATACAGTTAGTTAAACAAGCTTATCAAAAATTTTAAAATTCGATTTATCACTATTTGGATTTAAAGTAAGAACATAGTGCAAAAACAAAATTGGTATTTGATTATTTATAGCCTATACTAGATCTTCCATATTCAAGTTATTTATGTAAAGATATTAATTGTTCTAAAATGAAAAACAAAGTTTGGTAGAAATAGAAATTTCAGATTACTACTTTAATAGTTATTATTGAATATAGAAAGAATAGAAATGGTTTTAAAAGATTAACTTTGGTCCACCCACCAAAAAATATTTATTCCACATAATTATTTTTGACAAACAACATTATACTATCATACCAATTACAAAAGTTTAAAAATAAAAAGAAAATATTAATCATACTTATTATCTTTACAAATTATTTAAACTATCTAAAAAAATGGTCATTTTCTACCGTATCATTTTTAATTTTCAGTGATAATTAAGGTTCGCAGATTTGATCACTACTAAACAAAAAATTGCAATCTTTTTCATTGCTATTCGTTAAAATGTTTAAAAACAACAAACATATATGTTTGACGACAACCAATTTATTTAGAAATCGTCAACATATCAACAAAAGTTTATACAATATATATAGTTTGAGTGTCATCAACAAAACTAGTAATAATAGATATTTAAATGGTGTTAGATTCTATAGTTCTGAGAAAAACAACGACGATGATCATGATCACAAGAGTAAAGTTTATCAATTGAGTCAACATATACTTAAAGAGAAATCGGATTTCGAACAGCAACAACAAGATCGTCAACAAGAAAGACAAAGAAACACATGGAAATCGATTATCATGAGAAATGCAATTTCTTTTGGTGTATTCGGTATATTTTCAATTGGTATTGCTGGTAAGTTAAACTACTATTTAATAATGATACAATTGTTCTTTTCTGCACAATCTAATTAATATTAATACTTACTTATTCATCAACTATCATAATCAATCAACATTTATTATTATTATATCGAATAGCTTACTTGGCAGGTGCAGATGATACAGAGTATATGATAAAATATGCAGATAGGGTATTGGACGAGATATCTAATTCCTCCGAATTCTCGATTGTCGAATCAAAACTAAAGTTACTCTCAGAGTGTTCATCGAACAACGATACAATCAAAAAGATACTCTCTTCAAAGAAGAATATCAATCAGTTACTCGATATCATTGAGAACTATTCAAACATGGATTTGAATATCTATGCTGTTAAGATCATTGAAAATTCATCACTATACAGTAGGTATTTCAGTAGATCCTATAGGTTAACAAAATAACTAATTAATTAACTTCTTTTTTTTAATGAACAATAGTAAATGATTTTAGTTTAATACCAAGAATTGTAAATCTATCGATGACATCATTCTTACCTGTGTATGTTAGAAAGTCATTGGGTATTGCCATTACCAGAATTGCAACTCATGAAGATGCAAGAGTATCACTTGCAAATGCAGGTGCAATCACAGCATTAGAGCAATTGAATTCTGTAAAGTTGATCAAATCTCAAGCATATAGAACTGCACTGTTGCTCATTTCAGATACATGCTCAAAACACATCGATCAACTCATTGTGACTGACGAAGAGCTTACATCGATCAAGAGTTATGCATTGGAGGAGAAAGAGATTCAATCTAGCACACTCCAAAGCACAAAGAGACAACTAGTGGAATCTGGTTGGTTACTGTACTTCCATACAAGTGCAGGTGGTTTCGTATGGGGTATGATTGAAAGCTGGAGAAATGTAAGTACTAACAATTACAAGATCTTGTTGTTTGAATATATATATTAATTTTAAAGATCGATCTTCATTCATTGTAGGAACTACCACTTAGAGCAATGTTAAAGAATGGATTTAGAACATCTATTGTAACAGCGGCAGTACCAATCTTTTTCGTTGGTGCAATGACTACTTTATATAATAACTATAGAAAACAATTGGATACTACAAAGGAGAAGTTCTACTTCTACTTGGCGGGAATCTACTCGTTATATCCATGGTACTATATTCTTCCAAAGATTGAAAAGTATGCACCCTATTGGATTGGTGGACATGTACTTGGATTCATGTCATTTTTCACATGGTTGGTCTACACCAAGAACGAGATTTTCAATAGCGATTCATTGATAATCCAAAAGGACAAAGCAGCACCACCACGCGAACAACTCATTAAAATGATGAAGAAAGAAAATCAAATGTTATTGATCGATCAACAACAAACACAACCTACTGATAATAACAAAAAGAAATAACAACTATAATAATAAAGAAAATTTTTAATAAAGATATTTTGTTACCATCATCATGATGACCTTACTTGATCATTAAGATGGTTCATCAGGTTTTTTTTGCTTTACCAATCTAGAATTTTTATAAAAAAATTTTATTCTTTTTTTTTTTATTGTTTAATAAAAGATATAATGAAAAGTAATAGTAATAGTAATAACAATAGTAATAATGAAAATAAATTAGTTCAATTACCATTTATATTATTAAGAAAAATAATAGAATGTTTAGCTTATAATATTGATAAGATTATCTTTACATTGACCTGTAAAAGGCTTTTTGAGATTAGAGATAGCTATCTTTTTATTCCTTTGAACATTGACAACAGATTATCAAGATACATGATAACCAAACTAAAATTAAAGTCATTCACAAAACAAATCGAATCATATGATCATCTAGATGATCGTCACATCAAAATTAACAAAATAATCGAAGTAGACGAAAATAACTTTAAAAGATTTCCAATGATATTCTGTAGATATGTAAAAAATGGTAAATATACAAATAAAGTAACATTGTTATTATTATTAACATTGGTCAAACTAACTATATTATGAATAGAAAAATTTCAGTCTTTGCCAGATAGCAATACTATCGATGACATTGAAGAGGTCTTTTGTACACGTGATTACACCTCGCTAGATGGTGTTCCTTTGCTCCACAAGATCAAAGCTTTAACGATACAACTGATCTGTCCAATTGACTATTCAATTCCAAAAAATATTAGATCTTTAGAATTGGTGTTTGATACAGGTACTTTGTATTGTTTCGGACCGAAAGCAGTGCTACCACAACAATTGGAATCATTGGTCCTCTATAATTATAAAGAGCAATTTACGCCAGGATTCTTACCTCCAACTCTAAAGAAATTAAGGTTTTACGATAGTGCACCAAGATTCGAAAAAGGTATGATCAATGAAGGTTTAGAACGATTGGAGATTGAATATTCAAGATATGACCAACCGATAAAGAAAGGAGTACTCCCAGCTTCACTGAAATACTTTGGCTCAGAGTCATATCGAGGCGATCTTATTTTCTATGATGCTACTGGTGATGGTGGTGCACACTTGCAAAATGAAGACGATTCATCAGATCTACAGCTTAACAACACCTATATTCCTAATACAATCAAGACACTGTTAATTGGTACTCCACGTAGAAGCGATTCACCCAAAATATTAAATTTAACATTACCCGCTAGTCTTGTAAAACTTGGACTGTATTATGGTTTCAATCAAACGTTGAATCTAACATTAACAACGCCAGGCACTCTAAAGAGAATGAAAGCTTATCATTCCTACCAAATCGATAAACAACAAATACCAGACAGTGTAACATATATCTCTCTCAACTCTATTGTCACAGAGTTGAATAGTTTAAAGGAAAACTCAGCCAATAGTTGTTTCAACTGGCTAAGCAAATCCATTAAAACGTTAAGAATGCCATTTGAAAAAGCCAATAGTAAGCTGTTGGAATCAATACCTGTAACCGTTAGCACTATTATCCAAACGGATATAAGTTCAATCGCTGACAAAACTACAAGTGTACTCAGACGAATCGAAGGTCAACGCTATCTATTGTTCACTCAAATCAACCAAGGTGGTTTCGTTGAACCCAAGGCATTCGATCAATTTACAAAATATATTGTAAAGACATCACCGAAAAACAATAAAGATCCATGCTTTTTCAATATCGATTAAAATAATAAACTATTTATATCATTGTAATGTTATAGTTGTTATAATTTTATTTATAAATATTTGTTTCTATTCTTTTTTTTTTTTTTTTTTCTATTCTTTTGTTTCTTTTCTTTTCTTTGTTGTTGATTTTTTTACTTTGATCATTTTTTTTCATGATTCTTTTCATATCTTTCTTTTAGAAGTTGAATGTTTCTATTTTATATATATATATAGGTTGTATTTATATTTTTTTTATAGATAAAAGAAATGATATTTTTCTAGAAAAAGAATTTTGAGGTGGTCTCTGTTGGAGCGATGGGCACACCCGTCGATGTAACCGGTTGGATCTCTACCAGTTGGAATGTAGGCTTACCCTTTCCTTTACGCATTGATACTGTTCCGATTGGCTTGGTGTTTCTGTAGGAGATTTCCTTTCTGATCTTTGGCACTACGACATCATCCCATTCGATGTCACCGCAGCACTCATCAACGACATCACGCAAAAAGTGGTTCTTACTCTTGTTCACAATGTGTGTGATTTCTATACATAAAGAGAGAATGTGTCCGACATTATGATATTTCTTTGGTGGTTGTGATGATGATGGTGTTGGTGCTGCGACGGCTGCTTCCTGTGGTTGAGCTGTTGGTGCTGGTGTTTGTACAAAGCTATTATCTACATTATTTATATTACTATTACTGCTATCTATATTATTATTATTATTATTATTATTGTTACATATTTTGTTGTCAACATCATTTGTTGTTGTTGTGGTTGTTGTTGCTCCATTGTCGACCTCTGATGGCACAGAGAAGCTTGAGAGTGAATTGAGAATGGAATCACCATCTTCAGTGTTGACAAAATCATTCAGTGACAATTGAGATACATCGAGACCGCTGATCTCTCCGCTACCCTCAGTGATAAACGAGTCGAGTGAAGTTGCCCATTGTGGAAGATTGGCAGAGTTGCCACTCGATGTTGAATTGGTAGGATCGTTGCCACTAACTGCAACCGAGAGAACAACTGACTGTTGATCAACATTCAATTTGCTCTCAGTTGTTGAACCGTCCTGAGTGGCAGAGGTTGTATTAGTGGAAGTCGAGGACGATGATGAATGCTTTTCTCTTTCACGCTTGCTACTGCTGCTACTCTTTTTCTTCTTCTTCTTATCATCTGATTCAGTGGTGTTGGCACCGTTGGATTCACCATTCTCCTTTGCTTCTTTTCTTAAACGACGATCTTCTCTTCTCTTTCTTCTTTCTTCTTTTTCTTTCTTTCTGAGAGCTCTTGCTTCTTTCTCTTGTTCTGGTGTCAAAGATGTTGAATCAGATGAAGATGTTGACGATGATGAAGATGATGATGACTTTTCTTTTGAGGACTTCTTGTGTTCTCTATCTTTCTTTCTTTGCTCTCTTTCCTTATCTTTATGTTCTCTGTGTTTCTTCTTTTTCTTTTCCTTCTCTTTATCGCCAGTAGTGGTTCCACTACCGTTTGTGTCGGATCCAACCGATGAGACATCGGAAGCAATATCGGAACCTGTTGAATCTGAAAGACTATCGTGACTGGATGTCGAATTGGTATCTGAATGAGAATCCTGTTGTCTCTCCAATACCACTGCTGTAGTGGTTGTAGTTGTTGTTTCTGTTGGTGCTGCAGGTGGATCTGGATTTCTCATAAACAACGACTCCAATGCTGTTGCTTTTGGTTTCTCTTCTTCGACTGGATCCTCTGCAAACGATACCTTTCTTCTTAACTTTGGTTTCTTTTGTGATCCAGACAATGACGACGACGATGACAAAGAGTTGGCTGAGCTGTCTTCCGCGGGTGTACCGTTGGATTTGATTGACGACTCTGATGTATCGTTGTCAGAGAATCTAACGGAACGAGAAGAAGTTTGAACGACTGCTGTTGCTTGGTCAACTTCCGACGAGTCTTGGATAACAATCTTTGGTGCTTGCATATTCGATTGGAGGAGTTGTTGGAGTGGTGATTGTGGTTGGAGTGGAGTTGCAGGCTGTTGCTTAGCATTGCTGTTATTATTGATATTGTTGTTGTCGGCCAAGATCGATACGACACGATAGATGAAACCACAATCCTTTAGTAAATGATACATAAACTCCTCGTCTTCAGAGCCAAGACTACGCTGGATGAGTGGAGTGAGAATGGCTTCGACCAAACAATGAATGATATTATTTGACTCGTATTCAAAGAACATATCGACGCACTTCTTGAGGATACCACACTCCCAGATGGCTTTGTCAACCTTGGGAACGTTTACCTTGACGATCGAGTTGATGAGGGTGATGCACTTGAGTCTGACGATTCCAAATGGCGCTTGGTAGTCGGGCATATCGAGAATCTCATTGATCGCTTCGATCGGTGTCATCTCACGACCATCGCTCAAAGCAACCAGTGGCTTGAAAAGTAGCGATACGATGGGTGCCAATTCCTGTGATTGTGGGGTCACTGTAATATTACTAAACTCAATCATTGTGGATACCAAAGTGAGGATTGAAACCGATGGCACAAACGAGGTCATATCGTTCTCCAGTACCACTCTGAATGAATTGCGGAGAAGTGCATTCGAGAATGACTGTCCACAGAAATGATGGGCAACCTTTGATTTCGAGTATTTCTTGATGATTTCAGTGATTAGCTTTGTGATATTCTCAATCTCGCTCTCCAAGTTATCGGTCAACTGCTCGGGATTCAGAATTTCATTCAACTTTAGAATGAGATAGGGTGTCAAGTCGTTGGTCCATGTTGGTTTCTCTTTGGTGGCTGCTGCCGCCGCTGCCGCTGAGGACGATGAGGACGACGACGAAGAACCTGGCGATGAAAATATATTAAAGAAGCTTGGTGACGAACTGGTTGCGCCGACGGACATGTGCATCTCGACCTCCACCATCTTGAGGAGCAAGTCGATGATCTCTGACGAGCAGATGTGGAGCATGAATGATTGAAGAATGGTATCACGCTTCTCACAGATGTAGAGTAGAACCTCTGGCTTCTTTGCGAGTAGCGTTGTGAGGAGTTCAATGAATGCGTGAAGATTGGAAATGGGCAGAGGTGGCTGGTACTCGATAACGCCAAACAGAGTATCGAGGATGTTGTAGTTGGAGGGGTCGGACAGTGTACGCGGAATCGACGAGACTGCACCCTTCAATATCTCGAATGACGCGCTGATTCGCGCCAAATAGTTCTTTACCTCGAGCGATGCAGTGCCGGCTATCAGCTCGGGTCGCGCATTGTATACGGTCGCGCCAATCTGCACGTCGACCACGACCTGAACCATCGAGTGGATGGTGTCGGGCAGCGCGAGAAAGTCGACCAGCGGTTTGAATCCCGACTGTATCAGATCCATAATGTCGTCTTTGAGCTCATCTGTAAACAACAGGTTGATGAGGAGATCGCCGGTGTTGTTGGTCGCCGGGTTGACGATGGTCGACACCTGGTTGTTGGCGGCGTTGGCCGACTGCAATATCGCTTCGACATTCTGCTTCGCATTGATTCGCTTCATCTTGATCGAGAGCACATTGTCGATGTGCGAGTCGACGTCGGATCCACTCGAGGAATCCTCTTCCAACTCCTTCTGAATGCGACGCTTTGCCTCTTCGATCTCCTTTTGCTTGCGGCGTTTCTCTTCGTCTTCTTCGCGACGCTTGCGCTCGCGTTCTTCGCGCTCACGGCGACGTTTGTCCTCTTCTTCTTGTATACGCTGTTCTTCTTCCTGGCGCTTGCGCTCACGTTCCTCTCGACGCAGACGACGTTCATCCTCTGCTTTCTTTATATAATCGTCCAACTCTTTCTTTTGCTTGTCTTCACGTTCCTTTCTCTCGCGAGCACGTTGTTCTTTACGTGCATTTCTCTCCTCTTCTTTTTTCTTTCTTTCTTCCTCTTGTCGACGTTCCTCCTCAGCTTCTCTTGCTCTTCGTTCCTCACGTAACCTAATACGTTCTTTCATTCTTTCATCTTCATCCATCTTATCTTTTATATATATTTGTTTTTCACTAGTTCTACTAGTTCTTTTCCACTTTTATCCTATATATATATCTCTACAATCTTTTGATAAACTAAAAGTATTTAACCATTATTAATATCATTTGCAATAAATCATAAATTATAATCAAATAATAATAATACATACTTTAATATATAAATCCTAACAAATCAACTTGATGTTTTTTAAACAAAAAAAACAAAAAAAAAATATAAAAGATAGATAAATTTGTTGTTTTTTGTTTAAATCTACTTTTTTTTTGTTTTTTAAAAATGATTAATTGATAGTTTTACAATTATATATATCTTTTATAAACACCAATTAAAATAAATATATATGTAATCTTAATAAGATAGAATTAGTATATAATGTTATGATGATTATCATTCATAGCAATTGCACTTTTGTTGCTTTTTTTTAAAAAAAAAAAAAAAAGGTTACTTTACTTACTTAACTGATAATAATAACACTAATTTATTTTATTTTTTTCAATCAATTTTGATTATTATTGATTACGTGATTACTATTACTTTACTACTACTAGCTATACTACTTTGATCTGATATTAAAGTATGTTACTCTTTCGACAAGCTGAGCTGTTTGTAATTTTAAAATTTATCACTTTTACTTTACTTTTAAACTATTTTATTATTAATAATGGTTTTTTTTTTATTTCATTTTTTTTTTTTTGATTTTTTTTTTTTTTTTTGAATCATTTTTTTTTTTTTTTATTTTATTTTTTTTTTTTTTTTAACACTGATAGGTTTTCTTATTTTAAAATAGTTGGTTAATCTATTTATAATATCAACGAAACGCTCAATAGTAGTAGCATATGTATATAAAATATCTCTATTTACAAAAAATAAAATATAAATCTATTTATAAAATATTCTGCCATTGCAATAAAATCTGACCTACTTATCCAATCATAAGAATTCATTGAAATTTACTTTTTTTTTTTCATTGCCTTTTTTTTTTGTTTTTATTTGACTGTAAATTTTTTACTTTTTCGATTTGATAAATAAAAAGAATCTATTATTTAATTAAATAATATCCTTTTTTTTTTTTATATACAATTACAATTTTTAAAAACTAGATAGGTTTTAACAATTTGTAAATCTAGAGATCATGATCTTTAAAAAATCAATATTTTATTTCAACATGTACCTAAAATTTATTAATTGTTACTGTTCATCAACAAATATAAGTTTTGATTATATTAACAATACAAAAATAAATGTACGTCAATATTATTGTTAATTGAAAATTCTTTAGGGAAAATCAATTTAATTAATTCCAAATTTATTAATAAGTTATGTTTTTGTTTTTTGATCCTTTTTTTTTACGATCAATAAATAGATAGTTAATGGAACAAACTCAAACTAAATATAAATTAATTTTTTTAAAGTTTTTTAATTTCGAACAAAGAGTGTTGTTTTATCTTTAAATTAATAAACAATAGTTTTTAATAATCAAAAACATAACACATTAATAAATTTGGAATAATTAATTTGTTGTTTTAAAAAGATAAATATTTAAAATTTTGTGATTAAAAAAATCTCGATTTATTTTCAATATTAATTTAAAGGCGCCATTATTAATATTGAAAACTCTCTACTTTTATCGTATTAAAAGATAAATCAATATCCATATCTTGTCATTTCTGGTCTATCAATGACATCTTGAATTTATAAATTGTATTCATTCGTTTCAAGAATAATGTTGCCAAAGATATACTTTATTTCATTATTTATTTTATATTTGGTAGTATAATGATGTAGCTAACAAAACTGGTAACTCAACCTGCAGCACACATCGATCAACATTACCTCAAACTACCACTTCCAATAATAATTTACATTTAACACACAGATCTGTGTGTTGTATGTGTTAGTGCAAATGTTTGTATATTTTATGTATATAGATATAAATAAACTGTAGGTAGTATTCTATATAATGTGTAGGAGGTTACTCAATAAAGATAATTGAAAAAAAAATATTGAATTCAAAAAGGTTGGTTTACTGTGGTTATCATTACTTTTTTTTGATGGTCTAATCTTAATGTTACCCTTTTTATTTAAAAAAAAAAAAATCAATAAAATAATAGTTTTAACACGCCAGTCAGTGCGTAGGTAATTATTGAGTGAGTGTGGTGGTGAGTGTGTGTGTTTGTGACTGTTCGACTTTGTATAGGAGTAAAAATAAAATTAATTAATACACCAAAATCAAAAAACAAACACACACTCATATTTCTTCATATGGTTGGTGGGTAATCAATATAATATTAGATATCAAAAATCATCCTCTTTGCTCTATTTAATATCATATATATTTTTATATAAAAATTTATCAGTTTCTGATTTTATGTTTGTTTTTTTGTTTTTTTTTAATTTAATATTATTTATTCTATTTTATTTTATTTTATTTTATTGTTTTTTGATAATCAGTAATATTGGTTATTTTGTTGAAAAATATTAAAAATAATAATAATGCTATATATATAAATTTGAAAAAACACTTCAATTCTCAAGAATAACGAATCAAATCATATATACATATATATAAAATTGATAAAAAAATAATATAAAAAAATAACAAAAAAGAGAAACTATTATTTTTGAAACAATACTATCTTTATTATCAATATTTTTTATAATTACCTGTTTTGTTTAGAAATAGACAATTTTTTTATCATCAAAAATCAATCATACCAAATAAATTAATCAAATCAACCATTTTATATGTATTTTTAATCATTTTATTTTATCGTTTAAAATTCCATTATCATTCCAATCTTATAATTAATTTATCATATATTTCATTCGTTTATTCCAAAATACAATCATTTGTTATTATTTTTTATTTTTTTAACCTTTAATATAATCATTTACATTTTATAATAATTATAATATATTTAATAGTGTATAAATAAAATTATTATTCTTTTAAATATTATAATTTTTAAAAATAAAAAATATCTTAAAGTCCAGAGAAAAGTGTAGAGGTCAGAGTAGTGAAGGTGATTAGTTAAATGAAATTATAATTAATTATTTGGTGTTAAGAAATTAAGATAAGATTAAAAAGAAAACGAAGATAAATAGTTGGATATCCGAAGAAGAGTAAGATAGAGAAGAATAGAATTGTGCAAAAAAGAACAACAAAAATAGCAAATTTATCAAAAAGAGGTAAGATTGATTAACTACCTTATAAAAATTCAATTAATATAATAATAATCGAATCAATCAAATCGATTCAAATCACAAGCAGCAATACAATTGTGAAAAGATACTTTTTCGATACTCTTTTTTAATACCCCGTTGGGAAACATACTTTTGCACCAATTCCACTCGCATTACATATAAATTCACTTGAATTCACTTAAAATACACCAGTGTCCACACACATTTAATCAAAATTGTTTATGTTTTTTGTTTTTGCACTAAAAATCACTTCAAAATCATACTTTAGAACTTTATAAAGAATCTCCGATTTTTATTGTAACCTTTATAGTTTTGTGTCAAATCTGATGATTTTTATTGTTTGTTCTAGTATTTTATCAACTTAATATCGACAACCGACTTTTTGAAGAATTGGGAATAGCTGAGCACACCCAGTTGTCAACATTGATTTTTCATTCACAAACCAAACACATTTAAAATAAATTTAGCCAAAGTATTGTTGATTTTACTCATTTTTTATTATTTTAAAATTAAAAATTAAAAAAACTATGCAAAATCACCAAAAATTGGGGGACTCAAAACCCAAAAAAGAAACCCCCATCAAAACAAAAACATGGTGAATATATTGCTTTAATGTGTCTTGTATAACCCCCACTAAAAAAAGCCTAGGTTTTTCTGCAAAAATCTTATAGCAAAAAATTGTTTACAGATTAATCAAGGCAAAAGTTTTAAATTTTTTTTTCAGATCACCCCCACCACAAACACATAGGCACGGTCTTTTTCGATCATTTCGGTGAAGATTTGTGTGTGGTTGTTTTTTTTTTTTAGATTTTTTTTGTTTATTTTGTGCAATCGATTCGAATTGCGAAGAAACACATTAAAAAAAAAACCTTCAGTTTGTTATACTGAAAAATCCAGCAATATTTGCTATATCCACCTATATATTGAGCCATATAAATCTGGCGATTTTCATTTTCATAAATAACAACAAATCAATGTTTTGTTTTTTTTTTTTCACAATTTTTATTTTGTCATATGTTTTATAAATACCTTAAACTCATTCATAAAGTGGTGGTTGGGCGTGTGTGTTTGTGTGTGGTCAACAATAAATCAATACCATCCCTTTTGAACTACCACTATTATATATTGACAAATAGAAATATTTGAATAGTTTATTTAAAGTGTCAATGGAATCAAAAAAATAGAATAGAATTAAAAAAAAGTGAAAATAACAAAAGATGTGGAGTACCAGAGAATATGAAGGCAAAAATGGGGGTTACCTAATAATTATTTTTTTATTTTATTTTATTTTTGTTCATTTCATCGATTCCAAATATGATAATGCCATGTTGCCAGTCACCACCTCTGAGTGACAAACTAAAGTCAACTTATACTTTTTGTTTTGCTTTGATTTGATTTTTTTTTTTAAATCTATTCATCAATTTTTTTTTATTTTATTTTATTTTAGGTTTCTTTCATTAAATCTATCATATTTATTTTAATAGTAGTAATACCAAAAAAAATCCATCATTCAGTTTCAATCACTCACCACCCAACAACAATAACAACACCACACGAAAGCACCATATTTTTATATTTTGTGAATCCATTGGACAATAAATATAATTAATTATCCAAATTGTAGTATTACCAGAATAATTATACATTTCTTTAGAAACAATATAATTTTAATTTAAATCAAAAAACACAAACAACAAACATATCAATTAATTCAATTTCAATCTACCAATAATAATTGATTTTATTTAAACAAACAACAGTACCATTTTATAAACAAAACAAAAAAAAAAAAAAAAAACAAAAGTGAGTGGGTTAATCAAATAACTTATATATTTTTTTAAAATAATATTTATTGTCCATCAGTTTGTAGTGTTATTTGATATTTTTATAATATGTGTGTTTCATTATTTTTATTTTTTTAAAAAAATAAAATAACCAAATTAATATTTTAGATATATAAAAAGTCTTAATAATATTAATATTAATAACAACAAACTATAATTAATATTTCATTTGTTTTTTGTTTAATATTATTGATATTTATTATGAATTTTCTATTAGTAAAAAAATAAGAGAAATAAATAAAAAACTAACTATTATTAATAATAATACAAAATAATACTATATAGAACAGAACAGAAAAAAATGGATTCAAAGTGGTTTTTAATTGTATTAGTAGCTTTTTTGGTGATACTTCCGAATATCGTCAGTCCATATAGAAAAGGTGTAACCATTACAAATGAGGAACCAAAAATAGATATTTATCATCTGAAAAATAGGTATGCTGGGAAAATAATATAAAAATTAAAATTATATTAACATATTTTATTATTTATTTAGACAATTTTCATCAGATAAAATAAATATTGCTTCACTTTTATCACAATCATATTCCAATATACTTTCACATTCAAGCAGCTCTAGCTCATCATCATCATCATCCTCCTCCTCATCATCCTCATCATCATCATCATCCTCATCCTCATCAAGCAGCTCTAGCTCATCATCCTCATCATCATCCTCATCATCAAGCTCAAGCTCATCATCCAGTTCAAGCTCCTCCAGTAGTTCAAGCTCATCATCAAGCTCAAGCTCCTCCAGTAGCTCAAGTTCATCATCAAGCTCAAGCTCCTCCAGCTCTAGTTCTTCATCAAGTAGCTCAAGCTCATCCAGTAGCTCAAGTTCGTCCAGCTCGAGTTCCTCATCAAGCTCAAGCTCATCCAGTAGCTCAAGCTCATCCAGTAGCTCAAGCTCATCCAGTAGCTCAAGCTCATCCAGTAGCTCAAGCTCAAGCTCAAGCTCAAGCTCTTCCAGCTCGAGTTCCAGTTCTAGTTCTTCATCAAGTTCTTCATCAAGTTCAAGTTCATCTAGTAGCTCAAGCTCGTCAAGCAGCTCAAGCTCTTCATCTTCATCCTCATCATCTTCATCCTCAAGCTCAAGCTCATCATCCTCATCATCCTCATCATCCTCATCAAGCTCCAGCTCCAGCTCCAGCTCATCATCATCCTCATCATCATCAAGCAGTTCAAGCTCCAGCTCATCAAGCAGCTCAAGCTCCAGCTCATCAAGCAGTTCATCATCATCAAGCAGCTCATCATCTTCGAGCAGCTCATCTTCATCAAGCAGCTCAAGCTCATCAAGCTCAAGCAGCTCATCATCCTCATCGAGCAGCTCTTCATCCTCTTCCAGTGGGTGCTAATAAATTTTAATATAAAACAAACCGAATAAAATATATATAATTAATTAAATAATTTCCTGAATTGCCAATTCTTTCTATTGTTATGATTATTTCCATTTTGAAATGTGAATGTTTCTGTAAAGAAAAGATTAAGATTTGATTAGGTCAGACAATGTTCCATTTCTGATTTAAGTGGCAATTTTTCAACAGAATTTGCTAAATTAATTTTGTGTTGCATACAAACTGATCTCAAAAAAAAAAAAAAAAAAAAAAAAAAAAAAGTAAGATATTATTTTATTGTTTTTCAAAAAAAAAAAAAAGAAAAGAAATAAATTTTGGAAATTTGAATTAAATAAATAAAATTGTCCGATATATGTATAATTGTGTGTTTTTTTGTTTTACAAGTTGCAAATATCAGAAAAAAAAAAATGTGTTTGTTAAAATTTTATTTTTTTTTAGTAAAATGGTGGGTCCACCCCACTTTTTTAAAAAATTTATAAATTTTTGTTTTAAAAAAAAAATCAATCATTTTTTTATTGTGTGTTTTTAACTAACTACCACAACTATTCATAATAGATATAAATAAATTTATACATTGATTAACAATAACAATAACAATAACATCAACAACATCAATAACAACATCAGTAACAACATCAACAATTGTATCAAGTATCAAAATACAACATATCTATATAGATTATTGTAAATATAAAAATATATTTATTGGAATAGAATAGTCAGTTCCATTTCTATAGTATATAGATTATATACCTATAGATAGCTATGAATAATATACAATCTGACTCTAACAACACTACCACCACTACAACCACACCAACCACACTTAACACACACGCAAATGATACTACTTTAATTAGTAACAATAGTAATAACAATAATAATAATAGTAATAATAACAGTTGTAGTAACAGTAGTAATACTTCACCTACTATATTTGGTTCTGGGGAAAATAGTAATAGTGGTAGTCCTTCGTTGTTTTTGAATAGTGGTGGAAATAGTGGTGGTGTTCCGAATTCACCGTCCACAAAGAGATCTTCAACCATTACAATGGGCACCAACAAAGTGTTGTTTGATAAAGACGATCCATTTATGTCAAAGACCTACTCGTCTACCACCACACAACTGCTCCAACCAAAGCCCAGCTCTATATCACAACCTGTATCACCATCCAATAGTTTCATAGACAACAATATGATCAATAAAATAACTGCTACATTATCGCCACCACCACCAACAACATCGACATCAACACTGCAATCCACACACCAGAGTAAACTCGAAAAAGAGCTACTCGACTCACTCTTAAACTTTCCATCGCCACCCAGAGATTCACCATTGACACAATCACTGCTACCCTCACCAAGATCTCAAAGCAACAGCAGCAGTAACAGCGGTGGTGGTGGTGGTGGTGGTGGTAGTCAGATTTGGAATTTTGCATCACATAAACGTGGACCTAGCGATGTCACTTCTGTCGTTTCTAATACAACAGTCATTATGCACCGAAAGATGAGTAATCCATTAAGTTTGAGTACTTCTGCAATTCCCGAAGAAGTGAGCACTTCTGAGACCGTTTCCATACTGACATCAGCAACAACGACAGACTCAAATAATGATGTAGTCATTCCAACAACAAATGAAGTAGCTGCGACAACAGCAACAACAACAACAACAACTACTACAAATACACCTATAGTTAGTGGAGGAGGAAGTAGTAATTCCCCGAAATTAGTTATTCCACAGTTGAATTTGACGTTGGCACCACCACCTCCTACGAAACCAATGTTGTTCTACGATGACGATGAGAGTAGTAGTTCAGAGGAGAACTTCTCATATGGCGATAGTACTTCAGACAGCGAGAGTGAGAGCGACTCTGAACCGATCATTGACGATGTAGAAGACAAATTGATTCCAACCAAAGACATTAGCACACAACTACTATTGGATCTGAATGAGAAGCTATTGTTACAAATACTCTCTTACCTCCATGCTGAGGATTATTGTATACTATATAGAATCTGTAAACAAATGAATACCTTTATCAATCAGAATCAAATACTTTGGAAAGATTTAACTTTATACTATTTGAAAAAATATCAAGGTATGTCGTGTTGTTTTATTTTTTAATCAATATCCTATCTTATCGATTCATACATTACTAATACAATTCAATACAATTCATTTCTAGATGTATTCGATGTAAATGTTTGGGATGAAGAGATGATTAGTCAGTCGAATGTAATGTCATTGACACCGATTATGGGAATCAGTTCTGGCACAAAAGTAACCAAGGAGAATACAAAGATTAGAAGTTCAACACTGTTGTCAAAAGATCAGAGAAAATCTGTGCTTGACATCAATACTACTGTTGTCGGTAAGAGAACTACCTATCTGCCGAGTGGAAAGAGTGGTATGGTTGTTGGTACTATTTCTTCTGGTAGTTCACTTACACTTGGCGGAGGAGGAGGAAGTGGTGGAGCTAACAATAATGGAGGTGGACAGGGTGGTGGAATGGTGAATAGTCAGTCGATGAGTGCACTGTCGTCTTTGAATGGCGCCATTGGAAGTCATGTGATGATGATCAACAGTGCACTGAGAAGATTGACACCGTTGACCAGTGTTCCACCTACCAACGAGGTGACAGAGTTTATCGATAGTTGCCATACATTCCCATTGGATCTGTTGATACGCAAACTACTCCAGCGATACATGGTGCCTAGAACCTATCAGAGTCACTACACTGACGTTGAATGGCGCAAGATGGTGGAAGTTCCTATTCAACTGAGAGTCGGTAAACTCCTGAGAAAAGTAGTTGATCACAAGCAAATAGAGTTTGATTATACATCGCTTTTGATCATAAAGTCGTTCATCAAAGGTTTCTTGGTACCCACTTCAGAGATGGCAAGAGGTTTAAATCAAAGTATACAAAAGAAGGTAATGTCAATGTGAATCGAATATCAAATTGAACTCAATTCTCTAACAAATATGTATCAATCAATCAATCAATCAATTATAGATTACTTTAACAAAGTGTTTAGATATCTCAAAGTTATCAGAAGGATTGTTGACAAGAATATTTAGATTACTCGATTTGAATACATGTTGTTCAGTATTATATGTTTGTAAGAAATGGAATCGATCGATGAACAATGGAAATCTATGGGAGCATCTTTATAATCAATATAAGAGTAGATTATGTGATGGTATGTTTATTTATTTTTAAAATATTGATTATTTCATCCATCTAATTATTTAATTTTTTAGATGAAGATTCAAGTATTAGTATTTGGGAGGAAATCAATCCAGTTAATTATTATATCGATATAAATGCATCACTGAATATTAGTACACCGAATCTATCGTTGTCTCCACTGAATGTATCACCGTCGGTCAGTATCAGTGGATCCGCGGCTACTTCACCTTCGATCTCAATCAGTCCGTACACTCAATCCTCTAGTTCCTCATCGAATGTCATACCACCAAAGATATCGATTAGTACAGATGAAAACAATGACACCGTCATTGCCATTGCTATTGAGGACACTTCCCTTGCCGGTAAGGAAGCTGCTGCGAAGCTGTTGGCGGATGGCACCACTGGCGGTAAGCACTCGGTGGATGGCGCCGAACCTGTGGTACCACAACAGGTACCGGTAGTGCTGCTACAAACCAGTGAAAGCGTTGAATCGATCGATGAGATTCTCAATAAAGATGATATTCTAAAGTTGGCGTCACCGAACAAGGCGGCACCCGACTCGCCAGGCACACCAAGAATCAAGTTGGTAACACTGAATCAACTCGTTGAGAAACTGACTTCGATCACAACAATCACAGATATATCAGAGGTGAATGCCTGTCTTACAACCTACAGAACGTTCACCTCAACGAGTAAGTTGATATATAAACTATTGGAGCGATACCACGTTCCGAAACCCATAGAAGCTGCATCGATCTCTATAGCAGAGTGGAAGAAACGTATTGAGTATCCAATTCAACACAATGTATTCAAAGTATTGAAAAAGTTGATCGACGAACAATTTCATGACTTTAACCAAGCTGTCATCGATGTATTAAAGATATTCCTACGTTATATAATAGTAGATAATACATCTTTAACAAACTATCTAAGAAGATCTTTCATAAAGAAAGTATGTATATTAACCATGGTTAGATAATTATATCATTGATTGATTATTAATTTTATTTCTGATGATATTATTAGGTATTAAAAGTAGATATACAATCAAAGAAATCATCATCATCTTCTTCTTCTTCATCTTCAAAGTCATCGAGTGATTATAGGAGAATGACAAAGATGACTGGATTGAGAATGATGTCGTGGAAACCAGTTCAACCAAGTGAGATACTGACAATGCCAGCCGATGAGATTGCAAAGCAGTTGACATTGATCGAGTTTGAGATCTACTCAAAGATTCAGACATCAGAGTTTCTAAATCAAGCATGGGTCAAAGAGAAGACCAAACATCTAGCAATGAACATTCGTGCTGCCATCGACAGATTCAATCAAGTAACTAAATGGGTATGCACAGTCATTGTTAAAGAAGAAAAGATTAGAACTCGTGCTAAATATATGAGTAAATTATTAAAAGTTGCAAAAGTAAGTAACTATATATATATTTGAAACTTTGCAATATAACCTTTACTAATTTAAAATCTCTTTATTAAAGTGTTTAAGATCATATTCAAACTATCATACATTAATGGCAATCTTGTCTGGATTGAACGAAGCACCTGTATTCAGATTGAAGCATACTTTTGCTGAAATGAAACCAAAAGTACAAAAGGTATGAACACTGTTAACATATAATTTAAATATTTCAAATATATTTATATCATCATTTAAAATGATTTAGCTATCTTCTGAATTACAAGCAATGATGACAGTTGAAGGAAATCATGATACATATAGATCAGAGTTGGCATCAACTGATCCCAAACATCCTTGTATTCCCTATTTGTATGTAGAGCGTATTGACAATGAGTGAATGACCAACAATTTTAATTAACAATGTTTCTCTTCTTAATCAATTTAAAGGGGTGTATTTTTAAAAGATATAACATTTTTCCAAGAAAGTTCCATTGGTCAACCAACTGATGGTATCAATCTTAAGCAAAGTCAAAAGGTATATGGAGTGTTAAAGGTGATAAGAAATTTCCAAAAGAATGCATATACATTCGAGGAAAATACAAAATTACGCGATTGTCTTACTATTCTACAGGTTTTGGAGGAAGAGGAATTATATAGTTTGTCTTTGTTACGTGAACCAAGAAATTGTAAAAGATCTGATCTTGTCTAGAATTTAATTTAATTTTAGATATCAGAGTGAGCTTAAATAAAAAAAAGTGTACAATTAATTATATATAATTTCAAATTTAAACAACTGTTGAATCTCAGATTGCGTGGCTGTTCCCACCTTTTGTGAAGATCAACCAAACACCTTTTTATATTTAATCTGAATGAAAAAAAAATAATTTGGTTTTGATAAATTAATTAATTAATCATGAATAATAATAGGCTAATATTAAATAATATAATTAAAAACAATCACTATAATTTATTAAAGAATAAATCATTCATTAATAAACCATTGATATCTGCAGTCAGCAATGAAATTATTCAACAGCATTTACATATTAATAGAAACGATAGGACTAGTAAATTGAAATCATTCTATTCTACTCCTATTGCTTGGAGTCTAAATAGATTTAATCATGGAGAGAATTCCAACCAACTATTATTATCTCCCAATACACATATTGGTAATGTAAGATTTATAAGAATGCAATCTAAATCGCTCATCTCGAACGTGATGAGATCTTTGGTTACCACTGGAATTGGTTTTGCTTCACTGGCACTCTATAGTCTTTCTTTTACCGTTGATTTTATCATGTCAACTGTAGGACCAATCGGTAAGATCTACACTACCCGAATGTAATATATATACAAATTGGTTAATAAAAATAACAATCAAATAATTAGGTGCAATATTAATTGGAAGATTAATATGGAAACTATATAACTATCGTAAGCTTTATAATCAGTTGATGATAGACGTACAGAAACATCGTGACAAGATACAGCAGGTAACTAGAGCACCGTTCCAACTTCCCAGTATCCAAGAGTGTGATTTCGATAAGAAGAAAGTGGTGCACTCTGATGGCACCAAAGAAACATTATTTAAATGTGTGTTCAACGTACCTGATAATGTAGCGAACGGTCATCCCGCAACTGTCGAGGTGTTGGCATTTAAATCACCATTCAACTTGATTGAAAGCAAGAAGAAGAACAAACCATTTAAAAAGGATTTAGTGATCTCTGCCATCAATCTTTACACCGCCTATGGAAAATCTTTTGTTGTCTATGAAGCACCCACTCAACTAGTCGAATCGTATGTCAACCGAACTGCATCCAAGAATATGCCAGTAGCTAATGACTCTAGTTACTACGACACCAAAGACATCAAAGAAGCAGATATCATTAATGAAAAGAATTTTGATATCAAAAATAAGAACAAAAAGAATTAATAAGCAATCATCAAACAAACAACCAAACACCAAGCAATGAACAAATAAATCAAATGTAAATAAACAAAATGAATTGAACCAAAGATTAAATCAACCGTTATTATTTATATTATCTTTACATTATATCTTTTTTTTTTTGTTTTTATTTCCTTTTTGGTATATTTATTATTACTATTAATATTGGTATTAAATTATTATTGAGTTGGGTTTGGTAAGTGATTGCTAAGGTAATAGATTTCTCTGATCTTTTCTGTTACCTGTGCCAAATTTCTCTTCTCACCGGCAACTTTACTCAAAAACTTCAAATATGATGGACGAACAGTCTTTGGTTCCCAAACAAATGCATAAAACATAACTGTAGTACAGAAACAGAATAATGCTGAATCACCATGCTTCCATGATTTAATCAATCTAAATGTTGTTGAAACGTTGATAGATGTTAGTTATTTATAATCAAATAAACTAAAAAAAAAAAGATCAATGATTTCTCTCACTTACCCTCTCTTGTGTGCAGCGTTAAATACTGATTCCAATGCTCTTGCGAATAGATATAATGCCATCTCTGTACTCTTTGAAAACATCATTGCTGCACCACTAAAGAAACCAGCGATAAGACTGTTCCAACCATCTTCTTTTCCTCTGATTGCACGCAACAAACAATTGATTGCTTTGAATCCACCTGTATAGAATGCCAAGAACAATCCAAATCCAATTGGATCTTTATGTAACAATGATTGATTAATCAATTTTCTTGGACTACAATCAAATAATTAATATTAGAATGTGAATCGGGTTAAAGAATTGTAATAACCAAAGGGTTTATAAACTTACTTTTTATATAATCTTCTCATGACGAGTCCAGATAGTAATGCGAGTGATGCTCTCATACCGTAACCAATCAACAAACCACGTGCCCATACTTTAAGACAACTTTGAATGCATGATCCTCTATGCTTACAAAGTCTGGTATCTTCAGTGGAGATCATCTCCTCATTCTTTATTTCCTCTACAACATGTTGATCTTGTTGATTCTGATTTAATTCACTCATTTTTGTTGTTGTTGCGCTGCTGTGTTGTTGTTATATTCGAAAATTATAGAGTAATATAATATGAAAATGTAAAGAAGTAATAAAATAAAAAAACTATTGTTAATGGGTAAATAAACAATTGTCTATATGCATATTTTTGCACAAAAATCGATTGAAATTTATTTTTAATTTTTAATTTTTTTTTCATCTTTTTTTTTTAAATTTCTCACCAAACTTTTATGTAAAGATATTTTGATTCATGCGCATAATTATTTTCATCGGGAATAAAAGGCAAACGAGATGCTCTTCCTAATTTGGTTTAATTGAACTCACAATCAGCCGGTTAGTTTACTTTGATTTAATTAAACATTGATTTTTTTTAATATAGTGAAATAGTTTTTGTCTTTTTTTTTTTTGTTTTCTTTTTAAAGAGAAGGTTTAATTGATAGAGTAACTACTATTATTCTCTATCATATCAAAATTGCTGCCTTGTGATATCTATTACAAAGTTTTTTTTTCTTTTGATTATATTATTATTAAAATTTATTATATATTTGATTATTTTTTCTTTAATATAGTTAAAGAAATAACAACTAAAATAACAAAAATAGCAGCTAGAATACCAATCATTAACCATTGTACTTTACTACTTGTCGCCTCCATCAATTTATCTAATCTTCTCATGACTCCACCGAGTGCACCTTGTGACTTGGCTGCACGATCACCCAGTCTATCTAAAATATTACCTTGAATCTCTGCTTCATTTTTCATGGCATGACCCATTTCACCGATGATTGCAACACCTTGTGCCAACTCTTCTAATTCTTGATCTTGATTATTGAAATATTCCTATTATTTAAAAACAAATAAAGATATTAGATATTTTATGATTGATTTAACTAAATGACTTACTTGTTGAATTTGCATATTCTCTCTTAAGAATTCATTGGTATCCTCCTCGTATGCTCTATTTATTCCAGAGTATTTCGATTCTCTCTGCATGTTTTGTCTTCTTTCGGTGTTGAGTAGTTCATTCTGTTTGTCACGCTCGATTTTGGCGGTGACTTGTTGTGAGCTCATGTCACGTTTGACATCATCTACGGCAGCTCTCGATTCTCTAATAAAACGTTTTCTCTTTTCAATCTCCATCATATCGATATTGAAACGATCTGGGAATTTCTCGACCACCAGAATCGAGTCCATCAGATCGTTGATATCTGCTTCCACATCGTTCAATATTCTCTTTAACTCATTCTGACTCCATCTAAACTCTTCATTCTTGAATGTATTTGTGTCTAAAAGTGCTTGCCATCTCTGATGTAATGCTTGTAATCCTTTAATAGATTGTTGAATATTACTATTTTACACATAAACGATTGAAAATAATCATTAATACCTTATATCTTATTTATATAATCAAAATAGCTATTAATCATCATTGCAATATATAATAATCTAACCTACCTTTGTCCAAAATAGTATGGATCTTGCATTTTCTATTTAAAACTTTTTAATTAAGCTTAATAGTATATATATTGATAAATAAATAAATAAAAATAGTTTTCTTGATTGTGATTGATTATATATATGTTATAGATATATATGAAAAGATTCTACAATTTGCACACTACTTTTTAATAAAACAAAATAAAATAAAATAAAACAATGATTTAAATAATAAAATAAATAATTAATAATTAGCAGTTAATAAAAAATAAATATGAAGCAACGTTGTATGAGGATAGTGCCATTAATTTGGGGTTTTTTTGTTTTTATTTTTTTTTTTTGAAAATTTTTCAAAAAATTATTATTATGTATGTAATGTGAGAGTTTTTGTTCAACTACCCAGTGAATTAGAAATCTAAGAAAGGAAAGTCAAATCTATTTTTGTTTAAAACAACAATTACATAACATTTATCTGATAATAATCCAAAAAAATAAAATAAAACATATTTACTTATTTGTTTTAATTGATTATTTATTCTTTTTTGAAGAGTTGCAGAATTTCATTGAATCTACATTACCATCTGGATAACCGTAGTTTGTCAAGACTTGATATCCATCTTTCAATCTGAGTGGAACGGTGTTGAGAAGATAGACGAGGTAGTGAGTAGGTGTGTTATCGGTGACCCATGGTGCGTTCTCGCTGATTGCATCCTTGAAGATGATGGCAGAGTCACGCGGTGATTTCATCATTGGCTTCTTCATGTCACCGAGAACGTCGCTCATGTGAGTGTCGACCATGCCCGGTGCGATGTAGGTAACACCGATACCGTATGGAGCAAGTTCCTGACGGAGTGTGTTGGTCCAACCGTGACACCAGCTCTTCGATCCGACGTACGCTGGGAAGATGTGTGTGACGTAGGTAGAGAGTGAACCGACAACGACGATCTGACCGTGATGACGATCACGGAATCTCTGGAGCAATGGGAGTATGGTGTTCAGTACACCATAGACATTGGTGTCGGTCAAGTAACGCACTTTTTCCTCATAGGAGAGATCGTTTGGTGCCGATGGCTCTGAAACGGCGGCATTGGCAATGACGACATCTACATTTGATTTCTTGTCGATCATATCGATCCATTGCTCCAGCTCTGATCGGTTGGTGACACCAATGGTTGTAGTCTCAACGGTGGCACCCTTGGCACGACACTGTTTGGCAACTTCATTCAATCTCTCTTGATTTCTTCCGGTCAAAGCAAGGAACTTACCTTTGGCTGCGTACAACAACGCTAATTCCCTACCGATTCCACTTGATGCACCAGTACTAAATGATAAAAATATATGTAAATATAAATGTTTTTAATGTTGATGGTTAAATTGTTAAAAAGCTAATTTACATGATGATTGTCTTTGGTTCTGGGAATTGTTTTAATTTTAGTTGACCGATGATATGGAAGATTGGAGAGAACAAGATGAATAGTAAGTGAGCGAATGCACCGACCAACAACAATCCAATATCTGGTATGATCTTTTTGAAGGAAATTAAAAATTCTTTAAATTTATCCATATTTCTAGAATATATATGATTTATCTATATTATATACACTATCCTATCTATTGTAATTACAATCTAAATGAAGAAGTGTGATTATATTGGCAATGAAAATCACCAGAGCCCCAAAAAAAACAACATTTTTTTTTACACAAAATAATTAAATAAAATTTAATATCTGTTAATGATTTTTAACCAATCGGCAATGATATGATGATGATTTTTGGAAGGGGGAATTAGTGGGGTTACGAAATATTAATTAAATTAAAGTGTGTAAAGTGAAAAACAAAAAAAATTACAAAACAATCATCATTCATTCATCAAGACAAGATAGCAAGCAAGATGGATTATAATAATATCAAGATAAATGCAGACACTGAACAAGAATTTATAGATTTACTAAAGAATACTTCACCATCCGATATTCTATCGTTATTCTTTAATACACAATCACAAAGAGCTGCAATATACACGAGATTCAATAAGTATGTACATACTTATATTACAGTAGTAATCTTTATTAATGTTAAAATATATTTATTACAATGTAATAGTGGATTTAAACAATTTTTAGTTGATAATAATGAAGAAGAATATCAAAAGCTATGTACAAGTGTATCGACAATGATTTCAAAGATCTCAAAAGAGATCATTCATATTGAGAACTCGTTGAAAGATATTAAACCAAATTGGAGTGCAATCATCAATCAGCTAAGAGAGTTGGAGAAAGCTAAATTCCTATTGGTATGTTATGTTTATTTTCTTTTGATCGATCGGGTGGTGATCATCACAGAGTAATAAGAGAGATAATCGAGTTAATATTAATGTGTTAATCTATTATTATTATTACTATTGTTTAGACATCACAACAACAGATATTGAAAACAGAGATACATTCAAATACATCGACAAAGAAAGATGAAGAAGGAAACGAATATAGTATGCCAACCACTGGTTGTTATCAAGAGCATATCGATCAATGTAATCAACAACTGACGGTTTGCAATCAACAACTTGCACAATGTATAAACGAAATCAACGAGAAACTTGAAGAACTACAATATGAATTACAAGATGATGAATCTGAAGTTACTACTCCTACAACATCTACTTCAACATGCAATCATGATCATCATTAATTAAACGATAAATATTTCTCTAGATTAATTAATCACAATCTTTAATTAATTTACAACTATTCTTTGTTTAAACATTATAATGATGATCATTTAAAAATTTACATTTATAATCTATTTTTTTTTAACAAGATGAAATCATAATGAATCTGTTTACTATTTCATTTTACTATTTCTATTACTATTACTATATTTATTAAATTTAAATATTTTGAAAATTTGGGTATGCAGGACCACCATGCTGATCCATGTCTATACCCATTAGTTCTCGAGTTGGGTCTATACGAAGAAGATTGAAACGTTTCATGAGCACAAATAGTATGCCCGATATCAAAAAACACCAAAGTGCAACACAAACGACACCGAGAAGTTGAACACCGAGTTGCTCTACGCCACCACCGTAGAACAGTCCGTAGCTGTTGGTCGGTCTGACCAGTAGCTTCTCCAGATCGTTCTGTGTGGCAAACAGTCCAACACTGATGGCTCCCCACATTCCACATGAGAAATGAATCGGTGCGGAATCGAGAGGGTCATCGATGCGCAGCTTCAGCAGCAGCTTCGATGTGCCGAGATAAACGAACGAGCTGACGCAACCAATGACAAAACCCGCCCATGGGTCGACCATCGAGCAACTGGCCGACGCCGACACCAGTCCGCCCAGCAAGCCATTCACAGACTTGTTGACGTCGTACTTGCCGCTAAACAGCTTGATGACCATGAGCGTGGTGGCACACGATGCCGTTGCCGAGATGGTCATGGTGACGGCGGATCGCGAGGCAATAGCCATACGACCCATCGAGATTCCCAGTGTCGATCCTGTATTGTAACCGTAGAATCCATACCAAATGATAAAGGCGCCCAGTGTCGACAGGGTGATGCTGTGGCCGGGCAGTGGCTTCGGCTTGCCACTCTCCGAGTCGAACCGACCGATTCTCGGACCGACAATGTATGTTCCCATCAAGCCGACGGCACCACCCACCATATGTACAACTACACCACCAGCGAAATCAACGATTCCATTGGTTCCGATGAGTCGCAGCCATCCGTCTTTCGACCACACCCAATGTGCGGTGATCGGATAGATGATGGCGGACATCACCACCGTATATATCAAACAACTATTTATATGTACTCGTTCTGCCAGCGAACCACTAACAATAGTGATGCTGGTCGTTGAAAATGCCCATTGAAAGGCAAAAAATGCTAAATTATCATATCTAATCAAAAAGAAATGTGATGTACCCAAAAACGGATTATTATTATGTCCAAATGCAAATGCGAACCCAACCGCCCAAAATATCAGTGATCCAAATGCTGTATCTATAATGCTCTATAATAATAATAAATAAATTATGAATATCAAAGATTTGTTGATTTGTTTTTTCAACAACAGAAGAATATATTTTGTTTAAATTACTTTTATAATTATACTTTTGGCATTCTTTGCCCTAACTACACCTGCTTCAAGCATACAATATCCTGCTTGAGTGACTATATATTATAATAATTAATCAATTATTAGTTGTTTTTGATTAACCTAAAGAAAAAAAAAGGAATAATTACAGAAAACTAAAAAAGTTGCACTTAAAACCCATGAATCATCGACTGCTGCCTGAAAAGAATCAGATGGAGAGAAATCTAGATACTCCATTTGTCTAATCTATCTAATATATATATAAGAACTTTTGATGATTTACTACTACTATTACTATTATACTATGACACTTTTATTACTTTTTTTGTTTAAATTGTATTGTTATAATTGAATTTATTTCAATTGTTTTAAAACTATATATTTAAAATTTACTTTATATATATATATATATGATAATAAATATACAAATCGATACTACTTTTAACAAAAAAAAAATGAATAAATAAAGAATGTGATGACTTTGATGATGATGATGTTGTGAAATGATAATGTGTTGTGTGATTCTGAATACTAAATCATTACTTTTCAAGATAATAGCTAATTATTTAAATAGTTTTCTTTTACTTTACAACAACTATTGTACTACTACTACTACTATTACTAACTGATTGACTAACTAACCAACTATTTAGAACTTCGAAGTTATAACTAACTATTGTCTGATTGAATGTGTGTGAATATACTCCTTACTATTACTATTATTATTGCTCTCTCAATACTGATATGAATTGATATTTTAAGAAGTAATAACAAACAAAAAGGAATAAAAGAATTTAAAAAAAAATAAAAGAATATAGAAAAAAATAGAAAAAAAAAAGTATCAAATAAAAGATATTGAAGAAATAGAAAAGAATGATCTAATTAAATTTAATAATAATAATAATATCACTCTATATATCTTTGCTATCTATCTATATATCTATCTTTATAAAAATATATAATATACATAGAGTAGAAGAGTTTGGTTTGGTTATAATTATAAATAGAATAAAATTTAGAATAAAATAGAATAAAAAAAAAGATAAGTAAAGCTGTGTTGTAATTCAAGAATTATATTTAATTTGAGTGAATGAATGACTGATACTATTATTATTGTTATTGTTGGTTGCTGTTGTTGTTGTTGTTATTATTTTTTTGGTTTAGTCAAGCTTTGGTCCAAACCAACGGCAGGCAAATAAAATACAATATAAATATAAAATTATTTACTTTTTTTTTTTTTATATTATTTCAAATATCTGTTGTTGTTAATTATTGATTGTTATGTTACTACTACTACTACTATTATTATTATTTTGTTTTTTATTTTTATTTTATTTTTTTGTTTTGTTGTTTATTAATCTGAGTTTGGGTTAACACTTAATATGGTGGTTGTTATAAATAATATTTTTAACTTTTTATTTTATTCCTAGGATTATTCTTTTTTATTTTGATATTATTTTTTGTTTTAATGTACTAACTAAATATAATATAATGCAATATACTATACTAGTAGTGTTGAAACAAAAACAATTGTTTAAATTAAAAAATAAAATAAACAAATAAAATAAATAAAAATAAACTTTAATTCTCCTGTTTTTCTATTTTAATATAAGCTGTGTTACAACATATAAATAGTTTATATTTATATAATTTTATATTATAATATTATTTCTATGATTATTATTTTATTATTAGGAAAATTTAGTATTGGTTTGCTCACATGTTAACCTGTAAAGTTATCGATTTCATGATTTTTAATTTTTATTTTTTTTAATTTTTTTAACTTTTTTTTTTTTGTTTAATTTTCTAGATTTTATCATTAAACTTTGAACAACCACCCCGAAACACCTCATTCACTCATTCAGAGTGATCAAAAAACAACAAAAACAAAACATAAACATTGTCATTCACCAAAATTATCAGTGATTTTGATAGCATTGTGCAATGCTTTGTTTTTTCACTTTTTGATCAACTAATTAATTGTTTACAACTAATAAATGGTATAGAGAGATTGTTTCGATATCATTTTATACAATATTTCGTTCAATTTGAGATAGATCTTCAAAAAATAATAAAGATGACTTCAGACCACCAAACATCAATTAACATCAAATTAATTGACACATGTTAATTTAAATAGAAATAAATGCAATTATATTTTGAATTCTAATAAAATGATTTTTGAATGATTGCCTATATCTATCTATCTATTAGGTTGATTGATTGATTGATTGTGGTTGACAGTCTATTATTATTATTATTATTATTGTTTATTATTATCTTGAGAATAGATTTTTAACTTTTCCTAATACGGTGGTATCTCTCTTGAGTACATTGTTCTTTGTGTTTTCAAATTGTGTTTTATCTTTCCACTCTTGTGCGAAGACAATCGATGAAAATTGTGGATTCTCATAGACATTCTGTATTGATAGCTTTACGAAATGTGATACCTTTCTTAAAAATTCTTCATAGTCTTCTTTTAATCTATAGTTGAATGATAATAGTTATTATTGTTGTTATGTTGTTTAGTATAATATAAATGAATTAAACTATTTATGAACACTTCTATTTCAACATACAATTTAGCAGCTTCAGGATTGAGTGGAGGATAATCAAACTTTTCAGGGTTGTGGAAGATATTCTTTATATAACACAGAATGTGAGGAATCATGTATTTCTCTGCTTTCCAATCTGGGAAATGATGTTGCAATTCAAATTCACCATCCATACCAACCAATGGATGAAACACTGGTGTTTGAAATTTAACTGATGGACATGAGTTTGGATAGCTATAGTAGTGATGAGTGAGATGAGTAAATATATTATAAATGGTAAATGTGATATCTTAGTTCAAATCATCATCAATCTTCTTACTCATCAGGTATAATAATTAAGAATCTAATAACTGAAGATCTATATACTCTATTTCTAATAAATAATACATTGTGCCATTCTATACATTATATAGTTATTGTTTAAATATTAAAAGTATGTTTGTAAGCTATCATATTCATGTTTACAATTTCTTAACAAAAATATATAAATGTATAAGGTAATTACCAAATATTGAATTCAAAGAAGGAATAACATATAATCCACGTAAATTTATTTCTTTTAGCTTCTCACTATATAGTGTAATGATTGTTTTTTGTTAGTATTCTTTCAATGTTTAACAAATGTCTAAGTGATAGATAGTTTACTATTCAAATAATAATCTAAGTTTAGTACTTTCAATTGTTGTTTCATTGGTTGTATTGCCGCTACTACTATTATTACTACCAGTACTACTATTTAAACTATTTCTATTATTAGTGTTGTTGCTGTTACCAGTTGCTGATGTTGTTGATGTTGATGTTGAAGTAGTTGTTGATGATGATGTTGTTGTTGGAACAATAGGTTCATTCTGTGTATTCTGTGGTCTAGCTAATGTATTATCATTTTCATTATGAAATATAGGTGTAGTTATATCATTCATTTTCAATCAAAGCTAATCAATCTATATAACGAAATAAATATATAAATAATTATAATAACAACAAAACAAACAAACTAAAATAAATTAGAATCAACAAAAAAAAAAAAAAAAAAAAAAACAAGATTTTTTCATATAAAAAAATCTCACACACAATGAATATTTGCAAATAATTAAGAGATTATTATTATTTATTGTCAGCATCACCTCGTATGAGGTAGACAAGTAGCTACACTATGACTGAGGAGACTTAATGGTAAAATATAAATTGAGTAATCCAGCATTATAAGTACGAAGCAAATTGGTTGAGTCGAAAACATATGCATATCTAACAGGTTTTTTTAGATTTAAAATAAATAATTAATTAGATATACATTTGAAATATTTGAAAGTAGTAATATAACTTACGGTAATCTTAATGTATAGAATTGATCTTTTGATAATGGTGTGGTAGATTCTAAACTAAATTCCCATTTATTTGCAAACTTTTCAGTTGATTGTGAAATCTAAATTATCCCAATTAGTTTGTTAGTTTTTTAGTTATATAATTAAAATTAAATCTGATTAAAGAAAGTTAAACTTGTACTTACTTCTATAATTGGTTGGAATGATAAATCAATGGTTGGTATCATGACTACTCTCATTAATTGAGCGAAATAGTCGCACTCATTAGAATTGCAACTCTCTAGCAGTTGGCGTTGATAGAAGATCTTGTATTCATTCTTGCTATTGACAGAGATGAAGAACTTTCTTGATCTTCTTTTCTCATAGAATCTATGACCGAGTGGACATTGATATTCAAACGATAGTTTACCAACTTCATCTATAATTATTATTATTATTATTAGTTTTTATAAAAATATAAAGTTAATTAGTAAGTATATTTTGATAGATTTATCATCATGATGTTATATTTACATTTTATAGAAGTAGTATCTTTGTTAACATTAGAGTTTGATGTTGAATTTGTAGTGTTTGTTGTTGTTGTAGAATTTGTATTATTGTTGTTATTGTTATTATTATTATTGTTGTTGTTGGTATTATTTAGATTCCAAATATTCATTACTCTCTTGAAATCCCAGTCTTGTAGTATCGATTCATTGTTTACAAAGTATCCGTCGCCAGGTACACCGTCTTGTGCGTTGTAGATCGACGACTTTCCATGACGAAGCAGTGAGAGCCATGGTATGTTGGTCGACTGCAGTCGCTTGGGTGTCACCGACGAAGCAGGTATTAGATGCATGTTGGTCGTTGGCAACTCGATCTTCTGGTAGGCAGAGCAGCAATCCTGTTGGAAGAACTCGCAGTTGCCATAGTCGAGATCGAAAATATCTTCTCTCAACTTGATCGACTTGCCGCAATTGCAGGAACCGAGCGTACGGAATCCAGAGTGGTGTGGTTTCGCGTCGGGATCGGCCGGTGACGAGCCATCTTTCGGTGGCAGAGGGTGCGTTTTGTGAGTGCACAGCCGACCGGTGATAGATTCCGCTTCGCAGAGTTTCCTGCCTTTCTTCCAATGTGATTCGCATTCCGCTGTTAGGTTTGCAACGAATTGGTCGAGTGACGGGCCGGCAGCATAGAAGCTCAGTGTCTTTATTGCTTTTTGTAGCTTTGATTGATGAGCTTTGGTTCCATAGATAGCAGGCAGTCCATCTAAATATTGATCTAACGCACTCTTATAATAGTTTTGACAATTCCTAAATTGAATGAGTAATGTACACATGAATAAATAAGTTATTACAATACATTTATTAAAAAGGTTATTACTATTACTTACTTTGTTGAGAATTGAGTATCTACACCAAGAGAATTCTTCAAGTTAACAAGTACATTATCTTTTTGTTCAAAGAAAGATTGAAGTGAAACAATAACTCTCTCCCATAGACTATACTCTGGAAGCTTGATGGATTGTGTGATTAATATAATTATAAAGTTGATTTGCTGGTTTATAATATAAATCTTACCTCACATTGTAGATTAACTAGAGATTGTTTATAGCTGTTAATACAAGCAGTAGGAATATTATGATATCCAGATTCATATACATTCATGAGTTGTGAGAAGAATCTAAAATGTTTTTGAATTGATTGTGGTTTAGCTTGTTGTTGTTGTTGTTGTTGTAATGGTTGTTGCTGTGGTATATATTCATTATTAATGTTATTAGATGATAGATTCAATGTATTATTACTATTATTATTGTTGTTGTTGCTAATCAAGTTATTTGGTAAGGTAGGAGCTGATATATTATACATTTGATATAATCTTATTAATCTAACTAACGGTCTATTCATTTCAATTAAGAAAAGTACACTTTAAATATATGTTAATTTATAGTTTGTTTGTTAATATCTAGTAAATAGTGGGTGATTACATATATATAGTTAGATAGATAGATACCTTGAATCCTTTTTTGCATTTGCAAAACAACTGAATGGTGTAAATAAACCATTGTTCTTAAGAATCGTTAGGATTTGTTTCTTAAGTCCATCTTCCAGTTTCAAATGAAACTCTCTCGAGTAGTTATCGGTGAGATCCTTCACCAAGAATACTTGGAGAATGGGGATACACCTACCAGGTGTGAGGAATGGGTGTAAATCCGTCGGGATATTCTGCTTTGCCAACAGGTTATTGATTGCTGGTGATGCCATCTGTTTGACATGCTTCAATATCTTGAACAAGTTGAAATACTCTAATTTCATTGTTAGATTTTCAAATACCAACTTTAAATTGATATCAATACAAATCGAATCAAACATATATATATTATATTAGTCAACTATTGTATTTACATAATAAACTATTTACTATTACTACATACAAATATAACATTACAAATATGAAACATAAATAAAAGATACTTTAAATATACATAGTCTGCATCATCCAACCATTTCTCTACTTCCTAAATAACATACATTTGAATTGTTATTAATATGAATATTAGTAATTCCTGTACTGATTTATATATATATACATCAATTAATATTTTAACATACATTTGAATTATCTATATCAATTAACTCCCATGCATTTATTAGAAGTTTGGTATCTCTAACAGAGTTTAAGTTGATGTATACGTTGTCTTTGGATGCATCGTTGTAGATCTCGAGTTTGACAGTGTCTTCGGGTGTGATGTTGGCACTATTGTTGTTTGGCTGCAAGTTTATGATGTGGAATACAGAGTCATTGACCAGTTTGTTGAGAAAGAGATGTTTACCTTTACTAGAGTCACCGATAACACCAACAACACAGGGTCTTCCTGACTTTGCTGGCATTAATAAAGTTGGTGCTGTAGATGCAATCGTTGCAAATGCAGTCGGTATATCTACATCTATATCATCAACTAAATTTAAATCATGTATTCTTTGTTGTTGTTGTTGTAAATCAAAATTATTATTATCTTGACTATTATTTATATTTGACTGTTGTTTTGTTTGTTGATGTTGTTGTCTTTGATGTTGATGATCTGATTTCTTTACATATTTTTGTGGAGATTGTTGTTGTTGTTGTTGTGAAGATGTAGAAGTAGTAGTAGTCGTTGATGAGGTTGTCTTTTGCTTAAATGATGAAGATTTATATGACTTATTACTACTTTGTTTTGATAGGTTTGAAGAAGATGATTGATGTGGAGTTGTTGAAGTCGTCGATTTACTCTGAGTATTATTATTATTATTACTACTACCACTGTTAGTATTTGTAGTAGTACTACTCATATTCTAAATAACTAACACAATTTAAAGAAACTATTAAATTAATAATAAAACTAAACTAGTAAAACTATTTTAAAAGAATTGGTAAAAAAAAAATTTTGTTGCTTCTCTATCAAAAATGTTGTAAGTGAAGAAACATGATAGATTTAATTTTAATTTTTATTTGATTGATTTAATAATATAATAAAATAAATCTTGATTTTTATTTAAGGAGATATTTAGATAAAAGAACTAAAAAAGTTAAAATAGTCTTTTCCATAATTTGAGGATATTAATTGATAAACATTATAGCAATGTTTATGATTGTTATTATTGTTATTGTTGATATCCATAATAATTAATTCGATAACGATAGTTAGTTAATTAAATAAATGGACATCAACAATAACAATAATAACAATCATGGTGGAGAGCCTCATTACGTTCCCGGAACACCTTTCCGTGGTATTACCTGTAACAAACTGGTGATGATGGATACAAACACTGCTTTTAACCAAATTATGTCAACTAAAGTCGGTAAGGCTTCGATTGATAGTCTCCCTAAGTTCGATTTTGAATCCAGTACTGCGGATATCGAATCACATCTACTACTCATTGAAAGTACCATACCTTTGCCTAACGCCAGGGCTAAAGTACTTTTTAACACTCTTAACGAGAAATCCAGAGCCTTAACAAGAAACTTTCATGTTGCCGCAAATGCATCTTGGAATGAGTACAAATCTATGATGGTGAAACTATTCAGTCGTGAGTTTCCGCCAGAACACTATGTCGGTATTCTCGCCAAACTAAAGTTTCTACCTAACCGTGATGACATAGTTTCCTTCAATTTGTGGTGAATAAGACCAGAAACATCGTGAACTCCCAGACGGCCGCTGCAATGTATGCCAATGCTTTGCGCAACGTAAGAAACTTAGAGTCCATCAAAAACCTACCAGACTTATAATATCTGTGAATATTAATGATGAAATTCACAAATTAGTTAATTTAAATAAAAATAGCTTAAATAAAAATCTAATTAAAATAAAATTAAATGAATTAAAGAATGAACGTAAAGTTCAAGATAAAAATATTAATTTTTTGAAAAGTAAAATAAATAAAATAAATGTGTGTGAAAAATCATGATCAGTTAAAAGAATTAGATCGATTATTGAGAAAACAAAATTTAATTCAATCTGAATGAAATGAGATCATTCATAGGTTTAGTGGGTTATTATAGAAGATTTATCAGTAATGTATCATCTATTGAGATTCCATTACTTAACATGATAAAAGATAAATCTGAAATTCCAAAGTAGCAAATACAGATTGTTTTTATCTGACTAAAAAAAAGGTTGGAATGAATTTTACTACCTGTTGTCTATCATCGTAAGTTGGTTTAAAAATTATTCTGTCCAAGTCAAGTTTGGGATTCCCACAGTCAACTCTGATAATTTTTATTATCCAGGATTTAAAGAGAAACAGGTTTTGGAAGAAGTAAATTCTAAGATAAAAACAGAAATTAAAAGTCTTAAAGATCAAATAGGAGAAAATTAAATAAAGACTCCAAATAGCTGTAGAAATCGATGACACATTTCTTTTGGGTGAGATAGGCTTGCAAGTTGAAAAAGGAGTTCGAAAATACTTTAGAGTTGATATAGTGAAATTGAACCGTCATTTCCCAACCGAGGCTGAAATAGAACCACAGAAGTGGATAATAAAATATAGATTGACAAAACACAGAAAAAAAATAAATTTAAATAATTCTCTCCATTTAATATAATATTGATAAAAATTTATATAATATTTCAATCAATTGTTTATTAAGTATTACAAAATTTTAGATTTGCAAGGAGGGATATTAAATATATTGGTTCGTTCAAATAATAATAATGACAATAATAATAGTTAAAGTGCAGAGGATTCTTCTTCATCGTTTTCGTTAATATTTAATAGGATATCATCTGTTGTACTCTCGTTGCTTGTGTTGAGTTTCAGTTTGTCGGAATTCAAACGGAAGAATGGATTCTTGTTGCCACCAGAGCTGCTGCTGCTTCCTCTGCCGGTGGTGTTGTAACCTTTGTACTTTCTGTAGACGTATGGAACCACTGCGAATCCAACTACTACACCGACCACTGTGATTGTAATCAATGCGATCTTCCAACCTTCCATGTGTTCCTCCTTCTCACTGGGTTTCTCTGTAAAGTAGAGCAGTACAGCTGAGTTTTGATTGTTGTTGGGCGATACTGTTACATTGATATTCGATTTCTGATGATCGTCTTGCTGGTTGTCCACTTTGAAATCCTTGAATGTACCAATGATACCGCCATTGCTCTCTATGATAACGTAGCGTTGTGTATAGTTTACGGCGTTTGATTGTTGACTATCATCAAGTAGTTCTATCTCCAATTCACCACCTTCCAACTTGAGTGTACCATTCACAAAGATGGGTGGGTCACTCTTTACTCTTGTGGTTGCATTGAAAATGGTTGGTGCATCCAGTTTGATCTCAGAGTCGTCTGTCAGTGTCAGATCACCATTGATCAACACCGAGGTGTTACCAACCAGTACCAACTCGTTGAGTGCAGTGACATTGTAGATAATAAGTCTCTCAGACATCGGAGCATTCAGTGTAAGTTTACCACTGGATGCAATACCGTAGATAGTCATTTGTCGGATGGTCGAACATGCAATTGTCGTTTTACTGTCTTTGTCCGCTTCGATACTCTCAATGGAATGCGACTGGAACATGCTGACATCATTGATGGTTAACACTGACTTTTGTGCTTGTACAATGGAGACGTTGTATCCATAGAGTCTATCGACCGTTAGATTGGTAGATTTCAACAAATTCACAGAATATGAAATCAGGTACGATATGTAGTTGTCCTCGTCACCGCCAATGACAAGAACCGGTGCGATCAGAGTTGTATTGGAATGTGTATCGATACCCGCATTAAGTACAAGCACACCTGAGGTAAGAGAGGAGTTGATGTCCAGTCGCAGCAAACTATCGAATTGTGCGGCCATCAAGTTGAGAGACGATTGCTCCGTTTGCAACTCTGAGGTGTCGTCCACCAGTGTCTGACCGATGATCGATGCAACCACCGACGAAAACGCTCTGAACACAGAGTTATCGGTAACATTGATGCTCTGGTAGGTGAAAACACTGCCATTGAAGAACAACAGTGACTTGTTGGTGAGCGAGATGTTAGTAGCAGAAAAGATAAGACCGTCCACAAGCAACTCGACGTTGCCACTGATATTTAGCTTTCCAATGGAGAGCAAACTGTTCGATACATAGATATAGCTGGTTTTAGCAGTGTTTTTCTTGATAATATAGTCATCGTTGTCGTCGTCTTCATCAACCACAGTCTTTGAGACATTCAACCAATTAAGAGGTTGATTGAAATCGCATCCTGGTCGTACCGTACAATCTATATCCTCTCTAAAATAATATGTATATAATGTATCTAACGGTTATTTTTTTTTATTTAAAATATTAATAATTTAATTATAAATAGTTTTTTAATTAGTTGTTAGCTGTTTTTTTTTTTAAATAAATACCATTTTCATTTGCACTTATTCTATTGCTATTAATATTTATATTATCTTGGCAATGAATTACATTTATTAAATATAAATTAACCACCAATAATGATATTATATTTATTATTCTCCTCATTATATTTTATATCACAACACTTTATATATAAATAGTACAACTTTTTATTACAATATTACTATGTTATTTAAAAAAATAAAAAAACTAAACAAAATAAACATTATTTGTTTTTAAAAATTTCACGCTATTTGTTATCATATCATCTTACAATAGCAGGTTACATTTTTTACACACTTTTTTTTAATTTATTTTTCATTGAATTTTGGGCATAAAGAAAAAAAAAAACGAATATTTTTTAAACTAAAGTAATTGATGAGTTTAATTTATAAGAGTTTTTTTTTTATTTTTATTTTTTTCATTGTTTAGCAACTAACAAATTATCTTCACCTTCTACATCTTCATCTTCATCTTCATATTCATTTTCAGAGTCTTCAAATTCTTCATCTTCAAAATAAAGTTGATAATCTTCATCGTTATTTCTCGAGTAATCGGAATCGGAATTATCTTCAGAGTCATCTGTTGTTTCTTTGTTTTCATTGCTGTCCATTTTAATATCGTCGCTTAAACCTTTTATTTCTTTGACTGCTGCCATATGATCAACACCAATTTCTTTGCTTGTATCTCCATCTTCAACTTTGTCATTTGAATGTTGGTGCTTATCGCGACTATTTAGATTGATTAATATCCAATATTGTTGCATTTCATGAGTGAGATTGATTTCGATTGTCTGCTTTATTGATTGTCTTGCTTTCTTTAGTTGATTTGCAAACGCCAAGTAATCAACTGCCCAAAAAAATGTTTTGTCTTTTTATAGTTTGGATTTTTTCTAATATCATAATAATCACAATCATGTGATAGAGAAGCCAATGTGTCGCAGATCTCCAAATGGTCGACATGTCCGAATTCTCTGAGTGCAACATTCACTTGTTGTTCAATCTGACTATTTGTAAGTTCTTGTTGTTCTTTACTTCTACTGCCAACAGCATTCAAGACAAATTTCCAATTTTGAAATTTTTTTTTTTTAAAAAAAAAATATCTATAGTCAAAACATTACAAAATATATTTTTATTTATTTAATTATGTTTAATGATAAATTAAATACTTAAAATCATTTATTTATATATTTTTAATTAAATCATTGACTTTAAATTTTTTTTCACATTTTTTTTTATAATTTCTCTGTCATTCAAAAAATAGTTTCATATTGCTGACTGAAAATTACTATGATTAAAAATACAAACAATCTCTCATAAAGAAAAAGACAAATGATCATCATGTAAAGTTTATGTATTTATTATTATTAGACAGCAAGAAGCATTACTGAATAAATTAAATGTCGTTTGTCTTTTTCTTTGATAGCTCTAAAAGTTCTGTCTCTGATACCTTTGGTAACTTGTTGACAAATGTTGAAATTTGATGTACTGGTTGTAAATTATAGTAAGTCTGTTGGTATGCTTCAACCTTTGAAACGATATTGAAAAGATTTTGTCTATTATTATTATTAATAATTAGAAAGAGTAAGTAAAAATTAATTATCAATTTAAATGTTAATAGTGTTATTGCTCTTACCTTTTAACAAAGTTAATGAGTAATCCCATGAGTGGTGGTTGTTGTGTTTCGATGAAACTGATATCCTCTTGAACGACGTAGATGAGTGGGATGCAGGGTGACACTGATTTCTGGAGGGTATCTCTGTAGGTCTTGAAAGAGTCGTTCTTGGAGAATAGCGAATCGTACTCCATGAGCAACTCTTTCGATCGTAGGGTGAAGAGATCTGGCACCGTCTGTACATAGGGATGTTGAAGTCCCTGATAGATAGAATACAATGTTTGGAAGTTGTTGAGCGATCGCAACGACTCCATAATCTTAAAGTACTTTTCGATCATCTTTACACGCGCCTTCTTCTGATCCAACGAGAGAATCGTATGAGCAACCCACTTGCTAACATCGGAACTTCTATTGAGATAGGCAATCAAGTTGGGTGAAGTAGCTGCCGAATATTGGAAATCACCATACGGTGTTACTTTTACCAAGAATTCTGGTGGCTATACATATATATTGTTGTTGTTGTTGTTGTTGGTTATTGGATTAGTAAGATATCAATCTCTTTATCATTCTTTCTTTTTTCTTTCAAATAGTTTGAAACAACTTACAGGTATGTTACGGAATAATTTATATTCGATCAGAGTCAATTGTCTGGCAATCTCCAAATCGTCGATGTGTGCCAGTGTGAGTTGTGGTGAAAAGATGTTCTTTGGAACCTTTGGTTCGGGTGGATTCGAACTGGTACTGTAGACTTGTTGACCGGTCTCGTTGGTTCTCACCTGGACGAGTGCTCTTCTAAGGTTGGCGACCGCTCTGTTGCCATCGCGAGTCAGCGGACCGTCGATAAAGTTGTTGAGTGAAGCAACCAATTTGTCAGCGGATGGACCCGACTTGAAATCCCATGGACACTTGTCGATCCAGTACTTGATGACGTCGGCAACTTTCTTTCGGTTCTGCTCGATGACGTCCTGCTTGACACGCGGTTGGTCGACGTTGGTCTGCACCGGACCGTTGTATCGCTGGATCAGCTTTTTCAGGAGATTCTCACTGGTGGTGAACGATTGATGTGTATAGAGGAACGACTTTACGAATGCGTTGTTCTCACCGAGCGAGAGATGCTGTACCAGCTTGTTGAGAGTACCGGCTTTGATCGAGAACGAACTACCCGCTTCGTTCTTTCTGATGTTTCTCGGGTCGACGTCGTCCCAGATGTTGACGTCCTCCTCCGTCTCGATACGACGGTAGAGATTGTCGACAACCTGGACCTCCTCGTCAAACTGCTCGGTTGTCTTGTAGATCGACAACTCTGGATCCAGCACGTTCTTGGCCTTTAAACGTGGTTTGACCAGACGCAACAAAGTGACAAGACGCGCCTCGGAAGTGTCGGTTGGAGCGTGTAGAACTCTTGCTTCCTCCTCGATTGCCTTGATCGATTTGTGATAGGCAGTGTGTCGTTCGAGATACTCCATAATCAGCTGCAACACAAACTGATGGGATATAGCATTCTTGTTCTCAGTGAACGATGGCTGTGCCAACGTTCTACCATATGACTTTACACCAGTCAACAACTGTGTTCTCTCCCTATACTCTAAAATCTCTGGATGTTTCTTCATCAACGTAGATTCCCACAATGCTTTTGGTATATTTTGTATTCTATTTAATTCAACATCTATATATCATCATATTTGTAACATTGTTATTAGTATTATTGCTTCTGATAATCAACAGATTGTTTGTTATTTTCATCATCATTCTTACCATCCTCTTGATTAATATCTTCGAAATCATCTTTACCAAAAGATAGATAATCCAAGGTGGAATCTGAACAACCACCCCAGATGTAGAGTGAATTCGATTTGATTATCAAACTGTGACTGGAACGATGTTGTCCGTGATTGTTTGTTTGAATACGGAACCAACGCTTCTGGAAGAGATCGAGTTCAAAGATGTCGAGTGTCGGTTGGATGGCACGCGCAGTGTTACCACCGGTGACAATGATCGAATCCTGTAGGAGTGCAGCAGCGTGGTGAGAACGCGATGTAAATGTCGAGGAGATGCTGTTGCCGCTGTTTGGATCGGCGGCAATCACCAATGGTCGCCAAGTGTTGGTCGCTATTGTGAAGAAGTGAATGTCGTCCAGTGCATTGGTAGTGGAGTCTTGACCGCCAATCACATACATTACACCCTTGTGCAGAGTGGCAGTGTGGAAAGAGCGAGCGGACGGCACCGGTCCGGCCGAAGCAGGAACCACCAGCGTCCAGCTCTTTGTCTCGAGATTCAACGAATACACATCGTTTGAGAGCTGTGAGCCAGCGACACCACCGAACACCAACATCTGGTTGCCATCGACAACAGCAGAGTGTCCGAAACGAGCACTCGGTCTTTGACCCTCCGTGAATAACTCACTCCACAATTGAGTATCTATAGATAACAATACACATTGTGTGAACATTAGATATTGTTTTTATGTTTACTACTATTAATATATATATATATATCTACTTACCAAAATTATAAACATGTAAAATCATTCTTTAGACCAGAGTTACCACCGTCACCACCAAAAACATACATTGAATTATTGTATATTACAGAAGTATGATATGATCTTGGTGTTGGTCCACTATTTAAACTAGACCATGATTTAGTTGCTAAACAATTTGTAAACACATGTTAATTACATTTCAAATGTGTTGATGGTTGTGTTTTGTTTTGTTTTGTTTTGTTTACTTACAAAAATTAAAAGAATAAAAATCATTGGTTGGTGTGGAATCACTTGTTAAACCACCATAGATGAACATGGTATCGTCGTAATACGAACATGAATGTCCAGATCTAGCTTGTTCATTTGATGAAGTAACCTTTAAATCTACAATATAATCTTTAAAATTATGATTAAATATATGTATGTTAAATATATTTGTATAATGATTGTTTAAGATATGATTACTTACTTCCAAATTTAGTGTTGGCATCGTAGTGTTGATCGTTGTCGTGATAGATAAGAGAATCGTTGGTTGGTGACGATGACGATGAAAACAAAGAGGATGGTGGTGAGTTGTCAGAGTTGGATGGTATCGATTGTGATGTCAGCTGTGCCAATGTCGTACTCGATCTATAGGTTGGTTTGAATCCAGCCGACGATGTAAGTTGACTACGTTTCATTTCGTCGACTTTGCTATTTCCAATATTACTACTAAAGCTATTGCTATTTGAATTTGTTAGATTTGGACGATTGTTACCACTGCCAGTTGTTGATGTTGATGTTGTTGTATTCGGATGATTTCCGCCACTACCATTTAAAACAGGTGAATTATTATTATTGTTTTGTAAATTATTTGATGACGTTGAAGATGATGATGAAACATTGTTGTTATTATTTATATTGTTGTTGTTGTTGTTTGTGAATGATGGTGATGGTGATACATTTCCTTGATGACTACCGGGTGATGATGATGACGATGGCGAATGTGATGATGCTGCTGCTGCTGCCGAGGAATTGGAGGTGTTTGATGTCGAGAGATTGAAGGTCGGTGACGATGGTGGAGGTGGTAACTTGACGATCGGTGATGGTGCTGCCGGTACCTTTGAGAGCAACGAAGATGATGATTTCGACGATGCTGGTGTAGTTGATTTACCTAGAAAGTTTGACATGTTTTTCTTTTAATTTCCACCCTGTTCTTGTTCTTTATCAGAATATATCTATATTATTATATTGTTCTTGTTTTTTCTGATTTTGTTTTGTTTTGTTTTTTGAAACCAAACTAGTTTCTCTCTAATTCGAATAGATATATCTATATGTTTGTTTTGATCAATGCTGTTTATCTGTTTTATTTGTTGATCTAAATTTAATTATCTAAAAATGATAATAGTATAAGTATACTTTTGAACGATCGATCGATTGTTTATAAATAGAAATTAAAAAAAAACATGAATAAACTACTTTTACAAAAGTACAAAGTTATTTTTCGCTAAAACTACAAAATGACTGATTAGATTTGTGATTATACTAAATCCTTGATAGGTAGTATTTGTTTAGATAGCTAGCTATGTTGTTAATGAAATTGCTAATCGCTAATTATTTGATTTTGAAATGTAATTGTGAGATGAAAGATATGATATTTATTGAAACACACCCAAAAAAAAAAAAAGCAAAAAGGAAAAAAGGACAAAAAGTAAAAAAAAAAAATAAACGAGATTGTTTGATTGGATGGATTGGTTTTGTTTGCTGGTCTTTTTACCTTTGCCGCTATTCTATTATAAATATTTCTCTCTCTCTTTTGTCTTTTTTTGTCGATCTTAATATTATTATTATTATTTGATTGATTGATGTTGATGATGATGATGATGATGATGATGGTTATGTATGAAGTTGGTGTTCTTGTTACTAATTTTAATTATTTTTATTTATATAAATATGTATTTTGTAATTATTATATATTTTATTGTTTTACTATTACTACTATTAATAACAGCACAGTCACGATTGAGAATAGCGACGCGTCGAATGTTTAAATTAATGCTAATAATGTTAAATTTTTTCAAAGTGGAGAGATATCAAACCAAAATTAAAGTGCTTGTTTTTTTTTTCAAGGTGGTTTGAATTTTTTTGATTTTTGATTTTTTTTTTTTTTTGATTGTGATAACATTAAAAGTGTGTGTGATAGATCAATTAATTGTAATTTGATTACTACTAATATACTATTGTATATTATCATGTTGGGGTGGAGTGCGATATTAAATATTAACTTTACTGTGCTATTGTCATTCGTTCCGATCACACTTGTTTTTAACAAAAAAACTTAAACTAATATATACCTTTAAGGTTGTGTAAAGTTTGCTACTACTTTTTTTCAGATCTTGAAAACTTTTATTGAGAAAAAGATATAAATATATAATAATCTAATAGATAGATAGATAAAAGAAGGTAACTATCTATCAGCAGAGGTAGTTAGTTATCAATCAAAAATGGTGGAAAAAGACTTTGAACTTATTTTGATTTAAAATTTACAAAAAAAACAAAAAAATAATAGTTTTGCCATGAAAACTACCTCCAGAAAAGATTTTATTTTTTTATTTTTAAGTTTAACAAAACTAGAAGATATTTTCTAGGCTAGATATTTTTAAGTTTGGTTTCACTAAATCAATCAACAGCAGCAATGATAACAAAATTTTTTTTATATTTTTAAAAAATAAGATTATAATATTGATCAAAATAAATAAATAAATAACATTATAAAATAATTTACCACCAAAGTTAACTTTTTTGCCAATATTCATATATATTCAGATTTGATGGTTCTACAAGAACAAGATGATATCAAAAAAATAAAAATAAAAAAACAAAATAAAATTAAAAAAAAAAATTAAAAATTTCGATTATCTAAAAAACAAAACAAATAAATTAATAATTTAATTAAAATTTCACAAACTTGAATTTTTGAGATCTTTATTTATTCGTGATACAGAAACAACAAAATAACAATTTTTCTTTGTTTATTTTTATTTTTATTGAAAAGTGTGTTTTTTTTTCTTTCATTTTGTCAATTTTTATTCTGTTTATTTATTTCAATTTATTTAATTATAATAATAATATTGACTGTACAGTATAAAAAAAATAAAATAAAATAAAAATTAGATTAAATTTAAATATAAATTTATATACATATAAATAGAATATATATAGAAATATATCAATCAATCAATCAATGTTAAATCCACAGTTAGGTTATAATGATGATGATGATGACGGTGTAGAGGAAGAAGGTTTATGGACAACTCCTGTTACTTCGCCTCAGCAACAGCAACAGCAACAGCAACAGCAGCCACCAATACAACAAACACAACAAACACAAATAACAGCACAACTTAATAATGTAAATAACAATAACAATAGCAATAGTAATAATAGTAATGGTAAAACATCACCTACGATTGTCAATAAATTGAATAATGGTGGAAATATACCATCATCAGTACAGAAATACAATAATGTTGGTAATCAACAGAGTATATTCAATACTGGTATGATGATGGCTAGTACCGATGACATCGGTGAATCAGATTTCGATAGAGTTGTTAATATTACCAATAAACAAAAACAACAAACACAACATAAATTATATCAACAGCAACAGCAACAGCAACAACATCAACAGCAACAACATTTCGAGAGTAGTGATCCTGAAGATGAGGAAAATGAAGAAGTTGATATAAATAAAAAGAAGAAACAACAACAGCAGCAGCAACAGCAGCAGCAACATCATCAACAACAGTATCAACAAAAACAACAACAACAACAACAACAACAGCTTCATCAACAAAAACAACAACAACATAAGGATGAAAGTAGTGATCCTGAGGATGATGATGATGAATTCGAAATGAATAAGAATAAAAAGAAAAAAGCAATGTCATCTAGCACCAACAACAGTAATCTATTAATGAGACACTCATGGTTGTTGAGCAACGAATCGATCGTGTTCACCAAAGAGAATATTATGTATAAAATGACAATGGGAAATGTTCATATCACCAACCAAAGAGTGGTTTGGGAGTGTTCCGATGAAACTCTTCCCGATGTTTATTTAGATGTTTTACAAATCTATCGTAAGTTTTTCTTTATTCAAAACCTTTCAATGATATATATATATAGATATTTGAAATTTGAAACTAACAACATACATATATAATAATCATCATGATTGATAAAATAGATACTGCAATGTCTGAAAGTCCTAGAACAAATTGGAAGGTATCATGTGCTGGAAGTGACTTTTTATTCTTCTTCCCATCGGCAGAGGAAATCAAAGAGACCAACGCATACTATCAGCAGTCTAAAAAGAAACTTTATGAACAGAATCCACAACTCTATCAAAAACATAAGCTTCAACAAAAGCAGAGACAACAAGCTCAATCTGAACAGCAACAAGCTCTAAAGTTACAACAACAAGAACAACAACAACAAGCTCAAAGATTACAACAACAACAACAACAACAGCAGCAACAGCAGCAGCAACAGTTACAACAGCAGCAGCAGTTACAGCAGCAACAACAAATTAGAAATAATAACAATAACAATAGTAATAATAATATTAAAAAACCAATATCACCTCCAAATGAAGCATTATATCCAGCACTTAATGAAAATGGTGGAAGTGGTGGAGGTGGAGTTGGTAGAGGTAACAATGGAAATGTTCAGAGACAGACAGGAGGAGCGAATGGAAGTGGTGGTGGTCGCAGACACAAAGCATCGATGGAAGACGATTTTGTTACTATTTCCGAGGGATATAATGTCGGTGGCAATGGTGATATGTCGTGGGTTGAGGAATCGAATGGCACCGACCAGGCGGGATACTTTGATATCGAGGTGAAAGACCCACGTCATGCGCACGAAGACGGCAATACCTATGTGACCTACGAGATCGTCGGAAAGTACAAGGACGAGAAAGGACTCGTAGATATCAAGACACGTCGTCGTTACAAGGAATTCGAGTGGCTGCATCAACAGCTATCGTTGCCATCGAACCAGCACCACGCCAAAGTACCGACACTTCCACACAAATCGATGATCCAGTTTTGGAACAAGACCGATCAGACTGCAGTGGTAAAGCGTTGCTTCCAACTCGATTCCTTCATGAAGGAGATATCGAGTTCCGTCTACTTTAGAAATCATCCGGCCACCAAGGAATTCATGAGCAGTCGCTCCATAACGCTACAACAGAGTACAATAACCGACTTTATTGGAAATACAATCTCACCGCACCTCGCCAACGCCGGAATCATTGGTATTAACGATCAACCATTAGTTGATCAAACATTTATATATAATTCAAGTAACTATTTAATTATTAATAACTTCAATTGTTAACAAACAAGAATACTAACTTTGATCGTTATTATTATTATTATTATCATTTAGTTATTGAAAGAGATTATTGGTTAATTAGAAGATTAATGAAGAAATGGGATTTACTTCCAAAGAAGTTACCATTCCCAAAGTTTTTAGTTGTTGTTTTGGGTACTACATCGGCTGGTAAGAGTTCTTTCATCAACAATTTCTTTAATATGCAAGTGAAGCGATCTGCAATCGGTCAACTCGATACTCATTTCACATTAGTTGAAACTATTCCAAAAGAACAATTTGCATTATTAAGTGATAAAATGTCTGATAGAGTAAGTTTATTTAAATTTGATAAAGAAAGACAAAGAAAGAAAGAAAATATTACAACTTGATATTAATTTATATAATGATGATAATAATAATAATAGGAGAAAACAAAGAAATTTACAAGAGAACAATTAAATGAAAAGATAACAACGGAACCAATGAGTGATCCAAGATACGGTCATGTATTCCTCTACATGGATACATCGTATACACTCTCACGATATGATGCTCAACTCGGTCGCTACGATGATATCATCTCCAAGTATGGTTTGGTTAGAAGTATTCTTATTAATGAAGAGTATCTTACTGGTACTCCCGATGAAATGTAAGTTTAGTTTAATAATAATTAATTAGTTAGTTATCAGTTAAAATTGATATTAATAATAATAAATTATTATGATACAAATTATAGTATATATCAAAAGAAAACAATATTTTTAGATTCACCAGGTTTCGAATCAAAGAAGGAAAACACTCAAGATACGCTACTTGGAAATATAAAGATCATTCAATTCTTTTATTCGACGAGTGATTTAACGCTGTTTATGATGCCCGCCAAGAACATATCTTTGGTGTCACCACAGATTCAGATTCTAGAGATATGCGTTATGTATAAGCTGTACGGGCCAGAGATTGTCGATCAGATGGTAACAAAGATATTCAAGCAGCGGTCCGACCAGCAGATGTCGTTCCCATCGATTTCCGAGCTCACCAGAATCATCGTCAATCAATTTAAGCGTGAGGATAGACGACCCAATCAGGAATACGTTGGAACACTGGTCTGGGACAAAATTAGATTTTTGTTGACTCAGATCGATGACATCTCCAACTACGAAGATACCAACCTTCGCGAACAGTACTTTGAACTCGGAAGACTGCTCGGAAAGAGTCTTACATTCTTAGATCCACCGACCTACACACAGTGTATGGCGATCGCTTTGCCACTGGATCGCATATACAAGTCTCCCGAGGAGCGACGTATCAAGACCGGTGATCTCGACTCACTCCTTGCCTACATTAGAAGTCTGAACAACGAGAGCAGCTATCACGGTAGACTTGAGTCGGCTATCCAAGAGATGTCCATTGCTCTATTACCACATATACAAAGTAAGTTAGTTGGTAACATATATATTCAAAACGATCAATATTAACTTGGCTTAACTATTATTATCAATCCTAGATTCATGGAAGAATTATTTAGATTTGAATCAATGGATAAGCAGTGATTCTGCTTGTGTCGACCAAATCAGAGATAGATCAAATGCCAGAGTCAGAGGTTCATCGGCAATGGATAAGCGATAGTTTGTTGTTTCATAATTAAGAATAATTCTTTCTTTTGTATATTTTTAATAATACTTTATTTTTCTGTAATAAATCAACTTTAAATTTAAAATGAAACTTGTGTTTTAGTTAACTTGTTTTGCTTTTTATTATGATTACTCTTGTTTGTTTAAACTACCTATGTTTTTAGATATATGAATTTGATTTTAATTGATTTATTTGTTATTTATTAATTTATAATAATACTTTGTTGTTGTTATTGTATTGGAGTAATCAATCAATTAGGTATTGAAGTTTTTGTTGTTGTTGTTAATTGCTTTCAGGCAAAATCACGTTCTACTTTAATTCTATTCTTATCGATCATGGCTCCATTGAAATGTTTAATTGCATCGATTGCATCACTTTCTTGATAATAAATTACGTATGCTGTTCCCATTGATCTGCTACTTCTGTCGTATTGTATTCTAACTTCTTTTACATCACCTGCCTTATTGAAAATAGACTAAGTTTTATAATTATAGATGGAAAAGAGTTAATATTATATAAATACCAATCTGTTTAAACTTATAATTTACCTTTAAATTCTCTTCAGTTACATCATAACCAAAGTTATGAATCTTTAGACGATAACCACTAAAGTATTGACGTGGTGCAGGATTTCGATTGTCAAAGATGCTGGTTCGCAATCTATTTTCTTCGTGATTTGGATTTCTACTCTTGAGTGAGAATGGTGCTGATGATTCGAATCTGTGGGGTCCGCCATCGTTGTATATATGATAATGATGAGTTGCTCCACCGCTAGTATGGTGGTGGTTGTTATTGTTATTATTGTTATTATCGTCGTCATAGATATCATCTTCAAATCTATCTCTGATATCGTCTTTTCTTCTTATGACACCACCTCTTGCACCTCTAATTGGTCTACTGATGACCAATCCACCAACAACACCACCTCTACCGCCACCACCACCGCCAGATCTTCTTCCTCCTCTCTCTAGATCTCCTCCTCTGTCTTCCCTATGAGGTCTGGCTCCACCACCAAGAATAGGAGATGATCTGCGTAGTGGTGCCTGTACAAGAGGTGATCTCTTTGGTGATTTTCTTGACTTTACCAAGGTGTCTGTCTCACCACCCTTGAATAGATTGTTCTCTGTTGTGATTCTCAGCTCTGTAAGCTTTGGCTTTGCTGCTGCTGCTGTTTTCTTTGCATCTTTATTTTCAATGGTGATTCTTAGATTTGGTAAATCATCTGCTTTGCCTGTCTTTAACTTTGGTGCAGATGTTGTAGTTGTTGTTGTTGTAACTGGTCTCTTTGAAGATCTAACCGGTTTAACTGGTTTTGCAATTGGCTATCAATAATATTAATATCACATGTGTGATTGATAGTCATGTCAGTCATAGTTCTATCTTTAATGTAACTGTGTTTCTCATTCATTCATTCATACCTTTGAAGATAAAGTCAACTTTTTACTCTTTGTTCTATCTTTTCTCTTTTTAATGACATCAGATAAACTTAATTTTATATTATCTGTCATTTTATTTAATTTAATTTATTTTTAATTTTAGAAATACAATTTATATATATATTAAAAAACAAAAAATAACAGTACCAAAAGAAACGATTTGAGGAGAATTTTTGAAAAATTTGAAAAAAAATGAAAAAAAAAATAATATGAATATTTGTTCAAGATCTTTACCAAAAAAATGTTCAATAACAATCTTTGGTACCAGTTATTACATTTTACATTTATTGATTTTTTATTATTTATTATTATTACTTTTTTTGTTTATATATATTTTAATGTGTGACAAATATATTAATTACTATATATATATATAGTTAATTTTTATTTTATATTTATTTTTTTTTGAATACTTTTTTTTTTTTTGTATTGGAAAACAAACTTTAATTTACCATTTCATCTAAATGCTCTGACGATTCCGATAAAGTTGGTGAGATGATTGTAAAGGTTGTGGAGGTGGTTGTTGTTGTTGTGGTTGTGTTGTTGCTGTTGCTTGGTGATAGTGTGTTGTTCAAGTCCAATGAGATCTTTAGTTCGGAGCCATCGATTGGAACACCGTTGAATCTGTCGATCGCTGTGAGAGCGTCGATTCTACGGTGGTAGGTGACGATTGCTTCTACCGGTGAGAGATGTGTGAGTAAGTCTACATCCTTTAGTTTACCGATGACACTGAACACCTTGGTCAGATCACTCTGTGTGACGGACGGCGCAATGTTGGCGACACGCAAAGTAACATTGTTTTCATCGCGTTCTCTCTTCTCGACCTGACTATAGTCTCTGATACCTCTAGAGTCAAACAAAGAGTGATCGATCTTCTTTGCCAAGTTTCTCTTTCTATTGAGTAATGCTTGATTTCTATAGTCATTGTTGTTTCTATTATTGTTATAGTTATTATTTTGATGCTGCTGTTGTTGATATTGATGTAATGGTCTAAATTGTTGATCATTCTTGATTGTTATTACTATTTCTCCATTTCCTCCATTACTATTGTTATTATGTTTGTTCTAAATATATATTATAAGATTTGTCTCATTAAATAAAAATGTTGGTATAATCTTTCAACGATGATTTTATTACATACATGATGATGATGATGATGATTATTATTGTGTTGTTGATGTTGATTATGTTTCTTATAATTGTTATCTCTCTTTTTTACATAAAATGAATCCTTTTTCTTTGATTTGATGATATCACCCAAACTCGACTCTAATGGTGATTGATTTGTAGAGGTTTGAGATTCACCACCACCGCCTCCAGCAATACTTGCTGCTTTTGGTAGTGATCTCTTTTGTTTTCTTTGTGTAGAAATGATTGAATCTAATGATTGATCCATTTTTATATATAAAAACTATTTATAAATATAAACTAACTATATATTATATTAACTATTAATACAAACTAATTTGTTGTTAAAAAAAAAAGTTGCAAAAAAAAAAAAAAAAAACAAACTGAAAAAAAAAAAAAAAACCAAACCATCAACCATGTGTTTTGAAAAGTGATAAGTTTTTAAACATTTTAAAAGGAGCTAGTTTAGTTCAGATTTGACTTTAAATAACTCAAAGAGATAAACTTTAATATTAAATTTATAATACAATCTTTATTGATTATAAAAAACATTCATTCATACATTAATTTTGGAATAGACCTTTTTTCTCTGAAAAATTCCAGGATCGGAATTATTATTTGTTGGATATTGAATGACATTTTGATAACCAATTCATAAGTTCAGGTACACCTTTTCTTGACACTGACGATACCATCAAAACATCCATTATACGTGGTGAATTCTCGTTCAATCCCAACATATGGCTATTTAAATCCAATGCCTGAATCAATTGTTCTCTATTCAATCCCTTAATATTGATTCATTGAGTTAATAATAAGCTTCGGAAAATAGCAGTAAAAATAGAAATAATAGAAATAATTATACATACTGGTCTATCAATTTTACTACCAACTATCAGCATTGGTGCACCGTTTGTATACTCTAATGCATCGTGTAACTCAGCTTTGGCTTCACCCAGTTGTTGGGGATCGGTTGTGTCAACCATGAATATAACAATGAGTTTCGAGGAATCACTGCTACCAGCAGTATAGTTTCTCCAGAGTGCTCTCAAGCCTTGTTGTCCACCCAGATCCCATGCCTTAAATGTAACATTCGATGCAACCTATCAGTTATTTTGTAACAATATATTAATAAATGTTTACATTATTATTGTGATTCCTGAGGAAACGCAATCACTTACAAAATGATCCATATGAGGTCTTTGTGTTGGCATATGTGCTTTCAATACATCTTTCGATAGAACTTGAAGTAGTGTTGTCTTTCCTGCATTTCCAAGTCCAATGATAATCAGAGAACCTTCTTTCTTGAGGAATCCCAACCAATTTAGAAATGCTTCGAACCAATCAAATAAAAACATTATTATTTTATGAATTATTAATATGAATATATATTTTAAAACTTCTGTTGTTAAAATATAAATGTGATAGTAAATTTTAATGTTAATTTAATTTATATACAATTTGTTGTTGTTGTTGTTGATCTTCTTCTTTGATGTAATTTATGTAATTAAAAACTCAACAACAAAAATGATTATTTATAGTTTTGTGTTGTTTTTGTTTTTATTTTTTTCATCTTCATATATATTCAGGTATTCTAAAACGAATCTTTAAAGTTATGATTCAACAAGAAGTAAATAATGCAATGCTGGTAAAAGCAACGAAACAAACAAATATCACTTCTTTCTTTTTTAGCAACAACAATAATGAAAATACAAAAAAGACAAATCTACTACTTACTGTAATTAGCTAGTTATTGGGATTACCTATCAAGTAACAATAATTCTATCTAATCTATCTATGAGTCATTTATTGTATTCATTAACCTCTAAACACACACACACACACACACAAGTAGTGTAAGTTTAAAACAAAAAAAAGTGATAGCAGAGTGCGTGACTCATTTTTATGACTCATCTCTATGAAAAATAAGAAAAAACAAAACATTTTAATTATTATTTTCATTTTTTAATAATAAATAAAATCTATATATAAACAAACTTTATCTTTATTTATTTATTTATTGAATTCATAAAGATAAATAGAAATCTTTTATTGTTGATATATTAATTGAACTGATTTCTGACAGGTCACACACATTGTAAGGTCATTTTTTGAGATTATGATTGTCGTTTTTTTTAAAAGTTTTTTTTTTTGATTTATTTTTTTAAAAAAGGGTTATTAATGACCAGAGAAAATGTTGATTGTATTGTTTGTTTGTTTTTCAAAATTGATAGTATTACATTAAATATATTTATATATAAATATACAAATTAAATAGAAAATGAAAGATACTACACTTAGACAAGAAGATATCATTAAAAGAGACTTTAGAAAGAACACTATCCCAAGAAAGGATAATATATTTTTCCAATTTGAGCAGATCTCTGGTCTATCTATGTTTCAAACCAAAGAAAAACTTTGTTGTTGTAAATTATCTTTCAATTATATAAGAGAAATTATAACTAGTTTATGATTTTATATCTAAAATAAATAAATAGAATAGATTACTTACTTACTTTATATATACTTTCAAATAACAACAACAATATAGATATCGTTTTAGCATCGATACTTTTCTATTTAACTCTTGGAATTATGAAATCAGTTTCAAATTATGTATAGATTAATTAATTTAAGAAACAACTACAACAGCAATCATATTTAAAAAAAAAAGTTGATCAATTCGACAAAGAAGGAAAACAACAACAACAACAACAACTCACATTAATAACAGTAGTTTTAAGTAATTAAAATAAACTATTATCTCAAATTTGTATTATAGCAATAATTTAGATCCTTCTTTTCTTTTTTATTTCACCTTAACTAAATTAAGATCTTGATTATTAAAGATCTTTAGTTTTTTTTGAACTTGTTAGCCTACTTTTCATTAAACTTTTATTAAATAAACTTTTACAAATATCAATTTGTGTGTTATGATTTTTTTTTTTTTTTTTTGATATGAATGCAACTCCAATACTGGGTATGCCCAAAAACCAATAAACAAACAACGAAACCATAGGTTTTGGAAAAAAATAATTTAAAAAAAAATCAAAATAAAAATATAAATATAATATTATAATTTATATTGTTTTTATTAATTATTCTATAACTTTGTGACTTTCTATTATTTATTTTTTTAACACCATATTAGTTAGGTTATTTATTGTTAACAAGTTTGTCATTCATTGTGTGTTTTGTTGTTTTTTTTTGTTCATTATTGATTTTGTTTTTATAATATTAAAAAAATAGTAGCAGTAGTTAGTAGTACCAATTAGAAAAGAATAGGTTGAACTTCTTACTTTTACAACTCACACACAAACACTCTAATAAAGTAAAATTAAAAAAAGTTTACTTTTATATATTAAATTATATATAAATATTATATATGGTTACATATTAAAAGATAGACTTTTTTTTTTGTTTTAGGAAGTAGTTAGTAGTAGTAGTTGTTGTTGTAGTCGTAGTAGTTAGTCAATCGATCATTCATTCAAGAGAAACAAAGAAAGAAGGAAGGTTTAAACATGTCGAATCTAGTTGATAACTTTTTTTGGAAGGTATGTTTATGTTATGTTATGTTATGTTATACTTGATTATGAAATGAAAATGATGATGATTAAAGTAGATTAATATTGTCTAATTTGTTTTATATTATATATTTGTTTGTTTTATAGTTCTCTGGTGAAAAGATAGAGTGGAAATCATATAGTAGTAAACATACAGATGAAGGACCACTTACAGGATATTTTTACTTGACAAACTACAGGTTTGCATTCAATCCGATGCATTCCAATAAGAAGAAAGAGTCTGTTGAGATACCACTGGGAATGATCGCAAAGTTTGAGCGATCCACCAACAAAAGAGATCAGATCGTAGAGATTCACTGTAAAGATATTCGTATTCTCAAGTTCTACTTTGGCAAGACTGACACTGACTTTCTCGATGAAGTGGAAAAGCGATTCCACAACCTCTATCCCTATACAATAGAGAAAGCATTTGCATTTTTCAATCAAGACAGATATCCCGATACAAAAGGTTGGAGAATATACGATGCTGTACAAGTAAGTAGATCTAAAGTCAACAGTTGTTATCAATCATGTTCAAACTCGTTTTTAACAAATTCGTTTTGCTTATTATTCTCAAGGAATATAAAAGACAAGGAATATCAACGACATCGAAAATCAGTCAATGGGTAATAACCTATGTAAACTCTGACTATGCACTGTGTGATACCTATCCAAAGATATTGGCTGTACCATTTGGAAGTCAGGAGATACTGTCAAAGGTGGCAAACTATCGCACCGGAAGAAGATTACCGGTGTTGTGTTGGCGACACCGACAGAGAAACTCGGTGATTGTGCGTAGTTCGCAACCAAAGGTTGGTGTGTCCAGTAACAATTGTCCGGAGGATGAAAAGTTGATCAGCTTGATAATCGCTGCCAGCGGCAATCAGAATCTGACGGTGGTGGACGCGCGTCCACACGTGAATGCTCTGGCCAATCGTGCAATGGGCGCAGGCTATGAGAATATTCACCGGTACAAAAACACGGTGCTCGAATTCGCTGGCATCGGAAACATACACGAAATGCGTTCCAGCTACAAGAAGCTGCGCGACGCCATAGCAGAGTCGGTAACGGACCAGCTGCACTTCTTTACGAATCTCGAGAATTCCAAGTGGTTCGAGAATATATTGCTGCTGATAGAGTCGTCCGTGCGTATTGTTGAGTTGATCGAGGACAATCGCTCGGTTCTCATTCATTGTTCGGATGGGTGGGATCGTACCAGCCAGCTTAGTTCGCTTTCGATGCTGATGCTCGATAGCTACTACCGCACGATCGAGGGATTCGCTGTGTTGATTGAGAAGGAGTGGCTATCTTTTGGACACATGTTTTGGCGTCGAACTCATGGCAAGATCGCCGACGACCGTTCGCCTATTTTCATACAGTTTGTCGACTGTGTCTGGCAGATCACCAATCAATTCCCGCGACACTTTGAATTCAATGAGCGGCTGCTGGTGGAGATGCTAGACGCACTGCACTCCAACCAGTTTGGAACGTTCCTCTGCGACTCTGAGAAGGAGCGATCGAACCGCGCGTCGGGAACGACACCATCGTTCTGGTCGTACGTCGAGTCGAATCGCGTCGCCTTTACCAACCCACTCTTTTTGCAGGACGATAAACCGTTGTATCCGCTGAACGATATCAAACAGATGAGAATATTCGAAGCATATCACTGTCGATACATGGGATATCAGGTTCTGACACGGTGCGACTCACTCGTCGAGTTCTCACAACTCAAGGATTCGGCAATTAAGACACTCACCAGCGAAAAGACAAAGTTGATCGAGGAGAAAGAGATTTCCAATCAGAGAAACGCAGATTTACTGGCGGACTCTGAGAAAGTGCATGAAACCATCGATGAACTAAAGAATCAGATCGTCTTTAAAACACAGATTTGCGAGTCTCGTGAGATGGAGATGCTGAATCTTCGCAAGGAGAAAGACTATCTCCTGGAAATCATAGAGAAGAATCAATTGGATACCAATGTACATTGTAACGGTGGCGGTGGTGGCAACATCGATAGCGGTGGAGTGTTAACCGCTGGCGGAGGAGTAGGAGTTGGAAGTGTAAATATTAGTTTGGTCAATGGCAATGGTAATCACGGTAAGCACAACACAGAGTTGAGTTCCATTCTAGACTACAGTATCAAGTCTCTGCAGAACAAGATAACCTCGCTGGAATTCAACCAATCGATACTCGATAATGAGAGCAACAAGACAAAGAAAGAGAGTCAAACTCTACTGAAATCCATCGCTGATCTAAAGAGTCAGCTGAAGGAGCAGGCCGATCAAATCGAACAACTCAACCAAATCATAGCAAAGCGCAAAACAAAGAGTAAAACGCAGAAGCAATTACTCGAAGACAAACAGAAATACGTAGAGGATCAAGAGAAAGTACAATTAATTTTAAGAGAACAAAGAGATCAATTAGAATCTCAAATACAAGAGTTGAAATCAAATATAAATAATAATAACAATAACAACAACAACAACAACAACAACAACAACAACAATAATAATAATAATAACAATAGTAATAATAACCATAATAGTTTAAGTAATATAAATATGATAAATAACAATAATAATAATAGTAGTTTAAATAATATAAATAGTAGTAGTAGTTTTAATAATCATGATGATTCCGATCAAAATGGTGTGAGTTCTTCAGAGACGACATCTACGCATGAAGAATCAACCAAATCAAATGCAAATATATTTGATTTCTTTATAGGAAAATCAAATAGTGATTCAAAAGGAAAGTCACCATCGAATAAAAAACAACAACAACAATCATCAAACAATGTAAATAGTAGTCGAACATCAAACAAACAACAACAGCAACAACAACAACAAAAAACAACAACAGCAACTAAAGATGGTAGTCCAAAAATGAGAATGAGAGGTTTTTCCATGATGGGAGGAAGAGATTTTGTAGATTTTTCAATCAAGAGGCAACGATCTTTGAAACCAGCATTCCAAATGCATCAGAATGAGATATCGAGTGCCGAGATCATCGATGACTACACGTCGGAGAAACGCTCTAGTCAACTGGAATCGACTTCAATGGTCAATCCCATCGGTAACGGCAGTAATAGCACACCTGGTTCACCATCGGTTGCTGGCATCAATGACAACCCGCATCTGGAGATCATCGACAAGGTGCTGACATGCAGTGGATGCTCTGTAGACATACCAAAGAATGCGCCACACGCCAAGCGAAAGCACGACAAGATCCATTGTGTGCGTTGCGAGAAGGAGTACCAGGCGCTCAAACAGAGAAATCGACGATGTGCCAGTTGTGACCGTGCACTCGACCACAACCCGAAAGTGATATGCGGTCAACTCTACTGTCCGTCTTGTATCACAAAGATCATAGATGGTTTCAACGATCTTGGTTTCTAGAACTAAACTACAATCCAATTCATATCCAATTCATACAAAACAATGTTCACCATCATCATCATCATCAATCTTTAACAAATAATATAATTGATGAATCTATTGTAGCTTTTTTTTTTATTTCAATAGATTATCAATCAAAAACCGAAAGATTCTCAATGATCTTCAAAGTTGTTGTGAATGAAATAAAAATTTGTCAATAAAGATAGAGAGATAAAAGAACTAGTAGATTTTTTTTTGCAACTCATAAATAAATACTTTTTTGTAGATGTGATAAACGATCATAAATCCACTCAACTGACAAAAATGCATGATTTCATTTTAAAAAAAAATCTAAATTTACAAAAAATTAAAATAAATAAAATAGTCTGAATTCGATTCATCATTCATCGTGATGATTTTAAAATTTTAATCAACCCAACACTTTTTTTTGGATCCAAAAACAGTTTTTAAAGATCTTTTTATTCACAAAAATCTTATTTTTTTCCACCTCCCCAATCAAGAGTTAGATTTAACAAAAAACAAACAAAAATTTATTAATTTTAATCCACACAATAATACTTCTTTATACTTATAATTTATACTTATACTTACATAAATAAGAAATAAATGCCATTCCCTTTAACAGCAAGGTAATTACAATTATAAATCACTATTGTAGTGTTTTTTATCATAATCATCAATCGTCACTCATATATTTATGATTTAATTTATTTAGAAAATCATTACGTGATAATGAAGAATTCTTAACCAAAGCAGAGGAAGAGATTAAAACTGCTCTCGGTGTAGAATGGAAAATAGAGTTTGACTGGGACGTCCTCTTTGATCTACTTGATGCCAACACTCAAAAACAAATTGTAAATTATAAAAAATTTAATTTATCATTGATGATAACAATCAAAAAAGAGAGAATATTAATATAAATATACAATTAATTAGGGTGATGTATTTTATAAATCTTTATGTCCACAAATTAGTAAGTGTGTTACCACTGCCGCCAAAGATGAGATTGTAAAGGAAGCATTGATCAATGCAAATTCCGCTGCCAAGGTTGTTGTTGCCGTCAATCAAGACAAGAAGAATTCAACCTATTGGAAATATGAATTCAGTGGTGGTGCACTCCAATTGCTATTCAGAGCCTCGATTGCAAATATCAATGATGCCGGATATGCCAAGCTCTACACAATCACACCGACTGAGGGTACCTACACCTTGGGTACTCGTTTGAATCTTATTAAGAACCAAGAGAAGATCCAAGCTGCCTTTGAAAAGCTATCGGCTGTCACCAAGCGTGATTTCTGTTTCGACGACGCCTCAATGGAGCAGGTCTACCCAGCATTCGATACCGTCTCACAAAAGGAATCATTCGGTGATACCTTTGCTCAGATTTTGGAGTATGCTGTTTCCAACATTGAGAAGCGTTGCAAAGATGATATAACACTTGAGGCCTTCCTTGAAAATACCCAATCCGGTATAATTGGCTTTAGATTGGCACCAAAGCAATCTACCTATTGGTTATGGTCTTTTGAGAATAATCAAATGATTATCAGTAAGAATCAATTTATTATTAATAATGTTATCATTCTTTTAAATACTAATATATTATTATTACAATAATAGGTTTCAAACAACTTGCCAACATCAATGATAATTCATACTTTGATTTTACAAAGGTCCTTAAAGTTGAGGGTGTTTTCTCCTTGGTTTCTCGTTTGGATTTACAAAAGTATAAGGAGAAGTTCGATCAGGCATTCGAGAGAATCAATGCTGCAACCAAACAAAACTGGGTTTATGATGAAGCATCACTTGAACAAGTATGTATTAATTATTGGAGGTGATGGTCGATAAGATTAATTAGGGATTGTACTAATGTTCTGTTATTTTTATAAATATAGGTCTATCCCTCATTTGATGAAGGAAATAGAAATCGTATTGGTGAAACATTTGCTGATATCCTCTCGAATATTGCAACCAATATTGAAAGACGTTGCAAGGATGAATTGATTTTAGAAGCTTTTGTAGAGGCAACTCCAAATGCTACTATTATATTCCGTTTAGCACCAAAACAATCATCGACGTGGTTGTGGGAGTTTTCCAACGGATCATTGATTATCAATTTCAAATCTCTTAGTAATATCTCCGATAACAACTATCATGATTTCGTCAAGGTATTACCAGTACCAGGTGTATACTCATTGGTCACTCGTCTCGATCTAAAGAAGTATCAAGAGAAATTCGATGCTTGTTTCGAAAGATTAAAGGTTGTAACTAAAATGGATTGGAGTTATGATCAAGCAGCTTTGGAACAAGTATGTATAATAATAATAATAAAAATTACCAGGAATTCAAATTATTAACTCTTATACTAATTAATATTTATAAATATTCTCTATTTATAGGTCTACCCATCATTGGATGAAGGAAATAAAAGTCGTCTTGGTGAGACATTCTCTGAAATCATTTCAAATATTGTCTCTAATATTGAAAAGAGATGTAAAGAAGAGATGACATTGGAGGCATTCATCGAGTCAACTGCAAATGCAAGAATTGTCTTCCGTATTGCACCAAAACAATCGGCAAACTGGATTTGGGAGTTTTCCAACGGAGATTTGGTTGTCTCCTTCAGACAGATTTGTAATATTAATGATAACAGTTATCTTGATTTCATTAAAGTCGTAAGTATTTTTATTTTAAAAAAATCTATCATTATAGTTAATTTACAGGATTAATAATAACAACAATTAAATATTAATTATTATTATTATCCGGTTTTTATAGTTAAGTTCACCAGGTGTTTTGAGTTTGGCAAGTCGTCTCAATATGAAAGAATATCAAGAGAGAATGAATGAATCGATCGAAAAGATTAAAACATGTCTTGGTACTGACTGGGGTGTTGAATCATCTTCATTCGATGATATCTATCCATTTTTGGAGAGTGAATCCGATAAGACACGTATTGGTGAAACATTCAATGATGTCCTTAAAGCAATCTCTACAAATATCGTAAAGAAGTGTGCTGATGAAATGGTCAAGGAGGCATTCATTGAGAACACTGCAAATGGTAAAATTATTTTCCGTTGTGATAAGAAACAAACTGGTTATTGGGTATGGAAGTTTGAAGAAGGTAAGCAATCGGCAATATTAAAACAACTTAATCAAATGGGTAATATAGTAAGTACTAATTACATCACTTATTATTACTACAACTATCAACAGGTAATTTAGTTGTCTCGTTCAACAGACTTTGTAATATATCCGATAATAACTATTACAATTTTGAGAAGCTTCTCTAAAGCGTGTATGTTTAACTATGCCAAACAATTCAATTTAATCCAAAAACATAATATAATGATTATCATATTGTAATTTAAGTGATGTTTTAATAAACTTGAAAGATTTTAATTATTGAATTTAATTTATCTAGATTTATTTATCTATGATATTCAAAAAATGAAAACTCTGATCATGTCGTACAATTTATTATATATTTTTTGTAATTAATTTTCTGTTGCTAATGTTTTTTTTTGTGCTTACAATACAGAAGTTCAATCTGTAAAGAGATTGAAGAATTTAACGAAGACAAATTTGATACCAAAAGAAAAATCAACAAATTAATTCTTTTGGGTTTCTGTGGTGATCGTCCAAAGTGTAGATGTGGAATTCATATGAAGCCAAGACAAAACGGTAGGAATGGTTCTTCCTTTTATTCATGTGCAAACTTTACAAGTGGTAATTGATGAAAAGATTCAAAAGTGTTGTTTAGTCCTCTTAAATAATATTATAGTGACAAGTATATGTGAAAAAAGAACTATTTTTACTATGTCAACAAATATCTTATAGCAAACATGTGTGTCTTTAAAAAATCACCTGTTTATTTATCTTTATTTGTTTGGTTGTAAACTGAAAAATGAATCGAATCAAAATAGCATTGGGAGTTGTAATGAAAATTAGGGATGTTTTTTTTTTTTAAAAATAATTTTTAGTGGGGGAATTACACCAATCAAATTTGAATTAAATTTGTGGTTAAGGCTTTTATGGTTTTTTTACAACAGTTATTAATCAAACAACTTGTGGGTGGTGTGGTAAAATTATTATCATTATAAAATTTAAATTTAAAAATAAAAACAAAAAACAAATAATATGAAATCACTACTTACTGCACGGTGAGACAATCATTGATTCAATAAATTAGTTAAACAAAAATGAGGTGTAGATACATCGGTCATTAATTTTCATGTCTCTTCACAATCCCACAGGTAACATCAACCTAGCCAAATATAGACATATAGAGCCACCCCCACCTTGCAATCAGACTATATCATGTTCTGATTGGATCGATCTCAACAGAAACTGTATTGTTAATCTATAACAGCTCATTTTCAAAATAAAAATAATATTAGAGAGAGAGAGTGGTATCTAAATATAATTCACAAAGTAGAATACAGTCACATTTTTATTTTATAAAACTAAATAATTATTTTATATTGTTTCATTTCTTAATCAAACAACTTTATCTGTCTATCTATTTTTTATTTTCACATTGTACAGAAGCAACACCACAATCAACATTTAAGAGATTTTAGATTGTTGGCCATTAGTGATTATCATTATTTTTTAATTAATTTGGTGTCATTATTGGAACAGGGATTTTAGATAAATCAATCATTAATATAATGACCATAAATATAATATTGGTATGTATATCAATCAATTCAAATTCAAATTTATTAGTGTGTTAATGATTTAATGATGATGCAACTTTTATAAAATTTTGTTAAATTTTATATGTTATATAAAGTCTTTTTTATGATGATACACATCACAATTATCTTATTTTTCTGATAAAATCTAGTGTTGTTGATGTTGTTAATTGTCTATCTTTTCAATCTCATCTGTCAATCATTTCATTTGCTCAACTGAAAAGAAAATGAAGTGTGGTCAAGTGTTTTTTTATTATAATTTTTAATAAAAAATAAACATCATTTTATTTATATATCTTTAATTAAAAAAAATTATATTTTTGTGTTGTTTGTTTGTTGTTAGTTAGCTCACTGGCGAAGAGTCAATATTATTATTAATGGTTCAAATTTCTTTGTTTTTAAAACAACTGTAGAACCAATATATAACCAGTTCTATTGATCAATTTGTGATTGTTATATAACATATCATACCCACCACATCTCACTCTCATCTTTCCTGATTTCCCACACACACTAAACAACCACCGTGTTTATTTTATATAAATAATATTGTATATTATATAGTTTTTATTTAAAATGAATGGAATGATACTACCCTTTTAGTTATATAATTGATGATCATCAGTATCAATTTGTAAGGGGCAAAACCTACTGTTTGTGTAATTTCCAAATTTGATTAATAATTAGGATAAATAAAGACACAACACACAGAAACAAAATAATTTTTATTATATAATCAATCAATCTATGTTCAAAAAAAGCAAACTAAACATCAGTCAAAGGGTCACCTACCACCAACACCACTACCACCATCTTCTCTTTGGTGATATTAACTATATATTCCTTTCAACAAAGCTCAAATTCTGATCATTCATTCTATTTTCACTCATGAGAATAGAATAGAATAGACTATTACTGTAGTTGTTAATATTATTTTTGATGAATGTTGATGTAATGTGTTTTAACCTAAAATTAATCTTGTTGGCAAGAGATAGATTTGATCAAACAAACCAAAAACAAAACATAAAATATAACACAAATAAAACAAAACTAGTTAAATAAACAAAATTAATTAATAGAATTGTACAAAAAAGCAAACAAGCAGAAGTACAAACAGATAAATAAAAAAACTTATTTTAATTAGTTTTCAAATCAAACAATTAATTATATAAGTATATAATTGTTTATTATCTATTCACTCAGTAATTATAATAATAGTAATTGTTTGTTCACTTTATTAGTATATTTAGTTTAGTAATTAGTTTATATTGTTTTTGTGGTGTTTGCTTTTCTTTTCAATTGGATATATATTTAATTTTAATTTGTTCACCAAACACACATTAATTAATACTAAAAGTAGTTGTAAAAATATTATTGATATTCGACTCTAATTTCTATTTATAATTCATCATTGAAGTACTTTTAGTTTCTATTTGGAAAACAATACTTGATAATTATCTTTTTATATCCGAAAATTTAATCAAGTATATTTTTCCAGTTTGTCTGTTGTTTTTTTTGTAATACCAAATAAACTTCACCATATAAACAAAAACTAATTTAAAGAAATTTTTATTATTTTCATCAATATCAATTAAACAGATTCTTATTATTTATTAATATTTAAACAAAACAAATATAATTAATATATATATATATTACAAATAATAATTAAAAAAAGTTTTTTTTGGAAAAAAAAAAAACTATCTGGAAAAAAAAAAAATGATCCTTTCATTTAAAGGACTCATTGAAAGATGTATACATCTTTCATTAATATTAGTAGTTTTATGTTTTATAGTTAGTGTAAATAATATAATTAAAAGTAATAGCAATAATCAAGAAGATGTAGTAGTCGGAAAGTACAGTGATCGATCACTTTTATCGTATTTCAATGTTGGTCTGTCTGATATGATCTATAAAGGTTTTCAACATCAGACGAAACCAAAGTCAAACAAGTTGATTCTCCTAAAGAATGGCAATATCAATCCAGCTCAGAGACCATCGATGTCGAGTAGCAAACACTCAGTTAGTTTCGCGTCGTTGAGGTTGCAGCGTTCAAAGTCACTGTTTGTTCAGGACAACGAGCTTCACCAGTATATCTCGCAGTTCGATAGTTACATCGTACACATGCCAACAAAGATCAACTATGAACAACGCGAAAAGCTCGAGCAGTTCCTAGTGGCGACACAACCGGTGGCACCATCGACCATCTCCACTTCCTACCGTTCGCAGATCGTCTCCTACATTCCCGAAGATTCATTCCTGGTGTTTATGTCTCATGACCAAGCTCACCAACTCGATTCCAATCAATGGGTATCGTGGGTCGGCAAATTGGATGCAATTCACAAGCTCTACTTGCCACACTTGAACTCGGAGCACAGAGAACCCTATGGAAAGGTGGTTGTTGCACTGTCATTCGGATTGTTGGAGCATGAAATGTCGGATCTTCTCAATCGTTGGAATCGAGCAGTCACTGAGCTCGTTGGCGTGTATGCGCGTGTCTCGATTGTCTCTGGCTCGCCAAAGCGTATCACCGTCTCGCTGCAATGCGAGAGAGCTGGATGTAACATTCTAAAGACAGAGAGATTGGTGTACAATTGGATTGCCGAACAACTGGAATCGCATACCATTGAGAAACTAGGACAAGTCGTTCTCGCCAATAAATTTGCACCACCCATTATGTTGGCGACCTCGACCGGTGCCAACCTTCCACTCAACGACTACACTCGTGTCCCAATCAAGGGTGACGGTCAAATCGTTGGTATCGCCGATACCGGTCTCGACATGTCACATTGTTTCTTCAACGATCCAAACACACCAACTCCCTACAACACCATCAACAAGAATCATAGAAAAGTCATTGCATACTACTACAATTCATCGGAAGGTGATCAATTCGATGTTGTTCAAGGACATGGTACTCATGTTGTAAGTAATCATTACTTATCAATCAAGCAAGTAATCAATTAAATGACTAACATTTTTAAAATTGATCAAATCTTTTTTATATAGGCCGGTTCTGTAGCAGGTATGACAATTGATGCTAGTCAACCGGTTGCACAATTCCGTGGAACTGCCTATAATGCCAAGATTGCATTTGTCGATATCTCAATTAATGGAACTAATCCAGAACCAGGTGATTTGATTTCGATGTATCAGAAGGTGTATGATACTGGTGCAAGAGTTCATAGTGATTCATGGGGATCGCATTCATCTACTGGTTGGGATGCACTCTATGGTTTGCCTTCGAGAGAGATCGATGAGTTTGTTTGGAGTCATCCCGATATGCTCATTGTCAGAGCAGCTGGTAATGACGGTCAATCTGCATATCTATCACTGCTCACTCAAGCTGTAGCAAAGAACTGTCTCACCGTCGGTGCACAACAGAGTTCAACCGATAGTTTCAAAGTGACTCCAGATTACATTCCAAACGATGCCACCATCCAGAGTATCATTAGCTCAACATGTCTTATCGATCCGACTACCTGTAATTTCACATCTGCCGATTGCTGTGCAAAGCAAGCAACCAACAAATTCTATGCAGTCTGTTGTTCGCCATCAATGACACAAGCCACCAGAAATACAACTAGCAATACAGCGCTATACAATCAAAACAACATTGCTTCATTCTCTTCGAAAGGTCCAACACACGACTCTCGTGTCAAACCAGATATTGTTGCACCCGGACAATTTATCATCTCCTCAATGTCGAACGGACAAAACAATACCAACCAATGCGGTGCCACTGGAGCGCTATCGACTGATTCACTTCTCGCTCTCGAGGGAACATCAATGGCAACACCACACGTAGCAGGAGCAGCAACATTGCTGCGTCAATATTTGGTGGAGGGATACTTCCCCTATGGTACACCGAATACATCCAACTCGATCAACCCAAGTGCCTCACTCTTGAAAGCAATCCTTATCAACTCGGCATCTCAGCTCAACGGAACCATGGTCACACCAGACAACAAGATATCACCAATCCCTGTTAATCCACCATTCCCAGGTGCCTCGTATGTCAGTGGTTGGGGAGCAATCAAGCTCGGTAACTTTTTCAACTTCCAATCGAACGGAGCACCAGCTGCTGCAAATCCAACACAATTCTTCATTGGTGGATTCGACAATAGCAATCCAGAGAATCCAGTATTCAAAGAGCAGCTATTCGTTCAGAACAATACATACAATGCATCGTACTGCATTAGATACTCAGACAACAGCGGTGTTCCCAACTCTGGTTCGATCAAAGCAACACTGGTATGGAGTGACATGCCTGCTTTCCAAGGTGCAGTCTATGATTTGGTGAACGATCTCGATCTGGAAATGATCCTGGATTCTACCTATACACTTGGAAACCAACAGCCATCTTCAACGGGCGGTCCATCTCCACCCGACAGAAGAAACAACGTCGAACAAATTCAAGCGCCAGCAACCGATGGAGTAACTTACAAATTCACAGTGCTCAGTACTACTCTAATCTCCAAAGAACAACCATACTCGATTGTCATCAGTGGTACAGGACCTGGTAAATTCCAATGGGCTGAACAATGTCCAGAGTGTGGATCTACAGATATGATTGTTTGTTTGGTGCCAAACGGTGTCGGTCAGAAGAAGTGTCAGAAGAACTTGATGTGGGGAAGTTGTATCGTCAGCTCGTGTAACTCTGGATTCAGCTACAACTCGTTGACCGGTTCGTGTTCTGCTTTCTTGAATTACAACTACATCGTTATCATTGTTGCTGGTGCAACGATGGCACTGCTGTTGTTCATTGTCGGTCTCATCAAGTACAAAGAGTACAAGGATAAGAAGAAGTACGGTGCCGACGCCAAGAACTCGCTGGGACTATCGATCACACCGAAACCAAAAGATGCCAAAGTATCGATTCCCGAGCTCTATTCATTCGTTCATCCTTTCATTCTCCGTTTGGTATTCTCAGCGGGTTGTTCACTCATCGCCACTGCAGCCAACATTCTCCAGCCATACTACATCGGTATCATCATTCAAGACATTCCAACTACCAAATCAATCACCGACCTTACAACACAATTCATTGTTATCTTCTTACTTGCATTCATTGAATTCTTATTTACAACCATTTCATCTTGGGTATCTGGTATCGTTAGTGAACTTATGATTATGAGTATTCAAGGTGTAAGTAGTATTAAGAGTATTCATTACAACATATAACTAACTAATATTATTGTTAATTAGAAAATATTTAAAGCAATTATGGCACAAGATATGGGATTCTTCCATAAGAATAATACTCCTACTCTTATCAATGTGTTGATTGTAGATGCACCGATGTTGAGATCTGCAGTCGCCGGTATCCTGATGACTTTTGCTACGAGCACCTGTAAGTTTGTTGGTAGTTTGGTGTTTTTGTTTACCATTTCTTGGAAGTTGTCGCTTGCATTCTTTGCCACTGTTCCAGTGCTTGTCATCGTTACTAAAGTACAGTCGTCGTTCACCAAGAAACTGACACGTCTGCTGCTGTTCAACAACAGTAAGGCATCGCAATGCGCCTCTGAAGCAATGGTTAACATTCAGGTGGTCACTACCTACTGCAAGCAAGAGCGTGAAATAGAACGTTACATCGAGCATCTTCAAAGTGTTTTCGCCACTGCCAGACGTTTGATTATCACCAACACTTTCGCCGCTTCGATTAAATGGCTGATGGTAGAGTCACTTGCATTCACTGTGCTCTACTACGGTGCTTACCTATCGATCAACGGTGAATTCTCAGTGGGTCTACTCATTTCCTTCTCACTGTACGTCGGTTACGTTGTAGACTCATCATCATCTATCTTTGGTATCTACGTCAGCTACGTTCAATCTCTTGCATCTGCACATCGTGTATTCCTCATCTTGAGATCTGCGCCAAGAAAGAGAACAACTCTAGAAGAAGAAGTAGCTGAAAGAGAAGCTCTTAAACGTGCACTTAAAGATAATGAAAAAGACAAAGATAACAATAATGATAATAATAATAACAACAATAATAATGATGATAATAACAACAACAATAATAATAATAATGATAATTCAATTAGTGTGACAGAACCAAATAATAATAATAATAATAATAATGATTTAGATGGTCAAACAACAAATAATAATAATAACAATAATATAGTAGGTGATTCACCAACAGGTGTTGATTCAGAGAATAATAACAACAACAATAATAATGAAGAAGAATCAGAAGCAAAGAAACAAAAGAGATTAAAGAAAGAAGAAAAGAAGAAAGCAGATGCATTTATGTCAGAGAATGGTATTTCAGTGTGTGAGATGACAACTCTACCATCGACATTTGTAGATCTTGACGATGTACAAGGTGAAATCGAATTCAAGAGTGTATCGTTCAAGTATCCAACAAGACCGGATATCGAAGTACTCCACAACATCTCGTTCAAGCTGGAGACTGGAAAGTGCTACGGTTTGGTCGGTCCCTCCGGTTCCGGAAAGTCAACGTGTCTCGAGCTGATGGCTAAATTCTACCAGCTGAAGGAAGGTGCCATCTTCCTGGACGGCATCGACATCACAAAGATTCGTCCATCGAATCTACGTTCATTCGTCACCGTTGTGCATCAACACCCGTACCTCTTTGACAAGACGATCGCACAGAACATCGGTTACGCACTGGACAATCCGACCACCGAGGAGATCATAGAGGCAGCAAAGATGGCGAACGCACACGACTTTATCATGGAGTTGCCCAATCAGTACGATACACAACTCGGTCAAGCCGGTAACCAGCTGTCCGGTGGTCAGAAGAAGAGAATTGCCGTGGCGAGAGCGATCTGCTCGAAGCGTAAGATCATGTTGCTCGATGAGATCACCGCTGAGCTAGACCCCGAGAGTGAAGAGGCTATCACCAACTCGATCAAGAAGCTCACACACGGTCACACCGTGGTGATGGTCGCTCACAAGATCGCCGCCGTCAAGGACTGCGACAAGATCTTTGTATTGGAGAAGGGTTACCTCGTTGAAGAAGGTAATCACAACGAACTCATGGACAAGAGAGGAAGATACTACAAGCTATTCTCAAATAGAGTAGAAGAAGACGACATGGATTTACCACTCACCATTTCATAGGAAAATCAAATAATAATATTTTAAACAAACGAACGTTACATTATATATATATAAAATAAATTTTAAATAAATAAAACAACAGATCAATCTTAAATTATATTCAAATATAAATATTTAAAACAACGATTATTATAAGATATTGATTAAGTTTATAAGATATATTGATATTATATATTATATAACTTTTTTATAATAATGTAATTTTGTTTTGTTTTGAAGTTTTGTTTTGATATCAAATAAAAAAATATATTTAATCTGCTGTCTGTTCTGTCTAGTAATACTATAGTTTATCTTTATATTTATAATTTAAATTTGTATGAAATGTGTTGCTAATTTACTCTCTGAATTGACGACGGATTTCAAATTCCTTCTCGACTTGTTGCATGACACCTTCGACTTGATCGGTGTAAATCTTATCCTTCTCTAAATCTGACCATAAGTTCTCTGTTTAATATATATTAAATGTGAAGTGATTATATATAAAAATAAAAAGATTAGTAAAATGATAATATGATGATCAAGAAATTAATTTCTTTGATAATATATATATATATATATGTATTACCTGGCAAGTAAATCTTCTTAACGTTGCAATCAAAAGCAATAGCCTTTCTTCTGTCTCTCTCGACGAGGACTTGTGGTGGCAATCTGTTGAGGGCTTCCTTCATGACTGGAGTTTCATTGTAAAGATCGGCATAGTACAATCCTATATATATATAATAATGAATTTCACTATTGTAAGTTAAATTGTCTCTTTATTTAACTATTTCATATTATTATCTTTGTCATCATAATATTAATAATCATCATCCTCATCATCATCTATCTAAAATATTGAATGGAAATAACTATGAAAGTTATGTAATCTATTTAACCGAGTGAAATCTATTTTCTTTCTTGCTATCTTGATACAACTACTAAATTGTTTTCCATTATATATCGATTGATCTAACCTGAATCTGTATCGCATCTGTATTTGTAAGCTAGTTTATGTAGTTGATGATAATGATGATCGAGAGTGCTAAATTTGATATGATTCTATAATAATGTATATATAAAAAGTTGCAAGTCATACCAATCTTTCTGTATTCTAACCATGAGTTTTGAAGTCTCTTGACGACAGTTTCTGGGAGGAATTTAACGAATGACATTATTAATTATTTGTAATATATGATTATTTGGAATAATAATGATCAATTGATGATGATTTTTTATTATTTTTTTGTTTTTTTTTTTTTTTCAAGTGATTGCGAAAAAAATTCAAAAAAACTCAGAACTTCGTAAATCACTTGCAAACATTGTTAATACTTAAAATTTTATCAACAGACAAGACATAGAGTTTACATAATAAAATTACTATTTACAAATATTGTCTTTATTTTTATAAATTGTTTTGATTTCTAGTGGTGTCTTGGTTTTTTATACTTGACTGCTAGTAGTAATCGGAAAGAAACCTATCGGAACCTATCACCAAAACCAACAACCAATTCAAACTTTCTTGCTTAAAAAAAATAATAGTACATAAATGTTAATACATAAATTGGAATTGAACCAACACCACAAGCGAAAACTACACTCCATCTAGAGTAGTCAAAGACTGCCTCCACAGTATTATCCATCATTTCATCCATTATTCCTTTACCATTTCTAGTTCTTGATCCACCTCTACAAATTGCTTTAATATTAAACAAATAACCAAATGCAGGACTATGTTATATATATTTCAAATAAGTATTAATTGTTGTGTTAATTTATAATAGTATGTAAATATAATATATGTATAAGTTTACCTAAAAAATTGTATACCATGTAATGTCATAAGAATACCGAATAACCATGGATTCTTTGAATATATACTCATTAGAAGCTTTGTCCAGCCATAGGAAATAGAGAATCCCAATACATTTGCAACGGGTATTGAATATGCAGCGATACGTCTCTTGATCAATCTCGATTTTAGAACGACATCGTCTTCGTCTTGTCGTGGTGTGCTATGACCTAAATACAACACCACACCATCGAATATCAACTGTGTCAATGAACTTCCAAGAAACCCAAACGTAATCAACTCTTTATATGAGTTAAACATTTTAATGTTATCTGTTTATCAATCTTGTGCGTAACAAATTATCTTTTTTATTTCTTGTTTTTAGTTTTTTACTTAAAATTATCTTGATATTTTGATTTGGATAGCAGTAAATCTTATTTCGACTTATTGTAAAAACTCTACTATTGTCAATTACAAATTATTTATTCAATAATTGTCACTCATATGGATAAAATATTATTTCAAGCATTATTTAATAATATTGTATTGAAAGAGTTGATATTTAATCAAGTTAAGATCATATCTAAATGGAATGATCTCAAATCTTATAAATGGGATGAAGTTGTAAAACAACCTGAAATCTTGGCATACAATGGCTATTTCGATTTATTAAAGGCCTATCTAAATGATCCCAGTACTCCTGTGCCTCCAAGGAGTGCACAGATTTTCAGTATGGATTCTTCGGTTTGTGTTGGAGCAATCAGAGGTGGCAGCTTAGAGATGTTTCAATATCTTTTGGACTATTATGAGATCGATCGAAGACTTAAAGTAGTATCGGAGCAAGGTATTATCAATGACTTGTTGTCGTGTGCTTCAGAGTATGGTAGATTTGATATCGTTAGATATCTACTGGACAGATTCCAATCGTTTAGATCGCGATTCAGCATCACCAATGCAATGGCATCCGCACCATTATCCGGAGATTTGGAGTTACTGAAATTCCTAACTCTCAAAGCCAATGAAGATCTGGACGACGAACAGAGTCGTTCTCTCTCTACCAAGCTAAGATTGAGACAACAGAATTGTTTTGACAATGCAGCAATTAAAGGTCGAATCGATATTATTGAATGGCTGGTGCTTAATCGATCACAGGATCTAGCGAAATCGAATATGCTGTATATTGCAATTGGCACCGATAATCTTCAGTTGATAGATTACCTGGTGAAGGAACACAGCGATCTAATTGATATGACAGAGGAACTACCAGCTGATAATTTTGGTTATTGTCAAACAGAAACTATCCAGCGGATGCTGAGATATGGATTCAAGTTTTCTGAGGATCTACTGGATATGGCTCTCATTTTTGAGAATCAAAAATTGTTCAAGTGGCTACATACCAATACGACATTCCAATGTACATTGGAATCACCGATGGATCGCGCAGCAGAATATGGATATATCGAGTTCGTCAAATGGCTCAGTGAAAACACAACAACTGGTTGTACAACCGATGCAATGGATAAAAGTGCAGAGCTAGGACACTTTCACATTCTGGAATGGCTCCATCTTAATAGAAGTGAAGGATGTACAACCAATGCTATGGATAATGCATGTCATGAATATAGAACGGCAATAAAAGATGGAGTACTCTTTAGAAAACAACTTGAAATGGTGAAATGGCTGCACTACAATCGAACTGAAGGTTGTACAACTGCTGCTTTCGATCAAGCTGCGAAAATAGGCAATTTAGCGATTGTCGATTGGCTGCATAAAAATCGAACCGAAGGATTCTCCTCGGGAATATTAGATAAAATCGCACTGAACGGACACATGGAGCTTGTAGAGTGGTTCGAGAAGAACACCAATGAGGAATTCGATTTGGATATACTCGATCAGAGTATAACCGTTGGTAACTTAAATCTTGTCAAGTACTTACACGCGAGAAACAGAGACGATAACCGATATCTATTCACAACGGCAACGATGAATCACGCCATCTTCAAGGAGCGTCTCGATATCATGGAGTGGTTGCATTCGAACGTACCAGAGATATGCAAAAACACCACCATAGACAAACCGCTCTACTATAACTATCAAACCATTAAATGGTTGGAGGAACATCGAAATCAATACTATTTCCAAAGATCAATCGATGTTGTCAAATGTATAGAGTACTATTTCAGTAACTCTCAATACGATGCATTGGAATGGACATTAAATAATCTCTCAATCTCCGATCAACAACTCATTGGCATACAAAGTAATATGATTGAAAAGTATCCACAATTGTTTAAATCAACAGATATCATTAATCAACATATATTTAAAAAAATATAAAACTATAACAAGTTAATGTTTGATTCAGAGGTTAAGGAATGCTCTTTGAGACAACTTTTACAAATTACCTTAACACATACACACATAGCCAATTGTTAAATAATAAAGATAATTATTATTAATAGCCTAAAATAGTATACCAATCATCAATTTAGTTATTAGTGTTATTATTTTAAATATATATATATATTTTTAAATTCTTTATATATTTAATAGATGCTAAATTAAATATACTATAGATAGTAACAATGACACTTGTGAAATAGTTTTATTAAAGACAACAATTTTTTTTTTTTTACTTTTCTATTGTTAACATCAAGCAACAAACAAAGATATTATTTGCATCAATTTCCTTTTTATTACCATTAGATACTTGTGTAATTTGCATTTTAAACCTTTTTAATTATAATTACAATGAATAACAATACTTGATTTATAATTAATAAATTATTAATAATAATAAAAAATGAAAATAATAATAATATGAATGTACACTCATCTACATATCATCTACAAAGTTATTTACTTGTTTACTTTGTCTCATTCTATTAAAAAGAAACAAATAATAATTAATTTGTATACGATTATTATAATTAATAATAATTAATGTCTGATACTCAACAACAAATTAGTCAAGAGAATACTCAAGGTGGAGTATCTCAAAAGTCTCATCAAGATGATCAGAAAAAGACTGTTGATACCGGTGACCAAAGACAGCAACAACAACAACAAAAGTCGTCTGCTCCTGTAGAGTCGCAAGGTCAAGTTGGTTCCAGTAGTAGAGACGATCAGAAAGTCCCGGAATCATCGAAAACCTCTTCTGATGTTTCGCCAACCGGTGAGCAAAGATCATCATCCTCACCTTCCGAGGAGCAGCAGCAACAGCAGCAACAGCAGTATCCACATCGTCAAGAGCGTCAAGAAAGTCAAGAAGGATCTGATATTGCCGTGGAGCGTCTGGAAGAATCTGGATCCGGTTACGAAGACTACCCAAGCAACAGCGGCATCAGTGATATCAGCACCATCAAGAAAAAGAACAAAACACATGACAACATTGGTGGTGCTTCCGGTGTATTTAGTAACTTCTTCAAGAGAAAGGTATATACTGTTATTATTATTATGAAGATGTTATTATTGTTTCGTATAACTAATTCTCTACATGTGTAATAATAATAACCACCGTAAAGAATCCAGATGAAAAGGTATTCATTGCTCAAAAGGAGAAACTTGACAAGATGGCCAAGGATATCAAGAGTTCGATCGATTCTTTCACATCGCAGTTTAAACACCAACAAAGTCAGAGTGATATCGTCGGCAACGAATACCAGCTTCCAAGCTACTTTGATTCGATGGTAGAGCAACTCAGTGATGTGCTCGACACCTACAGTGACAAGGAAAAGATTCTCAAGAGACACATCAGAGACATTGAGAACAGATCCACTGAGAGATCCAAACACTGGAGATTCTGGGCCAATCTGATCAGTCGTGATCCATCGTTGGTTGACATGGTTAACACTAATAACTTTTTAGAGATATCATCTCAATCTGTAAGTATCTATTATTTATTAGTTAATTAATTACACACATTCTAACACCAAATTACAATTATATATATTTGTAGATTTTTGATTCACCATTGGATTTACAAGAACTTCGTGCTTTTGAAGAGCTTTTAACAAACACTCTCAACCCTGGATTCAACAATGAGAATGTTGCCAATGTCCTGAGCATCCAAAAGAGAATCCTTCCAAGAGAACATGAATCAACCCTTCGTAATGCATTGTATCAATCAAAGGTAAATATATTTATATATATATTGATTCAATTTGATTATTATTATTCTATTAACATAGTATATATGTATTTCTATAGTCTTCAAATAAGATTGACTTTGTAAACTTTGAACAAAACTTTTCGGAAAAGAATATTTTGTATATGGAGATGAAGAATATCGTCCAGTTTTGGCAGACAGAGAAAGAGGAGCAATCAAAGAAACTGACCTCCATTCTCTCGGACATTAGCAAGATGCACAACGAGAAGCAGAGCACTTGTCAATCGCTGGCAGAGTCTATCAACAACGATACCGATCTCATCAGAAAGCACAACATCCAGATCAGGGAGCTCGCGGGTCAAATCGAAAAGTTGAAGAAGGAAATCTGGAATCTCGAGGAACAAATCTCGACCAACACCAAGAAGCTCGAGGAGCACAACAGAGACGATCGTCCGGAGCTACAACTCCGTAAAGACTCTGACATCATCAGATCCAGACACGATACCGCACTCGGTGTTTACGATCTCGTCGAGAAATTCCATCGTGGTTACGTCGTTGCTTTCTTCAACTACAAGAAACAAGTATTGGAATCGATGGAAAATAGAATTCAATATTTGGTAAGTAGTAGCTGCTCTCTGGTTTGGCAATAATAGAATAGTTATTATACTTTTGAATCAAACTAATAATTACTTGCTTATCGATAATTATAATTACAATAGGAGAAGATTAGAGATGAATGCAATGAAAACAATCAGAGAATCGGCGATGCCAAAGGAATGGATTTGGTGGTGGAAGCTGACAGACTCTTGGGTGTTGCCAATAGAATCTCGGAGGATGAGAATGTCGATGAAACCAGATTGGATAACGACAAGAAGCGTATCTCAAGTTTCATTGAGTCGATGGAACGTGACCACAAGATCTCTTACTCTCAGATCAAGAGAAGTCTTACAAGTGATGTAGAACCATCACAATCTTCAACTTCAACCACATCCACATCTCAAAAAGATGTTGGACAACAACAACAATCTCATCAACAACAGCAATCACCAGTTGTCGAGGAACAACAACAATTAAATGTTCCGCAACAACAACAACCATCACAACAGCAACAACAACAAGGTGGTGTTGAATCCAGTGCTATTGCTGCATCTGACAAAGACAAATCATTTGATGAAGTCAGAAAAGAAGAGAAAAAGATGGTTCAACCAGTTGGTCCAGCTCAATAGAATAGATATATCAATCTATCAATCTACTCTATGTCTATATCCTATCCTATTTCATTCTATGTATATTTCAATCAACCAATTAATTCTTGTTAATTTGTCACCTTAAAAAAAAAAAAAAAACTCGCAAACTTATTTTTTTAATAAATATTTCATTAAAAAAAAAAAAAATCCTTTTAAAAATTTTGCCCATGATTTTTAGGAATCGTTTTTTTTTAAACAATAATGGCGGTTGATTTCAACTTCCATAATTCGCAATGCATGTAATTTTCATACATTAATAGTAGGCTTATAATTATACACACTGTTTATATATCGTTTTTTTATTTTTTATAATTATATATCTTTTAAAATATAAATATAAAAACATTTCATAAATTTGTAACTTCACTCTTTTCAAACACAAAAAATCAAAATTAAATTTAATCATTTATCTAAATAATTTATTTCACCTGTCATTTTTATATATATTTAATATTTTTGACTTTTGATTTGTTTTTTTATATTTATTTATTTATATGTTTAAAAGTATAATTATATATTTAGTATAGTAAATATATATTTATCTAGATAGAGTATATTTAAAGTTATGAGTAAAGCTGACAATGATGAAACTGTTACAATCAGTAAGGCTGAAAATGATACCTCTATGATCGATATTGATCCCGTGGCAAACACAACAGATAAAATAGTAAAAGAAGATGATAAAAATAGTAATAGTAATAGCAATAGTAATAGTAGAAGTATATCAAGAGAGAGAAATAGTAGTTCTCAAAAAGATAAATACCAACATAAGGACGACGATGACAAACACAAAGATCTAGATAACAAAACAAGCAAGGAGACTGATAAAGATAGAGATAGAGACTCGCGAAGTAGAGATAGAAGTAGAAGCAGAGAGAGAAGAGACAGAGATAGAGACTATCGCGATAGAAGTAGAAGTAGGAGTCACGAACGATACCGAGATAGAGATAGAGACTATCGCGATAGAAGTAGAAGCGGTGAGCGATACAGTCGATCCTATCATAGTGGTCATCATCATAGAGATAGAGACTATCGCGATAAGAGTCCGAGCGACACCTCTCGGTCAAGACGTGGCAAGTACGGTCCACACGATACCTATGGCGTTGCAAAGGGTGGCGGAGCAACGAGTAGTCATCATCATGCGAGTGAGCAGCAACAGCGCTACTATGGACGTGACGGTGGCGGTCCACCCTCATCCTATTACAGATCGTCGTCTTCGTCGTCATCAGACTATCCTTATCCACCGTCACATCATCGCGGTGGTGGTAACGAGCATTATAGTCGCGGCTACAGAACCCATCCATATGCAATGTATCCACCACACTCCTCTGTTGGCGAGTCCGAACATCTACAACAACAACAACATCGTCAACTGCCTCCTCTTCCTCCTCCTCCTCACCATCATCTACATCATTTCAGCAATGCATATCCAACGCGACCACCATTACCACTACCACCAACAACAACAGCAGCAGCAACATCAACAACTCCCGGTACATCAGCTGCCGATGAATATCTGTATAGATCAATCAACGTCACATCACCACTTCCTCTACTACCGACACCACCTACATCTGCGCTATACTCCTCACATCACCAACTTCAACATCAACACCAACACCACCTAGCAGCTGGTGGATATCCACCAACAGCAACAGATTCAACTCCAAACAAACAAAGTAACAGTAATTCCAACTCTAGCTATTTGTATAGTTTCAATTCAAAGAAAGAAAAGATTACAAAGGAGAAGGAAAAAGAAAAAGAGACACCATCTAAACATTTACTTTACGATAAGTATGAAGAAAAGCAGCATAATAATAATAATAATGGAAATAGTAGTATTAAAGTTAATGGCAACACATCATCATCGATCGATAATATTAAGAGTATAAAGAGAGATAGAGCAAGTGAATTGATGTCAATTCGTAAGGATTTGAAAAAGAAGAAAACAGAACACGATAGTAATTCTACAACTAGCTCCACACCTTCGAAATCAGTAGCCAGCAGATCACCATCGAGCTCACCATCCAGTGACAGCGATCCTTATCCCGTAGTAGTAAAGAAGTCGACCAACAACAGTAGTAGTAGTTTAGTCAAGAAGAAGACGATTGTATTGAGTGAAAGCGAGAGTGATAGCGATAGTTATACTAGTGACAGCGATTCAAGTGGTAGCTATACGAGCGGGAGTGATAGTGGTGACTACACTTCATCTTCAGACTACTCTAGCAGCGACGACGATAGCGATACATCTTCAAGCAGCGATGACGACTCGGATGTTGAACAACAAAATAAGAAATCAAAGAAAGTTGTCAATTCTGTGAAATCCACTTCTTCTTCCGCCAACTCTTCAACATCAAAGGTGGAAATGAATGGTAAAACAACAACTAAAGAAAAGGAAATTGTTAAAGAAAAAGAAAAAGATAAAGATACTCAGAAAACATCAACTGTTAAGCCTTCTTCTTCTTCTGCTACACCAAAGACATCTTCTAAACCATCTACACCAACAACTCAATCAGCCAACTCTACATCCAAACAAGCATCTATCAACAAACCTCCTACTACACCAATCTCAAAGTCCGACAAAGAATCATCATCTTCTGCTTCAACATCAACAACTAAAGATAAATCAACACACTCTAAACAACACGATGAAAAAGAAAAATCAACCAACAGAGATAAGGAAAAGACAACAGAAAAAGATAAAGAGAAAGAGAAAGAGAAGGTAAAAGAAAGAGAAAAGGAAAAAGAGAAGGAGAAAGAAAAAGAGAAAGAGAAGGAAAAGGCGAAAGAGAAAGAGAAAGAACCAATCAAAGAACTAGATAATAATAGTAAAGATAAATCAAAAGATAAAGATAGAAGTAGAGATAGAGATAGAGAAAGAGATAGAGAAAAGGATAAAGATAGAAAAAGGCATAGTGATGACAAATCTAGCTCTTCATCAAGAAAGAGTGAATCATCATCAAGTAGACATTCAAGTGGTGGTAGTATTAGTAGTAGTAGTAGTAAGAGTCATCATTCAAAGACAGATTCAAAGAAATCAACTAAGGAATCATCATCATCCTCAAAGGATAAAGATAAACTAGTTTTGGCAACACCACCAAAAGGTGAAACCAGAGAAGAGGAAAGGGAAAGAATCATGAAGTATTTGGCAGCAAAGAATGAAGAGGCCAAGAAGAATAAACCAAAGAATGAAGACAACTCTATTATGAACCTACCCGAACCACAGGCAATCAAAATGATAGAGGATAACATCGAAAATGGTGCAAGCTATTCCCAAATTGCTGTTTTAATTCAAAAGGCAAGAGGAAAATCATTTAAATATACAAAATCAAGTAATGTATCTTTATTATTATTATTATTACTACTTTTAAAAAAGAACAACTATACTAACATAGCATGTTAATGATTAGATATCTATACAGAGAGAAGAAAGAGAACATTACAAGAGGATGATATCGCTATTTGTAATTGTGATATCATTGATAATGGAGATTGCGGACCGGAGTGTTTGAATCGTCGGTCTTTCATCGAGTGCGAACCCTCCAACTGTAAGCTAGGCAAACACTGTAAGAATCAACGATTCCAACGACAGGAGTACGCTCTTATCGCACCTTTCAACGCCAAGAAGAAGGGCTGGGGACTGAAAGCAAAGGAGAAGATCAGCGCACACCAATTCGTTATCGAGTACTGCGGTGAGGTTATTACACGTGCGCAATCAATGGACAGAATGCGTGAGGCCGACGGCGAGAAATACTTTTACTTCCTGACACTCGACAGCAAAGAGGTGTTGGACGCCTCGCGAAAAGGCAACCTCGCAAGATTCATCAACCATTCGTGCGACCCCAATTGCGAGACACAGAAGTGGAGCGTCGACGGCGAGACTCGCATTGGAATATTCGCACTGAAAGACATCGAAGCGGGAACCGAACTCACCTTTGACTACAACTACGAGCGTGTCGGATCGTCCAAGCAGAGTTGCTACTGTGGATCTGTCAACTGTCGCGAGTACCTCGGAAACAAAGCGCCTTCAAGTCGTAGCTCCTCCAAGCCACCAACTGCGTCATCCAAAGATAAAGACAAGGAAAAGGAAAAGGATAAGGATAAGGAAAGGGAAGGCAAAGAAGATGCTCTACAAAGTCAAACGGCATCGCCAACCACTCCACCATTCTACAGTGACTTGGATGATGGTAGCTATGTAAATGGTAACAGCGGTGGTAATGGTAGTGAATCGATGGATATGAATGGCGATGGAACGACAACAATGAACGATCAAGTAGTACCACCAATGGATTTGATGACTATGGATCATAGTGACCATCTTAAGTATCTGCTGAGCGAACGATTTGAAATGCCGAATCGATACTTCTACCAGACCGAACTGTCAGAGGAAACACAAGATAAACTGATACGCTCGAAACACATATTCCTTCAGAGAAACATCAGAGTGGTCAAACTCTTCTATAAACAACAACTTCAACAACTTTATCTACAATACAACATAACACAGACACCTCCACTTTCACCACTGATTCCAGAACAACAAGATTTATCACCAAACATATCGACAACAATCAACACCAACAATGTTAACAAACAATTACCTCCACCCAACAGATTGAAATCATTTAATGAGATTATCAACTATTTAAATAATGCTAACAATAATAATAATAAGAATCAACAACAATAGTGTTAGGACACTAATTGTTGTATTATTTTTTTGTTTTTTTTTTTTTCAAACTTATCGATTGTTATTTATTGATTTTTTATTTGAATTCTTTTTTAAATTATTTTACTTATCTTTTTTTTTAGTCGTTAAAAAACACTTTTTTTAAATTTGAAAATTTGAAACGGATATATTTTTGACACATGTTTCCAAGAAACCGTTTCTTTTTATTTTTTAATTTATTTTAATTTTTCAAAAATTTAACAAAAAAAAAATTAAATATTTGAAAAAATATTCCACACACAAAAGCAATTTATTCACAACATTTTTTTCTTCACATCAAATTATTTATCTATAATTTTATTAAAATAGTAAGTATTTATTTTTATAGTTTCATTTATTCATTATCACTATCAATTCATATTAGATAATCATGTTAGTTTACAATTAAATAGTATATTTATGTTTTCAACAAAAAAAAAAATAAAAAAATTTACATATAATAATAATGATTATCATAAATATCATCAACCTTGTTTAATAATATAATAACAATAGTTTTTTTTTTTGTGTGTAAATAACTAAGAATAAAAAAAGAACGTTAAATTCTTGTATTCTTTTTATTTTATTTTATTTTCATTTAATTTCTTTTGAAAATCTAGAAACTTTCGTCGCAAAGTGAAAAGATTTGCATATTTATTTATTTATTTTGGTTTTTATAAACTTTATAACTTGTTATTAATTATTATTTTTTCAAATTAGATATATAATGGCCCGTACCAAACAAACAGCCCGTAAATCCACTGGTGCCAAGGTACCACGTAAGCACATCGGTTCAAAGCAAGCCCACAAGCAAACTCCAGTCTCCCAAGGTGGTGTCAAGAAGGTTCACAGATTCCATCCAGGTACTGTCGCACTCAGAGAAATTAGAAAGTACCAAAAGTCTACCGATCTTTTGATCCGTAAATTGCCATTCCAACGTTTGGTTCGTGAGATTGCTCAAGAGTTCAAGACTGATCTTCGTTTCCAATCTGCAGCTATTGCTGCTCTTCAAGAAGCTTCTGAGGCTTACTTGGTCGGTCTCTTTGAAGATACCAATCTTTGCGCTATCCACGCCAAGCGTGTCACTATCATGCCAAAGGACATCCAATTGGCTCGTAGAATCAGAGGTGAACGTACTTAAACAGGTACCGTGACCGACTCAATATTAAATATAACCCTTTGTAATTATTTGTAAAACAAAAAAAAAAAAAAAACAAAACCAAAAAAAATAGAAAAATTAAAAAAGTTAAAAAAAACAAAGAAAATAAAAAATAAAAAAAACCAACAACAAAGTAATAAAAGACAAAGGATAGATAATTATTGGATACAACTTAGTTATCTATCCTGGTAAAAAAAAAAAAAACTATCAATCAAATCCTAATTCAATATTATTTATTTCTATGATATAGTTTATTTTTATTAAATCTATGTACAATTTAATTATTTTATTTTTGTTTTCTTTAAACATCTTTATGGATCGTTTGTGATCTTGGTTTTTTTTCCTTTATCATTTAAAAGAAAAAGTTTATCATATGATTGACACTCTTTAAACAACTGTATGCTGAGAATACTACAAACATAAACATTACCAAATCCGTTTGTTTTTTTTAAAATAATTATTTTATACAACAACTTTTGATTAGAGAATAGAGGAGAAATAAAAATGTTAATTAAAAAATAAATATTTGCTACTTACAGCAGAAAACTTTTTCGATATCTTCAAAAATGGACAATCCTGATATATGTTCGAACTGGAATCGCCAAGAATCCTTTCTTGGTATGGAGTCTGCTCTAAAGGTTTTTTTTATGATATATTCTGGTTTTAGTTCTTCACATGATTTATTTAGATTGTTTCCTTTCTCTTTTAAACCATTCATTTTTTAACTTTTAAAGAAATCCAACTAAGGAAAAAAATAAATAATATATAAAAAAAAAAAATATAATGGTTAATAAAATAAAAGAATAATAATATTATATTCTATTATATGCAGGTATGACAAATTTTATACATATAACATGTATGTAATAAAATTTTTATTATTTGTTAAATTTTTTTCAATGATAGTGGTTGTGGCTGTTTTTCACAATTTTTTTTTCTAAGTTTTTGCAATAGAGATTAATATTAAAAAAATAAAATAAAATATCAAACCTTGTTAGATTTTAATAAAAATTAGATAAATAGAAAGTATTTTTATAGTAGATTTAGAATATAAAGTTTGTTTTATTCTTTAAAAAAAATTTGAAAGAGTTTGGCCTCTGTTTTTCGATGGGTAAAATGAGTTTTCCAATTTGCATCGGAGTTCGGAGCAAGCTACAACGAACCCGAGAGATCAAAGTATACAGGGACAGACATATTTATCAATGTTATAAAAGATTCAATCAATTTCTCAAAGATCTTCAATCAAAAAATGGTTATTGTAATATGGGAAATTTATATGAGAAAATCAATGATTGGCAACTAGCGAAATAGATATTTAACAATGGACCCTACTGATTAAATAAAGCACATATATCAAATAGAAATGGTTCAACACACGATATGTGATCTTGAATTTCTATCGATTCCTTGAATAGTGGATATAAGCTGGTATCTTTCACTTTGCCAAGCTTCACTAAATATTAAATTTTTGGTTTTTATTTGAATCAAACACAATCAAATCAACAATAACCATATAAAATTCAATTGTATAATGTTAGCGATACGAAAAAGCAACTTTGTATGATAGTAGATTGACAATAAAGTGAGTTAATAAATGAATAAATGAATAAATATATAATATATATGAATATAAATATATAAATATAAAAATAAAAAAAATATAATATTTAAATAAATATAAAAAATATAAATAAATATAACACTGAAAATAAATATAAATATTAAGATGAATATAAAGATAAATATAAATAAATAAATATAATACATATAATTGATATATAGAGAAATAAATAAATTACTGGATGAATAAATATATGTATGAAAGGAAGAAAGAAAGAATGGGTGGATGAAAGATTGAAAGATTGAAAGAAAGAAAGAAAGAAAGAAAGAAAGAAAGAAAGAATGGATGAAAGGAAGAATGAAAGTGAATTAGGTGCTAATTCACTGCAGTGCAAATAAATAGAAATATAGTGTAAGAATATAAATATGTAAAGCGTTGACAGCACAATGTGCACTGGACTAATACAGTACTTATATTGTATTACCTATATCTATTTATTTATAGAATGATACATACCATATAAACAAATTAAAGGCAAAACTAACCTATACTTTTTTGGAGAAAAAAAAATAAATTTGAATTAGTTATCTTGAATATACTTGATTATTTACCCACCCTGCACTGAGTGTGCTCCTGGTAATCCATTCTATTATTATTCACGACTATCATATCAAAATGGAGAAAATCTACATGATAACCGGGTGGCTCGTTCGATGCACCTTTATTGTTGTTACTCAACAATATTTTTCTATTTAAAACAAAAAAGTTAATGAGTAAGAATGTTTATCCAAATTGATTTTATATTGTAAAATTATATTAGTGTGATTCAAACAGGCAAGAGCCAGTTTTGTTTTGAATTGAAAAAAGATTAATGTTAAATTATAATTACAATGGTTTATTTTTTTTTTTTTTCTATTTTTGGAATTGGACCGATAATGTTATTTTTTTTTTGGGTTTTCATTGATTTCTCAATCCTAAAAAGATTAATGATTAATTTAACAGTATCTTTACTCAATCTTCTTAAAATTTATCTTTTATCTTAATAATCTCTGATTCCATGGATCTTAAAGACATTCCCCAAAAAGAAAAGTAAAAGAAACTTTGCTTAATTTTTTTTAAGGTTGTGCAAACAAAAATATCAGATATTTTTTTTTATTTTACTCTTTTTTTTTTTTAATTTGGTTGTAAATATTGTAAATAATAGGTGTCATATATGTCAATGTATAATATAAATAATTTAATAGTTTTGATTGTAATTTACTGCTCATTGTCAACAGTGGTTTTGACTGAGACACCACCTTCACTTTTACTTGCATTCAGAACGTCTATAAACGATCAGAGCTTATCAACTGCTCTCAATGTAACTTCACTCGGAGATGGGTCTGTCATCAGAGCAAAAGATTTTGATGGTTCTACAATGGCAGTGTTTCCAGATGTAAACAATGATACTGTAAGAACAAATACAAGTTTTATTAGTTTATAGTGGTGTTAACAACTACTAATTAATTATCTTCTAATAGGTGTTAATATTTGGAGCAATTGAAGTCTATTGGAATATATATCAGTTAGATTACCAAACTTTAGAGTTGACTAGTTTAGCGATCTTTAAGAATCCTTCGCCTTATGCATATCAAGCCACTGCATTCGGTTATGAGCCATCTCTTCAGTTAGTTTTTAATGTTGGATATGTAGGTGCCAAAAAACAATTTAGTTTTGTTAGTTGGGATTTTAAAAATAGTTTATTGTAAGTGGAAAAGAAGTTTGGATATATCACGTCTTTGTTAGTCGACTAACAAACAAATCATTGCAATAGAAATACACAACCATTATCTTTAGGTATTAATACTGTTGGACAACCAGTTGGATGTTACAGCCAAGAAAGTGGTACATATTACATAATGGTTGGAGTGCAAGGCGGTAATCCACGTCTGGTCACCTATGATGTCGCTGGAAAGACTTTGTCACCCACTCAATATGAGCTGACATCGGAGTTCACCAGTGAGCCATTCTTCTCTATCTTTTGGATTGCGGATCAACAACAGCTCTATGGTGTAGAGATTTCCACAAATACAACCAATGGTTCACAGCTAACTAGTTTCAATCTTTACAAGATCAATCTAAATAATAATCATGCTGCAAAATCATCATCAACAGCAAACTTATCATCGGCATCTTTGGAGCTTGCCTATAGTATTGACAGCATCTTTATAAGTAGCGAATTCACACCATACGTAGTCGATACCAATATAATCGTTTTCTTCACAGTCAACAATGAGGGAAATCTTGTGACGACAGCACTCGACTTGAATAGTATGCAATCGGAACAATCCGTATCAAACCAATTCTACAACAAAGATTTAACAGTTATGTATTTGCCTTAAGAGTAATAATAACAACAAAGATATTACATTACATCACATTACATTCATAATTTATTCCAAAACTTAAACAAAGTCTTTGTTCATTCATGTATCACCCAATTTCAATGAATTTAAAAAGGTTCCTTTAAAATGTGCGAGAAATTTTTTGGAAAAAAAATGAGCAAAATGAAATCATGATTAAAAATATCAATGATCAAAATAAAAAACATTAATTAATCTTTAAAAATTATTTTTTTCAATTACCATTTTTATTTATTTACATACATATATATTTTTTTTAAATAGTTTTATAATTTCATGTCATCAATGATGAAATCTAAAGGAAAGAAGGCAGCTTTGTTTGATGATGACATTCAGTTAGAGTGTTTCTACAATGACAACAATTGGGATGCAAGAATATTTGATAAACAAGCTAGACCTATAGGTTCAACTGCCAGATCAGAATTTACAACAACAGAAAGTAATAATCTCAAAAAATAAAAATAAATGAAAATTTTTTTTTAACTTAATTATTGTTTATATTTAATAGGTAAAGAGATTCAAGTTAAAATAGGTTTAAGTGAATGGAATAAGTTGGTTAAAGACAATGAGAAGTTAGCTTTACAAAGCTATTCGATTGAGCGTGCTTCCTATGTTGGAACCGCCGAGACACATTCAGTTAGAGTCCAATGTAATTTCGATATTTTGGTGTTTTCAACGAATCAACAGATTCCACTGTTACCATCCTCCATTGCATTGACATCATCAAGTATTAAATATTCATCACACATCAACGATGCCGAGCCAAATACAGTTGATAAGAATTCGTGTATTGGTGTCATCGACAATGCACATCAATTCTTCCCAGAAAAAGCAGGAAAATATCACTTGAAATTGGAGGTACTGGTCAACTATCTCACAGCAAAGAAGAATGGTTTCGGTTTCTCCTCGCCAAAATCGACTTTCAATCAAATTTCAATATCCGTTCCACGTGAAGTACAAATCAAGATCGATCCTGTATCTTCACAGACCGAGCACGTAAAGAATGACGGTGAGTCAATATCCACATCGACCGCTTCGATTCCACCAACTCCCTACATTAAAGTACAATGGACTGACTTTGAAATCGAGGAGATCGTTCAGGTCACAGCAGCTACACCGGTCGAAAAGAAACAATCGGAGCAAGCCAAAGCAACCGTACAACAGTATACATTGTGCTCGGTTGGCGAAGGTGTTGTCGTTTTAAATAGTTCCATTAAATACTCGATGGTCAGTGGAAGTCTTTCATCGATGGAGGTCATCATTTCAAACAATCTCAATGTTCTCTCAGTCGAGGGTATGGGAATCAAGAAATGGGAGTGTTTCCCTATTGCACCGCTCGTCGAAATCTCCAATGCCGCCAGACCACCAGCCACAGAGAAGCTCGTTAAGATTCTATTAAATTCACCAATCGAAGACAACTATATTTTCAATCTTATCTCCGAGTTTGAGATGTCATCGACGTCGTCGGACATTGCTATCTCCAGTATCAGATGCAGAGGTTCAGAGATTTCCAGAGAAAAAGGTTTTCTCGTCGTTGAGAAATCTACTGCCAACGTCGAAGTCGAGCATTTGGCACGTGAGGGTCTGACTTTAATCGATAAAACAGAAGTACCACACCCATTGGCCCAGATGGCAAGCGGTCCATTGCTCTTGTCATACAAATTTTTGGATCCAAAGTACAAGTTGGACATCAGAATCACCAAGCACTCTGACCTTCAAGTGTTGGTTGCTATTTGTGAGAGTGCTCACTTCATGGCCACACTGAGTTCAGAGGGTGCTCTCTTGAAAAAGTTGATCTTCAACATTAGAAATACACAACAACAATATATTAGAATTCCAATTCAACATAGATTCGAGATTTGGTCTACAATTGTCGCTGGTAAAGCAGTAAAGCCAGCACAAGACGAGAATGGAAGTGTTATGATTCCACTTTCAAAGTCATCCGGCACTGAGCGTGGCATCCAAAAGCCATTCCAAGTAGTATTGGTATACAAGCATGCCGCTGACACCGAGCTATTCAACGAAGGTAAACTCGATCTCACTTTCCCATCGATCGATATACCAATCAGTCAACTCTATGTGTCTCTCTACCTACCAAAGGACTACAAATATTCACAGATCGATGGTAACATCAAAGAGGTTTCACATTTCTTTGGAAAGGTACCAGATGATTCAGTCTGTGAATCTTCGAAAGCAGCTCCTCAACAAATGATGCTACAACAAATAATGCCACAACAACAAATGATGTCCAATATGATGTCCAATCCAATTTTATCCAATTCTAATATAGGATTCGGAGGAGGAGCGACTCCATTGCCATCGGACGATAATGATACTGCTGGATTGAAGCCAGTTATTGTCAATATTCCAAAGTCAGGTATGTGGATCAAACTTGAACAATTACTTGTCATTTCTCAAGAGATTCAAATCTCTGTTAAATACTCCCAAAAGAAAAAATGTTGTTAAATAAACAATCAAACATATTGTGATCTGTAATTAATAAAATCATTTTTAAAAACATTAAAACAAAGTATTTTGAAGCTTATTGTTCTTATCTAGAACATTTATTTAAAAACATTTATTTATATGTATGTGTATTCCATTACTTTTGGATTTAAATTAAATCTTTTCTTGTTACAATTCCAACTACTTGATTATTAATGTCAACTATAAATATTTATGATTGAGATGATTAGTAAAATGATTGAATAATAGATTATTAATTATCAAACTAATAAAAATAATAATCAAATACTTACTAACAGTTAAATGCCTTAATCCCATAGTTCTAAATAATTTATAACATTCACTGAATGAGAATGTATCATGAATAGTAATACTAGAGCTATTCATATCTAATAATAATTAAATAAACAATGGTTAAAAAAAACAAATTACTTTTGAAATCGATATATTAATTAATAAATATACTTACATGGTCTTAAATCAACTAGTTTTTCTTCTTCATATTTGTTGAAATCAAAATCTTCTAGTTTTGGTACTTTCTTTGAGGTCTCTTCGATGAATTTCTGATGTCTAAAGTTATCGTCTAAAATGATTTCACCGTTTTGTCCACGATAGAAGATCTTGTGTTTAAGAAGTACGAGAATTGTACTTCTCAATACAAGTCCGAGGTATTGGCGTTTGAAACCGTTTTCACCGGTGCACACCACCGGGTATCCATTGTGGTTGTTGTTTTTCAATGTCTCCAAGAGTACGCGAACCGTGCAAATCTCTGGAATGACAACGACCTGCTTATTCATGATTTCCGGCACCTTCTTGGCAGCCTTTGAGTGCGGTGGCAAACTCTGAAGGAACGGAATATATTTCAGCTCCATGAGATGCTCATATACCGATTCGTTGAAGAAGTCTCCTACCCACTTGGCAATCATAACCGCTAGAATGATAGGCACCAGATATTGCGTTCCTTCGGTCAACTCGACCATAATAACCACCAGTGAAATAGTCATTCTGCAGTAGCCAGCCATCATAGCGGCCGTTCCAACCAGCGCATAAATAGAGGCATCGATACCTTCGAACCATAGTCCGACCACTTGACCAACGAATCTACCGAATCCAGCACCGACCATCATCATCGGTACGAAAAGACCACCGGCAACCCAAAGACCACTGGTAATCACCGAGAGGAAGAAATAAATACAGGTGAACACCAAAAGTACACCAAGCGTGAATGAGTTATTGGTACGAGAATACAATCTTCTCAATGCTAAATCTGGATTTACAAATAACAATGATGCCATCTCACTATACATTCCAGGCTATATAATAATAAAATCAATTTAAAAAAGATTAGTTTCAATAGCAATGAGGTTGTTATCGTTGTTTTTTGTTTACTTACAGGACAAAAGAATTGTTCCATTTGAGCATTGGTTTGATCTTCACAGACAGATGGTTCAACTTGGATGTTCGATTGATAACGACATGGGAATATCGATGGTGAGTAGAAACAAATGACAGAGGTGATGACCATAACGACGATCGCTTCAATTGAACGGAGTGATATATTCTTTTTGAGGTAATCTCTACGCCATTTGTTGAGATGAATGTTTAGGAATACAAAGAGTGCACCGAATGCACCACCGAGAACACCGAGGATGCAGAAGCACAACAGCTCTGAATAGCGGTAGAGATAGAGTCGCGAGAATCCAAATGTCAACAAACCAGTGTCGTGCATGTCTGGCGACGTTCCGAAACCTTGTAGCAAAAAGTTGGTCGTAAAAGTAGCGATCATACAACAGAAGAAGGTACGCCATGTCAGTTGACGACTCCAGAACGACGATGCCTCTTCGATCGAGAAGAGAACACCACCGATCGGTGCACCGAAAGCAGCGGAAATACCAGAGGCAGCGCCCACCGATATGAAATCACGCTTATCTCGATCGTTCTGATACTGCAGGAACAGCTTTGGGTAGAATTCAAAGGTGGACGAACGGAACTGACTGACGGCAGCACCGATTGCCGAACCGATGTGAATCATCGGGCCTTCCGGACCAACAAAGAGACCACTCGAATAGGACATGATCAACGAGAAGATCTTTCCAAACAACGATTTGAATCCCAGTGAATTTGGAACTTTGACACCGTTCAGGTAACCTTTTACCTCTGGAATACCAGAGCTACTTGCCATCGGACCGGCAACAATCACCAACAAAATCGATATCGTAGCATATAACAAATTGATTCCTAGAAATGTTAAAAATGCTTTACTAGATGATCCTTCAGTTATATCTATCAGAGATAATCAACAATTGTTAATAAACAATCAATAGATCAATGTTCTACACATTTATAAACATTATAACCTACAGTTTTGTACAGTATAGAATTTAAAACCTTGAAGATGATCAACCGTTGATTTTATAATATATGCAAAGCAACCTACAATAACACCTATAAGTAAACATATTATCCATTTACCTAGTGTTTTCTTTAAGTGTTTCTATAGAATATGATTTTTGTTAGTTTAGATTTTGTTTTTTAACTTATTAGCAACATAACAACTTACTATTCTTGTTTTATTTTCTAGATCTTCTCTTAGTAATAGATTATCATTTACGGTAAAGTCTAAACTCTGTACATTTTTCATCATACGAATTTCATAGGGTGTGAGGTGGTGAGATCTTCTACGATGAGTTACAGGAGTCTGTGTCTGAGGTGATGCATTGTAGAAACCGTCGTTGCCATTGTTGTAGGCATCGTTCACCATTGGACGGTTTAATGAACCTCCCATTCTCTAACAATTATACATCCAATGACGTTGAATAGTTAAAAACAACCTTTCTTTGCAAAAAATCTTTATCTTTATAATAAATAAACTTATTTCTCTTTAAAATAAATATTGCTGTAATAATAAAGTTGGTTATTATTTTATTTTCTCATGAATCTGACAATCAGAAAAGATTTCTATTGGGATGAATCATATCATTTTTAGAATTTTCGAAAGAAATGTTTGCAAAACAATTTTTTTTTGATGTTTTTTTTGGATCATTTTTATTAAAAGTGGGTGAATTCAAATTATTTAAGCATATGTCAACATGTTATTAAGATCTTAATAAAATTTATTTTTTATTCATTAGTTATTAGTTAGTTATTTGCAGATGTGTTGACAATCAATTTTGAATCAAGTTTAATTGGTACAGCTCTGCCTGTTATAGAATTATGTCTTTGTGAGTTGATGCAAACGATATCAACACCACCGTGTGGCACATTTGTTCTTAAACTTGAGTTGTTGTCATTGCTGTAGCTTAGCAACATCTGATTGTTGTTGTGGAGAATTTCAGTGGTGTTTGATGGTGGTGGTGAAGTTGATATGGTTTCACTCGTAGAGGAAATTGGAACTACATTCAATTCTGGACTACCTACTTCCATGTCTTTATGATGGTTGTCTTTGTTGGTGTGCAACTTCTTATATCGCTTGTATCCAAAGATCGTTCCAGCCGTGACAATGGCAGCGAACAATACACAGCCAACAGCAACTCCAGCGATTTCATAAGTTGATAAAGTCGCACTAGTAGCACCGGTTCCACTCTCCATTGCATCCATTCCTCCTGTGTATGTATTAACAAACTCTTGATATGTCATATCACTAAATTGATTTACACCCACTAAATATTTAATTAAAGTTAGATTTGTGTATACTTTTTCAAAAAATAATTAACTTATTAATTGATACTAACAAACTTGTTGTTGTTCAGCTGGATATGATACTGTTGTTTCAACTTCTGGATTGGCAGCCAATTCCTCATCGGTTGGATTATCGATATCCACTTGTGCAGTGTTGGCATTGTTCTCGGCGACACTCAAGGTATTTGTCTTCCAGTTTTGAAATCGTTGTTGCATCTCTGCAGAATCGTATTGTTTGCCATACTGAGTTGCCCATGTTTGAAAGTTTGAAAAAAGTACGGCATTAGATGGAACAGCCTCAGTTCCACTCATGAGCAAGTAAACAACAAAACAATATATTAAACAATATTGTTTGATATTGTTGATTTTATTAAACATTTTTACAATTTGATAATTAATAATTTACAAATACAAATTATTTACAAGTTATTTACAACGATGTTACTACTAAAATTACAATAATTAAGAAATAAATAGATAAAAGAGATAATTATAAATACAAAGAATAGATAAATAGAATAATAAGAATAGGAAGGATAATGGAATTTAAATAATTTGTAATTTATTCATTTTGGACAAAGGTCAAACAAAACAAATCACTACACTTTTTTTTTAAACATTATTAATTACAATAACGGCCATAATCAAAATTGACAGATATGTATTATTATTATTTGAATTAAACATATACTTTATGACAATACTAATTTAATATAGAACATACATACACTTTTTTAAATTGGTCATGAGTTTCATTCAAACTCGTTTTATTTTATGCTAATTTTAAAATAAGATTGAAAGTACTGTCGTCGTTCATTTATAAACAATTTAAAACAGGACACTTTGACATAGACTACCCTACCAATCCACCAATCAACTACCCCAATTAACTGATCAAACAAAGAGTGATTTTTGTTTAGCCCATGGGTTTTGATTGTTCCATGCGATTCGAAACAACAAAAAATTCCTATTCTTCCCATTTTATTTGAAATTCATAAAATTTAATGATTTAAACACATTAAAAAAAAGGTGTGTTTTATTTTTGTGATCACCCCACTAACATCCAAATTTGTGTTTTTACAAAAACAAAAAGACAATCTTTTAATTTATTTTTGCTCCCCCAATGTAGTACTACTTCATTATCTGTATTTCTATATATATTTGATTCTTTTTCTGCAGCTACTACTATTTTAAATCTCTATCTATTCCACTAGTTCTGAATATTTTAACTCTCATATCTTTTTCTTACTTTGGTATTAATATATACAAATCTTTCTAAAAAGAACAGCCAACAATCAACAATTCAACAAAATAAAAGATAACTCAAATTCAGAGGTAAAAGATATATAATATTTCGTACAATGTAATCCAATCATTTCACAGAACAAATATGTATTATTTACAAATCGAGGTTATTTTATAACTGTTTAGAACTTTAGGTTGGAAAAGTATCCATAAGGTTGGTTGTCTAAAAATCTAATTTTGATTCCAATACATATGTATTTTACACTTTTTATTCCAAAACCAATTTAAAATTGTTGGCTTTCTTCAAAATTGGATAGAATGGCCAAATATTCTGATTAAATAATTGTCATAACAGATTATAAATACCATATCATCTAAAATCATTTGTTATTTGTATTTATTCTTTCAAACTAAATAAAATTATCAAAAAAAAATGATTCATAAATTATTTTTAACAATTTGTATAATAGTAAATCTAATTTTTTTTGTCCAATCACAATGTACAGCCGATGATATTAAAAATATTGTTAATGTGCATAATACTATTAGAAATGATGCCGGTATTACATTTGGTCCAAAACCACTACAACCTCTACCTCAACTGACTTGGAGCAACACCATTGCCCAAAAACTTCAATCTTTTGTCTCTAGTTGTCAATATAATACTGTTCCAGGACCGAATTTTTCCAACTATGGTTATGCTTCCTTTAGAATTGGTGGTAAATTTGATCCAATAAGAGTATGTATTTATTACATTATTTATATTTATTTTTTGAAAATATCTCAAAATTAATATGTTTTTTTTTAACAATTTTTCAAAGACTCTAAATAAAACATACTATCATGATGCACCATTGTACGATTGGAGTACAAAGAGTTGTAAAGAGAATTCTTGTTGCTATACCTACCCCACTGTAAGATTAAATTTACCAATAAATTAAAAAAATAAACATTTCTAATGTTCTTTGTTTTTTTTATAATTTTTTATAGTTGGTTTGGGGTTCTACAACAGAGATAGGTTGTGGAAAGATGTCATGTGATTCAATAACATGGTTACTCTGTGGATATAGTCCAAGTGGAGGTATCGTTGGAATGAATCCATATCCATCCATTTATGATAATCCTTCACAACCAACAAATACACCACAGCCTACATCTCGCCCATCAAATACTCCACGACCGACAAATACTCCACAACCAACAAACACTCCAAACCCAACACCAAGTAAATCTACACCACCATCACAATCGGGTCTAATTGATGGTGTTTTATCACTAGTCAATGGTATATTGGATTGGCGTACAATTAATGGTGTGGTTACATCAATTAAAGATCAAGGTATGTCTAATTATATTATATGATTCATATAAGTGATTAATATTTATTAATGTATCCAATATATTCAGGTCAATGTGGGGGCTGTTGGTCATTCACTAGCGCAGCCTCTCTGGAGAGTAACTATTTAATTAATAATACTGGTTCATCAAGTGATTTAGATCTATCGGAACAATATTTCATTGATTGTACATATGGAAGAGATGGTTGTAATGGTGGAAATGCAGGTGATGTATTTAGAAAGTTCCAGCAATCAGGTGCTATCATGAACAGTGATGATCCATACTCTGGTAGATATACAGGTCGTTGTCAGTTCAACACACCGACCATCAAGTGGACCGGTTTCAAAACTGTTCAACCCAACAAACAAGCATTCTTAGATGAACTAAAATATGGACCGATTGCAGTATCTCTCTATGCTGACCAGGGATTCATGAACTATAGAAATGGTATATACAGTTGTCGACAGAATTCACAGCCAAATCATGGTAAGCTCTATACAGTATAATAATATCAATATCCTTGTATTAACATATTAATTGTATTTGTTAAACAAACAACAGCTGTTGTAATAATAGGATATAATGAAATTAGTGATTATTGGATTATTAAAAAGTAAGTAATTATAATTAGTATTATTGAATTACAATTTGATGTTTGTTTATTAATTAAATAATTTAACTCTAGCTCATGGTCACAGAATTGGGGCCAGTCAGGTTTTATGACCTTAAATGCAGCCAACTCCAATTGTAATTTATATATGTATCAAGCATATAGACCAGTGTTTTCAATGTAAGATAGTGAGAATGGCTTGTTCATTCAATTAGTAGCAATCGATTTTATTTTTATCTTTGTTATTTAAACCAACAGACTTTAAATCAATAAAGATTGAAATATCCTCTTCTTCATCCTCTGTAAACTGTGTTTCTTTTGAACATTCAGATTCGAATGTTTGTAAATCTAATGTCTTTAGCAAATGAATTTGTTGTTGTTGTTGTTGTTCGCCATCAGTATCTCCTAGATCATCACTAATCTCTTTGTTATTATTATTATTCTCTCTGAATACTATTAAAACTTGTTTCAAACAATTGATTGTGGCAATCTTGATAATGTTATCCTCTAAGCTATTCTTTAGCTTATCAACCAACAAAGTAATAGCATTTATCTTTAACAAAGCATTTAAACCCTTGATTATTTAAAAAATAAATGTTAATAATTTATAATCTTAAAATTGTAATGAAAAATTCTTACATTCTCCATTGATAGTATATTTAAAAACAATTTAATACAGGATGACTTTACTTCCCAGTAAGTATCATTCATCAATCTTGATATATAATAGTTGAATTGATATTGATGGTTCAGTTCTTTGTTATGAAGAAGCTGACTGACGAATGAATTGGTATGTGCTTGGTGAATCCACTTGATAACCAATTCAATTGATGATCTTGGATATGTAATAACAAAAGGATTAGTTAGTTAGTTGGTTATTAAAAATATAGATAGTTGTTAACATATGATTGATGATTTAAACATACATTCTTGGATATGATTCTTCGTCACTAAAAAATAATAAAATCGAATAAGGGAAAGGATAGTTTTGATTGAGATTGTTGAGTGTCGGCGGTGCAATATCTAAAGACTCTTCTTCGTCGGCTAAAAAGTTGGTAGCTTCCTCTTGTGTTCTCGAAAGCATCTCACGGAACTCTTCATCATTCCATTCGAAATCGATATCTCCAGTGAGTGATTGTACTTCTGTTGAATCTGTCATTGATAGTAAATCAGATTGTTGTTGTTGTTGCTGAAGATGTTGTTCTTGTTGTTCTTGTTCTAATTTCAACATCTCTGTATATTTAATTAAATTAATTTGGTTGTGATTCATTAGCTCGTCGTTGATCTGTTTCTTTGGTTTACTGTCGTCGATGATATGAAAGTGTGCACGATCACCTCCGGCAGCGACACTATTGGAGTTGGCAATCAGCTTGTTCCAGGCAGGCTCAAACGAAGAGAGAACATTGATAACATCTAGAGAGGACGATCGAACATAGCTGTCAGAGTCAACCAGCTTGTTGATAACCATAGAGCATACGTTGTGATCCAATAACCATTGACCGATCAATGTAATCTCACCAAGAGTTTCACCATCTTTGAATATAGAGAATAAAAACGATAGAGCAACCTCTCTTATATCTGCACTCGGACTCATCAATACCTTTGATAAAGATATCAGTAATCTATTTAAAAAGTTCTTGATTTTAAAATTATCAAATTAGTATGTATATAGATCAGTTATTTAATAGATCTAATTGATAGTTACATTATCAGAGAGTATTTGTTTTTGATCTTGATTGATAAGTTTGTGTAATGTTTGAAAAGTCTGTTTAGCTACTACTCTATATTGTGATTTGAGTGAATCCAATAATGATGTTAATGCTGTATCATGATCGATTTGATTGGTGTCATTGTTGTTGTTGTTATATAATGAAAGAATATAATGTAAATCAAAATATTGAATACAATCGATTGCTTCTCTCTGCGTTTTGGTTGATGTCTTCAATGAGCTTGATTGTTTGAATGCTTGAAGAGTTGCAACTTTGAAGATGAAATCGACCCATTTATTATGATTTTGAATGTGAATTCGATTGTTGTTACTATCAGTATTACCAATCAATATAAGTTTGGTACTGTGAATCAGACTGAACATGATTGAATCTGTTATGATTAGACGATTGTTATCTTGATTATCTATTATTATAGCAATGATTGAATTTAGCTGATCAAACAAATGATTATTATTATTATTGTTGTTGTTGTTGCTGTTGTCGTTAAATAAATCACTTGAATCCAATACACCTATTAAATCGATTGAAGTAATCATCAGATCTTTTTGTTTTGATTGTAAAAGTCTAGATACTATTCCTTCGAATAATGGTTTTAATGAAAGGAAATGATTATATAACAACTGTGATGATGATGATTCTATTTCTAGTTCTTGTTGTTGTTGTTGTTGTTTTTGTTGTTGTTTTATAACACTTGAAGTTGCTAAAGATATAAACTCTATTACTCTTTCTCTAACCAATCTATCATTGTTTAATAGCATTAAGCATGATTTTTGTATCTGAATATCATTAGAAAATCGGTTAGTTAGTTTATATTATATTTAAATTTACATTGATGATAATGAATAACACCTACAATATTATTTTTAATTAAAAACTCTATGTCATTATGATGATTCAAAAGATGAATGAATAGATCCAAGAGTGATAGCTTGACATCTATGTTTGACTGAGACTGACTGTCATTTACTAGAAATTGATTGATATACTCTGATATTATAGTGGTGTTCTCTTGATTCTTGCATAGATGAATGATTGTATAGAGAAGCTTCTCTGCACTTCTAGATACCTATGATATTGATTTTTATAATGTTAGTAAACAATTATAAATAAAAAAGACAACTATCATTGATTGACAGGGTGACATACAAAATTTGATGGATATTTAAATGATTCGAATATATTGTGTATTAATGTATTTAATATGCTAATGTAATCGTTGTTGTAAATGATATGATCGGCTATCTCGCTGTTCAATGTCAACATTGTAATGATACAATTGATGGCGGTGTCTCTTATCAGTGCATTATCATTCGATGTGAAATGTACAACTATTTCATTTATTATTTTCATTACAATATTATTGTTATTACTATTATTATTATTGTTGTTATTCTGTTCTGTTACTACTACTACTTCTTGTTGTTGATAATTATCTAATAGATATTTATATATATTATTATGTCTTAATAGTAATGATATAAACTTTAAGTTTAATGATATTATTTGTTCATCATTTTGAAATTGTTGTTGATTGTTATTGTTATTGTTATTAGTATGTATGTTATAATTTGATTTCTTTAATACTCTTATTGGAATATCTAATAAACTATAGGTTTGTAGTAACAATAGCGATTGCTGAGGATCTGTAAGTAGTCGATCGAATCTATCTTTTAGTTTTTCGAATCTGGTATCTTCTGAATCCTCTACGATTTCATTAGATTCCAATGCTGATAGCATCAATCTGATTCTCAAATCACTTGAGCCAATCAGATCTTTGATAGAAACATCTTCATAACTACATCCACTGTTATCACCATTGTTAAATAAACCAATATTATCACTATTACTATTAGCTGCTATCATGATTGATTTGATTTGATTTGATTTGATTTGATTTTTACAGATTCTTTTTTTTTGATTATTAAGCTGGGAAAATATCTTATATTATAATTGTAAATAACTAAAAACAATTGTTTAAATCTGTAGATGACAATTGAACTTCCAAACTTACTTTAAATTTATTTAGAAAAAATTAAATTAAAAAATTTAAATAAAGATAAATTGTTTAAAAATAATTAATTATTTACAAGAAGAAAAGAAGTTTTAGTTTTATAGATAATAATTAATTTAGTTATTTTTTAAAATTCTAAAAAATAAAATAGTATTTTCTATCTTTGTAAATTTATTATTTTTAAAAGATATTAAAATTATTAATTAATTGATATAAATATTATATATATACTTTCAATATAAATAATTTGATCCCATCAAATTAATCTGGAAACAACTTGGTGTCGAAGAAATTTAAAAATTAAAATTTTTACTAAATTTGGTAAAAACAATGATTTTTTGAAACTGTGTTTGCCAACATGTTTCAATATCTAAATTTAGAGAAGGACATTTCCAAGTATCTTCTTTCATTTGTTTAATTTTAATTTAAATAGAAAATTTTTATTTACAATGTACAGATTTAAAATGTTTGTGTTTTATCGCGTTGAAATTTACAAGATTTTGAACATCGTTCGATTTTTTTAATAGAGGTACTAATTAGTAGGATATCGGTTGGTTATTGTCGTCGAATAAATAATATTACTATGTACAATGGAAAGTTGACCTATGATTAATATAGACCGTTTGGATCGTAGACACCGTCGAATGTATCTTCGCATATCAAATCGGTGGAGGTGGTAACCGAGGTTGCTTTATCTCCTGAGGCCTTCTGACGAATGTTGTTCCAGAGACCGATTGTCATTAGCTTGTGACCGGTTGCACTTGGGTGGAAACAATCGACCGCTGACAATGTACCTGAGGTATAGGTGGTGTTGGTCATGAATGGCTGGTAGACAACACCTACTGTAGTGGTAGTTTGGTCGACATCGGATCTCCAGTATTGTATGGCATTTTTCAAACCTTGATTGGCTGCATCGATAACACTTTTCAATGTGGTACTCGATTGAGACCAGAGACATGGGCATATATTGTTTGCTTGATTATATGTTTTACAATTTGATGGTGTACTAGAGTAAACTATAAATAAATTGTTAGTTTCATTAGAAAATGAGTTTATTTTTCTAATATTGTATTATTATTTACATTGACTAAGTTGTGGCAAACCAATCATATTAATAATTGCTTTGTTTGGGAATGCTGCAGTGAGACTGGTAATTAGATCATAATAATAGCTTTGCCAAAATCCTGGCATTGTTTGGTATGCAGCTTCAATACCAGAGCAAATTGAACATGCTTTGAAGAGTCCAATGTATACATTGACCATCTTCCATTTGGTATTGTTAAAGGTGCTACCTCCAAAGTATGCAGAACCTTGATTGATTACAAAACTATGTAAAGAAGAAAGGTTAATAAATATATAATTGGTTTGCTATAATTATAATTTACATACCTCATTTGTGAGTCTAGACTTTGTTCATTACCTTTGGAAGCACCATTTAAACCATCATAGGTTGGATAGTAAACATTGGTACCACGAATACCATTTAACAAATTAGCTGATCCACCATAAATTGCAGCACCTGTTCCAGTAGTAAAGATATTACGGATGGTCCAAGCATTTGTAGAGTTACCAGTAACAAATGAAAGACCACGGTACTCGTTTACAGAAGCATTGGATGCATCGTTTGCAGCGAATCCCGATAAAACAGTATCTCCAATTGAAAGGAATATATTGAAATCCTTTGTTTTTGAGGAAAAAATAAATTGTTAATAATTTTCAAAGATTAATTATTAATACAATCTTTTAGACTATGGAAGAAAATATACTTTTAGATATATTTGAAAATTCCATATTAATTTCTTTTAGTATAAAGAAATTATTCCAACCAACTTATTTTTAATAATATATTGAAATATATTTATAAAGTTGGATAATTGTTTTACAGTTAGGTTTTAATATATTTGTTAATTTACACTTAGGTAAACATCTTTGGCATAGACAACTGGGGAGACTGGATTTAGACCAACATCACATGTAGGATAGAGCTGTGATCTTGAATATGACAATAAATATGAAAAAATATAAAATAAAATTATTCTTTTTGACATTTTTTAGTAGGAAGAAAATACAATGGTATTTTATATAAATAAATAGAATTTAGTATATACAGATAGAATACAATATTTGTATTTCTTAAATCGTTGGTTAAGATTATATTTGATTTGATGATAGAAAACAATGAATTCATGTCCTTTATATAGGTTGTTTTTTTCCTTTTTTGGAACGAGCCTTTCTAGAAATAACCTTTTATGAATTTGCTTTACAGGTACTAGTAAATTTAGCCTGAGCGAGGTGATTCGATTTGAATCTTAAACCTATAGTGATCTGACGTGATCTGTCGCTGGAGATAAAGTAGTTGCCTCATTTTCTACATGTGCTTAACATATCACTTTTTTACTCTTTCTTTTTCTTGAAAAGTAACCACTTAAATCTTGATGTAAATTCCAAATTCTTTTAAAATTGATTTACTACCAAATAGGGAGTTAATTAATTACCTATCCTATAGAAACGAATTTGCTATCGAAAAAAAAAGAACCATCTTCATCTCAATAGTGTATGTTACTTTGTAAAAATAGTAGTAAAATACTAAATCTTTGAAAAGTTTACATTTTAAAACAAAAACAATAACAACAACAACAACAAAAGGACAACTTTTTTCACAGTTAAAGATTATAACTTTCAATGTGTCTAAAAAGGTCCCATCATCATAAAAGACTCTAAAAAAAATCAAACACTAAAAAAGTAAAAAAGAAGAATTTTAATTAAATTGAAAAAACAGCATTTGACCACTCACTACGCCCACCAATTGAGATGTTGTATATTTGCAGCTATAGTAATGACTATTGTAATAGCTATAGCTGTTTTGCATTTGCAATGATTGAAGTGGGATACAATATGAGTGTGTGTTTTTAATGTTTTTTTTGTTGTTGAACAACAACCACTACCACTACCACTACCACCACTGCCACCACAAAAGGTCAAGTGCAATGGTACAGTGCTGTGGGTTATGCGTTGGGGTGGTCACATTTTGTGCTTTGTTTTTATTGATTGTTTAGTTGTTACCATATAAAGCAGTTGAAATTGTAGATGGTGAATAAAAGCAATGATACTGGTGATCTTTTAATTTGCGATAGCCCCATCACACATTAAAAAAAACACTTATAAATCAACAACCTCCACCAATCTCCATCAACAAATTAAATGAAATTTTGATCGATCACAAACAATGATCAAAAAAATTAAAAACACACCTTGACACACAACTAATTTCATTTGGTGGGTGAACAAGGCCTGTGTTTACTAAAAACAAAAATTTTAACTGTCATTTCTCAACTTTCTTTAACCTTACCTTACATTAGATTCTTTTTGTTTGTTTCTTTCTGTTTCTGTTTGTGCGTGTGAGCGTATGTGTGGGTGTTTATTTGATTCGTTGCATCAATAAAGCTTTGGAGAGTGCAGTCAGATGAAATTAGAAGATCGTCTCTTGCCTAGGGAAGAAAAAAGATGATTTAACACTTTAATTTATTTTTGTATGACTGTTTGACAGTTTTTGTTCACACGATCAAAAATGTTTGTTATTCTCTCTCTTTTTCTTTTAAAACAATAAAATTCAAAAGAAACTTACAAACTCACACTTTGTAAATCCATGTTTGTGAACTTTTCTTATAATTACTGAACCAGTTATTCTGTTTTTTTCTTACTTTTGAAAGTCAGAAACAATCACTGAAAATATGATTTATCATATTGCCCATGCTATTACCTATTGTTTAATTTGACTTTTCTGACTGTTACAAAAACCGGTGAACATCAACCATATTATTACTACTTTATTTTACTTTAAAACTTTTTAAATTTAAATCACAGAACTGTTACAAAGAAAAAAACAAAGCAAAAAAAAAAAATAGAAGTTCATTTTTAAATGGTTGCAGATGAACTGATCACAGTAGAAAAAAAAAAATTTTGGAAAAAAAAAAAAAAACAAAAAAACACTCATTAATTCAATAAATTTCATATTTGTTTTAGTTTTAGTTTTTATTTTTTTTTGTAAATATATATTAGTAGTATTAGTAACAATTTCAAGTATTATTAGTAACAACAACAGAAAACAGTAGAAGATGTTCACTAGTAAGATTTTGTTCAATAGCCGTTTGGCATCGCTCAACTTGAAGAACAAGAATGTGGTCGGAGTCACCTCTACTTTGTTCCCAGTCGGTGGTGTGAACGCACAATCACAACCATTGTTCTTGCAACAACAATACAATGAGCTCCACAAATTAGATTCACGTGGTCGTCGTCTCTTCTCGAGCAAGCCATTCACCATGGTCGAGACTAAGCTCGAGGATGTCCAACAACCAGAGCGTCCAATCTCCCCACATTTAACTATTTATAAACTCCCAATGCCAGCTATACTCTCAGTCACTCATCGTGCTACTGGTATTGCTTTAGGTGTTGGTATGTATTAAAACCAATCAAAACAAATCAAAACAAACAAATCAAGTCAAATCAACAGGAGGAAACAGATAAAGATGATATAATATCATATCATATCATATCATATGATTTAGGATTATATGAACATAGATAGAGATATAAATGTAATCTAGTAATAGATTATAATGGTTGTTGATGTTGTTGATTTGTTTGTGTATTGACAAGAGTACAATTTCATTAATAATAATTGGATCTTCTCTCCCTCTCTCTCCTTCTCTTTCTATTATTGTAGGTTTGGCTACCCTTGCTGGTTTGTCAGTTTTTGGTGCACACGATGTTCCATATTATATTGAACTCTTCAAGCAAAGTTACCCAAGTTTGGTCTATCCAGCCAGATTCTGTGTTGCTTTCCCAATCACCTTCCATGCTTTTGCTGGTATTAGACATATCGTAAGTAGATCTACAACCAATGGTTAATTAAACAAACTTTACAATGAATGTTTTATTTACATTAAATAACAACAACAACAACCTACTATAGTATTGGGATACATTTTTGAAGGGAATTAACACTAAGCCAGCCGAGTTCACTGGTATGATCATTCTTGCAGCCTCTTTGGGTGTCTCTTTAATTGTTACTTTCTGTCAATTGACATCAGCCTAAACAGTAATTTAAACATTTTTTTTTAGTAAACAACATTCAATATATTACATTAATAAACAACAAAAACCACAATCCAATTAGATAATCTATTCTTAATATAGCATTTGATATATATCTATAGAAATCAAATAAATGAAACTTAAAGTAAGTAACTATTGTTGTTTTAGTTGGTTTTTTTTTTTTTTTTTTTAATAATACAAGACTTTTGTTTTTCTTTATTTTATTTAAGATAAAGAATGTTCTTAGCAATATCTTTGTGTGATTTTGGTTGTTTGTTTGTTTGTAAATTCGATTCAGGAAGTTATTGAGTTGTGCATAATCTGGAGGTTTGTATAATAAATGTTATAACGGCGATAATAATAATTAATAGACAAATGAAAATATAGTTGTAGATATTAAACTTTTAACTTTGAGCAGTTCCACCATTGGAAATTGGTAAATTCATATTGTTAATGTTTGGATTATAATTATTGTTGTTGTTACTTGAATTTAAATTATTGTTATTATTATTATTGTTGTTGTTGGAATTGTTATTGTTATTATTATTATTATTATTATTATTATTATTAGAGTTGGCTATAGAAGATGAAGAAGAAGCGGACGACGATGTTGTGTTATTGTTTAAAACTATATTTTCTTCGTTCAATGTGAAATTGACGTTCTTCCAACCAACAGCAAGTCTTCTCTCTTGGAGCTCCATTACTGTACGCTTGGTAATATTGTTTCTAGAGGAGTAGGAAAGTGCAACCTTTTGGAGGTCTTGGCAATTGAGGAACAGTGCTTCTACGGTTTCGATGGTGATCTTCATTGGTCCCTTGTTCTGAGCACTACCTGGTTGTTGGTCACGCGACATATCGACACACACCAGCTTCTTACAGTGGTTGGCAATCATTACCATCGATGCATCGGTCACCTCGACACAGGCACACAAACGAAGATTCTTGAGGTTGGCAGCATACTCTGTCAGCTGGCGAATGTCATCATCGTTGACATCGGTGAATGACAGATCGATGTTGGTCAGGGTATTCAGCAGACGGTATGGATTCTTGGGGAAAACGATTGGATGAATATTCTTGAAACCCGATAGATTGAGAGTGGTCAGCGAGTGTAGCTGTTGCAAGACGTGTTGTACACTGGTTCTGGTGACTTTGCTGCAACTGGCTAAATTCAAATCCATCAGCTGTGGACAATCATGAATCAACTCCAAAACACCATGATCTGTAATGAGTTTACAGCTCTTGAGTGAAATAAACTTTAACTTTTTACATTGTCTAGTAAGTGCTTTCAAATCGTCATCACTTAAATTATTACTTGATCCTAAATCCATTGATGTGAAATGTGCTAAAAATAATAATAATAATAACAATTATAAATGTCATATAAATTAGTAATTTGAAATTATCCAAAATAACAATGATTCTATTGATATTTACCACAATATGGTGCTAATGTTCTGATATCCCAACCAGAGATACCGTTGAAATTTAAAAATGAGAGATTGGTATTTTTGATGATATGACAGATTCCAGTGGTTGTGATATTTTCAACTTTGTGAAGATTAATCGATTTCAATTTGACGGCACCGTTCGCCAGAAGTTCGAGACATTCATCAGATGTTCGTCCTCCATCCATATAGACCTGCTCCAAATTGGGACACTTTGCTACCAACAGTCTCGAGGTTTTCTCAGTCAAGCGTAAGTTGTGCAGACGCACCTCCTTGAGCTGTGGTGTATGCTGCACTATGTAGTCGATTGTCTGTTGCTTTATGGATGGGTTGTTGAGGTTGATCATTCTAACTGACGACAGACGACTGGTTGCTTCCATCGACTTGAGCGCTGCTATAATTTTTTTGCGCGGCATGTTGGCGTTCATCGCCAGGTTGCGCCAAAGTGTTGCGTCGTAGCAACATTCTTTAAATCTCTTGTTCAATCTTGCAATCGTACACAACTCTGGAATTGTCAGTGATTTCAAAACATAAAGAATCAATTCTGTCGACAGTAAGTTGAAATAGTTTGGATGTTTCTCTGCTTCATTCATTTCCTGTTGCAGCTGTTTCTCTGCCAACATTGATTTCTTTTTGGATCGGACTCCAAAACAAGCAAATGCATCCATTTTCATTTCTGGAAAAAAATAAAATATAAAAATAAAATAAAAATATTATATAAAAAATATAAACAAAAAAAAAAAGAAACCTTAATTAAACTATATTTGGAAATATAATAATAAATATACTATATATAATCTTGAAAATTGAAAAATTTAATAAAAATGATAATAAAAAACCAATTAATTAATTATTAAATAAATAAAAATATAAAAAATATAAATATATTCTACAATCTAAAATAGAAATTAAAAAAAACCAAACAAATTAAAATATAAAAATAGATAATTAAAAATAAACCAAATAAAACCAAAAGCCAAACCAATTTAAGTTGTAAAATAATCAATTATTGTTGTTGCTACTGATGCTACAGTTGACACTACTGTTTTTCTGTTGGGTATATGTTGTTTATATAAATAATGGTTGTCAATTGATTATTTTGGATATGACTCGAACTATCTAACAAAACTCAACTATCTATAACAACTCTCTCTCTCACAGGTGTGATATGATTTTTGTATTTGATTTATTGATGACCTGAAACGTTTGATGACTATACTCTATAAAAGTTGTGATCGAAATAAAAATAGGAATAAAAGTAGTAGTAAAATAATAATACTATTAGTTATAATTGATTTAATTTGAATTTAATTTAATAAAAACAAACACAAACTGTAAAAAAAAATAAAATAAAATAACAATTGTTATTGTTATTGTTATGTATATATATATAATTAATGTTTTTTTTTCGATTATATTTATTTGATGATGATGGATGTTTTTATTGTTATTTTCAATATTTTATGTTTGTTTTTTGTTATTATTATTGTTATTGTTTTTATTATTATTATTATTATTATTTTATTGATGTAATAGTTTTATCAATAAAACAAAAAAACACAACAAACAACAATTGTTGCTGTTGTTGTACACTATCATTATCATTATCATTATCACTCTCTCTTTTTCTCTCTCTATTACTCTCCCTCATTCTCTCTTTCACCAATACTATCTCCTTTTTAACCAACACACTCTGGTCATTCTCACTCTCTATTTTAAGTTATACAACACACCACACACCCCAATGCAAAAAAAACAATCACACACATTAAAAAAAAAACACTTGTTGAGATTGTGTTGTTTTTCAAAAAGTGAAACATGTAATATATTATTTTTTTCTTTTTTAGAGCATATATAAAAAAAAATGATACCACACACACAAAAATTAATTTTTCACCTAAACAACACACTCACACACCACAAAATATATAATAAAATTAAAAATTTAATCTAAAAAGAATATTATTATTTAATAATTGTTTTTCTAATATATTGTTGTTGGTATTAAAAATAGGTTTTTTTAGTTTCTGAAAAAAGATAGACTGGAATAATGATTCTTTTTTTTTTTTTTTTTTGAGTAAAGTAATGATGAATATATGATTGTAGTTAAAAAAAACATCCTAAAAAAGTAAATTATAATAAATAAAAAACAACCTAACATAAGAAAACAAAACAAGGATATGATGATCATATTTTCGACTTGATATTTACATTTCCAACTATTTTTTTTTGGATCGATTAAAATATTTCTATAATACAACTAAAGTGTTTATTTATATAACTTTTTTATATAAATAAAAATAAATATTTTATTTTATTTGATATAGAGAGGTTATTTACTTAATATATATATTTATAAAGTTAATCTATTATTTTTATTATTTTTATAAAACTATTAAAATAAAGATAATTTAGCATTTAAATTATAATACAAATAAATATTGTGATGTCTATTGGCTTCAATCGTTTGATAAAAGTGTTATCTAAATGAATAGAAATTGCTGTAGTTGTCAGACAATTGAAACCACAATAAATTCGAATTGAAATCAAAATGATTAACATAAATAATATTATATAATATATTTAATGTGATGTGTTGATTCACATTCAGTGTTTATATTAGGAATGGCAATTTAAACACTTCAGCATATAGGTATGTACGTACCCACACCACAACAGACACCAACACAATAATTGCAAGACCACAATCATTATTTTATATATGACAAGAATTAAAATGGTAAATGTCAACCCATTTCCAAAACATCAAATTCATTCAATTTCTCGAATAATAATATTGATTGATAATGTGTGCATTTAATATTGCATGTCATAAAATGAATTGATGATAGTAGTAGGAAGAAATGGAAGCTGTTGGTTAGTGGTAGTGGGTTATCACTACTATTATTTAATAATTGAAAAGACACAAACTAACAAACAAATAAAAATAAAAAAACAAAGAAATAATAATAATAAATAAATATTCAAATATTAATAAAAACAATAGGTGTATGTTCGTGCGTTCGTTTGTTTGCTTGTTTGATTGTGTGTGAGTGTGCTTAGTGTTTATATTAAAAACACGTTGATATTGGTGTGTTTATCAAATATCACTGCAAATTATTATTTAAGAGTGAATTATATGTATTTCATACTCTGTTGATCGTGCAATCTATCTATTTAATTAATGGTTAATGAAATAAACTAAATTACATAACTAAATCAAGACATATTGTTGTAGTGTTTGATTCTACCTAGCTTCAAATATCCCTTTTATTAATTGACATTTGTTTACTAATTAATTATTTTTGAATTTCCGGGTATCATGATGATTGAAACAAAATAACATTTAAAATTTAAATAAAAAGATTTATAATTATAAAATTTAATAATTTTTATAACTTATCTTTTGAACCCCACTCCTATTCTACTACTTTGTCACACTCCTTTTATGTATATATTTATCACACTGTGTTCTGTGCATTCTACATTCTTTTTGAGTGTAGATGATAAGATTATGATCACAATAAATAAATTGATAGATTTTATATTATACTATGTGGTTCTTTTAAATTCAATCTGTTTATATCTTTTAATAATATTATATATATAATGTTTATCTTATCTCCCAAAAAATAAGAACAAAAAAACCAAGAAAATGATGGACCTAATTTTTATTATTATTGAAAATTCTCAAACATTCATAAAATAAAAGTGATTTTATTAAATAAAACTTACAATTTACTTTAATATATTGAAATCTCTTTATACTTTATATTCATTTAATAATATTATTATTATTCTATGCTCAAATTTGAAACTATTATCCTTTTCTTTCTTTTATTTTTTATTTTTCTATGTTTAATGGTTCTAAGTAGTTGTGAAAACTAAAATAAATAAGATGAAAAATAACTATTTTGGATGTATGTTTAATAAATAATAACAACAACAACAATCCACACAACCCACTCTCTAAAAGACTCTTTAATAATAAATGGTTGTTGGCTTTTAAAAAATAATCATGTGATTATTAGATTGGTTACATATGTGGTGCGTGGATTTATTTCCCTTCTGATTGTGTTCGTAAATAATTATTATCTTGTCGTATCTAATAAAACCAAACCTCTATACATCACTGTGTTAGATTGTTTAATTTAATTAGTGATCTATATTAAAGAAGGGGTAATCTCTTGGTGATTGATTGATTGATTTGTTTGTTTTTAAAACAAATAAAACAAGTACTTCCTTTAAATATTATTATTATTATTATTATAGTAACAAACTAAACAACTATAAAATAAACTAATAACTTTTTTTTTTTGTTGAAAAAAAACAAAAATGTGATATCACATCATTATTATTATTATTATTAATATTTGAGGAACATGTTCAAAGTAATTGAGGTTATCAAATGGGGGGATTTATTAATAATGTGTTGAATGCTTGGTGGTCCTATTTTTTTATCCAATTATGGCAAATTATTCACAAAAAAACTTAAAACCATTTAATTATTGGTTTTTAAATTAAATAATTAATTTTGTTAAATTGATTTTTTTTTTTTTAAAAAAACTGATCAGTTTTTAAAAGAGGATTACGTGTGTTATTATCTATCTGCAAGTTCTTTTAAATTGATCATTTTTGGTTAATTAAAAAAAAAATAAAGAGGCACAATATTGTGATTATTTATTTAAAATGTTTGATGATGGTTGTTTTATAGATAAATTTCGAGATCATAATATCTTTTTTAGAGATACACATCTAACCTTTTTTATTTTATTTTTTAATAAAGATATAATAGAAATTTAGAAATAGATTTAGGTGTGAATATTTAAAGAACTAACTTGACATTGTACTTCAATCTTTTGATAATCGTCTTGTTTTTCTTGTTGTTCTTGTTCGGATGTAATTGTTTCAATACATTTCTCCTTATTATCTTCTTTATTGGTTACATTGTTCCTAAACAAATAAACCATATATAGTTAGAAATATTAAAATTTATAAAAAAAAAACCAAATTAATATTAAGAGAATAACTTACTCTATTTGAGTGGGTGTTCTTGATGATGATGATGATGATGATGTTATTGTTGTTGCTGGGGATGGTGTTGGTGGTATAGTTGATGTTGTTGATGATGATGCTATTGTTGCTGTAGAAGGTGTTGTTGGTGATGGAGTTGTATTGGATGTCATTTGGATTGGTTGTTTCTCAGGAGTAGTTGGAGAGCTTGAGACTATTTGGGTCTCTTTACAAGGTGAAGAGGTTGTTGGTGCTAATGATGGTATTGAGGAAGACGATTTATTTAATGAAGATGGAATATCTGCTGGTGGCTTTGAAGGAGATGATTGTACCTGCGATTTTGATGGTGGTATCAATTGTTCTTTAGGAACCAACTCTGGCAAATTCATATGTTTAGCCATTGCTTTCTTCTCGATCGGATACAATTTATGTGGAGGTGGAACGGAGTCATGATAGATTGTTTCATTATCTCTTTTGGCAACGTCATAAGATTTAGTTATTAACTACAACAATTTAGAAAGTAATAATTAGTTTTATAAATATAATTGTAATTTGATTGATTTATATAAACATACAGTTAATAACTTTTCAATATTCTCTTTAAATTCAATTGGTGCATTCTTTGGAATGTTGGCCTTGGCTTGTGTTATAGAGTCAAAACTATGTGATAATCGAGCGACTTGCTCTCCAAACTTTGCAGACATCTCCAAGTCGATGGCAACCTTGTAATTGGCAATCGCTTTAAATAAAAGACTCTTGGTGTAAGATATCGATGTCCAATACTTAAAAAAAGTAGATAGATAGAGACATTTAGAAGAGTTAATGTTTGAGATTTGATCAAATTATTATACTTGGTTACTACTTACTCTATCAATGAGGTTTCTCAAACCATTTGAATTTGTATGATGATAGATAACATCATAGTAGGCACTGGCTTGCATAGCTAGTTTGGCTTGGATATCGTTGGACATGTTGTCAACCACCGATTTGTCGTAGATGCACTCTTGGACCTGAGCAATCATTGTATTGTAGAATAGGTTGAGTGTGTCCGACGAGAAGTCTGGCGACCCAAAGCACTCTGGATGCAACGAGATGTACTCGCGAAGGAAGACATACACACCGGCACTCATCTGAAAGAAATTGTAACTCCTCTTGATACCCTCGATAGTCGATCGATTCTGTGAGACACCCAACTGAGACATTATACTACCGTAGTTGAAGAGAACCGATGCCATCTCAAAGTAAATACTACCGATCGTATATTTCTTTTGTTTCAATGCATCACTCCATATGAAATTAATAGCATACTATTATTAATCAAAAAAAAAATAAGTTAGTTAATTATCAATTAAAGATAGTTAGTTAGTTAGATTTAGTTGTTAAATCAAACATACATTTGATTGATTGATTGGACAGTTACTTTCAACTATGTTCAATAGTGAATAGTATTTCCAAGTCATTTCTTTGGAGGTTTCAGTGATGTCTTGACAGTTTCTTACATCTTCTCTAAGTGAGTTCAATTGTTGAATCAATCGTTGATTTTCATCGACTCCCGTGTAGTAACCATAAGTTAAATAATAAGGACCAGTGTAATATTTCGAAAAAAGATTTAACAAATCAAGTTTATCTGTTTTCTTTCTCTCTATGTGTAACATATTTTGTTTATTATTACTACTATCTAATTTTATGTGATATTATTTATCTCTATCTATAAGCAATAAATAAATAAACAATCAACTCTATCTTCACATCTAATATATTTCATTTAATAAACTTGTTCATTTTTTAAAACTATTATACATATAAAATAATCTATATAAATATAAATTAATTTATTTTGTAATAATTATTATTAGACTAAACAAACTTTAACCATTTATATTACATCCAATTACTTTTAAAGTAAGATGATGCAAAAATACAAAGTGTGTCGATAATCGACGCACAACAAACAAGAATTCAACAAAAAACAATAATAATATAATATATTATTAATTTTTTTAAATAATTTAATTTTTATTTATTGCTATTGCTATTGTTATTCTTCTTTTTCTGGTAAAATTGGGTTGTCATTGCTGGGTGTTGTTGTTTCTATTTTGGTTGTTGATTCTGTGTTTGTTATTGGTTCTTCTTTTGTTGTTGTTGTTGATGTTGTTGATGATGTTGATTTTGTTGTGGTATCAGCCATGTTAATTCTTTCAAATAAAACAACTACTTCACAGTGTTCGGTGTGTGGGAATAAATCTACAGCGATTGCCTTGACAGGTCTGAATGGTGTACCTTTCATGGTGTTGGTTATACTTTTACAGAGACGTGCGGCATCTACAATCAATGAGTTTTGGTTGCACGACACGTACACCAGTTTCTTCATGGTCTCGAGCGTACGAAGCGATTTGATGACATTCTGGTGGAGACCGGCACGTGGTGGATCGACGATTCCAATGATCTCTCCGTCTTTGGCATCGCGGTAGTTCTGGTGGATCATCTGCAACAGCTTGTCGGTGGTATCCTCTGCCTTGCCAACGATGTAGTCGATATTCTTGATTCCGTTGCGCTCTGCGTTGACGCGAGCATCGGCAACGGCATCCGGTGCCATCTCCAAACCGTAGACGTGTCTGGCTTTGTCTGAGATGCATTGGCCGATTGTTCCTGTACCGCAGCAGACGTCGAGAACGATGCTACGCTCGTTGACACCGGCCCATTCGGTGACCTTGGAAAACAGCGATTCCGCAGCTTTGCTGTTGACCTGGAAAAAGGCGTTCGAAGACACGTGGAATTCCTTGCCAAGCAGCTTCTCAACGATGGTTTCCGGTCCGTCGATTATCTTGACTGGCAAGTCGACTGGCGCGGCATTGGAGACGCCATCGTAGAGCTGGACGGACAAGCTGGTAACTTCTGCCTTGGTTCCTTTGGCACGTGCAAACAGCTCAATCAGTTGGTTGCACTCGCCGGTGATTTCCTCCTCTGAGAGTCCACGGTGGTTGAACTGTACGGTTGCCATTGTTTGGCCGGTAGTGAAATCACGCACGTTCAACTGACGCCAGAATCCAGTGTGTGTGGTCTTGTCGAATGGTGGACGTGGATGCGCGCGGATATACTCTTGGAGGTGCAAACGGATGGCGTTTGAACGCTCTGAAATAATAAGACATGGAGTTGGATCACCGACAACAGTGACACCATTACCGGTACGACCAAGTGCGAAACCAACGCATGGATTTCCATCCTCCAAACGACCAATAGTATAACTTGTCTTGTTACGATAGTGTGAAGTCTCTGGCGATGGAACAATCTCTTCGAGTGGACAAGCGACAACACGTCCCTTCAGTGCCTGTAGCCATTGAGGTTGAGATGTACACTCCTTTCTAATGGAAGATGTCATATCACGTAATACATTTGTTACATTTGCTTCTTTCTTTTCCAATTGTACTGAGTATTCCAATCTAAATTTAAAAATTATTTGTTAATAAATAATGTTGTTTAATTTTTTTTCCACACTTTTCCAAACTTGGATTTGTTTTTTTTTTTCTAAAATTAAAACTTACTTGTGCCATGGATTTGTAATATCTTCAATCAATTTTAATCCACTACCACCACTATTGTTATTGTTATTATTGTTATTATTGTTGTTTGTATTGTTTCCATTTCTATCTCTTTTTTTGCTGTTGTTATTATCGTTGGCGCCTTTACCTCTTTCGGCTTGACTTTGTTTTTCTCTTACTTCAAGAGTTGATCCTTCGACCTCCATATTATTATATTTCTCTGTGAATGATTGTGCCAATTCTGCATTCTAATAGTAAGAATAAAAATAAAGGATAAGTCATCAACTCTAAATTTAACTATAGTTATGTTTTTTAATCTTTACCTCTAATGTAACGATTGCAAATGTTTCACGATATATCTTTTTAGCTTTTACAACAATAGTATCGTTTTTCTTTAATAATTTCTGGAATTTGGTGTTATCCATAAACTTTGGTAGACCAAAGACGACTAAATTCACTTTTTTACTCTCTGTAGCAACACAATCCTTTGGTTTCAATGAATCGTCTGTAGCTGTAACAGTTGAATCCTCACTTTTATCTGTAGTTGTAGTTGTATCTATTTTATCTATTTTATCTTCATTGTTATCATTTGAAACGGCAACAGTAACAGCATCTCCATCTTCTAATCTAATCTTTTTAGTTGATCTATCTTCAAAATCTGTTTTAACTTCTTCCATTTTTCTTTATATATTTATTTATTTATTTATTAAATATTGAAAAAAATAAATAAATAATTAAATTAAAATGATTGATATTAATTAAATTAGACAAGATAACACCTCTCACTAATCTAGTCCTCCCTTTAATTGTGAAGACAAGAGACCCAAGCGATGAAAAAAATTGACGAAAAAAGAAAAAAGTTTTTTTAATTTTTTTTAAAAAAAAATTTTTGGTGGGGATTTCGAACAGACTTTGGGACTCAACAATATAGATTGATTTGTTCAGTATCGACAGACAGACAACTAAAATTCTCTCTCAGTTACTACTACTACTATTACTACTAAAAATAACAAAGTTATTCAGTACTACTACCACTTGTAAAAATGGAATCAATAAATAATTTAGATTCAGTTGATAATGATCTTTTAGGTAAACAGGCAGAGACTTTAAAGGAAAAAGGAAATCAAGAGTACTCTAGAAACTTATGGCCAGATGCAAACAGGACTTATAGTGAAGCCATTGATTTGCTCAAACACTCAGAGGTAAAGGCACACAAATCATTGATTTCTATATTGTACTGTAATCGATCTGCTGCCAATATTCAAATGTTAAACTATTCCGACGCTCTGGAGGATGCAAAACTTTCGATTTCAAACGATATTGAGTTTGCAAAGGTAATATAATATTTATAAATTTATTAATAAATTGGACTTAACACTACTACTAATAATATTATAATATAATAATAATATATTATAGAATTGACTACTAACGATATAGATTTGTTTTTTTTTTTTTTTTGGATTTCTTAATTTGATTAATAAAAGGCATATTTAAGGGCAGGTGATTGTTGTATTGGACTAAAGAGGTTTAAAGAGGCCAAAGAATTCTATTTGAAATGCATCGTCTATATTAAGGTTGATCCCAATGACAAGACTATGAATGCTCACAACATAATGTTGACCAATGCCACCAATGCACTGAACAATAGCAAGATGAAGATGTTTTACGAACCAATTCTACGTGGAAACGATGCTCACTATGGAAAGCTGGATCTAAAATACCAAGACAAGGTAATGGAGAAATCTCTTATCGCCAGAGTTGACATTAAGAAAGGTGAAATTATATTCACAGATCTACCATATTCATATCAAATTAGTCCACAAACTTTAATGGTATTTATTATTATTTACTAACAAAAATAATTTCTAAATTTATTCAACAAAATCAATTTAAATATTAAATTAAAATAGATTAATTCAGAAAAGATTTGTAAACATTGTATGTCGTTTGTATTGGAAAATGAAAATAGAGTAAAGTGTAACGGTGGATGTAATGCTGTGTATTGTAGTGAAGCGTGTAGAGTTGAAAGTTGGAATCAATATCATATACAGATGTGCAAAAGTGAATCGGTGTTGGATGGTCCCATTTCAAAATATAGACAAATGGTTTCGAGTGCACCTACCGCCGGATCATTGTTGCTCGCCGAAAAGATCATTGCAACAATAAGTCAGAGTTTGAAAGAGCGAAAATCAAAGAACTGCAATCTGGCACTTGGAAATACTCAGCATCTGAGACATGATCCTCTGATGAAACAACAGGATAGATTCACTGGCGACAACCTCACAGAACTACAAGAACAATACCAACCACTCGTTGACTTACTCAAGGAGGCCTACGGTCTAAAGAAAGATGATTCCATACAATACAAGATTGATACAATTCTAAAGGAGGAGTTTGATAAATGTAAAGTTTTTACTTAATACTTGGAAAAGAATATAATTATTAGATTTCTAACATTTATTTATTTAATTATAAAGTGTTTAGTATTAGTTTCTATGATAGTATATTAGGTATGATAAACTTTAATGTTTTATCAACAGTTGTAAGAGCACCAGAGCCAACAGTTGTTAGTAAATCAATTGGCAGCGACAACAGTAAATCGAAATCAAAGAATAAGAAAGTTGGAAAGGTGGCAGAACCTGTACAACCAAAGATATTTGACTCTTGGGGTATTGGATTGTATCCAATATTCTCGTGTATGAATCACTCTTGTCAACCAAACGTTGAGATTTGCAATGAAAGAACCGATGGTGTGACATTCAACAAAGTAGTTTTCAGAGCAAAGAAGAATATCAAAGCTGGTCAGGAGCTATTGAACAACTATTGCGATGTAACACTACCAACCAAAGAGCGACAATCTCAACTTAAAAGTCAATACGATTTTATTTGCAAATGTAATAAATGTCATTAAAAATTTATTTTATTTATAACTAAAGTGGTTGGTAGATTGACTGTAGTTCTGATAGATTGTTGATGTTTGATCCAGAGTTTCCATCACTATGGTGAAAACTTCCCAAGATTAGAATTAAAAGAATTATTGTGTAATTTAAATTAGAAATAATAAATTTTTTAGATTCTAATAGAGGGAAACAGATTTGGTCTTTATAAATGTTGGACTGCAGGTGGTTGTTTTCTTTGTCGTTGAATGATGTTATTTAAAGATTGTACAATTAGAATCATTAAGTCAATATTGAAGTGTCATTCAGTAACACAATCTTTTATGTTAGCAATCAAACTATTGTAGTGGTTTATTGTAATGGTGAACAACTATTGATTCTACACCTCATAGTGTAGTAATAAATTCCTACTTGTATATATTAGATCTAACAATACTTAAAAAGTTATTCAAATTTTACTTTATTTCAACTTTAAATAAAGATAAATATTATAACTTAATATATACTCATTTTTAAACTTAAATGATGTAAAGTACAAAAGATATTAAATATTATAATTCATTCTTTATTCTTTATTTAACTTTATTACATTATCACAGTGAGACAACATATGACATATCCAATGAAATTAATTATACATATTAAAACCTAATTAAGTATAAGATAACTCCTTATAGTAATAGAGTATTCAGCGTGTTGAAAATTAATATAGAATAAATATTAATCTATAGTTTGCAACCTTTCTTTCTAATCGGGAAATTAATAATTAACAAGTTTAGAATTTTTTTTAAATCTTCAATTCACCACACTTTTTGGCTTTGGATCTAATTTATTGTGTTTCTTACAAATTTTAAAGATATATATATTTTTAGTAGTAGATCAATTTTACTTGTTTTGTGATTTTCAGAATTTGATTTCATATTTTTTCTATTCTATTGCAGTTCTATATCTGGATGAATATATCTGGATTAATATCTAGATAATGGTGTATATTTCATTGTAGCAATAAAATAGGAAAATAAATTAATCTAATATTTTGTCCAAAATAAGAAATATTTATTTTGAATATCCATTTATATTTTCAAATACGAATAATATTCAAATAATATGTATAATTAAATACATTAAATACATTAAAACAAAGTTAATAAATATTGTAAAGATTTAAGTTTTAACTTTATTTGATCTTTAATGTATAAAGATTATAACATTTATCTTTATATGATTTTAAATGTAGAATACTTTAACAATTAAGATAAAGAATGATGGAGTTGCTCTGTTCGATGGTGTAACACGACTTGTTAAAGAAAAAGATCTTTAAATACTTGTATCTATAGATCGATGAAAATATTAAATTTTTGGTTTTTTTTTTTTATGTTTTTATTTTTTATTTTTTTTATTTTTTTTATTTTTTTTATTTTTTTTATTTTTTATTTTTTTTATTTTTTATTTTTTATTTTTTTTATTTTTTATTTTTTTTATTTTTTATTTTTTATTTTTTTTATTTTTTATTTTTTTTATTTTTTATTTTTTATTTTCCACGAGTTTTCATCGAAATTTCGTATTAGTCACTTTTTTAAAAGTTATTTTCTGATATGGACTAGAAGGGTATCGATCCCTTTACCTCTCGCATGCTAAGCGAGCGCTCTACCATCTGAGCTACAAGCCCTTTGATGAAGCCAATTTTCATTTTTAAATGAAATTTATGAAACAACTTTAATTTTTGTGTAATAAAGTTGTTTCTTACTTTCAAGATTATAACTCAAAATCAATGTTAATATTTGTTGAAGTTGTTTGTTTTAACTTTGCTTTGATACCAAAAACAATCCAATCTGAATTGAAAAATTATTAATTTGGTTGTTATTTAAAAATCTATATTGTTTTATTGATTCATTAATTAATTAAACGTTTATTAAATTTATACAAAGTTATAACAGTCATAATTTATTTTGATCAAAATAAATTATGACTGTTATAACTCAAGTGAACTTCACGATTTAATTTGTTTTTAATTTTTTAATTTTTTTTTTAGTCATTTTGGTGATCATCACACCAAACTTTTTTAAAACAATTTATAAATTAATTTAATTTTACATTTTTTATTTATTTAATAATAATAATATTATTTAGATAGAATTGAAAATATTAGAAATTAATTTTTTGTAGATAGATTAAAGTTTTGACCCACAGATTAATAATTATTAGGAATTTTTTAATAACATACATATAAAAAGAAAGTAAAGATAGAGAGATATGTCAAGCAATATGAAAGAAGTAGAGATGACAGATGATATTCCAACTTCAGCCGCCGATCTGAAGGGAGACAAAGAGAATGCAGTCAGAGAGACCGCAGCACTCACACTGGCCGACATCAAGAAGAACTGTCAGTTGATAGAGCGTGGCGTCGACGCCAAAGAGAACAGATACATCACACGTGTCTTGCGTCAGACTACCACTCTGCGTAAGCGTGTCAACTCGAAGCTGTTGGCTGCCGCCATCTCACAGACACTGCCCGACGGCAACAAGAAAGCGTTGCTCTTGAAGCTACTCAAGGAGCAAGACGTTGGAAGCACTGTCACTGTCACCAACAACGAGATGGACATCGATTCCACCGCCAACGCTACCGCTGCCACCGCTGCCACCATAACATCAGTAACTCTCGAAGTCGAAGCATATCTCCACCTTCTCGTTCTCATTCACTTGATCGACACAAAACACAACGTGGAAGCAACCATCTGCTCGACTGCACTTGTCGAGAGCATCCAAAACAACAACAGAATCACACTATACCCACTCTCCTCAAAAGTATTCTTCTACTACAGTTTATCCTATCAACTTGTTAATAATATCGAACAAATTAGACCGTAAGTTGAGTAGTTAATTTAAGTTTAATATATACTAAATATTTTTTGTTTGTTTCTTTATATCTTTTTAGATTCTTGTTGAATGCACTTAGAACTGCTACATTGAGACACAATGAAGAGGGACAGGCAACCTTGTTGAATTTGTTGTTGAGAAACTATTTAGAGTACAACTTGATCGATCAAGCTCATAAGCTTGTCAGTAATACAGTGTTCCCAGAGCAAGCAAGCAGTAATCAATATGCTCGTTATCTCTATTACCTCGGTCGTATCAAGGCAATTCAACTCGAGTACGGTGAAGCCTACAACTTTTTAAATCAAGCTATTCGTAAAGCACCTCAAAATTCTGCAATCGGATTTAAGAGATCTGTAAGTAACTAACAGTTAAATTAATTAATATAAATATTTAAAAGGAGAAAAAAAAAAAACAACTAACAATTATCTATCAATAATATATATATAATAGGTAAATAAATTACTTTGTATTGTTCAATTGTTGATGGGAGAGATTCCAGAGAGAAATATCTTTAGTCAAAAGATCTTAAAGGGTGCAATGAAGCCGTACTATCATCTAACTCAATCGGTTAGAGTCGGTGATCTCGATTCATTCCATGCTGTCATTGAACAATATTCATCTCTCTTCAAATCTGATCATACTTTTACTTTAATCCAAAGGTTTGTTATATAATTAATTTAAACATCTTTATGTATATTTTGTTAAAACTATAAATATTAATTTGTTTGTTTGTTTGATTGTTATAATAATAATAATATAGACTTAGAACCAATGTAATTAAAGCAGGATTAAAGAAGATTTGTTCGGCATACTCTAGAATATCATTCCAAGATATCTGTAAGAAGCTAAAGTTTGATGGTACTCCAGAGGATATGATGTTCATCGTTGCCAAGTCGATCAAGGACGGTGTCATCGAAGCATCGGTCAACCAGGCAGAGGGATACCTCCAGAGCAACGAGAATATCGATGCCTACTCCACTCAAGAGCCAATGGCTGCATTCTCACAGCGTATCGATGTTTGCTTGAAGATTCACAACGACGCTCTCAAGGCTATGCGTTTCCATCCAGACCTCAGCCGAGCCGAGACCGAAAAGATTGCCGAGGTCGCCAAAACCATCAAGCAAGAACTAGAGAGACAAGCTGAAGAGAGCTCAGAGAATGGTGATGAATCTGATTTCTAAAAAATCAATAACCAACAACACCAACACCAACAAACTTGTCCACATTCTAATCAAATCAACTAATCAACCAAACCAATCAAACAAACAACAACAACACATGTAGATCAATATATCATAAATTCAAAAACTTTTACACCACACCTATATACTCAATACTCATAATAATCAAAATTACCATACATACATACAACAAAGATAACTTGAATGACTATAATCAACCTAACCTTATATGTTGTCATTTTTAAACAAACAAAATAATAAACAAAACAATTATTCAAAAATAATAAATCACCTATTTTTATTTATTTATTGTTTAATAAAGCAAGATATAAATGACAATGACAATGATATCATATCATATTAAAAGAATGAAGGTAAATGAGTTATAACTGTCTTCTTTTTTTTTTTTACTTGGAAATTGCTCACAAAGTTATCAAAATTTGGTATCCACCTTTTAGCTAAAAGATGTTTGTTTTTGTTAGTATATAATAATGTCAAATATATATTATGAATCGATAAAAGGTAAATTGGTGATGATTGCACCAAAAAAGTCAAAGTACACAGACAGTAAAAATAGTAATAATAATATTAGTAATAAGAGTATAAAGTTAGATAATGATAAAAAACAAAAAGTAGATCAACAACCAACAAGTTCATCATCGACGTTAATTGATATTGGTGTTTCAATTATATCTATTAAACAAGAGAGTGGAGAGAGTAAGGAAAAGCTAAATGAATTGTCATCGGTGAATCGCAAAGGTGTATACGACAGTGCATCCTATGATAAAGGTCCAACCATTGAAATTCGTTCGTCTTCAGATCTAATGATCAAATCACTGTTGAAAACATCAGTAGTCTACTGTCGATTCGATAATCAATATCATATTGTATTATTGTTGCAATTGGTTTCAAATCAACTGTTACTTGGTTATCTAGATGATTCATCATCATCATCTGACGAATCAACAGCAACAACAACATTTGATTCTATTACTTTTAAAGAAATATCTAAAACAACAATAACAACAACAACTACTACTACAACAACTACAACAAATAATAATAGCAAGAATAGTAGTCAACAACCTATAGTAATATTAGATGGTCCAACATTTATAAGCTATTATAATAATGACATAGTGATATATACATTGGATGATAAACTACAGATATCAAGTAAACCATTTCCTTTGGATTCAAAAAGAGATGATATATATATTTATGGTTTCTATATATTGAATGATGACTATATACTATATGGTAGTGGTGGTTTGGTTGTATCTGTGATATATAAAACTATATCAGACAAGATGGTGTATATTTCATCTATAAATATTGGACAACAAATTGGTTTTAGAGATAAAGTTAGAAATTTCGAAAGCAAAGCAGCTCTTTGCGTTGAAGAGGATGAAATTTTATCAATTACAAGCTATCGATACCAAGAGAATAGCTATATTTATCTTATTACAACAAATAGCAGAATAACAATTAGTCAACCTGATAGTGAAAAAGAAGATATTTTCATCTCGATACCATTTACACCTCTGCAATCGTATCTATTGAATATTCCATACGATTATGATGTTGTTGCAGCCACTGATGAAACAGAAAAGAAAGAATCAATGGAATCTATTGATGTCAATTATAAATGGTCAAAAGGTGTGTTGGTCGTTCATTTCAGTAATGATCTTGTTCATGTATATAGTATTGCCAATCGTTCGTTACTGAATGAACTGGTCAAGATCAAGGATATTTGGTATCACGATTACTTTAGTCAAGGACAAGATCAACTGCTTATTAGACACTCACAAACCAAGTCAGTTTGTTTATCACTTATCAATCTGTATCATACAGAACAGAGGATATTCATTGCTGCTTCAGATGTAGATAACAACAATAACAAAAGTGATGATAGAATGACGACGACGATGATGGTTGATCAACCTGGTTCAGATGTTGATAATAAACAATCGACTTTCAATATGGATCAGATATTCGAATCGTTGGATAGTCGATGTAATCAGGCAACTGTCGAACTGTCGCAATTGGAAACATCACTGAAAGCAAAGGACAATCTATTGGAGCATTCACTTCGTGTATTGGATTCACTCGGATCTGTCAACTCCAACTTTGATACACAACTCAATCCTCTGAAAGATAGAAAGATATGGCCAAGTGACATATCAACGAATCTAGTTTCACTCATTGGTAACGACAACACCAATCCAAAGCCAACAACCTCTACATCATCATCATCGAAACTACCATTATCAAACACTATTAAACTTCAAAAGTTTGAGAAATCAATTAAAAACAATATACTCTATAGTTTATTTACATTTAAAACATCTTTAAAGTATGTATTTATATAGATAAATACAAATATATATATTAGTTACAAATTTATTAACTTTTATTTAATATTCTTATTCTTGTTTGTTAGTGATATTATTATTATACAATCAGTTTATTTATCGAATCAGAGTATAAAGATAGAGAGTAAATCAAATTATACATATGGTAATGGTTCTTATGAGAAAGGAGGTTGGAAACTAAAGAGTGGTGAAGATACTACAATTCTTTTGGAGACATCACTACCACTTGGTTTTGATCCATCAAGCATTATTGATTTGATGATAGAATGGAGGTTTAGTAAACCAAATACTTCAAACAAACAAAAATTACAGCAACAACAACAACAAACACAAGAGGTACATCTGTCACTACTAGAATCATTTACACTACAAAAAGAATATACAAATCAATTTAAACTAAATATAAATAATAGTTTATATCAATTAAATCAATGTAAGTATTATTATTATAATTAAAAACAATTACAATTAATTAACTAAAACTTTAATTTAGATCCAATTGAATTATGTTTCTATTTGTTTGACACCAAAACAATTGCAATCAACAAGAGGAATACAACGATATTATCGATTAAATATCTTGATGATTTAATTAAAACTATATTTGAAGGTCAAAAATATGATGAAGAAATCAATAAGGTATTAATGTTAATGTTATATTATTAAATAATATCAAAAGAAATATACTAAATATATTTATCTCAAACTCATAAGAGTTCATGTAGTTACAAGTTCACCGTTGGTTTTGATAATCCATTCATATTGAAATTCAATGAAAAGAAAAGCATAATCAATATGACCTTGCAATCGATTAGTCTATCAACTATCTTATCATTAGTATCTCAATTTAAACAGTCATTACCTTCAAGTAAGTTATTGGAATTTGGCGCAAAAAGTTTATATTAATTATGTTTTACATTATAATAGGTATAAATTTGTTACTTTCATTTCAAAGTAGTTGGTTTAAATCATTAACGAAAGAACTATATGATTGTATGACCGAAGAAATTAAACAGATGAATGAAAAAGGTTCTTCTATTTTCGAAAACAAATTGACTCTTAATAGAAAGGATCAGAGGGATCAATATAATCAATATTCTAATTTCTATCAGAGTATTGTTGGTCTAATGTCTGAAACAGAAGCTTTATTATCTATAATGTCGCAACTTGATAATCATTGGATAAAGTCACTATCGAAATAAATTTTTGCAAGCTACTGTTAACTAATTATTATTATTATTATTATTTTTATACTGTTATTATTGTTATTATTCAACTATGATTATTATTTATTAATTATGCTGTAGTTGTTGGATTTGAACAACAAATAGAGCTTGTCGAATCGGTGGTAGTAGTAGTACTTTTGTTAAGTTTGTTTTGCATGATTGATTCCAATACGGAACGTGAAGTTCTTGCTATCGGGTAGAAGAAATCAAACATGTCACCTTCGTACTTGTACTTGTCTCTACCGAGCGGACATGATTCTCCAAATTTTGAGGCGTGTCTCCAGGTTGCTCCAACCTTCGTCGATGGCGACGTTGGTCCAACGCACCATTTCCTGTTTCGTTTCCTCGGCAAAGAGTGAGAGTGGTAGCGTTGGTTTCGGCGCACTGAAAGTGACGTCAAACACCACGATCGCACGGAATACAAACCAGAGACCGTAGACCGGATGGATACTCCACATGACGTCACGGTCGTAGTATGCGACACCAGCGAAATGTCCGGCAGTCTGCATGTGTGCGTACTTTCCAGATTGTACTGAATTCCAGTCGTATCGAACATCGTAATGATGTTTCTGTGCCTCTTCATTCGTTGCCAACACGTGTTCGATCGTGGCGAAGCAGAACGAATTCATCGGATCCTTTGGAATCGAATCTAGACTCTCCATGTACTTTGTGAAATAGCTCCAGAAATCCTTGTTGCAACCAACAATCAATCCCATTGCATTTTCATTTCCAAGGTTATTAAGTTTATATTTGCATGCATTATTATAATCATTTACCTATTGAATTTATTTATGTTTGATTGATTTAATAGTAAAATAATAATTGTATTAATAAATAACTATATTCTATATATTGGAAAGTTTCCAAAAAGTAATGTTTTTTTTTCCAAAATAATTTTTGGAATAGTCTAGAAAATTCCATACCATGAATGGCTCGACAATATTGAAACCATGTTTGGCGAATTGATCTTGTAATGATTTAACCAATGTTTCCATTTGTTAATGTAATTGTAATTAATTAATTATTAAAAAAAAATAGTGAGAAAAAAATAATAGAAAGATTTATAAAGTAAGAATATTCAAACTTAGTTTAATATAAATATTTAATATATTAAAATAATAATAAATAAATAAAAACTTTTTATTTATATAAACTAAGTTAGAGAGGTCAGTCGATGTGTAGTAATGGTATAGATGGATGCAACATTAGCTCGAGTTTTGAAGTAGTTTTTAGTTATTCAAAAAAAACAAACAGTTTTAATGTTGATATCACAATTTATACCAAACAAAACAATGCAATAGAAATAGAATAATAATAAAGTAAAAGTACTTATTGATCTGTAATGCTATAATAAATAATTGAAATAGTGTAGTATGTGTATTTTAAAGGAACGAAGGAAGCGTTAGTTTTTTTTTTTTTTTATAAGGTGAGTCAAAGGTGAGTTCAAAATTCTGGTTTTTTATATTTTTTTTTAGTGAAAAAAATTGACCCCACACCCAATCATAATACCCCCAATAACTATAAAATAAATAAAAATAAATTCAAAAAAAATAGATTAAATAACAGGATGGTATTATAACACTCTGGCAGATCATTAAACTAATCAATCAATTGTTATCTTGTGATAGTGGATCTCTTTTTATTATTGTTTATTTTTATTTATTTTTTACATTTTTTTTTTTGAATTTATAATGTTAAATTATGTAAATTGTTTTTATTCTTAAAACAATAAATATCTTGATAATTTGAGTAATTTTTATTCGATTCAAGCAGATCATCCAACAACTGAATGACTGACATTTGTTTAAATGAAAATAATGCAAAAATAAAATAAAAAACATTCATATTGATTCAAACACACATGTAACATAATGGAAAGAATAATAAATATAACTTCACATATCTTTAATAATAATACTAGTATGCAAGGTCAAGAAGAATCTATAACACCAGCTTTACAATCAAATCTTGAAGACAAAACTATATTGTATCAAGAGTTTGAAAATGGTGCAAGAAAGATTATAATAAATAGAGCTAAATCATTAAATAGTTTATTGATAGGTAGAGTATTTATTGATTTTACTAGACTAGTACTCTTTTTTTATTGCTTATAATATTAATTGAATTCAAATGTTCAATATTAGATATGCTTTTTGAATTACATAGATTACTTAGTTTATATGAGAATGATAGAAATGTAAAGGTTGTTATGATTGTAGGTGCACCTGGTAAGGCATTCTGTTCGGGTGGTGATATCAAACAATTCATTTCGACACCCGATATGGGACATAACTTTGCAAAGATAGAATACAAACTAGACCATCTCATACATACCTATCCAAAGCCATTGATATCAATAGTCGATGGTATTGTCATGGGTGGTGGTGTAGGTCTATCGATTCATGCCGACTACAGAGTGATGACTGAGAAAACATTATGGGCAATGCCTGAAGTATGTTACTTTCTTTTTACATCATATTACTTAATCATTTAGTTAACTAACTAACTAACTTAAAAAAATAGAATAAAATTGCTTACTTCCCAGATGTTGGTACAAATTACTTTACTTCAAGAATGGGTGCCGTTGGAATGTATCTATCGATTACTGGCGCTAGAATAGGATTGAGAGATTCGATGGAACTAAAGATTGGATCGCACTTTGTTGAGAGTTGCAATCTAGAGAGAATGATCGATGATTTGACTGGCGATGTTGTTGATACTCCACGTCAGGTCGAATTCATATTGAATAAGTGGCGTAAGCAAGTACCGATTGCCGATAACAATCCCAATGCCATGAAGTCGGTCATTCAACCGAATAGGCAGTCGATAGAGCGTTGTTTCGGTGCTGACGTACAGTCGGTGCAACAGATGATTGAGCTGATCAGAGCAGAACACCCGATCAATCCAAAGTGGTCAGAGACGACGTTGCGACAAATACTCGATGCTTCGCCAATCAGTGTGGCGATCACCTTCCAAGCGATAAGAATGGCGCTGACCATGGAAATCGATGAGATATTCAGGATGGATCTGAGACTGGGTACCAGACTGACACATGAAGAAAACATTAGAATTGGAGTGCACGCCGCACTAGTCGATAGAAACAACGCACCTAAATGGGATCCACCAAGCTTTGATCAAGTCACACCCGAGAGAATCAATTCATACTTTGAGAGACTCGATGAATCAAAAGAATTGGATATCTAAGCACGCATCCCTTACTTTATAAATATAATTATATAATCAGTAATTACACTCACACACATGGAATTCTAACTTGGAGTTCCTCTGCAATTCAAAAAAGCAGTAAATCAAATCAAATCAATCAAATCATTTCATCTAATAATAACATAATCTAACCTACTCAAGTTGTACAACTTTATGTTTAGAAAAATCAATAAAGTAACTTCTCATATCATTCAATCTTTAATTTAAAAGAATGAAATGAGGGAAGTTAATTAATGTTAAAAAAATAAAAAATGATAAACACTTTTTGTATTATTCAGTAATCTAAAATAACGTGTGATTTTAAAAGTTAGATAGATTATAAAGATATAATGAATTCATTCGAACCTTATAGATTAAAACAGATTAAAATTAAATTTTTAAAAAATAACTTGAACAAACAACAGGTTGAGGTTTAAAAAGTAAACAATTAATTGTTCACACCCCACAAAAAAAAACCTACACACCAAGACCATTCAAAAATCAAAATTTTAATTTTAATTTTATTCAAATCTAACCAGATTGTAAAAATACCTGGTTTTTTTTGGAATTTTTTTTTACAAAATTCTCTGGTTTTTGTGATCACCAGTTATATGGGGAAGCTAAAGGCAAAATCTGAATAATTTTTTTTTGTATGATTTAAAAAAAAAAATAGCATTCTGATTATTTTACCAATTGCATCAAACAAAAAAAAAAACAAATAAATATAACATTATTCTTATATCATTACAAATTTATAGTTATTCATAACTAACTAGCTAACAACTTTGTTAAAGACAAATCATAAACAGAACAGTCAATAAATAAATCGAAATCAATCAGAACTTATTCGTTTAGTTTGATATAATATAATATTATATTTTTGTACGGTAGTGTATTTTATAATTATAACAAACTATTATATTATCATCAAGTCATACGATTAAACAACGTTGTTTAATAATAACCTAACAAATCGTATTTTCAGTTCATTAAATAAACATCATCATCACCATAATCATAAATCAACATCAAATTATTAGCCAATAGAAATATAAATAGTGGATGTTACAATAGCAACATCATCTATATCTCTGAATTTTTACATTGATAGCACTATTAAAAAGTCTTAGTAATCATTTTAGTTGGACAGTGTGTATAAACAAAATCACTTATCGTGTGCGTAAAGTGTTTTGATAAATTATTATTTGGCGATAAAAACAAACAAACAACATTGACATTGGTGTTGAACACAACCTTAACAAAAAGAGTAAACCAAAACAACAAACACTCATTCCATACACTTTATAAATAAATAAGGAATAATATCATCATTATTAATCATATATATATATATATATATTTATATATAAAGATAATCTATCCATACATTATTATTATTACTACCACTACCACTATCATCATAATTAACTATCGTTTTTTTAAATCAAATCATCAAAAACAAACCATCATTATAACACATTACCACATTTATATAACAATAATTTTTTTTAAAAATGAAATAATGTTGTGTGAAAGAAAGTAGACCACACCAACATTGTTAATTCCAGACCAAAATCCAAATTCCTCACACTCACACAGACATCTCATCTCTCAACTCTTGCATTTCCATAACAACAACAACAAAGAAGAGAGAGTAAATATGTAGATAATTGTATTTGGTTGTATGTGGAACACATGACAATCACAATTATATAAATAAAGAAGTGATATAGTTTCTTTATTTTTTTCTGGACGAAATAAGAAGAGTGAGAGTGAATATGAATGAATGAATAAAAATAAAAGAATGAAAGAAGTTATTTATATATATTTTCTATATATAACTACACTACTTTTATTGGGTTTGTGTTCTTTCTCCATTTTTTATCATTTTTTAATTTTATAGTAGTAGAAAGATAATTATCAATTGTCAGAACATTGGATGTTGATGTGTTGGTATTACTCTCATCGGGTGAATGGGAAAACATTCATAACAACAAAAGTGCAATAAATAGAAAAAAAGAAAACTAATCAAATCAAACATATGATTCTCAAATACCGCGCACACCCACACACAACACACAGACATAAGACACACACTAAACAAACGATGTTATTAAAAATCAAATACATCTAGAGCTATTAAACAAATAGCAATTAACAACCAATCAACTTATCGCCATTTACATAATTCAAATCTGAACTAAACTAAACTAAACTATCAACAATAATAATAATATTATTATTTACAACATTATGTTTTTTCTTTTGTTTCCAGGTGCCAAAATTAAATAGTCGATTTTAATTTATTGTCTTTTTGTCATTTTCCAATTATTTATTGTTGTTGTTAAATAATAATAAAAATATAAAAAGGCAAGATTAATTTACATTTATTTTATTCATTTGTTGCTATTTTGCTTTTGTTTTATAAATCTATCTGATAGATATATCTTTTACCAGTGTGTCTCTTTGCAAATAGAATACATGAGGAACAACTTTGGAATTTACTACTATCCAACACCACTCCATTTTATTTTCCTATCCATCTTTTATTTTTACAGGTGCACATTACTAGTTCTTTAATTACCTAACACCTATAATTTATATTTATGTTTTATCAAGATAATAACATCTAATAGCTATATTACATTTAGTAATATTATTGTACAAAGTAACCACCTTCAAATATTTTAACAAACAAATAATAATTTATTTTAATAATTATATCTAAATATTTTTTAATGTTCTGACACTGCAAACCAAATTTTAACAATTGATAAATATGGATAATCTTTAGTTTGCTTATCAAAGTGAATAACAACCAGAACAACAAACAAACAAACAAGAAATTCAATCCAAGTTTGGGTTGCATTCAACAACACAACAACAACAACAACAACAAAAACAAACATTTAGATTTTTTATCTTTTTATCCACAAATTACCTATTTTGTTTTATGTTTCTTATTTCAGTCATTGTAACTTCACCATTACTAATACATACACCACCAACAACAACAGTGTAAACTCAGAGCTTGATTTCCAGATCCTTTTCCGACCAATCTACCTCTCCACAACAAGAATAACCTCTCGCTTTGGAACTATCTCTCTAATTGTGCTGCCCAATCGACCTCAACCTTAGTAAATGGTTTCCATCCTCACTGCAAACAATATTATTTCATATTGCTTTGGTTTCTCATTGTCCGTATTTATTGGAGTCGATTAACATTACCACACACCTCTCAGAGAGTTTTTCAATCTTTTAGCCAAATCTGCTAGCTACACAAACAAAAATCCTAGAAAGTACATTCATCTACTTCTCTTTTTACCACTACAACTAGTTTATAACAACAACAAACAATTTAAATCTAATCTTAACAAAAAAAAAAAAGAAATAATAATTTACAAAAATGGAAGTACAACAATTTTACCAATCATCATCTACATTCTGCACTGGATGCAGCAGAGTCGTAAGAACACCAATTATCACCATCGAGAAGGGTCAACGCAAGTTTGACTTTTGCAGCATGAGATGCTACTCTGTCACCCCTTCCAATGTGAACAACAACAATAATGCCACTACCAAGAGTAAAGGGCGGACTTTGTCCACTCCCATAAATATAAATAATGCATCCCGTCGATCCTCTCCATTAATTACAACTATATAATCAAGTTATAGATTAAAATCAACTAGAAATCGACTAAATTTACAATTTTTTTTACAACCCAACCTTCACCTTTTTCCTTTTAACATTTCAAACACATTGGTCTTATTGTAAGACCAACAACCCAAGCCAATCAATAATAATAATAGTATTTTAAGTTTTAATTAATTTTAAATAAAGAATTCTTTTATAAATTATTGTTATTAATATTAATATTATTAATAATTAAAAATATTAAACAAGTTATATATATTATGCTTTTATTCTTGAGAAGGTGTGATGTTTGTTGTGTAGTTTAAAATTCCATCCATTCTAACAATGGTTTCCAAAATAAACTACAAACAAGGAAATACAGAAGATGAAAGCTAAGGGTCCAGGATTGCTAAGTGATGTTGAATTGTTTGATAACACTAAAAATATTTTTAAAAATTGAACAAAATAAAAAAAAGCGCAATTTTAACAAAAAAATAGTGAACTGCTTTTAGTTTATATTAAAGACAACCATGGTTGTGGTACAATAAGTAGATAATAATGGACCGACAAAAGCTTGCAAAGCTTAAATCTATTTCACTTGATAAATATATTCATAAACCAAGAAATACTTTTAATATTACAACTTCACCGGTGGTAACAAACGATTTATCTGTTGAAGACTCTTCATTGTTGCAACAATCAACAACATCACCACCAACAGAACTTTCAAAAAATGTAATCAAAAACGATAATAGTAGTAGTATTAGCAGATATAGCAATAATAGTAATAGTAATGATAATGATGCAATAAGATCAAATAATAATACATCAGATGATGAGTTTCAATTTCTAGCTTCACAAGAAGAAGAAGAAGAAGAAAAGATAAAACAAAATGAACAACAAAAATATAAAGAATGTCCTGTCTGTTTCGAGAAAATAGATTCATCAGATTTTCAAAGACATCTTCAACAAGAACTTAAAGATCAATATGAAATTGAAAGTAACATCAGAGTAAAGAATGAACAAAGGTTAATCAATAATAACAACAACAACAACAATAATAATAATAAATCAAAGAGTAATAGTAATAAAAATAGTAGTAGTATAACTAGTAAATCAAAGAAACAACAACATTTGTATATAGACCAAGCAGAAACAATTGATAGTGATGATGATGGTGACGATGATTTCAAACCAATTCAACATCAAGATAAGAGAATTAAATCAGTTATATCGTCATCATCAACGACAACAGCAATAACTACAACACCAAAATCAAAGAAATTATCTTTTATTGGTGATGAAGATATAGATGATATCGATTATATGATTAATAGCAATAATAATAATAACAATAATAACAACAATAATAATAATAATAGTAAAATAAAAAAATATGATAATTTTGAAGAAGAAGAAGATATAGATTTTACACAGAATCCAAGTAGGAATCAGACATTTGATAATGTAGGGTATAGAAGGAATCTTGAGGAGATAATAGATCTCGAGGAAGTATGTGACGATTCGAAATGGGAGAACAAGTTTTATAAGCCTGCACTTAGATATCCTGAGATTAGGTCTCCAAGTACAGCATCAGCAACGACAACAACGACAACAACAACAACAACAACAGCTGCTGCATCATCAACATCACCATCTTCATTAAGATTATTGACACCACTTAAACTTTTACCAAGACCAACAAACACAATGACAACATCAAATATTACACCATTCAAATCATTATCATCATTTAATAATAATAATAACAATTTTACATCTCCAAAGAAAACAATACCTACATTATCATCATCATCATCATCACCATTTAAACAAAAGACAACATCATCGGCATCACCACCGAAAACAACACCAAAGAAATTTTGGAAAAAGAAAAGAAGCTGGCATTCATCTCCAAGGTGACTATTTATTATCACTAAAGATAAGGATGGTAGACATATATACTAACTATAGTTATTATTATATTTAAATTAAGGAAACAGGGATCAGCAGACACACCAAAAGTCAAGGTACAAAAGAGGGAGTCGACAAAAGGAGGAGGAGGATCAACAACAAGAATCAAAGTCAAGCACGAGCATTGATGGCAAGCAATATTACTACAGTACAGACTGCGCAACCAATATATCAGATATACACAATGATGATGACTTCACCTTTGATGGCATGGGAATACAAGGACAGTCATATGACGGATTAAGTTGGGAAACTACAAGAGGTTACTCATTATTTTAACCAATAATAAAACACACAAAGAATATATAGTCATTTTGATAATTTTTTAAGAATATATTCTTAATATATTTTACAAACTCAAATGTTGTGTTTATCTTTTAGGAATATCACGAGTGATTTGAATTCATTTTGTTTTTAGTTTTTCAATTATAATTTGTATCAGAATCGATGATGGACAAATCACTATTTAATTTGATATTCAATAATATCGTATTGAATAGATTAATATTTAATCATATATATTCATATGTTTATAAATCTGTTGGTAGAAAGAATTTAGATAGACGTTACAAATGGAGTCAACTACTGACAACTCCAGAGGTGATGGCAGGAAATGGTTATTTCGATCTGTTGAAACAATATATTTCCAAGAATAAACCGTTAACTGACCCTCGTTATTTCAATATATTAAATAATGCTGCGTATATCGGTAGTCTAGAGATGATAAGATATCTAGTGGAAGAGATTAAAATAGAAAAGACGCTTATGTTGAAATCTCGGTACAACTCTCATGGTTTGATGTATTACGCTACTGTGTATGGTCGTTTGGAGATCATAAAGTATATCGAGAGTTGCTTCTCAACAGAGACTGACAAGTTGCAATGGGACTACGATCATGCATTCGTGTACGTTCCACTTTCACAGAGCATCGAGATCCTGAAATACTTGGCACCAAAGACATCGGGAAAGAGAAGTGCAACCGGTATAACAACATTTGACATTGCTGTGAGAGTTGGCCGAATTGATATGATTGAATGGTTAGATGAACATGGCTATGGATTGAGAGGATCAAGCAACATGTATGTCGAAGCAGTGCAACACAATCAACTAGCTGTACTAGAGTATCTCAAGAGAGTAAACAAAGATACTCATATTTTCGAGAATGGTGTTTACAAACTGTTGGACATGGCAGCAGAGTATAATAATATCGAAATTTTAAAATGGCTTCACAATAATAATATTGGTGTTTGCTCTGTATCCGCCATGAATCAAGCTGCATTTCACGGCCATTTAGAAATCATCATCTGGTTGAATCAAAATAGAAGTGAAGGGTGTGATACTGAGGCAATGGATAACGCAGCATACATGGGGCATCTGGATGTTGTAAAATGGTTGAACGAGAATCGTACAGAAGGTTGTTCAAAGGCTGCAATTGATGATGCTGCATATGAAGGACACCTCGATGTAATTGAATACCTGACAAAAAATCAAACTAATGCAGTTTGTACTCATCAAGCAATAGATGACGCTGCACATCAAGGTCATCTCGATGTCATCAAATACCTACTGACAAACCGTACCGAAGGTTTTACAGACGAGGCACTAGAGAATGCCGAATTAAACGGTCACACCGAGGTAATAAAGTTTTTAAAAGATTACAGTGGAACTTGAATTATTTTTGGTTCCAATGTGTTTTTTTCACAATAGTCTAAAGAAAAATATTATATTTTTAGTATAATACATTAAACAAAATACTATAGTCAGTTTCTATCATCGCTTTTGTATTAAAACGAAATAGAAATCACCAAATATTCCAATTTTTTTTTTTTCTACTTATATTTTTTTTTTTTAAGTTGTTTGATCTTCTTTTACTGAAATTAGTTTAAATTGATAGATTTGATTTATTATTATTTATCGTTTGTATTATAGTAGTAGTATTAGAATAGAAAGTATTCTTGTATATTAAATGATGATGGATCAATTATCAACAACATCAAATGCATATAATGCTATGATATCGGCTGAGAATTCCGTCAAAGGAACTAGCAACACAGTGGTCATATACAAACCATTGGGTGTAGATATCCTACCACAAGGTTCCATTATCACCGAAGAGGAACAAGCAATTAGAAACAGAGAGAAATCGATGACATTAATGTATTCCATTAAAGAATCTTCAATCATCGATCAACTCTTTAAATTGATTGCACTCAATCAAATTGAGTATGTATTAGTTAACTAATCAAATCGACAATAACATATAAATATGTTCTAACAAAACTATTTTAATAAATAGTGTATTTAAACAATTATATAACTATATTGAACAAGATGAATATCTATTGTTATCAAAGGTTTTGATGACCATTTCGATTGGATGTAATAGTTCACTGCGTTTGGTACGTTACTTTATTCACTGTGACTATAAGCAAGCGGTAGCAGGCAATCAGAGTCCGACTATGAGTAGTGTTGGTGGCGGTCGTCGTATCTATTCATTGTCATCGCAGTTGATAACACTGTTTCTCGAGAAGATGGGTCAGCAGTACATGAAAGATGTGCTGCGTCCACTCGTTATCCAGATCATTCAGGACAAGGGTTTGTCGTTGCAGTCAGGCATCGATGCGCTCTCGTCGCAACAGTTGCTTAACTATTGCCGTGAGATTGCAACGCAATTCACCTCGACCGACTCGATCGATAAGCTACCGGTGCCAATCAAGGTGGTCGCTATGTTCTACCACGAGATGTGGCCACACGAAGAGGATCAAGGCATCTCTAACTTCCTGATTAATCGATTCTTGGTACAAGCATTGCAGTCGCCGGAATCGTACAGTCTCGTGCCACCACAGCTGCACATCTCTGCACGATCCTCTAGCAATTTGACAATCATTGCCAAGATGATCTCTCACACACTCACCGGTACACCATTCAAATACGGAGAGGAAAAAGACATTGAACAAACTAAACAAACCATCAAGCAGATCTTCCGTGAATCCAATTACTTTAAATCTGTATTAGGTTCAAGATTCTCAACTCAAAGCTATCGTAAGTTTTAAATAACTATCGACAGAAACATAAACAACCGATACTTATTAATAATCATTTTATCTTAGAATTCTCTAATGAAGCAACAATGTCACAACTTCATCTTATTCATAGATTACTATGGCAAAATAAACAAGAGATACAATCTATGTTTAAGAATGTAGAATTTGGTACAGAATTTGATAGTTTAATTAATAAACTTGGTGATTATAATAGTAGAATATCATTACAATCAATTGCACCAAATGAATTAAGTAAGTAGACATTATCATATGATCGTCAAAAAACAGATACTTATATTATTATTTTTAGAATCAATAAAGAATTATATGAATCAAAAGAATGAAGATATATCATATATTGGATATATTCAAAAGAATGGAAAGAGAGGACCTGTAAAGAGAGTGTTGGTTGTCGGTACCAATAAAGTGATCACATTTAAACATACGAATGGAAAGCTTGGTAGAGACGGTCATCTGTTGGATTTGGTTGAGATCAACAGTCCCAGTGGTCAGCAGTTGGATCTTATCTTTAAGCGTCATCAGATATCTTCGACCTCGGAGGATTGCGATCATATAATCACTTGTATTCGTCGTATCTATGAGTATAGCTTCAACAATTGGCCATTCTCAATGAAGATGAAACTAAAGATAACACCACAGTCGCGGTTGGAAGCGATTGCACCAGCCGATCATACACCTTCCTCGATTATGGTCGCTGCCTACAAGTCGTTGTGCGCCTACTATCAATCACCGGTAAAGCCAAACGTTTGTTGGTTCATCGAGAATGCATTCGGTCGTGATCCAAAGAACAAGGTATTCAACTTTAAATTGTTCACCAAACATACACGTGAGCAACTGAGCAACCAGGATCTCATCCCACTCATCCACGCACTTCGTTACGACTGGTACTTTGAAGAGTTGGCCATTAAAAACTATCCAATCACACTCAAAGAGTTGATAACAGAGATAACCACAATGTTATCTTCCAATACAACTATTAATTCAATTAGTTTATCTAATCTATCATTACCAAAAGAATCGTAAGTAAAAATGTATATTATTAAGTTATTTTATCAATATATACTAATTAATATATATCTCTGAATAACAAAGGATAATGCAAATATTTGATGTAATTCAAAATCAAAAGACATTGAATTTAACGAAATTGGATATCTCAAAGAATATGTTTGATGAGAAGAGTGTCAATTCATTCGTTGCCTATTTACAATATGGTCAGACCGGTGCAATTAAAGAGTTGAATATCTCTTCGATCGGTGTTACTGCCAATGCCATCAAATTGATATTCGATGCCTTGAGAAGAGGTAACTTCCAATCTTTGGAGAGTCTCGATTTCTCTGGTAACAAGAACCTTAAAGATAACTGCTTTGATATTGCTAAATGGTTATCCAACGAAGGTGCACACGTTAAAAGTTTAAATCTATCTGATACAGAACTTAAACCAAAGAATCTAATCGTTGATTTCGGTAAATCTAAATTAGAAACGTAAGTTTAATAGATTATAACAATATATATCACATTAGTTAAATTAACAAACTATTATCTATTTATTATCAATTTAAACAGATTAAATCTATCAAAGAATGTATTAAAGACAAGAGATGATGTTGTTGCTCTAAGTCAATTGTTTAATAATTTGACAAACTTGCAATCAATCATACTCATTAGAACACTTATTCCATCGGATTCTATCAAAGAGATGATTCGCTTCATTGACAAGAGAAAGTTGACACAATTCAATATCGGTGAGAATCAATTGACTCGTACCGTTATCACCGATCTAATTAGCTCGTCTGCTATACATTCAATCCGTGTGCTTGATCTTACCGAAAACAAGAAGATCTCGGATGGTGGTATCAAAGAACTCGGTCGTGCACTCTATGGAAACCAGAGTATTGTCAAGTTGGTTCTAGACGGCAGCTTCAGTGGAAGTGCCGGTGCTCAACGTTCAAAGGCAGTGTTGGCCCTGTCAAACTTCTTGCAGTCGAGTCACACCATCGAGGTGTTGAAGATGCGTGGTGGTCCCGACAGAGATCAACAACTACAAGGTTGTATCATTCCTTTACTACTTTCACTTGGTTCCGTACAATCACTAAAGAAACTCGATATTTCACATCACATGATCGATAACTCTGGTGCAATTGCACTGTCAAAGGCAATCTATCAGAATCGATCGATTCGTACCCTACTTATTGATAACAATAATATTGGTGCGCTTGGATACGCCAACATCAAGAACTCACTCAAACAAAACTACATTATCAAAGAGATGCCAATCCCAATCAGTGATCTCTCCATCATCTACAAGTTTGATGGAACATCCAATCTAGAAAAGAATAAGATCAGATCTTTATTGTTCAAGATTGAATCATATTTATTAAGAAATCAACAATATTAAAAAAAATAATAATAAAATAATAAAAAAAGAAAATTGTAATTTAAATAGAAAACAAAAATTTATATATAAATATTTATTTACTCTAGTGAAAGATTGAGAATATTTGATGGTTGTCCAGCAATAAAGACTTGAGCTGTATTTGGTAACTGATTTGAATAGGCACATTCGATATAACTGCTAGTCTTGAAGGTCGTGCATATCTGTATTTGGTTATCATAAACAAGTTTGACATAGGTTGTAGCTGCGTCGAATGTTACACCAAGGTCAACTGGAACAAAGTTTGTACCATAGAATAACAAGTTATTTTCATCACCAATCCTATACTCGGAGATGGTTGGTGGAAGATAGGAAATGGTATCGTTTAATCCAAGATCAATCGATTGATCTGACACTGTTGCTGTAACACTCAGGTTTGCTCCGATACCAGGAGGAATGTAGCACTCTACAAAGTAATCGAATGCATTACAATCAATGTCGCTTGCTCCCACTGTGAACTCAACTTCATCCGTTGAGATACCCCATCCATATCCAAAGATTTGAATCAATCCTCCCGAGGTTTGAACAAATGTATTGTTGAAAAGTGAAACGACTGGTGGAAGGTATGTGAACTGAGAGTTGACAGATTGATCTCCGGCTTGGATGACGAGTGGTTGGGTGAGTGTATCGAATTCCAGAGTAAAGGTAATCTCATCATTGGTGAAGTTGTTGATTTCAACGAGATCATCACCGATGTAGATGAGTGGTGGCAAGTCAGAGTCTTCAGGATTACCGAAACCATTACCCAGTACAATGATAACATCATTGGGATCACCAGAGCTCGGAGCGAAAGCGTTGATTTGAGGTCCGCTGAAACTGAATGATTGGGTCTCGAGAGTAGCGATTGTGTATCTTGAAGATTGATCAGCAACAGATAAAGTCACAGTACGATGGTCACCAATGGCAGATGGTGTAACACAAACGATTGAATCCGATGAAATACCAATGATTGGAGAACATTCGAGTCTCTCATCAATCATGATCTTGACTTTGCTGACATCATCACCAAAGTTGGAACCGAAAATAGTCATGATATCAGTACCGTAGCTCTCAATAATATTTGGAGAGATATCGATGATCGCTGGTGCATTGTATGAATAGAAGAATTTGGTTCTCTGAAGGTTGAATAAAGTTTGGTCGGTAAAGAGTTGAATCAAATGTTGAGTACCTGAACCCTTTGGAACTGTACACACTATTTGGTTGGAAGAGACAAGTGTAGTGGATTGACATTCATAGTCACCAACTGCAACGGTCATCGATGAATTGAATCTGATACCATTGAGAGTAATTATATTACCACCCACGGTTGGTCCGGTGGAGTTACTGATCGATGTCACAACTGGTCCGATTCCTGTGCAAATAGAATCGAATCTTTTGGCTGTAAAATCACTCGACTTGACCATCTGAATATCACAGAGTTGTGAATTGACTGTTGCAATCAACATACCATCGACATCACTTGTGATGACACCATTGTAATTGGCTGGCTTTGGAAGATAATAAAATTCTAAATCTCCAATTGAAACTCTGCTTGCTGCTTCACTTATCATGATACTTTCGAGAACGAATGTAATTGAGACTATGGAAAGAGGTGTTAACAATGTGTATCTACTACCGGTGGTACCAATCGTTTGGTATCCAAGATCTATTTGATAGCCATTCTGGTCACGATTGATTTCATCGATAAACTTAATCGGTTGATTGCTGTGCTGATTGGTTGGATCCAATACCAATGTCTGAATTGCTTGGCTTTGACTACGTATGGTTATCCACTTGTCGATGGATGTCTCCAACTTTTCCTGTTCATATGGAGTGAGTGAAGTGACACTGCTCTCATTCATTGTATTCATGTAGGAAAGCAGGAGTTGGTGAATACCCGAGTCCAATGATCTTTCGTTCTGAAGAAGTGGTGCTTGTGAATCGATTGGATCTTCGATCAACTCTTGTAATCTTCTCGATTGGAAGTTCATCGGTAAATTCATAAGGACGATACCATTATTAGCAACGACAGCTACCTTTGGTGCAGGTGGTTTAATAATGTAGTTATTGATGAGAATGGTCTTAAAGTTGATCTCAGTCTTGTATTGTTTCTTAACCAATTTGGCGAAACCATCCATTGATTGAACACCACTAATTTGGAAGGTCTTAATCATCAGCTTCATCAAGTAATCCACTGGAATAACATCGGCATTATCAACTCTATTAACTCTGGCACCATTACCATCAGCATAGGATGGACCCATCCAATCCCAAGCAGCAGCAGCTGATCTTCTTACAATCTTTTCCAAAGTTAAACCTGGTGGATCCATTGCCTTATCACTTTTCATTAAAATATTAGTAATTAGTATTATTTTTTCAAGAAAAAAACTTGTTAATAACATACTCTGTATAAGTTTCAATATTAGGGAAATTATCAAAAATATTATCAAAACATGGATCAAAGTTTGCATTCTTTCCAACAACTAAACTCTATAAATTATAAATAAAATAAAATTAATAATAATATAAACAATTAAATTATATGTTTAACTTACATTATAAAGTTTCTTTGAAATAGCTAAAATTACACCATTTGCCCAATTTGGACTGATGGCATTGATGTTGTATAATAGAGTTGCTTCATTCTGTGCACCAGCTTGGTAGTAGATGTATTGAAGTGTCATAAAGTAAGCAATTTCTTCTTGACACATATCTTCTGTAAGTCTGATAATAAACGGTGGTTGGAAACGAGTTGTTAAAATGGTACCTGTGGTATCGATCATAAATTCGTAGTTCTTTCTCTTGGGATTTGGAAGTTTGGTCATGAATTCCGATACGAATTTGAGTAGAATGAAATCCTTGTTGGTATTCAAATTGTAGGTTCTCACTGGTTGCAATCCGGCATAGGTGTATCCATAGGCGGCAGGATAGTCAGGTGCTGCATAACCAAATGGAAGTGTTCTATCGATTTCTGTGACACGTGTATCCGCTTGCAAACATGCAACTTTCAGTGCGTCGTAATCACATACCGATCCAATGGCTTGGTCGAACGCCTGGTAGTGGAGAGTCATGATATCCGTTGCAACGAAATTCATAATATCGGGTTGGGTTACCGGGAATGTCGCTGGAGGGGTGACCGATGTCATCTCGCCACCTGCTGGTGCTACATTGGTACGGGTGGTTCTGAGTGCTTGGAACTCGGCGAGCACATCGTGTGCCGCTAGGATGGTGGCTGGGAGAACTTGGTAGACTTCCTTTGGCAACTTTGAGTAATGAACATTGGCAATATAGTCTTTGATTTCGATGTTGACTGGGTTTGTCCAGGTGGCTGGTCTGTCAAGCTTGATCGGTTGGTTAATTGCAAAAGAAAACTCAATGGCATCTCTATCAGAAGGATTAGTCAGTTGACCGGCTGCATTCAAAGTGTTATAGTGTCTAACCATTCTGTGGAATTGATAAACCAAAGTTGGATGCTGAATACAAACAACTCCACCACCACGACCACCTTTTAACGTTATAAACAAAGAAATAAATGGTTAATTTAATAAATCATGACTAAGAATTGATTTAAAATAGTAATTACCTTGACCATTATGTCTATTGCTATCACCAACACAGAAATAATTTTCATTGGCATTATTTGCGTTTGCACCATAAGCTGGGTACATTGGCAGACCAAATTTAGCATGTTCATCTTTTCTTCCGGTGTATTGGAAATCATCGTAGTCGAATCCACCTGCTCCATTTGGTGTTCGAGTGGCAAGTAGTTGAGGAAGTTCAAGGAATGCAACATTCAAGACTTGTTCGGTTGGTTCCATCTGTTTGGCAGCGATGGCATAGAACATTTCAATGAACATCTTTCTCTGGAAGTGATCGGCTACGACCATCCACAAATCGATACCATCGTAAACCCTTGTTTCCTGTTTCTTTAGGATGTATTTGCTGAGTGTTGGTGGACGTGGCAAAGCAGCATTTCCAAATGGATAGGTTCTATCGGTGAAATCGGTTCCTATCTTCATAAAGTAGTAGGCATTGAGATTACCGTTGGCCACTGCAATCTGTCCGGTTCGCCACCAACATACATTCTCTAGGGCAACGGTACCGGCGATGACAGCGACACAATCTTCCATCAATTCACTTGGCTCCTTCTTGGCTGGTGTTCCAAGCGACGGTACACGATCGCTGTAACTGAGATGTTGAGAGAGATAATCATAGAAATAGGGGTATTGATTCTTTTGAATTTGTGTCCAGGTATTCATGTTTGCAAACACACGGTACTTCTCAAGTGGATTACCGTCATTGAATGAAATATAACGGAAAACATGCTCCAGTTGATTGAAAGAATAACAAAAGAAGTATTGATTGAAATCGTTGGCACCAAGGAATTTAATACCTTTGTCCGGTCCATTCAGTGCTGTACCAGAAGCGGCTTGGTACGAAGGGAAAGCGGGATTGGAGTGCTCAATATGAATTCCACTGACATGTCCAGTCACAGGTGCAGGATCATCCCAAAAGATCATACCTTTCAGATGACCATGTGCACCATGTGATGTTTTTCTCTTTGATTTCGATCTTTTACCGGCTGGAGTTCTAGAGTCTGGTTGATCGTTGAAAAACATATAGTAGTAATCTGGGTGTTGTAAGAAAGTTGCTTCTATTGGACTGGTATATGTGTTGGCTGTTGGATGATCTTGGAGATTTATTCTTCTTTCGAGACGATCCATAGTGGAATCTATGTAGAGATATGGGTTGCTTGCTCCCGAACTGAGTTTGTAGACAAACCACCAATCGACTGCTGCACTCGAACCGTCTGCTCCACCGGGTGCAAGACAAGAGAGTGTATTTGAAGTGTAGGTAATTTGATCCATTGAATCGACTGCTGCGGTGAGTGCGTTGGGTTGCACTTGAATCTCCACTGGATAGACTGCCGGTGCGAGTGCTGCAATATCACAAGTGATCTTAATGTTGTTGGTGACCACTACAACGTTGTTACACGCATTGGCACCCACAGTAACAGTTATCAAACCAGCTGTATTTCCAAAGCCTGTTCCCTCAAGAGTGATGGTGGCAGCATGCATTTTCGATCCATACTTTGGACTGACTTTGGTAATGGATGGACCGACATAATTGATGTTTGTACCAGTGTTGTATTCGTGTTCGACATCGTTGGTATCGACAACAACCAAAACAATTGGGAAAGCACCTGGAATATGAGCTGGAATGGTGCAAGTGATTCGAGCGACTTGAATGACACATGTTGTGATATCCATGATTTCAGTGTCCAGCTTGACAGTTGAGACGAGATCCAAGTTGGTTCCATCGATCACAAGATTACCTCCACCCTTAGGGATGTTTGTAGATTGTGCCTGTGCAGTTACTGTCGGTTCAAAGTAAGTGAATTTCACTGTTGATGTATATGCAATGGTTTTGATGGAGAATGATAGATCTTCGGCTTGAACGGCATCACCTGGTTGCACCATACACGTCATTCTGGTAGCGTCGACCTGTACCAATCGCTCACACAGTTTATCTTTAATCTTGACTACAAAGTATTTATCGATATCATCCTGAGTCATACCAAGTGGGAAATCCTTGATGGTCAAAGTGACAGCGGTCTCAGAGAATACATATCCGTTGGCCGGTGTGATAGCAGAGATCTCTGGTTTGGCAACGGCGATCTGAACAGTGTTGGAATCACCGCCATCAGAGTTTACAATAAGATTAGCATTTCCTACTGAGAGTGTGCTGGCATCGACGTCGACATAGAGAATCTTGTCGGTGGATGCACCGGTTGGTACAAACACCTGGTCGGCAATCTTCACCAAGTTGTTCGCAAAGAATCCAGTTCCCGTTATTGTCACAACCCAGTTGGCTTTGTCAATGATTTTAGCAGGTGAAATCGATACGATGTTCGGTGTGTAATAAGTGAATTGCTCGGTGGGTGGCGAACTATATTGGCCACCGCCAATCGTTGCCACAAGACTATGAGTGACACCAGTGATATCATTCAAATCGAAAGCACTAGTTCTACATGTAAAAGTATCGGCAGTGATAGTAGTAACATCGATAGTACATATCGATCCACCAATATTAGCTGCTGTCACATCCATCAAGTAGTGTCCTTGAACAACAACATTAGTTCCACCAGCTGCAAATCCTCTCTTTGGATTGATAGTTAGAATTTCAGGAGCTTTCAGAAAACTAATATTAGTAAAGAGATTCTATCAATAGAGAATCGATAATTAACTTTACTTACTGTAGAATATGAATTTTCTGTCACAATGAGCTTGTTGAACATCGATGGTTAATGTGATATCTTGTTGGTCTGCTTGGCTTGGTGCTAGCGCTACGTTGGGTGTCGTGCAACTGATTGCGCCTGTCAGTTTGTCTACTTGGGGATTGGTGCATGGTTGTCCACCGACAGTGATGGTGGAGACAGAAAAACCGAAGATATCGTAGAAGTTGTCACCGTTCAGCACGATGACGTGTGTTTGTCCTGCGATACCACGATCGGGAGTAACCGACCTAACGACGGGAACGACATAGTCAAAGTTGTTTGGACCAGTCACTTCCAATCCTGTGTAGGTTCGCACCTTAATTACATAACCACCGATGTCTGCCGGCGAAATATCGGGTATTACACATTGGATTTCGTTGTGTCCGACACTGTTGATGGTGAGCGCGTGAACAGCACCGTCGTAACGAATCATCTCTGCAGTGGGATGGGGATCGTCGTCGTTGATAATGAAGTACTCTCCTTGGAGACGAAGTGTTCTGCCGTTGGCATTGGGGTAGTACGACTGTGGCGAGAGGTCATTGATGATCGGCTCGACATATTCGAACGGACCACTAAAGTATGGAGCGGCATTGATATCGAAATGAAGATTAAATATCACTGAGGTTGAACCTAGCTTACGTTTCTTTGAAGTGGAATCTAAAGGTGCTCTCGGTACAGTCCAACTGTAGGTATCTCCAAAGTTTCCATTGTAAGCAAAAACAACAGGTGGATTCGTTCCAACTGTAATCGAAAGTATTGGAATATTTGGTAAAATTTCTACCAACTACTCTGAATCTATAATAATTTATTATAATTGAAAAATAAATATCAATATCATGTGAGTGATGATCACAATCAACTTTAAAAAATAAAATGAAAATGAAATTGAAAACGTAAAAAACAAAAAGATAAATACATAAAGTTACCACCATCATATGCTTTAAGTTGTGAATGAGAATCTATTTGTATTGCATGAACTACACTGACTAAACTGATTACAAATGATATTGTAATCAATAGTAGTTGCAGTTTTTGTTTATTTATCATTATTTTATCCCTATCTCTATATTAATATTTTTTAATCAATTATTATAAAACGATTAATATAAAGATAATTATATATATATACAATTAATAAAAATTAATTAGATAGAATAAAGTTTTGTGTTTTGTTTTTGTTTTATTTTGATAAGTTGATTCAAAGTTTGACTAAAAAAGCAATCAATATTATTTAAGAGATATAAAAACTGACTTAAAATAATATATTGAGTATTAGATTGAAAAACACACTTTGTGTATGGTTCGTTCAATCAATAATCGCTGATCATTGCAAAACTTAAGTTTGGGTGATTGATTTGATCGTGTGGTTGATTCTGCCCTCTATCATTTCATGTTTCTTATTTTGTTTTTTGATTGTTTTTTTTGCCCCAATTCATTCAGAGTCTTAATCAATTTGGTTGTGGAGGGGGTAGGGTTTTCAACCACAAAAAATCAAACGACTTTTTTGTTGCGATCAAAAATGTATCGACATTTTTTTGCTTTTGTTTTTGATTGAATAAATAAATTAATTAATGGTGGTGATGTTTATTCTTTTATTATAAAACAAGTCGTTTAAATCAATCAATTTTTATTAAAAAGAATAAATCAAACTATTTTCTATCATCGTACATAAATAAATGTTAACAATTAGATATGTTTTTTTAATAAAAAAAAAATTGATGAATGAACCTATAAGGTAGGTATTGAATGTTTATTATTTACAAATATTAAAAAATTGTTATATGATTTTTTTTTAAACTAACTTTTTTTTTATATCTATCACATATATAGTTGATAGTCGAGATTTTACTTATTATTATTATATAAAAAAATATGGGAGGAGGAGAATAGAAGGAGTTTACTATTATATAATTCTAGTACTAGTATAGAGAATCGGGATTATACACACCATCGAAAGTATCTTCACAAATAAGATTGGTAGAGGAAGAAATCGATGTTGATTTGGTAGAATATTCTAAGAGGTTGTTCCATAGACCTGTTGACATAAGTTGGTGTCCTGCTTGGTTCGGATGGAAACAATCGACTGGTGAAAGTGCCGAAGATGGAAAGGTAGTACTCGTCAAAAATGGCTGATATATGAAGCCAATGGTTGTTGTTTGTTGGTTGACCGATTGTTTCCAATAGGAGATGGCATCTTTCATACCTTGATTGGCTGCATTAACTATGGCTGTTAAGGTAGCCGTTGTCTGTGTCCACAAACACGGACAAATATTATTATCTTGATTGTAAGCTTTACACATTGTACCAGCAGATTTAACTAATAATAATTATTAATTAATATTAATAAATATAGATCTATATATATTTAATATACAATACTTACATTGATTTAAATCGGGTAGTCCAATTAAATTAACAATTGTCTTTGATGGAAAATTATTTGTAAGATTTCCAATAATATTCCAATAATATGACTTCCAATAGATTGGGTTTGTTTGATAAGCAGAGTCAATCTTTGAACAAATCGAACACGCTTTGAATAGTCCAAAATAAGCGTTAACCATCTTCCACTTGTTATTATAACCACTTGTTCCATAAACTATATTTGTTTGATTCTTTACATATCTTTTGATGATTTCGAATTAATATATTGCTTTTTGCCAAAAAAGTAGTAGAGAGAAGAGAGTTTGTTTCATTGATGTAGATATTTACTGTATTTGATTTCTTATATCTTCTTCGTTATCGATTGAAGCTGCATTGAAACCATCGTAGGTTGGGAAGTAACTTCCCGACGCCCTAAGACCATTTAAATAGTTAGAGGATCCACCTGAGTAAGCACCTCCAGTAGTAGTTTTCAAAAGGTTATGTAAGGTTCGAGAACCAGGATTTGATCCAGTAACAAATGAATGTCCTTTATAATCATTCATTGATTGATTATTTAAATCAGCTGCATATCTTCCTGATGATACAGTATCACCTATTGAAATTAAAATTTCTAAATCCTAATTTATTACAGAATAAAATTAATATTAAGAACAAAAAACAAAAAAAAGATTAATGAAAGTTATTAAAAAAATTTAATACTAACAATTAAATATATATCTTTTGCATAAATAGGGGTTGGGTTTGGATTATCTGATATCATACAATTCGGAATATCTGATAAAGAAAAATCAAAACCAATAAAGATAAATACTAATACTATATAAAAATTATTGATTTTAAACATTTTTAAAAAATTATTTTATAATATATAAAAAAAAAAAAATATTCTTATTAAAAAAAAATTGTATAGATAATACTAAATATAAAATATTATTATTATTTGAATAAATACATTTAGGTTACTTAACTAGTTTTATATTTATAGTATATTGATGGTTCATTATAATTCCTCTAATTGTCTAATTTTTCTACTTGCTGATGAGGCATATACCGTAATGGGCGTGCCTCATAAAAAAAAAACACCTTTATGAAACTCTGCAAATATATATTGATATTGCCTTATTAAATATGATTTCTGATAAATCAAAAAAAAAAAAAAGGCTATGACAAAAAGTAATTTCAAGATCAGATGATGTTTTTCGCAAGCCAGCTCTCAAAATTTTTTTGTCCCCCCAGGCCAAAAAATTTGAGGGAGATGCCCGTTTTGCAAAGCCTACAGAATTTATATGATTTTTACATTTTATATTTTAGGAATCTTTAATAGCAAAGCTAATTTAAATGAGGGTCAAGTCATTGCTAATGTTGATTCAAACCCCTATATTCAATCTCCAAACAAATCAAGATTCTTCAATTGACCACATATAATAAATCATGACTATTCAAAAGTACCTGATATATACGTCAGCTTTTTTTTCACTTCACAATGAGGAATTACAACCTTGTACTATTCTATGAATCATTGTTGACCACTCTGGTAACACCAGTTGATTTCATCCCTCATCGGTTTTATGAAGAAATAAAGAATCACTAATTATTACCAAATCAAAAACTAAAACAAACCTTTATTTTTTGTGAATTTTACTCGACTCTCTGTGTGTGTGCAGTACTTTTAATTAATTGATTAAACGCAATCATTAAGTATTTTAAATTATATTTAGCTATTTATTTGTTTAGCTATTTATCATTTATTTATTTAAACACATTTATTTACTATTTCTTCCCCATTTCATTGATGGACGAAGCACGATCTTTCCAAGATGACTTTTTAAGTTTGATAGGTCTGTTTCCAACGTATTTACCATTCATTTCACGGAGTGCTCGAACATAGTCTTTCGAGTCAGAGAATGAAACGAAACCGAATCCCTTTGATTTTAGGGTACGCTTGTCTCGTAGTACTTTTGCTTTGAGGAACGATGGATATCGTTGGAAGGCTTGCTTCAGTAGTTCATCGGTGACATCGTTACCGAGATCACCTACAAACAAACGAAAATCATTGGAATCCCACTCGGATAGCGTTGGATCCTCCCAAGAGTTACCAGCAGCGGTCATTGTATATTTCAGTTTCTTTGGTTCCTCCATAGTGACCATCGGTTTCTCTTTGGTGATATGTGAATTGTATGATGGTACTTTGACTTCATTCGATTCCTGTAGCTTTGAAATGGTACTGGCTGAATAGGTAACTGCTTTCGATGATATAACAGCTGCTGAATTTATAACAGATGATGATGATGATGTTGTTGTTGATGTTGATGATGATGTTGATGTTGTCGGTTTCTTTGTTGTGCTAGATGCTGCAGCTGTCTTCTTTCTCATTAAACTTGGTGGTATCATTTTAGCATTTGTAGGTGTAGTAGTAGTTGTTGTTGTTGTAGCAGTCGTTGTAGTTGATGTATTATTATTCGTTGTATTATTAGTTGTTGTCGAAGATGCATCGTTTTCATCATCTATCTTTCTCTTTGTACCCTGCTGGTCATTTGATTTTCCATTATTGCTAGTTGTTGTTGCTGCTGCTGCTAACGCTGTTGTTTCAGCTGTTGTTGATTGTTTTTCATCACTAGTAGCTCCATACAATGATGAATAGAAATCATCTAAATCTGAAGAAGACATGGTTTAGTTTAGTTCTAAATAATTTTAAATTAATTATCTAAGATACTAACAAGTACACTTTGTTAAACAAAATAATAACAAATAAAAAAGAAATAAAAGAATCTATAATATATATAAAATAAACAAATATTTAGATAAATAATTAAAACTTTGACTTGCAAAGAATCTCAGAACAAAGAACAAAAAAAAAAAAAACAAATTTCTTTGTGAATATTTTTTTTTTTTTTTTTTTTTTTTTTTTTTTTTTAATTGGTGGAATTTCTTTTTATAACATATATTGTACAAAAGATATAATCAATAAAAAACATCTTTATTTAAGTAGATAGAATATTTCTTTTCAATTTATCAAAATTCAAATTCAAAAACCGAGTTTGGAGTGTTTTCATTCCCATCACATACTGCTATAGAAAATAAATATGTGGATAATTTTGATCAAAATATAAAGTAAATCTATTTATCTACTCCACAAATGGAGAACAGAATTAAATTTAATCAAAAGGTTTAACTAAGAATTCGTAGAGAGTTTCGTTCACTTGAACCATCCAAAGATCAAAAAACATAAAATATTTATTTTCAAAAAGGATAGTGTATAGTATGAAAGAATATGAAACAAATAAATACTTCCAGATCATTAAAGTGAAAAGGTGGTAAATTTAATTCTTTGAATTAAATAACGCAAAATCCTTGCTTAAAACGTCGCTATGATTATTTTTTTGGTTTAACGTTCGAATGACCAACACCAGGCCAAAAATCAATTTTTTTGTTTTTTTATGATTTTATTTTTTTTTTCAACCATTTTTTCAAAAAATTGTTTATTAGATATATAACTAATAAACAATTAATTAATTATATATCTTTTATTTTCTATATTATATTATCTTTTCTTTTTATTTTATTATTATTATTATTGTATCAATAGACTTATTACTTTTTTAAACTTTTATTATTACTTATTATCAACAACCAAATAGATACCTCTATAAACATTACAATAGAATCTAGTACTCCCACACACCAACTACACACATTTCACAAATCTACATCTCCAACACCCAAAAATCGATTATTTTACTTTTTAATTAATTTTTTGTTTTTGATTATTATTTGATTGATAGCAAACGCATTTCTCTTTCAATCATTTTTCAAGAATATTATTTGTAATAATAGTAGTAATAATAGTAATCAATAAAGTTGTATCAATATCAAATAATTAATAATTTTAAAAATAAATAAATAAAATAATAAAACTCTTTAATCATTTTTTTTTAAAATATAAATTTATATATAAATAATAATAAAATAATAATATTATTATTATGGCCGATACATTAGCAGAGTTTGAACAAGAATTTAGAAGTCTTGCCGATGAAATAGATAGAGGAACCAAAGAGATTCAGAGAGCGGTCGGAAAGAAACAACAGTTTGACGTTAGAGCAAAAGCAGAGCTATTAGATGGAAGATTGAAAAGAGCAAAAGATGGTATGTTGTTTTCAAGCAATTAAACAAGTAAATCTGATGATAACTTACTTTTAAATTTTAAACTTTTAGTATTAAAAAGTTATAGAAGAGAATATAGAGAGTTGGAAAAGAAAGATCAAGCGGAATATGCTACAAAGGCAACACAGTTTGAAGAGATTATAAAGACGATCGAGAATGATTTGCGATGGGCAGAGAAACAGAATGAAGGTGGTAGCACACCTTCCGGTGGTGCCGAGACATCGACTCCACAGGACGACTACAATCAAACAATGATACAAGCAAAGAATATACAAAAGAAAGATATAGAAGCCGTGACCAGAATGCAACAAGAAGCTATACAAATAACACAGGTACGTAGTGTTAGTTTAACATAAACAAATGTGAAATGAAAACAATGAAAACAATGAAAAGCTATGGATATTTATTAATAATGAATATAATTATAGGTTGGTACAGCTACATTAGAGGAGATGGCAATTCAAACTGAACAGATGAAGCGTATTGATAAACATTTGGACGAAGTCGATAGTAATTTGAAGTTGGCGACCAGACAGATGAGAGCGTTCGCCAGAAAGATGGCTACAGATAAATTGATTATGGGATTGGTACTGCTGATTGTGTTGGCTATTATTTTTGTTATTGTATGGAGTATTGTTAAACCGAGTAAATCGACAGACTCTGTGAGAGACAGAGTTACAACCGGTGGTGGAACCACAGGCACATCAACAACCAGTTAAATATTTAATTTTAATCTTATTTATATATATATAAATTACCCCAAATAATAAACAAGTAATAATAATAGTAATAGTAATACTAACTAACAAAACAAAACAAAAGCAATACAATACACACAACATTTATTCTATTTTTTTTTCATGATTTGTATAAAATCAAATTAATTCAATCTCTGCAAGAAATTACAACTCCAACTCCAATCAAACTTATCTTATCTTGTCTCATTTTAAACCAAAGCGTCAAAAGGTCGAACTGCTTTAATACAAACAAAACGAACATTAACAACAACAACAACTTCAACAAACAACCCTGCATACTTAAAAATATATTTATTTTTGAAACCAATTAAAATAATAAAGAGATAAATGATAAACTATTGATATCTATTAAATATTATGATTTATTAACTTTAAAGATTAAATGAAAACCAAAAAAAAAATATCAAAAATATATATAAATATCTCTTAAGTTTTTTATTTTTATTTTTTTCCTATTAAATCTGTTCATTTTATTTTTATTTGTTGATTAGGTTTTCAGTTGTCCAATATCTGTTTTGAAGAGTTGAGAATATTCATCTTTCTCTTTCAATAACAACACACATAAACACTAGACAGTTTGTTTTGCACCAGTCCACAAAGAAAGAACTATCGTATTCGTGTTATTCGGTACCATTTAAAATATTATTAGTTGAACTGCTGCACTATCTGTTGTTGTTATTCTTGTTGATTAAAGTTATTGTTAACATTAGTTGCTGTGGTTGTAGGTGTTTTTGTGGTCGTGGCAATAGATTATAAAGTTGTTGTTTATGATCTCGAAGATAAAAATGAAAAAATTGCCCAGTCATGAAAATTTGTGTGGAACAACCATAGCTATGTTAAAAAAGATAAAATTTCACCTATATTTTATCATTTGTTATTTGTATTCATTGTAAATATCGGCACAGTATTTGGAAGAGAAATACTCAAATTTTACACATTATTTTTTTATTTATTCAAAATAACCGTTTCGAGATTTAAAAACTAAAGTAAAAACAAACACCTACGGTTTTGGTGATTATTTGAGGTTAGTTTTGAAACTCTCCATAGTAAATAACAAAAGAATTAATGATGTTATAATCCAACATTGTTTTAAGTTTATTTGGAAGTTGAAAATTAAATATTTTAGGGAGTGGTGAATCTTCACCAATTTACTGTTTGGATAATGTGACTAACCTAATTGGTAACATCAAACAAATTTAACATGAGATAAAAATTTATTTGATACAATTTAAATTTTGCAGAGACCAAAACATATTTAAAGAGATCATTTAAACCTTTTTACCTCACTTCAAAAAAATAAATAATCAACATGATGAAATTTCAAACAAGTATTCTTATCCTCTTTGTCTTAATTTCTACTTTTCATACCATTAGAGTTGTAGAAGCTGATTGCAATAATGCCTTTGATTGTACCATAGTATGCGACATAATTAAGGGCAAATGTGTCTTTCCTCTTGATGGTTCCCCCGTAACCCCTGACACCCCTTGCTCACTATTGGATAACCCTTGCTTATCATTATTAGGAAATTGTGATCTAACCTCTGGGGAATGTTTCGCAGAAGACTAAAGACCAGTGCTACCTTAGGAAAAAATTGATATAAATACCAAAATTTTCACCAAACACAAATACAATTCAATAAAAATATTTTGGACTCCAAAATCAACATCAAAAATAAAAATTGTTCAATTTAATTTTAACACAAGGGTAGTTTTTCAGTTCTGAGCAAAGTGCACAAATTTTTATGTGAGAGAATTTTAAATTATTGAGGTTTTTTTCATTTGCTTGAGATAATCAAAAATTGATTATTTCGTGAATGAATGTACGAATCAGAGAGTATTAGTGTACAGGTTTTTAAAGCGAATGGATGGTTATTAATATAGATAGGACTTATTGAGGGCAACTTTTGGAGCATCGGATTCATGGGAGGTAGCAATAAACTGTGGAGATAAGGCCTTACTTAGGTTGTCAACAAATATATTGAACTTTGGTTTAGTAATCTCGGCTTTTGTCATATGTATGGTATATATATTGATGTATTCGGCAAGGAGAATACCAATAGCCACCAGCTGTTGTGAATTCCATACATTTATATTTAACAAAAATTAAATTAAATATTTTTAATTGTTCTTATCAAATTGAATTATTACCTATTAAGTTGAGAAAGAAAGAAGTTCGATATTAAATTTAATTTTTAAAAAATAAAATAAATTTTTAGAGTGTGATGTTCATGAACATCAAAAAACACCAATTTTTTAAATCATTTTTAATAATACATATTTGTAAATAGTTAGTTTTATTAATCAGATTTAAACCTTTTTTTTTTTTTTATATTTATATATATTTGCTTTTATAATTGCTTTACAATACAATAAAGATAAAGATGACAAAACCACTTGAATTTTTAGATCACTTAAAAGTTAGTTTCCCAACTTTGATCGACCAAATACAAAAACTTAGAGAATATTATGATAATAAGTAAGTAATAAAAAAGTAGATCAACAAATTATATATATATAACTTATTAATAAAATATAAAACAATATTATATTAAAATTAGATTATGGCATCAGTTAACCACACAAATTGAAGAATTCATTGAGAATCCACAATTGTTGCAAAAGAAAGAGTTGATCAATCTCTACGAATTGTTTATTAAGGATTTCGAAACAAAGCTTAAACCATTGAGTTTGGTATCGATTTGCATTGTCATTAGTTCTCAATTAGGTATTTATTTTTGCACTCTATTAATATCAGTCATCATCAATGTTAATCGATTTTAATATATTTATATATTCAAATTTAAAATAGATAATGAAGGATCAATGAAATTCATTCAACAGATTTCAGAAAAGGTAAAGAAGGATAAGTCAGGTTACATTCTATCGTTGTCATTCATTGCATCCAGACATCTCGATGCACACCAAATCACAGAGGCCAAGCAAACCATTGAGACCGCCAGAGAGGAACTCAAGGGTATCACCGGTCTCGAACCAATCGTATATGCTACATTCTATCAAGTTTGTACTAATTATTGCAAGGTATGTTTGTTGAGTTTTCATTTATTCATTTTAAGTGAGAAATAATAATAATATTAATATTTATTAATACTTTATAATATAAATTTAAACAGTTGAAGAAATCATATGGTGAATTTTATCAGAATGCATTACTCTATTTATCATACACCAGATTGGAAACACTCTCTGTTTCAGACCAACAAACACTCGCATTTGAATTGGGTATTGCTGCCATCATTGGTGAGAATGTATATAGTTTCGGTGATTTAGTATGTATTATTTATTGTTACTACTATTATATCATGCCTAATAGTTATACTAACAATATAATATATATAGATTGTACATCCAATTCTTAGATCTTTGGAGAATACAGAGGCTGCTTGGCTCATTCATCTATTGAAGGCATTCAATATCGGTGATATTGCACAATACGAACAATTATTAGCAAAATATCGTGATTCTATTTCTAAAGTTGTAAGTAGATAATAGATATATTTAGATATAGATAATAGATATATATATAGATTGATTAGAGAATATAGATATTAATAGTTTTTTTTTTTTAAAATAGGCCGATTTGAATAATAATCAACAACAATCATTACAGAAAATAGCAATTCTATCATTGTTGGACCTTGCTTTTAGAACACCATCGGATAAGCGTATTCTTCCATTCCAAACTATTGCACAAACCACCAAGTTGCCACTCGGTGACATTGAATATCTCTTGATGAAGGCATTGTCATTGAATTTGATCAAGGGTAACATCGACCAGATCGATCAGAACATCATGATCACATGGGTCACCCCAAGAGTCTTGGATCTCAACCAAATCGCTACAATGAAAGGTAAAATCCTTGATTGGACCAGCAAGACTCAGATGTCTCTTGGTATCTTGGAGACAGACACCGTTGATCTCGTTGTTTAAACCATCAAAACTTTATTAATCAAATAATAGCACAGTAACAACAACAACATCATCAAAAACAACAATAACAACATTCGAATGTATAACATCACATAGATCATAACATCACACAACATAAACAAACAACAACAAAACTAATCAAAACTTATATACATTATTAAATAAATACAATAATCAAAAAAAAAAAAAAAACAACATCATAATTATTATTATTATTGTAATCAAATCTAAAAGTTATAGTTAACTCTAACTCTAAGAATTTAAAGTTTCTTGAATTTGTTTCCGACCCGAGGAAAGGAAGGTGATCGAAGATGAACAATTTTAAAATTTCACGTTCTTAGATTGATCTACCAACCAGGTCACCAAAATCATCATAATCGAAATTTTAATTTTTTTTTTTTGTTATTTTTGTAAATTAAAAATTTAATTTATTTTTTATTATTTATAAAACTTTAGGTTTTTTTATTATGTTTTAATAAATAATATACTTTGCAGCAAATAATAAAAAAAACATCATTGTTCTAATAATATTAATATAAAACTTTTAATTTATTGTACATATATTTCACAAATTTCACACACAAACACACTCACACAGAGACAACCACACTACTCATCTCATTCTTTGTTGTTAACTATTAGTTTAATTTGTTTGTTTTTATATTGTAAATTTTTGTGTATATTATAATCGTTCTCAAATATATATAACCTCTTTTTTTTTTTCCTAATTCCATTTGCGCTTAAATTTATTTTTTTATCTATATATAAAAATATATTTGATATAATTTAATCTTAATAATATATATATATCCTAATAATAAATATAAAACTATTTTTAATATTTATCTAAAAATAAACAAAAAATAAAAAATGGATTATGATGCAAATTTTGTAGGTTATTAGTTTTTTTAAAAAAGTTTAATTTATGATGACTGATTTTAATTTTAAATTTATTTTATTTGTATAATTAAATATAGGGTGTTACTATCTATGTAGATCATCATAGAACAACCATCAAAGGTATTAATTTACAATTGGCTTTAGCTAAATTCTTTTTGACACATGGCGTTCATAGAAATTACATTACAATCTATGACATTGGAAACAATTATGAAAAGCAAGCAGAGATCAAGAATCACTCAAAGAAGATTCCAAAGTACCCATATATAGGTATTAATGGTAAATTATGGGGTGTAAGTAGATTTTAGCTTATTTATTTTTTCGAAATCAGTTTATTAATATGTGTGTTGGTTATATAGGAAGGATGTATGGTTGATGAGAAAGCAGGTGAAATTGTAGAGTTGATTCAACCACTCGTCAATGCCGTACCAGACGAACAGAAATCGGTGGTTGTCGATGCATTTGTCAACGACCAACAAGTGTCAGAGAAAGAGATCACCGCTGAGACCTCACTTCAACTCGGTTACACAGATGCCGCTATCAATGTCACCGAGTGGTTGTTGTTTGGTTTGGTCAAAGGTGTTGTTTCCTCCACCTGGAGAGCCAACACTCCACCACTTCCAGAGTTGGACGAATCCGACTTTGAGTGCGAAGTAATCAGAACCAACTGGTACGGAAGACACCAATTCCGTAAATACAGATTCACACCCCAAGAAATCTTTAGACTTAGTGATGGAGTTGTCAGAGCAACTCTATTTTATAAAGATATTAAGGAACTCAAACAAGTTGACAAGAAAAATATTATTTTAACGTAAGATTATATAATAATTTTTAACTTTGCAAATAGCAATTAATAACTAACTTTTATTATTTAACAACCAACTATTATTTAGTATTGAAAATGGAGAGGCTCAATACATTGAAGGTGTTGAAAAGGATATTAGCAAGATAATTGAAATCGTTACATCAAGATCATACTTGGCACCAACCGGCGAAGATAGCTGGGCATCTACAATCGCTTCTCAATAGATTATATGTATATATTAAGTACGAAGCTGATGTATATTTATAACTATCTATATATTTTATATATTTATGTAACTATATTATATATTTAATAAAATAAAATTTCTATTTATTTTAAAATATAAATTTGATCACAAATTATTAATTCTTTGTAATTACACAACACTCTGAGTATTATACTATTATATTTATTTATATATGTACAACAATTTATTTTTATTTAGTCAAAAGATACATAGTATTTCTTAATTTCATATGATATCTCTGTCTCTGGAATAAAGTGTTGAGAACTCTTGAGCGCTTTGAAACATTTCAATATGATCTGTGTGAATTGCTTGTAGATATTGAACAAACGATCCAAGATGATCTGGAATATCTTTGTTCCGTTTCTAAAGTTAGGGAAAAGCTGGGTGACGATTACATTCATCTCTTCGATTCCAGTTCGCCAATTCTGATAGAAATCCTTCAATACCTTCTCGTGTATCTCTTTCTTTAGTCTCGGATGATTGATTTCCTCCACTGTATACTTGTTTATTAGAGGAAAGAGCTCTTTGACAATTAAAATCATATCCTTGAAGTAGGGATACGAATTCAACTGTTCCATTGCAAATAAATCAGACTCTTGTTCATACAACACAGTAAAGTAATTTTTATCATCCATATTTGGTGTTTCATTTTCCTGCAATCATTTAATGATTGATTGTTAGATATATATTGTTAGTTAGATATATTTGTTTGTTTGTTTGTTTGTTTGTATGTTTATTATTGTTACTTACAGATAATATAGTTAAAATTAAATCATAATTATTTAAAAGGAATATACTACGGTTGTTTTTCTCTTTGATTTCGTCAGACATCTTCATGAGCAGTTTAGGAATGACCGCCCTGAACATATCGAGATACTCTCTGATCGTAGGTATAATCTCTTGTGGTAGGTGTTGAGAGAGTGTCGAAATCGATCCAATCAGCTCAGCATATCTTCTTATTACGTAGTGTGGTCTGTTCTCCTCGATCGGGCATAGCTCGCGAATATTGGCATTCTTAACACTGTCGATATTCTCTGAGAACACAAAGTTTAGTCTATTCAAGGTGAGTAAGATCGATTGTTGGAATATTCTATCGGTACAATCCGATTTACTCGTTGATTTCATTCTATATTTGTTGGTAATACATATAATCAATAACAGTGCAATTGGGTCGTATGTTGTTGATAAATAAGAATTTAAATTATCCTATTAATATTATTCAAAAATAAAAAGAGTTAATTAGTTAATCTATTCAATTTAATATAGTTATTGTCAAATATTATATTTACCATATATAATGATTCAGATTTTCCAAATATTTGATTTGTACAATCTACGTCTGTAAGGAAAAACTCTTTGACATACATCGATTCGAATGAAATGGTATCCAAAATAAAGAAGATCATCGATCTGAAAATAGATTCGTATGACAACTTAATTTGATTGGATTGTGTAGTTGCTGCGCTGCTTGATCGTAGTGTTTGTGGATTGATAGCTGAACTGTCGAGTTCCAACATTATTTGATATCTTGATTCAACTGTGAATATACTAGATTTAATATTTAATTTATTGGTTTTACTACTAAAGAATCCTATATATATATTTATATAAATCATGTTAGTGATTTAGTATTCTATCAAAAGTATAATCGTCTATAGATTTTTCTCTTTTACCTTTGTTTTTATTCTCTGAAGTGCCTACTAAATCATTCTTGGTGGTAGGGTCGAATTGTAGTTTAGTCAAGAAAGAGATATAGTCTTTGGTGTAGGATGAATAGAGCTTTTCAACTAAATCCTTATATTGTTCAAAGAGTTGCTTTGCTAATTTGCCAGAGTGTCTATAGAGAAAGAAGAATGCCTGTCTATAAAGTGTGAATTCCTGTTGTTTTGAATGTAAATTAGCCACTGACTTTATCATTTGGAATTGATTTACAAAGAATCTATTAATCTTTTCTAATACCTATTTATATAGATATTATATCATTAAGTAAAGTTAGATTTGTTTGTTTGTTTATAATATTAAAGATAAAGTTTTGCTTTAACATACAATTGACAACATCTTTTGAAGATTATTAGCAACATCATCTGTAGCGGCGACATTGTTCATCTTTTGTGATTCGAAATGACCTATCTTTCTACTGAAAATCGATAGATACTGTAAATATTGATCGTTAACTTCACCTACTGATAATAAACTATTAATAGTAATTATAATATTAATAACCATTAGCGTTAATTATGATATATATATATATATTTATATATACAAATCTCTCTTGATAAACATACTGTATAATATCATCTGGCATTGAAAGTTCATCAATTACTCTATTTAATTTTTGAACAACATTCTTTCTGTTGTTGCACTTTACACTCTTTGATATTGATTTTTCCTGTAACTCTTTCATCTCCTTTGAGATATTGGTGAGATCCGATTGAAACTTTAATAACATCTCTTCGAATCCACTTAGCAGATTATTACTCTCTTTCAATGTTTGATACATCATTGCAAATGTTTCTCTTTCATTTACATCTAATTAGATAGTAGTAGTAGTAGTAGTTGGTGATACATTATATTAGAATACAAATAATAACAAAATATCAATTTAAAATATGCTAATCTTACAATCTGGTATAATATCTTGATACATCTCTTTCATCTCTTGATCGTACTTTATCAATGCAGATTCTACCTCCTCAGAGTATTGTTTGATATCGATTCCTTTCTTATAGCATTCCGCTATGATTGTCTCTGTTGGTGCATACTGTCTTAGTAACTCTATGATAATATAAATAACATATATGTTAAACTGTTAGTATAATGAATAACAAACATTATAATGTTAGCAAGATGATTGATAATTAGTTGCATACCTTCTAGATCTTCGAGACCACCTAATGGTATGTCAGAGGTAGTGAAATCATAGTCGAATTTCAATTCCAATTCACCATCTTCATTGGCACCACCGGTGGCAGAAGATACAACACTCTCACTGTCGTCCTCTCTACAATCGTTGATATTGCCGAACGACCCGATAGAAGATGCAAGACTGGGCGATAGAAGTGAACTCTTTACTTTGGGTGGTGGGTATTTCACACCGTTGATCATCGGTGTTAAATTCGGTGAGAGATTAGCCACCGATGATAAACCATTGATTCCACCATTCATCATATGGTGGTTATGATGACCTGTTGTTGTTGTTGTTGTTGTTGATACTATATCACCATTGCTACTGCTGCTATTATTGGTTACCATGAGAGTGGGTGTTGTAACACCACCTGCAGAGGCATGTCCACTGTTGGTGGGTGTTGTCGATTGTATTGCAGTGTCTCCAGAGATATCGTTCAACTCTAAATGCGAAATCGACTGTACAATAGGTCTATCATAAGTCACATGATTGTTACTACCACCACCACCACCATTGCTATTAGGTGTAGATGTTTTACTCATATTGTTATTACTACTAATATAGCTATTATTATTATTATTATTGTTATTATTATTATTTATTAATGATGGTTGAGGTGATTTTCCATTGGTTGCTGAACTCCTAAACATTTTTTTTTAATATCTTGTTGTCAATTCAAAAAAGTTGTGATTTTTTAAAATTTTTTTAAAATATTTTTTTTTTGGTTTTAGATATTAATCATATTAATTATTTAATGACTCATTTGGAAGTATACAAAGAATTTTAATAATATTCCTAAAATTTTGATTTTGTTTAATCTTTTAAAAGACAAATTGTTCCTCTTTTGAAAGTTTTAGTTTGTGGTAAAGAGATCTGAAAGATATCTTCTATGCTAAGTTAAAAAAATCCCAACTTTGAAATAAAATCAACTCTGAATAAAAAAAATTTCATTTTCTTCTTATTAATGAATATGAATTTATTAGTTTAGTTTATTATTTACATAATTTTATTGTTTTAATTTCTTATTTTATTATCGGGTATTATATTATACAGTTTGTAAACTTCCAGTTGAAGTTTTTTGGTCATCGGTCATGCTTCTATCAACAGATATATCAACACCAGATGAATCAAGAGCAGCTGTTCTTTGGAGTGAAATGTCTCCTGATGATGTGTTGGAGGTGTGCTCTTCGATCATCTCTGGGAATCCAAGTGCCATTCTGATACGTGTGCAAATGTAACCTCTGCCCAGAATGATTGAAACCCAATAGATATTGATTACCTCGAGAATATAAATAGCCAAGTTTATCCAGTCAAGAGAGTCGTTAGGATTGAAAATGTAGAGCATGTTGACCACCCACAGAGTAATACCCATAAACACTGAAAGACCTAGAACTCCTTTAATCTTCTTTTTCAGCAACTCGTCCAAACTTCTCTTTCTAGTGAGATGAACCAAGATCTGGATACCAAAGTGTGTCAATGAGAGAGCGATCAAACCAACGTAACCAAGGAAATAGATTCTCCAAACGGTGTCCCACCACTTACGATTTCCAAATGGATCGTTCCAAACACCTTGCAAAATGGCAAAAACAGTATGAAAAGTTAAAGAGAAAATAATATTGGCGATGACAATTTTATCGATAATCTTGACTCTATTCAAGGGTAGATCGTCATCCTTTGAGTAAAATACAACGGCCAACTTGATCCAAAGCAACTCAATAAAGAAATACTCAAAAACCATGAACTGAACAGCCCATGTCCAAAGAGCAAGAGTAGTCGGATCCATATACATTGCTTCGGCATCGGAAAAATATGCTGAAACACCAGAGAATATTCTCACTATCAATCAAATAAGATCAGTTAATAACAATTTTTTAAAAGTAGATATAATTTTTAAAAAAACTTACATATAAGTGCAAAAAACATGGACATGAAAACCAAAAATGGAATCGATTTAAGATAAAATTGTTTCAAGTTTACTTTTAAATGTTTTTTCTTTTGAATCTCTGCATAGATATTTGGTATGATAATGATTAATAAAGTTGGAATATGTAGCATTGATTCACCAAAGAACATCCAAGTTCCTCTTGTTAGATGTGCTACCATTATTTATTATTTTTTTCTATATTATATATTTATGATCAAAAACTATGATGATTTCTGTCACAATGAATTTTAGTTTGATAAGACAGAGTTCTATAGATGAAGAAAACCAAACAGAAAGAAAAAATAAAATAAATAAATTTAAATAAATTTAAAATAAAGGTTAGAACCGATTTTATTTTTGTTGTTGACAATCTAAATTCATTACACGGAAGTAATGTAGGGAGCAATTTTTAGATACTATGAAGTGTAGGCCTTAAGTATAAATATTATCAAAGGTAAAAATCACTACACTCAAACACTTTGAAAAAAAATCAACAACACATTAAGATATACATTTTTTGCTTTTAATAAAAAGTAAAGTTGTAAATTAAAAATGTCATTGTAACCTCCCGGTTTTAATCAAGTATGCAAATTTATTGATCGAGAAATCAACCTATCCCCATCCACAAAGTGCACCTTGTTTTATCGATCTTTTTTCAAATGAAACCCAGTTTTTTGCTTGTTTAACAGTGTTAAGCCTTAATGCCACCTATTTAAATATATTTGTTGTGGAGCTGGTTTAAATTTGATTTTGAAAGATATTTACGAATTCGTTACTCGCAAGTCAACTGAATGTGGTCCGCCTTCAAAAAAATTTGTAAATACCCCAAAATGTGGGAGGAGGTCTACAAAAAAATTGTCAAAAAAATTTTAACTGTCGAACCGTCTAAGTCACTTTTGCACCCCACTAAAAAAAAAGATTCCCCATTGCCACCTAAAGAACCAATTTTTCGAAAATATCTAGAATAAATGATTTACAACTTCATTATTATAAAATCTTATTTTTAGGCTTGGTGTTGGGCCATCACCATCTGTAAAATATTTATTTACAAGATTGATTGTTTGTTAAGTGGACTAGTTTTTAATGATTGCAAATCTTTTCTTTATTATGTTTATTTTCTAGCTCAATAAAATCACTTAATTTTCAAACAGTTTAAAAATTCCATTGTTACTAAAAGTGAAAAAAATAAATTATTACAAATATATTAAAATTATATACCTTATTAAAATTAAAATTATTTTATTAAAATTACAATTTTGTTATATTAAGTTAAAAAATTTTGGACCAAACTTTATACAAGAGACTATTATAATTTATCAATTTTTGAATTGTTTTCGATCTCACTTGTCAGCGTAGATTTCATAAGTTGAAGGAAATGATGTAAATCTATTGGAATATTCTTTTTGGAAAAAATAAAATAATAATTAATGTTAAAATTAGAATAGTTCAGTTCAATTTCGAATTGAAATACTCACAGTATTGTTATTTGAAAATGCAATAAAAGGAATCTTTCGAAGTGATCTACCACTGAATCCATCGGATAAATGTGCAATCTCCTTGACCAAACTAATTTGATATTTAACTTGCTCATCGGTTGGATTGACATTGGCAATTAGATTCTTTCTCTCCAGCTCTACCAGACACGACTTGATGATATCCCATCTGGCCTGTATCGTTGGTGGTCCAATAAATTGTTTAATATCAACTCTATCTATAAATGCAATATCTTTTATCATAAAGAATATATTGAAATGTACATAGTTAGTTAGTAACAAAAAATTGATGTTTAAACCATTACAAACTTATACACATACCGACTGCACCAACTAAATTGGAAGTAGTTAGAATCAATACATTTGGCAGATATTTTAGACGATCGAGTTGAGTTAGGAATGCGTTGACCACACGAATGGAATCGGATGGTTCGCCACCAGAGATTGCTGCTTTACGAGCTGCAGTCAGACTCTCGACCTCATCAATAAGAACGACCACCAGAGAATCTGTATCTTCGGCAAGCTCCTTGATCTTCTCGAATACCTTCATCACCAACTTTCCACTCTCTGAGAACCACTTACTAAACAAACTATGCGAGTTTATCTCAATGAGTGTTACATTTCCATCGTTGTGTTGTCTACCAATCGATATCTTTTGTGCCAATGCCTTACAAAGACTTGTCTTTCCAGTTCCAGGTGGTCCATTCAATAATATAATTCTAATTTAAATATTAATATAAGATTAATGTTAATTAAACTATCCAATATATTTATGAATAATAATATATTTAACCTACTTATTATGAGATATAATATTTTGATCAATATTTGAAGTTGAAAATTTTAAAATCGTTGATAAATATTGTAATAGTTTAGGTTTGATATTTCCATCATAAATTAAACTAATATAATGAATGAATGATGAATGAATGATTGTCAATAATCGCTAGTAATTTAATTGATTCGAATATTATTAAATGCTTACTTCTCCCAGAGTGTTGAATATTGATAGTTTGGTAGGATTGTGAGTTGATAGGGAGATGATTCCTCTGGATTATCGATATCTTCATCGACTGAATCTTCTCTATTCAATTTATAGGGATGTATGTCAAACGATAGTAAATCTCTGTGTCCAGTGTTGTTGTTATCCAGTTTATCTTGTTGACATCTTCCAAAGTGATCGTAGATCTTCAGTAGTTTGATATCGTTCTTTAATTTCTCGATCCTTTCAAAGTTAAATAGATTATTATTATTGTTGTTGTTATTGTTAAAACTAGAACATCTTCCAATAATTTTGCTAGCTATGAAATCAATGACGTCACTGAACTCTATGATAATCGTTGGATTCGAAATTAAAGATTCAATCAAATTCAACTTTAAAAAAGGATCGATAATAAATGATCGAACATCATCTCTAATTGAGCTATAGGCGACTGATGATCTATCCAATAACTCTATCTCCACTACATTAATACAATGAATGATTTGATTAATTTTAAAAGTTTATTCAAAAAAATCATCAATCAAATTGATAAAAATATAAATAAATAATAAACTACCATCTATTTTAATCATAATTATTATGTCTTTTTTTGCAATTTAATTAAATATATGATCAACAATAACTTTGTTATGTTTTTTGTTTGAACTGAACGAACTTCCAATTGATCAGCACACATGCAACTCTTTTTTTTTTTCACTTTAGTTTTTTTTCATTTTTTTTTTTTTCAAAAAAAACTACCCACCAACACAATGCTCCAAAGGAAGTGTAAAAAATTAAAAAAAAAATTAAATAAATTGAGAATTTGTATTGAAAGTCGACTTTGAATCAAACTAAAGTTCAACAAAAAAAAAATTAATTTTTGTTTTTATTTTTATTTTTGTTTTATTTTTTTTTAACTATATAAAATATATAAACTCTCTCTATTCAATTAATTTTATAATTAGAGAGTGATTTTTTTATTAGACAAAAAGAGAAAAAACAGAAACAAAAAAGACATCACACACAGACATTCAACCAAAAAAACAAGATTTAGTTTGCGATAATCACAGATTAGATTTCATTCAAAAAGGTTAATACAGACAGATAGATAGATAGATAGATCATGTCACGTTTTTTTGTAGGATCATCATCAGAGTCAGAGAGTGATTCAAGCTCCTCTGATTCCGATGTTCAAGTTGTACCAAAGAGAAGAGTTATCTCTTCCTCTGAGGACGAAGTAGATGTCAAGCGTGTTGTACGTTCCGCCAAAGACAAACTCTGGATTCAACTAGAGGAAATCTTACAGGCAACCAAACAACAGATCGCCGCCAACGAATGGGCCAACGTTCAAACTGGTAACTATCTCTAAATATATATATATATATATATACAGTGAATTGTTTATTTATTAGATCATAATTGTTAATTGAATTTGCGATGATGATGACGATGATGATGATGATCGTTATGATGACAATGTTGAAATATAATATAGGTTTCGAAACAATGATGAAATCAGTCGATAAATCAACTGCTTTAATTAAGAAAGAAGGTGTTCCACCAGCATTGGTCAAGACATTGTATTTGATCGAGTCTGGACTTGCAATCGATGAAGCAATCAGAAAGAAGTTGAGCCAACGTAACTCAAAGGCTCATACATTCTTGAAACAAAAGATCAAGAAGACTACACCACCATACGAGGCACAAATCAAGCCATACAGAGAAAACCCAGAGTTGTTGGCATCCGATGCCACCGCAACAAAGAAGCCAGCCAACGACGATTCCGAATCCGAAGATGACGACGAATCCTCTGACGACGATACACCAAAGAAGCCAACACCCGCTGCCTCTAAAAAGGCTGCTCCAGCCAAGAAACCAGCCGGAGGATGGTTCAAGAAAGGTTCAGATGATTCTGACAGTGTATGTTTTGAAATTATAATAATATTATTATTTTTACTACTCTTGTTGTTGTTGTTGTTGTTGTTGTTGTTTTACATTTTCTAACATTCCTTTTTCTTTTTTTTTTTCCATTTCTTAATAATAGGGTTTCTCTTCTGATTCTGAAGATGAAACATCATCTGATGACTCTAGTTATTCGGATTCCGATGAGGATACTGGAAGTAAATGGTGGGTAAAGGATACTGGAGCAAAGGCAACAACCCAGACAACAAAGAAAGACAAGAAGAAGGAACCAAAGAAGGTTGTCACTCCACAAGTTGAATCAACCACTACAGCAGCGACAGCAGGTGCAGCACCAGCAGTTCAACGTCAATTGACTCAAGAGGAAATCACAAAGAAGCTGAAGGAGATTCTCAGCAGTCGTGGTAAGAAGGGTACATCACCAAGCAAGCAGGTCGAAGATCTCGAGTTCCTCCTCACTCAAGTCAAGACTGAGAAGGAGACATTCGACATCCTCTACAATCTCATCAACGCTCAGTTTGATCTTTCACCAAACCTTCAGACTTCGCTCGCATTGCCAGTCTGGAAGAGTTGCTCCGACAATATCTTGCGTTTGCTCGATATGCTCAACACTAACAAGCACTTTATCTTGTGCTCCGACAACGAAGAGCCAAAGTTGAAGGAGGGAGAAGTCGTCATCCGTGGCAACTTGTTGTCGCTCTTTGAGCGTTTGGACGACGAGTTCACCAAGTCACTCCAACACCTCCACTTCCCATCCGCCGAATATACCGCACGTCTCGCCGACGAGCCAGTCTTGTTGAAGATTGGAGAGTCCGTCCAAGACTACCTCGAGCAACACGACACCAGTGCCAAGTCATCGCGTGCTGCCATCCGTCGTCTCGAGCATCTCTACCACCGTGCCGACCCAACCGAATTCGAACAGAACGACAAGTTGATCAAGCGTCTCTCCTCGTACATCTACCAGCATGGAGACGAGCGTTTGAATGCCCGTACTATCCTCTGTAATATCTATTTCAATGCCATTCACAACCGTTTCCACGAGGCTCGTGATATGATGTTGATGTCCCATCTCCAAGATAACCCAACCGTCATGGACATCCTCACTCAGATCCTCTTCAATCGTGCAATGGTACAGCTGGGTCTGTGTGCCTTCCGTAAGGGTTACATCCAGGAGGCTCAACAATGTTTGGCCGAGTTCTCTGGTTTGCGTAAGGAGTTGCTCGCCCAAGGTGCCTCCATGCATCCAAAATACCAAGAGAAGGATCCACTCAAGGAGATCGAAGAGAAGCAACGTATCCTCCCAGGTCACTTGCACATCGCTATCGACGTCATCGAAACCGTCAACTTGCTCTCGGGTATGTTGATCGCCGTTCCACAGACTGCCGCTCGTCCATTCGACTCGAAGCTCAAGACATGCAAGTTCTTCCAGCGTCACATGGATCACCTCGATAAACAAGTATTCGTTCCACCACCTGAATCATTCAAGGATGTAATTTATGCCAGTTCAAAGGCATTGGCCACCGGAGACTACCGTACCACCATCGATTTGCTCGCCGGTCTCAAGCTTTGGACCGTTATTCAAGATGCCGAAGCCGTTCGTGAACGTCTCAACCGTATCATCCAAGAGGTATCACTCAAGACTTTCCTTTTCACCTACAGTGCCTACTACGACACCATGTTGTTGAGCGAACTTGCCGACCGTTTCCAACTTCCAAAGAACCACGTTCACTCCATCGTATCAAAGATGATGGCCAACCACGAAATCTCAGCTTCATGGGAACACTCCACAGAGACAATCACATTCCACCGTTCAGAACAAACCAAATTACAATACCTCGCACTCAACTACTCTGATTCTCTCATCAACTTTGTAGAACAAAACGAAAGAATTTACGACATTAAATTTGGAAGCTATAGAAACAAGAAGTTTGACGATGTATCTGCCGGTGCTGCTCAAGGACAGGTCACTGGTGGTCAACAACACCACAACCAACAACGTAAACAACAAAGAAATAACAATAGACGTCAATAATAAATTTAAAAAAAAAAACAAATAAACAAAAAATTATTCTTTATATAAAAAAAAAAAGATTTTCAAAGACAAAATGATATTGTTTTTGGTAATGTGTAATTGATTTGCTTTAAACTTTATTATCTATAAAAGTTGCAATTAATTATTGGGGTATTGTGATTGGTTAAAGATAATCACTCACTGGTTTATTATTAATTTATTATATAAATATACTACTGCATACTTTGGATGGATCGATGTAGCTATAGGGAATTTTGACAAATTGATTTCTCAATTGAATTTTATCACTGATATCCTCCAGCGATGATCTGAGTTTATAGACATATTTAGATAATTGTGGATCTTTTTCAAACTTGTATGGTGTGGCTATCAAGGTGGGCAAACCAGTGTCAGTGTTTGAGAGGAGATGAGTAATTGAGATTTGGCTGACTGTTTCATGTTTTGGTGGCAAGGCGTCAATGACAGTCTCTTGGGAGATGACGATTCCAGATTTAACTTTTCTTGGGTCTAGATAGAGAGCACCCGGAACATTTGGTGTGAATCCATACATATCCCATTGACCGTGATTACCAATGGAATGCTCAACTGACACTCTAAAGATGATGTCAGTAATGAGTTGGATCACCTCTTCCAAAGTCTCAAGTTTACCACTCTGGGTTAGCGATTGCATTTGACCACCCCAGCTCGAGTGCAACTCGTTGAACCAAGCTTGCAATTCAAAGTCTCTTTCAATATCTTCTGGGTGTTTATAGAAAACATTCAACACGTTCGATACGAATTGGTGTACTTGGTTATAGACAGTCAGACCATCTTCACGGAAGAAATAGTTCTTTACGGTGGTGCTTTCCTTGAGATCGCTTGGAATATTATTTCTCTTCATCCTCTCTACAAAGGTATTCTCAGACCACTTGTAAGTCTTGTTGAATTTGGCAATGAATTTAAGTGCACCAACACTACCTGGACCAAGCAGAGTATCAATTGGACCGTTTTTTCCGAGCAGATCACCTCTGGCTCTCCAGTTGATATCGAGCAGGAGATTAAAGTGTGGATGTAAAAGTTGGAAAATTGGGTGGCTCTCAGAGAGTTGACGATGAGTAGCAATAGCAAAAACCTCACCAAGAAGATGGCATTCAAAAAGATGGGTTATGAACTCCATATATTGACCGTCGGCAGATTGGAACCAGAGTTTGGCAAAAACCCACTCATAATATGTACTCTTTGGCGAGAAAACAGGTGATTCAGCATCATTTTGAAGAATCTTGATACAAAGAGGATAAAGTTTACCAGTTTCCGGGTTTACATAGAACAGTGCCAATGGGGAGGAAACATATCTATCAAAGGAGAGAGCAGCATCGATGTACTCTTGGTCTTCGAAAATCTCATAGTCGATGACATAGAGCAATTGACGTTGGAGTGCATCATCAAAGTTTGTGTCGATGGCTTCACTGAGAACCTGGTTCAAGATGGTCTTGTTGACAGTGAAATTTAATTTCTCTGGAATATTTCTATTGGCCATTGTAAGCGAGTTTAAGAGTTCCAGTTTACCAGAATTGATTCCTTGGATTCTTTGTCTACCAAACTCTTCGTCACTCAACCAATTGAAAGTATTCAATTGATCTTGTGTTTGGTTTTGGATAATTTGTGGATAATTTGGAAGTACTATAAGTTTCAAATATTGCTCCACGGAATGAAGAGAAATCTTATTTTTCATGGAAACAAATTTGTTTATAATACTTTGAAACTATAGGTATTAAAAAACAAAAAAATCAATAAACTGTTTCTTAACATATGTTAAAAAAAAAAAAATTATTATTATTATTATTATTAAAATATTTACATTTGTTGATAATAAAGCAATACCATGTGGAGCCATCGATGTTTGAGTTAATTGTTCTTCTTTGGGTAGCATATAAGTTGGAGCCATAAGTTTGAAAGAGGGTGGGAGTCCTGGGATTACCTCTGGATAACCAAAAACAGTATTGTTTACAGTAAAGTTGTATTCACGCTGTCTATTTTCTAGATTATTCTGTCTATTTACAATATAGTGATCTTGTTGGGGAAGACAAACTTTATTACAAAATATTAATAATTAATTTTTTGGGAGGTAAAATTTAATGTTATGTTTCATACCAGATTTTTTTTGTTGGAGATTGGTAATTCGGTTCTCCCTTAAAAATTTTATTGATTGGGAATTGGTAGTAACTACCAAAGTTTTCAAAAAACATTTTTTTGATCGGTCGTGTTGATAAAAAATAAATAAATATACTATTTAATAAATATAATAAATAAATAAATAAATAAAAATATAAAAATAAAATAGAGAGTGTTATTAAATTAATTTCTATGTAAAATGATTTGATTGATGGAAAATTCTGATGATCAAACAAGGATGGTGTGGATTGGAAGAAGTGAAGTGATATGATGAGACGTGTTTAGACTAAAATCGGAATGTCCTTTTTTTTGAATAGGGATAATAATGATTGGTATATTTGTTGTGTTATTAAAAATAAATTAATAAATAAATGGAGAAGTATGTTAAATTATTTAATATATAAAAAATAGAATCGTTTGGAACGTATACACTAGCTGAGAGAGAATATTAAATAACTGATATCAAGGAGAGAGTATAATATAATATAAATAATAAATAAGTGGCTTGATGATAAAGGTTTAGAAACTTAATTAAGAGATATGTGGTGATTGTGGATCGTTGAGAAAAAAAGTAAATTTACTATGGTTATATTGTGTTTGGTTGTGATGCAAAATTTATGGATTTCAATTGTGAATTGAAAAACCAGAGCTCATCAGCTGAGTGAAATTTGATTTGTTGAGGTGATGGTGATGGGTGAAGTTGATCAATAGGAACAACTTGAGTAGTTTGTTATTCGAAACAAAACAAACACTAATATAAATAAATAAATAAATTAAAAGATAAATTAAATAAATAGTGTATTAAATATATATATATATGTATAATTTGTTTTTTGTATGTTATGTTGTGTTGTTGGGTTGGTTTCTATTGTTGTTGAAGATGTTGCAATGAGATATTATTTTAATATGTTTTTATATAAAGTGATTAATTTCAATTTAATTTTTTAATATTGTGATTGTATTGGGGATATGATTGGAAAGTAAGTTCGCACAGCAGAAGTGGTTAAAGAATAATGAGTTTCAATTTAGGTTATTGTAGATAAAGTCAATGTATTATAGTGGTGAAAATATATTGTTTTGTTGTGTTGCAATGAAAGTATAGTCGATTGGAGGATGAAATTATTTTTGAATATAAATATTAATATAAATATAAATTTTTGCGATTTAGATAAAAAGAGTAGGATTTTTTTATATAGAAGTTTGATTGCACACAAAGAAATTTAAGATTTTTGTAAGAATGAATAAATGTTGTTGTATCTAGAGAATTAGATAAATGATCATAAGATGTCTTTTGATCCCTAGGTTATTAAATAATGTTTTTTTCTATTCTGTGTTTTTTTTTTGTTTTTCTTTTGAATTGTTTGTGTTGAAAAGATTTACTACTTGTAAAATTGAATCCTCAATCTCTATTTTATAGAGCTCATACTGCTTTTCAGAGTGAACCAAACAGAATTCAATCAATTGCCTGGTTTTGCTTGGTAGGATTGATTGAATTCGGAGGGGTTCGGTGTTGTTGATGTGCTGATGCAGGTGTGGTGATATTGGTGACCACCACCACTACTAGATAGTAACTATTGAAATAATAAGAATTATACGTCGAATAGCATCACACTGGACACCTCAACTATAGCTACTACTGATAAGTATTCAAATAACTATCAAAAACAAAAATAAAAATAAAAAAAAACACAAATAATAATGCTGCACAGCATTCCATTCATTCTAACAAAGTAAACATTGAGAATCCAATGCACCGTATTGTTCATTTCAATTAAACTGATTAATGATGATGAACACCATTGTTGTTTTTTGTTTTTTGTTTTTTTTTTATGAAATGCAATAACATTGTCTCTCGTTGTTGCTAGTTAAAATGATTATGATGATGATAGTTTGAGTAGTAGTAAGGTTCGTGCGACACCCAAACAGTTTAATGATATAATCTTCGATGAGCAGGGAGTCATCAAATAATCAACAAAATTATAAATAAATAAAAACAAAAACAACATTACCACTCAATGTTGAAACAACAAGAAAAACACGATGGTTCAACAACAAGTAATTAAACCCATCTGGTGTGAGAAATTGTGTTTGTGTGTGTGTTTAAGTGAGTGTGTGGTTTAAATTATAAACGTTTGTGTGTGATTGATTGAACACTCTTTATTTTTTATTTTTTTAAAAAAAAAATATATATTTGGGTTACAGGGTGATGGAACTTGTTGTTTTATTTTGCAATAAAAAACATTTTTTTTTTATTAATATTTATTGAACTCAAGATATATGAAATTTTTACAGACATTGTTTATTTAAATAGAACCAATAACAATTTAATTTAGTGGGTGGAGTGAAGTGAGTGCTTGTGAATAACCAACACACATTTAAAAACTGAAATAGCAAGAGTTGCTGATTCATACAAAGATCACAGGGTAACTATGAAAACCCTACAACAATTACTATTAAATGTAATCATCTTATTTGAAGCAACATAACTTTAACTATTGCTATTTGTTTACGAAAGAGTATTTGTGTTGTTGATATAAATAGGATTCGTCATTATTGAGATCTTAGAAATTGATTGGATTGGCAATAGTGGTGGGTTGGCGAAATAAATTTACTTACTTTTATAAAAGAAAAAAGGGGTTTTCTGGTATTGAACGACAAAAAATTGTAAATTATAAATTATCTAGTTAGAGCGAGAGTATGTCAGTATTAATACTTAAAATAAATATGTATGATTATTGGTTGACAAATGGGCAATACACAATGACAATGATAAAATATTGGTGCTCTCTCCAATAAATATAAAAAATACTTACTTCTCTTTACTTTAATTTTATTGTGCAAGAATATTCTGAGAGGAATGGGTGTAGTGATGATAGTGGTGGTAGTGCTAGTTCGCTCTCTCGTTGCTATTGGATACTTTCCGTTGCTTTTGTGAGGTAATATTTTAATTTTGAAAAAGAATATAATATAATATAATTTAAAAAGTATGAAGTGATTAATAATGTCGAGTTTATGATTTGTGGTGTTTGAATTGATTTTAATAACCAGTTTGGTTTCTGATGATGTTTTATGAGGTAATGGTAATGTTGCTTTTGGAAATTTTTATATTAATTAATAAAGTGAGGTGATACAAAATATTATTTAGAAACTTTCTTTTGATTCTTTCTTTTTCAAAAGTTTCCAATATTTTAATGTAGTAATACTAGTTAGTGTTTGAACAAAGTAATTGATTGTTAGGAATGATTAATTTCGAATGTTCATGAACATCTATTTATAATTATCGATTTGTATGGCAGAGTTGCTATTGTGACCACCGACTAACTGACAAGATTTTGAATTAATTAATAAAAATACTGTATGTTATTATAGAATAATATTCTTAAAGATATCTATCAGACTATAGATAGCTGGACAATTCGGTTCAGTTTTTTTTTTTTTTTTCTCTCTTCTCTTTCTTATTATTATTTGATAAGAAACTAACTAACTAACTTATGTGTGACTGTTTTTACCTAATAAGGTAAAATATAAATTTGGAGCTCCAACCACTTTGGATAGTTGAAATGATTGGTGCAATGGAATTGTCGATATCAAATCTTTCCATCGTTTAGTGAGAGTTCACTATATTACTTGTAGTTGTAAAGTTATCTCTAAGTTGTATTGATAGTAGTGATGGGAGGATTGCCTTCTAGCTTACGAGCTCTCCTTGATCTCAGACCATTAATAATCTCCAACCATGCCTACAGCTGTCTCGAGATGTCTCACCCCCACAAACTAACGGATTCCACAAAATGAAACTACTGACCTATGAAGTTGATAATTATTTTCATTTGTAACTTCAAATCGCCCTCTCAATCCCTCGAATTTGTGATTAAGATTTGCAATGAATGAATTTTTATTTTTTATTTTTTTTGGTATTTTTTTTTTTTTAATTTTTTTCTTGAAGAAAACTTTTTTGGCCGAAATCAGTTCAATCAAATCAAAGTTTCTGTCCCGCTCCAAAGACCTCGATAACAATCAGAGTTCAAACAATTTATTTGGGTTTTACAATCACAAGTGATATTAAACCTATTACAATAATCAATCAGATGAATATAATATTCATACCTATCACCCTCAATATTATTTATTATAAATAATAAACCACCAAATCTACAGTCTTCTACTTAGAGTTGTGAGTGGGAAGAGCAATGAAACGAAATTTCAAACCACATCAACATGTTGTTTAAAAAAACAAAAACAGTTTTTGGGTGGACTCTATTTTTAACCATAAAAGTAAAGTTACAAAAAACAAACACATTGAATAAAAATCATTAGTTTTGTAAATTGCACACCATATTAAATTAATTAATTAGAGCAAAAATAGGATACTAAAAACACTATTTTCATTGCTACTCGCACACAATATACACATAGTTTTTGAAGGTGAACACAATGTGTGTTGTGGTTTTTGTGGTAGTGGTGTTGGGATTACTTTTGCCAATGATGATTGTTACCCCTAAACACACACCTGAAATTGCAATCAATAAATTTGATTGGGTTGTTCACTCAATAGTCACCAGATCGATAAATTAACAAAACACAAGTACCTCTCCAACACAAAACTGGATCTTTTAATATCCAACCTCCATCACAACATTTTTAACCAAAATAAGATTATGACTAAATATAACCTACTTTAGCTCTTTGGTAAGAGATACTCAAAGATTGTCAAAGTTTTTAGATTTATTTAAATAAATTAGATTTATTTAAAATTAAACCGAAATATTGTTTCTTTTCAAACAATAATATCTAAAGGTTATAACCTTTCAACTTTCATTGATTCCAAACTCGTTCTTTTTTTTTTTTTCTTTTGAACAATCAATTTTAATAAAGTATGGTGTATCTTGGTTCCAACAATCTTTTTCATTAAATTGATATCATTTTCCAATAATCAATGTTAGATATAACACCATAATTCAGTGATTAATGTTTGTTTTGATTTGATTTGTTGGTGCCAACGAAACAATAATATTCTAACCAGGTTAAATCTGTCCCAGTATGACATTCTAAACAATACTATCCTGTGTGTGTATTTTTGTGTTGAACTTTATAATTACATGTCATGACATAATATTTATTTTAGTCTGGTCATTGATTGTTAGACTACAAGTTGTTGTTGTGACACCAAGTACAATACAAAACAATTGAAAGATATTATTGAACAAACAGTTGTTATTTAAATAAATATCTTTTTAAAGAATTGAAATGAAAAAAGATCTGATCAAATTTCTTTATCTTTTTGTACAGAATAAGATAGTAGAACGATGATGTGGTGTGACTGTGTGTTTCAGTGTTGACACCAAAATATCACAACTTTGACTTAAAAATAACAATCTACACAACACACAATAACCAAATTAGTTATAAACAGATAAACAATATTGAACAAACATATATTGTTGTTTTATACATAAATGATATTGATTGCTAAGATATTTCTTTATAACACTTTTTATTTTTGTATAAATATTAAATACAGATATAACAAGTTTTTTTTTAAAACTTTGAAAGTGATTGATTGTGTGTGTTTGAAAAAAAATGAAAAATTAAAAAAAAACAGTGGTGGTGACTAGTCAAAGCTAAAAATTGACTTAGTATATTAATTATAATTTATTTATTTTATTTTTTTTTTCATTTATTTATTATCAACTTAAAAAGAGAAGAGAATAGAAGATAATAAAAGTAGAGAAAAGAAGATGCAAGGATTTGGTAATAGTGATTTTGGAAGTGCATCGGCACCTCCTAATCAATCACGTAGTAGCAGATCGATTGGCGGTGGATTCCAAGAGAAGAATCCATGGCTAGAGACAATGAAGCTCTTTGATTTCTATCCAAAGCTAGACGATAGTGTACCGATGCAAAAGACGGTGTACGGCGGTGTCATCACAGCGATCTGCATGATATTCACAATGTTTCTGCTCTGTTCGGAGCTGTACTACTATACATTCCCGATTCGTGATCATTCACTCAAGGTCGATGTCACTCGTGGCAATCGGCTGCTGATCAATATCGACATCCACTTTCCAAGTCTGATCTGTTCCGATATCAATGTGGAGTCGATCGACGGTATCGATGGTCGTCCAATCAAGGATGCATCGTACCAGATCGTTCGTGAGCGTTTGGATCGCAACGGTGTCGTCATCGATCCGTCGAATCCACCACCCGGTTTCTTTGAGTGCGTCAGCTGCCGATTGCCAGCCAACTCCAAGTATGCCGTGCTCTATCCTCAGCGTTGCTGCAACAAGTGCGACGACCTACGTGAATTCTACCGCACCAACAAGATTCCACAGCACTACGCCGACCAGTCGCCACAGTGTATGATTAGCGATCCCGAAGCGGAAGACGAAGGTTGTCGTATCTACGGTACACTCTGGGTGCAAAAGATGAAGGGTGACATCCATATTTTGGCCGGTAAGGGTGTAGAGGACAACTCACACGGACACGGACACCACGTGCACATGTACACTCCGGAGATGCTGGCGCGTATTCACAAATTCAACATCTCACATCACATTCATCAGTTTTCTTTCGGTAATCACGTGGAGGGATTGATCAACCCGTTGGAGGGCTACGGAATTCTGACACACGGTCTCGGATTGCAGACCTACTACATCAAGGTGGTACCAACCATCTACCGTCAGAACGACTACATCCTCGAGACCAACCAATACTCATACACCACCGAGTACAAAGGTATCAGACCGGGTTACAATGCACCGGGAATCTACTTTAAATACGATTTGTCACCACTCATGATTGAAGTCGATCAATCATCGAAACCATTTGTAGAATTAGTAACCTCGGTTTGCGCAATCGGTGGTGGTATGTACGTTGTATTCGGTATAATATATTCTGTTTTATTAAAAGTAATAACAAATAAAAAGAATAAATAAATATAATAATAATAATAATAAAGATATATAAAGAAAAGAAAATACATGTTTTATTTTATTGATTTATTGTTTATCTTTATAACCATCCACTTCTTCTAAATAAAATTGCAATGGTTGTTGAGAATACAATCATGAATGCTATGATTCCTATGAAGGTATGATAGTTGTCACCACCGGGTTCACCGTAGAATCCGGGGTAGCGTACGTTCATTCCCATGACACCGGCTAACAGTGACATCGGGGTGAAGATAGTGCTGATGGCGGTGAACTTTCGCATGCTACGATCGATGCTATTCGATGCATTGCTCACCTCTAGTGATACTCGCGCCATGTAGATATTGCTCAGATTACTAAGTAGCTTCTGAGAGAGTGTCAGCTTTTGCAGTAGTCTGACCGTGTGATCTTGCACGTTTCTCAGGTAGCGCTGAGTGAATTTCGGAATGATCTTCTCGTCGGCACGCAGTAGAATGCTTATGATCTCATTCTTACCAAAGACACCGCCGTGCAGGTTGGTGACACGTTTGCTCGCCAGACCGATACGTGTGTGCAGTTCATCCTGTTTCAGCCCGCTAAGCACCATGATCAGGTCGTCGAGTGAACGCGTCTCCAACATGAGCTTATCGACCAGGTCAGTGTAGATATCGATCACCACATCGAGATAGGCATATACAATAAACGGTGCAGAAGGCAACGTTCCAATATCCGACGACGAAGAGCTAGGTCTTGGTGATGTTGTTGTGGCCAGAACATTGCCAACCGAAAGATTACCCATACCACTGTTGTCAGTTGTTGCAACCGTTGTTTTCATCTTGTGTTGATGTGCACGTCGACGCGAAAGAGTCGACGACGATAGAGTAGATCGCGATTGTTGAATCATAAACTTTGAGGTCGGTGAATAGCTGATCATTCGAAGCACCTGTCTAGTACTGATCATCGGTTTCTGGTGGAATGTCATCACCATATTCCTAAACAACACGATATTCAAACATCCCGATACCAAGTTATTGGAACCCTCTTCATAGTGTATCTCATTCACAACAATAAATATATGATTTTGAAAGAATTCACATTTCTCTCTTGTACCTATAAAAATAAACAAAACAAAACAATGATAATGAAAATGATATTTTAACAATACAAAATTCTAGCTAGCTATTTACATTATCTTTAAACTTGTTACGTACCTTGATTAATAATATCTTTTTTTGTTAAATAATGTATACCAACTAAATTACAAATATCATTGAGCTCTCTTTCATCTAAACCTTGAAAGTCAATCCACTGATGTAATCTATCACTCGATATTTTATCTTTTTCATTTTGTTGTGCTTGTTGTTGCTGTTGTTTAAAATCACAAAGTACCTCTCTTATCTGATCATAAGTATAACCAACAGCTTTCTGTTGTCCTGATGTGGTTAAAACTATATGCTAATCATTATTATTTGAAAATATTAGATTATCAATAATATATAACTATAATAAATAAATAGTAATAAATAATAGCAAACATACTTTGCCAGTTGATAGTAATAATGATTCATTCTCCACCAAGAATGTAGAGGTATTTCTTTGTGATGATGAGTATCCGAAATACATATTATTATGATTATTACGATTATTATGATTTTGATTATTATTAATTTACAATTACAGAGTCAGATAAGATGGATCGTGAGATGACGACGATGAAATATTACAGTGTAATAATGATAAACCTAGAATACACTAATTAATTACATTTATTCAATAAATAATATTATTATCACATCAACTGATTGACTGATTGATGAATATTTTTGTATTACAAAGTTTTAATTTTTTTTTTTCCCAAACTAAACTCTAAATTTAAATTCACATGACCACCGATTAATATAATAATATTAAACATGTAAGTACTTAATACTTTAAATATTATATTATATTTATATAATTAATTAAAATTCTAATAAATTTATTAATTGGTTTAAAATTATACTACTATAGGAGTAATAATAATGCTAAAAATAATAATAGACACTGGTGTAAATATTGTGAGATATTCATTCATCCAAACCAAGCTGTAAGTATATAATAATAATAATGATTTTTTTGATGTTTATACACACAATAAATTGGTTTGTAGTATAATTGTGTTACTAATGATAAATATTTATCATCATTATCACTATTTATAGAGTATAAAGAATCATGAAAATGGATGGAGTCACAAAATAAAGGTATCTAAATACTTGGATGCTCAGAAACGTGTAAAGAAAAGCGATGAAATCGAAAATCAGAAACATCAAAAGGAAATACAATCTATTATCAAAGCTGGTGAAAAGGAATATGATGAAAAAGATGCCGAGTATCAACAACAGGAGCAACAACAGCAGTATCAAGAACAATATCAAAACTATGCTTATCAACAACATATACAGCCACAACAATATAATACAATAGAAGAATACAATGCTGCATGTCAACAATATTACAATGATTATTATAATTATTATTATTATGGTGCATATCAACAACAACAACAGCAACATGTTGACTATGGACAACAACAACAACAACAACAACAAGTTGAATATGAACAACAGCAGCAACAGCAGCAACAACAACAACCAAATGTAGATAATAGAAAGTTACAACAAGTAAATAATAAAAGATTGCTAGAGAAACAGAAACAACAAGATATGATAAAAAAGATAAAGGAACAAGTAGAAAGAGAGAATGCGAACAAAAATGAATATAATGGTTTTAGTAAGGAGGAGCATGATATCATCTCAAAGAAACTGAAAGAATATAATGAAAAGAAGAAGGAAAAAGAAGAGACAAAACTACAAAAGAAAGAAGATGATCATGATGATGATGAAGAGGGAGAAGGAGATGATGCTCATGATAGTGACGACGATGATGATGGTGAACCAAAGACAAGTATTACAGAAGAATCTACTGGAATTGGTGGTTGGGTATCAGTTAGACCAAGTGAAAGTATGTTTAATTCCCATAGCAGTAGCATAGCAACCAACAGCGCCAATAGCAATCAAACTGAAACCAATCATTCAAATGACCAAGATGACGAAGATAATGATGCAAACTCTGAAGACGAAGAAACAGTCGATATGACAAAAAGAATTTCACACAGCAGCAGCAGCAGCAGCAGCAGCAGCAGTGGTAGTACTAGTAAAGCAGCTCAATTACATTCCAACAAAAACGACGATATCAAAACAGAGGATTTACAAGTACCTAAAGTACAATTCTCATTTAAAAAGACAACAACAAACAGAAATACAAGAAAGAAAACAGACAATGATTAATACATCATTGTTTTTGTTTTTAGTTTATTTTTATTATATTAATAATTTAATTTAGTTTTTTTGTTATTTTTTATTTATTTTACAAAATGTTGTTATGTTTGATAATACATCCTATTGGGATGATTGATTAATAATAATGGTATTAAGTGTTGATATTTAGTTTAGTTATTACAGTTTGTATTGTTTGTTTTAATGTTGGTGATGTTGTTGTTGTTGTTGCTGTTGATGAATTTGTTGTTGCTGTTGTTGTTGTTGTTGATGTTGTTGCTGTTGAATCTGTTGCGCACGATGTTGCTCAAGAATATCTTTCTGTTGTTGTTGTAGCAGTGAGAATAATTGGCTATTACCACCGTTTGATTTTTGCTGTTGGATGCTCTCCTCTGGGTGGTATGTCAACATCTCGTTGTATATCAACTCCTTGAGTAGCTCTTTGTTGAGATCCCAACCTTCAAAGTTGAGGTTGAATTTGTGGAGGCAGATCGGTTCGTCAGAGGGGTCGTGCAGTGATGCGAAATACGGGTGATTCAAAGCATCCTCCACTGTGATTCTCTTGTCGGGATCGAATATCAACATCTTGTCCAATAGATCCAACGCAACTGGATTGGCACCCGGGAACAAAGTTGAAAGCGGTACTTTTGGACGACCTGCCAGTGACTTTACAAACTGTCTTGCCTGTGGATTGGCGATATTAGCTAGATCTTCTTCCTCAACCGAACCAATGATATCTATAATAGATGAAATTTGATGTATATCTTTGTTTTGTTTGAAAATAATAGATAGTAATTAGTTAATTTGTTTATAATAATAATATAATAATAATATTTAGTTAGACATACAATCTTTTCCTTGGAACATTGGCTTTCTACCTAGAATCTCACCAAATATACAACCTACAGACCATACATCAACTAATAAAAAGTAAAAAAGGTTAAAAATATATGATTAGTTACAAAGATTATTAATAATCAAAATTGATTAATGACTTACTAGCTTTAGAGTATTGATTCCATGACAAGATGATTTCAGGTGCACGGTACCAACGAGTTGCTACATACTCTGACATGAATCCCATATGAGACGCATTTGCTACTCTTGCTAAACCTAAATCGCAAATCTTTAATAAACAATCTCCATTGATAAGTAGATTACCCGGTTTCTATATAAAATTATTAATAAATTTAAATTAGAAAAATATCGTTAATATATATAATGATGATCATCTATTAATTTAACTTACGAGATCTCTATGTAATACATCAGCAGAGTGAATCATCTTTAAACCTCTCAACATTTGATAAACAAAGTACTGACAATGGTCGTCTGTCAACGGTTGTGCAGAAGCTACGATCTGATAGAGATCGGTATCCATCAACTCTGATACAATATAAACATCGTCAAACTCTTCTTTTGAAACTGGTTTAAGAATATCCGTAATAGATATAATCTAATAAATAAAAATATTAATATGAGTACTCAATTATATATATAATTTATCTATCAATCTCTATTTTTAATACATTACATTTTCATGATTGAAATGTCTTAGTAGATGAATCTCTCTTAATGTTCTCTTTGTATCTTTTAGGTTGTCGAAAGCTCTGATAATCTTCTTGATCGCCACTTTCTTGCCAGTGAGATTGTCGTGAGCGGAACACACTATACCATAGGCACCTTGACCGACACACTTTATAAGACTATATCTCTTTGGTACCGTAAAGGTTGTTCCATGTACAGAGTAGGTTTGTCTTTCATCCATTGATTGTGTAAGTACTGCACTATCTTCTTCTTTATGTTCTTGTTGATGTTGTTGTTGCTGCTGTTGCTGTTGTGCATGTTGTTGTTGCTGTTGCTGCTGAAGTTGTTGCTGTTGTTGTTGTTGTTGTTGTTGTTGTTGTTGTTGTTGTTGTTGTTGTTGTTGTTGTTGTTGTTGCTGTTGTTGAACACCATCCATCAACTCAATGATAGAGTCATTTCCAGTTACATTAAAAGTTGCTTGTGGTGGTTGCAAATATCGATCTGCCTCCATTTGAGCTTGAAAATGATCATAGTTTGGCTCCATCTTTATTAGAAAATCAATGTATACTATTTATACTATTTATACTTAATATAAATTTAGTATATCTTTTTTTGTTTAATATATCTCTAAATATTTTCGTTAAGATATGAAAAATAATTATTGAAAAACAAAAAAATAAAAAAAAGAACAACCTAATTTTAGCTGCGCAAAAATAATCAAAAGAAAAAAAAAATTGTTATGAACAAATAAATCAAAAAGTTTTAACTTTCAGTTTGTTTGGTTTAACCAAAAAAGGTTATTTTCTTTTTTTTTTTTTTTTTTTTTCAAAAAATTTTAAGTTAAAATTTGTGTTTATTGAATGCCTTTCCTTTCTATTTTTTATTATTATAGTTTTTGTCTGTTTAAAAAAAAAAAAAAAAGAAATAAACATTCAAGAGGTGAAGTGAAGTTAAAAAAAAAAAATATCATTTTTTTGAAATTTCATCAGTTCAAAAAATCTTTCTATTTTATATCAACCCATAATGATATTGATTCGATTTAGGCAATTTGACGGATAAGTCCAAGACCTAACAAATCATACTTACCTGATGACAATGATTTGGTGATCAACTCAGGCCAAATCTTCTCTTTTTGTCGTTCCTCTTGCACACCTGGGATGTATTAAGGCGACTAACCGTAAGGCTAGTCGGTTATCAAATTTCTGGTAGTGGTGGAGTTTGCGCTCGTCGCATCTCCACTGTACATTAAATAATTTAAAAGATAAAAAAATATAATTGAATGTTCGAGAGAATATTAGAACTGATGAAAATTGAGAAGTTTATAAATTTTTTTTAACCTTTTATCAATCTTAAATAGAGTAAATAATCTAACTTCGATAGTAAGCTGAACCTCTGCACTAATATATAGATATCCCTTTTTTTTTAATTCTATATTTCAGCTGAACATTATCATATTGTTAACTCAATTTTTTTATTCAAAGGTATTCTTGTAAAATTTAAAGTAAAAAAAAAAAATTAAATTTCTTGCCCTGGGATGGGATTCAAGAAAAGATGGATCGTATGCAATTTTTTTGGGTTTTGTTGATACCGTCAAGATATTTTACAATTTTTTTTTCAAATTTGAAAATAAGATAAGATATTTTATTTTTTTATTCCTGGTTCGTCGAATCTACGGTATTCCTTCGCCTCAACAATTCGATTGTTTTACTTCCTCTTCAATTAAATCTTTTCACTTTTTTATATATATATATTTTTGTATTATTAAAAATAAGATCATTTATGAAATTTATAACTTTAGCTTTATTCGTCTTGCTGGTCGTTGGTATGATCAATGCCCTCCAAGTTGTTGACAAAGTCGACAAACCATCATTCTGTCCAACTATTCACAAGGAATGGGAATGTATGCTTGCAGGACAAGTTTGTGTTTGGAATAAAGGAAAATGCCAGTCTAACCCATACTCTACAACTCAAGAAGAAGAGAGTGCCAAGCCATCAAAGGAATATGTTTCTTCACTCTTGGAAGGTTTCACCTTGAACCAGAACGATAACTCTGATGTTGCCGAAATGCTAAAGAACAATGAATGGGCTTGCAATATTCTCAAGACACCAGCCAAGTGTCTAATTGGTACAATGGCTGGTCATTGTTTATGGTGGGGTGGTAAATGTCATACTGTCTAAACCCTTCTCTTTTCAATGCAATCAGTATCAATAGTATAAATATTCAAATAAAAATAAATCTTTTATTCATTATTTCTTAAGATTTAGTTTTGTAAATTAATTTACTAAAAATAAATATTTTAATACAAAAAAAAAAACCTATGTATTCAATATCTAGAATTTCCAAAATATTTATCCATTTTATAATATAAATATTGGATCTAAATAATATCTAATTTTTTTTATATGTAATAAATTGAATAAACAAAATTGTACCATGTTTTTGGCCAAAAAGAGAAATTGAAAATTTCTAATGAAATATTAATATTAATTGATAGATGATAGTTTATTTAATAAATTCTTAACTCTTTGATTATCATCTGAGGATATTTTAATGAGGATCTGAATAGTCGATTCAATTGACTTCTTTGGTATGTTGTTTAATGATTTAGATTTACTGACAATGTATTCCAATGTTGTTAGATAAGAGGGATATCTTTTAATATGATTAATATCCTTTCCAATGATATCTTCGAATATCATATTTGTATTATTATCTATGAACTGCTGATAGTTTATAGTTGATATGTTTTGAGATATTTGATTTAATTGTTCAACTGACGTCGATAAAGATAATGATATATCCAATAGAATTAATAGTCTTGTAATTAAATTGATTGATTTAGGAGTGCCACTATGAATAGCTTTGTTGAATCTCATGGAAACAATAGTCAATATCTCGAGAGAAGTTGATTGACAACGATTAGATTGTTCTGTATAAAGTAACTGTAGTTGTGTTTGTAATAGATTAAGCAATACGATGTCATTGATTGCTGTTGTTGTTGGTACTGTTGTAATTATATGTTTGAGTACTCTCAACAGACTGTGTAGTGTGTCTCTGTGTGTTGGTGTTGTCAACTCTTGTTTTACCAATGACAGCAGACGAGGTAGTACAACAGAGCTATCCATAGATGCACCTACCAGCTTGCATATCTCGACTATCTTTAGCTGAATAGACGGTATCATATCGTTTTCCTCCACTGAAAGAACCTGTAGAATGGCATCGATGAACGGTAGCATAGACTCTCCACCCAGATAACAAAGCATAAGATACAATATTCCCACTTTAATCTCTCTGGAGTTTGGATCCAATTCATTGTTGTGAAAGTTTGAATAGTAATATCTCATGATCTTCTTTGCATTCTGTCGTAGATATTTCTTTGATCTCTCGTCTATTGCCATTGTATTAGATTGATACCATGTTAGATTCAATGATTTTATAATTGAATCAATATCGATTGTTGCTGTTGTTTCTTTATCTTGTTGTTCATCTGATTCTACCTCTTCTTTTAGACATATTTGTGCAATGTTTGATAGCGATTGGTGAGATGATTCTAATACGTTGGGAATGTCGGATGCACAGAGTGAGAGTAGACAGTTCAATAGGAGTGCATTGTGTTGACGAAACGATGAACGAACATCGCTACACATCCAGTGTTGTAGAGATGTAGCAAGAGTGTTTCGCACGGCTGGAGAGTGGTCGATCGCCAACGCTGTAAGATGCTGTTCGATTGCATCGATCATCTTGATAGCTCCACACTTGCTGACAAACACTGTCAATGCCTGTAACGATAGTGATCGTATCTTTTGATGACGATCCGCTAGGTTGTTGATTAAGCTCGGTACCAGCTGACCCGTATACAATAGCATTCGCGTCGGTATCTTCTCGGTAAGATGAATGATTGTTGCGGTTGTCAGTTCGATCTGTTGGTGATTACGATCGGTAAGAGCACGCTTGAAAATAACAACAAATTGTTCACAATATGCTGATAGTAGTTGTTGATCTATTGAATTGTTATTGTTGTTGTTGTTGTTGTTATTTTTGGTGATAAGTGTATCTATCAATTCGATTATGTTGATTCTAACTTCCTCTACTTCTTCTTTTGCTAGTTGGTTGTCGAGTTGCAAGAGAAGACGTCGATCGAACATCGTTGTGACAAACAAGCCTGGCTCAGTCGAGACTGCCAAATGGGTCATCATCGATATGCTAAACATTCTAGATCGTTCAAGACCATCTTGAAGAAGCGTCAATAGACACGATGAAAGACATTCTATCAGCTCGATTTGGTGTGATCGATCGTTTGTATAGAGATCTGCATTGTCGACAATTGACTTTTGTAATCTTTCAATTGCCTTTTTCCTTTGAAATGTACTACCACCTTCTTTACATAATATATTTACATCACTATTAATAATATCTTTTAATTCATTGAATATCATTATATATCTTAAAATTAATAGTAGATGAATTAAAACGAAAAACGAAAATTAAACACAGAAAAAAAAAAATCGATAACATTCGTCTTTAGACATTGACTAACTTTGTTTCGTTTAAAAATAAATGATAACTTAATTGTCAACAAATTAATTTATAAATAGTTATTTTCTATTACTTTTTGATGTCACCTTTCCTTACACAAGAAAAGAATATTACATTATTTATTAGAAGTAGATAATTTACAATTGTAAAAATTAGGTTGAACAAACTCTTGATTTGTATGTATTTTTATTGATTAACAACGGTATTCAATCGTTTTCTCATAATTTTACTTTCTCTTTTGAATCTATTTTTCTTTTTCATTATTATTATTGTTGTTACGATTGCTGATACGACTGCTGCAGATACAACTGTTATAATGGTAGCTAACTTCCAAGGTGGCATTTTGTTGGATGAGTCACAATGATCGATGTTGTCATCAGTGTTGGACATTAACACAGAGAAATCGGGATCGATAGCACATTCTTGACAATAAGGTAATACCATTCCTACCAGTAGGGTGTCCGACGTCGAATTCACTTGCTGATTGACGATGCCAATCGTATGATTGTCTGCCTCTGCATACGGTAGGAATCTTCCGTAGAGCGAGACACTGCCGATCGACATTCGGATATAGTCTATCTTGGCATTGTCATTCGATTCCACTACCAACTTGTCACATTCATTGTCATCGACGGTTACCTTTGATTCCAAGAGAACACGAAGTTTATTGAGTCTATCTTGGAATGGCCAGCTACCGATATTGACAGCCAGTTTGATGCTGTGTGGAGAGTAGATTGTTTTCTGACCGGCAAACTCCAACTCTCTTTGATTGGGTGAGTGTTCAATGATGGCTGTCACTCGTTCCATTGAACCGGCGGGTCTATGCAATTGGTAGGTGGCACGAGTCAGTTCACTAGTGACAACCTCATTGTGAATCCATTCTTTGGTGAATAGCTCTTGGATGATTTCGTCGAGTGGATTGAGCTCTTGGATAGCAACCAAATTGAAAGTGAAATTCAAACCTTCTCTTACCACCATGGTTGGTGCGGGAGTAGTTGAATTTGGCGAAACGATTACATTGGACATTAGTTTCGATTCACAAAAGTGGCCACCGTATCCAAATAGACACTGGCATCGACCGGCAACGCACTTTCCATTGCCGCTACATATGGAGGCACCAGTTCTAGTACTAATACAGTCTTGTTTGGAAATGAACATCTCTCTGGATACATTATATCCATTGGCATAGATTCGTAAGGGATGGACAATGTTCTCTTGTAAAGCCGGTACACTACAAATTAAATGAGTGGCATTCAAAGAGGTGGTATTACACGGAATACTTTCATTAAATGAAATCCAGGCAGAAACATTGTAGGGATTCGGTCCAAAGTTACCAGTGATCATTAAATCACCTCCTTCATTAGAAATAGAAGATACTGATGTAACATTTAATTCTAAAAAAAGTAATATTAATAAACAGCTTTGTAAATAAATTGTTTACTATAATTTCAATTTTGAAAAACATACCAGGTGCACTATATAATCGTTGAATCGTTAATGTGTCATCAATGGATATTGATTGTGGTTCTGAAGTTGAGTAGCTTGGAATTAAACAATTTAATTCATAGGTTGAGAGGAAAGAAATTGGACATATTGACTTTTGACTGCCAATGGATACTTGAAGAGGTGCAAAAGTATTAAATATACCATAGAGTCTAACTAGTAAATCTCCAGTAAATAAATTTTGGGTTTGAATAAAACTAACAGTTACTATAATAGTTAAAATAAAAAAAAAAATTAGTTATTGTTATTTTTTAAATAGTTTATATTAAATTTTACATTTCGGTCCCCAAAATATTTCAAAATTATAACCTCTTGATCTTGAAAAGCTAATATTAGCTCTTCCAGCTGGTTGGTTTATAGTATATCTAAAAAAATAAATAAAAAAATTAATATTTGGAAAAAAAGAATTAAAAATAAAGAAGATATATATTTACTGGAATAATTTGTTAGTTTTTAAAATAAAAAGACCTAATGTAGTATCTCTTCCATATCCCAAATTATTTCCAGCGATACTAATTTCAGCTAAATCAATTAAAAAATTAGCAAATAATTTTCAACAAAAAATAAAAATAAAAATAAACTTACTTTGATAATTATCAGCTAGATTATAACCGTTGGATTCGAGTGTAATATCTAAATAATTGATGTTAGAGTATCAATTATAAAAATATTATTCTATTATATTCAATACTTACTGCAATTAAAGCCTGCTGGAATAGGAGGTGTGTTGGCTGGTAATTTATTCATTAATTCGGTCCAATAGCAATAGAAACATTCTGGTACAAAGGGATCGACCAAAGTTGTATCTACGAGGTAAACCTGGGAAACAAAGCACAAAGAAGGATATAGTTGGGATGTAGCGTTTTGTATTCCTAAAATAACTATTGATGTTGGTGATAGAGCACTGAAATCCATTAAATGGCCATAAGTACGTGTATTCAAAAGAGAACTATTTAATATACATAATAATATTAATTTAATAAATATTAATGTTGTTGTTTATCTTTTATAATAATATATTATTCTTACAGTGAGAAATATGGGCTAAACCATGAATCATCTGGCATATTTGGAACCAATGAATTATTAACTAATCTAAAGAAGAAATTATTAATATACTTTTTAGCAAGAAAATAAATAAATAAAACCACTTACAAATTGGTTAGACCAGATGCTTTAAGTAATGGTTGTGTACAAGCTTGGATTTCGCTAAAAATAAAAATAAATTAAAAATAAATAAAAAAATAAATAAAAAATAAAATAAACTTACAGTGATTTTAGATTTGGATATTTACTAAAATCTGTGATTGAGACAGCACTAGTTTTGAATTCGCTAATCAAATACAAAATTAATTCAACTTTAAAAAAATTATAAAGTATAAAACTTACATAGTTGTGAGGTTGAGTTGGTCTTCAATTGTTACTAATCCATTGGTAACCGATCTTTAGAAAATAAAATATATTAGTTTTTTGTGAAATTTTTTTAATATTAATTTCTTACAATGCGCTCAGTGCCATCGAATCAACTGTAACATTTTCTGGAATTTTGAATTCTATCACAAGGTAGTAAAGAGATGGGAAAATATTTTGGCTAACTTTTAATAAACCATTTGCTTCGATTACATTTACATTGGTTATAGTTCTAGTAATAAAAATGAGTTAAGAATTGCGATTTAATTCATTAATTTTAAAAATTTTGAAAATCTTACATAGTTTGAATATTTTGGTAGGTAATATTAGAATCTATTTTTAAACTGTATCCAGTCACAAAGCTAATATCACTAAGTGTAAGATATCTGGTTGTGGAATTCAAAAGTGTAGCGAAAGAAATATCAGAGTATAGAGCAGAGTTTCGAATAACACTTTTAAAAACAAAAATAGAAGTTAATAAAAAATAATAATAAAAAAAAAAAATAATAATAACTTACAATTGACTTAGGAATAATAAATTTGATGGAAAGTTGGTGGGAACGGTAACATTCATATTCAGTAACGCAATGTTTTCCAATTTAATGTCATTATATTGGTTATCGAGAAGACTAAGAATATTAAAAGAGTCGTTTAAGGGTGGAATGGTGCTATCAATCGAAAATAAAAATAAGTTTGGGAAGATCAAAGCTGGAATGTTATCTGGTGATCCGTGATACACAGGTGATCCGGTTTTAATATTACTATTAAATGATAATAAATAATTTAATAATTGATCATAGAAAATTGATTGAATATTTTATACATACATTGATAATATGGATTGTCTTTCACCAACAGTTTCGCAAAATAAATTGCCACCATCTGGATTATTGATGGTAATATCCTCACAGGTGTTACCAGTTATATTCCAATTAACTTGATACTTTTTTATTCAATTAATAAAAACTATCATTAATTAAATCTATATTATTATAAATACATACTTGTTGAATTAACCATCTTATTGAATTTACTAAATTAATAAAAATAATTAAATATATTAATATTATATCCTAAAGGATACTACTCATTCTAATTATTTTATACTTACATTCTAAATTTGCAAGAGAAACTCCACTACAAAAATTAATAAATCCTAAACAATTTATTATGGATAATAATATGAATATATATTTAATATTCATTTTTTAATAATACAAATAAGTAATAATTTTTTAAAATTTGAAAAATGATTTGGGTAGAAAAAGGTTTATTTTTTTTATAAAAAAATGATATTTGAGTTTGATATTTATATATATCCATCTAAGTAAATAATTATTTAGTAGTTTACCTTTTTGTTTTTACAAAAAATAAAAGATATTAGCTAGAAAATATTAATTTAAAAAAATCAGGATATTTTTCAAAATATTGTTATATGTTAAATGAAAATCTAAAATATTATGTCCGATTGCTGCCTATGATATGTTGGATGATAGATGGATGAAGAGTTTTAATTTTAATTTGTAAAACAAACAGAAGAAATTTTCAATCCAAAAATAAATATTTGGATATTTTGATTCTAATTTTCAGAGTCTTTCCTCCTATCTCCAAAAAAAAAAAGTTTAAAAAAAAAAAAAAGAAGGGAAGGTGGGGTTATAACTATATTATAATTTGAATTATTGATGATGTAAGCCGGACTATACATCTACAAAAAAACACAAAAAAACCCTACTATGATGTTAATGATGATGATGATGATGATTTGAAATCCAATCGTTCTACAAAGTAACAACAAACATCCAGATTAATTTATCGATTTTAATAATATTATTAAAAGTTTTATCATGATACATAAAAATTCCAAAAAAGATCAATAAAATTTACATTTTTTTAAAAAATTTTGCAAAGATTTTTTTTTGAACTTTTTATCAATTTGAATCTTTTTTTTTTTTTGTTGGTAATTTGGTGAAGTTCTAATCTAATTTAGATTAGATGTTTATTTTATTATCAAATTGATATCCTAATTAGAAATGTGATATTAATAAATAACTGTTTGTTCATTTGTACAAACTTCAATATGAGGCAACTTGTTCTTGCTTTTGATGTTCACTTATTTACCTACCTTTTCAACAACTAAAACAACTGTGACTCATTGATACGTATTTCTATGAACAAAATATAGATATTTATAATTTTAAAGACCTGGTACTCTATATTAATAAATACCAGCACCATAATATTATAACAGATATTTAATGAGATTATAGAGTTGCAATAGGAGGAAAGATGGTTTCAATAAAATCCAAATCAATAACAAATCAAAATTAAAAATTAAATTAAAAAAAAATTTGCAAAAAAAAAATTATTCCCCAATATTGTTTACTACAAAAAAATATTAATTGCAATCAATCAATTAAGCAGGTTCATTTCTTGACTTATTACCATGATCTCTCTCTTTTTTTTATAATAGTTTTGTAATTACAAAAACACAATATAATATAATATATAAAGTTTATACCATAAAAAAAAGAGTATCCATAGTCAAGTATGAACACTATATACGTCATATTAGTAGTTACATCTTATTTTTAGTAATGTTATACATTTGATTGTAAAAATAAAATGACTATATCTGCAACTTCTCATCATAAAAAGAGATTCTACCCCCAAAAGGTAGATGAGTTTGTAAATTTACTTATTATGTAGATTAATCTTTGGAAAGCTATAAAATGGAAAGAGTGAGATAGTTTTTGAACATTAAATATAAATAAATGAATTTAAAATTATTTAGTTTATTATTATTTTTATTACTTGTATTTGTTTGGTAAGATTTTCAACTTGATCATCATTCATTACTCTGAAACAACACTAACAATAATTTATAAATGTTTCGAAAAGTGTACAATGTGATGACACCACTGGTCATTTCCCTCAAAATCATTTCAATTCTGGAAGATGTTATGGAAATGGTGCATTGTAAGTATTAATAATAATAATAATAAAATATATTTAATATATTAAAAGCAAAAAAAAAAACAACATTATTTATTATTATTTGTTTTCACATTCATTTACTAGTTGTAAATATGATTATGAATGTTGTTCTCAACATTGTCTTCATGCAAGTTACTGTGCACCCGCTGGATATACCACCAAGTAAATTGATCATTTATAACATGTTATAAAAAAAAAAAATTAAAAATAAGTAATAATAAATTTATTCTATTTCTTTGTATTTTGTAATTTCTTATTCTTGTTACTGTTGTTACTATTTGATTTTTGATGATTTTGTTGTTGTTGTTGTTGCTCTGTATTATTATATAGTAACTGCTCGGATACATCTACTTTTTCATTAACTATTTTGTTGTTATCTTTTGATTGTTGTGACTTCTTTGATGGTTGTTGTTGCTGTTGTTTGATCGGTTTTTCTTTTTCTTTTTCCTCACCTAAAAGCTGTTGTTTCTTTTGTTGTTTTTGTTGTAGCTGTTTGTTTTCCTTCAACTGTTGTAGCTGTTGTCTGTGTTGCTGCTTTTTCTTTTCAATCTCTTTCTCCTCCAATTCCAATCGTTCTTGTTTCTGCTTCTGTTGTTGCGCCAGTAATTCCTTATGATTCTGTTTCTTCTCATTGGTTGCCTTAACAAACATATCATAAACCTCTTTCTTTTCATCATTTTGCAATAATGTTGATGATAATGATAATGATGATGATGTTGTTGTCGTTGTCGTTGTAATATCCAATGATTGTATTTGTTTTTCAAGTTGTTGAACTTGTTGTTGTTGTTTTCTAAATGTATCTCTTGATGCAAGTGTCAGTTTCGAGAGTCTGTTGTAGATATCCTCTGCACCGTCGTGGAATAGAATGCCGAATGCACTGACTTTGATGTGCACGTTGATAAGTCGACCAATGATTCTTCGGCTGAGTGCAAATGTATAGAGCAGCTGTTTAGATCTACAGAGTCTGATGATGGACTTGATCGATTCGTTGAGACCACCCGGACAGTTGATATCCTCTATGTTTGGAGCAATGATGACAGCAGACAACTTTCCACAATCGGCAGCTCTCTCAATCTCACGAAGTCCCGTAATGAATCTCTTCTTTGGTTTATCGGGATTCTTCAATGCATAGTTATCTTGAAACTGTTTGATCTTCACAATGAACTCTCTGGCAGTATCATCAATCTCCTTTGTACAAACTTGATTCATATATTCTTGAACAACAGCAACAGCAACCTCACTATTGACACCAACATTATTTGGTGTGGTAGAAGTAGTATTATTTGAAGATGTAGTAGTTGTAGTGGTAGTAGTGGTAGTTGTTGTTGTCTCTTCTTCTTTTGCATTTAATGATGATTCTTCTATTTCTCTTTCTGTTTCAACTTTATCTAAACTATCAATATTTTGTTGATCTTTTATTTGTTCCAATTGTTGTTGTTGTTTCAATTGTTGCTGTTGTACATAATTTTGTTTTAGTTGTTTATACAATAATATATTTCTCTTTAACGATGATATTTTTTTTCTTTTTTTGGTATGTCTCTAAGGAATAGTTTTCTTTTTCTTTGTCAGAGTAGATGTTGTTGATGTTGAAGATGGATGTACAGATGATAATGTCGATGGAAATGTTTGTTTTGTTGTTAAATTATTATTTATTGATTTACTGTTGTTTATTGATTTAGTACTACTATTATTATTATTATTACTAATATTTTGTTTATTATTACTTTTTATACTAAATTTATTTACATATGGTTGATTTATAGGTATACTATTGGTTTTTGCAACAATAAATTCATACATAGTTGTATTATATTTATTATTACTATTATTATTACTATTTACATTGGATGTTGATGATTTCTTCTTTTTGATAACATTAACTTTCTTTTTACTATTATTTGTATTTGTATTATTTGTACTATTACTATTTGTATTTCTCTGATTCGGATTCTTACTATTATTATTATTATTATTAATATTCGATTTAGATATTGGTTTATTATTTATCTTTAACTTTTCGGTACCAATAAGTTTCTCTTTATTTGATGATTCTTTATATCTATCTATCATCTTTATACTTGCATCTTTTTGAGTATTATTACTACTCTTCGAAGTTTGAATATTAAGCTTAGGTGTAGATGTAGTTGTTGTAGTTGTTGTTGTTGTCGAACTCATTGTCATTGTCTTTGATTTAGTTGAATTCATCATTATATATTTACAATGTCCGACTAAATAATATAATTATTCCGACAAACAATGTTGTCACTCCATTCCACAACCTCTAACTTCTCAAAAAAAAAAAAAAAAAAAAAAAAAAAAAAAACAGAATTAAAAAATATAATAATAATACTTTTAAAGTTAAAGTTAATAGGTTGGCATAAATCTATGTTTTATTTATTTATACTGTTGTTGTTGTTGTTGTTGTTATTATTAATATGAGCTAATTGTTGTTGATGTTGTTTTTGATTACAATTTTGGGATGATGATGATGATGAATGAATGAAGTTGTTATTTGTTTTTTTTTCTTTTACAAATTAATTATAAACAAAAAAAGAGATAATGTTTTTTTAAAGGGTGGCAATAAGACCTTCTAAATCCTCTTTGTTATAGATCTTAAACTTCTTGTCTTTCTTTGTAATGACGGCGACTTCGACGTTGGTGGTGGTGATTGCTTCTTCCATGACTTGTTTCAATGTGGTCAATGCCAACTGCTGTGCCTCTATCAATGTCAATGTCTTTGAATACTTTTCTTGCAGTGTAATCTGTGCACCCTCTGAACCGGCACCAATAGCCTTTGCATTATATTGTGTAAAAGTACCGGATGGATCTGAATGATATAAAGATGGTCCTCTTTCATCTACACCTGCAATCAACAAAGCAACACCAAATGGACGACTCTATTAAAACACAACATACACATACATTTGATTAGTTTATTATTTTAGTTATTAATTTTTTAATAACTTACCATTTTCTCTTCACCTTCTTTACGATTCTCACCGAAACGAAGCGCGAGATCACAGATTGATTGTACACAAGATTCTACACCCATTGGTTCGTCAAAGTTGAATCTATGATTTTGAGTTTCGATACGTGCGTGATCTATAATGGTACGAGAGTCAGCAGTGAGACCAGACATTGCACAGATCAAGTGGTAGTCGATCTCAACGACCTTCTGGATTGATGATGGCTCCAACAATGTCGATGTCAATCTCTTCTCGACTGCCAATACAACACCTTCCTCACATTGAATTCCGATCGCTGTTGATCCCAACTTGATTGCCTCCAGCGCATACTCTACTTGAAACAAACGACCTTCTGATGAGAATGTATTTACATCACGGTCATATTCTGATCTAGTTAAAAACATCTTTTTACGTAAAAAATAATATCTTATATAATATATAATATAAATAAATATGTAGGTATAATAAAATTATAAGTTAAAGTTTAATAAAATAAAAATAAAGTTTTTTAATAAATTAGTAATTTAAAAATTGGTGTGTGTGATCTTCAAAAAAAATTTTGCTATCACTTGATTTGAAGTTCAAAAAAAAATGATTCTACATAAAAATATTATTAACTTTTGTTAAAAATCAGATAACAATACTTATTTCAATTATCAAATATTCTTTATTTCATTTTAAATCTGTATAGATTGGTTAAATATATCAATAGATTTTACAAATAATGAATGTTCATTTCTTATCTGTCTGAATCCAAAAACAAATAAAAGTATAAATCAAGATCTACCTTACTCCTGTTTTGTAAAATATAGTTTTATAAGAAATAATCCAATGTTTGGCTCTTGAGAATGGAATATTCAATGGATTTCGTTAGATATCTGTGTGAGCAAATTCTTCACCTTACCACTTGTTAAATCATTTATGTCTAATTTTTGAATTTGATTTGGTCATGAATTTCTCTTCAAAAATGTTATGACACTTGTCAAAGAATGTTGGAATGTAAGTGTTAATGTAATCAAAAACATTTCAAAAATGTGCTAAAAACTTGTTGTTTCTATGCTATTGTTTGTGGTTGTGGTTATCATTATTATTTATTTTCATGATGATGATGTTTAAATATATTATAATAATTTAATAATGTTATTACTATAGGTATGATTATTTTAGACAGAGATGTTTGGTGGTGGTGGTTGTAAACTATCGGAACTAACTACCCAGATGCATATGGACTTGTCGTAGCTGGCACTCCAGAATTCCCAGCGTACCTTTCGGCTGTTGAAGCAAAAGACGGCGTCGGTTACAGCGTCGGTGTGGTATTGGTCGAGGACACCCTTGCACTCGTAGGTGCGTGGGTCCCACATTCTGATCGAAGAGTCACGCGAACACGACCAGATCGAATTGGCAATCGATTTCAGCGAGTTGATCATGAGCATCTCGGGATGGTTGATTGTATTTATGATGTTGAGGGTGCGTGGATCGATGACAAAGATGGTCTTGTCCTCGCTACCGGCCCACACCATCGGTTCCTCCATGAAAGCGTGACACACCAGACACGAGATGTTACGACTGGCCGGTGTTTTCAGTTGGTTGAGCAACTCACCGGTTGTTTTATCAAAGATGTTGATCACTCCGTTGTTACAGCCCGCCCACACCTGGTTGGAGTCGCCAAAGATCTCCACCAACGACAGGATAAACTGGCCGGGCAAGTCGATGGTCTGTACGATTTCGTTTTGTGTTGTCGATATAATGGTTATTTTCTGTTCGCTGCCTGCCCATACACGGAGTTCGCCGTGTGAGTAGACCGGTGTGAGTGATGTGTGCAATCCGCTGAATTTTCCGTCGGCTTCGTCGCGTGTCGAGTCGCGTCCCCACACCGAGACACCGGTGGAGCTTGCTATCCAGGCGCGATCCTTCACCGTTATCAGCGAAAAGATACGGCCAATCTTGGGCAGCTCAAACTCACGCTCCGTTGTATAGGTTTCCGCGTTGTAGATTCGCACGGTGCCAGCAGAGTCGGCCGTCCAAATCAACTTGCTATCGCCATTGTCCATGATAGAGATTGTCTGACAGGTCTTCTTGTAACCGCCCATCTTGTAGAGAAAAGAAACCTTGAGATCGCCCTGAGTCAGCGATTCGTTTAGCGCATTGAATATATAGTCCCCTTCCTCCAACATCAGTGTCATCAACAGCTTGATCTTGCCTGCGCCCGACATCAACTCCATCATATCATTTGTGCTGACGGCCTTGCCGCCCTTCCACAGCAGATTCGGGCCAAACACTACACCCAAATTCTCTGCAGTCATCTTGTTGTAGGTGGAATTGATAGCGACCTTGCCGAGGAAGCACACCAGCTCCTTCAGGAGCTCGAGGTTGTCGGGACGCAACTCCAAGCAGAGTTCGCGCATCTTTTGAATCTGTCCAATGCGATCGTGGTTGAGCGACGCTATGAAGGCATCGTATTTATCGGTTTGCAGCAGGCAGTCTTGCATCTCTCTAAAGTATATCTTTATCAGATCGGCGAGATCGACGGGGTCGAGCTTGCCCTCGACAAACTCTATTTGCTCGCCACGATCCAACTGCATCTGTAGCTGTTTGACACGCTCTTTTGTACCGGCGATACGAAAGATACCCTCGATCTGCAGTCCATACTGAATAATATATTTGAATCCATTGTGTAAGAACAGTGGTATACGCAACTCTGGATGTGTCTTTCTCTGTGCAATCATCAACTCTGGCAGTGGTGCTCCAAATATCTTTCCACCCGCCAAATTTCCAGATCCACCAGCTCCACCTCCATATATTCCACTTCTAGTTGCCATTCTATTATATTTTATTTACTATATATATCTATCTTCTAAAATGATCCAACTAAAAACACTATTCTATTCTATTCTTTTTTGATTATTTCTACAATAAATAAATATAACAAACTAAACTAAACCAAACTAAACTAAACTAATATCTATCTATATCTATATTCTATCTTATCTAAACTTAATTAGCTAATTAGTTAATATCAAAAATAGGGTTTGATAATTTGAATCACCAAGTCTAAAACAACAACAATAATAATAATAGTACAATGAAATCTCGAGATTTTTTGTTTTGTATGTTTTTTTAAAAAAAAAAAATAACAATTATTTTTAAAAAATAAAATAAAAAAAAGGTATAATGATAATCTAATCTATGTATCTGGTGTTGATCAATCTACACTAAAAAAAAAAAAAAAGAAACTTCAAGTCAAATGTAGTTGTAGTAGAAGTAGTCGTATAACAACAAAACTATCTTGCTAACTATGATGATTTGAAGTTGATGACTGATTACTTGTACATATCATAATACTAACTAATATTATTATTTGCTATTATCAGTATTAACAGTGATTGAGAGTGAATTAATTATTGATTGATTGATTAATTGATTGATTGTCGTTGAAATTGTGTGTTGGTTTTTATTTCTATTTTTTGTTAATTGTTTGGTTTGTGAAAATGAATAGTAAGAATGTAAAGAGCTGCTGGTGGTGGTGGAAATTAACAATAATAATCCTAAACAAAATCAAAATCAAATAAACGAAAAAAAAAAAGTTAGTTGGTTTGATGAAAACAGACCAAACAGAGAAGAGAGATAAAGAAAGAGGAAATAAATATCAAAAACCAAAATCAAAAAAAGGTGTTGGTGTTGGTGTTGGTAGTAGTAGTTTTAAATAACAAACCAATACAAAATAGCTATTAACAACAATATTGTACTTTCAATTGAAGGTAATTGCACCTTCACTCGAGTGAGGAGTGAAATTGGTAGTGGTGTGCGTGTGTATGTGTGTTTGGGTTATGTGGTTGATTGCTATGTGTGAATTCAGATGCAGTGTTGCACTATACTTACTAAGATTACTGTTGTTACTATTACAATTGCTGTTGTTCTTCTTACCACACAAAGATAGTGGTATTGTTATATTTTGTTAATTGTTTTTCTTTCTTTTACTAATTTTGTGAAACTCCTCTAACCTGTAAAATAAAAAGGTGATTGCTTTGTTTTTTTAATAGTAATGTTTCGACAAAACCTAATCCTTTTCTTTTTTTAGTGCTAGAGTGATAATGAAAAAAAAAAAAATCAAAAAAAAAAAAAATCAAAAAAAAAAAAAAAAAAAAAAAAAGGTGAGTTTAGTGGCATGGTTTTTAAATGATTTGGTAACCGATCGATAACATCCTTACCCATGTGAAATAAAATATCGATCAAAGATTTAAAGTTTAGAATTTTATATTTTAATAAAAAAATATATTTAAAATTAAATTTCAATTGTTAAACTTAATCTTTATAATATTGATTACTTTGTTTGAATTGTCAATTCAAAAAAATAACAAATCGGATTTTATTTATTTTTAAGATTTACCAATAAATTTTTGATTTTTTATTTTTTTGATACTATTTTTTTTAAAAGATTTAAAAAAATAAAATTTGCTTAACCTTTTATATTTTTTTTTTGATTTATAATTAGCAACACAATCAACCACATAAAACTCTCAACTTTTACACTTGAATTCAATTCAGTTCAATCAATTCAACCAACAAAATAAAAACAATAATAATAATCGATCAGTAGTTAGTATGATCAGTTTTTTATTGTTTTAGTTATTATTATGAACATTTAAATCATCTGCAAAACTAAAACAAAACAAAAAGAAGAAGGTTAAAAGAAGATGAATTCAAACAATACAACATCGAATTCAAATTCAAATTCATCTTCACCGAATTTCTCATCTATTTCCACCAATGGTAACAACTCTGACTACAATCATCCGATACACCCGCAACAACAGCAACCGCATCACTATCAACAACAACAACAGCTCTATCATCAATCGAAACAACAACAACATCTACATTCAAACAGAGATCTTTCACATATGATGATGATGAACAACAATGGACATAACAATGGTGGTAGAGGAGGCGATAGAGAAACCAATCAAAGCAGTACAACTAACAACGATCAACAATCGGTGGATGATATCAAGTTGTTTGTTCAACCACCATCGACATCTCTGCTCTGTCCGATTCACAACGGTTTGTTTCGTGATCCTTTCATTGCCAAGTGTGGACATACATTCTGTCGGTCGTGTGTGCTGGCGCGAACCACAAACAATTCACGCATCGAATGTCCCATTGACCACACACAACTGGCAGACAACGATTTCTTTCCAAACTTGGCAATCAGTGCACAGATTGCCGACCTAATGATCTACTGTCGCTACGGACTGACAAAGTACAACGGTGAGTGGGTTCCCGATGAAAACGGTTGTAAAGAGAAGATTCGTGTCGCCTCGAAATTGGATCACGAAAAGATATGTGATCACGCAATCGTTGCATGTCCACACAACAACACATGTCCACCAATGAAAAGATATAAAATCAAACAGCATCTATTGTAAGTGTTATGTTAGTTAGTAAACAAACAATGTTTGTGTGTTTAAACAATATTGATACTTATCTATTTGTTTGTTATGTATGATCACAATGACAACAGAAATTGTAATCATATACATTGTCCTCATAGGTCGGCAGGTTGCACTTTTGAAGGAACTAAAGCGCAGTTGGATGATCATTTATTGGGCTGTGGATATGAGAGTATCAAGGATTATATTCAGAGGAATGAGGAGCAGATCAATATGATGCGAACGGTGCTCGAGGAAAAGAATACAGAGAACGATATATTGAAGAAGAGTATTATACAGTTGACATCGAGATTCGACCAGTTGGCTTTGAAACTCGAGGCAAAAACGAATAAATACGAAGCGAATCTCCGGCATCTGCTGGCAAGTCTCGAAGCGACACAGAATCAACTGTCCGATACTATCACCGACTTGAACATGCTGAAAAAGAATACAAATATGGAGGGTTTGGAAATTGTCGATTTGAAGATACCGCAGTTGAAATGTAAGGGTACTTTCACCGGTCATAACGGTCCGATCTGGTGCATGACAGTGACCAATGGAATGTTGATAAGTGGTTCTTCCGATACCACTGTAAAACTCTGGGATTTGGCGACGTTGAAATGCAAACAGATGCTATCGGGACACACTGGAATCGTGCATTCCGTAGCGGTTATTGGCAACCGTTTGTTCAGTGGTTCGTCGGACCAAACCATTCGTGTTTGGGACTTGGAAACCTATGAGTGTGTTGCGGTACTGACCGACCACGACAACACGGTTTGCGCACTTGTCGTAGCCGCTGGCTACCTGTTCTCCGGTAGTTACCAGCACATCAAAGTATGGGATTTGGAGAGCTTAAAGTGTGTGGAGACACTGAAAGGACACAATCATTGGGTGCGCGCACTCACTGTTTCCGGCGGGTATCTTTACTCTGGCGCTTATGGTGTAGTTAAAATATGGAATCTCGGTAACTTTGAGTGTATTCATACGATACAGGGTGGCTGTGGAAGTATCTACTCCATGGCTGTTGCAAGTAGGAAGTTGCTGGCAGGAACCTATGAGAACACTATAGTTGTGTGGGATCTCGATACCTATGAAATCATTTCAAAGCTGGGTGGTCACATTGGTGCTGTCTACACGCTGGCCGTATCGGGCCAACGTTTTTTCAGTGGATCGTACGACTCTACCATCAAGGTGTGGGACATTGGCTCACTGATTTGCGTACAAACACTCAACAGACATACATCGTCGGTCGATTCATTGGTAGTACACAGTGGATGTGTATTCAGTGGATCTGCTGATAACTCTATAAAAGTATGGAGATAATTATATATCAATGGAGTATTACCTCATTTCACACAACATTAGTAAACAACAAACAACAAACAATAACAACAGATTATCTTTTACAAATCATCGATTCGCGAATACCAACTTCAATCCAAACCAACAAAAACTAATTAAAACTTGTAATAACATATCCAACTCAAAATATTTTTAAAACTTTAGAGACATATTATTAAACCATCAATAATAATTGTTTCTAAATTTATATCACAAATAAAGATCATTTCATTCTTTATTCTATAATTTTATTACATTTTAAAAAGGATTCCACTTTTTAACAATATCGGTGTATTTGAAAAGTCTTCAATCGAAAATTTCAGAATTCCTATGCCCAAATTTCAAACAATGAAAATTTCTAAAATATATTATCGATGTTGTTTTCAAATTTTTAACTTTTATTTTTAATAGAACTTTATCTGAGACAACATTTACATCAACCCATAATGATATTGATTCGATTTAGTTCATTGAATGGATAAGTCCAAGACCTAACAAATCATACTTACCTGATGACGATGATTTGGTGATCAACTCAGGCCAAATCTTCTCTTTTTGTCGTTCCTCTTGCACACCTGGGATGTATTAAGGCGACTAACCGTAAGGCTAGTCGGTTATCAAATTTCTGGTAGTGGTGGAGTTTGCGCTCGTCGCATCTCCACTGTACATTAAATTAATTTTAATGATAAAAATATATTTGAATTTTCCTCCTTCTTCTTATCTAACTTTGTTTAATGTAAAATTAAAATAATTAAAATTTTTTTATCCAAAATAGTCATAATATTCATCCTGACCGGAGGGCACCTTTGCTCTTGAGATACAAATTTAAAATAGGGATCTATTTATATCGATTTTCAACACTTTTGATAAATGTAAAGTAGAAAAATATATTTTTCTCTATCTCCAGTCTCATGTGCTCAATGCCCTATAGAATTCAAATACCAAAATATTTAATTTTTTATTTTATTTATTCTTAAATATTTTTATACTTTTATAGTTTTGCTCCTACATTTTTCAATTACACTGACTAATGGTAAATGTACAAAGCCTATAGAAATACCCGTATTGTTTCTTGCGAAGTAGTCAAACAAATGTATGGCTTCCAGTTTGTTGACATTGCTAAGATCTTACTTATTGCCAAAACACTGATAAAAATGACATCAAAAAAAAAAAATACTTTCCCCCACCAAGTTTTTCTTCTAAAATTTGAATTTTTTTTAAGAAAAAAAAAATTTTTCTTTACAAAATATTTTATTATTATTTTTAATATATTGTTTATCAATTTATAAATATATATATATCATAAAATATATAGTTATAACTATTAACCAATAGAAGTGAAACTCTATAGTCTTATTTTTGTCGTCAAAAAAAAACTAAAAACAAACAAAAACAAAGACAACTCAGACAGTTAACTTCAAGTGGGTGAACCAGTTTAGATTTTATATATTCATATAGTGTGAGATAGAGAAGGTAGATAAATGGATTCAGATTTGGATAGAACATTTACATCGAATGGAGGCGATACATCGTTGGCCGATATCGATCAGATAATGACATCGGAATCAAAGTGGGCACGATTGGCATCTGAAAATCCGGCGTTTGCACACATCGAGTTGGAGGTAGATGAATGCACATTCGGACGTGCTAGAACCTGTAATATAAAACACGATGATAAACGAATCAGCTCTAACCATTGTCGTCTCTACAGAAAGAGAGAACCCGGTGAAACTGACTATAGATTCTATCTTGAGGATACAAGGTAAATAAATATATAGATATACATATTAATAACATGAATATTAATATAACACACAACTCAATCAATTAACACTTTACTTTATCACTTTTGACACAGTTCAAATGGTACTTTTGTTAATAGAAAGAAAATCGGTAAAGGAAATACAGTGTCGATTGTACATGGCAATGAGATTGCGCTCACCACCAATATCGATCCGGACGACGAGAAGCGATTGGTCTATACATTCCAGGATTGGGACAAGATCAGACGTGATCGTGCCGAGGAGCTGAGAAAGCAGGCTGAAGAGGAGCGTCTGAGGCTCGAGGCAGAGGAGAGAGACCGTTTGGCAGATGAACCTGGAAACACCCAAGTTCTCGATGAATCAGCTACCGATATGGTATCACCAATCAAATCGGATAAGACTGATATTTCTGCCAACGATGATTCAATGGATATGACAACAGCCACCACACCAAGCAAACTTACAAAGAATGGAACTGAATTAGTATTGGATACATCATCAACAACAACAGATAACAATACACCAGATACGCCAACAAAAAGATCGTCAAGTAACAATAGCAACGTCACACCAACAAAGAATGGAAGTAAATCATCTATATCACCAGCTGGTTCTTTCAATAATAATGATACTACAACTACTACAACGACAACTACTGGAACTGCTGCTGCGACAACAACAACACCTGATCAAACAAAACCAACAACAACAACATTAACAACACAGAGTTCAACAGTAAAGAGAAAGAGTAGTGATTTATCAAGTGACAATAATAATAATAACAATAATAGTAATACAGATTCAACAAAGAAGACAAAGATAGAACATGATTCAATGGAAGATAATTTGATTTGTGGAATTTGTCAGGAGATTATTCATAAATGTTTGACATTGATTCCGTGCATGCACAACTTTTGTATGTGTTGCTATGGTGACTGGCGTGCCAACTCTAGTATTTGTCCACAGTGTCGTAGCTCTGTAAAGTCTGGTCAAAAGAATCACGCCATAAACAATCTAATCGAATCATATCTCAAAGTTAATCCCTCGAAAAAGAGAGATGCAGATGAGCTTAAAGAAATGGATGACAGATGTAAAATAACTGAAGAAATGGTATGTTTTATATATATAAAACTAATTTGTTTGTTAATAACTAACCAACAACACACACTTATTATAATTATAGCTACAAAAAGGTGTATTAAACAAGATTAAAAATAATGAATATTATGATGACGACGACGATGAAGAAGATTACGATAACGAAGATGATTACGATGATGATGAGGATAACTATCATGCTCCCGGTCTTTTCAATCAACATTTAGCTTTCAACAAATGCTATTTCTGTACAAATCCAACACCCGACGGATTCAAATGCCCCGACCAAAATGCCGCACATCAATATTGTGCTGGTTGTTCAGCCAGATTCCCTCTTCGTGTACCACCTCCCTACAAAGATAAATGTAACCATCAAAACACATTCATAAAAAACCAATCTATAACATACACTAATATATTAATGTTTGAATTGATAATTATTATTATTAGGTGATCTATGTAGTAAACCATATTGTGATAATGTAAGAGCTTGTCCGATGACCAATATATCTAAGGTCAACAATCTGGTAAATCAACATATCAATGATATTCCTCACAACAGTCTCAGTGGAAATCAATATGAGATCAAGATTGTGACGGACTATTTGGCCAAGCACAACAAGACGGTCGACCAGCTCTACCACGAGGTACTGGCGGATATCGACTCTGGCAAGATCCCGGCCGACACTATCAAGACACTGAATGCAACACCAGCGAAATCCGACTCTTGGGCATGTAACGTTTGCACTCGTCACGTGTTTGCTCAAGGTCTTTTCACCTACCGAAAGAACATACCAAAAGCCGACCTGCCAGACTATGCTCAAGCCCGTGACAACTGCTACTACGGAAAGAACTGTCGCACTCAATTCAACAAATTCGATCACGCTAAAAAACTTAATCACGTTTGTGAACAAAGTAAATTCTAAAAGAACACAATCGCAACCATCAGAAATCTGATTCATTCATATCAATCACCATCTTCACAGCATAACAACAATAATAATAGCCAATCAACTTCAAGAATTTTCTAACAATAACATTAGTACATAGCAAGCAAATATAATAAAAGTAATAATATAATAATAGTAATGTAGTATCTAAGATTGTGAAAAATAACAATACAAAGTATTTTATTAATTTAATATAATTTAATCTTATTTTCAATGATTTTAATGAGGCATCATATTCAACACACTCAAATCAATCGTAATTTCATTGGGGATTATCTCTTTGAATGTTGATGATATAATATGTGGAAGTGTCAATATTATAAAGTTATATTGAACAAATATGACTTTTTGCAGTTTTTGATTTCCATTCAATCTAAAATATTATATGATAGAAAATGTATTGCTGTGTTTACTCAGAAAAAAAATGTCATGTGTTTTGGTTTTCGAAATTATTCAATGATGAAAACGAACGAGTATTCTTTTGCAAAAGAAACTTCCCATAATTGAGATAAGCATACAAAATCAAGATTAAAGGTAGCTCCATACTCATTAAAGGTACAGTTGTCCAACCACACGTGATCATTGAGTATGATTTATGATTACTTGATTATCGTGGGGGTTGCAGATGAAAGATAGTTTGATGGGCATGGTCATTAATGTTAGTTTAATGCTCTAAATCATCTCACTCACATTTATTAAATAATACTATAATAAAAAAGATAAAAATATATATTAATTGAGATATGAATATAAAATCAAGATTAAAGGTAGTTCTATACTCATCGAAGGTGCAGGTGTCCAACCACACTTTGATCATTGAGTATTTCCTTCGTTTTAAAATCTATAGTAATTGTCAGCTAGTTAGTAATGTATTACCCTTACACATGAGTAGATATATCTAAAAATAAAATATTTAAAAAAATATTTAAATAAAATATACAAGAATGTTTATTTGTTAATTAATTGATAGGTGCCAATATGATATGATTATATGGTTAATCGCTGTGATAACAAATAAAAAGTCTGTTTTAACAACATCTCTGATCAACTATGTCTCAACTCATTTTTAATTTAAATCAGCAGTTTTGAAACTCTTTGACCATTTTGAGAGACTGATCGGAGCTATTCCATCGTATATAATGCACCTTGACTGTAACTCGTTGATAACTACTTTGACTATAACTATATGATGACTACTATTCCTTGGTTATACTATTTTCACGGTGTAAATAAATGAGGGTAGAATATCTACAAAATACTAGATAGAATTATTATATGAATAATATTATAATGATAAAGTAAAATTCTAAAATGGTCATGATGTCTTATATCGCAAAGGAAATACCAAATATTTTTTTAAGATATAAAAACAAAAATAAAAAGTTTTTGTAGCTAACAGTCAGTTTAGTGTGATACCTATAAATATAGTATAGATAGAATAGATCGATAATAGAATGAGTACAAAGAATGACTTGAGAGCTTTGATGAACAAAGCAAAAGCAAATGCATCCGAAAAAAAAGTTGTAGCCACAAAACAAATAGATTCACCTTTTGCCAAGTATGTTTAAATACAGCAAACTTATTATAATATGAATTGTAATCATCACTTTAAAAATATATTAATACTAAAACATCTATCTTTTTAGATATAATTCAGCAGGTAAATTATCATGTGTAATTTGTAATCTAAATATCAACAATGAGTCAATGTGGACTGCTCATTGCAATTCAAATAAACATAAAGAATCACTTGATCAACTGAGCAAGCAAAAACAATCAATTACAAAACAGCAACAACCACAACAACAATCGAATACACCTAAAAGACAAATAGATTCAACACATATAGATAATAATGGCAATAATAGTAGTAATGAAACTAAAAAAGTTAAACTAGATGTAAATAATAATAATGAAAGTAAAAAGAGTAATAATAATAACAACAACAATAATACAGGTATGTAAAGTATACGATTGAACATTGCCAAATACTATAAATGATGATTAACGTTTGTTCTTTGTAGATATACCAAAAAGTTTACCAAGTAATTTCTTCAGTTCATATACCGACGACGATGATGATGATGAAAAAGAACAACAAACTGACAACAATAAAGATCAAGAAGAAGAAGAACCAGTTACAAAAAGCAACAGTGTTATACCGTCAGGTTTCTTTGATAATCCAGAGGAACAAACTCAAGCAGAGAAAGAAATAGAAGCAATCGAAAATGAAAAAGCACTAGAGTATGTAGAGCTTGTTTTAATTAATAATTATAATCATAAATATTAATATATTATTATATGTAGTGATGGTTTAAGAGAATTTGATGATGCAATCAAAACAGCAGAGTTGAACAATGCCGCAAATACAACAGATCAGAATCAAATCACCAACATCAATACAGAAGAACAGACAATAGATAACAATGAAGATATAGATGATAAACTTTTGAATCAAGTTGAAAATACTGAAAAAGAGTATGTAATATTAAGATAATAATATGTATCAAATCATAACTAATATTAACCTATTCTTTGTAATTTAAAATAGTGAAATGTCATCAAAGATAGATTTTCTCAAGTCTTTGAAAAACAAAGTACTAACATTAAGGAATAATAACAATGTTTCAACTTCTAAACCAACAACAGCAACAACAACAGTACCAACAAAAAATAATGTAAAGAAAGAAGAAAAGGAAGACGACAATGTAGACAATGACGACGAAGATGATGAAGAAGATTTGGATGTTGATCAACTATTTAAATGGGGATCAAAAAAGTAATAATAATAATAATAAAAGATATATAATTATTTATTTATTTTTGTAAAAAAAAAACAGATTTTTAAAAATAAGTTTTTTTTTTGATGTTGTTTTTGCAAAAATAGGTCATTGTTTGATTTCCCCCCAATGAATCATCAGTGTGCGAGTCTCTCTACTAAAAGTCATATTTTTATTATCGTCTTTTCATAATCTGATTTCTGCAGTCCCCAAAATAATACCCAAATTTACTTATTGTTGTTGTTCGTACAATAATACCCGCTACTACATTATTATTATTTGTGTTCACACGCTTTTAACCGATATCATTTCTTTTTTTTTTTTCGAATTCAGACACCTACAAGTACTGAATTTATTTGATTATTTTATTGTTTTTCATTCATATATATATTTTTTATATAAAGTTTAGAATAAATATCATTAGTAGTGAATATATATTAAACATATATCAATATTTATATAAGTATTCAATATATTTATATAAATCTTCAAAAAGACTTTGTATATAAATGTTTTATTTATCATTTGTATTGGGTAATAGTGTATATGGAATTGATTGTTGTAGTTGTTGATATATAATAATAATAAACAAAGATAACATAATAATAATAATAATTAAACATAATAATAACAATAACATAATAATAATAATAAAGAATGAAGAGTAATATAATCGATGACAACGACAATGAATCGGACTATAATGCCGATATAGAATATGACTACAATGAAGATAGTATTCTCATAAATAATAATAATAATAGTAGTGAAAATATAATTATTGACAATAACAATAACAATAGTAATAGCAACAACAACAACAATAGCATTAAATATGATAATCTCATCATTAGGAATCTTAAAGAACTTAAACCATTCATATTATATTGCTGTTTTTCATTTCTATTCTCGTTCGATCCCAGTGAACCATATCTTGTGGAGTACCTCACCAATGTATTGCACGTGCCACCAAAAGTAGTCTATGATGAGATCTTTCCATATTGGACATATTCATACTTTTTCTTTCTCTTTATCTTTGGATTCCTTGGTGAAGTCATTGGATATAAAGTAATGTATAGTTAGTTAACTAAATATACTACGAATTTGTTGTAAAAGAAACTAACTAACTGATTTATTTGCGTGTTTGTTTAGAGTGTAATAATTATTGGTATGATTGCAAAAGGTGCAACTACAGCTATACTTTTATCGACCAACAATATTGGATGGCTAATAGTTGAACAACTGACTGATGGAATGTCGTTTGCTGCGTACATTGTATTCCTGGCGTTCATCTACTTTAGCTTGGATCCCGATGAGTATCAAAAGATGGCGTGTCGTGTCAATGTTGGATATCTCGTCGGTGTTGTCTCCTCCGGTTTGCTAGGACAGCTCCTGGTGAGCAGAGTCTCACTGGTAACACTTCTCTGTATGGCACTGGGCACCAACATCGCTGCGCTACTCGTTGCATTCGTATTTCACAATCATCGTGCAACCACAAGATTCGCACTTAAAGCATTCATCCGTGACTTTGGTAATGCCTATCGTGATACCGACATCATTCGATGGTACATTTGGAGCGGTGTTGCCATCTCCATTCATCAAATCGTTCTTACCTGTAAGTGTAGACAAACATCTAATAATTCCAATCTAATCTACTTTCTATATACTAACACAATACAATATAAACACCTTTTTAATTAACAGATTGGCAATCATTATTCTTGGCAACCAATAATGAACAACAATGGAATGGATATATTTCATCGGGTGCATACTTTTTCGCTGCATTTGTAGCGATTATACCTGCAAGACTTGGAAATTCAATTGTATGATATAATAGCATAGATAATAGATAGATAGATAGATAACAACATCTCAAGCTACTTACTAACATTTCACTATTTTTATTATAGAATAATATAAAGAATTATATATTGATTGGATTTGGATTGTTAGGTGGCAGTCTGCTGATTATTATGGGTTTAGGTACCAATATCTATCTTAGTACAATTAGCTTCATTGTTTATAACTGTTGCTTTGAATTCATGTCACCAATTGTCAATGTACAAATTGCTAAAAAGTAAATATTATCATTAATAATATCTTTGATATTTTATTTATTTTTCTTACTAATTAAACTATAATTTAATTGATTAGATTGACATCACGTGTAGGATTACTTTTCTCATTTAATATTATGATAGCTCTTGCAGTTCAGGTATTGATACAATTCTCTGTGAGCAACAAGATGTTTAATCTCGAAATAACACATCAATTCCTATATTTTGGTGGATGTCTTGTGATGCTCTCTTTTGGATTTGCATTACTATTCCTAATGCTATATCTATCGAAAACCTATAAAGAACATAAACAATTGGATTCTTTTAGACAGCATCTATTAGATCATAATAATCAAATTCAAGAAATAGCTTGATAATAATAATAACAATAACAATAAAATAATAATAATAATAATAACAATAACAATAGCGATATTTATATATAATTTATTTAAACTAATAAATAATGAATAATATTAAAATTGATTTTAAATCATTGTAATAAACATGCATTATAATCACACGATATATATTGTCTGTGCGGTATTTCTACTCAATAAAAAACGAAAAAGTTTTTTGAAAAACAATCGTAACGATACGAATTGAAATTTAATTTTTAAAAAATAAAAATTTCGCATGGCTGGGTGAGCAGTATGGTGTGTGGTGTCTCGCATCTGGTGTTACGCCGAGCCACAGAAGACTCAAGTACTAGTCAATCTCTCTATTAGGAACATCATATAGAAATGGTATGAGAGAAGAGAATCTATGATACATTATATTATCTTTACATCTATACTCTTATCATCAATCATCGTCACCAACATACAGGAATTAGAAAGACTAGAACAAAACAGAGAGAAAGAAAAGTTGAAAGAGAAAAGAAAAGAAAGAGAGAATAGCATAAAACAAGGAGAGATGATTGATGATTGATGATAGAAAGTAGGAATGAAAAACAAAGCAAGTATTAACATGTGTTATTATTGATAATTTAGGCAGTTGATAGATCACACAGATTCGCCCGTAAGACTGGTAGAAAGACCCTCGTCAGCAAGAACCCATACCTTTCTCTCTTGGTCAAGGTAAGATCATCTCATCACCATTTTTTAGTTTAGAAGAAACAGGATTTAACACAGAATTTACCTACTATATATCGAAACAAATTAGTTATACAAATTCCTTGCCCGTAGAACTGGTTCAAAGTTCAACAAGATCGTCTTGAGAAGACTCATCCAAACCAGATCCAACAAGATCGCTGTTTCTATCTCCAGAATCGCCAATGCCATGAAGGACAGAAAGGCCGGTAAGATCGCCGTTGTTGTTGGTTCAGTTGTCAACGACGAGAGACTTTTGGATGTCCCAGCCTTGACCGTTGTCGCCCTCAAGTTCTCAGAGTCTGTCCGTGCCCGTATTGTTAAGGCCGGTGGTAAGGCTTTGACTTTTGATCAATTCGCCCTCATCAGACCACGTGGTAACAACACTTTCCTCCTCAAGGGTGTTGTCAAGGCCAGAACTGTCTACAAACACTTCGGTCGTGCTCCAGGTCTCCCAGGAAGCACTGCTCGTCCATACGTCAGAGCACAAGGAAGAAAGTTCGAACAAGCCCGTACCTTTGCCAATACCAAATAAAATTTTTATCATCTCTGCCAAATCAAAATTTTGATATTAAATTGTAATAATGATGTGTGAAATGAACAGTTAAATCAAGTGAGGTAATATATATATATATTAAGTAATTAATTGTTACTATCTGTTTGTGCCCAAATTATATTGATAAGAGTGAGTTTTTCGAAAATTTCATTAAATTATTGTGGGGGTTGTAGGCTACTTAAAAGAAAATGGCGTTAAAACGTGTAAACTAAATACATTCAACAAGTTTAAATAGATACTACTTTGGACAGTAGATTGATTGGAAATCCAAAAGCTTTCCTCTTATCTCAGAATATTAGCGATAATATTAATTAATGTTGGGTTAGATTTAATATGGTCAAACAAAAGGACCTGCTCTTCAGTAGGTGCTAGAACCTTGGAGTAGTGTTTCAGGATAATCAATTTTGTGCTTTTTGGCAAGGTTCACAAATTAAAGTACTCCATACCATTGCTTGACAACTAATGATTAGCACGAATAAATTTATTCAAATACAAATGACAATCATAATGAAGGATAGTAAGGTTTAATTACCAACATTTATAGAATTTATTTGAAATATGAATTTATTATCATCATTACCACAGGGCGATTTCAATATTTTCTTTGAACATTCTTAAATTATAAATTTAAAATAATAGTGATTAATTACAAACAATTAATTGATAGGTTGAGTGTGTGGTTTAATTTTTGGAAAAAAAATAATTCATTGTTAACAAACTCTGATCACACATTTATAATATACTATTTAATATTAATACAATACATAATATGTACAAAATAGTTTTTATTTTTTTTATAATTTTATTATCTCTTTGTCTTGCATCTTTCGAGGGAAGTGGAGTGTCAAATGAATTAAATGGTATTCACAAACAATATTATAGTGATGGGAGGTGCACCCAATCCAAGGTTTTCAGAAACGAGTATTTCAGTCTATGCAACCAAAATGGTGCATATGTCTTAGCAAATGGTGGATATGTTCATATTCAAAATCAAAGTACAGGCAAAAGAATAGATTGTGACAACCCAGAGTCTCGTTATAAAGATGGGAGAATTGGATCAACAACATGGTTCTACAAAGGTGAGTCTTTACCTAGTAATAGCTTCTCAACCTTTGCCACTCCAATGTCAGTGCATGAAAATATACAGTTAAAAAATTATCCAACTGGATCGTGTCACATAATATCATATAATAATGGCATTTACGGTAAAGATAATTTTATGGCTATTGATCACGAGAATGGACATTGCTTTAAAGAGAATGGCCAGTACATCTTGATGAATTGTACAGTATTGTCAAGATATGTAAATATAAGTAATACCTTCTCATGTGGAGATGATAGCACTTGTTCCAATTGTCGACCATTGGAGAGTCTGGAGTCGAAATTCAGTCAAAATAAAGTATGTATATACATCTGGTTAAAATCAAACATCACTCTTATTAATTAATCAAATATGTAATTATTATATAAAGAATGACTACAATATTATTATTAAAATAATTGGACCTGAGCTTAGTGAAATATCTAATGCTCTTTCAGATGGAAATGATATGGTAGAGAATGTAGACAATTTATATCATACCAAAAATGAATTGGTGTTCAAAGAGGAATTAGAACTTATTTTTAAATCTCCACAATTTTATGAAATACTCTTAGTCATAATATATACAATATGGAGAAGAAAACAAAAACACGACAATCAACTAAAGGATACAAAAGAAAAAAGTTTAGGAATATTAGTAATAGTAAATTTTGAGGTCCTTTCCTATTATTTAGTTAAACTCTCAAACAAACCACATATGTCCAAATATATGGTATATTTACTCAGATTACTATTAATAGAATTTAAAGAACTAAACAAAAACTATTTTCAAGTAAGTAATTACTTATCATATCTAAACAAATAACTGACTTTCTAACTATTTTGAAATTTGTTTAGACATTTATTATATTAATTCTTAGGGCAATTCCTATTTTGGTTGAGTTCAATCCTAATTATTTTGGCTCGTGGGGATACATTATATCTGAGTTTGTTTCAATAGTTTTATGGTAAGTTAAAACATTTTTTACTAATATTATCAAGTTATATTCTATTCTTAATTCTAACAATTACTAGTTTCTATATGACCCATATTAATAAAGAGCATAGGGAAAAGAAATTTAAATATGCCTAGATTGAATGATAAGTAACCCAATCATTATATCAAAATCTACTGAACTACTCAATATAAACTGAACTTGAATATGTTCCTTTTGGGTTGAAGATTCTGAAGTCTATGTTCTTGGTAGAATGTGCACACCAATTGAATATTTCTTATACAAGTTTTAATAATAAAAAATGATAAAACCCACTTGATTTAACTGTTCATTTCACACATCATTATTACTATTTAATATTAAAATTTTGGATTTGTAGAGATGATAAAAATTTTATTTGGTATTGGCAAAGGTACGGGCTTGTTCGAACTTACGACCTTTTGTGCCTCTACTCCATGTAATCTTCCTGCAATCATGGGTTTCATACTATAGTCACACTTTCCAATTTACTTTATCAAAACTTGGTCTGACTCAAAAATAACAACTTCTATTTTGTACAACTAACTCTAAATCTATGTAAAAGACAAAAATAGATATTTTTTTTTAAAAGTAAATATTTTATTTAATACAATTGTTTGTTTTTTATTTATAAAGGGAGCTAGAATTATCAAGTTTTGAGTTTTATATAACAATTCCTAAAGAGTATGCTTATTTTGAAAGCATCATCTTGACAAACTCTTCGTAGTTGACTTGTCCATCACCATCCAAATCAGCTTCCTTGATCATCTCTTCAACTTCCTCTTCAGAGAGCTTCTCACCGAGGTTGATCATAACGTGTCTCAACTCAGCAGCTGAAATGAATCCATTACCGTCTTTATCGAATACCTTGAAGGCTTCACGAATTTCTTCTTCTGTGTCGTTTTCTTGCATCTTACTATAAAGTGTTTGAGAAAAATAGAGAAATATAAAGTTTTGAATATTAATATCATTAAACTGAATAAAGTAAGTGTATTGATGTGATGATAATTAATGCGTACCGAGCCATCATAGTCAAAAACTCTGGGAAGTCAATTGTTCCGTTTCCGTCAGCATCGACTTCATTGATCATATCTTGGAGTTCAGCCTCTGTTGGGTTTTGACCGAGGGATCTCATGACAGTTCCGAGTTCTTTGGTGGTGATCGATCCATCACCGTCCTTGTCAAAGAGGGAGAAAGCTTCCTTGAACTCAGCGATTTGTTCTTCAGTTAATGATTCAGTCTGTTAAATTAATTATATTTGAAATAAAAGTTATTAATAATGGTTATTCAATATAAATTTGTTTGTTTATAAAATAAAAGTTAAAAATGAATAGGTTGCTAAAGTTAACAACACTCTAATATTCTAATATTTGTTTGTTTATTGATGATTTGCTTAGCTATTGCTTTTATATTTGTTATTTTGTTGATTGATTGATTAATTGATTGATTGATTGATTAATTAATTGGTGATCTTCAACTTTATGATTTACAAAAAAATAAAAAAGTAACAAGATATTATTTATAATATAAAAGTTGATTGATTGATTGGTTGTGATATTATTTATAAATTTGACCTACCATTTTAGTATATATATGAAATAAATAAATATTGATAATAGAAACAATAAGATAGTTTTTTTAGTGTATATTTTTTAAAAAAAAATATTGGGTGAATTTGAAAAAATTAATTGTTAAAAATAAATTTAAAAAATCAAAAATAACAAAATAAAAATGAAAAAAAATAGTGAATCTGCATAATTTTGGGTATTAAAAATCTTAAAAAAATTCAAAATAAAAAAAATAGAAGGTTTATTTGTTTTTTTTTGTTCAAAATTTTATTCACACTCCTTCCCTAACATTCACCTTTCAACACCATCGTGTGCCTAAGTGATATTAAATGGTGTAGAACTAACTTTATGTTTTATAATTTGTTTGGTTGTGTTTGTTACCCTACTCTCTCATTTAATAGGACCTCGTTTTAGAGTGTTCGGACCATCTAAACATCATTTCACAACCATTGACATGTTTTGCATTATTATACATTTCTAAGAGTATAGTAGTGGAGTTTGCTAACCAGGGATGTCATCGGTAATTATTAATTGATCTATAATATTATATCTTTACAACACAATACTTAAAATATCATAGTGACCAGGTTAAAATTACAAACAAATATAACATAACACCAATGTAATTTTCATTATTAATTAAAATAGACCGCCATGTTACTTTTCATATTGAAGATATTCATATTGAAGATATTCATATTGAAGATATTCATACTAAAACATTCAATTCAAGATTAAAGTAATAATAGAAATTACAATACCTATTTATTATAAATAATTATTTTTTAAAAATTTTGTTAATCAAAGTTGTTCAAAACAAAGTAAAATCCAAATTAATGATGATCTTATTTAAAACATTTTTGGTACACACATATTGGGTCTAATCTTAAAGAATTTACATTTAGTTTTGATATCAACATGGTGACGATATTAGTAGAATCATATAGTTTACCACACATTTGTTTGTTTTTTTGGTTTTTTTTTTTTTTTTTTTTTTAAAATTAAATGATGATAGGTCATTAACAATTATATAATAACATCATTAATTAAGTTAATTATGTGGATTTGAAAGAAATCGTTGATTACTTTTTTATTGCAATAATGGTGGTGTGTGCTATTTTATATGATAATCATTACACACACAATCAATCATTACAATTAACACCAAATATTGACAAATGAGTGAAAAACAAAGTAATCGGAGTGGTGAGTTTCCAGAGCAAAACGTGTTAATAGCAACAACCAATCACATTAAGAGCGTACGACAACTTTAATTAGTGATGAGTTGACTATTTTGAATTATCAATAAATATAAATTTCATCATTCAAACATTTATTATTTACTCAAAACAAACAAAGCAATCTAAATAAACCCAAAAACAAAATTCATTTATAAATTGGGAGATAGAAAGAGAGTTGAATATTTATTATTTTTTGTTTATATAGATTTCTTTTTTAATTTATTTTCATTTTAAATCAATATTTGTTGAAAAAAAAAAAAAAACAATTATATAATTATAATTATATTCATACATATATTTATTTATTTATTTAATTAAATTAACACTCTACAAGATTATTCAAATTCAATTCACCCCACACAATCAATTTGGTGATCTTTGACATTCTGTCTATGACATAGATTTGTAATATTGAAACTAATTATTTGTTCGATTTTTACAAATTTATTCATTATTTAATATTATCATTAATTATCATAATTTATTATATTATTTCGAATTAATTAAAACAAAATCATCAAAACTAAAAATTTAAATTATTTACTTATATAGTTAAATTCTAATAACAACAACAACAACTATTTATTTTAATTAAAATAAATATAATTTACAGATTGTTAAAAAAAAACATAAAAAAAAACAAAAAAATATTTATATTAAGTGAAATTATATTATTACTTTAATTTAATTTGCATCTTTCATTAAACAAAATATTCGACCTTTTTTTTTTCAGTCTTTTGTTTGTCTTTTTATTTAATATATCACCCCTCTTAGTTTAATTAATTTACAACAAAAAAAAAAACAAAACCAAAAAAAAAACAATATTCATTTAATGGTTACCACTCAAGTCATTGAACAAGAGACATCAGCAGTGTCAAAATTAAATTCAAAAATAGTAGTCAATGAAAAAGAGAGTACTAAGTTGAAGCATGGCAGTTCGCTTCAACATTCTCATCATCATCAACATCAACAACAAAATCAACAAAATCAACAAAGTCAGCAACATGAAAATATCCAATCTGATAAAATTGATCAACCATCAGAAAACAACAAATGGACACCATACATCGTAGTTGAACCAACAACATATAAGAGACCTTTTTCAATTTCCAGTGCTTATCTTGACCTTGAAGATCGACCAGGGACCATTCCATCGGCACATAAATTAATACATAAAAATAGAATATTATTATTGGTGAGTAATAAAAAAGAAAAAGAACAAAACAAATCAATTATTAATTTTTTTTTTTAATATTATTCCAATTAGACATTAACATTACTTTATGTTATATTAAGTGAACCTGATAGATTTGTTCGACATTTGGATCTCCTCAATGTTATTTTTGTAAATCCATTGTTGGTTTTACCAGAGTTGACTGTGATGCATAGTTTTTCAATGTTATTGCCAATAGTTACTGCCATCTATGCAAAGAAAAAGATATCGAGAAAGCTCTATGTTGCAATGTATATAATATTACAAGTGGCATCATCTTCCTATTCAGCTCTATTTGTTTTGAGCAATGAATTCCTACCAATTGGTAAATATATATAAATTAAGAAAAAACAAACTATTAATTATAAAAATTATTAATTATTTTTAATAATTTTTAGGAACATCATTATTCTTATCGATGGAGCTGATCTTGATAACCTGGAAGAATCATTCCTATTTCATTGTTAGAAATTATTATGATTTCCACAATATACCAGAGCCAGAGTCTGTAAAGAAGGAAGCCTATCACCTAAAGTCAGTGTTTTGGTATATTGGTGACTTTTATTCACTTTTTGGTGTCACCTACATTGATTTACGATCAATATCAAGAGGTAAAAGCTTTTCCTTATGTCGATCCCTATCCACTACAAGTAAAAGTGCTCAATTTCATTAAAGAGTTGTACTCTTCATTCTGTATTCTGGTTGTAGTCCATTTCCTAAGTAAGTTTTTCTATTAAACAATTGTTTTTTCAAATATTTAAAACTTACACATTTTATAAATGAATATAGATGTACAAATTATCATTCCAAATCTTTATAAACCACCATCAATCAAAACATTTGCAACCATTTTAATACCAGCAGAGATTAATTTCCAACTTCAGTAAGTCGATGATTGATTCTCTAAATATTTATGTTACTTTTCACTTACTTTTTGATTTTATTAGATACTATTTGCTATATCACTGTGTATTCTCGTTGTTGGCTGATATCAGTGGTTTCAGAGATAGATTCTCATTCTACGAAGACTATTGGGCTGCTATAGAGGTAAAGGAAATTCTATCGAAATGGTCAAAGCCTGTACACTCTTGGTTATTTAGACATGTACATAATGATTTGTAAGTTGTTAATAGATTATTAATATTTTTATATTTGTATTAAATATTAATCGTTGGTTATTATTTTAATAGACGTAGTTTGTTTGGATTTAGTAAATGGGCTAGTCTATTCTTGACAATGTTATTCTCTGGTTTCTTCCACGAATTCATCATTATGGTAACATCGAGAAATATCTGTTTCCCTTGGTCCACAGCAAATCTCATTGGATGTGGATGGCTCATATGGATGGAAACAACCGTTAAAGGTTTGGCCACAAGCACACCGTATCGCTTGCTTATGAGAGTTCTTCTTCTCTTGGGGCATGGTGCATTCTACTTTGCAATTTACCACCTTTGTTATTCAAAAGAGTCATTCTAAATATATATTTATTATTATTGTTTATCTTATAAATAAATTATATTTCTAAACTTAAATCAACCAGATACTATAATATTTTATTACCGATTACAATAAATTAAAACTTTTATATTGACTATTAAAAAAAAGCAAATAATCTACCTTAATCCAAAGTAATTATAATATGGTATACAAATTTTTTGGGTTCTCAAGTCACATGAATGTGAATCATTGAAAGGTGAGAAAACAAATGATTCAAAGTTTGGGACCCAAGTCATATGAAAATGAATAGTATTGATCTCATTATTTTTTTTTTGAAAAATCTATAGTTGTTGGGTCGATAATTATGATCATTTGTTCCACCAAATTCTCTCAAAGAGTTCCAAAAACATTATTCATACAGTTTTCTACAAAATTTTGAAACAAATTATAAAATCACGATTCTGGAGATCACCAAATTGTTATTTTGATACCAATATTGTCTTTTTGCACTCAAATCATTTCATTTTTTTTGACCCCTCAATAGAAAAATTGGTGTGCCACCTGGCTTAAAAATACACAAAAGGAGCCTAGTGCACAATTTGGTAAAAGTAATTTGAAAAAGTTTTTCAGATTTATTTGCTGTTCTGATCAGATATAAAAAATACCACTTTAAAGCAACGTGGCTAAAATTAAGGTGATTTTTATTATTGAATTCCCTGTATAATTTACTTTAGATTTGCAGTATCGATAATGATCATTGAAAAACAATGTTTTCCTGAATCTAACCCGTATTGATCAAACAGTATCTCAAAAAACCAAATTCTATTTGTGAAAATTTTCTCTATTTAATCTAAAAGTTTTTTGATAATCATTTTACGTTTTTCATTTATGTACAAAATAAAACATTTATTTATTTATATATTTATATATATTCCATTAACTAAATAAAAAATAATAATAAATGATATTAATTTTAAAAATATATTTATTCTTTATCATATCATCCTATATTTATATATTAATTTATTTGATAAAGAAATCAAAATTTAAAAATTATTATTATTTTAAATATTTTATCGAGTTTTTAAAAAAATGTAAATAATCATAATTAAAAATATAAAATTTTAATTTTTAAAAATAGTTTTTTGGTTTTTTTACTTAAAATTGGGGCTTGTTGATTGTGTGGGGAAAATTAAAACAAAAACCCCACCAGAGTAAAAATGCTCAAAAATCGTGCACATCCAAAAAAGGATTATTGGACTTCTTAATTTATCAAAACTTTGTATCTCATCTTATATTATATTAAAAACAGCACCAGCATGTTGCAATTATCAAATGTAAACAATGTGGGTGTTGAACATCTAATATATTCTCAATTTATAAACTTTATTATAGTTTCAACTTTTTCTTTTATATTAATATAATAAACATACACATGTATATATAAGAATAACTGTAAATAACTTTAATTTCTAACTGTAAATAATAATTGTATATATACACCATATATAAATATATATAATACATCATAATAATAATAGTTATAAAAATAGAAAGATCAAAGATTGGTATCAACTATTTTTATTATCTCTATACATTTTAAAACAAACAATCAGATTGACCAATCAAATCAAAAAACTGTAAACACTTTATAACTTTAAATAACTTTAAAAAGGTAAGAAAGATAAAACACACAAACAAGTATGATAATCACAGATGTAGTTATAGGTTAAGACTTGACTATTATATATTCTACCGTCAAAAATATTATATAAAGATAGATCAAGTCGATTATAATAATCAATAGATTAAAGGCTAATATAACCCAACCACTTCACAACATCAAGTTATAACTTTAAAGCGTGTCTGCAGCTGTCATTGGTTGACTTGCTTTAAATTTAATCAATCATACTCTAAGAGTTACTACTTCATTAATCGTTTGTTAAAAATTAAACAAGTGACATTGAAACAAACAAACCAGCAAACCAACAAACCAAACCAAACAAACATCAAATAACAATATATTAATGTGTTTTTCGCTTTTCATTAGAACACACACACACACACACAAATATACACACACACATCTCAAACAGGGGGATTCATTTTTAATAAATAAACCATACACATAATAAATGAATAATCAAATGATGAATAAAGAAGAAATTAACAACAACAACAATAAACATTTAAACTTATGACAAACCACAATATTCATTCAAATAGATGTTTGACACATTTTGAGTATAAATAGCAATTTGTAATAATATTATAATCATTCCATATGGAGAAATTACATTGAAGAGTATTGGAGATTCTCTCTATCATCATTAAATAAATAAAATAAATAAAATAAAATAAAAAAAGTAGTAAAAAAAGAAGAACAATATTATCATTAATAGAGAGTTAGTTCTCTGGAAAAATGGAAATAGAAACAAAAGAGAGAGATATATAATTTAAATTCAAATTCAATTGACAATCACATATAAACATTCACACACTCTGACACACCACACACATGCTCACTCTCCTCCTTTGACATTGAACTACATCAAACCCTGATACAACAACAACAACAACAACAGCAACAACAACAACAAATTAAAAGAGGTATCGACACCCACCAATAGATGGCAATATCGCCATACTTTTTAGTTTATTTTTGTTTGTTAATTTAATTTTAATGTTTGTCTTTTTCACAGAGTATTAAAAATTATTAAAAATATAACAACATCAACAACATCAACAACAACAACCATAATCAAATAGAAAAAAAAACATTGTTTGTCATAATATTATTTTAAATATATTAATTGTAGCAGTAGAGAGACACAGACAGAGATAGTTCATCTATTAAATAGACTACTTTGGATTATTGAATTTTTTGTTGTTTTTTGTTGTGTTTTGTTTCGAAATTCTCAGATATTATTAGATAAATAATAAGAGTAATATATCAAAGCAAACAAACAAACAAACAAATTATTGAAATATCATTTGTAGTTCCACCATAACGTCAATATTCCTAATTACACCACAATAAACTACAACATCAATATAGTTTTCATTGTTTTATTTTGTTTTTAGATCTCAAAAAAGTTTGTCTGTCAAATCTACAAGCTGTTGTTGGTTTTCAATATTTCATATCAATCAAATAGTAATTTGTGCTGTGGTTTAAAAAGTCAATAATTAAACAGTAGCCGGCAGTAACAGCAACACAACAAGGTGGGTTGTTGTTTGTAGATTCAGTCGTGGTGAGAGTCGACTGGATGGTTGCGCTGGGCAACAGTGCCAGAAAGGTGGGTATTTGAAGAAAAAAAAAAAAAACAAACAAACAAACAGTCAGTCACTTTCATAGCTTTCTATGGATCATCTTTGAGTTGAACATATATCACATGTGATATTGATTATTAGTCAACCAAACACTTCATTGCCATTGCCATTGTCCTCATCTTCATTTTTATTTTACTTTCATTGTCAACATTTAATTTTTTTAAAACTCAAAACATCTCATTCCAACCTACTACCTCTTTTTTAATATATCTAATTCAAACATTTCATTTTATTTCACCCATTTCGTTTGTCGTTTACATAGTAATAATACTTTAATTTTATCTTTACTAAAATCTATTGAAATAATAAGCATCATTTTAAATTATCGTTTTTCCCCATAATAATTAATTCGATTTCCTTACTCAAATTTATATATTAATTTTAATTTAATAATTAACTGAATTCATATAACAACAATGACAGATTTCTGTGGATATCCTAATATTCTCAGTGTTTTGTTACCCAAAGTCATGCTAACTGAATCATTTTCACTTCCAACTCTCTTTCAATGGGCAAACAAAACAATTGGACACTCCAAGAGTAATACCAACAACAACAATAACAATAGTAATAATAATAATATAGAATTAAATTCAAATATACATTACCAACCAATTTTAAATTCAACAAGAGAAAAAAAACTAAAAAAATCACATAAATCACCGATAACTACACCGACATCATCTACCTACTATTTGGATAGAATGATTGTTGATTCACCAACTCTAGCATCGAGCAGCACATATCCATGCGATCTAAACTATGATCCACTGGATTTGAATGAAGATGGTTATATGTCTCCATCTTCTTTAAAGATGATGTTTGAACAGCATCATCTACAACAACAACAACTCATTCATAATAGTATTAATAATAATAGCAATAACAATAATAACAGCAATAATAATGAACAATCAATAGAATATATACAACATCAAAAATCAAAACATAGTTTATCACCATTTTGTTTTTTAAAATCCAACACCAAAAAAGTGTCCAACTTTACCAAACGCTTTGGTAATAGGAAATATATAGTAATAGAGGATCTACCAACCGAAGTAATCATTCACATACTGGGATTTTTACCATTTAGAGACATTGGATTTGTTTTGCCAATGGTCAACAAGAACTTTAGGGATTTATGCGGTGTCTTTGTGCTTTGGAAGAATCTGTACATTAAATATTGGTCAAAGAAGGGACACAAGAGAAACTTTAATTTCCATAACATTCATGGCTATATACCACCATCAGCCAATACATTAAACTCACCAAGTCAATCACCTCTGTTCCAGCCAAAGAAAACAAACTCCAACAAAAACTACAAAAAGATGTATCAAATGAGACACATTGTCGAGAAGAATTGGAAGAAGGGTGTATGTTCGGTTCAAACACTCTATGGACATCAAGAAGGCGTTTGGGGTGTCCAGTTCCATGGTGACATATTGGTGAGTGGCGCTGAGGATGGCGTTATGAAGGTTTGGGATACCAAAGAGGGCGAGTGCACTCATACTCTGGTAGGCCATACCGATGTTATCAATTCATTCCACTTTGAAGGCGATCGAGTTGTTAGCGGTAGCGATGATTCTACACTCAAAGTTTGGAAAGCAAGTACGGGTCAGTGTGTCAATACATTCAATGGTCACAATGGATCGGTATGGATGTTGGAATTCAAGGATCACTTTTTGGTCAGTGGCGGTGATGATCGCTCAGTACGACTATGGGACATGAACACCGGACAACAGATCCAATCACATACTGGACATACCGGAAGAATCTACTATGTACAGATGGGTGACAATATGATAGTAAGCGGTGCCCAAGACAAATCGTGTAGAATATGGGATGTGCGATCAGGAAAAGCATCGCATACCATGGTTTCAAATTCACCTGTACACTGTTTGCAAATGAATTCCGATCTGTGGAGTGGCGGCGATTGGTCGGTTGCTAGCGGCCACAACAATGGTACAATCAGCGTTTGGAATATGAGAACTGGTTCTTTACAAGCCGTTCTATCCAGTCCATTATGTTGTCCAGTTTGGCACATTCAATTCAGACAGAATACAATTTACACTTCCAGTTGTAATAACCTACATGCCTGGAATCTTAACTTGGCTGTTCCAACCAACTCAAACTCTCAAAATCAAATGAGTCAACTGACTTGTAGTAAAATTTTTAAAGGCCATACTAAATCGATAAAACATTTCCAAGTAAAGGAAAACAGGATGGTGAGTGGTGGAATGGACAACAAAATCAAAGTTTGGGATCTCGAAAAACCTGGAAGCAGCTATCTCTATACATTGGCTGGTCACACTGGAAGTGTAGATTGGTTAGAATTTAAAAAGGATAAACTAATTAGTTGCTCTGCCGATCATACCATCAGGGTTTGGAGTTTTTGGGATTGATAACTATATTTTATTTATAATAAAATCTATATATATATATTTTTTTTTATTTAATATATATTTATTAAACAACATATCTATAACTTCTTTTTTTTTGATTTACCTAAATTGTTTGTTTTAACATTTTCGTCTTTTTAATAATAAAATATTATATTAATCTTGTTACATAATATGTTAAATAATGTTCTTTTATTTTTTAAATTATCAATATCGATCACTCTACCTATCGTCAATGAATTTAATTATTTGGTCTACTTTTGAATCTATTATTTTTGACTTTGGTGTTAATGATAAAGCTAATTTGACTTTGTATGAGTTGCTACAGAATTTTGATAGTAAAAAAGCATCTCCATAGAACATTGAAACTATCCAAGATATTAGTTGAACTGTAGTGAAATAAACCATAAAAGTATAGTATTCAACTATTTCTTTATCTTCAGGATTTGAGTGCCATTGAATGATTTGATTGAATGCATATCCAGAAAAACATATTCTTATGGTTTGCCAAGTGCACACTTTTGGAAAAAATGAAAAAAACATTGTTGTTGGTTGGTCGTGAGAATTATTCGTATTGATTTGATTGGATTGCTGATAGTTTTTGGAAAGCAATAACCCAATAGATGTGATCTGAACTACCATAATAGTGGTCATTAAAGCCAAGTCAGTGTCGGAAAATGTATGTTTAAATAACTCGAGGGTAGTTACAGATGCAGAAAGAACAGTGATTTCGATAACCATATATATACATAAAATAATATTAAAAACATCGTTTTGTTTTAATTCTTTTGGTTTGATTTGTTCGGTTGGATTGGGCTCCGGTGTCTCTAAATTGTTCTGTGGTAAATCATGATCTGGATGCCAGGAAGGTGATTTCCATAACACCTTTAATTTTGAAAATCCCTTCAATTTCTTTGAAAGTTGATACATATAATAAAAATGATGAGCATTTAACCAAAGAATATTGTATGATGAAATATCATCTGTAATTCCATATTTTAAATCAATATTATCATCCTCTAAAATATATAAAATAAAATTTTAATATTATAAAGATTTATAAAAAAAATAAAAATTATTTACCTTCAATAAATGTTCCAAACAATCTATCCCATATGATAAGAACACCACCATAGTTTTTATCAAGATATTCAACATTGGAAGCATGGTGAACCTTATGAAGACTTGGAGTAACGAAAATAGTTTCAAGACATTTTATTCTTGGAAACATTTCACTTAAAAAATTTTAATACAATTAGTTGTTTTTAATTTTTATTTTTTTTATAATTTACTTACCTATGTAACCAAAATTGAAATATTCTATTCCAATGATGATGAAAAGAATAATGAATAGGATGGACTACCAATGAGAGTGGTAGATAGTGGAGCCAGACATTTACATATTGGAAAACACCTTGTCTGATTGCTGAAGAAAAATTGAAATAATCAGAAGAATGATGAGGGACATGCATGGCCCAAAATAAATTGGTTTCGTGTCCAATCCGATGAAAACTATATACAGAAAAGTCGATACCAATAAATGATATAATAAAGCTTAATATACTTGAACTATCGAGTGTTACAAGTCTATAATTATTCCAACTATAAATTAAAAACAATCATTAGGATCCTTTGAAAAAATATCTTTGAAAAAAAAACATTTATATTTACATATAAAAATAAGGAATAAAATAAATTGGAAAAATGTAATAATGGAATATCTCTTGGAATGCACCCATCGTTATTGATAACATTGTATTATTAAAATCATGATATGACATTTTTTTTAAATAAATAGTTCGCCAAGTGGAAATGAAAAGTTCTACCAACAACGCAGCAAGGAACACTGGAATCATCAAATTGATGTAATTTGGTATATCATATTCGGCGGGAATATATGTTCGAGGATCAAAACTGTTTGTCCTATGAAAGTGAAAGAACATCGGAAATTAATTAGTGGTTAAACTAGGAGGGTAGTGGTTCATCAATTGATGAAATGGTGCATTGAGATAGCGATGTTTGCAAATGAAGAGTTTCATGGTAAAAACAATCGAATATCCATACATACATTTTAAAGTAGTGCACTCAATAAAAAAAAGTAATACCTCTACATCAAATAAGAAATACTAAAAAGAATTTTAATTTTTATAGTTACGAATATTGTTTTTAACTAATAGGATTATTTGTTGTTAGGTAATTAAATTGTTTCTTCTCTTGTGTGATGGTTGAGATGTTGAATTGATTGTTTGTGAATGGTTAAAAACAGAATGCTTAAAATATTTTAATTGTATTTTCACAAACAACAGGGGAGGGTGTGGAAATGTGGTATTTAATTGGTGAGAAAACAACTATTATATGTTGCCAAAGACGAATTGATCAACTGTAACCAATCATATTTCTCAGAGCACACAACAAATTTTTATAATTTCAAAAAAAACTGATAATGAAAAAAAGAGATACCAACAATTTTGGAAATGGAGATATTATAATTCATATGAACATTGTTAGAGATAATGCTTGATGATGGTAGTGTTTCTCTTGTGGTGTAGCTTTGTGAAAAAGATGTATTTGTGTTGTTGTTGTAGAATGTGGTAACTTTATAAATTAAATAAGTAGGACAAAACTAAACCAAAATAAGTAAAAACCATCCATCCCACTTTTTGGATGGTGTGTTTTTGTTTATAATAAAGCTACTGCTATTGTATATAGATAGTATAAACATATGTTTATAATAAACCAAACCACATAAAAATGTGACAATCATATGATTTATACTAATAGAGACACACACAAACATAATATGGTTTTAAACAACAGCTGCTTATTAATTGGTAGTGGTGGTAAAAATGGTAGAAATATTATGTGGTTTATATTGTATGGTTTAGTTTGGTTTTAAAAGTGGTTACTACCACTAGCACCACTGGTGGTGGTTTTTTGATTGTGTAGGTGGCGTTAGTGGTGTGTAAGAAATCAATCACCCACAACATACTAACAGTATTAACAACACCCATAAAAATAGTGGAGAAAATACTTACATTTCAAGTTTTTTTGTGTATTCATCATAACCTATGCTACTCTATAAATAAGATAGTGTATTTGAATCAGTTACTACTATTACTGATGCTAGCTCTAAATATTCTCTGCTGAAGTGAGGAGGTGAGGAGGAAATTAAAGATAAGACAAAGCAATCTAAACCAAAACTGTTGTTGAGAGAAATTATAATTATATGGCAAATATTTGAATTGTAAATATTAGATTTTGTTGTGCATCGATGCATAGTTTACTTAGTATTATTGTTGGGGATAATTTAGGATTTATCTTAATTATGTAAATTGCTGTTGATGTGATTCAATAACGACCACCACAAAAAAAAAAAAACAAAAAAATATGGTTTAGTTGATCAATCACATAGATCTTCAAAAAAATTATTATTCACTTTCTGATTGGATGCGGTAGTATTTTTCAATCATTTAATTATAATATCAACTCTAACAATATTTGTTGTTGGGCTGAAAATAAAAACTTGGTTATATATTTAAATTTCTTACTAAAAAATTATTTTTAGTAAATTTTGAATTACTTTAAACCAAATTCATAATAAATACAAAACAAAAATACTACTCCATCTTATATAATTGTACTTGTTGGTCAAGATACACCATCCAAGATGGTGCTAATAACTAGCAAATTGGACAAAAAAAAGGTAGTGTGAAATTATTATTATTATTATTATTATTATTGTTATTGTTTAGAAATAATTTGAATTTGATTGTTTTTAAAAATAAATAAATACAAAATTTCTATATTATTAAAAAAAAATTCAATTTAAAATAATAAAAAAGAACAAGTAAAATATGTCAGATAGACAAGTTTAAAGAATACAATCAACACTCTTAAATAAATCCCAATTTGCTATAACAGATGAATAAATTTGGGTTTTTTAATTACCATATGGTGGTAGTAGGTTTTTGACTGATTAATGTGATAACATAGGTGGACAAATAATAAATTAAATTAAATTTACATTGTTTGATTGATCAGAATTAAGAATCAATTTCAAACAACAATTAAAAAAAATAAAAAAAATTACTTTTTTAAATATTAATAATAAACAATTGTTGGGTTGTTGAAAATATAATAATAAAATATAATATTTGACAGATATATGATTGATTGATTAATTGATCAAATTATATATTCCCACCAAAACTAAATACGAATTTGATTACTTCATTTAGATAAGTCGGCAATATAAAAAAAACATAGATATAAACACATTACTATTTTTATAATGAATACTTACCAATTTTGGGATAAATCAAAATTTTGAGGTGTGATTATAAATTGGCCCAATAATTGATTTATAGATTCTTTATAATTAAAATACTATTAAGTTAAATTTATTCTAAATATTATAAACAATTATCCTTTTTCTTATATATTATTATTCTTCTTCTTTTTCTTACTATTATTATATTAAACATTATATGAATAAAACAAAAAAAAAAAAAAGAAAATAATAAAAGATCTATAGATGATGGCTATATATATATTATAATTAGCTATTTCAACTTTTTTTGTTATTTATTTATTATTGGGTGGCTGATTTGTTATTAATTTGATTGATTGATTGATTGCTGCTGTTGGTGCTTCTCTTTTCTATTTTTTCTACTTTTCAAATTGCCGTCATTGTTAAAATCGCTGATTTTTAATTTATTCTGTTGTTTATAACTATTTTATTTTATTTATTTTGACTTTATGTATATTGTTGATAGTAATTAAGGAATAATAAAACAAATGATGCAGTAATAAGCAAAACTAATACCATGACTCTAAAGTCAAAGGTTTTCTTGGTCGCATCTTGAATGTGTTGATTTGCTCTATGTATATAATTGGTTGCTTGTACATTGGTTGTGTAGATGGTGTTGAGTGTTTCTCTTTGTGCCATTATATGGGGAGTAATCTCATCAAACAAAGTCGACAGCTCTTCAATCTGTCTTTCAATAACACTGAGATAATAATATTAAATTAAATTTAAATTTAATTAATAAATAACAAATATTATTACAAAAAAAATCAATAAAAATATATATATTATAGTCAACTGATTTGAAAATGAATATCCTAATTTCCAAAAAACAACAGTTGTTTTCCTGTCCATTCGTCCATCAATCCATTAATCCATCAACATGTTTATGTTATGTTAGGTTGCATCCATTTAATTTTGAAAATCCATCTTTTTAACTTTTGTAAATTGAAACTACGTATATCGAATTGATTGAAAATGATTATAATTGACTATATATATATATGTATTGATTATATATTGATTGAAATGATTATATTGATATTGATTGATTGATTAATTAATTGATCTATCTACAATATTCTATTGACTGGATGTTTAAACATTGTTGTTTTTCTGATAAATTCGTAACTGATTAACTAAATCCAAATGATCATTCGTAATATACTTTCAAAAACAGACTATAATGATAAATGTTTGCTACTTACAGAATTTGATCGGAAAGTGACTCTAACTCATTGATAAGACTTGCATTTTGTTGCTCAAATATCAACTGTTCATCATTATCAAGCTCTATATCTTTATAAACCTGTTGATTCCTATCATCTTCACCCAAAAGCTCTGCCAAATTACTATTACTATTAACACTACTATTATTACTATCTTTACTATTACTACTATTACTATTTGATTTACTACTATATGTATTATATCTATTCCTTGTTGAATCAGTAATACTACTTGCAAACCTAAATGTAATTAAATTAAATATAAATAAAGTGTAATAGGCATTAATATTAACTAATATATAAAATATATATCATTATATCACTATATAATTATTTAGATATTGATATTACTTTTGATTCTCTTTTATGGTTGCCAATCTGAAATCTCTTTGTTTCTTAAAGTTGGTGGATACTTGGTTGAGATGAAGTCGTAGTTGATCGATGATGCTCATGAACATGTATATTTTGTTGTCGAATTGCTCGAGTTCCTTGTAGAACTTCTCATTGTCAGGATCGTCACGCAGAATCGATGGATTCGGCACTTGTTCGACACTCTCGTACTGCCGATACTTTGGATTGGCAATGAAATTCCTTCGGATGTAGCCATCGAGTTTAGCGATACTGTTGTTACACACCTCTATCTGCTTGAGCGAGAGGTTATCAACGGTGTCTCGATCTTCGTCGGTCATCCTACCGTGAGTGGACGACGACCGTGACGATGAAACATGCTTCGAAGTATCGATATACGCTTCTCTATTATCATTTAGAAATTCTTTTAATGATTCTATATTCTCAAGCTTTATATATATCAATATCAATATCAATATCATATTATTAAATTAAAACATTATAATCTTACAATTGAAGCAGATGCTTTTAAAATATCTTTATCTGTAAATTGATTACTATTTATATCTTTATCTTTTTCATTTTCTTTATCTTTATCTTTATCTATATCTTTATTATTGTTACTCTTCTTTTTAAACAATTTATTTTGTAAATCTCTTTGTTTGTCTGCTGGTGAAGTTGAAGTTCCAGTGTTTACTCTACATTTCTTTACTTGATCTTGAAATAGTTTTGATATATCCATTCTTTCTTTTCTTTATTAAATTAAATTAAATACTTTACAAAAAAAAAAACTAAAAATAGTTATTATTATATTATTATGTACATCTATTTATTTATTTATTTTTAGTGATTATTCTATATATTTAATTAATTAATAAAGTCAGTGTTTGTTCCACTTTCAGAAACTTGAAATTGAATAGGAAAAATGAGTCATCATAATATAAAAATAAATTAATTAAAAATTCAATGATATTCTTATACACTAAAAATAAAAAAACATAACATAACATAACATAGAATAATTGTTTATTAATAATGTATTATTTTTGATAAGTTCTCAATATTTTAATATATTGAATCATTTATAACATTGATGTTTAAACTAAAAAAATATGATATTGTAGACTACTATTTCAAAATAATATGAGAAGAAATGTTAACGTTACATTATTTTTAGTTTTTTTGTTTTAAAAACACTATTTTTCGAATTTTTTATTTTTTATTTTATTTTATTTTTTTGATTTTTTTTTGGCATGATTAAAATTTGAGTAACAAAAATTTAAAACATTCTTTTCGAATCGTTCTTTGTAGTTAGTCGTTGACTTAATAATTAAAGTAGTATCACAATGGGTCGTATGCACAGCAATGGGTAAGCATTTTCATAAATAAATTTTAGATTATTAGTTAAAAATAGTTTATTAATATAAATATCATTACAAACAATTGTATATTATTATTATTTTAGTAAGGGTATCTCATCCTCTGCTTTACCTTACAACAGAAAGCCACATTCATGGACCAAGCACTCTGCTGCTGAAGTCTGCCAACAAATCATCCTTTTGGCCAAGAGAGGTTACACTCCATCCCAAATCGGTGTCTTGTTGAGAGATTCACACGGTATTGCCCAAGTTAAGAACATCACTGGTTCAAAGATCCTCCGTATCTTGAAGGTCAACGGTCTCGCCCCAGCCATCCCAGAAGACTTGTTCCACTTGATCAAGAAGGCCGTCACCATCAACAAGCATTTGCAACGTGCTCACAAGGATTACGATGGTAAGTTCAACCTCCGTCTCGTTGAATCCCGTATCCATCGTCTCTCCCGTCCATACAGAAAGTCTGGTGTCCTCCCACCAAACTGGAAGTACGAAGCCGCCACCGCCTCCACCCTCGTTGCCTAAACACACCACCGTTTACCCGTGTCCAGATAGTAATGTACCTACTTTAACGTGCCAACAGCTCTCAATAAATGTAGAAGGATTCGGGGTGACCGACGGATTAGTCCGTCGTGCACTTTTTGAAACTGGTCCTTACTATTTAATCAATTGCTAGGTCTCTCTTTTGATTCCTACACCTATAATTGATTACCGATTGAGAGGAAGACGTTGGTTCTACTGGTAGGTTGTCACACACCATCAAAACCTAGTGTATATCAATGTATGGGGAACCAACTTGAAGAACACATTTATCTTCTGGGAGAAGATAAACGTTTTATGGATGTGCTGTTGACACATCTACCATTAGAACATTGAAAGGAATATGTAAGTTAACTCAAACATATAATAGTTATCAAAATAATATTACATTGATAATATTTCCTTTCAATCAAAACAACTGTTTTCTTCTACAATGGTAATATTTATTATTAAAGTTTTTATTACTAACAATTTTTCCTTTTACTGAGTTTAAGAGTTACTTTGATCAAACTTTAAATTTTTAAATAAATAAAAGAATTTATTTTCAAAATATAAAATTTATAAATTATAGTTATTTATCTATTTTTAACATATAGTCATGATTGTTGAATTGTATTTAATAGTTATGTTGATTATTATTTTTGAATATCAAAAATCTTCTGTCCAACTGTATTTTCTAATTTAAAGTAATCTGTTCAAAGTATTTAAAAATAGGAGGGTAATCTTTATTTAATTCGGTTCAGTGTAATGGTAAATTATTTTATTTTAGAATTTATTTTTGCACATATCAAAGAGGCTAGTATCGTTTCGTATTAGACTTTATAGGTAATAGTTGCACTTGAACTAATGGTCCATATCAAGAGTTTTGATACAATATAAAAATATATTTAAAGTGGTTGATTAAGTTTTCTGGGGAGTTAGAGTTCTGCTCTTGACTTGTTGGCAATTAAGTTTAATAGTTATATTGGTCAATATAAATAATACTGTAATTTAAGTCAAAATTTATTAAATTATTTAAAGCTGTTGAATATACATCATTACTTTTTACACATTTTACAATATTCTATAAACTGATAAAATTATAAAGACCTATTCAAGAGAATAAATCATTTCCAATACTTTGATAAATTTTTTTAAAACTTTCTTTCAAACCATATTATTTGATGAGAAAAACAATTTATAAATTTTACTGTACAAATCTATATTATATTTTATTAAATTATAGTTAAATTATTTATCTAACTTGTATGTTTGCTATCATTTTTGTTACATATTGGAATATTTCTTTAATTTGATTGCAATCATCGGTTTCAAAGGTGTGGGTGAATAATCTACGGTTTTGTTTGAATTTATCTTTGTTCTTAAAAGAATTCAAAAGGAATGAAGCTTCACATTGTTCGTTGGTGTAGTCAGAAAAATGGTTCTTCAATGGCTCTATCAGCAACTTTTGTTTGAATAGATTTTTATTGTTGATCATCAATATTACAGTGGTGTTGGTAAATAATTTATTATTAATAATCTAAAAAAATGAAAGTTAGTTATTAATTATTTAATAATTTAAAATTTATAATTAATAATAATTACCTCTTCGAATAAACTTAAACTTTCCTTCATTCTATTTTCATATTTAGGATTTTCGGCTGGTTGATCGTATTCGTCAAAGGATACAAAGAATAAAATGGCACCAACATCTTCGAAATGATGGATCCATTTCTTTCTGTCACATTTTTGACCACCAACGTCAACAAAAGTGTAGCTACAATCTTCAACCTCCAGTCTAGTATCGGATGTTCCAGTGCATTTCATTCTAAACTTTGAAATATCGGTTTCGTTTGGAATGAAGTCTTCACTTATAATTCGTTTAGCATTTTCAATTAAACTAAGAAAAAGTAAATTATTTAAATTAATAAAGATTGAACAGTTAAAAAAAAATAATTGTCAAAAACTTACTAAATAGTATCTTCTTTTTTAAATTTTGTAATTGGTAAGAATTGGTTTTGGAAATCAGTATCAATCCACAAGTCCATTAGATTCTTGAATAAACTTTTGGCCAATTTAATATCTATATCAGAGTCGATATCCATTCTTTTGAATTTTAACCATGACTTTTTGATAGACTCTTGAGAGGTGGAATGAATAAATCTAATGATTTCCTTAATTACTATACAAAGCGAAAATCTCATCATAGTTTTGATTTTCTGTGCATCATCTCCAGATCTACCACCTTGATATATAAGTTGTGTTTGTTTAATAAAAGATAACTATAAAAAAAAAAAAAAAAAAAGTTAGAAATTTTATTTTTTATTTTTAAAACTTTTTTAAAACAATAATTTTTTTCTTACCTTTCCACTTGTATTACTACCAAACATAAGTAGTTTGATATCAGACGAAGCTTTTAAGTTGGAGGATAATTTTTGTCCCATTTTTAAAAATTATCTATAATTATAATTATTTAGAAAATGATTTTAGCTTTATGTTTTAAAATTCTGATCATATAACTATTTTGGAGGGAATAGAGTTGTTTGATGATTGATGTTTTTTTTATGATGATGTTGATGATGATGGACAAGTTTAATAAAATAAACAATCTTAAAGATTAAAGTAGGAAATGAGAAGTTAAAGTTAGTTAGATACTGACTGGTTTATCAATAGACTAATATTATTTTTTTTCAATGGAAGTTTTTTGGATTTAACATATCTTTGTTGAATTAAAAATAATTGTTTGATGATTGGTTGGTTGGTTAGGTGTGGTGACGTGGTCTATTTGAAGGAAGGAATGATAGGTATTTAATATGGTGGAGGTGGTCAGTTTTTGAAGTTTATCTTTAGGGATTTAAGGATAAATATGTATATGGTGTTGGTTTGATGATAAATTACTTCGAGTAATATCTAACACACTGAAATCACACAACCCTTTTTCAAACTTTATATATTTATAAAACACACTACCACCACACTACCACCACCACTACCGCCATCAGAATCTTCATCACACTAGCTTAAGAAAAATATATACTAACATCAACATAATGATTGTTGTTCAGCAACTACTGTATTGTCAACAATATCAATTTTATAAAATATCATGTTTTAATATATCAAAAAAAAACAATATTATTAATTGTATAATAATATTGTTATTTTGATTCATTTTTGAAAAGTAGGTGTGGTGGTGAAGAAAAACTGTGAGTTTGGGAGAGGTGAAAACACAACTTTTATTATGTGTTGAGATTGATGGTGTGCTGAATTGCTATAAACTTTCCAACTTTAAAAAGATATTATTCTATATATTGAATAAACAAGTTGATCTTATTGTTATTGCCAACAATATTAATAATCAATTATAGTGTGAATACATTAATTTATGATTGTTCAAGTTGTTGTAGTAGATGTCGAAATAATTGTGGGTATTGTTTTTGAGTAGTAGTTAGTTGGAGGTGGGTGGAATTTGATGAATAGGAATTGAAAACAATGCCTTTTTTGGTATAAAAGTAAAATAATATAGAATTTCTATAAATGTTTAATGAAATTGGATGGTGCACCGCAGTAGAACATTATACATACCTTTAAAAAAGAGGAGAGTTGCAAATGGTTTTACTAACGTACACTATTGACTATGGAAAATAGATAATATTAAATTAATGAAGATGTATGGAGTGGTTGTAATACTCGTTTGAGAATTAGAAAAGTGTATTGTTGTTGATCAGAAAAGATTCCGTGTTGGTTAATGTCAAAGGTGGGATGGTTTTTGTTGATAAAAAAATTCAAACTAAAAAATAAAGAGTGTTGTTTGTTTTAAAATGATATTAGGAGAAGATGTAGAAACCAATAATTAATATGGTTGGGAACACAAGTTTTTTAATTCCAGGATTCGAGAGGTAAATGTATAAAAATAATAAATTATAACAAAAAAAAAACAATAAATAAATGTTGAATGTTGGGAAGGTCTTGTTAATATTTGATAATTAAATTAATATATAAAATTATTATTTTATAAAGATAATAATTAAAGAATGATAGTTTAAAAAGAGTTGGTTTTGTACAAGTTATATAAATAATAAATATTAATTTGAAAATAAGGATTTATATATATCTTGGTTTTTTTGATTTTTAAAATTTTAGGAAATTAACTAAAATATTAATTGATATAAATAAATGTAACCACGATTAAATTACGATATTAAATAAACAAGTAGCACTGAGCGCGCTCGCTAAAATAAATGTGATTAACAAATATGTAACATCAATAAAATACCAATCATTGTCATCTAGATCAACTCTACTTAATATGTTCCGAAACCAACACATCCAAAAATAACTACGTTCAATAACAACAACAATTGTGATAACAGCATATATCAACAATTCAACCAATAAACATTAATATTTGAATATGATTAATCGTCGAATGGTGGTTGTGTGTGATCGTATTAATGATAAAACAAAATTTTAACTCTTTATGGTTAAAATATTTTTTCAATAAATAAATTGTTTTGATTGGAGTCTTGTTATTTTCCATTTATTGCAATATGATGATTGTGTGTGGGGTATGATTGTCTGCAGTCAATTTTTTTCATCTTATTTTCTTGTCATACATAATGAGCTTTTAAAGAAAACGAATTTTTTTTAAACAAATAAATATCATTCAAACAACCACAACCACTCGCCTTTTCCTCTTCATGTTCTACTTAACTTATTTTTCAAACAACAAAGAATACCTGGCTATTTAAATTATATGTTAGTTACCACCCTCTACCAATACAAATGTTGTTACTCTCAACTGAAAAGCAAACAACAACAAGAAAAAAAAAAACAAAGATATTCAAAATCGATTAAGTAATACCAATGTGTGTTTGTCAAGTGGGTGTATAAGAAATTGTGTTGGTGTGGTTTTATTATAAAAAAAAACCATATATATTACCATTTATATTGTTAAGGTATTCGAGTTAACATGATTACTATTGTTGTTTGTGATGACTTTGTTAGTAGTGGTTGTAGGTAGAATCAATTTTCTATTTAGTTTAGCACTAAAACTGCTCTTTGGAATGAATTGATTGTGAACAACGATACTCAAGAGATTCTCCCAGCCTGATGCTGATGATTTAATTGAAGTTGTTGTTGTGTGTTGTGACGATGTTTGATAGTTGTTTGATGTGGTTGATGTTGCTGATGTCGTTGCTGTTGGTGTGTTGGATGTGGAAGATGAAGAATTGTTTGTGTTACCACTACCAACACCACTACTACTATTGATACTATTAAGTTGTAGTTAAACATTACCACTACTATAAAAAAACATTATATTGTATGATTTTTGTTGTTTTATATGTTGTATATATATATTAATAATGAATCGATTATAAAAGTATCAATTATATATATATATTGTGTGTGTCGTTTATGATTCACTACATACCTATTGTTATCATTAATATTGTCATTGATTTCATCTTTGGAATCGTTAACCCATGGACAGAACCACCTATGTTCCTTAATAGGTTAAATAGAAATATTCATAATTGAATCCTTTGCTTTGTTAAAAGACACAGTTGGATGATATACAAATCTCTGACCCAACTCCATCCTACATCACTCTTTGTTCGTTGTTCCGATTGTAATTGTTGTTGTAGTTTCAATTGTATCTCTTTTTCCTTTTCTTTCTGGTTGTTGTTGTGTTGTTTCGTATACATTTTGATTACTATTGTTATTATTACTAGATTGTGCATCAACAATGGTTGATGACGATGAAACTGGTTGTATATTCGATGTTGATGTTGATGTCGATAATAATGGTGTTGTGTTTGTGTTTGTGGTTGACTGTGGATTAATTATATTTTTAAAACTAATGAAACTACTACTGCCACTCCAAGATGATATCGATCTACTTAATAAACTCTCAAAAACTACTTTCTTTCTATCTTCGACTGTTGTTTCTTATTGTTATTGTTGTATATCTATTGTTGATTCTCTACCTCTTTTCAATGACAAAGTAGATACCGTATTAGATCTACCACCAATTGTTCATTTATTTGAAAGTGTATTGTTAACATTTAGTGACGTTGACGTTGATGATATTGTTTGTGTTTGTAAATTGGGATATAGTTGAATGAAGGATCATCTATAGTCACAGTATTGCTGTTATTACTGTTGTTCATTGATTTAAAATTCCACAACCCAACACTCTCTGACAATATGAACAATGAATATTGATATGGTTGTTGTCATCGTCATATCAGCACTGCAGATACTGTTGTTATTATAATAATCCCAACCACACAACGCCAGAATAACAGAGATTCTTGCTTTTAACTCACCGCTATCACTTGTAATCTCTGAGGTCGATAACAATTCTTCAATAGATTCCTTTTTTCTGTACATTTGACTATATTTAGTGAAAAAAATGAGAAAAAACACTATTATAATTAATATATAAACTTAAATCTTTACTTTTAATCAGTCAATAATAATGAGTGAGTGTGCGTCACAAGTGACTAAAATAGTGAATCAATTCACATAACTAAACCAAATTAGAAATAAATAACAATACAAACCCAAAATTGATTATCTAATAATGGTCATATACTATTGGATAGTTATTTTGTGCTCTTTTGAAAACTCTGTATTCTTGAAATTCGATCATTGTTAGCAAGATTTATTTATTTAAAAGTAGTTAATAATCATTTATTCAAAATTTAAATAAATACTGATTTCAACTGTCGAAATTTTCATTTTAAACTAATATCAAAAGCTATAAATTCTTTTTGTCTGACATTGTTGTATGAGAATAAGTAATATAATTGGATATGATAGTGTATTTATTTAATAGAATAAATAGTTTTAAATATACTACACACACATTTTTTTTTTGAGGGCCTCAACAACCACTCGCCTTTTCCTCTTCATGTTCAACCTACTTAACTTTTTTTCAAAAGAATCGATTAATTAATACCAATGTGTTTGTTGAGGGTGTAAAGATATATGTGCTTATTATAATAATAAAAAAACCATATATATTATCATTTATATTGTAATGTTATTCAAATTAACATTATTAGAAGTGTTGTTTGTGATGACTCTGTTGGTGGTTGTCGTAGTTGACGTAGTTGTAGGTAGAATCAATTTTCTATTTAATGTACCATCCTTTTGAATATCAAAACTACTCTTTGGAATGAACTGATTGTGTACCACGATACTCAAGAGATTCTCCCAACCTGATGCTGATGTTTTAATTGAAGTTGTTGTTGTGTGTTGTGATGATGTTTGATAGTTGTTTGATGTGGTTGATGTTGCTGATGTGGTTGCTGTTGGTGTGTTGGATGTGGAAGATGAAGAATTGTTTGTGTTACCACTACTACTATTGATACTATTAAGTTGGAGATGTAGTTGAACATTACCACTACTATTACTAAAGAGAAAATATATGTTAATAAACGAAACGATTATAAAAGTTTCAATTATATATCTACATACCTATTGTTATCATTAATACTTGTCATTGATTTCATCTTTGGAATCGTTAACCCATGGACAGAACCACCTATGTTCCTTAATAGGTGAAAGTGAAACATTCATAATTGAATCCTTTGCTTTGTTAAAAGACACAGTTGGATGATATACAAATCTCTGACCCCAACTCCATCCTACATCACTCTTTGTTCGTTGCTCCGATTGTAATTGTTGTTGTAGTTTCAATTGTATCTCTTTTTCCTTTTCTTTCTGTTGTTGTTGTAATGTTGCTTCGTCTACATTATTATTACTTGATTGTGCATCAACAATGGTTGATGACGATGAAACTGGTTGTATATTCGATGTTGATGTTGATGTCGATAATGATGGTGTTGTGTTTGTGTTTGTGTTGGTGGTTGACTGTGGATTAATTAGATTTTTAAAACTAATGAAACTACTACTGCCACTCCAAGATGATATCGATCTACTTAATAAACTCTCAAAAACTACTTTCTTTCTATCTTCGACTGTTGCTTCTTCTTGTTGTTGTTGTTGTTGTTGTATATCTATTGTTGATTCTCTACCTCTTTTCAATGTACAAAGCTAGATACCGTATTAGATCTACCACCAATTGTATGACTTGAAAGTGAATTGTTAACATTAAGTGACGTTGACGTTGATGATGAATTATTATTATTATTATTATTATTATGTGATGTTGATGTTGTTTGTGTTTGTAAATTGGGATATAGTTGAATGAAAGGATCATCTATAGTCACAGTGCTGATGTCACTATTATTATTGTTCATTGATTTAAAGTTCCACAAACCCAACACTCTCTGACAATATGAACAATGAATATTGATATGGTTGTTGTCATCTCTGTGGTCACTGCCATCAGCAGCATTGCCGTTGCTGTTGTTACTATAATAATCCCAACCACACAACGCCAGAATAACAGAGATTCTTGCTTTTAACTCACCGCTATCACTTGTAATCTCTGACGACGATAACAATGCTTTCAAAAGGTTTCTTTTATCTTTTCTCTGTACATTTGACTATATTTAGTGATATAAATGAAAACAATCACAAACACATTATAATTAATATATATAAATCTAAATCTTTATCAGTCAATTATAAATAATAATAAAATACAAACCCAAAACTCGATATCTAACAATGGTAATATACTATTGGATAGATGATTATAGATATTTTGTGCTCTCTTTTGAAAACTTTCGATTTGTATCAACGATGGAATGTTTGATAGTCTTGCGTAGAATGTAGGACATCCATTGTCTTTCCATGGGCATGTATCTCTATGTCCAGTAGATTTAACCATCAATGCGAAATCCTGTATTCTTTTATCACCTATAGAAGTAAAGTAATTCCAATTGAATTATTAGATATATTTCCTCTTTTAAATGTTTGTGACATTGACATATGTACGTACGTTGTTGCTGTGACAGTGAATCCGGTAACTTAAAATAGAGTCGTTTGTTACATGATACGCACTCTAGCATATCGGGTTCACAATTGATCCAACCGAATCTTGAACACTGAAGAGGGTCTATCAACGATGGCTTGGCAAACCATTTGCCAATACTGTAGGTGTTGACACGAAAGTAGTAATCATCGGTACTCCACGGTCTGTGCTGATAATCCTGTTGCTGCGGTTGCTGTTGGTACTGCAAATGCTCTTGTTGCGCTTTCAACTCTCTTGTCTGCTGTGAAGGTATCGACAATGTTTGAATGACAGTTGCACTATCGAGTTCATTCAATGCCTTTTTTATTCTATCCTCCATTCATACAACAAAAAATCAATATATATTATATTTTAAAAAAAAACTTCTAAATTTAGAAAAATTTCATATGAATGATCATTTGACTTCACACACACTTTTAAAATTAGTATATATAAAAAAAAAAAACAAACAATTATGTATAATCAAATAATTAATAAAATACTATTCAATAGAAATAAGTAAAGAGTAAAAAAAGTCATTAAAAATATAAATCTAATTCATTGATACAAGGAAATCCTAAAATAAAAGCCTGTGCATTTATTTTTAAGTTTTCAAAAATCGAAAATGGAGTGTCGATTTTTTTTTTAATTTTTATAGAATTATATTTTTTTTTTTGATTGTTGTTTTTTGTGGTTGGCGTTGTGAAAAACAATTTTCTGCACTTGAATCCTTCCTTTTTTCACTGTTTGTTGTTACAGAGTACAAGTATGTGAGTGTTTCGTTTTGTATTATAACAAACTATATTTTAGGTCTGATGACATTTTTTAATATATTGAATAAGCTAAGCTCTACACTACATTTATAAACACAATAATAATTATTTAGTTTAATAAATTATCAATAATATTTATTTAGTTAATAAAATAAAAAATAATAATAATTATAATAATAATAATAATCAAAATAATAGTTTACAATGAAATAGTTCAATTACCTACTCTATATCCTATTTTTATTTAGATTAGATAAAATTTAGCACAAACAAATGTTATTATTATTTTGGTTATTAGGAAAATCAAGATACAATTACAGAAAATAATTACAGATTTTTTTTTGGATAGACAATCATCGTCAAAGTCATGTTTTTCACAAGAAGATAGATTTAGATAAACAATTATTATAGAATTAAAGTTTTGTTTCAGATTTAATTGGATTTATCAAAGAACATAGCATACATGCATTATAATCAACTAGAACATCATCATCTATTTTTTCTTTTAAGAGTTTAGCTTATTTTTCATTTTGTGTTAAAATTTATTATTTTTTTTATTTTTTTTATTTTTTTCAAAAAGTTTGTTTTGTCGTAAAAACGAAAAAACCCCAAATAATAATTTACTTATACTCGAATTTATCTACAATCGTTACAATAGATCCAAGATGACACAGAAGAGACGTAATCACGGTAGAGCCAAGCACGGTCGTGGATCTGTCAGAGCCATCCGTTGCACCAACTGTGCTCGTTGCACCCCAAAGGTATGTTATTGAAAACAAATAAAATAATTTACATAGTAGTAGTGTGATGATTCTAATATGATGATTATAATTATAGGACAAGGCTGTAAAGAGATTCTACATCCGTCCAATCGTTGAGAATGCTGCCGTTAAGGATATTTCCGACCAAGGTGTCTTCACTGCTGCCAAGTACAAATTCCCAAAGACTTACTTGAAGTCCCAATACTGTATCTCCTGTGCCATTCACTCTCACATCGTACGTGTCCGTTCCGTCCAAGACCGTAAGATCCGTGTTATCCCACGTCCACAAAGACCAGGTCAAAACAAGACCGTCCAAGTCAAGAAGGACTAAATAAATAACGCACTTTCTAAATAAATTAAAAAAACGATATGAGTTTGATCTCTGTTCATATTCAGTATTATTAAAAAAAAAAACAAACAATTTTGTAACAAAAACAAATATAATATATTATATAAACTAAACTTTCTTTTTTTTCTTAATTACAATTTATTGTTATAAATACATTTTTATTTTATTATATATATTAGTTATTTAGTTATTAAGTTAACCAAATATACTCTTAAACCAATTTACAATACTTTTAATCCATCGCAGCGGAAGAGGGTCTTTACTTGGTGCGACAATTTGGTTGTTATTGTTGTCGTTGCCTGCAGTTGTGGTTGATTTAGTTTCTTGTTGATCTGTTGTAGTGGTTGGAGATGATGATTCAGTTGTTATTGATTGTTTTTCTTTGGTTTGTACATCTTGTTGTTGTTCTTGTTGTTTGGTTGTTGTTGTTGTTGTGGTGGTGACTGTTAATTCTTGAATAGTTAATCTTTGAGTTTCAAGTTGTTGTTGTAGTTGATTTAGTTCTTGTTCCTTCTTTTCGAGAGAGAGTGATTTCTGGTTGAGCTCAGACTGTTGTACACCTATTCTGTTTTCAAACTCTTCCTTCTCTTTTGCTAGGTTTTGCTTTTGGATGGTGATTGACTTTAGCTCTGACTCCTTTTGTTCTTGTAAAGACTTGAAAAGTGATTTCTCTTGTTCGAAATCCTTTGTGTCTTTATCGATCTTTGCTTGTATTGACTTTAGGTTGGACAATTGTAGCTCCAGATCGACGTTACTTATAGTAGTGCTACTACTACCACCATCTTCTATTTGCTTGTAATCATGATAATCGTTGTCCAATGTCAAATCATCTTTATAAACAATCTTAAAAGGAAGTCTATCAATTATTATTTTAAAGAAAGTTGGATCTATATGGTACAGTAATAACAACAAGTTAGTTAATTGTTAAAGTTTAATCATTGATTGATAGATGGATAAACATAATACTTACTTGTATAATGTAGATACAGAATGTCATAAGATTTATGTATCTCATGTATTTTAGAAGTGCAATCTATACAATTAATGTTTTTGTCTGGATGACTAATGAATAGATTGTGTGAATGTTAGTAGTTTATCTTTAGTATTATATATTTATAACTTACTATTTAAGTAATGATGATTTATATGATTTCTTTAGTTGGTCTAATGTTGGTGAATCGTTATTTACAATTCCAAGCTTAAATAGGTGATTTTGTAGGATTGCTTTATCGGATATTTGAGCTGGATTAATATAGAGACTTGCACTGATTGCTAGGAATACAATGATAATCGAAAGATAAAAGAATGTTGATTTAAAGTTGGTTTTGGTTGGTTTGGTAGTGGTTGTCAATTCAGTTGTTATTGGAGAGGATGAAGTGGTTGCTTGGTCAGTAGAGTTATTCAAAGTGTTTGATTTCTTCTTTATATCTTCATAGTTGGTGACCGATGTTGTACTTGGATTGAATATTAATTTTGGTGAATTTGGCGCAATTATTTCATTTTGTTGTTGTGGATATTGTTGTGATTGTTGTTGTAGTTTAAGATTATCATTAGAAGATGAAGGTGACGATGTAATTATTTGTTGTTTTGGTTGTTTGGGTGATGTCGGAATAGATGTCGAAGGTGTAGTGGTTGACGAAGTAGATGTAGATGTACTATTTTGATTTTCAATCAATGTTGTACTTGTAGAAATAATGTTTGTAGAAGTAACTTGTTGTTGTTGATATTGTTGATGTTGTTGTCTAAAACTATCTTCTAAATTATGTGAAACGATAATATCATTGAGTGAATCGGTGAGTGGTTGTGTGGCGTAGTGTTCGAGTGTGAATGATGGATCTCTCGACAGTGAAGGTAAGATCATTGAGAACGAGTTGGAAAGCGAGTGTGGTGGAGATTGATGAAGTCTGGGAAGAGCTCTCGGTGAAATCGGTGGAGTTGGCTGGTCTAGTGCAGAGTTGATTGGAACAACGCTGTCACTGTCATCATCGTCCTGGTCATGATCTTGTTCCAACTCCAATCGCAGTAGTTTCTCTTTGAATTGATTTCTCTGTTGTTGATGTTTATTCAGTCCTAGGAGTGAACGATGTAGTAGTTCATCTAGTTGTTTTGAATTCATTGTATTACCATTCATATCATTATCATTATCATCGTCATCACTTATATTCTTACTACTACTTCCACTATTACTATTACTATTGCTAGTCAAATTATCGTCACCACTCTCACCTTCATACTCATCAACAACAACATCTTCATCTTGTTGTTCTTGTTCATCATCTTCATGTTGATGATTTTGATGATTATCTACATAATTCTTCATTGACAATGAAGGTATCTTACTGGCAGTGTATTTACCAGTTTTCTTAGCATGTTGATTGTTGCTGGTACTGTTGTTACTATTGCTACTGTTGTTACCACTATTGTTGTTGTTGCTGCCATCAGTACCATCAATAGCATTGTTGTTTCCATTTTCATTACTTGATAGATCCTTCAAGTTCATTGGTTTGAATACACGATCTCTCAATCTCTTGACTTTCAACGATGAGTTGGCAGACAACTCTCGTCTTAGCTTCTTGTTGCAGGTCAGCGATAATCCAGCGTCTGGTTGAGGCTCACCATTCTCTGTCGACATCGCTCCACCACTTCCAATAACAATCTGATTATCGATCGCCTCCTGTTTCTCTTTCTCCAGCGTGTCGATGAATTGTTTCTGCAGTAATATGTCATTCTGTAGCAACACAATGAAATCTTCCAACTCCTTGATCCTAAGGTTCGACTTCTCTAGCAGCTGCTTCAACTCCACCACTGTTATCTCCTTGTTGATCTTTGGTTTGTTTGTAATCTTCTTTGCACGCAATCCAAATTGAATAGTTGAAACGGTTTCACTTTCATTGTAGTTACTAGGTGAACAGGCGATGATCAGCGTCGTCTTTGAGTTACCACCAAGCGACTCCTGTAGAACACGCGTCAGTTTACTGTTTCTATAGGGTACATGTGTTTTGTTTGCGTGAGTGAGTGAATTGATGACCGTTCCCAGTGTGGACAACGATTGGTTGATTGTCTTGGCCTCAGCCATTCGCTCGCCCTCAGCGCCAGTCTTGGACGCACGCTCGCTCCCCGCCAGATCCACAAGGAAGAGCTTCGACTTTTTCGAGCTGAGATCCAGCAGATTCTGTTGTGACAGCTCGATCATCAGGATCGAGTGACTACGCGAACTCGCCTGACTCATCTTGGTGGCGGCAACGGCACGGTTGTTGTTTGTGGTGTTCAGGAACTCGAATGCATCCTCCGGGCATTGGATAACGGTTTCATTGACGCCCTCCACGTAGATACCCTTCTCGGGGTGTTCTCTAATGTGAAGATTGGTGCCATTGACATTGTAGAGATCGTTTATCTTCTCCATGTACAACTCAACACAACTCATCTTTAGCACAAAGGCAAGTGCATTGTTCTTCTGTCTCATCTTTGCAATTCCAGTGAATATCTCCTCGATCACCCTCGGAATCAATCCATTCTTTGATTGTGAATCGTCATCTCCCGATGGTTCTCCATATATAGTATAAGTCTTGCCAGATGCTGTTTGTCCATATGCCAATATAGTTCCATTATATCCATCTAGAAAGTCTATACATATCACTTTGTTAAAATTTCATTCACATAACATAACACCTTCAGTCATTCATTTTAACATACCTTGTACAATTGGAATAGCAACATCTTGAAATATAACAGATTGATCTTCATATGAATTAAAAGTTCTATCAAATGAGTATTGTTGTTGTGATTCTCTTTGCTTTGATTATTATTATAGTTCAAAAAGCTAGTTAGCTAACTGTTGTTTTTGTTATGATTATCATTTTTGTAGATTAGATTTGGTAATTAACATACTTTTACAATAAAAGATTGATTATCAATGAATTGAATGATTGAATGTTCATTTCTCTTTTGTTCCGATTCAGTTAGTGGTCTGAATCTACATACTACTCTAATACAATTGGATTGACCTTGTCCTTGTGATTGTCCTAGTTGTTGTTGTTGGTGTTGTTGAGAGGTTGAAGATGATAAACTTGTATTCCCGATACCAATCGATCCAGCTGTTGTAGAGATTGATGATGTCATCGATGCCTGATGCATCAACAAACTTGAACTTAACAAACTACTATTAGGTTCATTCATACCACTATAATTATTATTACTACTATTATTACTATTATGACTGTTATTATTATTGTTATAATTAATAATGGGTATCATTTAAAAATAAAAAAATCAAAAATCAAACACAAAACCAAAAAAAAAAAAAACGTGTTTCGAATTTTAATATAAATAAACAATCTAAAATAGATCTATCTGATCTTAATTTGTAATAATATGATAAAAATATTTATTTTTTTCCTACTAAAATAAATATAACTAAATTCTATAGTTGGTTATAGTTTAGATAAATAATTAAACAATCACAAAAAATAAATGAATTATTCACAATTTTAAATTAAATTGTTTTTCAAAAATAGACCGCGCGAAAATTCGTTTTTTAAGTTTTACACACACAATCACAATCACCCAAAAATATCGTTAGAAAATCATGATTGATTAAATTAATTGATTAAATGAGTTATAACTATTAATCATTATTAATTAATTGATTGATTATTTCTTTAATTTTTTATGTGATAATGTATCATTTAAACTATTGCTATCATTATTATAATCTCTCTTTTTCGTTGAATCGTTGACTGATGATCCGATGGTCGATGATGGTGTTGATATGATGGTGGTGTTATGGAAGTTCTTTGAGTAGGTGGAAATCAATGTCTCTCTGTATTGCTTGATGCTATCACTGATTGTCTCTGGATCGTTTTTGCTCGATAATAACAAACGATTCTTGTAGTCTTGAACTTCGTCATCGATTCTCTTGTAGTCTATCTGTTGCAGCTCGATGGTCGGTTCCTTCTTTGCTTCCTCCAATACGAAATCTTGGTACAACTTGTATCTCGCTTCCATCTCCTCCAACGAGCCACTTCTAACCAATCCACTTGTCTTACAGAGTCGTTCCATCTCCTCCAATGCATTCTTCCTATTTTCACTACTATTGTTGTTGGCATCTTGTTTCTTTGGTGGTGGTAGTGTTTGATTCAATGGAATACCATCAATATCATCATCTTCCTCTACCTCTTCCTTCTTTTCTTCTTCTTCTTCTTGTTGTTGATTCTTCTTTATGATTGGCTCAATTGGACTGGTATTCAGGAATGTGAATCTCAATCCTTGAATGAATGTCTTTGGATAGATCGATGAGTACTCCCAGTAGGTCAACACCTTGATAATCTGATCCTTAAAGTTGAACGCAGTGACACGTCCGGTGATACCTCGCAGTGTCTCATTGAGACTCTCAAAGAAGTAGGGCAACTGCTTTTCGAATAGTCCTCGGAACGAAGAGACGTTCTGCACCGACACCGTGCAGTTACAGAGTATATCGGATATCAAGAAGAGACGGGCGATCTTCAACTTGAATGGCTGGTTACTCTGGTTGTATATCGATTGAATGATCATATCGACAATGTCATTGCTAAACTCTGAGCAATCAATAGAGAATCCCATTGCCTCTTTGATTCTCTGTCGTGAGGTGTTCAACGACCGTAATATATCCAGGAATCTATTTCTATCGGAACTACCAATAACTTTTCCTTTACTCAGCTTCGATCCTTTACCTCCGTCTCTACTCGACTTACTGCTACTACTACCATATCTATCTCTGTCTCTATCTCTATCACTTCCTCTATATCTATCTCTATCCCTGTCTCTATCTCTGCTTCTATCTCTATCTCTACTTCTATCTCTATCTCTGTGTCTGTCCCTATCTTTATCTCTATCCCTATCCCTATCTCTTCTATCTCTACTTCTTGTTCTACTTCTAGATCTATCTCTATCCTTATCTCTCATATGTGTATCACGACTTCTACTTCTTGATCTATCTCTATCTCTATTATCTCTATCAATATGATCTTTATCTGTATTCTTTGTATCTATATCTTTTGATTGTTTAGAGACATTGCTATCATGATTAAGTGGTTGAAGTGGTGGAGTATAGGTTGGACCATCTTCGATGACTTGTACTGGTGCTGATTTACATTTGGCAAACTCATCTACCAATGTGTACACTTTCCAACAATAGTAATGATAATCATCACAATTATTGTCAAACAAGAACGAATAGGTCGGATTGTTTATCTCACGCTCCATTATTTCCTTTTCGAATGGGTATCCTTCTCTGGCTACAAATCCAGCTAGTCTGTCAATTGTATCTTTCAACTCCTTCTGTTGTGGAACCATTACTTTGATTTTTTGTTGTTGGTGCTGTTGTTGTTGCTGCTGTGATACAAACATAGGTGTAGTTGTTGTCATCATCATCGGTGTATTCGTACCGGACGACACCGCCGGTTGGTTAGGGTTAGCAGTTGCGGGATTGACCGATGACGACGACGACGATCCTGGAATAGGAACCTGATTCTTTGCCCATGCAATCTTCATCTCTCTGCCCAACATCTGTTTGTTATCGAGATAGTAACGCGCATCACTCGCTGACTTGTGGTCGGTGTATGCGACCAGCGCGCAGTAAGGTGTCTGCGGATTCTTTGGTGGTACAATCTTTACCATCACAATACTACCATACTTTGAGAACTGCTTTCTCAAGTCATCCTCTGTAATATTGTTTGCGAGCTGTCTAATGAACAGAGTAGTATAACTAGAAGTGTCTTCCTTGCTATCACTCTCACCAGCTCTAGAGGTTGCATCCCTAGAATCTCTACTGTCCCTACTGTCTCTGCCATCTCTATGTCTATTTCTATCTCTACTTCTACTTCTACTTCTATCCCTATCTCTATGACTATCTCTGTCCCTGTCTCTGTCTCTTCTATCCCTATCCCTATCCCTATCTCTATCACTATAATGTCTGTCTCTATCCCTGTCTCTATCTCTATCTCTATCCCTATATCTATCTCTACTTCTACTTCTACTTCTGTCCCTATCTCTATCTCTGTCTCTATCACTATAATGTCTATCTCTATCTCTGTATCTATCTCTACTTCTACTTCTTGATCTATCTCGTCTGTCTCTGTCCCTTCTGTCTCTGTCTCTATCCCTTGATGATTTCATCTTATCTTTATCCTTCTCTCGCTCTTCTTGATTCTGTTTGAATTCCTCTTTCAGCTCGTCGATCAATCTTGACTTTCCTTGCTTTCTGACGATGGGTGGCTGATTGGACGAAGCTGTATTTGACAGAATAGGTGACTTTAAACCATCGTTGTTATTCTTGTTGTTGCTGTTGCTGTTATTTCTATCAGTATCTCTGTCTCTCTCATTGATTTCCTCTTCTTTCTCATCACCATTGTCGTCCATGAGGAATGTAGCGGCTTTTACAAACATTGGCTTCTTCTTGGCGGATGACGCGCTGGCCTGGTTCTCGCCACCATCGAAAGTGGCAACAAAGTCCTGAAACACCTTTGCAGTCTCGTCTTGATCTCTCTTTTTCTTTCGATCGGCATCAATCCTGTGTTTATCCAACAACGATACCTTTGTAGAGACACCGCCCTTCAATTCCTGTAACTTTTTCTCTGATACATTCTTTTTTTTTTTATTAATTTGATTCAAAAAAGAAGCAGTTGTGTTGTTTAAGGAAGGAAGGAAGAAAGAAAGAAGGTTGAGGTTGATAAAGAGTAACAACACCAAAACGAAATGAAATGAAACAAAACAAAACAATCAAGAGAATATTAATTGAATTGAACGAATAAGCAAATATCAATATCAAAATTTGTTTGTTTTTTTTTGTTTTTTTAATAATATATATATTAATTATCATATTTTTTTTTTCTATTTTTATTATTTATATAGGCATTATGCATAGTAGTATAGCATTGCATTGCACATTGAGTTGTATGTTAACATGTTGTTCATACCTGCATGGTGGATGGTGCCAAACTCTCTTCAGATAAACCGTAAGGCATAGTGATTGGAACTCCATCTAAATCTTCATCTTCATCTTCATTCATATTTATCTTGTAACTTGACTTGTTGTTAATTAATTATTTGAATTATGCAAAAAAAACAATTATGAAAATTGATTGTTAAAAAAAATTTAAAAAAGTTTTTTTTATGTTATTATTATTTCAAAAAAAAAAAAATTATAAATAAGTTGTTAACAAGATTTTATTTATAATTTATGTATTTATCAAATTTAATTTTATTTTACTATTTAAAAAACTTGATCAATATTTTGTAAATTTGGAGAGAAGTAATAGATAGTCAATAATATTGATAAAATATTGTTATGCATCTGATTTATTTATTTATTTATTAGTTTATCAATCAATTTTATTTATTTGTTACATAATAATAATATTATTATTATTTTTAATATTTTTTTCAAAATTTGGCGGATAATGTTTGGTGAAAAAGTTTTGTAAAAACTATGTAAGGATTTACATAGGTTCGTTTGTCAATGCCTTTGGAGTGTTATTTTGTAAAGTTTTTTTTGTATTTTTTTTTGTGTTTTTTTTATTTCATTTTTTTTTGAATTTTTTGTTTTTTTTTTCGAAAGTGAGTGAGTCTCCCAACAAGAATGACGATGAGTATCAGTTGAATTCTTTCTTTTTTTTCACTAAGTTTTGTTGGTAAGTGGACTACCTATAATTTTTTATTTATTTTTTTTATATTTTTTTGTAAGAGCATCTAAGTTTATAATCAAGAATGAGTGAGAGATAGATACAGATGATCATAGCTAAATGAACTCAACTACTACCTACTACTAATTATATAGATAAACAAATAATTTTCGATATACAGATAGATAAAAAATTATAGTTATTTAGATAATTTTAGATTTACAGATTTTAATCAATCAAATCATCAAGCAAATCAATTTATCTTGGCAGAATGAATATTCATTTTCGAAAGAAAAAAAAAAATAATAATAATAGTTTTAGATAAAAAATAATTCTCGTTCAACAATTAATTATCAAATGTAGTAGTAATAATAATATTGATAAACAAATAGTAATGCATTCATCTTGATCCTCTATTATCTTATTTCGCTCATCTTATAGTAAACGTTTAGAAAAAAATGGCTGAAAAAAAATTATTTTTTTTTCGATTTTTTTTTTGTTTTCAATTTTTATTTTTTGTTTTTTTTTAGTCGACGAATCACAATCAAATCATTGTTCTAATTGTATTTTATATCTTTTTATCTATCAAATTTTAGATCCGGTTACTTATTAAAACAAAATGGTCTCTCTTCGTTTACAAAAGAGGTTAGCTGCCTCTATCCTCAAATGTGGTAAGGGTAGAGTTTGGATTGATCCAAATGAAATCTCTGAGGTCTCAATGGCCAACTCAAGTATGTATCATAATTAAAGATCTACACATTATATATATATAGTTAGTTATATTTGTATTTAGAATAAAAATATTAATAGATAAATCAAATCAATCATTATAAATCAAATTGATCAATTGTAGGAGACAACATCCGTAAGCTCGTTAAGAACGGTTTCATCATCCGTAAGCCAGTTGTTGTCCACTCACGTTCCAGAGCAAGAGAGCACAACGCTGCTAAGGCTTTGGGTCGTCATCGTGGTATGGGTAACCGTCTCGGTACCCGTGAGGCTCGTTTGCCATCTAAGGTCCTCTGGGTCCGTAGAATCCGTGTCTTGCGTAGACTTTTGAAGAAGTACCGTGAAGCCAAGAAGATCGACAGACACGCGTATGTATCAACTTATACATATGAAAACAATTCCTCATTGAACAATCGTTTCTAATATTATTATTATTCAATAATCTATTATGTAATTATTCTCAGTTACCGTGAGTTGTATCTCAAGGCCAAGGGTAACATCTTCAAGAACAAGCGTACTTTAATTGAATACATCGTTAAGTCCAAGACCGAGAAGCTCAGAGAGAAGCAAATTAACGACCAAGCTGAAGCTCGTAGATTGAAGAATCGTAACCTCAAGGAGCGTCGTACTGCCAAGTCCCTCGCCAAGGACGCCACCGCTTAAATTAATGTTAAATAAACTTCTTTTACCCAGCTAATGAAGAGACAATAAACCAAACATAAAACCAAAAAAAAATATCAAAAATATATATAAATATCTCTTAAGTTTTTTATTAGTTAGTTGTTTTTTCCTATTAAATCTGTTCATTTTATTTTTATTTGTTGATTATGTTTTCAGTTGTCCAATATTTGTTTTGAAGAGTTAAGTATATATTCATCTTCATCTTTCTCCTTCAATAACAACACACATAAACACTAGACAGTTTGTTTTGCACCAAAATTTAAATTAAATATTTTTAATTGTTCTTATCTATTGAATTATTACCTATTTAAGTTGACAAAAATAAATCATTACAGTTAAATTAAAAATCAATTAATTTAGTTAATAGATATCAATAAATGATTAACACAAAGGTAATCAAATATTCCGTTTTGATTGTTCTGGTAGTGGTAGCCTTCCTATCTCAAACATCCTATTCATATTAAGTACCCAGTTGTACAAATCATTTTAGATTAAATTATAGAACATAGTTATTGATCTAAATAAACATACAAATATTGCTAAAACAGCAAGGTGTTAAATTGAATCGATAGATCTGATTTGATGAAATTTTATAATTTTTATTATTATTCATAGTTCATCTCTACAAAAGTAGAGTAAGTATTTTTATTTATACATCATAAAATCATAGTTTTGATATATATAGTTTAGAATTTCTTTAATTGTTGTTAATATTATAAATAGTTAGAAAATGATTTAAAGTAATGTTATTAAACACATACCCATCTATTATTGCAAGTCACACAGGTGACGAATGTGGTCAGAGGATCATCAGCAGATCTCGTTTGCAATTGAAAGTATGTACATTTCCTTTTACCGCATTTAGGGCATGTAAACAAATCACTTGAATGATCACCATCATCATTATTCTTAGTATCTTGTTCCTATGAAAACAAAACAACAATTGTACATTTAAATCAGAATCACATAACAGAAAGTAAAAGTATATCAACTATATAGCTTACTGTCATTTTAAATATTAAAAAATTATATATATAAATAATAGCTTTGATGATATATACACTTATAGATCTTGATTAATATTAAATAAATTATTAAATCAGTAAAATAAACGCAAGTGTTAGTAAATAGATCTATTTAAAGTTGATCAAGTTTGAATGAGAAATATTCTCAAATTTTAGAATTCAATGAAAGTACAATTTACAATTTATTATTCTTAGATTTTTTTTATTATAGATAGGTTAATTTAACCTATTTGTGTTAGTTTTAAGGAAAGTATTTCTTTTCTTTTTCTTTTTCATTTTTTTTTTTTTTTTTTGATATTAATGTTTATATCATATCTAGTTGGTTGGGTTACCAGTTTGACCTTGAGACATTCTTTCTCTTCTCTCTGCGTATTTCTTGTCGAGTTCGTCTTTAAGATGATCGTAGGTATAACCGAAACCGAGACCACCTCTCTTTAGTCTATCGTTTTCTGAACTCTCTTTCGTTGGTTGTGGAGTGCCCTCTACAAACTCTGCAGTGCTTGGCTTTAGCATCGAGCTAGGTGTTGATGGCTGTGATGACTGCGTTGGAGTTGATACGTGTTTGAGTAATGGATTGGCTATTGAACTTGGAGTTGGTGGATTTGAACCTGAAGATGAAGATGCCGATGCTGATGCCGATCCCGTTGACGTTGGTCTTTGTGGAAGAGGTGGTGGTAATGGTGCTTGATTTGGATATGGAACGTCGCCTGGCGATCTATTTGGACTGAGTCCACTACCGCTGCTGCCAGTTGGCGACTTGTTTTGATTGTATCCGGCACCACTTGATCCTGCTGCACCGGGTACTTTCAACGAGCCGGAACTAGAGTATTTACTGCGGAAATCGTTTTGAAGCGAAGTGTCACCGCCATACATTGAGTTGTAGTCAGTTGCAGTTCCACCTACACCTGTGTTGAGACCTGTGGTTGTAGTATGTGAGAACGAGGTTTGTTGATGGAATACACCGCCAGCTGCTACAGGTTCGCCTTGTGCGTTCATTCCATAAGAGCCGGTGTTGTATCCAGATTGTTGTTGTTGTTGTTGACCATATCCAGCTTGTTGTTGTTGACCATAAACATTTTGTTCGTATCCGGATTGACCATATCCTGATTGTCCGTATCCAGCTTGACCGTAGCCATTCTGCTGGTCATACTCACTGCCAGCAGTTTGCCCATAAGCATTCTGTCCGTATTGCTCCATTCCCATGCCCATTCCCATTCCCTCCTGTCCTGGTACACCAACACCTGGCATTCCATATCCAGTGTAACCGTACTGTGAGTAAGCATATTGATCCATTCCCGCTGGGTACATTCCAGATTGTTGTTGAACGGTCGATTGTGTTTGAGTGGTTCCGGTGGTACCACTTCCATAGTTATAGTAGTTATTGACGGTGGAGCTGGTTGCAGAGTATCCAGATCCATTGGCATTCTCTTGCTTGCTGCCTGTATTCTCCTCGTTCATCAACACCTCGACCTTTACCACTTGGTAGGATCCGTCGAACCACTCCCAGAATGCCTTGAGGAAATTCTTGGCTTCCATGCAATGGTAGGAGAGAGTTCCGGCACCGACAGCAGCCGTCAAACCATAGGTAATAAAAGCAGCGGCAATTCCAGTCTTTCTAATTCTTGCCCAGTAGTCAACTTGAATAACGGTACCTCCATCTGTATCTCTTTTAACTTGTAACTTATATTTTGGAATGAAATTTAAATGTAATCCAGTTTTTCTAGAAAAATAAAAAGAAGAAGATTATAAACAAGTTAATAATTTACATATGTACTTTAACATTTTGTAATAATTGATTAATACAAACCTTCCTTGCATATATCCTTTTGGATCAAACTTGTCAGTTTGATATTTTTGATAGGACCACCATGAGTTGATTGTGGTCATCAAGTTGGCGATTGGAATTTGTAAACCATAGTATTTTCTTGATTGTACAAAATCAAAGACACTCAAAACTCCTTGTGTTGGATCTTTTCCTCCCATTTTCCAAGATATATTATTTTTTTTTTTTGTAATTTGAACAATTAATATTAAAAATTGTATTAATTTATTATTATTATTATAATTTTTTTATATTATTTTTGAATCTAAATAAAAATAAAAAAAGATAAAAAATAAAATAAAATGGATAAAAATAAAATATGAATTAATTAATGAAATTTATTTGAATTTGTTTGTATTTGAAGTATGGTTATATAATTTTGTAGTTACCCTTTTTAAATTAATTTAATATTTTATTCTCTTTTGTATTAGAAACACTTTTATGTAAACAAGGTTACAATATTCTGCAAACTTAATTTCTTGAAAAACTGAAACCTTTTTAATTTATATGTAATGTGGTTGAAATTCAAAAAAACTTTTAAAAAAATATATATATGACCTTCTAATAAAAGTAGATAACAATAACTGCTTTAGATATTACTTAAAAATAAAAAATTAATTAATTATTAAAGTTGAAATAATTCAAAGTATTTGTGTTTTTTTGTTGGTTAGTTAATAAAAAGGATATTTTTTTGTTTTTTGTATTATTATTTGGTTTTTTTGATTTATTAATTCAATTCAATTTTCGATAATATGGCTCTACTATGAAAGTTACAATATTCATTTTATTGTATGAGTTTTAGGAAATAATAATTTTTTTAACCAAATTTGGTAAATCTCTTTTTTTTTATGATTTTTTTCGATATTCAAATTTTTATCCAATATTCCTGTTGGATGTATGGTAGGGTTGAACAAGGACGTGTTTTTTTTATTCAATAAATTGGTTGATTTCTAAAACGGGTATTCAAAGATCATATTTATTTAGTGTCATAGTAAAAAGAATATCGTATCGTGAAAAGTAAAAGTTCTGATAAAATTTTTAATTAAATTTCTTTATACTATATCTTCCAAGTAAAATAAAATCGAGGTTTGTTTTAATTTATAAATCTATCACCAATAAGGTAGTTTATTTTTTCTTTGTAATGTTAAAACAATTAAGATATTAGATAAAATGTTGATTTTATAAAAGATCTTAAAAATTAATTTTTTAATTTTTAAGTGATAAGCAAATATATTTTTGATTTCCAACTACAGATAAGAATAAAATTTCTAATTGATCATTGACTCCTGAGATATTTATTTTAAAGTTATTACTTCTATTTTTTTATTAATATATTAAAGAAATTTTTTATAATCTTTTAAAGTCTCTAAAATATTTTCATTCAATTTCATGTTGGTTTTAAGAACTTATTTTACAAGTATAGTTAATTTAAAGTTAATATGTTTTAATATTTTTTTTTGGATTTATTGTGAATAAATATTCGATCAAAATTTTCTCAATTGACTTTTTTAGTCAAGATGGAAAAAATCAAAAAACAAAAAACAAAAAAAACAGACCATCAAAAATTATAAAGTTGATTGCAAATAAAAGTAAACAGTAGTGTTTGAAAACATACATGTATCAATAAATTACTATTTAAATATAATATAAATTAAATCTTAGGTTTTTTTTTTGTTTTTTTATTTTGTTTTTTTTGTAATAATAGATTTTTAATAGATTTATTTTATATATATATATTTTTTTATTTGTTTGTTTTTTTATTTATTTATTTATTTAATGGATACTAAATCATCTATATCTACAACATCATCAGCAACATCTACACCATCATCATCATCATCATCATCAACATCGAATCTTAGTAATAATAACAATAACAATATTAATAATAACAACAATAGTAGTCTGATATCAGCAGCAATAGCAACATCTACAAACAATGTTGTGGTGGTAGATGATGGCTCAAAGAAATCGCTGGAGTATGGCAAGTCGATGTTGTTGGATATCGCGCGTATCGATGAGTTTGTAGTTGCAAGTGATCCTGTTAGTGAGTTAGAGATCGTTATGTTCTCACGTAGAATGACCTCAAGATGTTCAGAGCTATCGTTACCATCTCTTACAACTACATCTACATCTACATCTCTAACACCAACAATAGCCAGTGTTAACAACAACAACAACAACAACAACAACAACAACAACAACAACAACAACAACAACAGTAATAACAATAACATTAACAATAACAATCATGGTGTAGTAAGATCAAAGATAGAACATACAGAGTTGTTGGATGTTATCAAATCGATAGTGAACAGCATCACCAATATCATTGCAACTGTGAAGCAATACAATAGTGTTGCGCACAAGGGTGTTGCACTGACGACGTTGGCACCGGTCAAGAACGACTATCTACTCCACCGAAAAGACCTGCTTCTACAGTGGCAACATCTAATACTGTTACTCACCGAAATGCATTGGCATATACCTACTTTTAATGCACCGAGACCATCGACAACATCAACAACAGCAGTAACAACAACAACATCGACAACAGTAACTACAACAACATCGACAACTATAACAACATCAACAGGAACAACGAATAATGAGCAGCAACAATTCTCACAGTCAGCACCGACTTCACCATCTATGAAGAGTAATCAGAGTAGTAGTTGTAATAGTCCGGAGAAAGTATCACCACTCGCAAGTGCTACTACTCCGACAATGTTGAGCAGTAGTATGCAGGCTGGTTCCTCGGTACCGACTTCGCCACCAAGAATCAGAAGATCTTCTATTAACAACGGTACGATGTTACCACCGATAGTTGGTCCACAGATGAAACAGCAACAGCAACATCATCAGCAACAACAACAACAACAACCACTTCATTATTTCGATTATTTATATCAGATACACACTTCGCTACTGAATCTACTCTGGCACTTGAAGAATCAACAGAGAATCAATCAGAATAGATCTTCCTCATTTTCATCTACGACCAGTCCGATTATGTTATCTAGTAGTCCATCAACACCATCTTTATCAACACCAATATTAAATAATAGTCTTGATTTGAATACAACAACAACAACAACAACAACAAACACTAATAACGATAATAGTAATAATAATACAATGTTAATTTCAATATCACCTATATCAACGACATCACCAATTGTAATACCATCAAAACCACCAACAACAGCAACAACAACAACAACAACAACAGTTATACCACGAGGTACAATGTATATAGAGCAGACCAAAAATATAACTCTACCAAATCTCTGTACTAAGCTACAAGAGTCTTCGAATTCATTAAAAGTCATTATCAATGAGCACGCTCAATTGAGCAGCAGCATACAGTCACTGTCTGCTTCACAATCAACTTCTGTAAGTCAAAGTAAATCAATGTTATCTATATAACAAACTTGTTATTAACTAGCATTTTCTCTCTCTAATATATATATAGGAGTTGATTGATAAAGTTAATCAATGTATCAATATATTTACACATATAACATTCAATGTAAAAGGTAATTAATTACTAATCTAAATTATAATATTATATTGTATTGTTTAATTTCTAACATTTTATAATTTTGTTTGTTTATTATTTATTATTTATTTATTAAACAGATCCGTTTGTTAGTACTACCACTAGAAGGAATAGTAATAGTAGCAGTAATATAACAGCACCAGTTGTAATTCCACCACCACCTATAAAGTCACCAAAGCTGACAAAGGCAAATACAAAGTCAGACATTAGCAGTAGGACAACCACAATGAAGACAATCTTGCTTAATTCATTCATGGGCAAACCAGTTCAAAAGCAAAGCATTACCATCACCAGAAATGAGGCTACTGGTGCTTCTACTATTGTTAATACCGAGACAACACCAAGATCAATTGAAACAACAACAAACAACAACAACAATAATAATAATAATAATGAAGTTACACAATCTTCTACATCTACCTCACCTATTCCAATATTAGATCTATCGCAATCAAAACAGGACGAACAACAACAACAAGATAGTAATAATAATACAAAGATTGAAGAGAATCAACAAGAGCAGATAGAAGAACAACCTATACCACAATATCAACATATTGCATCACCTAATATTGATATACCTATAAAGAATAACAACAGCAATAGCAATTTTAATATATCGTTAACACCAAACCAAACCGATACAGTAACAGATAGTTCGTTCTTATCTACCGATACATCATTCATTGATAGTAATATGTCTTTGAATCAACAACCTTTAGTTTTCTCTGACGATGAACAAGCACAACCATCACCTTCCAACTCTACCACAAATAATACTTCTACTTCTTCTTCTCATCCACCTATTCCAATTATACAATTACCACAACAATCGACTTCTTCATCAAACTTGTTAGCTACTTTATTAAATTCAGTTTTACCAACAACTGCAACGACATCAACAACAGATGAACCAACAACAACAACAACAACATCTACATCTTTATCTACATCGGCTAGAAACTCGAGAACGATAGCAATCGTTCCTTCACCATCGATGGAAATGATATATTCACCGAGATTGAATGATTCTGATGAAAAGCAACAGCAACAACAACAACAACAACAGACTACTACAACATTGACGTTGATAACCAAAGACAATGCACCGACTTCACCAAGCTCAACTACAACAACAACTACACTGGTGATAACCGATTCCGGTGTTGGAGGTGGAGCGGGAAGCAGTCCAACGTCATTGACCAACGAGTTGGCAATGTCACCAACGAAATCGATGACAGCAACCACTACAACTACCACTACGGTTGCCAGCAATAATACAACGACTACAACGACAACCACTACTACTGGTCCGGCATCGACAATCAATCCCAATACGATCACTGCTATCACCAACAGTCAGTTACCTCAACAGCCGACCAGCGGAAAGAAATTGAAACCATTCAAGATGTCGGTATTCTCTAAACACTTGAAATCCATCAAACAAACCGATGACCAAAAGCAACGTAACAGTTTCAATCAATTCTGGCTCGAAGGTTCGACTCACCAGGATCGTCAAGACAAGCTGCCATCCGATGACAAAGAACGTCTTCAAATCAATAGTCTTGGTTCATACGTATCCAATCTTGTTATTAAAGGACTATTGGCATCTGCAGATCCAATTCAACCTCCACATATTGAAAAGTAACTTACTTCTTTAATTAACAATCAATCAATCAATCAATATCTAACTATATTTTTCTTATACTATAGTTATTCATCATGTGTATTATTTGCGGATATCTCTGGTTTCACTTCTTTGACGGAGCGACTTGGTGGACATGGACAGGAGGGTGTCGAACTTCTCACTAGAAATCTAAATCGTTACTTTGAGATTCTGATTAAGGTTGTCAAGGGCTACGGTGGAGATATCGTGAAGTTTGCAGGTGATGCTGTGCTGACACATTGGCCAACGCATGGCGATGTTACCAACCGTGTTCGTATTGCTTGTGAATGTGCGCTTTCCCTACAGCGAAAGCTGCACAACTTCCCTGTGCCCGGAGGATTCCTTACACTGCACATTGGAATCGGATGTGGAAATATCAGTGGGCTGTACGTCGGTGGTGTCAGTTCGAAAGTCGAGTTCCTGATTGCCGGTGAAGCGCTGATCCAAGCCACACTCTGTGAGAAGGAAGCAGAAAGTGGAGAAATCTATATTTCACCGCAGTGTCAAGAGGTTATCAAGCATTGCGCAAACTGCAGTAAACCAAAGGGAAAGACAAACTACAAGTTGGATTCTATGGTATTGCTTGACAAGAAGGAGAAGAAACCGACCGCCGATTACAATGAACAGATGTTGGTGTCGATGGATCGCAAGTTCCTCTTTTGATCTACCGCTTCTCATGGATATGGAAGATTCACTGAAGCGATTCGTTCCGAATGCAGTAATCAATCAATTGAAACATGGACATGGCGAGTATCTTGCGGAACTCCGTCATATCTCTGTGATTTTCGTTAATCTTTCCTATGGTGTTCCCGATCCTGTGAAGGATTTGAAAAAGTTGCAATCGATCGTAGTGGAAATTCAAAAGATTGTTTATAAATATGAGGGTACTGTCCGTCAGTTCATGATTGACGACAAGGGTTGTGTATTGATTGCTTGTTGGGGTGTACCGCCCTACAGTCATGAAGACGATCCTTCGCGTGCAGTCGAAGCTGCCATGGAGATTGTCGTATCCCTCTTCAAGTTGACGGTAATCTCGACGGTGGGTGTCACCACTGGAAAGTGTTTCTGTGGTGATGTCGGTAGCGATGAACGTCGTGAATATGCGGTGGTCGGTGACATGGTCAATCTCTCGGCGAGGCTGATGAGTCACAGCCAAGGAGGAGTACTCTGCTGCGAGGAGACTTCAAAGAACGCCAAGAACATTGAATTCGTACGACTGAGTGATCCTATCAAAGTGAAAGGAAAGGCAGCTCCCATCCCGGTGTTCAAGCCAATCAAGAAGTACACGCTCGATCACCAATCACCGAGAAATCATCCAGTTCGCAATCGTGCTCTCATCGGTCGCCAACCACAGTTGAAACAGGTGGCCGATTTGATAGGGCTGGTACGGGATGGCTATGGAACACAGGTGGTTCTGATAGAGGCAGAAGCCGGTCTTGGTAAATCGCGATTCATCTCGGAGATCAAGTATTCATACTGTCAGGGACTAAAGGTTGTCAAAGCAACTGGAGTGCAGATGAACGAATCGATTGCATTCTACATTTGGAAACAGCTGCTAGCTGAGCCACTCAAAGAATCAGAGGCACAGGAATACAAGAATCTTTTGGAGCTTGGTCCACACGTTGGTCTGCTCAATCCGATTTTGGATATCAACGTGAATCCACCACAAGTCAATCGTCGATACTCTGCACCGCAACGTGCTGAAACTCAACAGATGTTGATGCTCCGGCTCGTCCAAATGTTAATCCCCAGAAACACTGTTATAGTGATTGACGATGCTCATCATATGGATAGTGCAAGTTGGACTCTGACATTGAATCTCTGTCATCAGTTGGAGAATCATTTAATTGTCATTGCTCTGCGTCCAATGAAAGAAGGTTTGCCGTTTGGATTCACCAATCTCACTGGAATTGCAACGATTCAACTGGAACCACTCGGAACCAAAGAAGAAACCGCTCAGCTTATCAATCAAATGTTGAACTCTGAAGGTGTGCCCGACGAGATTGTAGAGGAAATATTCAATCGTTCACAAGGAAATCATTTCGTTATCGAAGAGATGTTGAATGGTCTGCGTGCAGCCAATCTATTCGATGAAGCAACACAGCGATTCATTTCGAAACTCGAGGCGATCGAGCATATCAGAGTGTCGCTACCTCGAACAGTAACTTCACTGATTACCAGTAGAATCGATCGGCTCTCTAATGTCCAGCAATTGGAGTTGAAAGTTGCATCTGTCATTGGTACACCGTTCACTCTAGACAGTCTCTATCGCATTCTACCAACGGAATCCACCACCAAGGATGACTTGTTACACGATCTACAGATATTGGAAAAACTTCATTTCATTCGTTCACGTGTCAATGCAAGTGGAGAACTCGTTTACTCGTTCCAACATACGCGAACACAAGAGGTTGTCTACGATCTAATGTTGTTCTCACAACGTCGTGAACTACACCACAAGATTGCCAATATTATGGAGTTGACAAACACACCACAACACTCTTTGTTTGTTGCACTCGTTCATCACTATCATCAGGCACAAGACAATGTGAAAACGGTTGAGTATGCTAGTAAAGCAGGTGGAATTGCACTTTCCGATAATAACAACAAGGAAGCAGTACGTTTCTTCCAGTTGGCATTGAAATGTCTGGACGATATCGCCAATACTCAGTTGGAAACATCGGCCGAAGAGGACTCAAAGAAATTGAATCCAAAGAAACTACACAGACGAAGTGCATCAACAAATAACTTTACATCGATTACTTCAACAGCGTCAGGATCTTCATCATCTTCGTCGTCATCTCCAAATCCCAAGAAAGCTTCACTCGAAGCTGTTTCCATCTCACGTAAACTCGGTCTGGCACTCTACAATATGGGAGCGCTTCAATCGGCATCGCTACATTTCTTGACTGCACTCAAACATCTTGGCATTGAAATGCCACCCAACCAGAGTGCACCACAGCCAGCTCCATCGGGTGCACGTAAATTGGTTCGTCTTCCAAAAGTTGCACGCCAAGATTCTCTCACCAAATTCTTCACCTCAACGCTCGATCCATTTGAGAAAAGAGAGGCCATTCTGTGTCTTGTCCTCCTCTCTAAAATATTCCTACACGATTGCGCTAAGCAATCTTCATCTTGGTGTGCATTCGTTGCGTCTCAGCTTGCAACCGAGAGTTGGAATCTCCAAAGTGAAGCGTTATCCATTGGAATTCGTGTGCTCGGTGCCAATGGAAATCATGCCACTCCCTTGAAATACTATGCAGAGATATTGGCACGTTCCGATGAAACCAATGGATATGTGTATGGAAACTCACATCAATCATGGGGAATCTACATGGCAGGACTTGGAAGATGGACTGAAGCGGAATCGGGATTCCAAATCTCGTCGGAATCCGCTGGAAAAGTGGGTGACAAGAAGATGATGGAAGAATCCAGTGTCCTGCTAGCCATGTGTCTCTATTACATGGGACAATGGCGTGCCTCTGTCAATCTGGCGCAAAAAGCGTTAGAAAGTTCACGAGTCCGAGGCGATATTCAGCTACAGATCATGGCTCTCCTCACAGCTTCGTTCAGTCACTATCGTCTTGGCGAGCTGTCAATCACTGGCAGTAAACTCAATGAGATTGAATCATTGTTCAACACAATTGGTGCCGCCGAAGTCTCACTTAGTTTCCAAGTGAATTTCAATATACTAAAAGCATTACTTGCACTGCAACTCAACGATCCGGTCGGTGCCTACGAATATAGCAAGCGAACCTACTCGATATTGGTGCGTGGCGAACCCAACAATTTCACTACTTTCGAAGCCTATGCTTCGATTCCATTGATTCTCATAAAGCTAATGCAAAATTCGCTGTCTGGCACCAATCGTTCCAAAGTTCTCGCTGAAATACACGAGTCACTATCGTTGCTTGAGAAATTCTCAGAGATTTTCGCCATTGGACAACCACGTACCATCCTCTTGAAGGCGATCATTTCGATTCTCTCTGGAAAGGATCCATCGACCGACCACGAAGATCATATCAAAGAGGCCAAAGAGAAAGCTGTTAAATTACAGATGCCTTTCGAAGAAGAGCTGTGTGTCTACTATCAATCCCTCTATTTTGATGGGGATGGTTCGGGTTACCAGCCGGTAATAGCTCCGAGCAATACCAATACTCAATCTTCATCACCACCCAACATCACCAAAGTATCATCACCTGAAAAGAAAACAGATGTATTCAACAGTTTATTTGGATTACGAAAATAAATTGTTTATTTGTATATTATTTTTAAACATAATTTTTTTCATTCATTATTTAAATGTAAATGATATATATATATCATTCTATCTCTCTTGAAATATAAATACTAGATAAGTAAGATACAGTTGACTGCGTATAAAAATAAATAGAAATAATTTATTCTATGTGAAAGAAGGAAGGGGAGGGAGGTTTGGAAATGATTGGTTTCCAACCAATCTTACAAACAGAGTGTTGGATACTATTGTTGATAGTATCTATTTGAGTTTTTAAGCAAAACTGATTTCTCTGTATTTTGTTTATAGTGGAAGTCCAAAGACATTTCGAATTGACCAAACTCATGAATGTATGTCATGAAATAAACAAAGAGTGTGGCTGCAGATAGAATTTCGAAGAGTGCCGAAATATTTGAGAACCAATATTCATCTATAAATTGTAATATTGCATCTAAATAAAAAAATATTTACAGAATGATGATGAGTAAAGTGTTGAATGAATTGATGAAATATTAATCAATTTACATACAGGGAATTATAAAAGCTAAACATAATCCAGATAAAAATATTCTTAATCTAATCATATTTCTTGAGAATGAACTTATGTTATAATCCAATATAGTTTGTAAAATGATGTATGCCAGTCCACCAAAAAAGAATAATACTAAATAAATCATAGAGCGCAAAATTAGAGATTGAAAATTTTAAACTCCACTGATTAAATTATCACTTACATGCAAAAATAATATGTGGAATTGGTAAATTTTTATATTGGAATGACGCTACTCCTGTGAGAGAAAACGCACTGATTGTACCAGTGATGGAGGTAATTTTGTTGAATGCTTCTTTGCGTGAATCCGTCCAAAAAGTATCGAAACTCGATGTAAACGGTGAATTGTTTATCATGAATTTAGTGATTGATTGCTTGATAAAGATGATAAAAACCATAACCCATGATGTCACGGACAGACCTAATGTACCAATACAACTTTAAGGTGTGTGATCATAAAGAGGAATGGTAAGTCTAAAAGTTGTTTGAATTGTTACATCTATATAGAATGATCATTTTATTAATACCTTTCTGGTGAATTATTTAATGTCTCTGAAATGAATGGAATCGTTTGAGTTTGATCCCCCAATCTATTGTTCAAAATATAAGTGGTAATCAATGTAGCAAGCGGAACAACACTTATAATAATAAGTGGGTGTTTTAACTCCATTTTCGAAAGAGAAGTGATAGTTTTTTTTTCTAATGTTATAATTCAACCAGTTGAGTAACTACTATTATTTTTATTTTTTCTATTTAAAAAAATAACACCTAAACTAAAATGTTATAAAAAAAACCAATAATAAGATATGAATGAAGTTGTTATTTGTTGTTGTTGTTGTTGTTGCTATTTGTTATTGATTGTTGTACAAAAAAATGATTTAATTGAATTGAATTTAATTTATAAACTAAATATTTAGTTACTTTGCAGCTTGCAAATGAAAATGAACACCTCTCCTATTTAGAGTTAATGATTACACTTGAATAATAATCTGCTTGCTGTTGAAATGGTTGTTTGGTTGATGTTTTGGAAATATGTTTATATTTATGATGTATTGTATGTGGTTGTATGTTCAAAAAAACATATAAAATTATTTAAATTATTATTATAACACCTAAAAGAAGAATGTGAATTTGATTTAATGGTAAACCAAAACAATCATTTGAAGGTGTGTTAAAAAAACACTGGTTATAAAAATTCTGTTTTTTTTTGTTTTATTTTTTTGATCAACAATTTCTATTTTTGGGGCACATTGTGATTGCGAAAAGATGTGTTATTTTTAGTGTGTCAAGTATATATAAAATAAATTTATTGATTTAATATTAATAATCTAAATAAATTTAGAGAATAAATCTAATTGGTGGTCCCTTTGTATCTTCACCATTGTCTGAAAACAATACGAATAGATCTATGTATGATTTTGTATTTGTATCCTCCAACAACTGTTTCAGCCTATAGGAATTGTTCATTTAAGTTTTAAATCAAGTGTGTTAGTGTTAGCAATCTTCATCATCACCACTTTTAAAGTTTAGAAAAACCAAATTACAATTTTAAGTTTGTAAATTGGTCATTGGAATTGGAATTTCTAATACATACTGCATTGATAGTCTCTTTCTATGGAATGGTAGTGCTGCCATGAATATCATCGATGTATTTTGATAGATACCTGAAACTTTCAAATCATATTTATCCTGGAAGCTGATGGTTGATTGAATTTTCAAAGTAAAAAGAAGAATGAGTTTGATTTTACCAGTAATAACAATTAATTAAAAGTGAAGTGAGTAACTTACTATTTTATGAAATCCTCAACGGTTATCTCTGGGTTATTGATTTCCCACTTATCCCAGAGAGTGCAGGAGTATGTATTGGTAACTTTGATCTTTGGCGCTTCACCTGGTTCACACACCGAGAAATAGGGTAGTGCCAGATTGAGGAAACAGTTGTGGTACTGTGTAAGTGGTTGAAGTTTACAGAGAACTTTGATCAACTCCAATGCAACCAAACCCGATACAACACTGGTGGTTGTGGCGATGGCAGGAATAATCTTTCCGGCAATCAATTTCACCTTGAAGCGATCGACCTCTTCGATCTTATAGACACGTGCACGCATATTGGCACAGGCCGTAATGAAATCGATATGATGGTTGGCATCGTTATCCTTTTCGAAATCCTGAGGATTGAGTTGAGTTGTCTGTTGTCTGCTGTTGCTGTTGCTCTTCATCTTGATCAATTGTTGTTCCAGAGTTTTTGTGAGTTCAATAAATTGTTCGTAGGAGAATGTCTCGATTGGAGCAGCGGCCTTCTCGTCGGATATGATTACTTTGTTCTTTGCCTTGAACTCTGGAACGACGACTTGATCACAGTATTTATAGGCAAACTGGCGATAGTCCTCGGTCGTCTCGATGTTGAAGATGTTTGCCCAGAGCAGCGCTGTCTCCACCAGGAAATTGAAATGACAACTGTCATCCCTGTTGAAGCTAATGATAGCTGGTGGTCTCTTTGGTAGTGTCCAAAAAGGTACACCTTCCTTTGTTTTCATATCGATTGGATATGCCTTGAGCAATTGCAGTACATTATGATTATACAACTTTTCAAACTTTACTCTAGCATATCTAATACAATCTTCAAACGACTGTGGATATTGTGACATCATTTTCGAAAGTGATTTACAAATAGCAATCTTATTATTTACTTGTGAATTTAATAATTTCTAGAAGGATGGATAATTAGTTAGTTACTAAATGATTGGAAATATTAATATCGAGCGCGATAAACTTACAGTTATATAATCTGATTCATTTATGAATTTATCAAGTTCAGATGGATTGATACAGAATAGCTTTTCAAATTTATCTCTTGACCATTGGATACAATGGTCGATGGTGGAGGGGAATGATTTCAATGTACAGAATGGAGTTTGTTTCTCATTTGGATCTTTGGTGGATGAGTACGATTCGGTGAGATCGGGAATGATCACTTGGGTGTGTCCCTTCGTTCCGAGAGTACCGGATTCGAGGAGTGGTTTCCTGTTGGCTACACACTTGGTGTCGACGTAGAGACGTGCCTCCACATTGTCGAGAGCACTCACAATAATGTTTTGACGTTCATAGAATTGGCTGGTGTAGATGTGCTCAGAGTTGACATCGAGCTTATCTTGACGCGGATCGACGTTCAACGCGGGATTCATTGCTTTGGCAGCGAGTGCCGCCGTCTTTGATTTCGGACTGTTGATATCGTGATTTCTAAACAAGAACTGACGATTCAGATTCGACTTTTCAATGAGATCGTTGTCGGTGATTGTCACCATTCCATCGGCACCGCAACCAACTCCGAGGAGCGCGTAGTTCTTCAACATTTCACAACCGATTGCACCCGATCCAATCATAAACAACTTTGTATTCTCGAGTATCTTGCACTTGTTGAGACCGAGAGCAAGCAGCTGTGAGTGTGAACGTCGCGAATTCAACTGACCACTGGCAACAAAGTCGGTAGTCAACTGCTGCTCATTCAACGCGTCCTCCTCTTTGTTGTACAATTCAAACGCATCGATATATAGCCATTGTTTGAGTGGTGAGAATTTACCGGTCATCGATTTCAAACATTCCTGTGCGGTGAAACCACCGATGATTGAAACGAGTGGACAGATATTTCCACATGATGTCATTGAGACCGTCTTGATAACATCTTCATCCACAGTCGACACTATACCGAGTTTCGAGTTGATTTGTCCTGCCAACTCAATCATTGTTTTGGCATCGATCTGACTCCAAGATCCTGGATAACATCCAAATCTCTCTTTATACTGAGACAATGTCAATCTTGCCAAATGTCTCTGTCCATTCTCCTTCAACAAATTGAAATCCAAATATTCCGGTGATTCAATTGATTCTTTCAATGATTTCTATAGATGCACAAACAAAAAAACAAGTTAGTTTTGAACTTTGTTGAAACTATTCAAATTTGACTTACAAATGAAAAAGTTAGAGGTTGTTTAACGTCAGAGATGATTCCACCACGTGAATAGATAGAGTAGTTGGTGGTGTTACAATCGATGGAGAATGAATAGGGATTGAGTACTTCCACTTTGAAGGTTTGTTCGTTGAGTTCTGTCATTCCTTGAATCTCACGGAACTTCACTAGGTCACCGGATTCCAATCCGTGCATCTGACCCTCCATGCAGGTGACAATGGCTGATGGGGCATTGGAGATCGAAGAGATGAATGTCTCTTTCAGATCTTCGCCGTTCTTATCGTACACCGTAAAGTTGGCACCGAAATCAGCGAACACCCAACCGAGCAATCCCGAGGTGTCGGCCGATAGGAAAGCAATCGAGTGCTCACGACAAAACTCATTGATCTGAATCTGAAGAGCCAAGTTGTCACAATCGGTCAAAACAATACACTTAAACTTTGACAGCCGCTGCTTGTCCTGAAGCAACGGTGAATCACTCCAACTATATACTTTTACATAGGGATTCAACTCTGCAATCTTTGGAAGTGTGTAATTCGCTCTGTTAACATTGTTATTGTTATCATCAGTAAGGTTTATCAAATCTTTGTTATCTACATAGAATTGTGTGGAGAGATCGTCGATAGAGATGTTCGATTGGTCGTGAAGAGTCAGTGATTTGACACCAGCCAACACGAGATTCTTGGCAATCTCAAGACCGACTCCACCGATGCCACTGATGAGCACGTCACCCTTGGAGAGTCGTGACATTGCAAAGTCACCCAAAACATATCGCTGTCTACTGTATAGTGTATCATCCAATGAATTATCTCTGAAACTTAGATAATCATTACCATTTTGCAATGATGATGGTGTAGATGTTGTTGAAGATGACGATGGTGTTGTCGATGTAGAGGTATTCATGCTAGAAGTAGTTATCATTTCAACATCCATGATGATGTATTTAAATGGATGTCTATTTAAAAATGTTACAATGTTGCCTTTGTTGTTGTTGTTATTGTAGTTGTTGTTATTGTTATTGTTGTTATTGTTTTTGAAAAAGTTTATAATAGTAGTAATATCTTAATCTTCTATAATGGTGTGAGTGATAAAATAATAACAACCAACTGTGATAAACAAAGAAGAACTAGTTGTGTGTGATTGAAATAACCACTGTTTTATTTTTAATTAAAAAATAAATGACACATGTGGTTGGACCCAAAGTTAAAAACTTATTTTTCATCAAAAATTCCTAATTTAATTTCATCCCATTCCAAGAATGTTTAATTTGGCAATGACATTTGATATTAAATCTATTGGTTAATAATTTATTTTCTTTTATTCATTTCTATTGATATGTTTGTTCAATACAGAAATATTTTACTAATGTTAAATATCGGAATAACTTTTTAAACAGATTCAACAGGGTAAGAAATCTTAACACTTTATGTAGCAACATATTCTTTTTTTATTTTAATATTTAATCTTTAAATTTGTTTCATTTTGTATGAAGATCAAATTAAATTTGGTTGTTGCTTGTTTGATAAAAGTCGTTTGATAATTGTCAAGATGATCATATGGATATTTTCCACTGTTTCTTTGTTTGGTTTCATTTATCATATATATTAAATTTGAGCAAATTTCTTTCACCCAAGGCTGTTTTGAATAAGTAAAGTTGGTAAATCAGAGTGGAATTTGAGAGAACTTTAGTATAGTTAGTAACATCTCGAAAAATAAACTTTTTGCTATTTACTTATAAGCAGTATTTAATTTTCCAAAACATTGTGCAATCTCCTTTGAAAGATAAATAGCTCGATTTATTTAAGAATATTAACTGATTTAATAAATATCAAACCCTGTGAGTCATCAAATTTATCAGCGTCACCAGCATGCTATTTGGTAAGTTCACTATTAGTGTGTGTATTTTCAGAGTAACTAAGTATGAGCATCGTCATCAAATCATACATTTAAACTTCTTTTTTTATTCATTGGACTAAAAACAAACAAAACAATCAAAAAACCAACAATAAAAAAGGTAATAAATATTTAATGTTACACTCAAACAAAACAATCATTAAATTAATATAATATTATATTGCAAATATCTAAATTATTTGTTTTTTTGTTTTTTTTTATTTATTTTTTGACACACAACATAACACACAAAGATATTATTTTTTTTTATTAAAAACAAAAAATATAAAAACATTGTAACATAGAATTTACTTACTTTTATTAGTATTAGATCATTATTATTATTGCATTAAAATTTTCTTATATATAATATTTTTATATTAAACATATAATAAATTAATTATAATTTATTTATTTATTTGCACTTTTTTTATTGATTAATTTATTTTAAAATTTTAATAAAATAATAATTTTAGTTTGGTTTAGCTGTACCTTCAACAACATCTCAGAGAAGTTATAATTACTAACTTGGTTGGTTTGTAAACTTCAAAAGAGGTAAACATTTTTTATTTTTTTTTACTATTTTTTTTTTTGAACGATTGGATAATCATTTGATTACTGTGATTCACAGGTGCTGTTACATCATAAATTACTTTAATAGTTCAATTATTACTGATTGTTTTTTTTTTTGTTTTTGTTTGTTACATGTAAATTAAATGAAATCTTATTTATATATATTTCATTAATTTAATAAAGTTTTATTTTTTTACTAACATATTAGTAATTTAGTTAGTTAAATTAGTTTTTGACCTACTCGAGTAGTATCCTTTCTTCTTCATCTTATCCTCCTCTTTATCTATTTCATTTTTAAAACGACAAAACAATACTACTCACAATAACTAGTTATTATTCAAAGGTTAATAACAAACTATCAAACAAAGTACTATGGAGACTTTTGTTACAACTGTTGTAAGATCAGGTCTTGAGTTTACTTATAAAGTTGTAAGTTATTATATATTTATACAATTAAAGTATATGCTAATTCAATAATTGTTGTTGTATGATACAACAATTTACATATAAAGGCATCATTTTTTATTAGAATATGGCTTCTACCATTGAATTCAATGGTGGAATGGTTTACCGATCGTATCAAACCACTGTTTGATCCATTGATTACCTTTTTAGTGAACAACAAAACCAAATTGCTAAGAATATCGATCTACAGTGTTCTTGCTTTTGGTTTGGTAGGTACACTCTCACTTGCCAACTACTTTATCATCTACTCTTATTATGTACCAAGAGTAGTAACTGAAGAACCATTATATTTTGAATTTGGGTAAATATATTGTTATATAATATACATGTAGTCTACTTTATTGATATCATTTTATTAACTAATTTATTATTATTATTATTATTATTATTATTATTATAACTAAAAATTAAAAAGCAAAAAGATAACAGCTCATACAGATATTGCAGTTGAATTCCAACGTAACAAATTGTATGATGTCTATTTACATCTTGAATTGCCAGAGTCACCAAAGAATGAAGCGGCCGGAATGTTCATGGCGTGTCTCGAGATTGAGAATCAAGATAAATGGAATCCTGCAAAGATTTTGAACACCTGTAGACCTGGTATTCTCAAGTATCGCTCAACCATTACCAAGTTGTTCAGAACCTTTACCTATGCGCTTACCAATCTATTTGGCATTACAGAAGAGAAGCAAATCATATCCATTCCAATGGTTGAGAATCTTCTTTCTAAACGTGTAAGTAACAGTTATGCAACAAACATATATATATTGTTTGATCAAATTAATCATAATTCTAACTTATCCTCTTCTTCTCATTTTAGTTCTATCAAACAATTTCAGTAAATGTAAATATTCAAAATCCAGATATTCAAATCTATAAAGCATCATTAGTTTTCCAAGCAAAACTTGCTGGTTTAGAGTAAGTTTGAAAATAATACTTTTATATATTTCAATAATGAAAAAGTAATTAATTTGTACATTTATTTGTTTAATCTAGATATTATCTTTATAATTATCCATACATTTCATTTGCTGTTGGATTTGCTTCATTGTTTATCTTCTGGAGTTTCTCAACGTTGTTTATCATTATTTCATTGTATCTCTACAGATACTTTAAGAATCCTCCACCAGTTGAAGAGGATTTGGATGTGTTCCCATTCGATAAAGACAATAGCAAGTTGACTGACGAAGAAAAGAAGAAAAAGAAGGAATTGTACAGTGATTTGGATGAAGTATTGAATCCACTTCCTTCTTCTTCGTTCTCTAGTTCATCGTCATCGTCTTCACCTCACAAGAGTCAATACATCTGGGAGGAGGAACTCAAAGAGATCGATAGTTTAGTGACAAAGAAGAAGTTACAACAGAAGAATGATACCAATAACAACAACTATTATAGTGGAAAAGACGATGACGGTGCGGACGATTACAGCATTCCAAAGATTGGACAGGACATTACGAAATCTATAGTTTCACCAGAGGTAAAGATTGAGAAGATCGAAGAGTCTTCCTATCCATTACCGGGAAGTCAGACCGCTATTGTCAACAACACCAGCACCACCACAACAGAAGGAGAGGAAATTAGTGGTACCACACCAATTGTTGATGATACTGTCTCATCTAACGTACCACCACAAAACAACACTGATTCTGAAGAAAGCAAAGAAGAGGATCAGTCAACTCAAACCACACCAACTACAGAGTCGCCTTCACCACCATCGTCAGACGGTGAATCCTACGGAAACTCTGGCAATTTGGGACATGATGAGTGGCAGATCGTTGGAAGTACTAAAGATGACGATGATCATTTATCTACCATTAGAAAACGAAAGATATAATCAACAACAACAACAACAATCCTCCATCATCATCTTTAATGTGTAAATAGTTTTTTTATTTTTATGTAAATACAAATACAACCAACAACCAACAACCAAATTTAAATAAATCTTTTATTTTTATTACTAATAATAATAATAGTCTTATTAACTTAACTTATGTTAAACATTATGTTAACATTATGTTTTGTTTATTTTAAAAATACTTTGTCGCTATGAAATAGATAGCAGTTGGAATCGATACTGCTAACAACGCTAGATAGGGAATTGGATGGTGGAATATATGATACATGATACGATTGTTTGACTCTTCGATCGATGGAATATTGGATGATTTAACGACTGTCTTTACGAGCTCACTGGTAAGTTCCAATGAGAGTCCCCAAAGATTGAATGTCGATGTTTGAATCGGTAATCTTGTAACGGGCACCCTGAATGTTCTGAACAAAGATTTCAAGATAGGATTGACTATTCTTCTCTGTGACATCGATGTAAGTGAATGAAACTCGATGATTGGACTCCATTTACTGTCGGCACTGCTCTCCGTCAAGAAATGATCGATATCTACCCATCCGAAATCATCTAATTCATCATCAACCAACTGAATAGGTATATCATTTAATTGTAGATAAACTTGTAATCATTGATGAAACAAACAAATCTAACATTAGTGTTTGACTATATATGGATTTAAAATCTACATCTACATATACACATACCAAAAGTATATAATACCAATTGATCGAATGTTATTCTATCATCTAATCTACCAAGTAATGAATAGTTACGAATATCCTTCAAGTTTAAACCAGCTTCTTCTTGTGCTTCTCTCTCCACAGCATCCTAGAATTAAGTGAAATTAAATTCGATTAGTTAATTAGTAACTTTAATATTAAACACAACTTAAAACTTGATTTACTTACAAGTGGTGATTCACCTTTCTCTAAATGACCACCAGGAAAACAGACTTCACCTCTACGTTTTCCTCTCTGTGATTTCTTTGCGAATAGTACTTGAACTGTAAGGTCACCATTGGTCATATCGATCGATGTCTTGAGGTATTTACTCAAACATTCCGAGCTATGTTGATTAGAATGACAGTCACAAGAAAACTGTTGTTTTTTAGACAACAAACATTATTCAGTTAATTTCAAAAGATCATCTTTCTTTCTTTGATCAACAAACTTTGTTGTTTTATGATAACGATATATAATACATTACTAATAGGTATGGTATTGGTTTCATTGCTCTTTAGTCTCAAAAGGATAGAAACAGAGGCACCACGTCTCTGTTGAGTATCAGTGACGACAACGTGCTTCTTTGTTCTAAGACTGCTGATAAATGAATTTAAAAATCTTATTCTATTATAATTAGACATTCTAGTTAAGTTAAACTTGGTTTGGAAATATTTTATTTTATTTTAGTTTAGTTTAGTTGATTTGATCGATCACTCTACAAACATATTTATACTGTGAAAATTAAATGAACTACAAAATATGATGGATTATGTCGCAAAGAGATATTCAATTTAATGATCAATTTCCCAATCATTTAAAAATTCCTTTTTTGGAATTGAATGTTTTTATAGAATAAACAATTTTTTAAATTGAATTCCCACTTGATTCGTAACTATATCTTACCTTGCTATTTAATACGTTGTTTTATTCTAAATTATAAAATCCTGATATTTGGTATCTAACTTTCAAAATTTATTAAAAAATCTCTTTAAAAATTTAAAAGAAGGTTTTGAAATAATAGTTTATTCTATTTATTTTTTAAATTTATAAATTATAATAAATAGATTTCTGAATTAAATAAAAATAGAAATTGATCAAAACTATCTATTTTGAAATTGATTTTATTGGTTTTGATCATTTTTTTAGATTTTTTTTTAGTTTTAAAGTTGCTTCAACAAAAAAAAGGTCATTTTAAAGACTTAATGGATAAATCAAAATTTACAAAAGTATTTAACAATAATGTATTAAATAGATTGATATTTCAATTTGTTCAGTTTTGTAATGTTCAATCAAAATTACATCTCAATGATAAAAAGAGATATGGATGGAGTAAACTTATTCAGAATCCACGGGCATTGGCAGGCAACGGTTATTTTTCACTGCTAAAAGAATATTTTCAATCGAATTCAATAGATTCTTTCAGGGATATCGATGTTTTCAAAATATTAAGGTGTGCCATTCAATCGAGCAATCAAAATAGTATCCATATTCTCAGGTATTTCATTGAGGATCTCAAAATAAAGAAAATCATTATTTGCGGTCTATGCAACTCGATCCAATCGATTCGACATTGTCAAGTATATGGATGGCTTGGAAGGTACTAAGTGGAACTACGACCAGAGCTTAGATGAAGCACCGAAAGTAATCAACGATAGCGATCAACCTGGAAATCTGGAGATGTTGATATTCTTATCGGAACGGACGAAATCATCGAGTAGTGTGTTGGGTAATGCTGCATTGGTTGGACGAGTCGATATGATCGAATGGCTAATAAAGAATAGACCGAGTAAGGATCTAAGGAATAGTAGGATGTATATGAAAGCAGTGACAGGTGGTCATATCAATGTTCTTGAATACCTACAGAGAGAGAACTTGGATTCACCGTTGGCCGACGGATTCTGTCTTTTAGATATAGCTGCTTCCAATGGAAAGTTAGATTGTTTAAAGTGGCTACACTCCAATAATATAAATAGATGTTCTACCGATGCAATGGATATGGCCGCAGAGAACGGAGATTTACAGACAGTAAAGTGGTTGCATTACAACAGAACAGAAGGATGTACTACCAAAGCAATGGACGGTGCGTCAAAGAAAGGTCATCTGGATTTGGTCATGTGGCTTCATTACAACAGAACAGAGGGATGTTCTACCAAGGCTTTTGACGGTGCCGCAAAGAAAGGTCATATTGATTTGGTACGGTGGTTGCACGAGAATCGTACGGAAAGTTGTACAATGTTTGCTTCTAGCAATGCGGTAATAAATGGACAATTGGAAATCTTAAAATGGTTTAACAAGAATCTTCCACAGATGATTGATCCTGACGTTATGAATCTAGCTTGTGAAGCAGGACATATCCACATTGTTAGGTGGATGCATGAGAATCGTACTGAAAGCTGTAATCCATTCTCGATGGATGAAGCGGCGAGATTCGGCCATTACGAAGTAGTGAGATTTCTTCACGAGAATCGAACAGAAGGTTGCACTCAGAATGCGATTAACTTTGCAGCAACCCATGGTCACTTGAATATTGTACAGTATCTTCATTTCAATCGAACAGAAGGTTGTTCGGTTTCGGCAATTGACAGTGCCGCTAGAAATAGATATTTAAACGTCGTAAAATGGCTGATAGAAAACAGAACAGAAGGATTTAGTAGTAAAGCAATCTCCATCGCAGAAATGACTGACTATCACGAAATTGTTGAATATTTAACACAAAATATTAACCGTCAAATATAAATGGAAAGAAAAAACAGTAGCTGGATCAAATGGAATGAATTTCATTGAATCTGGAAAAAGGAGGAATATGTAATATTTAATAATAATTAATTTGTTTTGTAAAAAAGTTTATTAAATAAATAAATAAATAAAATATAATATTTTCTATTACTATTTTTGTGAAACCATACTCTTAAGTTTAACCAACTTTTGTGATGAGTTAATCTTTAATCTAATTCTATTTCGGTAGTGAATGACTGTACCGATTATTACTGCTGCCACTACGATACCAACGACGATACCAGCAATTGCACCTGTACTAAGTTTCTTATTACCGGTGTCACAGCTCGATACCAGCACCGAAAGTGATTTCTCTGATTGATTGACGTTGTATGAACATTTACCGGTTGTCGATTTCTCACCAGTCGATGGATTGAATGTTCTAATATTGATAGAATCGAACAAACCTTCCGATTTCATATAGTTCATCACCGTTAGATTTTTTTGATCGTTTGTATGAAGATCACTATTGATATTAATATTTAAAACACCACCAAACTTTGCAAGGTCACTTATATTAACTATATTATGTGTAAATTAAAATAAATAAATAAGATTGTTTAAATAAATAGTTCAAACGATTCAACTTACATTGTGAAAAATCATCTAGAGTTACAATATTGATTGTAATATTACCATTCTGAGTAAGAGTACCATTTAAATTCATTTTATCGATATTGAATTGTTGTGAACCTAAATTACCGGAACTCTGAACATTTCCATTGATTGTACCATTTCCTTGTACCACACCATTTTTTATAACAAAAGTTTTGTTTGACGATAGTTTAGCACCGTGTGAAACACTAAGAGAACCTGAATATTGATTATACTCTGTGAAATAAATATCGCTATTATTTTGAATATTAACTGCACCATTATTTGAAATTGGAATCTATAATAATAATAAAATAATAAAATTAGAAACTAATTATTAATTTAAAAGTTATTTGATTATGTTGTTACCTCTAATTTCGAAATTGAATCGGTTGAAAATTGACCACTGTTATAGAATATAATTTGTTCGGTTACATCGTTGGATTTTAAGATGTCGGAACTTAGGTTGAATGTTCCGCTGTTGGAGATAGTACTGCCCTTGTAGAGAATGATGCTTCCAATGGAAGCAACCTCTCCATTGACATTGGTGAGTGATGTATTGTATAGATTGATAGTAGAGTTGGCGTCGTACACGAAATTTCCATTCTCAATGACAATTCTACATTGAGTGCATTTGAATTGTGATCCCTTCTTAATGATTAGATCACCTTGGTTAACAGTGATAAACGAATATGATCCTGTGAACGATTGATCGAATACCGCATTTCCACCGGTTGTAATATTCGTTAGAGTATAAGTATTATCACCGGATGACAAAAACTCTCCAAAAACTAATACAGTACTTCCATATATTTTATTTTCTCCATTCTTTTTTTTTTTTTTGGAAAATAAATGGTTAATATCTATATTATTATTCTGATAAATATAAATATACATACAGATGTCATTGAACCATTGACTACGATTGCTGATAAAGTTGCTGATAATCCACCGTTGATCAACATATTTGCTTTACCATTGCAGACTATGTATGAACCTGTTGCAACAATATTGGATTTATCGTTCAATTGCAATGTTCCATTGACATAGAGTATCGATGAAACTCCTAGCTTCACTCGACCATTGTTACTCATTGAAACCTTTCCATTGATAATAATATTCGATTTGTTACTCTCCAAATACGAAGAGTCTTGCATAATTAATTCACCAATAACTACAAGCTTGCTTGTTTCATTCATGAGATATGATGAACTGTTTAACATATAATGTTTACCATGAGTGAAAACCATTCCTTCTGCACCAGTTACAAAAATTTGTGAATTATCCTTTAATTTGTTTGATAATTATAAAATATTAATACTTTAAACTATTAAACAAGTTTAACATAATTATTATTTGAACTTACATAACTATAGAAACCATCTGGTGCATTTAACAAAGTAATATTCGAATTAACACAATAAACTTTTGAGTTTTCATGAAGATACATATTGGAGGCATTGAACAATGCCATAGAGTCGTATAAACTAAAATTCGTATTATCCTAGTATATTAAATAAATAATTAGTTATTAAATAGGTTGCAAAATGATATTATTCTAAATACTCTTAAAACAAATTCACTGTTCTCTGCTACATAGAAAACTACGTTGAACAGGTCGGACTTTGAAGAATTGTACAAATGGAATTTCGAGTTCTTCATACCAGTCGATAAGGAATCATCTGTTTTATCAAATGCAGAAACAGAAAGATATGTATTTTCCTTTAAATGGAGATAAATTAATTAGTCATTAAATAAATAAGTATTGGAAAAACTGAAAGACATATATTTACTCTTAAATAATAATTTGTTTTTTCCATTGTTAGTTGGGAAATAGTCATATCCATATAAGTTGTATTGTAAAGATTGATTGTCATATTACTTAGATGTAAACTTGATGAGAAACAAGAGATAGCTGAAGTATTCTATAATAATAATGTGTTTGTTGTTAATAATTTATCAAGATTTGTCACATGTGATTCCGGCTTACTTGTAATAAAACATCATGATAAAAAGCAGAGAAATAACTGAATTCGAAATACATGACCGAATGACTTGATAAAGTTGTCAAAACTCCTGAAGTTTTCGGTGTTGTAAGAACAATGGTGGATCGTTCATTAAATAACAATGAGTTTGTCATTTGCCATTGATCCGTGAAGAGTGTCGATCCGTTATTAATGTTAACTATTGACGATGTCGAGGACAGTGTATCGAGAGTCAATATTTTATTGACGACATCGAGTGAGGCGAGATTGCTCATGACGACAGGTCCCTTGAAAGTGTAGTGTCCCAAGACACTGACATTTCCACCATGGATATTGAGTGTGGCGAAAGTGATCAGTCCGGAATCCACAGCAATAAGGTTACCGGACCGATTGACTGTAACGGCCTGCGTCACATAGAACACTCCACTCACTGTCAAATTCGTTTTATCGAGTGCATTCTCCAGTCCGAGTGCCAGTGAGTTGATACTGGAGGTGCTGTTACTGATTGCACTCTGAACTCCAGAGATAACGACATCGTCGAGAATACCTGGCAATCCTACAGGTAGCCAATTGAGTGGCAATCCAAATAATGCACCCAACGCACCAACCCATGTTTTCAACACGGCATTGCAAGTTCCAAACAAAAGGAAACCAATTGCAATTGTGAAAATTATGTTTTTATTCAACATGTGTATTTTGTTTGTTTGTTTTTATCCAAACATTAATTAATCAAACAGATCTATGACAATATCTGTTAATTAAACTTTTATTAATTAAAAAACAACAAAACATGTTAATATCGAAATATAAAATTTGATTTATACAATTCAATCAAAAAAGGAAATCTAACTTAACTTACTTTTTGTTTATAAATACAATTTTCGATTAATGATATTATCTTAAATAAATAAATATTTATAAATAAATAAAATGTTATTACAAATGATATAATAATAATAAGCTAATTAATTAATAGATTTATAAATGGTAAACAATATAAATATATATATTTAAGGCGAAAAAGGTTGGTGTTGGTGTTGATGATGATTTTTGATTTGATTGTTGATCAAATTGTGTGTTGTTGCTTCACAACAACAATAATAATTTTAAAAAATGTAAGAATTGGTGTAAACACTGCAAAACACATTAAACAACCACACAATAAATATAAATAATATGATAAAAAAGATATAAAAAAAAAAAAAAGTTGTTTGATTTTAAATGAAAAAAATAAAAAAAAGGTAAATTTAAATCAATTTGATCAAAATCCTCATTATTAAATAAACAGAACCATTTTGTAAAGCTTACAAAAAGTTAATATCTTGTTGATATTTTTTGTCATCGACGGCAAAAATTTAACAAACATTTTCCACAAAAAAAATATCTAACAAGCCTTTTTAATCAATTGATTAAAAAGTCTCTTTGGTAATAATAACAATTATAGTTGTTAAATTAACAAATAGTGATAATTAATAGATATCCGAAGAGTTCATTTATGAATGAAAAAAATATATATTTTGATATATTTATATTTGTTTTCAAAAATAAAATAAAAAATACTAAAATATTTGATGGATCAAATAAACAAAACTTCAAGTTAATTTTTCTCTTTGATTTTATTTATAAATAAAAAAAAAATTATCAGAGATAAAGATAATTTATTGTATTGCGTGTTGATGACTTTTGCTTGGTGAGTCAAATGCAACCTCAACAAAAACACTTTGAACTTTTTAAAAAAAGAAAATTTTTATTTTGCAAAATTTTCATTTTTTTTTTTTTTTTTAATCAAAGACTCACAGTTCATAATTTGATGAACTTTAATCATTCATTTATTGTTGTTTTTTTTTGAGTTCAATTTAAATACAATCAGATTATTGATATTATTTTGAATTAGAATTAATAATTATAATAATATCAATAGAGCGGTAATAATAATATAATAATATTAGCCAATAACTTTGAAAATAAAACAGAATACATTTATAAATAGAGAAGAGTAGAGTAGTTTAGTTTAGTTTAGTTTTGGTTTAGAATATATAACATTGAAAGCAATGGGTAGATTTGAGAAGAAAGACGATGATGAATATGGTAGGATCAATCAATCAATAAATCTAGAATATGATCATATAGAGATAATTTAGAAACTAACTAATGATTATTGTATTGTTGTTGTTGATAAATCAACCAATCAATCAAACAATGATTTTGTTGTTGTTTTATTTCGAATAATTATTAGAGTATCCATTTGAACATTTAGATAAAGGACAGGTTGTACAGGAGAAGAGAGTATTCAATGACACACAGATTCATCCAAGAAAATGTTCATTCGTTATCTCAGAGTTCCTCTATCTCTTGGCCAGAGGTGATACCTTCACCAAGACAGAAGCAACCGATGTATTCTTTGCTGCAACAAAGTTATTCCAATCTAAAGATGTAAGTAACCAATCTCTACATACATAACAATAAAAATAAAAGTATAAACTACTAATCATCTATCTATCTATATATATATATATTTAAAGATTCCATTGAGAAGAATGACCTATTTATTGTTAAAGGAATTCTCAACTATATCACAAGATGCTATCATTGTAACATCTTCATTGATCAAAGATATGTCACACAAAATCGAATTATACAGAGCCAACTCTATTAGAATCTTATGTAAAATTATTGATGTAAGTAGTAGTAATAATAATAATATTATTATTAATTTATATGTTAATATTGTTATTGTTTATTATAATAGGCATCATCATTACCACAATTAGAAAGACATTTCAAACAATCGATTGTAGAGAAAGATCCACATGTATCGTCAGCAGCGTTGGTATCGAGTATTCATTTGTTACGTGTTGCACCGGACACTGTCAAGAGATGGGCAAACGAAGTACAGGAAGCCATCTCCAACAAATCGAATATGGTGCAATACCACGCACTTGCATTGCTCCATCGTATCAAACAACACGATCGTCTTGCCGTCACCAAGCTGGTCAGTTCACTCATTCGCGGTTCTCTAAGATCACCATACGCTCAATGCTATCTAATTCGTTGTGCCGTCGAAGTCATTGAAGAAACAAATACAGAGTAAGTAGCTAGTGTTATTTATTAACAATAATAAGTGTATACACAAATACTAATAATGTGCTGTTTAATAATTATTAATAGGGATAGAACATTCTATGATTATATTGAATCGTGTTTGAGAAATAGAAATGAAATGGTTGCTTATGAAGCTGCTAGATCTATTTGTTCGCTAAAGAATGCATCGTTGAAAGAGTTGACATCGGCAGTCGGTATTCTCCAATTGTTTTTGAGTTCCTCAAAGCCGACTCTTCGTTTCGCTGCCGTGCGTACACTCAATAAGTTGGCACAGACCAACCCACTCGCCGTCGTACCATGTAATCTAGATATGGAGAATCTAATTTCCGATAGCAACAGAAGTATTGCTACTCTTGCAATTACTACACTCTTAAAGGTAAGTTAAAGTAAAAGCAAACAAACAAACAAACAAACAACAAAACAATAACTAACTCTAACATCTCTTTATATGTAGATCGGAAATGAATCAAATGTAGAAAGATTAATTAAACAAATCTCCAACTTTTTGGGTGATATCAATGATGAGTTTAAGATTGTAGTTGTAGAATCTATCACTATGTTGAGTGTCAAGTTCCCAAAGAAATTCAAACATCTTATCATTTTCTTGAACAAGATTCTTCGTGACGAAGGTTCACTCCAACTCAAACAGACCACTCTCGATGCAATCTTGAATGTTGTAAATCATATTCCAGAATCAAAGGAAATTGGTATGTAGAGAAGTTATAATAATAATAGAACAATAACTAAAATAGTATTAACAATTAACCATCTCTTTTTTTTATTAGCTTTAAATGAATTGTGTGATTTCATTGAGGATTGTGAATATCCAGATTTGTCTGTACAGATTCTTCACTTATTGGGACAGGAAGGACCGTTGACTTCGTCACCATCCAAGTATATCCGTTACATTTACAATAGAATATCGTTGGACAGCGGAACTATTCGTGCTGCCGCCGTCACCTCTATTGCCAAGTTTGGATTGCTCTACGAGCCAATGAGACAAAAGGTTGTGATTCTCATTCAACGTTGTCTGTTGGACGAAGACGATGAAGTTCGTGATAGAGCAACTCTCTATTTGCGTTTGTTCAAGGAGGACAATATCAAGTTGTTGGGTCGTATTCTGTTGGACGACGTCCACGTGCCAATGCTCAACTTGCAGCGTTCACTTGAGACCTACTTGGAGTCGCCAGCCGCCGAGCCATTCGACATCAGCAAGGTGTCGACCGTCATCGAGGCACACTCGCCAGTGCTCGGAGACAAGGGATCGTCGAAACCATCGAGCACCGCCAACACTCCAAAGGCAATGTCGCTCGCCGGTTCCGACAAGCCAGCAGCCGCCACTGGCCAATCCGCACAAGAAGCTTACGCCGCGCAACTCGCAGCCATTTCAAACTTTGCTACCTATGGTAAGCTCTTGAAATCCAGTGAGTTGGTCGAGCTCACCGAGACAGAGACAGAGTACGTCGTCAGCTGTGTCAAGCACGTCTTCCAAGAGCACTTGGTCTTCCAATTCAATGTCACCAACACACTCAACGACCAACTCCTCGAAAACGTCTATGTCAAGATGGTTCCATCCAATTCCAAGTTGGTGAAATACGAATTCCACTTGCTCATTGAATCGCTCCCCTACGGAGAACCACACTCTTGCTACGTCAGTGTCCGTATTCCACCAGGTGCCTATCCAACTCTCAGTTTCACCAATATGTTGAAGTTCAAGGTGCGTGAAGTCGATCCATCGACAGGCGAGCCAGACGAAGGTGGTTTCGACGAGCAATACAACATCGAGGACTTGGAGGTCGTGCCAAAGGACTACATGCTGCGTGCGGTCTGTCCAAACTTCCAGGAGGAATGGAAGCGTCTCCCCGAAGACATCCAATCGATCCAAACCTTTGGATTGGTATCGATCAAAAATATCGACGACGCCATCAAAGAGATCATCAAGACACTCTCGATGGCGCCCTGCGAGAAATCGGAAGTCGCTCAACCCAAAGCAAACAAACACATATTATATCTCTCTGGTCGTTTCGTCAATGGTACAGCCGTTCTAACCAGAGCCAGAATGAAGATCGATGGCAGTGGACAAAGTGTAGATGTAGAATTAACCGTTAAATCAGAAGATGAAATTATAAATGAATTTGTATCATCTGCTTTTGCTTAGAAAAAAAACAAAAACAATTGATTCAACAGTGCTACAAATATTTATATATATTTTTTTAAATTTAATCAAAATTAACCATTTAGTTATCAATTAAACTAAAATATCCAAAAATATACAAAAAAAAAAACTAATAAATAAATAATATATCAAATTAGAAACAAAACAAATATAAATATAATTAATTAATTTACAAAGTAAAATAAATAATGGATAATATTTTTATTTAAATCCATTTTATAAATTATAAATATTTTCTACAACATTTTTTTTTATATCTAGAAAAAGTAAATTTAAAATTATTTATTAATTATTTAAATTCCTTTCAATTAAATAAAAAATACTACCTACACAACTTAAGATTATAAGAATAATAATAATTTTAATGTTATTGTAATTCTATTTTCTCTTGATATGTCTTTCTTGGACTTAGTTTTAAATTCTGTAATCCCAATACCATACCCATTCCACCTTTGGTCGTCAAATGTACTCTATGTAAGATATTTATACCTAGATTCATTTTATTTGGTTTTTTAGATTCGATTTGTTTATACATTTCTTTAAAGATTAATTTGTTAATGAAGGATAAAAGTTGATCTACAGTTTGTTAATTGACTTGTACAACAATGAAGATAAATCATTTGTTTATAAATAAACAGATCAATTTATTTTTATTTATTTAAAATAATTATAAAGAAATTGTTTATCGGTTTAGTTTAATGATAACACATCTCTTTATATCAATTCTTTGATTTTATTTATTGTATTGGAAAAAAATGAGTGATCCACAAAAGATTTGAAGAGTGAAGATAGTTATCTTTTAATAGTAAACACATAATTTCATTGCATTCCACTCAAACTACCACAAACACCCCAAAATTAATTAACATCTTATTAAAAAATATCACACCACAAACACTGTCTCACATGTGTTTCATTAAACAACTCAATATTTTTAGTGAATATTGAAATAAACTATTAATCTTTGTATTTCAAGATTATTTGTTTATTATTATTATTGGTTTTATAATTTCCATTATCTAGATTAATACTTTAACTCCATTTTCTATTTGTTTGATAATTGTATCGGTACAATAATGAAGTTTTAAATAAATTGAAGTTAATATTAAAAAGATATAGAGATGTAATATAAAATATAAATAGTATTTATTATTATTATTATTATTTATTTAAAGTTATCGATGTCATATTCGGATTGATCAAGAATTGAGTGATCTTTTGGAATTTCGTCACCTAAAAATTTCTTAGAAATCACTTTTAATTCCAAATAAGTTTACCAAAAAAGGAAACAAATTAGTTTTACAAAGTTAAAAAAATCGCCTTAACAAACAGATTATTCGACGACTATACCTTATCTTCAAAAAGAATGATTATCATCAATGTAAATAACTGATTAAGGATTTATAAAAAATTTCATGAAGTTTCTAATAGAAAATCAATTTTACACAAATAACTATAATATTGATTATTATTTATTTACTTGAGATTCCAACTACTGACAACATATTTTTGGTAAGTTTAGAAAATACAATGCCATCAACGAATGGTACACTGTCATGATCTGGGTTGAAGAATGGCCTGGTTTCACTAGTTAATGTATATCCAATGTTCTGATACCACTTGAGTAGTTCATACCGAATCGATACGACGTACAATACGATTTCCTTAACTTGAATCCAATTGGCTTTGATATAGAGCTCTGCAAATCGCATCAATACACCACCGACACCATCACTTTGTAGTTTACTATCAACACTGAAAGTACCAATATAAGCTATATCATTATCTCTATCTATTCTTATACTGGCAATTGGTTTATTTTTACTATTATTATTATTGCCGGTTGCACCATCTTTTTCACTTGTATCGATATTATTATTGCTATTTCTCAACTCCAATACAAAGTATAACATAACATCATCGGATTGCTTTTTAATCTCTCTTGCCAGTGATTGATTGTCCAATCGTTTTCCACCGATATAATGTGTTTCGTTGGTCCATGACAATGGTGCATTGCGATCTGAATCTGTAGAGATTGTTCCTCTGTATGAGAAATTAATCAAATTGGTAAGAACCTCAACATCATCCAAAGTAGCTTGTCTGACAAATAATCCTATCTTTTCTTTCTTTGTGAATCCAATGATATTGTTTAACATTTTATAAAATAAGTGATCAAAAAAAGATATCAAATGCAAATATGATCAAAAAAAAAGTTAAAATTAAAATTAAAATTTGTTTAATTTGAGTGGTTGACCCTCAAATTTTAATTTTTTCCATCTGTCATTGAATGGAATTAAACATTTGTTTACTTTTAATTTCATCATTAATCAAGAATTAGATGCATATTAAATATTTTAGTTTCGTTTGTTATCAAGTAAACAACCTTTTAAAAGAAACATTTATTTTTTTATTGTTTATTATTATTGTTATTAAAAGTCATTTGTGTAATATTAATGAACTGAATAATACTGTAGTGAAAGTTTCTTTGAATGTTGTAAAATATGATTAACACCTCTGTTATGTTATCAGGTTTATAAAAATTATTAAAAATACTATAATTATAAATCTTTAAAAACACAATTAATGTTACAACATTTAGAAATTTATCTAACTGGGTAAACAAATCCAACAAAAAAGTCCACAATTAAAAATAAAAATTTTTAAGATCTTATTTTTTTTTTTTTGTTTTTTTTTTGTTTTGATTTTGACATGAGATTTTTTTTCTTTGATTTTTTTGATTTTAGGGTAATCCCCAATTTCTTCTAAAAACTGAATTAAAAAATTTTAGTATCACACACATCATTTTCCATTGATTAATTTTTAGTCCAAACTTGTTTGTTTGTTTTTGTTTTATCTTTATACTAACAATAATTATCATTGCTTGATTAATTTCAATGCAATTTTAAAATTTTTATTTATTAGTTTATTATTGTATCATTTTTTTTAATCTATTATTATTATTATTATTTTGTTTAATTTTATTTTTAAAGAACACGTTTAGTTTAAAAACTTGGACATCGTCGTCATCATCATCAAGCTTTTTAAGGTCAAGTTAAGTCAAGTCAATTCGAATCAAATTTGGTAGGAACGAATCATCATCATCATCATCAAAAATAAAACAAAACAATAATATGTCTATCTTTGAAAATTGTACATTCTTTGTGTCGACTGATGTCAAGAGCAAAAGTCAGTTGACGAAAACCATTAAGGAGAACGGTGGTAACATCAATTTCCTCGTGACCAAACAGTGCACTCACTTTGTTACGGTGGAGCGTGAATTCAACAATCAAACGACCAACATCAAGAAGGCAAACACCATGGGTATCCACATCATCAACGAACACTATGTCACCGATTGCGTGTCCACCTCGAAGCGACTCGACGAACAACCCTATAAGTTCCTGTTGAAGCCACATATCAAGCTGTTCGACTCACAGGTCTCCTCGAGCGTATACACTGCGCCATCGCCAAAGAAAGTCGAACCGATCGCACCCATTGAGCTACCAAAGGTGTTTGCACCGAAACCAAAGGCTGCCGTTGCCAAACCATCGTCGTATTCCTTCTCTGGTACAGCCGCCACACCATCAACAACTACCGGCAGCACCACTTCAACAACAGCATTTGGTAGACGTAAAATCATTGATTCCGAAGACTTTGGTTTGGATCCACAAGATCAATTTACACTTCCAGTATTCAATCCAACAACAACTGCTACATCAACATCTCTATTTGGCGCAGCACCAACTTCAACCTCTATATTTGGTAAACCAGCAGCAGTAGCACAAACAGTCTCTACCGCTACATCAGCTCTTTCCGAGTTCCAATTCCTCAATATCAATGACAACAACAGCACCAACAACAAAACTCTTAGCTACGAGGTTATGATTCCAAATCCAAGAACTATTAAATGTGAATTGTTCACTTTTGGTTCACCAAAGGAACCACAATTCCCAACCAATTACAAAACTATTAAAACTCATACTCTCCAGGTAAGTTAATTAACTATAAATCATTATTAATATTAATCAAGATAATTAATTAACCATCATTTCTTCTACTTTTTTCTAGTTTACAAACATTGGTAATAATAATAACAAATATTATATCTTGGAATTACATGAAGGTACCAATCCAAATGGATCAGTCGTTTATCGTTTATATACAAACTATGGTGTAAGTAGTAAAATCTTTAATATTATTCTCAAAATTGACTTTATCTTGTCTAATAATGTTAATTTTTTTTTTTTATAGAGAACATCTGGAAAAGCAACAAAAGAAACAAGATATCCAAGAAATTTCGATGATGCTCTCAATTTGTATTGTTTGATTTACAATGAAAAGACCTCTGATAAGAAGGGTTACAAACCGGTCAGTCTTAACGCAGCCAAGATCACTTCGACATCTGATCAAGCAGCTGCTTCGAACAACGCCAACACTCCATCCAATTTGCCAGAGGAAATTCAATCGCTTGTAAAGACTCTGTTTGCCGAGGCAACCACTCATTTGACTAACAGTTGCTCTGCCAATATCACAGAGAATGGAATTGAAACACCGCTCGGTGTGCTCTCGATGGAGCAAGTCGAGAAGGGTGAGAAGATTCTCGATAAACTCCACGTCGAGTTGAAGACTTCGAGACCGTTGGAAACTCGTCTCGCTCAACTCAGCTCCGAGTTCTACACTGTCATTCCCCACAAGATGGGCAGAACCAAGGCCGATATCGATCGTGCCGTCATCCGTAATCTCGATCAACTCAGTGCCAAGGTCGATTTGCTTCAGTTGATGAAGGATCTTCTCAAGATCAATCAATCCGGTGGACTGAGCGGTAGTAGTGCTATCGACATGAAGTATCACTCGTTGAAGTCAGAGATCACCTCGCTCCACTCGTATTCCACCGAGTACGAGACAGTGTCGCGTTTGGTCAGTGACAGTCAAGGCGATTACCCAGTGCAGATCTCCAATATCTACAAGATCAATCGTCAGACCGAGGCATCGTCATTCAACCAGTCAATCACACCAACCAAGCTGTTGTTCCACGGTAGTCGTCCTGCCAATTTCGTCGGTATCTTGTCTCGTGGTATGTTGATGCCAAAGGTTATCGTTAACAACGGTGGTTCACGTACCGATTTCGGTTTCTTGGGTGCCGGTATTTACTTTGCCGACAAGTTCTCCACTTCCTGTTTGTACGCCGCTCCCACCGCCGTCGAACTTGAGAGTTCCAAGCCATCGCGTTTCATCTTGGTTTCAGAGGTCGCACTCGGTATGACCAACAAACTCACCAAGATCGACTCTACCTTGACCAAGCCACCAACCGGTTATCAATCGTGTCTCGGTGTTGCCAACAACGGTTACAATCAATCTGACTTTAAGGATAATGAATATGTTATCTACAACACCAACCAACAGAAACAACAATATCTCGTTCAATTCACATTGGGAGACGGTGGTAACTTTACTGTTCCAACTGCTAAAGCAGAACCAGTAGCACACAAGCCAGCTAACACATCTACCATTGTTTCAAAGTATGGATCTGTTTATCAACCACCAGCAACAGCAACACTAACAAATCACAAAGTACCAACACCAGTATCAACACCAATCGCCGCCACTCCAGTCGCAGCAGCTAAGACAGCCACCACTACTACCACTCAAGTTTTGAAAACTAAAATTCAATCAAAGAAGGAATTCGAGGAGTTCCCAGAGGAGACCAAATATCGTGAGATGTTTGCCAGTTCCTACAATGTGAACAAGGATAAATTCCTTGGTTTGGAGAATGTATTTGACGACGCAAATTATAAAAACAAATCACCATTGGATTTGTCATCAGAGTTTGTTGTTATGCCATTCGTTAGAGATCAAATCTACGCCACATCCAACTCTAGAATCACCGATAACTACGGTCAGTTCCAAATCAACTGGCACAAATTCTCAAACGGTATGTTTGATCATGATTTCGATTGGAGAAATGTATTCGTTGCTGGTGGAGCGATTCTCAAGAACTCTCTGTTCATTCCAAGCCAATTCGAACAGAAATGGGCAGATTCCGATATCGATATCTTCTTGTACGACCTAACAGAGGCGGAAGCAACCGATCGTCTGGTTAAACTCTATCACTACTTCAAGGCTAAATCACCATCCATGGATGTCATCAGAACAAAATACGCAGTGACATTTGTCAATCCTAAACCATCACGTAACATCCAGGTTGTGTTGCGTATCTATCGTTCACCAGCTGAAGTACTCATGGGATTTGATATCGATTGTTGCTCCATTGGTTTCGATGGTCAGAATGTATATGCTTTGCCACGTGCTCGTCGTGCCATTGTCAATGGAATCAATTGTATCTCTATGACTCGTCGTTCTCTTACCTATGAGTCGCGTCTCTTCAAGTACGCCAAGCGTGGATTCGGTATTCTGGTTTCAGAGTACAGTCGTGCTCACATCAGCAAGCAAATCTACTCCAAGCCATTCGAGCAATCGACAGGTTTAGCCAGATTACTGCAGTTGGAGAACAGATACGTCAATTCTTTCAATGGACACGTTCCACAAGACGACAAATCCGACTATGATAACATTGAGATTCCATACGCCGGTTACTCTGTGCACAGTCTCATCAATATCATCAACTACAAGGACAAGTCACAATTCTTTGGTAAGAAGTTGAGTGAGTTCAGACACAGACATATTGCTGTTACCGGTTTCGAAACTGCCATGCAAGGTAAGGCATCGTGGTGTAAGAAATGTATGGCCGGAGACTTGCCAACTGGTGGTGGACCAGACGGTGGAGAGTATGTACACGGTCCAATTACCTGGGTCACCCAGAATCCAGGTCGTCAGCTGTTGACCGGTTCATTCCACCCGGTCAACGACGAACAATGGGCTTCCAGTGCCTTGAGCACCACTCAACCAGAGCCGCTCACCATCTCCACTAGATACGACGCAATCAGAGACAATCCAATCGTATTGCCAGCGAATTACTTTGCATCACTTCCAAAGACCAAGAAGATTTACAATCCAGTAGTCGCCGAAACCAACAACGTCCTTCATATTGCTTGTGCCTATGGTTCGCTGGAAACAGTCAAGTCGATCATCCCACAAATCAGAACACAAATCAATATCCCTTGTGATATGGGATTCTACCCGATTCACTATGCCTGTATCAGAGGAAGTGTTGATTTGGTGAAGCTGCTTATTTCTCATGGTGCCATCCCAATGCTCCGCTCCAAGAATTATCAAAAGTTCAACTGTCTGATTATCGCTCAATACTACAAGAACCAGAGTGTCGCCACCTATTTGCAACAAAACTACCCAATTCTAGCCAGGTTGAAGTGTAAAGTTCTGGGTCACTTCAAGAAATGGAGATTTGCAACTGATCCAAATATTTCCACTTCACTGGCCAACACCAGTATATTCTCTGCAATTTTGAATGGTCAACCTAACGATGTCGAAAGATACTTGGCCGAACCCAATTGTGTGTTGACTGATGCCATCGGAAACACTCTCTACCACTATGCCGCTGTCAGTTACCAACCGGCGATGATGATAGCTGCACTCGACAAACACTTTAAGGCCAACCGAAAGATCACTCCGGAGCAAGAGAATATCTATGGTCAGAGTGCCCGTTACTTTGCCACCATGGTTATGTGTTCACTCACTCCAATCGCTTACCACTCGTCATACCTCCTGACATCAAGCTCCGTCATGAGAGATCTCCCACAATTTGCAAATCCAAAGCAAGTGCAAATCAGGGGTCTCTACTCGAGCATTCCAATCAGATTCCTCAACCTACCATACCACCAAGCCTCGTCGTTGTTAAATACTTCCATCAAACCAGCAAGTGCCGCCGGTGGAAGTCCACCTTCGACACCATCGTTTGCCAAACCCGCCCCCGCTTTTGGTGTCGGTGGAAAATTCTCACCATCCACCAACAACTCTAGCACCATCGGATCGGTCAACCTCTTTGGATCGACAAGTCCAAATAAACGTGATCATCAATCACCACCAAGTTTCAATAGTTCTTCCTTTGGACAACCCAGCTCACCACAACCATTTAGTTTCGGTACATCTTCAGCCGCTGGATACGGATTTGGTTCACCCACAGCCCAACCATTTGGTATCACAAACTCTGGATTCGGTACCACAACCTCTGGATTCGGATTTGGTTCACCCACAGCCCAAACATTTGGTACCACACCCTCTGGATTCGGATTCGGTTCACCTCAGCCTGCCTCAGGTGGTATGTTTGGAGTGCCATCCAACCAACTCCCTGCTTTCACCTTCTCACCACCAACCGCCAATATATTTGGCGCACCCATTACACCACCAAGCGCAGCAGCTAAGAAAACACCATCGCCACTACAAGTACCCTCAACCCAATCATCTGAGTACCCTGATTTCCTTCTTCCAGGTTGCCAACAATTCGATCAATCATCGCAAGTCGCAAAGGCATTGGTATTAATCACAGCCGTAAAGAAGAGATTCAACGACAGCGATGTCCACAAACTCAGACTCAAAGCAATCACATTGGAAATGTCAATCTTTAACTGCATTGAAGCATACCAATTGGATAAGGACATGGACGCACTAGTTGAATCGTTCAAACTTTGTTTATCATTATAATTATTCAAATAAATAGTTTTTTTTCTTATGTATCTAAAATCTAAATAATTAACCAACAATGTAACATTATAAATATTTCAAAATTATTTCAACAATAAACAAAAATAATCAATTACAAAAATATATGTTCATTTTTTTATTTGTTTTAAGATAACATGTCTTTATTTATACATTCTAAAATCATTATCTTTCTTGATAGTGTAATATCTTTTTGTGTAAAGTCGAGTGGAAGACCTCTTGCTGTGTAATCTGCAAACTTACAGGTGAACACACCACAATCATATCCATTCTGTTGTACTGGTATGTCTTTGGGTGTATAATCTGTAAACTCCGATAGATTGATAACGCCTTTTTTTGATTTATCATTCATTTCATCTTCAAGGTATCTTCTTAGTTTCTGTTTGTAAAAAGTTTGATTGAGTAAGTTAAATTATAATGAAATTAAATCAAAACATAAACAATTACATACAGTTAAACATTGAGAATTATCACCGAGTAGAGAATCATAATATTCGAATCGTTTGTCGACAAAATTGATAACTGCCAAACACCAATGAGCACCCAAATGAACGGGAATGCAAACCTTTTGTTTTGCGAAAATATCGAAATCCTTTGTCCATTTCTTCACACGCTGATACGAGTAGGTATTGTTGTTGTTACAGAGGAATTGGTAGAAGAAACTACTGAAGAAGTGACAATTTAGATATCGGTTCTTGTTGTCCTCCTGTCGCTTCTTTAGCAGCTCCATGTAGAAATTAATGATTTCGTCGTTCAACCAACCGCCTGGCTTCAACTTGATAATATCACGTCGGTAGATGGTAATCGAGTTGAACTCTGCCAATAGATTGTCGTTACGTTCGGTCAATACACCCTGAATGGTCTTCTCCTCGGCGGCAGTCAGTGGTTTCAGCACAGGTTTCTGTTTCTTTTGCTCTTCGATTCTCTTCTCCAACTGCTTAATAAAACTCCAACTGTGTGTCTGCGAGATCGACTGCAGCTTCTCGAGCAACGAAGTGATGTCTTCATCTCTTGACACTTGCTTTGATTTGTTAACCTTATCATAGAATCTCTCATTATCAGTACTATCAATGATTTCAATTGATTTTGGTCTGAAACTAAAGATTGTCAAATGATTAATAATTAAAAATAATTGTAAATAAACAAAGTAGTTAATCAGTTTGTTTTGTAATTGCCATTATAGTTACCTTGACATAAGTGAAGTTGATTTACTATCATAATAGCTGATTGATTTTAATTTGGATGATGGTGATGTTGAAGTAGTAGTTGTTGTTGTAGAAGTATATAAATCATCAATACTCAATGGAGTATCTTGATGATTGTTATTATCTTCAGCATTCTGAAGTTGATTTTGTAATGTTGATTTCAAAGGTGTCTTTGTTGGTGATGTTATTAATGTAGTAGAAGTAGATCTATTTGGAGAGCTATAAATGAAGTTATCATTATTACTATTATTATCTTGATATCTTGTGGTTGGAGGTGTTGATCTACTAAAATTGTATGATGAAGATAACCTTGGTTGTTGTTGTTGTTGTTGTTGACTACCTAAAGATCGGTATGGTTGATATGATGATCGATTGTTATTGATATTCTCTTCGTTTTCATACACCAAAGAAGAAGTTGGCACTTCACTATTAAGATTCAAATTACTCTGAGTATTCTCTATCAGATTATTGATGCTCTCTCTCAAATCAATTGAATCTTTACTGTTTTTCTATTAAAAAAAAAAAATCAAAACTAAAAGTAAGTACATACTTTTTATTATCATTATAAACGATCTGCTCAATATTAACTTACATATATATCAATAAAAGATTGTTTAGATTTAGGTGTATAATATAAATTTGTAGAATTATAACTTTGACTATCATTTTCGTTATTTAAGTTAGAAACAGTTTCATTGTCATTGTCATTTTCATCATTGTTAATGTTGCTATTATTATTATCGTTGTTGTTGGACATTGTGTATTCTGGAACTGTAAAGTGTTGTGAATGAAACAGGTTTATGTCTTGTGATGAATGTTGCTGTTGTTGTTTCTTTTTAAAAGGAGATTGATTCCTTTGTTTATATGATCTACTGTTATTGCTATTTGTATATCTTGATGATGAATATCGATTTGTATTACTACTACTATTACTGCTGCTGTTGTTGTTAGTAGTATTTCTACCAATACTAAACAATTGTGAAGGTATCTGAGATATACTTTTACTCAGATACCCAAATAGATAGTTTGATGTATTCGAAATGAAACCTTAAATAATTGTTTTGAATGTTTGTTAATATCAATCTCTTTCATTCTTGTACAGACATAACATAACATAACATGACAATAATAATAATAATACCTTTGGGATCGGAAAGAAAAGAGTTTATGTTGCCTTTTAAATCAAAGCCCGAATAGTATTGTTTGTTTCTCTTTTTCTTTGATGGATTCTCGCCAATACTAACAAATATATATAATATTATTAATAAAAGTAGTACTATTTATCAATCTAAAGATTAAATAAAGTGTAAACTTACAAATGATTATTATTATTTTGTTGTTGTTGATCTGTATTATTAGTTGTATATTTTCTCTTTAAATTTTGAACAGGTATATATATTGAATTATCGTTATTTAAATAATCTGACGATGAGTTTTGTTGTTGAGATTCAACATCTAAATCAACAACATTTGATATCTCAGTATTGTTATTATTATTATTATTATTATTATGTTGGCTAAAAGTGGTTTCGTTATTATTCATAGCTAAGTAAATATGAATATTTTATTTCTAATATCTAAATAATCATACTAATGAATAATGACATTAAATAAAATAAAACATAACAGAACAGAAGAAAGAGAAGGGTGTAAATTCTATCTGATTTTGGAGAGCGGGAAGAATAGTTAACACACTGCGCCAATACAAAAATTAGTTTTTTTTTTTTTTTTTTTTTTTACAACAAACAATTTTGTGAAAACGAACGAAACACTAGTTTAATTTAAATTAAACTCAGACTGATGATTGATTTCATTTTAGAATAATGAATGGTGTGGGAAGATGTATATACAGATCTTTAAATAGATCTGTTTCATTGGTAGATCTACCAAAGAATAATCTATCAAGTATATCTAGTTTTGAAAGATATAAAACATCAACTATACAATCAAATATTAGATCATATCATTTATATAATAATAACAATAACAATCACATTAGTAGTAGTAGTAATATAAGTAGAAATAGATATTATTCATCATCACAACCAATCAATAATGATACTGATAATAATAGTGATAATAAAGAACAAGTAAAACCTGTTGTACATAGTGATAAAGTAGTATTTCAAAGAGCGAAACTAAAGGTGAATAGTAATCCACTGATTGCAATCATCGGTAAACCAAATGTTGGAAAATCAACGTTGTTCAATAGGGTGGTACAGGGTGGTAGACAAGCACTGGTAGAGAACATACCGGGTACCACTAGAGATCGATACTATAGCGATGCATTTCTATATGGTAGACAATTCCAATTGGTGGATACCGGTGGTCTCGTCGGGGAAGCACTGGCACACACCGACCGATTCTCAACGGCTATCAAGGAGCAAGCAACCGTTGCAATGGACGAAGCCGATGCAATCATATTCCTGTTGGATGCGAAAACTGGCATTACCTCGGTCGATAAGGAACTGGCGAGAATGTTGAGAAACCGTGCGTCGAAAGGTCAGAAAGTTTTCTTGGGAATCAATAAAGCGGATAACGATCAGCTGATTGACAAACTGCCGAGAGATGAATTGGTGCGTCTTGGATTTGGTGAACCCTATGCATTCTCTGCTATTCACGGTGGTGGAGTGTTGGGATTGTTTGACTCGGTGTTGAAGAGTTTACCGTTGCCAAAGGACAATGAACTGCTTGGCGATCCACAACAGAACACCTCAATAAAGATATCGATTGTCGGTCAACCCAATGCTGGAAAATCGAGTCTGCTGAATCAGATCATCGGGGAGGAGCGTGCCATTGTATCGGATGTCGCTGGAACCACTCATGACCCGGTGGATTGTCAGTTCTTGTGGCGAGAGAATCACGATTTGACGTTGATTGACACCGCTGGAATCAGAAGAAGATCGACACACAAAGTTGGATTGGAAAAGTCGTCGGTTCTCTGGGCGATGAAGGCAATTGAGAGATCGCAAGTGGTGTTGATGGTCATCGATGCAACAGTTGGAATAACAGATCAGGATCTAAAAATTGCTGGATTTATTTTGGAGAATAACAAGAGTGTCATGATCTTGGTCAATAAATGGGATCTCTACACTCAGAACAAGAAGAAAGCAGCCAAGATCGCAGAGAAAAAGATGTTTCAAGATAATCAAGAGAAGTTTAAATCAAATGTATCACTTTTAAGCGATATTCTTAATGATTATGCTGAAGATAATGATAATAAAAATAGTAGTAATAATAATAATAATGTTGGAAAAGATAAGAATAGAAATAAGAAAAATAAGACAATTAGAAAGTTAAAAGAAGAAGTAGAGGAAGAAGATGAAGATGAAGAAAAGGATGAAGAAGAAGAAGAAGAGAATGAAGAAGAAGATGATCAAGTTAGATCTAAACAATCAAAGAAAGATAAATTAAAACAAAAGATGTTGGAAAAGAATTCATCGGAATTGGATTTCAACAATGATATTTGGCCGGAATCATATCAACAACAGAAACAACAAAATGCAGTAAATAGAGAACAAGAGATAGTAGATGATATAGAGAATCAATTAGACAATATAGATTTTGAAGAGAATCAAGATAATGATGATGATGCATTTGAAGTAGATGATATTGATGAGGATGAAGAAGGTGAAGAGGATGAGGATGAAGATGACGATGATGTAAAGGAACAGAAATTCATTCAAGCCTATTGGAAATATATGAGTCAACTTGAGAAGGTACAGACCGAAGGCAAAATACCAAGACATCCTCCACCCAACGTACAGATCCCAGCACTGACCAAAGAACAAAAGGAATTCGAAAAAGAGATCAGAGAGAAGCTGACATTCTTGGATTTCGCCCCACTCATTTTCACATCAGCCAAGACCGGTTTTTGTGTACCAACTGCTTTGGATATGGCAATTAAAGTATTCTTTGAAAGAGAAAAAAGGTAAAAAATACTTATACACATATACATATATTCTTTTGTTATTTTATATTATTTATTAATTGAATTTCATTAATCTAACTAATAAAATTATGATAATGCATAGATTGAAAATTAGAGAATTAATGGATATTATTAAACAAGCAACATTCAAACACAAGCTACCAAGAAAAGGAAAGAGTAGTTTGAAAATCAAATTTGCATCCCAATCGAAAGGATTCCCTCCAAGTTTTGTATTCTTTGTAAATGATCCAGAGAAAGTACAACCCTCATTCATTCGATTTTTATTGAACTCTATTAGAGAAACCTATCCTTTTGTTGGAACTCCAATCAACATCTTTTTCAGAAGGAACAAAAAAAGAGCTGCCTACAACAAAAAGAAATAAATAATTTAATATAGAGTTAGAGTTAAATTTTTATGCTATTTATATAAAAACATCTTTCTTTTGTCATTAAATAATTTTAATTTAATTATTGAGTAACGACAACTGTTGTTCTTTAAATTATATTTTTATGAAAACAGACTTGAAATTAAAAATTACCTTTTATTAAATAAATAAACATATTTTTAAAATAAAACTATATTAAATTAAAATAATTATTTTGGAATAGAAGAGATAAAGTATCAACAAATATAATCAAAGTTTGAACACGCAATTATCCTTATTGAAGGAAAGAGAATTCATATCTGTATTCTTTAATTCCTGAGCAAATCTTTATGTTAGATCAACAGATCTGGTATTTTCCTCGAAGAATTATTCTTTTACCTTAAGTTGATTAGGTTCAGAGATTTCTTATTGTTATGAAAAGTAACTTATATATTACAAATATGTCAACAAAATTCCATAGGTCTTTGGAATAACAGAACAAACATAAAGGTTTGCTGTGGAAGTAATTTTTATCTAAATTTTTCAAAAATAAATCATTTCTATAACTATAATTTTTTTATTTATTTTAAATAATTAGAAGTGGTTTAGAAGGTGAATTCTATGATAATTTTAAAACTTGACCAATCTAATTTAAAAAAAAAATTTTATTATAAAACACAGTGTATGAGTTCTTATCAATTTGTTTTATCTATTGAGTAATATTATAGATAGATGCTGAGATTTCAGTTTGATTGGTACTATACAAAAGAAATGAATTATCAGATAATCTTCGTGCTTTGTATTTGATATCTTCATAGTTGTTTAAGGTGATAGTATTCACAGTTGGTGGAATTCTACAAATCATCTGCTTAATAAATGCAATTGGCTCGTAAAATAGTCGAATAATATTTGAAGATACCAGTGATATGTAATCGAAATCAAAATGAGTAACTGATTTAGGAATTAGAGAATTATCTAAACTATAGGCAGACAATAATTCCAATGACGGTGGAAGCATCAAGCAACTCTTATTCTTCAAAGGAAGATAAAGATGCTTCAAACTGTTTGGATAGATCAATTGAGTAACATCCGCTCGAATGAATGATAGATCCAATGTTTCCAGATGTTCCAATGATAGGAGTGTATCATTGTCTAGACCGACATGGTTCAATAACCGCAAATATCTAAGACCGGAAGGCAGTATGTTTCTGTTGATTTTCAATATGCCACTGAAAGTCAAACTGGTTACACTCTCTGGAATATCACCGGTTTCAATCTGATCATTATCGGTGTCCGATTGCAGATAAAGGGTATGAATAGAATGTGAGCACTTGATATTCTTCAGCCACCTAATCGGAATTTGGGCTGCCTTCAACGTTGATGGTAACATAAAAGTTTGATTCAAAGCATTGACATCTCTGATTGTAAATAAAAAAGTCTCTAGATTCGGTGGGAGGTCACTAAAATCAATTGTTTTGGTTTTGTAGCCAATGACCCTAAACGATTTAAGTGATCGAGGTAGAACTGATAACCTAAATAAGGGCTGCTCTAAATAGATGTCAAGTGATTCCAATTGCTTTGGATAAATCGATGGTACCATCAGTGGAACCAATTTGATCTTTTTAATATTAGACGGTAACTGAAATTGTTCATTATCATTGTCAGACTCTGGCATGCCGTTTCGCAGAAGATTTTGAATGGTATGTACATTATTAGATCGACTTAATACATCGATAATGTCATGGTCAAGCTTGATATCACTATCAAAAATAACTTTTGAGATGCTTGCATCTAAAATACTACTTTTGAATTCATCTATTTAATAAATATCATCTGAGAGTTAGTTGATTGATCATAAAATAAAAATATATTTACATTTATGTCTATCATACCTATTGTTATAATATAATCTGTAAAAGGAAATTCTTTAAGTTCTTTAAACTTGACTAAATCTGGGTGATCATTGTGATTGTATATGAAGACTGTACAATCTGATGATATTCGATCAATCGATTTCGAAAATGCATTCCGATAAGAGTTCAATCGAAAACACTTGTTATTGATATCTTGTAATGATAAATTGTGTAGCTTCGTCAATTGTTTGGTGTCGAAACATAGATACTTATCGATATGATCAAACCATCTCTTACAAACTAAACTGAAACAAATGATATCTATATTCTCATCCAACTCTACAATGATTCTATTTAATAATATAAAAGGTAGATTTACAAATACGTGATGCCCATTATTATTCTCTTTGTTTGTCATATTGTTATATATCTACTTGCAAAAGTTAAAGAAACTAATATATAATACTCAGTCAGAAAAACAGAAACTACAACCTTCTAATTCAGAAAGTAACAAGATTGAGATTTTTTTAGATTGGTGATTTATTGTTTTGAAGTAAATATAAAAATAAAAATTAACTAAATAAATCATATTGTAATTCAAAAAGTTATAAATCAAGTCCACTAAAAGTAAATTAAATTTTGGATGATGAACTTTTCATATGGTTGTGAATTTGAAATGTGTGGCTGTTTGTTTGTTTATTTAAATAAATATATATTTTAATTTATTTAATCGGATTCCGACTCCTCGGATTCAGAACCTGACTCTTCTTCATCATCATCTTCATATTCTTCGTCTTCATCGTCGTCCTCTTCCTCTTCTTCGGCGGATCTCAACCATTCGATCAATTGAGAGCACTGCTTGAGATACTGTAGATCTTCTTCCGATGCTTCTTTGTCACCTTCCAACTCTTCGGCCCACGATAAAATAGCTTCCTCCTCCAAAACATTGGTATTATAGAGTTCGTGCAACACGAAATGTACAACCTTCTTGATATCATCGTTCTCATCGCAGTAATCTTGTATCTTAAAGATGAAATCCACTTGAATGTCAACCTCTGACAAATATTTCTCTAGAATCTTTGAGTACGATTGTATTCTACTCTTTAGTGCCGCTACGAAATCCTTTTGTGTCATCGATGCTCTATTTGGTACTTCTAAAATAACTGGTAACGAAGCAGATGCACCTAAACAAACCAATTGTTAGTTGAGTTGAGTTGAGTGTAATCTATAGATATAATATATCAACAACTTACAATCCATAAAATCTTTATCATAAGCATATTTGAGACCGTTGATCTCCAGAATAATGGTTTCCATTGGATGATTCTCTGCGATACCACGTTTGATGGTACGTGCAACTTCACGTTTGAATTTGGCGAGATCGGTGTCTTTACTGCTGCCACCACCGCTTGACTTGCCGCCACCGGGTTGCACTTCAGTGTCGGTGTCTTCGTCCGACGAGTCGATGGCGACGTTGTCGTCCTCTTCGATATAATCGAGTGCTGCGATCTCTTCTTCGGTCATTGGGACGAGTTCATTCCATGGATTCTGCTTGAGTGTCCAACGCCAACCGAGACCGTTGGCACCGACGGTCATTGGCGAAGTTGGTTCGTCGCCAAACTCGTTGTTCTCGCCACCGTCTGGCTCCTCGACAGCGGTGATCTTGGTGAACGGCTCAATGAAAACGTTGTCGCCAATCTTCACACCGACACTGATGATCGATCCACGCGAAATAGTTACATGCGAACCAATGACAGCGTTATCGCATATCACCGACGATGTAATCGTTGTGTTGTCTTCGATCACAACGTTGTCCCAGATGTAGGCACCGTTGATACGCACGTTGTTACCGATCTTGACGTTACGACCGACAATAGAGTGAGAGACACTCGATTTGTCACCGATGGTGGTGTTCTTACCGATGACGGTTTCCTCGCCAATTGAGCAGTCCGATCGCAGAGTGACGTGTCGCTCCTTGTAGATCATCTGACGCGACAGAGTGTAGCTGGTGTTACACATAAAGTTGTTGTCTGGCACCATTGGGAATGTCCAACGATGAATGATATCCTTGCTCACCGAGTGATAGGTACGCAAATCCTTCACTCGCGCAGCGTACTCACCCTGTAATATATATGTACTCAACTTATAATCCAACACATCCGATTGCATAATATCGTGAATAAACTCTTTTCTAAGATCTTCAAAATCGAAATTATCATTAAACAATGCTAATACCTATATATATCAATCAATAGATAAGTATAAACTAAACTAAACTAAACCGAGTATAAATATAAACTTACTTCTGGTGAACAAATATCAATATGACAATCAATTAAATCGTAACGAAGTTGAATGGATGGATGCTTCTGGAAGAGATCGGTGGAGAGTGCAACCTTTAACTTCTTTGGTGTATTCTCATAGCATGCCAATTGCAATGTATTTCTATCGTATCCAACTACAATGTCGTCTTGTTTCGATCTAGTTCTATGCGATGGTGATGCCTGTTTGAATACCATTGTCATAATATTACTTTTATCTTGTTGTCTTCGAGCACTACAAAACAAACAATACAAGAAGAAAAGATGAATTAGTAAACTTTACAAAAAGATATATAGTTAGTTAGTTAGTTACATACTTGTGAACTTTCAATGCATTCGATAGATTCATGTTGGAAACAACATCACCACTGATCAATACAAAGTCATTCTGAATGATGTTCATACTGAAGATTGTCCTCAGAGCGTCACCGGTACTCTTACAACCCTGAGCGACAATCGGTGTCACCTTGACACCCGGTAGACTCGACCATCTCGAACCGTCTATATATTTCTTGATTTGATCGGCATGTGCACAACACAATACAAAAATCGATTGAACACCTGACGAAGCTAGTAACTCCAATGTATAATCTAACAATGGAATATTTACCAATGGCAATAATGTCTAATACATACATTAATGAGTGATAGTAGCAGTAGTAGTAGTAGTAAAGATAGCAACAAACAAAGTTAAAATCAATCATAGTTATTATATTTGTTCTTTTCTATTATGATTTGCTTACTCTTGGTTTATCTAAAGTGATTGGTGCAAAACGTCTGTCGAAACTGTCACCCAAGACAACACCATGAAGTTCCTCCTCACTCTTCTCACTTGTAGTGGTTGGCTTCTTCTTATCTTTATCGTCTTTAGCCATATTTATAAAAATAATTTATTATTAATCAAAAATCAGATTGATTGATTTGATCAAATTCTTTATATTCAAGTCTGGTCCAACAAGAAAAAAAAAAATTGATCAAAAAAAAAAAAATTAATAAAAAGTAAGGAATTTGCAAAAAAAAAAGTGTATTCGTTTTTTTATTTATTTCTTCAAAATGTTTTATATATTTGTTCTGATGAAAATGGCGTGGATGGATATTATATATATGTGCGAGTGTGTATGTGATGTGTGTATATATAGTTTTGTTTGTTGAAAAAAAAGGGGTTGGTTATTATATTTTAGAAAACAAAAACATTTTCAACTAGATCGAGTGACAATAGCAGTGTTTCAGATCCACCACCGCTGGTAGAATTGAAGTTGTTGCTACTACTACTATAGTTGTTGTTGCTGTTGTTGATGCTATTTAGTTTATCTAGTTTGGCGAGATAGTTGGAGTAGTTCTTAAAGAACGATTGGTTGGTAAGTGATTCCGTTGGGATGAGTCCACCGTCTACTTTGTTTAGATTGAAAACGATGGTCGATTTCTCATCGAGAATACGGAGGTAGATATCGACATCTTTGAACTTGATAATTAGATTGGTCGATGACGTCGGTAGGTTCTTCAAGTATTGTAAGCTGGCCAACTCCTTGAACTGTTCGAATCTATTGTTGATATTCAAATGAATGTATTGAATACGATTGTTAAGATCACCGCGGAACAGTTGTTGGTCAAAGTTTTCGCCGAGTGTTAGATTCTCCAGTGATAGATTCTCCAACGGTTGGTTGAATCTCTCACCAAAGCACAGTGTTTGTAATGATTTCGGGAGGGAAGCAGGTTGGACTGGTTGATCGAATGAGTTGCCCAACACTAGTTTTGTGAGTTTTGGTGGGAGGTAGTTCAACGGTTGGTTGAATCTCTCACCAAAGCAAAGTGTGTGGAGTGATTGCGGGAGTGAGTCTGGTTGAAGCGGTTGATTAAAAGTATGGCCAAACACTAGTTTCGTTAGAGTTGGTGGCAGTGAGGTGGAATCCAGTGGTTGATTAAAGTTGTTGGAGAATTTCAGTGATTGTACGCCATTGAGAAGCTTTCCATTGAGTGGTTGGTTGAATTCGATGCCAAACGACAATTTCTGGCAACTGAGTGGTATGTTGAGAGGTTGATTGAATGAATTGTGAAAAGTAAGTGATTTCAGCGATTTCGGAAGTGTATTTGGAAGCAGCGGTTGATTATATCGTGAACCGAATTTCAGCCGTATTAATTTGGTGGGCAGAGAATTCGGCTCCAATCGCTGATCGAATGAACTTCCAAACTTGATGCGCTGCACCGATTCCGGAATGGATTCGGGCACTAGTGGTTCGTTGTAGCATGTTCCAAACTTTATGGATTTGCAATTCGCTGGAATAACATTTTTTCCGATCGGTTTGTTGAAGCTGAATCCGAAAATGATTGAAACCACTGAGTTTGGAATTACATTTGGCGGAATCTCTTGATTGAAATCATCGGAGAACTCCAAATCTGTCACCGATCGGGGAATCAGTCCCTGTTTCAAAAGTGGTGCATTCAGTGCAATTAATAAATGTGTTATATTGGATGGAATCAATCCACTTAGATAATATTCATAGAATTTAGAATGTTCAAAAAATCCTTTAAAAATAAAATTAAAATAAAATTAAAATTAAAATTAGTCAATCTCGTAGTTTATAACAATTAATTAAAACCAAAAGGAAGGAAAAAGGTTGTTTATAAACAAAGACACTTACTAAAGGATGATCCTTTTTTCTTGGAAAACTGTTTTCTGAATGAATTGAATTGGAAATAGATATTATTCTGGAGGTCAACCTGTTTATTGAACGTTAAGAATTTATCACGATCTTGAAACAATTGACGACAACACATTACAAAACACATACGATCGATGTCATCCAATACATATGATAAAATATGTTTTAATATATAATGTGGTAATATAAAATTCATTTTTATATATATAATATTATATTAAACTAATATATGGATGGTTAATATTATATTATATTATAGAAATAAATACAATTATTTATCAAAACAATAATGATTGAATTAAAAAGAAGAAAAAAAAAACAAAGATATTTTTTCGTAATTAATAAAATAAGAAAAAAGAAAACGTAAATTACTTTACTTTAAAGGTGGTAGGTCTCGAGGCTCTGATTTGCTTACGAAATATTTAATTTAAAATAAATAAAATTATAATGCCTTTCTTTGCAAACACACTAAATTGTTGTCTGTTTTTTTATCTTTTATGATAATTGTTTTCGTTGTTTTATCATGTGGGGGATGAGTTGTTTTAAGATTCGAGGGGCAAAATTGTCTTTTATTGGTTGGGGAGCCAAATTTTTGTCAAATTAAAAAATGATCGATCTAAAGATCTTGCAAAAAATCGATGGTTCGTAATAAAACAATAATAAAAAGATAGTAATAATTATCCTTATATATCTTTGTATGTTTTAAAATTTAAATTTATCTGAAAAAAAAAAGTTAAAAAAGATATAAATTAATGGGTTGTGATATTTATTTATAAAATCTTAAATTTATAAATTTTAATTTTAAAAGTAAAATATCTTTTTTAAATTTAGTGATTTTTTTAATAATATCTTTCTCTAAATTAATTAATTAATATTGATATTATTTATGTTATTTTAAAGTTATTAATTATCATTATTATTTATTTACAAAAATGATCTAACAATAATTGTTAAAAATTCGTTCATATAATTGCATTGAAAAAAAACGAATGAAAACCAAATAAAAATATTAAACTTATGTTTATTATTATTCAAACCAGTAAGTGCTTGTTTTAAGATGGAATGTTCAAACAAAGAAAATGGTACAACACAACAACCTGAAAAGTTAGAAAACAACACAGCAGAGTGTGAAAGCATGAATAACAATAATCTGTCTAGTGAAGATAACAAAACAATAGTAACATCTCAAAAACGAAAAGAACAAGAAAATGTAAAAGAAGAAGAAGATAAACAACAACAGCAAAATAAGAAATTAAAGAACAATAACAATAAGAGCAATAACAAAAACACTAACAACAGTAATAACAATAACAAAACACCAACACTAATAATAATAAAAATAGACAAAAACAATAATAATAATAATAGTAGTAAGAATAACAACAATAACAATAATAAGAGTAATAAAAATGAAAATAATAATAATAATAATAATAATAATAACAAGTCAGGAGGTGCTGTTGGAAGAAATGGCGCTCTCATTTATGGAAATTACAGAGGATACTATTCATACAGAAACTTAAAGGAACAAGAAGATCCAAGATTCAAATTGTTAACCAAAGATCTTTTCTATCAAAAGATTTGTCTTGATATTGGTTGTAATAGTGGTTCTGTTACTTTGAAAATTGGTATGTGTGATATCACTTTTTATTAAACTGTTTAATTATATATTATATTTTTAATGAAACAACACTCTTGCTAACAATATCTAACTAATATTGTATGTTTATAGCATCGGATTATGAATGTGAGCATATCAAAGGTATTGATATCGATCACCAATTGATTAGAGATGCAGTTAAGAATCTAAAGTCATTACAGAATTCACTTTTGAAAGAGAAATCAAATAGTAGTTCTACAACAACAACAGCAACCGCAGCAACTACTACTACTTCTACCACAGAAAAGACAACAGATCAATCAATAACAAAGGAATCATCAGAGACAACAGCAACAACTACTACTACTACGACTCAGCAAGGTGTTTCAAATGATAAGCCAACAGAACAACAACAACCAAATGAAACAACAACAACAACAACATCATCATCAGCATTAACAACCACAACTACAAATAATAATAATAATAATAATAATAATAATAATAACGAGGATGATGAAGATTTCATACCGATTTCATTTAAATATCTAAAGACACCGATTATCAAGGAAACTAAATTCCCAAACAACGTATCATTCTTTCATCACAACTTTATGTCTGATTCATCGTTTGACAGAGAGGAAGCGTACGATGTAATATTGGCACTCAGTATATCGAAATGGATTCACCTCAATTGGGGAGACGAAGGAATAAAGAGTTTCTTTAAAAAGATACACAAAATGTTGAAACCAGGTGGTATTTTCATATTGGAACCACAAGAATTCAAAGGTTATCACAGAAGAAAGTATCTTTCAGAGGTAAATATAAATATTTATAATCTTTTTTAATGAAAAAAAATGTTGTTTAGAATATGATTATTAACAGTTATCTTATATATATCTATATTTATCTAGAAAATGACAAAGATTTATTCAGAGATTAAGTTTAAACCCAATCAATTTATAGAATATCTAACTAATGAAGTTGGATACAAATTGGTTGATTCTCTTTTGCCACAATCGGATTCACTTGCCAAAGGATTCAAAAGAAATATATATAAACTAGTTAAATAAATATAAATCATAAATCAAGTTAACTATATAATATTTGTTTTGTTTTGTTATGTTTTGTTTATTAATTGATGATTGTTACAAACTTTTTGGGTGGTGATGGTAAGGTAATACTAATATTTTGGGGTTTGAGAAGAATTGCTTTGTTTGTCGGCGTTGTTTAAACTATTGAGATAGATTATTGTCGAATATCTGTTGTATTAACTGTTTAGTTGGGTGGTGGTGGAGGTGGGAAGTCAAACATTGGTGGTGGTGGAGGTGGGAAGTTCGAGGGTGGTGGTGGTGGAAGGTCAAAGTTCGAGGGTGGTGGTGGTGGTGGGAAGTTAGAGGGTGGTGGTGGTGGAAGGTCAAAGTTGGAGGGTGGTGGTGGAATTGCGTGTCCATTTTGTGTGGGTGTTGGTCGAACGGGACGTGGTGGTGCTGGCACGTCGAGACTGTGTGGAGCGGGTGGTGGTGGTGCCATTGAAGTACGCTTGCTGACACCTGGTGGTGGTGGTGTTTGATAGGGTGGTGAGTGTTGTTGTTGTTGATGTTGTTGTGAAGACGATAACGATGGTGGTGGAGGTGGTGGTGTCGATCCAATGGGTGGAGACGATGGTGCCGACGAAGAGTGAGACAATTGCTGGCTGTGTGAAAGCGATGCACCACCGCCATTGCTATTGTTATTTGGAGCGATACCATCTCCGCCAATAGAGTAGGCGACTTGCTTTCTAACGAATTTAGCTGGTGGCCTGATATCCTCGACCTCGATCTGACGATCCTTCAGAGTGCTCTTATATTGTTTAGCTGCAGTCGGTGCCTTGAAAACATTGACACCTGTTGATTCATGAATCATTTCAACTCTCTGATGATGATGATGATAATAATAATTGGATTAGTTAAATAATAGTGGTAATAATAATAATTATTATATATTATAACAACAACAAAAGTTAACTTACTTGATTTAAATATTTAACTTTTAGATCGATTTTCTCAACTTCACTTGCTTGTAGCTGGAGAAGAGTTGTTAGATGAGTACCAATGTTTTGAATGTGATATGCAACATTCATGAGAGCGTTCTTGGCATAGGATTGGGTTTGGTCGTAGATGTTGGCAGTTTCAGCACCAGCATACGCACCCTTACAATACTGTGAAATCTGTTGAAGTTTTCCATGATTATCCATCAATTCATTCAACGAATTGGGAATCGTTGTTTGTGAATAAACATTAATATCTAATGTTTGATCTTGTGTCATCTTTTTGATATTCCTCTTCTTTCTATTTATCTATTTGTCTTTTTATCAAAAAAAAAAAATACTAATCTTTCTATATTAACTTTTAATCTTTATAACTACTTTAACTCTTTTTTCTACACTATATTACACAAATTATATTTATTTTATATATTACAACTTCTATTTAGGATAAATGTTTGATTGATCGTGATTTTTTTATGATCAATTTTTGATTTACTTAGATTTGGTTGGTTTGGTGTGTTAAAATTTTTTAAAACCAAAACAAAAAAAAATAATTGTTTTTACAAAAAAAAAAAAAATGAAAAAGATAATTAATTCTTTTTTAAATAATTTAAATTACACATTGTTTATTGTTTATTATTGCTACTATGTTATAGAACAATTTGATATTTATCTTGAAGTGATTTTGATGTCTCTTGAAATTCTCTATCGATAACTGCTTTCTTGGCGGAGAGTTGCTCTTCGATGTGTGCTTTCTCCAGCTCTAATTCGTCGAATTTAACCAATCGTTCGCTGTCACGATGAGATTGATAGACGTCTTCACGAAACACTTGATTCTGTACTTTTTCATTTAATTCTCTAAGTGATTGATTGATCGATTCGAATCTGGCAGCCTGTTGATTGCAATGTCTGATATTTGACATCGTCGCATTTGCAGTGATTGTTTGATTCTGTAGAGCAATGATATCTCTATCACCTCGTTTCACTTCATATTCCTTTAAAAATGTCTTTATCTCTGTTTCCACAAAGTAGTTCTGATCAAAAAAGAAATCATATACATTTCCAAACTCTATAATTGAGAAAATTATCAAACTAGTTAGTTTTTCTTTGTTATTATGACTACTTTTTCTTCTTCTTTCTAAAACTGTTTAATATTAAATTTACCTTTTACTAAAGGTTCAACAGGTCCTATTGTTATCTTTTTACTCATTTTTATTAACACTCTTTATTCTTATATATATATATATATTATTTACAAAAACTAAACTATTTCTTTTTTAGTTATTACTTTTCTTTTATGTGTTGATTTAATAAATTCTAGATATTTAAATAAATCTACTGTTTTTACATATATCTATATCTATAGATATAACTTTCAGTTTTATATATTATCGTTTAAACAACTAGTTATAAATATCTTGTTTATAATTAAGCAATAAAATGAAAAAAAAAAAATGAAAAAGCATGCAAAGTTTCTGTTTTTTTTGTTAATGTTTATTGTTAATTTAATAACGAATAGTTATTAATAACTCTTTTACTTTATACAGTTATAATGTTTACCACATTATCATGGCTAGCTATAGTTTTTGTTGTTTTTGATTTATATTTAACAAATATTTGTTAAGGTAGTGATTGACATTGTTGTATTATAAATTGTTCAAGTCTGTTGGCTATGTGGAAGTAGGAACCTTCACCGTTGAACTGCCGACAGTTCTCACACATTCTCTTGAGATCTGCTATGAACATGTATTTGGTGATGTAGTAGGTGCCAGTAGAGAGTCGTTGTTCCACCTTTGAGATATCGACTGGATCTTTGATGACCTCGTAGTAGTTTGGTGCCACGTCTATGGAGACGGGCTGCAGGAATGGCCACGCCTCTGGATGTGACTTTACCAGATCCAACACCTTGCGTAGCTCCTTCTGGAGATGCGCTATCTGCTGGTCGGTCTGCGTCGACACCCAGCCGGAATCCTTGATGCCGCGGATTTGCTCGATCGGCAAACGACTCACACCCGGCTGGAAACACTTCAGTCCCGGATATACAATGTGTGACGTGCTAATCTGACGGATCTTATTATTGAGTATCTCCCGCTGTTGTTTCACCATTGATGGAATATCCAGGTAGGTAACGTTCGGGTGGATTACGCACTCCATCAGCGAACCTCCGTCGTACTCCTGAATGAAACCCTTCCACTTTTCGCGCGGCAACGTTATCTCGTGAGTGAATCCCTGCTTCTGGAAGTACTCGATAGCGAAATTGTCGGCGAACGTCAAAAAGTGGAAGATTCCCGTCTTGCGGTTGTGCTCTTTGAGGTGTGTCATCAGGAACGAACCGTAACCCTTGACCTGCTCGTTGGAGGTGATCGCACAGAATGCAATCTCAATGAATCCCTGTTCTTTGAACGGACGGAAACTAATGCCACCGATGACATTGTCACGCTTGATGATCAGCAGCGAATGATGAAATCGATCGAACATCAACCGAACGATATACTCACGCGGCATCTTTGGTAGCTGTTTCGAAAACACATTCTTTAGATTCATTAGCAACTCTAGATTTCGCAGTGAACTATCGTTTGTTATCACTTCGAATCGCAAGATGCCCAATTCCTTCTCTTTCCATGCCGATGTTACTGCTTGTGCTGGTTGATTTTCAATTCCACCCTTTAGTTTTGTACAAATGTTATTATATTAGATTAACAACATTCTAATCAAGCTAATAGATTAGCTATTTTAGTTAAATACATACTTCAGGACCTAATAAAGGTTGTTTGGTTGTAACAGGTTGTATTATAGGTACATGAAACTCTTTTGATAAACTATTATTACTATTGATATCAGATGTTATTGAATCTGTTATTATATTTACACTTTGATCATCTGTATTTAAAAAGTTGTTCAAATCCGTTGATTGCATTGTTTTAGTGATCAATATTAATATCGTGATTGATAACTTTAACACAATTAAAATGAATGAACTAATTTAAAATTTCGTGGAAATTTTTATCAAAAAAGCGGGTAGTATTTTAAAGCAAAAATAGAATCTTACTTTTATTTACATATCTAAATAGATAAAGATAAATAAATAAAGATAAATAAATAATAATACATACTTATATATAACTTTATTAAAATATGTATACACTTGAAGAAGATGATGATTTAACATTTGAACAAATAAAGAAATTACAACAAGATCGAAAGAATGGATTGAGTAGTGGTTCATCTTCAGATCGTTATGATACATCTATAGAGATTGGAAGTAGTAAAAGTAGTAGTGGTAAAAGAAAGGAAAAAGATAGAGATAGAGAAAGAGATAGTTTTAAAAGTGAAAAGAAAAAAGATAAAGATAGAAATAGAGATGATGATGAAAAGAATAAACATCATGATAAGTTGAGAAGAGAATTCGATTCCTATCATGCACCTAAACATATATTGGAGACTATTCCTGTTGATCCGAATGAAGACGATCCACTGAAGCGATTCAGACCGCAGACAGTAGCGGAACGAGAGACAGAGTATCAAGGACGTTGGAGAAAGCGATCGTTCAGTCCACCACGTGATTACGATCCATTCACTGGCAAAGGCGATGTAAAAGGTCGATCCTACAAAGATATCATGATGGAGACACAACTGGCAAGAGAGGAGAAAGAGTTGCTGTTCAAGATATCAAAGAAACAACGTGAAGAAGATGAATTGAAAAGAAAGGAAAAGAAAAATGAACAACAACAACAACAAAAGGGAGGTAAAGATAATGAAAGTAATAAAAAACAAAGAGTTAGTGATGGTGGAAGTAGGAGTAACTCATCGTCTTCGTCATCGTCAAGTAGTAGCAGTAGTAGTAGTGGAAACAGTAGAGAGAAGCTTTGGTTTATAAAAGTATTTAAGAATGGCGAGCAACAAGGCGAACCAATTAGTATTCAGAAAGATAGAACCATTACATTTGGAAGAGATCCAAAGAATATCATTGTTTTGGAGCATCCCAGTTGTAGTTCCTCGCATGCAACCATTGCTATTTTCAAAGAGGGAAAGCGACCGATTCTTCTTGACCTGCGATCGACCAACCAAACATATTTGAACAATCGTGCAATCCAACCGCATCACCCCGAAGAACTGTATCACGGTGATACCATTAAATTCGGTGGTAGTACAAGAGAGTATATAATCAATCATAACTAATTAATTAACCAATCAGAAATAAAAATAGTAGCTATTTTAATTGTACAACATGTTCTAATAATAAAAATACAAAGCTGTTGTTGTTGTTTTATTGTTTTAATTTTGACATTCCTAAGTAGACGGTTGCTTTTGGCATGTATGCCTCTTCTTTGGCATCTGGATTGGTGAGATGATAGGTAAGCAAAGTTCCTTCTTCAGTTAGGTTTTGGATACTCGAGACATCGAGTGTAAGTCCACCGATAAAGTCGTCAGAACCAATCATATCATGATCCCACATCTCGATCTAAAAAGTGAAATTAGAGTTAAAATCGATTTTTTATTATTTTGGATGATCTTTGATAATTTGATAGTTACTCTTATATTACTGATGATACTTGTATCCAATGCTTGTTGTTGCTTAAAAGCCCAATGTGGAAGTAAAGAATTCTTTATTACCGGTGTTTTTAAGAACCATTCTGGTTTTTCAGAGCTTTTCTTGATGTAACCGATTTTAACGTAAACATCGGCAAGTCCATTCGAATCATAACCGTCTTTTACCTTACCACTAACTACAAAAAACTCGAATTTTTCTGTCATCTTTTTATATATATATTTAGTTTATTTGTAAGCAAAAAAAAGTAATTAATTAATTTTTGATGTTTAGGTCCTGACAGATCATTTTATATTAAAAATTTTGATTTTTTCGATTCACTAAACCATCAAAAATTTCATTTTCGCCTTTTCAAAGAAGAAGTTTGACATCTTTTGGTGTAACACCCACCCTTTAATTATTTCTAATATTATTTTTGAGAAAGATCAAATTAAATTGGTGCCAAACAAACAAATTTTAATGTTAGCAAAACAAAATCAGAATTTTATACTCTTTCCTAATAGAGAAAAAATTGGATGTAAACATTTTATTTTATTTTTTAATTACAATACAACGTTGCTTAGCGAGTGCATTGTTTTGTTTTTATCTTACATTTGTTTTTATGTGGCTGACTTTTTACGATCATTTCAGTGTGCAATGTTGATACTCTAATTATTTCTTCAAAGTATTTGAGTGTCGATTTATGTCTGGAATCATTGAGGGTGTCTCCTTTGAATAGCATGATTGTACAGTTGGTTGGAATGTTATCGATCGAGATGATATATTCTTTCATTCTCTCTTTCTTTGCATCGTAATCAAAATATCTAAAATATGATCTGACATTTAGTTTTCTGATAGTTTTGTTGGATTTCAATATTTTGGAAGTCGCCAAAAGATGATCGTCTTCAAGATTATAGAGTTTAAGTTTAGTGATCGTTGTGTTGTTGTTATTTATGAATACATCATAAAATGATTGATCCAAGACAACACAAGATATTTTAAGGGTGGAAAGTGTGCTGTTGCTCATCAATGATTGTGCGAAATGATGTGATACCAATTGAAGTGTCGATTGATCTCTTATCTTGTGAATCGATAAGGTTTCTTCATCTCTACAATAGTTATTTAATGATATAGTTTTCAGTGTCATGTTGTTGGATAGTTGTTGACAAAACGCAATCCAATCACTTGTTTGATTGTTGTTTGCTATCCTCGTTGCCAAGTTTCTAGTACTATATGCACAAGAACAATCGCCAATCGGTTCATCTGCAGCATGACCAAGTAAACCGAGTATCGATCTACCTTTGAACGATTCAATATGATTGTTTACAACCAACTTTAACTCTTTAATATCGATGTAATCTTCGATTGAGATTTCAATGGATTTGAGTGATTCGATTGCAAACAGTTTGAGATACGATTGGTGATGAACAGCACCAGTGTCATGACCACCCGAATCATATTCAAAGTAAATCTTGTTGACTCGCCACCGTATGATTGGAGAGAGATCGAATTGATTGACATTAAAATAGGCTGAATAGTATACCAAATCATTGGCATAGCTAATCAAATCAATGGTTTTCAGTTCGACACTCTCCAGAATTGAATGATCGAGCTCATTCAGTGAAAGAGTGGCGGGAGCGGTGACGATGTTGGGTTGAGTTGAGAATATATTACTGTCGGTAATCAGCTGAATCTTGATGGTTGGCAAGAGATTGATGATGTCTATCAAGAATTTCATGTTGTGCGTGCGAATGACCAATCGCTCGAGATTAACAAACATTGAGATGAACTCTTTGCCACCGCAATCACTTGCCAAAACACCAATATTTTTATAGTAGTCGACAAAGTACAACTGTCTGATATTCTCTACTCGATAAATCGATTGTGGCTTGGAAAATATCGCTGTCGATAGTTTTAAAAAATCAACAGGATGTCTACGATATTTTGGTTGTACATTGAACAAATACTCTGTACATATGTATTTTGATACGATATTTAACCACTCCTTACAAATCAAAGCATACTTTATAACGTCTCTATTAAAATTTGAATTCCCTTTTCTTTTAGATTTCCGGTACTCTGCTTCAAATTGATATCTGTAATCTGGTAAACCAAAAGAAAAATCAATGATTTTCTGAATAATAATTTTTGATAATATTATTTGAATATTATTATTATTATTATTATTATTATTATCTGACATTTTATACAAACGAAAAACAATAATCGATCTTTAATTAAAAGTCTGCAGAACAATTGTTCATAAAGTAAAAAGTGAATGGTTTTAGTGAATGGACAAAAAAAATAAAAATAAAAAAAGAAATATATCTGGATGGTAGATTCCATTAAAAGTAGGCCACCAATGGATGATTTACTACAATTAAATAATAATAAGAGTTAAAGATAATAATAACAATAGTTCTAACAACAACAACAACAATAATAACAACAGCTAGCTAGCTAACAACGGTGTTCTCATAATCATTTATGGTTTATCATGACTACCTTACCTTTACACTATGAATATACTTCTTATTCAGTAATAAAGAAATGAATATATTCTAATAACAACACGTACATGTTATTTTATTTTTTTTATTATTTTTGTCTTAAAAATGTTAAGGTATTGATTTTTTTTTACGATCAGTTCGGTGTGCAATGTTGATCCTTTAATTATTTCTTCAAAGTATTGGAGTGTCGCTTTATATGTTGGATCATCAATGATATTTCCTTTGAACAACATGATTTTACAGTTGGTCTGAATGTTATCGATCGAGATGATGTATTCTTTCATTCTCTCTATCCTTTTTTTGTTTTCAAATGAAAAGCCAAAATATGATCTGACATTTAGTTTTCTCATAGTCTTGTTGGATTTCAATATTTTGGAAGTCGCCAAAAGATGATCGTCATCAAGATTATAGAGTTTAAGTTTAGTGATTGTTGTATTGTTGAATAGATCGTAAAATGATTGATCCAAGACAACACACGATATTTTAAGAGTTGAAAGTGTGATGTTGGTCATCAATGATTGTGCGAAATGATGTGATACCAATTGAAGTGTTGATCGATCTCTTATCTTGTGAGTTGCTAAAGTATATTCATCTTGGCAATAGTTATTTAGTGATAGACTCTTCAGTGTCGTGTTGTTCGAAAGTCGTTGACAAAACTCTATCCATTCGCTTGTTTGATTGTTCTTTGCTATCAACACTGAAAAGCCATCTATCACACCATATGTACAAGAGCAATCGCCAATCGGTTCATCTGCAGCATGACTAAGTAAACCGAGTATCGATCTACCTTTGAACGATTCAACATGATTGTTTACGACCAACTTTAACTCTTTAATATCGATGTAGTCTGCTTTCGAGATTTCAATGGATTTGAGTGATTCGATTGCAAACAGTTTGACATACGATTGGTAATGAACAGCACCAGTGTCATAAAAACCAGCATCGTATTCAAAGAAAATCTTGTTGACTCGCCAACGTCGGATGGGAGTGAAATCGAATTGTTGGTTATTTAAATAGGTTGAATAGTATACCAAATCATTGGTTGTCAGCTCAACACTCTCCAGAATTGAATAGTTGACTCCAGATAATGAAGGAGCGGTGACTGTGACTCGTTCTGAGAATATTTGTTCATCAGCAACTAACTGAATCTTTATGGTAGGCATGAGTTTGATGATGTCCAACACCAATTTCATGTTGTGCGTGCGAATGACCAATCGCTCGAGATTAACAAACTTGGAGATGAACTCTTTACCACCGCAGTCACTTGCCAAAACACCATTATTTTTGCTATAGTCAACAAAGTACAACTCTCGGATATTCTCCACGCGATAAACCGATTGTGGATTGGAGAGTGTTGTCAATCGCTTACCAAAATCAAAAGGATACTTTACTTGTGATCTAAACAAGTAATCTGTACATATTTGTTTCGATACGATATTGAACCACACCTTACAAACCAAAGCATACTCTATTACTCCTCTATTAAAATTTAAATATCTTTTGTCGATCTCTTGAAGGCACAGCTCTTCAAATAGATCTCTGCATGGTATTGTATCAAGAGCAAAACCAATGATTTTATGAACTATTAATTTTGATAATAATTTACTATTATTCTCTGTCATTTTGTTAACTAGTATACAAGGCAAATGAATAAAGAAACAAATCCTCAATTTTTGATTTCAACAGATGATATGTTTATTAATTTATTTTGTTTTTTTTATACCTATTTTTATGTTATTATTGTTTTTATGTGGATTATTTTGTACGATCAGTTCAGTGTGCAATGTTGATTCTTTAATTGTTTCTTCAAAGAATTGGAGTGCCACATGATATCTTGAATCATAATGGGTAACTGCATTGAACAACATGATTTTACAGTTGGTCTCAATGTTATCGATTGAGATGATATACTCTTTCATTGTGTCTTTCTTTTTGCCGTCTTCAACTGAATAACCAATATATGTTCTGACATTTAGGTTTTTGAGAGTGTTGTTGGATTTCAATATTTTGGAAGTCGCCAAAAGATGATCTGCATCAAGATTATAGAGTTTAAGTTTAGTGATCGTTGTATTTTTGTTGTTGTTGAATAGATCGTAGAATGATTCGTCCACAATATCGCACGATATTCTAAGAGTTGAAAGTGTGATGTTGCTCATCAAGGACTGTGCGAAATTATGTGATACCAATTGAAGTATGGATTGATTTCTTAACTTGTGAGATGATGTGAAATGGCTAGGTCTACAATAGTTATTTAATGATAGAGTTTTCAGTGTCGAGTTGTTTGACAAAAAGCAATCCAATCACTTGTTTTATTGTTGTTTGCCAGCTTCGCTATAAAGTCTTCTTCAACATTATAGGTACAACTGCAATTATCAATTCCTCCACTTTCAGCATGACCTAGCAACCCGAATATCATATTACCTTTGAACGATTCAACATGATCGTTTACGACCAACTTTAAATCTTTCATATCGAGGTAATCTGCACCTGAGATCTCAATGGACTTGAGTGTTTCGATTGAAAAGAGATTGCCATACGATATGTGATGAACTTCACCGCTTTGACCATCATCATATTCAAAGAATATCTTATCGACACGCCAACGTTTGATTGCACTGAAATCAAAATCAAAGTAATTTTCATATTCTTCATCGGATCCGAAATCATAGGCTATCAGTTCGACACTCTCAAGAATTGAATGATCGAACCCAGCTAATGAAAGAGGTGTGGCGTCGTCTGTTTCCGAGAATATATAGCCATTGGTAACCAGCTGAATCTTGATGGTTGGCATGAGATTGATGATGTCTATCACAAATTTCATGTTGTGTGTGCGAATAACCAATCGCTCGAGATTCACAAACTTGGAGATGAACTCTCTACCACCATGATCACTTGCCAAAACACCAGGCTCTTTGAAATGGTCGACAAAGTACAACTCTTGGATATTCTCGATCTGGAAAATCGATTGTGGATTGGAAAGTATTGCTGTCGATCGCTTTACAAAATCGATAGAACAATTGGATGTACCGCGGTATCTTGGAAGTACTCTGAACAAATATTCTGTACATATTTGTTTCGATACGATATTGAACCACTCTTTACAGACCAAAGAATACTCTACAGCGCGTCTATCGAAATTTGAATTTACCAATCCATTTTTGCCCTTACACTCTTCTTTAAATTGATCTCTGAAATCTTGAATTGAATCAAAAACAAAACCAATGATTTTCTGAACTATTATTTTTGATAATATTATTTGATTTCTCATATTATGATCTGCCATAATTTTGTAAACTTTTTATAAAACAAATAGTAATACTTGTGAACAGGCCAAAAACTGTTATGATGCCACTTTAAATAAGCTTTGAGTCTAAACATCACTTTTGAATGCAAACGACTACTAAAAAAAAAATAAAAAAAAATAATGAATCAGTGACGTCAGGAAGGAAGACTTCAATCCAATCCTAAAGTATTGAAAGCTCAAAAAAAAAAAAGAAAAGAATGGACCAACAACTAAATTATGATAATAATGTTGTATTAATATAAGAAAGTCGAAAAAGTAAGAATGATGATGGGCATGAACACAGAAAATAAAAAAAATCGATCATAAAATATTTATTAAAAATCTTTTGATTTTTTTTTCTCATGTCGACAAAAAGGTAATAAGAAGTAGCAAAGACAACACCAAATTTCCAACAACCACAACATTTCTAGGCATAGATCTGAAATGTGACATCAAATTGTGGTTATAACCACTTTGTCATCTGCAAACATTTTAATATATCATGATACTTGAATCTAGTAGATACATATCTTTCGATCGAGCTATTCATATAGTTAGTTCACCATTGTTCACTATTATTAGTATTTTTTGAAGAGAAAGCTACTTACTCGCAATTGTGAAATGTAGATCACAAAAGAGCAGGATCCGCGAGTAAAGTCACTCATACAAATGATTGGCTTGCAGAGCAGTCTGGTGGTTAGTGGTGCATGCACTTCTCTACGATTGTGTTTCAAACACTTTGCTTTATTTATTTTTATTTATTTTAACTGATCACGCATTGTGCAATTAATATATATTTATTATATATCGACCAATGTATTTATATAGGAGTATCTTGAGAAGAACACAAACAAAGATCTAAACCAAACGAATTGTGTCTCATGTTTCTGCATAGCCTGGTAGTTCTTTCCGAAGAATGGAATCAGTGATGCCGATGTGAATGATCTTATATGTTTGGCAGAGGAGGAATTTGAAGAGGAAGAATAGAATCTATTTACAATGGGTGTCACCAAGAGATCTGCAATACCAATATATTTACGAACGATATTGACAGTCTCCAATGATTCTCCTGTAATACCATGTGATTTCTTTGATGAATCTGTATTATCTGAACTCTCAAGAAACAACTTGACCGCATTATAAACTGATATATGATTTGGATGACCAGATATACCTTTATCATCAAATGTTAAAATCTATATATACAAATGAAAACGAAGCAAGTTGTGTTAGAAGAATAAACGATTGTAGAATGATGATGTTGTTGTTGTTATTTACATGATTGATATCCCATTGTTGAATAGCAGTCTTTAAATGAGGTATAATGAGATTCGGTTGCCAAACCTCTGTCATTCCATCTCTGATATTGCTATCATTGACGATCATGACATGATTGTGATTGATATTATAAATCTTACAACTTTCAATCAATTCTTTTTCTCTAATCTTTCCAAGTCCTGCAGCATCACCTGTTCAAATCAAAAACAAAGTTAATAACTTGGTTGTTTTAATCAAATTAACAAACTGTTGTAAACTAACCATTTGATAAACAGATAACATGTATATTGTCATGATGATATGCCTCTAGAGTGGGACCAAAGAACATACATTCATCGTCGGGATGCGCGATTGCAAGTAATACGTTTCTTCTTGCCATGCCTGTTGTAGGAATGATGAAATGATGATGGTGATGATCGGCTTGATGTTGCTGATGATCTTGATTTTGATTTGGATGATGCGGTTGATTGGTTGTTTGATAATGATGATGCTGATTGAACTGCTGTTGTTGGTTATTCATCAATATAATACCAATCAATAGAATCAACCAGCTAACTAACAATAATTTGATCTCCAATTTAAATTGAAAGTTTAAATCAGAGAGTAACCAAACTTTTTTTCTGATTTAATTATAAAAAAATAGTAAAATAATATTAATAATTTAAATGATGATGAGATGATGATATATATATAACTTTCTTATTAAAGATAAGATAAGATAAGATATAATATATATTGCAAAAATGAATTTTATTTATAAATATATTTATACATTAGATATACAGATATAGTTATTATTATAACGCCAAAATATAAAAATTAGATTTAGATTTGATTTTAGATATATGAATAAGATATATTATATATATTGAATTAATTCAAGTTATATTTGATCAAATTAATACGTTATGTTGTTTGTAAAAAAAGTGTGTGTGTGTAATGTACACACTCAACTCACATATATATATACATTTTCACATTTAAATTTATCTTTTTTTAACTTTTTTATTTTATTTTATATTTTATATTTACAAATGATGTTGTATGTTTGTGTGTTTTTAGTTATATATTACCACTTAACATAGAAGAAACCACCGATGAATACAAGTATCTCTAGTAGATAGATGGGGATGAGTACGACACCTGCGTATTTGAGTTGACCTCTGCCGTGTACGTAGAGGAGCACAAGGAATGCAGAGATCAATCCTGGTACGAGTTGTGCAAAGTGATACTTCTCCATTTGCATCATCGAGAGTTGTGTTGTTACCGTTACGAATATATAATAGAAGAACGGAATGAATCGCAGTGACCAACTGATATTGGCAACGTTCGTTACGTTGAGTGTCTCCAGCACCGAGTAGACGAGTAGCACTGCGATAGCATTGCCATAGTGAACCTGATAGACCTTCTTTCCCTTGCCGTAGTCATGTACCTTTTCGTTGCGCTTCTCGTTTCGCAGCACGTTTGCCAGTGCGAGGAACACCCAGAACGGCACCATGATGCCCCACCACGACATATTGACATCGGGCCAATCCATCTTGATCGGCAGCAGCACCGTCCACAGTCCCAGCGACAGCACCGACACCGTTCCCCAAACCACATAATCTACATTATTAAAAATACACATGAACCAAATGAACAATCCCATCGCCAGCCAAATCGGTGAGAATACCTTTACCCTGTTTCTAACTTGTTAGACACAATCTTAACTCAACACTAAACTATTATATAGTTATCATCATATTCTATTTATTTACTTACCATAGTAATGAATGTAAGTTATTCGATGATTTTATACTTATCATTACAAGAAATGCAATGACACAACAGTGTATTGGTAACCACAGTAAACATTGACCTAATTTCATACGCTTCATTCTTGTTTTTCTTTAAAGTATTTTATTTTTATTTTATTCTGTATAATAAAGTTATATATATATATGTATGATTTGATTATAAATAAATATTAAAAGTTGATCTAAAAAAAACTCTTTAAATGAGTGGTGGGTCTTTCATGAAATCAATCATAAAAATTTCTTTGATTTTTTTTTCATCTTTTGCGACGGTCGATAAGTTTGTGATCAATAACACTAAAAAATACAATCTTCAACTCATTTCCCATGATTTAATCACCTTTTTGTTTTTTTTTTTTTTAAGACGTAGTAAAATACAACGTTAATTGTTTAAATTATTATGTTTTATTTCTGTTTTCAAAGTAAAACTACATTGCAAAGTTTCTTTGCTTTTTTATGATCTTGAATTCACCACTAAAATTCCCAAACAACAACATAAATTTACAAAAAAGGTAATCCCTTCAACATCAGCATCATAATTATCAATTCAATTTTAAAAATAAAAAAAAATCAAGTCAATTTAAAAATTGTTTTTTTTATTCACCATAGCTATTATTTTGTAATCAAATCAAATCAAAACAAAACAAATCAAGAATATAAAAATAAATATAAAAATAAAATAATATTTATTTATCTATAAATAAATAAATATAGAGAAATAGATATATAAATGAGTTTAAGTAGAATATTTGGATTGATACCATCGTATGATCAATTGTACTTGCCGGATCCGGAACAACAGTTTGTTTGGGGATGGAACAACGAAGGTCAGCTGGGTGTAACAATGTCGGCGGCAAGCATGAACAGCGGTGGCGATGTCGTCGACTTTAAGACAATGTCAAAGAATTTCGTCACCAAAGACGTTGCGATAGGATTGTCACACACTCTGCTGTTGTCTAGAAACGGTGAGGTCTATGCAGTGGGTAAAGGCAAATACGGCAGACTCGGTAATGATAGCGAGCGCTCGTTACGCTCACTCTTTAGAATCCCTATATCAATCAGAGTCTTAAAGATAGCTGCAGGTTCATTCCACTCTGCTTTCATCACGGAGAAGCATCAGCTATTCACATTTGGTCGTGGAGATTCCGGACAACTCGGTCACAACGACTACATCGATCAATTCTCACCGAAGCAAGTCAGCTGTAGCGATCCAATCGATCTAGTTGCGTGTGGATCGGATCATACTGTTTTTGTAACTTGTAAGTTGTAATAATATACTCAAAATACAAGTGCACTTGTGTGTCTAATCAAGTTAATCTCATCTAACTCATAAATATCAATATCAAAGTGAATGGAAGTACTTTTGCAATGGGAGGAAATAAATATAATCAGGTGAATGACTCGCCGATGGAGTTGGTGAATAGTCCGGTGTTTGTCAGTTTGAATCCACCGGTGGAAGGCATGACTGCGAGAGCATCGAATATCACAGGGCTGTCGTGTGGATCTAGTTTTACGGTGGCGATAAAGTCCGGTTGTTTGTACGCTTGGGGATTGAATAACAATGGCCAGTGTGGTGTGTCACCAAAGGACGCCGGACAAGTCGCTAAGCCACACGCGATAAAGTTGTCGGTGAAGAAGAAGAAGGAGGAACGTTTGAAGTTTGTTGCTGTGTCGTCGGGACAGTTGCATTCGATGTCGTTGTCCGAAGATGGCGAGCTATACGGTTGGGGATCGACGCAGCACGGACAACTGGCACTGGGAACGATGGGTGGCGTCGTAGAGATCGACACATTCTCACCGATTCGAATTGGTGAATCGCTGCTGAATGAATTCATCACCAAAGTCAGCTGTGGAACCTATCATACCAACGTACTGACGGCGGAAGGTCTAATCTACTCTTGGGGAACGAACGACTACGGTCAAGTCTCGCCAGACACCAGAGGAATCATCAACGTTCCACAACGCCTTAGAACACCAAACTCCAAAGGTGGATCACCCATAATGAATGTATATGCAGGTGGTAGATCATCAATGGCAATAAGATGTAAGTAGATAGATATCATTTCATTTCTGAAGAATAGATAGATTAACAAACTTATTATCATTAGTTTATCCAACATTAATAAGAGTTAGAGAATCTACTTATAAAAATGATATCGAGAATATATTTACGAATAATACAAATACAGATTGTGAGGTGATATTGAAGGATAAGAGTGGAGATGAAGAGAAAACAAATATTATACTGTCACACAAGATCTTTTTGACGAGATCATCGTTGTTTAGTGATCAGCTAGATAGCAATACCATTGATGTAGGTGATGAATTTGAATCGTTTGCACAATTAAACTCATTCATTACCAAACTCTATAAAGATGATGAAAATGAGATTGATTTAGTATCAAAGTAAGTAACTTAAGTTAAATGATATATACATATTTATTAATTGATTAATTATATTTTAGTCATCTTTTCTTATATATAAATAATCCTTTATATTCAGATGTAAAGATTTGTGTAAAAGAGAAAGCATTCTATGCACATAAAGTATGTAGATTTATTACAAATAGTTATAACTCTTTGTCGACAACAAAGAAATCCGATGATATTAATCATTTTAAAATATTTTTAAACAGTGTATATTAGTAGCAAGATCAAATAAATTAAAAGTACAATTGGAATCTTTCTTTCAAGAGGGTATAAATAATACTATATTTATTGATAATGTAAATCCAGATGTATATTACGCATTCATTCATTATTTATATACAGACAAGGTAAATATAATCTAGATAACATGTTTGTTCAATTCAATCTAAATAACAAACTTTCTTTATAATTTGATATATAGTTGAATATAGATGCAGAGAATGCAATTGAATTATTGTTTTTGGCGCATGAAGAGAACTTGGAGAGAATGTTAGAATTGGTACAAGAATATTTAATCAATGGTATCGATGATGATAATGTTTCACCATTATACGGTATGTGTTAACAATGTTTGTTGGTTAAATCAATATAATATTCATTATTAATATAATTTGTTTTAATATTAGATATAAGTACAAGATTAGACTTAAAATCATTAGGTGATCAATGTTTATATTATATTGCAAAGAATATCGATAATGTATCGAAAACAGAAACATTCAGTGAATTACCAGAGGAATTAAAGAAGAAATTGATATCAAGTTCAGTTCCTTTCTCAATGAAGAAAGATAAGGAAAAGAATTGTATACTCATGTAAATAAATAAATAGTAATAGTAATAATAGTAATCATAGTAATGTAATAATAATATAATTGAGTAGAATGTGAAAGCAAACTTTTTTTATTATTAGAAATTTTTAAGTAATATTAACACGGTATTGTAGTAGTAATTGCGATAATTATAAAATGTATTTGGTTGGATTGTTTGTTACAAATAATCATAATTATTATATATTTTGGATTAGTTTGGTTGGTTGGTTGATTTGATTAATCTATTGAACAATTACATCCCAATCGATTGGATTAGCAGATAAAACCTTGTAACCAAAGTTGACGGTTTGTTGTTCTTGGAAGGTGGCAGCCCATCCCTCGACTGGGTAGGTATCGGTGGTGGAATCGTAGTAGAAAGCACCCCAGATACTGTCTGGATATTGTCCGTTTGGATCGATTCTCAAGAGAGTTACTTGTGCACCGTTATTTGTGAGTTGGCAGTTGAATACACTCCATGTTCCTTCTGGGGCAGTCCATTGCGATGACAATGTATTGGTCAAAGTCCAATTATCGGAGACAGCCAAATTAAAAATGGTAAATAATACAAAGATTCCAATGATAATTTTATTCATTTTATTGATATATATTTTTATAAGTAAAGAAAACTATATAGTAATAATAATTTATTTATTTGATATATGTTATATTTCAAATATTTAATATTAGATGTTTTGATATTGAATTACAAACCATGTTGTTCTAGTGCATTTATAGTTGTTATTTTCTGACTTTACATTTAAAACCTATAATGTAAGTGGATCAATTCAATTGATGTTGTTGGGCAATTCCAGATTTGACAGTTTTAGTAGTAGTGGTTGGTGTTCTAGCTGCTTTGTGTTTAACATATTCAACTACAATACTCCCACCAATTCCTCAACTATACATTTATTTTTAATATATTTCTTCCATTTATTGTGATACTATAAATTTTATACTTCAATCAGATTTGATTGATTGATTAATTGATCCATTAGTTGAAATAATTACAATTCACCTAAATTAATGTTGTTGTTATTATGTTTTTAACTCTCAATAAATATCAAGTATATATTTATTAAACACACCACTAATCAGTATTACTTACCACATCTATTCTCAACAGTCCATATAACAGTAACCTCACTCAACTACCATTCCAACAATTCAATTCATAAAAAATCTCAATGATCAGGATCATAATTATCACACCTGGAACTATATTACTTTTTGTTAGCGTTGCTTTTATTAAATTGTAAGTTGTACTAATTTATATAAAGTAGTATTCAATAACACCAGCAAAGTTTAAATAAAACATAGATATAAATATATATATAATTAGATATATATTTCACAACAACCACATTTTAAAATGACCAAATTTAATCAATAAAATAATAATAACAGCTTTTATTGTACACTTACTTGCTTGCTGCTCTTCACTCCAACTATCAAATATATAATTAAAAATGATTCAACAATTTTGTATCAACACAATGAGTATGATAGGGTGTGTTATATTGTGTTTATTTACACAATTTAATTTTTATTTATTTTTTTAAATATTTGTCAGTGTTGTTTATTTTATCTATAAAAAGTGGTAACAGTAAATTTCAGTACCACCTGAAAACCTCTCAGTTTGAAAATGTTTTCATGAATTCATTTAACATGTCGTCGTTCATGAAAATTGACAAGTAAACACAAGTTTAATAAATATTTTTTATTATAAAAGTTATCCATTGGTTTAAATTGATCATGCAAAGCAAAGTTATAATGTTTGTTAGAGTCGATAAATATATTAAAATGGGGTACCAGATAATAAACCACACTTGCCAATAAACCAAACCTCTAATTTTTCAACATATTCGCCTATTAAATTTATAAAATTAGTTACCAATAAAATAATACTTTAATTAAAAAAGTTTATGAACTAACTATGCAAATATTTTTGATGATGTTCTATTTATTTTATTTTTAAATGGTAATTTAAATTATTAATCTACAAATGGATAATAATTTTATTTTTTAATATAATTATAGTATTTTTTAAAAGAAAAAAAAAACAAAAACAACAATTTTTATACCAGTATCACAGTATGATTTGAGTATTATAACATACTTTTATTTAACTCATTTTTTACTTTCTATACCTGCAATTGAGCAATATTCTTCTCTAATTTTTTAAAGAGTCTTAGTATTTATTTATTTGTTGAAATTACAGCATGCTGTGGCAAGAGGAGGACGAGAATCCTGTTGTCAATATGACAATGCAGCAATCGAATCGAATTGCTGCAACAGGTAGAGTATATGATATTTTAGAATGTTGGTTCGACTCATAAGCACAGCATTGTATTTTTATCCAAACTCTAACTTTTAAATCAATTTAGCAACTTTCAAGAGAGATTTGCCATTTGTTAACTTGGAACAATGGGAAAGAGTTATGAGAGCAAAGGTCAGACATCATACTGTAATCAATGACGGTAGGTTATTAGTTTTATGTATATTTCAACACTTCTATAAACTAATTCTTTTTATCATTAAAAAGTGATTAAAGCAAACCAACCAAATGAATTTCAAATTTTAATGAATGATATACAATTGATGAATAATAATATGAATAATAATATGATCATAATTAATAACAATATTAATAATTTGATAACCACTATTAATAATAATAATACTACCATGAATAATAACATAAATACAATGATGGCCAATATACATAATAATTTAAAATACAATGATAACAAATATGAATAATATTAATACTATTGTGAATAATAACATAAATACATTGAATAATAGTATGAATACATTGAATAATAATATGAATAGAATGAATAATAATATGAATAGAATGAAGACTGATATAAATAATAGTTTAACAGCAATAAATAACTTACAGAATAATATAACAACAGTACATAATGATATGAGGACAACAGCGAACAATACCAAGGCAAATTTTAATATTTTAAATAATAACTTAGAAACAACCCATACAAACCACCATCAAACTGCATTATCTCTCCATTTCAACCATCGCAACGTAAAAATAAGAAAAGATAACTGGGATAATAATCAAAATATACAAATGGGATTGCACAAAACAGTGGAAGGACTTGGCATTCATCCTTGGTATAAAGATGGCTATGAACAAAACAATTTTGGACCTGCAAATATAGGAAGTGTACCAGTAGGAATAGATGATCAAGATCTTTTTAACAACCGAAAGTAAGTAATCACATAGATTAATTTCAGTATTTGATTGCATTTTAACATAATCATAAGTCTCTCTGAGTTGGAAATTTCTCAATTGTCACATTGGTACAACGAAACATTTAATATAAATGAAAATGACAATAGAGTACAAATGAATGAAAAATTCAGAAAATGGTTAACAGCAGTCAATTTTACTCCACTTCATCCACCTGTACATATTCAAAAACTTGTAGCACAAGTTAACCATGCTAATCAAGACCTTCCAGCTCCCAATGCTCTTCCACCTTTACTAGCCATTCCTGCCATTCCAGCTATTCCACCCACAGCTATTCTAGCTATTCCAGATATTCCACCCACTCCAGCCATTCCAACCTTTCCAGCTTTCAAAGTTCTTCCTCTCCAGGCACCAGGTAATCATTGACAGAAACCAAATTTATTTTTTTTTTAAACAAAAAAAATGAAATGTTGAAAATTAAAAATTAACTTTGTTTAATACTGTATTATTTTATAAATATAATGAGTGAAGTTCTTGTTGTGTTTTATTTAAATATTTAAATTATATAGTTTTTTTTTATGATCAACATTTTTTTTTCTTTTAACTTTGTCGATTGGTGATAGGAAGGTGGGGGTTCAAGTTGGACCGGTGGTGAATCAATCTCAATTTTTTAAAGGTCCAACTCATCATGTCTTCAAGTCTTCTCTTTGACTTGGTGGTGGCATTGTTCCAATTCAAGTAATTCTAAATGGAAAATGAAGTCAAACTTAATAATTCATTTTAATCATGACATTCAAATGATACAAATAAAAAATAATGATGATGTTGAATCTTCAAAGAGTTCCAAAGGAGTAAGGAGAAAAAAAAAGTTACCACTCCGATACCATAAACACAAGGATATGAAAGCTATGATGCAACTCAACAAAGGTCGGGTGTTTGACAAACGCTGAAATAGAGATTTAAGATTTCTATAATATTTATTGGTTTTTTTTTATTATTATTTTTTTTTGAGAACAGCAGCATCTATTTTAATATCTATATAAATAGCTGGTACACTGTATTGCTCTTGAATGTACTTTGAAATACGATCGGTATCGTTTCCTTGTATCTTTACCATTTGTGAGGTTTTCGAGAATGGTGCTAGAGTTGTGCTTGCTGCAAATGCTTTCATACCATCCTTTGCCAACTCCTTCGGTGATATCGAAAATGTTTCCAAACCCGTAACCTCTATAACAAATTTGTTTGATATCTTTCTAGAGTGTATTTCTATTTGTTTAAATGGTCTATATAATAAAAATTAGCTTACGGTAGCAGTAATTATTGATGATTACATAGATCGAAAAAAAAAACTACTTACAAATATTTAATATCATTCTGTACATTTATAATCTCCATGAATCTTGGTGATAGATGCTGTTTGATTTGATTGAAGAATTGATTCTTTCCAATGGAAGTACCGCCCGATTGCTTTACCATTGGTGCACACACTTCATCCAAAACAAAAGTTGAACTCTTTGCATCGATCACTTCCTTTACATATTCCATTGCTAGATTTCTAATTTCATTATAACTATAATATCTGTGATTTTTATAAAAGTTAAACATTCATTAATATTATTGTATTATTGATACATTTGATAAGTTATAATACTTTTTATAAGGTAACTCTTTAAGTTTTGCATAATCAACGATAGATTTAGGCAGTGGAAATACATCTTGAACCGATTTCAAAGGAATAGAATCAGAGTCATATGTACCATAGGTTGCTTCTTTGTTCTCTTCCTCTAGTTGTTGTTTATCACCAACGATATTACCGAGTTCAAATGATTTATATCTGTATAATTGTGTTGGTTATTAGTGGATAGGATTATCTAAAACAACGAATGGATAACTACTACTTACTCTTGATTTGATCTATTGATTTTCGATATCATAATGTTACCGGGTGAAGGTTCGTTTGAATCGATCAACTTTTTTCTTTTTCATGGCATCGATCAACTTTGATACCTTCTTGTAGGACGACTTGTTTACGTTGATCTCATGTGTATCGGCAGGTGCATAGTACAACATATATTTGTTAAAGAATGTTTTCAAAGGCAGAGGTAACTCTGAATCGATAACACCAAACTTTATAGCACCCATAAAACTAATATGTACAATACTATCCATTTCCTCTTTCGTAACAGCAACAATACTATCACCATTTGTAGAAGTAGTTGTTGTAGTTGTAGTACTATCTTCACTTGTATCCATTGTATCGTTATCATCATCTTCATTGTTATTATTATTAGTTGTTGTAGTTGTTGTTTCATTCAAAGTTAAATCATTCATTGATTGTGTAGTTAATTCTGTTGCAGCAACAGATTCACTCTCTTGTTGCTGAATGATTGTGAAATCTATTTCTTTTGTTCCATATTCCCATAGTGCATCGTTTATGTAATGAATGATTGACAATGCTTTGCCATTTACCTGTGCTCTATCCATTTGAGTATGTGGTAGTACATAGCCAACTGCAACAGGTGACAACGATCCATTCAACACAATAGAAACAACAGTACCAACAGTATCAGGGAAATCTTCTAAATTAACAATACCTGCAAACATCAAATCTGTAACAAAAACAAACAATAATATATCCAATTAGTCAAACTATAATAATACAAACTTGAATATAACTAATACATACCTGCACCATTGGCAATATAATTGAATACGGGTGGATGTATTATAATTCTAGGTAACATTGTTGGTATTTTCGCTAATGTATAAACTATAGTGTGTTTTTAAAAGATGATTAAAGTAATTACTGTTAAAATGAATACTAAAATTAACATTAGAAATATGATTGCAACTTACTTGTTGGATAGAGTACACCTTGATATTCAAATACAAGAGGATCACCAACTTGACAATAGAGTTGAACTGGTTGGTTTTGAAGTTTGACTAGACCTAGATCTCTCTTGTTCTGAATGACTTGATCCAATTGCTCGATGCTTACATTTGGTCTATAGGTTTGAACGAGTTTCTCTTTCAACTTTTTCTTATCTGAACCTCTGACCAACGACTGACTACCGACTTGAAATGTTTTCTTGAATAAATTCTTCATTTTTCTCAAGATCTTGATTTATATAAATATATATATATATGATGTCTAGATGATGAAATTTCACAATTTAAAAATAAAGTTGTTTGAACCTAAAATTTAATTAATTTATGGATGTTGTATAATGCATGAACACGAAACTGAAAAAACAGAGGGAAAAAAATGAGATAATTTTTTTAAGATTGAATGTTGGTTGATTTATCTGATTTATCATATGAAAAGTAAGAACCAGTATTCTAAATATGATCATTGAATCTGTACACTTTTGATATACTAATACAGAACTAAGTCTGTCACATTCCTTTTTTTTTATTTGTAAAATAAATGTCTATGAAAAATCAATATTATTTTAAATAACTTATTTAATGATATTTACATGTTATGTTTTTTTATATTAACATTTTTTTGTTTTACCTATTCTATTCAAGTAGTCATGACAATTCAAAAGAAAGATCTTATATATAATTTTATTCAGTTCAATTCCAATTAATGTCAAAATTCTTATTTATTTATGATTGTTGTTGTTCATAAAATTAATTTAATTTAATTTAAAATTGAAACAATTTATAAGAAATAACCAGTTGCTGAAATATTTCAACATTATCATATTCGTTATTTGTTATTTATTATCATATCATCATAAATATACAACACATTATAATATAATAATGAGTAGTAATAATAATAATAATATAAATAATAATAAAAGAAAGAAAGAATTTATAAATAATGTTAATTCAATCGAGAGCGATGTTATCTCTTCTTTGAGAGATGGATCGATTACAGATGATTCTATATCGGAGCTGTTACAGATTGCATTCAATTTAAATGGTGAATGTGAAAAGAGTAAGTAGTAAATCTTTATAACATTGTTTGATTGTGTAATGTTAATCAATTGATTGATTGATTGGTTCTAATTAATAATGACTATAATATAAACAACAAAAACAATAGGAAGACCAACAAGTAATTGTAGTGATATACCTGATTGCTTTCATAATTTAGGTCAAGCATGGTTGGCAATGAGTGAGGAGGAAGATGAAGAATACGTTGCAGAGACTATCTTAAAGTATCATCAGACCGATATCATTAGAAACACCGTTAGAGATTGCAATAAAACACCTGCTGGCTTTCGTAATCTTGGTGCCACTTGTTATATGAACAGTGTATTACAAGTGTTATTCATGAACTCTCAATTCAGATACAATCTACTCTCCATAGGTCATCATTTATTCGACAATAAAAACAACAATAACAACAATAACAACAACACCGTAACAAGCACAACAACAACTACAATATCGACCAAAACAGCATCATCACCATCAACAACATCAACAACTAATACAACTACTACTTCCAATGTTACCAATAACAACAACAACAATAACAATAGTAATAATAGTAATAACAAACATGTCGATGAGAATGAAGGATATAATAGTAGTAATAATAGCAAGAGTAGTAGTAATGGTAAAGTGGTGAACGACGATGAGAAAGAAATGGAAATAGATAATCATAAAGATACTGTGATGAATGATTGTCAATCAGATTTAGATACTAGTAGTATTTCAAATAGTAAAGATAGTGATAATAGTAATGATAATAACGATAACGAAGATAGTAATGAAGACTGTAATAATAATCTTAATAATAGTAACTGTAGTATAGAGTTAAATAAGAGTATAGAGATAATAGAACCAAAAGCACCGAACGATACTGTACATAATTTCATGTTTCAATTGATATTTCTATTCTACAATTTGTTGTACTCCAGTAAAAAGACATTGGATCCAACGCCACTGGTCAATTGTTTACAAATTCCAAGTGATCTTCAGCAAGATCCACAAGAGTAAGTTCACTATTAATAATATTATTAATCAATATTGATTACACATTCAAATCATAAACATAAACTAATATAATTTAATTATTGATTTTTAGGTTCTTTAATTTATTTATTGGATTATTACAGAATAGAATTGGTAATCAAATCATTGATCAACTCTATAAAGGAACCTACTATTATGTTACGAAATGTTTGGGATGTAACAATAAATCACGTATCTCAAGTGTATTCTATGATATTTCTGTAAAGACTGAGGTATGTGAATTGTATTTGATTTGATTTTCGTTGGAAGTTTGATAAGATTACTAACGGTTTGTTATTATTTTTCAATAGAAAATGAAAACAATTATAGAATCACTTAATGATTATATATCAAAGGAGAAGTTAACATTCACATGTAAATATTGTAATAATGTGTCGGAACACGAACGATCAACACAATTCTCTGCAGATTCACTGCCACTCAATTTCAATTTGCATTTGGTTCGATATGTATTCGATAAGGAAACCATCATGAGAAAGAAACTTCACGATCCAATTTCATTCCCACTCGAATTAGATATGGCACCTTTATTAGAGGAGAAAGATAATGACAATGAAAATGAAAGTGATAAATATAACGACTCTCTTATGGCTGATGAACATCCAAATGTGAAATCAAATGGTACCACTAGTAAAGTAAACAATAAAGAGAAAGTGAAAGTGAAAGAGAATAAGAAGAAGACAAAGAATAATAAGAATAATAATCATCCAGATCATATTAATAGTGAGACTGACAATGAGAGTACAGAGGAGGAGTGTGACATTCCTAAAGACAAGACAATGACTGATGTCAAACCAGAGAGTAGTAGTAGTACTAGTGATACTCAATATGAACTCACTGCTATTTTAATGCATAAAGGTATTGGTGTAACTAGTGGACATTATATAGCACATATCAAGAATGAAATGTAAATATTATTATGATTGTTATACTTGTTATTATTTTAACAAACCAACTAACCAACTAATCTTTCATTATTAATAATAATAATAGCACTGGAAAGTGGTGGGAATTCGATGATCAGAATATTAGAGAGTTATCCAATGAACAAATTGGTAAAGATCAATTGGGTGAAAAGAGAAAAGCAAAAGAATTGAAAGAAGGGTAATGTATTATTATTTTATTTTATTGTGTGGTTTTTTTAACTTTTATATTAATTAATTAATAATAATAATATTGTATTTATATAGAGTAATATCATCACAATCAGCATATATGATTATCTACTCAAAGAAGAATAGAGAGGTTTATAAAGATGCACCAAAGTTTAACAATGAATCGATCATCGAAGAGTTCAAGAATGAGGAGCAATCATTCAAGACAAAAGCCGATGAATTCAGATCTACTCTGAATCAAGCAATTCAAGTGTGGAGAGAACGAAAGAAATTCTGTTTATCACAATTGGATACAATTAAAGTTGGTGAATCTGTATGTATTAATTAATTAGTTTGTTTGTTTGTTTATTATTAGCTATATGTATTAATTAATTATTATTATTATTTATAGTCAAAAGGATATTATTGGATAAATACAGATTGGCTTTTAAATTTTATGAAAGGTATTGAGAGTGGACCGATCGATAACTCTTTGCTGTTGTGTGAACATCTTTTGTTGGATCCCAAGAAGTTGCCGTTGATGAAGCGAGTCAGTAAGACATTCTGGGACAGTGTTTACGATAAGTATCGGGGATCGCCTGTACTCGATCAAGACAGCTTCTGTAGGGATTGTCTGTGTAGTCTGTTCAGTTCCACCAAAGACAAGGTCGATGAGTCAACGCTGAAGGAATCGATCATCGCCAAAGAGAAATCCGTAAAGAACCGAACGGAAGGCTGCTTTATTTCCAATCAATGGTATAAAGATTGGATTAAGAAGACATGCAATATGGAACTACTCAAAGCAAAGAGTGCCACCGAGGATATCGAGTGTGAACACGGTAATCTCTCTATCTACTCACAGGATAGAAAGACTATCTCAAAAGAGACCTGGGATTTTATACAACCGCTGAGTCCAACCTCCATTGAGATACCATCGACCACCGAAGAATGTCAGAAATGTCAGGATGAATATGAAGAGAGAAATAAGATTTCCAATGTAATTAAAAAGGAAAAGACAAAACTGTAAGCATTGATAATTATTAATGATAAAAAGACATAACTTATTAACTATCATTTACACTCAACAGGAAGGAATTATATAATATTATTAAACAATCTAAATATAAATCGAAATTTGAAACGGGAGAGTGGTATTTGATATCAAAGGATTGGAGTGACGCTTGGTTTAGATATATCAATGAGGAGGAGAAGTCAGAGAGACCATCGAAGATTCAGAATCAGTTATTAAAGTGTGAGCATGGCTCGTTGATCTACGATATGTCGGACCTTTCAAAGTTGCGATTTGACTTGGAGCAAGGACAGCCACAACAACCGCCAAGAGCAATCATTCCATTCATAGTGGTATCAGCTTCTGTTTGGGAGGCTGTCGTCTCTGTCTATGGCGCCGAAGATGACTCCAGCATCAAGCTGACCAACTCGAAACTGAGCATACCACACTGCATGGAGTGTCATGACAACAACTATCGACAGTTCCTCGAGAAACAATTTCAATTCGAGAAGGAATCCATCTACATTCACTCGATCAGAAATGATCAAGATGAAAAAGATGAAAAGTTTTATATATTCCCATCAAAAGTTAGAAGATGTATGTATTGTTAATAATAGATTTTATTTAATAACTTAATAACAATTATTATTTTTAGTATATAAAAGAATTGAAGTTTCACCGGTTGATAGTACCTATACAGTTGAACAATTGAAGTTGTTGATTTGCTCAATCACTTTGACACCGACTTTCCAACAAAAACTGTACATTAACAATGGCACTCATTTGCAAAAGGATTCAAATACACTGGCATCCTATAAAATTACACCAAATCAAGTCATTGTCATGAAAGAAACCAAAGAGCTCGATGGATTCTTTTTAGGTAACTATTTATTTCAAATATTTTAGTTAGTTTCATTTCACTAATTTCTGAAAACATTATAAAGAGAATGAATCAGAATCAGGATTTAAAGGTACCATTTTATTGGATTAAGTAGTAATTTTTTGTATAAGTCGATTCATATTATTAAGAATTAAAAATAATAAATCTTGATTGTTTTAAATAGAATGATTGTATTTTTAAGAATACTAGTTTATTAATTTTGATGTTAAATTAATGGCGGACATTGTGCAGAACATTGGCTGGGATCTCCAAAACCGATCCAATAATATATCATTTGGTCAATAAAATTCACCTGGATTTGTTGAATTACAAAAAAAATTGGCAAGCACACATTTTCAGAATACAAAAATTGTAAAAATTAAAAATTAGTGGGTTAATATGATCAGAGTGGTTTTTTTATTGCATTCGATTTTTGGTTACAAGCAAGATCGCCAGTTTTGTTTTGTAGGAAAAAAAAACTGTAGATGTTCAATCTTCGGCGATAGAGGACAATAAAAATGCTTTTGTGGTTCAAAAAAAAAAAAATAAAAAAATGGTATTTTTTATTCAACCGTTTTCTTATCAATCAGTTGTTTGAAGTTCAATATTAAAGTATATTTTATTTAATTTTTTATTTTATTTTTGAAATTTAAAACAGTTTCCTGATGCAAACCAACAACAAAAACTCTATAAATATCCATTCATCAATATTATATCCATTCATCAATTTTATATCCATTCATCAATATTTTATCCAATTTTATATCTATTCATAATTATATATCTCCTCTATATATCCATCAAACTTATCCATCTAATATCTTCCATCAGATCTATCAAATGAGTGTCTCTTGCTCTTACTTCTGTGTTAAAATCAACAATGCTACCTTCTACATTGCTGACAATGAAGAGGATAAGGTAGAAACTCAGGGATTAGTAACACTGTATGCCACCAGAGAAGGATCTCAAAGAGTAATCTATACAGTTATCGATATTGAGAATGGAAATCTAGTTACCAAGATCAGTACTCTCAGTAGAAGAGTTGAATTTGAAGTATGATAAAAGATCTACCATAAATATATATTAATGCTAACCCTTCTCAGTTTGAATCTAGGGAAATTCCACACAAAATAACTAAAACCCCACTACTTTCTACTCTTATAAGAAAGTTTATGAGCGATTTGGAATCAAATCTTGTGAAAAAAGGAACTTCAAAAAATACAAAGATTAATGAAACTATTGCTGAAGTAACTCTTGAAGATAAAAAAAAAATGGAATTTTATCTTGAAATAGAGGGAAGTCGCAGCCCATTAATTGTGAATAACAATAATTCACCTAATACTCCATTGGATAAAACTAAAATAGAAAGAAAAGAGTAATGGATCCCGTTGCACAAAAAAACCTAGACCCATCATAAGATTTTTTAATAAATAATTTCCTTATGATCACAAACTCGCCATTATAACGACTCTTTTTTTAACTTGTTATTATTAATTAATGGTAGAATAATTAAAGAATATTAGCTAATTTTTTTTGCTGAGTACTCAATTGGTTGGACAGTTATTTCGTCACCTCTACTTTGTTGGCTGCCATTTACACTGAAAGTTTCTGTGTGCCCAATCCATAATAATATTTTATTTTAAAAATATAAAATTATCTTTTATTTTGCTTGCTTCTTTTTCGCCAACTCACTAAAGATTGCTTGAATGTCTTGTTTGGTGATTACTTCACTTGATTGTTGTTTGGAGGCAAATAGCGCCGACAATTTATCTTTCATGGCAGAGTAGCCTTGTAGGAGTGTATCTTGTTGTGGTGCGGGAATGACCTTCTTGAATACAGTGTCCATCTCTGTGAATAGGTTAGGTGGTGTTTTATCTTCTTTCTTTGATTTCTCTCCATCGTCGTCGTCATCAGACTCACTTGGCTTATCGAATATAAACATACACTTCTGAGTTTCATAGTGTTTCATACATTCTCCACATCTACACAACATATTTCTCCAACCATCTTTACAAAACAAATCACAATTCAATCCTTTCAATTGCTTATTCCATTTACAAACTACTATTTCTTCTTTCTTTACATTTTCATCATTATTATCATTATTATTTGTAGTAGTTGTTGTTGTTGTTGATACTGTGATAACATCAACTATTTCATCATCTTTTTTATGTTTCTTAATGTTGTTGTTGTTGTGTTCTTCATCTTTACCATCTACTTTTCTCTTCAAATTTCCATTTTCTTTATCTTTCTCTTTATCATCTTTATCTTTTTCTGTATGATCTTTATGATCATCTGTATTTGCAAACAATCTTATGTTTGGATAGTTTACTAAAAATTGATTCTTTAATATACAATCTCCACAGATAAAGTCTGACATTTCATCTAAATCTGGTATCTAAAATATATAATTAAAATGTTAACAAACACTTTTGTCTTCTCAATATAGTTCATTCATTGTTGTTGTTGAATAAATGTATAAATACCTCTATATTTGAATTCAATTTAATACAAGTCTCATGAAACCATTCATAACAAAACAGACATTGCACCATATCCTCCTCGAAATTGTAGGTCATCTTACAGTAGCAGTATTTTCCACTAAAGTTCTGATTGTATTGATTCTCTGTATTGTCATCTGCACCAACCTTATTGTTTTGAAGTATACATTTAGTTGCTAGCAAAATCAACATATTAATATATCTATTTTTGTTGTTGATATTAATTATTACATACATCCAGCTTTCTTTGTACCACAATCACATCTAAATGCACGCTTCTTGAATAACTCTATGATATCGTGATCCAAATGACATTGCATTGAACATCCAAAACAAAATCCAAATGTACCTGGACAATCTTTACATGCATAAACAGGTTGTGTAATATATCCTTTATCAAATGTGCATTTACTAAAGATTGAATATAATTAATATTATTATGAAACTAATTTAATTATTATTAATTAATACTATACTCTTCATCACCCCAATTCTGTTTATATTGATCAACAGCTTCTTCATATAGCTCTTTTTGTGCGTCAACATGATCATTCAAAGCATCTTGAATTGAAATAATCTCATCATCTTCTCTTTTCTTTCTTTTGCTAATCTGTTGCTTCTTATCACTATCTTTTTTATCTTTAGTAGTATCACTCATCTTTTTTTACACAAATATTTACAAATAAATAAAATTATAAAATTAGTAATTTTGAACAATGAAAAATGAATTTGTAAATTAAAAGATTGGAACTTCAAATTTGAAAGATCAAAGATAAGAATAGATTTTAATTAAGTGATTGAAATTATAAAATACAGATATTAAGATTGATTGATTGCTTGATTGATTGATTTTTTAAAATGTTAATTTTATTTTTATTTATATTTTTAAATTACATAGTCAAGTTCATATCTTGTGTAGGTGTTTGGACCGTCGTCGGCAGCTCTTGGGTATGCGGGGATCATTGCATCCTGTGAACTGATGTATAGCATGTTGTAGACTTTCCAATAGATGTCACGTACTTTTCTAGCGGGATGGAATAGACCTTGAAGTGTATATTGTAGGATGATGGTTGGTCCGAGTGCGGTTCTGAGACCTTCCACAGACTCGAGGAATGCGTTGATGACGTGTGGCGATGTCTCAAAGATGTTTGGCCAAACATAGTTGAGTAGATGTATCAATGCATCTTCACAGCCGAGACCGTGCACACCGAGTGACATGTGTTTGACGGCGGAACAAGCCGTCTGTCTATGTACAGGATCACGATCCATCAGGGCGTCCTCTAGGAGCGGCGTCACCGCGTAGATATAGTCTTTACCCATCTCCCCAATATACTCAAACAAAAACGACAATGATTTTAGTACACCGTTCTGAACGTTCAGTTCCGGTATACGGTACTCGTTCATCAGTCCCGGTAGTACGGTGTAAGGTGCGCAAGTCTCTGCGACAATAGCAATGGCGATGGTTGTACACACACGATTCTGACGGTCTTGAACCTTGAGATTGTTGAGCAGTGTTCCCAGAACTTCTTGCGGTCCAATCGCTTTGGCAATGTAACCAAATGTATTTACAGTGGCACGACGAATTCCCTTCTTGTGTGCCTTGAGCATGTCGAGCAGCTCGAAGCAGATACGCATCCACTCACGCTCCAAAACAAAGTCGGCACCACGATCGGCAATACGACCGACCAAATCGATGCAATTCTCTTGTACCTTCTCGTGACGATTCTTTAGGATCGGTGTGAGACGTGGCAGCAAGTCTTTGATGGGTGGCGTCATCTTGGTCATACCGATGACATTGACGATCGACTTTAACGCGCCGAGAATCGAACCCAGCACCTCTGGATACTCCTCACCCAGATACTCGTAGAGAATCTGACCGAGATGAGACATAAGCTGTTCCTCGCCACACAGTTGCATGACGACGGCGATACGCGAAATCAAGTCGGCTGCCTGTTGACGTACTTTTGCCGACTTGTTGTTGAGACGCCACTTGATGGTACCGGCGATCTGTGTGAGATACGGCTTGACACGAACACCAAGCGACAGTACAATAGTACCGAATCCCTGAAGCATAATCAGTGTTTCGTCGGTACTCTGCTCCTGGAATGCATAGAGAACACCATCGATCAACTGCTCCTCAAGTCGTGGATTGATGTCTGATGCTCCCAGTGACGAGATGATCTTCTCTATCGCTTCCATTACCATCTTACGATATGGTTCCGACTCGTCTTTGAGATCGTCAACGATCTTGGCGATAACCTCTGCACCACCGACCTTGTTGGCAATCTCCACGGTTGTCTCGACCAGTTGCTTGTGATTACGACGATCGGCCATTCTTCTAACCCAGAACTGTTTGAAAAACTCTGGTACCACTTCATCACGGATGTACTGCGCTTCGACACCCTCCGTTCCAACACACTGCTTGACCACCTTGAGAATGATCTTCTTCATCTCATCTTCGTTGGTCTTGAACTCACGAACCAGAATTGTCATGACCTCCTTGGTGTAGTAGGAAGCGTAACGTGCATCCATCAGTGGAATGATATAACCGATCGCCTTGAGGAACGCTGCCAAACCTTTGTCACGATACTGTCTGATACCATACCAGAGTGGTTTGAGCACAGAGTCAAACGATTCGATACCATAGGGTGTAGCGGCTTCTGCCAGTGCGGCAATAGCGAGCGCAGTGATAGTTCTTACCTTGGGTTGATCGTCGTTCAATCCATGCTCTACAATCTCAACCATAGACTTCAAATGCGGCAGAATTGCACAACCCATCAAGATGGCAATCTGCTGAATAATCTTGATACCGGTGTGACGCGCTTGCCACGACTTTTTACTCTTGCAAACTGCTCTCAAGAAGGGAAGCAGCGAAGGAATACCAAGTGCGGATGCAACCACAGCGAATGCACGAGCCGTAGTATTTCTAATGTCTTCCTCGGGCGAATCGATATCGGGACGCATTGTTGCGGTCATCGATGCCAAACCAGCTGCCTTTGAAAGATTGGAGATAATCTCACGCGCTTCGACACGCGCATAATAGTTCTGATCGATCAGGTATGGTTCGATCACAGAGAGAATCTTTCTCACGAATGGACGCACCAAGTCGTCGAGCTTATAGAGAACACGATCGATAACCTTGACGAGCAAATGACGCTCTTGATCCTCCAGACTCTGACTGGTAAACAACGGGAGAATCTGATTGAAGAGTGGCGCCGGTCCAAACTCACGCGCCTTGTCTGTCAGCTGACGAAGCGCCTGCTTTCTCATTGGCGGCGTTCCATTCTTGATACGCAGCAACAACTTCATGATCTTTCGCTCTTTCGCTTCCTCCGGTGACAGTGTCTCCTCTTCATCCTCGTTCAACAGCTTCTCAAAGTAGATCTTGTCCTCTGGCTTCATGGGAAGACCGCCCGGAGTCTGGTCGACGCCATACTCGCCAGCGCCACCAGATACACGCGGTTGGTCTTCAGGAATGAAGAATCCACCGCTCGTTCCGGCGACACCGACCGGCGTCGACATCAACTTTCGCGCCGGTGTCATTATCGGCACGTAGCCGGCGGGTGGCGCCAATATCTCGTAGCCATCGCTTGGTAGCTGTGCATTGAGTTCCTCCTCTGTCCACGGTCTGTTACGATCGTCGATCTCTCGCTCAATCTTTAGAGCAACCGACGAAGAACCTGCACTGCCCGGAAGCGGTGTCATCATCGACATTCCACCGAGCGGAGTGACACCGCCGCCAAGCGGAGTGATACCACCAACGCCTGCCATTCCGATTCTCGGTGTCTGAGCACCCATCTGTTGAACCGGTGTTTCATCCCATCTCGATCTTCGCTTTGGTGTCTCTGCAACGACGCTACTCGCCATCTTCTGGGGTGTTTCATCCCATCTGTTTCTTCTCGGAGTGGCACCGACCGCTCCCAATCCACTCTTATTCGTCGGTTCATCCCATTCCGATATTTCTTTTTTATCTGTTTCAACTGTCATATTATAAACAAAACAAAACAAAACAAAACAAAACAAAACAAATTATAATTTTTATTTATATATATATATATATAATTAGTTTTAATGTTTGTTAAATTAATAATTCTATCTATCTATCTATCTAATGATTAATCAATATAATACATACCCATTATATAATAAACATTTAATATAATATAATATAATGTAACTGTTAAAAATATGATAATGAAATAGGTTGAACTTTTGAAATTCTCAATATTACGAAAAATTAAAATTTTATTGTATTGTTGATTTTTCAAAAAACAAATTAAAATCAAGACATTATTATTGTTGTTCAAATGCTAATTATGTATAATGAATATAGATTCACAAGTTGATAATAATAATAACAATATTAATAACAATAGTAGTAGTGATATTATTTTTGATACTGATTATAGCAATGATACTGTAACATCAAAAACTACAACAACAACAACAACGACAAACAATGATGATGATATTATTTTAGATACTGATAATTTTGATAATAACAATAATAATATTAAAGATAATAATAATGATAGTAACACAAGTAATATAAGTAATAATAGTAAAATAGATTTAGATAATAACAATAATAATAATAATATAAAAGATTATGATATAGAGGAAGATGATATATTTATTGAAACTAAAAATGTTGTAAATAATAATAATAATAATAGTAATAATAATAATAATAATAATAATAATAGTAATTATAAAGATTATCAATCGACTATATCATCTTTATCAAATAAAAAACAACCTTTACAATCATCGTCATCATTATCAACAACAACAACAACAACATCATATTCATCAATAGAGAATAGTAATCTATTCAAACCATTCACCGCTTGGTTCGCCAAAGATATTACATCTGATATTAAATTAATGTGGAGTGAGTTATTCATAAAGATGTTGTTGATTGATTGAATATTTATATTTATACTATTCTATTTATTTTCAAATAACATTATTATTATTATTATTATTATTATTATTATTATTATTAGAACAATACGGTGGAACTACACATTCTACATATTCCACTGCATACTTTTGGTTTGTTGATGATCCTTTTCAGGTTGATTCGTTCAAGGTTATTACATCGTCCGATGGCGAATATGTATTTGCAATCGATGTCAAGTGGATTCATCATTGTCTGCACGATAACACACTACACGAATGCACTGCTTTTGTGATTGATCGCGACAAAGTGCTGTCGGAACGCCACAGATATCAAGCGAACCTCGAGTTGGAGAAACTGAAAGAGCGAGAACTCAACCTCCACTCGGTGGACGACGATCACTACCACGATGTCGATGGAGTCGATGCCACCTCGTCCTACGACTTCTTCTCATCCGACATATTCTCATTCACTCCACTCTCACTCTCTTCATCGTCACTCTCCTCACTCAAAGCTAAATACATAACACCAAAGAGTATGTCTCTAATACAACTATATTTGTAGTAGTTATACTAACATCTTATTACTATCTTACTATATATAGTTCACAATGTAGAGAATATAATTAGTATGGAAATAGATGAGTTTTCAAATAGTAGATACAAAGTGAAGATGCCTTCGAGCAATCAATATGAAACGATTTCGTCGTCATCGCTTCAACTTACAGCTCCGCTATCTCATATGTCCAATATCGATGTTAATATGGATGAATTGAAGACCACCGCTGGAAGAAACTATGATGATGAAATAGGTATTGGATTAACAAGAGATTATTTAGAAAATGAAAATGATAATAATGATAATAATAATAACAATAATAGTAGTAGTAGTATAAGTAGAAATAATAATGATAATAACAATGATGATGATGATAATAATAATAGTAATACACTAGTTGAAACACCGACTTTAAATTGGTCACAACAGGAACGTGAAGATGTTGATTTCGATAAGATGCCTGCAACTTCCAGCAGTCAAACCAGCTCACTATCACAGTCAACTGCAATGACTGTATTTTCAACAACTCCAACAACTCCAACAACTCCAACAACAACTCCAATAAAGAAGACTCCATGTGTATTCGATGAAGTGGATGACGACGAAATGTTCACAACTGGCGGCGATGGTAGTCCACCACCACCTCTTTTCGATAGTGAAGAAACAACAACTAATAATAATAATAATACGGTTACAACGACAACAACAACAACAACAACAAGTTCTCCTTCAAAATTCAATAGAAATGATATTAATTTAGATGACTATGAAGATGAAGTCGATGAAATAGTTATAATACCAACTCTACCACAACCAACAACTACGACAACTACAACTACAGCAAGTTCCAATCGAGGTACTTTATCATCAGCACCATCATCAAAATCAGTGCAACACAAACAACCAGCATTACAACAGCAACAGCAACACCACTATCCTAGATTGAATATGCAGAATATTCCTACACGGACAACAACAACAACAACAACAAAGTCGAACAATCCAATATCTACTTTCGAAGACGAAGACGATCCAATTTCACAAGATACTTTTGATGTATCCAAATTTGAACCTACAAGAATTAGTAAAGTATCAACTTCATCAGCAACATCAACATCAACATCTACAACACCAACAAAAAGCTATAACAAAAACAACCAACAACCTCACCAACCAAGTAATAATAACAATAATGATTTAGATGGTCCGCTATCACCAGCGAAACCAGTTTTCAAGAGTATTACTGATGACTTTAGTCTTGTGAGTGTGAAACCGAAACCCAAACAACAATCACCACCAACACCAGCTTCACCAAGTAAAACATCATCACCCTCAACAACAAAACTGAAACAAACAACAATAGAAGCTACGACTGCTCCACAGTGGCCACCACCAAACCGAGCCAAAAAACCTCTTGCCAAATCACAGCAACCACCTGAAATTATAGATCTAGACGATTAGTGGCACTAATCTTTGCATGATGATGTAAAATGATCGCTCTCTAAAAAATTGCTAAATATATCAGTGAAAGTAGTGAACAACAAAACGTCATCATCAAACAATGTTGGTAATAAAATGTTTTTTTTTTTTTTTCGTACTAGTACTGGTCGTAACTGACCTACATAACTCTTTTACCAACGACAAACAACACTGTTTTGTTTCATTTCATTTTATTTTGTATTTTTTTTTTTTGATTTTGCAAACTTTTTTTTGAATCCCTGTTTTAAGAAAATCGAGTACCATTAACCCAAAAAAATGTTTTTTCCACCTTTTTACATTTCTTTTTAATTGTTTTTATTGATATTTTTAATATCTCTTTTTTTTTTCAATTTTTTATTTAATTAAATTTTTAAGCTTAAATCATCAATAAAATATCATCAACCCAAAAAATTAAATCAAACCTGTAGTTATCTACGTCATCCATTTCCATTCATTAATTAACAAAAAAAAAAATAATAATAATCATAAAATAAAGAAAGAAAGTAGAACTAAAAAAAAAAGAATATTATTCATTACACATTCAAAACAATATTATCAATCATCTTTTTCCTCAATATTGTTTTTCATTAGTATATCGTATATAGTTTAGTATGTCTAATAGTGGAACCAGTAATGGTAACTCTCAGAAACCACACCTAGAGGGTTGGCTAGACAAACAAGGAGTAAGTGTTTGTTGTTTTGTGTTTTTTTCCCACTAGTTTTTATTTTTTGATCTTTTGGTCATTCATTGATTCCCACAAAATGTTAAGATGTTAAATCTAATTCTTCAATAATAATAATAATATTAGGATAAAGGATTGATTAAAGGATGGAAAACAAGATTCTTTTCATTGTCACCGAATGCATCGGATCTACATTACTATGAGAATCAACCGGCACCGGTATCGAGTGGATCGCAATCGAATATCAGTGTTATCGGATCGAATTCACTGGGATCGATCGATATTAAGCAGGTAACCTCTACGAAAATACATGATCCTGCAACCTATATGTTCTCGATTGACGTTCCATCGAGATCGTATGTACTGCGTGCCAAGAATGAACGTGAGATGCAATATTGGATACAAGGTGTTGCCAACGTCATCCAATACCATCAGAAACTACGAGAGAATCGTAACTCACTCAACGCTGTAACCCTCCTAGAGAATACAATCACTCAGAAGGATTTGGAAATGAATAAACTCAAAGACATCATAGATGTTCAAAAGAGAAATATAAAACAATTGACACTTCGTCAACAGAAAGATGAATTGGTAAATGATTATAACTAATAGATTTGGGTGGTTTGAGAAACAAACTAACTAACATGTTATATTTAGGAAATTCAAACGTTAACTGAAAGATTGGATAATTCAAAACAAGAGTTGGAAAAGAAGGAGATCACTATTGGTTCGGTGAGAAGAGAATCGATGATTGCAAATACAGAGGAGTTGAACAAGTTGGCGTTGGAAATCAGTACGTTGAGATCGAAGGAACAGGGATCGGTTCAGGAGAAGGATGAACAAATCAAACGGCTGGAACAGACGATCGTCGATTACAAGCTGGAGATGCAAACAGAGTTGATGAAGAAAGCACAGGAGTTGAAGGAGATCGAGTTGAAGATGGAGACTGCAGAGAAGCAAAAAGCGAATGAGTTGGAACTGGTGGAGCAACGTCATCAACTGAATTTGCAACAAGCGAAACTTGTAGAGTCGCGACTACAAGAGGATATCGATGATCGTGATCACGAGATTGAACGTCTCACCAAAGAACGACTGGAAAAGACAGTGTCGCTGCGTGACGATATCGAGCGTGAGCGACAAGAGTCACAGAATGCAATCGCTTCACTGCAAGAGAAGTATCAATCCACTATCAATCAGCTGCAACAACAGATTACAGAGTCGAACAACCAGATTGCTCAGCTTGGACAGCAAAGCGCAGAGAGCAGCGCTCAACTAGAGTTGAAGATATCCGATTTGACAGAGCAGTTGAATGCAAAGAAACAATCTTTAGAGTCACTTGAGAAGCAGTATTCCGAGAGTCAAGATCAACTTCAAACCAAGAGTCAGTCGGTTGAGTCGTTGGAGAAGGAATTGGAGTCGACAAAGAATGTAGTTTCAGAGATGAAGGAGCAGTTGTCATCGAATCAAGATGATCTACAAGCAAAGTTGGTTACATTGACTGAAGAGTTGGAGAGTAAGAAACAATCGTTGGATTCAGTCGGCCAGGAATTAGAGTCTGCCAAACAATCTTTAGAGGAACTGGAGCAACAGTTACAAGAGGAAAAGAATACTGTACAATCACTAAATGAACAACTTGCTTTGGAGAAACAGCAACTTCAACAACAACTAGATGATGTAAATAGAACTTTGACTAATAAGACAGATGAAATAGAACAGTTGAAATCAGAGAATAGCGAGCTCAGAATCGGGGCTAACAAAGTTGGAGAGTTGACAGAGCAACTTACTGTGTTGCAGTCTGAGAAGGACAAAGATGCTCAGGGTTTGGCAAAGAAGCTAGAGGAGTTGGCGTCACTACAGAGCCAACTATCAGAGTTGTCCAATGAGCAACGTGATTCAGCATCGAAAGCAAAGGAGTTTGAACAACTCTCGAGAGAGTTGGGACAACAAGTCAAAGATAGAGATGCGGATATCGAGCAGTTGAATTTGTCGCTCGGTGCATTGAATCAGCGATTGGTGGATAGCAGCCAAGCGATACAAGAGGTAAAGTCAGAGTTGGAGTCAAAGAAGCGAGAGATCTCCGATTTGGAGAGATCCGTTGCTGAGAAGCAACAGGCTGTCAATCATTTGAATGATCTCGTTCAAAAGAGTGGAGAAACCAACGAGGCGATTGCACTGTTGGGTTCGACTGTGAGTCAACTCACCGTGAGCAAGGAGGAAGATTCCAGTCGTATGAGCGAGTTGAAAGCAGCACTTCAAGAGAAACAAGAGGATATCGATCAACTCAAAGAGGAACTGGCCGAGAAGGACGAAAAGATCGAGGAGCTAAGAGAATCCGTAAGTGATATTGCGTCGGATTCCAAAAAGATGATCGATGCCAAAGATGAAGAGTTGAATGTTGCCAAACAACAGTTGGAAGAACAATCCAATGTTTTGTCAAAGAAGGAGGGTGTCATTAGACATTTGGAGGATGTAGAGATGCCACAACTCAAGGAGAAGTTGGAAGCACTCCAGAAGGCGGTGGACACTCAGAGCGACAGTGGTAAAGAGAATATCAGTCAGTTGGATAGCCATATTGAAGATTTAAAAGAAAAGTTAACAGAGTCTGATTCGCTGTTGAAAGAGAAGGACGATGAGATTGCAAGAGTAAGACAAGAGTTGGAGCAACAAAGAACAGCTAGTTTGGAACAACAACAACAACATCTTCAACTTTTACAGTTGCTACAACAACAGAGTAGTAGTGCTAGTCAAGCAGAAGATTTGTTGTTGTCCACTAATAAGCTTAATCAAGAGTTAGAGGAAAGAGATAGTAAGATTAGTGAGTTGGAGAATCAAGTTCTTTCGTTGAGTGATGAAAACAACACCATTAAAGAGTCAGAAGCAACTCTAAGCAAGGAGCGAGATGAATTACAACAACAGCTATTACAACTCAAACAAGAGGCAAGTTTGAACAGCGATGATAGTGAACAGCAACAACAAGTCGTATCAGAACTAAAGGAATCATGTGAAAACAAAGAGAAAGAGTTGGCAGAGTTAAGAGGATTGTTGGAGCAAATAAAGACTGAAAGTGAGTCAGCTATCAAAGAAAGACAGTTGGCACAAGAAGAAGTACAATCATTGTTGATCAAAATCGAAGAGCTGGAGACAACCAACAGTCACAAGGAGTTGGAGATATCAGATTTACAAGAGAAGTGTCAACAACTGACCGATGAACACTCTAGAATGCAATTGGATTCCGTAGAGGCAAACAATACTATGGAGTCAAAGATGATTGAAATGGACGAGTTGAACGCTGCACTCATCAAAGAGTTGAAATCGCTCAAAGACGAAGCAAAGACATCGCTGTACTCGCTCGACGATGTCAAGAGTCGTGTCAATGCAATGGATACAACCATTAAAGCACTGACCGAAGAGAAGGAACGATTATCCAGAGAGAACGGACAACTAAAGGATAGTATTGGCAAGGAGTTCTCAACACTCGTTACCTCGGGTGACGAACATGCCACCGAGAGATTGAAACAAATCATCAGCATGTCAAATTCAATCGATGACATTGCTCATCAACTCGAAGAAGCAGAGAGCAGTGATAGATATCAAAAGGAGAATGAACAGCTGCTTGCCGAGTTGAATGCCGTCAAGCAGGAGCGTGAGGATTTGTTGAAACAAAAGTCATATCTCTCACAGGTATTGGAGGACAAGGAAGATCAATTGGTAATCATTCGTGTCGGTAAGGAAGACGGTGAAAAGAAGTTCAAACAACTGCATGCCAATTTCTTGGAGTTGCAGCTCGATATGGACAAATCACAGATTGAACTCAGAGATATGCGAATGAAATACGACTCTGAGAATCTCATTCGTTTGAAGGAACTCTACTTCCTGACGGTTGCCAGAAGTATAAAACTCCAAATTGCCAACTTGGGTTGGGAGTGTAATCTTAACATCTATGACCTCTACGAAACCGCTATCAACACACCGAAACTTTCATTTGAAGAATGGCCTATGTGGATAACAAAACAATTCGAATCAAATAAAATATAAATTTTTAAAATAAATTCCAAGTCCATTTGTTGTTGTTATTTCTTTAAAGATCTTCAAATGAAGAATGAATATAATATAAATATAAATTTTATTTTTTTAGTTATTTCCAAAATTTAATTTGTATAACTTGTAAATTTGTTAATAATTGATTATTGTGATGCGTTTGTTGGAACATCGGATTCAAGTGAATTTAATAAAAATGAAGAACTTCTCCTGACATTCAAGGTTTTATGAGGACTAAGGAATGATCTAGTTCTTTCCTTTAATTTTCCAACTACACTCTTTCTCTTCTTTGGAGTAAATATTTGTGTTTGCATTTGGTTTAGTTCCTAAATTAATTATAAAAGTAAGTAAAATGTTGATAATTTGAATAAAATAATAAACACTTACCTCCAAAGCTTTTTGAGCCATTGGGTATTTAATGACAACCTCTGGATCAAATACATTCCAACCCTCTTCATCGCTACCTTCTAAACGTATCTTCTTACGTCGCTCCTGTAGTTCGACGTCATCTTTAATCAATAGCTCGATTGCTTCATTACATTCCTTTACAAATTGTTCCTTTAATTCTCTGCTTGCAGCATTGAAAAAGTAGGTACCAGAATTATGATGTATTGAAAACTTTAGTGGTACTGTGTGTATTTCGGTAACAATTATTAGTTAATGTTAATTAATCCAGATTATTAACGTGTTTATCTGTTAACTTACACTGTGGATATTCTTTAAATATGGTTGTTGCAAGTGTTGCTTTTAGTAAAGCAGTTTGTTTCGTTGTTATTTGTTGCGATGGAACACCAATAACAAACAAATCGTTAAATAAATACAGATTGCAATCACTTGGAATCAATTTCTGATTCTTTTTCTTTTTGGTTCCGCTTGAGTAGTCTTCCTCGTCGGTGTCGTCATCGTTGTTAACATAGTGGTCGTTAATTTGTGAGATATTTTTACAGGGTAACAATTGGAACTCTGACGATTCCTTTACTAATCTACGATGAATTTCATCCAAGAACTAGAGATTAATAAAAATATTATAATATTAGTTATTTATAAATACTTTATAATAAAAACATCTTTACATACACCAATGGAATCATCGAATTTCAAACGAATGTTTGTTACTAATTGTGTCTTTTCAGAATCTCTAATACGTTCATTAATCGATTCCGTTAGTTTCTTTGTCATGGACATTGCATTTTGTAAGTGTACATAATCTGGATGTAATGGATTGGTGTATTGTAATATTGCATCAATCAGTAGAGTGTATCTAGGAATTCTCTGTTTAATATGTTGAATAAAACAATTACTAATTAGTATTAAATTAATAATAATATTTTTTTATAAATACCTGACATGGCATAATTAATAATGATTTCAAATTTAAAGTGATCAATGATTTATCATCAATGAATTTCTTTATCTTTTTACACTTTGCCAACCATTGATCCAAGTTATGTAATGATCTGTACCAATTGACATAATATTCTTTGTAAATTTCCAATGTTGGAATCTTTATTAAAATAAAGTAGTATAATATTAAATTTCAAGTTAGAAAATAAATAAAATAAAATAATAATCTTAATAATAAAAATAATAGACTTACAAATTTAAATAAAACATCTGAAAGCACTGTATCATTTGTTAGTGAACTGTTGATTCTACTTGAGAGTAGTGCCAATACATTCTTGTTGGCATCTCTAATGACTTCGATATTCGAGAAGATAGATACAATAAATTTAACTTCTTCAGGAGCAGAGTAATCACGTCTAAGTGGTAATAAATAAATCTAGAAATAATTAAAGAAATAATTAATTTAAATTAGGAGAAAATAAATAATATATAAAATATAAATTTGATACTTTACATCTACAATTGTATTTAAATGATTGAGATAGGTATTCTCAGAGGTTAATAACTCTTTGATTGCCTCCAATCTCTTTTTAACTTGCTCTGGAACGGTAGGGGTTGGTTCAGGTTTTCTCTCGGTTTTCATCTCCAACTCTGACTTTTGTCTGGAAAGGAAAATAGTGAGGTCACGCTTACTGGCTTGTTTGGAGATGGCTGCCGATCTTCTTTCCTCACGACATCTTTCATTGAGGTCGGAAGTCTCAATCTTTACAGACCTTCTAACCATTTGTTTGCTGTGTCTGTTGGCAGCTGATGACATCTGTGGAGTTGGTGGTGCCAGTGTTGTTGACGTTGTAGTTTGAGATCTCGAGACTGTTTCGAAAACATTTGAGTAACGCTTTGTATAGGCTAGAGGTGGAGGTGGTCCCATCAAAGTTGATGATGATGAAGATAGTGATGATGGTGGAGGCATTATCATGGACGATGACAATGACAATGATGATGATGATGCCGACGATAAAGTCAAACTTGAACCACTCGCACCACCATTTTCAAGACCACCACCTGAGGACATGGAAATTGGTTGAAGTGGCATAAGAAATGTGTGGTTGGTAGGGGCGATTGTTGACTCACTGTGATTATTCAAACTGAATGGAATTGGTAGTGAGGCCGTCGAACTGTTGGCCGAGGTCTGTGGTGGTGACATGGCCATCGGTGAAAGTGGCTTCGATGGCGAAAGTGTCTGTTGTTGTTGAATACTTAGATTAACATTATTTAAATTCTCTTTATTTTGATTTAAAAAATAAAGATGATTTGAATCTATCATTTTATTAATAAATTATATATAAATAGATTTTATTTGAATAATATCTAAATAAATAATTGATTATAAATATTTCTTTCTTTTTTTTTCAGTAAGTAATATTATTATTATTTAGTTAATTATTTAAGTATTACTACTACTTCTGGATATTTATAATTTTAATGCTGTTTATATTTAAAATTTTAATCTTATTATTCTACTCTTTGTTTAAATGGTCAACTATTATTGTATCCAATAACCAAACCATTTAAATCAATAATAATAATAAACAACAGCAAATATAAATAAATAAATAATATTGGTGAACAAAAATACAATTATATTTTTATCATTCAAGATCGATCAGATTTTCACAATATTTAGCTGTTAGTTTTTTGAAATTTTAAATTAAGGAGGGTGAAAAACTTTTTAGTTGTGCAAAAATGCGGATTCTGATGACGAATAACAAAAATGACACTACCTCATTTTCGAAAGGAATGTTATAACAATAAGGGGTGTGTTTACGAATAAAATACTAATATTAGTTTTTTTCAATAGATTTAAAATGACTATTGATAAAATATATTACCATTAGTATTATTGGTATTATAAAATTTGCAAACTTGAGTTGAATTAACAAACAAGTACTTATATGGAATATATTAATTCTAATAAATATTTATTATTTAATATTTTAATTAATATTATTTTATTTTTAAAAAGTGTTTGTTTTTTGTTGTACAACCATTATTAAAACTAGTGGGTTAAAGTTGTAGTTGTAGTTGTGTGTCAGACTTTAAATTAATAATAATAATAGACGACAAATTATTTCTTAATTAATTGCAATGATAATTTAAATTAAAGATTTTATTTTGATAAATTTGATTATTGTTGTTGTTGTTTCAATCATCGTTATCTTTAAAATTAGCCATTGGATCGTCAGCTCTCAATCTCTTTAGATTGTATGCTTCCATCTCTTCCTCTGTTACATTAAAACCTTCGCTTGACAATGAGTTGTAGTCTCTCTTTCTTTCGTCTGTCGATGTCGATTTGTTTAGTTTCTCTTGTTCTTTGATTGTCTTTCTTTAGTTTCTTTTCTTTTTCTTTTTCTTCTTTCTCTTGTTTCTTTTTTGATTTATCTTTACTACTACTACTATTATTACTATTATTTCTTTCTTCTTTATCATCTTTAACTGTTTCTTTTTCTTCTTCTTCTTCTTCTTGTTTATCTTTATCTTCGTATTTCTTTGAAATTGGTATTGTAGGTTGTTCTTTAAGTTTTCTTCCAGCTTCGCCTGTACAGTATGACATTTTGATAGTTTGTTTACAACATTGGAATCCCCAGACACCGTTCTCCCAGTATGATCCCCAAACGGCAGTGTGATTATTAATATATACATCCTCTTCATATTTACTCTTTGTCAACTTCTCTTCACCCTTGATGAGTTTACCCGAAGCAGAGTACTCCTGATAGATCTCTGTCTGTGGAACAATGTCGACAGCACCACTGCCGCCATTCTCTGGATTCCGAAGTGATTCTTCACCACCATACTTGTTCAAAATCAACTCTTTCGTCTTGTTCTTCAGCTGCTCTTTCTTCTTCAAGAACTCCTGATGCAGGATCGCCGCTTGTGAGGGTGCCGCCGACAAGTCTACATCTTGACCCTTATCGGATGCCTCCCAACTGAACATCTGCATCTGTTTGAACTCTTTAGTCTCACCGGTGTTTCTCGTAAAGTTGTCACCGGCAAACGGAATATCCGTAATGTTGGCGGCAGGCAGTGGGTTCTGTCTCATGGAACGCGACTTTGGTTCGTAATGCGCCGAATCCAAATCCAAATTATACAAATACTTTGCTGTATCCTCACGAATTCTGAGATTTCTCACGGTTGTTCTCGACTTTGGATCCATCTTTTGAATCAACGCTGCATCTTCATTATCAAATGTTTGATCTTCCTCTTGTTTCAACAGTTCCTCTTCATTCAACTCTCCTTCCCTAATAATAATTGATTGTATATTAATATCTATAGCAGCTCTCTCTTTTCATTATTATTATTATAATCGTAACACATACTTTAAATTCTGTTCTTTCATAATCTCTTGTAGACGTTTCTTCTTTCTGGCAGCTTCTGCCTTCTCGTAGACAGCCATGACATCTTGGTATGACTCTGGGTCGTAGCCATTGTAGGGGTCGCGCTTACTGTCGTAGTCGAGCTGTAGCGACTGGATCACTTCGTCCGGTCTGATGTCTTGGTTGGTGTAGCGCGCACCCACTTTTCGCGGACGTTCGCAGCAGTCTTTGGCTTGGTGAGTCATCGCACCGCAATTGGTACACGCACCCTTTCTGAATTTGGTGGCAGCCGGTGCAGCGTAGACACCGCGATCATACCACTGCTTGTCGTAGTCGGTCTTCTTATTGAATGCACGCTGATGTTTCAACGACGGCTTATTGGTATCGACGTACCAAGGCGCCTTTGTAATATACTGAGGAATGTGAGGATTGATTTCCTTTCCGTCTTCATCGAGCTCTGCCGGAGCGGTACCAGCTTTTCTAGCCTCCTCCAACTCCTTTTGTTTTCTCCAATCCTCTCTTTTCTTCCATGTCTCTGATTTCGATGCCATTTATATCTTCTATCTTTATTTTATTATATTCTATCTTTTTATTTGATCAATAATATTAACTAATAATAACAAAATAATAATAAAAATAATAAATAATAAAAAGAACAACAATATATTGTTTCTTTTTTCAGTTAGTTGTTTAAAACATTCAATATATTTTTGATTTTTCAAAAGTGTTGTTATTAATATTTTTGAAACAAAAAAACGAACTACAATTTCTCACCTTTTTTTATTGACATTGGAAAAGTTTGTGGTGAGGTGGATGACACCGCAATTGATTTGATTGCAATCAAATCACAAAATATCTGATAATTTATCATTATATTTATACATTTTTCATTCATCTGATTTCATATATATATTTCAGATTTTTATTTATTTATAATAATAATAATGTTAATAAAATATAAACATAGTAATAATATAGTATAGTATAGTGTTTAATAATATTTATTAAATAAAATAGTTGTAATAATAATAAAAGAGAAAATAAGATTATACAAACTAGTTAAATTAAATACTAGTCGAATTTTTGAACAAAAAAAACAAAAATGACAGCATCCAAAAAGTCAGGAAATAGTGGAGCTCCGCCAGGTAGTACTGTATCGAGTACAAACAGTGCGATCAATGCAGAGATGTTGAAAGCACTCACCTATTGCGGTGTTTTTCTAGGTTCTGGAATTTGTAATACCCTTATTGTACAATTAATATATGATACTGCTAAATTTGGTATGGAATCAATCAATCAATCAATCGATCAAACAAACAATCTATTTTAAGTTAATAAACAATCTAACCTCTATCTATCCATCTATCTATCTATTAAGATTCTAGAGCAATGTTAACAAATACATTTATATTTATGGGATATGCTATGATGCGATTCTTGCCGGCACCAACGAAAGGCACTGTGAAACTACGTCCGGGATCTGCGGTTCCCTCGAAAGTGTATATTGTATTGGCGGTACTCGATGCCTTTGCATCGTTGCTTACAACAGTTGGACAAATCAGTATTGGCAGTGGGTTGTTTCAAGTGATATTCTCATCAAAGATCATATTCAGTGCGTTGCTCTCAAAGTTTTGGTTGCGCAGGTCACTGACACCCGCAAAGTGGGCATCTATCTTTGTCATTGTATTTGGTTTGATTATATGTGTTTATAAACCATCTAGTGGTAGTAGTAGTGTTGTACCAAATACAGTAAATACATTACCAACTGTTGATTCAACAACTTCTACTGTGGATGCCCTCGATGCGGCAACTAAACAACAACAGCTAACAACTACAAACAACTCTTCGTTTTTCGCTGGTATCATTGCTGTGCTGCTAGCATCGTTCATCTTCTCCGCTTCACATATCTACTCTGAGCATATGTTGCGTGAGTTTGAGGTGTCGCCGTTTGGATTCGCCGCTAGCTACGGCTATTACAGTGTGATATGCTGTTTGATCTACTTGTCGACTATCACACTCTACAATATCAACGGTTGGATTCTGACACCGTTGTCGAACGTCCCCTACGACGGTCTGATGTTCTTGCTGACACTGTTTTCCATTCTCATCTGTACGAGCACACTCCGTTCGTATGGTATCTTCAATGTACTGTCAGAGTATGGTACAGTGACAATGGGTGTTCTCTACGCGTTGCAATCGATCGTTGTTTTCTTCTCGAGTGCAATGTTCCTCTGTGATCCGACGCATCCAACACGATCCGGTCAGTGTTTGACCACCTCCAAACTCTTGGGTTCAATGATAGTTATCACCGGTGGACTTCTCTACACATTCTCCTCAGCAGCTGCATCAAACACACCGACACCCGCCAGCAACACCAACAATACAAACTCAACACAAAACACTAACTTTATTCCACCATCACCTTCAAAAACATTATTAATTAAAACACCAACCAACTAACTAACTAAACAAATAAACAAACAAAACAAAACAAAACAATATCATTTTATTCTTTATTTTTAATATTATTTTTGAAATCATCAAACAAATGTTATGTTTAAACTTATTGACGGTTGACAGGTGTTAATATTTACTTTGGCGCCAAAAATTCCAAGAATTCAAAAATTTGAATAACATTTGTTTTAAAAATATTAATAATAATAATTATATTAATAATTATTTATTATATCTATTATAATATTAGATCTTTGTTAGTTATTTTAATATGAAAAGATTAAAAAGAACAAATAGTAAATATAGTGATGACGATGATGATTTCATTTCAGATGAAAAACATGATGATAATGATGCCGATGACTTTGAAAGTCCTGATGAAGTAGAGACAAGAGTAAGATCTAATAGTAAATATAGCGATGATGATGACTACGAAGAAGAAGAAGAAGATAGTGATAGTGATTTTAAACCAAAAAAGAAACATAAATCAGCTACATCTACAACCAATAATAATACTAGTACAAAGTCAAAAACAAAAGCAAAAACAAAAACAAAAGCAAAAGCAAAAGAAACAACAAACAACAAACCAGCAGTAACACCAAGAAAGAATAAATCAACAACGTCAACAGCAGCAACATCTAAACAACAATCAAAAATAACAAATCATTTCATATTATCATCAAATAATAATATAAGTAATATAAATAATAATAATAACAATAAAAGTAATGATGGTGATAATAAACAGAATGTTATTACAAGTAGTAGTAGTAATAATAATAATACAGTAATTATAAAAGATGAAAATAAACCGGTACATCCATTTTTCACTAGAGGCGAAGAGATTGTTAAAAAGAAGAAACAGAAGGAGGAGAATCAAAAGTTGTTGGAAGACAAGTTTCATAATAACGGTGGTCCAGTTGCAGAGATATTCAAATCGAAACAGGAGAAGGACCAAGAGTTTGTCGAGAAACTACAGGATGAACTCAGACAAGATATTATAAAGACATGTCAAGATCGTGCAAACATTTCAATTGGCAAAGTTATACATCCATTCTTTCAAATGACACCTTCAACATCGTCAACATCAACAACTATTAAAAGTAGTAATAGTAATAACAATAGCAATAATAGTAGTAGTATTAGTAATAATAATAATAATAATATAGTTACAATAGTGGATTGTGATAAACTTTACAATTTAAATGATTTTCCAGATAAATCACAGTGTCATATTGGATATACAGAGTGTGAACAGTGGAAAGATGGCGAAGAACTGGAAAGAATGAAACTTTTGGCATCACAAGAGATATTGGATTCAATGTTGGTGTTTGATTTGAATACATTCATCCCAAACTTCACAAGTATGCTTAAGGAAATCGATCAACAACTTGGATATAGTAGTTCTTCACAATTACAACAACAATCACAGAAATCACAACAATCACAAGAGGAATTAGTAGTACAAGTACAAACACAACAATCAATTATATTAGATGAAACTCCAACTACAATAACATCCTCATCAACAACATCACCATCAAATATAAATAGTAAACAAGAGATAATAATTGAAAAGTTGTATCAATTGTTGGTTCAAGGTATTGAAAGTGGTGGTGTTGAAATGATATCCATTGCAACACTGTCCAATATGTTCAATCAATTTAGAGGATCTGTTTCTCAGAACACTACTTCCACTAAGAATAGCAACAACAATAGTTTGTGGTCTGACAAATACTTTTCGAACAAGTTCAACGAGATATTCCAAGTGGTTACAAAGAGTAATAATACGTACACTGCGATGGACTTTGCAGAATGGATGGGTTGTTGGCGTGATAAGGATAAAGAGAGATATCAGGTCACCGATAGTAGTGCCACCAAGAAGCGAAAGTCAAAGAAGAACAGCGAAGAGTTGAACTCTACCATTGTTATGGTCGGGCCGGTTGGATGTGGAAAGACAGCGTTGATCTACTCGTGGTGTAAGCAATACAACTACCAAATTCTAGAGGTGAATCCATCGATGAGAAGAAATGGAAAAGCCATCATGGATCTACTAGGTGAAGCAACACAATCAAAGAGTCTTTGTAATTTTAATAGTAATAATAACAATAGTAACAATAGTAGTATTAATAATAATAGTAATAATACTAGTAATAGTAATACACTTACAACACCAAAGAAGTCAACAACAAACAAGAGAAATAATAGTGGAGGAGCTTTACAACAAACGAGTAACAACGATCTTAAACTACCATCGATGAGTGCAACATTGGTTTTATTCGAGGAAGTGGATATCTTGTTTGAAGACGATAGAGGATTTAGCAATTCTCTAACAACTCTGATATCCACTTCAAAGATTCCAATTATTATTACTTGTAATGGTAAGTTACTAACGACAACCTATAGAATCTAAATTTAGATAGCTATCTATTTTGTTCTAACTATTTCTTGACAAACAAAGAGAGTACACCTTTAATAGAAAGAATTATAGAGAGTAACGATTTAGATGCATACTATTTCGAGAGATATGAAGAATTGGAAATCCTATTGTTGCTGTATTTCATTTTGATGATGGAGGGCAAAGTAGAAACATTTTTAAATGAAGAGCAGTTCAATTCACTTTTACAATTTATTCGGATTCATAATAATGATATAAGAGGTTGTATCAATGACTTGGAGTTTATATGTTTAGGTAAATTGATGACGACGACAACAGCAGCGGATGGTGTGTTTTGTGACTCTGGTAATCTAAACTTTTATCAATTGGGAGGTGTTTCTGGTAATAATTTGGCAACGATTGTCACTGGAGTATCGACATCTAACCAACCGGTCGATCAATCAACACTCACTCAAATAGCAGATGGATTACAATTGGATGTATATTTTAGTAATTATCTAGATGCTTTTAGAGTTGGTAAAGGAGCAAGTGGAAATGGAAATGAAAGTGGCAGTGGAAATACTGTCGACAACCAAATTAACCCACAAATGACATTGGAAAATCTTTGGAAGCTTTCCAATGATATTTCATTTTGTGATATAATTTCAAATGAACCTGAAATTCAATCAAGATACTTAATTGTAAGTTAGAAACAACAATTCAATTTGATAATATAATATTAAACAACTATTTATTTAAAAACAAACAAAACAAGGGATCTGATGGAGAATTTAATAGTGAACTATATGAATTCGATGAAAATACATCGAATCTTATACAAACACCGGAACTCATTAATCATTTAACAAAATCAACAAATTCAATACAATATAATAATCGATCAAAGACAATCACCTCATTGATATCTCATCTAGGTATATCGACGTATCGATCTTCGACTATCAGCAGTTTAAAGTCAACACCAACACAACAATTGGAAGCACCGGCGATGATTGCCGATATCAATCGTGGCGATAGGTTAATTTACCAAAACATTATCTATCAGTACAGTCTGCTATCGTTCAGTAATATCTCCTACGGTAAAATGCTGTTGGAGTACCAACCATTCCTCCAGTGTATATGCAATTCCGAAAACCACCGAAAGTCAAACAATCCAAAGCGAGGCAATCGATTCAGTCACTATCTAAACTATGATGAATATCAATCTAATATTGTCATGAATCATAGTATCAAAATTTAGAAAAATAATATTTTAAATAAACAAACTTATTATTATTATATTATTTTATTATCGATCGATTATTAATATCGTAACACTATCTTATCCTTATATTATAATTATTTGGTCTAAATCTATATTTATTTTGTTCGGAAAAACAACAACTACCACTACTATTTTTTTTTTTACAATAATTGTTGGAACATTTGATCTACTGTACCCTTGATTGGTGATTGTGGTGAAAGGATTTGGTAGTGTTTGGAGAGTGGCTCTTCACGGTTGTCCTTGTTGTAGAGTGTAATTTTAGCGGTGTAGGCCTTGGTGACATCGATACCTTGGACATCTGAAACTTCCAAAACGATCTCTCTGGTGTTGGCATCCTTCTCGACGATGGTTGGTGCATCTGGATCGGCTGGATTCTCAAACTCACAGACGACAACAGAGTTTTCTGGAACTGTAACGTTTTCGTGGCATGCAAGAATGATTGAAAACTCTGATTCCTCTTCGACATGAGCTTCCTTTGTTTTGAAATATTTAGATACTGATGGAATTGTATAAATTAAATTCTCTGAGCTAATAATCGCGATTAATAAACATGTAAGTAATCTTTTATATTATCATCACATTAATTACTACTACCTACTTTTTAACTTCATTGAATTTCTCAATGGCTTCATCTTCGCGACCGACAATTAAATAACCACAACCTAATCTGTTGATTTCATTGAGTAGATAGTTTCTTAATTTCAAACGCTCGCTCTCAGAGTTTTCAGTGTTGTTGTTAACCTTTGTTTCGAAAAGTGGAATGATTTCCTCTTGTCCTTTAATGTATTTTTCATAGTAACCGTGGGCAAAGTAAATTGGTGCGGTAACTCTAAGGAATGAAATCTTTTGTTCACCTGGGAAGTGTGCCAAAGCTTCTTCTACTGTTTCATCAATCTTTTCGTCATTCTCTAAATTAATGTGATTATCATTATAATTAATATCTATCATTACCCTTTTGTTTTTCAAACTATTCTAAAAACATCTATCAATATTGATGTTGTGATTTGTCTTACTTTGAGCAACATAGAATTCAATTAAATCGATTAAGCATGATGCAACGAATTGAGTATTTCCTGATTTCTTTGCGTATTCAACTGACTTGTGAACGGCATCTAACCAATCACTCTTTGCATCGATCTTATTGTATAACTAAAGATATGTAAAGTAGATAGATATTATTAGTTTATCACATTATAATATATATATATACTCTCCGAATCCTGATAATATCATACATTTGCAAGAATTGAATAATGATTTGAAAGTTGTTCTGCCTTAAGGTTGTATTTTCTTGGAATTGACTTGGCCAATTCAATAGCTTCATTATATTTCTTATCGTCAGTCAAATCCTTCAAGATAACTTCATAGAGATTCAATGTCTCTTCTAATTTCTGTCCTTGTGGATTTGGTCCATTACCATCAATCAAACTATTAAATTATTATAAAGTGAAGTATAAATAAATAAAGTTAATATGTTATAGTATAGTTAATAATATTAAAAAATAAATAAACAAACTTACATTTGAGCATATTTAACCATTTTCTTTGTATTTTGAGTGGCATTGGCCAAACGGAATACCATGAACAAGGTGTTTCCGTGATCGACGTTCTGAAGGGTGATCGATTTCGAAACGATTCCGTACATGATTTCAAAGATCTCGAGAGCTCTTGGTAGATCTTCCTCTTGGAGTGCCTCCTTACCGATCTTACGGTAGGCTTCAAACTCCATGACCAAACGCTCGTCGTCAGCCTGCGAAAGCTTCTTTGGCTTCTTCATTCTCGGTGCCAACGAGTCGTCGCCACCTGAAGATCCAAACAAAGAGCTCTGTGTGAATCCTTCCTCCTCGACATAGTCTTGGTATTGGTCGTAGATCGACATCAACAATGATCCGACCACAAAGGAGATACCTCCATATGTCATAATCTTTGAGAATGAAACCATTTCTTTTCTTTCTTGTTGTTTTGATATAAATCAAATCTAAAATCTAATCTAATGTGAAAAAAAAACTAAACTAAACAAAGAAATTACTAATGTAAAAAAATGATGATCGAATAAATAGTCGTCAAAATAAAAAAAATTTTAAAAAACTTAAAACTATTTTTTAACATTTTTTTTTCACCTGCAACACTTTTAATCAAGCATATGCAATTAACAAGTTCAAATGACCTAAGAGACATCAACAACAACAACAATAATAATAATTCGACCAATTAAACATAAAAAGATTAAAATATATTCTACCCTCTACTCTTTCCCACTTTTAATGGATGACCAAAAAAAAAACAATCAAATACTTTCATGTATTACAGTGGGTAATAGGTGCTTATTAAGACTATTAAGGTTATCTATATGCAAGACACACTATGCCACTATGCAATGGAGCTAATACAAACTCGATTTTTAAAATTATTTTTAATAGCTAAAAATAAAAAATTAAATTGAAAAAAATTGAGTTTGTATTGGCTCCATTGCATAGTGGCAGTGCATCTGTCTCGTAGGATGCTAAAGTTAACAGAAGGTGCGAGTTCGATTCTCGCTGGAGCCATTATGTTTTGTGCCCCTGATGCGCGCATAATTAACAATGTTTTACATTGTCTTTTAAAATTACCGAACATCATTCTTGATCAAAAGAAATAAGTGTAATTCTTTCTTTTTATCAAATTTATTTATTAATAATATTTTAATGAATGATCAAATAGAACTAAAAAATTTTATATAAATTATTTATTTTGAAATTTTATTTTAAATTTTTAAAATAAAAATCTGTGTGATTTTACCCCACTTTTAATTAAAATTGTCAGCTGAAATTTCGTTTTAATTGTTTTTATTTTGAAATTAATTTAATAAAATATAATTGTTATTGTTGCATTGCAAAAAAAAAAGAATTTTCTATTATTAAGATATATTTTTAATTTTCTATTTATTTTATTAATAACAAGAATAATAATAATACACATTGTATAAAGATTGTTAAATATTACATGTTAATTTTTTGATATAGAGAGTAAGAGTAATTTAATTAATGAAAAGAGAGATATGAGCAATGCTATAAAGAGAAATAATAAGAGTGAAAATCAAGATATAGATGAATATGAAGAAGTAGTTGGAGATTATGTTAGCAGCAATAATAATAATAATAACAATAACAACAGTAATAGTCAACAAGATAATTTAAGTAGTAGTACAGGAAGTATAGGAACTACTTTGAAGGATCCACAACGATATATATTCAACGATGTCGAAGTGGATTCAAAGTCTGTTGATCTCAATGAAATTGTAAATAAGACACCAAAGCTATCATTGTTACCATTGAAACTATCTTCGAGTAAACTTGACCTTGAACCAATAGATAATACATCCGAAGAAGATGATACAGATGATACAGATGATAAAGAAGAAGTTGAAGGACTAATAGAAGATGAAAAAGAACAACAAAATAGTAGTTTAGATAATATTAATAAAATAGATAATCTTGTTGTTGAAAGTAAAAGTAAATATATTGACTCTAATGATGAGAGTGATAGTAACAACAACAGTAGTAGTAGTAGTAGTAGTAGTAATGGAGATGAATATGAAGAGGATGATGAAGAGGATGAACATGATGAACAGCATTTGGAGATAGCAGATACAACCATTCCAGTTTCACCAGCTTCAACTAATTCCTCAACAACAGAGGATGGTATTGAAGATACACACGATGATAGTAACAACAACACCACCGCCAACACACCTACTGAAAGAAATCCATTCACTCTCGAGAACAAACAGAGCAGAGAGATCTACACTTCAAAGATATTAGATAGACAAAAGAGTTTAGAGAATGTACCATCCTATTTCTCACCAAACAAACCACTTATCAACAAAAGTAAGTAACAACAAATATTGAATGTTTTACACGCAGCAAACCACTAATACATCATCGAAAAATAGGACATAGTTTCATAAAGAAAATAGTTAATAGAGTTTTCATTACTTTAAAATCAGCGACTTCCGAGGACTTGTTGACATCTCAGAAGAATCAGATATTGAAAGAGTTGTTTAGGAACGTTGCTTCGGAGTTGGATGACTCTGTGCTGGAGTATCTGCAGTGTGTCGAGAACAAACAGTCGTCGCCGATGCGTCCAAAGAACTTCACATCGTTCTCACCGCTGCATCTATCGGCGGACAACGTCTCGCTGCCCCCAATGACACTACTCAATGAATACTCTGACTCACCGATACAAATAACGAAACTACCGCATCCACCGACAGCATTCGACAAGTCACAATACCACAGCTATCCGATACTGGACGACAAGAGTACACCGACAATCTACTACTACCAACTGATTTCACAGTACTTTTACAACGTACCGAGTGAAGTCGATCGATTCCGTCCACTCTTACATTCACTCTGGAACAATCATTGGTTCTTTCTCATTTTTTCATCGTTATTCAATCAATGGGTATATATATTTATATGTTAAATCTTCATTTCCTTTCACTATAGTGAATACTAACTATCTTTTCTGAAATATATATCTTAGATATTAGAATATAGATTATCATTGATACCACAAGTAAATGTATTTATAAAAGCTACGAATCGGTTGTTTTGGCATGATATGGATAATAATACACAGCGATTCAAAGACGTATATTTGTTGTTAAAGAAGAAACTGTTGGATGGCAGTCTGTGGCGCGGATTGAACGAAGCGACCAATCCCAACGACGAACCACTCATGCTTAGGAACCGACGTATATGGATCGATTTCTATCATATCATAACCGTGTTTTACTTCTACTATGAGTTGGAGGTCGATCAACAATCGCTAGACGCATTCACCAATCGTGTACACATCGAATACCAAGATTATATCAACGAGAAGAAAGAAGCGGAAGCCGACCAACAACTTACGGTGAACGATATCTTTGTACGTGGAATCATACGACAACTCTATCTAATTAAAACCGAAGAAGTTTTAATTAAATATATTGAATTATCTATATTATTTAAAGGTAAATATATATAATAACAAAAATAATTAATACTATTTATTATTAATATTTTAATTTGTTTTGTTTTTGTTTAGATTGGAATTTAAATGCAGTCACAAAAATTAAATTACAATCTTGTTTATATTCATTCTCAAAGCCAGGATCACCGTTTCACATGCCAAGAGGAGTAAGAGTTATCTCGAGGAAATCACTGGATATTCTTTTCCCAGATGGAAAGATATCGCGATACACTGTCAATCTTTTCTTTAGACTATTACATCCCTACTACTCTGCAGGCTCTATCGTACATTGGATCGTAGAGACCACCAAATCATATATACCAGCTTGTATTTTAAAACGTCTCAATATTACCAAATAGAATAGTACATAACATAACATATCCAATCCAACAACAACGACAACAACGACAACAACAATAGTAATAACAAACTAGTAATAACGCCCGCCGCCAATACGAAAACTTATTTTTTTTTCATTTCAAAATCTTTGTAATTAATTTATTTAACATTATATAATTATATTATATTATATCTTTTTCTTTTCTGTATATACATAAATTAAAAAAACTAAAACTAAATCAAATCAAATCAAATCAATCTATAATCCGATTATTATTATTTTTTTTTTAAAGATAATTTAATAAATATTTATTTCTTATTCTATTTTTTTAAACCTTAACAAAAAAAAAATTAAAAAAATTTTTTAAATAAAATAATAATTTTGCAAATATTAATAAATCTTGTAAGTTCAAACAATTCGAATTACATTAATCGTAAGTCAAACAGACAGAGTCATACAAAAATGATATTGAACAAAGAAAAAGCGAATTTTAATGTACAGATATAAAATTACTAAAATAAGTGATAACAGATCTAAAAAAAACAAACTATCATAGCATTTTCCACATTAGAGTACCACTGTTTTCAAAACAACATTAACACACTAAGATACTTTCTGCATACCACTACCTTCGTTGATAATGAAGATCTTGTTCTTTTTCACTATGAGTTGGTGTTGTTAAACACAAGTTCAACTTTATTTATTATTATTCTACCAACGCTATCAACTTTTAATATGATGTTGATATTGATTCAATGAAATAATAATAATCATAAATATATTATTATACATATTTTAATTTAAATTAAATTAAAATACATTAAAATCAACAACAGCAGCAGAATCAAAATAATTATAAAAATAAGAATAATAAGATAATTATATAAACTAATTTAAACTATATTTATTTATTTAATATAATAATATTAAATTGATATTTATTATTTAACATAGTTGAAGAGCAGAGCAGAACATTGAGTAGAGATGTCGATCACATTTAAACACTTACAAAACAGTGACCTAAGAGCATATCAAAATGTATTTTCAACATTTTTGTTTCAAAGACTACCCAATGAACTAAGAGAATACAGTATATTTCTATCGGTTGCCGTCATATCTTTGGTCATTGTATTTTTCGTTTTCATGGGTTTAATTATATTTGCTGTAAGTTGTCAGTCAACACTTAAACCAATGATTGGTAAAAATATATAACTAACCTTATTGTTAATCTATATCGAAATACAGGGTACAAGAGCAGCTCCACAAAGATCATCATCAGCAAAGAAAAATAAATCAAAAGTAACAAAGAAGAAATCATCATAAATCATTACATTTCATAATAAAACAAACAGCTTTATATTATTATCATATGATATTGATATTGATATTGATACAAACAATAGATCCTCCATCCATTTCAATTATTTAACATATTAACAACAAAATCATTTAAAACATATGCTTTCAATTATCTTATTTTTTTATTATTGTTATTATTTGTTATCTAACAACATTGTTTGTTTAATAATATTATAATTTTTAACAAAAATTTAGAAACTAGGTAATTGGAATGAAAGATCAGTTCGTTTGAGAACCAAAGTAGATGATCAATTCGGATTGTCATCTCCATTCGATTCAGAGCATATATCGTCGAGAAATGGAAGTATAGATGTTTATAGAAGTAGGAAAGCTGGTCAGTCAGCACTGCCCGTACTCTCTTTGAATTCACATGCATCAATACCATCACCCACCATTACAAAACAATCGAATTACTCTGAAAAACTGGAAAGAAAAGCAAATCATGAGAAGAATGCATCTCGACGCAAGAGTATAGAGCCAAAATACTCTTACATTGAATTCGACGAAGACAGTTGCTACGACACTGAATATACTTCATCGTCAATGTCGAGTGAAGAAGAGATTCAACAACATCATCAACATCAACCCAAAAACCTTTTAAGAACAAACAGCGGCAGAAGAATACAACTCGATCAAGACACTATGATGAGCAATAGGGAAAAGAAAACTGTGATGGAGAGTGACGATGACTACGACTACGACAATGGAGGCTATTTAGATGAAGAGGACGAGGATTCCGAAGAGTTTGTAGATTCCGAGGAGGAATCTGAAGATGAATACGAAGAGGTATATGTAAAAGTCGACAACGTCGGAAAGAAAAGAGGAAGAGGCAGACCTCCAAGAAAATCATTACAGAAATCAATGAGCAGCAGCAGCAGTGAGAGCGAAGAAGACGAACAACAGGAGGACAATGGAATGAAAAAGGCTGGATTAATTGACTATAAAGACCTACCCAAACCAGGGACATCAAGAAAGAAAACCTCACCGGAACGTTTCGCAGATTTGGTGTTTGAAGATAGTGGACCAGGTTCGTATAAAATAAAAATTGTTAAAAAAATTAAAAACAATTATCTTCAAGTTAATATCTATTATGACTAATTAAATTTGAAACAACAATAGGTCATCCTGTACAATAAATGGTCTGAGGGTCTGTTTTTTTTTCAAAAAAAAAAAAATAATAATATGTAAATTAAAATTAATTTAAATAAAATAAAAAAAAAAAGATAAAAAAATTAAAAACAACCATCAGCTCCACATCATAAACCACACAGTTTTTGATCATTTTACAAAAAATCAGTGATTTTATCATCTTGCACGGAGACGAAACAATTCTCAACGATATTGTTTTTTTAGATATTTAAGTCTCTTCTAAAAAATAAAAAACAATGAGTGTTTTCAGTTAAAATGTACCAAAATTGAGAAAAAAAAATAAAACTCAAACAAAAAAACCAATAATCTTTGCAAAGTTCTTCTGACACAAGGATTTTCGAGTACCACCTTCCACACTACAACAAAGTTGTTTTAGTAGTCACTATTGTTTTATTTGTTTTATTTCATTACTTAAGTAAATCAATAAACATAACATATAAGAATATACAATAATTACATCAGATATATATACCCATACACATATAGTAATAAATTAACGAAATCAAAAAAGAAAAGAAAAAGACTAAGTTCATTAATTTGTTTCGAATAAAAATAAAAAAATATGGGTTTCCTCTCGAATGTTGATTGGGGTATGTACTTAGTTATATTTGCATCTTTTCTAATTATGACTGTTGAAAAATTAATTTAAGCTAACCTTTTTTTTTTTTTGTAATATTTCTGTTAAATCTGAAATATTTAGATGATATTTTTTCATATCAAACTGTAAAGATTGTAAAGATTAGAGATAAAAGATTGAGTATTTTACATATTTTGTTTTTGGTAGCAATCGTTTTGTATATATCCATAGGTACTATTCTTTTAGAGAAGAGATACCTCGCTACAGATTCTCCAATCGGTTCAATTAGATCAAGTTTACTTGCTGTATGTATTTATTAAGTATCAAAAAGATTATAATAGAGTAAATTAATTTTTTATTTATTTTTATGTTATTTGTAGCCAACTTATAGAGATCCATCACCTCCATATTGCAATACTTCAGGAAATGCTGAATATAATGGTTTCCCAACTTTCCAATGTCAATACTGGGATGAAGTGCTGGCACTTTATCCATCATCTTCCGATACATCGATGTTTATCACCACACGTGCCACCACTGAACAACAAGACACACTAAACAACTGCAATCTTACAGAACCCTCATGTGTATACGTAACCTCCAACGTTGTTGATTTATATGTTGCTGATATAGATAACTTCACCATTATGATAGATCACACCGTTTCCGCACCCAATTTAGATATTGAATATAATGCACGTGAACTCAACGGAAGATTATTAGGTTCCAATGGAAAAGTTTGGACTCCACCAGTAAGTCGACAAAATATATTAATACTATATATATATTTGATTAATATCTAACTAATTGTTTGTTTTATATAATTTAGCCTCCAAGTGTTGTAGGTGTAAAGAATAAATATGATATTTTGACATTGGATGCTTGTTTGGAGGCAGCTGGTATCGACTCTTTGGATCAACCATCACTTAGCAATGCATCGAGAAGTATGAGAAACGACGGTGTATTGATTTTAGTATTCATCACATACTCCAATATGTACACATACGATACCAGCAACTTTAGATACACATACGAGTTCAAAGTGATCAAGGATACCAAATTCAAGGCTATCGAGCCAATCTTTACAACAGGTGTAAATAACAGATTCGTATTCGACCGTCATGGTGTCAAATTGATTTTCATCCAAACCGGTACAATCGGTAAATTCGATTTCCAGACTATGCTTTTAACTGTATGTAGTTATAAAATAATATCAATCGCAAAAAGCTTCCTTTATAAATAATAACCACTAACGCCTGGCTAATTGATTCTTATTTATTTTAGTTTGTATCTGGTATTGGTTTAGTAACAGTTTCAACAGTTATTGTAGATGTTTTGGCAGTTAAATTGTTGCCACAGAAACACAAGTATCAGAAATTGAAATACCAAGAGGTTGGTGTCAGCCTTCCATTGTTAGCCAATGAAAATGAGACTGCAGATGCAGAGCACAAGAATTAAGATATATATATAATTACAAGACTTTTTTTTTTTCTCTCAATTAAATGGTTCATTTCTTTACAAATTGAAATCAAATCAAATAGTTGGACTCCAATCTTTTTTTTCCCTTCACCACTTTTATATTTAAAAAATTAAGTCAGGCAACTCTATATTTTGTATGAATTGACAATGTAAAGCTTTTCAAATCAAACAAAATAATAAATAAATAAATAAATAAAAAAAATAGAGTATTTTTTATATCATATAATAGTCCTAATAGTACATTTTATTATTTATTGTTATTGTTATTTTCTTTTTTTACTATATATAGTTAAGTTGGTTTGTTTGTTTTTTTTTGTTTGTTTTTTATATTCTAATGTTTGATTTATATTAATACATCAGATTGATAAATTCGAATCGGGTTTAGCAAACACGTTGAATGTTAAAACTATGATTTAGTTGGCTTTGTCGGCTTCGATTGCGGTTTGTTTTGGTTCAAAATCTACAATACCATCCAATGGGTAGTTGGCAGCGTATGACAAAGCGTTGAGCTCTTCTTTCTTCTTTGCCAACAATTCATTCAATCTGTTGTACTCGTTGATTGGGAAGTTTTGTCTGGTAAATAATTTCTGTTGTTTACGTCTGAACAGGTTGTTGTTCAAAGCCTCGAATGTGTACTCTGTCTTGGTGAATGTGAAATAAATGTAACCAATCAAAACAGTACCAAAACTGACAAAGTAAGTTACTGGCTCCATAATATCCCATGATAATTCCCACTATCAAATTTAATTAAACAATTAATAATCCATAACAACCAATTAAATTTTAATTAATACATACCCATGTCAATCTACCGATGATGGCAGCTTGTGCAACCAAGTATCCAAGACCGAGCCAAATGACACGGTGTGCACTCTTCTTTGATTTTGTGTCGATGATTGACTTGATGTCATCCAATGGTCTGATACGATCTTCGAGGATCTTAATTTCATTCTTCTTATTTTCAATCAATTGTACCAAACCTACACCTTTATTTTCAATATCCAATACACTAAAAGCAAAAAAAAAAAAAGCAAGGAATGGTGTTAGACTATTTACTGATCGAAAATAAAAACAAACTTGCTTAAAGATGATCTTGCTATGACTTACTTATATAATGATTGGTAGACATGATTTGGATTGATAAAAACAGAGTTGGAAAGAGTTGGTGCGGTGGAGTGTGGGAGATAAATGATATTTCCTGATTCGGTTAAAGCACTTGCGAGTCTGTTGACCTCACTATCTTGGAATCCAGATTCAACACAAAGATTCTTGAACTCGTCAAAGGTAATCTTTGTACGTGGATCCAAACTCAATCTTTGTCTCAATTTAGTGGCATTCGATGACTTTAAAATGATATTAAAATCTTGATTTTGTGTTGAGAATGTGGTGTTTGCAGTAGCTATAATTATTTCGAAACGCATTTTTCACAATCATTATTAGAAACAAACATATAAGAAATAAAAAATAAAAAATATTAATTAATTATATATAACTTACAGAAAGATTGAATACTGGTTCTGAAAGATCTTTGTAAATTGTTGACTCTGGTGAAAGATGAAGTGGTAGCAGAGTTACCAAGAACTCCACGTCTCATCACAGTACTAAATAACTTTGAGCTATACATAGATTGATTGTTTTATTTTATATAAATAATATGAACACAATATACAATTTTTTTTTAATCTAGAGAGGTCGATCATCAATGTTTTTTAGAAAGATCAAACAACCCAAAAAAATTTTGTTGAAAAAAAAAAAATAATAAAAAAAAAAACAATCATTTTTTTTTTACATGAAAGCACATGGATATTTTTGTGTATGTCTTGCTTTTCTTTGTGATCTCAAAAATAGAAAGAAAATATTATTAATTAATTGAGGTTGTGTTGTTATAGTTTCTATATATTATATATTGAATATGGTAGTTTTATTAAAATATTGTTGTTATTGTTGTTGTTGGACGTTTTGGTGATGAAAGAGGAAAATGAAGTGATGATAAAGTCGTTTTAAAACTATCTATAAAATTACTACTTGTTTTAATTGTTATTTTTTTTTGTTTTTTTTTTTTTGTTTGATTAAAACTACAAGGGCTTTGTGATGGATTATTATGAGAACATTATTTATATATAAAAGTAAAGTTGTGTGTTTGTCTTTTTTATATAATTATCGTTTTTTGTTGATTACCAAATCTCGTTTTTTTGTTGTTGTTGTTTTTATGTTGTTGGAGAATATGTGATTGTTTAAGGCAATATGATTTTACACTTTGTTGTTATTATAATGGAGTGGAGGTTGGTTGGTTGGTTGATTGATTGTATTTTGTTATATGTTGTAATATTGTATTGTTATTGTTAATGTTGTTTATCTCTTAAGTGTTTCAATAATTTGAGCAATAAGACTGTGTGTAATACCTGGCTTTGCTTTCTCAGCGTTGTCAAATGCCATTTTGAGTTGTGCCAAAGAGTTGATAACGTTTTCATCTTGTGTGCTACGGAGCAGCTTCGAGAGCACTGGGTAGATGACAGAGGTGAGAGCGCTCGCTCTTGGTTGAGCAGCGCCGGCACCGTTTTGAGCTGGTGCAGAGACGACTGCGTTGTTGGTGGCGGGTGCAGGCGAAGATGGCGCAGCATTGGCAACGGCGACCGGTGCAGTTGCAACTGGTGTTGGTTGTTGTTGTACGACTGGTTTTTGAACTGGTGCTGGTGTTGGTTGAGTGACGACCGGTGGTGGTGTTGGTTTTGTTGGTTCGTCGACGTTTGGTTTGGTGAATGCAGGTTGTGCGGCTGGCTTGGGTGCAGCCTGTACAGGTGTTGGTTGTGGTGTGGAGGTAGCGGCAGCGACTACCGGTGACTTGGCGGCTTTAATAGTTGGGAAATCCCATCCGTCGTCGTCGTCGTTGCCTTTGTTGTCTCTATCGTCGCCGTCTTCATCCTCCTCGACGTTGCCACCGTTCAGCTGTATCCACTTTTGTCGACGTTCGATCAACTCGGTGAGACAGCTCGTCTTTTTGGCGGCCTTTATGAATTTGTGTTTCAATAGATCTTTAGCTGTTGGACGTAGATTCGGATCCTTATTCAGACACAAACTACAAAACTCTTTGAAACCCTTTGAGAAATTGCCCTCGAGGGTGGGAGGTGGATCCTTTGGGATCAAAAAGAGTGCACGCATCGGATGCAAATCGGCTCTGGGTGGCTCGCCCTTGGCCATCTCCAACGCTGTAATACCCATACTCCAAATATCCGCTTTCGAATCGTAGCCAGTCTGTTTAATAACCTCTGGTGCCATCCAAAACGGTGTACCTACAAATGTATTTCTCTTTGTCATTTGATCAGTCAATTGACCACTTACACCAAAGTCTATTTTAGTATTAAAAGTAAAAGTAAAAAGTAAAAAGTAAAGATAAAGAAAAAAAAAAGAGAAGAAGAATAAGTTAGTTAGTTTAATCATTATCATCAATTCATCATAATTTAAAATAGTTAATAGATCTATCATCTTACCAGCTAATTTAACATCACCGCTGGCTGACAATAAAATGTTGGCAGCTTTAATATCTCTGTGAATCTTTCCTTCGGAGTGGAGGTATTCAAGACCCTTGAGTAACTCTCTGAGGATGATGGCAATGAATGCCTCATCGAATGGACCTGGCTTCATGAGATCCAAGACCGATCCACCAGCGAGATACTCCATGATGATCCAGAGCTTAGTTCCTTTCAAGAAAGAACCAAAGTACTTTGTAACGAAAGGACTCTCACATTGTGACAACACATTGATCTCCTGTTGAATATCTTCGATTTCATCCTCTGCATCGTCGAGATCGATAATCTTTATAGCTATAGTTTCATTTGTTTTCTTATTTATTCTGTATTTATTTATTTATCATAAATATAAATCATAGGTTAATTCACATTATTAATAATATAGTACTATATATTTAAATTGATAGAATAGATAGAATAGATAGATTTTACAAAAATGTAAAAAAGAAAACAAAACAACAACAATGCTATTGCAATGAAAAACATACCCTTTAAATACCTCACCAAATGAACCTTTACCAATCTTTTCTTGTTTAATATACAACTCTTCTGGATCTCCTTTTTTGCTTGCCTAAATTATAATACGAATTAGTTGATCTGTTTTGTTTTGTTTTTGTTTTTGTTGTTTATTTTTATTTTCTCAAAACATAAACACAAACACTAAACGAAAACACATAAGATGTTTTGTCGCATTCATTCGTTCATTCATTCATTCATTGATAATTATCAAATATGAATCTGAATCAATTCGAATCTTTGTTTTTGTTTGCTTATGTTTATGTAAGATTGATTGATTGGTTGTTTGATGATCGTCATACCATTTGTCTATCTATTTATTTTTTATTTATTATCAAATATTATATTATTATTATTATTATTATATTACTATTTATTATTATTATTATCTAATATTAATACTATTTTTCAAAGTATGTTCTAATATTATTGTGAAGTTTATTGTATGTTTGATATTGACTTGGCTTATTTTGATAATTCCTGTGATGTGATTTACTACAAAACAAAAAAATTATAAAAAAATAAAATAAAAAATAAAAATAAAAATAAAATATTAAAAAAAGAAAAAGTTATATATATATCTATATTATATTATAAATAATCTTAAATATTGTTGTTTGATCAATATTATTGATTATTTATTGTATTGTTGTTATTGATTTGATTGATGAAAAAATAAAAAAAATTTGTTTATTGGTTTGATTGATTGTTATTGTGTTTTTTTTATATTGGAGTTATTTTTTTTTTTATTATTTTTTTTTGTGTCTTTTTTTAGTTTCAAAAAATTTTATTTTATTTTATTTTTAATTTTTTTTGAATAATTATTCCAGGTTTTTTTTTTTTTTGATTGAAACAATAGTAAAGAGTTTATCTGGTTGGTGATGTTTATTATTATTATATTTGATTATTATTTTAATAGATTGTTTATTTAGTTTAAACAATAAATATTTTCTTTTTATAAATTTGTTTGTTTTCTTTTTTTTTTAATTTTTAATTTTTAATTTTTTGCAAAAAATAATAATAATCTTAAAAGATCGTTCAAAACATTGAAACAAAAAAGATAAGATAACCCAACCCAAAAAGGAAGGAATAAATTAGTTTGATCATCATTAATTTATATATTGTCCAAAAAACAAAAAAAAAAAACAATGTTGTTTTGGGGTTATATGATTTTACACAATTATTAGGAATGATGATCTGAACAGCCAGCTGTTTATGTTTTATGTTTTATGTTTTTCTTTTCTTTTCTTGGACTAACTAAATTTAATTAAATAGAATATTTAATAATATATAATAATCAATGGAGAAAACTGGTGGTGAATTAAGTAAGGTTAGTGTTTGTTTATCACCTGTTTTATTTTATCAATATGCAGAGCAGTTGGATAGTGATTGTATAGTTGTGGTGATCGATGTACTCAGGGCAACGACAACTATTGCAAGTGCACTCAACAATGGTGCCAGCGGTGTAAAAGCAGTGTCTGAGGTATCGGAGTGCATCGAAGTCGCCGCTCAGCTCAACGGTGTTGCCGGTGGCGAAAGAGAGGGAAAGGTAGCACCCGGTCTGGAACATGGTAATTCACCACTGGAATACACCAGAGAGTTGCTAGGTGGACGTCCACTCGTGCTGACAACCACCAACGGCACACGTCTTCTCAACCTAGCACAGAAACATTCACCAAAGCAAATCATCACCGGTGCCTTTGTCAACCTGGATGCAGTGGTCACTCACATCCGCGCAGAAAAGAAACTCTCGGAATCCAATCGATTGAATGTCGTTCTAGCATGTGCAGGTTGGAGAGATTCCGTTTGTCTTGAAGACTCTATGTTTGCTGGTGCAGTAGTGTCGAGACTGAGAGAAACCGGTGACTTTCAAATTCAATGTGATTCCGCACAGACCGTTGAGTCACTCTACAACAGCGCTAAATCCGACCTCTATGAGAATCTCAAATCGGCATCACACTTCCAAAGACTAGCGAAACTCAATCTTTTCGACGACCTCAGATTCTGTCTTACTCCAAGCACAATCAATCTAGTTCCATTGTTCAACGTTGACACTGGATTATTAATTTCAAAAGTACTGTAAAATAGCTAACAATAACAATAACAATAATCATAACAATAATCATAACAATTTATAAAGTAATGTCCTGAATTAGCTTTGTTTTTATTTAATTATGCATAATTGAATCTGGAATGAATCCATCATTTACTCCAGCGATGTAGAGATGTTCTGGAAACTCTAGGGGGTGAGGATTGTTATGTTTCAACTTTGAGATGATAAAGTTAGCGAATTGCTGGCTGTTTATCTGTTGGCTCCAGATGCGTGATGATCCTCCTCCATTGGCCTGCTGCTTTTCTGAGAAGAATTCATTGTACCATTGGTTTTTGATGACATCTTGTAGACCTTCTGCCCAATGACTTGGTTGTCCTTGATGGTACAGGTTGTCTATTTTTCCAAGGTGATAGTGTAGGCGGTATTTCTCACGGCGATACGATCCCAGACGCTCCAAACATAGAACCACGTTTGAATCTGGTATGACTGTAGCGGACGACTCTGAAGTGTTCACATCGGGTGAGGTGAACTCACTCTTTCCTTTCACCAAGAAACACTCCAGTCCCGATGGATTGGACAGAGTCGATTCACCACCTACATCTATAACAACACTGTACAAACAATTCTGAGTGGGTTTCGACATTTTCTTTTCACTATAGATAACAAGATAGATGTCACCTACATGCTTACTATCCACTTCACTATCTGGAAATGGTGTATAAGGTGGTAGTGGAGGTGGAGTTGATTTACTAAATAGTGATCCCATTTTAATTATTTTTTATTTCTTTGTTTTTATTTTTTTAATTTTTTGTTTTTTTCTTTTTATCTTTATAAAAGAATAATTAAAATTATAGTTGGATTATTTAAAAACTATGAAGTTAGTTAACTTGAAGATGATTATGATATCATAGGAATAAATTAATGAATTATTTATTTTAAAATAACAATATTAATTTAATAATAATTTAATATTTTTTTTAATAGCATTTTATATTCAAACCGACATAGAGATAAAATCATTGCATTCACTTCACCCGATTGACATGTGACTTACCACACCAAATCCTGATGATTAATTCGATATGATAAATAAAAAAATAAAAATGTTACACCACCAAAGATAACACAAATTTGATTCTTTAAATAATTAAAATTTTGAGTTATCCTAGCTTGATTATAATAAATAAAGAATAATGCTATGTGAATGTTTGATATTTATATATAATCAATAAGAAGAAGTTATTATTATTGTTGATTATTATTTTTGTTTTTTTTTTTTTTTTTTGATTTAAATAATTATTTTGATTGTTTTGTTTTGTTTATTTAATATATTATATAGTGTCGCTCATTTTATGTTCAAATTGTTTAAAAAAAAAAAGGTAGTACTATCTTAATCAAGTCCGAATGGATTGTTGCCACCGAAAGGATTTCCACCGAGTTTACTTAGATCCATTTTGCTCAGGTCACCAAGACCTTTCATATTTTTAACAGAAGCCAACATCGATTGTAAACCACCCATACCCATCTTCTTCATCATCTCTGGTGGCACCATGCTTGCGAGTTGCTGTAGATTTCTCTGATTTGGCACACCACCCTTGGCCATATTGGCAAGATTCTGAAGACCTGGTCCCTTTGAGAACATCTTTTCGAATGCCTTCTTTTGTTCGACCAACTCTGCAACCTCTCTTGGGTGTCTACCCGATCCTCTTGCAATTCTAAGGATTCTCTGTGGTGTGATTTGATGTTTACCATCCAATTCTATTTGAAAAGTAATTACACTTATTAGTATATCAAACTTATTTTATTCAACTATGTTTTTTCTGTTAATATTATTATTATTATCGATACATACCACCATCTGACATACTGTCTAAAATATTGATATAAGCTTTAAGTTTCAAGTTACCGGCGTCTCCTTGTAGTTGTGGAATATTACTCATACCTGGCATCATTTGTACAACTAATAATAATTTGATTATAATTTGATTATTTGTTAGAAATGCTGTGAATTCTTCTAAAGGTTGGTGAAATGATAGATATCTTACATTTATCGATTGGACCAAGATTCAAGATTTGTAAGAATTGTTGTTTCATATTTCTAAATGTGAATTTTCCAGATGCTATTTCCTCCAAGGCTTTTGTATCTTTTGGTACTACGTCTGCAATCATATTCATCATTCCTTTAACATCACCCATACCCAACAATTTACTAACAAACGAAGATGCATCGAATAAATCTAAATCTGGAATATGTTCACCTGTACCAATGAAAATAATTGGACTCTTTGTAGCTGCAACACTATACATATATATAATATTAGTATTAATATTCTATTCTATTTCCAACTATAATTAACTAGATTAATACATACGCAGAAATAGCACCACCACCCTTTGAGTTACCGTCCATCTTTGTAATGATAACAGAACCGACAGATACAGAGTTCTTGAATGCAGTGGCTTGATCGAATGCAGCTTGACCAATAGAACTGTCCATTACGAAAATAACATTGTCTGGTTTCTATAGAAACATATATATATATCAAACTAGTTGGTAAACAATAATACTTATGATAAAACTACGTAGATCTCTAGAGAGTTGATTTTATACTTACAACTACAGTTTCAATTTCTTTCATCTCTTTAAATAGCTCTTCTTCTTGTTTATGACGACCGGATGTATCGACGATGATGATCTCAGCACCGTCCTTCTTGAAGATGTCAACACCCTTCTTGGCGACGGCAACAGGATCTCTGTCGGTGTCACTACCGTAGAATGGAATCTTTGCTTTGGTGGCATTGTGTTTCAATTGGTCGAAAGCACCAGCTCTGAATGTATCGGCACAAACCATTGCAGTTGCCCATCCCTTTCGCTTGTAGAACGATGCCAACTTGGTGACCGACGTTGTCTTACCGGCACCCTGAAGACCGACAAACATAATGATATTCGATTTACCCTTAGTTGGTTTCCAAGGTGCAACACCTGGATCCAACAACTTAATGAGTTCATCAAATACAACCTAACCGAATCGATAACGTTATATAATCGATCATTAATATATTTATAACTAACACGTTATATGTTTACATCAATTGAACAGAATAAATACCTTTTTAATGATTCTTCTCTTATTTAAACCGGCAGCCATTGCATCCAACTTTAATTGTTCTTTAATATTCTTTCTCATTTGAATGATGAGTTTCAAGCTTACATCGGCACGACTGAGTGCATTACCAACTTCTTTCAACAATGTATCGATTGTCTCTTCATTTATAATGGTTGAATTACTCATATTGGCCAAAGCCGATGAGATTTGATTACCTAAATCCGCTAACACCATTTTTCTTCTTTCTCTCTATTCAACAAATAAACTAACAATGTAATTTACAAATTTTAGCAATATATATATATTGATTGAACAATGATCGATTATCTCTGTTTTTGATTTTGATACTATTCTCTCTACTGCTACTGCTACTACTTCTTATATAATATACCAATCTAAAACTAATATCTATCTATCTTTTTACTAAAAATAAAGATACTTTTACAATAATAGTGAATAATATTATAGATTAATTATTATTATTATTATTATTATTATTAAGAAACTCTACTAATTTAAAAGTAGGATGTGCAGTTTATTTAAATAAGAAAGAAAGATAATATATAAATGAAATATATAAAAAAAATTAATATTTTGACTTTGTATGAACACACCAAAAAAAAAAATTCAAAAATAATTCAAACTTTGTACTTTTTTATTTTGTGTTTGCACGCAAAAAATCGATGATTCATTAATGATTCAAAAATATATTAAAACATGTTTAGCCTTAACTTGAATTCAAATTGATAATGATTTAGAACATTTAAATAATAGAATATTTATAGTAATTTATAAATATAGATTTTTGATTGTTTATTTTAAATATTTTTTTTGGTATTATTATTATTATTGTGGTACTAATGCAGTTGACTTGATTTCAATTAAAAGGTTTGGGTTTGGAAGTTGGTGAACTGCTACGGTGGTTCTTGTTGGACCGGTCTCTGCGTTGAAATATTGATTATAGACCTGATTGAACTTTGCATAGTCTTGCATATCGACGAGGAATACGGTTACATCGATGATATTCTCTAGATCGGCACCGGCCGACTTTAAAATCGTTCTGATATTCTCAATGACTGCTTTGGTTTGTGCTTCAATACAAAGTTGAACTGAACCATCTTCCTGTTTTGTTACCTTGTTGTGTTATTTTAAAATAGAAAGTCAATCACTAATTTATTCTAATATTTGAATTTATTTATCTATCTATCTATTTAGTAGTAGTAGTAGTAGTAGCAGTAGTAGTAGTAGTAGTAGTAGTAGTAGTAGTAGTAGTAGTAGTAATAGTAAGAGTATTAGTAAGAGTAGTAGTTGTACATACACCCTCATAGGTATTATCAGGTCTTCTCGATGAAATACCAGAGACAAACAAGAAACCACCGGCTTTACGCATGTGTGGATAGTTTGCAAGTGCCTTTGCACGATCATCTAAAATATATGCTTCTCCGTTCTTTGACATCTCTCTCTCTTTTAACTTGTTGTTGTTTGTTGTTTGTTGTTGATTTATAATGAATGGATTAATTAATAAGAATATTCAGATTTGAAGTCCAAAATGAACAATCTCATCACTAATTTAAAAAAACAAAACCCAAAAAAAAAAAATTTTATCTTGGGATATCGTATAAGGATCATCCTCCATTTGTGAGACACTTTATTGCAATTGGTGTTATTCAATATTTTGGATTGGTGTGTGTAATTACTGGTGCTGTTACTTTGGTGGTATCACATCTCATACCTGGAAATTCGGTTTTACCAACTATTGGAATAATTAATATGATCTGTTAAATAGTGTTCCAAATCATTTCAATTGCTTTGGAAGCAACTCTACCTAAAACTTTGGCCAGTATAGGATGGGTTCTCACTCGAGATGGATTAAAATCAATTCCTTCCTCTGGTTTTGGAATATTTTCCTCGGCGGTTATAAGTGTATTAGGAGTGATCATCTCAATTGTCAGATTCAGACAAATGAAACGTTTTAGAGAATATTTAATCCTAATATAAAACGATGATAGGCGAACAGTAACTGAAGTTTCAGTCCGCGGCCAGAAGACTGGGGCGAACAGTAACTCGAAACTTCCGCGGATACCCGAATGGAAGTTTGTGAAATGTTGACCGTTTTTAATGGTAATAACGAGTGCTATGCGCCATTTTAAAAGATATTCAAATCTAGGTTTAGAATTTCAATAGATATACAATTCATGTGTTAAAAAAAACTCACTAAAAATTAATAAAGGTCATTTTTTTTTCCTCTAGAATCAAACCAAGTTGATAACTATGTTTACTTAACTTGTACCTATATCATATGGAATAAGTTTCGACCATCATAATATTAATTTTTAAAAATATAATATGATAAAGACAAAGTGTCACAGTTTTAAAATCCATCGAGAGATGGTCGAAACTTATTCCATATGACCTAGATATCAGTTATGTAAAGATGATTATCAAATAGATTTTGATCTAGGTCAAAACAAAAAGACCAGTTTTGTGTCCCTAAATGCGGACATGCAAAAATTCCTACTCGGTGGTCATTCTAATTGTACTTTCTTCTCACCCAAAAGAGATGTTGAAGGTGAACATTAATAGATACATTATATAAATATCAAAAATTTATTATTTATTTTTTTATTTATACTTAATTTATATTATTTTCATTTTCTTTAGTTTCTTTTAATATAAAATGACATCTATAATGAGTTGGTTCGTTGTTTGGACCCATAACTGGAATCTCCTTTACAACCAATTCGTACCATAGCTTATGATTAATCACCAGATTGTTTGGAACAATTAATGATTCTGGTGGAATGTTTGGACCATTTGGAAGAACAACTGGTTTGTCTGGATTTGCGGAATCATACTTCTTGAGTACATTGTGTTGGTACTCCATTCAGACCTATAACTGGAATTGTAATAGGTACAATTCTATACCATAACTTTGGATTGATTTCAATATCCGCTGGAACGATTAGGTTTGGCTGAATCGGAGTTGGTTGATCTTGATTGGCGGTAGTTGTCCAGGTTTGTACAGGTGATCGTGTTGGTGCTGCTGAGGAATCCATATCGATCAGTGGCTTTGGTAAATAAAGGAAGAATTAGAAAATAATTTGAGATTGGTCGGATATCAACTTCTTTTGTTATATTATAATTAAGAATATTAAAAAATGAAAAATAGTATGATAAAATCTTAATAAAATTTTTTATTTTTTATTTTTAATAATCTTTTATCGTAGATCCTAAGATATAATTCATTAGATTCCTTTTGTTTGAACTATTATTCTTCAAGATATTTATTTCTATTTTTTTTTTTTGGACTTAATCTTTTTAGTGAAATAATTTATTAGTACTAGGTCATTTTTATACAAACGAACTCAGTCTTAATGATTGTTTTTACAAAGATACTAATGACCTCTAAATCATTTTAAAGACTTGATCGCTAATATTACTAATTTGGTTGTGTTGTCACCATCTGTTTTAAAAAACTAAAGAATTGAGGAGTTTTTTATTTTAAGATTCGCAAAATTGTTTTTTTTTTTTTTAATCGGTATTTTTCATATGTAACTGACTCAATTTATTTCCTTTTAAAGAGTTCTGTATATATTTTGAAAAAGAATGCTACCTAATATATTTTAGTGATATCTTAGAATTGATTTGAGGGATATGATTTAGTTTTAGAGATCGAATTTTATGATAGGTCAAAAATTTTTTGTATTCTATTCATTTCTTTTTCTTTATACTATAAATTTGTATTCTTTAATTTATTTAAACTAAATCATGGATCTTTATAAAATAAAACAAACTCTTTCGAAATACACTCGATTTCAATTAATTATATTTATATTGTTTTCAATAGTAATTGCAGCATTGTTTAGTTTATCAATTGCCTCGGTTTCAAGTGATTGGTACTACGTTAGGTACTATGATTATATAAATCCCAGTGATTATGTACCAGGATATCAGATTTTTTATAAATCATACTTCAATTTATATAAGCTCAAAACAGAAATAGTAAGTACTATTTAGTTGTTTTCAATTTTTTTAATTGTCAACTAATTTTTTTGTGTTTTTTAATATGTTAAGTTTAATTCTTGATATCTATATATAACAGAGGGTTATACAACTTTAACATCGATTAAGGATCCTCCTCAATGGGTGAGACACTTTATTGCAATTGGTGTTATGCAATATTTGGGATTGGTGTGTGAAATTCAGTGGTAGTGAGTATAGTGATCAATTTAAATGGGGTCCTTCCTCTGGTTTTGGAATTTGTATTGCCTCTGCAGCTGTAAGTGTATTTGGATTGTTAATTTCCATTATTAGATTCGGCCAAATGGTAAATATAAGAGTACAAATACCAAAGCCTCAGATCGACATGGCTACATCAGTAACACCAACACAATCACCCGTGCAAACCTGGTCAACTACCAATCCATATCAAACAGCTCCAATTCAACCAAACCTAATAGTTCCAGCTGAAATTGAAATCGATCCAAAGTCATGGTATAGAATTGTACCTATAACAATTCCTGTTCTGGGTCCGAATGGAGTACCATCACACTATGTCCAACACAATGCGTTAAAGAAGTATGATTCCGCAAATCCAGACAAACCAGTTGTTCTTCCAAATGGTCCAAACATTCCACCAAAATCATTGTTTATTCAAAACAATCTGGTGATTGATCGTAAGCTATGGTACCAATTGGCTGTAAAGGAGATTCCTGTTATGGGACCAAACGACATACCAACTCACTATAGATCGCATTATATATTGCAAGTATCTAAAGAAAATGGAAATGAAAATAATGAAAATAAAGTATAAATAATTTGAGTTACAAGAACTATAACAAGTGGATGAGGAGAAATCATTAAATTAATAAAAGAAGTTTTAATTTTTCTTTTTTTAATTTTATCATAATATTAGTTTCTCAAAGAATCAATGATCAAAAAAATTATCACATTTTACAAAAATTACGAAATAATAAATCTTTTAAATCAAAAAAAAAAAAACTCCTCAATTCTTTAGCTTTTGAAATAAGAGGTTGACAACACTACCAAATTAGTACTAATGATTAAACCAAAAGCACCAAATCATTTATACTTATTACTTTTCGAAAAAATAAATTTCAACTATTGGGGTACTTTAAACTTTAAAGTATTTTCATAAATATATATATTATGAAAAAATAAAAATCCAAAAAACATAAAATAAATAAAACAACGAGAAGTTGATAGATAATCATATACTAGTCTATATATCAAAATTATCGATTTCTTGTTTTCAATAAAACAAATGTCCAAAATATCTTTTTGAAATCGACACCACATTTAATAAAACCAAGATAAAAAGATAGAAAATCATTATACGAGTCTAAAGATTTAGAAATTATTAAAAATTAATTTCTACTAAATGATTTTATCTTTATTGTTTTAATGAATTCCTGCGATCAAATCCAATTGGTATATGAATGTTTGTAAAATTTTTAAAATTAATATAAGAGATATATTGTCATTTTTTCTCTTGCTTTTTGAAGTAGTTGTCTTCTTGTCATTTGCTCACCATTTGGAAGTGTAATCGTTGTTCTGTCATTGATTCTCCATTATTTAGTGTGATTAATTCTTCATTTGAAAGTGCATTGCAAGGTTAATAAAAAATCGGAATTTGTTGGATCACACCCTATTGCTTTCAAGTATAGTTGTATCATAGATTCTCAAGTAGGAAGCGCGATCGATTCTCCTGAAAGAGGCAATTCATGGTTATGATAATACTCGAAATTGGTTGGATCACATTCTATTGATTTCAAGTATAGCTGATATTGATTGATCTGATAGAAGAATGGTAGATGATCGAATTTCAGCTTCCAGAATTTATGCCAACTTGTAATAAACAAAAAAATAAAAAAAAATACTAAAAATTTAAAAAACTGCAGTTGCATATTGTTGACCGGACTTCTAACCAGTATTGGTCAGATAATATCGGCCGATTTTTGAGTTAGACACTTTTGCTATGTGATTTTAAAAAGATTTATTTATTTATTTAAATGAATTAATAATAGTAGATCCATAATAACAACGATCATTCTCATCGTTCCAATCCAATTTACACCATGAATCATTCTCGATTGAATATAAATGATTTCCATATTCTTTACCACCAATTAAATAGATATAACTTTCATTATCGCTTACTCTATTGAATAGCATCTTAAGATAGTTCTTGAAAACAAATTTGATAGTGGTGCATCTAGTTATTTCTTTTGAATCCAAGTTAATTCTTACGAATCTGATGATAGAGGTTCCAATATAAGTAACGTAGATATTTCCATTATCGTCGGCACAGCACGATCCAATCTTTGAAGAATTGTCCAACTTGATGTGTTCGCACAGTTGTCTACTGATTGGACTGATCTTGTAAATAATCTTTTTGTTATTTGCCAAAATGTACAAATGATAATTGTAGTAGAAGCATGCAATGGCACCGTAAAATGTCTGAGTATCATGATCGAACAAATGAGAGAATCGCTGTGTCTTTATATTGAATTTAATAATCTCCAGTGGATTGTTGACTAAGTAGAGATGGTCGAGTCCGTCGTAACACACCGATAGTAAATTGGCTTTGTTTTTCAAACAAAGATTATCTTGGAAATCTATTGATTTCGATTTCAAAGAGAATCGATAGTATTTGTTGATAAACTCATTCTCGATGAAACAACCAAACATATAGACATACTCGCCAACAGCAACCATCGAATGTGGAATAGAAAGTGAATTGTATTGGAAGTTCATCTTCTCAATGATGATATTGTCTCGGTTCGAGACATCGATGAGAGATACAACCTTTTGACCATCGGAAGCCAATATCAATGATTGTTGAACAGGCTGATTTGACTCGACTACAGGTTGACTGGATTGAGATGGTTGTTGTTGCTGTTGTTGTTGTTGTTGAGAAATAGCTTTGAAAGAGGTTGGATTTGGTGGTTCATTCCTCTTTAAAACAATATTGTGTTCAATGGTCTTTGGTTCAAGGTAGATGGATTTGCCAAGATTCAATTTGAAATCTTCGATGAAATCTCTGTTGACAATAGCGACACCAAAGTGTTTCTTACAAAGATATGACTCGTAGGTAACATTTCCTTGGTTATTGTTGCTGTAATCATGGAAATACTTTTGGATTGACTGTAGAGTTTGGAGGTTTTGTTCGTGGGTGTTGGATGGCAAACAGCATACATTGGAGAACAAAGAATGTGTATTACTATTGACGAAATCATCGATATTCTTTGATTCATTGATTGATTCAATGATGTTTCCAATGAAATGGCGATGGTGACTCTTTGCTTCGAGTTCTTCTACTTCTTCCTCTTCGTCCAAATCGAATTGTTCAAAACAAGAGGTGGCAGAGGATACTGATAGTCGTTTGAGATGGTGATGGTGGTGGTGGTTCTGGTGGGAAGATGATGTGGCATCAACAAACTCTCTACCATGTATATTATTGACAATGACATTGATCTGTTTCAATTCATTGACTAGCTTATCAATGCTATCGGACACCTTGTGTTTCTCAGAGATTACCGATTGTTTCAGTTGGTGTTCTCTATGCTTGAGGATATCATGGAGCTCAGCAAACGACTTGCCAATAGAATCTTCGGTCGCTTCCAACGATTTGTATGAATCTTTTAATTCATTAATGGTACTCCATATTTGATCGATTCTCATGTTAACCGGGTTGTTATTGTTGTCAGAGGAGTGATTTGAATGACCATCACTATTGTTGTTGTTAAGTGACATACTACTACCACTGCAACTACTACCAACACTACAACATGAAAGGTCAGTCAACCCAAATGGTTTAATCGACTTTTTAATATTGTTAATATGGTCGAATTGATGTCTATTGTGACTTGGTGAACATTGAGAACAAAGTAATTCATTGCAACAGTAGCAAATCATTTCCAATCTTCCATTATGGAATTCACAATGTGTACTATAAATATTATTCATTATTATTAAATGTCTATAGCTAAATAAAGACTTTGTAATAAATAAAACTAAGAATAATTTAAATATATATTATTTATTATATTGTTTGTGTTTTGTAATAGTAATATTTATTTGGTGATGATAATAGTCAATGTGAGGGTAATCATGATGATGTTGTTTATTATATACATTGTATTAATTTATTTTCTTAATTAATCTATTGATTTATTCAACTTGAAGAGTTAATTGATTAGTGGTGATTGATTGATTGGTGTGTTTTGCAACAAAAAAGGTGATAAATCTGATGTAAGTCCACCACTACTAAATCCATAGAATAAAAATACATAGGTTTTTATTCGACATACAATGTGTGTTGTATTTTTAATTTTTATATGTTTATCAACAACATTGTCCAACACATTTATTATTTGAAATAAAAAATATATAAATATTGTTTTATTATATTTGATTATATAATTAATTGAAAAGTCAAACACAACATTTTGATTGATTTAATTTTAAATTATTTAATTTTATTTATTTAATAAATAATCAGCTGTTTTTGGATCTTTTGAACTTAGATATGGATAAAGTTGAGCGAAATGTGGTGATAAATGATTGGTAGTGCAACTCTTGAAAAGTTCGATGGTCGATACTAAATTGGTGTAGTCATTTTCGTCGATGAGATGTTGGAATATACTTCGCCAGAATGGAAGTTGATCGATTTTAATGAGTTGGAAGTAGGAGGAGTTCAATATCTCACGACAGCTGTTATAGGCGGAGGGTGTCGATGCTCGCTTACAGAGATACTTGACTATGGGATAGTAGGTCTCAGAGTTGGCTTGTTTCTGACGAGTGAGGAACTGGAAGATTGCCCATGCCTCGGCGATCTTCTCCTCTTTGAGCATCGAGAGAATCAGAATATTATAGAAATAGGGATCCTTTTCAAAGACCGACTGGAACTTGGCTTTGGAAAAGTTGAACAAATCCATGATCTTGGCGCTCGAGTCTGGCACTTGCAGGAGGATCTTGGCGAAGCGGACAACCGCCTGCTGAGTTACGAGCTCTGGACGATCACGTGCCACCTCACTCCAGAACGAGATGGTTCTCTCTGGCGGGTAGCAGCTGAGCATGTTGTAGAAGACGGTCGAGTTCATCAGCTCCTTGGCGTTGGGCATCGACTCGAACAGACGGATACACTCGGCGGAGCGATTCTCATGTTTCGCTTTCGCCAATCCACTGATGATCGAGGAGAATAGCAGCGTATCCATTTCGACATTCTCCGACTCCATCAGCAGCTTTAGCAGGTTGTCCAGCGAGTGTCCGTTGGTGGCGACCGCGAATCTCGGGATGAGCGTAGTGTAGCTGATGGCGTCCAACTCAATGCCCTGACGACGCATCTCACCGATGATGGCATCGCACATCTGGAACTGGTGATTCTCGGCGAGACGACGCAGCAGTTCGTTGTAGGCCGATGCGTCTACAGTCAGCTTCTGGTGCGACTGCGACAGTACTTCCAGTGCTTTGTCGACCATCGACGCATTGATATAAGTGATAATCAAGATTGTGTAGGAATGACGCGTTGGTTCTTCCATCGATTGGAAGAGTTCCTCTACTTTGGCAACGTCGCGCTTCTCACAGAAATACGACATCAGCGTGTTGTATATATATGCTCGACTCTCCTTGTCGGCGGTGCTCTCTGCGTTGTCTCTATAGTGATTGAAAACTTCTATCAACTCTGGACCGGCCATCAATCGTTTCAAAGCAACCATCACCATATTGTAAAACTTTGAAGGTATCAACCCTAGCAACTTTTTATTGTTACAATTCGCCTTATAAAAATCCATTATCTCATCGACATCATCCAATTGATTCAGTGCATGTAATCTAATAACAAAAAGGTAAAAGTTAATTGGAAATTTAGTCACTAATTGAATAATAGGTAGGTGAATATTATATTTGTACATACTGAAATTTAGGTGATAGTTCATTGAATGGACCTGTTACTGTTTTATTATTGTATAGAATACTCTTTACTATTGTATTACCGTTTTCATCTTTGTTTGATATGGGTTCAGAGAGTGTTTGATCAAACTTGTTCAATGATTCCAATGAGTGTTGTTTGTTGTTTCTTTTGTTTGATGATGACGACGACGATGATGATGATGTTGATGATGATAATTCCGATTTAAGTTCATTAATTTTGTAACCTGAATGTCTCTTACGTCCTGTACTCTGTGACTGAACAAATTTATGATAATATGCAACTGATCCTCCAGCACTATTATTACTATTACTCTTATTAAACAGACATGTTACATCATTGCTATAACAATGACTAGATGATTTCAAGAATGTTTGATTTGCTGTTGTAGTTGCTAATCCATTTCTATATATTACTTTTTTGAATAAATTTAAAATATTATTATTATTATTATTAATAGATATATTTAACATTCTAGATATCTATCTTATATATATCTATAAATATTTTTACAACAATCTGACTGATCTGAAGAATGATAAATTTAAACTATTAAATTCTTAAAAAAAATAAATTTTCGTTTTTAAAAAAAAAAAAAACGACGATTAATATATATTTGTTGTTTATTTTTAATCATTTAAAGTTTACATGTTATATTAATATAGATGATGGGTAGTATTTATTATTTAGTATTATACAATATAAACAGATGATCAACAATTAATTGTTGTTTATGTTGAATTAATTCAATTTTGTTCTATTGGTTTCTTGGCTCCAAGATGATTCCGTATTTGTGTGGGTGGATTGTAATACCGTAGATTTCTTCATCATTGATTGGAGTACCACTTGCAGAACTTAATTTAAAGTTCAATATAATATTGGTTGTTGCAACAAATATCTCTTCAATTGCCAAACTATATATTTTTAATTTAGTTAATAGCTGTTGTTAAATCTATAATATTATTTTAGAATTATTAGAATAATTACTTTAAACCAACACAATTTCTTGGACCAACACCAAATGGAATCCAAGTTTCATGATTGTTCACATTCTCTGGCTCCAAGAATCTATCGGGATTGAATTGCTCTGGATTTGGCCAATACTTTGGATTGTGATGAACCGAATAGATATTCATTAATAATTGTGTCTAATAATATTATTATTATTAAATGTTAGTAAAATAAAGAAATGTTTAATATTATTGAGTTAATAGTTATCATATCGTACCTCTTTTGGAATGAAATAACCGCAGATTTCAGTATCTTCATTATTTGATCTGTTCAATCCCATTGGTGCAGTCGGTCTTATTCTCAACACCTCTTTAATCACGGCATTGGTATATGGTGCGTTTGGTTTGTGTGACAAATTAACCTCGTTGGTATTCAATTCTTTCAATTCTTTTGCAACTTTCTCTTGTACCTCTGGGTGATTAATCATGAAAAGCATAAACCATTCTATAGTGGATGCACTTGTATCACTTCCAGCCAACAGAAGATCAATTGAAACTCTTAGAATTCTATCAACTGAATCTTTACACTCTGCAATTACAATATCAAACAAATCTCTTGGACTATAATATATGATGACTTTTCTGTTAGTAAACGCTATAGATTATTCATTTAGTTGTTTTATAATAAACTTACTTTTCAGCATCGAAATCAATAAGATGTTCATCGTAGATGGTTTTGATGTATGCTCTACACTTTTCGATCTCTCTCAATACCAGATAACTCTTTACATAAAGCAGTGGTTTTAAAATTGTTACAAAATTAATTATTGATCCATGACCCATTGCCTTTAGCATCATGTTGAAAGGTTCGATCAACTGTGCCATGATTCCAACATTTACATCTTCTTCATCAGGAATAGATTTAGAGAATGCAATTCCCAGAACTACATTCATTGCAAACTTTTTACAATATCTCTCTGGATAGAACTATAGATATTATATTTTAAAGTGTTAAATATACTGAATTAATTCTTCTTTTAGTAAATTAAATATTTATGAATTGATAGTTACCACTTGATTTGATCTTTGGAATTCTTTCATTGTTTCTATGAGGTGTCTTGATTGACTCTCGATAAGAGTGGTCATTGTTCTGATCTTTGTCTTGGTGAATGACGAAGATACCAATGCTCTCATTGGTTTCCAAGTTTCATAGTCAGAAGTCGCCAAGTTTGTATAGTTACCACTCAATAACTTGGCAGTATCAGTATGGTATCTATTAGTAAAATTCATAAAATTCTTTGACCATATCTCCCTAATATTAATAGAATTTTAATAGAAAATAAGTAAGAATATATTAAAAATAAAAAGATGAAGGTATTTATAATAATTACTTTATAATAACAGGATCAGTAACAACAATTGTATAACGATCACCTAACCAAACTCTAAACATTCTACCATCACCTAAAGTCATAGACATATCATTCAGCTTTCTGTGTGGCAATTTACTGATTTTATGAATCGATCCAAGAATTGGCCATTCAATTTTATTTCCAATTGGATCATTATTAGAGAATTTCTTATTCTTATCAATCTGAATAATAATTAATTAAAAGATTCGTGTTTTTTGAATTTAATTATAAACTTACAAATGACTTTATAACATATAATAAAAATACAAATAAAATAAATATAAATATATTCATTGTTGTTTTTTGATTTACTAAATATATCTTTAAGAAGGTTTATTAAACAACTTTGATACGTCAGTCAAATTAAGTGCAATTTCATCTGTCCAATGGACTACCCCATTTTTTTTTAGAATTCGACATTTTTTTCTAAATTGGTAACCAATCATGATGATGCTTTAAATGAAATTTCTGAATCCCATCAAAATAAATATCTTTTTTTTCAACTTTTTTTGTGATTATTCAAAGATACAATCACTCAAAAACAAACATATTTAATACCAGGTTTAGAATGGTTGCTAAAATGAACAGATAACTTTTCTTATTATTTAATATTTCCAAATTACAAATATTTTTATTGATCTTTGATGAGATAATAAATAAAATCAAAGGAAATTCCCACATTGCGAAAAAAAAAAAAAAAGAAATTGTGTTTAAAAATAAAAACAATTCAACAAAATTGATATCCAACTCTAACATGAAAAATAGCTATTATAATCAACCCCTTTTTTAATTATTTAATACCAATTGTACACAATTATTATTTCTTTGTTACTTTTTTTTCTTCAAACTCTTCAAAGAGTTCTTCAAACTTTGGCTATGGATAAAATTTTAAATATTCGAATTTTCTTTTTTTTTTTTTTTTAAAACTTATAATTTTTTTTTTTTTTTTTTCATAAAGTGTTATTTACAAATAAATACTAATGTTATCTACAATTTATTTTGTTCTATTGTTTCCTTGATTCCAATAGTACTCCATACATTTTAGGACGAATAGTTAATCCATATATCTCCATGTCATCAAGTGTTGATCCAGTTGAAGATTTCAATTTAAAGTTTAATAAAATATTTGAAAATGCAACATATATCTCCTCCATTGCCAAACTATTTTTTTAACAAACTAATATTAATATCTGTATCTAATTCTGTATTAATAATACTTATTAGAATAATTACTTTAAACCAACACAATTTCTTGGACCAACACCAAATGGAATCCAAGTTTCATGATTGTTCACATTCTCTGGCTCCAAGAATCTATCGGGATTGAATTGCTCTGGATTTGGCCAATACTTTGGATTGTGATGAACCGAATAGATATTCATTAACATATGTGTCTAAATTGGTAAAAAAAAGAAAAGAATTTAATAATCATTTTACAATCAATTGATAGCTATCCTACCTCTTTTGGAATGAAATATCCACAAACTTCTATATCCTCATTGTTTGATCTGTTCAATCCCATTGGTGCCAATGGTCTTATTCTCAACACCTCTTTAATCACGGCATTGGTATATGGTGTGTTTGGTTTGTGTGAAACATTGATTTCAGTAACATTCAATTGTTTCAATTCTTTTGTCACTTTCTCTTGAATATCTGGATTATTGATCATGTATAGCATAGACCATTCGATAGTTGATGCACTTGTATCACTTCCAGCCAAAAGAAGGTCAAGTGAAACTCTTAATATCCTATCAACTGAATCTTTGCACTCTGCAATTACAATATCAAATAAATCTCTTGGACTATAATATATGATGACATTTCTGTAAGTAAACCATTGATTATTCATGCTAGTTATTATAATAAACTTACTTTTCAGCATCGAAATCAATAAGATGTTCATCGTAGATAGTTTTTATGTATTCTCTACACTTTTGAATTTCACTTGCAACACGATATGTATTATACCATAGAACTGGCTTTAGAATGTTAATGAAATGACACATGATACCTTGTGCCATTGACTTTAAAATGAATTGAAATGGCATAACCAATCTATCTACAATACCGCCATGTACATCCTCAGTATATGGTATTGTCTTTGAAAAGACCGTTCCCAAAACAACATTCATTGCATACTTTTTACAATATCTATCAGGATAGAACTAAAAATATATGGTAGTGTAAATGTATGAGTTAATAATAAATATTTTGCTTCAATATTTAAAGTACATACAATTTGACCTGAATTTGAGAATTCTTTCATCGATTCAATTAAGAATCTTGATTGATCCTCAATCAGTGTGTTCATTGTTCTAACCTTTGTTTTGGTGAGTGATGAAGATACCAATGCTCTCATTGGTTTCCAGTGTTGGTAATCGGCAGTTGCTAAATTGGTGTAGTCTCCACTTAAGATACGAGCTGATTCATTATGAAATCTATTTGTAAAACTCATAAAATTCTTTGACCATATCTCCCTATTATTAGATATTAAATTAGTAAAAATTTAAAATAGATGTCAATATTAAAAAGTAATTGTAATATTTACTTTATAATAACAGGATCACTAACAACAATTGTATAACGATCGCCAAACCAGATTCTAAACATTCTACCATCACCTAAAGTCATAGACATATCATTCAGCTTTCTGTGTGGTAATTTACTTATTTTATGAATCGATCCTAGAATTGGCCATTCTATTTTGTTGCCAATAGGATCATTGTGTGAAAAATTTCTATTTTTATCGACCTATTAAAATAAATAAATATAGATATGTGAATTAATATTAGAAACATAAAAATAAGATCTTTTCTTTTAACTTACAAATGATTTGATAACATAGATAATAAAAACTATTAATATAAATAGAAATATATTCATGTTTGATTGGAGTTTTTTTATTTAAAATGAATTTAATTCATTTAAATACTTTATGATTGCTTTGCTAAAAGCCTATTTTCATCCTCTAAACCGAAAGATATTTTACATTTTTAGCAAAAAGTTAAATTAAGTTGGAGTTTTTGACCACCCTTACAATTCATTTGTTTTTATAATAATTAATTGATTGATTAGACATAATGAATCATCAATTCACAAAAAGGAAGGTTCTATCAATAAATTAAACTTTCAAGTTATTTTTAGAGAATAAAGAAATTAAAAGTTATTATTTATTTTGTAATGAACGTGACAAGCAAGATTTAAAAAAATATTAAACTCAAACTTTTTTCAATAATCACTTTAATCCAATTTCTTGGAAAAAAGCACTTTATAACCATCGATAATTATATCAGGATTGAATATTTTATTTTTTGAACCAAAAATTGTTCAATATCTTCATTGTTTGGTTACCTCTATTTATTTTTTTACATAGGAAAAACATAATTGATGAGTATTCTCATAGTGTTTGAGACTATAACTTGGGAGATTGATACTTGAGAATTGAACAGTATCTTTAATCAATAATTTCAACTTTTTTTGATGATTCTTGATTTCCTTTATTGTTGGACCCATGTCATCAATCCAATGGAAGTTGAGTGATGCTCTCTCGATTTCACCTATTGGCAGTGAGAAATAAAAGTGGCTAATCTGATGTTCACCAATCGATCGCTCTAACTGTACAATAAAATTCTTGGTTGCTTCGATGTTGGTACTCCCTCTTAATACCAGAGTTTTCAACGATTTCATACACGAGAGTGGAGAAAGATCTACAGATTGATCCCACATTGTTGTTTCAATCCTTAGATTGACCACCGATTCGGTCTGTGACATCAATGATATCATTTCACTGTCGAACTGGAATTCGTTAACATGAAACCACCTTAATTGACGTTTATAGAAATCTCCACGTAGGAAATACTCCAAACACTGTTTTCCATTTTGATTCCACTTTGTAAAACTGAGCAAAAGATATTTGATATGTGAATTACTAAAACCAGGATTAATAACAACAGCGTTATTGTTGTCACCACTGGGTGGTTGAAGATATGATATCGCCATTGTTAATTCCAATCTTCTGACTTTGAGAAGTGGTAAGATATCGAGCCAGTCGCTATTCAAGTGGTGGATGTATAGCTTGAAAACTTTAACTCCTACTATCGCTGTTAGATAGCTTTTAATATTGGGATAGATAGTTGGCTGGCTATTGCATTTGAGAAATAGCGTTTTGACATTCGCGAAATTCAAAAACAAATTTGGATCGTCTACCTTCTCTAAAACATGATCGTACAACGATAGATCCACAACATGTTGATACAGCTTAGGGTTTTGCACTTTCGATTTGAAGGTTTCGTCTGTCCATCGCTCGACGAACAACTCATATCTAATACTCGGTGGAATGATCTCATCTGGTGTTGGAAGCATTGCACAAACCGAAGAGGTACTTGTCTCGGCAGTATGAATTTGAATCGTTTTCGTCTTGAGTTGCGTTGCCAATTGGTAGACCTGGCGGTAATCTACATCGGCAAAGAAAATAGTTTTCAAACATTTACACTCTTGGTCGAGTTTCAAGAGTAGCGGTGTTGTCTTTGCTGAGATTTCATCTACTACCAACATACGTGCAGTATTCAGTAGTGGGCCATAATCTCCCAGATCCAACAGATCCTGATTCATATAGATAACTCTCGGTCCTTTGATGACACAATACTTGTTGTTAAAATGTTTCAAGAAGTAGCGCAATTGATAAGTAAGTTTGACAAACTTTGTAATATACAACTGTACCCAACCAAACCAATGATGTGATACCAACGCCAATCGGAGTTTGGAACGAAATGGAAACTCTCCAATGTCCTTCCCACATGCATAAGCTACTACTCTCTGTTGTATGAAATGAGGTAAAGATGAATATTGATTAACAACTTCATCATCATTACTAGAAGAATTCTTCTTTTTATCTATTCTTAAGAGAGTTTTAAATAAATCAAACATTATTATTATTTTATCCGTTATTTATTGCGGTTGGTGTAAATAAATAATCAATAAAAATCTTTGAATATCATGATATAGTTTTGTGAAAACTTTAACTTTATTTTTAATTTTAATTAATTTTACAACTAATAAATTATTGGTTTAATTGATTTGATTGATTTGATTGATTTGATTGATCATGTGAAAGAAATGGAAAAATATTTTGAATGAATTCGTTGGTTTGTTTTTTTTTTTTTTGGAAAACTAATTTATTACACATATTGAGCAACCGGTTCTTTGTTATTAAGAATTGGTGATTTTGGTTGCGATGGAATGTTGTTACGGTTGTAGTTTTGTGGAGCTGGGTTGAGAGCGATTGGCTTAAATACTGGCAATGGGATGTTGTTGTCACTGAGATGCTTCTTGTATGCTAAAACGACCTTTGGTAATGTTTCCATTGTCTTTTTCAACTCTGAAAGAATGTTGGCTTCAATCATTGACGAGAACCATTGGAGTGGTCCAGTAAATCTGAAATTAATCTTTTGTACCTTGAGACAGTTGTTATCATCTAATGGTTCTACAGTAATAGTACCTTCAATACTATAATTATCAAATTAAATATTAATATTTGTTTTAAAAATAAATAATATAAACTTATAAGTTTTGTTAAAACACTTACAAAATATTTTCTGATAAAAGAGGTGGGTTTGTCTTGAATAAAATTTCTCTCTTTACTTTGGATTTAAGTTGAGTGTCTTCGTATGATACCTCTGATTTACCACTTGAAAACTTTAAAAGAATGGCTGGTACGCTTGTCTTTGGTTTTACACATACTTTTCTGAAAATAACATCGCCCTAATAGAGAGAAAAAATAAGAAAATTGGTTAATTATTGGTTTTGGATAATAGAAAATTAATAATTGTAACTTACTTCATCTCTTTCTTCTTTCAATTCAAGTGAGTTAATACCCATATATGGAACTTGGAATTGATCGAATTCTGGTGTCTCTGTAATGGCGTAGAATGAATCAGCGTTCATTGGGATGATTTGTGTAAGTGTATGAGTTGACATGGTTGGTTGTATATTATAAATAATTAATTTATTTGAAAATGCGTTTATATAAGTTAGGTATATTAAATATTTGAGTTTACTGGTTGATTGATTATTATAATGCTGCTAGCGTTGAATACTGTATTGCTAACAAAAAAGATGATATTAATTAATTAAATAAATAAATATAAAGGTTACTGGAGATAAAAGACTTTTAATAATAAATAATATTATATTACTATAAATTCAAAATTCTATAAAAAATAAATAAAAATAAATAAATAAATCAATATATATAATATTAGTATATAATGTCTTTATTAAAATATAATTTGTTTCAAAAATAAATATAACATTAAAAAAAGTACAATGAAATAATTAATGTAATGGTAATAAAAGTAATGGTAGTAGGAGTAATAATATTGGTAGTTAAAAGGTGGGTGATTTATGCTGGTGTATCTGCAAATGGTCAGCCTCAGTCTTTTAATATTTTAAATCTAATAATACTGCCGAAAAGAAATATGAAACAATTACAATGTTATTTGTTATGTGGAGTTGTTATTGTTGATATTAATTTGTGTGTGTGTGTGTTATTGTTGTATAATACTAGAAGTAGAAACAATAGATTGAATGAAGCAAATATAATATAAATAATATTCAAAATGGAGTATTAATAAAGACAAGATAGATCTTTAATTAAATGAAATTGGAATGTTGTTGTTGCTGTGTTGTTCTTAGTTTGTTGTTATTTATTTATTTATTTAGTTTAGTTAGTTTTTTTTTTTTTTAGTTTGTCAAGGATGCAAACCGATGTTATTGTTAATTGTCGGTAGCACAATATTAAGATGGGTAGGAAGTTTGCACAAAAGGTTTGACAAAAACGAGAAACATGATGATGAACAGTCGTCGCACTGTGTTCTACAATTCTAACCTGGGTGAATTTTGTGGTGGTGGGGTTAATTTGCAAAAGATGGCAAAAGATAGAGAGATAGGGTGAATTTTAAAAAAAATAAAATTTTAATTTGTCGTCTGTGTGTGAAACAAAAAACTGTGACTGTTTGAAAATGTTCTTTATTATTATTACTACTTTAATAATAGCTATGTTGTTAAAATAGGTTTTTTCTACTTTAAACAATGACGTAGGTAATTACCTTCTATTTTCGAATTGGTATTAGAATATTTGCAAAAATTAAATAAAAAAGTATTTACAAAAAAGATTTAATTTAATTAAATTAATGTGTATAGTTTGTTTTGTTGATAAATATATTTATTACTTTTAGGAAAATTGATTATTATTAACTATGATTGTTATTATTATTTCTATTTATATAATTATAGTTTGTTTTGTTTTGTTTTGAGTTGGTGATGCTTATATTATTGTTGTTGCTGTTGTTTATTGCAAAAATGTTCTTATTGTAAAGTTATATATATATGTGTGTGAGAAACTAACAAGTAGGTCAGAAAATGTTTGCTGAACAAAGAACAAAGCTGAAGAAGTAACTTTTTAAAATAAATAAAAAAACACACCAAATCAATTGTTGACCATATATAGAATTTAAAACAAAAATTCGAGAACTTTAATTAGGAAAAGGCGAATTGCGAAGTTGAAAAAAACATAATTTTGGTCCTCTTTTGTAAAAATATAAATATATAAAGAATTCTTAAAAATAATAACAATAACAACAACAAAATAATAAATAAAATAATTAATTAATTAATTAAAATAAAAATAAATATTTGATTTTTTATTTTATTTTATTTAATTTTGTAAAAGAGGAGTGAAGTTGACATTTTTACCACACACACACATATATATGTTGAAAAATGAAATAAGTTTTTATTTCAATTTTGAATTAATTAACACATACACACACAGATACACAAATTAAATAATTTGAAAAAGAACAACAAATATGTATGTTCAAAAAAAAAAAAAAAAGAGGGTGATTTTTATAAACAAATATAAAATGATTTACCTACCAATATGATATGAATAAGTATTTAGTATCTTTTTAAATTTACTTTTATATTTATTTGTTTGTTTGCTTTTTAATTTTTTTTGTTTTTTTTTTTTTTTTCTAAATTATACTATTTGCTCGAAAGGTGGGTGAACTAAAAGGATAATTATTGTTTTAAATAGATAAAAGTTGATGTACCAATAAAGTGTATGATGATTTTATATAATATTTTAGTTGTTTTTAAATTAATTTGTTTTGGTGAAGAAGTGATAGAGTGTTAAAGTTCACACAAATCACGACTCGAAAAAGAAATAAAATATAAACAAGAATAAAATGATGAAAAATGATAAAACACTTGGGTAATATAACTAATATTTATAAATAATTGTTGATATTAGATGGGCAGTTTGAAATTGCTTTGAAATTGTGGTATTAGAAACAAATAGATTTATTAATTTAGAAGGTTTGAGTTTGATTTTATAAAGAATAGAATGGTCTCTCTTTTGATTGAAAAGCTAATGCAAGACAGACTGAAATTGATGATAATTTCGAAAAAAATGAATAAAAATTAATTTTAATGAAAATTTATGATTCAAAAGTTTGAAAAATAAGGTGCATCAAATTTTTGACTGTTGGAATGGGCGGCTTCCTGTTTTGTGTTGGTCGTTTGTTGATGTTGTTGTGTGAGTGTGGGTGTGTATTTTCAATTGAGGTGGTGATGGGTTTTGGGTTTGATTATGATGTGGTTTCATCATTTTTTATTTTTTATTTTTTAATTTTTTATTTTCAAGTTGAATTGCAAGCAATGTCTATGAAAGTTATATTATATTTACCTTGGGTATTTGATTTTTTTTCGTGAAAAATGATATTGTTGTTTATAAGGAAATTAAAATAAAATGAAATTTGTTTAAATAAAAAAAAGATTTAATTTTAAAAGATTTTTCGAAATCTTTGCACTCCTTGTTTCTTTTTTTAATAATCCAAAAAAAATAAAATAGGAAATGGTAGTGGTGAGTGTGTGATGGTGTGAAAATGGATGTTGGTTTTTTTGCACACTATTTTGTAAATCATTTGTCATCAAAAGGAATTTTGCAAAAAAATGATGAAAATTGTCAAAAAAACAAACATTAAAATCGATTTTTTTTTTATTTTTTTTGGAACCTCACACCCAGTGTTTTTATTGCGCTACATTTTTCAATCACCACCAAAACCAACGAGCCTCTGCACGACTAGTGATGAATTAACCTTTCATTTCATGACCAAATTAATTAGCAAATCGTCAGTTGTTGTTGACACTTTTGATTATTAAAACACTCGAACACTCTTCTTGTTTTTCAATATACACACCAACACACACAATGCACCCACCACTACATCTTAAAATATATGGTAGTAACAACATTGATAGTCGAGATGATCCTTCGTAGTGCATTATGATGACGGCAGTTGTGTCTATCATGATGGAACTGGAACACACAAACAAACGTTTTGGAATTTTTAGTGACAAAGATGCAGTTTTGATCAATCATGGATTCCAATACCTCTGATGTATTCTATTTTGAGTTTGATGTTGTACCCTGCACTACCAACAACAAATAATAATAACTTTATTTTTGTGTTAGGGTGTAGATTTAGAATTAGTTATAAATTAACCGGGGTTACATGTGAGATGTCAACCAACTGCCTCAGAACTTATATTAAATATTTTTTGACATTGTCAATCATCGACCTTTTTTTAAGATCAGATCATTTTTAAAAATATCCTTTAAAAGAAAAAAAAATTAAATAAAAATAAATTATAACAAAAAATTAGAAAGAAATAAAATTGAAAACAATTAATTCTCTAAAGTTGATGATGTACTTCTTCTCATTCGATACTTATTCAATTATTTTTAATTTGAGCCAATGAAGTGCCGTGAGTTTAAATCTAACTAAAACCAAAAGTTGTTTAGGATTTCAGAATACACAAAGTCAATTATTATTATATCCGATGTCGCTTTTATAATCAAAAAATATTATTGTTATACATATTAGATAGTTCGTGAGAATGAGTTTCCTTATTCCACAGTGAATAAACTTATTGGTTTGCACAGCTGAATACTGCCTCCTGAAAAAAAATAAAAATTTGAATTTTTTTTTAAAAAAATTGTTAGACATACCCTGAACTTATATATAAAATTTGATATTAGTAAACATAATTTGATATAATATAGATTATAAAATGTCGGATTTAGAAATAACTGATATGCAGGTATGTTTAAGAGAGCTATTTTAACATTATGGTTGTGCTTGATACTAAAAGTTGTTATTATTACTGAAGGCGTTTCAAGAGATTCGTGAGAAACTCTTCAATTTAAATAGAAACTTGAATAACATCAGACAAAAGATACAGGTATCCGATAAAGATAGACAAAGATGTGTTATTACATTGAAGGAGCTAGAGACACTCCCACCAAATACAAAAACATACAAATCTGTTGGTAAAATGTAATATATCATAATCGTTCGATGCATTCTAGAATGCATCAATTACTATATCTATTAAATTTAGATCAATAACTAATACAATCGAATCATAATAAAATAATGATAATAATAATACAGGTTTTTAGTTGCACCAAAAGATACATTGAAAAAAGAACTTAAAAAACAGGTAGAGAAAGACGAAGAAGATGTTAAAGGTTTAATGGTAAGCAATCATACCAAAAGATAACATAGCGCAAATCACATGTATATCGATCAAATTACTTAATTAATCATCTTTTATCTTTATTATTTATAAATTAGAATCAAGGAAAATATATAGATGCTCAGATTTCAGAAACAGAAAAGAGTTTGAAAGAATTAGTGATCACAAAGAAATAAATTAAGAATAAACAACACCAATAAAATAATAGTAATAGATATTTTAAAACGACACATCTAAACTATGGTCATCATTAATTATGTTCATATGAATTACATCGATTGTTGTGTTGTTGATATTAATACATAATCTAAACGTATTCCTAAAATCAACTTTTTTAAAAAATTTTTTTTTAAAAAAAACTAAAATTAAAATATTAATATAAATTTAAAAGTTATATTAATTAATTAAAGATTATCTATTTAATTATTTATTATTTGTATTATTTAAGTATATATATATTTTCAAAAAAAAAAAAAAAGATATGCCACTGTGGATGAATCTTGCATTGTTGGCAGTTGCCAAGAAAGTGATAGTATACACTGTAGCAAGGGTATGTTTTTGAATGCTAAAGTAATAAGCAAGATGTTAGTCATGGTTATTTATAGAGTTATTCGCAATGAAATGAAACAGACGTATGGAATACCAAAGTTATATCTGAAGGCAAAACGATTAAATCATTCTGTAATGCCAAACTCGACAAGGGAGAATATAGACAGCTTTATTGAAACATCGTTTAGACTGCCAAACAAAATATACGATAAATATTGGAAGTCAAGTAGTAGCAATGTTTCAAATCCAACAACAACAACAACATCTATAAAAACAAAACCACCAACCACGAATGAACCAACGACCACAAAACTAAAAAGAAAGAAGAAAGAGAAATCAAAAGAAGATGAAATAGATGATTAAATAAATAAATAATGTAAATATAAAAGAAAGATTAAAACTATAGTTTTTATTTTTATTTGATTGGAATTACTATTATTCCTTATTTACAAAAAATATGCACGTGTGTTTGTTGTTGTTTGATTTTGGCAACATAATTTAAACTTGATTTTAATTGTGCTTTACGGTCAAGATGTAACGATCGGTTTTATCATGTTTGAGTGTCACCGATACATTCTTTTCTTTGGAGCATTTGTTGTCGGGACCTTCAATCTCTAGCTCCTCCAACTCGATTTGATTTTCCGAGAACCATTTCTTGTCGAGGTTGGTTTGTACATTCGGTTCGAAAGTATAGAACTCGGTCAGAGGATCGGAAACATGGATGGTTGAATGTGCACAGCTACCACTTATCCAGCCACCGGAATGAGTTTTATCCCAAACGAATGGTTTGAATGACAATTTATATTGACAATCGACACATCCACTGAAATTTGAATTATCTTCTTCAGTATTAAGAGATGACATTGTTAAATTATTATTATTATTATTATTATTTATTTATTTATTCTTATTTATAAATAATTAAGATTTGATAGAATATAATATACTTTTTTTCTTTTAAGTTTTAAACTTTACAAATACAAACAAAGTATTTTCTTTTTATTAAAATTAACTGTTAATCTCTTAAGGCATTCTTTACTTAATCTAATTTTCAAATAACAATATCATTATTCAATATTTATACTTCTTTTACCATTGAATTACCAAAAAGAGTAAATCTTTTTTAAAAATATTAGTTTTTGTCAAATCAAAACTTTTTTGATATTCTTTTTAAGGAAAAGTCTTTGAAATCTGTATTACTACGTATGATATCATTGTTAAGAAAAAAGAGTTAGTTATTATTTTCTTTTTTGTTGTTTTCAATAATTGTTTAATTAATGTTGTTCTAAAAATAAAATAAAAAAACCAACAACATGATCTCTCCTTTGAATTGAAACATCATCACCTTGGTATTCAGAAACTAAATTTTTTGATTCTTTTAAGTGGCAGAAACAATTTAAAATATCTAGAAAAACTTTTTCGATTTCTCTTAACAATTGATAGATATTTGTGAATTTACACTATGATTGTTGGGATTTCGATTGCTCTCGATTAATTATTTTCAGGATGCTCGTAAATGAAAATGATGAAAGAACCACCTGTGCAAACTTCACATTCCATTTTTGCAAAAATGAAATAGCATTAAAGTTTTCTTAAATTCAGAAAGATGTTTAAAAATTGATTTTTTTCATTTTTAACAAATTTTTTGAAAATTTCATTGGGGAGCCACACTCTGAGAGTACTATCTAGCAACCAAGGTTTAATAGATAATATAATAAACAAACCCTTATTTTTTTAAAAAGATATATATTTTTCATTAAACCATTTTTTAGTTTAGTCTTTATAAATAATATTTATATATTTAAAGTAATAATAATAAAAAACACCACTTACTTTCTTTCTTTATTGATAATCAATAAAAAGAAAAGTAATTCACATTTAACACATTTAAAAACAAAACATACGAACGATTTTAAAAAAAATCAAAAGCAAAGCAAACAATCAAAAGTTGTAAAATAATAATAATAATTAAATTAATAATAATAGTTAACATAATATTTTAATTAATCATATATACATATGTATTAGTGGTTTTGTATATTTTTTAGTTAAAGTTTAGTTTAGTTTATTTTAGTTTAAGTTTAGTTTTATAGAAATTTGTTGTTTATATATATTATAGAGTTAAAAGAAAAGAGAGAAAAAGGAAGAAGAAAGAAGAAATCATACAGATTGTTAGATATTTATATATAGATAATTGATAAAGATGTTTGAATCTTTAGTAGCAGATATATTGGTTAAATATATTGGTGAATATATAAAGAATCTTTCATCAGAGCAATTAAAAGTAAATGTATTCAGTGGAAATGTGGTTTTGAGAAATTTGGAAATCAAAGGTGAAGCTTTACAATCCTTTAAACTACCGTTACACGTTCAGAAAGGTATCATCGGTACCTTGGAATTAAAGATACCATGGACTGTATGTATAATCTATAGTTAACCATCATCCTGCGAATATTAATATATTAATATCAATATGACAACTTAATTGTTTGAAGAATTTAAAATCGATGCCAGTCATTCTGGAAATAGATTCAATTTGTTTATATGCAATTCCACAGACTGGATTCGAGTACAACGAGGAGGAGGAGCGAGTCAAACAACAGCTGACAAAGCAGAAGAAGTTGGACAAGTACGAGTTGATCCGGTCGTGGAAGGAGGGTGGCGGTCTCGAGGGTGGACCGGCTGGACGTTCGCAAGACACATTCATGTCGAACGTCATGTCAAAGATACTCAATAACATCGAGGTGAAAATCAATACATTCCACTTGCGCTACGAAGAGGTTCGCAATGGAAAGATCTATTCGCTCGGTCTGTCGTTTGGTTCACTCACCGCCTATTCCACCGATGGCAACTACACTCGCCAATTCCACAACAATGGTTCGCCAACTGCTTCCAACAACAATACTGCTGGCGGCGACAACGATACACTCTTCAAATACGTTGAACTCTCTGACTTTTCGATCTATTTGAACTCTGAGGAGGAACAACACCAGGGCGAATCGATACGCGATCTCTCCAACGATGAGTTTGCGCGCAAGTTAAAGTCGATGACTGGAACCAACCGCAATTTGGGCGACCACAAATACATCTTGAAACCGATAACCGTTACGCTCAAGGTGGAGGTCAACAAGAATCTACAGATGGACAAGTCGGTGCCAAAGATGAAGGTGCAGTGTCAGTTCGAGGAGGTGTCGTTCTACATCGAGGAGAATCAGTATCAAACCATTCTGAAGCTGTTGACAACGATTGGCGCGTACGCACAGGAATTAAAGTATCTCAAGTACCGACCGAAGCTGCGTCCTAAACAGGATCCGAGAGCGTGGTGGCGTTACTTTGCCGAGGTGTATCGTGAGTCGATTCGTGAGAAGATACAACAGCGTTCGTGGAACTACATGCAGAAGCGTCGACAGAACCGAAAGGAATACGTCGTACTCTTTAAAAAGTTACAGGCAGTCGAATGGCTAGAGCCAATCAACGAAAAGGAAAAGAAACGACTGCAAGAAATGGAAGAATTTTTAAGTTTTGAAGATATTATATAGTAAGTTTGCAACTTAAGATTACATTGGATTATTTCTTGTTTATCTAATCAATCAATCAATCAATCTATTTAGTTTTAGATCATTGGCAAGAAGAGAACTTGCAAAAGAACAGGCGATTGCAGATTCAAAGAAAGGTGAATTCTATAGTTCTGTAAACAGAACAAAAGGTTTCTTTGGATTCTGGAAGTCAAACGAACCAAAGATGTCGATTCAGCTGACAAAAGAACAACAAGAAGAGATCTATAAATCTATGGAATATGATGAGATCGCATTGAGTGCAACCATTGAAATGCCACCTGATGTAAGTAGTTTTAGTTTAGAATAGTTGGTATCTAGAAGAACAAAACACACAACTAACTAATATTGATGATTGATTATGTTTAGTATATTCAAAATGTATTACAAGTTCAAGTGTCAGCGATTATTTTCACTATTATAGGAAGTCGTGAAGGAGAAGATCCTTTGATGAAATCCTACCTCAATAATATTTCATTCAAGATGTCTCAGAGACAACAGGGTTTTAGAATAGATTTGGATCTCGAGTCATTCAACGTTATCGATCACAACAATGTCGACAGTTTATTCCCATATATCATCACATCAACGCCAAGATACAAATGTGGAATCAACAACAAGAAATTATCAGAGTTGGATTCACCAACATTACATTCATCATCATCAAATTTAAATACTTTAATACAAAACAATAATAATAATAATAGCAATAGTAATGACAACAACAACAATAACAATAATAACATTAATAATCATTTATTTAATATAACATTTGAAACGAATCCAATTTCAAGTACATACGATTATAGATTATCATTGATATTGAACACTATGGAAGTAGTTGTAAATAAGCCACAGATTGAAAGATTGATAGAGTTTGCTACACCCGAGGAAAATGTAAATTTGTTCCCATTGTCGTCGGTGGCGATGGAGGAGTTGATCTTGCTGAAGGAGATGACGATCTTCCAGCTGCGAGAGGTAATCAATCATCACAAGACAATCGATCTCTACGTAGATGCCAAGGCACCGACCGTCATCATAACGGAGCATGCCAACCGTGTCGACACCTCGCTGATCATCGTCGATCTCGGAAGTTGCTTGATGCACTCTGACCTCAGTCAAAAGTCTGCGAAAGTAAAGGATTCAATCGATCGTCCGTTGCTCCTAACCGAGTTGGAAACACCGGTAAAAGAATCCGATCTCTACGACCACTATCGTGCAACTCTATCTTCCATAAAAGTGATGTTGGCGCGAAACGACCAAGAGTGGTGGCGAGCCACTACCAATGGCAACACCAGTTCCGGAAATTCCAATTCCAATTCCAATTCCAGTGTGGACGTTAGTAATGGATTCCCACTTATTGAAGAGATGGCGATTAATCTTCATATTCAGAGTTGTATCGAACCGAATGAGTTGTCGTTGGCGTTGTTCAAGGTGAGTGGAACGCTGCCAGAGGTGAAGATCAACATCTCCGATGAATCGTATCTTCAGTTGTACAGAATGTCCAAGACTCTTGCTGCAGAATCGACTCACTCGTCCAACGCCTACAATCAGCTTATGGACACACTCTACACCACCAAACAACAGTCGGAAACAGTCGTCGATGTCAGTCAAATGGAAATCAAGCTATCGGAAGCATATCGTCAGGTTCTATCGAAACGAAAGATATTCGAAGGTGAATTCACTCTAGAGAAAGTATTGGTAGATGTACATAGTAGTAGTAATATATCGTCGTTGTTCAACAACGGTAACAACAACAACAATAGCAATGGTAATGTTGGTATCAATCAACCAACCAATATACGTTTGATACAGTTGAGAATCAATGAATTACAATTGTCGCTAAAGAAGAAGACCTATGATTATTTCGGTAGTTTGTTGTTGGCAAAGATGGAGATTGAGGATTGTCTCGAGAAGAACAGTCGGTTCTCTTCGTTGGTGACATCGCAGTCGCGTTACAAGTCGACCGAGACCAAAAAGTTGATATCGATCAGTCATCACATCATCGAGAAAGACTCACCAGAGTACTCTGGTATCGATACCGATATCGATTTCAACTTTGGTGAACTCAATATGAATTACAATCCTCGATCCATCGGTCAAGTTCTCACTTTCCTCGATTACTGCTTTGAGGAGACTTACAAGGTGCAAGAGGAGCTACTACACACAGCAGCCGCTACAGAAATGATGTCCTCAGAGGAGATCATCAATGACATCGTACTGCCAGTACAGCAATCACCAAGTAAAACACAAACATCAACATCATTATCATTGTCATCAACAACATCAATTCCACCACCTGCATCTTCACAACAACAAGCAGTTACCGCTACAAACTTGTCTGTCATCAGAGCGAAAGCGAATGTTCATGCACTTTCGATATCGTTGAACGACGATGGTAATGAGATCGGTATGTTCTCCATCAATCGATTTGTCATCAAAGAATGTACGTTGAATGGAAGAGAGGTTGAGGTAGATGGTCACTTGGATTCGATCACCATTGAATCGTTCATCGATTCACAGTCACCAGAGCATGAGTCATTCAAGATACTTACACCCAAGAATCAAGATGTATCAATGGCAACATTCAAGTACAAGAGTTACAGCAATCGTTCTGTCAACAAAACACGTGATTTCGACACTGAAATCGACTTGGATCTTCGAAGTATAAGAGTTACAGTGTTGGTAGATTTCATTCTAAAGACAAAATCACTTGTTCAACTTCCATTTAAAACAGTTAAATATGCATCTCTTTATAGATATCAAACAGAATATACCAATAACAATGAGAATGACAATTCAAATAGTAATCAGCAACAACAGCAACAACTCCAACTCCAACAACAACAAATGGAAATACAAAAAGAACAAGGTATCAAAGAGAAGAAAACCAATTATCGTATATTCTTAGAGTCACCACAGTTGATTCTTTCATCTAGCGATAAGCTGTCGACTACCGACGATAAGATCATCTCTGAGCTTGGATCGATAGAGATCTCCACTGTGCTCAGGAAATCGATGGTTAAGAATGCCGATGGCCAAGAAGCAGAGGTCGAATGGCAAGTCATCAATGCCACTCTCTCCGACATGAATATGAAGACATTCAAAGCTGGCAAATATCATCAGGTTCTCCACAATCTCTCGATCAACACATCGATTCAGCAGCTACTCTGTTGGAGCAAGACACAGCTGTCCGTCTCAAAGTCGGTGGTTCCACTGCAACAGCTGATCAGTGTCGACATCGGTGAGATCGCTCTGGAGTTCCAGGATCTCGAACATTCACTCATCTTCACCATCACCAAAGACGTCATCGAAAAGATATCGGCGCGTGCCAAAGAGAAGCAAACAAAGAAAGAACAAGAGAAACAGATCAACAACAACAGTAGAAAACAATCTACTGGAATCCCAATGGATATCGATGCAATCATTTCAAAGCTAAGTGTCAATGTTGAACGGTTTACACTGTTGCTTCAGCTGGAGCAATACGACTTTGGTCAGTTGACACTCTCCAAGATCAACGTCCACTCACAGACCACTCGTGGAAATGTCACTCGTTTCAATGGAGATGTACAGTTTGGACAGGTTGTAGATATGCGTCCGGCAGTAAAAGATATCGAATTGTTTGAAACTATATTCCAGCCGTTACAACGCAACAGCAATGACAGTAACAACAACAATCCATTGTTAAAGTTCAGCTTTATCTCTCATGAACCACCTTCGTTGAATGGCTGGGATAGTGAGTTGACGCTGGATGTCGAACCAACTGTCATCAATGCATCGGCTGGATTCCTCTTTGGCATGAAAGACTTCTTTTTGTTACCGTTTGTCAAGCGACTCTCGAGTCACACCGCTGAGAATCCAAACTCGCCAGACTTTGAAATGCCAACTTTGGAATCGATTGACATGTCCATCATTTCAAAGATGAAACTGAATGTTGTACTCAACAGACCCACTATTCAATTGCCAGTATCACCATTCTCCAAAGACATCGTTGAGATGACAGCAGAGAAGCTAGAGATCACCAACCGCTACCTCAATTGGCCAGTCAATTCCTTTGACATTCCAGTGGAGTCGATGATGATCAGCCTGTCAAAGATCATCCTTTCATCGGTCAGAGGTGACGACAGAGACGATCGTAAGCAATTCACACGTATTCCTGTTGACTTGGCAATCGATTATCAATCGTTGGAATCTGTATTCACCAACACTGTCGATGTCATTCTTGGCGGTTTGCAACCGACCAAAGTTCAACTGTCACTGACACCGATATCGTTGGCCATCGATGAGTCGGACTTTGCATTCTTTATCGACATGATTGCACAGGCGTTCAGAGCACTCGATGACAATCCACCGCTAAAGTTGAAGAAGCGTGATCCCTACATTATGGAGCTGCTCTTCCTTCGGGCGAATCCAGACAATCTTGCCAAGATTCTCGATATCCACGGTATGGAAATAGCGGTTTGCTTGCAGTCGATCGAGCTGATTCTCTCTTCTCACGTCGACACACACGATCCATTTGCAACGATCTCCATCGAGCAATGTCTATTGAATGTCAACATGGCAACCGTTCCAAGGGAGAAGAAGATGCATGTCAGTGGAGCAGTCAAACAGCTTCGTGTTTATGACACTCGAACACAATTGAATCACAGTCCACTCAACAATGAAATGGTTTTCTATTGCACCAAAGATGATCTCAATATGATGGAGTTTAAGTATCTATCCTATTCCAACAACAACAACAAGTCAAGATTATATTCCTCAATGTTGGATTTCAACATGAATGGTCTACTCACATATGGACATCCTGCATTCTTGTTGCGTGTCTGGGATTTCGTAGTGGTCAACTTCACATCGGTATTTGGTACCTATACAACCGATAAATATTGTCCCGACGAACAAGTAGCAGTGCCCAACGACAGTCGTATGAAGATGAATGTTTGTTTCGATCATCCTTTAATTGTACTAAGACAATCATATGACTGTAGTAGTGATAACCAATCGATTGTCTATGTCGAACCTGACACTATCAACATTGCCAATGAGTTTACAAAGTTGAGTGAAATCGAAGCAATGACAAGAGGCAGTGAGTACTCTGATGCTATGATTATCAAACTTAACAATACCACTCTCAATCTACTGCAACCACAACAAGAAGATCATCAATTGGAACACAACGAAAAGTATGCTCTCGCTACAAACTACAATATCGAAATCATGGTGGAGTCGAAGCCAGAGTATTCACTTGGCGATATCTCGTCGAATGCAACATCGACCTACTCTATCAAAACGAACGATCTTCGTCTCTCTTGTAATAGTGTGCAGTTCGATCGATTCTATCAGTGTTTGAACCATGCTCTCGAGTGTCAGTATCAACTGGATCACGAATATCAGAAGCGTTTCCTCAAGCCTGGATTCACACCGACACAGACCGACCTCTTTGCTCTGGTCGAAGTCGATTCGATCGTGCTCGATCTCATCGATTTGGAATCACAGAAATCGATTGCATTGGTATCGTTCAATGAATTCAAAATCGACTCTGCCATGCTGGAACCGGGAATGACCGTAACCGGTTCGCTCTCTCACATCAACGTCGTCGATCAACTCTCGGGAACCGCAATTGTCAAACCGCACGGCTCGGAATACGCAACGCTGTTCTTCACCTACAAATCGCACAGCGAAAGAACAGCCGACGGTTGGGATACAGAGTTGGAATCGACCATCAAGAATATCCTGTTGGTTCCATTCCCACTGAGTTTGCTCAACGATATTAAGCAATTCCTTCTGGATCCACTCACTCACACCCCGATTGCACAGAGACCACCTGTCCGCTTGGAACAGCCAAGAATGAAGCTTTCCTCAATCATCAAAGATTCGCGTGTTATGCTCTACGACCCTGCAGTCGGACCTGTCGATCACCTGCTATTTAGCGTCGATTGCTTAGAGATGCATAATTCAATCGATCGACAAACTCTTGGTGGTAGTGGAAATGCAAGCAACAACAGCAGCAACTTGATTGAATTCGATTTGGAGAGATGGAAATACGATATCGAAGGTCTATCGATGTCATTACATCGTACCGATCAAAAGACAACTAGACTGCTTAGCAACCTTGAACTGACTGCCAACACCGACACCATCAGAGACTACGACCATTTCCTCAATCGTTTCCAAGAGGTCCTAGAGGAATCCACTCTCCAATTGGAACTTCCTCCCAATGTGAAAACCAACATTGAAATTCAAGAGTTGTATATCACCCTCTCGAGATCCAACTATTGTTTCTTGATGGATCTTTACAATACCTATATCAAATCCACCAGTAAAACATCGAGTAGTAACGTATCATCTTCAGTTACTTCCACTAGTACAACAACAACAACAACAGCAACAGCAGCAACGAATATTAGTGATGAAGCATCGGTTGAATCGGAATTGATGCAATCGATTGTTGCCAATTTAATATCGCTAAAGATGAATTCATTCTCTGTTGTGTTGATCGATGGAATCTATGGATTGGCTGAAGTATCGTTCTACGACTTTGACACTGTGATGAGTGTCTACAAGACCTCAGGAGACGACGGTGCCACTGAAGTCAGCGGATCACTCAACCGTCTCCAGTTTATGGATCAACGAAGACAATCGTGTCAATCGCGCTACAAAAACATTGTCAACAGTACCTTCGATTCACGTGTAGAATTCAACTTTAGACCGTTCACAAACGATCCTACTTGGACACAGAAACTGGATGTCAAACTCGATAATGTCATTTTCACTCCATTGTTTGATTTGTTCACAGAGGTACAAGAGTATCTCAGGTTGGACGCCAGTGACACCTCCGATTCAAAGTCACCGGTTAGAAGCCGATTGAAATACGATATCATAATGAATCACACCAAGCTGTTGATTCCCATGAATATCGAGCTGAACAACAACTATCTCAGTGGTGACATTCAAGAGATTCAGATCTCGAATGCTTTCATCGGTAAGCAGGATTTGGATATCGATCAACTCTCCCTAAAGATCACTTCGATGTCGTTGGCCGAACACATTGAGAATGGACTTGAACAAACTAGAATCATGTCCGATTTGAATATGGATATCACAATGAAGACCAATCTCTATCACCAGTTGCCAGCTCCTTCCAACCAACCGCTCACCAACATCGTTATGGATGTCGGTAACATTCAGATGTCATTCTCACCACACCAATATCTGTTCTTCTATAACATGATGAATCTAACACTTCGTAGATACTACGAATTCCGCTACGGACCTTATCCCGCACAGCCACAGATTGCACAAGTTGCCAAGCAAGAAGGAGAAGAAGACAATTTGGTCGACCAAGTTGAAGAGGAGGAGGAGCAGCAAGAAGAACAATTGGATATGAATGTTCTTATCAATATTCAATTGCTAAAGTTGACAATGAACACTGCTAATTACAATCCATCAGAGTTGACATTGAAGCGACTATCGATGGAAGTCGACATGACCAAGAAGAAAATGGTGGTCGATGGCAAAGCCAAAGATTTGATCATAACAAGCAACGAAACCAACTATCAATCGTTGTACAATGTCATCTTGGAGAAGGTTGATAGACAAAAGGAGTTCTTTACCTTTAAGTATATTTCACATGCTGCAACAGAGCCTGTCGAATGGGACACTGAATTCCTCATCAATCTTCGCTCGATCAATATGGTATCGATGATTGGTAGCCTCACAAGAGTGAAAGACTTCCTTATGGAGCCACTTTCCACACCGATCGTTTCACCTCCCAATGCTCTGGTGCGCGCACACGCTTCAAAGATGCGACAGGTCATCAATATGGAGCCTTGGACACTCTTTATACCGGCGACAGATACCACCAAAGATGCAGTGATCATCAAGTTTGGCTCGACAAACATGACCAATTTCTATCGTGATATCAAAATCGACGATAGCGAAACTGTTCATCCCGTTGAAGTACTGCAACTTACCATCTCGAAACTCTCGCTATTCAGTGAGCGCGATGGCAATCGTGTGTCAATTTCCAACCAGGCATCTTGTTTTGTGGAAATCGAAAAGTTGTTCTCCATCAAGGATTCTCTCGCCATCGAGGATCAAAAGATGTTGGTAAAGATCCCATCGCTCGAGTTGATATTCAGTCAGGAGGACTACCGCTTCTTCTACTACATCTTCACAAGCGATTGGATGCGATTCTCCACCGACGAATCGAAACGTCCACCCGTTCCACCACCAACGCCTCACTTTGACGGTCGACGATTCATCTATGTCACACCGGACCACGAAGAGCAGAAAGCGATTGCCGAACATCAGTTTGAATCACCACTCGGTTTCATCAATCTCACTGCGGATTCACCGCGTCAAATGACCATCTACACTGAGATCGGAAGGATATCGATGGCCATCAGTCACATCGATCCTATCCTCGATCCAATTGCATCGCTTGAGATCAATCAAGTCAATGTCAACTATCTGCTCTATCGTAACAATATCGTCAAGACAGAGATGACCGTTGATACCGTTCAGTTGGTGGACGAACGTCAATCGTCTGACTCGGTGTTCAAAGAGATTCTCACACGCAAGAAACAAACAAAGAAAGGCGATCCACAGCTGTTGGTCCAGTCATGGGTTGACGCCAGACGCAACCGAAACTTTGTGTCGATCCACTGTGATCATCCACTGTTGTTTGTTTCACCCGATTCCATCATCCCGATTATGTCGTTCTTCACATCGATTCAACAGCCAACGAAATATGTCCAAGAGAAGAAGCGATCTCAACAACCGGCACCCGTACCCAGCCACTTTAGATTCTACCTCAACGTGACCAAACCAAAGATGTTGCTCGTCGAGGATGAAACTCAACAGAACACCCGTGCGCTAGTCATTAAGATGCCGATTGAATTCCACTATTCTCTGACACCCGAGCAGAATCTAACGATGGAGTTGAAAGCACCGAAATGCCAGGTATTCAGAAACACTCCGTTCGCAGAGACCGAAGGAACTTCATCCACTCCGATCACCAACAGTTTCTCATTCAATTTCCTCTATCTCCATTTCGTTGAGAACGACCAGCGCACCGTGAATATCAAGTTCCAACCGCTCAATATCTTCTTGACCTACAAGGAGATGATACTGATCAACAGAATCATCAATAATCTTTCAACCAAAGAAACAACGATCCCTCATTCCAATTCATCGTCTTCGCTTACTCCTCCATCGACACCACCCAACGAAACTGTCATTACAACAGCAGCATCATCACCTTCAAGTAGTCGACCAACCACTCCAACTTCACCACTTAGAAATAGCAATAATAATCTTAAAACAAGTGGAAATAATAATGTCAATAATAATAACAATATCAATAACAACAGTAATAACAATACACCAAGTCACAGTCGTAATAATAGTCGTGATAATTCATCTAAAGCTTTGTCCACTTTGAAGTCACCTATTAGACCAGAGGATTCGGCGAGTCTCATGCACAAAACACGTGCACATCTCGATTTTGTTGGTCGTGTCAACCTGACTATTCTCGATGAATCACATTCGGTGACATTCCAAGATATTCCATTCGTACAAATCTCGATGGGTGATCTTACCAGTGATTTCTGGGGCTGGGAAGACTACAGTTTCATCACCACCAACTGCCTTTTGAAAGTGGAGGTATTCAACTACAAACACATGGCATTCGATTCCCTGATTGAACAATTCCCTCTGAATATCCAGGTATTGAAATCCGATGATCCGAAACTAAAGATTTCAATTAAAGCTGAAGACCTCGTCAATATCAATATTTCGCATCCCTTCATTGCATCGCTCGCCAAATTCTATGAGAACATCCAGAATATCAATGAGAAAGAGCGATATCAACAAGCTAAATATTACAATAGTCAACAACAGCAGCAGCAACAACAACTCCAACACCACCATCGCAGCAATAGCAACTCCAACAACCATCAGTCTTCGTCGTCATCGGGCAACGGTGACAACAGCTATGAGAACGATGACTCCATTCCAAGAATTGACATTGAACTAGCTCACAGCAACAACAACCTAACACAATCATCGTCGGGAACCAAGCCAATTTCCATACCGAGTTCACCATCGAAATCCAGTCTTCCGACGTTTGGTTCACAGAATGATTTACAATCGCCAAGAGGATCGATAGAAGCACTCCGTTGGAAGAAAGCAGAACCCAATGTTCCACTGGTTGAGAAACCTTCGTTGTCAGCATCGATTATCGCCAGTACCAAACGTGATTCTATGAAGTCATCGGTCATTATGACACACTTTAATACCAACGGGGTTAAACACCGTCGTCAACTCTCGGGCTCTGTCAATTCGCAACAACTGTTCAATACAGTCGGTCAATCGCTCTTCTGGATTGTCAATCTCACCGGCAAAGACATTCAATACTACGTTGAGGAGTTGCAGTTGGTTCAACAACAGCCAACTTCCTCCTTGTCCTCCGGCGCTTCCTCCTCATCTTCGTCGTCGCTCTCACAGTCGACTTTGAATGCACACAACAGCTCATCGCGTGAACTCAATCCCAAGCTCCGCTCCTCCTACGATCCAGTGGCCGACGAAGAAGAAGCAGCCGAGTTGGAAGCGAAAACCAAGGTGGATCGTGCCGTTCACTTTTTGAAGAATCGCGAGAAGAAACCACTCGAGCTCAATTCGGTGTTGTTCAAGACACGTGATTTCCGTACTCACGGTAACTTGAATGCACATATCGCCTTTAGATTCACAGACTCTGAGGAAGATCAATGGATCCACGGAGTCTCTATCAATATGATGGGTGACAACTTTTATTTCCCACCATTCGGAAATCGTGCCAATCTCATTGTTTGTGAGGTCGGTTGGAACGAATCGAACGACAACAAGATCGCCACTCTGCGATCCCCGGTTATAGTGCGTAACTCTTGTACCATCCCAATCGATATACTTGTGATCAGCGGTGCCAACGAGCAGACAATCTTTGGCCCGATAGCAGTTGGCGACAACTTTTATATTCCCGTTGATTTCTTTAACTTTACCAGTAGAATATCGATTCGTCCTGCAGGACATGATTTCATTTTCGACATGGAGCATGCTCTGGATCTTGTGGATTCGAGTAGTTGGCCAACCTCACATCTCTTCATGCCATACAAAGAGGATGGCAGCTCCAGTCACGGTAGTTCGAATTCACTCACTGACTATCGTTCGATGCTCCATTTCTTCTATTTAGCGACTTTGGTACAATCGGGAATACGTTGTGAGAGAACCGGTCTGATTTCCACTACTCTTATCATCTGTCCACCTCTTATCATTGAGAATACTCTCTACTGTGATATCAATGTGCGTGTCCACAGTCACTCTGAGGTGAAGAGAAACAAATCCGACTACAACAAATCCGTACAACAACATCCACCTGCTTTGATCGCCAGTGGCAAACAGATCCCTTTCTACACACACGCGGAAAACGATGTCGGTGTAACGCTAGCGTTGAACGGACTCGGCAAAGAACAGTATTTCCATTTGCAATACATGTTGACCAGTTCCTCAACCACCGGGCTGAATATCATCGATCCAACAGAGGACAGTGGATCGTTCACACAAGAGGTAACCTATCAGTGTGTTGACACCGGTTATAATCTCACTCTGAAGATCGACCATAGATTCGAAGGAGGTTGTCACATCGCTTCGATCTACACAACTAACGCAATCACCAATCACGCTATGAATTCCATTCGTTCTGCGTCCATCCATCAAAGGACCAAAGACATCGCCCACCATCACGCTGGAAACCAACGAGAATTCCATTATGCTCGGTCACGACAAGTTCACACTCTCGCATCCTTCGTTCCCCGATATCCAATCGAAAGAATTCGATATCATTCTCGGCAAGGAGGATATCATTGAGATTCAACTCGAGGGTAGAGACACTATGAAACTGCAGTTCCGTGTTTTCGTATCGACCGGCACCAACGTACACTTTAGAACGCGCCGAGTAGATATCTATCCTCGCTTCTGTTTGGTCAACAAGCTACCACTGCCCATTGCCTACACGCAATACTCAAAGGACATGATAAAGATGACCACCGAGAACCTGGAGCTTCAACCCGATGACCAAATCCCATTCTACTGGTTCAACGGCTACGACGAACAAATGCTGGCAGTCACAATCACCCATGAAAACGAATGGAAATGGTCGTCCGGTGTTCGTATCGACAGTGTCGGAACCAACTACCTCAAGCTCACCAATGTCCACGACGCCAACATTGAGCAGGTGATCAAGGTCGAGGTAATCGACTCGAATGAATCGATCATGGTGTTCTTCTATCCGACCGACCCACAACTCCTGCCGTTCCACATCAAGAACGACACGCAACTAACGATCTCCGTACTTCAAAAGTGTCCGGCTGCCAAGCGCTACGTGTTGAAACCGAACGACGACATCTACTACACTTGGGATCAGCCGTGTGCTGACCAACAGCTGCTTGTCCTCGTTGAGAACAGTGCAACACCGGCAATTATCAATCTCAACAAGATAAAAGCATTCAAACCAATCAAATTCGATCGATACGTTATCTTCCCAGTCTCGCAATCCGTCAATGGTGTCACCAGAGAACTCACATTCTCCCATCACCATGAACAAGCAAAGGTACAGGATATCATCGAATTTGCCATTGAATTTTCTTTCGATCGTCTTGGATTCTCTATTATCAACGATGTTCCAGAGGAGTTGATCTACATCCAATTGAAAGACAGTTCCTTCTGGTACAGTACTTCCAATATCACCCATACAACTTGGGTCATCATCGATGACATTCAAATTGACAATCAGAAACCCGACACTGATTACCCTGTCCTACTTTGGTGTGATAAAAAGTTAGATGGAAAATGTTTACCATTCTTGGAATTCTCTGCTATCAAATTAAATAAGGGTAAAAAAACATTACATTATATATAAACATAGTAATTATTATTTCATACTAATATTATTCCCAAAAAATTAACAGAGAATTTCGAATATTATGATTTAATTGCCCTCTATTTGAATGAACTCTATGTGCAATTGGATGATACAACACTCATCAATCTACATTCATTCTATTCTAAATTACCCCTTGATAAATTCTATAGTACTAAAGGAAACCCAATTGAACAATTAAAGTATGTATAAATATATATTTATGAATGATATCTAATATTAATGTTAATTAATTTTTAATAATAATAGTATGTTCTATATTAAATGGTTAATTGTAGCTGAAATTAAATTATATTTAACATTTAGTATTTCAAGAGATGGTATTTTAAGTAATTATAAGTATGTTTGGTTAAAAAAAAATGAAAATGAGGGAAAAAACAAATTTATTAATATTTTTTTTAATTTAAATTCTAGTAAATTACCTGCTCTCAGACTTTTAGTACCATCACTAGGTAAATCATTGGGTCAATTAGAGAATGCTCCTCTCACTATCAACCAACTGGGTATAAAGAATGTATTTACTACACCACCACGATTACAAGAACATTTATATTCTCATTACAACAAACAAATGAGGAGACAAGTAAGTAGAAAAAACAAGAAAAACAAAACAAAAAGAATATAACCTATAGTAAGATTTACTAATTATCAATCCATCGATATTCAGGTTCATATTATTTTGGGATCATCCAATATCTTTGGTAGTCCTGTTGTATTGTTTAATACAATTAGTACTGGTATGACAGAGGCCATCGAAGAACCAGTAAAGGGATCGATTCTTCTAATGAAGAGAATTCTCTATGCTGCCGCCAACAGTTCCGCCAAATTGTTTGGTACTATTTCGAATGGTTTTGCTGTTTGGTCGATGGATGAGACCTATCTCAGAAGAAGAGATACCGAAGAGAGAATCAAAGCCAAGCACATCGGTCAGGGTATCTTACTCGGAACCAAAGGTTTGGCGATTGGATTCTTTGATGGTATCACAGGTATTGTTACACAGCCTGTGATGGGTGCAATACACGACGGTCCAGTCGGTCTTCTTAAGGGTATAGGAAAGGGTATTGCCGGTGTCGCAGTGAAACCGGTGACCGGTGTCTTTGATTTCGCAGCGAGAACCTCTGAGGGTATCAGAAACAATACAAATATCAATCCCGAACGATTCAGACTACGTGTGCCAAGATATATCAACCCACGTGAACCGATTAGAGAGTATTCGCTGGACGAGAGTGAAGGTAATTTCCTCATGAAACAAAATCAGTCGAGTATCATCAAGCGTCAAGGTGTTCGTAGAATGGAGTATAAATTCCATATGGTACTGCCAGATTGCACGATCCTCCTCACATCGGTATCGATGATCTGTCTATCAAAGAAAGGTTCCTACCGATGGTCATTCCCACTCACAGAGATCGCAAGAATTGGACATCCGAAATCAGGAAAGAGCTATCTTAATATACATCTCAAGAAGTATCTCAAATTTGGAAAACTTGGATCCAGCAAGAAAAAGATTGCCATCCACTGCTCCAACGAATCGATCCTTATTCAATTGGACACTAAGATCAGATCATGTCTATTCAAATCATATGATATCGATTTGGATGCAGTCGATGATGAAGATGGTGAGAAATCAAGTATGGTAACATTGGCCGACAAGAGCACAAGATACACAAAAACTTAAATAAAATTTAAATTATTATAAAATTAAAAACAAATTTATTCTAGAATACAGATTACTGGTCTAAAGAAGATAATAATTAAAATTAATCTTTTTAAAGTTATAAAAATAAGATGAATCTTTCAAAAGATTTTTCATAGTGCGATTTTTCATAAATATCTTTCAAAGATTTTCATTAAATATCCAATTAATTATTTATTCTATTATTAAAAGATCATGACAATGAAAATTAAATATCACCACGAGTATTTAGATAAACAATAACTTTAAAAATCATTATTAAAATTTAATAAAAGAGAATAGATAAATAATAAAATGATATCATTAAGATATAGTTTATTATTTACGATTGTTGCGACCATACATTTGGTTGTAGCTCAAATACCTTCGAACATTCCAGTGTATTCTACAAAGTTGGAATCACCTACATCCAACCAATTTGTTGTTTACCCTGGAAATGATTCTACTGCAATGGCTCAAGCTGCATATACAAATCAGATGATGGAGATAGGCTGGGGTTACATATCGATCACCACCAACCCTGATTTCACCGATTTTCAACAGGCAATGGCTGCAGGTTTCATCGAAGGTTATCTCTCTGCCGATATGATTTGGCAGACATGGTACAATATCTATGTTAACGAGTATAACAATCAATCGGTTCCAAGTTCGATTATTGATTGGTCAGATGAAAACTTGGCATACATTTACAAACAGGTCGAAGCTAATACCAATGATCCATTCTGGATTCATATCAGTCTTATTGTTACTCAGATGTCATCAATGGTAGATGGATACAACAGCGCCAACACCGATCCATCTAAAGAACTCACAATGTTGGAATTCTACTTGATGAACAGTGATGGAGATATGGGTGATATCAGTTATGCACTCAACCTTACAACCGAACAATATAGAAAATCATTAATTGCTGCCGATGGACTACCAAAAGAAATTTCAAAGAAAGATTGGGTCAAGAGATTCGAACATTGTTCTTCTTTAATTAAACTTACAGATGATCTCTCTGAATTGTATTCTGGTAAATATTAGCTTCTTATTTAATAATATATAGAGGTTGACTTACTAATTAAGATCTCTTTAGCTCATACATCATGGAGTAGTTATTATGTAATGGTTAGAATGTTTAAATCATACAATTTGAAATACTCTGCATTCGCTAGTTCACATTTGGTTATGTTCTCTGGTTACCCTGCAACACTTGCATCTTGTGATGATTTCTATTTGTTAGACACCAGATTAGTAGTAACTGAAACTACCAATGGATTATTAAACAATAATTTGTATAACCTTATCAACCCTCAATCGGTTTTAACATGGATGCGTGCAATTGTTGCTAATCGTTTGGCTCACAACGGTCCTTCATGGTGTGAGGCTTTTTCAAACGAAAACAGTGGTACTGTAAGTTATATCGCTTCCTCTTCTTAAGTAATCATTTCTTAGATTAGATTGACTAATTCGTTTATTAAATTATAGTATAACAATCAATGGATGATTACAGACTATAATAAATTTGTAAAAGGTGTTAGAGTACGTGACGGTACACTTTACGTTTTGGAACAGATTCCAGGTTATATTGAATACGCAGATGTCACCAATATTCTAAGAACTGGTTATTGGTATGAAGTATAATATAAATAACATTCTTAAAATAATCGTTATATTAACCTAATTCTTTTAAAGGCCATCCTATAATGTTCCATATTTCGAAAACATTTTCAATATGTCTGGTTTCAATGATACAGGATCAAGTGACTATGAGGCATACGAAGAGGATCCACGTTCCCAAATATTTAGACGAGATGCCAACAAAGTATATTCAATGTCTGATTTCCAAGCAATCATGAGATACAATAATTTCCAACACGATCCACTTTCCCAAGGAGATGCTGCCAATCAGATCTCTAGCAGATTCGATCTTAATCTACCAACTGCTCAAGATTATGATGCCTTTGGTGGAATCGATAGTAAAGTAACCTCCTATCAGTTGGTCAATCAAATGATAGCATTAGCACAATCTGGTCCGACTCGACTCACGATCAACAACCACCCTTCCAATGGTCTGCAGCTAATTGGACAGCTGAGTACCCAACAATCGGAATGCCAAACACATGGAACTTCACTTGGGTAACATTCGAAGATACTACTTTTTCAGTTAGTCAATAAATAAATACCTCATAATTATTATAATTTAAATGATAAACCAATCCAAATATTCATTATTATCAATATTTACAAATATATTAATTTGCAAAACTTGTTGAGGAAAAATAATTTTTCGTTTTATCATGGTGAGGTTTCATTTATTATTAACAAACTTTAAAAATCAAATATATTATTATTTATTTAAAAAAATTTTAATTGAATTTTCTTGAATTATTTGAATTCATCCAATGTTTGTATAGGCTCTTGAGTTTCTTTTGGGATAGAGTCAGAGAACAATCTGGAGTTAAACTGGCAACTCCGTCTGGGGATAGATAAATTCCGAATGGGAAGAAGTTGGTAGTTTTACCATGCTCCTCTTTGAGTACTTTTACAAGTGGGTTGTCAACTCCCATGAACATTCCAAGTGGCGTATTTGGACATCTGTATGAGTGAATATAGGCACTTCCTTTACAATTTTCAGTGGCACAGAAACCTAGTGAACAGAACATACAAACGGTCTTCTTAAGACTCTTACAGTTGTCACAGTGTCCATATTCGAGAGAATTGGTGAGGAAATCAATGTACTTCTCTGGCAAATTGATAAACTTGGGTAATCTCTTGAACGATGAAGGTGGTGGGAAGACACCAACAAACTTTGATCCCTTTGGTGTCGATTGCAAGGTGACGTAGTGATCGATGAGTGGAGTGAAATCCATGGCGGCCATGAACTTGTCGATTGGCTTGACACCGAGATAGTCACGGATCTTATTGAAATCAGAGAAATCTTCGAGTGAGATCTCTGATTTGTTGTCGGGGATGTAGAACTCACGGAAGAGATACATCTTACGAAGGTATGGGTGAATTTGATCGTTGAATTGCTCGATCAACTCGTTGGACATGGTTGTTGATTTGAGCTCGGCGATAAACTCCTTGAGGTTCTTCTTGTTGAGAATTTCATCGGGACGTGTTCTCATAAAGTGCACCAAAATAATTGAGAACACATAGTAGATGTATCCATTGACTATACAATTGAATGGATCACAGTTTGAAAGGAATACCTGGTAGGTCGATGCAATGAATGGATCCATCAAGAAGATATAGTTATTTTCGAGTGGCAAACGATTCTCGGGCGTGGTTGGAACGTTGCATGCCATGACCACATTGAACAGCCGCTTGAGTGTGGCCAACTCCTTGTTGAACTCGACTTGCTTCATGAGGAAATATGGCTCATTGCTATAGTATGAGGTCTTTCTTGACTTGAGCTCTAGAGTCTCGGCGTTTTGAAGTACAAACTTCCAGAGGTATCTCTCGATGACAGTGACATTCTCCTTGTTGAACAAGAAGAAATCGAATCTACACAAACTGGTAAAGAATAACTTTCTTGCTTCGAGTGACTCGATGGTGTTGTCGACGGACAATGGGATGATGATGTTGGAGGACAACGAACACAATGGACAAGAGAATCCTTCTTCGAAATTTGGGAATAACTTACGAAGACAGGTTTGATGGATATTGTGTGAGCAAGAGGTGATATAGGTCGATGCCGAACGGTAGAACAAGAAACATGCAAACAAGGTTGGGTCATCATCTTTGCTCGGGAGATATGGTAATGATCCTGGATTGATTTCACTGAAGAAGTATTCCTCCAAGAATGTTACATAGTCATCTGGAAGAGTTGGGTCGGCAATATACTTCTCGACCTCGAGCTTATTGTGGAGTTGAACGGTCGAAGTAATATCGATGTAACCAATCGAATAGAGTAGCTCTTGTTCCTTTCCGGTTTGGCAAACAATACAGCTCTCATCGTGATTGACTTCCTCGTGGTTGTGCTCTTCACCTTCGACAATCTCTTTGAATCTGTTGGGTGGTGGAAGAGTTGGTGATGGAACTGCAGGTGATGGCGAGTTGGCAACGTCCGGTGTGACATCGCCAGATGAAGATGCACCTGGAATTGCCAAAGAAGGTGATGTGGGGAGTGGTGAGTTGTTGTTGTTGTTGCTGTCAGTGTCTTCCTTTTCGAGATCGTTCAAGAATGATTGTTGTTGTTGCTTCATTCTCTCAGAGATCTTCTTGGCACGCTCAGATACCGCCTTCTTTTGGTTGATCTCTTCGGCAGAGAGTTGATTCTGATTGAAATCGATACCTGCCTTCTCAAAGAAATCTTTGAAGTTTGCATTGAATTGATTCAAGAATTGGAAGACATGCTTGAGGAGTGTCTTCTTTTCGAGATTCAACGATTGCTTGGTGGACACCCAGATGTTGCAGAGTAGATCCAACAATGAGAGTGGCTTCTTGACACCGACGGTGACCTCTACGTTGTAGGTCTTGATCAAATTGAGCACAGAGAAATTACGCTCGAATTTGACTTGAGTCTTATCCTCGGCAGCAAAGAATGCATTGATAGTCTCGTGGAGGTAATCGAGTGTTGGCTTGTCCATGGTTTCCATTGCCTCTTTGAATGAGTTGATACCAAGACACAACATGTATAGGAAGTCATTGACAACGATGTCTGTCTTCTTCAAGAGCAAACGAATGACTGTTTGGAGATCGAATGCGTCATCGTAACTAACATAGTCATGCTCCAAAAAGTCTAAAATAACAGTAAAGATAACCTCAAAGAGTGTTGGCTCGTTGTAGATGTTGTCGACCTTGACAAACTCTGGGTGGAGTGGAGTGAGCTTTGGTGGAGCTGGGAATTCATCTGGGAGCTTGGCTCTCTTCTGGTAGTTACCATAGTTCATGATAGTCTTGCTCTTCAAGAATGTCTTGAACTTCAATGAGAGGAATGGATAGTACAAATCGATATCCTTCCAGTATTCATCCTTCAACTCACGGACCTTATCCTTCTTTACAGAGACCTGATTGACAATCTCCTCAATCTTTTCCTTTGGAACATCCTTAAAGATGAATCCCAAATTGAACTAAAAGAAAATTATTCATCAGTTAGTAAGTAAGTTTAATAATAAAAAAAGAAAAGATAGACAGACAGATTAATCTATCGATTTTACATACATTATCAAATACAAAGAAACCAGCAGAAATAACTTGAATCAAATGATGTCTGATCTCAGCATCTGTTGGATTGATAGTACCTCTAACTTGGAATGATGAAATCAACAATGCAAATAATTCATTGAATGCAGATGATGTATCTATAATAATAAACTAATAGTTAATATCTTGTAAAGAGATCCCACAGGACTGTGTTTTGGAAAAGATGATTTCGATTGATTACTTACTGTAGACATCGACCGAAGTGATGACATTGAAGAATGCATGAATAAAGTGTCTTGGACCAAGTGACATCAAACCCATTTGAAGGGCAAACAAGTCGTTCATCATTGTAATGTCAGTGAAGAACTCTGTTGATTGACGTAGATTCATTAAGCTTTCCTTTGGATCAAACGATGGATCGTAAGAGATATAGCAAACTCTGAACAACAAGATTGTGTTGACCATATTAACGACTTCCTCTACACCGAAATCAGCCAATTCATGTACCATATTATAGTTTCCTTCGAGGATAGCAGTTGCCAACATTCTGTACAATGGGAAATGAACTGGGATTTCACTATATTTAAACTTTTGGAAGAAATCTTGATGTGGTAACAATAATCTAATATATATAAAAGAGTTCAATTAGAAAATCTAATAGTTCATTACTTGTGTGTGTGTGTGATTGTACACTTACTCATTTCTTAAATAAAGTTGTGGATAAACTAATTTCTTAAGTTGAGCAATGGTCTCAGTGATGATTTTCTTTGGTACGGTTGGATCATCATGGAGAGTGGAGATGATGTTCTTTGTGGATTGCATTAAACGATGCTCCAATGATACCAAGAAACATGTTGTAGTGATAGTTGGATCGACAAACTGTGGTGAGATGAAATTGTGGAGAGCCAACGCAAACTCAAAGAACAACTTGAATATCTTTTTGTCATTCATAAAGTAGAGAGCTACCTCTTTGTTCTTTATCAACTTTGGGAAACTAGTGAAATCAGATTGCAACATAACTTCTCTTTCAATTGGTTTATCTGATTTATAAAATGGTTCTAAAATTGGCATATATGTTTTCTATAACAATATATTAGTAAACATTGATATTTGATATTATGGTTGAATCAGTTACTTACATGTGTTTGCAATAGTAGCTCCATGTAGTTGTTGTTTGATGAATAACCGGTTGAGAATGGAATCAAAATTGATTTGGTTTCCATGTAGAACGAACCGATGAGCAACATCATCTCGGTGGAGACTGGATCACGCGGTGTGAAGATGTCGACGTAGTTCTTGAGGTACTCCTCAAAGAAGATGATCTTGAAGAGACGGTGGTTGTCAATGAGCAACGTCAAGAGGTCGAGGAAATAGTTCAAGAGGTGTGGACGTCTGAATATGTATGGCAGGAAGTGGTGAGATTCGATCGAGTGATTCTCGGTGGTTGGGAATGGCAGCGGGGTCGGGTTGTTCAGGTTGAAGTTCGACGGGTCGAGTGTACGCGACGACGTCTCCTCGGAGATGATGTGAATCAAGATGGAGGAACGCGACGCCAAGAACGACAGCCACTCGATGATCACCTCGATATTCGGCTTGTTCGCTTCGAAATCCGAAGGCATCGTAGTCACTCTCTGAAGATAGGCAAACAGATATCTAAAGAAGAGATGCAAGTCTTTCTGAACGGTCGGTTGCACCATACGGCATTGTTTCACCTGATTGGCTTCATCGACGTTTCTATGGTCGACACAGAATCCACTTGGCTTCACTGACTCTGCATTACCACAGTCACAGACAGCCGAAGTACTTTCATAGATTGAGAACTTATGTTTCTGTTCAATATGTGGACCATTAAAGAAACAGCTTGGACCTAGAATTTAGTATATTACAAGAAGTTAAGTAAGTAATTAATTAATTCATTGATAATAATAACAAACTTATTATTATTATTATTTTAACAATTTGTTTATTACTTACAAATACAACTGTTCTCAAGAGTAGTACATGAATTACAAATAAAGAACCATGCTGGTTTACTTCTTGTTTCTAAATTAATTAAAAGTTAATTTGGTGTGTGTGGTGTGTGTGTTAGATTATTTTGTTGTTGTTATTGTTGTTTGAATTATAATATTATATATTTAGGATAGTTTACCATATTGACATTTTAGAGTATCGTCAGATGGATATTTATCAAAGAAGTTCTCGACTTCCATGAAACAACATTTCTTAAAGAGGTACTCAAGGTGATCGTTGGTGACGGTCTTATCTTTCAGTTCATCGAGAACCATCTTGAAGGTTGGTACCTCTTTAGCCTCGACTGGCACCTCTGATCTTCCATCTTCATTGCTCTCGTTGTTCTTTACTAAAGAAGCTGTATTTCCCATCTTTTTATTATTATTATTATATTAACTTATCTTATCTTATCTGAATCTATTTATTCTATCTTTATCTTAATCTTAAAAAAGTTTTATTATTTTAATGTTTTTTAAAATAATATCTCTATATTAATTAATTAAAAAACAAAACAGAATAAATTGATCGATCGATTGATTGATATTTGATTATAGATATTTATAAATATAAATAATATACAATTATAAAAAAAATAAAGATTTGTTGAAAATATTATTAAAAGATTTTTTAAATTAAAAAAATTAAAAAAAAAAAAAACTTATTCTATCAGTTTGATTGATTTTCAATGTGTACAGGTGTGATAGTTGAAAAAATATATATAAATAAAAATATATAAGTTTAATTAATTTTTAATAGATTTGATTGAGTTGAGTTTTAAAAAAATTAAAGGTCTTTGATAAGAAATTAAAAGGAATAATTTGTTTTTTTTTTTTTTTTTTTTTTTGAAGATTTTTTCAATTGAAGATAAAATGCAAATTTCTGTGAAAAAAATATTTTGGGCTTTGATAAAAAAAGTAAAGTGGGTATTAAAGTTAACTTTAAGCTTATAATAATAACAGATAGATATTATTACTTATAAATATCAATCATCATTTGAGAATTGTTAACAACAAATTATTATGATTCATTCACAATATGTCAGTTTGTTTTAAATATGAAATTTTGATCTAGATCAAAAATATTTATTTATATTTTTGAATCATTATCAATTTTTTATTAATTTTAGCGTCTTAATCATTAATTAACAAATACCAAAATTTGTTAAATATAAAAATGTGGAGTCGAGTTTAAAAAAGTGGGATTTGTAGTTGTTCGTTTGTTCACAACCAACTCTGTGTTTGTGAACTGTTGACTTTATACATTGGAATGAAAGAATATAGTTATCTATCTATACTCATTCATTGATTGTTCGTTAGGTTTTATTTACATGCAAGGGAGTTTCTCTGTGATAATAATAATTATTGAAGCAAGTTAATAAAGGAACTGCTACATTTCTGTTGTGGTTTACTTACTCTAATTTAAAATGAATAACTAATATCTAATATTTGATTGGTGGTCAGGCAGATGCTAGTCTTCTTTGAGCGAGATGGGGAATGAGAACATCAGTATCATTGCCAAGAACAGACCTGTGAATGTTTCACCGAATGTCAGTGGTGAGAACACTGAGAAAAGAGCTACTGCCAATACGATTGCAAGTGTTGCCATTGTTTGTTTGTTTTGTTTTAGTTTTAAAGGTAATTGTAATGGTTTGTTTATCTATTGTATTTAATAATTAGTTGTTTTGTAACAATAATGATGTATAAAATGAAATAAATAATGTATAATTTATAAGATAATAATAGATAAGATAAGAGATAAAGATATAATAATTGTTGATTTGATTAATTATCTTTTTTTTTTTTTTTGATTAGTGAAAATATATGATTTATTATTGGTATTTATGTATTTCTTAACAATATGTTGTAATAATTTAAATGTTTTTGGTTTTATATTTATATATATTTGCGTAATCCTAGACAGGGTATAGTTAAATGTGTGTGTGAGTTGACAATGTGTGGGTGAATGAATGACTTGACACAATAACACACGCTATTCTTTTATATATTTATCTAAAAATCGCGTTCTCTGGTTTGTTTGTTTGCTTGCTTACTTGTTTGTTTGTTCATGTAATACAAAAACACACACACATTCACACACAAACAAACAACAACAACAAACCACCGTTGTAATAATAAATGGTAATGATAATTAATGAGATGAGAATGAATGGTAAGATCGTTTAAAACTAGTGGGGTGGTTGTTCAATATTTATTTAGTTTTTTTCGAATATTTAGGAGTGTGGTGTGTGTCGATAGCAAAAAAAAGTTATAATTACAAAAAACTTAATAAAATAGTTTTTACTTTCTCACTTTCTCGTTTATTTATTTGAACAAAAGAAAAAAACAAAAAGTTTTAAATCTATCTTGTAGGAAAGAGATAAATTCAGAATTATTTGAAGTCCTGTAACAACTAAAGTTAACAGTTATCTTACATTTGAACTTAAGTGAACAAACTTTAAATGAATTGTGAATGAATGAATGAAAATATTTAAAGATAAGTACTTATGTTAGTGTTTTTGTATTGTACCAATCTTAATTGTTCTATTCTTAATTATTTTAATGCTTTTTGTGATGGCAGGTCACACCTCAAAAAAACATAAAACCACACACTATAGATTGCCATTTTTGAAAAACCTTGATGAACTTTGCACATGAAAAAAAGAGTCATCTAATCAACAAAAATAGCAATACATAAAAAAAACAAAAAAAAATTGTTGGATTTGCAGGATATAAAATGTTCTCACATTATTGGATAATTTTTTTTTCAACTAAACAGAGCTCTTTTTAGTTAACCTTATTGAAAACCCAAACCTAAACTTAAAAGGAACTCTAAGTGTTATAATTTTTTGAGGTTTAAAAACAAAAAAACTATTATTTAAATAAAAAATAAATATTTCGGAAAAAACGACATCTTTGAATAAAAAAGGTTTATTTATTTTTTATTCATAAAAGTGAAATTCATTATATCCTTTTTAGGTGGATTTTACCATCATTTTAAATAACTGGTCTTATTTTATGATTAGATAATAATTAATAATAATAGACGATTTATATATAGACAAAAATATTGATTGGCAAAAACAAATTTAAAAATAATCTAACATTTTAACAAAAATTAAGTTGGACTGACGAACGACAACAATAATGCAGCAAATATATTTCCAAGTATTTGATGTGAAAATGATATGACAAAAGTATTATTTTAATTAAATACTTTTGATGATATTTGTAATAATTTAACTAAAAAAAGACGAGATTCGAAATACTTGAAAAATATATATAAATATAAATATATATAGAAATGAATACAAACAAAATGAATTGCTTTCTTTTTGTTTGGTTTCTTTTAATTTATTAAAATTACTAATTATTGAATCTGTTCAGGATTTATTAACGATAATGGGTGAGAGTGAATGAAGATTGGTTGTTGATTGCGAAATCGGTGATGATCTTAATGGAGATGATAGTTTCGATAGATTGAATTTATATTCCTGAATCATTGATTTGATTTGTTTCAACCATTGACTTCTCTGTACTTCCGTATTGAAACAAAGAATATATTTTGAATTATCATCTTTCAAATGACATATTTCCAATGCATATTTAACAGCTATAAAATATAATGATATATATTATTAATAATCTTTTGATTTGAAAATTGAATATTTGATGAACTATTATTATTATTATACTTACAATCTGTATCACTAACAAACATAATTCTTGCTTCTGAAATTGGTATTCTACCTTTTAGTCTGTAGATGTGTTTCTTTGTTTTGAAGTTGTTGATTGCATTCGTGATGACGCTTGCAGGACCGCAAATGAGAATGAGGTCGTTGAAGAGGAAGATCGAACGTTGGAGGGTGGTGTCGTTGGTGGCACCAAGTTCACGCACAGAGGTTACCGTTGCCTCTTGTAGGAGAACACGTCCGGGCTTGACGAGATCGTCGTCGATATTCTCGATGGTCGATTGTATCTCGAGGATCTTTTGGAACATCTCTACTGTTCGCTTGCCTTCGTTGACCGACGTAACAACGATGTTGATCTTCTTCTCTGCCTCTTCGAGTGGAACTCGCTCCGGATGATGCTCGGCAGTGTACCTCAGAGTCTCACGTAGCAACAGTGGGTACTTGCATATTCTTTGCACCGGCTTGATAATGAAGCTGAGCAGTGGCAGTCCACGACATCTACTGTCGGACATGCAACTCTCGAGGAAGTTCTTGAATGCTTCGTTCTTCTCCTGTTCGTCCTCGAGAATCTTTAGAGCTGCCTGCTGGTTTGAGCAATAGGCATTGTACATCTTCAGGTAGTGAGACATCTTCTCGAATGCCTGACCAACCTTGGTTCGATAGTGAGAAGGTTCATCGTCTTTCTCCAACTCTTCCAACATTGTCTTATTGATACTAAGCAATATCTCGAGATTGGAGAACAAAGTATTTATATCCTTTAGTTGTAACATTGATTTATCTCTTATCGGTGTTAAGAATACATCTAAAACTATTTGTAAATCTTAAAGTAAAAAGTAAAAGTTAATGATATTGTTGTTGTTGTTTAAGTAGTAACTAGAATATAAACATTAACATACCTCTAACATAATCTTTTTCAGTTTCAATAATTTCTTCAATGATTTTCGTTCTCATTTGTAGATTCTTCTCTGATTCTTCTGGGTAGATGACTGGTGGTGTTTCAATGCTGTTGGTTGGAGGTGATAAACTGAATGACATCATTGGTGATGATGAGGTCGATGACATTGCAGGTGATGATATTGGTGATATTACACTGGGAGGTGTACTGTTGTTACTGATGTTGGGTGAAAGTGAGAGTGGAGGTGTCGAGTTTGGAGATCCGTTCTTTGGTGTACCAGAGGATGGTGAAGAAGAAGGTGAACTACCACCGCTAAGTTTCATCAAGTCGATATTCGATGAACGTAACGTCAGTCTACCGATTCTTGTTTGTCTATAGGTGGAGGGCGATGGTCTGCCAGTGGGTGATGGTCTAGCAACCCATCCATCTCTACCTTTTCCATTGTTATTGTTAACTATTGGAATTGGTTGTGATGGTGTTGTTGTTGTTGTATTTAAATGTGGTTGTGAAGTTATGCTTGTAGTGGATGTAGATGTGGATGTCGATGTAGTTGAGGTTGAAGAAGTTGAAGAAGGTGATGCACCATGATGTCGTTGTCTGAGGGGTGGTGAATTCATTACCTTGTTGGACGACTTGATTTCACGCTTTCTCCAAATCTCAATGGGTGAGCTTGGCGGATGGTTGCTGTGACTGACACTTCCCTCCTCGAAACTACTTCTATGGTGCAGTATAATGTCTTCTTCACCTTCACTACTGCTAGATGCAGCACTACCGGCGCTATTGCTATTGTTAGGCAGTGGTGAGGATGCTGCAATTGGTCTCTCCTTTTTCTTCTTCTTCTCTTCCTCTTTTCTATGCTTCTCTTCTTCCTTTCGCTTCTTCTCCTCCTCTTTTCTTAGTCGTTCTTCCTCCTTTCGCAGTCTCTCTTCCTCTTTACGCAGCTTCTCTTCCTCCTCACGTTTTCTTTTCTCCTCTTCCTTTTTTCGCTTTGACTCTTCCTCGGCTCTGTGTTTCTCCTCTTCCTTACGCTTCTTCTCCTCTTCCTTTCTGCGCTTCTCTTCCTCACGCACTCTCTCTTCCTCCAATCGCTTCCTCTCGGCGACTAGCTTCACTCCAAATTCCTTTCTTCTCAAATGTGATCTTATACAACATTGAAGTAATAACGCACTCTGTCTCTTCAATGTAAATTGTTTCCTCTGAATATACATCTTATAACATCGTTGAATAACTCTAACTGCATCCTCTATACACTGTTCTCTTAACTTTTCTAATAATATATACAATTCGTCGGTGAGAAACACCTTTGTCTTTCCTATCTGACTTAAAAGCTTCTTACTATTACTATTACTATATCTCTTTTGTTGTTTTAATTGATTGATATGTTCCATCTCTAAATACTCCAATATACTCTTTGCCAGTTGCATGTTGTCCGTCGGTGTGTTACTCTTGTTTGTTGATTTATCTTGTTGTTGTTTCTGTAGTTTTTTTAAAATGATTGAATATCTAGTAATAAATAGTTTGAAATCGCGTCTATAAGAATAACCTTGCTTTCGTACTTGTACAGTCGACAGTAAACCAACACTTCGCAGCTGAGTTATCACTTGTATAGAATTGAAGCTATCAGCACTCAACGTTGAATTGGGTTTAACGCAACGCACATAAGAGAGTGTCGTAGTTGACAATGTATTTAAAAGTGAATTCAACTGTTCAAGAAATTGACCGGCCACAGAAGTACCCGATGCTTTCTTGTTGTTGCTACTGCTATTTGTTGTCGTTGCTGTTGTTGTTGTTGTTTGTTTTTGAAATAGAGAACGAACAAACAGGTTTGAACTACCACTTAATAACTCTTCCAAGTCGCCAAACAGAGTGTCTCTGTTCTTCTCTAGCCATCCATCCATCTGGTAGACTACATCACCTGCAAAATGACGCACTCCAAACGTACCTTTAGCTAGCGATCGTTGGTAGCAGTTGTTGTGTGTGAGGAACGTTCGATTCAGTTTCTCGAGTAGCGACACCTCAGAACCCTTGGGCATGACACACTCGTCGTCGAGCAGCGCCAATATACCCTGTCCTTTCTTCTCGATCAGCTCCAAACACTGTTTGTTATCGGTGAAGTGCGCACTGCTCCAACTGATACCTTCGGCAGAGTAATCGCGTTGCTCACGCTCAAACACCTCCTGGATGAACTGACTCTGAAGTTTCTCATTGGTAAAGTTTATCAAGAGTTGCTCCAAGCTATTCGACGTCATATTCTCGAATCCAAAGATGTCCAGCACACCGATGAACAGCTTGTCGGCACTGCCCCGCAGACTTCCATTTTTCGACTTTTCCTGATTCTCCAGGAATCGTTTGTTGATCTTCTCAACGATGAACTGGAAGATCTTGGCATACAGTGACTTGGCAAGAGAATCACGTGCTTCCTCTGCCTGCACAACTTCCATCGGCCGCGAATAGACCGATCCTCTTCCGATCGCTTTCAAATTACGTGATATCAGCGCGGTTTTGAAGAGAGTAGGAGGATAGCCAAGCAGCTGTGCCGTCGTATTAAGCGATGTCTGGCAACGTTCGTCTATAGCAGCATAGTTGGATTCATCTTTGATGAACTCTATGTTTCCGAGGTGGAGAATGGCCGCCACCGTCTGAAAGATTGAATTGCACTCGTCGACACCGACACCAAACACCATCAATGCTTCTTTAACACGCTGATAGCTCTTGTGTGCTGCATCCAAACCGTCTGGCGACGATCGGTTGAATTTCATTAGAACCTCTGGCGATGCCTGGAGATAGCGGAACCGCTCTACACTCTTGTCGTCGAGCGACCACTTTTTGCGCTCGTCGGGCGATGCGCCATTCACAAGATAATAAAAAATATGGTAATTCATATTGCCGAGATCGGGACGATGTGAAATCCTACTCTTCTCCAGCAGATATGTCTCAATGAGTGCACCACGCATCGCGCCATTTGAGTCGAATTCGACTTTAATAAATTTACCAAAACGTGAGGAATTATTGTTACGAGTTGTCGTGGCATTTCCAAAAGCTTCCAGGATTGGATTCGATCTGAGAATGTCGGTGGCGATTGTGCCTCCACCCGATCGATGCGCCAGAAATTCGAGCAACGATTTCGATGCCTCTGTCTTTCCACTGCCAGACTCACCACTGATAATAATTGATTGTGATTTTCGATCAGACCGCAGACCTGCATAGGCCAACGATGAAACTGAAAAAATATGTGGATCCAATTCTCTGACTTTAGAAACATCGCTGTACAGCGTCAGTTTTTCAGGTCCATATAAATTATTTATCGATTTAAAAGGATTGATTGAAACTAATACATTTCCAATCCATGTCTAAAGCAACAATTATTATTAATTGGGTTTTGTCAATAAATGAAAATAATTAAATTCCTTTTGTTTTTCCAGATTTCCAACTTACATATATTTTATTATTTTGATATCTATGTTTTAAATTGTGAAGTAAATATGCCTCTGATAAATCGTTGATTTTAACCATATCTGTAAAATCGCGTAGGTCAAAAGGATTTATTATTTGGATCGCATTCTTTGCAGTTGAAACCTCGGATCCATCGTGTTCAAGTTCCACTACGATTTGATTTGAATCAATAGTTTTCTTTATCCGTCCGATTGCATATACTAAATTTGGGTGAGGAACCCACACCAATTCCTCTGGCTCCATAACTCTATGGCCAACCTTCCCACCCCTTTAATATATCAAGTTTCAATATCGATAATGTTACAAAAAAAAAAAAAACAATATGATTTCTTGAAATTTCTAAACCAAAAATCCAATCTTATCTATTTTTTTTTCTTGCTACTACTAATAATGATTATTTAGTATTAATTATTTAATTATTATTAAATTAACTATAGGATTGGTTGAAAGCCTATTATTATTATTACTATTGCTGTTGTTAATTAAAATAAATTTAAAGTTTAAATTAGTAAAAAGTTAATTAACTGTTCAATTTTGTGATAGGGATGTTGTTAAATGTAACATATTAAATGAATGTAAATTAGATATACCCAATATTATGTCTAAGTGGTAACTTTATACTTTTTTACCAACTATAAATTATTTATTTTTAGACGACTAGTGTGTTGTTTTGTTTTGTTTTGCTTTGTTTTGGTTGTTTTGATTGTTTTTTTTGTTTTGTTAAGTTGTTTGTTTGGTCATGTGATTATTTTCAAATTAAAATGGTTTGAAAAAACAAAAGAGAGAGAAGGAGGACCTCTAAATCAATGTTTGAAAGGGTGATGGATACAATGGCAATAGAGTGTACTCCAATTACTATAAAAAATCCATAAAACTGTCAACTCCTAATAAACAAACAATAACTGATTGTTGCAGTGCTAACTTGGTGTTACCAAAAACTAACTACAGTAGAAATTTTTGATTTCAAAACAACAACATCGGAGTAACAACAACAACACTTTGTTTTTACTTTAAATGTGCTATGAAATTTCTATATACATTAATTAATATTGGTACTGTTTACTAAAAGTTTTGCTTGTATTTTATTTTATAAATAAAAATAACAATAACATACAAACGATCAAAGGGAAGTTTTGTGTTTGTGTGTTGTGTGTTTGATTGTTTTTGATTCTATCTGTCTATCTCTCTGAAAAATATATGTGTGTAGTGTGTGTGTGTTTGATTGTGGTGAATGTGTTAAGTGTACAGTGTGAAGATTATTTTAAATAACTTTGAGGTGTGAAATTAATTAGATCTCAAAGATAAAGTTTAAAAGTGATTAGCATTGGGTTTGTTTCGTTTTGACAAATGAAGTTGTTGAGCTGTGTTCTCAATAGCAAGTTTCGACTATAATCAGTATCATTCTTGATTGATTGATTGATTGATGATCTACTTGGTGTGTAAAGATGGTGATTTACCCTCGACAGAGTAAATTTAACATTACTATAAATGCGACTCTACAATTCTGTCAGATGACATCAAGACTTTTCCCAAGAAAAAACAAAAGAGAGAATTTCTTGTTATTATTTTATTCTTTTTGTTGTTTTACTTTTTTTTTTCGTTCTTTTAATTAATCCAATAAAATTACAAATATTCTATTTTCTATTATGTAAATAAATAATTTAAAAATATAAATTTAAATAAATAAACGGTCTGTTTTTTTTGTTTTTTTTTTTGATTTGCCAAATTTTACAAAAAATAGATATTTGAAATCTTGATCAAGGGAAATATCTCTTTGAAAAAAAAAATAAAACCAAAATTCTTTCAATGAATAGAAATGTATACCAATTCAATTTTCTTTTGAGTTTAGATTATTTTTTTTTTAAAAAAAAAAAAAAAAACAAAAAGACAAAGATGTAAAACAAACTAATTTATTGCTTATTTGTTGGAATGATTAAAGTTTGAAAAAATAAAATAATTTTTATATATTTTTTTATTATTATTTTTAATATTTTTGAACTTATTGATATCATTGTTGGTAAAATTGGGATAATTATAAAACAAAATCAATTTGTAAATCTAATAAATATAAATTATAAATAAAATAAATCAAATTTACCCACATGATTAAAAAAAAAAATTTAATTGAAAAAAAAAAAAGTTTTTTTTTTTTGATTTGTTTTTTTGTTTAAAAGTTGAGAAGTTTTGTGCCTGTAGAATTTTAGCATTATTTATTTTATCTTATTTTTAAATATTGTACAGTAAGTTTGGAGAAATAGGTAGCTGTTTTCTCATTTTTGGTATTTGCATTTATATCAGTAAATAAACTAAATAGTAAATAGGAAATAGGAAAAGTTAAAAAAAAACAGCACTATGATCAGTCTTTTCATTCAATAATACGAAATAGAGAGTTTAAAGGAATTAAAGGTATCATCATATTATATAAATCAATATTTTATTCTCAAATTATCTTCAAATATCAAGATTGTAGTAGCATCATCAAACTAGTTACAAAATTAATTTCACTACACCAAAGTAAAATCAATCTATCAATCAAACAAAACAACCGACCAATCAATTCAATCCAGATCAAATCAAATCGTATCAAATCAATATGAAACCGGTTTCAATTTGATATATTTTGCATATTATATTTCTTTCTTTTTTTTTTTTGTTTTTACAACAACATTGTTTTTTTATCAGTAATAAAGTGGAATATGAATAAGATTGTCAAATAATTATAATATACAGTTGCCTGCAAAGTAAAAAATCTAAAGACATTATATTGATGTTAGATTGGCATCATCAACAACACTGCAAACTTTAATTAATCATGATAGATGACATATAAAAATCAGTGTTTATTTTAACCAATCCCACTCACTTATTCACACCCCACACCTTTGCTCACAAATCAACTCAAAATCAATAATACACACATCAGCTAAAAACACAAGCAATCAATCAATTGAATACCTATTTAATTTATATATTGATATTTGTACAAAAATAATAATAAAATAAATAATAACATAGCCTGACTCTAGTATATATATATATATATTTAACATGTATATTTTCAAATAGGGCGAGTGGGGAATTGATTGATGATCCAGTGGAGTGGAATGTTTAGAGTGTTAAAAATCAAATCTCTTTTTCGAATCAAATTTGTTGTTTGTTGTTGTATTTATTTTATTTATTTTTTTTGTTTTAAAAAATCAATAGAATGATTATTGATAACTGTGTTGTATAGTTAATTGTTTATCAACTAACTAGTGAGTTATGATGTTGGTTGTTGTAGTAATTTTTGTGTTGTGTTTTTTTTGTTAGAGATAAAGAAATATTAAATTCAAATTAAAAATACATTTAATTTAATTTAATTTATTAATAGAAGAAAAGAAAAAAAAAACAAAAGAACCAAGAATAATAATTTATAAGTAATCAAAATCAAAAAAATAAATTAAATTAAATTAAAAATAGATAGATAGATAGATAGATAGATAGATAGATAGATAGAAGAAACATTGTAGTGACACATTTCACATTCTCACTTTTTCTTCTTTTGCAACATCATCATTATCATATCATATCATCTTTCGCCATATCGTATCATATTGATAGTGGATATTCAAAGAAATAAAAAAAAAACAAAAACAAGATAATATAACCATAGAGAGTAAAGTTTCTCGAAAGATATTTACATTTTGGTTTGCCTTCTCGCTTGAAAAAAAAAAAAAACAAATTGGTTTGGTTGATTTTTATTTTTGTTGGTTTAAAAAAAAAAAAATAACAAACAAAAAAAAAACCAGTAAAAGGTCATCAAAATCACAAATCGGTCTTCCCTTAAAGTCCGATAGTTAGATAGATCAAATCAATCATCAATCAATATTTATTGATTTATTTGTTTGTCATTCATTTGCTTATTTTATTTATTAGATGACTAAATAACTAACATCATCCATCATTAGTTTTGTAATAGTAAATTAGAAAGAAAAAAAGAAAAGAAAGACAAAATCGATATTTATATAGAATTTTTAGATAGACATAGGCGATAAATATAGAAAGTTAGTTGGTTCTTGGTTTATTTTTATTTATTTATTTCTGTCTGGTGTTGGATTATACATACAATATAGGGTATTGGAATAATAGGAGTTTCTTAAAATCTAATAATAATATAATGGTATGATCAAAAACCAACTGAATACATACATATTCAGAAGAAAGTAAAGAGAGATACTCTGAAGCATGTTACTTACACACAATGATGATTGATCAATAATAATAATAGCAACAACCAGGTGGAGGTTTCACAACCAACAGCTTGATCAAAGCACGTTGGACTGTCATCAAGAAAATTGGACAGGGTGCATTCGGTGAAATCTATTCAGGAAAGAATATCATCAACAATGAATATGTAGCTATAAAAGTTGAGAAGATCGACACTAAGAAACAAGTACTTAAATTAGAAGTTGCTGTTTTAAAGAAATTACAAGGTATTATTTATATTAATAATAATCAATAATAATAGAAAATTATTTTTTAATTTATAGGATAAAAAATTTAATACTAATTATATTATTTTTTTTTATAATCTATTTTTTTTTTTTTTAATAAAATTATTTTATTATATTAGCATGTCCATATGTATGTAGATTCATAACATGTGGAAGACATGGAGATTATAATTATATGGTGATGGAACTTCTTGGTGACAATCTATCGGATCTGAGAAGAAGACAAGTCGATGGAAAGTTTTCGATGACTACCACACTGAAGCTTGGTATTCAAATGATTCAGTCACTCGAGGCAGTACATGATCTTGGTTATTTACATCGTGATGTTAAACCAGTAAGTAGATAGATGGTCATGATCAGATCAGATCTATTGATGGATGATATGGTTAAAAAAAAAAAAAAAAAAAAAAAAAACAAAACACAATAGTAATAATTTATTAATTATTGATCTATAATTCCTTAAAATATAGTCGAATTTCGCTATTGGATTAGGACCAAATAAGAGACATATTACATATTTAATTGATTTCGGATTGGCAAGACGCTATGTTTTGTCGAGTCTCGAGGTCAGACCGGCGAGAGAGTCCACTGGTTTCAGGGGCACAGCACGTTACGCATCGATTAATTCACATCTTTCAAAGGATTTGGGTAGACGCGACGATTTGTGGTCTATCTTTTATGTGCTGATAGAGTTTGCAGAGGGTCAGCTTCCATGGCGAAAGCTGAAGGATAAAGATCAAATCGGTGACTGGAAGATCAAATATAACACACCGGAACTGGTAAAGGATCTTCCACACCAATTCGAGCTATTTATGCGACATCTGAAATCGCTCTCCTACGAGGAGCGTCCCAACTATGTATATTTACAGAATCTACTACGCGAATGCTACACTGAGAAAGGAGGAGTCGACAATACTCCTTTCGATTGGGAGCTAACCACAGCCACCACCAACCAAAGCAACACAAGCACTGGAACATTACAATTACCAAAAGTGTAAGTGTTTATATCAACACGGTTTTTATATATATATATATATATTTAAACAATTTAAAACTAATTTTGTTTTGTTTCTTTTGGTGTTTGATTTATCTATCACACAGAACATTACCATCACCATCAACAGTTGAGGTGGAGGCAAGTAGATCACGTGAGAATGACAGTCAGCGTGTAAATTCCAAACCAAACAAAGATTCACCACCCATTGAGAATGAAACGGGATCACCTCAACCTCAGATTCATCGTAAGGATTCTGCGAGTGCATCGGTCATTGCCGCATCGTCAGAGGCTGAAAACAAGTCGGGATCGTGGAACAATAAGAGCTCACCACGAACCAAAAAAGATCACGCTGGACATCAACTGCACAGCGAAGAACCTTCCACCGGTAAATACAACCAGCAGCAGCAGAAACCGAGCCATTCATTGGCACCCAACAACAGCAACAACAACAACAATCATAACAACAGCAGTAATCAGATAGCACAAAACGATCAACAATCTAAAATCGCAATTTCAAGCTCACATTCGAAATCCAAAGCCAAGTGTTGTGGTGGTAAATGTACAATCATGTAAAACTAGTAAACTATTAGAAAAAAAGAATATTAGTCAAACAACAAAAAGAACAAAATACAATAATAATAATAATAATAATAATAATAATAATAATAATAATAATAATAATAACATAACAATAACAATATATATATACAACCAAAAGAACAACTAAACTAAACTAAACAATTTGCTTTGATTTGTTTTCGCTCTCTCAACCAAATAAGTAGTACAACAACTTCAACCAACCAACCAACCAACTAACCAACCAATTAATAGAAAAAAAAGAAAAAAAAACAAAAAAAACATAACAACAAAAAAAAAGAAAGAAAAGAAACCAACTGTCCAACAATTATTCAACAGAACATGGTGTGGAAAGATAGATCTATACAGTAATTTGTAATAGTACAAATAACTTGGCAACAACAACAACAACAACAAACTTATTATTATTATTATTAATAGTAATATTTATATCTATAACAAACATACCCATCACTCCACATAACCAAACCCAAACATAAAAGTATTTTATTTTATTTTTTCGCAATCGCCTCCAAAAGCCACCTTTACCAATACTCCCCAAACAACAACAACAACAATTCCAAATTACATAATTAATAGTTAGTTTTGATCAATTATTACTACCATATTCCTATCTAAAAATAACAATATCAATAACAATAACAACAATAATAATATAATAGTAGTAATAGTACTTTTTAATCATTCTTTCATTAATTATTTGTTACCATAAATAAATTTATAAATCCAAACCAAACAAGACTCTTTTTTTGAATACAAATTAGTCCAACAAACATATTTTAGTGAATCGATCAAGTCCCAAATCTGTGAAGGGCTTGTTTTTTTGTAATATTATTTTTTTTAATTAATTTTTTTTTTTTGTAAGATTTTTTTTTTATTTTTTTGAATTTCTTTGATTGATTGATGGCTTATTGATTTGATTGTTTTAAATAAGATTAAATATATAAATATAAGAAGAAAAGAATAATAATGTTTACAAATAGATTAGTTATTCAATCAACAAAAAGATTGAATCAATCATTAAGATTGTCAAGTTCAACAACAGGAAGAACTTCAGTAGTCAGATTATATTCATCTGGTCAACAACAACAACAACACAATCAATATAATCAATATAATCAAAATCAAAAACAAAAAATAAATTGGAAACGGATTAATATAGGTTGTGGTTTGGCTGTATTAGCCACATCGGTTGTACTTGCTGCCGATGAAACCACTGCTCACCAACCAAATTGGCGTGAGAAGATCTTCACCAACTATCAAGATCGTATTCGTGAGTTCAGTACACCAGAAAAGATATTCCAAACATTTGCATCAATAAATAAGAATGGTAAGTAGTTAGTTAATAATCACAATCAACTCTTTCAATCATATAATATATAAATATTTAAATATCTATCTTTTATAAAGGTGAAACAAAATAATAATATTGTATGTTTTTTTTTTCTCGTCAGGTGAATATTTTATGACTTTAGATGATTTTGTACGTGCTGTTTTACCACACCAATTCAAGTCTTCATCACCAGGTTCAACCAAGAACAAATCTCTGGACATTAAAGAGGTGCCAATATCATTCAAGATTGCCGATGTCGATGGTGACGGTTTGATTTCGTTTGGTGAGTTTATGTTCTTCTCGACTCTGTTGTCAATTCCAGAGAAGAGTGTCGATATTGCCTTCAAGATATTCGACGTCAATCACGACAACTCGATCGACGTCAACGAGTTTACAAAGATCTTTAGAATTCTCAAGAATCAATCTGCCTTTACAAAGTCATCGACTGGCACCAGCCAAAAGTCGCTGCTTTCGCAGGGCTGGGTCGACTACCTCTTTGGTAAGCATGGCGACAACTCACTGACACTTGAAAAGTTCAAGTCGCTGTTGGAGCAGGTTCGTCGTGATGTCCTACAACTGGAGTTCCACATCTACGATCCCAAGAGCACAGGCCAGATCTCACAGCGTGATTTCGGACTGTTGATATCGTCGTATGCCAACGTGAACATGCGTAACAGCTACTTGAAGTCGGTCGAGTCGTTGCCAACCACCGTCAACAACACCGGCAGCAAGGGTGTCACATTCGAGCAATTCGTTGGTTTCAATCGTTTGTTGAACAAGCTCGATGAGGTCGGTCTCTCCATCGATCTCTACAAGGGAATCAACCAGCCATTCACCAAGAGCGAGTTCAAGTATATCGCCAAGGTCATCTGCCAGTTTGAGCCATCGAACGAAGTGGTCGACACCGTCTACGCCATCTTTGATGCCGATAAGAACGGTGATCTCTCTAAAGACGAATTCGTATCGGTCATGCGTAGAAGAAAGTACAGAGGACTCGAAGAATCAAGAGATACAGGTTTTGTAGCAAGATTAGAGAAGATCTATCAAGTCATCACTGGAAAGCTTTAAATACAAAAAAGAAAAAAAAGAGAAAACCAAGAGATAGAAAGAAAGAAAGATTGTACCATTATCTAAAATTTTTAAATCAATCAAATCATCATCATCCATAAACAAACAATCATAAAATTGTATTATTCAATTCAAAATATAAAACAACGAAAAGACAACGCTTAATATAGAATCATCAAAGAAAGAAAAAAAACAAACAAACAAATAACAAACTGATAATTAAGAAAATAAATAAAAGTTTATTGTAATTATATAAATCTAAATTATTGAATTAATTAGTATCAAGAGAATAATTATTTCTTCCCAGTTATTATAACCCTATTTAAAATTATCTAAGACAATTTGAAATTTCTATAACTTTGATCTTCAAAAAAAAAAAAAATGGTGGTTCGTGTGTGTTAAAATACAAAAAAGAATAAGCTCTATTATTTTTATGAATTCTTTGTCTGTGGTCTGGGAATATTTAAAATATTAATATAAAATAAATAAAATAAAATAAAATAAAATTAATTTATTTTATATCTTTATTTTTTATTTATTTGTTTATTTTATATATTTTTATTTTATTATTTTTAGTTTTTTTTATATTTTTTTTTGTAAAAAAAATGAAAAATCAAAAGTTTGTGTGCTTTGTAATTTTTTCAGTATTGTTTAGTTCTATTTTAGTATCTGGACATCTACAATCACTATCAAATGTAAAATTATATACAATTCACCATGATGGAGATTCAAACATATTGGAATTCATTTCGAGTAGACAGAAAGATCTAATAGTGGATCATGGCAGAACACGTACCGAATTGGATGTCTACATGCCTGATCAACTCTATCAAGAGTTTTCAACGTTGTTTCCAAATAGCATCAATTTGAAACCGATCAATAGGAATATCATCAATCAAAACAAAGAATCACCAAAAGTCAATAAAAGATCGATTGGTTCATTGGTTTCCCACGATTCATTTTACAGCTACACTGAACTTTCAGATTTTCTGAATTCAGTTGCAAATAACTATGGAAATATATCGAAATTGTATTCTATTGGTACTTCACATGAAGGAAGACAGCTATGGGGTATCGATATCACTGCCAATCCAAGAATGGATGAAATGGAACCACAAATTAAATTGGTTGGAAATATGCATGGTGATGAAATCGTTGGCAGACATCTATTGATCTATTTAATCGACCACCTTGTCACCAACTATGAAACCGACCAAACCATTAAATATCTATTGGATAACACCAAAATATCAATAGTTCCATCAATGAATCCAGATGGATATGAAAGAGGACAACGTGGAAATTATCATGATATAGGTACACACTTATTTAACTAGATTTCCCAAACAATAATAATAATTACTTACTCTAAAGATATATCTAAAGATTTAAATAGAAATTTCCCTAATCCATATCCAATAAGTCAATGGGAGGTAACTCCTATCCAACCAGAAACAGCTGCAATCATTAAATGGACAAGGCAAAATAGATTTATTTTGAGTGCAAATCTACATGGTGGTGCTGAAGTTGTAAACTATCCTTATGATTCCTTGAGAGGAAGAATACCAAACTATGGAGGTGTTGGTGAATATAGTGCGGCACCTGATGATATCACTTTTAGAAAGATTGCTTTAACCTACTCACTGAATCACAAGACAATGTATGAATCGAACGAGTTTCCATCGGGGATCACCAACGGTGCTTCCTGGTATGTTTTGAATGGTGGAATGCAAGATTGGAACTACGATAATACCAATGATATGGAGATCACCGTTGAAGTATCGAATGACAAAACACCCTTATCTTCGGAACTTCCTCTCTACTGGGACAAGAACAAGAATGCTTTGTTGTCATTCCTCATGCTGCCATTGAAGATGGGTTTCTATGGAAAGGTCTCTGCGATGAATGGTGGTCCTGTCCAAGCAAAGATCGAAGTGGAAGGTATTGATCATCCAATTTGGTCATTCGCTCAATATGGAGACTACTACCGAATCATCGATGCTGGCTTCTACAATGTCACTGTGAGTGCACCTGGATACAAGACTATCAACAGAATGATCCTAGTTCAGAATGGTCATAGAACAAAGAGCGATTACATTCTAGAGAAAGTCAATTCCTTTGATTTCAATGCAAAGCTAGATATCGCACCAAATTCAAAGGAATTACTCTCAGTGGAGGATCACAAGTTACCAAAACCAATCCCAATTGACAGCAGCCATAATGATAACTCTGTCCAACAAGAGGAAAAGTTCTTTACACTTGATCATATGACTATCATATTGATTGTAACAGCAACATTGGGATTGGTAATACTATCACTATTGGTGGTAATTGTAATTCTAATTAAAAAGTATTTGGATGTGAAAAGAAAGTTTGAAATTTTAGATTCAAAAAGATTTCAACATATTTAATAAAATTTACTTGTGAATCATAAATATTTAAATTTCTTTTATCTTTTGTTTAATAAAACAAATTAAAAAAAGTTTTAATATTTGATTAATTTATTTACTACTGATTACAACAACAATAAACAATTTTGAATACATTGGTTATTTTGATAATTTAGGCAACCCAGTATCCACGTCTCAAACTGTTGTTATTTTTTTGACCAGCAGCATAGTCGTTACTCTTTCTTTTGAATAATCCTATTTTTATTTTTAATTTTAAAAAAGATTAGTATTAAGAAAATATCTATAAATTAAATATTTATAAATACCCCAGAACATTTTATTTTGATTTATTTAGTGATATAATAATATTGATACAAATGATTTATGAATTTTAGAATAGAACTGGACTAGATTTATAGTTCCTAAACCTAAAAAATATCTAAAATAAAAATAATAAAAAAAATAAAATAAGAAATAATTTCTTGATAAGTTTTCTTTTACTCATTTTATCATCCTGGGTACCAGAATATATAATAAGAAATCTGTTGAATAAAAATAATCTTCCCAAAAAAATCTGATCTAAGTTCCCAAAAAATTTTATAATTTTATTATTTTATTTTTTTTGGCATCATAGAGAGCCAAAATTCCGAATGCCTTTTGGTATCGGGATTTAGAATACTGAATAGATTCGATGAATTCAATTCAATTGGCCCATGATCATACCATCTTAAAAAAAAAAATTAATTTATTGAAAAAAAAATGAAAAATAATATTGAAATTAAAATGGAACTTCTTTTTTTTGTAAGAATTTAATTAAAATTAAAAATTAACTTTTAATATTTTTTTTTAATGTAATTGCAATTTTCATATTTTTTTTAAAAGCATCAATGTTTGATTCATTCATACAATTCCCAGTACCAACTGTCAATGATGATGATGGTGATAATGATAATGATGATTCAAATAACAACAGCAACAATCATCGACATCATCATCATTCCATAAATAAACCGTCAAAAGGTCTATTGGATCTGTTAAGCTCTCCACCTGAATCACCGATACCAACATTACCTTCGGTAGTTACTACAAAAAATAATAATGATAATGATAATGATGATAATGATACCAATCTAGAAGATAATAGTAATAGTAATAGTAATAGTCAAACAACAACAACAAACACATCTTCACAATCATCTAACAACACTACTGCTGTTGGTATTATTACGAATAGTAGTAGTAGTAGTAGTAGTACAACAACTACAACTCCTAGTAGATCTCTGAATAGATCTGGCTCTTCAAAGAATATAGTTAGTCTTGAGAAACAGCTCAACGATTGGCAAACCGATTTCTATCCATCGTTGGCCTATCGCCAAAAGAATAAGCATCAGAAGCAACTAAAGAAAGTACAACAACAGATACCAATTGATAATAATAGTAGCTATATATTTAAACAACAACAACAGAATTCACAAACACCAACACCAACACCAACAACATCATCAACACCATCATCCCCGACAATCTCTTTATTTTCAAACAGCAGTAAACCTGGTGAATTTCCAGTGTGTGATGAAGATAACCAACTGCTGAGTAAACGTGTATCTCAATGGCAACACGATATCAACAGTGAGATAGAGAGTTTCTCACAGAGTTTTATAGCAAGCCTACCGGAGCGACTAAAAGACTTTCACAAATCATCGAAAGATAAACAACCTTTGTTCCTTACACCGATCTCCAGCATAACTCCTATATCTGGCTCGCCTTCTTCACTTTCACCAACACTTGCTAGTAGCAACAACAATAACAACTATAGTAGTAGTAGCAGTAGTAGTAGTGGATCAGACCTATTATCTCCAACACCATTACCAGCTTCACTGGAACAGATTTCAACTTTTGAAGATAAAGATAAGGATAAAGATACCAGTAGTTTAAATGTAAATATAGAGAACAATAAAAATATGATACCAGAGATAAAAGTAAGAGCAACGGAATCACCTATTCTTAAGAATACTACACCGGAAGTCGATCAAGAACAACTACTACATCCACAAACATTGCCTCTGGAATTGAAAAAGTCGACCGACGATTTGGAATCCAACTTTCAAACATGGAGAAGACTATTCAATGAGAAAATGGATCAAAGAATGAAAATTACAGATTTAAAGACTCATGGAAAGATACAAATAAATGATTAATGTTTTTTTTTTTAAAAAGTTTTTTTTATTTTTATTTTTTTTTTCTTCGATATAAATAACATTATAATTAATGTTATTATATTTATATATATATATATATAATTATTAAAATAGTATAGTATAAGGTGTCAACTTTGTTGGTTGAATAGTAAACACCTATAAAGAACATTGAACTGAAGAATTCTATTTGAATTGGTATGGTTTTAGTTTGTTGATGTTGTTGTTGTTGTTGTTACTGTTTGTATTTGAAGGTAAGATAAATCATACCTACTATAATGATTAATGTTGATTCTAAGCTAAGCTAAACCAAGCTAAGCTAGTGGATATTGATACAACTCAAGATATATACATAAAAAGGGGGCGGGGCAATCCTCTCTAAAAATGTAGTATTTTTATATTAAGGTAATGTTTGTTATTGATATTAACAAGAGGTTATATATAAATACTAGAATATGATGATTATTATTATTATATTGGAAAGATTCATTATCATTATTTTCTTTTTACATTATAGCTATTACTATTATATTATTATTATTACTATTTTTTATTAAGGCAAAGAATTACCTTGAGATCTCTCAAGATAAATCTTTGACTTTAAAAATTCACCCAAAGAGTTCTCTATCATCATTTGTTCCAGTTCCTCTTGTATATCGTTGAAAAGATAGTTGCTATTTAGACTTCCGAATCTAACTTCGTCTACATCGATGGAATCGTCGTTGAAAAGATCGTCAAAGTCAACTTCGAGATGATCTGCTGTCGACTCGTCTGTGCTTCCAGAGAATGATGACGATCCATTAATAATCATGCTCTTTCTGTGGTTGCCCGAATTGAAACCACCAGTGCTGCTGCTGTAACTGTGGGTATGGTAACCGTTGCTACCGACACCGGTGTCATTTCCATTGGCAGTGGTACTAGACGTCGAGTAGTAGGTGATGCTGCCACCAATGTCCTGGGTGGTTCCATTGGTGCCAACCACTGTTGCAGCGTTGTTGTTGGAGGTTGGTGAGTGTGTGGGAGAGCAAAATGGCGATGTATAGGGCGATGGATTTGGCGAGCTTGTTCCATTGGGTAGTGCTGCCGCTGGGTTTGAAGCGCTGGCTGACCTCGAAACGCGTGGACTGTGAAAAAACTTGGGACTGACAATACTGTTTGAGTTACTATTGTTGTTGTTTTGATTTTGGCAGGTACCTGTATTACCGTTGCCATTCGCATTGACATTACTATATATATAACTACTGTTGTTGGTTGTTAAACTAAGATGATTACTACTATTTATATTGCTGGCCATATTTCCAGACGACGACGATGACGACGACGATGATGGAGATGATGACGACGACGATGAAGAGTTGGTAAATATATTTGAACTGCCACCACTACCACTGCCACTTCCGTACGAAGTGGAACTCTTCAATGCAGGTAATATAACATCCGCCCAATATTTCTTTTTTGACTTTCGTTTGGGAAATGTCTCTGTCTTGTTTATCGTTGTTGGCAATACAAATGTCTTTTTCAGCTTCTCCTTTAATAAATCTTTTTGTTTACTATATATATTAATTTCATATTTAGAATTATCTTTAATAAACTAATATGAACAGAAATGATATCATTAGTAAAACATCATCATTTTTTTCATAAACATAATTTTACTTACTTTTTTATAAATTTCTTCTGCCATGGTATACATTTCGGATGCAGATCCATTTTTACTCTTATATTTTTCGATAGCTTCCCAACATAACAAGTTCTCCACACAGAATTGTGATTTTAAAAAATCATAAAAAGCTGATCTAAAAATCGAAATTATATATTAATCTAACTTTTATTCTAAAAATATCTCCAAATGTAGATGTTCTATAAATTTACCTTAGACTAGAGTTTTTTAAAATATCGTTCAAAATGGATTTAGAATTTCTTTGGTACATTTCATTTTCTAATTTCTTTTTTGAAAGAGTATTTTGATTTATATTCATATCTTGTTTTTTTTTGGAAATAATGGACATCATTAATATTTAAATAGATATATAATAAACATATATAATGTAGAAGATTTTATATTATTACTATTATATTACTGTAAATTTAATGTAGCAAAGAAAATAGAAGAAGTAGTAGGAGTAAGAAATAAACAAGTAGGAACAAGTCAAAATAATTATTATTATTAATAAGAAAAAATTAAAAATAATATTATTATTGTTTTCGTGCTTTGTCTTTTGGATAGTGGTTTTATGATTTATTGATTGAAATGGATATAAGGTAAAATAATTTGTTTTATTTTTCAATCAATCCATCAAATGTGTAAAGAGTGAATTTAAAAAAAAAAGAAAGAAAAAGAACTGAACAACAAACAAATTGAAAAAGAGAACTACAAACTAGTTTAGAATGTATATATCTACCAATCTATATACCAATCTCAAAACTTTATAAAAAAATAAACAATAAATGATCGCTGACTGACTGAAACCACACAGTATTTTAACAAATAAACATTATTTTAAATCAAGACCGAAATTAATTAGGAGTATTGAATTATGATTGTTGAAAAAGATTAATATATAAATGGAAATTGATTACTACTGTACTAGCGAGAAAGATATTTGATTATTAAATATATAATTATTATTATAATTGTTGTTATTTCTATTATTGTTATTATTGAAATATAATTATTATTTTTTTGACTTTAATGTTAAAAATTAAATAAAAGATTGTAATAGATATTGGCTGATTATTTAATAGATAATGTTAGTTTGACAGAGTGAATGATTATGGATTCTCTGTATCATCACAATATAAGCATAGCAAAATGTAGTTGTGTGTTTCACATCCAAATAATGGAAATCTAAAAACACCAAACAGACTTTTGATGATGTTGGATTTATTTTTTATTTTTTGTTTCCTAATTTCAAAGTCAATTGATTTATTAATGGATATATTATATTTTCTTATCAGTAATATTATTATGATTCATTCTGTTTGTTATAATTTATTATTTGTTCAACAACATTTATAAATGTTTAATAACATATGATTGATGTAAAGGTAGTATAGGGGTAGTGGTTTCCGTGGTGATAGGGTTGATGGATCAATCAAAAAGATAAATAAACACTAACCACCACACAATTATTACATTCAACAAATAAGAATAAATATAAAAAAATAGATTGTTTTTTGTTTAAACTCTAATAATTATAGATAATAATAGTATATATAAATGAGAGAATTGACAACATGATACATAACCCACTACAAAATATCTCACCACATACACACACTAACTCTTCTAAAACTAATTTATTCAAGATTTTGTGATGATTTATATATTGTTTTGTTAGATGATTTCCTTCATAAGATGAATAGAAATGGTACTGTTGTGTATATAGAACAGAATACATACATACTAGATTTGTGTAATTGTGTCAAACAATAATGGAATGTGGTAATAAAAACAAAAAGATGATGAGAATTTTGAGTGTTTAACCAAGGAATATGTGCTGTTGGATAATGTATGATCGACAATTGTATTGTGATATTTATGATATCACAACAAACAAATATAGAATACAAAAACGTTTTAGGTTGCACACCTGCGAAAGGGGTGTAGAGATATATGTTTTAGAGAGAGAATAATTTGGGATTATTAAGAAATCAATTATTTTCTTCCAAAATCAATTAATTTACTCTCATTCCAAAATACTATTATACTCCTATTAATATTTGTATTTAATTTAATGACATAAAACAAACACATATGATTGATAACTTCTTATTTGACAATTTTTAATGAAAATATTGTTATTGTATACCTTTTTTTATTCCCAGTTCATATTTTATGTTCTAATATGATTGATGTTATTGCTGATGTGATATTTTCTAAAATAATACTTGGGAATAACCACCTTTTATGAGAAACCATCAATTTAATATATATATGTTGTTTACTTAACCATAGATATTGATTTTTATAACAACTAATTGTATAATAATAAATTTTAAATATTTTAAATAAAATAATTTGTTATTCGAAAAAAGAGAATAAGTATTTCTCTTTTTTAGTTGGTTATTAAGGAGAAGGTGATTGTGAAGTTGAAGAAAAAAATTTATAAACTACAAAGGAATGAAGAATGTGGAGTTAAAATTGTCAAGAGTTGCTTTGTTTTTTTTTGTTTTTAAAAAAAAAAAAATTTCCATTTTTAGATACGACTATGATGGACATTTGTATTGTTTTAATTATCTATTACTAAGGATGTGTGGAATATTGTGTAATAAATTGAATATATTTAAAAAAAAAACAACCACGTTGAATTAAAAAAAATGATTAGATCTGAACACATTGTGATTTTAAAAAGGAGAATGAAAATCACTTTTTTTTTTTTTAATATAAAAATAATTATATAAACAATATATTGGTTAAAAATCTTCTACTTAAATAAGGTTATACTTACTTTGATTGTTAGTCATATTAACAATTTAATTAATCTACTACTATTGTTTTTTTTGTTAAAACTTTTTTTTTTTGCTCTTTCTAAATATATTGACAGATTAATGTATTTATTTAAAAATTGTAAGATGTAGAATAATTTATTTTACTATAGAAAAAGATAAAATAATAAATATCAAAGGATTTAAATCAAATAGAAATAATAACTTACATAGTACAGATGATATTTTTAATGTTATAATTTTTAGAGGGTATTATTACTTGTTTACTTTTAAGAATGTTTTAGAAAAGAATTGGTAGGATTCAAGTCATCCTACTTTTATAATTCGGTACTCTCACCATCGACATACAAATTTAACAATTTCATTTAAATGTATTCTTTATTTTATTTTTATTTTATTTTATTTTATTTTATTTTATTTTTTTATTTAGATAAAACCTGTGACTATGTTTATTCAAAGTCATGTATTATATAACCAAACAACACAAAAACATCATCTTAAATGTCTGCTCAAGATGGATTGTCCCCAACCAATGATTTTCTTTAAAATTAGGTTCTCATTCAACCACAAACCATGCATATTTCCATTTTGTATTCAATTGTTTAAATAAAAGATTATTTTTTTAATCTTTTTAAGAGTATGAGCTCACTGTTTGGCCATCTCACCAAGATTGGAATGAGAATTTTCAATTCTCTTGATTTTCCACAAAAGGAAAATTCAATCTCACTTGATCTTCTTTTTTTCTAAAACCATTCGAATTTTTTTTTCCATCCAATGATTTTTTCCAAATTTTGGTTGTTGTCCACCCTGGTGGAACTTGTTTGTTTGTGTTTTTTTTTTTGTTGATCTTTGAAAACAAAGAGACTCTTTGTTTTTTTTTTTCTCTTTTTCATATTAAATCAATAAAACACTGTTGATCCAAAATAAATGGCTCACTGAGCATAAAAAAATTGCATACAAAAAAATGTACTTTTGGGCCAACTCGATGACAATATAAAATCATAACCATTTTTGAAATTAATTGATCGATGTACAATGTGGTTTTTTCGATTTTGAAAAGCCCTCTGTCCAATCCAAATTTGAATTTTTTTTTGGTTTCAATTTTGTCTTTTAATCTTATTTTCTTTTTCCTAAAAAAATTAATTTTTGATATCGATTTTACCGATGACGATTTTATTGTTAATAAAATTATCACCATTATTAAATATTCGATTTATTATTTATTTTTTATTTAATTGGTTTCTTCTTTTAGCAAATCTAATCGCTCTGATAATAGTTTAAAAATATGTTGATATCCCTTTTGCTCTGATTGTACCAATGCTTTTCTCGTGAATCCTTCTTTTCGATGGATCAAAAGATACTCGACCACCCGAAGAAATCCAAATGATGCAGCTTCATCTAGTGCCTGGGTGGTACATTTGCAATTGGTTTTACTATCCAAAAAGATGACCACCTCCAGACTACCAACCATAGAGGCCTTATCAAGAGAGCACGAAGTACTAAAATCTATATTGGGGTTGAATCGATAGAGACTCTCAATTGCTGCTGGAAACAAAAAGGATTGGCTATACGCATCCCTATCGAAACCCTCTGTTCTGTTTTGCAATAGGAAATCTATCATTTCACAGTGTCCAAATAATGATGCTCTATTGACTGCCTGCATAGTGCAACCTTCAGTTCTATTGTAGTGAAGGAATTTTACAACTTCTAAATGATTTTTTTCAGCCGCCAAGTCCATTGCTCGAGTGGTGAAAGCCTCAGTGGTATTGGAATGGATCCATTTCACAAGCTCCAAGTTGCCGTAGCCAGCTGCATTATCGATTGCAGCGGATCCAACACGGTATCCATTACAGAGAAGAAATTGAATAACATCAAGTGGTCCATCTTTAAACAGCTCCGTCATAGACGCCTCAATAGCACCGGTATCAAACAACTGTTTTCTATGGTAGAGATTGACCAAATCTATATCTATTGGAATTATATCGATTACCACTTGAGATGCACATCTATCTTGATTATCAAGTAGCAGCACCGCAATCTTTAATGATTTACACTGACGGAATGATTCCAGTGTGTATTGTTCCGTTCTATTTCTTAATAGCCATGAAACCATTTCATAGTGATCGTTTTTAACTGCGCAATCGATGGGAGACACAAACAGAGAAGCTTGTATATTTTGTTGTGTCAAATACTGGACCACATCCAATCTATTCATGGCCGCTGCAGATTCAAGCAAGTTTGTCCAGCTTTGAGTTTTATCGAAATCAAATATCATGGTGTTGGTGAAATCAGAGAATACCTCGTTGAAATGCTTTTCACTTCCGGCCTCTAGAGCAAGAGTTACCAAAGGAAATCTCTTCAAAGAGGATTTAAAAGTTTTCCACAGCCATTCCATTATAAGAGGTTGTGAATACCTTACTGCCCACTCATAGCAATTATAGATATGAATAGAGGACTGAAACCATCCAACAACTGGATTGAGAAACATAAACTTGACCAAATCGATATCTTTGGTTGCAACCACATCATTCATGTAGATATGACCCATCATAACGCTAATGTACTGAAGATCCACTGTCTTTATCAAATACTGCAACATTTCTATTTGTTTGTTTTTGATTAACCCAACGATTAGCTTACGAGTGTCAAGTTGCCCTTCAAAAGGGTTATGGTTAGAATGTTCATTCAACCACTGAAAAACTTGAAGATGTCCGTGTTTGGCCGCTCTCCTAAATGCATCGTCGGTGAAACCTTCGGTTCGATTCGTCCTGAGGAAATCGCACAAGTCAAGGTGTCCACCTGCAGCTGCGCCATCCATTGCGTTTCTGGACACAGATATCGGGACACTAGTTGTCTCACAAAGTAATTTAACAGTATCAAGCATTCCATTTCTACAGCAGCCATCGAACAACAATGGCCATAACTTAAAAAGCTGTGGTTCTCGCACCAATAGTAGCTCAATGACTCTTTGTGATTTGAGCTTGGTGATCATTTTGAGAGCTTTCTCTGAATAGATAATATAACGATGTTCACCACGCTCACTCGATAGCTTGTCCATAAAAAGATTGACCTGTTTATTCTCAAGCATATATTCTACCGACAAGATCTTGTGATAGTTGTACGAGAAAACTCCTAGATCCAATGCTATCAACGGAATGAATTCCAAAATTCTCTTTAAAAGTATCTTATTTTTTATTAATTGATTGAATGTAGTCATTCTCTACTTTACTTTTACTATTTTACAAATAAATTAATTAATTAACTAAATTAGATCTAAATCTAACTAAATGAATAAAAAAAAAAAAAAAAAAAGAAAAGACAAATATGCAGCCTGGTTTTTCTCTTTCTTGAGCATTAGAGCAAAAAATAAAATTTTATTCTTTATAAATTCTCAAATATAAAAAAATAAATTAAAATAAATAATAAATAATAATTCAAAACTTATGAAGATCTGAAATAATTTGATATATTGCATTTTTGTATTTTCATTGTTCATCTTCTTGTTTGTAAAAGAAATAAATCAATATTTTATTGATGATGATAGTTGTTTAGCATTTTTTTCGGGTATTAAAGGTCACGATTATTTTTAGATCCTTTATAATAACAAAAAATTCAAAAAACAAAATTCACAAAACGGTATTTTTTGAAAAATTGGAAAATAATGAGTGGGGGTACAATTATTAATACTATTTTTTGTTTTTTATCATTGATCCAAATTATCTTATCACTCTTGTCAATTAAACACCAAAATAAATCATAAAAATAATAAAAAGATAGAAATATTTATTAACAATTGTAAAAATAAAAAATAATTATTATAGTTAAATAGATAGATAAAAAATTTAACTTATCAAAAAAGAAAAAAAAAAAGGTATATTTAATAATAAAAAATAATCATTTATTATTTATTTGTTCAACTATTTTTCGTTCGCAATCTTTCTTTCTTTCTTTAATCTTTTCGATCTCTTGTTTCACTCTCTTATTATTTCGACAATCAACTACAAGCCAGCAGCTTCACAATCCAACACAATATTTTTAAGGTCTCCAAAGAAACAAAAATCTTTTAATTATTTGAAAAAAAAACCAAAATTTACAAAAAAAAAAAAAAAAAAAAAAAAAAAAGCTTTTAAAAAGTTGGAAGATCTATTGTTTTTTTATTTTTATTTATTCTGTTTTCTTTTATTCCTTAAAAAAGTAAAGTGGTTGCTTGAGGCAATTCTATAGAATTCAATAAGTCTCATTATTATATTATATATAAATTCCCAATTCTATTTCAATCTCATAATTATTCGAAAGTAGGTTCATAAACTTTTTTACAAACAAATATTTGCAATATTGTAAGAATTGTTAAATAAATCTATGTTTTTGTTTTCATTCATAAATAATAATAGACAGTTAATTAATTAGTGTAGAATAGAATAGAGTAGTTAATTCGTTAATAATTAAAACAAATAAAATAAAATAAAATAAATCAAATAATAATAATAATAATTTAAAATCAAGGATTTTGAAAAAAATAAAATAAACACAACTATGTTTATTACAACAGCAATTGTACAAAATAAATATCACTTTTTTTCAAACACACAAAATAGAATAAATTAAAATAAAATAAAATAAAAATAAACAAATAAAAATCAATAATAAAAGAAGGAAGTGTCAACAGCAGTGGCAAAACAATAGGTACAATAGAACTTAAAACAAAAAAACAAATCATAAGATTAACTGGAGCTTTGTTTTGTTTTGTTTTATTAAGATTAAAACCAAAATATCTGTACATATTCATTCATTCATTATACACTTTATAGTTTTGTTTTTGATAAATTTGTTATGATTAACTCATTTGCAATAAATAATCATAACAAATTTGGTTATACCATTTAATTAATAAGGTTACTAACTAAATTCATTTTTTTCTATTTTTTGAATATTTTTTCTTTTTTTATTTATTTTGCTTTTTTTTTTTTTTTGTTGGTTTTGTTTTTTTTTTTTTGTTTTTGTTTTTGTTTCAAATAATAGGTTTTATCATAACAATTACAGAGTCAAACCTTGTTTAAACTCTGTTAATAATAATAATAAAATCACAGTCTCAGTAGTTTAATCGATTATTTATAAATAGATAGAATAGTATAAAAGATGTCTTCACCAGAGGTTATCAAGCTTGTAGTTATAGGTGATGGTGCTGTAGGTAAGACCTGTCTGCTCATCTCATACGCCAACAATCGTTTCCCAGAAGATTATATTCCAACTGTATGTATACATTTTATTGCTATTAAATAGTGTGTTGCCATTTTTCTACTTTATTTTAGAACTACACCTATCTACAATCTCAACGACGACAAGACGCGACAACAACAACAATACAATTACTGCAACAAACAGATTCTAGCACAAGCACAATATATTATTATCGAACATCATAGGAATATGTGACAGGGTGGTGTAGTTGGTTGTTCAAAACAATAAAAATAAAGTGAATTATGGCAATAGTCGGTTAGAGTGCGCATTAGCAATATACTTATTCACTATTTAAACAGGTATTCGATAATTATGTAGTAAATCTTACTGCAGGTGAAAGAAATATCGAATTGGGTTTGTGGGATACTGCCGGTCAAGAAGAATACGATAAATTAAGACCACTCAGTTATGCCAATGCCAATGTATTTCTAATATGCTTCTCCATTACCAATCCAGTATCATTTGAAAATGTTTTGTCAAAAGTAAGTTCACCACCAAATACGAATAAATAATAAAATAATAAACTAATTAAAATTGTATTTTTAAATAAAACTATTATAGTGGTTCCCAGAAGTTCATCATTTTTGCCCAGATGTTCCAAAGATTTTAGTTGGAACCAAGTTGGATACACGTGACGACAGAGCTATCATTGAGAAGCTCGAGTCTCAAGGTCAAAGACCAATTTCAATTGAGCAAGTAAGTAAAATATATTAAATATATAACTATCGGCTTTTGAATTCAACTCGAGTTGTATTAACAAGTGATGATTGTTTCAATTTCAATAGGGTAATGATTTAGCAAAGAAGATTAAAGCAGTCAAGTACATGGAATGTTCTGCCAAGACATCACAGAATCTCAAACAAGTATTTGATGAAGCAATCAAATCAGTACTGTTCATGAAGAAGAAAAAGAAGGCTAGATGTCTCCTCCAATAAAAAGGATGTTTTCATTTATTAAAAAAAAACAACAACAATAACAATAGCATAACAATCAAACAACAAAACAATCAAAACACACTATCATAATTTTAATAATTAGTCGCCCAAACGACAATGTCAATTCATAATATACATATTCAAGCACCCAATTCACATCAAACCAATTCATCATCACCATCATCATCACAGTACTCAACCTCCTCTGTCTTATCTATTACGTGGCTATCCAACAATGGAAATCCATTGACACCTATCATCATCTCCTCCCATACTACACACAATTCAACCTTAATTATTAATAATTTTTTTTATACTCAATCATATCCTTTTTATATGGAGCCTAATCCTAAATAAATTGTATTATTTTAAAAAAAAACAATTATAATTTTTGTTGCGATTTTTGAAAAAAAAAAAAACAGTTGTTAAATTTTTGAAGATCTCGATCACACTACTTGTTGTTGTTAATTTTTTCAGAAAAATTAATCGATTGCATAAGACCCACTGGGTAGTTTATTTTTATAAATATATGTTCTAGAATCATATGTAATCCATTGAATACCAATGCTCGATTTCCAAGAAATTCAAGCTTGGTTCACATATGAATTTGTGTGTTTAAAATAAGATGATGTGGTATCTTTTTTTACCTCAGTGTAAATAAATTTGTATTGTTAAATAAATTAGTTTATAACAAAAAAGAAATAAAATAAAAATCAAATAGAAATGTCTGTTTCAAAAACAATAGGTTCCATTGCAAGTAAAAGTAGTGCCACTCAACAACTGGTTCGATGTGGTTGGGTAACTAGCGATCCTCTATATTTGGAGTATCATGACCATGAGTGGGGAATCCCAAATAGAGATCGGAGACACTTGTTTGAAATGATTTGTCTGGAAGGTCAGCAAGCCGGTCTGAGTTGGATCACTATTCTAAAGAAGCGTGCTGCCTACAAATCCTCTTTTCATAATTTCGATGTAGACAAGGTTGCAAACATGACCGATGAAGATATCAATAAACTATTGAGTTTGACAAACTCTTCAATCATTAGACATCGTGGAAAGCTTGAAGCGATTGTCCACAACGCCAAGATGGTAAAAGCAATGGAGAAGAAAGGCGAGAATCTATCCGATTTCTTTTGGTCGTTTTCACCAAATAATAATAGTAATAGTAAAATAAAATCAACAAAAGTGGAAGAAGTGGACGATGAAGAAGATGAAGAAGTAGATGAGAGTGTTTCAAAAAGAAAAGGTAAGGCAAAGGCTACAGAGTCAAAACAAAGTACAACTAAATATTTCAATAGCTATGATAGTCTTTCAGAGGTACCTGCAACAACAACAGAGTCTGACCTGATGTCAAAAGAGCTCAAGAAACGTGGATTCAAATTTGTTGGATCGACGACTTGCTATGCATTTATTCAAGCTTGTGGCCTAGTTAATGACCATATTAGTGGCTGTTTTTGTTATGCACCAATAAAGAACAACGTGGCTGCCGTCGAAACTACCAGTCAAGCAATTGCTAAACAGGAGGATACTCTCAAAATTGAAGATACCGAGGAGGAAGTATCAGATGATGAAACATCAACAACAACAACCACCAGTAGTAAGAAAAGAAAGAATACAAAGAATACAAATATAAAATCTCAATCAACAACAACAACTAAAAAGAATAAATCAAAATAAATATTATTTTTTCAAACCCATTTTTGGGTGCTTATTCGTAAAGAACTGTATTCTTTCTATTCTTTTTTTTTCACAAATTTCAATAGCCAAACACCTTTTTTTTCCTGGAAATCGATGGCATAAATTTAATTAATTAGTAGTATAAAACAATATATCGATATATTTAAATTAAAACTTATGAAAACAATGTCAAATATCGTTATAAAAAGATGTGGATGGACTATAAAAGATCCTATTTATTTAGACTACCACGATAATGAGTGGGGAAAACCTCAAAGAGATAGGTATTTATAAAATATATTCATATATAAATAGATTTAAACATTGATATATTATCTAAACAATCTACACTAGAGTTAGACTGTTTGAAATGTTATCTCTTGGTGTTACTCAATGTGGTTTGTCTTGGAATATAGTTTTCAAAAGAAGAGATTCCTACAGAGTTGCTTTCAGCCAGTTTAATATTGAAAATATTTCAAAGTTTACAGGGGAGGACATCGATCGTTTAATGAAAAATGAACAATTAATCAGACACCGAGGAAAGCTTGAAGCAATTGTCAACAATGCAAAGATGGTTTTGGAATTGGAATCAAAACTAAAAATTTCATTCCCGGAATATCTGTGGGGTTTTGTTGGTGACAAGCCTATACTCAACAACAATACATCGATATCAGGTATTCCAACCAAGTCTGACGTGTCTGATAAGATGGCTGCTTCACTAAAAACATACGGGTTCAAATTCACTGGGACAACCATCTGCTATGCTTTCATGCAAACCGTCGGAATGATAAATGATCATCTCGAAGATTGTTTTTGTCGAGTTGGTCCAACTCAATCTTCGGCGGCAAAACCCGCTGCTAGAAAATCTAAACTCAAACAAACATCTCCAATCAAAGAAGTAAAGAGAGTTGAGAATAAAAAAGAATAAAATTCATTTTGTACATTAGAGTTTACTTATTTATTACAGTTTGACGATAGATATCAAGATGAGATATTCTGTGAGGTACTGACATGTCTGGATTTAGGAATTCTAAAAATTCTATAGTTTTGTTTCCAAGCAGACTGTTGTAGAATCTGTCGTTGTCATCCGAGAGTTTCTCATCGAGTACTCTCATCTTTTTGAGGAATCGTTGGTTAGAGTATATGAAATCACAAAGAGCGTGTACTGCTAGATCGTTTAGAGAATAAACTAAAATGAGAGTATTGATGGTTTGGTTTGATTTGAGTGAGTGGAAAAACTGATCTGTGAGTGCGTCTCTCATTTCATAGATGGAGAGTGTGTGAAGTGTGGTGTAAATGGGAAGTAGGTTGATTTGATTTGCAAGTGCTTTATAGCTGATGGAATGTAGTTCGAGTGAGTTCTTCTCGACCGTTGAGACGTTATTTAGTGAGTATACACTGAATCGTTTCATTGGTGAATCTGGAGAGGTAAGATACTTGATAAAGTCTATCGATTGTACAGCCTCTTCGCTTGGTAGACGGAATGGCAGTACCAGTGTGTTGAGCTGTGGCAACTGCAGTAGCGCATGGTAGATATCAATGTTCAGTAGACCTGGACCAAACAATTGAATCTTTCGCACATTTCTTTTCCGCAAGAGCATTTCACACACTTGGTCGATCCTGGTCTCTGCAATCTGACATTTTGTTCTTATGAGATAGGACAATATTGAGTTGGCTTCGCCAAAGAGAAATTCCACCATCTTTTGCTTTTCAAAAAACCAGAGATCATCGATGGTGATGTCGATCGAAGTTAGAGTTGTGAATTTACAGAGGAAATCGAGCTTGGCATCGTTTGAGTTTATTGTAATCTTTTGAAGAAATGGAAAGTATTTGGGTGTGATTTTCTCGATTCCACATCGATCGTCGAGCCAGTACATCTGAAAGTTTAACTTGCGCACCAATATTTTATTCTCACCGATGGAGCGGTAGAGATCATAGAGGATATGTCGCCGAATCGAGATGGTCTCCATCCGAGTGTTGAAATAAAAGGTGAGAGTATCGATATTGTGGATTGCGCGATGATCGTTGTTCAGCAGTTTTTTGGTTGGCGATTTCCAGTCTGTTTTCGAAATGAATATATTCAGCGGAATCTCTCGATGTACAATGTAGAACCATCGCCTACACACCAGTGACAGGTTCAAGAGATGGTAGTGGTTCTTGTAGGGACGCAGATGTGTTGGTGCTGACAATGCTAATTTCAGAATTTTGCGCTGAATTATAATGGGAAGATTACAGCCGGAACATTGTGCGTGCTGCCATGTATTCGAGTGTAAAACGATATCAGAACCATGCGAAACATTGGTGAGTATGTGATATGGAAATTCGATGGTTTGACCCAGTTTAAAAGGTAGATCGTCATCAAATACATTGATGACAAGTGTAATATCATTGTCGGTCTCTCTGAACACCTTAAAGTCAATCAACTTGATGCATCTCACTTCATTCTTTCTCAGCTGAATATAGTGGTCACTAAGATTGCTAAAAGTTGCTTTAAAATAAGATTTTCCATCAAATAATAAACATCTAAATTAATAAAATAGAAAAAGCTGTTAGTTTGTGACAATCTATTTATATATAGCAATATTCCTACTTTATTTTACTATATGGTTTCTTTCTTGGTGATAAATATACATTTTTATTTTTCTTATAATTACTATTTGTGGTTTTAATGTTACGCTTCTTACTAATACTGCTATTACTATCACTTTCACTACTGCTACTATCGTTATAACTATTGTTGTTGTTGTTGCTATTGTTATAGCAATAACCATAGTCTTGCTGATTGTCAGTATCGCTTAAAAACCATTTGCTCATAACAACGTAGATATCATTGTGTGAATTAAAAGTGTCATTATGATGGTCAGTGTGTGATTTAAAATTACTGTAAGACTTATTCTTGACATTAAAATTAATATCACTTATATATTTAGTTAAACAACCATCCATTATAGATACTAAACAGAATATTCATTTGAGAATATCTTTTATATTTATATTTATAAATTATATTATATTTGCATTTTCTGAAACAAATTTTATAATCAACTGAAATTTTTGTGTTTAGATTCATTCAGATTTATAAAGAAAACAAAAAATTTAAAAATCTATTACAACTGACCAAGAAGGTTGTATTTTGGGGAAAAAAGATTATACATCATGCATAGAAGTAAACTATTCAAGTCTCTACAAATAAACTAAGCTTGAATTTGATAGGTATGGAGAGGTTTAAGTGTATAGAAATTTGAATTATCATTCTGTTTGGTATTTGTTTGGATTTCACTTATATATCTACTATTTGAGAAGCTATCACATGAAAGCTTAGCTACAAAAAACAAACAATTCATATCTATAGAGTGGATATATATCATATATTTTTTAAAATAAACTTAAACTTATAATAGAGTTTCTATGATAAAATTATTATGTAATCCTCATAAATATAATAAAATAATGATTTAATATAACCCAGCAACATGAGCTATTGATATGTTGCTATGATGAGTGACCAAAATAAGTTCATGAACCAAATTTAACTTAAAATATCTAAAACAAAAGTTTATTTTTAAATTTTTTTACTTTGAGTCATCTTTTTAAAAATTACGTGTCTTGTTTAATTTAAAAATAAACAATGATGTAGATTATTCCAAAAGTCATCGAACCTTTAAATGATCACTTAATTTAATTAAATTAATAGTTTATCTGAAATTTATGAAATATTGAAGAAATCTACTGTAGAAATCGTTATGTCTTTTGGAAAATCCGTCTCCTACAATGCTAGATTTCAATATAAATAGCACAGGTTCTTGTTCAAATGGAATAAGCAACAAACAAATCAATAAATATATAAAACAAAACTAAACAAAACAAATAATCTAAACTTAAATATTCAAACTTAAAAATATTTCAAAAATGACCAAGATTCCAACTTTATATTATGTAAGTAGTTTTAAATTAATTTTTTTCCTTTTGAATAGTTAATGACTAATGGAATAATATAGTTCAACTCCAGAGGTAGAGGTGAAGGTACCCGTCTCTTACTTACTTTGGCTGGTGTAAAGTTTAATGATGGTAAGAAAAAATAATTTAATAGATTTTCGATTTGTTAAAAAATAAATAAAGAGTATCTGATTAATTTGTCTGTAGTTCGTTACAATAGTGCTTTGACACCAGAGATTAGATCCAAGACAACCTATGGTACTCTCCCATTCTATGAGGATGACGATATCCAATTGGCACAATCGTTAGCCATCGAGAGTTACTTGGCTGGAAAATTTGGTTTGGCTGGTGAAAGTCCAATTGAAAGGGCCAAGATCCTCTCTGTTTCCCAAGCAGCCATCGATTTTGTATTGCCAATCTTCCACTCGGATACCGATGAAAAGAAGAACAGATTCAAAAACGACACACTTCCAAGACTGTTGAACTCGTACGAGAGACTTCTCATCGACAACAGAAACACTACCAATGAAGGTAAATACATCGTCGGAAACAAGCTAAGCTGGGCCGATGTCAGTGTTTTCTATGTCGTGGACTTCCTCCTTTTCAAAGGTTTCGGTGAATTGGTCAACCAATATCCAGCTCTAAACTTTGCCAAGTCAAGCTTCGAGTCGATTCCAGTCATCAACGACTATCTTCAACAACGTGCTCAAAATAACAATTAAATTAATTACTTGTATTTTTAAAAATAGCAATAACCATTATAAATATTCAATAAAACAATCTTGATCATGGATATGAAATTTCATAAAATAAAAAAAATAAAAATTAATTTAAATAGTTTTTTTTTGTCGTTTTTTTTTTTTTTGATGATAAAAAATGTTGTTGTAAATTTTTTTCACCGATCGTGGTGGGAAGTGTGTTAGCTCAAACAACTCTGACTATTTCTAAATCGAAAACTCAAACAATTCGCTTCCATCATTTACCCTTTTATATATTTTATATAACTAAATATACAATATATAATAGTAGTGTTAGTGGACAATAATGAATAATTTAGTTAGATCATTATCAAAGAAGTGTGTCGGATACACTGCCAATGCCACCACTGCAAACCCAGTAGTTTTCAATGGTGCCAGATCTTTTTCATCGGTTGTTAACAACAGCTTGAACATCAAGCAACAAAAACAACAAAACCAATATGAAAATAGCAGCAGCAGCAGTGGATTCAGAGTATCACGTCCATTGGCCACTACCAACATTTTTGGTAAATCAAATGTTGAAAAGATGAATTTATATTTCGGACAACAACAACGTTCGTTCAGTTCCAGCATTGAAAAGATTAGAAACGTTGCCATTATTGCACATGTCGATCACGGTAAAACTTCACTGGTTGACCAGTTGCTCCGTCAATCGGGAACCTTGAAGGACGAGCAAACCGAGCGTGTCATGGACAGCAATGCTCTGGAAAAGGAGCGTGGTATCACCATTATGGCCAAGTGCACCAGTCTTTCATATAGCAACCACAAGTTGAATATCGTCGATACACCGGGTCACGGTGATTTCGGTGGTGAAGTCGAGCGTGTACTCTCCATGGTCGATGGTGTCGTCCTCTTGGTCGATGCCACCGAAGGTCCAATGGCCCAAACCAAATTCGTATTGTCCAAGGCTCTCCAAGCTGGTTTGCGTCCAATCGTAGTCATCAACAAGATGGATCGTTCCACTATCCGTGTCGATGAAGTCGAAAGTGAAATCTTTGATCTCTTTGCCACTTTGGGTGCCAACGACGACCAACTTAACTACCCAACACTCTATGCATCTGCTCGTCAAGGTTGGGCTGTCAAAAATAGAAATGATGATCAAAAGGGTATTCTTCCACTTTTAGACACAATCATTGATTATGGTATGAATGAATGAATCATCAGATAAAAAGATATAAAAATAATAATAATGAATAATTAATTAATTTTACCAAAATAATAATATACAGTTAAACATCCAAAGGTTGAAGTTGATAAACCATTTTCAATGTTGGTAACAAATTTGGAATCCGATCCATTCGTAGGTAGAATCGTAACAGGAAAAGTATATAGTGGTAAAGTCAAGATTGGTACTCCATTGAGAGTCATTACCAACACTGGACAACTTGTAGAGGAAGGAAAAGTTACAAAGATCTTTGCCAGACGTGGTGTTGAGCGTTTGACACTCGAGGAGGGTGAAGCTGGTGATATCATTGGTATTGCCGGTTTCCCAACTGCCACTGTAACCAACACTGTCGGTGATGCTACTGTCGCCGAACCAATCTACGCACAACCAATCGATCCACCCGTACTTTCGATGTTCTTTGAGGTCAACAACAGTCCATTCGCCGGAAAGGAAGGTACTCAATTGACATCACTCAAGATCAAGCAACGTTTAATGAAGGAGTTAGAGTCGAATGTATCGATGCAAGTACAATTCCAAGGTGAAGGTGCATTCGAAGTGAAGGGTCGTGGTGAGTTGCAACTCGGTATTCTCTTGGAGAACATGCGTCGTGAAGGTTTCGAAGTTGCAGTATCGCAACCACGTGTAGTCTTTAAGAAGGATCCAGAAACAGGTGCCACACTGGAGCCACAAGAAGAAGTAATTATCGACGTCGACGCTGAATACTCTGGTGTCGTCATTGAGAAGCTCTCAAAGCGTAAGGGAGACTTGATCGAAATGAAACAATCCATGGGTAAAGCTAGACTTTGTTTCATGGTGCCATCGAGAGGTTTGATTGGTTTGCGTTCAGAGTTGATCAACGATACCAAGGGTACCGGTGTATTCAATCATTTGTTCCACTCATACATTCCACACAAGGGACCAATGGCCAACATGGAAAAGGGTGCACTCATTTCAATGTCCGAGGGTGTTACCTCTTCTTTCGCCTTGTCCGGTCTCGAGGATCGTGGTATTCTCTTTGTCGGACCAGCCGTGCCAGTCTATGGAGGTATGATCATCGGTGAGAACAGCAAGCTCAACGATCTCGACGTCAACCCAGTCAAGACTAAGCATCTTACAAACATGCGTACCACCGTAAAGGAAGAAGGTATCCGTTTGTCACCACCAAAGGTATTGAAACTCGAAGAGGCTATCGCTTGTGTCAAGGATGACGAACTCATTGAAATCACACCAAAGAGCATTCGTTTGAGAAAGAGAGAATTGGATATTGGAAAGCGTCAAAAGGCTGCTAGAGATAAGAAGCAATTCTAAACAGCACAGCTAATCAACAAACACACATATAATGCATCATACAACAATATTGCTTTCGAAACATTCTAATAATACACAAGTAGTCCAATTTTTGTACTAACTTATATACCACACAAAACAAAACTCCCCTTTTTTAACAAAAAATAAAAATTTAATCCATCCTTTTTTAAAAGTTTCTGCAAAAAAAAGGTTGGTTATTTATTGATATTATATAATACAAATATAATAAACTTTAATCTCTAAATAATAAATTCAAAATTCTTCAAATATTGGGATAAACTGTTGTTTCAATAAATATTTAATATTTTTTTAAAATTAAAAAGGTATATTATTAATAATCACAGTAATGTTATGCAAAATATTTAACAATAGATAAAATAAAAATAATTACAATTTTGAGATCAATATTATTAAATCATTTTCTTTTGACCCAAGATAGTTTGATATGATTTGTTTTTTTCTAGAAACTATTTTAAAAATTAAAAATTGATTGGTCAAAAAAAAATTCCAGTACTAACGAAACTCGGTTTTGGGCTAGATTTTTTCCAAAAAAGGAAAAAGAAAAAAGAATTCAAAGAAAATCTTAAATTATCTAACCATATATGACATAACATCTTTAAATTCAATAGAATTTATTTTTTGTTAAACAGTTTATTTAAAGATATTTTTACAATATCAAGCGACATATTTAAATATCAAATTTGTGGTCAACCACTTTACTTTATTTATTTTTCTTTTGTTTACATAATAATATAATAACTTTATAATAATAATTTATTTATTTATTTATTTGTATATTTATTTTCTATTATAAAAATATGTATTTAGAAAAACAACTATTTAATTCTGTTTTTAATAATATAGTTATACAAAAACCAATATTTCAATATGTTAAATGGATTCATCAAAAGATACAAAAGGACTCATATAAATGGGAAAACTTTTCAAAAATTCCTCGTTTACTAGTGGATTACGGATATCACAATCCACTACAATCATATTTAGAAAATTATGAATTCCCTCTATCAGTAAAGGAATATTTCATTGGAATATTAATTTCTATTCGAAAGAATTCTCCTCAAACTCTATCTATTTTGCTTTCGCAATATAAGATAATGTTTGAAGTATTTCCAACAATGTATTATTATATATATGCACAACAATACCTATCATACGCAGTTTATTACAATAGACCTAATATGTTGGATGTCATCGATCAATACACAAAATCAGATTACAAAGAAGCTCTGGAATTAGTTGGTCAATATGGAGGAGTTGAATGTTTGGAGTGGTTGGTGAAAAAGATAAACAATAATCAAGACAGTGTCTATAGCGTGGTAGCCAATCTTTCTGTATATTTCGGTCAGACAGAAATCACCAAGTGGTTGCTACAAAACATTCCAGAGTGCACCAAAGGATCAATATTTTATCTTGCAGTTACTGGAGGAAAGAAATCATCATTGAAATGGATCCATCCAGCACTATCGTTGAAAGAAGACGCATCCGAGAAGAAAGACCTTTCTGAGATATGGTATAATTATTTTGGTGAAACATCAGAGCCCGAAGATTTCCAATTAAATTTATCAAAAAACTATAAATTACAGTACAAAAAAGAAAAAACAAAAAAATTATTAGATATTTAATTCAGGTTAATAAAATTAATAAATATTTATATCTTACTTCTAACTATTTGTTGTGTCTAATTTATTACGGTGCAAATCACTGTTCACGGTCATATATAGATATAATATTCATTTTAGAATAGGTTTGAGGTTTAACAAGTATAATAAAGGGTAGTATTGTTTTGAAGTAATAGAAATTAAAATTTTTGATAATGGAACCTAATATCTTTAGTAAAAAGAACCTTTGCACAATCATCTTTATTTTATAATCAAAAAAAAAAAAAAAAAAAATTCAGAATATCTAAAAAAATTGGGATAATATAACCCATTAAGTTGTAACCTGGTTAGTGTGTTTAATTACTTAGGTCATCAGTAAAAGAAATAATTAATGTAACCCTGGTTAATTTTAACATTTAAATTACATTTCTAATCGATGAATCTTCATTTTCATCATTTTACATTTTATATAGTTATTTATAAAGAATTTATTTATATATATTATTTTTGTTTAATTACAACATATTTTTAGATATATAATAATTTAGCTAATGGATTTATTCAATTTATTTTTATGTTTGATGAAAAATAAATTTTTATCGAATACTATATTCTATCATATTAGACAGATCAATATAAGATATAATCCACCTCTCACCAATTTTCTACATTGCTGTTTTAAGTTTAACGATACACAGAGTGCAGAGCGTATTCTCAGAAATGGTTATATTGGATTTCTCAAAGAGAAGGTTATCTTGTTTAGAGACACTGGTCTTTATTCGCATCGGTTGAATTGGTCCGATATTTCCACCCAGATGTTGGCGAGTAAGGTGAAGGACGATGAGACAGTCATTGATCTAGTTGCCGATGTCTATCCTCAGATACTGACGCCTATGTTGTTTGACATTTGTGTTACCAATAACAATCTAGCGTTGTTCAAGAGAGTTTGCTTGGCATGTGTGAAAATGATAATGAAAACACCCGGTATTCTCTCAAAGCTTATGATGAAAGCTATCGAACAAAAGAATGTGGAAATGGTAGAGTTTATGATAAACCGATACAGTCCTCCAATCAAAAACCTAGATGCATTGTTAAAAACAACATTGAAAACAGGAAATGTACAGATATTCAATATGATCAAACAATACATTCAACTACCGCCCTCCAAGATCTACAAGATACTGAAATACTTTTCGGATGTCGAGTTTGTAAAGCAGATGTTCGAAGCGGAAGTCACATCGATACACATCAACAAATATATATCGCAGTTGGTGAAATGCAGCTACAAGGATGTGAAATGGTGTCACATCGATATTCTTAGATATCTCATCGATCGCTCAGAGACTGGCTATACTTTTCAACCGGACGTCGAATGTATCTTGAGCCACAGAGAGGTCAATCCATTCCAGTTTGAACCAGACCAACTTCCATACTACCACTTGGCGATGATGGCATACTACACTGAATCTCCAGATATGGTATTCGTTGCCAAGCAAGTGGTATCTTTCAAAAACTGTTTGTTTTTGGAGTATATCATCGACTCAAAGTTTGTCGATCCCAAAAATAATCTCTTTAGCTTCTTGGTGGAAAACGGAAGCTTGGAAATGGTAATGAAATTTAGGAAACACCAACAACCGACAACGCATATCTACTCATTGAGCGCAACTGAGAGTTTGGAGATTCTTGCTTTCGTTCGTAATAACGGTCAAGTCAGCATGGAATACAATGCATACAGAGAATTGATATATCGACACGATCATAGAACGGTGCTCTACATTCACGATGAGGAGATCATGCCACTGTTTTTTCTACAGTCCTACCTAATTAATATTGACCTCTTCATTGGTATCGTACAGAGAACAAACGATGATTACACAATCAATTCGTTCAGCTGGGGTATTCAACACTTTGGTAGACTTTTTCAAGCTGGTTTTCGAGACTATTTCGATAGAGACGATACCATGATAAAACTAATCAAGAATAGACAGAAATCGGATTTCGAACTTGCAGCAAAGAGCTTCAAACGTTTGGTAGACCCTCTTGAGTTTTTAGAGATTGGAGATTTGGAGTGGATGGACGAAATGTTGGAAAAGAAACTTTGTCTGTCTCAAACTAAAGATTCACTAAGATTCTCTTTTCTTCTCTATGAATACTTTGGATCGGAAATAGCTCATTCAAAATATAATCGTTTATTTGTATCATGATTTGATTTCAAATAAATATAATAAAAACATTTTATTTATTTTATATATATATATATAGTTAATATTATTTCTTTATTAATAATATTTTTGTTTTAAGATGCATCATCAAATAATTCTATTGCATTCTGTTGGAGGAACTCTTCGAAAGGATGCATATCTTGAATTGGTTGAAATAGCTCTTCAGATTTCTGTTGAGGCATCTGTGGATGTTGTGATTGCGATGAGGGTATATGCTCATCCGGATGTTGTGGAGGTGTAGGAGGTGGAGGTATTGAAGAAATTTGTGTGGGAGGCGTTGATGGAGGTTGCGTGCCATTTTGATTATATTGTGTTGGTTGTTGACTATTATTACTGTTGTTGTTGTTGCTGTTGCTGTTGTTATTATTATTGTTGTTATTGTTGGCTTTGGACGATTTAGATTTAGAAGAGGTGGGTGGGGTTGGTTGAGCAAACTGGTGAGTTGGTGATGCGTTTTGAGTGTTTTTGTTTGTGGCTGTTGGATTGGTTGGTGATGGAGGCTGATTAAATGCCGCTGGTGAAATGGGTGGTACCTGTGAATTTGGATAAACTTGGTATGGATAATTATACATCATTAAAGGCTGTTGGTTGGCAAACTGTGCAGATGGTGGCTGTGTTGAAAATTGCATTTGTGAGGGTGAAGGTGGTTGTCCGTTATGAGTACGTTGATTGGTTTGTGGATTAGATCCAGGATGTGGAAACTGTGAGTTGTGATAGTGATAGGCTTGTTGTGGTGGCATCATATATTGTTGTTGTGCTTGTGCTTGGTTTGTTGGTGGTTGCTGCTGCTGTTGGAATGCATTGCCAACTGCTTGTTGTTGTGCTTGTTGTTGTTGCATAAAGTTTTGATACAGAGGGTTGGGCGATTGTACTGGCGACGGCAATGAGCCATTGGCCAACGGTCTTCCGCCATTAGGATAACTTCCATTTGGAACTGCTGGTGCGCTGTTTGAGAGAGTATATGGGTGGTGCTGGACAGGTGGAGGTACACCAACTACTGATGTCGAAAGTTGAGGTGGTTGTACTGATGAACCAGACTTGTTTAGTGTCGTCGATGAAGTGTTGGTGGCAGTGCTGCTTGCCAGCGGTGAATTCGAGGTATTTGGTGTGTTGGTGTTTGAGGTGATCGGTGGTGTGGAGACCGGTGTTGCTGGTGTGCCTGGAGAGCTGCTTGAAAGTGAGGAAGAAGACAACTGCTTTCTCCTCTTTGATCCCTTTGCTCTTGGGTTACTGCTGCCTTCGTTGGCTACGGGTACAACGGTTGGTGAGGAATAGCTTCCTTCCATCGATTGTGACTCCTTTCCGCTCTCGTCTGTCGATGACTTTTCATTGTGCTCACCGGTCTTTTGTGCTTTATGCATATGCTTATCGTTATCGAAATCCTTATACACTGTCTTTTTCTTTCCGACTGGGTGATGTTGTTCTTTTAATTCCTTTTGTTGATGTGAAATTTGAAACTTATATACTTTATCCTTTGCGCCACTACTACTACTGCTACTAGTTGAACTGCTGCTATTACTATTACTGGATTTGTTTGCTTCCGCTTTGTTTGCAGTAGCATTACTCGAATCATTATTCTTTTCATTTGATTTACCATTGTTATTATTATTATTATTACTACTACTACTACTACTATTGTTGTTTGTAGCTGATTCTTGAAATGATTTTTGACTTGTCATAGTTGGTACAACAAATGACTGTTTATTTTTCGATTGTTGTTGTTGTTGTTGCTGTTGTTGTTGTTGTAATTGTAATTGATCAAATTCTATATATTTTATATGTAAAAAGATGTTAGTAATCAGATGGTTGAGCTTGTGTAATATAAATATTTACCTTTTGGTGATTTTGAAAATTTATATTTTGTGCAAATTTGATTGACTACATCGGTTAATTCATAGTAATGCATTATGAGTGGAGGTACACCCATGGAGTTGACAGGTGATGTTAAATGTTTCTCAAGTGATTTCAAAGCAATGTGTGATTGTTGTGGTGTGTTTGGCTGTTTGTTGTACTCCAAAAAGAAACGTTCGATCAGTGGCTTCGGTATTAGCTCTTGAAATCCCAGTGACTCAAAGTGGAACGATATAATCTTAAGATCCGGTGTAAAATAGACTGATAGGGTTCCATCGATGTGAACCTGTGCATTCTCAAATATAATTAAAATACGCATTCGCTTTGACTGTAGATTCACCAGGCCGCTCTGAATAAACTCCAACTGTGAATCTTCGAATGTAAATGAAAATGATTTCACTCCTGAATCATATGCTACCTTGAAATATTTTGGAATCAATGTAAATGGAATCTCTGTATTATTATTATTATTATTATTTTGTTTTTGTTTTTGTATAATAAAGATAAACATATATATATTAATATTAATGAATAACCTGATTGAAATTAAAAGTGGTATTTACCATAAGTCCGACTTCCTTTCTTTGTATAGGGTGGCGGCGTAGGTGGTATTATTGCAGTTTGATGATAAGGATTTGGATTCAGTGTATGTATAAAGTGTCCACCACGCATAAAGAAAATATCTACAAAATTCTCCCAAAATCCCAATGAGTTATCTGTTGGTCGTTTCAAATGATATTTGGCAAATTCTGCAAGCTTTGCTACAATTTCATCCATACTGTGCGTTGGCTGTGGTGTGGCTTGTGTATTCGGTGCACTTGGTTGTGTTGCTTGTGCTTGTTGCTGAGTTGCACTTGGTTGTTGCTGTTGTGCTTGTTGTTGTTGCTGTTGTTGTGCTTGTTGTTGTGCCTGTGCCTGTGCTTGTTGTTGCTGTTGTTGTGCCTGTGCTTGTGCCTGTGCCTGCGCCTGTGCCTGTTGTTGTTGCTGTTGCTGTTGCGCTTGTGCTTGTGCCTGTGCTTGAGCTTGTGCTTGTGCTTGTGCCTGTTGTTGTTGCTGTTGTTGAGCATGGGCTAACTGTTGTTGATGTAATTGTTGTGCCTGTGCCTGTGCTTGAGCTTGTGCTTGCGCCTGTTGTTGCTGTTGATGATGTTGTGCCTGTGCTTGTGCATGTTGCTGTTGTGCTTGTGCTTGTGCTTGTGCCTGTTGTTGTTGCTGTTGATGGTGTTGTTGTGCCTGCGCATGAGCTTGTGCTTGTGCTTGTGCATGTGCTGCTTGTGCTGCCTGTTGCTGAGCTGTAGTGTGCTGCTGCATTGGATGATGTAACTGATGTTGTTGATATTGCTGATATTGCATGTGTAGATGTGGTGAAAAAGGATGTTGCATATGATGCATAGGCTGACCATTAAACCCACCAGGTGTGGCACTCTGACCTGGTGCTGCAGGTGCACCGACTACATTTGGATGTATATGAGGTGATTGTTGTGATTGCTGTTGCTGCTGCTGCTGTTGCTGTTGTTGTTGTTGTTGTTGCTGCAGTTGTTGCTGCGATAGGTGTTGGCTCATAGTTTTCATATGTTACTATTCTATTCTTATTTATAAATATTTAATTTAGATCAACACAATCTATCTTTTGTTATCTTTATATATATATCTAGTACTTTTGAATGATTGATTGATTGATGATATAAACTGCCGTTCTAAATTAAGAATTTTAAACAAAAAAAACTAAAAAAAAAAAAAGTGTGTTGTTTATATTATTTTTATATTGCTTTTTTTTTTTTTTTGTTTTTTTGTTTTTGTTTTTGTTCTATTTTTGAGATGAAACGGTTCAGATGAAATGCAAATGACTAATAAATACTTTTGCTAATTAATTAATTGACTCTTCTTTTTTTTTTTTTTTTTTTTGGTCCTCTTTTTTTAATTATTTTTACTCTCTAACAGAAGATCAAAATCAAACATCAATCTCTTTCTATTTTTTAAAGTTAAAGTAAGCATACATCTACTTTCAACTATTGATACTACTATAATACAACTACTTCTTTTTCTTCTATTATAAGCTCTTATATGAAAGTGTATAATATATATTAAAAATACAACAAATGGATTGATTGATTGATTGATTGAGATGATTCAAAGTTTGTCAGAATATTCTACCCTATTCTGTTATACTCTACTACTACTATTATATCTACTCTCACTGATAAGGTTATATTTAAGGCAGGTTCCTAGGACTGAATAAAATAAAAATAAAAACCTAATGATGATTATGATATTTTTTGATTGAATAATGTTGTTGTTGTTGTTGTTGTTGTTGTTGTTGTTGTTGTTGTTGTTGTTGTTGTTGTTGTTATTGTTGTTGTTATTGGTGAAGGTTGAGTTGAATTCAACAAAATTAAATTGTTTAATAAATATGTATTTATATATATAAGGTAACTATTAGTATATGGTCTTTTGTGTCAAAATATATGTGTATATTTATATTTTAATCTTACTATTACTCCTATACTTATAAGTGGTAGAAAAGCTACTGCTAATGGTTGTAGGTGTGTGAATGTGTTTGTGTGAGTGTGTGTTGTGCTATATAATTGCGCTGTGGGGTTGGAAACAGAGAAAGAAAAATAACACAAATTTGAATCAAATATTTGAAATTTAAATTAAAACAAAAAAAATTGCAAAAATAGAAACAAGTAATATTTGTTGTTGACACAAATTTAAAAAAAGTTATATAAAAAATCTATTTTTTTTTCTTTTAATAATTATTGTTTGTTTGTTTTTGATTTTTTTTTTTTAAAGTATTGGTCCTACAGGTTATAGATATTAGAACTACAATTAATTTTAATGGGATATGAATGTATGTATGGAACAACGGAAAAAGTGTAAATAAATATTATATATTGATATTATTGTTGTGAGTGACTGAGTGACTGAGTGACTGACTGAATGACTTGTTTGGCAGGATGATGTGACTGACGACCGGCGTGTGGATAACAATTAATTATTAAGGTGGTGAAAGGGAGGTGTTAAACGGTAATGAAGGTCTTACTGTTAAAAATTATTGCATACTGAAAATTGCAAAAAAAATTTTGTTTTATTTTTTTGTGTTGGTTTTTTTTGTTTTTTTTTTCAAAAATTGTGTTGGGATCAAAAAAAACCAAAAAATTAGAGATTTAAAAATTTACCATTGAGAGTGTTATTTTTAAACCTTAATCCCCAACATCACAAAATTGGATTAATATCCTTGGTCCTTTTTGTATATCTCAACTCTATGATTGAAATTGATTTTTACTCTCCAACCAAAGCAGGTGAGAATAAAATACAGATATTTTTTTAATTAATAAAAATAAAAAACAATTAATTTTAATGCAAAAAAAATTAAAAAAAAATCAAGAATAAATAAATAAAATTGTTAACAAGAGATAATTACTTTCTTTGGTTTAAGATAAATTAATTATATATTATTATTTTTTTTGAATTTTTTTAAAAGGAAGTGGTTGTTAGAGATATGAAATGAACAACGCTGTTTGGTGATGATAAAAAGTCGATATATTATAGTTGTGAATGAAATGATTAGACATTATATTTGTAAGATATTATTTGGCAAGACAAATAAAGAAAATTTTAAATGTGTTTTGTTTGTTGTTTGTTGTTTTTGTTTGTTTGTTTGTTTTGGTTTTTGGCCAATTGGTTAGTGGTAGATAGAGCTATTAATCGAGTGATTTTTCAATTTGGGACGGAGCTGTGTAGATAATTTATTATTAACTATTTAAATATTATTGAATGCGATTATTATTGTTATTGTTATTATTATTCTTATTATTATTAATTATTATTAGTTTTATTATTATTATTATTTAATTATTTATTTTGTTAATTTTTGTTGTTTTTGTTGTTGTTTTCTAGGTGGTGTAAGTGGTCTACCGTTGTTGTCTGCTATTCCTTTCTTTTTATCAGAGGGTTTCAGAATTTGGAAAGAGCACATCAAAGTCTCGTCAACACCCATCATTGCACCGGCGTTATCAAATTCACCAAAGTAATTTGGTGCTGAAAATAAAGTTACAAGTTGTCTCTTTGCAAAGAATTCGTATCCATCTTCAACAACCTATAATATAATATAACAATAATCATGATTAGTTAGTATATAAGCTATTATGGTGTGATCACACTGCTGCTTGTTGTTGTTGTTTGCTACTTACTTGATGAGCTCTGCAAATCAAGTCGAGATCATGTTTCTTTAAAAATTGCTCTACAATATCGGGACCGAAAATATAAGATACACCACGATCGTTGTCTTCCCAACCTTGGACGGACTTGTCAGGGTCGGCCCACAAGAGATCGCAAAGAAGACCGTTGTCTGGTACGACGGTTGGTCTGACGATACGACGGATCTGTTCCATCGATTTCAAATCTGGCGAGAGACCACCGTGCATGCAAAAGATCTTTTCGTCGATGATGGCAGCGACTGGAAGACAGTTGAAGCAGTCGGTGAATGCCTTCCAGAGTCTGGTGTTGTAACGACGCTTACACTCGTCGTAGAAACCATAGATACGATTGATCGATGCACACTCGTGGTTACCACGCAAAATAAAGAAGTTCTCTGGATATTTAATCTTGTAGGCCAACAACAAACAGATGGTCTCAAGCGATTGCTTTCCACGATCGACATAGTCTCCGAGGAAGAGGTAGTTGGAATTGGGTGGCAATCCACCATATTCGAAAAGACGCAACAAATCATAATACTGTCCGTGAATGTCACCACAGATCTTAATCGGTGCTTCGAGCTCTAATAATACTGGTTGGTTAATGAAAATCTCTGTCGCTTGAATCGTCAGATATCTGATCTCATCTTCCTCTAAATCGACATGTTTGCCTGGTTTTGATGTTCTAGGTTCTAGTAATCTTTCTATAATTGAATCTAAATTGATTTCTGTCATCTTTTGTGCTTTATTTATATTCTGTAATTTGATTTTCAAATATATATATATAATATGGGTTATTAATTTATTATTCTTATTATTATTATTCTTTTTTTAATAAATAAAAAAAAACTATGAAAAAAAAAATCGAAATTTTTAAAATAAACTTAAACTAAACAACTGTGCTAAACAAAAATAAACAACACACTATTTTTTTTTCTATTATTACTAATTTAAATATATTTTCTTTTCTTTCGATTTCTTCAATCTTATCTTCTCTGTTTTTTTTATATATATATGATACAGATATTATTTTGATGTTGTTTTAAAAGTAGTAGTCTATTTTATTTTTGACTCTGTTGACTAAAATACGATTTGAGAGAGTGGTGATATAATGGATATCTATTATTCAATTGATAAAAATAATATGTTACTGTGTACTATGAAGACAAAATATGTGTTGACAAAAATTTGAATTTTTTTTTTTTGAATTGAAAAAATAATTAAAAAAAAAACCAAATTGGATTGTTGCGAAAAAAAAACTAAAAATTTTGAAAGGAGTAGGTTGATGTGTCTTTGTTGTTGCTGCACCTTTGATTGTGTGTGTCTGTTGGACAACGGGTTGTGGAAGTTTTAGGTGACTCTTAATAATAATATTATTTGTTTTTGAATTGTATTCTAAATATATACACAAAAACAGTGATCTCTTTGTAAAATAAAAAAAATTATAAAAAAAAAATAAAAAATAAGAAAAAAAGTTCAAGCCTTTTTTTTTTTTTTTGATGCAAAAAAAAAAACTGTTGATCGTTGTTAAATCTGGGTGATTTAAAATAAATAAATAAATATCTGGATATAACGATTAATTATAGTTTTGATTAAATGTACAATATATTATATAATTAAATGATATGATTGGGGTTTAGAAATAAATATTCAAAAAAAACAAAAAGAAATAGAAAAAAAGACTTTTGTTTTTTTGTTTCAGTGATGTTTGTTTGTGTTGAAAATTATAAATGATTGGAATGCCTTTTCTTTGCAATGTGATATTAGGGTATATATGATATTACTATATAGTATTATTACAGTTGGTTTGGTCGAGCTTGATTGATTGTTTATTCTATTATTTATTTATTATGATCGTATGGTATTACTAATTATAAAAAAAAAAAAACAAAAAAAAAATTATTATATTATAATAATAATTATAAATATAGAATTAATTAAAGAGTAAAAGTTGACAGACAACTCTTTTTTTTCTTTTTTTGTTTGTTGTTATTATTTTTTTTTTAGTTGATCAATCTTTTGTGGTGAGTTTGTTAAATTGCACTTTATGAGATAGAATTAATGAGTGGTTGTGTGTGAGAGTCAATGTTTGATCAAACAAATAAATTTGTGTTTGCTTGTTGTTGTTGTTGTCTTCTTAATAATAACTAATAACAACAACAACTTGGTGTTATGATTTTATATAGGTTGTGTTGAATGATATTTATTATTTGTAGTGGTGGAAGTAGTAGAGGTAGAAGTAACAAGAGTAATCAACTGTGTGTTGAATTTAGATTAGAATTTTAATTTTTTGATTAAAAATATGAACAAAATAGGTTAAATATCACAAATATTACTGTTGTATAACACCAGGACAAGGAAGACGAGCTCGTCCTTTAACAACAATTGATCAAACTGAGTTTGATAAACGATGATTGGTAAATATTTAGGTGTTTGGTTGCGCTGTTTGTTGTTGTTGTAAATGATCAACAGATTGGTGATTGATTTAATGATTGGTTGTTTTATGTTACCAATCTTATTACTAAGAGCATATATTAGAATGAGTCGTTGCAAACCAAACAATATATAAAAATACAGATCCAATCTATCATCATTTCATTTTTACTACTTGTTTCTCTTTACTTCGTCGGTCACTCTATATATACCGAGTGTCTTTAATTTACAAAGTAAACAAACTATTCTATTCAATTGAGAAGTAGTAGTAGATCTATATTTTCTATATTTTCGATATTTACAATAAATAAATAAAAGCAAATAATAGTTTTAAAAACAAACAAAAAAAACAACAAAACGAAACAAAAGAAACACTAATTGTTTAGTTTAGTCTAGTCTAGTCTGATGAACTTAAGAGTTTAGATTCTCTGTTGTGTTGTTGATGATGATTATTATTGTTATGTTGTGGTTTCGACTATTTACATATTCTATCTTTTTCTTTACTTTTAAACTTTTCTACTTTATTTATTTAGTTGAAAGAGATCTGTCTTTAACTAAATTGATTGTTTTTCTATTAAAAATAAAAAAAAAGTATAAATATAGATTAAAAATAAATAAAAATAAATAAAAATAAAGAAATAATTATAAAAAAATACGGTGCAATGTTTTTTTTTTTTTTTAAAAAAAAAAAAATAATCACAAATTTTTTTTTATAAATTAAGGCGCCTTTTTATTGATTCCTGGAAGTTTAAATTTATGTTATTTATTTTATGTATTTGAATATTAATAATTTGTTTTTTTTCAAATACTCAAAATAATGATTTATTTAATCATGTTACAAAAGAAAAAAAAAAAAAAATCAACTTTACACAATATTAATGTTAGAAATAAATAAATAATGTATAATATCATATTTTCTTTGAAAGTCAAGTCATTAATATATATACATATTAATTCACCAAACATGTGTTTCAAAATTATTAGATAACTGATTCTAACTTGTGTCCATTGTTGTATTCTTATAATAATAATATTTTTTGACAAGAAAAATTCTAAAAAAATTTTTCTTTTTTTGGTTCATTTTTCTCAAGTTTTTTTTTGAATGTCTATTTACCAAAAAGTTGAGATCTCTTTTGGGATCAATCTAGATAATTAATTTAATGTAAAAATTTAGTATAAAATATAAATATTTATTTTATGTGTATAGTGTAGCATATATTTTTTATTATTTAAAGATGGAAGAAAATATCAGTATCATTTTAGATTTATTTCCATCACTTTCAGTTGAAAGTGTAAAGTCAGCTTTACAAACACACAATGATAATGTTGAAGATACAATCAATCATTTATTGACAAACAATGGCAGTGTTGATAGTTGTGCATCAGAGAATAACAACGGTACTGGTGGTGCTGGTGAAACTGAGGAGCAAATCAATGAGAGATTGCTAATGGCGATGCTCAAAGCAGAGCAAGAAGAACAGGAAAAGGTCAATCGATCAAAGAAACACTACTGCAGTATTTGTCTGGATGATTTGGAGATTGACAAGTTCTATATTGTCGATGAGTGCGAACATCGTTTCTGTACGGAGTGTATCATCGCGCATGCCAAACAACAGTTGTACATGGGCTACCCAGACATCAAGTGTCCACACACCACTTGTAAGCGAATCATTTCCTACGAGGAGGTAAAGCACTTCCTCGATGCACAGACATTCGCAAGCTACGACCAGCAGCTGTTGTTACAACATCTCAAGAAGGACGACAATTGCAAACAGTGTCCAAGCTGCCATGTCGCAATGGTTGTGAGCACCGTCAAGATCGACGAGCACATGGAATTCAACAACGAGAATCTGGTTGGTTGTCCAAATTGCAACTACGCATTCTGTATCAAGTGTCGTGACCACTCTCACTACGACTTTAGCTGTGAGCAATGGGAGGACGTCAAGGACTATGTCCTCTCGAGAACGGAGCAACAAAACCAATTCCAAATCAACGAAGTCGAGAACTATGTGTCATTCCAAAATCACAGACAACACAACCGATTCTGGAATGGTGGAAGAAAGTGGAGATCAGAGCACCACAACACCGACATGATCAAAGGTAGAAGAAAGAAGCTTACAGCAATGCAAGGATACAATGTAAAGTGGCAAGTCGCTTATAAGCGTGACAAGCTCATCAAACAATGGATCCAAAACAACACAAAGACTTGTCCACACTGCTTTGTAATCATTCAAAAAGATGGTGGATGCAACGATATGACATGCGTCTGTGGAAATCATTTCTGCTATAGTTGCGAACAAACTAAAGACTTCCATTTCAAGAATAAGATGAGATATCCATGCCCCGGAGGATTCTATTAAATATTAAATATTTGTTTTAAATTTATTGTTGTATATTATTAAATAAATATTTATTTCCAGTTTTGGAATTTTAAAAGAATCTTTTTTAAGTTTTTCAGCCGCTGAGATCAGTTTTATGATCAAAAAGCATTTTCATTATTATTTTTTGATATATGGATATAGAGATATTTAAAGTAGTATTTAACAATATAGTTTTAAGAAATTTAATATTTGAATATGTAAGAGATTCATGTCAGTTTGATCCCTATGAAAATAAGGAGCGATTCACCTGGAATCAATTGATACAGTTACCCTTTGTACTGGCAGGTAATGGCTATTTGGAGCAGTTGAAAGAGTATTTCAAGTCTGGTTCAATACACTTTTTGACAAAGATGGAGGGTTTTCGTATTCTAAGGAGTGCTGTTTTGGGTGGAAACCTGAACATCGTAAAGTATATCTTGGAACAACAAAGAGCTACTCATCTCTGTAGGAATCCAATGGGTAATGCCGATGTACTGACGTTTGCCGTACAGTCGAAGGACGAGAATTTCGAAATGGTGAGGTTTCTCTGTGGTTTGACTGATATCAAGTGGCACTATGAGCACGCACTATCAAAGGCAACACTCACTCAAAATATTGAATTGGTCAAGTTCTTGAATGACAGGATCAGCGCCACCAGTAAGGACTACCATATACATCTGGCAATTGAACTCGCTGCCAGAGTAGGTAGAATCGATATGATAGAGCTGCTCTCCAAGGGCAGAGAGAATGTACTTTCCTCAGCCGAGGTCTATCACGAAGCAGTATCCTCTAGCAATATCGAGTTGCTCAAGTATCTCAAGGAAAAGAATGTCGTGTACACCGACGTCGGTACTTGGTCAGCGGCATTGATGGATGTTGCAGCTGAACGAGGTAATCTTGAAATTTTAATATGGTTGAACGATAATAGAATAGGCAGTTGTACCAATGCTGCAATTGCGAAAGCTGCTGCCAATGGTAACTTAAAAATCATTCAATGGCTTCATCACAATCGTACTGAGGGATGTGCTCCGGATGCAATTGATAAAGCTTCAGCTAATGGACACCTAAACATTGTTCAATGGTTATATCACAATCGTACTGAAGGATTTACATCTGATTCAATGGACAAAGCAGCTAAAAACGGATACTTGGATGTTATCAAGTGGTTGAATCAAAACACTACAGCTAGTTGCACGGTAAGAGCCATGACTGATGCCGCTGGCGAAGGTTACATTTCGTTGGTAAAGTGGCTGCATGAAAATAGAAGTGAAGGATGTACTGAGCAAGCTATGGATCAAGCCGCTGCCAATGGTTACCTTGAGATGGTAATGTGGTTAAATGAAAATAGAAGTGAAGGATGTTCAACTCATGCGATGAATATGGCTTGCTATGGAGGTTACCTTAGTATCGCGCAATATCTACATGAAAACAGGAGCGAAGGATGCACCGATGCAATGGATAACGCAATTAGAAAAGGATATCAAACAATCGTGGAGTGGATGCATGCCAACCGCACAGAAGGTTGTTCATCGGCCGGCGCTGTCATTGCTGAGGAAAATGGTTATCCTGAACTCGCCAAATGGATACGTGAAAACAGAACAGAGTGTGCTACCTACACAAAAGAAATATATAATCAACAACAGTATTTGGCAGTCTCTCCTACTTTCCTATCATTTCCTTCATTCAATGAATCACAATCATCATCATCTTCATTAGGTGAAACGTTTCCAGTTCCAGTTCCAAGATGTAAAAAAGCAGATAGAGTTATACCTCTTAAGAAACAGAAGATGCCAATCAAATAAATAAAAATCATTAACCATCGTGTTAAACATCTATAGAAGGTTATAGCCAACAGAAAGATATTTTTTTTTTTTGATTTTTTTTAGTTTCGGGGACAAACACCAACCAACAAACATTCTGTTGGGTTACAATGAAATAGTTAAAGGAATAATAATTTCACCAAATATAGAACATTGATATGAAACAATGTAAAACCATATTCTTACCTATTCTAGATGTTAACATCAGTTTAATCTATCTAAAGATATTTATTTTTTGTGCACAAAAATGAAACATTTATTTGTATTTTTAATTATTCCTTATTTATTTATTTGCTCATTTTCATTATCTATATCTGTATGTTATTAGCAATTCACAATTTAAACTATTCTATTTTTTTTTTACTAATTGTTTGTTTTACAAAGAATATAGATAATGGTGATGATGATGATGGATCACCTGTACAGATTTTAGCATTGACAGAGAGTGGTTGTAATATTACATACTTTAATGTGTCCACAGGCCAATTCGAATCGTTCTTTAGTATTGCAGAACTTGTAGATAGAGATTATCAACAGATATTCATTATGAATTCAAACACTGCATTACTATTAGGTAATCAAATGAATAGTAATAATCAATTGGTTTTTGGTATTGATATATTAAATATGGTAAGTATCATATTCAATTGATAAATTGTTGTAAGTTTATAATAATAATACCAAGCTTGTTTCAAAAAGAAATCACAAGAATTACAATCATCATATGTATATGGAATTGGTGATTCCTTAAAGTATATATGGACAACAGCATATATGAATGTCGATAGTTCAACATCCTACTATTATGTTATAGATACCTCGTTGACTATCAGTGCACTGAATACATTGACTGGTGATACCAACAGCACAGTGATGCAACCTACCAAACTACCGGCTGTAAATCAACCTGCAGGATCATCAGAGTTTGTCATCTACCTTCCAGAGATCGATATTATCTATATCATTGCTTCGTACGATCCCGAACAATCATCGGGTCAATCGATAGATCTCTACAGTCAAGTGGTGGTGAGCGGCGATGTCAATTATAGAGGAGAGCATGTTGGCAAAGCTCTGACATGCAGTAAATATCAAGGATGTACTTATCTATTTACGATGGATTTCAAAGGTAATACCATTGGCAAACCTCTTACGATGATTGACAACTGGATCGATAAAATCGGTTATCCTACATTCGTAACCTATCTGAATGGCAGTGGTGATTTATTATTCACAGGATTCGACGGTACCAGTTCATATCTATTCTCACTGAATCCAACCAATGGCGACACCCAAATAGTAGTTAGATTCCCGACAATGGAGTTCCCCACCAGCTCTGCGATTCTCAATGATATTATCTATGTGCTTGGTGGATCGATGTCTGGTGTCAATCAATCAACATTCGTTCAATACAACTTATCTACCAATCAAATATTATCGACCACCAGCAACATAAAAGGAAATCCAGGTCAACTTTGTGTATTCAAACTTTAAATAAAATCATACATTTATCACCAAAGCGAAACTTGATTTCCAATAATTAGGGAAATGATTTTAGGCAGTCCCAATAGTGAATATTTATATGATGACTCTGATCATTCAGATAAAGATCATTTTACTGATGGAGTAATTAAAGAAAAGATGGATAATACAACCAATGAATCATGTTTAAATCAAGAGTCAAACAATGATACTAAATTAGACAACAAGCAAATAGAAGAAAAAGAAAAAAAAGATTGCGAGAGTGACACCGATCATGATTACACAAGAAGTGAAGATGAAAATTATCAATCATATTTAGAAGATGATGAGTTTATTGACTCTGAGAATGAAGATGATACAATTCTATCAGTGGGATCTGAATAAAGTAAAAGTATATCTGCTCATTTTTAACAAAAAATAAAATAAAATAAAATAAACTTTCCTATTTATATCTGGATTTTTAAAAATAATTTCTTTGACATGTTTAAAAAGACAGGTTTCACTCCTACTTATTAAATCTAAACAAATAAGTAAAAATAATGAATAGTAATGATAAAAATGGATTAGTTCAACTACCATTTATATTATTAAAGAAAATAATTGATTATTTAGATAATTTAGATAAGATATGTTTCTCATTACTATGTAAACAGTTGTTTGAAAATCGTCAAAGATATCTATATATACCACTTGTTGTTACAAATGATACTATAGCATATGCAATAAAGGGTTTTCAATTAAAGTCATTCTCCAATCAAATCGAATCGTTCAACATTGAAAATAGTAATCATACTAAGAAAACAATATTAAAAGTTGCTCAATTCCTCGATCATCCAATTCTATTAAATACAAAAAGAATTAGTCCAGGTATAGTTACAATAGTAAATCAAAGTACATACAAAAGCAAACAATAAACTAAACATCTTTTTTTTTAAGGTGATTTCAATGCATTAACAGAAAAAGATATACCAGTTGATATTGTAGAGATAGCTTTAAACTGTTTTGAATATGGTGGATCTATTCTTGATATACCAGCAATCGATAGAATACATTCATTGGAATGCTTTCTTTCTACTGACATTGACTATAGATTGCCTTCCAACTTGACGTACTTGGCAATTCATAAGAGGGTTACATTTGGTCCCAATGCAATGTTACCGCCATGTCTAGAAACGCTTATGCTGGTAGGAGAACATAGATTTGCAAAAGGATTCTTACCAAATACACTAAAGAATCTAATTCTCATGTGTGAATGCATACTAGACAGAGATACATTACCTCATGGTTTGGAGTGTTTGGAAATAGTTAATGATAGCTATGATTATCCAATCGCGAAAGGCGTTTTACCAAGTACTTTGAAACACTTGACTCTATTTTCGTATTCCGGTGATTTGATTTGTTTTGGTGACAATGAATCTATAGATAATACGGGTATCGAGCAACAAAGTAATGATACCTATATTCCATCTACCCTGGAATCACTTAAGCTTGGTTCATTCTTCAACACAACAAAAGAAAATTTCAATAGTATTCTTCCAACTCAACTTAGATCATTAGAGTTACTATCTTCATTCACAGAGGTAATCGATTGTTCACAGATTCCAAGTAGAGTAACAACATTAAAGTTGGAATCGTACCCAGACTCGATCAAGTTGAATCGTATCCCACATGGTATCAAGAGTCTTGATATTTATTACTTAGAATCGCCATTACCTGCTGGCAGTTTACCCGATACGCTTGAATCATTGTCTATTCGCGGCAACACCAATTGGGATTGGAGAAATCAATTGTCATTAAGTGGGTTAAATCCATCGATTAGATCACTCTCTCTTTCCTCAATATATTGTAACTCAATATCGCTCCAATCTCTTCCTAAATCAGTGGTCAATCTAGAGTTTTTCTCAGACTTACAGTTTAATCTTAAACTTAGAAGATTGGACCACCCGTCGCTAGATAGATTTATTTTGTTTTTACATTTAAATCAAGGTGCATTTGTCGAATCATCAGATCTCATTGATATTCAAAAAAGATTTGAACAAATTCTTGAAAATAAAACTTTTTAATATTTAAGTTGTATAAATATAAATTAATAGTTTAATAAAAAATACAAAAATAATATTTATTTTGAAACAGTTTGATTAATTTGTACATCTGGTGTATATGAATACATTTGACTTTGTTGTGGTGCGTAAATATTTGGTTGAACCATTGTGTATTGTGGAACTTGAGATCCATTGCTCATGAGTGGTGTTGATTGATTGATTGATGGGCTAACATAATGAGGAGTTGGAGTTGGAGTTGGAGTTGGTGTTTGAATGACAGTGGGTGCAGTTGTTGATTTAGATGATCCCCATTGGCGGAATTGTTGAAGTTTTTCGTCGAAGGGAAGCAATACATGTGTCATGACTGGGTTTTTTGTTTCATAGGAAATCAATGGTTCTTGGGATTGGTCTTGTGATGGTCCTTGGAATTGTTGTAATTCCGATGGTAGCTTTCTAATTACAATGCTTCTATGTCTGAAGAATAAATATAATCCTACAGAGTAGACAGCAGCTGGGATAAGTGCCCATACCCAACAGAAGACACCAAGGAAATATAAAGCAACCAAGAGGAAGATTCTTTCACCAAGTGGAGTGGTATGGTATTGGCGACCGTTGATAATGTTGATATGGTTCATATATAATTGTTTATTCATACCGAGCAATGGAAGAGCATTTCCGTGGGTAATATAAAATAATTGATTTTCATGGATGAACTCCAATCTTAATAAATTACTATTATAAATTGATGGAGCGATTAAACCATTAATTTCTACATCACTTTGATTTTTAATTGTAATGGAGACATCTTTGGAGTTTAAAGTAAATTTCCATGTGTTGTTGAAGAAAAATAATTCTTTAATTTTGTAGGTGGTGCTCATTTTATTGGTATTTAATTATTATTTATAATATATTACTAGATTATTCTTATTTTAAGATTGATTATATTAATTTTAATTTACTGCATAAAACTTATACCATTTTATACCAAAAAATATTTCCATTTTCCACTGGAAATTCCAATTGGAAAAAAAAAAATTAATAAAAAACTCAGCAAAATTTATGTGGTTTTTAATTCTTTGTTTTCAAAGATGACTCTTTGATTTCAAGTGTTGGTCAAAGAGGAAAATTGGTTTTATTTATTGTATTTACTTTGGTTTTAAGGATGTTTTTTGAATTTAAAGTTTAAAATTAAAAAACTTTGTTCTGAAAGAAATTATTATTTCAAAGATATCGAAAATAGTTAATTGTTATTCTATTTAAAAAGATCAGTTATTTTTCAACTTTTAATTTGAAAAAATGATTCTGGTAACCCTTTAAAATAAAATTTATGAATAGATACTTTTGAACTTCAAAAATATAAGATTTTTTTTTTATTTTTGGTTACTCATATTCATGGATTCTCAAATAGCTTAATGAGCAATAAGAACTTAAAGAATGGGCAAAAACTTAAAAAAAAATTAATATGAAATTTTTGGTTTTAAAAAAAAAAAAGAATTTTTGTGTTAATTTAATTAATAAGTCAATAACTTAATAAAACTTAAACATGTCTGAATATGAAGAACTTGTATCTGCAATAATTATAGATAATGTAAATTAACTTGCACTATATTTAAATAATAATAATATTAATTATTTTAAATTGACAGGGTTCGGGTACTACTAAAGCTGGATTATCTGGAGATGATGCACCTAGATCTTGGTTCCCAACCATCATTGCAAGACTACGGACACCTTCTGAATTGTTTGGAATGAAAAAAGATTGTTATGTAGGAGATGAGGCAGTTTCAAAGAGATCGTATGCTGCAATGAGATATCCAGTGGAACGAGGAGCTATTGTGAATTGGGATGATATGGAAAAGCTGTGGCATCATGTTTTTTACAATGAGCTTCGTGTTGCACCTGAGGAACATCCTGTTCTAGTCACAGAGCAACCTCTCAACCCCAAAGCACTCAGAGAAAAGCTTACTCAAATCATGTTTGAAACGTTCTCAGTTCCTGCATTCTATGTTGCTATACAAGCAGTGCTATCGCTCTATGCTTCTGGTCGATCAACAGGTATCGTCATCGATTCAGGTGATGGAATAACTCACATTGTCCCAATATATGAAGGTAATGCTTTGACACACGCAATTGGTCGGTTAGAAATAGGTGGTCGAGAACTAACAGACTATATGATGAAGTTACTTACGGAGCGTGGTTATTGCTTCACTACAACCGCAGAGCGATCGATCGTTTGTGACATTAAGGAGAAGCTTGCCTACGTTTCATTGAATTACGAAAGTGAATTGGCTACAGCTTCCACCTCAACAACACTCGATAAATCATATGAAATACCTGGTGGAGATGTGATCACGTTAGGAAGTGAACGATTCCTTTGTCCAGAGGCATTGTTTAAACCATCACTGCTTGGTGTCGAATCAGGTGGAATTCATACAATTACTTATAATTCGATCATGAAATGTGAAAGTGATATTCGAAAGCATATGTATGGTAATGTTATTTTGGCTGGTGGTTCAACCATGTTTCCAGGAATATCAGATCGTCTGCATAGCGAGTTGGGATCATTGGCACCTCAAGGTATGAAGATCAAAGTAATTGCACCTACTGATCGAAAGTTCTCTGCATGGTTGGGTGGTTCCATCCTAACATCTCTTGAAGTCTTCCAAGAAATGTGGATGTCCAAAGAAGAATACGACGAATCTGGTCCATCTTTTATTCATAGAAAATGTATTAAATACCCAAGCGTTGATGAAATGTATAGTAATTAAATGTATTATAATGTATAATAAAAACCCACAGTTTAACTATCTATAATATATTATTAAAGGTATTGTTTGTTTTTTATTTATTATAGTAATATCAAAAAATTATTTTTTGTTATTTATTCGGTTAGCTAATCATCTATTTGGTGTTCCTGGAAGTAATGGTGCCTTTAAATTTGGATCTACTACTTCAGTGCATTGTAATTCTATATTATCTCTTTGTTTGTTCTTCATTGCAGCCAATCTCTTCATCTTTGAAACGATTCTAATTTGCAATCTTGTGTTGTTGATGACTTTTCTCCATCTCTTTTGTGGTGTAGCCTTGGCTTGTGAAACTAATTTCTTTCGTTTAAAGAGTTTCATTGTGAATGATTTAATGCAAAAACCAATAGGAAGACCAATTGAACCTAAACCAATACAAGCCACCCATTCTAAAAGCGACAACTTTTGAGTTTTAATAAACTCTCCTCCGAACTCTACTAGAATGAATTGGACTACAATTGTTATTGACATGATTGTTAAGAATTGCCAATTCTGTAAGATTCCTTGGAATACATTTCTTGTTTCTAGAAGAAGATTAATACATCTATCAATTATTTAAATTATTAATTATGTTTAACATACTGTTGTCAATTCTTCTACAATTGATTTCATTGAATATTTGTAAGAATACAAAAGTATTAAAGATGATTGTGAAATGGTGTACACCATTTGCTTTGATTCCAAAGATATCAGCTCCAACGAAAACTAAAATTAATAAGACAGTTAACTGTATTAAAGTTGTATAAAATTGATTAATATTCTCATTAAAAATTATATTTATAAATTATAAAGACATACCTGATATAATGCTTGTCCAATAATATTATACCACATTGTTCTTGTAATTAATTTACTATTCTTGCCATAACTCTTTCTTTTCAAGACATCATCTCTTGGTTTCTCTGTTGCCAATGCCAAAGATGCAAATGTATCCATAATTAAATTGATCCATAGCAATTGAATGGCAGTAAGTGGACTAATACCATTTTCATTGGAGATTGAACCGATGAATGAAATGAAAACAGCAACAATATTGACAGTCAATTGGAATTGAAGGAATTTCTGGATTGACTCCATTACATTTCTATTAAAAAAATAATTAAATATTAGTGTTTCAAATATTTTGTTAAATATATATACTATACCTTCCCCATTTAATAGAATTAACAATAGAAGAGAAATTATCATCCATTAGAATGATATCAGATGCCTCTTTAGCGATTTCTGTTCCACAAATTCCCATACTGAATCCAACATCTGCAAGCTTGAGAGATGGTGCATCATTTGTACCATCACCTGTTACAGCAACAATTTCACCCATTTCCTTTAGCTTCTGGACAAATAGATGCTTATCCATTGGTGATGATCTAGCAATCACTTGAATGTATGGTAACATTTGCTCCATTTCGAACTGGTTCAAATTTCTAAACTGTGCACCTTCCAAACAAATGCCATTCTCTTTGAGGATACCAACTTTCTTTGCAATGTTTCTTGCAGTATCCAAATTGTCACCGGTGATCATTCTGACGGTCATTCCAGCACCCTGTGAGATCCTAACTGCTTCTGGAACATCCTTTCTAACTGGGTCACGAATACCAAAGACACCAAGAAGGATGAGGTTGTTGGGTTGGAATTGGTTCCAATCATCAGGTTTGCTGTTGACATCAATATAGGCCAGTGAAATCGTTCGAAGGCAATCGACAGACATCGACTTGACAAAAGCGAGAAGCTTGGCTTTCTTTTCTGGTTTCATTTCAGTGATGATCTTTGTTCCGAATATTTGGACACATCGATTGATGATTAGCTCTGGAGCACCTTTGATGAATAGTCTATATTTTCCATCTGGAAGTACAACGATAGTTGTCATTGTTTTGGTGGTCGAGGAGAAGGGGATCAATGTCTCTAGCTTGTATTTCTTACGAGAGCCAACCAAATCAATTCCAAGCTTACTACCAAATGCCACTAATGCACACTCAGTCTGGTTACCAACCAATGTCGTTAACTCTGTCACTGGATCATAGTGCTCAAAGGCAGTACTGTTGATTGCGATTGATTCTAGTAGTAGCTCTCTCTGTGAAAAGCTGATGGTGTCGGACAGCTTGGCTGTGTCGATTCCTCCGATTTCCTCACGCATCTTGATACCCATGACCAATCCAGCTACAACAGACATCTTATTCTCTGTTAGAGTACCGGTCTTGTCTGAACAAATGGTTGTTACACTACCCATAGTTTCACAAGCTTCAAGCTTACGCACCAAATTGTTGTCTTTGAGCATCTTTAGCATACTGTAGGCAAGTGCAATGGTGACAGCAAGCGGCAAACCCTCAGGAACCACAACAACCACAATGGTAATCGATGTAATAAAGTAACCCATTAGGAGGTTCACAAAGTCAGAGTTGAAAGGACGATGGTGAATGATATTCAAGATGATCAACTTGAGCGCTAGTATCAAGAAGGTGGCTATGGCAATGGATAAACCAATCTTACCGATGGTGTCAGCAAGTTTATCGAGTTTTTCTTCGAGTGGTGTCTTTTGATCTTCACCTCTTAAGGACATCATTGTTTTTCCCTGGATACTGTGTTCACCTATACAAACAACCAACATCCTGCCATATCCTTCGGTAACCTTTGCACCGGAAAGCATTCGAACATCTCCATTTCCACTGACAACCTTGTGTATGGCAGCTGATTCTCCGGTGAGCGAAGACTCTTCACACGTCACATTGTAACCATCTATCAAGATACCATCGGCAGGCAAAATAGTTCCCGATTCAATCATGAGAATATCACCGACATTAAGCTCGTGCACATCGATCTCCAACTGAGTACCGCTTCTAATCACCTTGACATTTCGGTAGTCTCTCTTGGAATTCAACTTTCTAAACTGCTTCTCCTTTGAGTAGTTGTTCAAACTTGTAACAGTAACCACAATAACCACAGCAAAGATGATCGATATACTCTCCACCCAACCATTGGTATCACTACGCCAAATGATTCCAATGATCAGAGATACGATAGCAGATATCGACAGCAATATTAAAGTATGGTCTTTGAAGCTTTCCAAGAAGAACGAAAAGAATGTTCTTTCTTTTAGCTTGGGCAACTCATTTCTTCCAAAGATCCGACGTCTCTCCTCAAAGCCATTGGTCACTTCTTCTCGCGATAAACCATTCTGTAGATCGGTCTTAAATTTAGATTCCAGACGGTTAGACCAACTAGGATCCAATCTTAAATTCTTTAAATATGTTTGGTCTGCATCTATTAACTTTTCACAAAATTCATTATCTATTTCAAATGATGAACTGAAAAAGAAAAAAATAGTTAAAAATAAAAATAAAAATTTTTGCAAAGAAAAAGTATTTTTGTTTTTCTTACCAAACTTGGGTTGTTGAAGAAGAAGAATTTAACTCTTCAATTTCAACTTCATGAAATTCCAATCTAGAAGAGTTGTTTTTTGAAACATCATAAGTTTTTTCTTCTCTTACTCCCTCCTCTGCATCATATTCATCTGGATGGAGTGAAACATATCCTCCTTTTTTGTTTTTCATTCTTTTTTTTAAAAATATTTATTTATAGAATTCAATCGGAAATGAATTTATTATAATTATCTACATTGAAATAAATAAATTTAAAATAACAAATAATAATAACAATAAAGAAAAAGTATGAAATACTCTGAATTTATAAAGGTTCACACAGTGCACCTTCTATTTTCCTCTCCTTTTTTGATCCTATCATTTAATTTGAAATTAAATATTTTGGTTGGTTTTTTTATTATTATTGTTATTATGTACACAATTAATTAAAATTACCTTTATTTCAATACAATGCCACAAAGTCAAATAACATAAATGATGGTTTGTTTGTTATTTTTTAAATGATAATTGTTGTTGTTAGTTGCACTAGTAAAAGTGCTAAATGTAATCAATTCGATATTGTTATTTTGGATTATATAAAAACATTAGAATGACTAATGATGTTTTATTTATATGTATAGGTCAATTTTAAATGTATTAAGAGTTTAATATGTTTAGCTGTGCTTGTGTTTTATATATAAGTGGTAGTAGCTGGAATGTGTTAAGTTGTAACAATAGTGGTGGTTTGAAATAAATAAGTAAAAAAATAAAATAAAAAAATAAGAGTCGTTATATTATATCTTATCAAATATGCAAATATAAAAAAAAAAAATTAAAGCAATAGTAATTCAACACTGTCAAGAATTAAATCTATTGGTCAAAAATACCAAACATACTTTCACCTTTTTACACCACGAATTTCACCACATTTCGCACTTTTTAAATTAAAAATTTATTTTAAAAAAAAAAAAAACAAAAACCAAGTTTAATTTTTCTCACTCACTAAAAAATATAATTATTTTTCTTAACCTATTTATCATAGATTTATTTCTCCTTCACTCTCACCCTAATATAATTTAACAAATATATATTATCTACAGATTGGAATTTCGAAAATCACAATGATTCTACACCAAATTTAGAAATTTGTACCACCATGTGCATTGTTTCTTTTTATCTACTTTAAAAAAAAAAAAAAAAAAGGTTTAATATTTATTACTATATTTATAAAAGATTGTCGTTACAGTTAAAAATGAATCCCACTATTATTATTATTATTATTTTATTTTGTAAATGTTATTGAACATAATACAGTTGAAATTGTTTTAGTTTTTATATGTGAGGATAAATATTAGGCGTAATTTCAAAGATATTGTAAAAATGAACTGATAGAATTAGTAGTAAATAGTATGATAAAAAAAGTTTATAAAGTTTAATTTTTTATTTTTTATATATGATCAGTAAATCTGATAGGTAATTTATATCAACAAATTACAATTCTTTCCAAAAGCAGGTGGAATACACTGGCAGCTTTCTATAATACCATCTGAAGTGATGGTTGCAAAGCCATAATTACATTGACTTTGAACTCCATAAGCTCTCCACTATGTTTTTGACAAAACAAAAGTTAATATTTGATTAATCTTAAATTTACAAACTAATATTATTTTACTTACATAAGTGGAATTTGGGTCGTGGAAAATTGGTACATTATAGGTTGGAAGATCTGTGTTGGTGAAGTTGGCAATGTTTACGTTTTTCAATGAGGATGAACTAAATGTTTTGAAATTAGATCTATAAAATAAAAAATTAGTATAATATTTAAAGGTTATCAAAATTTTTTTTGTTAAATAATTACATACTCTGAACTATTTGAATTGATAAAAATTCCACCAATAAATGTCAAAGGAGCACTGGCAAAGTATACTGAACCTGCAACGCTGGCCGAATTGTTATTGAAAAGGGATCCAGTAAAATTGAGATTAAACAACTCTGATTTTTCAAGATAAATAGCTCCTCCTTCATAGGATGCTGTATTATTATGGAATGTGGAGTTGGAAATAGTGACATTTACTGTTAGATCCAAATTTCTAAAACTAATGGCGCCACCAGAAGTAGCATTGTTATGCTTCATAGTACTGTTGATCATTGAAAATGTATGAGCACTAGTAAAAATAGCACCTCCTATGGTAGCATTATTTAATTCGAAAGTAGTGTTTGCGATGGTTACATTCTCAAGAGCAACCATAGAACCTCCGAAACCAAATTCAACAGTACCATTTGCAGTATTGTTATGGAAAGTGGAATTGGAAATGGTTATGTTGAAACCAAAGATAGCACCAGCCATACCAGCGGTAGAGTTTGAGAATGTAGAGTTGGAAATGGTAATGTTTTGGCCACAATAGAGGACTCCTGCAAGACCTTCAAACGAAGCAGAATTATTGGAGAATGTGGAATTGTGAATCTCTGTGGTACCATAGATGTAGAATACACCGGCAGTCAAAGCAGTATTATTGACAAAGCTAGAATTGTGGGAAACTAGGTTATTGGCAATAACAGCACCACCAAAATTATAAGTAGCAGTGTTATTGATGAAAGAAGAGTTGGAAACAAAGACATCTGCATAATGGGCTGAGATAACACCACCGGTAGATCCGGTATTATTTCCTAGTGTGCAGTTGGAAATGACTACCTTTTTAACATTGGTTTGTAAAAATCCACCATCCAATTCCGAGGAACAACCACTTGGACCAGTAGTCATATTGTACATATAAACACTTGATAATCTTTGGTCACCTTCTTGATCAATATTGATGCAACCACCTGTGTTTTCGGAAGAACCAGTTAAATTCAAACCATTAAATACAATGGAAGAATTTAGTCTACCATCAAGGTTGAATGAAATAAATTGTTTCTAAAAAAAAAAAAAAGAAAAAAAAAAAGAAAGAGTTAAATATATAAAAAAAAAATCAATTTTATAAATTGTTACTTACACCTCCACAATCAAAATTAGCTTGACCATCCATAGAAGTAAAAACTACATTTTTGGAACGCAAATTAAAGTCAATTTCTCCTGGACAATCTATATCAGAATAAGAACCAGCTGGGATCAAGATGGCAGAGATATCATTTTTCTTTAAAGTTGAAATGTTTTCGATACATTCTGAAATGGATGGACATGATCTTTTTATTTATAGAAATAAATATTTAAAAAATTAAAAAATATATATCAATTAGATTTTACTTACAAAAATGAATTATTTATTTTTTTACATTGAATAATGGATGTATCTAAAATACAACCAGAGTATTTATTTGGTTTAAACACATTTTGGGTGTACGGTAAATATATTTCAAATCCACTAATAATTGAAATTAAAATGGATAAGCACAATATCGATAGATAAATTTTATTTCTTTGCATAATTTATTTATAATAATAAATGGTGATGATGGATAGTAATTCAATTTTTTTTAATTTATAGAAAAAAAAATTACTATTATTATTTCAAGATGATCACTAAATAAAATTTTAAATAATTCAATCTTAATAAACATCATGATTTTTTTCAAATTCAAAGATATGTCGGCAAAAAAAATAAGAAAAAGTGAAAATGCATCTTCAACCAAAGTGATGATGTCAAAAGTGCAACCATTGCACTAAACAGAAAAATCAATCGAAAATTACTTTTTCATTTTGAAAATTAGAAATTGATTTGATACAAAAATCTTGTATTAGTACGGCATTTTTAGATGTTTCTTTGTGCGGCAAGAAGATCCTTCACTAACATCTTTATCTTAACCATTTCTGAATTGTCGACACAAGAATTGATTTTGAAGACAAAATTGAAAATTGATACGACTTTTAAAAGTAGTTTTCAAGTGTGACGATCTTTTCATCTTCAACACTTCGTTTGATTCTAATAAAATTATTATTAATATTGTACAATTTTTAATATTATTATTATTATTACAGATGGGAACTCGGGGTTAGATTAGTATTCTGATAATTGATGATGTCGGGCACAATGAAAGGTTGTGATATCTCTATTCGAGTAGTAATTGATATCGTATTTTGGTTTGAGTTGTTGGATAAATGGGAAGATGGAAGCTTTTACTAGGAATGTTCGCTCATTCTCTTTTAGTGATAATCTAAGCTCGGTAAGCTTTGGTTGTAGTTTGTATAGCTCCAATACCTCTGGAAGCTCCTTGCTGTCGACATCGCATAACGAGAGATACTCCAGACTCTTTAGCTTGCCTTGCTTAATGATATCGAGTATCGGCTTGTAGTGATAGCGACTTCCGACCGACATGTGGTACTCGATAACAAACTTGCGGAGTTTGGTCATGTGCTGCATACAACTGGCAAGTATTTCAGAGGCAACCGTATATCCATTGCTAATAACCAGTGTCTCAAGATGAAAGAATTCGTAGAATTGCATTAGAGATGTTGTAAACACCAGATAGTCGAGTATCTGTAGTTTCTTAAGATTGGCTTTGAATGGAGTGGGAAGCAATGGGATGGACTCTGCATTGCCTAGTTCGAGTGGAGTACAGATGCCAATTTCGGTAAGCGTAGTGGATTGCGCCAGTGCATCGAGTTCCACGTGTGAAATTGCTGCCTTTGTGTGTAGTCGGACCAACTTGCTCTGCTTTAGATACCGGGCGAATCGCTTGTCCAGCAGTGATTTATTGGTCTCACTATATGGAGTGATGAACATACCGAACTGTAGAATCTTCAGTGCCGGTAGTTCCTCGAGGAACTCCATAAAGCTCTCAGAGACATTGAGCCAAACCAGATCTAAGCGAGTCAAGCACTTATAGGACAAAGCTCTCTCCTTGGAGAATAGATTGGTTGGAAGAGTTCGCATACCCTTTAGCTTAACTTGTTGGAGATGTGTTGAATGTTGTTTAAGAAATTTAACAATCTGATTCGATATTCTCAAGCAGTTGAATGATACACTATCAAATGTTTTGATATCAGTCAAACGTTCATATATTACAGATAATCCATCTACACCCAAATGAAACATATCAAAATATGAATATTTCTTTATATTATTATTAATGATATTATTTTCATTATTATTGTTGTTGTTGTCGCTATTGTTATTGTTAAATAATACTTGTATAATATTATTAAATAGATCTTCTTGTAGTGGTGATTTAAATAACTTTATTAGGTTGAGTGATGGATGTAGATGTTGAAAGAATGATTGTATGATTTGATTGGATTGAGCAGTTGGAGTACGGTAGTGCTCTATTCTATTTACATTGTTGTATAGTTTTATTGATTGTATTTGTTGGTTCTGGTAACTCTCATTATAAATATTGTATTTTGAGGTGAGATGCTGTTGGAATTCAGTAATGATACTTAAATCACTATAGAACATAACCAGAGAATCGAAATAGAAAGCAATCTCTTTAAACCATCTCCAACAAACCAATGTAAAAACACGTCTTTTTAATTGATATACTGTTGGATCCGATTGCCAACAGTATCTTATAATCAACTTTTGTAATATATTTGGAAGATTAACATTTTTACATTTGTTATTATTATTATTATTACTGTCAATTTCACCAATCATTTATACAACCTAAACTACAACTACTACTATTACTTTTATATTAATTAATAAATTAAATTACTTTATTTAGAAAAAAAAAAAGCAAAAAACTTTAAAGTTTTTTTTTTTATTTAAAGTGGGGTTATGTTGTTTTGCACTTTCTACCACTCATATGCACATACCCCATTTTATTAAAATAAATTAATTTCAAATCTCGATTATATATTTACATTCAATATTAGATATTTTATATATATTATTATTATTATTATTATTATTATTATTTAATATATAATAAAAGTGGTAAAATAAAAAATAATATGGATAATGATAATATAGAAACTAGAGTACTTTCAATACAATCGTGGGTCTGTCATGGTTATGTTGGAAACAAGTGTGCTGTTATGGCATTGCAGCATCTCGGTATCGATGTTGATCCAATAAATACTGTACAACTATCGAACAATACTGCTTATACATCGTTCAAAGGTGAATCACTGTCTGCTGCTAAACTCTTGGAGATATTCGAAACATTACAACACAACAAGCTTGCAAACTACACTCATCTACTAACTGGTTACAACAACAATGCTGAAACTCTACGAACTGTACTATCAATAGTTAAGAAACTTAAAGAATCAAATCCAAATTTAATATATGGTAAAAATATAATATAATTATTTGCTTATTAGATCAATTCGAAACATGTTTATTATAATATTAATTTTCAATATAAAAGTATGTGATCCCGTTTTAGGTGATAATAATGCTCTATATGTTCCAGAGAATTTGGTTGCTGTCTATAGAGATGAAGTAATTATACATGCAGACTATTTATTCCCTAATCAAACAGAAGCAGAATATCTTACAGGAATCAAGATATCTAGTCAAGACGATGCCATTCGTGCTATCGATAGTTTACACGACAAGGGTATCGCCAATGTAATTATAACTAGCTGTACGATCGATAATAACGATGAGGATATTGTTGTCATTGGCAGTCGTAAAGGTGAAAGAAAATTCCGTTTGTCTGTTAAGAAATTCGATGGATACTACAGTGGAACAGGTGATACATTCAGTGCATTGCTTCTTGGATATTGTGTAGAGCAACAACAGATCAGTGGAGCCAGCAAGACTCAAATTAGTTTGGCATCTGCTTGTGAACAGGCAGTGACCACTCTCTACAACATTATCAAACTGACCCACAACGCAAAACAACTGATTCCATCCTCAAAATTGGGTGAATACCACGAATTGAAATTAATCCAATCACGACACTTCATTGGAAATAAACAAGTACAATTCCCAAGTACATATATTTAATTAAAAAAGAAAAATAATTTAAAGTTTGTTAAACTCATTGTATCTACTTTTATACAAGTTGGGTTCCAGTAGTTGGTTCATCTTCATTTTCGGGGCATTCCAATTCAACCATTAACTCTTTCCTAAAAAGATGTAATTTCATTTTAATATTATCATATTTTCTGAGTAATTTTCTTCTAATCGATTTCATTGTCCTTGTACCTTCATCAGTATCCAAAATGTATTTTGAATTTTGAGTGGTACCTTTTTCTACACAACTTCTACAGTAAACTATATCAGAATCATTGACTTTAATCTGATACACAGTCACAAGATCTTCTTTTGCTATTTCTTTGCAGACTGGGCAGATTAAGTTATGGAAATTCATTTCATTCTTCAAAAATAAATCCAGATCCTGTTGAATATCTAAAATGTGTTCAATAGAACTAGTCTTAAAAACTTTGGCAGTAGAATCTATCGAGTCTTCAATTCGAAATAAGTCATTGATTGATTGATATATTTGTTGAATACTATAATTTAAAAAAATTCTTAATTCAAACTTTCAAAATAATTAAGAATCTTTTCTGAAGAGAAATGTCATTTAATACAAAAAAATAAAATAATAAACAGTTTGAAAAAAAAAAATTAAAGGATAAGTAATTATAAATGGAAAATAATAAATTTTAATATTTATTAAATTAGGTGAAATACAATTTGATTTCTTTACATATTAGGGTCTGCACAATAGGCACAACTTGTAGGAGTTTGTGGTACCAGGATTTTACCTTGTCTTTGACAGAATTCGGCGGTTGGTGCCCAGAGACATTGGATTGGAGTACCAGAGGTTGGGTCGGCACAATATCCACATGATGTTCTGGTTTGTGGTACTAAGACTTTACCTTGACTGGCACAAAACTCTTCGGTTGGCAACCAAAAACAATAGATTTGAGTGTCTGGATCCTTGCAGTATGCACATTCAGTTCTGGTTTGTGGTACTAAAACTTTACCTTGTCTTTGACAGAATTCGGCGGATGGTGCCCATAAACATTCGACTGGAGTACCACCATCTACCTTATCGGAAACACCAAAGGCCAAAGCTAAAAAGACTGATAACATTAAAATTACTAATGAGATTTTCATTATATATAAATTATAATAATAATTTTTTTTTTGAAATAGTTAATTTATTTTATTATTTGAAGAGAAGAGAAGATGAATGATAAAAATGTTGTCTCCCAAAGTTAATTTATATATTTGGTAATTCTACTATCTTAAAGTCTCATAAATTTACTAAAAAATGCACAACAACAATAATTCAATCTAATAATAAATTTATTTGATTTTATTTTTAATTTTATTAAATTACATAGAATGAAATTGATTGGTACCGATTCTCATTTTATTGTTCAAAATAACTGTCTATTTTTTTTAAATTTTTATTTGAATTTTTTTATTTTTTACTTGTGGTGCCAACTTGTGAAAAAAAATCTTAAAATCTCTCAATTTAATTTAAATTCATTACATTGTTAATTAAAATCATCAACTTTGTTTTATTTAACTTGAATTTAAACATTTTAGCTTTAAAAAAATAAATATTTTATTTTTTACTATGTATAATCAAATAATCATTATTTGATATAAATCAAAAAAATTAATTATTTGTAAAATTAAATGTTTAAGTTTAACAAACTCTAACACTTACTTTTTTGTCAACATTAATCAAAGTTCACACCAAAGATTACATTTAGATATAAAATTTTTTTTCAATATTTTATTAATATTAATGAACATATAAAAAAAAAATTAACAACTCAAAAGTTTAAATAATATTTAGATAAATGAGTTATTTTTTTATTTTCTGTTATTTCTCTTTGATTTACCTGGTCTAGATTTTCCTCCAGCTTTACCACCGAAACCAGCTTTACCTCCGGAACCAGCTTTACCTCCGAAACCACCGGCAGCCTTTCTCTGTTGTGCTTTCTCTTTGTAGTGATTATTTAGATCAGAGTTGTTTCTCTTTACGCTGAAACTACCGGCATCTGTAGACTCTCTAGTGTTTGATTTTGCGAATTTCTTTTTACCACCGAATCCGTACTTCTCATCTTTGGCCAAACGTTTCTTACCCTTGGTTGGTAAATCTCTCTTTCTCTTGTTGTTTCCACCGTTGTTTCCTTTCTTTGCTTCTTCATCGATCAAATCAATTGAAAAATCTTCTGAAACATTACCCTTTTCACGATCTATAATAATAATTTTAATTATAATGGTTTGTTATGTTAGTATTTAATTAAAGTATGATTATAATATAAAAGATATAATGAATGACATACTCTTTCTCCATTTCTTAACAGCTTCAAGTTGTGAAGATTTCTCTTTTTGTCTTTCTTGTTGCTTCTGAACTTGTACTTGTTTACCGATCTTCTTGAATTGTCTCTTTTGACGAATGAGATCAGCCTTTTCAATACGTTTCTTGTCCTCGTCCAACTTGGCCTTGATCTTGTACATCTGTTGGTCAGTCTTGACCATCTCTGCATAGTAATCTGGTTTTCTCTCTACTGGTAACTTAAAGTCTTTACATAAACTCTCACAAACCATAACTGAATCCAATGTTTGTTTATAACTAAAATAATAATAATAATAATAATAATAAATACAACCAATTAATATGTTATACTAGTAGAAAGGTTTTAACCGATTGATTATACTTACAATGCCATTTCTCTTACGAAATCATCATGGATATTTGGACATTCCAATTGTTTCTTTGTTGTAACGGTTAAGGTATGTACCCATGGAACTTTACCACCGACCATCAATTTGAAATCTTGTAACTTTTGTGTGAGACCAACCTATATTATTTTAAAGCAAAAATAAAAAGTAAATATGAATATGATGATTAGTAATGATGATGATTAATATTATTGTTATTATTTGTTTTGTTATGTACATACTTTATCATTTACTGAATGTTTGTTATAATCGATTGGCTCTTGTTGTATTTCTTGGTCTTTCTCTGCTGATTCCTCTTCTTCGTTTTCACTGAGATCTGAGGTTGGCAAAGCAAGTTCGTCGACTTCAGTCATTTCTCTAATCATTTCGGCTGGCTTTTGCTTTCCAGCTACTTTCTGAGCGGCCAAGATATCAGCGACGTTAGCGAAACCTTGGAACGATTTACCAGTGATATTGAGCTCTTTGGTCAACTTTTTAGTTGGAATAGCAATTGGTGCATCTATTTCCTCTTCATCTTCTTCTTCGTCTTCATCTTCATCTTCGTCATCTTCACCTTCTTCGTATACATCTTGATAGAGATCATCCAATTCATCTGGATCGATTTCCTCATCTTGATCTACACCATATTCATCGTCTTCCTCCTCTTCTTCACCCTCTAACTCTTCATCATCATCTTCCAATTCTTCATCGTCTTCTTCTAACTCTTCATCATCATCATCTTCATCGTCGTCAAAGTCCAAGTTGACGTCATCGTCACCACTGATATCTTCATCTTCTTCGATCTCCTCATCCTCTGGATCGTATTGACCACTGATAATATCTTGAAGCATATTCTTCAATTCTTCATCGTTCTTTGATCTCTTCTTTGGTGGCTCAGCAGTAGTTCTACCACGCTTACTCGAGACTGTTGTTTTAGCAGCACCTGGTGCAGGTGCTACAACTTGCTTTACAGCACTACCCTTCTTTGGTACAACAGCAGCAGTTGTGGTGGTAGTGGTAGTTGTAGTTTTAATTGGTGCTGATTTCTTTATATTTTTTTGAGTTGGCATTATTATATTATATTATTAAATATATACAAAATAAAAAAAGAAATAAAAAAATTATAATCAAAAAATTAATTTTTCGTTCGTTTTTCTTTTTTTTTTTTTTTTTTAATTTAATTTTTTTTATTTTTTTATGTTTTCGAACATCCGGTTTACATTATCATTTTTTTTCTAATATTATAAACTATGATTGTGTAGATGGTGTTGATGTTGGTGATGAAATTGTTTGTTGTTGTTGTTGTTGTTGATCTAATTCTTTTATTTTATCGTTGTACGCTTTAATTATGTTGGTTGTTTCTATATCTATATTCTTTGATTTTGCGTCCTCTATTACTCTATCTAGTTCTCTTTTGTTTTTACTCCATCCAATACGTCGTGGTATGTTCCATATATCCAAATCACGTTCAGTCATCATTTTACAATCGGTATATTCACAGAGGTTCAGTGTTTTCTGTTGGAGTCGTGTGAAGAACTTCAAGCCTGTCTCTCGCTCCAGTGTCTCCACTGGCACTTCATAGTCTGTGAGAACTGCATCCGGGCCAATCGGTTCATTCGGTATGACGAAAGCACCTACCATCACCTCTGGCATATCCTTTCGCTCCACCATGATCACCTTGAACAAATGAGTAGGCACAGCAACATTGTTCTCACCAATCACTTCGTGTTTTATATATTTCCTCTGAGTTTTCTTTGGGAATCTTGAGGGTTTGGCATTTGGATCGATTTCGATTTGTTCGATCAAGTTTGGCTTAAACAACGGACCCGATACAACAGTGACACCATCGAATTGCTTTGGAAGTGTTGATTTACAATAGCACTCAAGTCGATACCAAAAGTTACCGTTGTTCTGCATGTTCTGTGGTACGATGTTTGAGTTCAACAGGAATGTCTGGTTCATCGATTGCTGAGGATAACGCGCCATGTCCGATGCCGGCACCAAATGTCCACGCGACCAACCACTACCAAGATAATCTTTGTTGTCAGCACGCATTAGGCCATCGACAAACGGATGATTTCCAGTGAAATAAGATGATTTTCTATCAGAGAGTTTGTCGGCGTCTGACGGATTGTAAGTGGAGAATCCATCGATACGCTGAATCACCCAAGAAGGTATCTTTCTCTCGAGGTCGTGCGATACGATGAATTGATCGTAGAACCAAAGATTACTACTACTTGGCAAGCCATTCTTCATCAATATCCAGTGTTTCTCTGTGACCGGTAGTGATGTTCCAAACTGTTGATTCGGTAGCTGTGCTTGTTCAATGTCCATGTTATTAGGTAGTACTTCACGCATGTAACCTAAAAGCTTTGCAATCTTCTCTATATCATTCTGTCGTGTTTTGGCATCCTCTATCACAGTTAGATGATGCTGTTGATGTTGTTCTTCAATTGCAATTAGATGGTTGATTTTCTTTAGCTGATCAATCTTCTCTTCAGCCGACCTATATTGTACAACTGATGCACCCACCAATAAACCAGTGGGTACAATCAACAACGCTCTATATAAATTATTATAATTAAATAATCTTGACATATATATATATAATACAATCTGATCTGATAAAACTATTAATTAATTTAAAAATAATAATATCATAGTCAAATTTTTTAACACACAAAGAAAAAATCAGACAATCAAAAAAAAACAACATATTTTCATAGAATTGATATTTTTATACATAACATTATTGAAAGGTATTAAAAGAATGATATTAAAGTGGACATAAATATGTGTGGTGTGTATATGTGTATGTGAGTTGTGTGTTTAAACAAATATATAAAAATAAAAATATAAATAATGGATAACACCCAAAATGATTGTTTTTGATGAATCAATCAATTTATATTTATATATAATTGGTGGTTTCAACATTTAAATTATGACCACATTTATTATAATACTTTATTCATTTAAAATGTATTCAATTTGATTATAATTTTTTATATAAACTTTGATCACATTTTACTTCTATAATATAAATATAAATTATCTATCAGATAAAAACACAATTATCTATAATATAAATATAATATAGAATGAATAAAATAAATTTAATAGTCTTAATTTTATTATTTGTGCCAATGGTACTTTTAATTGTTTCCTTTTCAACATATTGGTAAAACATTACAATTTTTATTAATATTTTTTATAAACAAACTTTTAATTAATATTATTGATCAACTATTATAGGTATGTGGATAGCTATGATGATGATAATAAATTATACTTCAAGTATAATGAAATGAGAATTGTGAATAATAACAATCAGGGCACCTACTCATGGACTGATAATGACCACACCCACGATGTATACAGAGCATCATTGGCATTTGCGATTTTGGCTTGGATCGTCAATATTGTCGCTTTAGTATTTATGACATTAGGTCTACTCGGTATTCTCACAAAGATTCCACTACTTCCAACAGTTACAAAATTCTTGCCACTACTCATTTTCTTCTTTAGTTTCCTCAGTTTCATTATTTTCCTTGGACTACCAAGAGCAATGAAAAAAGATTGTGAAACCTACAATCAATCTAAATGCTATAATGATAGAGTAAAACAACTAATAGGTTCAGATTCCCTTGGTAGTTGGCATCCAATTCAAGGTTGGGCATGTGCAAGTATGTCATATTGATAGATTCAATTCTTATTAAAACTCTCTAGTTAACTAACTGTTATTCTTTAATTCTTAGTTATTGCATCTGCATTTTCTTTAGGTATAAGTATTATTTCAATTCTACTTGTTAAATTCGATGAAAAATAAAAAAGAAATTTATAAATTCTTTAATATTACTCTTATTTTATAATAAATAAATTTTAACTTTTTTTTTTATTTTTATTATTACTATTTTGTTATGTTATTAATTAAATGTTTTGGTTGTATATATAACAACAATTTATTATGTAATAGTACTACTGTTCATATGTAAACCTATATATTTATTGGTAGACAACAAAGCAATCACCTTCTTACTTTTCTCCTTCTTCTCTTTTGCTTTCTTTATTTTCTTTCTAATAATAACAGGATAATATTATACAATTATAGTTGCCAAAAAGTCTTGGAATCTTTTAGAGTATTCTTGTGGTGAAACTGATGATATTTCATGTTTCTATTATTGTTGTTGTTTGATATAAATAATAATTATTAGTATTAGTTAGTTTGGTTATTGTTGTTGATGATTAAATGTTATTGTCAACTTACAGCATCACCACCAAACTTTAAAGATTTATAGGTGTGTTCAACTTTCTTTCTTAAACTGTACAACATTAGAATATCGATAATACCCATGAAATAGTGCTCGTCGTTGAGTTGACCATCTTCACCAACACCTTTCAATCCACCTTCGTCCTGTTGGAATGCGGTGTAAACCTCGTTCATGTCGGTCATCGATTGCTCAAAGTTCTTCATTGAACGGTTCATCAGTGGTGAAGCATCATCCATACTCTCATTCAATGTGTGTCTCATCAACGATGGTGACGGTGGATCTCTATTTGCATAGTGAATACCGATCAGTAATGAATAATCCATAATATTTAATGATTCCAATAACTAAAAATAAAATGGAAAATAATAAATTAATATTTGTTAATTTTGATACTATTATTATTACTATTACTATTATTGATATTGTTTCTATCTATACTTACAGCACAATCTTTCTTAATTTGATCCAAGAAAGCAACTCTTTTTTGTGGACCAATAAATATTTTCTTTTTTCTATTTCTAAAATCGATATCTTTAAATGTAACGGTTTCTGACTTCTTCTCATTGTCAGAGGCTTCTCTACCAACGATTGAACCCTTCAAGTCATATCTCTCATGTATCTTCTTTCTGGTGGGGAAGTTATTACCCATAACCACAAATCTAACATGTCTTCCACCATGTGGTTTAACTCTAAACAATCCAAAGAATCTTGGCAACAATGTATTTGGATTTGATGTCAAATGCTAAATAAAAAAGAATAATTAGTTAATCAATCTATAATAATAATTATTAATTTCTTCATACCTCTGTGTATGCAGGTAATAATGATCTAAGTAATTTGGCTTCATCCTTTGGAATTGTTTTGATAATGAATTTCATGTCGTGTGAAAAGAAAAAGAGTGAACCACTCTTACCGGGAGTTGGTAGTTCACGTAGTGCGTTCTCACCGTTCTTCTGTGTGTTACATAGTGACACTAAAAAGTCGGCTTGATCAATACCAAACTGGTATCTGAGGTAACGGAATGCCACAGGACAGTAGTCTTTGAATTTGAATGGTCCGGTCGAGTGTGCCTCTGTCAGTTGTGAACCGGCAGTGTCGAATCTCAGCTCTTTTGGCGACTGATAAAAGTCGGAACGGTTCTTAAAGTCCTTGGGTGTACGAAGTGTGTGGAATTGGTGCGGTACATTGGAGGTGCCAGACACCGATCCCATACTCTTACCGACTGCATTTCTAATTCCAATCTGAATGTTCAACATCAACTCCCACGATGGATGACCCTTATATATAATTTCACCGAGTACATTTTTCTTGTGTTCATATTTCGAACTTTTTGGTCTATATGACAATCTTCTTTCGGCTATTGGAAATAACAACAATGTTTAAATTAGTAAACAATACTCAACAATACAATTGTGGGTGTGGTGGGTTGAATAGATCTATTCATTCAATTTTAACTTTCCAACACTTACATTTCAATTTCAATTTGTTTTTATCCAATTTCTGACTCATTGATAATTTTGATTTGGTGGGTGAATCTGTATATGAAAGGTCGACTGTGTCACTGCTGTTTCTGAATTCGCTGTGGTTGTTGTTGGTTGTGGTGGTTGTTGTTGTTGTGGTGGTGGTGGTTATGTATGGAGTGCCGTCTGCACCGACCATAGGTGAGAAAGAGGAACTGGAATTACCAAGTTTCTCTGTTGATGAATTGTGTTTGTTGTTGCTGCTGCTGCCTGGTGCACCACTGTTGCTGGTGGCATTGTTATATAATACTGTCTCAGAATTGATCTCTGATTTCATGGATTTCGCTGCTTCCTCGGGTGCCTCGTTATCTGATCCTGCCGATCCACTGTGCACAATATTATGTTCGTGATCGACGACATCGCCAACACTTCCCTCCTTTCGCTTGTTGCTTCCAGAGATCGAAGATTCATCGTCAAGCTTTAAATGATTGCTTTCGTCGCTACTACTATTACTATTACTATTAGTGTTGGTAGTCGTTACATCATCATTAGTTGTATTTGATGAATTTGGTTGTTCATGCTCCTGTTGTTGTTGTTGTTGTTGTGATGATTGTTCTACCACTTTGTTATCATGTAGTTTTTCGGCACCGTCGTCTACTTTACTGGTTTGTGCAGTGGTTGCACCACCGCTATTATTTATTTCGTTCTGAGAGGAAACAACGTTCAATTCCATTTGGTTTCTATCCTCCACCATAATTCTTCTACCTTCCAAGTCGCCCAAAAATATAAATTTATTTTATACTGATATTTGTTGTTTATACTATTATTATTGATTATTAACTATAATTTAATAAATATCTTTGTGATTTATATCTAATCTAATACTACAACTTTAAATTTTACTATTAAAAAAAATTAGACTTAAGTTTTTAAAGAATATTGTTTATTGTTTTTTATATAAACTGGATTGTGATTGTTGATGTAATAATACAATTAAAGAGTTTGATGGAAGGGTGGTGGTGGTTTTATTTGTTATTTTTTTATAATCTTGTGTAGTTTTTTTTTTTTTTTTTTGTGATTGAATAATATGAATAAAAAAAATTGGTGAAAAAAAAAGCGGCTTGGATATAAAAAATGACCTTTGATTATTCTACTTTTTTTTTATTTTCTTTTTTTTTTTTTTTGAAATTTTGATGGTGCGGTGGGGGGAAAGTATGGTGTTTTTTAGCTTTTTTTTTTAGCTTTTTTTTTTGATTGTGTTTTCAAAACACAAAATAGCACAAAACTGATGTTTTTTGCAACAGCAACACCAACGACATTAAATACAATGCGACAAAAATGATGAAGTCGTTGAAATATTATGATGTTGGATATTGGAAATGAATTAAATGAAAATCCTTGAATTAATTATTTTCATTTTTGTCAAAAATTATAATAACGACGATTGATGATCAGTAATTATATATCTTCAAGATGATGTTTCTGTTCTAAATCTACTTTTACTAAATACCTTTTTCTAATATAGTAAAATTAAATAAATAAATAAATAAATAAATAAGATTAAAAATATCAAACTAACAATGGTAGCATATTAATTAGTATATTTCTTTTAGATTATTGATTGATGTTGTTTAAATGATATAAATAATATTATTGTATCTATATATAAATCAACGAGCTTTGATATCAAGTTGGATGATTGGATTAACTTGAATTAAATAAATAATATAAAAATTGATTGATTTATAAATAATATTGTTTTCGTGTTTATCTGTCGTCTATTTGATAGTATAGTTGATATATCTGTCTGTTTGTCTATCTATTCAATTTTTATAACTTTGATTTTTGAGATGATACTTTACATTCTAAAACAATCTAAATATTATTTAATTTTTATTTAAATATTGTTATTATACACCAATTATTAAATAAATATAAAGATAGGTGAATTTATTTTTTTAAATCTATTTATTTATTATGAAACAACATATATGTATATATGTTTATGCATTATCATGTGTTTGTGAGAGAATAAAAAAAGAAATGATTATTGTTATGATGAAGAGAGGGAGTACTAGTTATTTTAGATCGAAAAATAATTTCTTTAATTTGGTGGTGGTTTTTGGTGCTAGTGGTGTTGGGTGGTAAGTGAGTGGTGTTTCTCAATTCTCTCAATTGTCAGACAAACAAATAATGATTGATTACAAAGTATTTAGAAAAAATTATTAAATTTTAAATTAATTGTTGAATTGATGTCAAGCCAAATTGGACAAACAAAATCCTCAAACTAAATTGTAATAATGATGATGTAGAATGAATATCCATATTGGTGTAGATTGTAACCTAATAACAAACTGATTACTAAATTTTAAAAGTAATTACTATTCAAAACTATTTGTTATAGAACTTGTTTATCTTTTTTATATTATTATTCTATCTTTTCTTACTTTACTTGAAACTAACAACTGAATGATTGTCAGACTTGATGTATTTGTGAAATTGATCAATGATTATTATTAATACCTATACATATATCTTTATCTATATTTAAATGTTTTGGTAGATTGTGATTGATCACTCTTTGCCCTTCTTTTTGAATTCAACTATCAAATTTTTTTAGTTTTCATATAATCTGTAATCAACAACCAATGGTTTTTTTTTTAAAATAAAAAAAAAAAAAAGGATGTAACATTTATTTTGTCCTGCTATTATTTATGTTGTTGTGTAGTTTTTACTATTTTAATTAGCTTCATAAAAGATCATGAACTTGGATGAATTCATACAAAATAAATAGGAACTAGTGAGAAAAACATAGTGATAAATTAACCCAACATAGAGTTAAAAACAAAATAAAAATTTTTTATCAATTCATTACAAAGATTTTGTTTATTTTTTTTTCTTAACATGAAGTTCAATAATAGATTTTTATTAATTTGTTTATGTTTATTAGTTTTAAATAGTGGATATCACTGTTCATATGTCAATGATGAAATATGTGATGAACCTTCTTTTTATAGTTTATCATTCTACATTGGATATAATGATAGTACAGTGGTTGATGATGATGTTAGAACAGTATCGATTGCTGGTGGCGCATGTATGGAAACTTTAGATAGAGAGCCACCAATCGATGTTTATACATTTCCCAAAAACAATTTATTTTACTACAGCGTTGATGAGTACATAGGAAAATCAATTGACCTAACCTATCTGTCGGTGGCTTCACAACGATACGGACTAACCATACAAACCAACGTCACAATCAACATTGAACAAACTCAAAATTATTACAAAGTTATAGTTGACCACAAAGATAGTTCATTTACTGCTAGACTTTCCTAAAATAATATAAATATAAATAAATATGAAAATAAAAGCGTGGTGAGTCATAAAAACAACATTATCAAAAATGCATTTGCAAACTTTTAAATTTATTTGATTTTTTTAATGTTTCATAATTATTTGGAAATCATTAATTTTCATAAAGTTTGTTTTTTTATATATTTTGATATTTATATATTATAAATGTTTTAATGTTATAAAAATGTATCAAAATAATAATAATAGTTATAATGGTTATATAAATGATAATAGTAATGGTGGTGGTAGTAGTAGTCATTATTCGACAAGCTCTTCATCGAATGTTAGTACACCCAATACAATAGAGGAACTCTACAAAGTTGCAAACAAGTTGCTTTTCAAAATTGGTAGTGATTTAGAGACAATAGAGATGGGTGTTGATACCACTGTCATAACACAACAGAAACTATCAGCAGACATAAACCAACTTTCAAGATTTGCTGATCAATTGGATGGTATGGTTTCAAATGAATCACCTGCTAAAAGAGATATTTGGAGAATGTAATGTATAATGCTTTAAAAGCAATGATGATAATATAAGTATGCATATATATTAACATTAATGATATTAATTCTATAGTAAGGTTAAAGAGATGACCGATGAATGTAAATCACTTAGAAAATCAATGGAGATGTATTTACATAGAACCTATAAGAAACAGATTGAAGATGAAGAGCGATCAAAGTTATTCTCTCGTAGAAAAGACAATCAGAACTCTGCACTTGGAAACCTAATGAAAGAGAATGATTTGTTGAAAGACAGCAATTTGGTAATGGATGAACTAACTGAATCTGGTACCAACATTATATATGCTCTAGCAAATCAAAATTCGAAATTAAAAGTAATTGTTAACAATTCTATTACCTTTGCTTTTATTTTTTATTAGTAATATGATACTAATTGTTAACATCTTCTTTTAATACCTCTAGAGTGTACATAAAAAGATATATGATATTGCAAATACATTAGGATTATCTAGAAATATAATGAATAAGATTAGGAGACGACAACACCAAGACAAGATTATTGTATACGGTGGTATGGTAGTAGTGTTAATCTTTTTGGGATTGATGTATTATTATTTCAGAGCATAGGATAAGAAAATTGAAAACAAATAGAAATAGAAATAAATATTAAATTGAAACCACGGTGTAAATAAACATACAAAAACAACAAAATTTGAATAGTATAAATAAGTAATATTACTTTTATTTGGTTTTGGTTTTGATTTTGATATTATTGTTGTTGTTCAGTTAGATTTGTTTAATTAAATGATTCTTTTTTTTTTTTTTTTTAATCCCATTCACTGTCACTGACACATGGTGAATCACTTTGTTTCTTGACAACAGGTTCATCGTCTTCACGTTGAGTTAGTACACGTCCCAAGAAGGTATTGATAACTTGATCTCTGGATGGAGTATCGTCCTCGACGATCTCTTGACGAATTTCACGCTCTTTCTTGACGGGTGGTGGAGCTGTTGAGAGTGGTGACATGTCCGATGGACAGAGTGAGACGCGCTCAGGCTCGACTGAAGCACCGTTGAACCATTCGTCGGCCGACATTGTTGGTGTGGAAACACGTGTTGGTACAAAGATATCGTCTTGGAAGAACTCGGTACGTGTACGTGGCACCGAGAATTGTAGTGGTTCGACAGTGGTGTCGCTAACCTTGAAGAATCTGGCAATCTCACACTTCTTGATGTTCAAGAGATGCTTGGAGACTGGTGCAACGCCCATCTGTGGAACTCCCGATGAATACTCTGTCAAGAAGTGAACATATGGTTCTTGATCGTTGATCTCCATCATTCTGATGGAACCATCACCCTTACCGACCAAGTAAACAACACCGGTATCCTCATCATAATATGGTGTAATAACACCTGCCAAATGATCGAATACACCAGTGGTCATTGGACCGGCACCAAAGTTTCTTGAATCCCACAATTGATATTCTCTCTCCGATGACTTGTTAAATCCAACAGAGAAAATAGTTGATTTATCTCCACACCATAAAGCCTTACTACCCTTTACACCATTATGACTTTGTACACTCTGTTGAAAAAAATAAATTAGTTAAACTTGTTAGATTAATTTTGTTGTTGTTGTTGCTAGTAACTTACATCAACTAGTGTATTTGTTCTTGGATCAATAATTCTCATCATCTTGTCTTTGCATGCTGTTAAGAAGAGATCACCTTTGGAACTGACATTGACAGATGTGATGATATCGTTATGTTGATTGTCGAATGAGAAACGTTCTTGACCTTGTTGGACATCCCAGAGTTTCAATGACATGTCTCCACCTGTGGAGATGAGAACGTTCTCTGCTGTTGGATGGAAGTTTACACTGACGATCTTACGGTTGTGTCCGATGAGATCGGTTTCAAAGTTGGTGTAGTTCAATACCTTGTTGTTCTTTGGTAAACCACCTTCTGGAATACGCCAGAGCTTGATATGTGAATCTTCGGAACCGGTGGCGACAACCGAAGGATTGAATTGTGAAAGATCAAAGTCCAAGAGTTGTGAACCAATTTCAATGCATGGAACTGTAACTTGACGACCTACTTGTGAGAGTGGAATGACTGCTAGGGGACCACCAGTTCCAACCCATGGCACGGCGACATACTCAGAGTTGACGGCGATCGAAGTGTTTGAAGTGTTTCCAAATACCTTGAGATTGGTGTAGTGCGATGTCTTTGGGAATGGTGCAACATTGATATGACGATATTTAGAAGTACGAACGATCTTTGGAATGATTCCAGTTCTTGGAACATCTGGGAGTGATGGTGACGAAGAAGCTGCTGCAGTTGTTGTTGTTGGAGTGTTGCTACCACTTCCAGTGAGCGAGGTAGAAGATGGTGTCCAACTGGATTGATGTGATTCCTCAGCTTGTTCATTGATAGAGAGATTCTCGACCGATGCGGAATCTGGTGAAGCTGAACCTGATTGACGTAGTGCTGGATTCAAACTGGCGAGAACTGGAACTTTGGTTTCACCGTTGAACCATTCGTCGGCAGTTAAAGCTGGTGTTAGCGAAGCAGAATTTGGATAGAGATCTGGCTTGAACTCGCTGTAGGAGATACGTGACATTCTGTAGGTGATTGGGACGATACTGTTGGCAGTCAACTTGAGCAATCTAAAGATTTCTCCCTCCATAACTTCGAGTGCACGCTTTGGAATCGAACAAATTCCTTTGGTTGGGGTGTCCGATGGGACAGCAACCAACTCTGCCAATGCAGGCTCGGCTGTGAATTGTGTATTCAAATCGAAACAACGAGTAGTACTATCACCTACACCAGCAACAAACAACAACTGAGTATCGATATCGTAGATTGGTGTGACAATACCTGTTGAGCTATCGAGAGTGATCGATTTGACAACTTTTGCAAGATCACGACTGTCCCAGATTGAGATTTGACGCTCACGCGACTTGGCGAATCCAGTGGTCAAGAAGTAGTGACTGTTACCCAGCCATGTGACACGCGATGGCTTAATACCCTGATGACCATCACCAACTTGAATGGCGCTATTCGAACGTGGATCGATTACACGATTCTTCAAATCTTTCGAGACCGCTGCCAACAAGCTACCGTCGTAGTTCCAAGCGATTCCAGTGAGTGAGTTGTCGAAACAACTGATATTCTGACGCTCTTGTCCAGTTCCAATGTCCCAGACACGTACAGTCTTGTCTGCAGAACCCGATGCCAACACATTAAGTGCAGTTGGGTTGAATTGGATGCAATCGATTGCTTTGGTGTGTCCGGCGAGTGAAACGACTGGATCAGCAGCGGATTGTTGTAAGTTCCAGAGCTTGAGAGTGGCGTCGTCTGAGGCAGTTGCCAGTGTACTATCGCTGAATGGTGAGAATTCGAAATCACTCAGTTGACCAGAGTGAGCGTGTAAAGTGATATGTTGCTCCTTACGCTTTCCGACCTGTGACAATGGGATGATACCGAGTGTTCCAGTACCGGATTGCCAATTGACAGCAACATACTCTGCACTTGCCTTCACCATAGTATTGGCACTCGATGAATTGGAAGTCGCGATATCTGGATACCAATTCTCACGCTTATCAATCTTACCATTGACAAGACGGAATTTAGAATTATTCATTTTGAATGCCATTTTATTATTGTTTTACAAAATCTCTTTAAATTCAAATATATATATAAATTATTTATTTAATATAAAATACAATTGTTGTTTTTTTTCTTATGATTTATCAATCTATTTATAATAAATCTAACTTTTTATATCTTTGAATGATAAATGTGGATGGGTGTTGTGTTGATTGTTATAATAATACAAAAATAGAATATTACTATATACTATTTAATTTATAAATAAAAATATATATGTGAAGGAGATGAGATGTGAAAAAAAAATAAATGATCTTGCCAATTTTATTATAACTTTGCAAAACTTATAAATATATATGATTGGTGAATGCTTGCTTATTATTGTCGACAGAGATTTATGACTGAAAAAAAGTGTTTTAAAAAAAATCCAAAAATGAAAAAAAAATTGTTTGATGGTTTTTTCAAACTTTAAAACCCATATTAAAATTGGCTAAAACAGAAATTTCGTTGTATTTATTTATTCAGATTTAGCTGCAAAAAAATATCTTTTTTTTTTTTTTTTTTGATCATTTAGAAATAAATATATATATAGAATAATTTATACAAGATAATTTAAAAGTTGAATAACTATTTAGTTTGATGTTGGAGGTGGAGCTGGAGTGGAGTTGAAATCGTTTTCTTTGATGGAATTGTATGTATATTCTTCTTTATTTCGGTTATCCATCGATCCATTTCATCTTTGGAAGCAGCTTCCAAGTTGAAACGTACATGATTGGATGGCTTGAGGCTGTTGTCCTTTTTTATTTTAAATGCTTTATCTTTGCCAGGTGTCAAGCAGAATTCTGTTTCACCAGTCACTCTGATATCAATGTCGATCAACTGTACCAACCCGATAGGATTTGATTCTTTGTCTTTTTTGTAATACAAAGTGTTTGACCTTAGCACGAAGTATCTTTTCTTTGTAGTTTTAATTCTACCACCTTCTTTCTTTAACCAACCTTCATATCGATCTCTTTTATTATTATTATTATTATTGTTGTTGTCAACTTTTGTATTATTATCATTCTCATTGGTTGCAACAATTGCTGGAGGAATTGTTAGTGGTGATGAAGATGATGCTGATGATGTCATCTCTTTAGAATTAACGTTGTTTTCGACATTAGAGTTTGAACAACAATTGGATTCAACAACTTGGAAAGCGACTTTATCATTCTCAAAGTCTTCACTACAACTACTGCTCGTCTGAGACTCAGAAAGAACTTCGAAATTTAAAGTATCTTTAATATCTGAAATATCACTCACGGTCATTGTGTTTTTTAAAAAACTAGTTTACACAATCTTAAGAGTTTGATATTTTATGATATTTTATAATTTAACAAAGAGATATATAAATAGATAGATTTGGATATATAGCTAGATAAATAATAGTAAATACAAAAAGAAATAGAAGAATAGTTAATCAACTAAATAATCTAGTTTAAAAAGAATTTAAATAGATTCAGTTTAAAGTAGACATCTATCGTTCATTCTTTTTTTTTTAGGTATGAAATGACCCACTACAAACATCAACTATATCTTTCAAATCATAAAAATGATGATGGCAATGATCAATACAGATACTTTTGAAATATATTTGCTTTTCATAATCTAAAATAATAGGATTAGAGTGTGTTGATTCTTATCAAAATGTTACTATATTGGAGTTGTGTAACTTACACTTCAAGAAATATATTAAAAAAAAAGATTCACCACTTCCAAACTGTTATTTTAAATGAAAGCAAGTAATTTGAGAAGAAAATCACAAAAAAAAACTCTGATTTATGATAAGATAGATGTTAATGTTTGCAAAGCAAATTGGATTAATACTAATTTTTAATAAATATTTTTTTTTATTTTATCTTTTGTTATATTAATAACTTTGTGAATAATTTACAATTTGAATATAATTATAAAGATTTATCTAATCTTAATAAAAAATAGCTCGGCACTATTTTAAACAAATATAATATTATTGTGGATGGGTAAGCAATAAAACCTATTTCTTTGGTGTTCCATTGGTATATTCAATTCTTTTTTTCATTTCGTCGACCCACATACACATCTCCTCCAATGACGATGCTCTCAGTTTGAACAGCTTGTGGTTCGATAAACCAACTATGTCGTTTGCATCCAACTTGTATGCCTTCACCTTTTTCAATTTGCCTACTGGCCTAATGACAAAAGTAAAGGTCTTTGTATCTTTGATGACCACCTCAACATCATCCAGCAAGAAGAAGCCACACGACACCTTGTCCAACTCTGACTTGTAGTATGTAATAACGTTGTGTTTGATAATGAAAAATCTCTTTTTCCAATTCTTGTAGAATCCACCCTGTTTTGTAAGAAATCCACTTGGATACTTTATATTGTCTCTGGGTGAAAACATTCTATCTTTATTACCACTTCCATTGTATGCCATAATTTAAATTTGTAATATCGAATTACAATTAACTTATCGAATTCCTAAATTTCAAACTTTTTTTTTGTATTTTGACCTCTATAATAAATAATATAAAATTAATATAAAAAGTTTCTAATATATATTTGTAAATTAAAAAATAAATAAACTATGTTTTATATAAATAAAATTGTAAATAATATTTTTGTAAATACAAAAAATTACAAAGTGTTTGGCTACAGTCAAGTTTGACCAAAGCCAATTATAATTTTGTACAATTGTTAATAGGAGATGGAAAGAAATAGGGTGGGTAAAATTGAATTTGGTAATAAATATTACCTGTTTGAAATATTATTGAGTTTATAATCTGTTGATTGCATCAATCGACAATATTGACAACCATAATAAACTTCTTACTTTAAATTTTCTAAAGATCTATAGTGAAGTTTTAAATGGGTGGACAATTAAATTGTATAACACAATTTAACACCTTTGTATAAAATTTATTATAATATAAAAAATAGTGATATAATATATTCTATGGTTGAAATTGTTATTGTTGTTTTAAAAATAGTGTCTAATGAGATTTAGGAAGGTTTCTATTTTTCTCCATTCTTTCCTTCCTTACTTCCTTAATAAATTGTTTTTAAAACAACACAAAGCAATGCAATGCTATCCAAATTAGAAATATAAATTAAAAACAATGTTTAAAAAAAGAAATTTGAAAAAAATCGATATTACAGTTAAGATGGAAAATAATTCTATAAATTTGAAATGATTAATATAATTTGGTTTAGAATTCTTTTGTGTTTGTGGTCTATTTAAATGAGAAGAAGAAGAATTATCATTGAATGTTTAGTGTTGACTGTCGGTTATCAGCGGATATACTATGAAAACATTCAACCAACACCAAAAGTGTGTATTTTTGACATAGATTTAGCTGACAATCAGTAACACCAAACCACAAATCAGTTTTTGATTATTTGTGAATTTTGATATTGATGTAAAACATACCTATTACTATCACACACACACACACAAACACTGTTATATAAATATTATTGTTTGGTTGATGGATGGATTATTTGATTTATTGGAATTGATAATGATGTGTTGTAATTATATATTGAATGATGTTGTTATTTTAATTTATTAAGTCGATTTGAAATGTATCAAGTGATATGATTTGATTGGAAGAACCTAAAAAAAACATTAAATTTTATATTTGTTTTTATTATTGTTTTTTTTGTTTTTTGTAGGGGTCTGGTACTCTTATACATACTCAAGTTTATGGGGGTGAAATGATTATGATTGAGTGGTTGTCAAATTTATTTTGTGGGTTATCTAGATTCACCACATTTTGCTTAAATCTTATTATCAAATTGTTGTTCTATTCAAGATGAGATTAAAAGATAGCACCTTCTATCTTACTATTTATATTATTATTTCTTTCTTTCGGAAACTAATAGAATGTAGTTCATCAACATTTGAGATTTAGTAAGTTCACATTTAACTTTTCAATCAACTGAAAGATTATATGATGTGATTGTGATACGAATGTTCAACTTTAATTAATCATGGTGTTTATGTTGTCATTATATACTTGTTTCTTTTCCATTGTGGAAATTAATTAAAAATGGGTGCTATGATGATAGATGTTCCATTAGTGAAAGTAATCCGAATAATATATGTTTCTCCCATTTTTTTTATAATTTAATAAAATTAAGTGTGGGTTATTATAAATTACTATTTTAGTTTATCTAATTGCAAAATTAGACCAAAGAGTAAGAGTTCATTTACAAACAATTTTATTAATTCTCTGATTATGTTGTTTTAGTATACCTACTAAATAGGGTAGATTTATTTTATTGGTTATAATCTCAGTAATTCAATACATTCCAAAAATGGAAATAATAAAATAAATTATTCCACAAAAATGGAATCTAAATGACTATCACTACTTGTCATGATGTTGTGCTTTAGTTTAAGTGGAAAAAAAATAAAAGAATATTAAAATGACACACTCTTTACTAATTTTGGTTATATAATAAATATATAGTAGCGGGGCATTTTACTTTTTTGTTTTTTTTTTTTTAATTTTATTAATTACAGTGATAATACTTTGTTTATGAATAGTAGTTTATCGAGAATCTGTTTACCTTCATGCTCAGGGGTAGCTGGATTCGAAGCTGTTTTGGTAACGGTTTCGATTTGAGTAAAGATACGATCCAAAAGTGGTTCCAATGTTTTCTTGAGTGTTCCTAACTGACCTTCGTCGGGTGTTGATGGCGCAGGTTTGATCTCCAATGGCAGAATGTAGTTGTTCTCTTGGTAGAGTTCGTGTAGTGTTTGTTTGGTACTTCTTACGGCCTTACCGATTTCGATTGCCTCTTGTAGTGATGCGTGTTCCAAGTCTTTGCGCATCGATCGCAAACGATCGGTGATCTCACGTGAGCATACCTCAACCACACGCAATGCAGATTTGTCATTGCCAATCGATAGACGTTTGCTGGTCATTGGTGAGGACAACGGTGAGTGTTCCGGTGAGATCGAGAGACGACTGCCGGCTTCGTTGTTGATGGTGAGGGAACCTGATGCGCTAAGCGAAGTGCTAACTCCAGGTGTGGAAACTGCTTGATCGAAAATCGATTTTAACTTACTAATGACATGGGCTGTCATGATGACATGCTCCTTATAGACGAATGTGTGAATCTTGGTCTTTAACATGAAAATATAATCAGAGAGTTCCTCGATTGCCAAGTGAGACGCACGTTTCAACTCGTGATGTTTTAACTCTTCCACCCCACTTGGTGGGTTTGCCAATGACTCTGGTGATAACACTGCCAAGTTGTAATGAGCTGGCTTATTGAATTGCTGTAGGAATGATTTTACATCATTCTTTGTAATACCTAAATGTTTCTCTGTTGAATCGACAATATGCTAATAAATAAATGATTATTAATATATGAACTATGACTATTGTTGTAAATATGTTAATTAATTACTTACTCTCTTTGAATCTCTTAAAATGGTTGATAATCTGATAGTTTCTTTATAGTTTGTTTCTTTTTCGATGTTCTTTACGATACTCTTTAATTGATTCCACACATGCTCTGAAATGAGTGATTCTGTTGTACCTTTGACTCTATTAATCTTATCCATAGTCTCTTGGTCCAATGTAGATAAAAGTGTAAGTGAGGAGTTGGATGGTGACGATGAAGATGTTGTTGCTGGTGCTGCTGGTGCTGCTGGTTTGATAGCATTCAAATTTGATGTTGATGTTGATAGTGATGATGGTGAAGAGTAAGCAGAAGTTGGTGGTTTGGCACTGGTGGTAGTTGGTGTCGATGGCTTTGAAGGCGATGTAGATGGTTTTATAGGAGTATTATTATTAATATTGTTGTTGTTATTATTTGAAACGTTCAAGTTATTGTTGTTCAATGATTGAGTGGTTGGTGAAGTTGGATTGGTAACAGCAGTAGTTATTGGTGATGGAGTTGGTGAAGTTGTTGTACTGCTGTTGTTACTGTTGCTGTTGGAAGTGTTGTTGGTTGGTGTAGCACCACTTATGCTACTTGGAGGTTTGATGTTATTCTGACTGGATGAAGCTTGAAGTGGTGGTTTAACTTTGATAATGGTTGTAGTTTGTTGAGTGTTTTGTTGCTTTGGAATGGTTGGCAACGAGAGTTTAGGTGATTGTTGTGGATTGGTAGCGTTGGTAAGTTGAGTTTGTGAGTTGATTTTGTTGAGTCCAATGGTTGGGTGAGAATGTCCGCCAGTGGATGCACCGGTTGGTGACAGTGGATTGAGTGGATCGCCATTGGGGTTGGCCGACTGACTCACTGGGTGCGAAGGTGTGAACGCTGCCACCGTTGTTATTTTATTGGTGGGTGGACCGGGTGGTTTGGTGACTTGGTCGTACTCTTCGATCCAGAGTCTAACGATGTCCTCGGTGTTCAAACGATCCTGTTTCATATAGTACATTTCTTCCTCTGGACGTAGGAAGACTCTTGCGAAAATCGATGACAACGCCGATGAATCCATCTTTGTTGTACCGTGATTCGAGTGAATCTTTGAGAGTAAACTTAACACTGCACGAATCGTTCCACGAAATCCTTGAGGCAGATAGGCCAGCAGGAATCTATAAGCCCAAATCTTGTCTTGCTGCGATAGTATCGTGTGAGTTAACAAGAAACTATCATACAAATGATATGAAAACAGAGGTTCTGGTAGCGCATGTAAATATTGTCTCAAAATCTCTGCAACAATATGTGGATTATTTGTAAATGTTGAAAGTTGTATTTGTTCAATATCTCCCATTGCCATATCTAAAGAAAAAAAAAAAAAAAAAAGAAAAAAAAGAAAAGAATATTAATAAACTAATTTTTAAATATCTAATGAATTAATTAATTATTGTTTACCTTTAAGTAAATTCTTTTTAACAATTTGTACATCACTTTCCAATTCCGATGGATTGGCTTTAAAAATAAGTTCTGTTGTTGTTCCTTTGGACATGAGATAGCGCACTAGTTTGTGGAGTATTGGAGGTCCCTCTGAGTTTGGACTGATAGGCATTCCGTTCAGCATATTGACCGGTGCATTCATGTTGTAGATAAGGGATGTATCGGATGCACTGCTAATTCCAATGTTGCTACCCATGATTGGTGACGAACTTGCCACTGCCAAATTGACGAGATTCGAGGATGAGCTGTTGGCCGTCAATCCAACTGTGCTGTTGCTATGTGTCAATGGGTTGTCTTTTGATGGCACCGACAGCATTGGTGATGATAGTTGTGGTTGCAAACTGTTTGGTGAGAAACTACTAACACTCACACTAGTAGCTATTGGTTGTGGTGTCAAATTATTTTGTGAAGCCTGCTGATTGGATGAATTGATGAGTGGTGGTGCTGTTGATCCTCCTGCTCCACCAACACCACTATTGTTTCCAGATGCATTGGCAGCACTACCAATATTCAGTTGCGATGACTGTTTATTGGTGCTTGCTTTATTTTTCCAAGCAAACATTGTACTTGTCATTTTTTTTTATTTTATTTTTCTTTACTTTTCTTACTTATTTGCTTATTTATAATAAAAAAAAGTAAAAGAAAATATATATAGATAAATATATATACAAATTAATTAATTATTACCAAATCAAATCAAATCATTGAATTAATTTAAAAAAAAAAAAAAAGAAAAGAAAAGAATAAAAATACAAATTTGATTTGAAAAGATTTGATATTGACTGACTGATACACTAGTGTACTTATATATAAGGGTTGTGGGTGAGTATGTGTGGTAATTATGAAATTATGATTATAAATAGAATACGTATATAATTATATTTTAATATTAGTTCTTTATTTACTATATGAATTTATAAATCTAAATAAATTTATATTTATTTATCTCTTTTTGGTTGTGATATTTGTTTTTTATTTTTGTTACCGTTACAAACGGCCTTGTGTGCAAATATAATATTATTGTTATAAGTAAAAAGTAGATTAATTTGTATGTTATTATATTGTTGTTAATTTAATTAAAATTAAATAAATTATTGGATGATAATGTTGTTTAGATAACGACAATGATGGGAAGTGGAGTGAGTAATACAAAGTCAGATTTAGTGGTGATCAGTAGATAGGAGAGAAACAGGAGATTATTATATGAATACACTTTTGCTTTGAATTTAAATTTGGTTCGATTTGGTTTTTGTGTTGTTTTTAAAAATGGATTGGTTTGGATGCCTGTGGTATTGTGATGACCAAACAAACTTACAAACTATTGGGTATTGAAAGAAAAAAAAAAAAAAAAAAACCAAAATATTTTTTAAAAAAAAAGAAAACAGAAACAAGAAATGTTTTAATCTAAATATTATCTTTTAATTTATATTTTTAAAGTTGATTTATATAAATTTTGAAACTATCTAATTGTTTATCTATTTAGATATGAAAAAATAAGAGCTAAACAGTATAAACAATAGTAATACAAAAAATTTAAGATGAAAAAAAACTGAAAAAAAAATGAAAAAAGAAAAAATTAAATTAAATTAAATATCAAAAATAATCAAGATCCGTCACTTATTTTTTACTCTTTTTTTTTTTAACACGTTCAAGATCTTTATTTAAAAAACAAACTATTACTCAAAGTTGATTTTGCTAAAAAAATGATGTCAAAATATTAAAAAAACTGGTAACTCGATACCAGAGCAAAGATAAAATGATTATTTTATTGAATCAAGAATTTCTCAAGGTCGACCTGAGAGTCTTTGGATGCTAAAATCAACTTTTTCTTTGTTGTTTTCTCAAGTGTGATTTTTGAGAATTAAAAGAAATCAGTATAAAAGTAACAAAAAAAACTTTGACCATCCTATTTAGTATTTATTTATTTATTTTCCAATCATATATAAAGATGCAAAAAGAACTATATTCTGCAATATTTAATCATAAACCACTTAGAACAAAAGTATTTCAAGATGTTTTGGCTATTGATAAACAGATCGATCCAAAGGGAAAGAAATACACCTATGAAGCACTTTGGGAGTGTCCAGCAGCAATGGCTGGTAATGGTTATAAGACAGAGTTGGAGAAATACTTCACCGACAATCCATTGGTGTTGAAAGATTTAACCAGAAAGGATTTAAATGACATCTTTAGAGCTACAGTGAAAGCTGGCCATTTAGAGATTCTCAAATATCTGGTGGGCGCGATTGATAGGGAGCACAGATTACTGGGTACTTCAACGATTATGAAAGAGTCACGTGATTGGGAAATCATCCATTACATCGAGAGTCTCGAGAGCGTCCAGGTGAAATACGAATGTGCAATGTCTGAAGCTCCATTGACTGGAGATATCGAGCGTCTCAAGTATTTTGCTGGAAAGTGCAGAGTATCAAGAGAATCGATAGCCATAGCATTTAACAATGCTGCAAGAGTCGGTCGTATCGATATGATAGAGTGGTTGGCTGCGAATTACTCCAAGTACAGAGCATTCAATTCTATGACTATTGAAGCTGTTCGTGGAGGTCATCTTCACGTTCTTGAATATCTAAAGAAAGAAGCCAAAGATAGATTTACATTTGAGGACGACGACGAGCTTTCATATTTAACTCTTATCGATGTTTCTGCTGAGTTTGGCCACCTTGATATTTTGAAATGGTTACACTACAATCGAATTGGCTTTGCTACTTCTAGAGCTGCTTACTTGGCAGCTACAAAAGGACATTTGGAGTTGCTCAAGTATCTGTTGAATCATGTTAATACCGACTTTTCATCAGATGCTATGGATTATGCATGCTCGAAACACCTGGATATTGTAAAATGGTTACACGAGAATCAAAGTGCAAGAGCTACTACTTTGGCCATGGATAACGCAGCTATGAATGGTCGATTTGAAATTGTAAAGTGGTTAAATGAGAATAGAAGTGAAGGATGTACCCAAAAAGCTATGGACCAGGCGGCCGGTGGAGGATTCCTAGAAATAGTAGTGTGGCTCCATGAAAATAGAAGTGAAGGTTGTACAACTGACGCAATGGATATCGCTGCTCAAAATGGCCACCTCCATGTTGTTAAATGGTTGCACGAGAATAGAAGTGAAGGATGTTCGACAAGAGCTATGGACTATGCTTGCTTCTATAAAAGATCCGAAGTTGTAAAGTGGTTACATGAAAATAGAAGTGAAGGCTGTACAAAAAAGGCAATGGAAAACGCCTCTTATTTTGGTGACCTAAGAATGGTGAAGTGGTTGCATGAGAATAGAACTGAAGGATGCTCAAAAAAAGCTATGGACAATGCGGCAAGTAGCGGTTCCTTGGAAACTCTTATTTGGCTTCATGAGAATAGAAGTGAAGGATGTTCAACTCATGCGATGAATACGGCTGCATCAAATGGACATCTATCAGTTTTAGAGTGGTTACATGAAAATAGAAGTGAAGGTTGTACAACCCGTGCTATGGACGACGCTATTATTTGCCATCATATGCACATATTAAAATGGCTTCATGAAAATCGTACAGAAGGCTGCACTGAAGAAGGAATCAATTATGCTCATGAAAATGATTATAAAGAAGTGATAAATTGGCTATCTATCAACAAACCAAAGCAGCATGATACACCCACTGAAATACATGTCGAAGAAGAAGAGGAAGAAGAAGATTTTGGTGGGGATGCGCTCGGTTTGTAGAAATAAAATCGATTAATAATTTTAAAAAAAAAAAAACAATTGTTTATTTGGGTCTAAAAAGATGTTTTAAAGAAGATTGATAGTAACATATTAAACGATGAATTGGATCTGTTGATGCCATTTGGCTAAAATGAAATTCAGTGTTTTTGAAATTCTCCATCACCAGAGATCGGTCCATAGTTGAATGATAGATTTTGTTGACAAACAGCTTCAAGAATGATGTTGAAATCCCATAGTATTGCGAGAGGATTAGCGTCAAAATGATCTGTCTGTAGGAGTTCTCTAAGGATATTTCCTGATTGTTTGAAACATTCTTCATAATTACAGATGAGAACTTCTCCTCTATTCTGTCAAGAGCGATTCTATCTTTGATTTGATATTTAGAATTCTTTGAATCATAAACAACCAATCCCTTATTATCCAATTGATTGGAAATCATCTTTATTATTTTCTTTTCTTTTAGTGGTATAAAACCAGAGCATAGTGATGATATTGTTTCTCCAAATGATTTAGATTTCAAACTAACAAAAAAAGTATAAATATTAATAAAATTTGTAAAAAAAATAAGTTTTGATTTTACCTATAAATCTTCTTTAATAATTTATTTAGAAAATCATCATGACAGCTTGATTTATCAACTACATAAACTGATGTTTGACTAATAAATTTAACAATATTAATATAATTTTGAATTTAGTTTAAATTTTTTAAGAATAAAATACATTTTTCCATTTTTTATTTCTCTTTGTATACCAAGTTTTTTAAGTGTCATTAATTCTAAAACACCAAGAGATACTAAACCAAAATAAACAGCTTTATTGGTTATAGGTATTGAAGAGACAAAGTTATTTTCATTTATATTTAAAATTATTAATAAAAATTCCTCTGGGAGTGTAAGATTATATTTATTAACTGGATTAATTTGTAAAAGATTATTTGTATTGAAATTAAAATTTTCAAATTCCACATCTATTAATGATTCATAAGAGTCCATCATTTTTCTAATTATCTTAAATTAACTATTCTAATTTTATGAAATGAAAGAAATTAAATTTATAAAAGTGAAGAATGTTATAAATAAAAAAAAAGATAGGTAAATAATTAAAATTTAAACATAATTTAAAATTATTTTGTAAATTAAATTTATGATTACTAAAATTTTATTTTAATTTGTTTAAACATATAAATTAATTGTTTACATGTCTTTTGGATTATTTTTTGAGACGAATTTTATCAATCATTTCTATTGTTTGAAAATCAAATCAAGGTGTTTACTGATACCACTTTTCTCGCTAATGGTATTGAGAAGGTAATTATTGTCATCAATAATTAATTTAATACCCACTTGTGGTATTTTATTAGTAAGAATTACAAATTTGTATATTTATTATTATTTTTAACAGATTGGATCAAATTTGGTTTGAATATATAATCAAAAAAAAAAAAAATAATAAAAAAATTACAAATTAAAATTAATTTTGTGTTTAAAAGTGTGTTTATTTGGTTCACAACATATAATCTATTTTCAAACACTTTGTTAAAAATAATCACATCATAACATCAACACTTTTGAAATAGTTTTTTTATAAAATATTCTTTGCATCAATACCTATAATGAGTGTATAAGTGTGTATTTTATCTATATTGAATTTACATTAATGTTCCCTCTTTAATTACTTACATTATGATCATCATCATTTACATTTTTCAATGACTATATGTTTTCATATGATATTTGCAATAAATCATGAATAAAACATTGATACTTATTAATCTATAATATTTTTATACTACTATTCTGTTAGTGAGATTTATATTATGCTTTGAAAAATACCTTTGATCTTCTTAAAATTAATAGAAATAATTATTATTTATCAATCTTTATATCTATTATATATCCTAACAAATATTTCTAACAAGAAATACAACACCAATCAAATAAATAGTTTTTTTATAAATAAAATCATGAGATTTTTTATTTTTATTTTTTTTTGATTTTTTCATTCAATGCATTAAGTATGCTTATATTTTTTTTTTAATTTTTTTTTAATTTATTTATAAAAAATACTTTAACAATTCCATAGGTCAAGAGATAGCACTTGATCCATGTGAAAATATATTTTGTGGTAGTGGACAATGTGGTATTCAAGATGGTGAGGGTACATGTTTCGAAAATGGTGATCTACCAACTCAAGATCCATGTTCAACTTTAGTTTGCCCAGATGGATCGACTTGTACAAAGTTTGGAATCTCTGCCAAATGTGTAGTTGAAAGTGGTGAGCCACTTCTTCCTGGTACCAGCGTTGGTGGTGATTTCACAGGCGATTTCACAACTGAGAATTCTTTTACTGGCACTACCGGTTCTTTAACTGCATTTCCAATTGCTGATAGTGAAAATATTTTCACTACTGGAGAACTTACATTAGCCCTGACCAGTACAAGTGGTAGACCTATTACCGATGGTGTTACAGAAGCATCCACTGGTTTTACTATATCATCCACAGGCCCTATTCCACCAAGCCAAGGATCAACATTTGGTGGTACTTCATCCGGTACTGGAAGAGGTGATCCATGCGATCATATACAATGTGTTGAAGGTTCATTCTGTACAAATATTGATGGAGTAGCAAAATGTTTAACCTTTGAAGAAGTAACTGTTGTTGCAACCTCTGGTGGCAGTACTATAAGCAGCAGTAGCAGTAGCAGTAGCAGTAGCAGTAGCAGTAGCAGTAGCAGTAGCAGTAGCAGTAGCAGTAGCAGTAGCAGTAGCAGTAGCAGTAGCAGTGGTAGTGGTAGTGGTAGTAGTGGAGGTGATCCATGTAAAAATGTCCAATGTAAAGATGGAAAGGTATGTGCCAATTTTGCGGGAACCGTTCAGTGTTTAGATCCAAGCTCGTTGACCTTTGGACAACATGGTAAAGATGATAGTGTTTGTGACAATGGAAAGAGATGTCTCCTCGGATTCAAATGTTTGATGGTCAACAACGTTGCAACTTGTGTTCCAAGAAACGGATCTCCACTCTGCGGTGGAAGATTATGTCAAGTCGGTGAAACCTGTGCCAATTTGAATGGAAGAGAAGTATGCATACCAGTCTCATCGACATCAGGTGGAAGTGGAAATACCTGTGCTACTTACAGATGTCCACCAGACTACCATTGTAAATCACTCCGAGGAATACCAACATGTTTCCCATCGAAATTTGAAAGCAAATGTCACAAATTCCAATGTCCAATCGGAACGAATTGCACAGAGATCAATTGTGTCCCAACATGTATCCCAATAAAGCCAGACAATCATTGTAAAGGAGTATCGTGTCAAAAGCATGAGATGTGTTGTCAACCAAAGCCAGAGCTCCCTCCAAGATGTTTAGATAAATGTATTTTCAAGAATTGTCCAAAATGGATGAAATGTACTCATGATCAAAGCGGAGAGCCTCACTGTGAACATTTAATCGATTGATAAAGAAAAGTAAAAAAAAATACAAATTAACATTTTCAAATCACCCACCTGAATCTCATCTTCTGGACTAGAAATAAAAAAAAAAAAAATAAGTTATTACTTTCACATTTTTGATTTTTGATTTTCTTTTTATTTTACTTGTTGATCAAGTTTACATAATATTTATTTTAACCCAGTATGTAAAACACATGTATCAAGTATTATAGTTCAAGTTATTAATGATTTGAAATAATGAGTCAAGTATATCAATAGGATCACGTGACTATATTGTAATTAAATATAGATGTAAAGAGTTATTTGATCAATGCTTTTTTTGTTTTTGTTTTGTCTATTTTAAACAAGAATTTCGTATAGATATATATATATATTTATATATGATTATTGGGATATGTTTGAAAAAAAAAGTGATATAGTGGTAATATATTCAACACACATAGAGAGAAGGAAGTGTGTTATCTTTTCTTCTGATGTTAAAAAAAAGAAAAACATTGAAATTCACCATCATCATTGAAAGAATAGTAAAACACCAGTGTATTTACAAAAAAAAATAAAAAAATAAAAGCAGTGATTGTTTGTATGATAAATGAATAAGTAAACAATAGATATAATTATATGAATGTTCTCATATTATATACCTATACTTTTAAGTGATTTTCAATCATTCAAATTTGTCAATGATAATTTTTTTTTTTTAATGATTAAATAATATGATCAAATTTACTATTTAACATCAAGTTTGATGAATGTTAAAATTTATTATTATTTCTTTCTTTTCCATATACAATAACCTATATTTTTTTAAAAAATACTATCTATAAAAATAAAACTTTGAAATAATATTCTATTCCAACAACAATCACAACACCTTTAATTTATTTTTGAGTAAAATGAAAACTTCATTACTCTTTTTATTTGTAATAATAGTGGCAGTTCGTATGTATCAATTTTAAATATTCAAAATTGAAATCTTTAATTTTTAAAGCTAATTTAATGTTTTTTTTTTTTTCTTTTAAAAGAATCTCAGCCAATAAGGGATCCATGTGACTTTAAAAAATGTGATCCAGGAATGAAGTGTGTCAGTTTTGGCGACACACAAGCTATCTGTATTCCAGATTCCCCAATCGATCCATGCAAAGAACTAAATTGTCCACCAGGTGAAATGTGCGCCAACATTAGAGGTAAACATCAATGCGTTCCAGGTATGACTACTGGTTCAAGTGGTGATCCATGTAAAGATGTACATTGCGAGAAAGGATTAATTTGTGCCAACTTCAATGGAAATGCTAAATGCATTGATCCAGGACAATTGACTGGATCTGAAGATCCATGTAAGGATTTACATTGCGAGAGAGGAGAAGTTTGTGCCAACTTTGCTGGAAAAGCCAAATGCGTTGACCCAAATACCTTAATTACTGGATCATCTGGAGGTCATGATGATAGTGTCTGTGAGAATGGAAAGAGATGTCTCCTCGGATTCAAATGTTTGATGGTCAACAACGTTGCCACCTGCGTTCCAAGAAACGGATCACCACTTTGTGGTGGTAAGCTGTGTAAGGTCGGTGAAACCTGTGCCAATTTCCATGGTAGAGACATCTGTGTTCCAGTGCACCAGTTCCCATCGCCAACTTCAGGTGGAAGAGACGTATGCTGGGGACACAAATGCCCATTCGGACACTGTTGCAAGAACATCCATGGTGTAGCCACATGTGTTCCAGAGCACTCGACCGGTGGAGTAAGCAGATGTACCGACTACCATTGTCCAATTGGATACTTCTGCCAGGAATTGAATGGAATTGCCACCTGTATTCCACATAAAGAAGATTGCTGCACCAACTACCAATGTCCACGTGATTTCTATTGCAAGAATGTAAACAATATCCCAACATGTATTCCATCAAATCCACCAAATAGATGCTGGAACTTCCAATGTCCAATTGGTACCAATTGCACTGAAATCAATGGAGTTCCAACCTGTATCCCAACCAGACCACCCAACCACTGCGAAGGTGTACAATGTCAAAATCACCAGGTTTGTTGTCAACCATTCCCAGATCACCCTGCAAGATGTCTTGACAAATGTTTGTTCATGAGCTGTCCAAACTCATCATGCAGATGTGATAGTTGGGGAACTCCAAGATGTGAACAATGGGAGTAAACCATCCAAATAAATAGTCATTCCCTAGGGGAAAGATTATTTTTTTAATAAAAGAAACTTTGAACAAAACAATTAAAATAAAATAAAAACCAAGAATGTTTTTAAATAATTTAAGTGGAAAAAAACTATATTGATATTAATATCATTGATTATTTAAGATTATAATTGATAATCAAAAGAAATTAATATTGTTGTTGTTAATTAAAAGTGATGAGATAGATTACTTTTATTTAACAATTGATCAAATAATAATTATTATTATCCAATAACTCTTGAGATGAAACAATTACATAGATACGACCAAAAGAGTAAACCTCTTGAGCGATTTGCGATCAATGAGAGTAATCCATCTTGACAAAGTGAGGAGGTGCATGCCCACCAATCGATACAAACCAATAGTGTTGCTACCATTACAATTATATTTGCTATGCTTTCATATCCTCTTCTAATTGTATCATTCTAAAGTTTGTTATTAGTTAGTTAGCCAGATGTTAAATTAATAAGTTTGTTTGATTTTTAACATACCATGTTTACAATTGGGAAATGATCTGGAATCGATTTAATAACGTATTGACTTAGTAATGCTACTGCTAGAGGAATGTAGAGTCCACTGATGAGAGATGTCGATTCGATGCTTGGTGGTACTATTTGAAGTTGATGACCGAAACGCAATGTCAAGTCGATTGTCACTGTATAGAGGAATGCAACGATGGTCGAGTCTGATTTCAACACTGGGAAGAATCTTCCCATCGATTTGCTGTAACCCATTACATATTCCCAGGCAACCCAAAGCAACATCAAAGGTAGTGTACAAATCAGTAGTTCCTTATACTCAAAGAGAGCAGTCAAGCTATCGTTACCCTGCTGATCGACCATCGATTTCAACTGTACCAAATACTTGTAGATAGGATGACGATCTTTAATCTCTGATTCCTTTGCACTCATTATTATCGTATTGGAAGCAAACAAAAGAGAAAACATAACTATACCAAACAATCTAATTGTTGATCTTGAATGTTGTGGAAGATGTCTTCTTCTTTCAAATATATTATTATTATTACTATTATTATTGTTATTATTATTATTATTAGAGGGTGTATTATTTTTCTTATTATTATCGGATGGTGTTGGTATTTCATTATTATCTAACGAGTCATCGTCATCGTCTTCGATCTTCTTTGGTGGTGTATCGGTAGGATCCTTCACTTGCTCAGCAATGAAACCAAGTCTACCACCAGCATGACTTTGTATTCTATTCTTTCTTGCTTCTCTTCTTCGTCTTTCTTGTTCTGCTTTTTCTTCGGGTGTCATTATATATCTTTTATATTCACAAATGTTGTGTTTTTTTAATTTAAAAATAAACTTCTGCTTTAAAAAAAACGTAAAACTGTTGAAGTTGACTTTGATGATTCATTAATTATCCTTTTTGGGTGTTGATCGAAAAACAAAGTCAAACATATAATTTAAAACAAATAATAGATTATTACAATATTTGTTTTGATTGTGATAACTTTGATAATTGAATTACTATTATTAAGTTTATTTATTTATTTTATTTATATATATTTTTTTTTAAAATGGTGGTGGTTATCTTGAGTTTAATCTTAATATTATTAATAAAGTAATAGTTAAATTTAATATTACTTAAAAGTTAATGATATATTTATTATAACAATCAATTGATTGTTGTTTAAATTCTTAAAAAAAATGTTAATCTGATTCGAGTCGTTTTATTGTTTATGCATAAACTATAAAATATATATATATCAAATTGTTTAGTATGATAAGATTGACTCATAGATCAATCATTTCAAGTGGTAATATAAACTACTTTAAAAGAAATCACAACTACCTCTTTAGATCATTCGTTTCAAAATGTCCAATAAATAACGATGCTCTTAAATCATCATATGATCCTGTAACTATCAATATGTTCACTTTAATCACCACAGTTACAAAGCTAACATTAACTTTTATGATTAAGGTGATCGTTGAATCTGATAAATATAAATGGTGGGAAGATAATCATTTATTTAAACCAAGAGAAGCAACCATCAAAAGAAATGATGATGATAATGATGATAGTGGTTCAAATAGATATTCTATGGTATTACCACCACCAAATGTTACTGGTTCTTTACATATTGGACATGCTCTGACAACTACGATCGAAGATGCACTCGTTCGTTTCAAGAGAATGTCTGGCTATGAGACATTGTGGATTCCTGGTTTGGATCATAGTGGTATCGCTACGCAGGTAGTCGTCGAGAAGGAGTTGAAATCCAAACAGAATCTAACACGACACCAGCTAGGCAGAGAGAAATTCTTGGCAGAGGTTCACAAGTGGACCGACAAATACTCGGAGAATATCAATAATCAATTGAGAAAGACCGGTGCGTCACTCGATTGGAGTAGATCGGTGTTCACTCTAGACAAACAACGTTCAGAAGCAGTGGAGACTGCATTCCTGCATTTCTACAGATCCGGTCTGGTCTATCGTGCGACGCGACTTGTCAATTGGTGTCCGGAGCTGCGTAGTGTCATCTCTGATATCGAGGTCGACCACGAGTCATTCGAGAAACCAAGACACTACAAGATAAAGTCACGTGCTAAATCCTATGAGTTTGGTGTAATTCATGATATTGCTTATCGTGTTGCCAAAGATACCGCTGATAATAATAATAATCAAGAGTCACTCATTGTCAGTACAACTCGACCAGAGACACTGTTTGGTGATACTGCGATTGCTGTGCATCCTGACGACAAGAGATATCAACATCTTCGTGGAAAGAGTGTGGTTCATCCATTCACAGGCGAGTTACTACCGATAGTTTTCGATTCTATTTTGGTCGATCCGACTTTGGGTTCAGGTGCAGTAAAGGTTACACCAGCACACGACTTTAATGACTATGAGTGTGGTAAACGTCATCAACTGCCATCGCTTAGTATTATGAATGAAGACGGTAAGCTGAATCAGAATGTACCTTTGGAATTCCAAGGAGTAGACAGATTGGATGCTCGTGAGCTAGTCATAAAGAAGTTGAAGGAGATGAATCTCTACATTGCCAAGAAACCACATCCTACAACTCTATCAATTTGCTCTAGAACCGGTGATATCATCGAACCTGTTCTTCGACCACAGTGGTATGTCAATTGTCAACAACTAGGTAAACAAGCATTGGAATTAGTAGAGTCTGGTAAAATTCAAATAGTTCCACTGCAATACAAAGATAATTGGTCAAGATGGTTGTCAAACATCCAAGATTGGTGTATTTCTCGTCAGTTATGGTGGGGTCATCCTATTCCCGCTTACAAAGTAATATTGAATAACCAATCAACGGCAGAGGATCAAGAGAAATGGGTTGTTGGTGAATCGATTCAGGTCGCAATGGAATCCGCAATGAAAGAGTACAATCTAGCTCGTGATTCATTTACTTTGGAGAGAGACGAAGATGTACTGGATACTTGGTTTTCCTCTGGTTTGTTCCCTATTTCGGCTTTAGGTTGGCCATCACAAAACAAAGATACTGTTGTTGATCTATCGAAATTCTATCCTCTCGATGTCATGGAAACCGGTTCCGATATTCTGTTCTTCTGGGTTGCTCGTATGGTTATGATGTGTACAGCGATCACTGGAGTAGCACCATTTAAAACCATTCTACTGCATCCGTTGATTCGTGATTCACAAGGTCGTAAGATGTCCAAGAGTCTTGGTAATGTGATAGATCCACTTCACGTCATCAATGGAGTGTCTCTTGAACAACTGAAGGAAGGCGTAACCAACTCTAATCTCAGTGAGAACGAGAAGACCACTGCTATCAAAGGATTAACCAAGGAGTTCCCACAAGGAATTCCAAAATGCGGTACCGATTCATTGAGAATTGCTCTAAGTCAATTCCCAATCGCTGGCAAAGATATTAATCTTGATATGTCGAGAATTATTGGTCAACGTCTTTTCTGTAATAAGATTTGGAATGCCTCTAAACTAGTGCTCATGTATACCAATAACATCGTATCAAAGAACTCATTCATCTATCAAAATCAAATACAATCGACTGATCAACTACCATTTAGAATGGATTCAATCTCGATTATCGATATGTGGATATTGAAAAAGTTGGCGTCATTGGTACAACTTGTCAAGGAATCGTATGATAGCCACAACTTGTCACAGGCATCGCAATCTCTCTATTCATTCTTCCAATATGAATACTGTGATTTCTATCTTGAGATGTCAAAGCTGGCACTAAATCGAAAAGAAAGAAGATTGAACAACGCAGACACACCAATAATTATGCTCAACACACTCGAATGTTTCCTCAGACTTTTGCATCCATTTATGCCATATCTAACCGAGGACATATGGCAACGTCTACCCAAGCTCGAAACAGAACCAATTTCCATTATGATTGCCAATTATCCACTACCAACACATTATCACCATCAATTACTTTTATCTACAAACATTGAATCAATTGTTAATGTAAGTATAACAATCCTCGAAAACTAATAACAAAAATTTTAATCTTTTTATCTAATCTTTTTTTTTTTTTTTTTTTACCAGTTAATTCAAAGTACAATTCATTCAACTCGTTCAATTAGAACATCACATAATATTACCAATCAAATCAAAATCAATCTTATTGTACAAATTCAACAATCAGAACAATCAGATAGTATAATAAGTTCATTTAAACAACTAGAGGAAGAGATATCTAAGCTTTTGAATTGTCAGATGACATTGACCACCGATGCTGTAACTACCGGTGACGGTTTGACTATCAAGCATATCGTATCTGAGGAATGTACACTTTGGATTCAATATGAAAGACCAAAGAGTGAACAACAAGATCTTAGTGCACTACTCAACAAAAAGAACAAACTTGTCGAGTCGATCAAAGATCTTGAAGAAGCAGTATTAAATCCAATGTTTAAGCAAAGAGTACCTGAAGCAGTACAGAAATCTAAATTAACCAAGCTTAGTCAATGGAAAGAAGAATTGGTACAATTAGAAATAACTATAAAACAAAATAGTAGTTAAATAACTTAAAAAATAATAATAATAAACTATACTTTATTATCCAATTCCAATTTCTCAGCTAAAACAATACAAAAATGAGCACCAAGCGATAGATCAACTAATTGATGATCGGTTGGGAATGTAAAGAGTTTAGGTTCTTGAGTAACTGTGAAAAAGAGATTTCCTGAGAGTTCACGGTCCAATTTAAATGAACGATTGGGCCATACAAATAGTTTGTTATTTGCTTTGGTATCGGCCTCACCTACCTCGTTGGAATCTGTTACTACTTTTTCTTTTGGTGCCAGTATTACACCGGAATGAGTTGTACTTGTCGCTATCTTTATAATTCTATGATCTTTAAACTCTGGGAAATCGATTTGCTTTGGAGTTTGATCGGTTGTACTCCATTGGTAGAGCTTATGGTCGTTGGTAAGCGCAAGTGTTTGGTTGTCACCGGCTGCAACCTGAATGACAAGACCACCATCTGGAATAGTGATTTTGTTGATCTTTTCAGTTGCAATCGCTGCCAGTGATTCCATGCAATGCTGATTGAATGGTGTGTAGTAAACATCGTCTTTGAGATCTTTCTTCAATTCACCGACTCCCCACTGATAGACATCACCTTTCTTGTCGACAGCAGCAGAGTGGAATGCACCACTTGCTAACAAAGAGACATCGATATCCGATAGTAGATCGGCTCTGGTAGGTATTACAACTAGTTTGTCTTGCATGGAGTTTGACACTGCCAACTGACCTTCGGTGGAACGGCCACACGACAATACCATGCCTTTGTCCGTGAGGAAATGAGTGTGAAAGAAACCACCCGATATCTGCACAATATTGAATGTCGAAAGCGATTGAATCAGTGACGGTGTTTGAATGTTATAGATACTACCAATACCCATTTGACCATGATTGTTATTACCCCAAGTATAGATATGATTGGCTCCTGATTTTGGTTCCTTTGTCAGAGCAAATGAATTCCATCCACCAATGGCAACATCAATAACACTGTTCTTTGGAAAAGAGTTCTTTACAGAGAAAGGACAACTCTCTATGAAATTAGGGAATATACTGGTATTGGATCCATATTTATGACCGATTTGAAAATGAAAGTTTGCTCCCCATGTTAACATATCATAATCATCTATAACAATTAAACATTGTCAATTAATTAGTTAATATATATTTTATATAGTTTTCTTTAAATACATACTTGTTAATATAGCGCTATGTAATAATGAAGATTGTAATGAATTTACAGATTGATTCGATAGTGTTTCAACAAATGTAAAGTTTGTTTCAGATTTACAATCCGATAGACCTAGTTGACCTTGATTATTATTTCCTATAGAATACACAGCTGTTGGTTTGAAATTTACATTTTCATTGTTACTATTGTTGTTGTTGTTGTTATTGTTTATTGCATTTCTATTTAATGCTGTTTGTAAAGGTGGAGGTGGTTTACTCCATCTAAATCCCTAAACAATATTAATAGTGTGATAAAAATTTGATTAATATTGATATTTAAATCACTATCCAAGTATAATACATACAGTTGTTAACTTTGATTTAGAAGATTTCAAAGTATTACTTAAACTTTCAATCTTTACAGTGGGATCATCTTCAACCTCTTGACCAAACCACTTTTTGAAAAAAGAAATATATCTTTTAGTTTCACACTGTTGAACAACACTATTATAAATAATACTTTTATTTATATTACTATTAATATTATAAACATATTTATTTATTCTTAGCATTTTTAAATAATATCAATCAAATGCATAAATTTGTCATCATGCATTTTCAAATTTTAAAAAATAATTAATAATGATTAATTAAATAGAAAGTATTAAAATTTATTTTTTACAAAGTAATATACATTTTAGTATTATATATATATATATATTAAATGATATATTAATATAGTATAATTGAATTTGGTTGATCGAAATTAATAGTTGGTTGTGGAAGAGGAGGTGGAGGAAGAATCTGATGCTGTAGTCAATACTTGACCTCCTGTTGTTGATATATGTCCAGATGTCGTTCCTATTGAACCTGAAGTTGAAATACCTCTACCTGTGAGACTACCGGTGGTTGTCATAATATTATTCTTATATACCTCATTACCTGTTGTGGTAACACCATTGTTTATGGTTGTCGAAACCGTTGATATCATACCAGCACCTGTTGTAGTCGAAGATTGACCAGAATATGTTGTAGAGGAGGTAGATGTTTTTGATGTTGTTGTTCCTGTAGTAGTAGTAGTAGTATGAATAGAAGTAGATGCTGTTGTTGTAGATGTTGTTGTTGTTGTACGAGAGGTGGTAGAGGTGGTTGTTGAATGAGCAGAAGCAGTAGTGCCTGATATTGCACTCGTTGGATAAGAAGTGGTATAGGGTGACGTTGTCGATTCTCCACTCGTTGGATAGCCACTCGATGAATCACCGGACGATGTTGACGATCCAGAGTCTGACATTGGACATGCCAAATAACTAGATATATCTATTACATATTTACAGGTTATTGGTTGTGAAACTCTTTCGAGCTTAGTGGCGGATTCAGAGCATCGCAATCTAATCACGGTCGATCTCATAGGATACATACCACACTCTGTGCCATGTTTATATTCTATTTGACCTCCTCTATTACCATCGTCTATAGGTTTTTGTCGTTGTTGTTGTTGTTTTTGTTTTGTAAATAAATAATGTTGTTGGTGACTAATAACTTTTGTTATATCAATCATATTTACCTAATGGTCTAAAAACACTGTCTTCAATTTGACCACCATTAAACGCAGGTGCTGGTGAAATTGTATCGGAAATACAAATACCACTACCAGGGAATTTATTCATGCATGATTTCGGTGATTGACATATATTGATATAGAAATAAAATGAATCTATTGAACCTACATACTCTGTCATTGATATTCTATTTATTATTATTATTATTATTATTGTAATATTTGTTAATTCAATCTATATTTATTATTTGATAGCATGTAAATATACTTACAGTGGTGTGAAATCATAGAGTAGATTATTGGTATGTAATGTACAACCTTGACCACCGACCAATGTAACCAACAACAACAATTGTGATAAAATTAAAATTGATATCAGTTTCATATTGTTGTATTATTATTATTTTGGTAAGTTGATATGTTCCATATTAGATATAGATTAATTTCCTATTAGCAATGTGAACGATTTTTGAAGCCTCATGTTTCAGAATTTTTTTTTATGCTACGAAAAGTATCTAAAGACAACCCCAAAAACATAAAAATGTAAAAACACTTGACCACGTAAGTAATTAACTTGATTTTTTTTTTTTATTAACTTTTATTAAAAATAAAAGTTAAAAAAATTAAAATATTATTATTTTATTTGATTATTTTATATAAATATAAATTGATTGAGGACTCCCAATTGATAGAGCCAAGTGAAAAGTTATGGTATCGACTTCTGTGATGTGGTTCTCTTAGTCTTTGGTCTCGTTGGTTCTGTAAATCAACTGAATATCTGATTTACCATAACCAGGTTTGACTAGTTGAATTTTTGTTGGTCTTAAATCAATTGGCTTCGTTAAAATCGTAAGTGAATACTCTACTATATCCAATGAATCGGTATTTCCATCTTTTCTATCTTTATCGTCGTCTTTATGTTTATCTTTTCTATGATGTTTATCTTTTTTCTCTTTTTTATCTGCATCGTCTTTGCAATCTAATCTTTCCTTATTATTGATACTCTTTGCTTTTGATGGTTCATTGCTATTCCATATTATTTTGGTTGATAACGATGAAGATGATTTTGTTGATGGATTGATATAGACTGGTAAATTGAGTGCTCTATTGAGTGAACTTAACGCACTCTTTAGCCACTCTCTAACTTCAACCACAGAGTAAGTTCCATACTCGAATACGCCCCAACTTCCTGTTGCTCCATTATTGGTATCCAAATTGAAAACCGCTAGTTTTGAAATGGTGATGTATTGGTCGGCCAACATCTGATTGACTTGTTTAATCTTGTCTTGGAGTTCAAGAGATCCACTAGTATGAAGTGCACTAGTTGTGAAATACATGATGGATCTCACCGAATCTTGTCTCCAACCAATGGTTTCATTTTGATTCTTAATAGCCGCGATAACTGGTGACACTGGATCTACTTTATTACAGTTGGGATTGGAAACATAGAAATCATGGAATATAGATTGATCCAGAGCCCTGTTTGTAAGGTGACCGATTTTCATTATAGGTGAATAAGAATCTTCTGGATTGAACGATTCATCGGCATCGCAATTGGCATCGCTATTAAAGTAGCCCAAGCCAAACTGTGTGTCTGGAAACACTGTTGATGTCAACAATAAGAATCTTTCAAAACCACGGTAAATCTCCAAAAGTACATCATCCGATGGCATTGCCAAATCAAATAATAAATAGATATCCAATTTTTTCTTGGCGTGTCTCTCTGCACTTTCATATTTATCCCATTTGTCGTCGTTCTTCTTTTTTTTCTTATCTTTGTTATTACTGTAGGGTGATTGCAATTGGATATATGGTGATTGTTTAAATGTAATGGTAGTGACAATCTCTGAATCCTCTGGTGACACAACAATTTGTTGGATCACAGGTGTCAAGTAGCTGTTCTCTGTTTCGCCAAACGATGCTAATTCGTAAGACAAAGATAAAGATGGAGAAGTAGTAGATTTTCGGTGGTGTTTACCACAGTGATTTCTACTATCAATCGATAGTTGACAATTCTCTCCATACCAATTGTCAGGACAATCACATAGCATTGTTACATTATTGAAAACACCTCCATTCTCGCAATCTTTAACAGCGATTGGTTTACACTGATCACCTTGATATCCAACAAGACAATTCAGACACATTGAATCAGGAGCGAATCCTTCTCTGCACAAACAAAAGTCGTCTGAAGTCGAATTGTAATCCATATTCAAATCACCATTATTACATGCATAATTTGCTAAATTTATTTGTTATATATATTAGATATTAATTTGTCAGTTTTGAAATAATTTGAGAATTTAATTACTAACATACTTGCAACGATATCAAAATGTATCACTTGAGAATAAAAACTGAATGGTAGTAATGATGATTTAACTGCAACTACAACACTATAGACACCTGCTTGGTAAGAATATGGTGCCCACTCTAGTATGACTGAAACAACATGATTGTTATGTATTTCTTTCGAAATCTTGACACCATCTGGATGTTTGGCTACTGAGATATCTAATCTATCGAATGGGAGTAACAGCTTGGTGGTTACAGAGTATTGCCATGTAGTTGTACTTCCAACCGGACAATCTACTGTAGTTGCTTCAGAAGGTGTTGGATATATAAAATATGGTTGATTCCATATTAACAATTTTAAAACAATAACTATCACCAAAAATAAAATAGTAACAATCTTTAAAAACATTTATTACTTATAAATATATTTAATAATATAAAAATTAAAAAGTAAATAAATTTTAAAGGTTTTAAATGTTTTTAAAGATATTTTTTTTTGTTGAAATTAAATTTAATTTTGTGTTGGGATTTAGCCCAAAAAAAAAATGGGTTTTAAAACCACTTGACAGTGCGAGAAAAAGATAATTAACAGAGAACAACACAAATGATTATGATTCCTAATAAACAATATTGTTTGTCATTTAGACTTTATAAATTACTAAAATGATTGATACATTTATTTGTTTTGACTATCAAAAAGAAAACAACAATTATGTTCTTTTGTTTTTTCTTTCATCTTGCACTGCCCAAACTTTTAAATAGATTTACATATTGTATTGATGTGTGTAGTTCAGAGTAGTTTCGCGGCAGTGCTGGAAATGCACTGAAATCGTATGAGGTTTGTACTTGATCTGCTGGGAATCCCAGGTTTCCACTGATAAACTCTGAGAGTAGTTTCGTTGCGTTGAATGGTGATGTAGATGTAACAGAGCAAGCTGTATACTCAACTTCAACTGCAATAGCTTTTACATCTGCATTTAAAACTATTGGTCCGATTCTAATGATAAAGTCACCTATTTCATATTTGTTACCCTATTTGTTTGTAATTTATAAATGTAAATTGATTAGTTAGTTGAGGCCAGTTATAGCGTAAACAACAATAATAAAGATTAAACATAACAATCAACTTACGGATATCTCATGTGTTTGTCTCTTTTTATAACTGTTGGTTTTCTCCAAGATCGATACAACTTCACGATCTGCTTCGACAACTGTGTACTGACTAACCATATAACTCTTTTTTATCTTTTCATCAAAGGTTAGAAGATGAAACTCTCTGGGTGCATTAGGCGAACCATCAGGCAGTCTCTCTAGATATAATGAACATGATATAGACCACGGTGATACTCTAATACCTCCAAGAAATTCAATCTTTTTTTCAAGTTCTTTTATATTATCACCTTTAAATATACTGTATAATTATATTAGTATTGATTTAGTATTATCTTTTTTAGTTCATAAATCAAATTTACCATTTGTATCCCATTGTCTTGTCATTTGTTTAGAAAAACATTGTTTTAATAAATGTTATTCTATTATTTTTAAACTAACCATTTTAATGAGATTCAATATCAAAGAAGTTCGGGGAAGTCATTTTATTGAATCTACTTTGAAATATATAAAAGTTAAAAATAAAAATAAAAATAAAAATAAATTAAAAAATAATTATACTAAAAATTATAAAAAATATCCTAAATAATATAATGCGTTGTTGGTCTAGTGGCAGAATTCTTGCCTACCAAGCAGGAGACCCGGGTTCGATTCCCGGACAACGCATTAAATAACTTTGAAATTTAAATGCCCGGATGCGGAGACAACAATAATGTTTGTTTTATATGTTCTCTCTGCCTGTTTATCTAATAGTATTCTATTCAATAGCAATATCTCACTTCTTGATGAGACTATATATAATATATAAAAATAAAAACTTGTCGGTTAATACCAAAACTATCAATTTGTTGGATTATCACTGCTAATAAAACTCTATCAAAAATAAAATTTGAGGAGGAGTATAAGATTGATTGGTCATTATTTTCAAAGAATTTATTAATATATGTCTTATTTTAATATATAGCTGTATTGAGTATTTGATTGTTCATCGATATTTGATTTAATTTCTATCTTATTTATTTATTATTACATGTAATTAATATGAAAGACGAATATATGTTAAGAAGAAATGTTAACATCCTTACTGTACTTAACACGGAGTAATAAGGATGAGAATGAGTGAATACTTAATCAGATGAGATTAAATTTATTTAGTATAGTAGCTGTTGCCGTTGGTGGATCTATATTGTAACTTAGCTAATCTGTAGATTGAATATATAGTCAAAGATCTAACAATTATCATATTTAAAATTAAATAAATAAAAAGATTGTGTTCCCAAGGAAATAAAGTGAAAGCCCTTCACATGTTGCAAGAAGTATATATCACAACCAATGTTTTGCCCTGTCAACAAGAATGTGTTCCCAATCTATCTACAACATTCACTCTCATATTAATATCGTTCTAACACCAAAATCCAGACCTAAGAAATAGGTATATTTGTGGTATAGAAATCATACAGGAAAATAAATTGTATAGAGCAAATTAAAATAATCAGAAAATTTATTAATCAATTTTTAAAAAAAAAATATAATAATAAATCAAACGATAGTTTTTAAGTTTAATACTAAGATAGATCAATAGTATATTGATTTATTTCTTTTAAGGATAACATATATACATAAATAGTGTAATTCTATTTTTTTAGTTTTCTATTTTTTAAAACAGGTGACTTGATAAATATTATTAATATAATAACATTTTAGAAGCAAATAAATGATAGAATAGGTATAATCTAAAGATAAAATTATATTATTACAAAAAAAAAAATTGATTTTTTAATTTGTTACTGATATAAAAATAATTATAGAATTTAATAATTCAAACAATAGTTTATATTTAAGTGAAACCTTTTCCATCTTTTATTTTCTTCTAAAAATAATTATAAAAATTTCTTCTCCATGTCACCTGCTCTAAAATAGAAAACTAAAAAACTAGAATTACTCTATTTATTGAAGTAGATGATCATATTTCTTAAATATTCTAAATCATTTAATCTTTTAATACTATCACAACATAGTTTTCATCAACCAATGAATCAGCATTGATTCATCTAATCTCTATAATTAAATCATTAATTTTTAGATCAACTCAATTGGAGGTCATATCATTTTGACTATAAATGGTTATCACTTGGAGATCATTAGAAAGATGAATTGGATCAAAATATTAAGAATATGCAATTTACAATATATTAAAACTTCATCCTATATTTTGAAACACACTTCGAGATCTATAATCCAAAATACTCTAGAAAATCAACATATGTTCATCAATAGTTCTAATTTTTAAATCTTTGTCTTGATATTCTGATTGATATATACAATAATGATAATGGAAAAAAATAAATATAAATATTCTTTTTTTTCTTTGAAAATGATTTGAATTTATAAAAAAATTGAGACATTTTTAACTTTTTTAAAAAAATAAAAAAACAAACAAAAATTATTTGTGCAATATTTCTGAAGTAATAAAATACTTTTTCTTTTTATAGATATAAATTTATTTTCTTAAAAATCAAATAATAGGATTAAGCTATACATAGTTTATGATTATTTGATTCAAATTGTTTCATAAAGATTCATTGGGTTTTTGTCTGTAAAAAGGTGTCATTTCATATCATTTTTAACAGTATTTAAGAGCTCTTTTGAGTTTATAATGAATGTCATCTAGTATATATATTTATCTCATGAATACCCAAGAATTTTAAAAAACATTCAGGTCCTGATCGGTTGTTTGTATATCACATTTAGTTATGTATTCATTTTAAGTACAAATATTATGTGTTTTCGAATATTGATGACAAGTGAGATGTCTTGTATAGTTATCGAATATACTAAAATTAGTTAAACAAAATTATTTATTAGTAGATTTATATCATACTCTAAAATTTCTATAAAAACTGGGAATCTAGAGCTTAAGATTGTTTGTCTATGTATCTGATTCCATATTAAATTAAATCGAGTAAAGATTGAATTTGAATCTACCATTTTCAACTTAATGATAGAATATTAGTTGTTCTATAATCGGAAATTCCTTTAAAGAATAACTTTCTTTATACTATACTCTCCTTGTTTTATTTTCGTTTCATCTGTTTAATTACTTTTCTAAAAAACAATATATTTGTTTATGTAAAATCAGTTAAAAAACTTTTCATTTTAAATATGAAGAAGAGTCTATAAAGTTTTTTTTGTATTATTTCTGAAAGTAATTCCTTAATCCTTTATTAGTCTTCTAATAATGATATTGATGTATCATTTTAAAAATGTATTGATATCCTTTTTTTCAATGATTTAATTGTTTTTTATTTTAAATATAATTGTAATCTTTTAAATACATACTCTTTTTATACAAATAGTATTTGTGTTCTGTGTTGAGTTTGTTTTTGTTTAGTTTTTCTTGAGTCTTGAAACAGAATTCTATATTAAACCAACTTCTTGTTCCATTCAGTATTCCAAATCAAGTATTCCAAAAATGTATTTTCTTTCTGTTAATATTTTGCTGGGTATCATTCTTTTATATTATATATTTAAATATTTCAAAATAAATTTAAAAGTACTAATAATTTATCCTTAAAAAGATATATTTGATCCACGTCGTACGATATCCCTAAAAGAACTGTTGTATGAACTTTACCATTTCTAGATTGTATATCTAGTAATTCTAACTATTAAATTTCCATTTTTTTTTTTTTGTTTTTTTCAAAAAAGATTTGTTGACTCATGATCAGTCAACAAATTGCAGGTATTGATATTAACCTGCTAGTTCCTGTTTTATATTATATTTACATTCTCACACAGGCCAATAAAATATTATTATTATTATTATTGTTTATTGTTATTATAATAAGTTGAGTAGTATTAGGATAGAATAGATCTAACAGTAGCTGCATGTTGATGAACAACAGTATAAAGTGGTGGCACGTAGTTGGAAGGATTTAGATTCCAATCAGATTTAAATTTACGCGTTATTGCAGAGCAATCGACAGTGATTCCTTGGGAGATAGAATAAGCGATTGTGAAGTTAAGCTTGTGGTAATTGGCATCGATTAATTTGGTGTAATGGGTGACTGCTCTCTTGAGGGTATTTTCCAGCTTGTAATGGGTACCATCACCAAACATTTCACAGGATAGCGCCTGCCATAACGAAATGTAAGATAGCAGCAGCAAGATGGGTGAAGTGGACAGTAGAACGAATAGGACCGTCGAACTTGATGCACGAGTGCTTCCAATTACGAAGTCTATAGTTACAGTACTTGTGGTATATATGTTTGACAAAGGAAAGGAACTGCTGTGAAACTACATTCCTGCATTTGAAGAAGAAATGCTCATGTGGGTTGCAGAGTTCAGTGAAGGTGTCACCCCAGAACTCACAGTGCGCTTGTGGTTGATGGGGAAGGTGTGAGAGTACAGCCAGAATATGCTGTTACGTAGCATAGGCGCTTTGACCTTGGATATATGCAGGAACTGAGAAGTGATTGTTTCTAAAATCCATCCAAGACGAATGGAACAGTTTGAAGGATGGTGAAGAAGTTGGATTAGTAAATTTATTGGCACAATCAAGCATGGATGACCAAGTTTTGAAGTAGCCAAATGAGTTGCTTCTACTTAACAACAGGAATCTATTAAAAACCCATATCTTATAAACAGCAGAACGAAGAGATAGATCCCACAAATTCAGACCACCATCATTCCAGTGAAAGCAAGACCTGTCCAAAGACATCAAAGCGGTGAACTTTGTTTTGGCATCAGGTGCACTGGTGAAGAACCAAGCAATAAGTCTGTTGACAAGCTTGATTTGGTCAGGTGTGGGTGATTCAAGATAGAAGTGATAGAAGAGCATGGGAAGCACATAAGATTTAATGATAGTTGATTTCGCTCTAAGAGTATAAACTTTGTACTTATATAGAGCTAGGTTTGCTTTAATGAGATTGATTATACTTGCCAGTTTGGAGCAGTGACCATCCGGGTTGAAGTTGACACCTAAGTATCTTTCGGGTAAGGTGGAGACAGGGAACGGAAGGTTGGCAGTGGAAGTGTTACCGAGTGGAATGATAACCGATTTACTAGAGTTAACATCCGCAGAGGTGGATAGCTTGAACAAGTTAAACCAGTGGATGACTCTATGCAGTTCATCCAAGGTCCTGGAGAAGGCACCAGTGTCATCAGCGAACATGAGCAACTTGATTCCACTCCGGGGACTCGTACGTCTAAAAAAATGATTTAAACCCCTATCTCACACATTGTTGGCATGTTTTTTATAAAAATAATTGAAAAAAGCACCTATATTTGGAAAAACGTAGTAGGTACTTTTGAACCCCAAGCAAGATTCTCATCCTCACTGAAAAACAAAAAAAATTTGGCAGTTGTGTGGTCACCCACAATTTTTTTTTTAATTTTTTTTTTTTTTTTTTTTTAATTTTTTTTTTAATTGTTACCTGTATACAGAATATATTATATTATTCTAGTTATGATTTTTTTTTTAAAAGATGGAAAACTATATGTTTAAGTTTAAGTTGGAGCAACCAGAGTCTACCAAAGAAAATGATAACAAGAAGTGTGTATTCAATGATGAGGAAATTGAAATAATAAATGATAACCCAAGAGATCACGTTTCGGTTGATTATGGCTTAAATATTTTGTTCGAAGTGATTGAAAATGAAAATAATTATATTAGTAGTATTAGTAGTAGTAGTAGTGGTAGTAGTAGTAGTATTAAATAGTAATAGTTCAGTTTCTAAAATAAATACATACCACGTTAATAGTGTTGAATTCAAGTGTGAGCATTGTTTATATTCTTATGGTGAATTGACCAAACTAAATAGGCACAAGAGAGAAAAGCACCCCAATGAAATGAAAAAGTCACATTGGGAGCAACCACTCCAAGTGAATGCAGATATAAATTCGAAGCAGTGTTGTCATAACAACTGTCAAGTAAAAGTGACTCTATCAAACTATGCAAGCATCTGAAAACCAAACATCCTTGTTGGGAAACGAATAATAAACTGGAATTAGACGAAATCACATGTTAAGGGTGCAAAAACAATTGGATAATCAGATCAAAAGAGAGAGAAATAACCTTGCTGTGTCTACTCCTGTTTGACATCTTAATAGATTTATTGTTTTCAGTGTGTTTACCTATTTATTTACAAAAAAAAAAAAGTTAGAATTAATATACTAGTTATATATAAGTTTTCAAAGTATTTGAAGGTATTGGTGGATTGACATTTAATCAAATTGACATGTGTTTGGATCGATATTTACAACAAAAGAATCTATTTGTAGAAGTAAGAAGTTATTAAGAACTCTTGACTGTAATACTACAGAAAGAGATGATGAATATTTGGATAAGGTATTCGAATTGGAGTTGTGCTTTGATGGTGATATATGTAGTCGAAATATCAATCGCCAAATGGAAATCAACAAACATCAGATTGGAAATCAACAACATTAAGAATATACTAGATGATATTATGAACCAAAAATGTGATGATATTAAGAACATAACATTCAACGATAATTTAATCGCTTTTTTGGAAATACATTCACAAAACAAACTAACACATCCAGTCATATTTCAGAAAGTAGTTGAAGAAGACTATAGGAGATTTAAAAGAGAAGAAGAGAGAATTAAACAAATGAAAAGGAAGATACAGCAAGATAGGAAACAAGATAAGCAACAAGACAAGAAACAAGATAAACAGCAAGATAAGAAACAAGATAAGAAGATACAACATAAGAAGCAAAACAAGAAACAAGATAAACAACAAAACAAGAAACAAGATAAGAAACAAGACAAGAAACAAGATAAGAAGATACAATATAAGAAGCAAAACAAGAAACAAAAAAATAAAACAAAATATTTAGTTATTTTTTAATATTATTCTTACTTTTTTAAAGTTCTTTTATTGTGAACTCTGTTCATCTTTTAATCTATCCATATTTGCTGAACTTGTTGTTCCTGATATGCTTTAAATTTTTAATATTTGATATATTATCGTATAATCGATCAAAATAGATGTTAATGTGATGTAATTTTTTTTTCAAATTTTTTTTCAAATTTTTTTTCAAATTTTTTTTCATTTTTTTTCATTTTTTATTATTCCAAATTTGTAAAAACTGAAATAAGTGGGGTACGACTTTCTGAAGTGCTTTCGAGCGGTAGATACTTCAATACAAATCTCTTTTGTTCAAGTTTGAACCCCATCAAGATTCTCAGTGTTGTTTTTTCAAATTTTTTTTACTCTCACACCTTCCCCATCAACATTTTAAAGAGTACAGCCGGAATATGCTGTTACGTAGTAGCTTTGACCTTGGATATATGCAGGGACTGAGATTGGAAATTGCGCGCTTTATGGGATAGTTTTTTAAAAACTTATCGACACCTGCAGGATTCGAACCTGCGCCCCCGAAGGGAATTGATTTCTAGTCAATCGCCGTAACCACTTGGCTAAGGTGTCATTTGGATGATGATAGGAAAATCCAACTTAAGTTTCCATTTGGGAGTTTTTATATCATTTCCTGGAAAGCACCCCAACTCTGTTAAAACGAGTCTTGATCCGTGTTTATGTTAGTTGATTACAAACTGTCGATCCAATCACATCAACATTTCCATTCATACATCTGAAAGGTCCCTCCACCAGTAGTGTATTTTCTCTTCAAAAAAAAAAGTTGATTTACATTAACAAAAAAGCTCCTATCACCTTAACAACTAGGTAAATGTGAGATGGTGATCAAATTTTGAAAAGAAATTAGCTTCTACTCCAAGAATCAAAAAGAAAAATTAAAAAATTGTTTCTCTTTTCATCTTGTTATATATAAGAAATGAATTAATTTTTTTATTTTACAATTTTATTTTATCTCTTTTCTCTGTGAAGATAGTGTAAGCAAAGATATACCAAACCAAAGAATGCAATTGCAAAAGCTGATACGATAACCAAATCTATACCTTTTCTGGCATCTTCCATTCCGAATTGTTCGAGGAAATCTTTTCCAGTTGGACACTGTGGCAATCCACAATCCATCTTGGTATTTTCAAATTCGTTGGCCATCATCGCTTGGAATGAGTAGTAGATAAAATTAATATATCTTAACCAACCAAATGATTTAGGAAGACTGTCAATGGTAACAAAGAAACCGGCAAACAACTGGTAGACAGTGGTGACACCTGCACCGATGGCAAACGAAGAGTCAACCTGGATAGTCAGACACGAAATAAATAGCATAAAGAAATCACCTGCGAAATGAGCCAACACCAAAATTGCCATAGCAAAGAAATAATTATCGACTCCATTGTTTAGGTCGGCAAACCAGTAGGCTATTGTTCCAAGAATGAATGCAGTGATAATACAAGCCAGACACTCGAAAAACATCATGGCTAAATAGTAGGGAAGAGTATGATAGAGACGTGCTGCTCTCTCGGCGTTGAAAAGAGTACGTTTGGAAATGAACAAACTGATGGAACAAAATGGTTGGAGAACCATGTTAATGACTAAATAGAACAAAACTGCTGCTCTGCTTTGCATTCCTTTAGCAGTGTAAGAGAGATTGGCAAAACAAGCACCGAAAAGCAGACCTACAAAAGCAGCCACAACAAAACGGATGATGGAATTCGATGGATTACGAAGAAAATCGCGACCAGTACGCTTCCACAACACCAAGAATTGAGTGAACAACCCATTGTTGTAGGCGGAACTATATTTCTTTGGTCCACGACTGGCTCCGACATCTGCTCCAAGTCTGGCGTTGACTTCTGCAACCTGTGCTGAATAACTGTCGGCTAGACGGTCACCAACTTCATTGGCACGACCATTCTCCTTGATTTGCGTAACCGCATCCAATATATAGTCTGCTGGATTCGTTTGTTCTGGGAAAGGATAACCGAGATCGACGAAATGATTGACTGGATCGGATCCATAGTAAACCAATCGACCTTCACTCAAAACCAGCACCTTGGTAAAGAGACGATAGATCTCAGAACGTGGCTGATGAATTGTGCAGATGACAGTTACATTTTTGTCCTGTGTCAGCTCGACTAGTGTTTTCATTACGGCCATGGCAGAGGTTGTATCGAGACCGGATGTCGGTTCGTCTAGCAACATAATCGACGGAGAAGTGACCAATCCACATCCAATGGTGACACGACGCTTCTCACCACCGGACAAACCTCTTACGTGAATTCCACCTGGCAACATTCCACCTATTTTCATATCGGCACGATGAGTTAGTCCGATTTGTTCCAACACTGATTGAATACGCTCTTCCTTTTCACGGTTGGTCCATGACGATGGCAATTTCAAATCTGCATAGAATCTGAGTGTTTCACGTACGGTAATAGTTGGTAACAAGATGTCCTCTTGGACGACGTAGGAACAAAGACGCTTGTACTCTTCATCGAATGGCTCACCATTAATTAAAACGGTACCTGTGATATCTCCGCTCTCCTTACGATTAGCCAGAATGTCCAATAATGTTGTCTTACCAGATCCTGATGGACCGAAAACAGCTACCAATTCTCCTGGTGAAACTGTTCCATTTATATTCTTGAGGAGCTGCATTTTTTTCTTCTTGTGGGTGACCTCATAGGAGAGATCTTGAAATGTCAGAGTGACCGACTTTCTCAACTCTCTCTGTGACTTTGATTTTTTAATCTTGACATTTTCTGAATCTACTCCAGACATTTCAATGGTATGATTTATTTTCCATATTTTATTTTTTTTATGATATTGGTAAAATAATCTAATACTACTACAATATTTTATTTGTTAATTTATTTACACTGCAAAAATATAATAAATCTAATAATAAGGATATAATACAAATATAATATTACAAATAATAAATAATAACAATGTGTTGACTATTGTAAAATTGAATGGATTGAACTGGATTCAAATCTCACACCTCTCAAAGTAGAGTTTCTGTATGTTGAGTGTATTTTGTTTATTTTTATTTTCTATTTTTTTCTTGTTTGTGGTATTGATAGACACAAAAGGGCTATGGTGTTTGTTTTCCTCAACAGCTAAACAATTTTTTATTAATAGTTTGGTGGTAGGCTTTTCACAATTTTTCTGATGATAAATTTACACAAGATGTGGTTGTGGTAGCATTTTGCAAGAAAGATTTTAAAATAGATGACCATAAAATTTTTATGAAAACTGTTTGACATAGATATTTTTGTTTTACAAAATCAATGCATTTTAAAAAAATTTGCTATTTTTCGATCAAAAAAAATAAACCAAAGGTGACCACCCAAACCGGTTTTGTGGTAACAATTTTTTTCATCACAAAAAGTTCAACACTGGTTAGCAAATTTTTGAAAAATTTTACAATAAAATAATCCATCTCTCTTAAAGTTGTTAAAAACTTTATCATTTTGAAGATTGCAAATTTCTCTCTTTATTTTATTGGTCCAAATCCTATTTTCGATTTTGTTTTTGTTGATGTTGATTTTTATCTTGTCGAAAAGGCGCCACATTGACATTTACCTTATTGGTTGTTGTCACTTGTTGTGTTCCACTATTGAAATAACAGTAAATTGGACATATCAAACTCTGAATTATTGTTATACTTTTCTCGGGTAGTTTTACTCTACATTGATCCCCACCATATCCAAATACACCTAACAAACAATTCCAGGTTCAATATTATTATTATAATAATAATTTTTTTTTTAAAGCTACTTTGTATAACTTACAACCAGGAAAACAAGGACAAAGTTTACTTGATGACGATGAAGATGATGAATAGTCAACATTTTTCTTTTCTCCATGTAAATGTCTTTGATTTATACTCGGTGTAGCAAAACAATAGTTTAGCAGCAGTAATAGCAGTAATAGTGATATTGGGATTGAATTTATTTTTAATTTCATCATCTATTCGATAAAATAACTCTCTACCTTTTTTTTTAAATCTTTTACTACTATAACTATTTTATTGACAAAAAACAAATGATAAAATTTTAATAATGTGTGTTGAAAATAAATTGATTTATTTGATCATTTTATTTGCAAATATAACTATTAATATTTCATAGTATTTTTTTTTTAAAAAAACGGGGTTTAAACTTCGTTACTTCTTTTCTTACTTGTCAATCAACTAGTTGATTTCTTTGTCTATATTAGGAATGGACTGAAATTAAAGTAAGTGACGGAGTGTTGCAATATGAACAAAATAAATTGAAAAGAGAGTGCGGCGTGATCATGGTCATTTCATTAACAAAAACATGCATAATTTTATTAAAATCTATTTTTTTTTTTACGATTTTTTTTTTTTTTTTTGATAATTTTATTAATGTTCAAGATAAATGATGAACCAATTTTGTAAAAATAAATAATAAACTACACATCTTCACAAATAACATCACACCTCACTCATTACTTTACACTCTTTTTTAAATATCTACATATATTTAGTGTATTGTTTAGACAACAAGTTAGTTAATCCTCGATTTGTTACAAATACTTACATTTATATCAACATTTAAAATTCAATACAAACAATAATTAATCATGTCTTGGACACTTGATGTTGATCGTGGTAGACAAACTTGGAGATACTCAAAAGAGGTCAATCCAAACCCAAAGCCAGTGGATGTACATCTCCTAAATCTTCAGGAGCCTGTATGTATTTGTTTGAAGCAAAAGATAGAAATAGAACAACAACAACAACTAATAAACTAAATTAAATTAATTATTAATTACTTAGGGTACATTCTGTCCAAAAGGTTGTAATATGACACCAGCAAAATCACCACAGGAATCAATTACCAAAGCTGTTCAATATTTTACACAGGTTCAAACTGAAGATGGTCATTGGGCAGGTGACTATGGTGGACCGATGTTTTTGTTGCCAGGTCTCGTCATCACTTGTTATGTCACTGGCTACAAGCTACCAGAACCACACGTACAAGAGATCATCCGTTATCTCTTGAACCGTCAGAATCCAAAGGATGGCGGTTGGGGATTGCACATTGAAGCACATTCCGACATCTTTGGTACCGCTCTTCAGTATGTCTCGCTGCGTCTTCTCGGATTGCCAGTTGATCACCCAGGTGTAGAGCGTGCCAGAAAGTTCCTTCGCGACAACGGTGGTGCAACCGGTATTCCATCGTGGGGTAAGTTCTGGTTAGCAACACTCAACGTCTATTCCTGGGATGGCTTGAATCCAATCCCCATTGAATTTTGGTTGCTCCCTTATTCCGTTCCCATTTGTCCGGGTCGTTGGTGGTGCCATTGCCGTATGGTATACCTCCCAATGTCTTATTTATACGCACGTCGTACAACAGCTGCAGAAACCCCTTTGATTCGTGAGCTCCGTAAAGAACTCTACGTCACACCCTACTCTGAAATCAATTGGCCAGCTCAACGCGATCATATCAACAAGTTGGACATGTACGCACCACACTCTTACTTGTTGAAGAGTGTCAACGGTGCGCTTAATCTCTACGAACGTATGCATTCCAAATGGTTGCGTGATAAAGCAATCGATTTCACATTCGATCACATTCGTTTCGAAGATGAACAAACCAAGTACATAGATATCGGACCGGTCAACAAGACATTGAATATGTTGGTGGTATGGGATCGTGAAGGACAATCACCCAATTTCTTCAAGCATGCCGATCGTCTCTATGATTATCTTTGGTTAGCATCGGACGGAATGAAAATGCAGGGATACAACGGTTCACAACTGTGGGACACTGCATTCACTATCCAGGCATTCGTAGAGTCGGGAATCTCGCATCAATTCCCAGAGGCAATGCGTATGGCCAATCATTATCTCGACATCACACAGGTGCCTGACAATGCACCCGACGGTTATTTCCGTCATATCTCCAAAGGAGCATGGCCATTCTCAACAGTGGATCACGGTTGGCCAATTTCTGACTGCACAGCCGAGGGAATCAAAGCAGCACTCGCCCTCCGTTCACTTCCAAACATCGTTCCAATCTCGTTGGATCGTGTAGCCGAGGGTGTAAACGTGATTCTCTCACTTCAAAACAGCGATGGTGGATGGGCATCCTACGAGAACAAACGTGGACCAAATTGGTTGGAGTTGTTCAACCCATCTGAAGTCTTCCAAAACATCATGATTGACTATAGTTATGTTGAATGCTCTGCCGCTTGTATCCAAGCAATGTCATCATTCTTGAAGCATGCACCGGAGCACCCTCGCGCCCGTGAGATTCGTCGTTCTATTGATCGTGGTATCAAATTCATCAAGTCGATTCAGAGGGACGATGGTTCATGGCTTGGATCATGGGGTATCTGCTTCACCTATGGTACATGGTTCGGTGTTGAAGGTTTGGTTGCAAGCGGTGAACCACTCAACTCACCACACCTAGTGAAAGCATGCAAATTCCTCATTTCCAAGCAGCGTGAGGACGGTGGTTGGGGAGAGTCGTTCCGTTCCAACGTCACCAAGAACTACGTACAACACGAGCAATCACAGATAGTCAACACCGGTTGGGCATTACTCTCGTTGATGGCAGCCAAGTATCCAGATCGTGAACCAATAGAGCGTGGTATCAAATATTTGATCTCCAAGCAGTATCCAAACGGTGACTTCCCACAAGAATCAATCATCGGTGTATTTAATTTCAATTGTATGATCAGTTATTCGAATTACAAGAATATCTTCCCACTTTGGGCAATTTCAAGATACAACAATATCTACTTAAAATCTAAAATTTAAATCAAAAAAAAATAAAATAAAATGATCTAAAATTATTATTTTATTTATTTTTTTAAAAAAAAGAATAAATAATATTTGTTGTTTAAAATCTGTTATTCTTTATTTGTATTGTTATTATTTTTATATTTAATAAATCATATAATTAAAAATCACACACACACACACATCATAAATTATTATTATTTTATTTTTAAATTAAAAAAATGATAGCACAAATTAAAGAGAAATATTAAAAAAGTGTTCTGTTACATCATCAAAATAGAAAGAATGATTATCTTTTATTCAATGAGAAAATGACATTGGATACCCACACCAATAACAACAATTGGATATTAGATAGTTCAAAAATCATTATTACTTCTTTAAGATTCATTGATTATTACTATCAATTGGATTATTCTTTAATTTTTAGATTAAATGATCCTTTTTACTCCATACCCATCAGTATGTCAATATTTATTTATTTTAATATAATATATATTAAATTATAATTTTTTAATTAAATATCTTTAAATAGATACTACCTTTTATTGATTTTTGTTATTTAATTTATAAACATATATTTTTATTCATTTTTGAATCTATATTTATTTTATTCATTTATTTAGATAAAGAGAGAAAAGAAAATATATTTTTTTTTTAAAAAGAAATATATAGAAAATGATTTGGAAAACTAAAAATCTAATATATATATTATTAATTTATATTAGTTTAAATTTAATATATGTAGATGCAAAAGGTATTGTTGAAAATAAAATAAATAATTACTATTCTAATTTTTTCTAACAAACACTTAAAGAAAATGATATTTTTGATTCATTTACTAAAAATATGCCAAGATATAATTTGGCTAGACAAAAAGTATCGAGTGAATTCAATTTGGATAATAAGAACTATGTAGAGTCTTTAATAGTTTTAAGTTTTCCAGGTATAATTACTGCTGTAGTTGTGTTAATAGTTGGATGTATTGTCATGGTCATGAGAAGTTACATCAGTTGTACCAAAGCTCCAAAGGAACCAGAGCTTCCACCAGGTGTTGTATTTGACGACGTTGCCACTTTTGATACCAACTCTATGTTGGATTTCGAATATAAGTATCCTAAATCTTATAAATCTCCTGCTTGTCTTAGACTAGTAAAATTTTTCTTATTTTTAATTATTGTAACTACTTTGTAAGTTGAAAAACAACAAATATTTGAAATAGTGAAAACATTAATATTAATGTTATCTTTATAAAAAATTAGGGTTGGAGCCATATTAGGATTGACATCAAATAGTTTAGTTAGTAAAGAGGTGAATGGATTTTTCTCTACAATTGAAAAATCAACAAAGGAAGCAAGAGATGTTGTATATTTTGTAAAGGGAGGTTTGGCTGGTTCAGTTGATAATGCAGGCTCTGTTGTTGACAATTTGAATGCTCTGGTATCAGAGGTTAGCGATGCTTATCAATCATCAAGAAAGGCTAGAATCTGTGAATCCAACTTGAATACCTTGAGAGAAACCATTATTACTATGGGATACATCATTGCGATTCTTGCATGTGGATGTGGTGTATTTGGTGTTGTTAATGGAAAGTCTTGGTCATTTATGTTTCTTACCCAAATGGCATTGTTAACCATATGTGTCTCTCTTCTCGGTCTTGGTTTACATCTTCCTCTCTCTGCTGGTTCCGACGACTTGTGTTCCAATCTCAATCAATATGTCAATACACACCAACCATCTGTATGGATGTCCAATTGGTTGAATTGTACTTCCTCACCAGAGAGTATTGCTGCAGTCGACTATGCACAGGCCAATGTTAATAAACTGCTCGAACTGCTCAATACTTACACTCAAGAGTATCTACAACAGACCTATACAATGGAAAATATTGCAACTCTAAGAATTGCTGCGCTCAGAGCACAGCTACCAATTGAAGTGATTCCCCAATTTGATGCACTGTTTGATAAAGATTCTATCAAAGCAATTACATCGCTTCCTAAACTGATACAGATTGGTAACTGCAAGTATATATATGATTCTGTAAAGAAGATCAGGGACGACTACTGTGGCGATATCATTTCCAACGTAAACAAAATCATCTTTTCAGAGATTTTGATCGCTGCGATATGGGTGCCTGGTTTCATTTTTGCACTGATCTATTCGAAACAAAATGATGAAGACGATATCTCAACTGCCAATAGAAACAATAGAAATGATAACAACAACATGAGATCTCCCAACTTCCAATCATCATCACCACCACCACAAGAAATGGTGAACATGAACAACAATAATAATTAAAATAATAATAATAATAATAATAACATACATACCATTATGATAAAAAAAACCACCAACATCCATATAAATCAAAATTTTAAAATAAAAAAAACAATTAATATTATTTAAACAGCAGGTGACACCTCATCTCTCTACAATGAATATTACATTGTTGTTGTATTTGATTAACGTTTTTCTGTTTTATATTTGATTATAATTTTTTTTTTAATGTATTATCATTATTATAAACATAAAAAAAAAACAAATATTTTCAAAAGTGTGGTAACAATATTTTTAAATAAAAACTGTTTATTTTAATTTCAATCACCAAATTATGAGACACGTGATGTTATTTTACCCTCTTTGAAAGATTTCACAAAAATATTCTACACCAGTATGCTCTACTTTGACAAAAGACAATTAAAATTTAAAGGTGATTGTGTTTGTTGTATTAATAACTACTCACATTGATGTCATAATCAAACCACACTCACTAACCACCACACACCTAAATGTGATCTAAAGAATGAAATCTGTTAGAACAAACAATCAAATAATGAATTAATTAATAATAGAAATTGAATTCATGTTATTTAAAAGTTTCACAGCTTTTGTTATTGAATTATCATTCTTTGTTGTTTTAAAATCATCTAAACATATAATTTTTGTACCTTTATAAATATTAAACAATCATTTATTTAAAAATAGGTTGTATTATATTACTTTTCACATTGCACATAGTTTTGCAACTCTATTACCTTTAATCTCAAAAAATCAGATTAAGCTCTAATAATAACATCTTTGTTTTTTTTTAAAACAACACTTTTTATAAATAGTATTTGTGTTCAATTCAAATTCAATTCATTGTTTTTAATTATTTAAATATCTTAAAAATTTTTATTTATTTATATATTTCTATTAAAAAATGTCATTAGAACTTAAAAGAATACTTGAGGAAATCATAAAGATGAATCAAAAGTCTGACTATTCGGTGGAAGCATCCATCAGAAAGCTTTTTATTATGTGCGATATTACTATTATGGATTTTAATAAGAAAATTAATTATATAAAAGAGACTTACTCTATAAATCATACAAAGAAAGGTCAATCCAAACAACCTTTTTTAAATTCCGACAACAATAACATTCAAAATCAAAAGAAAAGTAATTTATCAAATAGTCGTTTCACAAAAAAGAAGAATCCCAATAGAAATAGTATTGGAATGGTAATTTATAATGTAACATTGGCGCCAAGTATGTATTTAATAAAAGATAAAACAACAATATTACAAACAATTAATATTTTTTTTTCTTTTCTAAAAATTGATTCAGTGATTCCATCTGTACTTGTGAGGGACAGTAAAACTAAAAATATTGTAACAAATAATATTTGTGCCTACCAATCTTTTATCGACCTGATTGATAGCCTCAAAGGATATCTGATGGGTGTCATTGTAGAATTGGATATGATTAAGAGTTATTATACACAAGTATCTACTTTTTTAGATACTTATCAAACACTTTAATAATTTAAATTTTATTTATTAAATTAAATAAACAACCGACTATTTATTTATTTATTTAAATCACTACTACTATTTTATTATTTTAATGTTGTTTCTTTTCTTTATATACATTTAAAATATGATCTAAAAGTATGGAATTAAAATCTGGAATACCAATGTATCCTGGGAAATAATTTAAATCGACGATCGCAGATTTCTTTGTGGAAATGTCGGTAATCACATCGAATCCAAACAATGTAAGTCCAAGATCCTTTTGAATCTGTTTGGATATCGCAACCAAAGTATCTCTTGGTGGTATTTCAACCATTGATTCATCATATGGTTTCTCTGGTAATAATGTAGCTGGTAATGGCTGTTGACTATCAAAATATAATGCTTCACTCTCTATATATAAATTATTATTTATTAGTAAAAGTTGAATTTAATTAATAATCATTATTTTTTTTAATTACCATTTGAATTCATATTTCTTAATGATTTTCTATGGACAACATTCAGATAGTCGCCTACTACAAACACTTTGTAGATGATTGCATTGTGGTTGATATATTCTTGTATTAACATGGGTGGTTTGAATTTCGATTGTCTGAGAGATGGCTCGTCGAAAAAGATTGCCATTTGATGAGATTCTTCTGATCCGCAAGCCTGTACAGTCTTGCATACTATTGGGAATCTTATGCTTTTAAGCTGTTCACTGTAATCGGCTTGCTCCTCATTGATCACCACAAATGATGGGCATTTAACATTGAAATTAGCTGGCAACTGATTGAGTTTATCGAGCAAGTTACTCAGAGTAACTCTATCCAATACTGGTTTTTGACATTGTAGTGGATCGACTTCCACCAAACTTGGATATTTCTTTAAAATATTCTAAACAAAAAAATGAAATCGATTTGTTAATATATACTCAATTAAATAAATAAATAGATAGACAGATAGTTACTTCAATTGAAATAATAGTTTTAGTATTTTCATTATCGTTTGGATCTGACAATTCATCAGTAAATTTATGAATGACAACATCATATGGGCATACTGATGGTAGATTATTTGTTTCTAAATCTATTGGAATACATTTTATTTTATATTTATCCCTTTTATAGTATAGTGTTAGTTTGCATTGATCAAGCACTTGTGTCGATAAACTATTTCTTACCATGCTAGTTGTACAAATTGATTCCATTTCATTTTCTCCAACTTTGACACAGACATGTAATATCCAATTGTGAAATTCTCTCTTAGCTCCATGGTTTTTGTTTTAACTAATAAATATAATATTACAGATTTTACAAACTATATACAAAAAAAATCTTTAATTAAACAAGATTGTTTGTGACCACAGATGACCATAAAAAAAAAAAAATGTCAAAAAAAATGTCAAAAAAATCAATAATTAATTATAAAAAATAGAAGTTCAAAAGAAAAAGAGTTTTAAAAATAAAATAATAATGCATCTTATTTTATTCTTACAAAATAAATTTTATAATATAATTATTATGACATATGTATAACTGTTATTGATTTGGTTGGGATTTGTACTGTATTTTTTTTTTGTTTCGCTAAAAGTTTAAAGTTAAAAGTTTTTTTTTTTTTTTTTAAACAACAGAGGAGGTACTGTTTTGTTGAATAAACTTTTCAAAGTGAGATTTGGCAACTTGGATGTTCAAGAGGGTTGCAGATGACTCGATGGTTGGATCTGACATGATGACCATGATATATGTGTTGGAGGTAAAGGCATCAATGAAAGCGGCAAAGTTTGAGTTTCTAACTTCCATTGCTTGGAAGTTGGCTTGTGATTTAGAACAACTCAAAAAGAATTGTTTGATGATTGTACTGATCTTTTCGAAACGATGAACATCATTGTGTTGCTTACGATCGGAGTGTGAAATCACCAAGAATGTTGCCTTCTCAAACAGCACAACTTCATCGGCTTCACAAATCTTACAAAACTTATCCAAATGGTGTTCCAAAACCTTGACGTTTGGAATCAATGAATATACAATTGATGACCATGCCTATATAAATATGAATATAAATATGAATATAAATACAAAGTAAAGGTTAATGTTAATGATGAATAATCAAATAAAACAATTATTACAGAAACTACTAACCTTGTAGAGAGTTTCATCCCAAATGGAAGTTCTGAAGCATGTTACTTTGAGTGGGAGTGAGAGTTGTTTGAGTTCAGCTTCACGTTGTTTGAAGAGTGAATCACGTTGGTCCTCTGGTACCAAATCCATCTTGTGAATGAGACAGAAGATCTTGGCGTCGTTCGAGTTTTGTTTGATGGCTTCGAGACATGACTTGAAGTTCTTGAGATCCTTCTGGTGTTCACGACTCTCGATATCAAAGACGTAGATCAACACCTCGACGTTTCTAAAGATGTGATCTCTCTGTGTGGTTAAGTAACTCTCTACAAAACCTTCTTGTCCTCCACAATCCCAGAGATTCAATACCAAATTACCAAGGAATCTGACATGACTATGTTCAACGTCGACTAATAATATTCAAATGATCAACAATGCCGCTATTAATAATCATTAATTTAGTAACTATAGATTGATTATTAACATACTTGTAACACCTAAACGCATAGTATCTCTAGCTATATAATTGGCAAAGATAATAGATCTCATTGAAGTCTTTCCAGACTCACTTCTGCCCATCAACAATACCTATAAAATAGTAATAACGATGACATTTATATTAATGAAATGTTTACTTTTCTTTATCTATATCTCTATTGGAAATCAATGTTTCTATTATTTTTATTTATTATTATTATCATCATTGTTGTTGTGTTGGTGATGATTCTAACTTAAAACTATTTATTATGAAGCTAAAATGAACTATTTTGTTCATTCTTTTTGAGAATCTTCTCTCGATTCGATTATCTTTAAATGTATATTATTTATTTCTAATATTAGATATTACCTTTCTCTTCATTTTATTATTGATTTGATAAACTAACTATAGTAAATAATAATATATTTAGTTTTAATAAATAAAGTGATAATCAAAAAAAAATAAAATGGAATCGATTTTTCTTTCAAAATTTTTTTATTTAAAATTTTTGATTTTTTTTTATTTATTTATTTTTTTTAAAAAAAAAGAACAATGGAAGTTTTGGAACAAGAATCTCTACCAGTCTATTATTTATTTGTTTGTATCATTATTTTCAGCTCAAATTCACTAATTAATGATAATTTCAAAAAAATAAATAGAGAAAACTTCACCGATTATCTTTTATTTTGTTTGAACGTTCATACCTTTTTTTTTTTTTTTTTTTTTTTTGTGTTTGGTTGGTTGAATCTTTTTTATTTGATTTCCTGATTAAATTGGTCATAAAAGACAGTTTATATCAATTATACACAAATTTATCAGTTTTTTTTTTTTTTTTTTGATGCACCAATTAAGTAAAAACACCGAATAATAGATATTTTCAACTGTGAAAAGTCAAAATAAAATTAAAAATAAACTTTGAATTAAAAAAAAAAAAAAGACAAAAACAGTATAAAATCAAACCATGGGAAAACAGTCAGAGCCTTAAAATATTTATAAAAACCAGAAACAAAACAAAAAAAATAGTATTTTTTATCAATAGAATTAATAATAATAATAAAACAAATAAAGGTCAATAAATTAAATATTTAAACAATAACTTTTTTTTTGACTTTTAAACACAACTAATCATCCGATTTTTCCACCACTCACTGAAAATATAATTAAAAATTTTTTTTTAATATCTTTATTATTGAAATTACTTGTTTTGTTTTTATCACCATAATAAACAATAACACCATTTCCCATTCAACTAACATTAACAACATCATCAAATCATCATCATCATCAAGATAAAAAAAATATAAACATTAAAATTTGTTAATCTATTACATTTAAATACATAGAGATAGATAAGAAAAGATAATAGCAGATTTTAAATCATTTATTTTTAAATTTAATAGAATAGTAGTGTTAGGTGGTATTTGGTAATAGAATAAATGGATTCTATTATGAGTAAGAATGAAAAAGAATTGTTAGAGATCCGAAAGGAGATTCAAGAGTTTGAAAAGAGTCAATCTTCGATCAAAGAGAAAGGATATAGCTTCAAGGAGCAAATCAATGCTGGTTTCAGACACCTCGATGAGATCTGTGGAACCTTAGATAAACAAGACAAGGAGTCATCGCGTCTGTCTGCGCGTCTTTCTTCGCTGCCCAAGTCAGCAGAGACCGCAGAGCTGACGTCACAGCTGCAGTCGTTGCGTTCCAATATCAAACAATCGAAAAAGACATTCACACCGGAAACAGGTGGTATGTTTGTACGTTTGTTTCTCGGTCAGGTCAATGTGAAGCACTACCGTGAAGGAGAGCGTTTCCGTTTGAAAACCGAATATGAAAAGTTCAAATTCAAGACGAATCCACAGTTCTTGCTGTTCGTTGTGTTGCTACTGCTCTTCCCACACAGCTCGTTCGTCACTACCTCTTGGCAGATCTGGCTGCTCTACTACTATGTTACACTGGCGCTGCGTGAGAATATATTGTTGGTGAACGGTAGTTCTATTCGTCCATGGTGGATCATACATCACTATCTCTCGATTGCAGGCTCACTTACCAACCTACTCTGGCCATTCTCAGAGTCATTCGCGCATTTCCTCCCCCAAATGACCTATATCTCTGGTGTACAAGGTCTAGTACAAATTCTCACCAATCGTTATCAACAAGGTCAACTCTACAAATTAACAGCAATGGGCAAAGCAACCATCATGGATGTAACCGGTGAAAATGTAAGTTCGCACTTCATTCAAGTTTATACCTGAATATTAATGATCATTTTAATATTATTATTATTATAGATGATAAGTGATCCGGGATGGACACCAAATGCATTCTTCTTATTACCATTCTTGGCATTTGTACAAGCATTTGAAGTATATAATGGAGTTACATTCTTGGTTTATGCATTCAATCACGAAGGAATCGTCGAGTGGCAAGTCATCGCTTGTGGTATCATATTTATTATTTTAGGTGTTGGTAACTTTTATACAACCTGTAGCACATATTACGCAAAATTATCAAATAGAAAAGAAAAAGAAAAAGAAAAGTAAATATGTTGAAATAAACAAACAAACAAATCAAAAATAAAGAACACTATCAATATGATGTAGTTATATATATAAAAATATACAAATATATAAAAAAAAATATAAAACAAAAATAAGATAGTATACATTTTATTTTATTTAATTAGTTGATTGTTTGTTAAAAGTGTTAGTTTGTTGATAATAATAGTTTTATCTCTTTGATTAAATTTTGATTCTTTTCAACCGATTGATTATATTTGTCGTAGTTTAATTCGAGAGAGCTAACAATGTCTGTGGCACTATCGGAGCAATAGACTAATGTACCCAGTGCCATGAGAAGTCGGAAGTCAATTTCTGGATCTTCAGAGAGTGGGTTGGAATCAAGAGTATGTTGAATCGCAGAGACCAACGAAATGATTTGATCATCGTGTTGTTTTGGATTGAGGAATATAGAGAGATTATAGGCAACCGTTGAAACCGCTCTCTTTAATACTTTATCATTCGAGTGTAGACCTTTGGTAGTACATTCAATGGTGGCATCTAAATGTGACTTTAGTAGATAGTCTATACCTTGTTTAGATGAGAAACAATTTGCAATCTGAATGATTAGGTTTAAAAAAAAGCTAGTTAATAATAATAATATTTGAGTAATGAAAATTGAATATTATTTAATAAACTTACCAAACGATATGCTATCAATTCCGATGACTTTGAAAGATTACTTATCAATATTCTATTGATAAAGATTGATATGAAAGGGTTGGATGTATTGGTAAAGTATTCAAATGATTGTTTCTTTAACATGAGGAATCGAATGAGTTCCAAAACAGGGAAGATATTGGTTTCCGGGAGTTGATTTGTTAGGTTTTCTATTTAGAAAAAAATAAATAATTAGAAATAGAAGTATCTTTGATTAACCGATTTCTATTAGCTTACCAAAGTATTTAATAAGATCAATTGGAATTGCTATATTGGTATCATTTGATTTCAAGATTGGTTGAATTGTTTGAATCTTCTTTTGATACTCTTCGAAATCGATTGCAGGTACATTCTTTACAAATTCGGTGAGTTTAGTAGCAACTGGCTCTATATCACCCTTTTCAAAGAGAACTGCCTTGTAGTTCATTATAAGTGGTATTTTAGAGATTATCTTTGAATGAACATGTCTATAATCTGATTTCGGGTGTATAGTCGATGATGTCGTTGTTGTTGAACTAGTTGTGGTTGGTTGATTCACTGCACCTCCAAATCCACCACCACCACCATTAAACATTGAAAATGGACTCATCATATTGTTATTGTTATTGTTCATCATATTCAATAATGGATTACCCATAGCATTGCTATTCATTGCATTGTTATTTTGATTAAAGAATCCGTTTATCATTGGTCTGGTATAAAGATGTTAGTTAGTAAAATATGATACCATATTTATATGATATGAACAAAGACATACTGTAACATCATTCCAAGAGGTGTATTTAGGAATTCAGCTGGCAAATCGGTGATTTTCTTTGGTATGTCGACATTCAGTAGAAATTGGGAGAGTTGGTTGGTGAAATGATTACAATTATTATCAAGAAGATGATAGTTTGCCATTCCGAATCTTTGTTTCAATCCATCCAAGTAATCTACAAACACTTCTCTTGGTACATTTGTCTTTCCAAGTTCAACTTTTTCTATTGGTGCACCATATGGTGTCATACCCTATTTAAAAAGTAATATAATAGTTTATTAACAAACAACAACAACAACAACAACAACCAAACCAAAACAATAAAAAATAATATTACGTACTGGTGGAAGAGATTGTATACCACCACCAAAGAAATATTCTCTACCATAAACTACAATACTTGTATGATAGATATGATCGATTTGCTTGCCTATAAACGCCATTGATAGTTGTTTAGCTAATCCATTAGATAGATCATAAACATATAAAACTACTGGTTCCGTCATATTAAATTAATTATCTTTGTATTCAAAAAAAAAAAAAGAATTATAAAATTTTATAATTTTTTTTTTTTTTTCATTGTGTTCATTATTTATATTGTTTTGTTTTTTTTTTTTTGAATCTGACTGACTCATGAAAAACTAAGAATTATGTGTTCAAAATAGTTTTAATCTTATACAGTCAAAGGGAATAGAAATGATTCGAATATTATCATCATAATCAACTTTTAATATTATATATATTTATTGCATGTGAATAAAATTATAGATTTTATTATTTTAGTTTTTTTTTTTTTTTTTTTTTTGTTGGATTAATTCGGTAAAAATAAAACCAGTCTAACATGTGTATTGGTCATTCGAGTATTCAACGTTGATTGTTGTTTGTATGATATATCCAAATACAAAGGTTTCTCCGACTCTCAAACCAACTTGGTAGTCTGGAAGAGTGTAGGTGACATCTCCAGTGTTCGTAACACCCCAAATCTGTTGAATCTTTGGATCCAAGTTGAACTGAAGAGAGTTAATCTTGGATGTACCAATGTTTGTAATTTCCACATTTACAAGCTTATATTGTACGCCATTGTTCAACCATGTAGATACAACGTTCTGAGAAATCTTTCCTTGACAAGATCCAGATGGTTGAGTTGGTGTTTGAGTTGGTGTCTGAGTTGGTGTGTCAGTTGGAGACTCGGTAGGGGTTTGGGTTGGAGTTTCAGTTGGAGTTTGAGTTGGAGTCTCAGTTGGAGTTTGAGTTGGTGTGTCAGTTGGAGTTTGAGTTGGAGTCTCAGTTGGAGTCTCGGTTGGAGTCTCAGTTGGAGTCTCAGTTGGTGTCTCAGTTGGAGTCTCAGTTGGAGTTTGAGTTGGAGTCTCAGTTGGAGTCTCGGTTGGTGTTTGAGTTGGAGTCTCGGTTGGAGTCTCGGTTGGAGTTTGAGTTGGAGTCTCAGTTGGAGTTTGGGTTGGAGTCTCAGTTGGAGTTTGGGTTGGAGTCTCAGTTGGAGTCTCGGTTGGAGTCTCTGTTGGAGTCTCGGTTGGAGTCTCAGTAGGGGTTTGGGTTGGAGTCTCGGTTGGTGTTTGTGTTGGAGTCTCGGTTGGTGTCTCAGTTGGAGTTTGAGTTGGAGTCTCAGTTGGAGTTTGAGTTGGAGTTTGAGTTGGAGTTTGAGTTGGTGTTGGTGTTGAGCTTGGGTTTACGAGAGCAGCCAAAGCACCAACAAAACCAGCATTGTAATCACATGCAACTTCATTTGTAATGTAGTTGGTACGGTCATCAGTGTAGGTATCATCATTAGCTGGACCACCAACAAGTGCTCCTTTGAGGAGATAGAGGTTGTGAACCGGATTGTTAATATCGTTGGTTAAAGAGTGATGTGCAGCACGATGATGTGGATCGATAGGAGCATTGGGACCTATACCAACTACAAATGACTGTTGATTTGGATTGTTACCAAGCATGTAACCGATTTGACTTTGGGTGAAGGCAAGATATTTATCACCACCATAGACGGCAGCCAAGAAAGCTGTTGTGGCGGCATAACGAGTTGGTCCCCATTGGCGAAGCCAAGCCAATCCACCGGGAGTATATTTTACAGATCCACCTTGTAACCATGAGTTCAAGAATGTTTCTGCGTCATTCTGGAAGTTAGCGGCACCGGTAATCTTTGCCATTAGAATTGTACAACCTGGAGCTTTGTTATCCCAATCGTGAGAATTTCCTGGAGCCATATAGTTGATTTGGTATGCAGCGTAGTCAGCTTTGGCTCTATTTAAATAGGTAGCGTCTCCAGTAGCTTTGTAGAGCCAGATAGTACCCCACACAATATCGTCGGAGTAACCAGATGAATTGTAGAACATGGCAGCATCTGGAATGGAATCAGAGTATTTTCCACGGTAGTTGTCACCAAATTGATAGAGTTGTTGGGCATGAGACAAGCAGGTGGCAGAGTAGGCTGGATCTGAATTTGCAAAGATAATAGAGGCTGCAGCGAGGGCAGAAGCAGCTCCCATAGCAACTTCAGTTCCTGGTGCAGAGGTAGTCAATTTGTATAGTGGACGATCCATGTTCAAGAGCTCGGGTGGTCCCCACCATGAGTGATCGAGATTTCCTTCACCGACTTGACCAACAAATTCGTTGGGTGCTGTGTGAGCAGCAATCAACCAATCGGCACCATACTTGATATCCTCGAGGAACAATTGAGTAAGACCACAGGAATCAATGTTGGATTCATATGAGAGGAATGCCCAACCCAACATGGTCATAGAATATGCCATTGGAAGAGCAAACTTGACATGATCACCGGCATCGAAATAACCACCGGCCAAAGCACCATCTACCAACACAGAGTCACCACGCCATGGTACGTCATTATCTGGTAGTTTACCAGCCCTATTATATTTATAAAACATAAGAGCATATTTTAAAGTATCACAATAATCTATTTCAGCAGATTGAACTAAAAACAAAAAAAGGAAATAAATTAATTAGTAATTTTTATTTTATTTTTTTAGGAAACTAGATTGATAAATTACCATAGAATGAAGATAATAAAAACATTACCAAAATGGTAATGGAAATTGATTTAGTGTTCATATTCATGACGGCAATTTCAAATTAATAAAAAGAATCGGTAGGTTTAGTTTAATTACTCTTTTGTTATATGACATATAATATATATATAGATGATAAGATTATTGAAAGATGGATATGGAAATAATTTATGTTTAGAAATGGAGAAAAAAAAAAGTTTTTTTTTTGTTTTTTATGGTTTTACAAAAATATAATTATTAATTATAAATATACACAAAGAAATAATAATTTATATAAATAAAAGTATTTAAATAAACTATTTAGATAGAGATAAGAAATATTTTGATTTGAATGATTTGAATGGCTACTGTCGATTGCTTTAAGCAGTATTTATACAAAAGTTGGGTCGATATGGTACAAAGGTGTCAAATTAAAAATTTGATGGAATTGTGCCTTTTAGAGAATGAGGTATCCATCAAAATGGAAGTTAACCAACTGGAGTTAGATCCAAATATTTGGATCTTCTGACCCTATCGACAAGCCTTACAGGCAGTTCAACTTCAACAGAATAGGTTTTTATTTAATTATTTTTCATAATAAAAAAAAATTAATTAAAAAAAAGTGAAATTTGAATTTTTATTTTAAAAATATTGATTGGTAGTTTTCCCAAATTTGGAAAGGAAAAAAAAATAACTACTAAAAATTAAACTTAAATATGCACCCCGATTTCTATTGAAATAATGAGAAAGAAATTAATATTTGGTTTGAAATTTGGTCTATCTATGAGAATTTATGTTGCTAACAATTTTTAAAAAAACAAAAAAAAAAACCAATGACTTTCATTTTTTTAGATATCTTTTTTTTATATTATTTTATTTTTTAAGATAATTGATTTCGTCCAATGTTTGATCAGATTATGATAAATTAACCAACTTTTATAAAAATGATGAGTCTTTGTGTAGTGTAAAGTTTCTAAATATGTAATAACAATGCCCACATACCTTTGTAAACTTTATAGTATTGTTAGATAGAATTGACTTGACATTTATAAGGTAAAAGTGTTTTCAAAGTATTTCTCCAATAGATTAACAAAACATGTTGCTATCGTTTTCGTCCATGATTAATAGTTGTATAACTACATTTTCTTTTATATGAACGTTCATTCTGATATCCAACTATTTGATAAACCAACCAACTATTCTTCATTCTGACTTTTTTCTTTATTCACTCTTTTAATTAATCTAAACTACAAATTTTCAAATAACTAATATTCAATTATTAATTATTTATAAAGTTCTTTTAATTTTTGAAAGTATAGTTATAACTAACTTTAGATTTAGATTTGAATGAAAAAAAAAAAAAAAAAATTCGCCTGGTTGGTGAATTTCATTCGCTTTTATTATTTTCATCTAGATTTGTTTTGTTATTTTCGTTGTCAATTATTATAAATATATAGATAAAATAGTTGTAAAAAAAAGATGGCAATCAGTGTTATAGATGTTTATTTAAGATTTGAAGGTATATTATATGCTTTGATGGCAATGGCAGGTTTTCTCGCACCAACCTCAATGATGTCAATGATGAATTGGGATAACTTGTTGGCGTCGGAGGGTGTTATTGTTGTCGAGGGTGCCGAAGTAGACGAATATACACGTCTGCCGTTAGCATATCATAAGATGGCCGAGAGTCTAGTGCAGATCTTGATCTATTACACAGCGATTTTCAGTGCATTCCAATCCCTAAGCATTTTCACTGCTTGCTTCACATCGAACCCCTCCTTGCGTTCAGCACTCATCAAGTTGAATCTCTTCCTCAGTCTCTGTCTGATCGTAGTCAACGGTTGGATTATCTCACAGAAGCAGTCTATCTACACAGAGACTGGTCTCTACAGCTTCTGGGCAACCTTTATCTTTTACGTTATCGATTTCTTTATTCTTTCATTCCTCACCGAAGTCATCCCATACCTCAAATCTATGACAAACAAAGCACTTGCAACAACAGAGACCGAATCGAAAAAAGATAAAAAAGATAAAAAAGATAAAAAGAAATAATCATATCAATAAAATTAAACCAATAGAATAAATATAATATATATGGATAAAAAAGATAGATTATTTACGATAAATCTTTATTAAATAATTGAAATTTATATCTAAAAATAACATTTTAACATATCATTAATAGAATATAAATTTGAAAGACTTTTTAACCATTTTAATTCCAACGGCAATTTGCAAAACAGTTGGATACTCTCTGAGGACAATCATTGTAAGGTTGGTAGTATTGATTGCTGTTTCTAAGATTGTTGTAGTAGTTTGTGTAACAATTGTCTGATTCATTTTGACAGTTTCTTTGGCAATCATAGTAGTTGGCCGATGCAACTCCCAAAAATACCACCATGGCAAATAAAGTAAAGATAAATAACTTGTTCATTCTTTTGTTTTTTATTTTTGGTTTTAAATGTATGTTTTTAATACAAAAACAAATTATTCAATCAATTTATACTTTTTTTTTCATTTATTTTAAACAATGATGAAATTATAAATAGAATAGATCTATCTTTAGTAAAAACATATATACCTTTTTATAGTTGGTCAAATAAAATTATAACTTTCACAATAAAAGATATTGTTCTTTTTATCTTTAGATAAATCTATTCATTTAGCACTTTTTTTTTGTTAGTGTTTTATTTTTTTTATATTTAAATAAATTTAAATTCTTTAAGCCAAATAGGGACAAATAGATTCATCTAGAAATATTCTATAATTTTTATTTCTAATTCTCAAAAACTTATTAAAAATTTAAATAATTTTGTTCCCTGTTTTTTTATCTTCCTTTCCACTTTATTTCAAAAATCATAAGATACCTGATTGATCACTTCTACTACAAAAAATATAAAGAATAAAATATTATAAATTTAGAAACATTATTTAAATAAAAGTATGAATTAATTTTATTTAATTTTTTTTTTGTTTTCTCTCTTTAGAAAACCAAGTTCTCAATAAACACTGATAGCTTATTGGCAATGAGAGAAACATTCAGTGACTCTTTGTGGACAATCATTGTATTGTTGGTTTTGGTTGTATTGGTTCCATTGTCCGTATTGATTATATTGGTTATATTGTTGGTTTCTGTAAAAGTTGGTGTAACACATGTCAGAGAAGTTTTGACAGTTCTGTCTGCAGTTCTGGTCATAGTTGGCAGAGGCAACTCCACACATGAGTACAATTGCAAAGAAGGCAAAGATAATTAGCTTATTCATTTTTGGATTATTAACTTTTTTAATTTATTGAATCTTAAAAGACTATAAAATGTTTTGTTGATATTAAACTATCTTTTTCTATTCTATTTATACTTTTTTTTTTTGATCCCCTTATTATAAAATTAAATTAGAAATATTTTTAAAACCAAAGATATATCTAAATCCTAAAGAAGTATCTATTATTTAAAAAAAGATAATTCATAGTAAACAAAAAAAAAATTGTCTATAGATAAAACTGTAAATTTTTAAAGTAATATGAAATTATGAATCTAATATTTATTGATGACAAATAATAATAAATTGAAATAATAATAATAATTTACAAAACAGATCCAAATCTAATATGAGATTGGAATCTTTTATCGGGTGTCATGTGAGTACTTCTTACTAGCGATGCGCTATTCGAGCTTTGACGTAGAATTTTGATAGTTTCAGATCTTCCATACTTATGTACAAACTCTTCAAATGTTTGGAATCCACCACCTACTCTTACAACCAAATTACCACTGAGAATAGAGGTGTTGATTCTTCTAGATCCAAATTGATACAATCCTTCCGATACTCTTTGGAAATTTGGTGGAATAAGACCTCTGATCTCATCGTCGTCATTATGCAAACTATGTATTACGCTCTCGACCATAATATCCAGTTGGTCGTTCTCATTGGCTACATACTCTACACCACCTTTACTCTGCAGCTCAGACAAACTTCTAATGAGAATCATCTTCTTCTTCAACTCTAACAACTTGATAATTATCTTTTGAATTTGAACAACCATATCCGAGCGCTGGTCATGCCATTTCTGAATGTCTGGTCTGTGCTTTGCTATTGGTTCCTCCAACTCGTTCGAAGTCAACTCTGTCTGTTTGTCGATATCCATTAAAACCTCTTGGCACTCTGATTGATATCCAGTACTTTTGTTAAAATCATTCTTTAGCTGTTGTGTTTGGCTCTGTAGCTCCGTAACCAGACTCTGTGCTTTCTCATTCAATTCATCTGGATTATCAATTAACTGTGCAATATTGTTTGTGGAATCCTCTTCTAAATATGGCTCCAGTCTATTAAGTAATGTTTCTATCTTTAGATCAAAAGGATCAGCAGACTCCAAATAAACTGGTGAACTCTCCGTTTCTTTGGCAACTTTTTTGAATATTTCCATACATCTCTTGATTCTCTGCTCACCCTTGTCATACAATTGACTCCACTGCTCGTAACTCTCAGAGAATTGGTCCATCTCTGTCTGACCATGGCTTATCTGTAAGGCTTGTAACTCTGTGCTAAGTTTGTCCAAGGGATATTTCAAGCTCTTCTTATCCATCAGCAAACTATCAGTCTCTGAAATCTCTCGAACTGCCATCAAGTCTACAAACGACTCCAACTCACTATCGTTTTCATCAGTAAACTTCTGACCATCCACAACAAAACCCAGACATTGCTTTATCTCATTTTTTACAATAGCAACCATCTTCTCCAACACTTCACCATTTCTCTCAAATGACTTTAGGTACTTCTCCAACACATCCAATCCATCCCTGAAACGTATCAAAGGATTATCATACTTTCCAGAAGCTCTTAAACTTTCGTCCAAGAATCTTCTAAGATTAATATTCACAATAAAATATGAATCTCTTTGTTTTCTATACCTAAATAATAAAATTGAATAATTAATACTAAACTAAAAAGTCAATTTTTTTTTAATGAACTGATACATACTGGAATATATGTCTATCTATTGAAATTAAAACTTTTGGCCAATTATATTTCTTTTTGTTTGATAGTTGATTTTCATTTGGTCTTAGATATTGTCCAGATTGCATGAGCTCAATTGCTTTCTTCTTTCCCGACTCTGAATCCTCTGCCTTTTGGATGAGGTCATTCTTTTCTTGACTGAAATTCATCTGCATACTCTGCTTTTCAGATAGTAACTTCATTCTGTTGTTTCTTTCCTCTTCCAACTCGCCCTCCAATGCCTTGAGATCATCGGTCATCTCCTCCCTCTCCTTTTCAAGTTGTTTGATCTGTAGCTGGTATCTCTCAAGATCGTTACTCTCTTCCAGTTTCTGTAGAATCTTGTCATTCTCTGATTGCAATGCTTGTTTCTCTTCTTCCAACTCCTTTGCATATTTGGCAAATGCTTGTTTCTCCTCCTCCAACTTCTCAATCAAATTATCTTTAACTTCATTTTCTTTCTCCAATTGCTTCTCACGCGACCGTTTTGAAATACTGGATTCTGAAGATCCACCATCATCACTATCCAACAACTCTAATAGCATCTGAGCGGTTGGTGAACTACTATTGGCAGTATTATTGTTTCCAGTGTAACTACTGATCAATTTTATTTTTTGTGGTGTACCATCGTGAACTACTGGATTGGAACTTGGATCGTCTGCCTTCTTTTTGATAATATTGATTCTGGCGGTGATACCTTCTATCCAATAAATTCTATCTTGTTCACTACTTGCATAAACTGAATATACTCTTCCGGGTGCTAAAATTATTTATAAATATTTAAATTTAAATTGATCACTTGATTTTTATTTTTCTCTACATACTTGTTAATTCGAATCCCCACGTTGAACCACTGTTTAAAGCACTATTTTTCGAAACACTGGTGTGTAGAATTTCTCTAAGTTTAATAGATCCACAAAGCTTCAATTCAACCTTTGATGTGTAGTAGTAGAGAACATCTTCATTCTCTGGTAAGATACACCATCGCTTTTTGTAGAGTTTCAACACTCCTTTTACACCCAATTTGAATAAATATCCTTGAAGTGCAGAAGGCATTTTGAAGAAAAAAAAAAACAAATATAAAACTTCTAAACCTGAAGACTAATAATCTCTGTTTCTTTTAATACGTAATTAAATTAAATTAACAAGTTTTAAAATTGTTGTCAAATTTGATAATTATTGGAATTTTATTTTATTTATTTTTATTATTATTGGCTTTTTGATAATTAAAAGAGTAAAAGGGAATGAGTAAAGAAACTAATTCAAAGGTGGTATCTTGATATCTATAATTTTTGCGATATTTATTAAAAGTTTTAGTAATTGGTGGGGTTAACTCCGGTGGTGTTTTTTTTTATTAAACCGTGTGTCTGCAGATGGGATTTAATTTTGTTCAAGGAATAGATTTTTTTTTGATAATTTGATTTAGGTGAGAAAATCAATGAGTAAATCAAAGAGATCTTAAGATGTTAAATTTATTTTTTATATAGGAAATTGATGAGAATGAAAAAACATTTAAACTCTTAATTACGATTTAAATCAATAATTATTCGGAATGAAAACAAAATTTATTTACTTGTGTTTTTTGTTTTATTTTACATTGTTTGTTATTAAACTTAAGCGGTATTGTTATTCAAATAAATAAACTTAAAGAAGAGATAAAGGAGAAAAAAAAACTTGAAGTTGGTGATTGAAAATCATTTGAAGTAGGAGGTATGGTTGGTTTTTGTTTGAAAATCAAACTATACTTTTGGAGGGAAGGGGATTTGGATTATTATTATTGTTGTTTTGTTTGTTTTTTTTTTTGTTTTTTTTTTTGGTATTTCTGATACGTTTAGAGAAGTGTACAGGCTTTGAGGATTGATTTCTTCTTGTGGTTCTTCTCTGGCTTGGAGTCACCCTTCAAATCCTTTCTGATCTCACGGACAAGAGTGTAGAAACCTTCTTCGACGTTGACACGAATCTTGGCAGAGGTTTCGAGGAATGGACAACCGAATGACTTGGCCAAGTCTTGACCCTCACCTGTGGTGACTTGACGTTCAGACTCCAAATCGCACTTGTTACCGACAACGATCATTGGAACTCTGTCTTTGTCCTTGACTCTGAGAATTTGCTCACGGAAAGCAGCAATTTCATCGAATGATGAACGTGAAGTGATAGCATAGACACAGAGGAAACCTTGACCGGTTCTCATGTATTGATCACGCATAGCAGAGTACTCTTCTTGACCAGCAGTATCCAAGATATCCAAAAGACAAGTCTCATCATCGATAGTAACTTGCTTTCTGTATGAATCTTCGATGGTGGGATCGTATTCATCAATGAAGTGATTTTGAATCAATTGAATAGTTAAGGCAGATTTACTAAAAAAATAATAATAATAAAATAATAATAGAAATAATAAATAAATATATATATTAATATGTTATAATTTATTTTATATTCAAATGACCAATTGAATCGCTAATGAATTTGATGAATAAAGAGTCTAATCAAAAACAAATCAATTGGAGATTGTTCAATGGCTAAATCTTATTTAAAATAATACATACCCTACACCACCACCACCGACAATAACCAATTTGTATTCAGTCATTTTTATATAGTTGTTGTTTTTTTCTAAAGATTGATTAAATAGAATAATATTACAATTGTTTGTTGTTGAAAATAAAAGATTCTAAAGTTGTTTTTTGCTTGGTAGAACTACTAGAGAATTGTGAAAATAATAAAAATCGATTGTTTAATAAGTTAAAATTAAGTTAGTGACTTTCAATCTATCTTATTAATCTGTAATTATATAAATATATATAATGTGTGTGTGTGTGTGTTTGATGGTTGATGTAAAAACCAATAAAAATAATAATAATAATCTACAATAAAAAATAATAGTGATTTGTTTGACGACTGCACTATTCAACAACAAATTTTTATTTAAAAATAAAAATAAAAATAAAAAATCACATGCAAAAAAATAACAAAAAAATATATATCATTAAAGGTGGTTCGCCCATATATATATTTTTTTTTCAGATTTTTTTTATCTTTGATGTTTTTGGCAGTTAATGAGACTTGATTTTAAACAAAAAAAAAGGTGTTTTTAAAAAATAAAAATAAAAAAAGGGGCACCTTGAATGAAAATTATTGTAAAAGCATTAAAAAATTTAAAGACTTTGGCAAATTTTGATCGTATGGATCCACTCTGAACCCATCACAAAGAAATAAAAATCTATAATAGTTTAAATCCAAAAGGGTATGATTTTGTTTGAATTACAGTGTGGACAACCGCCACATTTTTTACTATCCACAAAACAAACATGATATTTTGAAGTCTGATTTTTTTTTTTTTTTTTACATTATTGTTGTTGTCCATCGCGATCCACAAATTAAAAATAACATTGTGTAAAGTTGTTTTGTTTTTTTTTAAAAGTGATTGTTGTGCATTGGGGATCCAATCTAAAAGATAATGATTTTTTTTTATAAAAAAGTCCAATGTGTAAACTACCAAATGAATAAGTTCAAATTTTAAGTATTATATGAAAAATAAATAATTATTACTAACAGAAACAGAATTATGTAATTCTCCATATGTTTAATATTAAAAATTCCCTTTATGATTGAATTTATGATAAAGTTGATGGGCAAAGTTTTTTTTAATATACCTTAAAGAAATTTATTTTAGATAATTTGAGGTCTTTTTTTTACACGAATGAACTTATTTGTTTGTTTTGATCATTGCTTTTGAACAGACATTTAAAGGTTTTTAGGAAGCCAATTTTTTTTTTTTTTTAAAATCTCATTTTTTTTTTTTTTTGTTTTCGCTCAATCAACTTCATCGAATTATTTTGTGGTAATCAAATCAGCTCTTAATATAGTACAAAAAAACTGTTAAAAAGATATTAATATTAAACAGTATTAAGATAGTAAGTAAAAATTAAGAAACAATAAAAATGTACAAATATCTTTGGTTTAATTAAATAGGATTATGTTCAATAAATGATTAGAATTAAATATCAGTTGACAATAATCTCATTGAATTGAATTTTGGTTACATTCTCAAACCTGATCGTAAAGTTTTTACAAAGTAATTATCTTTGTATGATCAGCAGACATATCAACTATTTAATCTATTGGTTGAATTCAAATTAAAATCAAATACACATTGTTAATATTTATATTGTACTTATATTATTTGAATCATTTATACACCTTATATAGTAATGATTAAAAAGTCATCAACCCAACCCACACAACCATCTCTTATCACACCCACCACTACCACCACATAAAACTTACCACTTTTTTGGCAAAATTCTATGCTTTATATTATAATTAATATGTACATATATACATTTTTACACAAAAATTTATATAATCATATATATATGTGTAGTAATGTAATTATTTTAGTTACTGACAGACACTCTAGTAGCACTTATAGAGGAAAAAATTGGGTGTAATGAAAGAAAGAGGGTATCTGGATGTTTGAACAATTCTAGATTTCACAAAGTGTTTATTTTTGGGATGTATATAATGGTATTGTTAATTATGTATTCTCAGTCTGGTTTACTTATTATTGCAATATTTACTTTTATTTTTATTTTATTTATGGATGTTATTTGTTACTACTCCTGCTTCCTTATCATCACCAATTGGATTATTGGTTTTTATCTAGGTTACTGTAACATAGTGAATCGTCTGTTATATTATTTAAACAATATTGATGGTTTTGTATTGTTTTGTTTTGGACCCAAAATATGTTGGTTGTGGGATTAGTGGTTCCTGTTTACTTTGGTATATTATATTCTATTGTTAACAACTAATCAGTAATTATAAAATAGTTACTATTGATTGGGTTATTATTCAATTTCAAGTTATTTTATGAATTTAATGAATAATATTATCAGTTGTAGTTTATTTAAAATATTTTATTATACCCAATTAAAAATTCAATTCCAAATTTACCAACACATCATGCTTATTTCTTTTGTTAATTATGTAAATCAATAATCGTTTTATTATTATTTAATAGTCTGAAATCAAATGATATTTGATAATTGAATATTTTTGTCCAATGTTTCGGGAGTGGTGGACACCGTATCAACATGGTAGTCTATTAGTATCAAAGTAGAAATAATCAATATCATTGATTTTCACTTCCTGAAAATGATTAATTAAAACCCATTTAATTTCGTCTGAATCATAATTTATAAATTGTTGACGATATTTATTAAATAGAACAATAATAATAGAATAATAGAAATAGAAAAAAAACATTGACATATAAGGAAAGCTCATAACTTTGTGTCGTTTGGCAATCACAATCATTAGATACCATCACTCAACTTTAGTTTATCCAAAGACCACAATAGTTCTTAAAAATAATAATATTTTTTTTTATCCATTCCTTGTCACAATACATGTCTATCTATTTGACAAATGAATAAGATTAATTAAAATTAGATTAATTTTTTTTAAAGTTACAAATCAATCAATCACTTAATTCATTCAAATCACTTTAGTAATTCATAGGACTCGGATAATAAATCCTTTATCTATATTTTATAAATTATTTATTAATAAGCTATTTAATCTATTTATTTTTATTTATTATGGTTTTATATTTCTTTTTGATTCCGATACATAAAACATGCATTTTGTAATATTTCTACTTCTACTATTAGTCTTATATCTTATTTATTCTTTTGTAGGTATTGATATTGTTTAAAATATAAATAATTTCAATTAATACTAAACATAATTTTACAGGTATTTAAAAATGTTAAATTCTCGAGTATAGATCCACCCTCTGCAGGAATACCATTACCGATAATAGGAAATTTATATCAAATAGCGACAAGTAAGCTGCCACATAGAACGTTATGGGAGTTATCTAAAAAGTATGGAGACATATTTTCGATGTGGATGGGAGATTATTATTATATTGTTATTAGTGATCCATCTTTTATTCGTGAAGTATATCAACATAATTTCGAGAACTTTGTCGACCACACAGATTTTCCTATTGTCAATGTTTGTATGTATTTACAAATTAACACTATCATAGTCTCGTCATATTAACAGTTTATTTAAGTATCTTCAAACAATATGGATTTAGCTGCGGCCAAAGGTGACAACTGGTTATACAGAAGAAAATTGGTGGCAAGTGTATTTGCAAAAGCAAAAATACGTTCCAGTACTCCTATAATAGACAAACAAGTATCAAACTTGTTAAACAAAATGAAAGAGATACACCTTTCCAAACAAAATGTAAGTAGTTTGTTGGATTTTATTTCTATTTTAAGTATTTATGGTTATTTATTCTTTTTTTTTTTTTTTAGATGTATCCTAGAAGATATTTCAAAAAATATTCGATAAATGTAATTTTCAAAATGTTGTTTTCGGAAGAGATACCATATGATGAGGGTATTTACGAAGGTAGACTTGCTTTGTTGGTCGATCCAATCGAAAAAATCTTTAAAAGACTTGGTGAAACTAAGCTCTATGACTACCTTGGGTTCCTTAAGCCTTTCTACTTCTTCTATGTGAAACTCTTTGGATCTGAAGTTGATGTATTGCATCGATTCACTAGAAAACTATATGCCGAAAGATTGAAAAACATTGACCCTGAAAAGTAAGTAGACTAAATTAAAAAACTTTGATTCCCAAATTTCTAATTTAATATCGAAAAAAAAACAGTCCAAAGGATTTATTTGATACATTAATTATTGATTCTGCTGGAAAGAATTTAGAATCTGTAATAACTATTGCAACTGACTTTATTGCAGTAGGCGTAGATTCAACCGCAACGGCACTGGAGTGGTTAGTTCTGTATTTAATTAATTATCCAGAGGTACAGGAGAAGGTTCGCAAGGAGTTAAGAGGTGTGGTTGGATCGGACGGTGTCATTCGTGAGTCTCACCGCATAAACACACCGTATACTGTTGCCGTCATCAAAGAGACAATGAGAATACGACCTATTGCGCCTATGATTCTACCCAGGGTTGCAAAAGACCCAATTGTGATCGGTGACTATTTCATTCCAAGAGACGCAAACGTTCTGGTCAACTTCCATGCACTCAATCATAATACCAAGTACTGGGAGCACCCAGAAAAGTATATTCCAGAAAGATTTTTGGATAATAATCATACCGAATATTATGTGCCATTTGGAATTGGACCAAGGAATTGTGTTGGATTAAAGTAAGTTTGTGCAGAAAAACAAGATTGAAAAGAATAGTTACTAATTTTTTGATACAAATTATAAAGTTTGGCAAATGATATATTGTATATGGGATTCGCTAATATTGTATTAACATTTACTCTGAAATCTGACAATGTGCCACTACCCGATATGGAAATATTAGGTTTCTCTGCACATCCGGATACATTCCCAATTTCAATGGAGTTAAACGATAAACCAAGTCAATTTGTACATTAGTAAAGTTTATGTGTTTTTTTGTTGATCAAGACTATAAATATTTTAGTGTTTTATTCGAAATAAAAATTTTATGAACACCATTAAAAAAAAAAAACTCAAAATTTAACTTACTGATGTTTAAACGATCGTACATTGTACATATAAACCTTATAGCTGTTAATGAAATAAACACTTACAGTGTCAACCACACAAACAGTAAAACCATTTGAATTAATTAATTATTTTTAAATATTAAAGTTAATTCATAATTGTTGGTAATAGATCTATATCATAATCAATTTGTTAATAATTAACTATTTATCTGTATGAATATCTTTATTTTCTTTATTATTTCATTCACATTTTATGTTATTACATCATATATCTCTAAATTGCGAAAGTTCTCAGAGAAAAATGACCCAAAAGGACCATCGGTAATACCAGTGTTGGGTAATCTTCACCAAATGGGAAAACTACCACACAGAACATTCTTGGAGATGACTAAAACCTATGGTGATGTTTTTAGAGTTTGGATGGGTGATGTATGTACTTTTTAATAGTTTTGATTTTGATTTATATCAGATGATTAACCATTCTTGTTTTTAAATCTTAAAATAGTATTACACTGTTGTTGTGAGTGATCCAGTCATTGCCAAATTGATTCTTGTAACACATCATGATAACTTTTTGAATCGTGTACAGAATCCAACATTCAGTTTAGCCAGTAATCACTATCAGAATTTGGCGGCAGCAAGAGACGAGCGATGGCACCACAATCGAATGTTGTTTGCAAATTCTTTATCGAAGTCCAAAATACGTTCTGCAGTCCCAGTTATGGAGAAACAAGCTGAACTCCTCATATCAATGATGTCACAATTGCAAAAATCAGGTCGACCTGTAAGTCTAGTTTTCAAATCTTCATTGCGTTGATATTGACTCTTGTTCATAGTTTTCACCAATGAAATATTGTAAGAAATATGCATTGAATATTATTTTTAGTATTGTATTTGCAGATGAGATTCCTTACGAGGAGGGTGTTGATGAAGGTAGATTTGGAATGTTACTTCATCCATTAAATTCTTTTTTTAAAACACTTGGAACAGGATCGTTAGTCGACTACATAACCATTTTACAACCTTTGTTTTATGCATTCAGAAAATTCACAGGCACTGAAATGGATCCAATATTTAATTTTGTCTCAAAGGCTTATGATGAACATGTTGCAACTTTAGATCCAAATAAGTAAGTTTATATTAAATTAAATTACTTTAATATTTACAGATTCTAATAATAATAAAAATAATAATAACAGTCCAAGAGATGTTCTTGATATTTTTATTATTGATTCAGAAGGAAAGGATAGAGTTGGTGTAATTGCTGTTACCATTGACTTTATGTTGGGAGGTACAGATACTAGTGCAACTACAATCGAATGGTTCCTTTTGTTCATGGCCAATAATCCAGATATTCAAGAAAAGGTTGGAAAGGAATTGAAGGAAGTTGGTGGTGTAAATGGAAAGTTCACTCTTGCCAACAAACCAAACACTCCATATTTGAATGCAGCCATCAAGGAAACACTGAGACTGAGACTTGTAGGACCATTTGGATTACCACGTGAAACCAGAGAATCAATCTTGTTGAATGATCAAGTATTCATTCCAAAAGGTTCTCAAATCATTATTTGTTTCTTCGGTATGAGTCACGATGAGAAACGATGGAGTGATCCAGAAACATTTAGACCTGGGCGTTTCCTTGAAGATTCCGAGGTGAATCACAATGAATATTACCTTCCATTTGGACAAGGACCACGTAATTGTGTTGGAATGAACTTGGCCAATGATGAACTTTACCTCGCAATTTCCAATATCATGTTAAACTTTATCGTCTCCTCGCATGATAGTAAACCAATAGACGATACTGAAAACTTTGGCTTAACAATCAAACCAACAGAGTTCCTTTTGAAATTGGATAAAAGATTTTAATAAAAAATGTTTTGACAATAAATAATAGTAATTACAGGTAATAGATAGAATCCTATGTATATCATAAACATTTTTGAATGTTCCCTCTATAGATTAGTAATATCATTATTATTTTAATTTTTTGTTTTTTTTTTGTTTAAAAAGTACTATTAAATAGTTTATAAATTTAACTAAATAAAAATAGAAAACTTAACCGTTCTAATTGATTTTCATCTGAGCAATAATCACAAAAAAATGTTCTACTCACAAAAATTGGGTGAAAGAAAAAATTTTCAAGGAACTGGGGGTTTACCACTTGATTAATCTTTGAAAAATTAAATTTTCTGAATAAATAAGCAGAGCTTTTTTCCTTAAAAAATGTCAAAACCAAAAATAAAACAGTTCAACAAGCCATCAAAAAAAAAAAAAAACTTCAGTTGTTGATTGTTAAAAATAGATTTACATCATAATCAATTATTAATTTTTTATTTATCTAGAATGAATATCTTTATTTTCTTTATTATTTTATTCACATTTTATGTTATTACATCATATATCTCTAAATTGCGAAAGTTCTCAGAGAAAAATGACCCAAAAGGACCATCGGTAATACCAGTGTTGGGTAATCTTCACCAAATGGGAAAACTACCACACAGAACATTCTTGGAGATGACTAAAACCTATGGTGATGTTTTTAGAGTTTGGATGGGTGATGTATGTACTTTTTAACAGTTTTATATCAGATGATTAACCATTCTTGTTTTTAAATCTTAAAATAGTATTACACTGTTGTTGTGAGTGATCCAGTCATTGCCAAATTGATTCTTGTAACACATCATGATAACTTTTTGAATCGTGTACAGAATCCAACATTCAGTTTAACCAGCAATCACTATCAGAATTTGGCAGCTTCAAGAGATGAGCGATGGCATCACAATCGTAAGTTGGTTGCAAACTCTTTATCGAAATCCAAATTACGTTCCACAGTTCCAGTTATGGAGAAACAAGCTGAACTTCTCACAATAACGATGTCACAATTGCAAAAATCAGGTCGACCTGTAAGTATAGTTTTCTATAAGATCAAAAATTTGTTATGAAATTTGTATTGACAATCTATTGTAATAGTTTTCACCAATGAAATATTGTAAGAAATATGCATTGAATATTATTTTTAGTATTGTATTTGCAGATGAGATTCCTTACGAAGAAGGTGTTGAAGAGGGTAGATTTGGAATGTTACTTCACCCATTAGATACTGTTTTTAAAACACTTGGAGCAGGATCGTTAGTCGACTACATAACCATTATACAACCTTTGTTTTACGCATACAAAAGATTCACTGGAACTGAAATGGATCCAATATTTAATTTTGTTTCAAAGTTGTATGATGAACATGTTGCAACTTTAGATCCAAATAAGTAAGTTTTTAAATTTATTTAGAAAAATAGATTAAAAATTCTAATAATAATAATAATAATAATAATAATAATAACAGTCCAAGAGATGTTCTTGATGTTTTGATTATTGATTCAGAAGGAAAGGATAGAGTTGGTGTAATTGCTGTTACCATTGACTTTATGTTGGGAGGTACAGATACTAGTGCAACTACAATCGAATGGTTCCTTTTGTTCATGGCCAATAATCCAGATATTCAAGAAAAGGTTGGAAAGGAATTGAAGGAAGTTGGTGGTGTAAATGGAAAGTTCACTCTTGCCAACAAACCAAACACTCCATATTTGAATGCAGCCATCAAGGAAACACTGAGAATGAGACACGTAGGACCATTTGGATTACCACGTGAAACCAGAGAATCAATCTTGTTGAATGATCAAGTATTCATTCCAAAAGGTTCTCAAATCATTATTTGTTACTATGGTATGTGCCACGATGAGAAACGATGGAATGATCCAGAAACATTTAGACCTGAACGTTTCCTTGATGGTTCTGAAGAGAAACACAATGAGTACTTCCTTCCATTTGGACAAGGACCACGTAACTGTGTTGGAATGAACTTGGCTAACGATGAAATGTACATTGCAATTTCCAATATCATGTCAAACTTTATCGTCTCTTCACACGACGGTAAACCAATAGACGATACCGAAAACTTTGGTTTGACCCTCAAACCAACCGAATTCCTTTTGAAATTAGACAAAAGATTTTAATAGAAAATATTTTTATCTCCTATCTTTGTGATTTTAGCCAAAAAAAATAAAATAAAAAAAACCTAGGTTCCCAAGGACATAGAGTATTGTGGGTGATGCACATCATCATCTTTTACAAAAATAAAAATAAAAATCTACTGTCAACACAGGCGATTGTTCAATCAAAATGAGACTAGCTGTTAGAAGCATCTTTCACTTTATTGAATCCGTTGTTGTCATTTGAGAATGATTAGTCGATAGAATAAGAATTTAGAAAAATAAGATGATGTAAAATGAATCATAGTTAAGTGATTCATTATTCAATTATAATTGAACTTATTACAAAATGAATTTGTTTCCATTAATCATTATTTTATTTGTGTAAATGGTATTAACAATATAGTTAATAGCAGTACAAAACTAACTTTTCATAATGATTATATTTAATATAGGTATCTAAATTGCGAAAGTTCTCTGATGATCATGACCCTAAGGACCATAAGTTTTACCAGTGTTAGGTAATCTTCACCAACTAGGTAAATCTCCACATATCACTTTGATGAATATGACTAAAACCTACGGTGATGTATTTAAGTTTTGGATGGGTGATGTATGTATAAGTAATTAGTTTTTAACAAATATAAAATTAGATTATTTAAATTAGTCAATCGTTATAATCATAATCTAATTTTTGATTAATTAATTAATTAATTAATCAAAATAAGAGAAATGCTACCCTTTTTTACACACCAAAGTGTGGGAATCGTGAACTCCATTTTTTTTTCATTTTTTAATATGAGACCATGGTCATTTTTTTTTCAAAAATTTAATGTTCATTAAACTATTATTATATTCTACCATTAGTATGAGATATGCCTTTTTTTTTTTGCAAAAAATTATCATTTTTTTTTATCATAAGTATGAGATGAGACCCAAGTTTCATTAAAGGTGATTGATTTAATTGATTGAGAAAAACAGTTACACATATTTAAATTAAATTAAATTGTCAAATTTGTTTATTTATTGTCTCACAATCTTTCATATCTAAATAGCTATAATGATAATATGGCAATAGAATATAAAATAATTGGTTAACCATGAGCCAAATAGATTAGTATTACACCAAAATTATACAAATTTTACAAATATAAATTTTATTAGAGAATTTGTCCAACACAAATGTGTCTCACTTTTCCTTTCTCTCGTATTTGTTACTCATACAGAATCTGATAATATTTTTATATATTTTAAAGAACCTAGCCATATTCGCAATTATGTCAAAGATATTTGTTCTTGTACAACATATAAGGTCAAAGTAAACACTGTTGGTTCATTTTTTGGGGATCAAGAGAAGGAGTTTAAAGTTTTAGTAAGTACACTATATAACTAACTATTCATTATATACTATAGTTTAGAATAGTCATTAATTTTTATTTCTTTTAGTTTTAAGTCCAAAACCAGGGACCTTCATGAGTTGCGTAGCATCGAATTTAAAGAAGATATAAGTTCAAGATATTTAAATACTTTATTGCTGATCTCGAGCCAACAAAACGAGATGATTTTATTATTCGATCAATGTCCAATTATCTTATGGGTGATGTTAACAACTTCACCACTCAACACTCTTATACTCCACAACCACAACCACACAGTACACAACAGCAATTAGACGCGCCATCAAACAGCCACTCCCGTGAATCCAGATAATCTGGATTTTACAGCTTTACAAAATCAATTGAAGTTACATCTGCAAGATATAGAGTGTGAAATCAAAAGGGATGTGTTCATCTGGATACCAAAGTTAATTCTATTTTATCAATTCTGGCAAAAATATTTTACAATCAAGCGAAACAAAAGGTTAAATTGGGTTGATGGCTCTATTTTTCTGTTCCTTGAAGAACAGAACCAAAAGCTCTGGCTGATACACATGTTCGATGATATCTATTGATATGGCTTTTTCATGTAGTCCTGGTTTGGCATACAAAAGTCTTTGTATTTCCATCTGTGAGTAGGTTAAAAATCGCACAAGATTGTCAGTTTGGGATAGATTGCGAGTGCTGACAATTCTTTGCACTTGGTATGAATTGTTTGGATTGCGAATATCCATGACCTTTGTATAATGAAAGAATGATTGAAATCGATACATTTTATCGATGAAAAGTATCAAAATTATTTAATTTATTTCTATCAAAAACTAATATTAACAGAGGCTCAATATATAAATTGATGCTTAAAATGCAATGTTAATATTAGTTTTTGATATTCACAAACTTAACCCCAAATAATAATACAAATTAAATGTTTTTAATTCAAAAAGCAAAGTGTGAGTGTGGCTCTTATTAGTTTTAAAATCAACAATATATAATTATTTATTTAATTAAAGATGGAGTATATTCAAATTTGGTTATTGGCACTTGCTGGTCTTCGTGCTTTGGGTTTCTCACAAGCTTTATTCAACATTGGTAGATTGAGAACGAATATTTATTCAGGAAATCCAACTCAAGGTATGCTTAACTGGTGATCATTAAATTATGAATGATCAAAAGTTATATATTAAATATTATTATTATTTACTAATAGTTTTATGTTATTTGTAATATTTTAGTTACAGGATTGACAGCTAGATTGTTTGCAGCTTGGACATCGGTGGGTTTTGTTTTGTGTGTAGCAACAGCTTACAACCCATACAATCAAACATTGTTCACTGTAACATGGACCTCATTTGTTTTTGTTTTACTTCACTTCCTCGCAGAGATTCTTATCTTTAAGAGTTCATCGTTTAAAGATGTTTTTCCACTACTCTTCGTATCTAGTAAGTTTATATAGCAATGCAATCTATTCAAATGAATTCAATCATCATTAAATATCCAATTAAAACTAATTTGTTTTTATTTCTTTCAAATAGCAACTTCAATTGTTTGGATGGGTAACATCTTATTGAATTGGTAAATCTTATTTTAAAATAAAAGATAAAGATTGGTGAAATATATTTTATTCATTCAAAAGAGACACACGATGAAAAAAAAAAAAAAAAATTTATTTATCTTTAATTCTATTCTATTTTAATCGATTATGCTGTTGTTCAATTTGAAATTTATTAAATGTTTAGTATTATAATATTATTGTAAATGATCCTGTGATTGCAAAGCTCATTTTGGTTACCAAGGTTAATAACTTTTTAAATAGAAATCAAAACCCAACTTTTCAATCGCTAGCAATCACTATAAAAACTTGGTGAGTGCCAGAGATGAGCGTTGGTACCACAATCGTAAGTTGGTTGCAAATTCATTCACAAAAACAAAACTAAGTTCCACAGTCACGGTTATGGAGAAACAATCTGAGCTCTTTATTTCAATGATGTCACAGTTTCAAAAATCAGGTGAACCCTTAAGTTTATTAAATCTCTAATAATAGTTTGTTCTATTCAATAATATTTATAGTTTTCACCAATGAAATATTATAAGAAATATGCATTGAATATTATCTTTAGTATTGTATTTGCCGATGAGATTCCATACGAGGAGGGTGTTGATGAAGGTAGATTAGGAATGTGAGTTGGTTGGATCGACCAAATATTTATTTGATTAAATAACCATTGTTTTATGTTCAAGAAATTCGTTATTTGCACTGAAATGGATCCAGTTTACATCTTTGTAGTAAAGATTTATGATGAACATTTTGAAACATTAGGTAGAAACAAGTTTTATAAATAAATTTTTTTTTATTGTTCATGTTTGAACTTGGCCAACAATGAACTTTACCTTGCAATTTCCAATATCATGTCAAACTTTGTAGTCTCTTCATTCGACGGTAAACCAATTTATGATGTCGAAGAATATGGATTGACAATTAAACCTCAACCATTTTTATTAAAATTAGATAAAAGAATTTAAATAAAACAAAATAATAAAAAAATGGAAATTTAATTTATTGAAATCTTTTGATGTTGAAGTGGTGGTTGTGATCATCATTTATCGGGGGTGTCAAAAAAACACATTCATTCTCACCAGTTTAACAATTTATTTTTGGTGTCCAACTTACAAAAAAGATTTTATTGGTTGATTGTAAATTTAATATCGCTTTATTCTTTTTTTAGTTATTAGAATGTGCTCTTCAATAACAACAGTCAATTCAAAGCAATGGACACTGAGAGTATCTTCTTTTAATGTGTGCTATAATAAATCATGAATATATTCTTATTATTTAGTATTTTATTTGTTATCTATACTATTTACTCTTATGTAGGTTAAATTACTATTTATTTTAATTAACTATTTAGTTACTAATCATGATATTCTTAGGTATCTAAGTTCAAAAAGTACACTGAAAAACATGATCTAAAAGGACCTTCGGTGTTACCTATCATCGGTAATCTTCACCAATTTGGTACACTACCGCATAGATCTCTTTTAGAGATGACCAAGACCTATGGTAGTGTATATAGAATCTATATTGGTGATGTAAGTACTACTTTTTAGTAATAAACATTTGTTTTAGTTAGTTATAATAATTCATTAACATTGTTATTAATTTTCTAAATTTAGTATTATACAGTTGTAGTTAATGATCCTGTGATTGCTAAACTCATTTTAGTCACACATATCGATAACTTTTTGAATAGAATTCAAAATCCAACATTGAGTTTATCTACCAATCACTATGAGGATCTAGTTGGTTCAAGAGATGAACGTTGGTATCACAACCGTAAGTTGGTAGCAAACTCTTTCTCAAAGAATAAACTACGAACCACTGTATCTGTCATTGAGAAACAAGCAGATCAATTCGTTATGATGATGTCTCAATTCGAGAGTTCAGGTCAACCAGTAAGTAATTGAATTGATAAACTATCGATATATCATTGATAAAAGCACTAATATATATATAATATAATTTTATTATAGTTTTCACCAATGAAATATTGTAAGAAATATGCATTGAATATTATCTTTAGTATTGTATTGGCAGATGAGATTCCATACGAGGAGGGTGTTGATGAAGGTAGATTGGGAATGTTGATAGATCCTGTAAATTCTCTTGCCAAGAGGGCTGCGACAGGATCGCTAGTCGACTTTGTCAAGATTTTGCAACCAATATATTATTTATCCCAAAAGTTGGTTGGAACTGGTATGGATCCAGTTTATAAATTCGTTGCTAAATTATATGATGAACATGCTGAAACCATTGATTATAATAAGTAAGTTAACTTTAATAATGTAATGTTAATACGAAACTTAAAAAATAATAATAATAATAATTTATAATAGTCCACGTGATTTAATGGATGTTTTAATTATTGATTCAGAAGGTAAAGATAGACATGGTGTAATTGCAGTTACTATTGACTTTTTAATTGCTGGAACAGATACTAGTGCAACTACTATTGAATGGTTCCTTTTGTTCATGGCCAATAATCCAGATATTCAAGAAAAGGTTGGAAATGAACTTAGGGAAGTTGTCGGTGCCAACGGAAAGCTAACACTTGCCAACAAACCGAATACTCCATATTTGAATGCTGTCATCAAAGAATCGTTGAGAATGAAATTAATTGCACCACTCGGAATACCTCGTCAGGCAAAGGAATCGATATTGTTGGACGATCAAATATTCATACCAAAGGGTTCCCAAATTCTAATCAATTACTTTGGATTGTGTCACGATGAGAAACATTGGGATAAACCAGAGAAGTTCCAACCAGAGCGTTTCTTGCATAATGAAGAGAAACACAATGATTTCTACCTTCCATTCGGTGCAGGACCACGTAATTGCGTAGGAATGAACTTGGCCAACGATGAACTTTACCTTGCAATTTCCAATATCATGTCAAACTTTGTAGTCTCCTCATTCGATGGTAAACCAAATCAATGACGTCGAAGAATATGGATTGACAATTAAACCTCAACCATTTTTATTAAAATTAGAATAAAAGAGTTTAAAATAAATAATTATTTATTTTTTACAAAATTTTAACACAATAATAAACTATACAATAAAATGCCTATCTAATTTCTTTTAATAAAAAATTAAGATTAATAGAGTTACAGGTTGATATTTATTTGATTTTTTAATAATCGACCAAAAGAAAAAAATTTTTTAGAAAAGAAGTAATTCATTTCTTATCAAAAATAAACGATTATAACTATAGTATGAGTGCAAAAAATGATATAGTATTCGAATGGGATGGAAATAAATACAAGGATAGACAATTTAATATACCTCTGATTGAATTTAAATATTGTGATTCAAAAGAGAATCAATATTTCAGACAAATAAAGGAAGAGTTGATCAAATGGAAGAGTGGCTATCAAGTAATGTGGGTAAGCGATCACATTGTTCAGTTTGGTTTGCTCTGCTTTCCACAAGCCGACCAAGCACAGATTCTCAATATTTGTAAGATTATCGAGTGGATCTTTATATTCGATGACTACATTGAAAAGGCAGGTAAAAATGAGCAGTACATTAACGAGTTGTTCGATCGTCAGAATAGAGCGACACACGACATCTATGGAACGATCTACTGGGATGTTGTTGATGAATTCTTGGGTGACAAAGCACTGGTTGACCACTCAATAGAATCAGCTAAACAAGGATTCCTCTATACCGTTGGACATCGTGGAACCATAAACAGTTCGACCAGCTACGATCAATACACAGCGATCAGATTGGAGGATTCTGCAGCCTATTTCGTAATTACTTCGTTTATTGCTAATTTGGAATTGCCATACTCTGGTAGTGAACTAAGTAGCGATATTTTAGAGTGCAATGATTTCAAGTTGTTTCGTCACTACTATGGTGTGGCATGTCAGTTAGTCAATGACGTCTATTCATTCCGTAAGGAGATGGCTGATAACGACTTGGTAAACTATGTAAAGATTCTAACTCTAAAGAACAACGATCCACAGCAATCAATCAATGAAGTGGTTGCATTAATCAATGAAGCATTCGATCAAATGGCTATACAGATCGATTTACTCAAAAAGCAATATCCAAACAACCAGACACTCCACCAATATCTACAAGCAGGTTTAACTATCACTGCTGGTAATTTATTTTTCAGTCAGACAACAAAAAGATATAATAAATAAATCTGTTCACTGCATTGGCGATGTAAATAGATGCAGACTTGACCTTTCATTTTATCCTTGGGATTGACTCGCCTTAACTTTATTTTTTAATTTGTTATTAAAAATTGAATTATTTCAGATCTGTTTCACCCCAATTTTATGAGAAAAAATGCACACCATTTTTTTTTTATTTTAAAAACATTCATGATCTAAATTGTTTGAATAAAAAAAAATACATGATCTGAGTGGGACCTCTAAAAAAAGAATGATCAAAGCCAAAAAATTTTTTTTTTTTTTTTTAAAATTTCTTTTATATCTATTGTTGCATTGTAACATATATCTATTTTTTATATATAGTTTAAAGTTATTTAGTTTATATCTATAGTTTTTTTTTATTTTTATAGTTTATATCTAATTTTATATTATTTTTTTCTTTTATAAAGAAAGAAAATTGATTAGATTTCCCATGGGAAATACCTTGTCATTTGATGAGTATTTCAATGGTGATCAAAATAATGATGGAGCTAATGGAAGAAGAGGAACTATTGATACCATTCTAAGACCAAATAATAATAATAATAGTAATAGTAGTAATGAATTATCACCAGACACAGAAGTTGAAGCAAGAAGAAAGATTTACACTCAAAGGATAAAAGATGAATTGGAAGAGAAAGGAATGAAAGCGAAGCTGAATGAGTTTGATAAACAGAAACATCGATCTGCTGTTATCATTCAGAAACATTGGAAAGGATTCTCACAGCGTCGTAAATGGAATATGTTCCTATGTAAATCAAAAGTATTGAAAGAACTACTAATGACCGAGAGAGATTATGTACAATATATGAATATTATTATGGATGTAAGTATTATTAATTTTGTTTGACAAATATGCACTATTTTCTTGATAATAACTATCGATACTAACTATAAAATATTTTTTAACTTATCTATATATAAAGATTTATTGTAAACCATTAGTTGAAGTTATACAAGCAAATAGTAACGGTAAAGATAGAAGTAATTCTATTACAAGTAGCTTTATTGGTGGTACTATAAGTAATAGTTCAAGTCGTGATAGTAGTCTGGGTGGCAGTGAAAGAGATAGAGATAGTACCAGTAGTATTGGTAGTGGTATAAGTATTGGAAGTAATAGAGATAGCACTAGTAGTAATAGTAATAAAGATAAAGATAATAATAATAATAATAATAATAATAATAATAATAATAATAATAATAATAATAATAATAATAATAATAATAATAATAATCTTAAAAGTAGTATTAGTAGTAATAACATTAAAGAGGAATCATCTATTTCATCGATGAAACCAGATTTACAGAAAGAATTTAGTTTCTTGGAAGAAACACCTTTGACCGCCGAGGAGATAAAGATTGTATTCTCGCAGATCGAGGTTATTAGAAAGTATAATACAATGTTACTAGAGAAGATACAACAACGTGTATCTGATCTCTGGGATGATTCAATAAGAATTGGTGATGTATTCTTGGAGATCATTGACTTTCTTAAAGTACCATACAGTCACTATATCATGAACTTCCCAGCATGCCTTAAAGTACTAGAGAATGCATCAAAGAGACCATCCTATATGTTATTCATTCAAGTAAGTAATTAGTTTGTAAACATATATAATTAATTATCAATACTAATAATATCAATTATTATTAGCAATGTAAATCAATTGATAAAGTTGCAAGAAGAGATTTACAATCTTTTGTTAGTATGCCAATTCAAAGAATACCAAGATATGTGCTATTGTTGAGAGAGTTGTTAAAGTATACACTACCGAATCATCCTGACTATGAGAATATCTATAAGGCACTGAGAAGAATGGAATCGATAGCAGAGTTGATCAATCGACAGATGAAGGAAGACGAGCACAGCAAAGTAGTGATGCAGATCGCTCAGAAGCTGAAACCACCTGTAGATAGTCTCATTCAACCTCACCGAAGATTGATACGCGAGGGTGAAGCCAAGATCATCAAGACTGACGGAAACAACCACGAAGCACAGTATGCCACTATCAAGCCATCGTCGATACCATTCACTCAATCGATGAAAGTATCGATTCGCTATTTCTACTTATTTAACGACATGTTTATCATCACCAAGAAGATGAAAACCTACTATAAAGTTGAGAAAGTAATCAGTCTTCAATACTCAACCATTGTAGATCATTATATAAAGAGATCAGATAGAATACCAACTTCACCGACAACAACAACAACTACAACAACTACAACAACACCAACTTCACCAAACAATGTAAATAATAGTAGTAACAGTAATAATTCAGATATAAAATCACCAAGTAAAGATGTAAATAGTATAAATAATATGATTGTATCATTAAAGAGTAATAATAGTAATAATAGTAATAATAATAATAATAATTTAAATGATAATGGTAATGTATATTTTTTCAATACAATTATTATTATTAGTAGTTTGTATCCAAATACTAATTCAAATGATTAATATAGGAGAGAGACATTTCTTTAAATTACATTCATTGGATTGTGCCGTTGTTATATGTTTGGCGACGGAATCAGAGAAGATACAGTGGAAGAACGATTTTATTGGTGTGATCAATCAGATTACAGAGAACTCAATATCATTCAACCCAAAATGGTCGAGAAACAACTTGATCTATGGCGAGGAGAAACAACCAAAGTCAAAACAGCAACAACAAAGAGGCACCGCAATAACACCAGAGAACTTTAAATTAAAGTTATCAATCTCAGAGTTGTTAGCGGTTACCAACGATCCTTTTCAACCATCACCCAACAAACAACATAATAATTCACCTTCAACCAACAACATAACAACCAGTACCTCTACACCATCAACAACAACAACAACTAATAACACAACAGCAACATGTGATAGTGTAAATAATACACCTTATAAACCTAGTAGATCAGCATCGGTATGTGATCCACCAGAGAGTGAAAGTGATATTAGTAAGATAAGTGATGAAGATGAAGATGAAGATGAAGATGATCGTTCAACCGATGAAAATAATAATCAAAATGAAACAAAACCAAGATCCTATTCAGTATCAGCTGTTGAGACATTATCACCATTAGATAGAATATTAAGAATATTAAGATAATTAAATGCTTGATCAAATAAAATAAAAATGTTTAAAATAACAATAAATAGACATTGCTAAAATCGATTCATTTTTGCAAACAATCATTTGCTGACATAGTTCAAACAAATAACACACAACAATTTTTCATTTTATTTTTCATTTTTTAAAAATTTTTTTTTTGACTTTTGTTCTGAGTCATAATTGTGATCATCAAAAAAAGTTTAGTGTCTTTTTTTTTTTAATATATATTTGTTTTGATTTTTTTTAACTTAAAGTTAGATTATAGGTATTTTTGATATTTTTGTTGTAGTTTTAAAAAAAAAAGTTTAAAAAGTTATATAATAGATCAATAGAATAATATTAATAGTAAAAGAATAAAAGTAAAGAATGTCATTGGCAGCATCAGGATCAATGGAGAAACCATGTACTATATTGGTACACTACGATAAAGGAGACCCTCCACAAGTCAATGAATTCAAACAGACATTCGAACATGGTACCATAGAACAAAAGATAGAGACTCTCAAGAAGGTCATCTTGTACACCGTCAATGGTGAACCAATTCCTCAATTGCTAATGCCAATCATCCTCTATGTGATGCCATCGAGAGATCACTACATCAAAAAGTTACTACTTATCTACTGGGAGGTCATCGAGAAGACTCATCTTGGTAAATTGAAATCTGAAATGATTTTAGTATGGTAAGTAAAATTTAGATAATCATCATTAGTAATATTTAGTTATTGATCAAATACTTACATTTTGTTTTATCAATAATAATAATAATAATAATAATAATAGTAATTCATTATTACAAGATCTTACACATCCAAATGAATTCATTCGTGGATCTACATTGAGATTCTTGTGTAAGTTAAGAGAACCAGAGGTTTTGGAGTCATTGGTCGAGCAAGTAAAGAATAATCTTGAAAACAGACATGCCTACGTTAGAAGAAATGCAGTACTCGCAATCTACAGTATCTACAGTTCATTTGAATATCTCATTCCAGATGCACCCGAGATTATCTATAACTTTTTATTATCTGTAAGTTGTTGTTGTTAATCTAATAAAATTAGTGAACACACACACTCTCTAACTTATTAATGTTACACCACAGGAGGGAGATGCATCATGTAAGAGAAATGCTTTCATTATGTTATTCAACTGTGCACAAGACAAGGCAGTTGAATACCTCAGCACTGTATTAGATCAAGTTCCATCGTTTGGTGATATGTTACAATTCATCGTTGTCGAATTGATCCGTAAGGTTTGCAAGACAAATCCAGCTGAAAGAGTAAGTGTTTAGAACAAACAAACCAAACAACTACTAGTAGATGACTCTATTTTTATTAACTTTATTCTTTTTTATTATCTATTTAATTTTAGTCTAAATATATGAAATGTATCTTTACATTGTTAAACTCATCATCACCAGCAGTTAAATATGAGAGTGCAGGTACATTGTTATCGTTGTCTAGTGCACCAACAGCTGTACGTGGTGCTGCCAGTGCCTATATCGATTTGCTCTGCAACGAGTCTGACAACAACGTAAAGATGATCGTACTCGACAAACTACTTGAGATCAAGAAGAATCATTCAAAGATCATGCAAGATCTTGTAATGGATATAATGAGAGCATTATCAAGGTAACTAATAATTATAACAAAACATAACATAGTATAATTAACTAACAAAAAACAAAAAAACAAACAAACAAACAAATCTATTATATATTATCAACAACAACAACAACAACAACAAAAATAACCAGTCCAAATATCGATATTTGTAAAAAGATTCTAAATATTGTATTGGATTCTATTACACCAAAGAATATTGAAGAGATCATTCTGGTGTTGAAGAAGGAGATCAATAAGACACAATCGAAAGAGTTTGATAAGGGATTGGACTATAGACACTTGTTGGTCAAGACAATCCACTCGTCGTCGTTGAAGTATCCAGAGGTGTTGGGCAATGTAGTGCCACTGTTGATGGAGTTCCTCGGTGACAGCTACTTGCCAACCGCTGTCGATGTCGTTGTGTTTGTACGTGAGGTTGCAGAGACCTACGAGCATTTACGTTCATCTGTTGTCAGTAAGCTCATCGAGACACTCCCACTGATAAAGATCTCCAAGGTGTATCGTGTTGCCACCTGGACCATCGCCGAATACACAAGCTCATTACAAGATGTCGAAAACGCATTCTCTGCCATCCAATTGGATCTCGATGAGATTCTCAAACCAAAACCAATCGACGAAGAAGTCACAAACGATAAACCAAAGAAGAAAGTTGAACAACAATCAATTTCAAGTAACTATCCCAATAATTTCGAAATTATCGCTAGGAATGCTTAATATTAATATTTAACACACATTTACTTTACTGTTTATTAAAATTATAATAGAATTGATTGTAGATGGTGATTGGTATCTTGCAACATGTATTGCAAGTTCATTAAGTAAGTTATACTTTAAGGCTGGTGATTTAGGATTGTCTGGAGAGGCATTGAACAAATTGCGTGCACAAGCCATGTTGGTTTTGGTAATATTGATCAACTTGGCAAAGAAATCACAAGCATCCACATCAAAATCATCATATGAACGTATCATTTCATGTATAAACGTATTGTCAACTCAAGATCCAATTGTAAAGTAAGTAGTAGAAGTAGTTTATATTCAATCAAAACCTATGTAATTAAAGTTTTAACTTACATTTACATTTACAATTGTAAATTTAATTCAATTTTAGGGAAATCTGGTTGAAAGATTGTAAGCAATCATTTGCAAACTATTTGGAAGTCACAATTGCCAAACAAAATGAAAACAAAAAGAAATCGACAAAGGAAGCACTTGTAAAGCCAAACGATATCGTTTCCATTAGACAATTGAAATCAAAGAAAGCATTCGGTCCAATCGAGGTTGAAGATGGTAAGTTTTAAATCAAAAAAAAGGAGTACGCTTAAGGTCATAAGTTATTAATCATTCTCATTTCATATTTATATATTTATAGATTTAGGTAAAGCAGTTGGTACAGATGTTGGTAGTGATAAATTTGAATACTCAAAGATCTATCAATTGAGTGGTTTCTCTGATCCAATCTATGCCGAAGCCTACGTTAAAGTACATCAATACGATATTGTTTTGGAGATCTCTGTTTTCAATCAAACGAATGACACCCTCCAAAATGTAACATTGGAGCTGGTCACTCTTGGTGACTTGAAGATTTGTGAGCGTGTTCCACCATTCACCATGGGTCCACGTGAGAAATCCAACTGCAAGGCAAGCATCAAGGTATCGTCGACCGACAATGGTGTTGTCATGGGTACTATTGTCTTTGATATCGCAGGTTCGGTCAGTTCCATCTCTGACAAGAACTGTGTCATCTTGAATGAAATCAACATTGACATCATCGACTACATCCAACCGATCACTCACCAGTACACCGATGTCCTCTTCCGTAACCACTGGTTGGAGTTTGAGTGGGAGAACAAGATTCCAGTGTACACCAATATCACCGATCTCGTTGCATACGTGCAACACATCTCAAAGATTACCAACATGGGTATCTTGACACCCGACATTCATCTCTCCAACGAAACCGGTATCCTCTCTGCCAATCTCTGTGCCAAGTCAGTGTTTGGTGAGGACGCTCTTGCCAACATCTGTATCGAGAAACAAGAAGATGGAAAGATTGTCGGTTACATTAGAATCCGTTCCAAAGTACAAGGTATTGCTGTAAGTTTGGGTGCACGTATTACATCAAAACAAAAAGTTGCTCAACCATCTGCATAACTAAATTGATAAAAACTTAAAACAAAAAACACATCTTATTATTATTATTATTATATACAAATAATTAAAATTGATAAATATTTAAAAAAACATTAATAAAAGTTTATTCTTTTTTAAAAAAGAGCATAATTAATGATATTATTCATTAACTTTTTTATTTTATTTCGAATCGATTTTAATATTTTTACATTTATCTATTATTATTATTGTTGTTACAACAGTAGTACAGTGATTATTATATTATTACAGTGTATGATATATAGTTAATATCCAATATTATATTTAGCAGTTCTTATTTGAGCACAAACATTGGATTTTGTTTGACTAATATTATAGAAATTCTCTCCATTTTCAATATTTATAGATTTAGTATTTGAGAACATTTGATTGGAGTTTAAGAATCTTAGGTTTTCTAATTAATTAACAAATTAATATTAATATTCTGTGTTTGGGAAATTGTTTTATAACTTTAGTAAACTATACTTACTGAAAATCATTTTTAAATACTACTATAAAATATGTTTAAAGATTGTTAATATTTTAATTTTAAATATCTTTTTTACAAGAGTTAATGGAATAAAAAGGTAGAACATTGTTAGTATAAATATGTTCTTATAATGTAAGTTGGTTAATTTTTAAATAGTCTTGATCAATACAACTACTACTCTCTATCTAGATTAAAGAAAGTAGGAAAAATAAATGTAGAATCTCTAGAGAACCCAAAAAGTTAAAAACAATACATATACTTACATATTACTGACAACAATCAGATCCCAACCTACTTATCGAGAGTGTGTTTAGTGTTTAAACATGTGGAGTGGTTAGTGAGTGTGGGTGTGGTTGTCCGACTCTATTGTTTATTGTCAGTTAACACATTGATAACAAAATAATAATAATAATTCAATTCAATCAAATAAGTAGTAGTGTATTTAAAACAAATATAAATAATAAATTATTAACCAATTATTATAAGATATTTAAATTACAAATAATAATTAAAAATATATTGATCGGGGGTGAATATTTAATAGATATCATCATTCAATATATATATTCTCAAAATTCTAAATAAATTGTTACCGGTCACTCTACAACTTTGAATGTTGATGTTCATGGATCAACTTATTAATTCATTAGTATTTAGTTTGTTACCAACTAGATGAGATTTATACAAATATTTAATTTACATTTAAAATAAATCAATGTCACTGGTGTACAATGATTTTATTGGTTGAATTTTATTCCAAAAGTATGTATGATAGAGAATGTCGAATTCACTGTAAATATTTACTCACTCATTACAGTAACCAGTATCCTATGATATTAATTGGTGTAGTTCAACATTTTAAAATACAACCAACAGCAATATCAAAAATTAATTATATGGTATTGTTACAGATTATGGTGTTGGTGTAATCGAAGGTGTTGGTGTAATTGTCGGTGTAATTGTCGGTGTAATTGTCGGTGTAATTGTCGGTGTAATTGTCGGTGTAATTGTTGTAGTTGCTGTTGTTGTTATCATTCCTTTTAGATGTTGATTGAAATCATTTAGAAGCTCTATACTTTCGAAATCTGGAAATCTATCTGATATTAAGACTCCGTCTTCCTGAAGGTTATTAAGGTCATCGATGAAACCAAACCAAAATATAGCCATTCCAGGTCCATATCTATTTTTATATCCTATGATCTGATCCTTTGTATTCTTATAGTTATGATCGTCACAAAACGATGCTTTGCTCTCTATCCAATTGATAATATAACCACGATAGGCAAACGGTACCTCCAACTTGATGTCTGGTGTCTTTGGATATCCAATCTTTCTCAACTGATCTTCTGTTTGATACGGTATATTCAATTGAAATAGCTTTTCTTGTAATAAGAATTCATATTCCGATCCAGTTGACCTTTAACATAATATTATTATAATTATTAATAAAACTAATATTGTTTAACAAACAAATGAATAAAGTTTAATGCTTACGATCTTATATAGTTAATTAAAGGTGAACAATTGTCATCAGAGTAAACAGATTGTTGAATATTTACACGCAGTCTTTCATTATCTATGAGTTCAGGTGTTTTCATTAGTTTTTTCAAAACACTTTCACGGTCGGTCTTTACACTTAGCAGCTTATAGAGGTCGGTGTTTGTATGATTAATATTATTGATAGAGTATAGTTGTTTTACATCTGTATCTAATATGTGATTCAGTATTTGTTTTGCAACGATTGTAGATGATATATTTAAATCTGTTGATATTTCAATGATTGATTTTCCTTTTATATAACTGATAAAAATTAATTATTAATAAAAAGAGTGTTGTATTTTCAAGTTGTTCAACTACTATCATACTTTTGAAAATGAGATCTAATATTTGGGATCTTTCTATAACATAGTTGTCGATATTCTTTCAGTCTCTTTTGTGAATATATACTTATAAATGTAGAATAAGAGTATCTATTGTTTTGTTTTTTAACATATAAAATTATATTAATATAAATAAAGAGTTTAGATGATTAATATTAATTACTTTGAATATTGAACTTTTAGAAATGGTATATCGTCTTTATCATTCATAGAGTCATATATACTCTTGAAATCTTCTCTTGACATTGACATCTTATCATTATAATTGTATTTACAAAAGATATATCAATAATTAAACAACTTTTATTATTACTATTTACACAATATCTATAAATATAACAAATTAATGTTTATTTATAATATATATAAACAGTTATTATTAATAATACAAAAGAAATCTTTATTGTCGAACTGTAGTCTGTCAAAATGAGAATGAAAATTTAAATTTAAATTTTATCTTTACTTTTTTATTTTATCGTTTCGAATTATCTATAAATTTGATATAATATATATATATATATATAATAAGATGTCAGAAAGAGAATCATTAAATAGTCAACTTGAACATCTACAGATGAGATATGTAGGTACTGGTCATTCCGATATTTCAAAATAGTATGTATAATTTATGTTACTTTCGTCTTTTTTGTTTATAATTATTATACTTATTATTTATTTTTATTAATCATAGTGAATTTCTAACGAATCAACATAGAGATACTTATTCATCGTATGTTGGACATAATTCATTGTTATCATTGTTTGCAATTGCAGAGAATGAATCAATGGGAAGAGTAAGATTCAATCTATTACACAAGATGATTCAACCATGTGGACCATCACCTGCTTCAAAAGATAAGAAGGATGTAGTAATGAAATAATAATAATAACAAATAATAATATCTTGAATATAAATTTTAATCAAATCGAATCGAATCGAATAATTACCTTTGTATATAATAAAATAATAATATAAACTAAAACTTTATATATTTTTAATTATTTTTTTTAATTTTATTTATTTGTTTTTTTTATACATTAGCTACAAACTATTGCATTGTTGTTGAAAAAAGGGAAAGAAGTTATATTTATATAGAGAAATGGCAATCATATGATTGTATTGTGTCTTGTCGATTTGTTGTTGGAAAAATGAAAAAATATTAGAGGATTGTTTAAGCATGAGCAGCTAAAACACCAACGAAACCGGCATTATAATCACATGCAACTTCATTCTTGATGTAATCGGTACGGTCATCGACGTAGGAATCGTCATTTCCTGGACCACCAACGAGTGCTCCTTTGAGGAGATAGGTGTTGTGAACCGGATTGTTGATGTCGTTGGTCAGAGAATGATGGGCAGCACGATGATGAGCATCCTTTGGTGCGTTGGGACCAATACCGATGACGAATGATTGTTGTTTTGGATTTTCACCGAGGAGATAGTCGATTTGCTTCTTTGAGAAATCCATGTATTTGTCACCACCGTAGACGGCAGCCAAGAAAGCAGAGGTAGCAGCATAACGAGCTGGTCCCCATTGACGAATCCATGCCATTCCACCTGGAGTGTAAGTGATACCACCACCTGGTAACCAGTAGTTGAGGGCGGCTTCAATGTCGGTCTTGTACTTGTCGTCACCGGTGATCTTGGCCATCAAAAGACATGCACCTGGTGCCTTGAGATCCCAATCGTGAGAGTTTCCTTGTGCCATTCCACCGATTCCGAATTCGGCATAGTCAGCTTTGGCTTTGGTTAAAAGTGCTTCGTCGGCGGTAGCTTTGTAGAGCCAGAGAGTACCCCACACAATGTCATCCTTGTAACCGGACCATGAGTTGTAGAATGCAACTGCATTGGTTACGGAATCAGAGTATTTTCCACGGAATTTGTCACCGAACGAATGGAGTTTCTTGGCGTGTTCGAGACAGGTGGTAGAATAAGCAGAGTCACGATCTTTGAAAATGATAGAGGCAGCGGACAAGGCAGCGGCAGCTTCCATAGCAACTTCGGTACCTGGGTGGTCGGCATCGATGTAAAATACTGGACGGGCGACATTCATTGTTTCTGGTGGTCCCCAGTAGGAGTGGTCGACGTTTCCATCTCCGACTTGAGCAGCGAACTTGTTGTCTTCTTCGTGGGCGGCAATCAACCAATCGGTACCAAACTTAATGGTCTCCAAGTAGAGATCGGTCAAACCACAACCAGCAATCTTTGTTTCGAATTCCAAGAATGACCAACCCAACATGGTCATAGAATAGGCCATTGGGAGGGCAAACTTGACATGGTCACCGGCATCGAAATAACCACCGGCCAACTTTCCGTCTTCCAACACAGAGTCACCACGCCATGGTACATCATTATCTGGTAGTTTACCAGCTCTATTATATTTATAAAACATCAGTCCATACTTTAAAGTATCACAATAATCGGGAGTTGCTAAATAATTTTAAAAAAATCCAAGTTAATATTTAATACTTAAAAATAAATATGATATTTAAAATATTATTTTTTACATACCATTAACTTGTGAAAATAACACAAAGATTGCAGCAACTAACAAAAATATAGATTTAAAACCCATTATTTTTAATTTAGTTTTTTTTGAAAAATAATTATGTAATTTTATAGAGATTAAAGATGAATAATAAATTATTTGAAATAATTCAATATTATTTAGTTATTTATATATTTATTACTTTAAAGAAAGTATTAGTTTTATCAAAATGATTCAGAAAAAAGAGCTTTAAATATCATTCGATTAGACCAATTCGTTAGGTTCAACCAATAATAGAATGAACGAAAAAATAATCGAAGAAATAAAAATCAAAATAATAAATTAAATTAGTTTAAGTTCTTTCTTGACAGGTTCTATAGCAAGAAGGTCTTGTACCACTCAATAACCAACTCAATCCGTCAAATGGATAACGCACAGCTCTAACATTGATGGAAATTAGATATAAAAGGCCTGACAGATTCAATTTTCCACAAGTGAAATTCAATTGGACAATCCCATTTTTCATAATTCTAAATGTGGATCAACTCCATGTTAACCAAGAGGTCTCTCTCTGCACATCAAAAAGACCACATGGTCTAGATTTGAAAAACCTTAACTTCAAAAAGTTTTAGTTTTATTTTATTATTTTTTTAATTTTTTTACATTGCAAAATAGATAATTGTATTGAGAAAGAGGGGGAGTTGGTTTTAACAAACTTGCAAAAAGAAAAAGAAAAAAAAGTTTTTTAGTTTTTAGTTTTTAAAAAAAATTCTAAAAAAATAAATAAAAAAATAAATTATATTAATATAATATCTAAGATTATTATTAAACGTTGAATTTCAAGATTTCATGAATCATCAACCTCTTTTTTATATAGTATCTACAACTGATACTGTAATTGATTAAAAAAATATTTATTTAAAAAAAATAATTAAACTTTTAGTTTATCATTCTTTTATTTTTTTGTTTTTTTTTTTTAGAATTTTTTTCTCTTAATTTTTTAATAAATAATTATGACTAATGAGAAAAATTATAATTGATATGTGATTCAATCTTTGCTTTTCTGATCTTCAAACATTTTAAATTAAAAAAAAGGGGTGATTAAGTTTTACTTGTTTTTTTTTTAAACAAATTTAATTTATCATTTTTAATAACATTTTAGACATTTATATAAATAATAATGAGTATTTCTATAAGATTAAGAAGTAAATCAGGTGTTGAGAATATAAGATCACTTGATCCAAAATCAAGTATTTCACAATTTCAATTACTTGTATTTGAGAAAACCAATATAGAACCAGCCAATCAAAAGAGTAAGCTAAAAAGTTTAAAGAATTTAAACAACAAATCAAATAATAATAATAATAGTTGATATTAATAAATATATATATTAGTTTTATGTGGATATCCTCCTAAACCATTGGATACATCTAAACAAGATACTTTGATAGATGGTATCATTGTAAATGGTGATACTGTAACTGTTGAAGAAACTACTGGAGGTGGTGGTAGTAGCAGTAATACAGCACCAACTACTTCATCATCATCATCGTCTGGTGTTGTTTCATCATCTAATAATAAACCAAGAGAAGATAGTGGTGGATACATTGTTCGTCGTCTTACAGAGAATGATAACAGTTGTCTATTCAGTGCAGTTGCCTATGTACTTGAAAACAAGAATAGAGCAAAGGGATCACATCTACGTTCAGTCATTGTCAGTGCAGTAAAAAGCGATCCACTTACCTATAATGAAGGTTATCTTGAGAAAGAAAATGTAGGTCATTGAAATGTTTGATAATGATTATGATACTAAAATTGGTTAACTTGTTTATTTATTATAGGATGATTATTGTATATGGATTACTAACCCTAAACATTGGGGTGGTGCAATAGAGCTATCGATTCTATCATCATACTATAAGATGGAGATTGGTGCATTCGATATTCAGACAAAAATATTATATCGATATGGCGAGGATAGAAACTACTCACAGCGTGTCTTTGTTATTTATGACGGTATACATTACGATGCACTTGCATTGTGCCCTTATGAAAATGGCTCTGAAAACTATGATAAAACAATCTTTGCCACCACTGATGAAGCAACCCTCAAGAAAGCCATTGACTTTGTAGAGAAAGAACATAAAGCTGGTAAATTCACAAACACAGCCAACTTTCAATTGATTTGTTTAGATTGTAATAAAAGTAAGTTTATAAACATATTCAATGTACAAAGTTAAGTTTTACTAACTTTTATTATTATTATTATTATCGAATTTTATATATTAGTTTTAACAGGTGAGAAAGAAGCAACAATTCATGCTATGCAAACAAAGCACAGTAAATTCACAGAATTGAAAAAACAATAACCGGAACAAAACTTTGTATAATTATAAATCTACTGAAATCCTGTACAGTGTTTACACCCTTAAATCAAACATAATAAAATCCTGATTGTTCTTAATAAGTTAGTAAATTCTTATTAAAAGTTTGTTTATATAAATAAGAAAGAAGACAACTTTATATTTTTTTTGAATAATTGTGGATTTTATTTTAATAATTACAATACTAATTACTTTCTAAATTAATAAAAAAGTGATAGTTTGGTTTGGTTTTGTTGGGTTGGCATTTAGTATGTGGCCTTTTGGTCCTTACCCAAATCTGGGATATTGCTAGCCTTGGCAATGTAACCAAACTTGTAGGTTTCACCGACATTCAAACCAACTTGGTAGGCTGGTAAAGTGAAGGTGTTTCCAGAAACTTGGACAATTCCCCACTTTTCTTGAATGCTCGATGGGAAACCGAATTGTAAAGTCTTTACTTTAGATGATCCACTATTGGTAATCATAACATCCATCAATTGGTACTTATCTCCTCCATTGACCCATGAGTTTACCAACTTTTGAGTGAAGGTGACTGAACCTTGTCCTGGTGACTGGGTTGGAGTTTGAGTTGGAGTCTCAGTTGGAGTTTGGGTTGGAGTTTGGGTTGGAGTTTGAGTTGGTGTCTCAGTAGGAGTTTGAGTTGGAGTTTGGGTTGGAGTTTGAGTTGGAGTTTGAGTTGGAGTCTGAGTTGGAGTTTGGGTTGGTGTTTCAGTTGGTGTTTGAGTTGGAGTTTGAGTTGGGGTTGGAGTTGAACTTGGATCGATCAATGCAGCCAAAGCTCCAACAAAACCGGCATTGTAATCAGTGGCAACTTCATTCTTGATGTAATCGCTACGGTCATCAACGTAGGAATCGTCATTTCCTGGACCCACCAACGAGTGCTCCTTTGAGGAGATAGGTGTTGTGAGTTGGATTGTTGATGTTGTTGGTTAAAGAATGATGGGCAGCACGATGATGAGCGTCTCTTGGTGCGTTGGGACCGATACCAATGACGAATGATTGTTGTTTTGGATTGTCACCAAGAATGTAGTTGATTTGCTTCTTTGAGAAATTGGTGTATTTGTCACCACCGTAGACGGCAGCCAAGAAAGCAGAGGTAGCAGCATAACGAGCTGGTCCCCATTGACGAATCCATGCCAATCCACCTGGAGTGTAAGTGATACCACCACCTGGTAACCAGTAGTTGAGGAATCCTTCAATATCTTTCTTGTAGGTAGCTTCACCAGTAATTTGGGCCATCAAAAGAGCAACACCTGGTGCCTTGAGATCCCAATCGTGAGAATTTCCTTGTGCCATTCCACCGATTCCGAATGAAGCGTAGTCAGACTTGGCCTTGGTTAAGAGAGAAGCGTCACCAGTAGCTTTGTAGAGCCAGATAGTACCCCAGACGATCTCATCCTTGAATCCAGACCATGAGTTGTAGAAAGCTTGAGCATTGGTGATGGAATCAGAGTATTTTCCACGGTAAGTGTCACCAAAGGAATGGAGTTGCTTGGCATGAGACAAACAGGTGGCAGAGTAGGCAGAGTCACGTGATTTGAAAATGATAGAGGCAGCAGACAAGGCAGCGGCAGCTTCCATAGCAACCTCAGTTCCTGGTGCAGAGGTAGTCAATTTGTATTGTGGACGAGCCATGTTCAAGAGCTCAGGTGGTCCCCACCATGAGTGATCGAGATTTCCATCACCGACTTGACCGACGAATTCATTTGGACCAGTATGAGCAGCAATCAACCAATCGGTACCATACTTGATATCCTCAAGGAACAATTGAGTCAAACCACAGGAAGCAATATTTTTTTCATATTGGATGAATGCCCAACCCAACATGGTCATAGAATATGCCATTGGAAGAGCAAACTTGACATGATCACCGGCATCGAAATAACCACCGGCCAAAGCACCATCTACCAACACAGAGTCACCACGCCATGATACATCATTATCTGGCAGTTTACCAGCTCTATTATATTTATAAAACATAAGAGCATATTTTAAAGTATCACAATAATCGACAGCTAAAAAAAAAAAAAACCAAGTTAATAAATGAAAAAGATATTTTCAAATTTTAAATTGTCAAAAAAAGATATGAAACATACCAGTCACTGATTGAATTGCAACAAAAAGAGCAATCAATGACCAAAAGAATCGTTTGGAAAACATTTTGGTAATTTAATAAGAGTTAAATTTGAAAAAAATTGGATTGTGTATGTTTGATAAAATTACAAAGAGTTTAAATTAAACATAAATAATATGAATCGATTTGTGAAAAATATATGATTTGCTAGTTCTACAAATAGATAATTGATGAATGTATTTTTATAATGTTATAAAATGTAATGATAGTATTTTAGTTATGAGATATAATGATTTGGATCCCAAGTATTTATAGTCGAGTATCCCAAGGATCGTATGTCGTGTAGACTTTTGTCCAAAGACGTTTTAAAAAAATAAAATAAATGATAAACAAAAAAAAATTAATAAATTATTCAAATTTCCAGAAACAGATACCCTAAATTGCTAATGAAGTTATAGTGCAAGAACCTCAAACATAGCACCCTCACCAACCGTGGAGCCACAGTTGAAGCCATGGTTTTCCAGTTCAACAACCATCCTATTTTTTCTGTTATTTAATTTCATTTTTCACCATCGAGACAAACAACCAAACACCAACACAAATCAACAAACAAACAATCAACTTTTAAAATCGACATCATGAAAAAACAAAAAAAATTTAAAAAACATATTTTGAAAATTGTCGTTGGTAAACTATGAGTCTGTAGGTGGGTTTGCTACGACCACCACCCTACTGACAAGCCACCCACAATTGTCATCTAAAATAAAATCTTTAGAATAAATTTCCATTTCCAACAAGACAACACATTTTCAATAATCTTAACAAAAAAATGATGATATTACATAACCGATAAAAGTGGAATTAGATAATTAAATTTATTAATTATTTTTTTTGTTTTTTTTGAAAAAATTGAATAGACCTCTAACAAAAAGTGGAGGTTAAATTAAGAATCGGTATGTGTTGGTGGTAAGTGGGGAATCAATTTTAAATATTTAATTTCTAACAAAACAAAAAAAAAAGACCATATTTAAAGTATTAAGGTGGAGCTTTTCTTTGAAATGGGTTTAGTTATTTAATTTTTTTAATATCAAACAAACGTCATTTAAATTGATTATTGTTGTTTTCGAATTTCTTTAATTTATTAAGGAGCATCTGTAAGTTGATTATAGATTAAAATCTTTCAAAATTTCCTTAGATTTTTTGCCAAAAAAAAAACAAAAAAAACAAAAAATAAATAGAAAATTTAACCAAAATTAACCAACCATTTTTTTCTTATTAAAAAACATATTTGCTTCCAAAATCGTCATCAAAATATTTACTTGGGAACACAATATTTATTTAATTTTCGAAATAATTTGATGATGGATTGTCAGTTTGTAATAATTATTTAACGAATCGATAAAAACAAATACCAAAGAAGATAAATTAAGAGAAAATAATGTTATTATTTGAATTATATGATATAAAATATAATATATCCAACTGGTTAGAGGGATAAAAGTCTTTAGATAAAACACAACAAACCACAAAAATCTAAGAATGGAATCCACATGTTCAAAATCCACAGAATTTAAAAACGATATAAAAAAAAAACAACAAAAATATTTGTCATATAAAAAAGAAATAACTTCTATGATATTATGTAAACATAATCTATATTGTTGTTTTTTTGTTTTTTTTTTTTTGACAAGTTATTGATTTAAATTTAACTAGTGTGTCTTAAGATAAAATACTAACCAGTAGGATATTTATTTTGATTTTTTATACCGTTGGTATTGCAATGTTGGGAGTTACGATGTTGATCATGATCTGGTTGATGATTATGATGGTTATGATGATGTTGGTGGTGATGTTGATGTTTATTATGATCTTGCAGGTTTAGTTTTTTAAAAAAGTTCATTGTATCGCCAAATGATTTATTCATTGTATCTTTATCTTTAATCTAAAATTAGAGCCTTTAAACCGTTATATTGTTTATAATATTAATTATTATAATGAGAGATACAAAAGAATAAAAGATTTTAGAGGTTATTTTGGTTTTATATTATAAGTTATTTGAATCTTTCTTAGTATTGGTTTTATAATATAAACAATTTTCTTTTTTACTTAAGTAAAGACTACTCTAAATATCAAAATAAAGTGATTAATCATTTATCATTAATAGATTATTTAATTATATAAATATACATTAAAAGATGATTTTTTTGTAAATAATATGTTTATTTGAATTTGATTTGTATATTTATCCCCCTCCAATTCATTAAAAAAATCAAATTTATTAAAAAAAACTACGAGGAGGTTCAAATACTCTACTTCTTTCTTATTGTTTACTGTATAATTATTAAAATATGTTTATAGATTACCACACATGTTGATCATTTAGTAGCAAATAAACAAATAGACCTGTATTGTATTAATTGATATTTGATATAATTAAGTCACAGAGTTTATTTCAAAACACATGATCATTACTTCGATAGAGTTTCCCTTGATAATTTAAATTGACATAACCTGCACCAAAAAAAAACAAAAATAAAAAAATTATTAAAATAAGAGAAATAAATACAGTGAACATCTCTTATTATCTTTTTTAAACTTGTAAAAATGGCATGTTCCCGAAATTTAACACCTGGTGTATGTTTGCAAACACTTTCCTATGCAATTTTAAAAAACAAATTGTTTTATATCAATTTTTAACACCTTAGTTTTTTATTATTTAATATACAATAGAAGTTAATATGCTATCATTAATAAGAGAACAACCATTATATTACGGTTCGCTTGGTCTATTGACACTTGCCTCACTCAAAGTTATTGGTGCACAATTCAATCTTAGTCAAAGATTCTTTAATCAATTATGGTATGATGAATCATTAAATAATAACAACAACAACTAGTTAGTTAAACAAGCATTATGCTGACAGTATTATTTTAATTATGTTGATATCACATTTCATGCTAGGAAATATCTTGGACCTGTAGTAGATAAGATGTTGTATAAACAAAAGAAGGCTCTGTTTGCCAATGCAACTGGGAGAGTGTTGGACGTAGGTTCGGGTGTCGGTCCGACATTTAAATACTTGGTCGATGAAGCATCACAAGAAGATAACAACAATAATAGTGCCAACAGAGTTACATCTGTGGTTTCAATCGAACCAAATCCATTTATGCAAGAGGAATTGAAGCGTGCTGCTGCCGCTGTCAAAGACAAGTACGATGTCACCATCATTCAGAAGACCATCGGACAAGCTATCAAAGACGGTGACATTGAGAATGGTACATTCGACACTGTCATTTGTAATTTAGTGCTCTGTTCGATTCCCGAACCCGAAAAGATTTTGAATGAGATACAGCAACTATTGAAACCCGGTGGAAAGTTCCTCTTTATCGAGCATGTCGTATCGAAAACTGGATGGTCTGCATTCCAATCGGCAATCAATCCACTCTGGAACTATATTGGTGATGGATGTTCACTCATTAGACATACCGATGAAACGGTAGCCAACATGTCTGGTTGGTCAAGTGCCAACATCACTGAAATACCAAGAAAGAAATACATTGAACTTCGTCATGTCAATGGTATTTGTATCAAAGAATAGAAAAATGATAAATACAACAACAAAAAAAAAACAAATCAAATCACACAAGTGTACAATAAATATTTAAAAAACTCTTCCTCTTATTTATAATTAATATTTTATTTGCAAAAGTGGTTGCACAATTTGCGGAAGTTCACACTTAACAATAATTTTTTGTATTAAATTTTAATTTATTTATTTATGTAATTATATATATATGTTTTGAATTTAAACAACAATGATGATACAAGATAATAGTAGTAGTAATAATAGAAATAATAATAACAATAATAATAGTAGGATATCAATATTAATTGATCCTCTTATGAGTGAATGGAATGATGTTTTAAATAATAATATTAACAATAATAATAATAATAATGGTAGTAATAGTAATAATAAAGCAATAGGTAGATCAATTGCATCTATTATATATGAATCATTGATAGAATATTGTAGAGTGATATTCGATTTATTCTATGATTGCAAAACAATTTCTATATTTACAACTATAAGGAATGCATGGAGGCTGAACGATCGTACTAGAGTTGAACAATCGTTGAAACATATCATACAATCAATAACAACAATCAATATCAACGATGATACCATACATCAATCAAAGATGACAGAATCAGATTATATACAAGCATTGGAATATACTTTGATTTCTTTAATAGAGGATATAGATGATATTAATCAACAACAACAACAACAAGATAATAATCAACAAGATAATAATAACAATCATCATTCTTTGATATTATTATTACCTCATCAGAATGGTGTAACTGAACATACTCATTATAAGATTGGTGAGAATAAACTTGATCTACCTAAACAAGTACAATCAATCATCGAGAGAATCAATCAGCAATCGACAAGACAGATACAAAACTGTGATCTGTTCATTATCAAGATGTTTACACAACCATCTCAATTAAATACAAAATATACATTCAAACATATTAAAGTAAGTAATAGTTTATTATTATAATTATAAAGTAGAAAAACACATTTGTTATTCTAACATGCTATTGTTTCAATATATTAAAGCAATCGAATCAATTGAATGTAATTGTAAAAGATGTATATATATCGGGATTATATCAAATGATGTCAGATCTATCGATAATTCAGTTTGATCTATCATCGATATCCGTAACTGGTATACCGATGAAAGAGAGTTCACAGAACTCAACAAGAGTTATCTATGATGTAATTCTTCTATACAAAGACAATAATAAACAAAGAAGAAAACAAAGATTACAAATTGCAAGACAACAACAACAACTGCAACAAACACAACAGAATGATCAACAGCAACAACAACAACAGAACAATAGTAATAATAATAATAATGTAATAGATACAAAGAATAAATATGAGAAATTTGCTAAACTTTTAAATACGATCAATGAACAAAGTCAGTTGGAACCAAGTTTAACAGTTCGTTGGAGAACCAATGAGAAAAAGCTGATATTCGATACGATGACCTTTAGCAGTTCACATCGCGTAACACCGTTGATACTCACTTCGAATCCGTCTGTCTGTTTGATGAAGCATATTTGTGCTGGCAAGACAGTGTTCTTGTCGCCACCAGACCAGGTCGATCCTATAACACATATTCTCGCGCTACACGACAACGAAGTACACCTCCACTTTCTTCACTCGCCAATGGACATTGCACAGCTTGTACCAATTCTCGAATGCTATACGACCGATGTCTCGAAATACAGAACTTCAGACTTTTCCGACATGATCGAAGCGTCGATACTCCAATCGAAGCGAACCAACATCTCCACTGGAAACAGCGGAAACTCGTTCCTCCTCACTGGCATACCGAACCCTTTCTATCAAGCAGAAGACGTCGACAGCATCCAACAATTCCAAGTGAGAACACCGCGTATCGTTGAGAAATACACGCGGTATTTCCCCTGGATCAAAGCGGACACTATCTTCTTCTCGGACGACCAGTGCGACGACTTGAAGTTGCTGCTCGACACCATCAAGCGTCTATTACTCAAGGATATTCTACCGGACGATTCACTGGAGGAGGTGAGCAAGTTGATATTCCAACTGTTTAAAATGACACAATCGAACGATATCCAACTGTTTCCACAGTTGAAAAACAACATTGGACTGAGGAAAGAGGCATACAAGAAACTTTGGATCGAATTCTTTACGTTTGCCAAGCAATGTCAGCAGACCAAACAACATTTCGAGCTGTTCAGCATCATTGAGAAATTGTATAATAATTTAATGTCCATACCAACTCCACAACAATCATTACCTTCTCCACCAAATCAACAACAACCACCACCACCCATTCCAAATCAACCGATTAATAAGAGAGTTGCTTCTCCTCAAACCGTTGTCATGACACAACAGCCAATTCAACAACAAATAAGTGGATTATATCAGAATCTACAACAACAGATACAAATGCAACAGACGCAACAACAACAACAACTTCAACAGGCAGGCGCTGTTGGTGACTCAAGTGCCCTATGGTCACAGTTTGATAAACACAAGAAACAGGTGAAAGAAGATGATTTACGTGCTGAGCGTGAACGACAGATGAAAGTAACCAACCCTTCGATGGAACTGCAACCTCAGAACACAGAGTTGGATCGCAAAAGAAAACTGCTCGACAGTGCATCGCCAACCGCCAAACCAAATAACTTTTTCAATAGCTTCTGGGAGAACAAGAATGGAAAACAACAAGCAATCGAATTGGATGGTCGCATTGGTGTATCAAACCCACCGAATTCACTTGGATCAACATCAAACATAGTAATCCAATAATAATAATAATTTTAATAAAAACAAACTTGAACAACAACAATAATAATATTGTCTTTTTCGTCTTATTGATTACACTACTTGTTTAAATTAATTTATTGTAAAAACTTTTTTTTTAAATTACATTTCTTATTTGAATTATTTATTTAACTTTATGGTCCAAGATATGTACCTATGTTCATTCCTGGTGGTCTTGGTGGAGGTTGTGGAACATTTGGGGGAGGTGTTCTCGGAGGAAGTCCGGGCTTTACCACTGCTAATCCTGTATAGGACTGTCCAACATCAATGTTACTTGATTGACCAAATGTTATACCACTTGAAGACTGCAGTGAAGTTCCAGATAATTTAGTTAAAACATCTATTTAGTAATGATTAAAAATAAATTAATTTAATTTAAATAAAGTAATATTTAAGATTTAAATTGTGATTATTTACCAATTAACATATTTACTATATTTGTATTATTTTTTTATTATTAAAATATTTAAAGAAAAGGAATAATTATTTATTGTATTTAAGGATTAGTAATTGTACAAATGTATTGGTATATGTTGGAATGAAAGAAATGAAGAATTTTTTGTTAGTATTTTTCAGTTCAAGAAATTGTAGGAACGTTGGTTTGAATTGTGGTATGACAAGAGTATTGTGTAAAATATTGGATGAAATCTAAAAGATTGGTGATTAAGAGGTATGAATAATCTGTGTGATTCTTTCGATTTCCAATCATCGGAGACATCCATTGACCTTTTTTAGTAAATCACTGGTTTACTCCATTTTTTGATCCATTATTTTAAAAAAAAAACAAACAGTTTAATGTATACTTTTTTGATTGTTGAAAGTGTTACCCTTAGAGTTCCAATTGGTTTGGGAACCACAAAAACAATCAAAACAACACAAAAACCCAATATTTTTTAAAAGTTGCAGGAGTGTTTTATGGAAACAACAGGCAACACTTTGTAAAGCCCAAAAAAACGAGAGTGGAGATTTACAATTTTTACATTTTTTACATTTTTATTTTAATACCATGTTTATTCAAATAATAAATAATTATCATCATTATAGTGATGTTTGTGGGAATCTTGTAAACAACATTGTGCACAGCTGTGAATGTTAAAGTCTTCCAAAGAAACAACCACCAAACAAAACGACACACACAATCGTAATGTAAACGCCTTGCAGTTGAAAAAAATAAATGCTTATTCAGAGCTAAATTGAATTGCAGTTACATTGAACATACAAATATTTGTTTCTCTCTTTCTCTCTCTCTTTTTGGCTTCTATTTTTTTGTTCAAGTATGGTTAAATAAAATCTAACAATAGCTGAGGAAGTATCTTTTCTAAATGAGTTAATGTGATATCTGACTCGTCGAGTGCTGCCTGTTTTGCCATTCTATGAACACATTCAACAACCAATAACTCTAAGAAGTATCCTGTTAGTTTATTCGCCTCATCGCTGACTACAAAATATGTTGTTAGTTATTTTTAGATCTAAATAAAATAATTATACAATAATTCTATTCTCTATTTACTTTTAACCTTATCTTTAATTGCTGACTTTATTATAGTTTCAATTGATCTCTAATATATAATTTGAAGTAGATAGAAAATGAAAAAAGAATATTAATTAATTTCATTCAAAATTAGACAAATTTTAACTATTGAACATACAGAATTGAAAATGTGGTCATTTGATTCATCCATTTTATTACTACTATTAAAAAGAATATTAAATAGATGATTATCTATATATATATGTGTGTATAATATACTTATAAATCTGCTGAAATGAGTGAAAAAAAATGAAATGAAAAACAAAGATCAACTTCATACTTTTGAAATTTTAATTTTGTAATTTTTAATTTATCATTGTAGTATAGTGTAATCATTGTATAGTATAATATTAGTAGAGTGTAGCATAGCAGTAATATATATATAATAGTAGTAAAGTTTGTTTGTTTAAGTGAGAATTAGATTGAATCAATCAAGTTAAACAATGTCAAATTCAACTATATCTGCAATGATGATGATGGTAGGTGATATGTCATCACTCAACTCACTACCATCGTTCAACAATCATCATATCGATGATCTTGGTCTTGACGACGATACCTTTCACTCATCGGTCTTTGAAATATACATACCGGAGCAATACGATAGTCAACTATGGAACAACTATGAATATCTAAATAAGAATGCAAATAAATTTATAGATTGTACATCAAGAAACTATTTAATACAAGGTAAATTATCTTCTTATATTTCAATCAAACAAAATATATATATAATGTTAAATATTTATTAATATATATATAATAATTATATTAATAATTAGGTGAATTACTTAGATTCTTTATTATTGCAAGACCACCTGCAGTTGTAAAAGCAAGAGCATTGAGTCAGAGTCAAGCAGAGAGACCGATGAATCTATCACAAAATCTGAAACCCATTGCAGAAGTACCGAATATAATAACTACGGATACCGATACACCGGTGGTATCACCTACACTAAAGTCACCTAATGGTCAAGAACCACTCTCTATTCTACCACCACTACCATCATCGTCACAGAATCTATCGTTTGAAATTCATATGAAATACTCACCACCAGATGCCAAATATAGTACTACCTTAGATCAAAATGTAAATATAACAAAACATAGTTCACTATAGTATAGTATTATACAAACAAACCAAACAACTAATGTTTTACTTATCATCTTAAAGTCAGTGAATATTACAGAATATAATCCAAAACATTCATATGTTGATACGGAATTAAAGAATGATTATATATCATCTTCTAAATCATCTACTTCCTATTTAAGAGCGAATAACAATAATAATAATAATAATATTAATCAACAACAGCAACAACAATTAAATGATAAGAGATTCATAGGTGGAATCATCGATGTCTCTACACCGTTCGATACCTACATTCCAAACAGAGATACAGTCAACCAGAAACCAAATTACTTTAGATTATCAAATGGTGATATTGTATTCCCAATTGAAATACCAATATGTATGTTAATAACCAATACTTATGAAGTTTAATAACTAACTAACTGATTGGTGTTAACTATAATATGTATAGATATAAGAGAAATATATGAAGATAAAATGATTACTTTATTATTTAAAGTTAATAGATCAAAGAATTATAAACAGTTACTTTCTACTGGAAACAAGTTGGATCGATTGTTGATGAATGAAACACTGGCTGTCACTCCGAGTAGCAAGGTACGTCCACTACGTAATTTCTTTAAGCAATTCACATTGGTGCAACCACTCAAGTTGAGTATACTGCCAAATATCGTTCCACTTGACAACAGTCATCTCGTGAGTGTAGTCGTTGAGAATACACATCCTTCACTCACCGTTAAACTCTCCGATGTAAATATCTACTTGTTCCACGTGTTGTCGATGGAGTCATTCCTGAACGTCGACAACCCCAACCAGAACAACCCACCGGTACCAGTTCACCGACAGATAGGTCAACTTGTTAAAGCTGCCAATCATTATATAGGTAGACCAATTGATTTTACAGGTGACAACGATGACGATGAACATAGTAGTAGTAATACGGTTGAATTATCAGCTGGTTCACAACACACTTTTGTACTAAAAGTATCGCCACTCTCGCTACAACAACAATTGATTCCTCTCGATGGATTCTACACAAAGATAAAGCTGGCGTGGAGTATTACAACTACTTCCGGTCATATATTGTCGTTGTACGACTTGAAGGTGCCGCCACCTTCAACCTCTGAGATCATGGTCGACCTCGAGAGTCCGTCGCCAGTGCGCATCTCACAGCGATTCCAAGTCGCCATAAAGATCACCAACCTCGGTGCCAAGTCGAAACAACTAACCATCACCATTCCAGCTCCACAGAGAATAACAAGAGCTACACCACCGCCACAATTCGCACCACCACCTCCACCCAAACTCTCTGGAATATCAGTACAACAACAGCAACAAACAACTCAACCACAACAACAACAACAATCACCACCAACAACTCAACAACAACAAAATGGAAAGAAAACAACAACAACAACATCATCAACAACATCAGCAATTTCATCAAGTCAATCACTTTCAAAACAATCTTCTATAAACGATCTTAAACAATCATCTATTTCCAGTTCAACAACAAAGATAACACCATCGATTGGAATGTCGAAATACATACCGATTGGCTCCCATATACAATTCAATGAGATGACAACTAAATCATTGGCATCATTCGATGATACTCAAAGAAATTCCGCCAATCTAATATGTTTAGAGAAATCAATTTATGTTGGGTAAGTATTGGTGTGTTTGTGGATCAATATTCCATTTCTTTTTCTAATAATATTTATCTTATTAAAAATTAGTGATATAGATTCAAAGAATTCAGTTTGTATATTTGTAGATTTCATTGCATTTAGAACAGGAATGTTTGAGATTCCAAATATAACAATATACGATAGGATCGAACAGAAGCAGTTTACACTGAAAGAACCTCTTTTGATTTCTTGTATCGATGAATCTACAATGCCAATTTCAACAACAATACCCGTCACAAATAATAATAACAACAATAAATAGCAAATAAAGTTAATTTAAAATTCAAGTAAAGATTGAAAAAAAAAAGATTTTATTTATTATTATCTAAATTTTTCCCCGATAAAATGTTGACATTATCCGATATGAATTGGAAACAGTGATTGATTTAATGATGGTATATGAGTCTTATTGTGGGCCTGATCAAAAAAAAAGAAGACTCTTACTAGTAGATAGAGGGGGTCAAGTTAATGAAAATTGGAAAATATTTAAAACATCCGACATAGATCCAAGATTAATACCTTCAAAGCACTGATGAGAGACTTGATGGAATTAATTCAACATTATCTATAACTTGTTTCGACAAGCACGTCCAGGGAAGAAGAGAGTGTGAAATTTTTTTTTATAATTTTTACATTAAAAAATCATATATGTTCTTCACGAGAATTTGATTTACCAACAAAATATTAACCTTATTATTTCAATTTTATTAAATCAATCAGTTTCTGATTATATCATTTAAAAAAAAAAAAAAGTTCAACATGAAAAAAATCATTGTTTTGCAAAAAATGTTCTTAAAGAAAAAAAAAATCACAAAAAAAAAAAAAATGTTTATGATTTTTTTTTCCCTCCTTTAATTTATTCTTTTAAATAATAATTGTTCATTTTTTTATTTATATTCAAACAATTATTTGTACAAATATTTCTTTATTAATTATATATATATATATATATGTCGGGATTTAAATCATTATTAAAAAACAGTTTAACAACAAATGACAACTCAAATACACAAGTTGATAATAAATATAAAGTGAGCAACTCTGGTGGTAATAATAATAATAATAATAATAATAATAATGACGACGATACCAGTACCTTTAGTTTAAGTGGGTTCGACGATGAAGAACAAAAACACAGTGCTGTCACTTTAAAAAGAAAAAATGGTATGATTTTATTTAATATAATAGATAAGAACCAGGTGTGGTGACACATTCAATCAGAAAAATAAAACTAATAACAAAAAAAAAAAAAAAACTTAATATTTAGAGTTTGATTCTTCATCTTCACCTTATGGTACTGGTATATTAAAGAAACAGAATAATAATGGTGATAATAATACAAAAACAACAACAATGAATGATTCTTCTTTTAATTTGGATTTCGATGATGATTTCAATGGTGGCGGTAGCGGTGGTGGTCCTGTAGATGTTGATTTGGATGCACAACGACAAGAGCTATTGGATCAAGAATATGGATTTAATAACAAAAAAACGACAACTACCACAACAACAACTACTGGTGGTGGTGGTATACCTGAATTCATTTGGCAGTGGAAAACTGATAATGGATCATACGTTGACTACGACTTGGAAATGTGTAAAAAGATTGAAGATCATAGAAAGAAGACGAGTACCGACTTCAAAGTTGACAAAGAACGTTACATTGACTTTGGTAGAATGATACAGAGACGTTACGATGCTCCACAGAAATGTCGTGAAATCAAGAAAGTTCCATACTCACAATCAAACTACGCTGCCAAACAAAACAAGAAACCAACAACACCAACCACAACAACATCCAATACATCGTCGTCAAAACCAACAACTAGTTCAAACTCAACATCATCAACTTTTGGTTTTAAATCTACAAATTCATCAAGCTCCAACAACAATAATAGTAACAATACAACATCAAATACTACTTCTTCACCAAAGATGACATCATCATCATCGTCATCAACTCCACCATCGACTGCCAATACTTTGTCCACTGGAAATACAAGTAGACCAACTACACCTAGCACCTCTGCTGTTTGGAGTTGGAAGAGTGACAGTGGATGGGCTATCTACGATGAAGCAACCATGAAGCAGATCGAGGACAGCTACGTTCAGGGTAAGAAGAGATTTCAAGTCGACGATGACAGATACATCGATTTCGAGTACAATGCACAGAGAAGATACGATGATCCAAGTAAGATGAGACCTGTCAGAAGAGAAGATAAACTAGCAAATAATAATAGTAGCAGTAGTGGCAGCAGTGGAACAAGTACACCACCACCATCCGTTAAACCAATTAAAATAGCGACAACTCCAACAACTCCAACAAAAGCAACAGGAACTTCATCATCCTCATCCAACTCCAATTCCAACGCAAGTTCAAATTATAATACCAGTTCAAATTTCAACAGTTCAAATTCCAATTCCGGCAACTCTGGAAATTCATTGTATTTCAAAAAAACAAATAATTCAACATCATCTTCTTCCTCTTCTTCCTCATCATCTTCAAAGACAAGAGATGTAGATTCAGTTCAAGCAAAAGGAATGGGAAAGTGGAAATGGTCAGCTGACGATGGTCAATGGCATGATTATACTGCCGATATCAATGAGTTGATTGAATCTGCCTATGTTAATGCACCACCTGTCAACGAGCAAATCGTTACTATTCGTGGTGAGAAGAAGATCATTGATTTCATTGCATTCGTTCAGAGAAGATTCGACGATCGTGACAAACGTAGACCCATCAAGAGAGTTGTCGATGCCAGTGCAGGACCAGCACCCTCCAAACCAAAGACTACATCAGCACCACAAACCAACTTTCCAAAGTACAACAACAATGAGGAAAGCGATTTCTTTGATCTCACAGATTCCAACTACGACGACAATGAGAATGTGGACATTGACGACCCAGACTTTTTGAAAAAGAAAAGAAAGCTATATGCGTGTGGCGATCAATATGTTGTGCTCAATGATATTCAAACTTGGTATCAGTTTATCGAAGAGAAGCGTGCCAAGTTTAAAAAGTTTTCTACCACTGCATTCCCCGCCAATGCCAAAATGAACAAGAAAATCTCATTGTATGGCGGTGATATCACTGCGCTGGAGATCGATGCCATTGTTAATGCCGCGCGATCCAGTTTGTTGGGTGGTGGTGGAATCGATGGTGCCATTCACAAAGCCGCTGGCTATGGATTACTGAACGAGTGTAAGACACTGGGCGGTTGCCGTGTCGGTCAGTCCAAGATTACCAAGGGCTACAAGTTGCCGGCAAAGTATGTCATCCACACGGTTGGACCGATGGACGAGAATGCCGATGCACTCCTATCGTGCTACACCACCACACTCGATCTGATAACTCAACACAAGATCCGCTCAGTTGCGATGTGTTGTGTTGCCACCGGTGTCTACGGATTCCCAAATGACAAAGCCGCTCAGATTGCCATCCGTAGCGTTAGAGAATGGCTAGAAATTCATGGTGACTCTATCGATAGAATTATATTTTGTGTATTTACAAAGGAGGATTATACAATCTATGGTAAACTACTTCAATCCTTTTTCCCTGTTCATCCAGAAAATGAATAAATAAATAAACAAATTATAGTAAATCAATCAAACAAATAAAAAAAACATAATTTTATATAAAACACATATAAATATAACAAATAACAACTTGATGATATATAATAAATAGATGGATGGAAAAGAGATTTTTAAAATGTACAAGAATATTTATATATTATATCTTTTTATAAATCTATCTTGATTAATGCTTCAAGACATGCACGTCCACCTTCAACTTCCAATTTCACTTTGGTATCGTTGTCAAGGAATGTATTATCGATACGATTGGCAAGGATGATGGTTGCAGCTGCAGCTTTGATGGGTACAGCGATGGAACGTGCGGCCATATGATAGAGTTGGAATGATTCCATCTCCAAGGTCGATGCCTCTGGGTAACGCTTTAGGATTTGGTCGATCAAATCTTGGTTGTGATCGTCAAAGTTTGAATCTTGACGACCTTGACTACTGTAGAACGAGTCGGCGGTGGCATTGGTACCGACAATGACCTTTCTGTCTGGAATCTCTGTTTTGAAGGCATCGGTGAGTTTGCTGATCAACTCACTGTCACCCTCCCAGGGCAGTGAAATGTCGTATGGTTTGACATCGCCGGCGGCGGCAGCGGCTGGGTGCCAGTGATCTGGATTACGACGAATCAGTACACAATCCTTGGCAATTGCCAGGGAACCCACTGGAACGTCACGCAACGATCCACATGTTCCGTATCTAACGATTGCCATTGGACCGACACCAACGAATCTACCTTCACGCACCAAAAAGTCCATCATTGGAGTACCCATACCAATGGAGACAATCGATACTCTTACACCCTTGTATGTACCTGTATGAATGTGGAATCCACGATGTTGAGTGGTTGTCACCTTTGTATTTGCATCCAACAGTTTATCTCTTAACTTTTCAGCACGACCATAGTCACCAACTGTCAATACTCTTGGTGCCACTGTTTTGGATTAATAAATAAAAGCAACCATTAATAAATTGAACAAAAATACAATCATCATTGAATACATACATCCATCACGAGCAACACCCAAATGATATACAACACCATCATCGTCAACTGGGAAATTTGCATTTGTAGCATTACCAACTTTTGTATTAGTCATCTTATCTAATTATCTATATTTTAATTGTTATTACACAAAAAATAAACTAATTTTAAATTTATATACAAATAAATAAAAATTGTGAAATGAATATATAAAACAAAACAATATAATATAATAAATATATATTTATACAAGTAATACTAAATTTAATAAATAAATAAAAATAATTATTTGTTACAAAAAATAAAAATATCTGTCTTAAATGAAAAATGACTTTTGAAAATTCAAATTTAAAGAGGTGATTGTGTAATTTCAAACTTAATTAAAAATATATTTAATAATATTATTAAAAAAAATGTTTATAAAAAAAAAAATAAGATTGATCATTTTTTTGCTGTGGAGCGGAGTTCAACCTGGTCATTATGATCATTGTGTGCTTTCAACAAAAAAATGATCTTTTTTTTTTATTTTTTCGAAAATATTATGATCTTTAAGATTAGGAAAAAAAAAGTTGATTTTTAAAGATCAATTATCATTAATTTTCATTAATTAAACATAAAGAATATTATTATTCTTTTAATATTATTCAATATATATAAAAGTAGGTAATCAATTATTATTAAAAATTCTAGAATTGGTTGATCTTTATTTTGTTGAAATTTCAAAACTACAAATACGAAAATCGCAACAAATTTATTTTAGATATTTTTATTTTAAATAAAAATCAAGAAATTCACTAATCAATCTTCTATTTTATTGTATTCCATAGAAAAATCAATCGAAAAAGACAGTGTATTTAATAACTTTCGTCAATTCGATAAAAGATTTCTAGACTTGTCGATCACAATATGAAGAATGGTGAAACAGATTTACTTACAGTATTAATAACTAATAGAAGGTTGAAAGAAGAGAATGATGATTTAAAATTAAAAATTAAACAATTAGAAAGTGAATTACAAATATTTAAAAATAATAATAATAGTAATAGTAGTAATGGTGTTCGTGTTTCTGTAAATGATGAAAATAATAGTAGTAGGAGTAGTTAGTTAGTTTAGATGTATTACAATTCTAGATCTAAGATCACTCTTAAAGTAAATAATGACAACAACTATAGTAGTAAAACATTAATTAATTTAAAAATCAAATCATTGATTTCTTCGGAGATAATTTCGATTTCAGTTATCAATAAGAAAAACAACACCTCTTTTTTCAATATATTTAATTGCGGTGGTGGTGAGTTTTTTGATGCAAAAAAAACAAAAACACATTAAGGAAATTTACACGCAAAAAAAACAAGACGAAATTTTTTTAAATTTCCCAAATATGATTGTAGAACCACCTGCCGATATCCCAGTGGTTCTGCAACAACACAGCTCATTTTTAAATCATTAATAATAAAAAAAAAAGTAGATTAATAAATAACTTGAAGTTTTGTTGTCTTTTTCTGTTTTTTTTTTTTTTGCTAAAATAATAATATAAAAAGTATATATATATTTATTTATTTTAAATTAATTGAATTTATATCCAAAATTACAATATTAACCACACTTTTTACTTTAACATTTTTATATTTATTCAATTGTCTTAACATAACATAAAATAATATCTAGCATTTATTATTACATATAAAAGTAAATAGTTGAATGATGAGTGATAATAAAGTAGTTAATTTAGATGGTAACACATTGCAGATTGACGATTTGGTGAATATTGGTTACAATGGATATAAAGTTGCATTGACACCGGAAGTAGAGGAGATCATTCAGAAAGGAAGAAGAGTCATTGACGAAATCGTCGCATCCAATAAAGTAGTATACGGTATCAACACTGGTTTTGGTTTATTCTCAAATGTCACCATTCCCAATGAACAAATTAAGATGTATGTATATTTTTAGTTACAACCATGTTTGATATCATATTAATCAACAACAAAATCATCAAACCTCTACATTTGAAAAAAAAACAACAGTTTACAAGAAAACTTAATTAGATCTCATAGTACAGGTGTTGGTACACCACTTACACCAGCACGTACAAGAATGTTGTTTGCTTTGAGAATCAATGTGTTGGCAAAGGGATTCAGTGGAATCTCGTTGGAGACTGTTAGACGTGCCGTTGCCATTTTGAATGCCGATTGCTTGCCAATCGTACCCGAGAAGGGAACAGTAGGAGCATCCGGTGATTTGGCACCACTTTCACATTTGGCGTTGGGTATGATGGGTGAGGGTAAGATGTACGATGGCGCCACCGGTAAAGTTGGTCCAGCCGGCGAAATCTTGGCTGCTTACAACTTGACACCGATCGATTTGGCTGCCAAAGAGGGTTTGGCACTGATCAACGGAACACAGCTCATTTCATCGTTGGGTGCAGAAGCAGTGCATCGTTCGCGTATCATTGCCGACACTGCTAATATCGTTGCAGCCATCACACTCGAAGCACTCTGTGGAACGGTTGCCGCGTTCCATCCAGCCATTCACAACGCACGTCCTCACAGCGGTCAGAAAAAGGTAGCCGCATTCATGCGTTCTGTCTTGCACGACAAGAACGACGCCAACGGATTCAAGTCAGAGATCTCAGAGTCACACGCCAATTGTGGATGCGTACAAGACAGTTACACTCTTCGTTGTATTCCACAGGTTCACGGTATCGTACACGACACCATTGATTTCGTCGAGGGTATTCTCTCGACCGAGTTAAACAGCGCCACCGACAACCCAATGGTATTCCCAGATCTAAATACTACGATGTCCGGTGGTAATTTCCACGGTGAGTATCCGGCCAAGGCATTGGATTACCTGGCAATTGGAATTCACGAAATAAGCAACATTTCCGAGCGTCGTTTGGAGCGTTTGGTCAATCATCAACTCAGTGGATTGCCAGCTTTCTTGGTGAAAGAGGGTGGACTCAACTCTGGATTCATGATTTCCCACTGCACCGCAGCCGCTCTCGTCTCTGAGAACAAGACTCTCTGTCACCCATCTTCAGTCGATTCACTAAGTACTAGTGCAGCCAAAGAGGATCACGTATCGATGGGTGGATGGTCAGCAAGAAAGGCATTGATGGTAGTCGATAACGTCGAACATGTATTGGCCATTGAGTTACTGGCCTGCATTCAGGCACTCGATTTCCATCGTCCAAACAAGACTACACCACCACTCGAAGCAGTCTATCAGTTGGTCCGTTCTAAAGTTCCATACATGGAGAAAGACAGATTCATTCAACCAGACATTGAAGCTTGTCTCGAATTGATCAAGACCGGTCAAGTTTTAAACGTTGTCAAATCATTCTTAAAAAATTAAAATTTTAATTATTTATTTTTATCCCTCATCCACAAACATAAAATGTGTGGTCTTCACACTCAAAAACTTGTCAATTTTTTATCAATCATATTACCACCTAACCAAACAAGTTCAACTTGAACTTTTACTAAAATTTTAATTTTTTTTTATAAGTTCAACTTGAACGTTTACTAAAATTTTAATTTTTTTTAATTATAAATAGAAATACATCCGATGAAAGTTGATCAAAATTCAAACTATTAAATCACTACAATTATTTATCTCTACTCAACATTTATTAATTTACATTTAAAAACTTTGTTTAATATTATTTTTTGTCTAACAAATGGACTATAAATTATTCAAAACAGTTTTAAATAATACATTTATTCGTGAAAATATCTATAATAATATTTTGTATATAAATGATAGAGTTTGTTCAACTACCAAACCCAATCAAGTTGTTAATAGATATTCATTCAATCAAATTAAAGAAAGTGAAGTACTATTAATAAAATTCAACTTTATTAATATTTTTAAAAACAATTTATTAAAGAGTGGCGATGATCAAGATACAAGCGAACCATTTTCAGTCATTGAGAAATTAGATTTTGTTTTAATACACCTAATTAAAACCAATAAACAAGATTTGTTTATGGAGGTATATCAAGAAATACCAAAGAATTTATCAATCAATTTGGATTTTAAATTATATATTGATTCCTGCTTGGAGTATGGAGCCAAGAATATTATTCAATATTTGGTTGAAAAGGAAGAGTATCTAGAGTCCTATTTGCTTTGTTCTATCACTAACCAGGTGTTCTTACAATCAATTCCTCTTGGAATCCCAGAGTTTTCTGAATGGTTATGGGAATTCCTTCCAGAAAAAGATAATGTCATAGAGGAATCATTTCATTTGGCTGTGGAGCATGGACAAGAGGAATTGTTTTGGATGCTTCTGGAGTTTCATACTCCCGATGATAATAGCCATGAGTTCTTGGAGAAAGCTCTTAAAGGTGGTAACCAAACTATAATTCAACATTATTCAGACAGTATCACTGATGATTGTCTTGAAACTTATGTAAATGCTATGGATGTTTTTGGAATTCTAAAATCTCTAATTGAAAAAAAGAAAAATGAAATTCTATTCCATTTCATTTTCAAAGTGCGTCCTTTTATTCAAAATTGGCTACCATCTCTATCTCAAATAGTTAAATTCAAGAATGTAGATTTACAGCTCTGTATATTCTTTAGACAATTAGGTTCACCTGTTGATTTGTATACAATCTTAGAAGCTTCATCAGTAGGACAGTTCCAAGTTGTAAAGTGGTTATATTCTGAATACAAATATCCAGAGGAAATTCTTTTACAAATCATAGATTTTTCTGCCAAATATGGAAGCCTTGAATTAATTCAAAATATATATTTAGACTATAAATTATATTCAACAAATGCAGTTCAATATGCAATTGACTCTGGTCATGAACAAATCGTTGAATATCTATTATCACTTCCAGTACAAGAAAAACTTTTCAATTCTAATATAATTCAATCACAAAGACAATCTTGTCAAACAACATATTAAATAATAAATAAATAAAATCAAGAAATAAAAATTATCTATTTGAAGTTTGAAGCTAATGGTTCTAAAAAAAACAAATTTAATAAATTTAACTTATAATTAAAATAAAATTTTTTTTTTTTGTTAAAAAAGTATTATTACACTTTTTATTATAAATAAGTTTATTTTAAATAGTTTTTTGATTGTTTTTTAAAGATTCTAGATACTGTAATGTTATAGCGGTTTGGCTTGAAAGATTGGGAAAAATATTGAATTCATTCTCCAAGTGGTTGGGGAATGTTTAACTTTGTAATTTTACACTATATATTTGATTTTATAGGTATATTGGTTGGGTGGATTGGTTATTATCGATAAAATGTACAAGATGATTTGATTGGGGAAAAACTAAACAATAGTGAGGGTGAAAAAAATAAGAGTTTGGACAGATTCCTATTAGCAGTTGGCATAGGCAGTTGAAGGTGGATTGACATAACCAACATTTGGTTGTGGTTCCATACATTTCAAGTTGGAGTTGGATGGTGCTCTCTTGCTGGATGTCAAACGACCTGGATGTTGTGATTGAGCAGAGTTGCTTACGACTGCAGAGGTGGTTGGTGAAACTGGTGGTGTTACTTGTTGTTTCATATTGATATTCTTGTAGTTGGTGGCGGATGGTGTTGGTAATGATTGTTTGAGAGTTGATGTGATGTCGATTTTAGACAAGAAAATTTCGATTTGTTCCTCAGTGATGATGAGGTGGTAATCGATTCCAGTGAGGAAACGACGCTCCATCAAATTGATATCTTGAACTGGGAATTCGAAAATGTCTGCCAAAATACGATTGTTGATTGGGGTGCTCTCTGACCAGAACTTGAGGGTAACGATGGTGCTGGTCAACAACAAATTGAAAAGTTGGTTGTGCTTGATACCAGTACGACTGACAAACTTGTTGGCATAGTATACAACTGAGCTCAACAATGAGGGTGGAGCTTTCATCATCTCCAAAAGACTTAGAATGATATCGAAAATCTCATCGATGGCTTCCAATATCTTGTCGTAGAGTAAGTTGTTGGTGTAGTTTGGATCGTGATCTGACAACCATTGGTATACACGAAGTCCAAGTACAAAATATTCCCATTTGGACTTTTGTTTTCCATAAGTTTGATTGTAAATCTTTTTAAAGATTTGTTGGTATACTGAGGCTTTACTATGATATACAGAAGACATTTTTATATATTATTTATATTTATAGATTTTGGAAATCTGGATTTTTTAAAAAATTATTATTAATACAATTGTTTTTTTAATTATTAAAATACAACAAATTTATATATTATTATTATTTAATTTAATTAATCTATTATTTATTTTATAATGGAAATTAAATTATGATCGAAAAATGATCAGATATAAATACAAAAATAAAAAAAACAATAAAAATAAAAAATAAAAATATAAAATTGGAAATATTTATTCAGAATTTTAATAACAAACACAAATGTGTATAATAATCAAACAAAGTGAATGTTATATTTATGATTATGTTTAATGAATTCTTTGATTTAGTGAAGTATAACAATTACTCTGTTTCGTCTATCTATGTATTTATATCCATCAACATCAACATCTTCACGCCCAGTTTTGACTGGTTTCTAGATGTTTTTAAAATAACACAATCATAATGTTGAAACAGTTGTTAAACTTAAGTGAGGAGGGTATTAAGATTGAGATTTGCAAGTGGTAAAGTGGGTAATTGTGTTTGTTAAATTTAAAAAAATTAAAAAATAGGTGAGTGGTGGTTTGTGATATCCATCATGATTAATGGATGTGTGAGTTGTGTGTTGTGGTAAGTGTGTTTTTGTCGTTTCACTTTACAGTGTGCACATGTATTGTTTATGTAGGTTAAAGAGAGTTAGATAGTAGTTGTACTCTATACTAAAAAAAAACAAAAATTAAATTAAATTAAATAAAAAAAAAACAAAAATTATATGATAAAAGGGTTACTATATATCACAAGCAATTCAAATTTACATTACACTTTCTTTTTTATGATTTATATGAAGTATTGTTTTGTTTAGGTAATTATGATGATGTATTAAAATGTTTGCTATATGAGGTAGTATCTTAACCACAAACAGCAATACATTTTTATCAATCTATTATCATTCTGTCTTTTTTTTTTTATAAGAGTTGTATACATACAACCACTAAACTCTTTTTATATTCATTATACTACTACACAATATGGCACAAACCAACCAATTCACAAAGTCCCAACGACAATAATTTAAAAAGACATTTCCAATGTTTGTTTTTTTTTTTTAATTCTAATTTTCTCTTTGTATGTTGTTCTAATGGAACAATAATGAAATTGAATTCTGACAATGTGATCACAAACAATCTATCTATTGAATATAAACAAATTACCTTATGTAATTATAACCATTTTTATATCATTTCCAATCATTTTTAGCTTGGAATGGTTGTATAATTCACCACACATTCCGATGACCACAAACTCATCAAAGAGTGAACTTTATAAAACAGTTTATTTTATTGTTTTAATGTGTCGTGGTTGTCATCTGTAGGTAGAAATTATTATATGATATAATGTGATATATTTGATTTAAAGATATTGTCATAATATGATGAATTATTTTATTCGAAGATATTATTGTTTTTTTTGAAATATTGATTGATTGTTTTGTTATTTCCAACTTCAACCCGAATGGATTCGAATTGTGATGAATGAAATGATTTTAGAAAAAACAGAGTTTCGAAAGTAAAGAAATTTTGAATATGTCTATTAACATATCAAAGAGTTATCACAAATGAGTGACTGTTCAACAACACACATGTGGAGACACAAAAATAAACAAAAAGGTAAAAATTGCATAAAAAGGAAAAGTTGTAATTTGGAAATTAATATTTACACTTTAAATTTGTAGAATACGGATTACTTGGCTAAGGATTACTAATTACTACTTGAATTTTAAAAATGATAACTTTTTGAAATAATTTTTAAAATTAATATTATTATTACACGTGAATAGAGTTACAAATAATATCTAACAGTTAAGATATTATTATTTTCTTAATGATACAGAATTAAATAGATATAATAATTATATAGTTATTTAATATTTGGTGGATTGATAAAGTACAATATTATTTTGTTTGATATAATTTTACAACAACAAATAAGATTAAATCACTTGATGATTCTTAATTAATTTGATTCCAAATGAGAAATGTTTATATAATGGCGAATTCACACAAAAAAAAAAAGGTTGAAGTTATAATAATTAAAAAGAAACATTTAAAAATTGTAAAAGATTATTCATTTATAAAAAGAATCTTTCTCATTTGTGTGTCAAAGTTAGATTAACTGTTTGAATTAGGATGGAGAGATGTAGAGTGATGCAAAGATGATCGATATTGACCCAGGATGTGATCAGATTTTTAACCACGTGGTACCCTGAGATCGATGAAATAGAGAAAAATAACAACAAAAAATAAATAAATAAATACAAACTAATCCAGCTTGATTCCTATCACGCGTTATAGCAGTGATAGCAATCCTGATGAAAAGTTATAATAGTTAAACCATCTAAAAATATTATAATTATTGTTTGTGATTGATATTGAGCTCCTAAAAGGTCAAAAGTGTGTGTGTGTTTATCTGATTGTTTGTGTGTGTGTGTTTGAATTTTTTTTTAAGGGTTATATTTGACTAACTTTAAAAATTGTGTTGGTGTGTGCTTGGGTTGTTGTGTGATTGTGTGAATCTGGGCTATCATATGAATGTCAACAATTTGGTGTTGGTAATAATACTTTTTGAACTCAAGTTATTTCATTGCATTTAAGTTCTATATATATTGGATGTCAGTTTTTGATTTGTGCAAAAGTAACCAAAAAATTACAAGAATAATTTTATTGATAATTTAAACAACACCAACAACTAACAAATAGAATCAAAATTTATTAATAGAGTCACCAAATAACCAATAATCGATAAGATTTATAACAAATTAATTGATTAATTGGCTTTTGATAAAGAAATAAATAGAAAGGCAATTGTGAACCACAAACAAATAAATAATTCAACAAACACTTTGCTACTGCACTTCACCAAATAAATCAAACTTATATCTTTACGATTAGGTTTTTTTTTCTTAAAAGTATAAAAAATTGAATATCGCCATAAAAGTGGGTGTTTTGTTTTGAGTTAGTTGATAAGATTATTGTATTTACCTTATGTTGATTAATAGAAAATGTGGAAGTTGCGATCGCTGGAATTACTTCTTCTTCTGGAACAAGGTGCCTCTTAGATTATATTGTTATATTTAGATTGTTTATTTCTAAATTTATATTACTTTTAATGTTATTGGCTTGATGGTTGTTGATTCAGTTGATTTTCTAGTGGTTGTTTATTATTGTTGCTATTAAGGAGTACCAAACACATCAGGAATTTATTAATTATTTTAATTGGTAGGTTGCAATGAGGAGTAATATGAAATAGCCGTAGTGGTAGTTGAGGTGGTGGTGTTATTTAATTTAAAAATGTGTGGTTGATTGATTAATTATGTGTGCTTTTCAAAAGAAACTGTTTTGTGTGTATCTGTGTGTTTAATTAATTAAATAAATAAATAAATAATGTAGAAATAAATAAATAATAAGTTGTTATAAATATTAACAAAGGAAGATGGTTGATTGTGGAGGTTCAAAAGGATTTGATAAAATAAGAAAAATCTATAGTTGTCCACCAAAAATATATTAAAGTGAGAGGAGGTTTATTGTGAATCACAGTGGAGAATTGGAAATTAAAAATTAAATATATATGGTGTAAACAGGAATGGATAAGTGTGGGGCTTGTGCTCAAATATCTATGCTCTAAATTTGACTTTATTTATTTTTGTTTTAATTAATTATTGGTTGATTGCTGATTATTGATTGACTGCTATTTGCTTTTGTTGTTCGATTAAAGTGTATGACCTTTAGTAAAATGAGAAATAAATATAGAGAGATTGTAGTTTGTGATTTACAAATGATAAAGGTGTCAATTGATTGAATGATGATTTATTTATTGTTTTTAAGCTTTCAATTGGTTGTTATTAATACTGTCTAGCAAACCAGTTGTTGTGATTTTAATATCTAATTTATATTGATTTGAAAACAACACAACAATTAAAAATTAAAATAGTTTTTTTCTCATTGTTTCTCAAATCAGATCCATCATAGTTTTGTGTCAATATAATCAGGGCTGCAAATAGGTAGACAAGAGAATACAATACCACCACCAAGCGATGATCCTTTTTTACAGTGGATTGATGGGTTTTGGGTGATTTTCTATCTCAACAAACATGATCCAATACTATTTTTGGTTTTGTAAAATTATTGATGATGCAGTCTAATCAGTGATTTTTTTTCAGAATAGTCAAAAGTACAATTTTTTTAGTTTTTCATTTTTTTTGTGATTCCCAAATTTTACTGATTGATCATGTGGGTGGTGCAACAAAGAGCCGTTAAATTTTCGTCAATTTTTTCTTTTTTGTAAAAACACAAAAAAAAAGTTTTTGGATGATCGCTGACACTTGGTGCAAAGTTCTTTGTCTTCTGGATTCTTTTTTGTTTAATTTTAAACCAACCACACTAATTAATTAAAGAAAAAAGATCCGACTGGTCTTTCCATGAAATCAATTGATAAAATTTGATAATGGGGCACAAAAACTATTTTTCGACTGTCAATATGGACTTTGTTTGGTTCAGACCATCAAAGTTGATTGAATTCATATCAAATGAGCCTCTTATTTTATAGATTTGGTAAAATATTGACCAGATTAGAAAAAATATTGGTCATCAAATCTGTTTTTTGTGTCTTCTACTTGAGAAAAACTAAAACGTGATGTGATAAATGTTCAAAGCTACAAACTATACTCACACATATATAAATTTAGGTTCAATATTCAGAGAACTAATAATTTTTTAGTTTTCTTTTAATAATAAGAAGTTCCTAGATCCGTAAACATTGATATCTATGATGACACCAAAATAAAAATAATATTTTTTTTTTTTTACTTTACTCTCAAGATCTTTCAAAGTTAGATATCTATGAATTAATTTATTTTTTTATTTAATAAATATCATCTATTAATTCAACAAAAACGTATATGTACCAAAATTTAAACAAAACTTTGAAAGGATTTCTTTTTTATTTCAGAAATCGAAAGAATCAGTCGATCCTTTGAGAATCGAATTTTTCGATCATATACGTTTTTCAATCTCAGATCTCAACATGAAATCGAAATCGATCAAACGTTTCATTTTATACATTTTCGAAAATGTGTACCACATTATACTTTCAACACAATTATTATTGAATTTTCTAGATCCTAATTTAAAATATTTTTGAAACAAAATTTTCAATAGTATATAAACTATTAAAGATTCCATTCTTTCGACACTTTTGGATATGTAGTTAAAAAAATTATTTGTTGAATATCTTTTTTGAAGTTGTTAATTATTAAATTTAAATATTTTTTTAATATTATTATTATTTTTTAATATTTTTTTTAAAACCTCATACTATTGAGCTATTCAAAATAGATCTATTGTACAGAAAGAAATGCCTTTTACCTTCTTACCTAAATTAAATAAAGGATAATAAAAAAATTATTATTTTGTTATTTTTTTTTTTTTGAAAACAAAGATTTTTTTGAGTGAAAAAATAATTTTAATTAAAGTGTTTCATTTTGTTAGATAGTATAAAGAATTCGAACATAAGTGTGTTTGTTGTTGTTTTTTATTTAGTTTTTTTTAGTTTAAGTCAATTCGTAGAGAGAGCACTATGTCATCTTTAACTATAAACAACAATAGTACTGTTGTTGGTAATAGTAGTGGTGGTGCTAGTGTTGTTGGTAGTGGTGGTAGTAATAATGGTGATGTTATGATTGCATCTACGACAACCACTACAACTGTCATTACAACTACAACAACTACGGTTGCCACTCCACCAGCATCGATGTCAACCAGTCAGCCAAACAATATAACAATGATGTCTAATACCATTAGCAGCAGTCAATCGGTGGTAACAACACAACAGTTATCATCGTCAGTACCGAACACCACCACCACCACCAACAATAGCAACAAAGAAGCAGCAACACCTTATCATCCTTTTCACAATGGTGGTATATTAATGATTATGCCCAATGGTCCAAGTTCATTCCCACCTTCATTAGTATGTTTTGATTTTAGTAATTACTATAGTATAATCAATATATATCTATACATTGTATTGTAGATAAACTTAAGATTATTAATAACGTTTTTTTTAACATTTGAAACAGCGTAAACTTAGACATGTAAAGAGTATACTATGCAGAAACCTCATTCCTTCAATTAATAGTAGCGCAGATCTGTCGTTGCCGAATGCATATTTCACACTTCATGCACCTCCACCACATAGAGTCACAAAGAATAAATCAAGATATAGAAAGCAACAAATGTTTCAAATGCAACAGGAACAACAGAAGCAACAACAACAGCAGCAGCAATTACAACAACAACAACAACAACAACAACAACAGTTGGATGATTTACAAATGGCTAACTCGCCATCTTCACCTACAGAACAACAACAACAGATACCAGGAGATGATATAAAACCAAATAATTTGAATGATAGTGGTGTTATTGATGATGTTTTCGAAATTGATGAATTAGATGAGAACAGTGTTAGTGCATTCAAGATTAGAGATGACGATCATGCTGTTGGCTATGATAACTATATTGATGGCGATGATGATGATGATGACTATGAAGACGACGATGATGAACGACTCGACGATTTGGAAAATGATAGATTAGATGGTGATAACGAAGAGGAATTGACAACACCATTCTATATAAGTGAAGTTGTACCTAATTCATATGTAAGGTTATTTTTTTTTATCATATTACTTTTAGAAATATAATTATACTTATTATTATGATAATTTTTTTAATATTAACTTTTAGAATCCTGTTTGGAATCCATTTGATTGTTATCAACCGTTACCAGAGGAAATACTCGAATGTTTCAATACCTTTAATATATGTATATGGGATAAGAATCATAACGATGAACCACTATTCCAATCAGAGATTGATTTAACACAACTGGAATTTATATCACAAGAAGTAAGCTAGCTTATTAATGATCATTGCTTTTATCACTAATACATTATATATACTAATCTTTTGACATGTTAACAGATCAAACAATTTGTAAATCTAATTATACCACCCAATTCAATCATCTTTGAGTTAAAAGATGGTTTATATGTAACAAAAGAAACTAAAATTCAAATGGTAAGTAGTTTAATGATAATATATAGAATTGAATTGAATCGATATTAATATTAAAGAAAAACAAAAAGGGATCAACAAAATTAAATGATTATAAATTCAATCCAACGGTTACAAGTGATAAAAGAAAGACAGATACTGTTAATCAAGATCAACTATTAAAGTTACTGGCAATAAAGTTACAAAATATGAAATATCGAGAGAATTGTCAACAACTTGGAAACGATATTGAATGTAAACTCGATAGCGATGTACAATATATGGAAAGAATCAAAAGAATCGAAAGATTAAAGAATAGAGTCGAACAGTTAAAAGAAGAGTGTTGTAATCAACTATCTTTAAAAGAAAAAGGTAAGTTATCAAACAACAACAACAACAACAACAAATTTGCAAAGTTATTTAATTAACTTGAATATTACGATTATTAACAAAATTGTTGTTTATTTAATTATTATTAGAACAAGAAGACATTGAAGATGTAAAGAAAAAGCTGATACCAAGAGCGTGTGCACTTACCAATGCCGGCATAATGTTCTACTCATCGTTCCAATCGCTGCTAGAGTCAAAGAAGGTGATGGATATGGATCGTTTGCTGCTAAACAACATTAAATCGACGCTCGAAAAGAAGAAGTGGCATTTGCTCTCACAGATTCGTACGATCTATCCGATCACCAATGATATCGGTCGAAAGACGTTGATGATCAATCATCTGCCGCTGCCCAACTCTGACTTTAACGGCTGTGACGAAGAGTTGATTTCGACGGCACTCGGCTACGTCTGTCACATCGTGCAACTGGCGTCGCGCTACCTCGACATTCCACTGCGTTATCCGATGACACCGATGGCATCGCGATCCTTCATCAAAGACGAAATCTCACATCATATCTCATCGAAATTCCCACTCTACTCGAAAGGCGTCGAACGAAAGATATTCGACTATGCAGTGTTCTTGCTCAACAAGAATCTCGAACAAATGTTAAATTCACAAGGTCTAACTGGATTCACATTGAAAGAAACATTACCAAATCTTCAAATCCTACTAGGAAGAAGTAAGAATCCATTAATGTAGATTATAGCACCTCGATAGGATACAACTATTTTAATCTTTGTTTATATAATACAACGAAATCAACTTAAATTATATTATATACTATTATTACTGTTGTTATTATTATTTACTATTTTACATTTTATTTGATTACTATACATTTAATTTTATATCTTATTACTATTACTATAATAATTGTGATTTCAATGTTTTCTCTTGTTCGTTTAATTGGAAAAATGTATTCTTTAATCTAAGAGTTGGATTGATTCGATTTAATATGTTAATATTATTAGATAAGATATTTCCGAATGGTAAATGATAAGTAAGGTACATACTCTTCTTCTCTTGCTTTCGACTCAGTTTGAAGTTGTTGATACTTTTGTTGTATGAACAATAATGATTTGGTGTATTCATCTTTCAGTGCTATCAGTTCATTCTGAGAGATAGAGGGATTCGAACTTGAAAGTATTCTTTGTAGTTGTATTTCCGAGTTTGAAGATTTCTTTTGTAGCTCTAATAGTTGTTTTTGTAGATCCATTATCTCTTGTTTCGCTTTTTCATTCTTCTCGATTGAACTAAGTTTTGTCTGTTCCATCTTTTCACTCAATGACTTTAGATTCTCTTTTTCCTTTAATAGATTCTAGAATATACATTGTTATTATTATTATTAACTAATAACTCATTACTATACTATTTTGATATTTAAACATACATTATTTCCTTTTTGTCTTTCATCTTTAATTAACAATAATAACTGATTTAACTGATTACCTTTTTCATCAATACTTTGCTCCAATACTTTAATATCATTCTCTATATCTTCAGCTGATTTACTACTACTACTACTATTATTATTGTTATTAGCTGTAGTACTACTACTGTTATTATTGTTTAATAGTGTCATTTCTTTATCTATATATTGCAAAGCAATGAAATGAATTAAAGTGGTTTGCACAAAATTTAAAAGCTGTAAAACTATGTAATTTTTTGTCGGAGTAAATTTCAGATCAGTATTGTTTAATTAGATAAAATAAAATTATTTTAAAATATAATAAAATATAAATCATGATTATTTATAAAGAGATATAACATAATTTTCTTTGAAAAGATTGAACAATTGTTTATTTAATACTTGATTTGTGAGTTATTCACTTGAGAATATCTTGAAAGAGATAGATCGAAGAGAATACTGAAGGTATCTGGTGAACTCGTGACAATTTAGCGACAAACTCTGTTTGTACTATGTTTTGAAGGACAACTAAGTATTCTAATACAGGGCATCATCCTGTATTTCAAATAAGAAAAGGTCAAATTTTTTTTTAAACAAAAATTTTCATACTTCTGCAGCGCTGACTAATTTGGACATCACTTTGATTGTTTTATTTTAATGCGCCATATGACATAAATTATAATATATAGATATAAAGAATACATATAGAAAACAATAATGATAACACCATTTCATCAACAAAGAAAAGCAGGTAATACAAAGATCTTGGTTGGTCTGTTAGTGTTCTCGGCAGGTGTTTACTTTACATCGATGTGGCGTATGGGTCAAAACGATTTCAAAGATATCAATGACTTTGGTTTCCCTGTGGAAGAGGATAAATCTAAACTACAAAAGAGACCAAGAGGTTCTGGTTCATCATAATCCTAAATCAAATATATATATAAATTTGTATGTAGATGTATTTTTTAAATTAGATTCACATTAATATTCATCATTTCAATTCATTACCTTATAATAAACTAACAACAGATTCATATATATCTAATAGTTTAAAATATAAATAATCATAATAATAATAATAATAATACAATCAAACAAAACGAAAGAATATATAAAAATATAACTAAATTTCACAGTTGTTTATCAATCTATTGATAATAGTATGTAAAGTGGAGGTAAATCATTATTATAATAATTTATCTAATAAAATAATAAAATATCAAATCTTGATTGTTTTATAACAATTCGAATAGTAGTAGATCAATAGTCTTTGTTAGGAAATAAGAGATCATATCTTGATATCAAGCGAAACGTTTGAAATGGATCATATCTATAGGCCTATAGTTCACAACACACATGTCGTTTTAAATCAATAACAACAACTAAACAATACATAGAAACTTTATTTATATTTATATTTTAATTATTAATGTACATTAATTGATTTCATTCTTAAAAGAATACTCTTTATAATGTTGGCTTTAAAAAAAAAGCATTGTTCTCTACTAATTGACGCCATGCGGTGTTACTGACATCGTCAAAAGTCGCCCATCCTGAATTCTCTCCATTAAAAAGTGTTGTGAGTTCAGATATCGATAAGCTATTCTTTAGTAGTCCATTGGAAGCGTCGTTCACTGCTAATTTTGTATAGGATGTCCAGATAGATTCACATTCGTCACACATCAAGATCATATTGTCACATATGAGACTATCAGAGGTACCACTTGGTGTAATTGAAAATACATAACAACACCCGCCATTACATATTCTACACATTGTCTCCTCTATTTTTGCCCATTCTTCCTGCGAATATGTAACCATTTATAAATTTGTTTGTTTGTTTGTTTCTGGACTTCTGTCTCCATTCTATTTATTCTGCTCGTTTTGAGAAATTGTTGGGATTCAATCAATTTCATAAAAATTGTTAAAAGATAATCAAATGGTTGGTTTATTAATAAATCAAGATCATGATATATTAACAAAACTCATAAACAATTTCAGATAATAAATCTAACAATAAATAAGATTAAAGATATAAGTTTTTGCTGTTTATTTCAAACATTTACATTTTTTTTGTTGTATTTACTAACTTATTATTATTATTATTGTTGTTATTGTTATGATTTATTATTATTGATTGCTTTGTTAGTCAGTTAACAAATTGTTTGTTTCCTTTCAGTTTATAACTAGTTTTAATAAATTTATAATTTGCTGTTGCTGTTTTGTTGATATGTATAGTAGGTATGATTGATGTAAGTTTTTAAAAAAAAAAAAAGAAATTATATAAAAAAAGTAGAGCGATGACTATACATCTCTCTTTCTCGTTTTTAGTTTTATATTATTATTATTACTATTGACTAATTAAATTAAATTATTTTCCCTCTGGTACATTTTGTTGTTGTGGCTCTGGTACTGCCATTGGATTCATTTGTGACATGAAACAGAAAATCCATCTATATTTATAATTGATATATTAAATAAAAGTAATTTGATTAGTAATGCAATTAGCTATTGTCATTATTCTTATAAATTCAATCATAACAATCGTATATAAACATAACAAAACATAACATAACATCACATAACTATTGTATATTAAACAATGATTATTCATGTATATTCCAATTAGATTTATCGAAATCTATTTATCTATATCTGTTATCAACTATCTTTTATCTGTAACTACTATCTATTTAAAGTGATTGTATTGAATTATAACATTGTTTCTCTCTTTCTCTTTGATGTTATTATCTGTACTGCAATGTTTATCATCTATGTTATGATTATCTATGTTATGTTTTGCTTGATAGTGATGTTTGATCTTATTGTTTTGTTTGTAATTTGTTGAAACCTACAATAACCAACAACATGTAACAGTAGTCATAATAGCAACACGGCAAAGTCTATAAAGAAAAGATTAACATGTTAATATCTATAATCTAATATCTAATACTTTATAGAATGAATGAAAGAAACATACGCTTTATCCTTTACATAAAATGGGTAGATTGATAAAAGTAGACCAACACCAAAGTAAATGGCGGTGACCATACCGATCATTGAAGAATCGCTCATTTTCGACATCTTTATATATTTGTATGTGTGTGTATGTGTAATTTAGATATAAAAATAAAATAAAATAAATAAATAGAAAAAAAAACTTTATTGATCAATAATTTCTTTACAAAAAAAAAAACTAAAACTAATTTAATAATATGAAAAGAAAGTAAAGTACTGATATCGCTGCACGCTCAACAACACAATAATGCTTGGATGGAATGAAAGGATAGTAGGATTCTAAAAAAAATTTGAAAAAATTCTTTTTTTTTTTTTGTGCAAAATAAAACTGAAAAAATATTTATTTAAAAAAAAATGAGCAGTAGTTTGAATAGTTGAAGGCAGTGTTTATTATTAATAAATATTAATATGGAGTGTGACGGATTTTATAATTTTCTTTTTTTTGCATGATATGTTTCAAAAATCTCAAACAAAAATTTTCTTCCCTGGCAAACAAAAAAAACAACCACCAAAAAAAAATTCACACACAATTATTTTTATTTTATTGTTTTTTTTTTTAGGCAATCAGAATTTTCTTACCAGGTCGCCCGAGTAAGAGCGCCTGGCATTTTTCACTCATTAAAAAAAAATATGAAAAAGAAGGATTTTTTTTTTTAACGTTGGTCTGCTTCAAACCACAATATCAAAATAAAAACAAAAAAAAATTGAAAAAATTCTCTATCTATTTCGAGCAGTGTTATTGTTTTTTTTTTTTTGAGCAATTAATATTATAAAAATAAGGCTTTATTGCTACGCATCCGTCTATCATACATACTACAACAACATAACAATATTAATTTAATTAACTATTGTTATTGTAAATCTAAATTTATTAAATTCATTAAATACTCTATAGTTAAAGTGTTTTATTTACTTTATTTACAGGTAGGATAGCAAATCAAATCAAATCAAATCATCTTAATAGAATAACATAACAATATAGCAAAATTTATAGTAGTAATAATCACAAGATAAATAAAACAGAATATAGACATAAGAATAGACTCAGAAATTAGTTAGTTATAAAAAACAAACACAACAAAAAGAGATTCTACATTGATTATAGATAACATGATAGATGCTTAATATTTTGGATTAAACTTTATCATTTCGAACAAATCAATAACAAAGATCGATTTTTCTATCAATTAAGACAATTGATCTTATATCAAAGATGTTTTATAATACATTTTATTGTTCAAGACCGAAACATATGTGGAGCAGAAAATGAATCTTAAGAAATTGAAAAAAAATTAAAAATAAAAAAATGATAGATAACAATAGAACAATAGTTACCTAAAAGATGAATCAGAATAGTTAGAATAGTTATAGTTTAGGATAAATAGATAGAGAGATAGATATTTGTTATAATTCATTCAAATAAAAGTGTACATATCAAACTAATTTTATTATCTCTCTCTTCACATTTTAATAATATAGGGTTACATACAGACATAAACAAGTGCTGTTTATTTGAAATTGTATCAACAACAACAATATTTATAAATTATAATATATAGTAGATAGATAAACATGCCAAAGAAAGAAGGAGGTGTTTGTTCCCCAGGTGGAGCTTGTTATCAATTCCCATCACCAGGATGTTCGATGTGCTGTATGATTTTCTCATTGTTTGGTGTCATTGGTTTGGTATGTACACTCAACTTTAAAGCATTGGAAATAATGTCATATTAATTAATCATCTCTATTTTATTTTTATTTTTTGAAACACACACACACACATACAGTTGAGTATTGGAGGTCTTTTCAAGGATTCATATAAGAAGGCTGAAGGTGAAGATGCCTTAACTAGATCATCAGAGGAAGTCGCTCAAAAGGCTGCTTTCATTGGTGCTGCTATTTATGCTGGTGTTATTGCTCTTTGTTTTGGTTTGTTCCTTTGGAGAAAGTTCACCAACAAGAAACCAGAAGAAGACGATTTATAAATAATTAAATAAGACCTTAATTAAAATAATAATAAACATAAATTAATAATAATAATAATAGCTAGTTAATCATATATTCATTTCCTGTCATTCATTCTCATTTAAAACTCTTTTCATTCTTTTCCCACATTCCAACCAACAATCAAACTCAACTCAATTCAAACTTAACTTTAGAAACTCAAAAGAAAAACAAAAAAAAGATAAATGTAGACTATATATAAAAATATAGACTAAATATATATATAATAAATTAATTTAATTTTAAATTATCTATTGTTTTTTGTTTGTTATTATTACTATTAATTTGTGTTATTTTAGTTGGAAATAATACATGCTCCACACATCTCTCTTTGACAATTATCTTTGTTTTCCAGTAGAGGCGACCATTTGTTGCTTTCCACTGAGTAGACATGGTTTCCGAGTGTCTTTCCACCGAGGATGAAAATGTTGGCTTGATTTGAGTTGACTCTGTTGAAGAGAACTGAGAAAGACATTTTGATCTCTGTTGAGAATAGGATATGATCGAATTTACATTCCGTTCGGTAGTTATCTTTGGTACGAACATTAATTCTATAGAGATAGTTCTTGTAGAATAAATACAATGTTTCTGTGAAGGCATCGAAACATAAAAACGATTGGGACATCATTATAGGGATATGGTAGCTATTGGAGATACATAACGAGAACTTTTGCCAGAGTGTCAGTTGCTTTTCACCTGCTATCGCATTGAATCTCCAGATACTATAGCCACGTGCATTATAACATCCATTAACTATATAGATATGTCCATTCGATTGGAAAACTTTCTTGATCGTATTGGGTGCAATTTGGTAGTGGAGAGTTGAATAGTTTTCGAATTTCCTAGTGGCTATGTTGAATCTATCGATTCTAGTTTGATTGGGTGTCTTCTTGTTCTTATAGTTGTATCCTCCAATCAAATAGATATATTCGAAACCATCGTAACAAGCAAAGATATCCTCGCCTCCATCGACATCTTCAATCACTCCAAAGTGTTCCACCTCCATTGTCTTGGTTGAAATCATCTTGTAGCTCTTCAACTCGAACCCACCGAAAACATAGATATGGTCCAACGATGGATCCGACACTATCGAGTTTGTTGTATGAACTCCTTTGAATGTTTCAATCGATTTCCTACTGCCATCTGCCAAGTTGAACAATGAGGACTCATTGTGTCCAAGTGTATAAATTGAAATACTATGTAGGTGAATCGATTTTTGAATGTTGTATTTCGCTTCTTCAATGTTTTTACTATTGGTTTTGATTGTAAAATTACATTTAACTTGACTATTACTATTGCTGTTGATAACTTTCCCACCAAGTGAATTATATTTGCTATTGAAATGGTGAATTAAATTTAGAATCGATTCTTCCAGAGTCCCACCGAGTTCGTTCTCATACTCATCGGTTCCATATCTACTAAAGATTGAATCTTTGTGGGTTTTCATAAACTCTGAATGACTATCAGACTTTTCTATCAGCGATACCAAAGTTTCCATATCTGATAGGTCGATTATTGGTTTTGAGTTGTAACTTTTGTAGTCATAATTATCCTCATGTTCGACCTCCTCGTCACTTAAACTTTCACTTCCTACACTTTCCACATCACTTTCCACTTTTTCTTCATTATTAATATTATTAATGTTTATAGATGTTCGTGTTTCCAAACATTTGTTGATAAGTGTTTGTAAAGATTTTAACTCTTGGAATTGGTTGTCAATATCTTGTTTCACTATGGCAAGATCATTGTTTATTGGCAATCTTATTCTCGATTCCTCCAGGATGAGATAGTCGTGCAATGCTCTGAAATGGTCTGAAATGTCGGAGTTGATTTTTGTCAGAGATTCGTAGGAATGTGTTGCAACTTTCAATGATTTCCATAAATGATTCATTCTTGAAATGAATTTATTGGAATTCGGATCTGCATCTAGTACTATTTCCTTCATAATTGTCGAAACACTTTGAAAACAATGACCTTTATGTTTCATTTGCCACCCTTCCATACATTCTAAACATCCTACAAAGTTACAATCAAAGCATATATATTGTAATCTTTGATTGACATGTGTAGAACAAAATATTTCCATAATTTTCAAATATAATAATTATTATATAAATAAATTTATTTAAATATTTATATATATTTCTTAAAAGTAATCTAAATATTATATAATAATTTTTATAAATGTTATACAGGTTTTGTTTATAAATAGAAAAATGTAGGGGCACAATTTCTAATCCTGGTGGTGTATAATTTTTTTTGACCTTTCAAGAAAAACAAAAAAATGGCTTTTAAATCAATTTTTTGATCATTTTTTTAGAAAACGTTTCTAACACCTGAGAAAACCAAGATATTATTAAATATCTCAAGAATTTTTTAAAAGATGGCACTAAAAAATATTTTAATTAATCATTTTGAATAATATAAAAATCATAGATACATGTAGATAATAAATGTTTAGATATTCAATTTTAATTTTTTTAATCATAATATATATAAATGTGAATGTAGTTTTTAGTCAGAGTATTATTATTGAAGATATCAATAGTAGTAGTAATAATAGAAATAGTTTAATAATTGATTATGAAAGTTTTCAAAATCAAAATGTTGATGACAACCCTAGTTTGGAAAGTGAGATTGTGGAAATCTTGCTTTATGTAAATCTAAATTCAAATAATCAATCAGAGAGATGTGGAGAATCTATGGAGGATAATATGGCATGTCCATCGATTGTGCAAGCCATTCAGATATACAATGATCTTTACTATCAACAGCTGGGAAATTCAAGTTTGCGGATCATTATGGCCGATGGCTACTATCGATCCTACCTAAACAGTGCGATGTCGTTGTTTGACATCAACATAACGATTGAATCACAATCGAAATCCATAGAATCCGGTGTCACTATCGATCTGGAGGGCATTGTCAATTTCATCACTTTGGTCGAACCGGCATGGTCACCCGATAAGCTAAAGCACCTGAACACAAGCATCCATTTGGAAGGTCTGAATATTATCAATGGATACACACCAATGGATGGCGGTGTCATCTATGTAAAAGTCTTTTTCACAAAGCTGTACCTGACGTTGGTGGATTGCGTATTTAAGAATAACACTGCTGTGAGTTCTGCGGCGGTGTTGCATATTCGCATTGACTATCACAGCACCGTTATTGGCTACGACAATCCGCCAGTTATCAATATTGACGGTTGCCGATTCCTCGGAAATTCAGCCAATGAGTTCACCGTTCTCTATAGCAATAATGGAAACGCCACTATTAGTAATTCCATATTTCAAGATAACTATACCTCTAGAAATGGAATAGTGTTTACTGGTGGGCGAGTTCAAATGTTTCAGTGTCTGTTCTTTAATAACACCGCAAATCAAATGACACTCTTTCTATTAAAGAATATGCTTGATACCGTTAGAATCGATGGAACGGAATTCATTGGAAACACCATTCAAAATACCAAAGTGCCTACTATTACACCGTCGATCATCGCTGCCATCGGTGCCCAAATACAGTTTTCTAATTGTTTGTTCGAATCCAATGTCAATGCATCTCAGGTGTTTCAAAGTGGATATCAAGCTGTTAAAAAAGGATCATCTACGTTTGACAATTGTACATTCAGTAACAACCGGGGTGATATCAAAGGTGCAGGAATCTATTCACTCCTAACGAAACTCATTATTCAACACTCGACATTCAACAACAACAGTGGCTATCTCGGTTCACACATCTATGCATTCGACACGAAAGAGGTATCGATCAGCAACTCATCGTTCACCAACAGTCCACCGAATACATTTGGATCGGGTCAATCGATTTACCTATTCAATATTAAAAATATGAATGTAAGCAACTGTAAGTTCGCAAACAACGGACAAGCATCGATCTATTGTTACGACAGCTCGATCTACAGCTCAAACAACCAGTTGAACGAAAATGAACAACTCGTAAGATGCAATTCCCTGAAGAATCGCACGAATCCCACTAGTTGTAGATTGTCAGGTCAGCAATCGACGTGTGATTCACACGGCTCTAGCACAGACGCATCACACGAACGACATCACAGTAAACAATCTACGATTGGAGTGTACGCAATGACATCGATCGTCCTATTAATCTCAATCATCATCATACTTTCAATAGTAATAACACGATTTAGAAGAAGACAAAGAAGAAAAGCATATAAATCAATGATTGACTCTGAATATGATTATAATGACAATTAACAACAAATTATAATAATCAGGTTCAGTTCAACCAAACCAACCAAACCAATCTTTTTATCACCAATAAATACTTTATAAAGTATATTTATTTTTTTAACATTATCACGCTAGCTTATCTATCCGATTGAAATTTTTGCAAAAATTGAGTTACCTTTTTTGTTTTCGATCAAAGTCTTTATCAAAATTAAAAAAACATTAAAATGACAAAAAAATTTGATTTTTTTTTTTATTAGGGGTGGACACCAAATCTGAGGTCAAGCTAATTAATTAAAATACTTATAACTGTTATGAAAGTAAACTAACAAATAATAATAATCATAATAAACATAAACAAAAACAAATCACTTTGTTTCATTTAAAAAAAAATAGAATCACACACTTTTTATACAAAATATTGACAGTGTCACCAGATCAATTTCGAGGTAAACAATACTTGTTGTATTGGTTAAAAGAGTGAAGTGGTGATTCTATCAAGATAGATAGTGTATATTTATAGAGTCCTATAAAAGAGATATATAACTTTGTTAATCAGTTATAACAATATATAAATATACAATAAATGAAAGGTGTAGTCGAACGTACACCAAAGACACATGCATACCTGAATCTTGGTAGTCCACTCAACGCAATCAGTGCATCTCACGATGGAAGTAATTTAATTGTTGCTGGAAGAGATAGTAATGTATCAAAATAGCGCTACTTCTAGTAATTAATATATAATGATTGTTTATTAACATATATATATATATATATATATTATAATCATATAAATAAACATCAATAAACACAGCTGTAAAGATTGTTTCGTTAGAGAATGATGAACAGCCGAAAGTGGTAATCAATTTGCGTGCTGGTAAAACACAATCGTTGAACTATACTGGTAATGATTGTTGTTGGCATCCATCACAAGTCGAAAGTATGTATTAGCTATTAATAGATTAGATAGCAGATGGATTAGTTTGTTTAGTAGTTAGTTAGTTAGTTAGTTAACTTTTAGATGATTAACAAACAAAAACAATGTTATCTTTTTTTTTTGTAGATTATAAATATTTGATATCAACAGCAGCTACGAATGGTGCTGTAGTAGTTTGGAATATAACGAGAGAGGGTGCAAGATCCGTTGAAAAAGTATGGACAGATCACAACAGAGCTGTCAACAAACTGGCTTGGCATCCTGAAAAGTCTGATTTCCTTCTAACAGGTTCACAAGATACAACCTTAAAGTTATCGGTATGTTAATAACAATATAGATAGTGATTGACTTTAACTAACTGTATAGCGCTGTATTAAAGGATATAAGAGATGCTACACCATGTAAGATTACATTTCAACCGAAATCAGAGGCGGTCAGAGATGTTCAGTTTCATCCGTTCAATTCGATACAGTTTGCCGCGGCGTTTGACAATGGAACCGTGCAACTCTGGGATATCAGAAAGAATACGCAGGCGGTGGAGAAGATTACAGCGCATCAGGGTCTGGTGCTGGCAATAGAGTGGCATCCGGAGGAGAAGAATATCATTGCGTCGGGTGGACGTGACCGTGCCATTCGTGTCTGGGATATCGGCAGTAGCAAACTGCTCAACAACGTCTCGACGATATCGAGTGTCTCGCGTATCAAATGGCGACCTAACCACCGCTGGCAGATAGCGAGTTGCTCGTCGATCGTCGATCTGCAGACACACATCTGGGATGTGAAACGACCGTACATCCCTATCGCTTCGTTGCGCGAACATCGCGACGTACCCACCGGTTTGATATGGCGTGACAACAACACGCTCATCACCTGCAGCAAGGACAACTACCTGTTGATCAACGATTTGAATAGCGATGCCTATCAGCCGTACAAACACGTTAGAACCACTGGTATCGGGTGGAACGTTCAGAACGAGTTGGTCACTATCAACGATAAGATCAATAGAAATACAAACAACGAGAGTGTACCGCTGTCACTGCAGTATCCGTCGTTCTTTGCTTCGTTTAATCAGGTGGTTCCACCGCCACCGTCACCACCGCGAACAGAGAAAGGTGTTCTCTATATACATTCACCACTCGGTGCTGGCAAGACCGACAAGATCGTCGACCCCTCCATCCTCTTTGAATACTTTGCCAAGAACTACAAATTTAAAGATCTTCCATTCAACGAATTATGTCAACACAACGAATCGGTTGCACTTCGTGTCAATCAATATCAAATCGCTAAACTTTGGTCAATATTAAGATTATATTATGATAATGAAGATAATAATGATAATAATAGTAATAATAATAATAATATTAATAATAGTCTTGATAATAATAACGATATTAATAACAAACAAAATGAAAATAATAATAATAATATAAATAGTAAACAAAAACAACAACAAGATTTGAATAGTAAAGAAATTAATAGTAAAGAAAATAGTAATAATAGTAATAGTAATGTTAATAGTAGTAATAATAATAGTATAATTGGAGGTAGTCAACAACTTGGGGTTGTTTCTGGTAATGGAATTTTGGTGACTGATGATAAACTGTTGATGGGTGGTGGTAGTAATTCTTTAGATGGAAATTCAATGGAAGGGTCAGCTATAATTTCGAGTGGAAAGAATAATATGAATAGTCCGGTGTTTATCGATGACCAGAGTAGCTCTGCATCACTCGGTAATTCCAATGGTCTACTGGATGACTCTGACGACGATCCCATCTACAGTATTCTATCGGCAGAAGCTGTCACACCACTGGTTTCACTACCGACACGTGCACCTTCACCAACGTCAAAGTTGGACGGTCTCGACTCATCATCGATCTCATCGTCTTCCTCACTGAGAAAGAAGTTTAACTCATTCAATAGCTTGAATATGGGTGGGGTTGGTGATGGATCGAATCACCACCACCACCATCATCATCACAGCAATAACGAATCAATCATTCTAAGAAGTGTAAGCAGTAGTAATCTAGATATAATGAACAAGTCAAACGTTTCCACTATGTTTGATCAACCTCCCTCATCGTTGTCGAAGCGTCGATACAAACAACATGCTGGTAGCGGAAGTAATTCCATTACGATTGTCGATAGCGACCTATCGATGTCGATGTTTCCAGAGTTGGAGATTCCACAGTTTGATATGCATCCGGTGATAGTTGAGATCCTGGAGAGTTGTATTGAACGCGGAGACGTGCAGACCTGTGTATTTACCGTTCTCATTATGAAAGACCGGCTAAAGTTGGACAGTCTTCGTGTGTCTCAGTGGTTTGGCTCGTACGTAGAGCTACTGCATCGTTTCAAGATGTGGAACTGCGCCAATGAAATAATGAAGAGTTGCGAAGATCCATCGGTGGGATCACTCAGTCAGCGATCGACATCGATTCTGATATCGTGTGGCTGTGGTAAGACACTGACACCAAACAACTGGGTTTGCGACAAATGTGGAACGGTGCCAGCGGAATGCTCAGTCTGTCGACTCCCTGTGAAAGGAGCGTTTGCCTGGTGCCAAGGATGTGGTCACGGAGGTCATCTCGAACACATGAAGAAATGGTTCGAGTCGGATCACGAAGTTTGTCCAACCGGATCATGTACACATATTTGTAAACCAAGAACAACCATTATAGCATAATAGTATAATCAAAAACAAGCATATAGTAAAATAGAAATAATAAAAAAAAATAACTTATTTTTCTATTTTTAATTTTTTACACAAAAAATAAACTTCAAGATATATTTATTCAAAAAAAAAAAAAATTTAATGAAATAATTTAAATAAATAAATATTTCTTTTATTTTCAATTTTGATTGTATTATAATTATTGTTATGTAATTAAATGAATTCAAGAGGATAGTGTAATTAAAAAAATGTGAAAAAAATAAAAATTAATTTTTGAAAAAAAAAACGAACGAAAGTAAAAAAAAGAATTTTAAAGTATTATTATTTAAATTTGTTTGTTTATTATTATCAATAATATATATTACTTAAATAATGAATAAAAATAATAATAAACAACAAGTATCAAATAAAAAGAACATACAACAACCTAAAACAACAGCAACGACAACAAAGAATAACAAGAATAATAAAAATGATATAGAAAAGAAGAAAGAAAAGAATGTTGGTATAAAGGTGCCAGCAGAGAAAAAAGAATCGTTGATGGAAACACTCGAAAGAGTGATCACCGAGTTGAATAGTCATCCAGAAGCATTCATAGATCAACCTAAAGATATTGCAAAGTCAATGACTGATTACTTGGTTAGACTATATGATACTGGTAAATAAATATAGATATTATTATTATTATTATATAACTAAAGATTACTGAGACAGATAATAAATTGTATACTAATTCAATATTATATTTTTAATAATATATATACTAGTTAAAAAGAATGAACCAATACCAACAGACTCATTAGAACATATATTATTGGATGGTTTCGATTACGAACAGATATGGTCACAGATCGATCTTTTCAATAATCCAATCATCTCTCATTTGGATTCAAATATAAAGTCATTGTTGGCCAACATTAAAGATGTTAATTTAATAGATGATCAAGATGATGATGATGAAGATGATCTAGAGTTGGGTGACGATGACTATGATGAAGATGATCTGGAGTTGGGTGAAGATGATGACTACCTGGAAGATGACGAAGAAGAAGAAGAAGATCCAATCAGTGGAAGTCTCGGTGAAGATGACGATGACTATGAAGATGACGATGGTGTAGAAGATGAAGAAGATGAAGATGAGTTGGATGATGGTGAAGGTTTCGACTTGGGAATGGATGATGAAGATGAAGATGAAGAAGGAGAGGATGAAGAGGAAGATGAAGATAAACCATTGACAAAGACAAAGAAGAGTAATATGAAATTCTTTGACCAGAAGGAGATGGAGCAGTTTTTGGATGATGCTGACGATAATGAAGATGAAGATGATGAAGAGAAGGATTTTGAACTTGGTGATGAAGATGACGATGAAGACGACGGAATGGTATTCCCAGAGGGTGAAATGGATGAAACCGAAAGACACCTAGATAAACTGCTCGATAAATATATGAACGAAGATTCAAGCACCAAAGCAAAGAAGAAACAAGTCAAGGCTGAAGATATGAAATTCGATGATTTCTTTAAAGGTGAAGGGTAAGTAGTTGCTGTAGTAGTAAACAACAAACTATTATAACTTACTAAACAACAATCAATTATTATTATTATTATCGCTATTTTTGTTATGCAGTGAGGAAGATGAAGATGATGAAGAATTCCCATTGAATGGTAGAGATGATTATGAGGAAGATGAAGATGAAGATGGTTTGGACGATGAAGATGAAGAGGATGGAGCTGGTCTTGGATTGGAAGATGATGATGTAGCATTGCAAGAAGACAATGAACCAACATTACCACCACAAGAACTATCAGAGTTTGAAAAGAAGGCACAGAGAGTACAAGATAAGATCAAAGAACTCGAGAAACAAAACCTTAAAAAGAAGAACTGGACTGTTATTGGTGAAGCTGCTGCTAAAGATCGTCCTGTCAATTCACTTTTATCTGAAAATCTTGATTTTGAACATACTCAAAGAGTAAGTTGATAACACAACACTTTCAAATTAAACAAATGTTTCTTATTTACGTTGTATTAACATTTTATTGTTATAATATAAAAATATAGCTTGCACCAGTAATTACACAAGAATCTAATCAAACTATTGAAGATATCATTAAAAAGAGAGTTTTAGAGGTTTGTTTTCTAAACTAAAATATAACTAGTACGATATTATAATAATAATACTAATATCATTATAATTATCATTGATAATCACATAGAGAAACTTTGATGATGTAATAAGAAAAACAGAGAAGGAATTCCAAGAGAAATATAAAGCAAAACTTGAATTGAATGATCAAAAGAATACTGAAGGTTTAGGTTCTGTTTATGAGAAGGAGGTAAAGTGTTAATATATATAGTTTGGCTTATATATATATATATGTTTTGTTATCTTTTAAATTAATATCATATTAATAATGGTTTATTATTATCGTTTATTAGTATTTAACAAAGACGATGGGTGTAGAGTTAACGGATGAATTGAAAGAGAAACATAATACAATCAATAAGTTGATGGAAGCACTGATGTACAAGTTGAATTCGTTGAGTAACTTTAATTTCACACCGAACCGAATCAAACAACAGGAGCTGGTTGTCAACAAGGCATCTTCGATTACGATGGAAGAGAAGCTACCGACTGCAACCAGTACAGCCGAGTTGGTCGCACCAAAGGATATCTACTTCAAGGAGATTGCAGACGAAGCCGGCTACTCGGAGCTGTCACAACAGGAGAAGAAGCAGTTGCGTTCGAAGCTTACCGACAGTTGGAGCAAGGAGAAAAAGAAAACCGAAGCACAACAGCGTATCGACGAGAAACTCAACCCACAACTCGCCAAGAAACACGAGACAAAGCGTGCGGTCGATCATCTCAAGACCGCCAGAAATACAACGATCGTCGACACCAGCGATCAACGAAAGACAACCTCGTACGCCAAGTCTGGTACTGTGTTTGCTAAACTCCAAACCGAACAAGACAACAAGAGAAAAGGTGTACAAACCGAACAACAGCCATCCAACTATAAAAAACAAAAGAATAGTAATAATAATAATGGCAATAACAAAGGAAGCTCTTCAAATTATAAACTTTAATTTTATTTAATAAAAAAAAAGAATTATTATACAATTCAAGAATTTGATTTTCAGAAGACATTCAAAGGAAAATATTCCCAACTCTGTGTTCAGATAAGAAACATCAAAACGAAGTTATAAAACAATTTTTATTATCAACATACACGTCCACTATTTGCAAAGATAGAAAAAATAAATGTTTTGTTTTTTCATGGAATTATAATAAAATCAGATCGAACTGCACATGGTTTTGCGAATCCTATTTAAACAATTTCGTGTAGATTACGTTATTCTCATCAATGATTGTTACGTCTACTGTTGAATAGTTAAGAAATAATTTAAAGCTAAATCCATCTTTTCCAAGTTATCTTTCTAATAATAAATAACTGTTAAATTAATTCTAATTGTTGTTTTTTTTTCATCCAATAAAGTTTGTGAAGGGGAATACTGATATACTGCGCACAATCGACCAACCAGAATTCCACGAACACAAAAATCGCACAAGAATTTTTCCAAATCGCATAGAAGAAAGACGAATTGAAAAAATTAAAGTTTTATTTTATTTTTTTATCAATATTTTCAAATTTAACAATTTTGTTATTATTAAACTTTTGTTTTTTCAATTTTTACATCACTTGGTTTTCTGGTGATCTTCTCCTTTTTTGATACACATTTAAATAGTTGATCTCACCTTTATTATTGAAACATATAATAGAATAAACCTACATAAAAAAGCAACCCATCAAATCAGAGTTTATTGTTAAAGAATTCAACAAATTAAATCTAAGCTTGTTGGGACATTTAAAAAAAAAAAAAAAAAGAAAGATCTGTTTTGTTTGTTTTTATGGTGAATTAGATTCGATTAGATGATGATTATTATTTATTTTACATGTGATAGGTAGAAAAAGAGAAGAGAGAGAGAAAGATAAATGTTTTTATTATTGTTGATTTGGTTGGTTGTCAAGTTGTCAAGTTTAATTTGATTTGATATGATTCGATTTGTGAACACAATAATAATAATAATAATTTGTATCTACAAGAATCTGTTTATATAAAATGAATTACATCTGTGGTATTTGTTGTTTTTGTTGTTGTTATTGCTGTTGTTTTAATAATAATATATGTTTACTACTGTTGCTTTCTTTTTCTAAGCTTTTCCCATTTTTGGATGAAGAGTTGACAAGTTCTCAAGTCTGATGAGAGGTGCTTGGAAGTCTACCTTGAACATATATTCATGTTGTGTAGTTGTTTCGATTTCCATTGTCGTTGGATTTATTCTATGAGGAATATGGGTTGTTCTTACATCTACGGTTGCTCTAAATCCTCTGTTATTAATAAAATATACAAAACAAAAAAACAAACCAGATCATTAGTAATGACATTTTAATATTAATATACCTAATAAACAATGATAATAATATACCTTTCGGATAAAACATCTAATGCCATATCGACAGCTAATGGGTTGGAAAAGATACGATTGGTAACTCTCATGGTTGCGCTACCGGCAATCGAGTGGCGACGCACCGTCGGTATAAAGTCTTTGTCGATGATGTTGATGACCGATGCAAAGAGATCGGTGTGTCGGAACTGATATTCGTCGAGTCGCGTCACCAGATCGACACGTGCATGATCGGTGATGTCGCTCACCAGTGGAATGCGCTGTACCATATCGTAGGTCTCCTCGGCCAACTCCAGTGAACTCTGATACTTGAACTCCTTGATGATACTCTGCTGTACTTCGCCAATCGCTTTGCTGGCATCGATTATCGAGAATGGGAAATGTTTCTTTAGGGTCTGTAGCGTCGAGTAGTGATCCTTGAAGATCTTGTAACGCTTGCGCGCTGCGTCTTCCGACGTGTCGGTATCACGCTCCTCCAAGAGCGGCAAACCCTGTGCTCTCAGCTTTATATTGGTTTCTTTGGTGATTTGACCACGTCGAATCTGACGGTCGACCGACTCTTTCTCCTCGACAAAGAGGACGGTCACACGGAAGACCGGACGCGGAAAGCAACTGGCTTGCGGTGTGTTGAAATAGCTCTTTCGTAGCTCCTTCATTTTCTCGTAGAGTGCATTGATACACTCGACCTGGATGTTGGTTCGTGGGAATCCGTCGACAACGACACCGCTGCGGTACTCGACTTTGCGGAGTTCCTCGAGGATCGTGTGGAACACGAACGAGTCATTGACCATGCCACCGGTCGCCTTGATGCGACGCGCCTCTGCATTGTTGAGAAGCGACGACATGACGATTGGCGCAGCGGTGATGCCACGCACCGAACTGATAAACGGTGTGTTTGTTCCCTTTCCGGAGCCGGGCGCACCCATCAGGTAGATGATCTCCTGTGGGAATCGCATATTCTCCTTGCCGTAGCGCATCTCCAGTTTATTCCAAACCGTATTGAAAATGATGTTTGGATCTTTGATCTCGAGGTCGTCCGACGACTTCTCACTGGGTGGCGATGGCATTGAATCGATCGTCTGTTGTTGTTTGCCATGCACACTGCTACTAATCGATGATAGATTATTAATTATATTGGTTGTTGAGAAATTATGTATTGGATCAGTATTATTATTATTATTATTATTATTGCTATTATTATTGTTATTTCCATTTTTATCTAAATGATCATTTTGATTGTTATTATTATTTTCATTATTATTATTATGATTGCTATTATTTTGTAAATCAATTAAATTATTTGTATTATGACTATTATTTTTCTTTTGATGTTGTTGTTGTTGCTGTTGCTGATGTTGTTTTTGATGTAAATGTGTTGAAGCGGTAGCAGTAGTAGTCGATGAAGAAGAAGATGTACAATAATGTAAAGATGATGATGCAATGCTTTTGATACTGTTGATCCTAAAACTATGTAAATAGAATTCTCTACTTGTTGCTAAAAATAATGATTTCATTATCTGTTTATTTATTTGTTCTTCTAACGCAAGTAAATTTCAATCATATCATTTGATATTGTTTAATTAGTAGTCAGAAAAAGTAAACACTCCAAAAAAAATGATCATTTTTTAAAATTAATTTAAATTAATTTTGATTTTTATTAATATTTGCAGAGTTTTTTTTTTTTTGCTTAAATCTATCATCTCATCGTTGTAAATTTTAATGTTTTTTAATTTATTTATTCAAATTGAAAGAGTAAAATCAAATTATTATTATTATTTTAGATTGATAATTAAAGAAAGATCATATGGTTTTATCTGATCTGAAATTCAGTGTGAGGTGAAAATCTCTATTGAGACCTTAACTAAAAATTAAAAAACTTATTTTTTTTCATATTAAAATTCTGTTGATCACACGGCTCGCTTTGTGTATGGAGAGTTTAGTCGACCAATCCAATTGTTGCCTATTGGTTCATTGAAGAGTCAACACCTCTCGTCTTTAAAAATTCAACTAATTCATTTTCGTGAATAACAATATTTTTTTGATGTTTTTTTTTGGTTTTAATAATAAATCGATTTGATATCTTAAAAAAAAAAAAAATATAATTTACTAATTTTAAAAAAAAAAACATCAAAAAAAATAATTAAAAAAAAAAAAAGTAATAATTAAAAATAACAAATGTTTATAAAAAAGAGTTATAGTTAAAATTAAAGTAATATTATATAGAAACAAAACCACCATCTATAGACTTGACTAAAGCAATACAAAACAAAAACATAACAAACACAATTAGTATGATCATATTTATTTAGTGAGTGTGTGTCTGTGTGTTTGTCTTGTAAAATAAGTAATACATACATGCTACTTATATTTGTACAAATAAAAAAATTCACACTCTAAATATTCATCAAATCAAACCAACAAATCAAATCACTTAATCAAATCAAAATCAATAAATTTATAGTGAGTGAAAGGAAAATAATAATAAATTATTTAATAAGTAAAAAAAGATAAAATAAGAACATCATTTATTTTATTAGTTGGTCAAACAATCAAATCAATTGTTGTTTGCATGGATAGATAGAAAGACAGATAGACAGATATTTATATATATATATTTTTATTTTATTGATTTCATTTACTTTATTGTATTTTTATGATTCCTAAAATCAAACATTATTTTAAACATCAAATTTGGAATTAGACTTTGGTCATACAGAATCTATAGAATTCACTTCCATCTCTCTATATTTATCACTTTTCTTCACTTTGGTCAATCAGATTTTTTCAGTTCATTTTTTATAATACAATATAATAGAATAGATCAAAATCAATATTTAGAAATTTATTAATTAAAGATTTTATATATAAAGATAAAGTAGTTTTAAAGTTTAAATTAAGATATAGATAGGTCCTCCTACAGTTTAATTAAGATAGTAAGGTTACATCATTCATTTTTATTTTAAGTAGGTACAAAACAAATAAAGAGTTAGAAATCTATCTTTTTTCTTTTCTTTTTTTTTTTTTTGCATCTTAAACTTTCATTCATTCTTTGCTGCTTGCTGTTCCTATTGTTTTTTAAAACAACTCAAACATTTTTCAAACATTTCAATCAACAATCAATCAATCAATGCAATCAATCAATGCAATCAATCACATTTCAAAGAAGTTTCACTCAATTGTGTCAGTTGATCAACACTCCAATCGGTATATTTATATCAAAAATCAAATATTTGAATTTATTAATTTTCTTTTTTTTTTTTATATTTTTTTTTTTTTGCAAGTTTTTAATTATTTTTTGTTTTTTTATTTATTTTTTTGGTATTTTTTTGAAAATCTTTGAAAAAGAAGGTTTAAACGGTTCTTGGTGACAAAAGCAGCAGAGAGTGGTATCAAAAAAGAAGAACATTAACAATAACAATTATAAATAGAAATTTTCATAAAAATAATAACAATAACATCACAACAAACAAAAGATACAACAGGATTAAAATCGTATAACAATTAATATAATAACTAATATTATAGGTTGAAAATAATAAAATAACAAAATAACTAACTATTAACATTAGTAGTAACAACAATAATTGTAACAATAACAATAGTTCCAATAATAATAATAATAGAATAATAGCTAGATAGTTTTTGTAAATTAACAAAAAAAAGTTACAAAAAAGTGTGTGTTTGTTGTAAAATTAATATATCATATCATAGATTTTTTTTTTTTTTGTTAAAATTAAAAAAAGAAAAAGAACAACAAGAGAATTAACAAAAATTAAAAAAAAAAAAATTTTAATTTAAAGATATAACAAAATAGAGAGACATAGTAAGGTAATTCTGATTGAGAGCGACACCAGCGGTGGCAAATCTAGCCCTACAACCCTGGAGAAGCTAAGTCAAATACTTGGCCGTAAGAAAAAGTCCACCTCATTTTTGTTTAGCGGTAGTACGAGCAACAACAGCAACAGCAGCAACAGCATCGGAGGTGGTAGCGGCAGTGCAACATCGCATCAGAGAACCTATCTAACCGTATCGACACCATCGTTGACGACCACTACCAACGGCAACAACAACACCTCTGGTTCAAACGGAAACAACAACAACAACAACAACTCAGCGGCACAGTCAACAACCAATAGCAATACTGTAGGCAGTGGAAGTGGTAAAACTATATTACGAACACTCTCTGCCAATTCGACCAATCAATCTCTCTCCATTACTATGAGTCAGATACATCATAGTTCCGGATCGAACAACTCCAACGACGATCGTCTACCTTCACCAGACGGCAGTAACAAAAGATCAATCATGGGTGCCGGTGCATCTATAACTGTTTCTACAGATAAAGGAAACAACAACAACAATAATAGTAGTAAATCAAATAACAATGATCAATATCAGAACAACAACAACAATAATAATATTAATAATACCCAAAATGCGGTAATACAACAACACTCACAAGAATATCACAAGACTTTGATGGCAGAGATTCAATTCCTGGAAAGATTGTTACAAGACCAAATTACTCAGAGAAATAGTAATACTAGAACTCTTTGTGGTTCTCAACAATCACCAGCGACAGGTAGTCCAGCTAGTATGACTCCTGCTGTTGGTGGTGGTGGTAATCTCTCGCATGTCAAGACCAATGCAGTGGTCGGTGACAAAGAGATGTTGATACGTGAGGGTGAGATGGACGGTGACGATATTGAGTTGCGTCGCTACGAAGATCAGCTGAAGAGAATGATCGAATCAAAGAAATCCGATCTGCGACAGCACATCATGCAGAGCGACAAAGACAGACCACCCGCCCAAAAGCGATCGGCTTTTCTCAAGTCTGGCGCTGCCCTCTCAATTTTCCCCACCATCATGGAGGAGAAAATATGTTCATCACTACCATTGATTCGTATCGAAAAACCAAAGTCTAAAAAACAACTACAACAACTAGCTAAACAACAATCAAAACAGCAACAACAATCATCAAACAACAATGTTGTTGATGATAATAATAATAATAACAATAACAATAGTATAGATGTAGATCAGAGTAATCAAATGAAATACAAGTTGAATCAAAGTGAATCGAGTTCAACTACTTCGACACCGATTGGTACCTCTACTCTAAGTTCAACCTCAACTTCAACTCCTTTGACACCGACCTCTATCATTATAACGACGTCCGATGAAAACATAAAGAGTATGAATAGCTCTGAGAACAACAATAACGGTAGCTACCAGATCAACCACCGAAAGAGTAATGAATCCGCAACAGAATATGACTTGGCAGCAGTCGATGAGTTCAAGCCAATCGTTACCCTGGTCGGTCCCATGCCAGACCTGCTGGAAGATGAACGAAAATACAACGATGTAATTTGTTGTAAATCCGGTTCATCCTATCCCAAACATTTCAGTGGAAGAAGAGTATGTTGTTTTTTGTTAACCAATTGTTACAGTGCGAGCGTGTTTTACTAACTATCATGTTGTTATTGATAATTAATTAGCAAGGAGATCCAATTTGTGATAGATTTAAAGTTAGTATATATAGAAATAATGTTATTGCAACTTTAGCCGATGGATGTAATTGGGGACGTCTACCTTATGAGGCAGCCACCAAGGCAACCGATGCATTTTTGCAATTCATGGAAGAGAACTTCCACGAGATCAATACAGTGAGAAAAGCCGGATCATTCTTGCTCGGTGGTATGACCGCTGCACACAAGGGTATCATTGCCGGCAAATCAGAGGTCTGGGAGAGTGGTACCTCCACACTGATCGGTGGTCTACTCACCAAGATCAAGAAACCAAAGAAAGATCACACCGATTTCAAACGAATGTCCTCACTGACATTCATCGATGTCGAAGCAGATTGGGTATTCACAGGTGTTACTTTAGGTGATTGTAAAGTAAGTATAACTGCTACACTTTAACAACAATAACAATATCAACAACCAGCTATTAACCATACTTTTTGAAATGATATTTCTTTATTTATTATTATTTTAGGCATTCCACTACTCTGTTAAAAATAAAGTATTTAGTGATATAACAAAAGGAAACAGACAGAATCTTTCAGATGCTAGAGATCCAGGTGGCAGACTCGGTCCCTACGTTGGAAACGGTGAGCCCGACCTCAGAAACCTCAGTGTGTTTTACAAGTATTGTGATGAAAATGATTTGATTCTTTTGTTGAGTGACGGTGTACATGATAATTTAGATCCTCAACAAGTAAGTAATTAATTATAATTGAACAAAAAGAATAGATAGATAGGTATTAACAAGTATTATTTATTTATTTATTTTTTAATAATTTAATAAAAGCTCGGTTTGAAACCATTGGATTTAGGTATAGATGCAGAGAGTTGGGATATTGCAGGTCAGCAATTCGCAGCAGAGACCGATAGAATCAAGAACGAATATAGAACGCAGTGGCTGTCCGACCATTTCAACGATGAAAAGTCATTGACCCCAAGCTACATCACCAACTATCTATTGAAGCACTGTGTTGACACCACTCAAACCAGCAGAGATTTCATGGAACAAAACACCACCAAGAAGCTACCATGTGATTATAAATTGGTATGAAAAATAGCGACAACAACAACAATAACAATCATTTATTTAAATATTTACTAACTTTACACTTTACTTTATTATCTTCATTGCTATAGTATCCTGGTAAAATGGACCATAACACTTGTATTTGCTTTAGAGTTGAAAGATTCTACACTTGAAAGAATAATAATAATAATAATAGTAATAATAGTAATAATATTAACAACACCAACATCACCATCACAATAACTTATATAGAGAATATATTTCTTTAATTTCTTTCATTCTTTCATTCATTTCTTTCTTTCTTCTATCTTTTTTCATTTCTTTTCACAATCCAATCCAATTCAATTCAATTCAAACAAAAATCACAACAAACAAAACATTCATACATAATAATTCACTGTCAAATTTCAAACTTGATGATGGCTCTTTGAAACTTAATAACAACAATAATAACAACAACAACTTGATAAATACAACATACAAATCACAACAAACAACCTCCTCTTCACCATATCAAACAATCAACCTCCATCAAAGACAACAATAAGCAGTATTCTAGTCTTTTATCTCATCCTTTTTTTTGTTTTTGTAAAAATGATATATATTAACTTGTATTAATAAACCTGAGTAATAGTAAAAAAAATATTTAATATTAAACAATCCTTATTTTATTTGATTGATTGATTTAAATCTATTCATTATTGCAATTTATCAACTTTTGAATTAATTTTAATTTTAATTTTTTTCTAAAAAATTCACAAAAACGAACGATTTTTTTTTTTAATATTATTTTATTTTTATTGATTATTTATTTTTATATTTATAACAATAGCTTAACTTTTTGTATAGAAAAGTTGATATAATATTGATTAATCATTATAAATATAAATTTTGTTTTAACTATATAATATACATATATATATACTAAATCATGTCCACAGGAGGAAGTTTTTTAAAGTAAGTTTCATTAACATAATAGAAAGCGGTGATTGACCGTCAAGTATAGAAGATATAGTAGATGGATTGATATATATAGATAGATAAATAGATAGTATTTAAATTAATAACAAATCATTAATATAAATTTGTTGTTGTAATTGTATTATTGTAGGAGACAACCAGCAAAGAATGCTGCTGCCAAGAAACATCTTAGAAAGAAGGAGTCAAGAGAAATAGAGCTTATTAAACAAGCAATGTTTATCAGAGGTTTAAAGACATCACCAGCTATTTTACAATTAATAAAGGATTTGGTATGTTTTTGATATTCATATTATTATATATATTACAATTACAAATAATAATAATAACATTTTAAAATAATAATTACTTTTAGTATATCTTGAAAAAACCAGATGCAATTCAATATAGTAGAAAAAATGATATTCATCCAATGGAATCAGCAGAGTCGATCGAATTTTTAGGTGAGAAATCGAATTCCAGTCTTTTTGCATTCGCTTCACACTCAAAGAAGCGTCCAAACAACTTGGTGATGGGACGCCTTTTCAATGATACAGTTTTCGACATGTTTGAGTTTGCCGTCGAGTACTTCCAACCGATGGAGGCATTCAAGGGTTCAAAGTCGATGCTTGGCAACAAGCCATGCTTCATTTTCAACGGACAGGATTTCGAGACCAAAGAAGAAGTGAAGCGTGTCGGTAATATGTTCTTGGACTTTTTCAGAGGACGTGTCGTCGAGTATATCAATCTGGCCGGTCTCGATCACGTGATCGTTCTGACGGCCGTCGACGACCGCATCCTATTCCGTCACTACAGCGTCGTCTTTAAGCGTTCCGGAACAAAGATTCCAAAGGTGGAACTCGAAGAGATGGGTCCATCGTTTGACGTTGCCATTCGTCGTAGTAAGTTGCCATCGTCCGACCTCGAAGCCGAGGCACACAAGATTCACAAATCCGTCAAACCCAAAGCAGACAGCAACAGAGAATCAGACGTATTCGGTTCACACGGTAAGATCCATATGGGTAAGACCGACCATAACCAAATCGCTGTTAGACACACCAAAGCACTCAAAACAAGAAAGTCTGACAAAAACAAAGAACAATCACAAGAATAAAAAATCAATCATCACCACCACCTTTTTTTTTAAAAAATAAGGTTCTTCTTTGTTTTGTTGTTTGATTTTTGAATATTTCTTTATTTTATTTATGATTAAAGAATGAGATAGAGAGAGATGGGAGATATCTTTTTAAATTTATCACATTTATTATTATCAAATATTGTTAAATACATAGAGCGAGATAATGATAGAATCATATTTAGTTTGGTGTGCAAGAAGTGGTTTCAAGAAAGAGATAAATATCTTTGTTTCAAAAAACAACAGCTTGATGAGAACTGCAAACCAAACGAAAACACACAACGTAACTACAATCTTTTATCATTCAAAAATCAAATATTATCAATTGAATATACTGTTACTCCCAAACCATTGTTGTATTTAAATGATTATAAATGTAGCTATAGCATAACAATTAATAAAACAAAAGTTGTATTAATAATTTGATAATATATTTATATAGATGATTCTCTTGATACTATTGAGATACCAGATGAAAAGAAACAAATAATATTTGGAAATAGACTATCACAACTTCATATTTTGACAAAACCATTTAGCGACCGACTTGCTTGCTCAAATGTCGATACTCTAAGTATCTCTGATCGCTTGGAGATACGATTCGATCAGTTCCCAAGCACTATCAAATCGTTGTCACTGAGTCAGCATAGTTGTTCTAAAGATTTCAAATGGTTACCGGAATCACTGGAGAAACTGTGTTTCTATAATCAATTCCACCAACAGATCATTACGCAATTCCAATCTACGATCAGACATCTCGAGTTCAGTGAGAACTATAATAGTCCTATTGCTATCAGACTGCTGCCTCCCCAACTAGAGGTGCTCATCTGTAGGAATGCATATCTTCCTAAGTTTGACGGTAGCGATCAACTTCCATCGACTCTAACAAAGTTGGATATCAACACCGATTGTGTTCGTCTACTGTCGAATTGCAATCTGCCTGCGCTCAGCCATTTGATTCTCAATATGTATCGAGAGTACCAGTTGAAACAAGGTGATATTCCAATGGCTGCCACCAAACTATCGTTGATACAAATGGATTGTCAGCTTCACCCAGAAGTACTTACATCACAACTACGCCATATTGAGTTTCACTACGGTAGCTTTAAGCTAGATAGAAATGTATTCTCTCACCTCGATCGTTTAGAGACGTTGTTATTCTCTGGCGCTTGTACGAATTCGTTGATACTTGGCAAACTACCTGCCAGCCTCAAAGTCTTAGAACTACCGAGTTTCACTTACAAGTTTGTTATCTCGGAAATCTGTGAGATTCCTGGCCGTCTTGATAAGCTAACCATTACATTCAATTCACTCACAACCTTGCTGTCAAAGCAATCATTACCTAAATCATTGGTACATCTACATATCTATCAAGGTTTGGAACCGGTGGTTGTTGAGTCACTTCCCGACGATCTGGAATCAATGGAAATCACTGGATCCAACTTTATTTTCGAATCCTCTAGCTATCCATCCTCACTGAGATCTTTAACTGCCAACAAAAGCTTCTTTGAAAACAATTCAATCATCGATCTACCAACTACAATCGTTCAAGTTACAATGTTGGTTTTTTTACTAAACTTTAAAACTTCAAAGATTGGATGACTCTCATTTTCTGTTGTTCAATGTCAACGAGAAAATAATAACAGATGGTATAATACATGTTTCAAAATTTAATAAATTTTTAACTACATTGGAATACTAATCTTTAGTGATAGATTAATAAATATTTGAAGTTAATGTTTTTACTTTTATATCATAAGAGCATTGATTTGGTAGTTATTTTCAATAACCTGACTGTTGAAGAGTTTTGATTCTTTTTATCTTAAACTTTGAAATGAAAATCCTTAAGATTCATCTTGGAGATTTTGATAGTTATTTTGATTTATTTCATCAATGGATAAATGAAACTTTTAAATTATATTGAGAAACTTTTTTTTTTTTTTTTTTTTTTAAATTATCCTTGTACTACCATTACTGATAGTCAAGTTGTAGAGCTTGATATTACCCTACAGTTCGTGTTTATTTATTTATTGTTGGAGCAGTTCAGCCACAGGCCGGCTGAGATGGCTTTTTTTTTTTTTTTTTTTTTTTTTTTATCAGAAAATCTATTTTTCCGCATGCGGGTTGTTGCTTTTATAAAGGCTCCAAGCGAAATTCAAACTCGTGACCCCTTCCTAACTCTTCATTTACTAGGGAATTACAATAACCAACTATGCTATGGAGCCTTTGATAAAAATTGGGGAAAATAATAAATATTTTATTTAAGTTCTCTTTTTTACCATCTCAAATACCACATCAACAATTCCATTGCTCGTGCCATCATCGATCGAGGTGGACATGTGCGCCAAAATCTCAAAGGCCGAAGCTGCTGAGCGACGGAAACAACTTACTTACACACTGCAATACAGGTGCCATTGCCACGCCGGGCACTGGGAATCATCTGTGAAGCCTGGCGTCAAGGCAAAAAAATTCATGTCTACGTCGACGAGACACGTAGTAGTGGTATCCAGGTAGTCCCAACCTAAGGAGTAGAACATAGAACAGATATCATTTCCCCCGCCTGGTCTTTAGTTGAAGTTCATTTTAATTAATTACTAGTTACAATAAAACCCGCGGTACAATTGTTGTGTTGTAGAATATCTCAACTTCCACCTTGTATTGTCACATCAAAAAAAAATTTAAGAAAAAGATAATAAAATAGAAGTACAATAACCAACTATGCTGGAGCTTCAGATGAAAAATTTTGATTTATTTAATTATAAACTAGAATATTAAATTTTTTATTCTATTCTGTTTTGTTTATTTTAATATCTACTTTTTTAAAACTATAAAATTAAACTTCCCATGTAAGACTGTTCCTTTAACCTATCAAGATATAATAATGAACACCCGTACATACTTTTAAAGATATTAAATTCACTGTTGTTTTAATATATAATAAAAACATCTTAATTTAATAATAATAAATGTGATGCTTGCAATTTAATTATAATAATAAATGATTTATTAATCTAGACCGATTTAAAGACCAGACATAATAACAATTCTATTTCTTTGATTTTTGTGGAGCTGCTGCACTACCTTTCTTTTTTGGTGTTGGTGGTGATTGCTTTCTTGGTGACTTGGCTGGTGAGGGTGGAGCTTGTTGCTGTTGCAATGCTTTTACTTTCTGGCTAATGAATTGAGTGAATCTGGCCGATGTGATTTGTTGAGCTTCTGCCTCTTCCCACAACTCTTGAGTACAAATATTGGTTGGAGTATTCAACATCAATTGATTCAATTTAATAGCCAAACAAGTAGAGAAAAATAAAACTAATAAAAAAAAAAAGAAAAATAATAAATAATTGAAATTTGTTAGAATAATTATTATTAAAAACATTATGAAAAATATATACATACTCTTTCTTGGTATTTACCAATGATTCTTTTGTGGTTTCAAGTGATTGTGAGATTTCAGTGTTGGTGGTGGTAGTTGTTTCAACGTTGACTTGGAGTTGAGCGATGAGAATCTGGTCGGATTCCAACTTCTTGGTTTGCTCGGACTTGTCTTGCTCCAAACGCTCGAGCAACTTCTTGGTCGACTCGTTTTGTGAGTGCAACTGGCAGAGTTGGTCGCGGAGCACGGCAATAGTATGTTGGCTATACTTCTCGGTCTGAGAGCGTTCATCGTTGATATCAGAGAGTTTCTTGTCAAACTCTTGGTGCAATGCTTCAACGGTAGACGACAACTTCTTCTCCATATCCTCCAACTGTAGCTTGGTATCTTTCTCACGGCTCTCAGCACTGACTCTCTTTTCATCCAATTGTTTCAACTTTTCCAAAAGTTCTTTCTTTTCATTTTCAATCTCTCCTTTTTCTGTAGATTTTTAATCAATCAATCAATCAATAATTAATTAATAAATATTTAACTATGTTGTTTGGAAAAATAAAATTAAAAAATTTACCTTTTTGAGCACTTGACAATTGTTGTTGTAAACTTTGTATCTTATCTCTGTTCTCTGTAATTTCTTCTTGTAATTTTACAACATCTTTTTTTAATAAAAGAAAAAAAGAAAGAATAATAAGTATAAACTATACAAAGAATAAATGATATATCAATAAACTTACCGTCCATAGATTTAATAGTTGGTAATTGTGCAGTCATATTTCTAAATCTCTTTTGTTTCAATGTTTTATTCTTTGGACTCTTGAAATTCTATATATATTGAAGGGTAATGAATATAATGACAATGTTTTGTAATTTATAATTTAAGAATAATACTTACGGGTGAACTTGTTGGAGATTTAGAGAATACTCTGACATCATCATCGTTTTCATCGGAACTACCGGAGGAAGAAGAAGAAGAGTTTACTGGTGAGTTTAGTACTTTGACTGGTGTAAGTGGACTACGCTCGCCATTGTTGTTGTTGTTGTTGTTGTTGTTGTTTGCCTTTGTGGGTGTAGTGATGGTAGCACCCAAGTTGAAAGCGATCGGTTGATTCTCCTTGACCGGTGTGAATACCATAGAACTAGCACCACCTTTGACAGGTGTTGTCATTTTTGCACCGTTGGCACTACCGTCGACAGCAACACCATTAGTTGTTGCACCATCTTTATACAATGTCAACATGTCCTTCAGACCACCTTGATTCTTACCGGTAGTTCCTATAGGTTGTACAAATGGTGATGAACTATTTCTTGGATACATTTTATATATTATATTATATTTGTACAAAAATAAAAATAAAAAACTTTTAAAATAATAAATAAATCTAGTTTTTTATAGATTGATTTGATTGATTGCTTGACTATTTGATTGACTTTTTAAATTATAAGATTAATAACTTTTAATCGATTAAAAATTAAATAATAATAATTATAATAATTTATTATTATTGCTTCAATTTTAAAAAAATAGTGTGTATATTAATTGATTGAATGATAAGTAGTGTTAAAGATTACAGACTGTTAATAATCTGATGAAAATCAAAAGTTTTTGAAAATTATCGTGTTGCATTAATTTATCCGTTAAAATTTTAAAAACAAACTTAGCAAAATCAAATTTTCAAATTTAAATTTTTAAAAATTGCAAAAAAAAAAAAACGTTGGCACAGACAAAGATTAATTGAAAGTGATACTCTGATATTAATAAACTTGTGATCTGCTAAGTTTACATCATATATCTACCAATTTCTATTTTTTTTTTTTTTTTTTGAACAACTAACCTCTCATAATTAATATTTTATAAAAAAAAAAAAGAATCTTTTTTTTCTTTACTTTATATAATTATTTCCCTTTCTATGCTTATCAATGATCATTATTATTTTATTTATATTATTATTTTCTATTAAAGAACAAAAAGATGATCTATTATTTATTTATTTATTTTTTGAAAAAAACCCTAAAACTATACATCATATTTATTTTTTATATGATCTATCTGTGCAATTATAATAATCAAAAAAACACATAATTTGATATTTTTATATCTTTTAAAAATTTATAAAAGGTTATATTTTGGGCAAAATTTTATCAGGGAACCATTTCAAGACCCATGCATACCCACACTGTTTATTTTAAACTACCAATTTTCATTTTCCATTTATTTTTTTCACAAAAATGATCATCAAAATCAAATCGATTTTTGATCTGAGTTACATTGGAATTTATTGCTAAAACAACTCATTTTTGCATAAACTACATCTTTAAAAAAACTATTTTTTTAACTAAAACATTGTCAAGATCCAAAAACAACTCATTATTATTATTTTTAAAAAAATGTAAGTATATTTATTTACTTTTTTATTATTCTTTGAATATTTTTTGGTTACTAGTTGTTGTATAGTAGATAGAAAGTAATTAATCATTGATTAATATTTAATCAACATCACAATCAATCAAACAAACATATCAAAATACTCTATCTCTACAATTATATTTTATTTTTTTATTTTTCGGATAAACCAAGTTAATTAATAAACGATAACACAATTTGTATCGTATTTATCATCGAGTGTGTGAGGATTTAAATTGGATCAATTAAATCCGATGCAAGCCTGTGACATTGAAAATTGTTTTTCTTTTGGTTTTTCTTTTTTATTTTGGTTGTTAATTTTTTTGTAGTATTTGTTTATGATAATATTAATCGAATACCCAAAAACATATCATTCTTAATTTATACATGATTGATATTTTCATTTAAAAACTTTCAATAAAATATTGACCATACACCTCCACATGTTTGGTATTGAAAAATTCAAAAAAAAAATGTGTTATGATATTATTATCCAAAACCAACAATAACATCCACATGAAATAAAAAAAAAAAAAATCAATAAAAAAAGAAAAAAAGAAAAAATTTAAAAAATCAAAAAATAAAAATAAAAATAAAATATAAAAAAAACACACTCCACTCTTACATTCACACACACAATTCAACAGCTTACTTCAACCTTTCTTTTCTCTAAATTTTGAATCATATCAAAATCATTTATCTATCTCAACAAAAATAACAATAAACAATAACAAAATAAATAAACTAATTATATTTTAATTTAAATTATTAGTCTTTTTTTTTTTAAAACAAACAAATTTGTATTATATATATTATATATTATTTATTATTAAGAAATAAAAAAAAAACAAAAAAAATTGGAATAAATAATTTCATTTCTGGAAAATTTATAATTTTTTTTAATAATAACAACTATATAAAAAAGCAAAAGCAAAAAGAATGGGTGGAAATTTATCATCTGAATTGAAATCATCGAAATACAGAAAGAGAGAAGTTGTCGATTTGAGAAAGATGGAAATCGATAAACTGCCACCAACCATTGGAACATTGTTGTGCAAACAATTGTTGTTGGCAGAGAACGACTTGACTACACTCCCAGAGGAGATCGGAAAGTTGGTGAATGTCGAGGTTTTGGATGCATCAAAGAACAGAATCACATCGATCCCAATCGAAGTCGGACAGATCAAATCATTGAAGGAGTTGTTCCTCAACAACAACAAGTTGTTCTGCACTCCGCTGCCCGCTAAACTCGGTGACTTACGTCAGCTGACCAAGCTCGATCTCTCTGGTAACCAACTGGACGAACTCCCAGTGGACTTGTCGAATTTGGAGCATCTCGAGTATTTCGATCTCTCCGATAACCAGCTCCAGTCGTTCCCGATGGAGTTTGGCAAGTTGCACGACCTCCAGACTTTCAATATCTCAAAGAACCAGCTCAAGGTGTTGCCAGCCGAGATCTCTGGATGGATCAAGTTGCAGGAGCTCAACGTCTCGCTCAATCAGCTCATTACATTGCCAAACCAGATCGGTCTGCTCGGTCAACTGTCCACACTCAACGCCAGCTCCAACAAGCTTCAGATGCTCCCAGAGGAGTTGTCCCACATGATCTCACTGACCGACCTCGACCTCAAGGTGAACCCACCTCTCCAATACGTGCCATCGCTCGCCAACTTGCGTGCACTCAAGAAGCTCAGCATCAGAAATCTACAGATCTCTCACTTGCCAATGGGTATTGGATTGCTCTCTGAACTACAGGAATTGGACATTCGTGACAACCCACAACTCAAAGAGATCCCCTACGACGTCGGTACTCTGATCAACCTTCAGAAGCTCGATCTCTACGGAAACAACATGAAGATTGTCCCACGTGAAATCGGTAACCTTGTAAATCTCCAAACTCTCGATCTCCGTAACAACATGTTACTCATCGATAACGTACCACAAGAGATTGGTCGTCTTGTAAATTTGAAAAAACTGTCACTCTCTGGTAATCGTTTAGTTGCACTTCCAGCTGAAATTTGTACTTTAACTTCATTAAAAGTAAGTAATAATAGTAAGATTCTTTAAACAAGAAATAATATTAACAGTATTTTCATTTTCTTTTCATTCATTTTTTTTTTTTTTTAGGAATTGGAATGTGCCAATAATCAATTATTACAAATTCCAGGAGAGATTGGAAATCTTACAGGTTTGACAAAGGTTAATTTCTCTGCCAATAAATTGACAGCGATTCCAGCGTCGTTCGGTAATTTCTCAGAGTTGCAAATTATGGACGTAAAGAGCAATGAGATTGCCGAGCTTCCAAATACATTGGGTGGATTGAAATCTATCACCAAGATTGATTTGTCACACAACATGTTGACCGAGTTGCCATGGGAGTTTGGTGACTTGACCACCATGACCGTACTCGACGTCAGCCACAACCCATTGACATTGCCACCAAACCCAGTCGTTATGAAGGGTACCGAAGCAATCATCCAATGGCTAAAGAAGTTTGAAAAGGAAGGACGTAAAGGAAAGGTTTCAGGTTTGGAGATCCAAACAGAAGAAAAAGATAAAAAATAAATAAATCCAAAAAAATAATAGTTATAATTATAAATAAATAAAATAAAATAAAATAATAATAACCAAGGTAATTTAATAATGAGGGAAAGTAACTACTCACTTTTGTAGTAAACTGAAGCAAAATAATTGAATTTACATACGATTGCTTAAATTCAATTCTTTTGAGATAGTGTTTCATGATATTCATTGAAAATTTTACTATATTTATCTAGCTGGCAAAAATTGACAAAGTTTGCGAATTTTCAAATGATAATTATAAAAAAAACAAAATGAAAAATAAAAACAACAATAATAATATTGTTATGACAAAACCCCCCATTTTTTATCATACACTTTGTTTTTTTTTTGGTTCTTTGTTTTACAGGTAGTTTTTACTCATTCTGCTACTGTTTGTTTCATTCCATCATTTTCATTTATTCAATCATTTTATTCATTTAATCAATCATTTCTCTTTTTTTTTTTTATTTATTAAATTTTTATTTTATTTTTATATATTTATTTTAAAACAAGCATAACATACAATACGATACGATACAAATACAATTATATTATTATTACTGTATAGACAACCAACATTTGACAACTCATAACTTAACATAACAAGTTTAATTAATTTATATTCATTCGTTCAATCCTATTCAGAAGATAAGATAATCAGTTTAGTTTAGTTTAGTAATAGTTTTTGTATTGTATTGTATTGTATAGTATAGTATATATTTTTTATAAAGATGATTGCAATCTTTGTATTGATTATGGTTGCAGTGGCAATCGGAACAACCAAATTAATTCATAGATATATTTCCTTAAAAAAGACACCTCTGTAAGTTAGTTAATTTATCATTATCATTCACTTAATTCATATATATATATATTAACTTTTGTATCATTTTAGGTATGTATTAATAATGTCATGGATAGGATGGTTTATGTGTTTTGGTATCGTTTGTTTAGTACCAATAGATGTATTAGCTGTATGTATTCGATATTATCTATCTTTAGAGAGATTCTATCAAATCAAATCAAATACAATCGATAAATATTGACTTTAACAAATGACCGCAATGATAATATCAATCATTATCTATTTAAAATATGTATATTTATAGACACAATATAGAGATTGTTTAGAATCGAAAGGAGTTAATCAATGTGAACGTGCACCATGGTCATATGTTTCAAGCGATGTTTTATATTATTTCTATCAGACATTCTATTTTGGTACATTGTTATTGACGTGGTTGGTCTATCCATTTTTGGGATCGTTGGTGTTGGCAGGTGACTTTAAACTGACAGAAAGAATACAGCGATCGATTCGTGAGAATGTATATCTCTATCTCATTTTCGTTGTCATTGGATTCATCATTATGATATGGCTGCTGGCAGTGAAGCATCTCGTTTGGTCAAGCATGGTCGGTTATGCAATGGCCGCTGCCAACACTTGGGGTATCATCTTGGTAATCATCTTGATGGGTTACGGACTGGTCGAGACACCGAGAAGTCTGTGGAACAATGCGAATCGCCAGTTGGTACTGAGACACCTGCAGTTCAAAGTCAGCTCGCTGCAGCACCAGAAGAAGAAGGCGAGCGACGAGTTGTTCGCCACGATGAAGCAAGTGAAGAAGGTGGCAGAAAAGACGAGAAAGTACGATCCCTACGAGAAGTACGTACAGATCATCATTGAGCAGTGTCCACCAGAGTTGTACTCGACCATTCAGTTTGGCGAGGGTACCGGTGAGATTACCTATTCCACACTGGTGGCGCTGAACAGCCGTTTAAAGTCGGCGGTACAAGACGCCAATCGATCGGAATCGCTCTACAACCAGTGCGTAGAAGAGGCCTATGCTCTCGAGGACATCTTGGCGAGTGGCGCCAGTCTCGATCGAACGATCCACTGGAGTTTCAAAGATGCGCGAACCGGTCGTTTCGCAGCGCAACTCGATCGCGCCGAATGGATTTGGTTCACCTATCTCGAGGTGCCAGTGTTCCGTCTTGTTGCACTGCTCTTTGCCATATGCTCAGTCATCTTGGTGTGGTCAGAGATCTCCGTTGCAATCAAGAGCACCGACGTCTCCATCCTCTCCAACATCGTTTTGCACTCTGATGTCAACAATCTCGGCATCCAAATCGTCCTATTCTTCCCACTGGGTTATGCGGCACTCGTAACCTACTCTACACTTTTCAAAATCAGAATTTTCAATTACTATCGTCTCATCTCTGGACAACATTCAGATTCCAATTCAATATTATTTAGTGCAGCGTAAGTAATCAATCGATCGATCGACTAGTGTTTTCTAATTTACTAAACAACGTTCATTGGATTGATTTGGTTGATCTGATTAATTATAGTTATCTTTGCAGATTGGCAGCACCTCTATGTTATAATTTCATTACATTTATTAAAACAAAGACAACATTCACAGATGTTATGGGTGAGTCAAACTTTGTTCCATTTTTAGGACAATACTTTTATATCTATTTCCCAATCGTCATTACAGTTGTAGTGTTGGCAACTGCATTCAATCTTTACTCTAGACTGATGAACTGTCTCAACATTACCAGATTCAGATTCGACAATGATTTTTCACATGAGAATATAGATGAAGGAAAGATGATACTTGAACATGGTAAGAAAAAAATATTAGAAGATTTAGATTTAGATATAAACTAATATATTTGTTATTGTTGATAAAATCTATATAGAAAAGAGAAGAAGAGAAGTAGCTAAAAAGACAGCTGCAATCGATAGATCAAATCCATGGTCAAATACAGCATCGTCCAGTAGCAACAGTAGATTCAGTTCAAACAATGACAAACGTTATACTCTACTTAGAAATACTCTTGACGATGAATTCAATGACGATATTGAATCGGGTACACTCGATACCTACAACGGTAAGAGTGGCGGTAACGCACTAGGACAGAGCACAGGCAGTGCAAACAACACTCCATCGACACAATCACCACAACAAAGCGAATCTCGATTGAAATCATCATTCAACGGATTTCCAAGTATGAGCACGATTTTCGGAAGAAACGATCGTGATAAACTTATAAGAAATAACAATAATAATAATAATAAATTTTAATAGTATATAATTATTTAATTTAATTTTAGATCAAAAAACAAATAACTTTGTATTATTTATTCTCTTCTCTCTCTTTTTATTTTGAAGTTTGTTTTGTTTTGTTTTGTTTTTCAATTTATTCAGCATATCCAGGAACTTTTAATTCTTTTCTAAATGCTTTAATCATTTCTTGTTTTTCTCTGTCTGATACCAATGATGTATCTACTCCTTTGATTTTAATTTGCTCATCACCTAACAAATCGATATTATATTAGTTTTTAAATGAACTATTGTTTTAATCTTAGTAATCGATTTTGGTTTTAATTACCATTGTTGTTTGTATAGGAAACAGTTACACCATTCGATGATTTGGATGCACTGAAACTATAGTTATGCTTGCTGATTGGATGTACATTGTAGGTAGTTTCACAAATACCATCTTGACATGTTGTAACTACACTTGTTAGTTCTTCTGTATCAGGTAGTTGATTGTTGTTGTTGTTTGTATTTTGAGTTGAGCTTGAAGATCTATGATATTCTGTATGTGAACTAACTGTTTTACGTGTTGAGGATGAAGATGATGATGAATAACTATACGATGAAGAAGATGAAGATGAAGAATGGTGATGATGTACATTTTGTTGTTGTTGTTGTTGTTGTTTTGGAATATCTACATTATTATTATTGTTGTTGTTAATATCAACATTTATATTATCATGACGTGGATTACGATGAAGATTATGATTATAAGAAGATGAAATGGTTACCACTAGCAACAATAGTAACACCGATAGCAATATGTTTAATTTTTTCATATCTGATTTCTCATAGTTTTGTGAAAATAAATATGGTTAACAATATTGGTTTTTTTAAATTTTTTGAAAAAATTATTAATGAATGTGTTTAAATTGATGTTTTTGATGACTCATCACAAACTAGTTATTTTTTATACTTATACTTATTTTTATATATATTTAAAATTTGGTGGAGGAGATTGATTTCATTTTTTCCTTTTGAATGATGGGAAAAGTTATTCAGATATTTGTTATTGAGAGAAATTTAATTTAAAAGTTAAATTATAAATATTTAATTTATATAAAATTCGAGATGTTGGACTGAATTCTTTATCTAACTACCTATTAACTTAATTTTGTCAAATAATAAAATTTAATCTACGTACAAAATTATTTGATCTTTTATTTTATAATTTTATTAAATGATTGGATAGTAATGAACTCTTATTAGTCCTTATTTATAATTTAATCATGGATAATTATAAATAAATTGGTAATTTTTTACATTAATTTGATAGATTTGTTGAATACTATAATTTAAAAAATTCAAACTTTCAATCTTAAGAGAAATGTCTTTTAATACAAAAAAAATACTAAATAGTTTGTTAAAAAAAATCAAAGGATAAGTTCCTTAATTATAAATGGAAAATAATAAATTTTTAATATTTATTAAATTATGTTAAATTCAATTTGATTTCTTTACATATTAGGGTCTGCACAATAGGCACAACTTGTTGGAGTTTGTGGTACCAGGATTTTACCTTGTCTTTGACAGAATTCGGCGGTTGGGGCCCAGAGACATTGGATTGGAGTACCAGAGGTTGGGTCGGCACAATATCCACATGATGTTCTGGTTTGTGGTACCAAGACTTTACCTTGACTGGCACAAAACTCTTCGGTTGGCAACCAAAAACAATAGATTTGAGTGTCTGGATCCTTGCAGTATGCACATTCAGTTCTGGTTTGTGGTACTAAAACTTTACCTTGTCTTTGACAGAATTCGGCGGATGGTGCCCATATAACATTCGAGCTCGGAGCCTACCACCATCTACCTTATCGGAAACACCAAAGGCCAAAGCTAAAAAGCATGATAACATTAAAATTACTAATGAGATTTTCATTATATATAAATTATAATAATAATTTTTTTTTTGAAATAGTTAATTTATTTTATTATTTGAAGAGAAGAGAAGATGAATGATACAAATGTTGACTCAAAAGAAGTTAATTTATATATTTGGTAATTCTACTATCTTAATAAAGTCTCATAAATTTACTAAAAAATGTACAACAACAATAATTCAATCTAATAATTAATTTATTTGATTTTATTTTTAATTTTATTAAATTACATAGAATGAAATTGATTGGTACCGATTCTCATTTTATTGTTCAACATAACTGTCTATTTTTTTTTAAATTTTTATTTGAATTTTTTTATTTTTTTCTTGGGGGTGCCAACAACACACCCCTCAATTTTTTTTTTTTTTTTGTATTTTTAATATTTCTTTTTTTTATTTTTTTAAAAATAATATTTTTGAATGTAATAAATAAAATTCAAATAAATTCTAAATATTTTTATTATTAAACTTAAAATAAATCAAACAAGAATTTATTTAAATTTTCTGAACAAATAAAAAAAACCGTGAAGGAAAAATCTAATATTCGTTGTAAAATCTCTCAATTTAATTTAAATTCGACATTGAACTGTTTTTAATTTCCATATTTGGAAATAGGTACCCAAATGATGTCTGATTTTTTCTTTAAATTAGAAGACTTCGTACTCCTTATAGATAAAAAAGAAGATGAAAACATAAATTATAATAAACCGTATAACAATCTTAATAATTAACTAACAAAAGTTGATAAATTTTAGAATATTCTCTTTCCAATTCCAAACAATCTTTGTTTTTTTTGATATAAAGTATCGTTGATTTAATTTTCTATCAATCTTTATTAAATCATTATAACTATTATAACAAATAATATATATATTTTTATTATTCATAACATACTTATTTAAATGTATATCATTAAATTTAAAGAGATAAATCTCTAAAGATCTTATTAAATTTTTTAAACCCTTTATTTCATCAACCCATCTCATAAAGCTAGTATTCCAACTAAATTTTGGATTATCGTCTAACGTATATATTTCGATATCAACCACATCATTTGATCTAATTTTAACCATTCACCCACAAGATATTTTTTGTACTACTCTACAATTTTTTTTTTGTACAAAGTCCATTCTTCAAGTAGAATATTCCTTATTCTAAATAAATTCATATTATTATTGTCATTCATAATATTCTTACTTAAAAACTATTTATATATATATTTATTTCATTCACGTATAGATTATATTATCTATTTACTTATTCTATTATATCTATTTATTAATTAATATCTTTATATAAAGTTTTTTTGTTTCTTATATATTTAAAAAACAAAACACCACATTAGTATGGAAATTTTTCAAAAAAATTTAAAAGAATTGGTATTATCAAAAAATATCAATGACAATCCCTTTGAAGAAGACAACTACGATTACCACTCGATTGTTGGTGATGTAGTTGTTAGCTATTCAATGTCGGAGGAGCAAATCGAAAAACAGAAGAAGGTTAGAGAGAATTGGCTACAGTGTTACAATATTTACAATGATAAGTCTATCAGTGTCGATATGAGAATTGAAAAAATCAAATCGATTTTGTCGGATTTTGAATTTTCACAATGTAAACTTTCTCATTTCTCTCTACTTGGAAACCATTTCGAAATGCCTGTCGATCTTACATACAACATTCCTGATATTCAATACAAACTTCATCTGATTGGAATAGGTCACCTAAGAGAATTCCTAGAGTCAATCATTAACTCGAGAATAATAAAGATCCCACAAATCCAGAGAATCAAGAAATATGATAGAAGTGGTAAAGTAGCTAGCGCATTACAATCTAGTTTAGACAATCATGTAAATATAAAAAAATAATAATTCAAACAATGGTTAGAAACTAACTTTTTCAATCTTTATAGGTTTATTACAATATGTATTTTAATGAGAATTGTTTATTCCAAAGCGATGGTTACCAAGATCCAGAATCAAAAGTAAAATATGAAACTTTTTTGTATAAAGTAGACAAGGAAACCAATATCAAGACAATAGTAAAGTTATTTGTACCGAAAAGGAATCTGTCCGAATCATTTTCTTTCATGTACTTTGAAGGAAATGACAAATATTCACCATATAAACGATTTGAATATATTTCTTTTGATATGGCAGAATGTATCAATAAATTTAATAATAAGTAAGTTTAAATTAATATTGATTCTCTAAAAGAAAACTAACATTTCAAAAACAAAAATAGATTCTACGAGCTGACGGGAAAAGAGTATCCTCAGAAAGATCCTTTCTTACCTACAGATGGGTTCTTTGGTCAGCTACCATGTAACAAAGCCCCTACAATTAGAATTCCCAAACTATCAAAAATATTATTTGGTGCACTTAGACAAAATATTTTAATGTAAGTTTGATTTAATAATATCCATTAAAAAATTCTAACAAAACAAATTATTTTATAGATCACCAGAAAAAATAGATTCATATATTGATAAACTACCTGATAGTCTTTTGGAAGAGTTCATTTTTGACTGTTTAAATGATAATACACCCAATGGTTTTGATTCCCTATCAATTGTTTTATCGAAAATTAGAAATAGATCAATCAAGAAACCATCAGATTTCCAAATTATCAACTCTGCAATTGAACACGATCATTGGTTTGCTTTTAGTTTTGAAAAGGAAATATCCCAGAGTATATTCGTACCAACCTACAACAACTCTTTCAAAATGAATGTTTATGACAACTATGATAAGTTTATATTAAAAGAATGGAAACCAATATCAGATGTAAGTAGAAATTCTAGTTTTCTAAATATATCTGAAATTTCTAACAATATTTATGTTTTTATAGAATGACTATATTTTTGAAATCCCAAATAAATTGGATTTGGGGTCACCTTCGATAGTAACCAAGGATGAATTCAAGCAGAATTTCAAGATTTACTCAAAGGATGTAATCAATGATGATTTCGATTGGAGTAATACAGTGGTTGCTGGATCAACTTTAACTGCCTGCTTAACAGGTGACATGGAGAAACATGAGAGTGGTGACATTAATGTTTTCTTCTATGGAATTGATAGAGTCGAGATAACTTCAAAGATATTGAAATACTACTCAAGTTTACCGATTCACTCTAAACCAACCATTGTACACAATTTCAAAAACATAATATCAATCTGTTGTCACTATCCATATAGAAATATTACATTCCAATTAGAGTAAGTTATAAATCTTTTTATCATACCAAAAATCTAAAGAATATTTTATACTAATTTATTTATTACATTTTTGAAACTATAGACCATATATTAGTATCGAACATATTCTTGTAACATGTGATATTAATAGTTGTACTTTTGCCTATGATGGAACGGAAGTCTATGGATTGTATAGGTCGATGGAAGCAATGAACTTTAGAGCGAATGTGGTTTCTCAGTATCTTTGGATGATTCACGGTGACATTCATTTCCAGAATCGTATGGTTAAATACTTTGAGAGAGGATTCTCTGTGATTTCACCAGAATACGATTTCTTCATTGATAATGAGGATTTCCATCCACACTTCTCCAATACCGGTCTTACTTTGCTGGCATCCGGTGCAAGAGATCAGAACATCTACGATTTCTTGAAGAACCCATTCGCCAATGTACCGTACGGACCGGATTTTAACAAAGAAAATCTAGAAAAGAAACTATCGCAAGACAACCGATTCAACTTGGTTCCACACTATGACCTCGGTGCAGTTTGTTGCGATTCTCAAATCAAGAGAAAATTCACATCAATGTCATCAAATGTTGGTTCATTCATAAATATTGGACCAAGATATGATTCTTTATTGTAAATTTAAATAAATAACAATTTTGTACATATATATAAACAACATAATTATACAGAGGAGTATTATTTATTATTATTATTATTATTATTATTATTATTATTATTATTATTATTATTATTATATTATCAGTTTATTTTGATTCTTGGTATAGAAGGTAAAATGCTATCATTGATAAAGTCTCGTAGCTGAGTGTTTAGATCGAATAGAAATTGTTTGATGTTTGCAATTGAAAATATATTGAGTGTTGGTGTGATGATGTTGGTTTTGATGGTTGAAGGTGGATGCTTCGCAATGAAATTCGATAGCTTTATAAAGGTAGTCCGACTCATTTTGATACCGAAACCTAGTGCTACACATATAAAGAATGGTGCTAAAATATATTTTCTCGTGCCGATGATGCAATCTAAAATATAACCATTCAATCCTTTCTTTGGTATTATACATTGATCTTCACTATTATTATTATTGTTATTAGATGATGATTGATCATACATATCTTGTTGTTGTTGTGAATGATTATTATTATTGCTATTGTTATTATTATCATTATCAACTTGATAATATGGATAGAAATAAGATATTCCGCCGTTGGCATTGTAATAGTAATCTGTGCCTGTTGTACTTCGATTCAAGTTAGCACCACCTCCCACACCATTGTAATAGTTCATATTATACAAGTCATTCTTTATATAGTCTTGAAAGTAATCAAACAATGCCAAGAGGCAATTGAGTACCTGCTGAAGATCGGCACTCTCCAACAAGTCATTAGGATGAAACAACTGATCTTCAGGTACATATAATCTATATAGATAACAATAAGCAAATGAATGAATGAATGAAACAAAGCTGATTATTAATTAACTAATAACTATTTACCTGCATTTCTTTAAGAACAATTGTATATTTTCGATTTGTTTAAACTTTGGTAATGGTTCGAAATCACTAAAGTGAATGTAGTCGGCGGGCTGATGAAAGGTGTTCATAATTCGACAGAGAATTCTGCCATCGCGTAACGCTGGATACAGACTATCATTGTCGAGATTGATTCTCAATATAAATTCGATCAACTGTTTCACAGAGAGTTGTTTGTGTTGTTGTTCGAACTGCTGTTGATAGAGTCTCTGTTGTTTCTCTGCTATTAATCTACTACTTTCACTCATCTCATAATAATATTTATTCAAATTATTCTAATTATTCTAATCTAATTATTTTCTACTATAACAATACTTCAATTCTACCATCAAATTAAAAATAACACTGAACTGATCAAGATCATAAAAAAAAATAACAAAAAATGCATTGCAAATATTTTTTTTTCTTCATTAATATCCATGTTTTTTTTTTTTTCAATCCTTTTTTATATTTTCTTCCCTGATTTGGGTAACTCTAAATAAATGATTGTTAGAAACAGAAAAAATTTTAACCTTTACAACTTTAAAGTTCAATCAAAATCAGTTAAATTCTTTTATAATTCGTTTCATAAAAACCTCTTTAGTATTAATTGTCTAAACTCTTCAATCAACTTTTATATTTTACTATTCTATATACTATATTAGCTTTATCCCTTACGCTAATATAGTATTATATATATTGATAGTTGTTGTAAACCTTCTTTCTTTACAAACATCAACCATGATAAAATTATTTATCCAAAATAGGTAGATTTACAGATTTTAAACTACGAATAATATTCAAGATAAAATGTTTTACCCCACTCAAATAAAATACAAACTCTTTGTATTTTATTACTAACTATATTGTAAGAATGGTCGAGTGATGATTGAAAAACTATATATTAACACCCACCACCACTAGAATCATCACACGAACAACTAATAAAACAATAAATAAAATACTCCTAAACTTCCAAACCAATGAAGATTTTTATGGTTAAAACTATATTCAAGCGAATAACATTCTTTTTATCTATAAATGTATTTAATAATGATAATATTAAAATTAAAGTTATAATAATATAATTTAGTTATAGTTTTTATTTTATTATTTCTATTACTATTTATTTCTTAAAATCTTTTTTATATTTTATAATTTGTTATTATTATTATTTAAAAAAATTAAAAGAAACCAATTAGAAAAATGGATACAATTGAATTAGTAAATTCAACATTACCATCACATTTGAAAATGACACCGGAAGGAATCCTAATGAGAACGGCATCTTCTTATTTGGTGACATGCGCGTTGTATAGTGTGATTAAATTAGAGATCTACAAGGAATTTGATGAAGGACCGAGATCTATTTTCGAGATTGCTCAAGAGAGAAAAATAAATCCGGATTTCCTTCAGAGAACGATGAGAGCGCTCGCTTCACAAGGTATTTTCAAGATGGTGTCGAAAGATGGCAACGACGGAATGTATGACCACACCGAGGCGTCGCGTCTTCTCGAAGATCCAAATGGAATAATCGGACTTGTCGAATTCATGACCTGTCCAATGGTGTTCTCAGGATTCAAGAACCTCTCCGATACCATCACGATGGGTGCGCCTCAGGGACCGTCGCCAGTCGGTTCCTACTCGATGCTGAATCTCGTTCCCAAGGTGCGCGAGATCATGGCGATGTACAACAAATCGGTGGCGATCGGCCGTAAGATGTCTACCAACGTGTTTGTAGACGACTTTGATTTGTCACGCTATGAAATCAAGACATTCGTGGAGTTGGGCGGTGACGGTGGACATCTCACAAAGCGACTACTCGAGAAATATCCATCGATTGAATATGGAGTCAATGTTGACAACGCTTCGAATCTGACAAAAGCGACTACCGCCAGATACAGAGAGGAATCTGGTGATTGGACGAAATCTTTTAAGACCACCGAACAATGTTATTTCTCTTGTTTCCAGATGCACGAACTTGATGATTCTGTCATTATGAAACTACTCACCAACATTGCCAGCAAATTGAAATCCACCAGAAATAAGTTCTTCTTGGTCGAACCTTACATATCTGAAAGCAACGAAATGAGTTTTGGAGCGGTACTCGATCTCAACATGATGCACTGTATCAGAAACGGCAAGCTTAGAACCGATAGCGAGTGGAAGCAACTCATTGAGAAAGCAAATTTAAAGATTGAATCAAGATCATATCATCCAAATCAAGTAGGAGTTATCGTTATATCAAAATAACTAAATAATCAAACTAACTAAATAAATAGCAAATTAAATGAATATACAAATTATAATTAAGTGACTCGCAAGCTAAGCTAGAGTATAAACTACTACTAGTTTATTAATTGTTTTATTATTATAATACAATACATTTATTATTGTTGTTTGTTTTGTTATTACTTGTTTAAAGTAAAAAGAAGAAAAAGAAAAAGAAAAAAAGAAAATAAACTCTTTTTTTTGTTTGATTTTTTTGGTAAAAGGAAATTTGATTTGTATTAATTACACATTATATTATTTACTTTTGTATTTTTTTTTTTTTTTTTTTTTTGTTTTATATTGTTCTAACTATTCTAAAAACCGACTACACTACTACTTCTACTGATAGAAGATGCTACAATTTACCAGTGACCGTGGTGGTGGTGACCATGGTGGTGGTGACCGTGGTGGTGGTGTCCGGTTTCGTAGACGATGGTGGTGGTTGGTACGACTGGGGAGACGTAACCAGCTGGGTAGACTGGAGCGACCATTGGAGCGACTGGTGGTGCAACCATTGGAGCGACTGGGTATCCCATTGGGGCGATTGGGGCTACGACTGGTGGTGGAACGTATCCGACTGGGTAGACCGGGTTAGTGTAGACTACATCGTAGTGACCGTGATGACCGTGATGATGATGATGATGATGACCCATTGTATATTATATTAAATGTATATGTATATTATGTATCGAAAAAGTATTATTATAGTATTTAGTTTTTAACTAATTTAATATTTTATTATTACAAATAAATAATAATTGTTGTTGTTGTTTTTGATTTTAATTGTGAGATGGAATTTATTGTTGTTTTTGTTGCGTTTTATTGTTTGTTTTTTTTTGGTTTTTGAGAGTTTTTGTATTCTATTAATTTAATAATAAAAAATTAAAAAATATAAATATCAAAAAATTCAACACTCACACCAAGATCTATTACATCAGCAGGAAACAACCTCATTATTCAAAGATTGTTTTGGCATAACAAAAAACAAAAAAAAAATTATCAGGTGATATTTTATTGTTTAATATCAAAGAGAAAAATCATGGATTTGAATTTGTTTTGACCAACAGAGGTAACGGCATTCCAATTTTAGGTGTCTCTGATATATTCATTGGAAAAGTAAAAAAAAAAAAATAAAAAATCATTTAAATTAAAAGACACAAAAACACAAACACACTTTCCTAATTAATTAAAGTTAGTTAGTGTATGAAATGATCAAATAAATGTAAATCAGTTATTCAAGTTATCATTACTTTATCTTTATTATTACTATCTTCATTATGATAATTCATTATTTGTTTAATTTTTTTATATATTTATTAAATAAATTTGATAAATTTAACTATTTAATTTATTATATGAATTTTTTTTGTTTTTCATATATGTTCATAGATAATAGATTATTTTAAATGATTTGTTAGATTTAACAATGAATTCAATGATTAATGTTGATTTGATTTACTTTTATGTTGTTGTTGCTGTTGAATTAATTTATTATTTGTTATTGATTGATTGGTAATGTTGATGATTAAAAATTATGATTATATATAATCTATTAGGTTATTGCTGTTGTTGTTATTATTAATATTTAATTACTTTCTGCCTTATTAACTTTTTGATATTGAGGCTTACTTGTTGTTGAGTTGTTGGTGTTTGAAGTGTTGGTGTTGTTTTGATTGTTGTTTTGATTGTTTCTTTGATTGTAATTGTTAAATCTTCTGTTTTGTCCTCTACCTCCACGACGGTGGGCATCGTAGGAACGAACGGTCGACATTCCAAAGGTCTCTTGGTCGAGCTTTCTCTGTTCGTAGAGTGTTGTTTTACCCTTGATTGGGGCACCCTCATTGTTTTGCTTATCCAATGACTCACACGAGATGCTGTCAAAGAAGTTCGATGGTGTGTAAGAGGTGGAGATGGTGATCGATGAGATTCCGTTGACGATGGTTTCGTCGGTGCCGTTTTCTTCGCTTGGCGATGCTACATCGCTACTTACGGCGGTACCCGATAGTTCCTCGGCCAACTTTTCCTTGTTGAACCTTGAGTTTGACTCTTCAAAGTTGAATTCCTCCAACTCTTTCTTTGGGAAGGTCTTCTTGTAGCCTCCTCCTGTCTTGTTTTGGAATCCACCAGCGTGGTGATGGTGATGATGATGATTGTTGTTGTGGTGTCCTGTTGGGTTAGTGTTGTTGGTGTTGTTACTAGATACATTGGTGTTTGTATTTCTCTTGTTGGTGTTATTGTTGCTGTTGGTATTGACTCTTTGTTGTCTCTGTACTGTATTGTCCATGGCATTACCTGCGTTACCTGCATTGACTTGTTGCTGTTGGTTTGATTGTTGTTGATTTCTTGGTTGATAATTATTGTTTCTTGGTTGTCTGTGTTGTCTTTGCTGTTGTTGTTGTTGTTGTGGTTGCGATGGTTGTTGTTGTTGTTGCGGTTCGACAGCGGCAGTTTGGTTGGCAGCAGCAGCAGCAGTGGCGGCGGCAATAGTGGCAGCAGCAGTGGCTGGTGCAGCTACTGGAGTTGGTTGTGCAACTGGTTGGGCGAGAGGGACGACTGGATTGACAATTGGTTGTACGTTGGCAGCTGTTGTTGGTTTCGATTGTTGTTGAGCGTTGGCAGCTGGTTGTTGAGCGTTGGTAGCAGTGGATGGTGCAGTGGCATTACCGGCTACTGGAGTTGGAGTGGCAGTGTTTGGTGCAGCAGAGGTTGGTGGTTTGTAGAATGGTGGTTGTGGTGGCATACCTCCCATATTTGGATTCTGACCATAGGCGTAGGGTGGGAATCCATACATTCCGTAGTAAGGATTGTACATCGGTGGGTACTGTTGTGGGAATCCTCCCTGGTGGTTTGGCATTCCCATTCCAAACTGTGGGAATCCTCCATACATAAATTGACCTGGTTGCTGTGGCATACCTCCCATTGGTGGGAATCCAGGTTGTTGTTGTTGGTTCTTCATTAATTGATCAAGTAAGTAATTTATAATTAGTAAAGAGTAGAGTAAAAGTAATAGTGGTTAGAAACAAACTTACCATTGGTGGAACTTGGTTGGGATTGGTTGATGGTGAACCTGTTGTTGCTGCAGCTGCTGGTTGTTGTTGAGATGGCTTTGAGGATGGAGCTGCTGGGGTTGTTGCGTTGGATGGTTGTGAAGTGGATGAAGATGGGGCAGATGTTGTTGTCGAGGTTGGAGTTGGAGTAGCGGTGTTGGCAGTGGATTGGTTGGTTGGAGCGGCTGAGGTGCTTGCAGCAGCGTTCGATTGGGTGGTGGTGTTGCTGGCGGATGAAGCTGCAGCGGTTGCCGGTGCCTCATAGACATTCAAATCACTGATATCGCTGCTCTTGAATACAATGAAGTCGAAAATCTCGTTTGATGGTGGGATGAAACCATTCTCTCTTCTATCTTCAGTTCCATATGATTTAACTGTGTTTTTTCACAAAAAAAAAATAAAAAAATAACATTTTTTTTTCAAAAATTTTTTTAAAAAAAAAAGATCGCAAAAAGTTTCGAATTAGATCATCAACCTGTTTATAATATATTATATAAATATAGTTTGAGAGTTGTTTGCAACTTTAATAACTTACCATTCTTTAGTGCAATTGTATTATCGATTGGATCAATAGTATATAAAATACCTTCGTATTTTATTTGTTTCTTTGTGATCAAAACAATCTTTGATCCGATGAATTGAGTAGACATTGTTGTTGTTGTTGATGTTTGTTATCTTATCTTCTACTCTTATTGTTATTATTATTATGTTATCGTTTCTTATTTATTACTTTTTTTTTTTTGATTTTTTTTTTTATTATTACTTTTTTCTTTCTTTCTTTTTTAAACTAACTTTTCTTTTTATTCTTATCTCTACTACTTTTTATTTTTGGTATATCTTTTTTAGGATCAAACGATATCTCTCTATTTATCTAAACCAATGTTTAATAAGTTCTTATATATTATTATATTATTATTATAGATCGTTTTTTTTTCAGTATCTGTTCGAGAAATATATAAATTAAACTTTTGATTATTATTTAAATTATTATTAATTCAAATACAAAAATAATATAAAAACAACAGAATTATTGAATTATTATAATATATAATATAATATTAACAAGTAAAGGTTATTGTTATTTTAGTAGGTTATTAGTTTTTTGTTGATGTTATTGTTGTTGTTGTTGTTGGAAATACAATTAAAATTTAGTTGGTTTGGTGGTGTTGAACCTAAATAAAAAAAAAAAAAAGAAATTTGAAAAAAAAAAAAAAAAAAACAAACAAAATTTTTGAAAAAAAAAATCAGTTGTTTTTTTTGGTCAGCTGAACCCAAACACACAAAAAACCAATCTATTAATTAAGTGTGATCACACCTGACAATCAAATCATCAACTTCACTTTGATTTTAATGAAATGAATGACTTCCAAACAAATAGGTGTTGTATTTATTATTAAACTGATCAATAAATGTACAGGTACTACAATAATCAATGTATTGATTGATGACTAAAATAATATTATTAATCAATTCAAATGTCAATTGATTGCCTGAAGAACAACAGTTCTAATAATAAAAATGAAATAAAAATGAAATAAAAATTAAATCTTAATGATTTTTGATAAATAATAGAACAATAGGTTGTTTCAGAATGAATAAAATAGGAATTGATTTATTTATTTATTATTAAATTATAAATTTTATTTTTAGAAAAAGAAATGACTAATTGAAATAATAACGATCCAGTAATATTCTTTTGTTTAAAATTTATTTTAAATAATTTAATTTAAACTTTTAAGGTTTAACAATTTTGAATACATTTAACCAAATGAAGAGAATTTAAGAAATCTAACCAAGTTTTGTTTTGAAATGTTTGATTCTCCAGTATTGATTCTCTAGCTCATTCTTTCTAAGACAAAGTTGAAATTAGCTCCAAATCTTCTAAATAATCATTCTCAAATGATACTTTGAAAATCATAGCAGCTTGCTTGGTAGCTAGCAAATGACTTTTAAAAGTTCAAAATTCTTATTACAGTGTGCAAGATTAGGTCAATTTTTTGTTTTCTTTATTATTATTATTATAAAATATTACAAATAAATTAACTCTGAACGGAATTGAATTCGATTCAATCAAGAAAATTAAAGAATTAAAAATATTTGTTCCTTTTAACTAATCAATCAATAAAAATTTTGAAAAAGCACATTGAATTAAAAAAAAAACAAACAATTTTTTTGCGGTTTATAATATATACAAACAAACAACATCATTTTGAGATTCAATTTTTCATATTATTTCCTATTCTAAAAAAAAACCTCCAAAAGTAACAGCACTTTATTTATTTTTAATCATAATAATCATAATCATACCTTCTTGACACTTTATTAATAATAAAATCAATAACAAAATAATAAGTAATAATAAGAATAATAGATAGATAGATAGGTAATAATAATGATAATGAACAAACAACAACAACAACAACCAACAATCAATAACAAGTGATAAGATAATTTGATAGATAAGATATAGATTTGATAGATAAGATATAATAGATTTGGCAACAGATATAGATTTAAAGAAGAATGAATCAACAACAATTACAACAACAACAACATCAGATGCAACAACAACAGCAACAACAACAGCAGCAACAACAGCAACAACAGCATCAAATGCAACAACAACAACAGAGAATGCACCAACAGAATATGCGTGGAAATATGGTGGGTGGACAAGTGCATTCCTCCTATATGAACAATCAACAATCACATTCTCGTCTAAAGAGATACGAGCTAATACGACCTGATCGAAAAGATCTAGGTCCTGGTTTAGGTCCACCCGATTTCTATCCACTCGATTCAACAGCCAAAGAAGAGACTTTAAAAGCAGATTATATAATTGGTGGATTTCAAGAGAATTTCGTTATGGTATGTTAATTGTTATTGTTATTATTGCGCTTGTTGTTATTATTATTATTATTATTTTAAGTACTTATTATTCTTTGTTATTGTTCAACAACAAAAAGGATGATTCGAAATCATCTTCAGATGAATTTAAAGGTGTAGATATTTCAAAGTTGAAAGACAAGTTACTGCAGGCAGTGTACGAAGTGGAGTGGAAAAAAGATGCGTGTCCACCACGGACTGGACCACCGCCACCGAAAGAGCGACAAGGCACAAAACGTGCAGTTCCCGAGCAGAATGCATGGATGCAAAGCGCAAGAGATTCTTGGGTTGCAAGACTCGCCGGTAACGAACCACTCTGCAAACTTGCACAATCCGTTCCACACGGACACAAAGGTGATTCACTCATAAAGATGCTACTGGAGAATCAGATTCCATTGATTCGTGCCACTTGGTATACAAAGATTGTCTATGGTAATATGGTATGTAGTAAACAGTTTGTTAGTTAGTTATTGTTGTTGATGATGATAGAAGTAGTTGTTGTTAACAAGTTGTTTGTTTGTTGTTTGTTGTTTTTAGCCAAGGAATAAGACACCGGTATGTCCGTCTACCGATTGGACAAAGGTGATGATGCAATGGCTGTTTGCGCTGATTAGGAATTTGGATGGCGATTTGAGGAAACCGAATACCTACAGTTCGCTACTCTATATTGAGCGACTGATAAAGTGGAATTTCTACGAGGGACTGCTCAATAAGGATACGCTGTTGACGATGCTGATCGACCAGATGAACGAGTTGCCGCGTCCCGAGGAAACGGTGATAGTCGCCAGCATGATCCTGTACTACGCCGACACGATGATCCACTCGTCTTCACTCTCACTGCGTTTCCTCTTCAAATGTCATGATAAACTAACAAAGTTGAATAACTTGATGAATAAGGTTACAACACCACAACAATCACAACAATCAATAACAAGTACAACAACAACATCACCAACAAATAACAACTCTTTTATAAAGGAACAAAAGTTATTCTCTATATTATGTACAGTTGCTAAACAGGTTGCTATTTCACTGCCCGATGTATTCATGTCGTTCAAGAACTACAGGGAGTTGGTCGGATTCATTTGGCCAGCGGTGACGACACTCGACCGCTTGGAACAGCTCGAATCGAATCAATCTTCACAATTCACATTGAAACTGGCTGTCACACCAGAACACAAATTCTTAAAACGTTATTTTTTAGAAACGGATCTAACAGAAACAAATAATAATAATAATAATAATAATAATAATAATAATAATAATAATAATAATAATAATAATAATCAATTACAAACAACAACATCAACAACAACAACAGTTCCAACAATATGTAAAAAAGTTTTAGAGATATCAGATATAATCGATGCATTCGATCGTTTCATTTCAAATAACGATATAAGATTGTTATATAATGATATATTTGGTACTCAATTATCATTGGTAAGCGAAAAAGAAAAAGAAAAGAAAAAGAAATAGATATTAATGTTAAGAAATTGTTATTATAAATTTAGGAGGACGATAAACCAAAAATATTGCTAATATGTGAATGGGCTATTACCAGTTGTAGAAACATTCCATTCATTCATAACATTGCAACCTCTCTTTTGAAACACTATGAATCAAATATTCAAACTAAATATACTGTAAATGTATGTTATATATTCATTCTTTCATTCATTCTTATTGACAATCTATTAATATCTTCTGGACTTATTCAATAACACCAACAACGAAATAGAAGCAACCTCTACAGAATATACTTGTAAATTTTTTGGAAAACACTAGACCTAATCGACAGGAATTGAGAAACATTTGCTATTTCTATTCAGAGCTGACGAGAACCAATGTATTCTCACAGAATTCCTATGCGAGATTCCTCATCTCAAGAGGTATACTTGAGAAGTTTAATAATAATAATAATAATAATAAAAGTATAGATAATAATAATGATAACAATAATAATAATAATAATAATAATAGTCAAAATCATAAATATTATTTAATGGAATTCCCAATATTTAATAGTAATGATATACCGACGGCACCGATACAGCAACAGAGAAATCAGAGAAGAACTATACTCTTCCAATCGTCGAGTTCAAAGCTATCGGAACAGATGGAATCTGTGCGTTCGATCATCAAGCAGTTCCTCGACGACAAGATCGATACACAGACGGTTCTCTCTCATTTCCAAGCACTCTCATTCTACTATCAGACTTCACTCATCGAATGGTTATCATTATGTATAAGAATTAAATTCCCACAAACATTAGAGTAAGTTAATATATATTTTATATTTTATATTTTATATTTTATATTTTATATTTTATATTTTATATTTTATATTTTATATTTTATATTTTATATTGTACATTGTATATTGTATATTATAAAGTTAAAACTAAACTAAATCTAATCTAAACTAATTCTTTTATATATAGTAAAATTAAATCAACATCAAATATAACATCGATCAATCAAGCACTGAAAGGATTTCACAAGTTTGAATTCCCAATGACAGAACCTTATATTTCAAAGTGTTTTCTGTTGATGGAATCGATACAGAGTTACAGTAGTATCATTCAATGTTTGTTGGTGTTCTGGCACAACTTTGACAGTTTACCTGCACTCCACAGACTAATAATAACTACAACACAACGATTGGAGTTACCATTCATCTATACCGATTGTATTAATGAACTTTTAAATATTTTAATCGTTGGAAATAGCAATAATAACAATAGTAATGGTAATGGTAATGGTAGTAATAATGATAGTAATAATGATAGTATGAATGTAGATAGTAGTGAAACGATTAATCAACAACAACAACAACAACATTCACAATCACTTAAACAAGTGTATCTTGTTCATCTTTTAAATAATTATAAATCGATTAAATCGATTGATCAATGGATGAAGATAAATGGTATAGCTGTTGGTAGCAACAACAACAACAACAACAGCAATGCTAATGGCAATAATCAATCTAAACAACCTACTATAAATCTTATTAAAAGTGAATTGGTATGTATTAGCTATTAATCTATGATAATCATATATGAATATTTTTACTAATAATATTGATAATGATATTAACTACTTACTACTTAGAATTTCGATGATTCAATGAATGATAAGACAGAGTTGAGAAATCAATGTATTAGCATAGTCGGTCAGTTACAACAATCCGTTACGGAAAGTGGTCAACTCGATCATTCTGTCATCTTGCAATTGGTAGAACAGTTTAAGCCTGACCCAATATTCACTCACCAAGAGATTATAACTGTAATGATTCAATCTATCTTTAAATTGAATGAACAAATGTAAGTAAAGTGTAAAAAAAGATATAATAGTAATAATAGTAATAATAGTAATAATGGTTATAATATATAATATACTTACTTTTTTTAACTATATATAGTCAACCAGATCAATTTTTATGTCATAGAGCATTGGCTATATTCCTATCGCAACTATCGATTGAATATCATACATCGATGAATCACTTTGAACTACTGAGTAAGTTGTTCAAAGAGTATCTCGGTCAGTCTGTACATGCAGCCAAGTCACTGATTCAGTTGACTGCTTTGTTCGAGTCGGTATCGTCGTTCCTCATTGCACTGGTGCTCTCTCACTATGTCGATGCACACTATCTTCTTGCCAACTCACTGCTACCGATAATCTATGAGTTCTTGCCACCTGAACTTCTCTCTAGTCTGCCGGCATCTTCAACAACATCATCGTCGACACCTCAACAACAACAACAATCTCAAGATTTATCAACATTTAAACTTCATAATCTTTGGTTCTTTATCAAATTGATAATGGTATTACTGTTCAATCCGAGCAGTGCATCCAAGCAGATCGAAGAGTACAAACAGGAGTTGCACTCCACTTGCTGCATGGAAAAGACCAGATCGCTAGGTTTGCTCTTCCCACTCTTTTGTAAACTCTACGATTACTTTGACAAGTTGGTGAATAGCGGTGGATCGACTTCATCGACCGACGAGTATCTGCCGATCTTCAATGATGTCAAATCGATCTTGACCGATCCCGACTACAAATATGTATTCCTTACCGACTCACAGAAGCACATTGAATCGATGAAGTCAATGAATCTAGATCCGGTCACCAGTAGATATCTATTTAATTTGGTAATGGGTAACTTTAAAGACAGCTCAACAGCAACTCCTGTGACGTCACAGTTGAACTCACAGCTGTCGACAGACTTGATGATTCAAACACCCTACGAAAAGTTAAAGTGTGAGAATGTTATCAATTACTCCTATCAGGTGATCAACAATTCTCTGTCGAATTCATTCAATTGCTATTGGTATATGCATGTTTCCTATATGGAGTTGCGCCTGCTACTCGATGAATGGCAATCGCTGCCACCACTCACTTCCACACCTCCACTTCGTTCGCCTGTACAGTCACCTATCCTAACGAATGTGCAAGCATCAACCTCAAACACCCCCCAACAACAACAACAACAACAATCACAACAACAACAACAACAACAACAATCATCTAATACACCTGAATCTATTTTAACACAATTCATACTTTGTCACTTTGAACAAAACAAAGGCTGGGAAAAGATATTCCTCTATGAGAAACTATTCCTCTGTCTGCCTCAAACCGTTAGAAACGAGTTGATCAAACTGACAACCATCATTATGGAATCGCAATTCGAAGAATCTTCATTCCTGGCACCGGAAACCAAGCTCTATCTCTTCTCTCATATCCTCTCGAATCTACCGGTGCGAAAGCGTCCGAATATCGACCAGCGCGAGAAGATGAACAGCAAGAAGGACGAACTGCTCCTCCAGGAATCATTCACCGAGCTCATTATCAATATTCTTTCATCGTACGAACCATCGAGTGTCTTCCTTCAGACATTCGTACTTTCACTGTTGAAGCAGCTCAACCAGTTCCTGAACAACACAAAGATCTACGATTCCGTCAACTTGCCTTCCAACTCGATGGACTCGATCTTGAACTCGCTGTCGATGCGCGTCTCCTTCCTGGTGCCACTCATCAACACCATGAAGTTGTCAAAGGTCGATTGTCGACTCGAGGACATCTCCATAACCCTACTCAATCTTCTATCACGTTCCATTGTGCAGTCGGACGAGGACTACGACTTTTTTGGAGCGATCCTCACCATTATGGATCTGCTACTCTCGGACAAGTACGACCAGCAGGCGATGCAACAGCAATACTCTGACTACAAGATGCAGACACAACAACAACCCGATCCACGAACAGTCATCAAGCGAAAGCTACACGAGCACTTCCAGCAAATCAAGCATCTCTTCTCTCCTAGTTTTCTCGCGCGCATCGAACGTCAGATATCGTTCCTCGCGCCAACCGTCACACCGATCACCCCCTACCAAATCGTTCTCCCGCCACAGACACTGCAGAATCAGACGCAACACCAACAGGGAAGTGCACTCATTGTCAAACCACACGAGATAAAGCCAACCGTCAACCAAATGGATCCTTGGTCGTTGTTGGAAGACTTTTCAGACACTCCGATGTCGCCCTCTACGTTTGGCGGTGTTCGAATGGAGCGAAAGGATCTTACCTACATAAAGTCGTCGTTTCCTATCAAACAGTCGACAGCGACCAACATGATCCTATCGGAACCGACCTCGCCAATGGAGATTGGAAACTCGAATCAACCGACTCCATCACCTCAGAACTTTCATAAATCATCGACGACGCCCTCCAACGGAAACACACCGATGATGGCAAACCAAAAATCCAACTTGAAACGACCGTTCAACGCAACCACCACCACTGGTCAACCACCAAGCACTGTCACACCACCTCCCATAAACATGGCCACCAACAATCCAAACCTGCCCACAAACAACAGCAACAACGCCAACAACCCGGGTTTGCCAACCAACAATCCAAATAACTATCAAAATTCATTCCCAATTTCATCACAAGCTACAAAGAAAACAAGAGCAACTTGATAGTAACTTGAACACGTTAGTATATCTCTCCCCTCTCACACTCTCTTTTTACAATAAAATAAACAAACAAAAAAACAATTTCAAAAAAAACAACAATATCAAAAAAAAAATAATAATAATATAATATAAAATCATTATAATAATTTTAGAGATTTTATCAATTTAAAATTGTGGGGAATTGATTTTTGCTTACTTTCTTTTTAGAGAAAAATCATTCATTTCATTTGAATGCTGCAATCAATTACCGCGGATATTAATTTATAACGGTATTATGGAATAATGGGTAATTAAAATAATCTAATTTTTGATTAAAAATTTAACAATTGTTGTCTTTTTGATGGTGTTAAAAATCACACCCGACAAGTTTATTCAAAAAAAAAAATAATGACTTTAAAAGTATGAGGTGTGTGTTAAAAAAAGATGTGTTTATTTTTGATTATTGTTTTTTTTTGTTTTTTTTTTCTACTTTTTTCTGATTGTTGGGCTTCTTTCTGATTTTGCACCACATTTTTTAATTTTAATATACACAGATATATTATAAAATATTTGTATACAAATATAATCACAACATTTAGAGAGACGGATTTGCTTCTTCAGCAACAATACAACATACAACATCATTCAATATTATTGAATTGAAATCAACTCACCTACTTTAATTTCACCAATTGTATTAGATAGATTTATTATTCAGATATATAATAAATAATTAAAATATAGATTATGATTAAAAGAGATTATAGATTTAACTTGGCTTTTATCTAATCATGTCTACAGATCAATTTATAAGTAAAACAATTGATACTAATCAAAGGTTTCAAAAACAAACTAGTACAAAAACACAATATCAAGATGCAATAACTAAAAGTAAGATTTGATTTGATGAATGTTTGTTTTTACAAATATTTCCAAATTTAGTAATATTGTATTAACTGAAAAAAAAACCTTACATTACATTTTTCATGTTAAGTTATAAAAATATGTTTGGAAAAGAATAGTTTATCAAAAGTAGAGAATTTAAAATCGACTTTGCCAGAGGTGGAATCGGTGGTGGTCAATGATTCACCGGTTTTCGGATATGTTATGTATATACTGTCGGATTGTTGCCGTGAGATGAAGTTGTTTGACGACGCCAATCTCTATGGGAACCAATCGCTGCGGATCAGAATCTCACTGTATGGCGACAAGAGCAATGAAGTCTGTATATGTATAGATTTGTTGGTACAGATTTCAATGGATTCTTCGCGATTCTCCGATGCCGTAGCACTCTTCCTCAAGTCGTTCAAGTGTAAGGCACACTCACAGTATACCACCTACTCACAGCTGACAGTCGATTCCATTCGTGTTTCAAACGCATTGCTCTTACAGTCGTCTTCAGAGAGTGCCGCCACTGCTTTCAACCTGTTGGGGCAGTCGGCCGACATCCTCTTTGATCTGCTGACGGATGAGTCATCGCCACCCAACCAAGATAAAGACACACAGCAAGATCTCAGACACTCTGTAATATCGATACTCCAAGAGAAGGCGAGTCAACACGAAAAACAAATGCCACCCGACCTCTCGAAATCCGCCAACTGTTTTAAACTAATTTTGAAAATACCTCAACTTTCAAATAAGTATGTATGGAAATAGCATAATGAAAGAATAACTGGAATTTACTTACTTATTGAATTATGAAAATTTATATAAATTTAGGGATGAACAATACTCTTATGAATCAATTATCGGTTGTTTTTCAAAACAATGGTTGTTTGAAGATGTAAAGAATTATATTTCACAATATATTGCAATGGGACAACGATGTTTTAAACCAATATCGGTGGAGATGGCGAATATTCTCTATTTCTGTGGTGTTATTATGGAGGAGCAATCGGATCGTCCCTCTCCAACTAGATTGTGTGATCTGGTGGATGCACTACGCTACTATTTATGTACATTAAAGATTTCCCGTGAGACTGGTGGTGTGTCGCTCAACGAAGAGTCACCGGCATTCGCACAGAAAAAGATGCGTGACAAAATCGAAACGATCATCTATAACAATCGACCGCTAAAGATTGAGGATGTTGTGCTGATGGTCGATCGAATGCTACAGATAATATCGATCGATTTTCTCTTGAATATTCAAAAATCACAGAATTGGCTGATGCGATACATCTATCCCGATTTCATTGCTGAGGATGCACTCCGCGAGAAAGAAGATACTCTGCCTGCCAAGAGTGGATCACTCTCCAAGCTGAATGGTTTGATGAAAACCTGGAAGAACCGATGGTTCATTTTGGAGCGAGATGTTTTATCTTATTATAAGAATCAAGGAGTAAGTAGTTTAGTTAACAATTTGTTGTTTAACTTTTTCGATATTAAACATTTATTTATTACTCTCACAGGATCCAAAATCAAAAGGTGAAATTAATATATTGGAAATCAAGTCTATTGATATTGTAACAAAAGAAAAGAAATTGAAGCCCTATTGCTTCCAAATTAATCATCCAAAACATACACTTGTTTTGGCTACAGATACAGAGGAATCAATCAAAGAGTGGGTTTCATTGTTGAACAAGGCAATCCAATACTGGCAAGAGTGGAATTCTAATTTAACTTTGACACTGTAGATTATTAAAAAGAAAATTAAATTGTTATTTTTGTATATAGACACAACATCATGTATATATTTTATAGTTTTAGGTATTGATATTTATTTTCTAAGCCAACTAAAAGTTTATAAATAACAATTTGAAGTTTGTATTTGATTTTGTTGGTAAAAAGTAATCAGGCATGGCAACAGGAAAAGCACATTCTTTCCACTTTATTACAACAAATAGAAAAAACAAAAACAAAAAGAACTTGAATCAGATTATTAAAAAAAATTTGACTATCGATTAATATCTTCAGAATATTATTGTATGGTGTGGTTGGACAGTTGTGGGTTTTGGAATCAAGGATTCAAAACTTTTTTTTTTGAAGTGCAATACAAGGTGGAAGTTGAGCTATTCAACAACACTACAATTGTACAGCGGTTTTATTGCAACTAGAAATTAATTAAAATGAACGTCGACTAAAGACCAGGGGGGGAAATGATATCTGTTCTACTCCTTAGGTTGGGACCACCTGGATACCACTACTGATGGAAGGCTAAGGGAGTCACAACGGTCTTTTAGACGGATGAATGGAAATTTTCCTATGATTAGATCCTCCATTTGTAATCCACAAATAAGAAGCAGAGAATGATTGCAAAAAATCTTATTTTATAAAAAATAACTTCATTTTGAAGGATTTAAATATAGTAATGAACGGAGGTATATACCACTGACGTATATATGATTATTGGCATAAGGATTTTCCTGATACCTTATGCCATACCGCACCATCGTCAAACACATCATCAAAAATGACAGCTTAGCCAAGTGGTTACGGCGACAGACTTGAAATCTGTTCCCTTCGGGGGCGCAGGTTCGAACCCTGCAGTTGTCGAAACATTTAAAAACCATCTTACCGCCTGCGGTAAAGGTTATGTAAGAATGTCATCTGTGTGATGCTTGTGGAGCAAGGTAATTGCATTCTTCCCAGAGTTTAACTTTATTGGCCATCTCAGCCGCCTGTGGCTGAACTGCTCCAACAATAAATAAATAAAACACGAACTGTAGGGTAATATCAAGCTCTACACCTTGACTATCAATAATGGTAGTACAAGGATATTTTTAAAAAAAAAAAAAAAAAAAAAAGTAACTTTATCGGTACTTGCATCTAAGATTGTTTCGAAGCTATAGAAAAAAGAGTTCGATGAAGATGGTATCGAGAGAATGTTCGGTACCATGTCCTCAATCATATCTATCTTAGATATTCAATAACTGGTGGAGATGATGATTCCTATAGCTTGGAATTGGAAATCGCTAACTATCGTCCAAGAGTGGTATCCTCTAGATACCTACCATACCCACCGCCAATGCCCATGCTCAAGGAAATCATTAATACAGAATACTTTGACTACCAGAGTAACTACAACTATCTACATGTACTATGCAACATAATCGAGAGTACTCCAAACAATGGCACTACACAAGGGTTACAACAACTTCAGTCTATCTCTTTAAAGATCCAAATGAGTTTCTCAACTATGGTAATTTCAATTTCCTCAGACAACTTTTTAGAATCCACTCGAAAACATTGAAATCTACAATATTGAATATGGATTTTAAATTCATATGTCTATGAAGCAATCTATGAAATTATAAGCGATACACTTCCACTGTTTAAAGAGAATCATATCGATTTCATTCTTGAAGTATTAGATTTATTGGATTTTGAGGAATTTAGTAGTAAAAAAGGTCATAATGATGAAGTACATCAATTTATCTTAAAAAGCTCAAAGTCTATTTAATAAGAAGCAGACTGACTGTGTACGAATATAATTATACAAAAAAATAAAAGGTTATTTATTTCTTATTAAAGAATATTCTTTGTCGTTCGTTAAATCTATATATAAATATCTTTACTTCTATCTAATCGTTTAGATAGATTTAAATTTAGTAGTTAAATTAATTAATTTTGGAATGATGTAGCTTTCATCGATACACTTGATTTTCTTGATAGTCTTGTCTTCATCTTTGTCATATATACATGCATTGTGGTGTTTCTCTTGTAGATAACAATTGCTACGGCGATTAGAATTGTCAATCCAACGATTGGTACAACAACTGCAACTGGAATCAACCAGTTCTTCTTATCATCTTCGTCGTATTCTTCACATTCATATTTAAACGATGGCTCTTTCTCGTTGTAGTTGGAACGAACTAACACTGAAAAATCTGGATCTATCGAGGTGTATTGTTCAAAGTACGGAACAACCATACCCACGAGAAGTGCTCCCGGTTGGTTGTTAAGAACACGGTTCGTCAGAGTAAACGGTCGACCATCTACAATTCCTTTGTTGGGAAACTGTCCGTACAATCCATAGTACATCAGCGGCATACTGAAACTGTTGCCATACATTACGGATTTGGTTAGCTGTTCCAACTCACACTCACCGGTCGAATTGGCAGTGATATTGAATGTGATAAGCAAGTAGTTAAGCTTGGTAGAGAAAGGATAGTTGCTGACATCGATCGAATACTTGACGGTATTATTATGTAGTACAAGTGATTCATTCATCCATTTCACATCGGTATAGTTGTTTGAGATCAACATTGACATTACAACGTTTGCTCCATTCGCAAGTGTTGATGTCATAGTGAAATTGGTGGCGGTTCCAGATTTCTTCATTTGGCTGAACTCCTCCTGATGGATAATATCACCGGTAGCAGACATCTCAATCAAACTGAAAAACTTGATAAAGAATGAAAATTGTTGGTCTTCGTAGGAGAGTTCGGTGGTGGTGTTGGATGTCGGTGTTCCGTTGATAGAGTAGACACACCATGGACGTGTCTCCTCGAATACGATCACCGGTGAACCAGAGTAGTTGGAACTGGAGTAACAAGATGGTCCCTGGTGGAAACGGTCACAAACACACACGCCAAGCGGTGAGCAAGTTCCGAATCCACTGCACATAGTCTTTCCAGGACAGAGTGGAGTGGTGCAATTGACACCGCCATAGCCAGTGGAGCACTCACACATTTGAGTCTGGAGGTTACAGGTTCCGTTGTGACAAGAATTGGCTGTGCACGGAACAAACAACACCTGGACATTATATTCGATTCCGTCGTAGTCGACGATGATTCTATCGTTTGGTTTAACAATACGATCCAACTCTGCTTGTATTTGTAAAGGCGATGAGAATAGATTGTATCCAAAGATCTCAAGAGTGTCGGTGCGTATTGTCATGAGTGATGTATTGAAGGTTGTTACATTGGTTACGATCGTAATCATTTTAGTACCTGCGTACATCGGTTGAACTTGGATTGGTGTAGGCGGTTGGTTTGGCGAGACTTGTAGAGGTTTGACAACTGTCAAACGTTGAAGATCTATCGAGTTGAAAGAACGCATGTTTCCACAGATATCGTAGGTACCTTCAATTGAAACCAATAGAGTGTTTGATAAACCAAAGTTTAATGGTACATCAACAGAACATCTGAAGCTATATAGATTCGATTGACTGCTCATAAATGTTGATTGACAGATTACAGTGTTGATGCTCCATGGATAACTATCTTGAACATAGACCATCGATTTAACTGTACTAGCTATTGGTAAAGCAGATCTTATAGTATAATCAACAATAACATTTCTATCGGAAGATGTTGTATTTCTAGTGAACAATACATTTGTCGATGTACTGAAATCAACCAATTCTAATAAACTAGATGGATCTATAATATATTTATAAGTAAAAGTTTTATCTTTAATTGAATATATACTACTTACTTTCAACTGTTGAATTGATAATAATATTATTTGGTTGGGTAGTTGGTGCTACTATCAAACAATTGTTACTGTTATCACATACTCTTGATATAATGTAAGATAGTGTATGATTACCACAAGTTGTGATTGGTGTAGCGATTGTAAACTTTGCAATTCCATTGGTTTGTACTGTTTGATTTCTAACAATATAGTCAACTGTCGAGTAATAAGTTATTGTCATATCTCTAACACCAGATAGATCATCAACTGCTGTAATAGTAAAATCTACCTTATTATTTGTTGAATCTATTGAATAACTAACATCAGTAACAATAGGTGGATTAACATCTATAATAATAATAATAATAATAATAATAATAATAATAATAACAGATAGTTGAGTATTAATAAGTTATTAATTCGTTTGATAATCTATTAAATAAAATGTATAACATACCAGCACTATATAATGTAAGTTGATTGATTAATCCTGGTGTTGGAACATTTGTAACTGATATTGAATTTCTTCTGTTGAGTATGATATACAGTTGACTTGATGTCAAGGTATAACTGGCTGTTATACTGTTGAAATTGAGTTGAATCGAATAGGTTGTTGTAACTGTTGGTTTAAGAATATCGAGTGAACCAACTGCAACAAACATTGTAGTGTTTAGCTGTTGTGTATCTAATGGAATGTTTGTTGTATGATTCAAGCTGTCAGTGAGATCTACACTCACTTGATATTGTTGTTGCTGCTGCTGCTCATTCAAATAGGTAATCTGTAGGTATGGTGTAGAGATATTGGTGACACTGTCCAACAAATGACGCATTCTAATGAATAGAGGTTGTGGTTGTATAATATCTGGACAACTGACTGATGGTACTGTAACATCGGTGTTATTGCTGTAGACTTCACCGGATTTATACTGGTAGTAATTCTTTAGTTTATCGTAACAACCAATCTTCATTGTTGTGCCACAAGTCACAGGGATGTAAGCTGCCGATACTTCAGCTGTGAATTGCATGAAGCTGTGGTCGTTGCTTAGCGACTCAGCGTTGGCCGCAGTAAACTTGAGATTAAGATTATCATAGTCAACATAGCATACTTCTATACCGGATGAATCGGAAACATTGAATGATATCCACTTGGAACGACCAACATTGTAAATGTTGATATTCATTATCTGTGGAGGATAGATATCGTATTGTGCGGTTGTCGAGTTATAGAGATTCAAAGTAAATCCACTACGCAAAAAGAAAACCAGCGATCTAATATTTGGATGATATCCAACCATTTGAATGGTACCGTTGTAAAGATTACCTGTGACACCGTATGGATATTGTATAGTTGAGAGAGTACTCTTTGAGGTGGTCACCGTGTAGCTTGGCAGCGTTAATCCTTTTGAAGAATAACTAACGTTCATCTGGAAGTAACGGGTGTCAATCATTGCCAGACCATAGGAACCGATAGTTGGGGGAGGTGGCAAGGAGCCAGATGTTTCACTGTACGTCAGTGTATTGCCAGTTAGCAATGACTCTGAGAAGACAAGAAGATATTGTCCAAAGCCAATTCCATTTGGCAAGCTAATGTAACGGCTGTACTCCAGAGTGGTTAGGTTACAGAATGGCAGGATATCGTCATCTTTGAATAAGCTACCAATGGTTATACTTGAGACATTTCTCGGGTCTGCTCCTACGATTGTGAAACTAAGACGGTACATCACTGGCAATCCCGAGAGGTTGTCGACCGGCACAATGGTGGCACTGGTAGCAATTATCGAAGTTGCCAAATCCGTTGGGTAATTGTATGGCACTGGCAATAGAGTTGTATTCGATATCAGATTGGCAGCGAATCTCAATTGTGGATTTACATAGTTTGACAATGCCGGATACACCATTACTGTGCTGCCAGCAGAGTCGAATGTTCTCAGTGACGTTCCCTGTGTGATAGGTGTGTAGAATGAAGTATCGAAATTATAAAAGTTGGGAACATTTGCAAAGTTTCTAGCGACAACATACAACAATGGATCCATTGGAATTGTCGAGTTGCTATAGATTCCATATTGATAGCCGTACGATACTATTGTGACCGGTGCCATTGGTATCGATGCAGGTGTTACACACTGGATCGGTGTTGCAGTGAGATCGAGAACCTCCATTGAAACACCGTCGGCATAGATATAAAAGAATGTGTAGAGTTTCGAGTAGGTACCGACTGAAATCTTCTGGACATCAGTGACATAGGTTCCATCGGTTGGAACTCCGCCAACCAAACGGTCGGTCATTCCAACCACCGAAGGACTACTATAGTTTACAAAAGAATTATATGTTACACCATGAGAGATATTGGAAGCACTATAAACCAATATCAAACTACATTGAGGTGTAGCATTGAATGTCCATTCATTTGAATTTGTTATTCCATTTACACTGATAATTTCAACTATAATTTTTTTATAGATTTTTTTCATATTAATATTTCACTTATCAATCAATCATCGAAACTGAAAAATAACTTACTATTAGAGTATACAATATTAAAGAATAAAAAAGAGTAGATTATACCTAAAAATAGTTTATTCATTCTATGTATACTAAATCATATATTGATTGTTGAGAAATAAATAAGTTATACTGGTGATGGTGGTATGGTAACCATTTATTTTCTCAAAGGAGATATCTTGAATTTGAATTAATAAAAAACAAAACAAAAATAATAAATATAAAACAACAATAAAAAAATATAAAAATAAAAATAAAAAAAGAGAAGATCAAAAAAAACCTCTTCTACCAAAAAGTTCTAGGTTTGTTCGAACAATGGTGTGGGTATTATTGTTTTTCAAACTAAAAAACTGTCAAACCACCACAGATCCACTAAAATTTTATTTTTTATTTTTAATTTTTTTCGAAACGTCAAAAACTTTCATTGTTGGGCAGGTTGATAGGAAGACCAATCAAATCAGATTAAATAGTTTTTATAATTTTGTGCATTACTAGTAACAGTGGTGGAGTCTTTTGAGAAAAAATAATTTAGAACCTATTTAATTCGGTTGTAGTTAAATTTAATATCATTTAATTAATAGAATTTTTGTATCCAAAAATATTTTACTTGAGTGGAAACACTCACTTCTTTGGTGATTTCTTAAAACTTTGTCAAAGTTTTTTAGTTGATCTCTTTTTGACCTACTACAAGAAAAATGATATGTATCTATCAAATAAAACAATGAAAAATGATCAGATAAAAACAGATTTTTCAATAAACACTCATTTTAGGGGTTTGTGATTACTGATTTGATTAATTTCAATTCCAAATCAATTATTTTTTGTGATATTTTTCTTTTTTTTTTTTATTTTCTATTTTATCAGTTTGTTCGAATGTTTACCAAACTATAGAATCAACAACACAATGTTTAATGGTTCATTCTATATTATACACTGTGTATATAGTGTAGATCTTTTTTTTTTTTTGTATTAAATATTCTTAGTTTTCTATCGTTTGTTGCAGTAGCTTTGTTATTTAATTCACATTGTAGTCGATTTGTTGATTAGTTTTACTTATTATTAGATTAGATTGCATTGAAACAATTTTTAAATTCAATAATCATGAATCCTGTCTACAAAACAAAGTAACTTAAATTTAATCAAACATATAATATGTTAAACAAACATAATTAATTAATGAAAATACTATAGTCTTCAAGTTGCTCTTTGTAGTGTGATCTAATAATATGTTAAAATTTTACGTATGGTTCACTAATAATAATATTTTAAATACTACATCTCGATGCAGATCTATAGATGCTATTAATTGCCGTTTAACAGACAACACATTGACATCTTTTGGCTTCTAAAGTTGGATTTCTTTCATTGTTCTCCTTTATTATCTTGTATCTTGTATCTTGTCTTGTCAGATAAGATTTCGCTACATCAGTAACTTGTAGCTTTTCTTGGTTTGGGAGCTTCTGTAGTAGTTGGTTGGTAGGTCACTGGAGTCATTCGATCTATTTCCTGACTGAAACTTGACTCCATAATGCATGATTGTCTAATAATTAAGGAAGAAGAAGCTTGTTAATCCAACCACTTTAAAAAGGATAGCAGCACATGCAATTAGTTAGTGGAAACACTTGAGAGATATTACCTTTCTGAATATAATAAAGTATCATAATATATTTAATTACTAAACGGTTTATCATATCTATCTATATTATTATTATATTATTATAGATTAGGCTTTAATTGGATTACTTGCTGATGAGTCGATTGATGAACTTCGAGTCATTAGATCAACTGACAAAGTGCATTGAAAAGACTACAGGTAGTATAGTATACTTCAATGGTGTCTGGTTACTTTGGTGTATCGGGAATATTGATGTCCAAGTACACTTCGACCAGTCAAGCACGAATCCACAGCACAACAACAATAAGACAATCAAATATCTCTAATCAAAGGATCAACATTAACAGCATCAACAGCTCAATCAATTCAATGCTAAATATTGATTGTCTGTTAACCAACAACAATTCAATATGAATTAGAACAATCATAATTTATAATTTTAATAAAAAGCAAAATAATTTAAGATATAATCTAAGCTTAATACATAATTTAATAAAATTTAAATATTTGATATTATAATTAGTTGTATACACGAGAGGCAACCAGCATAACTACGAGAGGAGTCTGGCATAGTAACGAGAGGAAACCGGCGTAACTACGAGAGGAGACCGGCATAACTACGAGAGGAGACCGGCATAACTACGAGAGGAAATCGGCATGGTAATGAGAGGTAACCGTCATAAAGAGAGGAAACCGGCATAACTACGAGAGGAAATCGGCATGGTAATGAGAGGTAACCGTCATAAAGAGAGGAAACCGGCATAACTACGAGAGGAGACTGGCATAGTAACGAGAGGTAACCGTCATAAAGAGAGGAAACCGGCATAACTACGAGAGGAAACCGGCATATCAACTAGAGGAAACCGGCATAGTGGGGAGAGGAAACCGGCATAGTGGGGAGAGGAAACCGGCATAGTGGGGAGAGGAAACCGGCATAGTGGGGAGAAGAGACCGGCATAACTACGAGAGGAAACTGGTATATCAACTAGAGGAAACCGGCATAGTGGGGAGAGGAAACCAGCATAGTAACGAGAGGCAACCAGCATAGTGACGAGAGGAAACCGGCATAGTAACTGGAGGTAACCGGCATAGTGACGTGAGGAAACCAGCATAACGACGAGAGGCAACCGGCATAGTGGGGAGAGGAGACTGGCATAGTAACGAGAGGACCGGCATAGTGACGAGAGGAAACCGGCAGAGTAACGAGAGGAAACCGGCATAGTGACGAGAGGCAACCAGCATAGTAACGAGAGGAAACCAGCATAGTGACGTGAGGAAACCGGCATAACGACGAGAGGCAACCCGCATAGTGGGACGAGAGGCAAACGGCATAGAAAGAGGAGACCGGCATAACTACGAGAGGCAATTGGCATAGTAACGAGAGGAAACCGGCATAGAAACGAGAGACAACCGGCATAACGACCGAGAGTCTACGAGTGGAAACCCGGCATAACTACCAGAGGAAATCGGCATAACTACGAGAGGAAATCAGCATGGTAATGAGAGGCAACTGTCATAGCAACGAGGCATCACTCATAGTAAGGAGGCAAAAGGCATGGTAAAAGGACTTGGAAAAGAAGAAAGAGATAAAAGGAGATAAACAAAGTGTTAGTAAAACAAAGATATATATAAGTTAAAGTTATAATTAATAGTTATTGCTTACAAAATTATTTGTATTTGAAAAATAATGAAAAATGACATTGTGAATGAAATTATAGGTTTATATAGTTTTAAATTTGATTCGTTAACTTACAGTTTGAACTCAAAATTGGCGGTAACTGTTAAGCGCCAATTAAAAGTATGAATTAATATTCAAATTTGAAATATAAATATTAAAATTAATTAAATAATTCATTTTATTATAATATAATATTCAAAAATAAAAAAAACAGGCGATCATTACCAATGAAGAAACAACAAGCTTAATTTTCAATTTTATTAATTTATTGAATTTGCAACACCCCATTTTTATTTGACAAGTTCATCTTTTTTTTTTTACAAACATCAACTAACTTTTAAATTTAAGACATCTGTATATTTAAATATTATTCTATTTAATTGAGAGTATCGGATAAAATGACGTTAGCTATTTTCAAAATTTGGAGGTTTCTTATTATTATTGATTATTTTTAAATCTAATTTAAATATTAATATACATGTAAATACTATTAATATCGAAATTTTGCTTTTCAATATAAGCAATATTCATATTAATTTGTTATTTCTAAGTAAGTTTTATTAATATCACAATATTTTCAAGAAAAATATTGATCAAAACTAACATATTTCTTTCAAATTTCTATCAAATATAGTTTTAGATAGTGATCGTTGATAATAATAAAGAGATAGTTGATTTCTCATTTACTCTCTTCATTTAAAAATAAGAAATAAATTAATTTTAATTTTATTTAAAGAACTTATCTTTTTTTTATTTACTTTTTCATTTTATTATTGATAGTTTTCAATTATTGTCATAAAATTGTTGTTTTGCCACTTACGCAATTGAAAGTGTTCAATCACTACTAGTGATTAGTGAAACCTTTTGAATAAACAAAAGAAATAATATCAGTATCATATATATGTCCCAATACAATCAAAAACAATACTGTATTGAGAAAAAAAAAAATTAAAAAATATATTGGGTGAAAAATTTCCAAATAAATTAGTATTCTTAAATTACATAAATATACATATATAGATATTATAAATTTAGATATTAGCTTTTAAATCTTTTTTACATCATAATCAATATACACTCTCATAAATATATTCATTTTTTTTATAAATTAAATAAATCATGCATATGTCTCAACAACTTCAAGATAAGATAGATAATTTTCCAATTACCAGCTATTCGTGGGAATTAGTTGGTGTTTATTTCAAAAAGAAGGCTGAGCTCGATGATGAAGAAGATCGAATGAGTTTCTTTTATTACTTTATCCATGAATTCACTCGAGTCAAAAGGGAATTCGATGAACAACAGCAGCAACACAAACAACAACCACAACAAGATAATAATATTGTTAATTATAAGTCGCTGGAGGAAGTTATCCAAAGCTTTCAAATCACAAGTTTATCACTGGATTTAGTAACAGTTTACAACCAAAAGAAACTCGAGATTAAAGATGAGTCAGATCGAAATCTGTTCCTTTTGTACTTTTCCAAAGAAAGATCTAGAATAGCCAGAGAACAAAATCAACAACAGCAATTACAACAACAACAGCAACAGCAACAACAGCAACAACAGCATTTACAACAACAACAACAACAGCAACAACAGCAATTACAACAGCAACAGCAACAGCAACAACAGCAACAACAGCAACAACAGCAACAGCAGCAACAGCAACAGCAGCAACAGCAACAGCAGCAACAGCAGGAACAGCAACAACAGGAACAGCAGCAACAGCAACAGCAGCAACAGCAACAGCAACAACCAACTATAAAGAACAACAATAACAATGATAACGATAATATAAAGTATAAGAAAAACAACAACAATAACACTAAATCAATAGGAAATCAAAATACCTATCAATTTAGAATTCCAGTTAATCAAAATAAAATAGATTACAATATTAATAACAACAATATAAACAAAATTGATTACATTCATAATAATAAATATTATATTCAAAACTACAAAATAAAAATCATTGACAGATCAAAACCAAACCAAAACACCTTCCAATTTAGAAGACCAACTAATTGGAAAGAGAACAACGACAACAAAATCATCAAAATCAACACCAACATTGACAACACTGCCAATTACATTTTAAACATTATTAACAATATCAAAAACAAACCAAAACCAAATAATAATACCTATCAATTCAGAATTCCCAGTAATAAAAGTAAATAATAATTATAATAACAGGATGGAGTGGTGATCTGGATTCTAGGTTCTGGGTTTGGTGGTACTGGTCGATGCATGGGTGGCAGGGTGGGCACGATCGAAGGATATTTGTTATGGTAATATGTTATTTATTTATTTATTTATTTATTTATTATTTTTTATTATTTATTTATTTACAATGTAGTTTATTTATTAATATCATATTTGTATATTTTATATAAAATAGTAGATCAATTTTAAAAGAGTCTGGTTTCTTGACTATATGGTGGTGGTACTGGTCGTTGCATGGGTGGCAGGGTGGGCACGGCCGAAGGATCGTTGAAAAGGTAATATGTTATTATTAATTTATTTATTTATTTACAATGTTGTTTATTTATTAATATTTTATTGGTATATTATATTTAATAAGAAGATCAATGTTAAAAGAGTCTGGTTCTTTGGTCATGGTCTTGGCTATATGGTGGTACTGGTCGATGCATGGGTGGCAGGGTGGGCACGGCCGAAGGATCTTTGAAAAGGTAATATATTATTATAAATTTATTTTTATTATTTATTTATAATGTTGTTTATTTATTAATATCATATCTGTTTTCTATATTTAAATAATATAAAGTAAAATTCAGGTTAACGAAGCTCTAGGTTTTTTTTGTAGGTCTATTAAATAATTTAGGAACGAATACAAATATGATTGAAATTAAATATAAATGGATAAATATAATTATAAATTAATTTTATAAATATATTAGTTTTATTTATATTTAATTTTAATTATTCTTGTATTCGATATTTTATTTATTTATTTATTATTTGTTTATATCTTTAATTAATACTAACAACTGACTACATTATTTTTATTATTCTATTTTCCAATATTATAATCAAGCTATTCCAAGTGATCCATTTCAATGGGTTCGTCCTTTTTTTTTTCTTTCCAGGGTCTGGGATAACTGGGTGTCATTGCTTGTGATCCTTGCCTCTCTTATCAAGCGTGACGGCATGTCTCGATCAGTGAACCCACTGATGAGAGCCTAGTTATTAGAGAAACCTGGCGACCTGTACACCCGACCCGCCAGTTGGGGAGATTGTTGTGAGCGGTTGCCTGTGGACGGACGAAGCTGGGATGAGCGCACTTGCTTGCAGGTGGTCTTGCACATGGTAACCTCTGTGTTGATCTACAGGATGCATGGCACTGGGTCAAGGGTAGGGAAACCTCCAACACATGTTACGGCTTCATATAGTCTGAAAGCAGGTGATACATACGCTGCTAGTCTGTCGCATCTTCGGGTTTGGCGACACAGAGCAGATGGAGGCGACATTCTCTGTACAGAAGGCAACTCCACAGCTATCACTTTCTTTGTTGCCTCTTCGAAGTTGTTTTATTTGCTTCGGCTTCTAACTCCGCTGTCGATTAGGAACAACAACAATTAAAGATGCTGCCGATGGTTTGTGGCAATAAATCCATCGGGGTCTCTAGGTGCCAGTAGACTCCACCTCCACGTGGTTGGCACCGGAAACTCATGGATCGATAAGATTTAAAATTTTTTTTTTTTTTTTATATAGTAAAATATGTTTAAAATTAAAAAATATTTTCTTATCGATCCATGAGGCTGAGAGAGTCTAAATTTTAATCTTTGCAGCTTTCGATCGATCGATGTTAACTTTGATCTTGGATCACCCACACTTCACCCACCACACTCAGACTCACACCCACACTCACCACACAACTCAAAATTTTTTTTTCACTTTTTTTTTTTCACTTTTTTTTTTTTTTCACCTTTTTTTTTTTTTTGCCACCAAAGTCAAACAACACATAATTAATTATTTAATTAAAGTAATTCAAGCAACAATCAATCTATTTATTCATATTTATATATATTTTTAATTAACACTATTTAGATATAATAAGGTAAGTTTAATATCATTTATGAAACATAATAATAATAATCATCATTATTTATAAAAACTGTAACTTATTAGTTAGCATTAACACATTTATACATTTTTATATATTTAATATCTATTTATGATTTTATTATAGGCTCTTGTTGAGTGTCAATCATATAGATTATCATTGGATGATGTACCATCTGTAGAATATCTCTAAATATATCGCTGGAATTCAACAAGTAAATATACTTTGAACAAAACAAAAAGATTATAGCGATCGAGTCAAATATTGATACTAATTTAATGAATTTTAAACAATTGTTATAGAGATACACAAAGTGGTGGTGTTAGACCATTCGGTATTTCTACATTTGTCGGTTTCGATTCAGACGGTACACCAAAACTTTTTCAAACAGATCCACCCGGTTCATTGAAGGAACAGGCAGCCGCCATCGGACGTAACTCAAAGACTGTCAGTGAATTTTTAGAGAAGAACTTTACAGATGAGAGTGATACTGCTTCAATTAAATTGGCTGTTAGAGCATTGCTTGAGGTAATAATATATTATTCATTTATTACTATAAATATAGTAAACAACTATGACTAACTATTATTATTATTAATACTATTGTGATATTAACAAATAAATAGGTTGTAGAATCAGGAAATAAGAATATTGAAATTGCTATCAATAAATGAAATGAACCAATTAAATTGTTCAAGGAATCCGAAGCGAATAGTTGGTAGATGAAGTCGAAAAGGAGAAGGATGAAGAGAAGGAAGCTGCTGTAACCCCTCCAAAGAAATAAATGAGAAGATTAACATAAATTAGTTAACATTGTCAATCAATCAATCAACCAACCAATATATAACAAACATGTAGCTAATAATAATAATAATAACAACATTGTTTTCTTCACCTACTTCTACTTTTATTAATAATAATACTACTTATTTCCTTGATGATAACATAATACACCCCACACTCTTTATAAATTAAAACTTAAAACAACAATATCAATCAATCAAATTTTAAATAAAAAGTTGATATCTTTCAAATTCTTTATAATTATTTCTTTTATTAACAGAGTTGATTCCACTTAGTTGCTGAGTTACCGGATTGAGTTAGTTACCGGACTGAGTAAGTTGACTTAGTTAACTCAGTTACTGGACTGAGTTAATGACTTAGTTGACTCAGTTACCGGACTCAGTTACCAGATCGAGTTAGTTACCGGACTGAGTTACCGAACTCAGTTACCGGACTGAGTTACCGGATTGAGTTAGTTACCGGACTGAGTTACCTGACTGAGTTACCTGACTGAGTTACCTGACTGAGTTACCTGACTGAGTTACCTGACTGAGTTACCGGATTGAGTTAGTTACCGGACTGAGTTACCTGACTGAGTTACCTGAGTTACCTGACTGAGTTACCGGACTGAGTTAGCTGACTCAGTTACCTGACTGAGTTACCGGACTGAGTTACCTGACTGAGTTACCTGAGTTACCCTGACCGAGTTACCTGATTCAGTTACCTGACTCAGTTACTTGACTCAGTTGATGTCTTAGTTGACTCAGTTACCGACTGAGATATGAGTTACCGGACTTAGTTAGTTACCAGACTCAGTTGATTCCACTTAGATACCGGTTTGACTTAGTTAACTCAGTAACTGGACTGAGTTGATGACTCAGTTGACTCAGTTGACTCAATTGCCATACTTAGTTGCCCGAAGCCAGAGTTTCCGTCAACTCCACAACTCAGATACTGTTGATACTTACCTCAACTACATATCTTAGTTTCGATCAACTCTACATCTCAATTACCATCAACTCCATAACTCGGTTACCGATAAACACACCACTCTCAATTTCCATCTGCTCAACTACTCCTTACCATCAGTTTGACAAATCGATAAAATAAAATCAAAAGATATAAATGTAAAGGTAGTTTAAATTTTTATTGAAATAGTAATTTTGTTGAATCCAAACATTCATAAATGTTGAATTACTTGACCAGGAGGAGAAGTAGCAAATGTCATTCCACTACCACTAATCCAACAACATCATCAACTCAACTTTATGAAATATTTCTGGTAATGAGGTTTTGATGAATTTTTTGTTGTTGTGGTTGTTGTCAGTTGTGGTTCAGTTGGTAGTTGTATTTTATTAAATTGTCTAAATGTTTATTATAAAATCTTTAATAATTTTATTTGATGTCTGAGTAATTAAGATCTTAATTCGGAAACAACTGATTTAATTTAATTTTAACAGTGAAGTGAAACCATTCAACCTATAAAAAGATTTAAATTTAATAAATTAATGAAAATAATGATTATAGATATTTTAAAAAGAATCTAGTATCTATTCTTTTTATAAATTCAATAAATGAAAGAGATATTTATAACATATAGAATTACTTATTGTAACTTTATTATTAATAATATCTTTCAAAAATTAAATTTTTAATTAATTATTATAATTTTAAAAAAACAACATTTTTTTTTTGCAACAAAAAAAATAAAAAAAAGATGAACTTGTCAAATAAAAATGGGGTGTTGCAAATTCAATAAATTAATAAAATTGAAAATTATGCTTGTTGTTTCATCATTGGTAATGATCGCCTGTTTTTTTTATTTTTGAATATTATATTATAATAAAATGAATTATTTAATTAATTTTAATATTTATATTTCAAATTTGAATATTAATTCATACTTTTAATTGGCGCTTAACAGTTACCGCCATTTTTGAGTTCAAACTGTAATTTAACGATTCAAATTTAAAACTATATAAACCTATAATTTCATTCACAATGTCATTTTTCATTATTTTTCAAATACAAATAATTTTGTAAGTAATATCTAACAATTATAACTCTAACTTTTTTATATTTATGTTTTATTAACTTATCTCTTTTTATCTCTTTCTTCTTTTCCAAGTCCTTGTTACCATGCCTGTTGCCTACTTACTATGAGTGACGCCTCTTCTATGCCGGTTGTCTCTCGTAGTTATGCCGGTTTCCTCTCGTAGTTATGCCGGTTTCCTCTCGTCGTTATGCCTGTTTTCTTGTTACTATGCCGGTTGCCTCTCGTCACTATGCTGGTTGCCTCTCGTCACTATGCCGGTCTCCTCTCATCACTATGCCGGTCTCCTCTCATCACTATGCCGGTTGCCTCTCGTCACTATGCCAATTGCTTCCTGTCTTTATCCGGTTTCCTCTCGTCACTATGCTGGTTTCCTCTCGTCGTTATGCCGGTTTCCTCTAGTAATTATGCCGGTTGCCTTTCGTCGTTATGCTGGTTTCCTCTCGTCGTTATGCTGGTTTCCTCTCGTCACTATGCTGGTTTCCTCTCGTAGTTATGCCGGTTGTCTCTCGTAGTTATGCTGGTTGCCTCTCATCACTATGCTGGTTTCCTCTCGTCGTTATGCTGGTTTCCTCTCGTCACTATGCGGGTTGCCTCTCGTCACTATGCCTGTTTCCTCTCGTAGTTATGCCGGTCTCCTCTTTCTATGCCTGTTTCCTCTCGTAGTTATGCCAGTTGCCTCTCGTCGTTATGCTGGTTTCCTCTCGTCACTATGCTGGTTGCCTCTCGTCACTGTGCTGGTTGCCTCTCGTCACTATGCCAGTTTCCTCTCGTCGTTATGCCGGTTTCCTCTCGTCACTATGCTGGTTTCCTCTCGTAGTTATGCTGGTTTCCTCTCGTAGTTATGCCAGTTGACTCTCTTCGTTATGCTAGTCGCTTCTTGTAGTTATGCCAGTCGCTTCTCGTTTCTATACCGTTTGTCTCTCGTTTCTATCCCAGTCCATTTCCTTTATTTCGACCACCACTCCATCCTCATCACGATATCTCTATCTGCCATTCCTTTCTCCAGGTACAACCAAAAAAAAGTTTTTTTGTTGCTGGTTGCTACCTGTTTCAAACATATATTTATAATATAATACCTCTTGTAAATAAATTCATTATAAATACTTTTTATTTTTTAATATTAATAAATATAAGCTATTTATCTGAGCAATTTATTTATTTATATCTTTATTTATTAAATTTTAAAGAAACAACAATAATGAATATTTTATTTAATTTGTTAAGTTTGAAACCATCATAGAATTTGATAGGTCCTCCCGCTTATAGCAACTCAATGGTTGCTTTCAATAATGAGACTTTTTAAGGAAAAGATTGAGTATCAATTTCATGAATATTAGTTATATACTTTTTTATTTCACTGCAATCGCAATCAAGATTGATTTAATTTCCAATAAAAGATATTAGATTAGTTTGGTTGTTAAAAGACACAGTTGGATGATATACAAATCTCTGACCCCATCTCCATCCTACATCACACTTTATTTGTTGTTCCGATTGTAATTGTTGTTGTAGTTTCAATTGTATCTCTTTTTCCTTTTCTTTCTTTTGTTTTTCTTGTTGTAGTGTTGCTTCGTCTACATTATTGTTACTTGATTGTGCATCAACAATTGTTGATGACGATGTAACTGGTTGTATATTAGATGTTGATGTCGATAATCTAAAATTAACATTTTAGAATTATATTAATCAAATCAACTGACTCTTCAATAATTCATTAAGAATTCAACTATCACAATTCAAACAGTTTATGGACACGATTTCAAATAACTTAAATTAATAATCCAGCTGTTTAACAACAAATAAAAAATTTTTGATTAATATCAACATTCAATGAATCAACAAAATATCAATCTACCAAAGTTAACATAAAGAAATAACCAACAAGTTAATATACAATGAATACCAAATTAGTTAATTAAGAAAAGATTTCTGAGATTGGACAACTGAACTGGTCGAAGAAATCCAACCGTATAAATACCATGGAAATCCACTATGGAAATTAATTATTCAACATTATTCAAAATTACCAAATAGTATTATTATCTTCAAATTGTAAATTAAATAAAATATTATCTGTAAATATTATACTGTAAATTATATTCCTAAACTATATTACATTTATTAAATCCATATTCCTCGTACCAAAACTATTCCTAATTTTATATCAAAGTTGTAAGTATTATAAGTATAATATGATATTATTTCCATTGTAAAATAACATTCGATAATGATGGTGTTTTGTTTGTTATTGTGTTGGTGTTTGTGTTTGTTGTTGACTGTGGATTAATTAGATTTTTTAAAACTAATGAAACTTTTACTGCCACTCCAAGATGATATAGATCTACTTAATAAACTCTCAAAAACTACTTTCTTTCTATCTTCGACTGTTGAATATCTAATGTTGATTCTCTACCTCTTTAGAATGACAAAGTAGATACCGTATTAGATCTACCACCAATTGTATGAATTGAAAGTGAATTGTTAACATTTAGTGACGTTGATGATGAATTATTATTATTATTATGTTATGTTGATGTTGTTTGTTTTTGTAAATTGGGGTATAGTTGAATGAAAGGATCATCTATAGTAACAATACTGATGTCACAATTATTATTGTTCATTCATTTAAAGTTCCACAAACCCAACATTCTCTGACAATATGAACAATGAATATTGATATAGTGGTTGTTGTTATCTCAGTGGTCACTGCCATCAGAAGCATTGCCATTACTGTTGTTACTATAATATTCCAACCACATATCGCCAGAATAACAGAGATTCTTGCTTTTAACTCACAGCTATCACTTGTAATCTTTGACGACGATAACAATGCTTTCAAAGGGTTTCTTTTATCGTTTTTCTGTACATTTGACTATATTTAATGATATAAATGAAAACAATCACAAACACTATAATTAATATAAACCTAAATTTGTATCAGTCAATTATAAATAATAATAAAATACAAACCCAAAACTCGATATCTAACAATGGTCCTCTTTTAAATTAAATAATTAATTGTGACATTGATATATGTACGTACGTTGTTGCTGTGACAGTGAATCCGGTAACTTAAAATAGAGTCGTTTGTTACATGATAAAATCTTGATCGATTGTGTTTTGTCACTGCATTCTATAAAGCAAGAAAGCACACTGAAATGCAACAACAAAACAAAGTATTTTATTATTATATATAATAGTAAGAGTTAACACATACCAAGCTAATATATAGATGCGGTGTCTCATTATACTGGTTTAAAATATAATTAATATTATTTATCATTTTTTTTGAGTTTAAAAATTTATTGATCAATGAAGAAAATTTGTGTATACTCTTTCATACGCTTAATATTGTTAATTTGTTTTAAATTACATTTATCTCAAGTATCACATTTAAATCAAACACTACACATATTATTTATTTATTATATTATTATTATTTATTTATTTAAATTCTAAAAGTACTCACCTCTCAGAACTAAGCTATAAGTATCAAATGATGTTTCCTTGTAATCAATCAAATTAAAAATATATGTTACTACTTAATATATAGCCAGGTGTAATTGGATCGTATAAAACAAGTAAGTAAGAAATAATTAATTAAAAATGGAAATTATTTAGTTAAAACTAATTGTTTTTAAAATAATTTTTAATTAAAAGTTGTAAAAGGTGAAAAAGTATCTATTTTTGTAGATTTGATGGGTGATGGAAAAAAAGGATTTGTTGATCAATTCTATAAAGAAAAGACTGTTTATATTGGAGATGGAATATCTCAATTGGATAGATTAGATTATTTCAGTGGTAATGGTGGTGTGGCAATCGAAATGACTGAGAGAATCTATGAATGTACACCATTCCCCGATTTACTGTAGCTTTTGTTGGTTCGGGAGCTTCTGTAGTTGGTTATTCGGTAACTGGAGTCATTCGATCTATTTCCTGACTGAAACTTTGCTCCATAATGCATGATTGTCTAATAATTAAGGAAGAAGAAGTTTGTTAATCCAACCACTTTAAAAAGAATAGCAGCACGTGCAGTTAGTTTGGAACCACTAGAGAGATATTATCGTACGGTACTGAATGAAGGTAATATAATAAAGTATCTTATTATATTTAATTACTAAACGGTTTATCATATCTATCTATATTATTATTATATTCTTATAGATTAGGCTTTGATTGGATTTCCTGCTGATAACTTCGAGTCATTAGATCAGCTGACGAAGTGCATTGAGAAGACTACAGGTAGTATAGTATTCTTCAATGGTGTCTACATAGTATCGGGAATATTGATGTCCAAGTACACCTCGACCAGGCATGAATCTACTTCTCCATACTTTACAATTGTCAAAGATATCTTTTGATAAAATAAAGTAATACAGATAAGATAATGTTTTAAACAAATTTAGAGTATCAAGTTAGAATTGATAGTGCTTCATTTGAAGTCGATCACCACTATATGTATATATTCATTTTATTTAAATTCTTTGATCATTTAATTATCGAGACAACTCACCTATTCAATATATCAAACATAATTAATTCTTTCATTTATCTTCTATAGTAATTAAATTTTAATGATTTCATTCTTTGTTTCTTTGATTCACAATTCTTTTAACAAATCACATTTAATATGATCTTTAAAAATCTCAAAGTATCAATAGAAACATATATATTCTAAGTCACTCTCATTTTCTAAAACTGTATTTTAAATAATCTTTTTATATTTTTATTAGTTGACGCAAATAAAAACCAATTGTCAACTCTATTATCACTAATTGAATTCTCTCATAGTGATAATTGTAAAGTGATAGATAACATTTTTGATTTAAGTAATCAAGAATATCTTATCTTTACAATATTAATATTTCTTCAATTATTAAAAAAAAAAAAAAAAAAAAATCAAAATTTTTGCAACAAAAAAAAAGATGAACTTGTCAAATAAAAGTGGGGTGTTGCAAATTAAATAAATTATTAAATTGTTAACAATTAAAAAATAATGCTTGTTGTTTCTTCATTGGCAATGATCGCTTGCTTTTTTTTATTTTTGAATATTATATTATAATAAAATGAATTATTTAATTAATTTTAATATTTATATTTCAAATTTGAATATTAATTCATACTTTTAATTGGCGCTTAACTGTTGCCGCCATTATTGAGTTCAAACTGTAAGTAAACGAATCAAATTTAAAACTATATAAACCTATAATTTCATTCACAATGTCATTTTTCATTATTTTTCAAATACAAATAATTTTGTAAGTAATATCTATTAATTTTAACTTTAACTAATTTATATCTTTGTTTTACTAACACTTTGTTTTATCTCCTTTTATCTCTTTCTTCTTTTCCAAGTCCTCTTTACCATGCCAGTTGCCTACTTACTATGAGTGATGCCTCGTTGCTATGAAGGTTGCCTCTCATTACCATACCAGTTGCCTCTCGTCGTTATGCCAGTCTCCTCTCGTAGTTATGCTGGTCTCCTCTCGTAGTTATGCCGGTTGCCTCTCGTCACTATGCCGGTCTCCTCTCGTAGTTATGCAGGTTTCCTCTCGTAGTTATGCAGGTTTCCTCTCGTAGTTATGCCGGTTGCCTCTCGTCACTATGCCGGTCTCCTCTCGTAGTTATGAAGGTCTCCTCCCGTAGTTATGCAGGTCTCCTCCCGTAGTTATGCCGGTTGCCTCTCGTCACTATGCCAGTCTCCTCTCGTCACTATGCTGGTTTCCTCTCGTAGTTATGCCAGTCTCCTCTCGTCACTATGCCGGTTTCCTCTCGTCGTTATGCTGGTTTCCTCTCATAGTTATGCGGGTTGCCTCTCGTCGTTATGCCGGTATCCTCTCGTAGTTATGCCAGTCTCCTCTCGTTACTATGCCGGTTTCCTCTCGTAGTTGTGCCGGTCTCCTCTCGTTACCATGCCAGTTGCCTCTCGTCGTGATGCCGGTCTCCTCTCGTAGTTATGCCGGTTTCCTCTCGTCACTATGCCGGTCTCCTCTCGTTATGCCGGTCTCCTCTCGTAGTTATGCCGGTCTCCTCTCGTTACCATACCAGTTGCCTCTCGTCGTTATGCCGGTCTCCTATCACCACTGTCAATGCTCATAATCTCTGTCATTGCCTACAACCTCTGTCCATCCACCTAACCTCTGTCAATGCTCACAACTTCTGTTCATCCACCTAACCTGTGTCATTGCCTACAACTTCTGTCCATCCATCTAATCTATGTCATTGCCTACAACTTCTGTCCATCCACCTAACCTCTATCATTGCTTACCATCTCTGTCCGTCCACCTAACCTCTGTCATTGCCCACGATCTCTGTCATTGTTCACAATCTGTGTCGGTCCATCCAATCTCTGTCATTGCCCACAATCTCTCTGTCGATCTCTGTCTGTTGATCAAAACTCAGTTTGATCCTTAAATCATTATCTGAATTTACCTTTTAAAGAGATCTCTCTTTTATGTTGATTAAACTCACTAAATAAAAATAAATTCGTTAATATTAATATCATTAGAGATTTACGCTATGAGTATTTAATAATCTCAACGTTGACCTTTTTTAATTTTATTTAATCACTTTATCTTGTTAATCTTTCTTTAACCTTCATTTGTTCCTGTAATAATTGAATCCAAACTGTCGACGATCATCACCAACACCACTTTTGTTCTATTTCCAGCACCTCCAATACAAGTATAACTTTGAGAGTATAGTCAAACTAATATCAGCAAAATCTTCATTCTTTAGAAACAACCAGCATCACCAGCACTACTCGCATAGTATATTGACAACTTTTGTCAACAAAAAAATATCTAATCTAACATCACTCTATAATTTGTATTTTTTAATAATTGTTGGTTAGTATTTATATAGTTTAGTTTACTACTTTTCGATATGAGTATTTGGTATAATATAATATCTTACTACACATATAACACTTGACTAGGCTTAAATTAGAGTTGAATCTTCTAATTCATTACTTTCTTAAAATAATTTATTAATATTCTTCATTAAAAACAAGATAAACCAATATAAACTCTATCTTAAAACAAATACTTTGGAAGTAGATCACCAATATATAAATATAAATATTATTTGTTTGGATGTGGGATATATATATTGTTTGTGTGGTAGTAGGTAAAACTTACAAATATTGTCATTTTTGGTTTTGGCTATTTGAGGTAGTGATACTGTAAACGATGTCTGCAGGTTGGATGCTGATTAGTTATTTATTTCTGTCGTAAATACACTATACTGGTTTGAGGGTCTGAAATATTTATTTTAAAATTTAGATATGTTTTTTAATTTTTCTATCAAAAAATAAATAAATATATCTAAATTTTCTCAGATCATTGCATCTTGAATGATATCAATTTAAAATGATTAAGATGAATAAGAACTCAGATGTGCTCTAAAATGTTATCTTATCTTTCAATATTTATCAATTGAATAAAATAAATAATAATAATATTTTATTATTCATACAATCAGTTTATATCATTTTTTCTGTCTATTTAATTTATTAGATGTTTGGCTACTTTGTTTATTTTTAATATTTGTAACAACCACTTTTAGTATTTATTTTAACAACTAGCAGAGCAAAGTTATTTTTTTTTTTTTTTTTTTGCAAAAAAAGATTTGTTGACTCATGATCAGTCAACAAATTGCAGGTATTGATATTAACCTGCTAGTTCGTGTTTTATATTATATACATTCTCACACAGGCCGTGAGAAATAGCCAATAAAATATTATTATGATTATTGTTATTATTGTTTATAGTTATTAATAATTAATAAGTTGAGAGTAGTGTTAGGATAGAATAGATCTAACAGTAGTTGAGTGTTGATGAACAACAGTATAAAGTGGTGGCACGTAGTTGGAAGGATTTAGATTCCAATGAGATTTAAATTTACCCGTTATTGCAGAGCAATCGACATTGACTCCTTGGGAGATAGAATTAGCTATTGTGATGTTAAGCTTGTGGTAATTGGCATCGATTAATTTGGTGTAATGGGTGTCTGCTCTCTTGACGGTATTTTCCAGCTTTTATTGGGTACCATCACCAAACATTTAACAGGGCATCGCCTGCCATAACCAATGTACGATAGCAGCAGTAAGGTGGGTGAAGTGGACAGTAGTACGAATAGGACCGTCGAACTTGATGCACGAGTGCTTCCAATTATGTAGTCTATAGTTACAGTACTTGTGGTATATATGTTTGATAAAGGAAAGGAACTGCTGTGAAACTACATTCCTGCATTTTAAGAAGAAATGCTCATGTGGGTTGCATGAGTTCAGTGAAGGTGTCACCACAGAACTCACAGATATGACCAGTGCGCTTGTAACCAATTTTTTTTTTTTTTTTTTTTTTTTTGCAAAAAAGATTTGTTGACTCATGATCAGTCAACAAATTGCAGGTATTGATATTAACCTGCTAGTTCGTAATGTAACCAATGGGTTTTCCCGCTATGCCAAAAGGGAAGTTAACTAATTATGATCTGCTCCACAAGCATCACACAGATGAACCTTCTTACAAGAAGCGCTTGTGGTTGAAGCGAATCCGCATGCGGACATTTTCAAATAAAATATTTGAGACATGCAGGGCTTGAACCTGCGACCTATTGGTTCGTAGCCAATCGCTCTTCCAACTGAGCTAAAGTCCCTTTCTTGTTATTAATATCTTTTTAAAAAAAAATATTTTATAATTTTTGAAATCTCAAAAAACATTGTTTTATATAATTTTCAATAACAAAGGGAATTTAACTTAGTTGGAAGAACTACAATTATTTATTATTCTCACTAACTTTGAAAAGATATGATAATTCATTTAAGAGTTCTTGAATTTTTTTTAGATTTTTCTGATCAAAATATGAACAATTTTTGTGCAAATCTGATTGATTGACTCATTTAGTTATTCAATTTCTATTATTATATATATATATATATATTAAATTAAATCAAGAAGATGGTTGTATTTAGATTTCAAGGATCAAATAGTACAGCGACTCCAGATCAACAGCTACAGAATGAAATTGGATACCTCTCTAATCTCGATGACAGTCAACTTACTCAATTGGTCGATATTATATTCACATTTTTACTATACCAGAAAGCAGAGGAACTGATCGAATCACTGGGTGCATTTGCAGAGCAACATTCAATCAACGAGAACTCCTTAAAGAACATCATTAGAGGAACTATAATAATACCAATTTAAAATCATTGTAAATCAAACTCTCTTCTATCTACTATAACAACTTTCAACTACTACTTTTTCAAAACTACTCTACTCTCTAATCTATGATAATAATAAGTTGAACTCGCTTTGTTCTATCATTATTATCACATTTTCATCACATCTCTAAATCAATAATTAAATTAGATATAAAAATGATGGACATGTTTACTTTTTAAAGGGTGCTGTCAAATATCATTTAACACCGAATCATGTTAAAGAAGATTTACTTAATTTTAGATTGTCAGAGGAGCAGGCAGAGTTGATCGCACAGAAATACAAGACCAGTTTTATTGGACTATCGAGATCATTTGTTGGAAATACATTGGCTATCAATCAGGTTTTGGATATGCAATGGAGATTCGGTGTCACCACTGCCTCTAGCGAATCGAAAAAGGGTGGAAACACTTTTCTACAATTGAAATTGGTACTCGACCAAGGTGGTGATAATAAACAAGAAGTACACATGGGTAACTATTCTAAAAAACAAACAACTAAATCCATAATTAATTAAACTTTATTTATTTACTAATTTATCATTCATCATCATTTTAAGAACTAACATTACCACAATTTTATCAATTCCTCAAAGAAATGGAACAAGCAAAAGCCAGTTTAGAATATTTCAATTAAATTATCAAAAACAATCATATCATAGCTCAAGAGGAAATATTATCAATCAAACAAACAATCAAATCAATCATAATAATTTAATTTAAATGTATAATATAATAAATATTTGGAAAAATTAAAATAGTAATAATAATATTTTTGGGTGTAATAATTTTGGATAATAAAACATTTGTATTATTATTATTTTGGAGGATTTGGGTTGATAGATCTATTTTGTTGTTGTTATTTGTTTTTAGGATCAATATTTTTAACATGTCTATGGTTGACATCTCTCACGGTAACGTGGGTAGAGACATACGTTACGGATGTGTTCTTCACCCAAGAACCAGGTCAAGAAACGTTCGACACCAAGACCGTAACCACCGTGTGGAGTGGTACCGTATTTACGTTGGTCGGTGAACCAGTAGTATTGCGATGGATCCAATCCTTCCTTCTTGTAGGCGTCCATCAATTGGGTGTAGTCAGAGATACGCATGCTACCACCGACAATCTCACCGACACCTGGCATCAAAAGATCGGTCGACTCTGTCAAGGTGTTGTCCTCTGGACAACGAGCCATATAGAAAGCCTTCATCTCTGCTGGGAAACGGCAGAAGAAGATTGGCTCACCGATTTGGTCGTTCATCTTACGCTCGGCGGCCTCTGGGATGTCGTCACCAAACTCAAAGTGAGTCTTGGTGGCTTCGTCCTTGTAGATGTTGTGCTCACGCACGTATTTGATTCCATCGGCATAGTCCATACGCTTGAATGGACGCTTTGGTACCTTGGCGTTTGGATTGACCGAGAGGAGCAAATCCTTGTCGATCTTGAAAATACGCTCGGCAACATCGCAAACCAAATACTCGATACGATCGAGCAAATCTTCGAATGTAATGAATGGACATTCGGCTTCCAAGTGAGTGAACTCTGCCAAATGACGACGAGTCTTACTCAGCTCAGCACGATACGATTGTGCCATACAAAAAACATCTCCAGCAACTGGAATCATAGTTTCCAAGTATAATTGTGATGATTGAGTTAAATATGCCTAGAGATTATCAAATGAATAAGATGTTAATTAATTTCGCTAATCTTCACAAACGCAGACACTTTCGAAAGTTCATTAAAGAATTTAACTTACTGGTTGACCGAAATAATCTAAAGTGAACAACTCTGAACCACCTTCACAGAAAGTGTTTACAAGAGTTGGTGGTGAAACTTCATAATATCCATTCTCAAAGTAATGATCACGGAATGCCTTCATTGTAATCGATCTAAGTTTCATGATTGAACTGGCTCTTGATCCTCTCAATACAATATGACGTTGATCCAACATTTGATCTACATTTGAATCCTATTATATTTGTTTGTTTGTTTGTTTTTGTTAATTAACTTGTTGTTGATGATAAACAAACGACATTGATTTGATAAAGACTGATACTTACAATGTTAATGATACCTTCGAGATCGAGATGAGATGCACCAATTAACTTCCAGTAGTCAACTTGTAACTCTACACCTTGTGGACAATGTTTATCGGCTGGTGGAAGTGTCAATGTACCGATGAGTGAGACTGTTGCTTCTCTCTTCAAGTCATCGACAATCGATGGATGTACGAGATCACCTTGCAATACACACTGGAGGAATCCAGTACCGTCACGCAACTCGATGAATGCAATCTTACGCTGTGAACGAACATGGTGAATCCAACCCTTGATGTGAACTCTGGTGTTGGCGATGGCCGGTGAGATGTCTCTGATCTTGAGGAACTTGGCGGCTGGCAACGCTGCGTTCTCAGTGAGAGTGATCTTGGCGAGGGCGTCTTCAACTGGCTTGGTAGAGACTGGCTTTGATTTCTTCTCCTTGGGTGCCTCCTGTGGCTTTGGACCGAGCACCTTGAGCATCTGGGCATCGAGCAAGTCCTTGACCTCCTTGAAATCAGCCCACTTCAACGACTCTTTCAGTGGGTTCAAGAGGTCACCGATGGCGATATGCCACTTCTTCTCGGCGATCTCTGCTGACTTCTTGGCAAAGAGCTCGTCGATGGCTGCCTGCACTTGGGCGGCGGTGACAGTGACACCGACACCGCAGTCCGACTCGAACTTGGCGGCGACAAACTCTGAGTTGTCCTTGAGGTAGGCAACCAGTGCTTGATACTGTTGTTGCGACTTGATACGACCGTCTCCGATGTAGGCAGCGGCTTGTCCTCTGAGTGGTGACTGTGCCTGTGGTGAAGTAGCCAAACTGTACAACAAGTTACCGACGGATTTATCGCAACCGGCTTCCACCTTGGCGGCGCCGATCAAGAACTTGATGTTGTCGGTCAACTCTTTGTTCTTTACTGTGTCTTTAGCACGCTTCTCATCGAATCCAATCGATTGAAATAATGAAATATCTGATTCAGACATAGTGTTTATACTACTACTACTATTTTTATAACTATTCTATATTTTTTATATTTTTAAAAAAATATATTTTTTTTTTTTATTAATAAATTTAATTCTTTTAATTGTTTGTTTGTTACTTTAACTAAATTATACAATTATATATAGTATAATTAATATAACAAATGTGTGAAAATATCAAGAATTGTGCTAATACTAACAAGTTATATTAATTCAATAATAGTCAAAATACAACAATCTAAGAAAAGATACAAAATGATAATTGTGAGAAAAAAAAAAAGAATTGTGAATTTTTAAAAAAAAACTTTTCAATCGAACTTCATAGTTTTAATCTTCGCTTAATCAAAATCAGACAAACTTTAAAATAAATATTTTTATAAGCAACATTTTTATATATACAATTAACATGTTATAATATCATTGTGATCAACAAATAATTCACTGAAATGATTAATTTTATTTTTGAATGTATTTCAAAAATAAAAGTTTTTAGACAAAATCATCTTGGATTGAATCAATCATAGCACAAATTTTAAGAAGTAAAAACATGTATGTTGACATAATAATCAATGATAGATATATGTCTATGTTTTTTTTTGCAAAATAATATGTATTTTTAACTATTAAAAAAAAAAAAAAAAAAAAAAGAAAATATCTTTTTTGAAATTTTTTTTTTAATAATAAAAATAAATTTGAAGGGTGTATGCAATAAAAAAAAAAAAAAAAAAAAAAGAAAGAAATGTGTTTTTTTAAAAAAAAAAAATTAATAAAATCGTTATTAAAAATTTTTTTTTTTTTTTTTAAAAAGTGTATTTTTTTTTTTTTTTTTTTTCATGAGTTAATTAGAGTTTGTTTTTGTATCATAACAATCAATAATCTAAAACTAAAGTTGAATTAGAATAGAAATATTATTTTTAATTATTTATTGTATAAATATCTCTTCATTTTCATTTCATTCTATATTCCTGTTCCTATTCCTATTTTATATTATAACAAAAAAAAAAAAAAGAGTAGTTAGTTAAACTTTAAGATTTTCGACAATAACATAACACAATCATAAAATAACAAAAAAACAGATTATTTTTCCATCAAACTCTATCAAACTTACAATAGTAGATCTACTGTCGGTCCAAGTTCCTTATTTAATTAAATCCAAAAAAACAAAACAATAAAAAAAAAAAAAAAATTTTATAAACTTTTTTTTTTTTTATATGTTTTGAATGATAAGATTCTTGGAGCCAATACAATAACCATATAGCATAGCTATCTATCTATTTAACAGATCTGCCACTATAAACTTTATCATCCTTCATCTTCATCAACATCAACATCACACCATTACAAACATCATTTCTCAAGATTACATAAAACACAAAAGTTTTCAACTCGACAGCTTGACAACAACGACAACAGCAAAAGCAATGCAAACCGAGAGTAGATACTTAGAATATCCAATGTATGTTCCACCGATCCAGAGTCTACTGTCGTTCAATATCGATGAACTGCTGAATGCACCAAACTCCAATTTCGAAATGGCACCGAAAATACCATATTCCAGTCAGCTTGGTGAGGGTGCCATTCATCAGTATACCATCACCAAAGGTGTTCCACTGGTACTGACCAACACCCTTGAGGGCTGGGATAAAGATTTATTCTCCTTGGATTATTTGCATGTAAAAATCAATCAACAACTTTTTTTTTGAAATTTCCACAATGTTTTTTTTTTTAACATTTTTCCAATCACTTTTTTTTTTCCATTTTTTTAGGATCAATTTTCACATATAGATTTAATACATTCACCTAGAGACAATGAAACACATACAGATTTAAAAGGATGGACGGTTGGCAAGTTTTGTGACTATCTAAAGGTTTCGCCAGAGGAGCGTAATCCAAAGTATTTGTATGCAAAGGATGTGCAGTGTCCGACACCTTGGCGCGACTATCTCAGTAAGAAGCTGGCCAAGAATTTTGTTTATCACAGCAGCTACGACATGATGGCCAATCTACCAGAGTATCTGAGGACCGACAATCTGCAGGTCTACATCGGTTCCAACGGAACCTACACGCCCGGACATATGGATAATGTCGGCGCCAATGGACACAACATCATGGTTGGCTCGCAAGACTCTGACAGCTCCTCGGCCTACTGGTTTGTAGTGTCGCGACAAGACGCCGATGCAGCCATCGAATTCTGGACCAGCAAAGGCGGTGACATTTTCAATGAGTCGCGATTCCTGAATCCGCGCGAACTTTTACACGCGCCCTTCAAAGTGTACGTCATCCGGCAGCAAGTCGGTGACTTTGTGCTGATTCCGCCAGAGTCTGTGCATCAGGTGATCAACATTGGCGCGCCATCGATCAAGATCGCGTGGAACACAGTGTCGGCGCGAACCCTGCCCATCTCATACTACTCGGCGATGCCGCGCCAGCGAAAACACCTGAAACCTGAACTCTACAGAATCAAAGCGATCGTCTACTATACACTGCGCAAGAAGATGTCGGTGCTGCAAGAGATGAATTTAAATTGCGATTTGCCAGCGACGCTCGAGTACATAACTCCGCTGCTCGAGATATTCCACCACTTTGTGCAGTCCGAGTCGATTCTCATACCGAAACCATCGTATCCTTATGCGGCACGCGACGAAACCATTCCGTTTCTGAAACCGTTCAAGTTGTTTGCATCGCAGTTTGTTCACGATCGTCGCTGTGACCATTGCAACAGCGACATATTCAACCGTTGCTACCATTGTCCGGTGTGCAAGAACAACGACGACGAGGTCAATGGACGTGACTACTGCTTCGAGTGTGTCTCTCGCGGATTCGGCTGTGAGTATCACTTCTCAGAGATGTCGCTGAAGGAGTATATCTCGCACTCCAAGATCAAGAAGGAGCTGGACGGCTTCTACGAGATCTACTCAGAGTTGATGTTGCGCTCGGGCAACAAACGCAAGAAAGTCGATGAAGTCATACAGGAGAAACAGGACAAGATATTCGAGCGTTGTGGATTCCTGACGACAGCGACACTCGCTTATCACGCCGTCTACTTCTCCACGCAGAACGAAGTCAAGTGTCACCAGTGTGAGCGACGCTACAAGAAGCATTCGATCGTCTTTTGCAGCCATTGTCCAGCGCGCTACTGCAAGAGCTGTTGTCAATCGTATAGCATTGATTTCTATGAACTTATATCCTGTTCCAATTGGAAGTGTTTCAATTGTATTGGAATATGCTCATGTATTCATTGTTCAACAAATAACAACAACATTAACAACAGTAATAGCATTAATAATAATAATAGTAGTAAAATTAATAATAATAATAATAGTAATGAATATTCATTTTCAGAAGATAGTAAACAAATGTCAGCAATTAAATTGTTAAGTGAACAATGTATGTTGACTGAACCCATTCCGATATCATCTTCTTCACCGCCAGTTTCATCACCTCCAACCTCCTCTAATCTATACAATCTTTCACCTCCTTCTTCATTCTCATCGTCACCAACATCAAACTCTTTGAAGTCGTCATCATCAACTTCATCACTTTTAGCATCGATTCCCTCGATTTCCTCTTTGACCTCTTCAAGAACAACACAGCCAATGGTGATAACCAACTTGACAATAAGTTCACCTCAATTAGTTGGAAAGAGTGGTGGTTTGGTTAATATCAACAATATCAACAATATCAACAATATCAACAACAACAATGGTATCAATCATCATTATCATTCTAAACACCAACACCACCATGGTGGTAAATCATCGATTGAATCAGATGTGCAATTGGAATCAAAGAAGAGACCGATCCAATACAATGAAAAACCAAAGGGTCGTCCAGCCAAAAATCTCAAAGACTGGACCGATTCACACAAGTTTATTCTCGGTCTCATAGAGATCTACAGGAACGGCTCGAAATACTCCAGTACCAAAGCATTGCCAGTGGACACTGCCGTTCCAGAGTTGGTTCAACTCTACCTGGAGAATCGTGAGTGTTTTGGTGGACTTCTCTGGGCCAAGACCATCAACTTCCCGTTGCTGCCGTGTCTGTGGGTGCGCGACCTCACAGTCATCCCGCCATCGACCAAACTGCTGCCGTCGTTGCGTGTCGGCAAGAAGATCGTTGTCCTCTTCTTTGGCAACCAAGACGAATACGTTGGAATCGTCGGAAAGAAGTCACTGTTTGCTTTTGACGAGGTCAACCAGACACTCCTCCTGAAGTGCTCGTCCGAACCACTCAGACAACTCGAGATACTCTTTAGCGTGACCGATCCACTCATCGCCAACAAAAAAGAGATACAAACATTCGACTACAAATCACAAATCGATGAAACCGAAGAGGGATTAGCTGTAAAAGCATCTCTTTATTCTTCAACCAGTAAATTAATATCAACAACAACAACAACAACATCGACATCATCAACAACAACAACAACATCACTTCAATCTTTTCCAATGTTATCAACTTCGACATCACCTTCCCATTCCCATTCCCATTCCCCCTCCTCTTCAAATTCCTCACCAACAAACTCGAATAATAATATAATTTTGACACCTATAACAACATCGCCATCATCAAGTTTGATGAACAACAATGGAATTAAATCAAATATTATACTGCCATCTTTGTTTCCATCGGCTTCTTCTCAGTCATCTACATCGACATCACCACCACAGCACACATCGACCAAAAGCGCAACAAGCAAACCATCGTCGACCTCTAACCATTTGGCAAACCTGACTTCACTTGGAAGTGATGATCATTCCCCTCCACTACCACCAACGAAACATCATAAATCACATCATCAAAAACAACCCTGTATTCACTCAAACCTTTATAATAATAATAATAATGACAACAACAACAATAATAACAACAACAATAATAATAATAACACAACTCTACCTCATATAATAGAGAAATCTTTATCATCATCTTCATCATCAACAACATCTCCTTCTTCACCATTGTCATCATCAACATCAACATCATCATTGTCACCAACATCGACATCGACATCTGCATCACCAACCCAGCCAATAATAATGAGAAAGTAAATCCAACTACAACAACAATTCAACCTAATTTAAATTACAACTCTATTCAAACTTACAGATTATTATTTATTTTTTTTCCCAAACTTTCTTTCTCATTATTATTTTATAATCATCAATTCCTAAAATTAAATAAAAAAAACAAATAAATGTAGATAGTAAATAATTATTATATTATAAAAGTTACTTTATTCATTGTCGCTGCTTAAATCATCGTCATCACTCTCATCGGCATTTGTCAATTTCTTTAGTAATCTCTTTGAACGCTTTTTCTTCCAAATCTGACTGATCACCTCTGGATCGGCATCGGTATCAGAGTCATCATCGATATCCTCATCGTCAATCTTTAACTTTGAATACTCTGTTGCCTCTTCCAATGTCTTGATTCTTGCTTGTCCTTTCAAATCCGACAAATATTCCAAAGCATATTGAAAGTATTTCTCTGGTACCTAATTAATTAATGTGATAATGTTAGTTTTTTTGTTAAATAAATAATTTGTTTATATTTTTATATATATATTTATTTATTAACACTTACTAAATCTCTACTATAAATATTTTGTAATAATAAAACTTGTATTTTCTTGTTGAATTTCCATGACGATCTATTTTGTTTCCAAGTGGATAGGTACTGACTGATTTCAGCACGTTTCTTGTGAGACTCTTGATCTTTCTGTAGTTTGGTGAGTTGATCTTTCTTGCCTTTCTTCTTTTCCAATTTCTCTTGCTCTAGCTTTTCAAACTCTTTCTCGATTGCCTGTTTCTGTTCTTCTTGTGTTTGTTTTACTTTTGCTTTCTTTTCTTTCTTTTCACTCAATTGTTTTTCTTTTAAAACTTTACTTTCTTCTGTTTCCGATTCTGATTCTGATGATGACTCTTCACTACTATCATCATCACTATCACTATCATCATCACTACTACTACTATTATTATCACTCTTTTCACTTTCACTATCTTCACTACTATCATTATCGACTTGTTTCTTTTTATTTACAACAACATTTTTAGTTGTTTTGGTTATAGTAGTTTGTTGCTCATCCTCTGATTCCTCCTCTGACGATTCATCTTTAACCTTTGATTTCTTTAATCTATCGTTATTCTCAATTTCATCTTCTTTTCTCTTTTTATTTATTTTATTATTAGCCATATTTAATATATTAAATCTATTCTTTTTATAAAACTGTAGTTTTATGCATAAAATCCTATTAATAATTCGTTCGTTTTGTGCACAAAAAACAAAATAAAAAATAATAAAAAAATAATAAAAATTAAAATAAATAAAATTTGAAATTAAATTAAATTTAAGATTGAATCTTCATTATTAAACTATTTTTTTTTTAATATTATCCAAACAATAATTATATAACCACATCAATTTAACAGGACAAAGCAAATACACCATTTTGACATTTCTCTTTTCACTTTTTACTTTTATATAAAATTTGTATTGAACATACTTTTCAAATTAGTTGTTTGTTTGTTAGTTAGGTTTTAATAATTATTAATATGGATACAAGTACATTAGTTAAAGAATTTAATTCTTTAATACGAAAGGCAAAGGAATCTGAAAGAGACAATATTCAAATATCATTAAATTTTTATAAGTATGTGTAGAAATGAAATATTGTTATGTTTGAAATTTAAAAGTTACTGATATTTGAATACCTGTTTGTATATATATATAGACAAGCATATAAATTATTACCAAATGCACCTAATCTATCGAAAAAGATAGAGTCACTCGAGAGGAAACTAGTAAAGATACAAGCAGAGCTATTAAAAGAGGATTGGGTACAGATAGAAGGAAATTCAATCGATATAAAAACTAGTGGTGGTGGTACTAGTAATGCACCTATTACATCATCACCAACTATATTCAATGACTCAAATACAAGTGATGGAATAGATGATTTCTCAATTAAACAAGAGGATGAAGATGATGATGATGATGAACAGAATAACAACAATAACAATAGCAACAACATGGGAGAAGAAGATTTAGATGATTTCATTAAAGTAGATGCTACCTCTATTGAAGATATAGATACACTCATCGATAAACTAAAGCTAATGGATATCGATGTTGCTCTTAAACTTTTACAACAGAATGACTTTTTTGTAATAAGATCAATGTGTAAACATGCTCAACAAGTAAGTAGAGATAGCAATTATATATGCATGTAGGTTGGTTGTAACGAATTATATTTATTAATATATGTTGTTCACAATCTTTTTAATGAACGTTTTTAGAGTGAAGATGTAAATTATATTTCAGAGATTGTATACTTTTTGAATGGAATAGGTAATCAGGTGGAAGGAGTGTTCTCACTGTTGGTTAGTGAGTTGGCATGGATCATACCGAATTGCTTTATGGTGGAGGAGACAAAGGCTGCACAGCATCTCTTGTTACTCGCTGCCATCTTTACACAGACAGGTCCACTTCCTGCTACAGAGTTGGCCAAACTCGATGAGACATTCCTCGATGAACTCATTGATCTTGGATTCAAATATTTAGATTACTACGATACCAAATGGTTAAATATATTTTATAATACATTGGTAATTAATTATCTAAATTTAAATTTAGAGAGAGAAAAGAAAAGAAAGAGATCAACTAATACAATCAACAACACTATTCATCTTTTTTATTACTTTAATAATAGCTCGCTTATCAATCACAAATCATTGTAAACGATGGATATTCACCATTGATTCATAAACTCTACACAATGCAAAAGGCACCAGAGTTGGGACCTGAATTGATTGCACTTTTAAATAGAGACAGTAAGTAGCGATATACCTTTTGAGCTTTTTCATAAGCTAACAAAATATTGTTATTATTATTATTTTTTGTAGAGTTTGATTATGGATTGATTGGACAGTCTTTATCACTGGTTAGTGATATCTTTAGTTATAGTACAGAGCATAAAGTATCATGTTTCTTTTATTCATCGGACATACCGATTATCATTGATATTCTAGTTAGAAATATTCATAATCTAAATGAACTGGATCCAGTAAGTAGCAAAACAAAAAAAAAAAAAAAATAGAAATAATAATACTGATTATCAATATTTATCTATGTAATATATAGTTGAGATGGCAATATTTAGATGTATTATATATTGTTTTATCACATGAGCATTTCCAACAAACACAGTACCACGTTGATGACATAATTACTGTTCTTACAGACATGTTGGACGAGGATTATGCCGAGAAAGATCCAAGAACTGCTTTGGTGTCTAGATCCATTTTGGATTTGATTCAACAACAAAGTTACCAATAAACTAAAAAAACAAATGAGTCAAATCGCATCATAATGATTATTTTACCCCTATATTTATATCATTTACCTTTAAGCTTTAAAAAAACTAAAAAGGGGTCTGAAATCATTCCACTCAAGCCGCAATAATCTTTCTTGAATTGTTTAAGGTAAGAGGGTACTGTTTGCAAATAAAACAACAAACTGTGAAATTTCACACTTTTTAGCATCTTTTCAAGAAATGATTGAACAAAAACAATCTGATTAGCTATATGCTACCGACTTTATAAGCATTTAAATGATCATTTTTTGGGAAATTGAATAAGTGGACATATGAGGTTATATACTCATTGTTTTGTGGTTATAGGATTTACCAAATATATATTTAACTTTAATAATTCACTCTTTTGAACTTTGAGTTACCAGTTTGTTTTTGTTTCATAAATGATTATTGGGGTAACAATTTATTCTTTTAAAATAACAACAGAACCCAAATAATCTAATCTCAACAGTAAGTTTGTTTGTAAACAACAATAACAAAAAACAACAACAAAAAACAAAAACAAAAAAAAAACAACACCATATGGATATGATGACTTGACCTTTTACTACATTAAACAAAGTTAATAGTCAACAAAAATAAATATCTTTGAAATAAATAATATTAGTCGGCAACCAATTAAAAAAAAACGATACAAAATGATTGAAGTGTGTGTTTTTGATTGAAGATAAGCAAACGCAAAACACAAAACCAGAATTTTGAAATGTTGTTTTTTTCGCCCAAAAGTTTTATGGGGTTTATTAATATTTTGGTCTTTTTAATTTCACCAACCGAAACTTTACTAAATATAATCACGATTCACATAATGACTATATGAATGAATAGTGTTGTTTTTGTTGCTTGTTGTTTTTTTCAAAGGATGAGAAATGAAAAGACACAATTTCATTGGGCATTGGAAATCAATAAACGAGGAGATGTTTGATGAGTGTGTGTTTTGGGGGTCCTTACTAACTTCTTATTACATGCATACATATATATATAAATAGAGTGTTTACCCATTACCGCAAATATCAAATCCACTCAACCTACCACCAAAAAGGTTTCAAAATTTCCACTAAAATCTTGTCATCTTTCTTATTATCTCTCAGAATTGAAGGTTCTAAACTATAGTTCCTAAAAACTATAAATAATCCAACTTTAATTAATTAATCATTCAAACAAATTAAATAAAAGACATTTAAATTAAACTATTCTTTATCTATTCAATACATACATATAATTTCAAAATGAAAGTTATCCTCTCTTTATTAGTCCTTTTGGTCATTGCCATCTGCGGAGTCCAATCTGTTTGCCCACCAAATACTGATACCAGAACTTGTAAGTAAAATTATGTTTAACTTTAAATGTATCTAAAGAAAACTTATTTATTAATTTAAATTCAAATACAACTATACAAAAGGCATCTGGTTCAATAACTTGGCTTGTAATGAAAACAAACCATGTCCAAACTATGGTCAAGAATGTTGTGCCAACAACTGTGAGTCTTTCTGTTTCCCATCATCACCAGTTACCTGTCCACCAAACACTGACACCAGAACTTGTAAGTCAAATGAACTATACATAAATAAAAATAGTAATAAAATGATCTATAATATTAATTTTAACATTATTTCAAAATTTTTAGGCATTTGGTTCAATGATACCGCCTGTAATGCTAACAAGGCCTGTCCAAATGGAAAGACCTGTTGTGCCAACAACTGTGAGACCTTCTGTATTTAAATCATTTTTCACATTCCAACAATAAACCTTTGTACATATCATGTTAGTACTATGATATCAAATTTATATATTAATAAAATATTGGTTTTTTTTAAAAAATGATTTGTCAAATTATGATTTAATGAGTACTATATGTTTCGCAAAATAAATACAATCTTATTGTAAATTACTTCAATCTAACACTTTTATTCATTTTCTCACAATTTTTGATTTTTATTAAGTTATATATATGAATGACACTAATTAAATTAAATAAAAAAAACAGGTGAAAATCACCACATACTTTGGAAAATGATAAACAAGTTGTGGTAAATAAATTTGCGAAAAACAATAAGATATATACTAAGTTATATATATATTGTATTATAGCAATATGTAGTTAAAAAAAACAATACAATACAATTAAAAAAAATTAATTTGGTTAATTTCATCATTGTGATTAAAAAATGATTAATACCAACAATGTTCAAAAAGGAAATTGAACAATTATTTCATTCCAACCATCTAATTAAAAAGATAGAAATTAGGGAATTTTAATTAATTAAAAGATAGAATGAAATTGTTAATTTTATTTATTCTTTCATTTATTGTTTTTATCAAAGCCGATTGCCCACCGAATATCGATACAAGATTTTGTTTCTATTTCGACCAATCGGCATGTAACGCCACCAATCCATGTGCACCTGGTCAGGATTGTTGCTCCGACAACTGTCGAACCTTTTGTTATCCAGCATTGCCAACGCCACCAAAATTCTGTCCTCAACCATCTTTCGATCAGCGTTTCTGCCGTTGGTTTGATGATCGTGCTTGCAATCTATACCGATCGTGTCCATTCAAAGATCAAATCTGTTGTGCCGATAAGTGTGTATCTTACTGCTACCCATCCCGTCAAATTCCACCACCACCCAAATGTCCAGTTATCAACGATCCAAGAGTCTGTATTTGGTTCAATGATTTAGCTTGCAATGCCTATCGCGCATGTCCAGCCGGACAAAGTTGTTGTAGAAATAACTGTGAATCATTCTGCTATGCAGATCCCATCAAACCAACACCACCACCAGGACCGAAATGTCCAGTGATCCAAGATGACAGAGTGTGTATTTGGTTTAATGATCTCGCATGCAATGCATCATTCCCATGTCAACAGGGTCAATCGTGTTGTAAGACCAATTGTGAATCATACTGCTATGGTGGACAGGTCACACCAACTCCATCACCAACCAACCCACCTTCAAAGTGTCCAGTAATCGAAAAAGATCCAATTTGTATTTGGTTCAATGATAAAGCTTGCAATGCATCACATGCCTGCCCAACAGGTCAAATCTGTTGTAAGAAGAACTGTGAATCCTATTGCCATGGAACACCACTACCCACCCCAGAATGCCCATCGATAGTCGACAACAGACTCTGTCTCTGGTTTAATGACCAAGCCTGCAATGCATCACATGCCTGTCCAACCGGTCAGACTTGCTGTAAGACCAAATGTGAATCATACTGCTTCGCAAGACCAAACCCAAATCCAGATCCAACTCCATCACCAACAAAACCAAAACCAACTCCATTACCAACTCCAAAATGTCCAAAGAATACTGATACTCGTCAATGTATGTATTATAAAAAAGAATATTCTTTTTATTGTTACTAACATGTTGTCTTGTTTTTTTTTTTTTAACTATATTATTTTAGGTATTTGGTTAAACACTGCTGCATGTACAACAAACGAACAGTGTGGTTCAGGTCGTGCATGTTGTGCTAACAACTGTGAGACTTTCTGTTACCCATCTGTTGGGGGTATCTAAAGAGTTTCAGTTTCATATTATCCTTCATCTTCTCATCTCTTCATTTTAATAATAAAACAATAAAGAGTAACTAATATCTTATAAGATAAATGACTATTATATTGATCAATTAATTATTTACAAAAGTATTGCAATTAAGATATCTATAATTTCGATTGAGGTAGAGTGAAACTACCATGTTTACCAACACCTGATTTGAATAGATTGGCACCGTTTAAACCTTCAGTCTTTAACGATTCATTTCCTAATCTGAATTCATTTCTTATAGCTTCGTCAAACGGTAGATCCCATTGTTGATATGCAGAGATCCTATCGGATCTCATACACATCTGAGGGAACGATGCAATTAACTTTGCCAAATCAATAGCGTGTTCCAATACCTTTCCTTTTGGTGCAATTCTATTTACCAATCCTCTATAGATGATGTTTGTGAGTTTATTAAAAAGTTGTAAGTTAATATATTAGTTGATTATGAATATAATAAATCAAAAACTAACTAACATTTCATGAGCTTCTTTTGTATCGACAGCACGACCCGTTAGGATTAGGTCGAGTGCACGTGATATTCCTATGAGTCGCGGAAGTCGAATTGTGCCGCCATCGATGAGAGGCACTCCGAATCGACGACAGAATACCCCAAAGACGGCGTCTTCTTCGGCGACGCGCATGTCACACCAGCATGCCAATTCGAGTCCGCCTGCCACACAGTATCCAGAGATCGCAGCAATCACCGGTTTCTTTAGAAGCATTCTACTCAATCCCATAGGCGCATCTCCATCTTCAGACAATCGATTTCTCGAGTCGGGCGATGTCATTGCTTTGAGATCGGCACCAGAACAAAACACATCGGTACCACCATACAATATTGCAACTTTGAATCGATCGTCATTGTCGATCCTCTGAAAGTGTTCTACTAACTTCTCTGCTGTGTGACGATCTACCTTTTTATTATAGTTTACAATATTTGATAATAATCAATAATTGATTCACAAAACATTACTCTCTCTATAATCATACAGCATTTTTTCTTTCGGGTCTATTAAGTGTTATTATTGCAATGCCTAGCTCACTAAAAGTTGAAAAATCTGCAACTACTTCTTGGCTCATTCTTCGTTAATTTACTAAGAATATAATTAATAATTATAACAAAATTTTATTAATTTAAAAGAATCTTTTTGTATGAAATTTTATGAGAATCAGGCTCTTACAATTGTCCAAAGATCTTCCCGATCTTTAAGATCTAAGAATTGGGGTTGGATGACTTGTTACAAATTACTGCTGAGATAAAGGAGATATCTTGATTTCTCGTATTTATTGTAACATAACTTATTAATTTGGTTTCTAGGAATTTTGATAAAATTCAAAAATATTTATTTTTTATGATTGAATCATCAAAATGCTCTGTCATATAATGGTTAGTATAGTGGACTCTGAATCCATTCATCTGAGTTCGAATCTCAGCAGAGCAAATTTTTAAACTTACCCTCCCCGCATGCCAAACTTCTTTTTAAAAAAGAAAAAATAATCAGACACATTTGTAGAAAAGTCATGGATATTTCAGTGAACACTCATAGAAATTCCAAGCCCAAGACTCTTTGGCCAAGTTGGTCCATTAGTAAGCCTTAGAGGACTTGGGTCGTGGGATCGATCCAATACTCCTAAATATAATAAATAAATACTCAACTCAAACAATACTCCTAAATATGACAAATTCTCTCAAATATAAATAATAAATTTTAAAATATTTAATTTAAAAATATTTAATATTTAATTAATATTTACAAACAAATATAATAAATAAAACATTTATCAAATAAATAATAAAGAAAATTCAATAATAAATAAAATGTTTAAACACAGTTATAAAGAATAATTGTTAAATAATCTAAATTTATTTATTTTAATGTTTATTTTCAGTGGCAGTGCATGCACATCTGTGGTGTTGTCAATATACTCAAAGGTTTATATTTGGGTATTGTTGGCAACATGCTAAATATGGAAAAAAGAAAAACAGAAAATAGATTCGAATTAGCTTAAATATTTATTAAAAAAAGAATTAACATACCATTAATATGAGAGGTTGCACAATGTCCAACCTTTTTGTTTGATAATGAAATTGTGAAACATTCACATAAATTACATTCGAATCTGCTGGTGAGACGCGAAAAAGTAAAATATGTAATTAATGTTGAAAATTTATTTTTTTTATTTTCTAATATTTTGTTGAAAATATAATCTTCCAAATCAGTGATATAAATCATAAGATTCCTCTTTAAATTAAGTTGGAATTGATTTATATGGATGATGTTGTTGTTTATGTTGTTGTTATTGCTGTTGTTATTGATTTCATATGTGAGATCAATGATTTCTTCTGTATACTTGTTTTCCTTTGTTAAATCAATTATAATCTTCATTCTTAATATAAATTGTTTTTTCTATACAAAAATGAAAATATGATTTGCTATTTATATTAAATTCTATACTATCAAAGTAATGAATGAGTTTACAGTAAAAAATAATATTTTACAATATTATATAAAAAGTTAAAAAAGTTAAAAAGATTACAAAATATATTATTCAAAAAATAAAGTTTTACAACAAAAGATAATTAAAATGATCAGAAAATAGTTATTTTTGAAAATTCTGTAAGTTAACATGAGATAGAGTTCTAAATAGTTTTGTAAACAAGTATATATCCACATTAAATTGTGAACAAATACTCAAGCAAATCATATAAAATAAACAAGAAGTGTGAGTAATGTTTATAAACACTGAGAAAAAAAAATTGAAAAGAAGAGAGAGAATATATATATATATATATGGTTGAAATAGGT